ACACCCAGCCACCCAGCCACCCAGCCACCCAGCCACCCAGCCACCCAGCCACCCAGCCACCCAGCCACCCAGCCACCCAGCCACCCAGCCACCCAGCCACCCGGCCACCCAGCCACCCAGCCACCCAGCCACCCAGCCACCCAGCCACCCAGCCACCCAGCCACCTGCCCCTCGCTCCGCTTCACCCTTGTTATTTCCACTCCCACTTCGACTCCTATCTGAGACGCATTTACTTGTCATACTACTCAATCTTCTTTTTTTGTCAAAGTATTCTATTTCGTTCTTTCTTTTTATTCTTCTTTCTTCTTTCTTCCTTTTGCCTACTTCTCCCAAGCACCCAGCCACCCAGCCACCCAGCCACCCTTCTATATAGCTTTTGTAAATACCCGCTTTCTCTTACTTTTGCTCACATAGCTTTCACCTGACCTTATCCCAAATGTACCTCTAGCCATACTTGATATGAATTTTTCTCAATCCCCATCACTATCTACGTCCGGGTCACGTTATACACCTACTTCACGGCCGCTTCTCAGCAAGCTGTACAAACGTACATAACCTAAGCCTAAGAGCCAGTACTATACACACCTCTCCTTCTCGCTTTTCATCTTCTCTCTCGGCCCACCACGATCAGCTCTCTGTTCGTAACTCCCCTCCTCCTGCCCACATCACTATTAACGTAGCCACATCATATTCTCTACATACCTTGAGCTACAGCGCTACTACCCACCACTATATACAACGGCACGCTCTGATCACTCGCCAAACGCACACTCACACTCATCAATCGTAACCAGTGCGTAAACAGCTTCACCCGCGGTAGCTCGGGAAACTCGCCATACACTCGGTTTCGACTTGCCCGGTTGAAGAAAATCCCAAACTGCATCAACTTGTACATGTTCCACGTCACATGCACTTTCGGTGCCACCCTCTTCCCCCTAGAGTACACCCGCCGCTTGTCGAAATCTTTCCCACTGCTGTACAGATACTTCATCTCCTGCTCACCCTCAAACTGCGCCGCCAAATACTCTTCCGTCACGGGATACTCCCTCAACCACGTGAGCTTGTTCTTGCGTCGACGGAGATGTGCTGCTTTCCATTCGTCTAGCGTGCCACCGGTCGCGCACCTTCTCAGCTTTCCCTCGTTGAAGTACTCTAGAATGTCCTTTCCCTCCAGCTTCTCCCACAATGCGTTATACCGCCGCTTGATTGGGACATCTCCTCCCCAAAACCCAGCCGGTCGCTGTAGTATCATGTGACGCTGCAGTATCGCGTGATAATTACCATAGACTTTCGGTGCTCCGGGTGCAGCTCTTTTATGTTTAGGTTCTCTAAGTAGACGCCACTGCTCCTGCGCCATACTACGCAGCGTCTGCTCGTGACCTTGCGGTTGTTGAGACCAGCAACAGCACGCGATATCCTTTTGTAGACACCCCGCGCACTGCTCTTCTGGGGTGTGACGGAAGAGAATAATGTTGCCGAAGTAGCGGTGATCTATACCGTAAAGCATCATGCTCCTATGCTCTGAGCCAAATACCGGCTAATACAAAGTCATTTGCTGCTTTGCATCGTATCAAGAACTCTCCTCGACTACCAACTTGTAAGAAAGAATTGCTATTTTATAAGTAACATGTGACGCCCACTTCAAATGATGAGCCACCACACAAGACCCGAAGCACAAAGCACCAGTGTTGTTCTAAAAGTAGGTCCCCACTACGACTCCCCTGAACATATGCTCCATGAAACTGCTGCTCCAGATCTTTGAACGCTTGCTCCACTTGACTTTTGCGTCCAAGTACTAGCACTGCCTTTGCATCCGGCTCGTGATCAAACAGTCGCTGAAGTAGTTCCATTGCCTGGGATATGCCATCGCCCTTAAGTCGAGTAGCATGCTTGTACACGTGAGCAACAGCTGGTTCCCTCACGTAGTTGCGGAAGAGTATTGGAACGTGCTTCAGCCGCGCATTCTCAAATGAGTTCCAGTTATGTTCCAATTGCACACCCCCCTTGAACCCCAGCCCACGTATTGCTTCTTGTGCTGTGTTCTGTGCGCCGGTTGCGGTGATCAGCAACACTCGTTCAAAACTTCCAAACTTGATGTTCCGCATCGCCTCGAATGACCTCCCCCGGTAACTCCGCTCATCATACAGATTGTGAAACTCATCAACCACGAGAAGACCAAGATGTGCTTTTGGGAAGCGAAGGTGCCATTGCTTGACCATCTCTATGAACCGTTCATCTGCTGCGTCGTTGAATGTTCCAACATAGACATCCTGGAAGTTGTGATTGCCGAAGGGATTTTCTTCAAACAGGTGCTTCAACGTTTGCACCCGCACACTCCCTCCCAGTCTCTGAAGAGTACCTGTAAGAAGCGCGGTGTACGGGACAAAAACAAACGACACCATATGAAGATTGCGTCTTGCATAGGAGATGAGAGTGAGCTGAAACAAGAGCGTCTTTCCAAACCCAGTTGGTGCCTGGATTGCAACAACTTTGGGTCCCCCGAGATATACATCCATGCATGCCATCAGCTGATCAAAATTGCGAAACTCAAAGCCCTGACCGTAAAGCTCCCTCCCGGCCATGAACAAATCCTGTGAGCTGCGCTCATCATGCGAGCTAGGATCTGTCTCCGGCTGTTCCGACTCTTTTTTCTCCCCGGCCTCCCCTTCCAGTCCCAACCAACGTATCCATCGCTTTGCCATCTCCTCCTGCATAGCATGTGACGTTGATCGCTGCACAGCCTCAAACGTGAACTTGTCCACACTGCAGTCTAGAGAACGCGTTTCTTATAACGGCTGCGCAGACCCTTGAAATAGAAGTCTTTTCTCTCGCCTGCCCTGAGCTGAGTCCAGGAAGACATACTGATCAAGGACATGTGCCGAGAGCTCTGTTCTCGTCATCTCTCTGCTGCCTTCGACGAGCGTCCACTTATTCTCAAAGCTGTCATCCTCATCTTTCGGCGGTTCAAAAGCGTCATACTCCTCGCCAAGCAGTTCAATTTCAATAGGACGGAGCACTAGCAGAAAATAAGCCAAGTACGCTGAGGTTTGCCGGTCAAGCCACTTTAGCAGATACACGAAATCCCCAGTCTTGTTGTAAAACGTCGCAAGCTGGATACTCCTCAACTTTGCATCAGCGAAGAGGTTACGCCGCTTCCCCGCGTATGCTAGGATTTGTAGTTCTGGAAATCGATAAGGATAGCCCACTGCAAACCATACCATCCACATGAGTGCAACTGTCATGCTGCTGATAGCAGTGAGCACTGCTTCTCGCTCTTCCTCGGTGATGTTTTGCCGAAGCTCCTTGGGAAAGATGCTTTTGAACGAGAAGTGCACCTGACTCCGGTCCTCGATGAGGACACCATTGGGTCGTGCCCGGCGGTCTAACCATACTGATGTACTTCCTCAAAGTGACCTGCATCTCGCGATAGAAAGCCCGAATGTAGTCTCTCCCGAACAGCTTGCCGGCAACATAAACCGCATCCGGCGGAACAAACTGGACCGCCTGTACACTTGCAGACCGGTCTTAAAGGAGATAGTTACCAGAAAGTGAATTTAAGCTCTTCCAGTGAGGAGGTGCTTCTTGTGTGCTTCTTATTTTTTACCACTGACCGTGAGATGACTACATATCTCAGAACTCTCAGAGATGGTACTTATTCTCTTGTGACAGATTTCACGGGTAGCTTTTGTGTTTCGAGCAAGACAAAGCACGTGATTAAGCCATAAACAGGGTTCATCAGTGAGAGTCATATGCTTTTCTATAATATCTTTTTCAAAATTTAAATTTTGTTTTTTGTTTTCAACATTCAGCTTGGAACTGATCTTCATTTTGTCATGTGACCGTCTATTAAAGTATCCTTTCCGGTACTCCAGGACGCATCCGGTTGTAGCCACCCTGCGCACTGCTCATCTGGTGACCGAAAAGTATGATGTAGCCTAAGTTGCGTTTCAAGATTCTACTATGTTAAGCGTCATATTCCCATGCTTCGTTTCTTCAACTCCGTGTTACACCCTCCTCGACTCTATCACCCTGCATACGCCTTATCTATTATATGCATTCCTTGTGCAAGAGAAATGTTCTATCTTTGAAAACGTCTTTTTTTTTTATTTTTCGTAGTCTACGTATGTTTAATATCATAAATCTATTTTTATCTTCTGGAATGTCATGTTACAAACTTAGCAATAAGAAGCAGTCAGTACTTGCTAACGCGCACTCCCCAACCTTCTCCCGCTGTCCAGCCGCCTAAATAACTTAGGTCATGAATAGAAACGGTCGCGGCAGTCCCTACTCTGGCGCCCTTTCTCTTAGCCATGTATCTTGAAAGTCCAACATCTGGCGCCGCGGCTTGAAGTTTATGAAGCTCTTTGGTTGCAGGACAGTTGCGGATATTCTCCAACGTTGCTTTCAGTGTTTCCACATAACCTTCAAGCTCCTTCATGGTACCTTCTGTGGGAAACTCGTTGATCATTGGCGGGGACCGAAACTCGGGCTCAAACCCTATCCACTGGTGCCATGAAGTGGAAGCGACACTTTGAAAATGCGTTGCCGTGCTAGCGGTGATTGATCCAAACGAAAAATTATCCAGCCCGTAATTCTCAAGTCCAGTGCGAATCGAATGTCCAAACATCAGCTCCTGGGTCATAGAATGGAACACCTCTGAAGCGGTACTGTCACATTTGACATAGTTTCGCATTATTGCAACCATGCCTTGCCTTAATTCCTGAGTGTTGAGCCCCATTCCCTTGACCAGAGCGCTGCTGTACTTCTCCTGTCGGTAAAACCTCCCCTGACCTGTGATGATAAACACGTATCGTTGAAGCACGTAATCCGATAGCTCGGTTGCCGTGCCTTGGAAATCCGGCCAGTCGCTCTTGCTATCCATACTGTACTCGGGACCCAGTATGTTCAATTGTATCTGGCGGAGAATCACAATGTAGTACAACAAGTATTTTGATGTGGTTGCATCCAGACGCTTGGTAAGGGGTTGGAAGGACTCGTTTTTGTTGTAGGTGGTAAACAATATGAGACATTTGGTTTCCTCGTCGATGAAAATATTGCGGTTGCGTCCGGCATATGTAATTGCCACAAGTTCGGTGAATCGATATGCATAGCCACACCCAAAATAGACCATCCAAATCAACGGCTCAATCATCTTGTCAATAATACTCAAGACTTCGTCCAATACCTCCTCAGACAGAGCGTCATATCGGTTGAGTACAGGTAGCAAACTCTGGAGGTACTCGGCAGGGAAAAGGTCAAGCAAAGACCCTTTAGGTTCAAAACGACTCTCCATCAGAGAGATGCCACTGCAGTGTAACAAATCAACGGCTAGATCTTCAACAGAGGGTAGCCAAAAGTATTCACGTAGCTCGCCCAAGAAATCATCAAATCGCATTCTCATGGTTGCATAGAAATTCTGGATCTTCTGGCGGTCCAAAAACTTAGCGCCAATGGCAACTCCATGGGGTCTTTTCAAGGTGACTCGATATTTCGATACTATCAATCCCTCTTGGACGACTTTATTATAGACATCGTTCACATAAAGCCATATGTTGGAGGAGTGCAAGGCAGATCTTTGCTCAAGTTTCCTATCAAAGGGAAGAGTTTCACCACCGTCGTCATAGCACAGGGCCGTGTTGATGAGAAAAAACTTAAAAGCATCGATTGAAGAGCGAAGCAGGTGAGCGCCACTCAGCTCCGGCTTGAATAGCCTTTCCTCGTTATAGACCGACTCGGAGAAATTGAATGCTGTGAGCTTGACCAAAGTTTCAAGCAGTGCAGCCAAACCATCACGGTCGTTGAGCATATCACGACAAAATGCGGAAAGAACTTTTAGTTTTTCCAAGCTAAACGGCACATCCAAGTGCAACGGCTGGAGTCTCTCTAATAGGTACTTTTTGTTCGGGTATAGAAAGAAAGACAATTCGTGAGCATGAAGAAGCAGAAAGTAAGAGTTCGCAAACCTGGAAGCATAGCCATCTACCGTGGCGGCTTTGTATCTCTTCACCAGAGAAACTGCTTTGCGGCCATAGTAGCTGGCAGGACGCAAGTATCGTGAATGGTTCTCCGTCGTAGTCAATTGGTAAGCATTTTTGAATATCTGGCGACACTCTTCCCTATGTGGAGAGTTTCAAGTACTTTAGAGTCGGAACGTTTGTCAAATGTAAAGCTATCAGCCATGAAAACGGTCTTCAAGATGGTATTGAGCTTCTCCGAAGCCAGTTCCTGGTTTGGATACGGTGAAGGTCCCGCAGAGGTATGGTCTTGAAATGAAGTTGGGGACGCTTTTTCTCTAAATGGGCAGGCACATAGACTAGAAACTTTCGGCCTGCATTACCGTAGTTAAGAGTGATCACGTCCAAATAGTAAAGAGGAAGCTTTGCGTTGGTGATTGGATCTCTTGGTACAGCAACCTTTGGGTGAAACTTGAAAACACTTCCATTCCAGTAAAACGAGACCGCGATGGTAGGGAGCACATCAAACAGGGTTCTCGATGTACAACTGAACAAGTCGCTGGGCTCTTTGTGATACTCGTAGATGTTTTTCAGGCTTTGGGTTTCGAGAAACATACGAACTGGTTTTGCAATTCGAATTTGAAACGGGTTGGCAGCATACACTCTATGATTCTCATCTTTAGAGGAATCGATCTTCACAACATAGCCGTCAATGACGGCATAGCCAGAGCAACATGGGAAATCAAGGTTTTGGGTAATAGTAGGGTAGGTTGTAGGGGTGAGGGTCAGGGATTGCAAAGGATCAAATAGGAAAGCTTTTCTCAAGAGAATCCAACGGTCGTAACGGTAAAAAAAAGGTTATTCGTTTATTTTTTTTCAAATCCAACGTTCGTTCCTTAACACCGAGATAAACGTATCTATTCCATATCTTGGTTATGAAAATCAGCGTTTAATCCTGTAACACGCTCTTAGCTTCTGGTGTTTGAAAGTCACGGGATAGGTAGGAGCCACAGTCCCGAGTACATCAGCATGAGTGCTTCTTAGCCTTGCTTGGAAGCATGATTTCGATCATTCGATACTCGTATGCTCGCTACAGGTCTTGCTTCAAATAGTTCCGATTTCAGTACTCGTGTATTCTTCTTCAATCTTCTTCAGTCGTCTTTTCGTTCATTCCATGTATCGCAGCACGTAAGTGCGCGTGATCTCTATCTCCAGGTATTTTGAGAAAAAAGCTTAGGTGAGGTTTCTTTTTCCTCTCGTACTCGTGCTGTAAAAATCTCAGTACGCGGAAGGAAAAATTTCACTAAAGTGCGCAAACAGTGATTGGGAAGAAACGCGGGATTGCAACGCGATGTGCTGAGGGAAGCCTCGGCGTGCGTATGGGTTTCTCTTTTAAGGAATAATACACTGAACTAAAAAGGCATTACTGACGCTCTTCCCATCGTAAATGGGTATGCTCTTTTATGTTTTGGAAAAACGGTCTGATTTTTACACCAAAGTTGGTTTGCATGTCACTAAAGCTGTTACGAAGATGCGGGTGAAAAAAGACAGACAAACAGAATCTCTCCCCAATTGCACTTATGTTTGAAGAGTTCTTGGAACATACTAGCACAAGTCTTGGTCGCCACTATACTCGTAAAAAGCCTTCAATCAATCTTTACAGAATGAAGTGCCTAATTCTGTGAACCTTTTTTTTTTAGGACGAGGAAGCCCCGCTTTCACGTTGTTTCGTGCTTCAAGCTCTCAACAAACCTCAGAGCTAGCAAGCTATTTACACGTTGACCAGCTTGACTACGTATGAAGCGACAGACCAGGGACGTTTGCAGTAATGGGAACAGATTCGGTAATTCACATATTTTGCTCATGTATCACGGAATTGGTTTTGAGGGTAAAGGAGCGTATTTTACTCTAAAAGGCTGTGTGTTCCTTCCTTTGCAGAAGACGTTGAAAGCAGAAAAAGCTATTTGGTCTAACATTTCTTTATTCCGGCTTTTCTTTTACTGCTTCTTAACAGATTTAACAGATCAACTTCCCAAATTCATCTTGAAGAACTAGCGCAAGATTCATGAAAGAGAGATCTTTAGCACGTGATCGATGACAGCGACAAAATTGATAAAGAACAAGCTTTGAGCACCCAAGTTTTAAGCTTTCTAGCCCCCATGGATCAGGAAGCAACGATTGGTGCCATTTGGTATTGCTGTAATACTTCAGTAATGGCAGTGAGAAGTTCACACCCCCACCGATGGTGAACCGAATCCCAAGATTGTAAGCCAGGACATACATTACCCAGTCTATGTTACAATTCTCTGTACACATGAAACAGAACGGGTAGACAGATTTATTGGCTCTATAGTATAGAAATAGGCACTCGAGCTCAATGGAATATACCGCTCTTGGTGAGATACATAAATTCTAACCCTTGTGGGCATCAGCTTGCATCATTTCCTGTTGGGACCTTTTTATATGGAGATAAATTAGCTTGTTTTTGCCGTATATAAAACCTAAGGGCTGGTGCGTTCATTGCGGCTAAAGGTACTTCATTTGGCGGCTTGACTCTGACAATATTTGTCGTCGCACTGGCTGATTACGAGGCCACGGTTCATAATCCACTAATCCTTGCATAAAGCAAAAACCTTAGCCTAGAAAAGCGACTGTAGGATCCCCCAATCATGATCGCAAAAACAGCTACCTGCAGTGCATCCGACATTAATAATGACCTCTTCCAGACGTTCGGTTCATTCATTATGCAAAAAGCTTACACAACTATAGATGAGCTTACACTTCGTGGCCCAGTACTTATATATTGGTCACGTGGGGCTTCAAAAATGAAATGATGGAGAGTACTCTGACATATATATCGGCATTGGCATGATAAGTTAATCTGAAAAGCTCCTTAAAGAGCTCACGATATTATGTTTTCGCTTTGAAGTACTCATCAGAGAAAATGATAATTCATAAGATCCGATCGAGGACTCAGTCCCTTGAGAATCGCAATAAGTCCTATACAACTAGTGCATTTGATAAGTCACTATATACGTCTATAGGCTATCAACAATCAAAATTACTGGAAGAGTTAGCCAGATTCGTGTATCCTTCATCTTGCTGCTGATTCGTGTTGTGTCATTCTTTATGCTGCGCTTATTAGTGAAAAAAAATTATATTGAGGACATTTGTAACCTGGTGGCTGCCTTTGATATCAATCATACGAATTGTAATTTGAGCGGTACGAGAATCGAACCCGTGTCCCAACCTTGGAAGGGTTGGATGATAACCACTACACTAACCGCCCTTTTGTGATAATCAGACCGCTACGGCTGAATATACTCAGTTCAAAAAAGTATGCGGCGTTGTCATGGAATAACTTGACATGAATAATAATAGATAAGGCTGAAAGGAAGTTGTCACTGTCAACAGTAAGCGATTAGCTTTTGTGATCTATCACAAAAGCTGTGTCACATTTAAGATGACACAAAAGGGATGACAGATTGACATATAAAAGAGGGTCTGAGACCAAGGAAGTAGACATAGCTTAGTTAAGAAGGATAGCTAGAATCGAGGGAATAAAAGGACCCAAAAGGTCAAGTTAAGTGATCAGTTACAGTTTCTAGTAGTTCGTGATAATTACACACGACAGGCGTAGCTATAAATTGTATTATATGGAACTGGACACAGTATAACGTCGAGTCGTGATTCAAGTGTAATTTCTTTGTTCTCTACTTGATCTTTTATCAATGACAATGACATTATTCTTGGCGGCTGAACTCTCTTTTGCATGACAACTCTGTCCAGCATAATTGTCAACATAGTTTTAAGTCTGACGCTAGATAAACTGCTTTTAATTACTGGCGGCATGGGACATAATTATCAAGTCGGGACTGGAAAGCGTTAATCCGAATCTACCCATTTCTTGGTGTGTATCATCCAAGATAATGTTGTGTTAAAAAGTGAGATTTGTTAGCAATGAGAATTTAAAGTTTTTGAGTGGCTGTCACATTGCTCAGATCTTCCGATGGAACCATGGTGGCAAAATTCACAAATGTTTAAAATTAATAACTTAAATAGTTAACCAGGCCAGTATTATCCGGTAAACGTTACTTCGGTATAAGGCGAGACGCCTATTCTTGCTAGCGCTGTGAAGAAGTCAACTATGATTAAGTGCCAATGGCCCGATGAATTCCCACATTATGGTTATTGTAGTAGAGATATTTTATCAGCATAAGCACACATATATATCTTGCCTTCGTGGGAAAATTTAGCTTATCGACATTACCCTGCTTAGTCGGTGTGCTAACTTAATAAACTATCTATATAGTCCATGACAATCATAGCTTTATTATTAGAGGTCAGAGACGAGGAATCACTAAGGACGGTGGATAGTAGAATAATAGAACATACAAGACACATCAATATTATAAGAGAAAGACGTCTTCAATGTTTCTCGAGCGGAGGGCGAACGTTTGTATAGGTTTCTTCTTCCTGACCCTACCTGTAGCCTCCTTGAGAGAGAATCTGCCACAGAAGGCCTTGTACGTTTTCTTGCTCTCCATCGCTGTAGTGTCTGCCCCATTGGTCAGCGTTTCGTAACTGTAGGTTGATGGTATACATCGTCTTCCCACAGCGTCCAGAATTTTTCTGGAGGACACTGTTGCTATAGTTGAATTCGTCAGCCTGTTGTCCTCGAAGAAAGCGAGAGCTTCGTAATAGGACTGGAAAACACCCGTGTTTTGCTTCCACAACCAAGATGCTATTTTAGAGACCACTTCGACATTGTGATTCCATTTTTGGCTGGTTGGTGACACATTTGCAATTTTCTGGACATAGCTGTGTATCATTCCCCTCATCAAAATAAACTTATTTCTCGTCCGTTGACTAGAAAGCCCAGAGACTTTGTCTTTCGATGTCGGGTTTACAAAACGACAGTTATTTGTTGAAATTTTGAGTTTCGCTGTACAAGGAAAGTTGGAGAAAGTTTGTCGTTTGTCACTTTTTTTGAGGACAGCTGTGTTGGTCACCTTTTTTGGGATCTGACACTCCGAAATTCCTTTAGTCACAAAGCCTTCCTGTCCTTCGATAATATTGTAATTCTTTAGCATGTTTGGCTCAGCTCGTGGAGAGTATTACCTTAATTCCCTATCCAAGCATCTCCTTCTTATAGCTATCATTACAAACAAATCTTAAGACTAACATCTCCTCTTAAATTGTATAGTTCACTTTCTTGGATATTTTTATTCCTTTTATTCATATCCTTACCTCATATCCTTGTTGTTTTTGTATATTCGATGCATGTCATCAACCGTCTAGACCTTTGCCTCAAAATGTAATACAAATCCCTAACCTTGTACTGAACTACGTGAATTTTTTGATGCTTTACCTTTCAACTAGTGTGTTATCCTCAACTGCCGTCAATACTTTACAGTCTATGTTTCAGATGACGCATTATCCTTTGCTGTAGAAAGAGGGATAATAAAAGCGGTCGCTAATATCATTTTACTTGTTTTGATGGAATTTTTGACGGTGGTTGAGACGATTTATATACCCAGTATTGAAAATGGATACGAAAGACATACTTCTCACTTTGGAATCAATAAAAAAGGCGTGTGGCGCTTTATGCCGCCAAGAGCATAGAAGGACTCTCCTATCCAAGGACACTAGACTTTTTTTGGAATCGGTTTTTGAGAAAAAGAGATCTCCTAATTCAAGAGAACGTATGCAAACTCGGGAACTGTCAGATCATCTGAAAACCACCTCATATTTATTTCGAAAGATATTTATTGTGATGTTACACCTGCTCTCACATCCTTAACTCTTCTTGATTTTATTTTCTGCTCTTTATGTGACTTAATTGAGCTGTTAGTTTTAACCGCTTAACTTATAAGTGTGCGATCGAGGAAGCTCAACTTTCATGAATATGGCGATGCTTTTATTTTATATTAAACTATGTGGCTGACCACCCGGCACGGATATCTTCGTACTAAACGATTGTTCGGGCTACAATATGGCATTGGAACATTATGTTTGTCCAACTAGTAGCGCGGACATTCACCCCGAATACTTGTATATGTCCGGGTTAACGAGTTGGGAAAGAAATCTGGGATTATTTTTCTCAGAGCTTGAGTATTCTCACGAGGTGGGACATGTTTTGAGCACATCATACGATGGAGATGAAATTAGTTGAAGACCTTTGATGATTGATGATCGGCTTTGACCTCAATAGTTAATTAAAAGCATATAAGTCACACTCATATAGGATTCTCCACTCTACCTCCCTGTGATTCCTTGTAGTTTTTGAATATCCCATCGTAGTTTGGAACAATCGTCATTTGTGCCTTATAGAGACGCATTCGGCATGTCCTCATGATCAAGTTGGCATGCTTCTGAGGGATCTGGAACGGATGATCAGGTTTAATCCGTGTACATGATTGCTTAGTGACAAGAAACTTCGTGTCTCACGAGCCGCAATTAAGAAGCTTTGGAAGAGGGCACTACTGTACTACCCGCTCCTGTGACCTCCAACCTTCCGGGCATACAACTATGTAATTTTAACTTAATAGAAGTGGTATTTTTATCGTGCACCTCCATAACGTATTAGCCTGTCCATGTGATCTCTGTTAATATATTCTTGTGGACTCGAACTCAACAACACTTTATTCACCAGACTTTTTTGTATCTAACTAGCACTTAATTGACGTTGCCGGTCGTGTGAAGGATTGGCTCAGATTATGATTTCTTATGTTTGTGTTTGTCCTTCATAAATGGCAACTCACTGCAATTTTTTGCGCGCCTTGTACGGTTTCGAGAGATCAGGAATAAAATCCTAAGCTTGTTATCTCAAAATCTGAAAACATTTTTGACGATGACCAGTCATAAATTCAGCAGTCAAGGAAGTCAGCGCTTGCAAGCTAATTGCAGCAAGCTGGCTAATTTTTATAGCAACGTGAGAAGGGTGTGCCCTATTTTTATAGAATTTTTTCTTACATCGAGTGTCAGCTTTACTGTCAGATAATACCACTAAATGAGCTGTTAACGCCGGGAGTGATGAAACAATCAAAGAGTCTTGCTTGGATGTTTTATCGCACGAACTAACTTATGTAAAAGATAGCTATCCAAGCATCTCAAATATTCTGTGCCAAATTACCACTGTAACGGGGGGCCGTGAGTAAGGGCCGGGCTAAATAACTTTATCTCCCTCATAGAGGGACCTCATAGAAGGACAGTAGATTGTACGAAACGGTACGAAAGGGGCATTTGAATGAGCATATAAAACCAATTTCTATACGATAAATTTTTCTTAAGAGAAGAAAACTAAAATCACAATAAGGGAGAATCAACTCTTTTTTATGAAAACCTCCCTTCAAGTCCTTATCTTAACATGCACGTCACGTTGATAAAAATTAGCTATAGACACGTGATAAGAGGGCGGTGTAGGACTTTTGAGGTTTCACAAACCATATATCAAACAATAAGTTAATTCGTGTCAGAAAGAGACTATCTAGCTGCTTTTTCTTCACTCCTTTTGGTAGCTTCTCCTTAAACAAGTATCCCACTTTAAATCAGTAGGGGGTTTATGAAGAGGCGTAAATCCTTGTGAAAAGAACATATTTGTAATTCGTTCGGATTGTGTGGGCTTGGTAGCGGAGCTTCTTACCAGTGTTTGAAACATTCAAATATGGAGTGTTCCCCAATTGTGTGTGTGGCTTTCTTTACTTGTGTAAAGATTTGTGCAAATTTGTCAAATTCACATCCGATACCCAGCGTCACACCAATGATAAAGTGATCTTGTGCACGGGTAGCCACCGCGAGTATAACGTAAATAATGACGAGTATTTTCACGAGTAGCCTTAGCGGGTATATGTTGGGTGTTGAAAAATAACAAGATTTTAATGATTTGGTTTTCCTTACAACATTCAGAACAAAAGCGAACATTGTGATCTTGAAAACCTCGCCTTAACTATTTGGCGTTGTCTCTCTACTATACCAAATTGTCCATGGCTGGCGTCGAACGGTGCTTTTCCATCAGTAGGAGGGCTATCGAAGGGCGATTTTCGCTCTCCAGCGCAAATCTTAAGCGCACAATGGTTTTTAGGAGCCGCCAAAGATAGAATCTTGCGTTTAGTAAGAGCCTCAAACATACTACATCGATCAAAGAGGTCAGCTGGGCGCAAGACTATGTGTCAGATGCTTCTCTAGATGAAGATACTTCTAGTGATCTCGAATCATTCAGTGACTGAGCTCATTGTATCAGCTATTCAAATCGTAGCTAGTACTGGACGCAATATATAGTTCAGCACAAGCTTTAACCAAGTGCACCTTACAAGCCAGCTTTTGCTGGCACAGTGACATGGACTGAATACCCCTACCCGCGCAAGCACGTGTGGAATTTATCACAGTGAACGATACATACCCGTGGATTTCACGAGTAGATCTACTCGTGGCCGAAATAGGCTACTCGTAGCTACCCATCCCCAGTCCTGACCAGACATGTATAGTGGATCCCAATTGACGTCCGGTAAGTGTCTTCTGAAAAAAAAGCTGGGATCATTTAGTCAGGATCTAAGTACCCGAAAAGTATTGATTTTCACAATATGGGATCCACTTTGAGATCCATTTTTATATGCCAAACCCACGCGAAACGGTAAAAATAAAAACATTAACAATCGAAATGATTAATTGCGATTAGCTTTGAAATTTGTAGCGAATTGGAAATGTACACTTCTTATTTTTTAAAGTTTTTGCGCATCCTCTCCGCAACTTTATATCTGGCTAGGAATCCACTGTAGAATTCAAAATGATAAATGAGTGATCCAATCAAGGATTTAATCCGTATATAGTTACGACCTAGTTGGGATGCACTTCTAGGTATCCGGATACTAATTTTGTGATCCGGATCTGCCCGTTGAACATGACTGCACGGGACATGTAACAGCGTTGGAACCATCAAGCATCTAGCCTCGAGCACCTCGAGTACAGGAACTGCTGGCTTCTTAGCACTCATAAACAAAGGGCTAGCAAACAAAAACACTTTAAATGGTCGGTTTATTGTAAGATGGTCAGCTGTTTGGTCACACCACGTCAATTCGATTGAAAACTTAGCAGTTGCATAAACGCTTCACAGGACTGTGTCAAGGAGATTCGTTGAACCAAACAGCATAATCAGTTTCTCCGCCACCTGAACAGACTATACATTACAAAATTTCTTATCTGCTTTGGATCGAACATGGTAACATACGGCTATGATCTGTGACGGTTTTCGTGCTTTGCCCTGACACTCCTGAATCTCGACTTCAGCTTCGCACAATTTCTTAAAAGTTTGACAGGTCATTGTTCATCCCAAAAGGAAACCCAAGACAATTCAAACCATTGCCTTTCTTCTCTGAACGTTGCGTCAGTTCCAACTCCAAGTATGTCAAAGTCGCATGATTTATGTATCACTAAAGAAGTTATGAATAGTGATATACTTGAATAAATACATGCTACTGGTCAGTTGGTGCTTGTGAGATCAGCGGTACGGAGATCGAAGGCTCAAACTCATCAACTCTGATTTCATCTCGGGTGCTCCATGCGGTCAAAATGGTAGCCGACTATAGATTTAAGCTTCCCATACCATTTTCACAGATGATAAAACGAATCTTGAAACTATTGGAAGGCATCAGTTTGTTGTCCGAAGTTCACAGGCCAGTTTTCAAACACTGATAAAGAGAAAGTGAATTGCCTATTAAGCAGGTTCTCGGTGACGTTTTTAGCTCAGTGGATAAACTATTTTTATTATTAAACGGATTTTCCAGAAGACGTCCCTGGAATTTGTTCTGATCCTCACAATGGCTGCTGGCAAGATACACCCACAAATAAATTTTACATCAACCATAGAAAGTAGATGAAACGCAGAAAAATTCTAAATTGAAAGGTCACTTGTTCGCGACCTTAAACAACGAATCAATTCCAGCTATTTCAGACTTCAAATATGTTAAAACGTTTCCGTGGCAGCCCCAAATATTCCTTATTTGCCAAAGGAAATAATCCTCGTTTCTAAAGGTCACTAGTATAAAAGCTCAATTTTTCTTAGCTGGACGTTCTTGTGAAACATAGACTATGATTATCGTTTCAGTAACTCCATTAATTCCGTTATTACCTTAAGTCACGTGCTATTTCAAGCACATGTCTATTTTTTGCCACCCTCTCAAAATGCAATGCTTGCATAGAGTTATGCCTCGAATACGAAATTATCTTTGACACTCGTCATGACGTGGAGCCCTGGTGCAATAGATATTTTCAGCAAGAGTCGTGTCTATGTTTTTGACCAACGAACCTCTCGAAAAACAGTTTTAATGTATAGGTATTCAGCTTGTTGAAATCCGAAGTTAGCATTCTGGGCCTATGCAACAGCATCGCAGTTTCTCATCTGGGAATCCACTAAAGCTCACTGAATAGAGTGCAACAAAGAATATTTCGTATCCTGGGTAATTTGGGCCATTTGCTACGTCGAGCTTGAAAATTAGTCATAAAATGGGTAAAGCGGTGCTATTCATAAAAGTAAAAACACATAGCAGCTCTCTCTTTGAATGGTAGAAATGCCAGTTGTATGAAGGTGAGGATATACTTTTGGCTCATAACTGGGTCATAACATCTGGCTCTCTCGGTAGAATTATTCTTTGTATTCACTTCGCTACATTTATAGGTAGAGATGAGTGTTTATACCCTTTATTTGTCCCAGCGGTGACCGCGGCTTTTCGAACAATCACGATATTCTCTAATTGTTTCCACTGTCTTTAACTAGAGCTGTAAGGTCAACGTCTTCATAAAGGAGGGACTGCAAACGGATTTCTCACTTCTATGAACACAATTGTGTAATACCCCGCCTTCTTCTACTCAGCCCTCGGGATAGTTTTCAGCCTAATATGCTTTTTGTGATACATTAATGCCTTGAGCGGGTACCAACTATTGTAGATGCATATCGTCGCTTTCTGTCACATCAATAATTCACCTTGCCTAAGTGCGCATTTGCGTCTAACGGTCCATATTACTGATAAAGCAAAAACAGGGATATCTCGGACTTTCTTTTGATTGAAATTTTCGACCCTATCAGGATCTTTAACGCTCGGATTTCAGTTGGAATTATAAGACAGACGTAGTACTCCAAAGTTGGTCATCTATGATTAGGCGACACAACAACGAAAAGGGAGGTAGTACAAACTCTGTCGAACAACAATGAACATGAATTATAAGAATACTGCCTTGAATTCTGGTCACTACTTCGGCTGAACCAGAGGGGGGTTTTGGCTGCTCAATTTAGAAACAACTGAAATACTATCAACTTCGAGCAAATACTCCTTGCTGCATGCAAAAGAATAATGTGTAATGCATTGAACAGGGAATGACAAGTAATGCACCAATTCTTCGCAACATCTAGTATACAGTCTTACTATCGACATGAAGTAAAGAACATGCACAGTAGTGTTGTGAACGGATCTAGTTCAGTGCGTGACTTTACTACTTTCCCACACTGTATGAGCTCTTTAGTTATTCATGTTATTATTTAGTAGGCTTTCACAATTGTACAGGAACGCTGCCTCAACCTCTTCTTATCGGTAGAGTTCTTTTTTTGAAGAAGAATGTAAAGGCTACCCCCATAATTCTAGCTTACAATATGAAAACGCGTTATCTAGAAAGAAATGCTGTAATGCTTGATTTTTAACCATGTCTTTCTTATTTTATGAGTCTCCTGTGGCCACCTCATCCAGTACTTCGTAGCGCTTTTTCCGCCGAGCTTTATTTCCCCGTAATAATGAAATTATAGACGAGCGCATTAAGGCCTGATGGAGATCAAATCATGATGAAATACAACCATGAGCGCAAGCAACACAATGTTTCATACCTGCTGAAGATATCAATAGCTTCTGTCTGCCTTGCTTCAAACTGCTCGCACTGGAATCGTCGGCAACAAGTGCTCAATTACATCGCATATTGTGGAGATTTAAACTCTAAATACGACGTTCCTGAGTACCCAAAAACATAAAAAATCAACAGTGTTCATTACCACTTTTTCATGAAACCCCTCTTGAGTTTCTTGCTTATTTGTAAAACCATTTCAACATCGGTGAAGTATATTCTCCGTCGTGAAACAAATGGACATAGTTAGGGTAGGCAGCTCGTAGTTTTGCGTATGCAAACCAACTACAAATGGATTGCCCTGAAACTCAATACATGAAAGAAACTGTAGCTTCAGAACCCTGAAAAATAAATCCTAAAGAAAATGATGCTTGATGCGCGAAAACATCCTTGAAACATCGTCTCCTCTTGGGTGTGAAAATGAATCTCTTATTTTATTTTTCGTTTCCATTGAAACCACTCGCGGTGCGTTATAAAGAGACACCCGGTTCTCGGGAAAGTTTAAGTATAACGCTCGGAGTTTCAAAATGGGACTGGCTCGGGCCTTTTGCTCACCTCTGACCACGTGAAGAGATGGTATAGGGGTCAAGCCATATATGTATCTGAAGATAGGTTTTTCTGATTTCCTTTCAGCCTTCAAGTGGGCGTCTAAAGCGCCGTGCCAAAATATTAGTTGCTTGTCTTTCGAATCTTGATGTGTGGGAGCTTGATTAAATGCTGTCAAACTATTAAGTGTGTCCTCCCAAGCTTTTGGAGATAGTTGGATAGTGGATGTGTGAGCTGAACAAAACAAATCCCCTGCGAGGAATCGGGAACCATCGTACCGCCAATAATTGAGAAGTTTTTACCAGAACTTTATTTCACCATTGGATAAATGGTTTTTTTTTGGTGCTAACACTATAATGCGTGAGTTCCCATGCCCTTGGTTGCAGTGAAGTTACGGTGTTGCGAAGGCAGAAATTGGTGTAGGGAAGTTCAAGTCGCTTAGCTCCCTTCATCCTGTCGCTTTCATTATTTACGTGGTGAAAGTAGATGCTGTGTAGTAGGTCTGACGCTACACTTAGAAGCTGAATCAATCGACTCGTAAGGCATTCTGTTGACTTGAATTTGATTAGATGAGGAATTTAATCGAGCACCTTGGCCAATTTTACAGTTCAACTCTTAGAACAAGATAATCAAACATGATTTTCAAATGAAAACAACGCACCAATTGTTCGTGCCTACTTGGAAGTTCTTGTGAAAGACCACACATTCAATACGGGCCCGACATTCATCGTTTCATAAGTAGTTATTATGCGAGTTTGCAATAGACCACAGACCCTACAATTAGCCTGTGCTTTTGAGGTCTGAATTCTCTGCTTTCGCATATGACAAGAAATGAGATGAATAAATCTTATATTTTGCATCTGTTACTGAAATGATCGAGGTGTTTACAAAATTCCAGGGATGCGAAACCTGAAAATTTCTACGAACGTTTGAAGAGTTCACGTTCGACTTTAATCTTTGCCTGATAAAATAACGCATGTGTTGCATTGTGCATTTATCGATGGGTAATAATACGCCAAACAAGTCACCTTGCTCTACTGAATAAGTATCGCTTCGTGGATACCTTTTACTGCCCTATTGATTGATATGGGTTCTCGAGCTCTTACAATTCACTTACTATAATGTCTGAATAAACGATCATATTCTACTCCTAAGTGCCTTTTCATTACTTGATTGACTATACTGGATTCTGAGAGCCGAAAATGCGATCGGTAGTGCAAATACAAACAAACGTTCTCACAAATGTAGTACCTCTGAAACAGCGTATTCATGAATTTATATGTTGCAGCCCCATTATTTTCAAGCAGAATGCATATTGTCAAGAAAACAAGCTTGTTATGAGTAAAAGATGTACCGCCAGTGATTTTTTTATATGAATATGCTTTATCTGTCGTTTTCAATTCCGCAGCAGTCGCTCGATGAGATTTTACAAGTATTGGTCACATAACCGCTCACAATACATAGTAAGCAGTGCGTCGCGGTAACAAAAGAAATAAAATAAAGACGGGAACATAGTGAATTTCATATAGGAAAAACCTACCTGACTTTGTTGAAGAGCACTAGCCAAGAATCTAGAGATTCTTTTCTTATGGAGGTAATTTTTTTGTAAGATGTACTACGGTTTGTAACGCACATCTGCAACGCATATCATAGGCAAAGTAGAAACAACCTAAAGCTGCTTGAGGATGTGGCCTTTACTTTAGTAGAGCTCATGAAGGTGCTGTAGGTGGTAGGAGCGTTTACATTACTATAGTGAGTCTTCACTTATATAAATTAAGTCTCTAAGCTCGCAATCTCATCGGGCGATCGATGGGTGAAGATGATGCATCTTAGTACAAGGTATTGTTGTCTATAAAATTGATTTCATGTCTATAAAAATGATTTCATAATTAAATCAGAGCGATCACTGTGCTATCTCATGGCCGTGTTGTGGACAGATGGGACTTGGGTGCCCAACACAATGGTACCGTACATCCAAATCCAAGAATGCCACCTTAAGTTGGTGAAGATCGTACCCTTGCACCTTATCAAGACTTTGAAGACATCAGTTGGTCGCATATAAGGCTCTTTATCGCTGAACACACCGTGAACGTTTACCGTAATTCGAAATTCTCGACTGTTGCCCCTTAGGTTTTCTTTGGGAGGATAAAAGAATCATCTGCGCATTTTAAAGCTCCTTGAATAAAAAAAATATCGCAAAACTTCTTTGCAGATGAATATTCTCATCTCAACTCTTTCTACCATGTTTATCAAATGCAAGCTTCAGACCATTGGTTTGAAGCTGACCGTTTTTATTGCCCTTTAGAGGCTGCCTTATTGGTGACGATCACTTACTTCAGCCCATCAACCTCATCGTAAGCTCGAAAACAGTGAACGTGGCACCATTCACCGGTAGTGATCTCAGCATAGTTGGTGCAAAGCCCTTAAAGAACCCTTTTATGCCTCTTGTGGAGTATATGTAACGGGCCACCTGAACGACGTTTTTCCCATTCACAGGCTTCTGAAGATTATCAGATTGCATGACCGATTTGATAACATCGAAGGGGTAAACCATGAGCCAAAGATTTACTCCCGACAGGGCACCGTACAAACATAGTTTCCAGGGAGGTATGTCAATTCTTTTGATGCCCTTCTTGGCCTCTGACGCCAAAAGAGCCTCGTAAGTGGAAAAGTAGACACCAAACCCATGAGAAGTTCTCATAAGAGTTGGAGTAAGTCCACGCATAATTTTCCCCGAAGCAACAAGTTTTTTGATGCAGTCCACAGCTCCGGTGTACTCGGCAGTTGCCAAAGAGCTGGTCTGGAGCTGTAAGCGTATTCGGACATGTTCTATGGGTGCAGTCAAAAAGCCATTGGCGCACCCACTGACAACTCCGCAAGCGTAGTATTCTTTCAGTTGCAGTGTAGGGCTGGAGTAGTTGTTCTTTCTATGAAAATATCTCTTCATGGCTTCGTTTACGCCGAACTGGCAGGAAACACAAGCTCCCACTCCTATGAGAGGCGTGGTTGTGCCCTTGTAAAACCCTTTAAGCCCTTCATTTTTCACCAAAGATTTGACTACCTTAAGCGCGGAGGTCTGCGTTGTGGAGGTCTGCAACCGCACTTTAGTGATATCAAACGGTTGGCCGACGAGAACTTGAGCAACGCCCCCTGATATTCCAGCAGCAATGTCCTTAAACGTTCGCCTTAAATCTTGTTTATCGGTTAAGTCATCCACTACCTGAGGTATCGTGAGCTCTTCAGACATATCGGTAATGAAGCTACAGAATTGGCCAATCAATTAGCATTCAAATTCAATATCTGTTCTGCTGTTTGAAGTCAGCGTTTCACAGCGACAAGCAGCACACAATTGTTGTTTTCCGCCGAAAAAGTGGCAAGTGGAAAGAGTTAGTATAACCTATCGTTTACTTAACTACATTGCCTGCCCATAGCTTACTTTGACTATTAAAATATGGTCATGCAAAATTCTCTTTTTCACTGAAAAAAAAAGATAACAAAAGAGAGTCAACTCGAACGACAAACATTGAACTTCACAGGAAAGAGCGCTACTGATCCGGTACGCGCATCCTTTAGGGCTGCTCGCATGGAAATCTCTCACTGAGAATGACATGAATGAATGACTCATAGCGGTACAGAACTAAACTGGGGGACACTCGTCAACAAAGACTGATGGGAGCTCTCAATGCTTGTGTGGGACTTGAGTCAGGCCGGGCTAAGTAAAAATCAAATGCACTTGATGCCACGACCGTTGCCGGATTGAGCGTCACGGTAGCGAACCTTGTAATAATATTTGATTTCTGGCTCAGTCGTTGATCGTTAGGAACCCCTCGTACTTGATCTGGTCGGTCCATCAGACGACGTTTTGTATTAAGGGAACAAAATTAGCTGTCTTGCGACCGCTGGAAGATCGGCCCTACATGTCAAAGTCTTCCTCTTCCTTGATCTGAATCTCACTTTTGGTTCAGCAACAAGAAGGGTGCTCATCTCCGCTCATTAAAAAAACCTTATTCACGTTAATGACGAATAGCGGCCGACAAATCTTGGCTTCACAATGCCGAAACTAGGGGGATTTGTTGAATTTCCGATGTCCAACTATTCTCAAAAGTCCCTCGAGCTTTAAAACTCCCAAAGATTGGCAAACCAATTTTCAAGAACTCTTGTTCCGTGGAATTGTGAAATCTTTCAAAAAGGGTCGAACCGCCGAAGCCCTGTTCGTCGATTTGGATTGAACTTATAGCTTCAAAAAAGGCTTCAAAGCAGTCACGCAACTACGAACTAGCTGCTCAAGTACATTTTGAAACGCTTGCCGGATCAAAGCCACGACCACGAATTTCGTTAACGCCGATTTATTCACTACTTTCTGATCAGCCCACAGATTTTGAAAACCCTAACTCAGATTAAACGCACTATGCACTGCTCGTTTTTGAGTTCAATGCCAAGCACGATGAAGAACCACTTGGTGGTTTAGTACCAGTTTTTTTCACATTACCTCAGAAGTGAATGCAAATAGACTTGGAATGGCTGTGTGAATGCCCATTTCGAAATGCGAGGCATCCTACTTCTTTTTCGAAGGTTTATGCCTAATAATCGATCGGTAATGCGACGATCGAGAAAAGAGATGTTCTTTCCATTGAAATCGGATTGGAGCAACACTTGAGCATTTCGGCGCGTGTGACAAGGAGACAAATTTTCTTTTGATAGAAGCATTTTGCTGGGTTTCGTTACAGGTCTATCCAAATTGCTGCTGTACCATGCCGTGAATACATTTCAGAGCTTTCATGCATTCTGTGATTGGAAGAGCCGCGTAGCATGATCGGCGGACCGGTATGAGAGGTGCCTACGCGAAAGGTTCGTCGTGGCATATTCACGCGCATTCCATAGCGCTGAAGCTGTAAGGACTCTGAATGAAGCCGGCAGGTCTGAAGCTCTTTTGGATTTTGTCTGCTTAGAGCTATTCATCAACGTAACGCAACGGTTAGAGGTAATTCGTTACTGAAAATGCGCGAAGGAGCAATCAATGTGGCAGCGTCTTGATGCTGCCAAGATGGTCCTTCGAGGTTTAAAAGCTACTGGTATTCTACTTTTCTTCAACTCTTACGCATACTACAAATTTCTTTGTTTGACTAGCGGGGCATTTTCGCTGATATAGAGTCTCCTCGCACCTAGGATCCAAGGTCTTGTTGCAGGCGCTTTTGCACCGTATTTGAACTCAAAAGCCGACAATAAGTCCCAATTGGATGACTATTCGGCCTTTCTTTACTTGGGTTATTCATCACCTTAATCAGGCACGATGGGTTCAAGTGACAATCTAGCTGTGGGACTAAGTCGTTGGCAGCCTGCCAAAAAGGCTACCCAGCTCTCGAAGCTCTATAGACTCACGTGATGACATCAAATTTCATTTAGGTAATTTATAAACAACAAACATACTGTCTAGTGTCAACAAAGTCGAGGATTTTGCAGTACAGCTCCGTCCTTCTGAAGGCAGGGGGTGTGCGTGTGCTGGGAGTATGTGCTTATTCCATGATACTGGGCTCTTAAAATGCTGCACCAGTACGGTGGTCGTGGCAGACGCATAGCAGTCCTAGGGAAGCCGTAGCCAGATATGAAGCTGCAGACACTGTAGGGATGAGCGTGACTAGAGTAGAAACAGTAAGTGGTATGCTTCTGATGGCTGCTGCAAACAGCGTAAAGCTTTCACTTTCGGATGCTGCAACCAATTTGGCAAATGATTTCAATAACCTCGTACTAGGAGGGGAACTGCAGCCGTTTACAAATAGTTTGATGGCTTTTGTCAGAGCTTCGGGGAGTAACGATTTTTTGTTGGCTCTGAAAAACATGAAGGGCGATCCGGAGGAGGTGGTGGAGAAAGTGATAGAATTGAATGTGGCTTATCAATCACAGCTCTAGCGCGTCTATTACCAAACCACACTCTCACCTGGGCTCCTGTCATCCCACATTTCTCTTCAATTGCCTTACGTTCTCTTGAATTAGGAGATCTCTTTTTCTCAAAAACCGATTCCAAAAAAAGTCTAGTGTCCTTGGATAGGAGAGTCCTTCTATGCTCTTGGCGGCATAAAGCGCCACACGCCTTTTTTATTGATTCCAAAGTGAGAAGTATGTCTTTCGTATCCATTTTCAATACTGGGTTATACTGCTATATGATGGTTTACAATCAGATGGGTTAAAAGTACACAAGCTTATTACTGCAGTCCATTATGCTGGTGCTGTGAGAATTGCAACCGTTACCTAAATCTTCAAAAAGTACCATGCTGCTAAATATGTCTTGGTACTCGCTTTGCAAAGCCGTCATGTCGATGAGGTCTTTTGAAGTATATTTCCTCAGTAGCTCGCTTGTACCTGAGAAGATGTCTTCAATGTACGGTTCTTCGTTGTCTTGGCTTTCCTCACTTGATAACATTTGTGGGTGCTGCTCTGACTGACAATTTTCATTGATCCAGGTAACAAAACATTGGTAGCTGTTTTGCTTGTTATAATGCTGGGTAAAGTATTCCCATGTTTTATGAATGTGGGTATTCGATGTCCAATAATGGGATAACAGAATTGAAAGTTCTTGTTGCTTAATTTACCCTTTACGCAGCTGGCATAGTAAGTGCGAAATCCTATAAATGGATTCAGTCTCTTTCTTTAAGGACGGTCTTAGTGCATGTCTTATGTGTGTGACTTCTGATTTTTGCGTCTTTCTTGGAACCGCTTAATCCTAAATTTTGTGACTTCAACTCCAGGCTTTTGTCTAGCATTAAATCAGTTGATGTGGATTCAGTCAGTGCTGAAAGTACTTGAGGAGGCTTCGGGATAACCTCTGGTTTTACATAGGTCATATAGAGATTGACACCGTTATTGTCTTCAAAGGAATGCTTGTGCTCCTTCGGTCTGTAACTGAGTTTAGACTTCTTACTTAATTTTCCTACTTTATTTGTCCTGTTGGAAAGAGCCACCTTGAAGCTAGGCTTGGCGGACTTCATTGTAGTTACTGGCCCTCTAGAATTTGAGATCAGTCACTCCGAAGAAAGACTCCCACAATTTATACTACGCTCACATTTGGTGTCTTTCTCACTGATGACCTCAAAAAGAAAATGCAATAGCCATTCAGCTGGTATACAGCACATCTCATTTCTTTTAACATATGGCTTCAAGCCAGACCCTGCTTCTCAATGTGCTATGACGACAGTGTTTCGAGTTTAATGTTACTTATTACAAGAATTGCGAGTATCGAGCTATAAAAGCTGCCAATTGATTTTATGTGTAGATCAAGAAGTTTACTGTTAAAATTCCAACAATGCATGCATTACCCATAAGTTCCCTCCTCAATTCCTCTGAGCCTGCCTTGGTTCTAAATCTGTACGTAAAATTTGGAAACCTTTTACTGACACTTACTAACTTTCCTCAGTTTGCAAGTTGAAAGACATAACATTTTGAGAGCTTATTCTGAGTTAACGAAATCTTGTAACTTAGAGGAACTTCATCTCCTCCTACAGAATACTTTGATCGTATGTCATTTTGAAGTTTTGTCGAAAAGATCGATACTTACCATTCCTTAGGTTCTTCTTCGATTCAGTAAATCCTCACTTCAGGCAAACGAGGTGAGACTTGTGAAGGAAATACTATCATTATCAGAAGCATTGTCTCACAAACTGCAGACACTTCATTCTAACTCATTGCCTCGGTATGTAACAAATGTTGGCCATCTTCCAAGTTGTTCCAAAATATACCTTGAAGAGTGGTACCTAGCAAACTCTTCACATCCTTATCTTGGCAGTTCTGAGGCCCGCGTCATTTCCGAAAAAACAGGTCTCACATTGAGGCAAGTCAAAAATTGGGTTTCCAATCGGAGAAGGAAAAGTAAAAAGCATCGCATTGAGCCTCTACTATCACATCTCCTTAACAAATCATGATTTGCTTTTAGACACCTCACCTCACCTCTACATATCCTTTTAATCGTAATTACGAATTATTTGCAACATATCCTTCATTTAAATCTGCTTTCTTCCATCTCAACCGCCGCAGCATATTCTCTGTAATTTGAGATCCTTTCTGGAGAACATTGACTTTCTGGATCATATCCTCCGCATTTTCTTTGAAACAGTAACGGATCTTTTAAGGATTTATTTCACCAATTCTCAAATTTACTCCGGCAGTTGAGGGTTACTATCTCTTTATACCATCAACCTACAGTTACGAAACGCTGACCAATGGGGCAGACACTACAGCGATGGAGAGCAAGAAAACGTACAAGGCCTTCTGTGGCAGATTCTCTCTCAAGGAGGCTACAGGTAGGGTCAGGAAGAAGAAACCTATACAAACGTTCGCCCTCCGCTCGAGAAACACCGCATTTCTCGGGACTTTTTTGTCGCTGTCAGTGCGCACTTTCGCTTTATATTCGCTGACACTTTTTTACTGACGCTCGAATCATATCCTTTATTACGATGCTGACGCAGCGGTGACAGAATATCAGGTTCAGTTTGCCGCTTGATTATGTTCATGCTTTTTGTGGAGCTGGAGCTAAACAGTTCTTGGTTCTCTAATTAGGTTCGCAGCCTATTGAGAGAACTCTCACTCAAACTACAACTCCTCACAACTCACCATGTCAGTGTGACATGGGGCGTCTTTTAGCTCTTGACTCATTAGTGCCAAGATTAATTAATATCATCTCATGTATTACGAATTTCAATTTGTTCATATGAGCTTCTTCCGCTCACATCGTCACAGTAATACTGCCTCAACTCTTTTGATTTAATGAATGTAATTTTCCGTAAAATTGACCGTTTGTGGCGATTTGAAGTTTGTCATAGAACAATTTGTTTGACGATCAAATCAGATCCTCTTTCTTCCGTCATCAATTTCCTTAGATGATTCATCGGGAAGAAGGGTAATCTCATTTCAAGGCATCAGTCTATTTAAATGCGAACAACGCCCTTGTCGGTATATTCGATGACACTGTTCCAAATTCATTCATCCAGAAAGGTGAGCGTCATCATCTTGGTAAGAATACTGGTCATTAAGCTATTCTATTATGGCAAGAGTAGCGCACATTAAAGCGCTTGAATTCCGTCTCCTCCGTACTTCAGGATAAGACTATATTTCATCCCTGCGAACGGCAGTGCTTCCTTGGCACAATTTTCATTAATTGATTTTCTGTAATAGGCATCGGACTCTGGCCTTCTGGACGAGATTATATTAGCATACGGTCTCTAGTCAAGTAAGCTGTCGTTTTCGTCATCCCATGGAGTCCTTTTGCCATGTCGAGAACGCAGATTTCTAAACGTTAACCACAAAAAAAGGTGGGAAAACTAAGCAAACACAATGAAGCGCATGGGCACCCAATGCTACGAACTTTAGGATATCAGCACCTTTTGACTTGCTGACGCACACTTCTTAGTGCTTGGTGTAATCACAAGACAAAGCAGTTCGCTCGTACGACAGAAGGTGTGGGTGTTCAATGCCGGGTTATAGAGCATGACATTTCACTCACGCCGATGCCATACAATTCGAAACGTAGAAAACGGAGGAAACTTCGTTCACGTTATGTAAACGTTTTTTCCCGTTTCCTCGAATAGAAGCCCAGCGCACCTGCTCGAACGCTCCACTGCAACACAGTATATGTAAGCCCTCTATGGACAAGGCCCAACAAGATAAGCTGAACAAGGTCGAACGAATAGGGACGAACCATATAGCTAAGGAACCCTATGCGTTCAAACCACCGCCGTCGGACAGATCAACATAAGAAAAATATCAAGTTCAACGTAAAAGTTGCCCCAGAGTTTAAGCTGGTCTAAATTTCCATTTCCTTCACGTTTTTCCGAATATAATTCGGAAAAACAGCTCCGTTACATGTTATAATGACACTGTCTCGTTTTTTTTGTTTGTTTATTCAATTTCAATGTCAGCGGCTTGCTTAATTAACTTTCCAGGTATCATGTTTACCATTTTGAAATAATTTTCGCAGCCAATGTTTTCAAAATGATCTTTCTCAAAACATTAAATTCGAGAAATTAAGAAAAATGAAAAACATTGGCTTTAATTGAACTCATCGATTTAGAGATACTCTATAGATTTGAAGATTAAGAAGGTGAAAAGGTGTCGAAGTTCTCATTTGAGAAATAAGGAAACGCTATGGATGAGTTGAATGAAGTTGGACAGCTCTTGCTGATTCACACACAGAAAACATTACAACTTCTTGACGATTGCATAAATACACAGCGAAGTCGTTTTGATGGCCGAAATCGGAACGACGGAAACCTAGGCGAATTCCAGAGTGGTCTTCAGTGCTATTACACGTATTTGGGGCAGCTCAACTCTCTGTATTGCAAGACCCTGGAACTTGGCAGTCGTGATGCAGACCAGGAGCCCAGTCAGGCCGCTGTGCGCGAGCTGATATCTGATTTCGAGGCAGCAACAGCCAGATTGAATGCCCAGACCTCTAGTAATCAAGATCATGGGCTCTCGCCTGGGTCTGTCGCGTCCTTCGAGCCTAGACCGCTCAAAATCATCCAGCGAAAATTTCAGCAACATCAACAGTCACCCACAAAAGCTAAATCAGGACATAGCATCCTCCCGACGGGATCGCGTCGCTTAAGTGACAGCAGCATAATAAGCACCAAACTGCGAACTTATTCTGGTCCTATTCTGTCAGAGCCCGGTTCTGCAAGTCCTCGAGCGCTGGTGTCTGAAAAGACAGATATGCGTGTCCTTAGGGGTGCCAAATCTTGCGACACTGGCCTCAACAAGCAGAGCAATCCTCATGAAAACAGACTCAGTTTTTTTCGAGATCGGCAGCGACTGTCAATCTCATTCTTCGAGGACGATGAGTACTCGTCAGACGAAGAAACAGTAATATCGCCTAGCCCAGCGGCTTCGCCATTTCTTACAGAGAGCAACTTCAAAAAGCACAGTTCAGAATTGCTGCGAAATTTAGCTTTCGAAAAAAGCCCAAAGGCGCGACCTCATTATCACTCAGAGACGATAAATGCACCTTCGTTTTCGCGCCTACTTCCGCCCAGACAGCCCATTGTGCAGTGTGGAATCACTTCCATCGATTACATTCCTCAGTTTCATGGACAAGTGACAACTTCCAACAGTCATGGGTCCAGAGCATTGTTGGCCAAGTACGCGCTGTCAGACCCCAAAAAACCCAAGATCGCCAGGAAACTGGATGATAAACAGAAAACCAAATTTTTCGGCTCATTTAGAGCCTTCAACAACCAAGTGCTGGTCACTTCGGAGACAGGGCTCGAAAATTCTAGCGAAGCTTCAACCACGAAGTTCATCAGGCAGGTAAGAAAGCCGCAAGAGGCCGTAAGGCCAACATATTCTTCTGGTAGCATACTAGTTCACGGCTCAAGCGGCTCCCGATTCATCACCCCACCATGTCCAGCAGAGCTGCATTTCAAGGTATCTCATGATGCTTTACGGGAGGCTTTGAATACTGATTTAAATACCTAAGCTAAATACTAATCAAATGCTTTATCAACTCATGTTTCAAAGCCGCCTTCGTTTCGAGCACCTGGTAGTGGATCTGATGGGTGCTTTCGTCTGATCGCCTTAGAGCGTAACTTGATTGCCTTCTTGCCAGTTGTTAACTTCCGAGCTCTTCCCAAGTATGTGATGGATGCTCTGCTGGAGCCTGCTACTTTATATGTTTTCGCAGATTTGACCGTTTTTTGACCCTCTTTGAACATTTCGCTGGCCTCTTTGTGATGCTTGAACCTACTGAAAATCGAACCAGCTTTCTTTTCGAACGCGGCTTGTTCAAAGTCGTCTCCACTTGTGGCATTCAATTCGATGGACGCATTAGAGAAGATCTTTATGGTACTCCGCTGCTTAAGGCTGTGCAAATCCAGTTCTTCGTCATCTTCTCCGTCCCTGGCATGTGAACTAGTGGCGACTTCTGATTCCAGCAGATGAGGCTCCTTGTCTCGAGAGGTCAAGAAAGAAAGGGTCTCTTGAACGAAAGCTTCAGAAAGAGTGGTTCTCTTTTTTGGCGCTCTTGAAGCCTCTTGGGGAGTCTGTTCTATGTCTGTTTTCTTGTTTTCAAATTCGTCTTCGCTCAAAAAATTGGTTTTCTCATCCAAGTCCTCCACAGCGCATTCGAAAAATGGCTTTGCTTTGGGGTTCGCGATTGCTGTTCCGCCAAGGGCACCGAGGCTCAGTTTTTGCCTAAACTCTTTTTTTCTTCTAGCATGATATTTGAGGAGCTCGTCGTCTTCTTCGTCACTTAGTTCAAGATCAAGTGCACCGCGACCACGTTTCCTAAATCCACCGCTTTCGATGTCATGCAATATTTTGTTGACTAAGTCTTTGTCCTTATTGATATCCTCCTCAATAAGCTTCTGGCGAATCTCGTCGGAGTTCGAGTTCGAGTGAGAGTAATCATCGATCATAGCCTCAAGCTCAGAGTCGTGATCTTCTGATGCTTCCCCGTCATGGCCTCCCACGCCATACCACTCGTCTTCGGACTCTTCGGCTTCCATTTCCATCATCTCATTAGCCTTGCTGTGGCGAAGCTTATGCATACGAATTGCCCGTTTTGCTTCCCTATTTTTGCGTCTTTCTATAATTTTTTGAATCCTCGCCCTAAGAAGTTCTGTGTCCTGTTCAGCCTGTTCATGTGTTTTGGCAGTCAAAGAAGATCTGTCCCCATTTTCCGTTTCTGAAAAAGATGACCTCCTTGGCGCCAGAAGTTCTGCGCTTTGATGACTGGTATCTGCTATAGAATGTGAGATATTATCTCCGTAAGCGCCGAGGTCAATAACGTTTTCAGTTGACCGTCGTTGAAGGTTCTCGTTGTCGGACTCGAATTCTTCAAGCTGGCGTCTTCTGCTCTTCCTTGAAAGCTGGATACCTTCTTCTTCTTCTTCTTCTTCTCCTTCTTCTTCTTCTTCTTCTTCTTCTTCTTCGTCTTCTTCTCCTCCTTCTTTTTCTTGTGATTGTGATTCATTTCCTCCCTTGTTTTCCTGCCGCCCTTCAAATGCTGTGCTTGAGACACGCCCAGTATTATTCTTCTCGTCATGATGCCCTTTTGCTAGCTCGAGGTCGCCATCGAAAGCAGTTTCATTAATCTCGGTACCTTCGGTAATATCAGCCTCTACCTTCTTCGCAGAGCTCTCGTGCAAATCTTGATTTCCATCAATGGCATCATTGTTTGTCGTATGGATATCCTCAGGATCACGATCAAGGTCACTGTTGTTCTCATCGGAATCCTCACCTTCGAACTCATTATTGCTGAAATCCAAATCGCTAGACATTGCGTCATCGTTGTCCTTTGAAGCTCCCTTCTCCTTCTCTCGCTGCAATTCCCGCTGTCTTATCCTTTTGTTCCTTGCCAGCTCCCTATCTAGCAGAGACTCTACTGACTCTTTTTCGTCAGCTATTGCCGCAAAGTCAATACCATTCAACGCAAGCTTTCCCTTCCGATAGTCCATTATTTGTTCTTTATTCGCCTTTCGCAATGTGTGGAACAACGTCTTCAGAGATGCTGATGCCGAAGAGCTTTTGCTGTTACTCATTTTTGAATTCTGCCTCCTCTTAGAAAGCCGTGCCTTCAAATCAAAAACAGCTGCTTTTGAGCCCTTTAAGTCAGCGCCAGTTGCTGTTTCTTCGTCGGAGCTAGAAGAAAGAGCAACTACTTCCTTTTCTTGAAGCTGCTGCCGCAATGTGCCCTGATAGACCTTTAGAGAGCGAAGTTGTATGGTACTTTGTGAGCCTGATGAGCTGTTAAGAAACTTTTTTGTTTGAACTTCGATTCTATCTCCATCCGCCTGCGAAGTCGCTATAGCTGATTCATTGTTCAAATTAATGGCATCTTCATCGCTGTCCGAAACGTCATCGAAGCCATTTACAAAATCGCGCGTGGTGAATTTGGTACCCGCAGCCGGTATTTGCTGAAAATCATCACTGTCTCTTACAGCCTCACTTTCCTTTGGGCTGAATTCGTGCCTCTCACCTTCTTCCCCGTCATGCGGCAGCAGCTCATTGGCATTTAATGGTAAAGCAGCATTAACATCTTGGACAGTAGCTTTCAAAGCACTCCCGCCGGATTCCAGTTCATGGTTGCTCTGAGTGAGGTCGCGCTTGGTCAATTCAAAGTCGTCGTCAGTAAATATGTCAGGGGAATCCTCTGGCATAATTTGAGTTTCGAGTACCTGGTTGCTACCTTCATCTCCGATAGTATCAGGTTGTTGTTGAACAATTTGCGTAGCCTCATTGTTTGCTGATGTGACACCGATATTTCTGTGCTTCGAGAGCTCTCTTTGGTGTGAATGATTCTCACGCGTAAATTCGATGCTCTCGCGCTGTTTCGGGAAATCTTGTTCTAAATTCTCGCCATCGTAAGCAAGGGTGATCTTCTGCGTTGGGGCAATTATGTCGTCTTCTGAACCATTTTCAAAATCATCTTGGGCCTTTTCATTGTCCTTCTCGTTTCCATATAGTCTATCTCTCACATTTTTAAATACGGAGTTATTATTGAACAAAAACCCGGTTCCCCCGAGGTTGAAGCTATCATCCTGCTCTATACTCTCCAATCTTTTCGCCAGGCCTGTTGTGAGAGGTTTCTTGACGCTCAGGTGGTCGATCAGATCCATGTCACTAGGTTTAGAGTTTGAAGGCTCCACTTCATCGAAGGTGGTACGCGTGAAAGTGTAGTTTTATATTATCAAAATTTTGGCGTCAAGTGTATAAGTCTGAATATATCGAATCACGAGACAAAAACCGTATTGTAGTATTTTCATTTATTGACGTTGATGGTGTAAAATGCTATGGTGGTGATGTTGATTCCTATTTAATGACCAATTTGTACTTTCCAGCTCTATACTACTTACAATTCAATTCTTGGACCTTTTACTTGACTCCTCTTTCGCTTCGGGCCGACTCCTACTCCTTTTCTTTGAAGATCCTTGATACTCGGACTCGAGGGGCGCTTCATAATCTTTGGCTCTTTCCTTTTCCTTCTCTTCTTGTTTCATAGCTTGCTCTTTCTTGCGTTCGTCTAGTTTTTTAGCATCCTTCTCTTTTTTACTCAAGAAATACTCACCGCTCTCAATTTGCAGATCAACCTTTCTAGGAAGTTGCGCAGGTGGGAATGGAGTGTAAACCTTGGTTTCTTTGACCTTGACATTCTTGGGCTTCTTGCGAGCAACATTTCTTTTCTTGAACATGGGCAAAAACCGCGACCAGTCCTCCTCTGCCAAGTCGGGGCGTTTGGCAAGCTCCCTTTTTATCATGAGCTCTTTGATATGGTAAATTGGATGCACATTTCTCATGCAGTCTTCAACTACTCGGCGCACCTCTTTCAGGCCCTTGAAAGGCCCCATGGCGCTGACCGTATTACCTTGCACTAGAACATAACATTTGGTAAGAAGCTCGAGTGCCTTCAAAGTATTACCGTTTGGCCCCACGAGACGTTGTCTCCTCTTGACGAAACGCTCTTTATTGCTGACGAAGTTTCCAATCTTTATCACGTCACAGGCCATATCATCCTGCAAAATTTTGACGGCTTGAGGAAATGGTACAGAACGAGCAAGAAGCTTTATGAGGTCTCTGGCCTTGAGTATAATGGCCGGGTCAAATGTTTTTCTTGTTGTTTTCACTGTCATCGAACCTTCCACCAAATCCAGGACGCATGATACGTGGAATTTGTCCAATGCGCGAGTGACGTCGTTCCACACTGACCTTAGATACACTTCTCGGTATTTTGGAAACAGAGTCATGAAACTGGACTCTTCTGAAAATGGTAAGCCCGAAGCATTGTCTTCAGGAAGAAACTCTTGAATCGTCCATTTGTCGATGTCAGGTGTGTCCCAAGGTTTATCTTTGTTGTGGGTCGAAGGCATCGTTAAGCTTTTAGAAATACGATCCTACTTTACCGCCAGCAGTGGGTGGAAAAAAGAAGAGCTCTTTGAATTAGCGATAGTGCAGTGGTGGTGTTACAACAAAAACTATCAAGAGTCTCGACTATTTCAATATCTACGCTGTTAGATGCGATGCGATGAGATGAGCTTGAGCTCATCTGTAAAAATTTTCCAGAAACGTCTGGATCACATGACTGAATTTATTTTATTTTAATTTTAATTACATTTATATTTTATTTTTTGAGAATAAACGTCAGAATTGGCAATTTTCGATAATATACTGGTCGAGCGATGAGCTAGGATCAAAAGTTCTCAGTAGCGATAAGTGTTATTTGAACAGCTAGACAAGCGCGCAAACCTCTAGACTGTATTCTCTACATCCAGCAGTTAGGCAGTAATTTGAAAAGCTTTTACATAGGTATGAAAGGGAAAGCACCCGGTAAAAAGAGCGCAAAGCTGAACTCTGAGAACAGCTCGAAAGGTGGGATCAAAAAGCAGCAACGGATCAAGACTAGGCTGAAAATCGAGCAAGTTAACAAGGAGTCCTTTTTGATTTCCGAGCTCAACCAAAGAGACGATAAGAAAACTGCGAAGTCCAGCTCTGAAACTCTAAAGGTCAAGAGCTTATTGAAAGATCATCAGAAGGACAAAGATACGCGGGAGGCGTCCGAGCAAAAAAAGAAAGACACAGACGACCATATGCTGCGGCAACTAGAACAGATCTCTGGCTTTTCTCTTTGAAAAGCACTTTTTTACCATTGGTAAACGCTGGCCGGTGATGTTGATCCAATATAATGAGATCCAAGCGGTTTGAATCCCCATACCAACAGATTGCCAAACCCACTCGGTCTCCAGGTTCCTGAGCCCGCATCGAGGTACGTTTGTGAATGAACGATAGGAAACATGCAATAGCGCAATCTCAACCTCCAGCACCCTCAGTGCAAAACTACAACAACCGCGCTTCCTTGTTACGCTGGACAGACATGACTGATAAAGTATGTTACATTGTTGCAAATACGTAAAGAATGTATATTAATGGATCATTTAATGGTGGCCTTCATATTGTTGGCTGCCATGCTTCGCGATAGAATAAGTCTACGCTTTCACAGTTCTCAAACCGGCAGAAGAACGGAAAATCGCGTCACCCTCAGCGTAGCCCCTACCAAGCCCAAAACCGATGCCAATCCACACGGGAAATGCACGACGTTTGAAAAACAACACAGAGGCTACTACACCGGCGCCCAATCCAAGACCGGATTTGACCACCAAATTCGAAAGGACAACGTCCCACTTATCGTTGAGTAGCGATCTGCTAGCTGGCGAAACCTTTACTTGCTCGGACATGGTAATATGCTGCTTTAACTTAAGGTCCTAGCGTCAAGTTGACACTTACGTTCTGGTTCAGTCTACCTAGTTCTGCTATTCTAAGGCCAAAATTTTCCAATTTGTATATCACTTTGAAATACCGGGTAATTTAAGAAAGTTTGGGTCAGAATGATTGGCCGTTCTTGAAGAAGTGGCAGAAGAAACTGAATGAAGCGTGGGTCTTTGATCGAACTAGCAGCGCTTGGGATAAAAGCGGCAAGAAATAATTCGCGAACATTACAATTTTTATTCAGGTGTTTACTTCACGTACTTTTTCTTATTTTTCCTTCTTGACCTAAATTAAAGATTGCCAATTATCAATAGCGTCACCAGGAGCTTTTCGTCTTTATTGCTGGCATCCGAAACCTGTCTAAGAGGCGATTGTCGCGAACATCATATTTCCAGGGGCAAAAATGAGCTCCACCTTGTACTCAAGTGGAAAATGATAAGTCGGACGTTTCTTCACCAAATTCAACTGCGACATCATCAGAAGCGCTTCTTTCTTTGAACCTGATTGATCTCTGAGAGACCATTTTTTAACCAATTGAGAATCACAAATGCTGTGTGAAGCTCTCATTAAAAGGGATTGCAAAATCTAGGACGGAGAAGCAGCAAGAAAGAGAAATTTCAAAATAGTAAAAAACCCGGAAACTCTATCAATCAGCTTCCTCCACTTCTCACTGATGCCGAGTTTGAAAACATCAATAATAACCACAAGCAGATAAGCAAAAGTCTGCAGTAGTTCTATAACCGCCAGTCTTAACTTCCTGTCTATTTCATCGAGCTTGTTAGAGATCTTGTCGATCAGTATTTTCCTAACTGAGTTGGCGGGACTTCTCATAAACTTCAGTTTCTCTGTCCTTAGTTTTGACCTTGATGCTGCAAGTCGAATGATCTCGCCTAGGCTCTTACGCGAAGATAAAATCAACGATACGAGCCAGACTTTAGAGCACAGACCCGTCTTTTTAAACCTTTGATAAATCTTGTTCTGCTCTCCTATAATCCCGAAACTCTTCAAAAGGTGCAAGTCATCAAAGAGACCCGCTAGAAATTCAAGCCCTGAGATTATCCCACCTTCAACATCGCGATAACTCCTTGACGAGTCCGACGAATCAACGGTATCAAACAGCTTGCTTATTCTGAAAATCTGAGACAAGGCGTTGTGTTCAGCATCACCGCCACTCATTCGCAACCGCGTGGTTCCCACATTTAATCGACAAAACGGTTTTCGGATATACGTCTGTAGTATTATTGTCCTTATATTGAAAATCTCCTGGTGTTGATATGGACATGTGATACATCAAAATATCTGTTACTGACGCTTTGAGTTTTGCAGCGCTCTTGCCTCTATGTCATCGTCTGCCAGCCAAAACGAACCGCAATCCTCATCTTCAGTCAAAGGAGGTTGTTTTTCAAAGTCAGCGTAAAAAAACCCTTTGCATTCTTTGCCCTCATTAAATCCGTTGTGCTCTGTGTAACTTCTGGAGCACTGGTAGAAGTAGTGTCCTCTTTTAGATGGGTCCTTGAACATTCTGCGTAAGTCCATAGGAGATCCGCAGAGTTTACAAAAGATGGTATCCTTGAAGAGATAGTTTCGGTAGGTGATGTTTATTCTCCTAGCGCCAGCCGTCGGATGAAGATCCTCAGTGGGAATCCGATAGTTTTTTGGCAAAAGAGGAACGCAGTGTTTGTACTCTTCTTGGAACCCTGCGTGCATTATTACCAACGAGTTGTGTTGCGGCCTGATGGAATATATTTGAGAATTCGACGGATAAATCTTACGGACTCTGAAATCACGCGAAAACCCCAGTGACAGAGATGCGATGATCGGGTGAGGGCCGATATTGGTCATGCGGTCTGAATGCCAATCCAAGTTACTATCTCTCTCGTATTTGTTTGACAGCGCGGCCTGAGCCTCCCATTCGCCAGGCTTGACTTGGAAAGGAAGCCTGGCTCTGTTTGCGAGCGCATCATTGACGATGTCCTCGACAAGAATTTGGGCAAGCATCATTTCGTCGCTGTACACCCCGTAGTCTGTCACCTTTCTTCCATTATAGTAAAAAGCGTCCGACCGTTTAGTGGGCATGAAAATGCGAGACTGGTGGTTAGAAGTGCATTTCTTGCCGAAGAGGTAAAATTCTGACGCCTTGTAGTGCGTATCGTTTAAGGTCAGTTTTAGCAGCTTCTCTGCAAGATCCTCGGGAAGCACGTTAGTGTGGTACGTGCAATATTTCAAGGAGGCTTCTATTTCGCTCTTAGCGTAAAGCGTGATGGGCTTTGACGAATGCAAAGTGCCGGTCGCATTGTGTGGGGCTTTCATGAAACGTGACAGGGTCTGTTGCGGTTTGAAACGTTTTACAGAGACCTCGGTTTCTTCTTCTCCAGAGCCCAACAAGGCTTTGCTCCGTTTCAAAGAGCCATTGCAGCTCACTAACACGTCCAAAAGTCCTGCCGGATCGTACCCAGGGAATTTACGACGCAGCTCTACTAATTTTTCATCCGTCGTTCGATCCATTGTGGTGATGCTCCATGCTAAAAATCTACAAACCAAAACAAACTAACTACTACGATAGGCCATTAGAGAGCGATGGTGAATGCTTCCTGACCTATGCTCGGACTGGTGTGAATCTAATCTATAGTTTTAAACCTTTCCAGTGCCCAGCATGGCTCGTTTCCTAGCATACATATAGCTTGCACAGATGATTATACATTACTAAAATTTCGATATGTGCGACATTAAGTGTTTTCGTGTGATGTGATATTTCCTAAGGGCACGCACTTACAAAGAAACGGGTGAGACGAAAATTCCTTGCTTGTACAACAAACTTTCGAAAGATGGCAAACAAGACAAAAAGTATGGTTAGAGACGATTAGAATAGTGCAAGGAGTTGGTGAAATGTCATTGTTAGTGTGTGACTGGTAATTACAAGTGTGGGCTTACTGGTTGCCATGAAATCGAAGCGCGATGAGGCCTTTGGAAGAGAAAAGCCGGATGGTGCCAGTTGGAGATGGTTTTGAAATCGTTGTTGATTTTAAGGCATGGCAAATGCGTTTGGCTACGGTTGGAACACATCTGTGCTTGTCATAAGCAACATAGGACTAGTTCCGCTCAGATCAGCATTCACACTTAGGTGGGTGCACGAAGCGTTGACAGCTAAAAATGAGGTGCGAGATTTGTGCTAAGAAAGTGTGAGACCACAGATTTTACACGAGAGCCAAAGATGTGCTGATTACTGGTTGATTCCTAATCTACAAAGTATCATGGAATGGATTTTTCTCAATCTCTCTGTCGTTCTTTCGCATCGCTTCGTCTGCGATGGTGGTGGTGATCATATTATCATTAGGTTTTGGCCTCCCCGGCTACGAACTAAGGTTTTGAGCTCACTGATGATGGGTCTGAGGTCTCAAAGGAAAAAAATATACCGAATTCAGCGGTCACGGGATCTTTAACCACAACGGCTTTTTTTGTTTGTTCAAGCTTTATCACGTGTACATGTTTGACATGTGACTGTGAGACAAAAAAGAAAAGAACGTTTGTACACGTGATGTGTCGTATGATGTGCTTTTGTTGAAAGCAAATAAAATTTGCACGTGAGCAAAAACAACCGTCGTGTATGGGTATGTGAGTCACGTGAGATCCGTTTGGTGAACCAGACCGGGACGGTGGGGGAACTGCTATGGTATGGTGTGACAAGACCAAGCGTGGCCCTAAGGCCCTCTTGTCAGCAGCTCAAACGTCTGCTACAGCCTTCATACCGGTCTCATTCTCTTCGTCTCGTCGATCTGTGTACTGTAGTGTCTGTCTCGTGTATATAGCTCTCGTAGTCCGCGCGCTAGACCGCTTTATTGTGTTTGCGTGCGCCTCCCGGTTTCTTGCGGTCTTGTTGAGTATCTTTTGCCACCGGTGCAAACTCCAAAACCGGGCGTTACCCTGATAGAAACGTGATCTGTGGCCAATCAGATCCTTTTATTCCGTGGTCGTTTTCTGTGCGAAAAAAACATATTTGTAGTATCCGTTTTTTATCGTCTTACTCACCACTTTTTGTTCCAAATTTTATTTTATTTTTAAAAAAAAAAGGTTCAGAGAGACAAACCAACACTGTGTCATTCCTGACGAAAGCTTCGGAGATCGCCGAAAAAAGTTTTTTTTTCTTTTTTTTCATCTCACATCTCACGTTCCCGGTTACCCTGACTTTGTCGCTTCGTCTGCTACTTGTTTGGATCTGCTCGAGTACTGGTCTCGGCGGCTAATTACACTACATCTGGTTTCTTGCCACGCGTTAGCGGCCAACACAGCAAGAAAAATCAGCACAAAGGTTTCTGCGTTCTGGGTGTGTTTGTTGTGTGTGTGTGTTCTCGCGTTTATTCTTCAATCAATCCCAGTATTCTGCCTCTCCCAGTTTGACGCCTTCACTGTGCAGCTCAAACCTGAAAGATAATACAAATAGGGTTTGCCAAGAGCTTGTCCATCAATAGCATAGTCTGCACAGCTCTCTCTATTACAGCTGATATGGAATTCCACACAAAACGGTCGCGTGCCGCGGTAGGATTGGCCCCGGAGCCATTGCCACTCAAACGGAGGGCCGTCAACGCTGTGCCCTCTTCGCCTCCATCCGGCGCGTCGCGTGGTATGGCACACGTGCCTCGGACGTCGATTCTTGTCGCCAAGAATGGCAGCAGTTCCCGGAGATCGTCGGCATCGTCGAGTGACGACTCAGATGTAGCTGAGCGCACAGGTTTGTACCGCATGAGCTTCTCCAGAAAGCCCGCAGTACACTTTAAAGCCTCGCCCCGTGTGGACCCCATGCTATTCGAGGCCGTATCGCGATACTCAGACTCCGAAAACGAACAGGACGGCGAGATTGCAAACCTGGGACCTCAGGTTACGCCTGCGAAAACACCACAACGCCAACTTGAACAGCTTCAGGAGGCTGCCACAATGCAGTCAAAGCCATTAGAAGAGCATCAGCAGGCACTCGAGAATGCATTCGCGCCCGAAAAGCGCAAATCTCCCTCCAGACATGCCTCCTTCTCGTCCATTAGTCGCAAGCAGACTATCCCACATTCGGATTCAGAAGCTCAGGAAAGGTGCTTCGATTACTTGCTGCAATCCATCGACGAGGTCTGGGCGCGCTACTGCAACGAAACCTCAACAGCGGAAGCCAAAGTCTACGACAGTATGTGCAAGCCACATGACTGCCCGCCAGGCTTTTTGACTCCCACTGCTGATGACTTCAGTGTAGCGCACACTTCTAACCCGGGCTCTCCACGGTACAGGCGCACCTTCTCCTTCACGTCTGTCAATAGAAATGGCACGTCATACTCTGACGACGACAGCGATGACACTAGCGGCTACAAATCTGAGGCGACAAATCCTACGGAATATGAGACTGATTGCGACTATCGTAAAATCTCTAAGCTTCCTGATTCGGTTCGTTTGCAATCGTTGAAAGATCGACTTTGTAGAGCGAAAAACGATTTGGAGGGCTTGCATGGCTCGACCTGCTATGAAGAGTGTGCTAAATTTTGGAGAAGATGGGATATGATAAAATATGGGGCTGTAGAAATGATGGAAGAAGATGACGAAGACGAAGTAATCGAATCTGTAATCGATGAACTGGAAAGAGGTCGCTGTTTCACCAACTAAGCAGCTAGAGTGCTTCTCATTTCAGGCCTGTGACCGGAATGGGTTTGAGCGCGCTTACTGGTTGAGCGTGTGCGCTGCTGCATCCACAAGGATGCATTCGCATTGCGATATTGATATTAAATGGAATCACGGTGTTATTGTTTTAAGCATGTAAATTAGGAGTGTAACTTTTACGAATCAATGAATTTTTAAAATTGAACGTCTTGACGAGATCAACATGTGCACTGAATAGCGGGCTCTAGCATAGAATCGACAGTGAATATACCAACATCGATTAAACTGCCACACTGAGTTGAGAATCGTGCTTATCTGATTTACCAGTAATACTCCTACTATCCAGTTGAGATGACTGCCCTTGATGTTTACGCTCAAGGTTGATAATATTACGCTCGATAATATGTAGTCGGACAATTATCTTTATTTCCTTGACTGAATGAAAACTTTAGAATCAGAAACATTAAATACTGGAACATAAGAAAATGTCGTCTTTGAACCGGAGCATACCAGTCTGACCTCCATACCTCTTGTTTTGGACTTCACCTGCCTGTCAAATATGACTTTGAACAAAAGTTCGGTTACGAGTACTCGAAGGAAGATATTCATGCAAATCGCAGAATTCGGGCAGCAATGGAGTTCTTGTAGAAGACCGAAGCCTAACTCGTAGTTTTACAACCTTACGATAGCATACTCATTTTGAAGAGAGGGCGAAATTCTTCTTTATTAGCTCGAATACCGTAAAGTTTGCCTTAAGGACATCGCGGACAATCTGTCATCGCGGACAATCTGTCACCGTGGCGAATTCCCAATCTCTAGAACCGTTCCACTGACGCTACTAAGTATACAGAAGTAGAGAGGCTTCGAGAAAATCCTCGCGGATGTTTAATTCGTCACTGACTCAACACTTTATCGAAAACCCCATCACCAAGCTCGTTCAACATTAAAAAGTTTGTAACAACTTCTAACAAGTCCGAAACGTGTACTCTTTGCCCTTAAAAACTCTCATATGTGCCACAGCTGAAAACAGCAAATCTGAGCTTTACATTGAAGAACGTTTTGTGCCTGTTCCGAAATGAAACTGAGCTACTGTTTCAAATTATGACATCTACCGAAGTTGTGGCACATAAAAACTAAGCAAATCGCTTGACAGTGCAGAAGCAACAAGGAATCGTCAAGCAACCTATAATGCGTCCATCTCATGTTTCTATCAAGAACACCAACGAAAACCTAAAAAAACGAAGAGGTAACTCACTCAAACCTGCCGCTCAGGTGCACAGTAACGACTACACTGAACACTACGTGCACACAAATCTTCCGCCTCAGAAATTCGTCAAAAACTCACAAAATCAAGTTGAGGGCTATCCCAATCTTCAAAAGTTATTTCGCCTGAAAGAAAAGCATGTTGCCAGGCACGCAACGAAGCCTTACGGGTGTAGGGTTAACATAGATGAAATGAGTTCAACTTTGAATCACTGGATTCACGCCGATAAATTAGTATTTGACGTCGTTATGATAGGATGTCTCACCGAAAATCAGTTCATATACCCACTTTTGACTTCTCTACCAATTGATAGACTGATATCGAAGCCAGGTTTCCTATTTATCTGGGGTAGCGCTCAGAAAATTAATGAGCTAACCAGGCTCTTGCAGAATGATGGATGGGCAAAGAAATTTCGGAAAAGCGAAGAGCTGGTGTTCATTCCAGTGGATAAGAAATCCCCATTTTATCCTGGTCTCGATGATAATGATGAAGCTCTTTTCGAAAAAATGCAATGGCATTGCTGGATGTGTATAACGGGAACAGTTCGGAGGGCTACCGACGGCCACTTGATACATTGTAATGTGGATACCGATTTGAACATTGAATCAGACAACTTGCAAAATAGTGCTATTCCTGCTCATCTTTACAGAATTGCCGAGAATTTCTCGACTGCTACGAGAAGACTTCACATCATACCTGCTAGGACAGGAACCGAAACTCCCGTAAGAATGAGGCCTGGCTGGGTTATAATGAGTCCCGACGTCATGTTGGATAATTTTGACAGTAATGCATACCAGGCAGAAATAGGCAGACTAGGGACACACCTTCCCACGCGGAATGAAATTGAAGCTCTAAGACCAAAGAGTCCAACCCAGAAAAGAGGTGGGTGAAAGGCGGCCCCATTCTTGTTAGAACCAAAATTCGTCAAACAGTCCCGTTTTCAGTTACGTCTATTTACCCGATATATGTCTCTGTAAAATGTATGTAGCACAGTGCTAGAAAGAGCTAGAGATGCTTATCATTTGAACCATTTGCTGACACCTTCCTTCACTGGAGTCAACAAACCCTTTTGATGAGGAACGTATTCAATACGATGGTAAGAGTTGATGTTTTTTCTGAGAACGATTTGGAAACAAGTAGCAGATCCCTGTCTTGAGATAATAGTAGAAGAGGCGAGGAAGTACTCCCAGATTCTAAACCACTTGATACCATACTTGTTAACGACCAAGTCCTTGTTCCCCATCCAGTTTCTGTACCATCTCCACAAAGTGGCCGAATAGTGAACACCGATATTGTCAATAGAGACGACCTCGTACCCGCCAGCTTCCAGCTTTGCAACGACGAAATCCAATGGCGTAGAAGCGTCAGCACCAGGGAAAATATACTTGTTCATGAAAAGACCCCAAATGAGATCCTCGTATTGCCAGGACTTTCTCAAACCGGCAATTTGCAAGAAAAAGAGACCATCATCTTCCAACATGTCATAAACTTGTGCGAGGAATGAACCGAATTTTCTAATTCCAACATGTTCGGCCATCTCCAGACAGGTAATCTTGTCATACTTCTTGCCTTCAGGGGTAGCCAAAGGAGTGTCTCTGTAATCAGCACAAACAATACGGGATTGGGATTGCGGAATACCTTGCAATTCCAACTTTCCGTTTCCCCACTTGGTTTGGTTTCTACCCAAGGTGATACCGGTGACCTTTGCATTGTAGACTTTAGAAGCGTAGGTGGCAAGGGTACCCCAGCCGCAGCCCAAGTCTAGCAAATATTCTCCTGGTTGTAGATCGATCTTGTCACACACAATTTTCACTTTGTTGTCCTGCAATTGTTCAAGTGACTCTTCAGTTGTAATGTCGGACACTACACCACTGGTATAAACCATTCTTGAGCCCAAAAACCAAGCGTAGAAATCGTCACCACGGTCATAGTGGTCTCTAACCTGTTCCTCGTCCTGAGATCTGGTGTGCATAATCACCTCTGGGATCATACCTAGCAAAAAGAACTTGAATAAAGACAAGGTGAAAGAAAATTGGGCCCAGTCGTGTCTGTATTCCAAGACTTCGAGAGCGTCTCCATTGAAAGACACTTTGTTGGCGAAGTACAATTCGTGGAAGGTTTCCATTGGAATTTTTTTACCATGGTATTTCTGGGCCAGCTTCTCATCGTGGAATGTCAAGTAGTGCTCAATTGGCTTGCCAGGAAACTGGGCCTTCTCGTTCAAACGGGGCGAATAAGTGGAAGCGACGGTCCAGTAGGCCATGAGAATTGGCAAAACGAACAACAAAAAGAAGAAAATGAACGTTTTAATACCACCACCGAGCTTTCTGGTAACATAGAATGGAATACCAGTGATGAGGGCAAGAACAGTCAAGTTGGAAAAATGTTTCGAACTTGGGCCGTCAGCTGGTAAAGGCCCATTCTTGATCGAAGGTGAATCAGACGTCCTCACACCGCATTTAGTGTTGGAAGGCTCTGGCTTTGGGGCAGCAGGAGTCTCAATGAACTCAACGCCTTCAAAGGGAAAGGAGCTCATGTTGAATTGTTCAATTGAATGATCCAATTCAAGAGTTAGCACAGCTGAAGAGTAACGGTACAGTATGTTTAGACTTGGAAAAGGGCTTTGCACAACTGGATCTCGAAAAAAAAGTCTACATTTTTTCGTTTCTCGAGAGGGATCATTAATTCATAAAAAGTCGTCACTTCGAGAAATTCGTAGTTTCTACAGTTCAGCTGCCAAACCCGCAAGAGAAGTGGCTGGTATGTAGTCTATGTGATAGATAAAGAGTGGTGCTTCTTTTGTTATCACCTGCGGTATGCCGATAAATTTCGTAGATGCCTAAACTTTGTGAGAAAATTCTTGACTAGAGAATCTTGCGTAGATGAAGTTGAGTTCCAAGCCCAATCCCAAAGGTGCGACTATGGGGAACATACAAAAAAAAAATCTTGATGATTGGTCTTTGCTACTTTGCCAAATCCAACTAAACTACCGTGCAGGCTTGTTTGCCTCGAGACTGGAAAAGATGTCTCGTAACACGAATGACCGCCAGTTCGAAAAACGCTCTACCAGAGAGGACGACAGTAGTGTTTTCCAAATACCGAGTTTATTTTGTTACTTCCGAAGTTAGACTCATGTAACGACATAATAAAACATAGTCACCCTGGTCAGAGGATGTCCTACCCCCCACAACACAATCCATTATTAACAAAACTTTAGGAAACTATTGAATAAAATTATGCATGCACACCAGTCTCAGCTTGATGTTTAAATATTCTTGTGATTTTTCCTTGTCTCCGAGTGCCAGCAAGCGAGCCAGGAACCAAAGTTCTTGCACCAAACCAACCATCCCATTTTTCTGCAATTTCGGTTAGCTTTGACAGTAGCGAGCTTTACAGGCTAAATCGATCCTTCGACGCCATAAAAAGAGAAGCCATTCCACACACTAACCACCAGCGAAATTCGCCAGATGACAGTAGTTTTATGGCAATGTCAGTGCTGTCGTCCAGACAGGTCATCTAGACTGGTCACTTTTTACCTTTGCTGTCACGATTTCAAATGTCACAGCTCGAAAAATTTTAGCCGATGCGATGAGATGAGATGCCCTCTTCAAAACCTTCGCTACGTTGAACAACTTCAGCAGCGACCAAGCAACGAGGCTTTAAGATAGGCAGCGACCATGGGGAAAACACAGAAGAAAAACAGCAAAGGTCGTTTGGATAAGTACTACTACTTGGCCAAAGAGAAGGGTTACCGTGCTCGTTCGTCATTTAAAATCATTCAAATCAATGAGAAGTTCGGACACTTTTTAGAAAAGTCCAAGGTCGTAATCGATCTATGTGCGGCACCGGGATCCTGGTGTCAAGTTGCTTCTAACCTTTGCCCAGTAAATTCGCTAATCATTGGTGTCGATATTGTACCGATGAAATCGATGCCCAATGTTATCACCTTCCAAAGTGACATTACAACTGAGGACTGCCGCTCCAAGCTGAGAGGATACATGAAGACATGGAAGGCTGATACTGTCATGCACGATGGTGCCCCGAACGTTGGTTTGGGCTGGATTCAAGACGCTTACACACAATCGCATTTGACGCTACAAGCGCTAAAGCTGGCAGTGGAAAACCTGGTTGTGGGTGGTACTTTCGTTACCAAAATTTTCAGATCTAAGGACTACAATAAACTGATCTGGGTCTTCGGTCAGCTTTTCGACAAGGTTGAGGCAACGAAACCTCCAGCTTCGAGAAATGTCTCCGCAGAAATTTTTGTCGTGTGCAAGGGTTTCAAGGCTCCAAAAAAACTAGATCCAAGAATACTAGATCCTAAAGAGGTCTTCGAAGAGTTGCCAGATGGTCCACAAAACAACGAAGCCAAGGTCTTCAATCCGGAGAAGAAGGTAAGGAAGAGAGAGGGTTACGAAGAAGGTGACTATCTACTTTACCACACGAAGCCTATCATGGACTTTGTAAACACTGAAGAGCCGATCGACATGCTGGGAAGCCTGAACAAGTTCACCGTCAACCCAGAGGAGCACGAGTGGAAAATTCTCAAAAAATTGAAACAGACCACCTCGGAGTTCATGGCATGCATAGAGGATCTAAAGGTTCTCGGAAAGAAGGACTTCAAAATGATACTGAAGTGGAGAAAAGCAGCCAGAGATATCTTGGGGATAGACAAAGAGGAAGAGCAAACTGCTGAAGAGGTACCGTTGACCGAGGAAGAGCAAATTCAGAAGGAGCTACAGGGTCTGCAGGAGAAGCAAAGATTGAATCAGAAGCGCGAAAAAAGAAAGAAGAACGAGATGAAGCAGAAGGAACTTACAAGAATGCAAATGAACATGCTGACGCCCGCCGACATTGGTATCGAATCTGCTGACATAGGACGAGATGCCATATTCAACTTGAAAAGTGCTGAAAAAACCGGAATCCTCGACAAGCTAGCCAAGGGAAAGAGAAGAATGATTTTCAACCATGATGAGCAGTCGAACAATGACGACATTCACATTGCAGACGATGCACCTCTTGCAGAACGTGATGACCTTGCTGAGGCCGACGAGTTAGAGGACCAGTTAAACTTCATGTATCAAAATTACAAAGAGAAGAGGGCTGAAAGAGACGCGAATTATAAGGCCAAACAAGCTCGTGGCGGGGATACAGATGGTGAGTGGACAGGTTTTGCCGATAAAGCTAATGGCTCCGATTCTGAAGATCAAAAAGATCATATAAGTGAGGATGAAAACTCAGCGCTCTCTGATTCTGATGACGATGAAGCCATCAACAAATTGATCGCCAATATCAAAGCTCCAAAGCATGCATTGAGCTCCAAAGCCAGATCCCTATTTGATCAATCCATTTTTCAAGGTGTTGAAGCTGACCTTCCCACAAAGCAGGAACCTAATGCAGTTGCCGATGCTGACAAAGGGCCAGCCATCGAAGAAAGCGAGAGTGAGAGTGAGAGTGAAGATGCAGATGACGATGCCAATGATTTCGAGATTGTCACTAGAGAAGAGGATGAGGATCAGAACATGGATTCAGACTATGATTCTGATGACGAAAAAAGGGAAGCGGAGAAAGGAAAGCATTCGAAGGAAATCGACATCGCGACCGTCGAAGCTATGACGTTGGCCCATCAGCTTGCGTTAGGACAAAGGACTAAACATGATTTGGTCGACGAAGGTTTCAATAGATATGCATTCCGTGACAACGAGAACCTACCCGACTGGTTCTTAGAAGACGAGAGAAGTCACTCTAAGATCAATAGGCCTATAACAAAGGAAGCAGCGTTAGCTATCAAGGAGAAAATGAAAGCGCTAAATGCTAGACCAATTAAGAAGGTTGCTGAAGCCCACGCGAGAAAGAAGATGCGCGCCGTTGCCCGTCTGGAGAAGATCAAGAAAAAGGCAGGTCTCATTAACGATGACGCTGACAAGTCAGAGCGTGATAAGGCGGATGAGATCGCAAAATTGATGAAGAAGGTAAATAAGAAGCAGACGCGGAAACCTAAGGTCACCTTAGTCGTGGCAACGGGTAAGAACAGAGGATTGTCAGGCAGACCTAAGGGTGTGAAGGGCAAATATAAGATGGTTGACGGTGTGATGAAGAACGAGCAGAGAGCTTTGAAGCGTATCGCGAAGAAACATCACAAAAAATAGTAATACATCAGTGCTCGATATAAATAGCTGCAACTGAAGGTCAAATTTGGTTTACTTATTATTTCTTGAATATTTTTATCAGAATGTACAAAGTGGAGAGGAACAAAGCTGCCCAGGTTCCGACCTGAATGAAGTCATAAGCTTCGGCAGTCGCTGCTGGGATGTTAATGGCATATGTCGAACTGTTGAGATGACTGAAATGGGTATTATTCGTGAAAAGCGCATCGAATCCCGAGGACTTTGAGTAGAATGGGTTTTCATGAATGTTATCGTATTCCGTATCGCAAGCCTGAAAGACCACAGGCGAGATATTCACCGATTTGTGTCCCCCAGCAGATTGGGGTCGGATATAGCGCGTATGTAGCTTCACCTCATTCAACTGTCCAGGCGTCAGCGCAAGTAACGCTTCCATACCCCAGCTGGAATCTTTTACTGCATATTCTGGTGCCTCCAAATCCGTAGCTCCTGCAATAAAAATGGGGCTAGACTGGAACTTGTCTAGAAAAATATCCGCTGGGGTCGTTAGATATAGGTAATAGCCGCAGTTATCAGACGAGGTGCGATTTCGTAAGTCCACAGAAAATGTGGGATGAAGACCTACGGGCTCCAATAGATCAACGGGTATCCCCTGGCCTTCCGGGCTGATGACGTGCGCCTTTTGGTAAAAAAGGTAGGTTTTCTGGCATTGTTCAATTACGCCTTCGCGGTTCCAGTTACAGATAGCTCCGTTGAGGTGCACATCGATTTTGTCAGGAGACTCTGGAAAGAAAAGACCGACTTCTAGCTTACCATAGCGATCTAAGTACGATATGTTTTGATTATGGCCGTTCTCAAGCTCGTAGTACTCGTCGATTTGTGCTCTCTGTTTTCTGCGATCAAGCGTTATATCGTAGTCTTTTAGTTTCCAATCCAAATCATCAACCTCGAAAACCTCTGCAGGAAGATATTCACGCACCAGATTCTCATCAAAAGAATCTGAATGAATCAATTGGTACTTGGCAGACTTTATGGCTCCACTGATTTGCTTATTGGGTTCACCAGCTACAATATAGATGTTTAGACCGTTCATCAGGGGTGCCTCGAGGAAACTGTCGTGGGTTTGGGTATTTGTAGAGCCCTTCCATGTTATGCGTACATGTTGAAACTCACCGACGTGATTTACAACAGTTCTGTGTTGAACTTGTTGGCCAGAACCTTTGATATGGATGCTTTCCGAGTTATCAGCGCCATGTTGCGAATCCGGGGCAATTTGCTCCAAATCTTGCAAGCTTTCGAACAGCACCGTTATTCTGGTTTTCTTGGAATCCATTGCAGTGAACATATGGAATCGATGTGCTGTAGAAGAGCAGCTGAAGTTGATGGTTAGTTGCAGATCTGGATGCTCTTTAGGGTAGCTAGTGGGTCCTTACGTTCAATTTATTAAAGTGGGTACCGAAACGGGTTGCAATCTCAGCCGGGTAAAATGTTTTTATGATCCGTTTGGGACCCGTTTAGTTGAAGACCTGGGTACCTGAAAGAACCAGTTTTCCATGATGACAACCCGGTTTGCAATCCGATTTGTCACCAAGTAGCAACCTGAGAAGTATGCGAGTGTGTGTGTGTGTGTGACCACAATATCAGCTTTTGAATACAATATGACGAGAGGTTGGTGTGTTATTGGTCCAATTTTTGGTGTTTTTTAGCTAGCAGAGGCGTGTAGCCATGCTCTCCCAAAAGTCGTGAAAATGCTCAAAAACATTAAAAAATAACAAGACACATTGCTTAGCCAGCGTACTAAACGATAACTGGGGTGTGAAACAGTCTCATTACGTCCTTGTTCGTCAGGATCAACGAAAGAAGAGCTTAGGAGCTACACTTGGCATTTCTCCCCTTCTACTTAAAGTAAAGCAAGGCTGTATGATACATGTCTTTGCGTGTCACAACTCAAGTCTTCTATCACATGAGACACGTGACCCGCGTCAGTGACACTTAATTTCCAGGTGATATATTCATGCAAGCAACAGGTCGAGAAACCGAGCCATTGAGTCCCCAGAATTACCCAGCATTTTGAGTCCGGGAAATAAAAAACCCATCTCCCCATTCGTGTCCTTTTCATGGCCAAGAAAGGGCCAAAAAACCCAAAAAAAAATTTCCCAGCCAACAGGATGAAAGCCTTCAATCTGAACCGAAAACCACTCAAAATTCTTGCCCGCTGTCACTTGTAAGAACACGCTCACACGCTCAGGCTCAGATTATCTTGTAACGTTGTCGTCGTTTTCGTTTATTCGAGACATCAACGTTTTTCATCATGTGATAATTTTTACTTTATCATTAATTGATGAGCCTAGGATGAATATAACAAGTGAAAAAAGTCGAATCGACCTACTCTATTGATTGAGAAGAGGTGAACAAGAACTGTTATTTAGTATCGACTTTAGGCGTTCTGGCAAGAGCTACTGGTAGCTCGCTGTAGCTCACGAGGTCAGAATTGAACAACACGGAACTCGACAGCGTGACAGCGTGTCACTAGAAACCTTATTAGGTGGAAATTTTACATTCTGGCGCATTCTGGGAGTTCCCGATTGCAACGAGTTCATATTGGGCAAACTCGCGATTCTTCATCTTGTGACGATTGTCTTGACCCCCGACCCCCCTTTGATCACCGGAAAAGAGAGTATTATTTGACGTGGGCTTGGTCATCGCAGTTTGACTCTCTAAGAACCCAAATAACCCAAGAAAATTCTAATTTCCAACGCGCCTTGAAACGCCTTGACTGTTTGTTTTCGTTCCATTTTTTTCCTTCTACTCTCAACCAGTTTGTTTCTGCTTCTTCGGGACTCGCCAAAACGCTCTTCGAGACCACCCTTTGCCGGCCGCTGCTCCACGCCCCCCAACTACCTTCCAACTTATTGTCGCTCGTTTTTGCTTGGTCCTAGAAGGTCGTTTTGACAGTACAATTCCTCATTTAGCGCGAAAATGAACACAGAGCGTCTGGAGGTGCCTGCAATTCCAGAACTGTCGCTTTCTCCGCCTCCAAATGGTGACCGTACCCCGTCTAGAAGAGGACATCGTCACAAGCGGTCCTTTGCAATCTCTCAGGACCTCGACTTTGTTAAAACAGCTGCACCTGGAACACCAAAGGAAAGCGACCAGCTTTCCAGCACAATTGCGGCATCATCCCCACAACAGCAGGACTCGAGCCTTCGTTTTTTCATGACAGAAGAATCCACCTATTCCCGGGACATACCGAATGCCATCATCGACTTGGATGAAGCTCTGACCACCAAACCAAAGTCTTTCACGTCTCACAGGAGGGCGGAATCTGCTCCAGCCCAGCTGGTCTTACCCTTCAGACTCGAACCTCCCAATTCACACTGTCAAGCGTCGTCGCGGATAGTAGAGGAGGAGGATTCAGAAAGTGATAATGAAATCGTAACACAAGCCACTCTGATGTCACCGCTAAGAGCAAAGTCTCAGTCGCCTTTTATAAGGAGTAATCCTGCAACAGAAACTCAAAAAGCATCCATTAGGAACCAATACAATACCAATGCCATCAAGATAAACAAACAGAAAGAAAGGTATCAGAATTACACAAAGCATTTTCCTGCGGCTAGTCCCCAAGCTTTGAATCAGGGGCAAGAGCCGTCTTTTTCTTCATTGTCTTCTGATTTTAGCTCGGGGATTAGTACAGCTGGTCTTACCTATTCCCCTACTACTCCTGCCATTTCCGTTTCAAAATATGGCAATAGAACGCCAAGCCCAAGGAAAACCTTCAACTTTCAGAGCCAGGTGTATGACTTGCCGCTTAATGATACCGCGCCCTCCGAAAGCCCTCACGAGGTGCGGCACGATGCCACTAAATTGGACGATGATGACACCCTCACTTGCACCTTCACGAATGCGACAGGTCAAAACTTGCACAGGAAATCTAAGAGTGCTTCAGCTTATGATCCCTCTGGCTCCTTCCACATACCGAAAGAGATATTACAAGGTCAGCCAGGGGACAGTGTTGATTTAGCACAATCCTTAAAGTCTTCGAAAAAAGCCCCTGCGTTCAAGCAGTTGAAAGGATCGTCGACTGTAGACCAGCGCGCTGTGAGCGACAGTGCTGTAACACAGAAGGAAGCTTCTCGTAAGTGGAGGGGCAAGCTAAACATTTTCTACACAATAGTCTCGAGATTCAAGAGCTCAAAGTGATGTGCATGCGAACCTGTTACCACAACTTTTAATAATTAATGCCTTGATCACTAATGTAATATATAGAGAAATGAACGATACCTGTAAGATTTAAGAGCACAATTGTTTGACTGTTAAAAGGTCTCATCGCGTTCTGAAAATGTCCTTTTTTTTTTCCAGGTGGGATACTATGTTCTCTACATACAGCCACCGGTTCCTCACTAATGTGGCATCAATAATTGAGAGTTTAGGAGCGGCTGAAACCATAAATAATGTTTTTGGCGATCAAAGAAGAAAAGCATGCAAATAACGATGTTCATTTCATTTCTTGGTTCCTTACGGAAAACTTCAAGACTTAATCAACTCCAAGTTGTCCAAATCTTGTTTTTCCTGGGCCTCGGCCTCAGCTTCTAGCAAGTATGGCAAAATGTATGGGGTGTCTTCTTCTGGCTTCACCCACTGAGCCTTGGGTAGCAAATGGTGCGTCAAAGACGATTGGTGAGCTCTGATCATTCTGAAGTTTCTGGCGTACGATTCGTCCTCAGGTATTCTCTTCAAAGCCTTTTGAACAATGTCGTTCTCTTCAGCGATAATGTCATCGAATCTTAGACCCATCTGTCTGTATCCGGAAAACTTGACAAACTGGTGAGCAACCGGCACGACGAACTTCGATAGAGATGGAGTCTTCAAAATGAAGTCGCCCACTTTGGCGATGGAGGTGAAAGTTTGAGGCATCTTGTTATTCGTAAAGTTCCGAAGTCTTAGGGCTTGTAGCTAAAGAAACCTCTGGATCTTGAAGAATTGGTCAAAAGTTTCTAAATTCATTACTGGATAATAGTGTATCGGTGAAAATTGGAATTTATCAGTATAATGTAACATTTTCGTATGAAGGTACCAGAAGCAAGCTCATACTCGAATCTGATTGGTCGAAAATATAGAGGTCTATAAGAGGTAAAGTTCATTAAGGGCTCTGGCTAAGCCGAAATTCATCAACGTTAATAGTGGTACTCGTTCGCAGAAGTGCCAGAAGTGTTTGGGAACCCACATTCCAGCATTAGACGGTTGACCACTTGAGGCTCTTGCAAAATCTTATTCCAGACTTCTTCGTGCTTAACGAGCACGAGTCCTGCGTAGCCAGTAGCGTTGAAACCGATGTCTAGCTCTGAACTCTTTGAGTGAGAACGGGGCACGAGACATAGCCACTGGCGGGTCATGAGCACGTTGTACCCGGTCTCCATGTTTGGACGTTCGTTGGACCAGTCTTGGAAAAATGTCAGCGTTCTTTGCAGTAGTGACACGAAAGTCATGGCAAGTAGGTCCTCTGTAACGTCTTCGGGATCTTCCGGCAACGGCACAACAAAGTGGGCAAACGAGAGCTTTTTGTCCTGCAAGGGCTCGGAGCGCACGTTTGGAACGAAATGGTCTTTGCCACTGCAAAGACGATCCTGGAAAGCCACGAATTTTTGAGGCCATTTGAGCAACTGGAGATGCTTGTGGTCCTGAGAAGACCCCGAGGTCTTGCCGCAGTTGTAGAAGGCGAGGTGTCTTAGTTGCTCGTCCTCGTCGTCCAAGTCTTGCAAAAGACGGTACGTGGTCAAAAGGTCTTGTGGGTCCAAAGGCGCTGTCTGTGGCTTGAAATCGCGGGTCACAAGCAACAGATGCTCGGCAACCACTGGGAATTTGTTCAAGAGTAGCTTGTACTTGCCCAACCCGTACAAGTCTTCGCTCACGGTCAACTTAGGTTCGGGCTCAGCGAAGGGATCGCGTTTCGAGGCCTCTGCGTCAGCACGTTCTGGTTTCTTGAGAAGGCTGGGGGCGTGAGTGACCACATATTGAAATCCAGACTCTGTATCCTTCACTTTTTTGCTTGCAGATTGCGTGAAATGCACATCTCCAGATTCAACACCTTTGGCGTATTTCTCAGCGATCTGATCTCTTAAGCTGGCACTCATGATGGGCTTGGCTTGAGTATATTGTAGAAATTGAAGTACTATGGTAGCTCAATGGCAACAATACGGTACTTTGGAGGTCCAAAATCGAGATGTAAAGGTCAAGTTTTTAAGATCGCTTGACCATTTCTTATATACGGCTTTTCTAATATATATATATTGGAAATCACGCGATAGCTTAGTGAGACCAGGAACCTCGAAGAGTCACATGACCTATGATTTTTTATTAGGTTTCGTAGTGTTTTGAGAAGCGATTATGTCTTTTTCAATGACCTGTGTGTTTTTGTTACTCAAAAATAGAACATCCTTGGCTTCTTCTTGACATTTGCGTTGTAATGGGTCGTCAGTATAGAGTCTTCAGAAATCGAAAAACAGAGGATCATGTTATACGAAAACGAGTCTGATGTCAGTAGTATATCATCCAACACTGAAGGTAACGGTTCCATAAGAGCTCTATTTGTTTCTTTCTCCATCTCTCACTGCTGCCCCAGAATTTTGCTTCTCCTGCCTCTATCGCTGTAAATTTCGACCGCATTTTTTTTCCCCAGTAGAAATCGAAGTCACTTTGAACAATAACGTCCGTGTGGTCCGACCACCGTTTCCACAACAATGGGTACTTCTTAACCATGAAAACAAAACAGCTTAAAGACTCCATGTTTAGCAAGCTGAATCAATAATTCAACTTTTCCCCGACATTGACCTTCGTTTCTTCTCTTATACTGGAAACAGACACAGTTTGTTATTGGTATTACGAAACATATCTACCAATCCACCGTTATTACTCGTCCATTGCCTTCCTATCCTGACAATCTCGTCAATGTCAATGTCATCTCTATATAAGTTCCCGTAGTTCTATCAGACAGTAATTATTCTCTTAATGACAATAAAGTGACAAAAAACAAACAAAAACACACAATTGGACCCAATTCTAACACCAAATTCTGTACTTAACCAGTGCTTAATTCTCAGTTCTAATACATTTAGACTCAAAGATTTAAAAGCTTCAACTCAAACTGGTTTCAGTCTCTCTTTATATATGTCAGTCTCTTCTCATCAATTCTCGTTTACTATACATAATTAAACTGTAATTTTTCAGCTCATTACAGGAACTCGATCGATGCTCACCGGCAGTCGAACAATCATCAAGCCAATTCATCCAATTGCATTGTGAATTAGCGTAAGATGAGCCAAGACGTAGTATGGAGTTCACGAAACAGCACGGTAGTGCGAGATAGCGCTGAAAAAAAGTGCAGCATAGCTGTTGACATCGGAGGATCGCTGGCCAAACTGGTGTTCTTCGCAACGGACTCACAGAAACTGGTTTTCGAAACTGTGGAAACTGAGAAAATAACACTTTTCATGCGAATGATTCACGATATTATCGACCAGTATTACCACGGAGACCAGAGCGTGGTGAGAATAGTGGCCACTGGTGGTGGAGCTTACAAATTTCACGATCTGCTGTGTCGAGAATTTCCAAACGTGCTCGAAATAGCACGGTTGGATGAGATGGAGTGCCTCATAAAGGGCCTAGACTACTTCATCCACCAAGTACCCGAAGAGGTTTTCACGTACAACGATCTCGAGGGCGAGCACAAGGTGGTTCCGGAACACGCCAAGGTGTATCCCTATATGCTCGTCAACATCGGTTCTGGCGTCTCGATCCTCAAAGTGGACTCTCCAGCAAAATTCACCCGCGTTGGAGGCTCTTCTCTTGGCGGAGGCACCCTGTGGGGACTGCTGTCGCTCATCACGGGGGCCAAAACTTACGACGAAATGTTGAGTTGGGCTCACGGCGGCGACAATACGCATGTGGATATGCTTGTGGGCGATATATATGGCTCCAACTATGGCAAGGTCGGTCTTAAGTCAACTCATATCGCCAGCTCTTTCGGCAAAGTCTTTCAACGGACAGCGCCAACACACAAGGACTCTGCGACGCAATCCCAGACCACTGCAACCAGCACCGATGACATACAACTGCGTAATCGTAAGTTCAACAATTCAGATATTTCCAAGAGCCTACTGTATGCAATCTCCAACAACATCGGTCAGATTGCATACCTTCAAGCCAAGATCCATAATATTCCTAATATCTACTTTGGTGGGTCTTACATTCGAGGCCATTTAATGACGATGAACACTCTCAGTTACGCCATCAAATTCTGGTCAAACGGCGAGAAAAAGGCGTTTTTTTTAAAGCATGAGGGATACCTAGGCGCTATGGGTGCCTTTTTAACCTTCCAGAACGAGAATAACGATCTCGGTGATGAGAGACGAAGTTGATTTAATCTTTGAAAACACATCTTAATTGTGGATACCAATAACACTCTCAGGTCAACCTAGTTTTGTTGTAAATTTGATTTATACAATTATCGCATTTTCCTTTATAATATTCAGTACATTTTTAAACTGGAGATAGATCGGAATATCTCGAGGCTGCTTATCATTAACACGCTTTCTAATCAAGTCCAGCTTGTCAAGTGGCATGTTACTTCCATATAATTCAACCTCAGAGACCCCTGAAGCGTTCAATTGTACGACAACGTCCAAGTTGTAGTAGGTGAACTGAACTTTGTTTGACTTCGGCAAAACTTCTAGGTTTCGGACTTCGCTGTCAAAAAATTGGCTCCGCCAATATTCGATCAGGGTCCGATAAGCCGTATAACTTTCAGCCAAACCCGAGTCCTGATCTTGGGCCTCCTCGTCCGCGGAATTCTCAATCGCGTTGAGTGACTTTTTTGTCCGTTGCAAATGCTCAAGACGTTGTTCGAAATGTTTTTTTTCCTGAACGGTTTCTTTAACAGCGTGTAGTTGTTGAATTGTAGCTTCCGTTGAAGACACTCCGTTGGTTGTGTCCGGACTAGCAACCTTTGCGTTATCATCATTACTCTCCAGTTCTTCCAAAAGCGCATGGCACTCGTCAACAAGCTCTCCGGTGTTGAGACACAGTTCGTTCACCACTTCGCGTTGGTCCGCTATTTTCTGACTGGTGTGGCTAATTTCTTCTCGGAGCTGATCAACCTCCGATTCCAGTTGTGTGATAACCACATCTTGCAAATGCACCACATTCTTCTCAAGCGATACGTATCGCTCGTCCTGCGGAGTTTCAATTTGCTGCAACAGGTCTCCTGACGGAAGTGTGTATCGCAGAAAATTGTCCAGCATTTCCTGCTCCAAATGTGTGTTTTTAAGACGCTCCGCGAGCTTGGAAACCTCCAAGATATGCACAGAAACACTTCTGGGATTGATTTCCGCATTTGGGTCAACTGTTTCGAACAAAAACTCATTGTCTTCGACCAACTGCTGTGCGCTGCGTTGCAACTGTTCTACCGTCTCAGCATAGTGTGTTTCTTGGTCTTGTAAAACTTGTTCGCTAAGGCATGTCGTATCTTCCTCCGCCGCCTGTAGAAGGGCTGCTATCTCTTTGACAAGGTCAGTATCTTGCATTTGATGCCAATAGCCGCCGAGGTATTGTAACATCTTCAAAGCCGAGTGTTTAGGATTTTGTTTATATTGTTTTTATATATGTGTATCGAATTCGTGTTTCACGATAGCGCCTTTTAAAAAATCATTAAAGACGAGATCTTGGTGAAGGGAAAAAATTGAAGTATAAATAGCGGGCGCTTCTTGAAATACAACGATGCCTTTCAAACTTTGATCAAGTTCACATAGAACTTGGCGACTTATAGAGAATGAGGCATATGGAGTAGAGCAGCTTTTGTTGTTATAAGAATTAATGGCTCTGAGTGGTTAGTGACCAGAATTTTCAATGGTGTTCCCCAGCGGAAGCAAAGTTCTCGAGAACCTGCACAACTTAAGTTTATTGGATGGGCCGCAGTTGCGCCATACAGATATCCATTGAATGTGTCTCTGTGCAGAGAGTAACGAGAAACAGAACCCCACCCCGAAGTCCTACCCAACCGGTAACCGCGGTCATTTTTTATGCTGTTGTTTGTGAGGCCTATTGAACATCCTTAAAGGAGTAAGCGCTTTCCCGCCTGGAATTTGCAGCTTTGGCGTCGAGTTTTTCAACACCAATCTCTGTGATTTCTCTGGGAGCTCGGTGCTGTCACCAATTCAATCAGGCTATCATCTCAAACACGCTGCGGAACGGCGGTCTTTCTGAGAATTTTGCATCACACGGGCATGAGCTGTTGATTTTCTCGGTTGCGACTTACCCAGGACCAGATACTTATATCTTCATTATGTGGTTCTACTCTCAGCATTTGTCTCTACGGGAGATTTGGACTTTGCCTTAGCCAAGAGAGTTTTTTTTTGGCAAAGGCATTCCATCACCTTCCTCCTCTTTGTCGCTATTTTGAAGGACCGTTTCAACTGGGTTCTGGGGTTACATTTTTTTTCGTAATTTTCATTTCTTTGTTACTTATCGTAGTTCCTGTAATATTTAGTCCTTAGCGCTCTTTACCGCAGCGCCAGTGGTTTTTCTGAAGTCTCCGCCGCCTTCTTTCCAAAGCCACAACGCGTCAATAGCGTAATTGCGAACAGATAGATTCTGAGTCTTGATTTCGTCTGCAGCTTCAGTCAGTGATTCAATAACCAAATGAGACTTGCAAAGATCCCAAAACATACCATAAATGTGGTTGAGGACCGCCGCTGTACCACCCATTTCAGTGTAAGTGTCTGCGTCAACTTCTGGTACCAGCTGCGCGTAGCTTTGTTTTCCGAGCTTGTAGAGAATTCTGCCCAGCGTCTGAATGGCTATACATCTTTGAGCAGGAAATGTGGATCTCGAAAGATGCTGCAACTCGCCTATGGTGTAGCCGGCGAGTTCCGGATTGTCTGCATGGTGATGCAGACCGTTTTTGGTAGTGTCAACCCCTCTATCAGGAGGGACAAGATTCCCATCGAAATCGAACCTGCACTGAGCCACATCATGTATGACATCTGAATGAGCTCTCTGAGGAGCTGGCTTCATCCATGCTAACTTATCGGCTTCTTTGGGCAGGTCTGGGAAATATTTCTCATGCAGCTTAGAATCGAAATCTGGGTCGTTTATGTCGAGAGACTCAAATTCGGGGACGTCTGATCCTGCTGGCTTCATGAAATGGACATCACTCAGTAGATCCTCATTTTTCATATGGTCCATTTGCTGAACGAACTGGTATTCCTGCGGAGCTATGTCATCATCATCAGGCATGGGCCTTGAATAACTGGAGGGGATTTCCTCTAAAGGCTCCTCCTCTTCGACTTCCTGCTCGAATTTGACGTGCTTTTGCTTTTGAGGTTTTATACCAAGTGCCAAGTTCACAGCATCATCGTCTAAACGCGGGAGATCGGGATTCTCGTGCGTTCCACCGATCCATGTTCCTGGAGCCCCTTCTACTTCTGCAAAAAGCGGTGCCGATGAACTTTTCAATGCGTCTTCTCCTGAATCGTTAGCTTCGCGTTTGGAAAGTCTTTTCATGAGACCCTGGACCACTTTTGGATCCAAGGATTCCAAAATGTCTCGTTTTTCTTGTTCTAGCTGTTCAGCAGACATCTGGCTTATAAGCGCCATGTTTTCACGATGAATCTTTTCAGCTTCGGTTGCTCCGTCAGTTTCGGAAGGTTGAGACGGGGCTATTTTTGCTGCCTTACCAATATTCCGGGGCCGAGCGTTCTGCCTTTTCTGCTGTAGTCTTGTTTTCCAAGATGATATTTTTTCGGGCTCATATAAAGCCGGAAAGCCTGATGATGGTGCCGAATCGATGACACCTGGTTGAACAACATCTTTCTCAACTATATCTCCCAGCAAATCCATCTTGATGGATACTTGAGATCTTGTCTGAGTCGTGTGTTGAATTATGGTAAGGCGGTTACATTATTAGTTTTGATATTTTCATTTCAAATACATCACGACTAGATTATCAACAAGAAAAATGGGTCAAGATTCGCCTGCAAGACAGAACTGGGATCGATCAAAATGATTTGCACACATCAAGGGCAGCAAGAAAACATCCAACTGGCTCATCTCATTATAAAATAGTGCGAAAATCGGCGTGGGGCGTCGAGCATTGTGATCACACACCGTGGCAACTCTTGTGAACGGTTTTTGACTCTTCTGCGTTAACTCAGACTTCTGGAAGTAGGGTCATTTGAAGAGAGACTCCCGAGTTGTTCGCCCTTGTCGTCATAGCTCGCTTGACCAGGTCATGAGAAACACATTTGAAAAGACACAATACTAACTCTAACACACGGGGCACTTTTCTGGACAATCAGTTCCCCAAAAATTCAGATTGTGACGCTTCAATTTCAGATTTTGACACTTTTCCAAAGCCGTGAGATTGGGAGCTAGCAAACCGAATTGTTCTACCCAACTTCCAAGCTACCGTTCGAAATCCAGCTCAGAATGCCAATTTCGTAACGTGTTTCTTTCACACCCGTACCCCGTTCATATGCTTTAAATTATGTAGCGATATCGAAATAGTCTAACTTAGAGACCCGTAGCCGTCGTTTGGACGCGTCAACCCACCGCCATGGCTTGGGTAAGGATGTTTGCTAATGATATACAAAGCGTGGATCAGACCAGGGAAGTATCCCAGTAGAAACAGCAGTAGATTTAGTAATGTATCTTTGGTGAAAACACCCCTCTTCAATGCAACTGCAACTGGGGGCAGAAACACAGAGATGAATACTAGAAACCAATCACGAGCATGCATGATGAGCAAATGTTATTATAATGTCGATTAAGGCCAAATGCGCTTGAATAAACGTTTTTGAACTACTCAAGCTTTCTTATTCAAAAGTACTTTTTCAACTCTCCCTACTCTCTATATATATAGATAGCCAAATGTTTTTTTCCGCTTTACTATATAGATTAATGTTACCCATGTTTTCAACCCATATAGCAATCGTTACCCCTGCTAAATCGCAATCGACACATCAAAGCTAACGTTTCCACGCCGCAAAGCACGCTATCAACAAGGGTCACATGAGGGGGACTAGCGTCAGGGTTTTCTTCTGCTGCGATCTTATGTATATGCTTCTTTAACAACTCCTCCATTCCCGAAAACCCGGCGCACCCCAAGATTATGGTAGATGTATGTAGTCGGTGAATATTTTCTTGGTAAATACGCTTGGAAATTGCGTGAAGGTTTTTAGGGTTGTGAAGGTCGAGCACGGGAATTGAGGAGGCTATGGTGCCCTTGAAGGGCGCCTTGGACGATGCAAATGGCCTGGGTGCTCCCAAAAGACGTTCTGCGCCAGCATCAAGTAGTTGAACCCACTCGTCGTTGGAAGTGATGATGGAAAACGCAGAACCGGGCTGTGACAAACAGACTGTCATTGCTGCGTGGAATATTCCCGTCACAGGAGTGGCATGGTCGGTTCTGGCCTGTAACTCATGGACCAGCGGATGGTCTGAAAAGCAGGCAACAAGCACGCCGTCGAAAGTGTCAAAATATTGCCGTTTTTGCTCGTTGGTGGTGCCGGATTGACGCTTGCACAATATTGGAAGACACTTGCGGGTGGATTCTATGCTGGACTCTTCACCATCGATTTCTGGAGGTGCATCGGGAGGTCCCGTAAAAAGTGATATATCAATATCGCGACCAGCAGTTCCGGGATACACTTTGTCGAGGTACTTTTCGATTTGCGCGGCCGCAGCGTCGGTCATGGCCTGTGTGCTGTTCGGGTTGACAACGAGGAGGTGCATTATGGTGGGAAAAGACGTTAATTGAGTCGATCGTTGTAGGAGGGGGGAAAAAGGCCTTCCTTTTGACTCTTACGTTTGCTCAGCTTACTGGTCCTTTTTCTATTATTTCGGCGATCTGCGACAGATAAAAGATAATTTTGGTAGGGGAAAGTCGGAAAAAAAATTTACTGGACGAGACCGGAGTCGAACCGATGACCTCTCCCATGCTAAGGGAGCGCGCTACCAACTACGCCACACGCCCAATTCGTTGAAGAAGGAAGTGGGACAGCTGGTGTGATGACAAAAGCTAGGGTGTGTGAAAGTCACGCGCATGTAATTTTTTATTTGTGTTCGGAACGTTCTGGAAAGAGCACGTGACCTCCAATATATCTAAATCTCTCTCTCTCTCTCTCTCTCTCTTTGTGTCTTGTAAATGACGTCTTCTGCAACTGAAGTCACCCTACACGAATTCACTCCACATTTCTTTTTTCGTGCATTACGTAATAACAAAAACTCCGGGTTCCGGCTGTGTGGTGCTGGAATGGCGCAAACCGAAAGAAAAACATAAAAAAGGCCGATAGGGGCAAGAGGAATTCCCCCCTCGTATGTGTGTGTGTGTGTGTCTCTCTCTCTCTCTCTTTCTCTTTCTCTCTCTCACGGCCTTGGGTTAACATGGTCGTTTCGTGAACTATTACACATCGCCAACTACACGCCTGGTTGTGTACGGCTTTAGTAGCTATACCTACCCGTATCCCATGCTCTTCGCACAAAACGCCACTGCTCTTGCAACGCGTAACGCGTAAGAACCACATTTGCCTCCTTAACGCGTTCCACCTCATAATAATCTTCACCCACGCCAACAAGCTCAAAACGTCCAAAACGTCCAAAACGTCCAAAACGTCCAAACGCCAAACGCCAAACCGATGAGGAGGGTCCCCCCAACAAACAAACAAACAAACACACTCTCCCTCTTCCTCTCCCTCTCCCTCTCCCTCTCCCTCTACCTCTTCCTCCCACTCTAACTCTCACTCATCGGCTTCTCTTACCTACCTCTCCTTCCGTTCTTCCTCCTACTAAGCACATTCAACTTTCGGTGCGAAATCTCCCACCACCACACCGCACCGCACCACACCGCTAACTCCCCTCCCCGCTTTGACCGATTGTCCCACACTGTACAGATACTCCACGCCACCCGTTCACTCTGAATTTTTTCGCTGTTCAGCCCAGTAAAATCGGAAAATTCCGTGTGCTGTGTGTGGGTAACGCGTTGATGCTGATAGCCCTGGGCCGGGCCCACCTACGGCCCACCTACGGCCCACCTACGGCCCACCTAAAATCCTAAAATTAACCGTTCTATAGAGTTTGCAAATTAGCCTGATTTACAGGCCCGGACCCAGTGAATTGGGCAGCCGGACTTAGAACTTGGCGTAGCAAAACAGCCGATGCCCTCGTAATCTTTGATTTTTAGTAGTAGTAGTAGTAGTAGTAGTGGTGGTGGTGGTTGTTGTTGTTGTTGTTGTTGGCGGTCTTCTGGGTTACCCAGCCTTTTCGGTTTTTCAGTTTTTGTGGCCACCGCTTTTTGTGGCGCGGGAATTCTCGGATTTACGTCGCCCGCGCGTGCGCAAAATTTTCTTTATCCTTCTTCCTTTTTTTTGTTTTTTGTTTTTTTTTTTCTTTCTTCTCGTCCCGTTCGAGGTAAGGGAGAAAGATTCAAGGAGTCACTCGAGTTCTGGCCTATAAAAGCGAACAGGTTTAGTCGGAAGGGGGTCTTTTCCATACTACTTTTCTGATATATATTCTCTCTTATTCCGTATTTTCACATCAAAACAACTACAGTTTCCAACTATCGCTATGCAATTCAAGAACATCGTCGCCGCTTTCGCCTCTGTCGCCGCCGTCCAGGCCGCTAACGGAACCAACGGTTCCAACCACACCAACGGTTCCAACGGTACCACCACCAAGATCTCCACCGGTGCTGCTGCCACCAACGCCATGGGCGCTGGTGTCTTCGGTGCTGCTGTCGCTGCCGGTGTCGCTTTGTTGTTCTAAGCGCACATAGCTCCAACAATTGGGGGTTTTCCCAATAATATTTTTTTCTAGTTTTCAACCACCACTACAACACCACAACAACAACAACTACGATTACTGGAAGTTTTTCTCGTACGAAGTGCGCAAATCCTGATGTAACGAGTTTATCACTACAACCTTTTACTTCTACTACTACTACTACTACTACTACTACTACTACTACTTTTCCACTATATGATAGAGTCGCGGGCACGGCAGGCGGCTGTGACAAAAGCGGAAAATAATAATAATACATCCAAAACCACAAAATACAAATAAAGGCAAATCTTTTTTACAAGACAATTTGAAAAATTTCGTTCTGAACATTTTTTTCCACCGTTTCCAAACCAAATTGACTGATTTCATTCATGGTTTGTTGGTTTTTTTTTTTTTCTATTCTCTTTTTCTTCTTTATCCTTTCACTCCTCCTCTTTTCTATCAACCCCAGTTTCGTCTTTCCATTTTTTGACAGGTTTTATTTTTTGTTTTCTCCCCCCTCCCCCAGAAACAACCCATCACTCCAGCCCTCTCATCTTATTATTTTTTTAATGCTAGAGTCGCTGTTTGATCGTGGACAACAAACATCTCCTTGCAGGGCCCGGTGCCCAGCTGTGCAATGGCATGCAGGGCAGGAACTTTGAAATCGAAATCCTGTCTGTTGTGTGTTTGTCTGTGAAGTAAAGCCCATTAATTTTAACGTGGCGGCGTTCTAGAAATATGTATTTTAACTCTTCTTTTGCCAGACAGAAACTCTCATCGTAACGTAGTTGTAACGTTGTCGTAACGTCGTCGTGACGTCGTCGTTAATATCGTCGTTAACTCCTCGTAAGCTCAACTTTTAGATCAGTCTCTCTGTTCTCTTACTCTTGCCCGGTTCGGAACTGCCCACACTCGTTCGTCTCTTTCTGTCTTCCACCTTCGCTACCGCTGGTCTGGTCGGTCGTTCGGTCTCCCAGCTGAACCGGTTCATATATTATTAGCCAGCTAGTATCGATTTAATTTATCATTCAAAAGAGAAATTCGCTGCCATTCTCACCAAGAAACACATAGTTTCAGCCCGTATCAGCGCTGATATTCGCAGCTGCGTACCCTCAGCACCTCCACCATGAGCTCCAACCCCTCCGTGCTGAAACTGTGCGGCGAGATAGGTGACGAACTCGTCGGATTCTCACCTGTTTCGTCGTCTTCTTTACTTAAATTCGTCCAACACCCAGCAGCACACCAGGGTCCGCAACTTGCACTTCTGACGTCTTTCTCATCGTTTGAATACAAGGTGCAGTGCGCTGTACGGAAAGAATCCCTCAAAGACGTCCCCAAAGAGTCTGACAGCCCTGAACATTCCGTAAACCGTGCTATTTCCAGAACAGACGTAACCTGCAGCGCTTCCCAAAACGCCTCTGCAACGCAAGAGCTGCCCTTCACTGGCTTTGAAACCGAAAATAACAGCATCTTCTCATTCACACTCTCCCTTTCTCCACTTCTGGCAGCATCGGGTCTTCATAGCGTCCACGTCAAGATACGACATCGTTTGGTCATGTCCATCGCCGTTTGGGTGGATACCGCCCCATCTCGTCTGGAACTGCCGTCACAATCAGATTCGTCGTCCTCGCTGTCACCATCACCAGCCACAACACCGCAATCACCACAGTACGCCTTTCAAGCTGACGGGCCTCAGTTTCGTACCTTCATCTCGCATTGCGAAAACCTTATACCTACACTACGACAATCGCTTAAATATACACATGAAAGGTGTGCAAAGGTGGTGGATTTAATCAACGCGACCATCAAGGAGATGTCAGGCTTGGTTTCCTGCGCACAAGACGTCGCCAGGTTGAGTCCTTCTTTTCCTCGAGAGTTCAACACTGTCACAAATGCGCTAATATCCACCCTCAAGGCAAAGACAGAATCGCTCAAACAGCTGGAGACCGCTCTACTGAAAAACCTTAGCGTTCCTCTCGATAATTACATTTCAGCTATTGCATTAAAGACACTATCTGCTCGTCGTAAGCAATATCACGATCAAGCTAAAATCTTCTACTCTTATATGGGTAAGAATCTATCCAGCGCGGACTCAACCAACTTGAGTAAAAAAATTCAGTTCGAACTAGAGAGGTTTGACTATTTCGTTTACTTGACCGAATATATTGAAGGTTCCTGTGCGCGCCGGTTCCTATATGAAATAGCTCAGTGTTCGAACGTAATGGAGCCAGTAAAGTTCACGCCTCTTGTAACCCAGATCAAAAATTATCAATCCAACCTCAAACTCTCAAAGATTCGCACAAATGAAATAAGGAAACAGATTCTGAATTCCAAAAGTTTTTCCGATTTCCATTCCTCTGCTCCGGTTGGACCCCATCGAGTATACAAGGAAGGTATACTCTGGGCACAAAAAGGACACGGGAAATCTTCTGGATGGCACAAGCAGTGGGTAGTAATAAATGGCTGCACGCTTTCGGAATACGCAGATTGGAAAACGACAGGGAAGAAGCTTTCACGCGCTCCTCTGAAGCTTACTTTTGCATGCATAAAAAAACAAAATCTTGGTAATTTCAATGGGTTCGAGATTATCACCACCGATGAAGTTACACGGTCCTTTAGAGTTGAAAGTGAAAGTGAACTGGAACAATGGTTGAAGGTTCTCCAAGAGGCCGCTGCCACTGGAGTGCAGGGTCCAACGAAAAATACTGGACAAAGTGGTATTGAGGTGACAGAAATTGTCTCCAATTCGGACACTTCAAATGTCTTATGTTGCGATTGCGGGAGCGCAAACCAAGTCGAATGGGTTAGCATCAACTTACTCTGCGTCGTATGCATAAAATGCTCATCGGTGCATAGATCTCTGGGAGCACACAATTCAAAAATTCGCTCTTTGAAGCTAGACACATTCACCTCTAAGGAGATTCTTGAGCTGATGAAATCTGTTTCCAATAAAAACGTCAATTCTATTTACGAAGCTGAACTACATCAAAAAGTCCTCGATCCAGACTCTCCGCCTCAGCTTCGTTCTATTTTCATCACCGAGAAATACGCGGATAGAAAATACGTCACATCTTTGGAGGAGAAAGACTCAGAAGCCATTGAGAAAAGGCTCAATCACAATCTAATCAAATCTATTCACCTCAACAGCATTTATCTCCTTCAACAGTGCATTGCCCAGGGGGTCCGTTTGAATGAGGTCCACCTCGAACATGATGAGACCATGTTCCAATACTCATTAAAGCATTACCAAGGAACCAAAAACGACCCAATTTTTTTCATAACAGAGTTCTTACTTCTGAATGGTTTGCAAGTGGGGCCGATTCCCCACGATACCTCTAGCCTTTCTAAACGAGAATATGACTACTGGAAGTCGAAAGTAGAAACCAATGGTGTCTATCGTGTCAGACCCATTGGTCGAAGAGCTACTTCGAGAGACGCCAAGAAGGCTAACATTGCAAGAATCGATACTTCTGTGGCAAACACCGTTTCCACTCGTAAGATTTCCTCTGCATCGGACGCATCCAGTAACGTCGTCAATAAAAGGTGGAGCTTTACGGGCGCTTTGCCGTCATCAGCGAGTGCGTCGATTATACCATCCAAGAGTCGTGGGTTGAAGTTTCCGAAGATCTCAGGGGGCAAAAATCAGTCTTGAATGTAACTAAATCAAGACATGCGTTCCGAGTAAAGGATTATTTGGTAGCACAGCTGCCATGTTCTTTCGTTGGCGACAGTCAACTAGGTACAATCGTTTCACGTGATCGAAGAACAACTGCTTCGTCACTGTCACAATCCTTTTAACGCAGACGCTTTGTGTTCGAAACCTTCAAAACGCTTGATGAAAGACGTTCAGTACCAGATTCACGACATATCTGCGTTAGAATTGCTCAGTTTGCTACACACGTCGCTTGCGCAGTTGGACGTCTCCTAAGTGGTCATAACGGTAGTTTGCTAACTAAAAAAAATTGAAGATGACTTCAGATGAGCTGCCACCGCAAGAAAGCCTCGCAAATGTCTCTGAAAGACTTGACGAAGCAAGCCCTTCTCAGCTATACGAAATCAAAGAATGTGTTGGAAAGGGAAGTTTTGGAGATGTTTATCGCGCCATCGAAAAACAGAGCGGAGCAGTAGTTGCTATAAAAATCATCAACTTAGAAGAAACACAGGACGATATCGAAATTTTAGCTCAGGAAATCTACTTTTTGTCAGAACTCAAGGCACCCTTCGTAACGACATATTACAAAACTTTCGTGGAGGATGTTTCAATGTGGATTGTTATGGAGTACTGCGGCGGTGGATCGTGCGCCGATCTTCTCAAACATCTTCCAGACCACCGTTTACCTGAACAAAAAGTTGCGTTTATAGTGCGAGAAGTGCTTTACGGACTTGAATACTTGCACAGTCAGAAGAAGATTCATCGTGATGTGAAGGCCGCCAATATACTAGTTACAGAAAATGGCGATATAAAGCTAGGGGATTTTGGCGTTAGTGGTCAGATTATGGCTACTTTGAAGCGCACCACCTTTGTAGGTACGCCTTATTGGATGGCACCCGAAATCATCGCTAAAAGAGACAATGGATACGACGAAAAAGCTGATATTTGGTCTTTGGGCATAACTGTCATGGAACTTTTGACTGGACAGCCTCCGTATGCCAAACACGACCCAATGAAGGTTTTGATGAACATCCCGATTAGAAAACCACCCAAATTGCATGGCCGTTTTACCAGTCCAGCTCGGGAGTTCATATCGCTGTGCTTGATCAAGGATCCGGATGCGCGTCCAACAGCATCTGAGCTTTTGAGCCACAGATTCATCAGTAAAATGACCTGGAGAGGTGCTGGCAACTTGAAGAAAGAAGTCGACCTTGTGAACCAGTTGAAGGCGAAAATAAACTATTTTAAAGAGCCTCGTCACTGTGTTGGAGAAAAGGTTTACGGAACGGGCCTCAAGAAATATCTTCAAACTTGGAATTTTGAAAACACTGATCGAAAAAGTCCGCGCTTACAAATGCCTTACAGCTTTCAAGAGCTAAAACCTCCAAAAATCAATTCTGCGATTTTGGAAGAAACGTCACCCAGGAGCGACAAAAGTCCTATTTCTGTTATGGAAAGTGCTGATGTCAATACTCCGGTAACTAACGCGACATCCCCGGGAATGAAGGATTGCCGTCACGAAAAAGACTTTGATGTTTCCATGGGCGTCCACGAGGGTAAGGCTGCTCGAAAAAATGTTCATCAATCGTCAGGTAAAGGCTTAAATTATTTCAGGCATGTAGCCCTCTACAGTTTCGACAGGATCTTCGAAAGGGCTCGCTCGGATGATACAAAGAATGTGGTGAGCAGGTTGAGAAATCTTTTCGAAGAAGCCGAGAAATCGCAGCCAGGATTGAGCGAAGCATTTGTTGAAGAAGTGTACATCAGAATGGAAGAAATAAAAAGCTTCATAGACGATTCCTCTTTATAACTAAATCTAAAGCATATAATTCACAAATGAGTCCGGCTAGTCTGAAAGCGTCTGACACTCCCAAAGTGGTTTGGTCAGACGTAAGGTGTCAAAGTCACCGTTAGGTAGCACAAATTTCTTGTGGCAGGCTGATTTGAACACTATAAAAGCTCGCAGATGGATAATGAAAGTATCAATGCTCCCTTCTTTACATTCATCCCCAGGATAGCGTCTAGTACTAGATTAATATGAGATTGTCCGAGGTTATCGCAGCATCGCTAGTTTTGCTGGAAAGCCACCAAGCAGCAGGTTCTTCAGCTCAGAAACCTTTCGCCAGAAGTAAGGATTTAAAAGGACCTCATGCAGTTCGAGTAAACACACAGAATCTTGGCAAAAGAGAAACAGCACCAGCATTCGAATCTTTGCAAGACGAATGGTCTGCAGGCGTTGTCGGTATACAGGCCCTACGATTCGAGAAATCAACAGCAGTCGCGGAAATTTGCAAAAAAGACGTGCATAATATTGAAAGTGCAGGTCAGCTGTATCAATTGCAGCAAAGCTGCAGATCTATTGTTGGTACCGTACAGATTACCGATTTCATGGACCCTGTCATAGACCTAGGAGGCCTCCAAAGTATCAATGGGGACCTTATCATCGAGAATCTTCCAGAGGTTGTGCGCATTCAAGGGCACAACCTGGTGAGCGTTGGAGGAACGTTTAAGATCGACAGCTTGACGTCTTTGACAAGCATATATCTGCCTTCTTTGCATCACTTTGATGTAATGGAGTGGAAAGTGGTCCCCACGTTGACTTCGTTGAGTTTGGCACCCAACATCAGCCACGCGAAACGCGTTACTATATCAGACACTTCCTTGGTTGGCATCGACGTCCTCGAAAACATTGACGACCTTGAGATCTTGAACATCAACAACAATAGGTACATGGAATATGTCAAGAGTAACGTCAAGCAAGTTCATGAGCAGCTCAGTATTTCATCCAACGCTCGAGAACTCCAAGTTGAAATGCCCTCACTGCTATGGGCAAATAATCTGACAGTCAGGGACGTCGCTTCCATAAGTTTCCCTCGCTTACAATATGTCAATAAATCATTGGAGATCATTGAGAACAACTTTGAATCATTCGAAGCTCCGGTATTGAAGACGGTTGGTGGCACTCTTGGAGTGATTCAAAACTCGCGACTAGCTCGTGTTGACTTTTCAAACGTGACGACGATCCAAGGTGGATTGATGATAGCTAATAATTCCAACATTGACAAGATCGACTTCTTACCGGAATTACGCGAAATTGGAGGGGCGATCCAGTTCATCGGTACTTTCCACGACACCGACTTTCCCAGGTTACGACTAGTCAGAGGAAGTGCTTTAGTAAGAAGTACTTCGAGTGCTTTAGATTGCAGCAAATGGATCACCCCCGTGAGCGGGAACTCCATTATTCGCGGGGGCAGGATTGTGTGTACGACGGGTCAGTCTAGAAACACTGCGCGGGTGAGTGAGGATGGAAAATTGTTAGATCACCAGGAGACGCAATTCGAAATCAAGCCAGACACCACTGACAAAACGAATATTGCATCGTCAATTGTGGACAAGTCTGGAATATTTCACTTTGGATTTGCACTTGCTTTTGGATGGGCTGCAATTTTGATATGTTCTGCAGTTACCCGTTGAATTGTGGGAGAAACGGCACAGGCATCTTAATGCAATCTTTTTACTGCCAGGTTTGTCATTCTATTGTATATTCAACGGCTGTGATGTAGCCATTGTATAAGAGAAACTTCTAAAAAAAAGGTTACAAGTCTTGGACTTGAACTTGAACAGAGCTCTGTGTTGATCTGGTATAAACTATAAGCGCTGGCTTAATGTCGTGGCTTCCCTCATTGATCAATGACTTATATTTGATGGTGTCAGTAAATTCAGAGTACTGCTTGTCGCCATATATATAATATTGATAATTTCATTCTTCTTAAAATTAGTGTAAACACCAACAAAAGCTTCAGCACTCAGTGTTGGCATGAAGCGTGACGATACTGCACCACGTTATCATCTCAAAGATGCCCAGATCGTTGTTTTCACTTTACAGGGCAAAAGTGTAACAAAATGTGAGGTCAAAGGCTTTCAAAAGAGAACTTTCACTTTGAATTTGTCTGTCACGTGACCAGACTTCATTTCTTAAAACAGGTTAATTCTCAGCCTGTTCAATAACCCAGGCTGTCTAAACAGATTCAACACTATCCACATTGGATAGCCGAATTGATTTGAAATGGATATGGTTGCAATTCTTCAAGTTCTCTGATCAAAGAGACGGAATACTTCTTTTGTCGTTTGTTTTGAAAAGAAAATGTCGAGAGTTGGATCTAGACGGTAAAACAACGACTAACCGGAAAAGTTAGCGTTGTTTCGTGCAACTAAAGCTTCATTTAGAGGAACAATAGCATTTATCACATCAGCATCGATCTTACAATGACCAGTTCGTGTGAGCTAACGGGTTTTACTAATGTCACCAAGAACGGGTCATTCTAATGATGATTAGCGGTCCGGGGCCTAAAACAAGTATATGTCACAGCTTTACCTCCCAACTTTACCGGGTCTCCCATTGCGTCTTGTTTCTTTGAAACTGTCCCAGTGATTGCGGAACATTATCAAGGACTTATCCGAAGCCTGGTCGATAAGACCTTGTTTTCAGTAGGTGGTTTTCCTTCCACTAGAACCTACAACTTAAGGCTAAATGGTGTCGACAAACGGGGTTCGACATCGAAGCAGCAGAACCGAAACAGATGTCGGGCTGGACGTGGACCGAAATAAAGAAAATACCTTGGATAAGCGATCTCTTGATTCCGAATCGACTCGCAAGCCGCGCAAGAAGAGGAAAACGTACAGCTGCAATATATGTCGCAAATTCAAGACGCGATGTGATTTCGAACCGCTGTTAGGACGCTGTCACCGATGCAACGTGTTGAACTTGAGTTGTTCGCTCACCGGCGATCGACGGGAAGAAATTATGGGTTTAGTAGAGGGCTCTTCGGAACCACAACTTTCAACTTTCAAATCGGATTCACATGAAAAAGACACCGCTCCAAAGGCGTCATCCTGTCCGCAACCCAATGTGACGACTTTCAACAATAGGCTGAATAAGCTGGAGGCCAATTTGGCCAGTCTTAATAGCAAGCTGGATTTGCTAGTAATGTTGGCGCAAGGCCCAAAATCTGTCGCTGAGACAGACTTGAATGGTAATAATGAATCGAACATTGCTCAAAAGCCGCACACCTATTTGGGAAGCCGGCCGCCTTCAAGGAATGGCGGTCATCACGTCAAATTGAGTGATCAGGACGAGCAAAACGAAGAGGCTTTGTCCACACCGGGAAGCAGGGATTATTCTCATTCATTTTTCACCAATCTCCACAAAGTAGACTTGAACGGTCTCAAATTGCAAGAACCACCTTTAAAACTTATAAGCGATATCGATGAGCGGCTTTTTCCAACGAAGGCACAATCAAAAAAGGACAAAGCTGCCAAAACACAAAGACCATTTGTTGTTGCCAGAACTAATTTTCTCAACTTCTTCAATGAGCATGAGAAAATGTGCCTATATCTATCCCGCGATTTTCTTGAGAAATCGCACTTCTGGATCATACCAGGCGGTGTTAAAGAAATTGATCGAGCCTACGTCGAGAAGCATTTGTTTATTTCCAGCGTTTTTGCCATTATCGCTATGGGCTTCGAGGAGAACGGAAAATACGAGGAAGAGCAAGAAGTTATGTATCCTCTAGTTGAACGGCTCCTGACCAACACTCTCACAATGTTTGAGAGACTGACAGACCACGATATTGAAGCTATTCTTTATTGCAGCATGTTCAACGTGTCGCGAAAGTCGAAAAGGCATCGTCAAATGAAGTTCAATTCTTTGGTACTAACAAACTTCGCTATAAGCAGTCTCTTGAACATTATTGATTTTCACAAGATTAAGGAGAGGGTTATTGTGGATGAGGAGTATGACGCGTTAGACATATATCATCTTAGAATCCTGAATTCTTTGACAGCTTGCCGACTGCAATATTCTATTGGCTTTGGAAGTTTTCTGGTGCCCGACGAAGTCTTAGACGACTTCAATAGCTTGACAGCTCGGTTTCCGCAAGCAAACTTTGGAGACGATATCAAAATAAGCGAGATAAATTTGAGTGAAATTGTTAACAACATATTTCTCAATTTTAAGTCATACTTCAAAAGGTTCTCCGATGCTTTTGCAGCGCGGCAAGAAAGATCAAAACAGGTAAAGGATCACTCAAAAAGAAAGAATTGCTCCCTGACGTTCCCAGAGTTAGAGCACTGGCTCAAAGATTGGGATGAGTTATTATCGCAGGACGGAGGAGGAGTTCTGTTGTTCGCATTCAATTACTATTACATCATGATATGTCGATCATTTGTGACCGAGTTCTACGAAGAATACGAGAACGATCCACTTTTATTTGGATCTATTCTGGAAACCATGAAAACCTACTGCTTCACACTTTTGGATGGATTTCTAAAGCTACCTTCTTCACTTATCAAAGGTGCGCCGGTGATAACGGTATACCAACTTGTGTATGCCTGCTTGACACTGTGCGATTTTCTACACTATTTTGATGCTTCTGAGAGAGAACAAATTCTCAATCTCTGCACTAAGATTTACTGGCATTTGCACACCATCGGCGAAAAGCTCAATGAAGCTACAGAAAACGTTGGAAAAATAATAAAATCTTTAATCGAAACCGGGAAAAGAAAGGTTTATGACGGAAATGATGTCCTGGCTTTCACACACCATGCTGGGTCACAAGGGTCGCGCTCGTTTGCTCTACCGGGCGTTCATAACAATCAGGAATCGCCGCAAAGTGTTATGTCCACAACATCTCACGCGAGCGGGACAGAAAGCAATGCTGCGGGCAGCTTTAATATGCCCGACGTTGACCAGTTCAGCTCTTTCGAGGATTTTTTTCAAGACTTTTTCGAAAACCTGAAGCCAACAACGCAAAACATTTTTTCCTCTTTAAGACCGGAATCGCGCTGATTAACAAACTGGCAAGTGCGCTGCTCTGCTAGACAAGCTACTTCTTCTTTTCAAAGATGTTGACCCCATCGTGTCTTTGAATAGCGTAATCGTAAATTGCTTTAGGCATCAAGGATGCAGCATCTGGCTGAGCGCTTATAATCATTTCCCTGGCCAATGTTGAAGATATTTGACTGAAGTTTGGGACATTCTGTTCTATTACGATTTTTTGATGCCAAGAGCGTGGGATTTCAGGCTCGTGTAGGCCTTCAGCAATGGATTTTCGGTAGCTGAGTTGATCATTGATTTCGGAATTCCCACACCTTGTAAGGCAGTACAATTCGGTGTTCTCCATAAATGGCCCGAGGGCCTCGGACACCAACCTGGGTGCATAGTATTTGGGATCGAAGATTCTTGTGATTGTATCGAAACCCACCAAATAGGCAATTTGGAAACCGTTGCCAAGCTTCTCGAGCATTGCTTCTGATTTCTTCACGAATTTGCCATATGTAGTTACTCCGACAGAAGTCATTATCGAGCTATCTTTGAGAAAATCGCTAAGTAAGCACATCATATCTAGCCTTCTATCGAAAGTAGCGGGCTGAGGTTCTTTGTCGGCATTGTTAAGAGAAAGCAGTAAGATGACATGCAATTTGCTATCGCTATAATGTTGCACTGCCCTTCTGATCAAATTCAAGTGGCCATTGTGAGGTGGATTAAAAGACGAATCAAGCACAAGTAATCTATCTATTTTGCTAAATTGCCGATGGCCATATATTATTTCAAAAGTTGCCTTAGAAGCAAGGAATGATTCCAAATGTTTAGAGCATTTCGCATTGAGCATTGCAGTTAAAGTTTCTTATTCTGGTGTGGTATTTGTTGTTCGAAACTTTAAAGGTTTAGTCAAGCCAGTTTACTTATTTTTTGATGAAGTGAAAATGAGGTGACAGCTCTTAAAGTTGAAGAACTTGAATATCTAGTGCTTCGTGAGAGAATGAGTCTTGAGCTGTGCTTCAGTAATGAACAGTAGTTTATTTTTGTAGACCTCGAGAATGCTTGACGTAATGTGTGCGGCAATGCTTAAATGTTGGCACTGTAAGAGAAAGAAAGATGGTCAACATCAATAGAAAAGGAGAGCGGAGGTCTAATGAGCTGCTTCATTAGAGGGCATGCGGTAAATAAGCTACAAGAAAGTTGGTATTCGAGAATGCTAAGAAGAATTTAGTGAAACTATAAGTACTCAAGAAACATCAACCGTAGGTTTTCCAGTTATTTGGTCAGTTGTGACAAAGCCAGATATTGAAATTTGGACAGCATTCATTAAAACAGCGGTTTGCAGTAACTAAGACAGTAATGTCTAAGAATGGAAATGAATGCGCTTCCGTCGTTATGCTTAAAGTAACGTTCCGGTTTCTGGTTGTAGGTTGTGAAGCCAGCTATTTTCGTCCTTGTACAAATGACATGCTTTACAGCTCATCACGTCTTCTTATATCCACCAAAGTCGTTTCGAAAAACAGATCCGCATTTGGCGGAATAACCGATCCAGCACCACGGGTACCGTAACCTAGACTGCTGGGTATACGTAGTTCACGTTTTTCGCCAATGCACATGCCTTGAATACCTTGGTCCCATCCTTGAATGACTTGGCCAGATCCTAACTCGAAAGAAATAGGAACTCCTCTTTGGTACGATGAATCAAAAAGATCTTCCGAGCCATCCAGAGATCCAGAGTAATGAACAGACACGATATCACCATCCTCAGCCTTTATGTTACATTCAGTTGCTGGAATTTCCTTGACAACCTTGATGTCTAGAGCAGTCAAATTTCCAGCTAAAACACCACAGGAAAGCCCTACGAAACCTAACAACTTGATAAACTGCATGATCCGCCTTTTTGAATGATTGAATTGAAGTTTACCAGAGTTTCAAATAGTCTTAAACTTGATTTCAGTCAAATTGAGCTCTTATGGATTGTTACGAAGAAGTGTGTTTGAATGATAGAAGCATTTTTCAATTTACACGTGGAAGGCTATGTAACTCGGAACTAAGCGAACCTTGAGTCAACGGGGCCACAACGACTGATATTTGATACCGTAAAAGCGCCCCATGACATTTTTAAACTCATGAGATGTTTCGTAGGAACTCTTGCTAAACGCCTAGCCGATGCGATAATTTTCAGTGCGACGTTGATTTTGTTGTACGTGCGTCCAACTCGGTCTAGCGCTCGCGTAGAAATTGTCTTGAAACTCAGGAAGGAGTGAGCCATTGAGCCCACGGTTTAGAACTAACATTTTCTTGAGCTTGTCTTGTAAAGTTTGCATGTTCATATTGATGAGGTAGGTGGATCCTCAAACCCAGCCATCGTACAGGAAGGGCTTTCAGGTGCAATAGAGAGCCATGTCTAGGAAGTTCAAGGCTCGTGAGTATAAGCTGAAATGTTTTTGTCTTCAAAACCCTGTCGGGAGGATTCCGCTTAGGACGCGGGTATGCGTCCAATCCACGACATGCAAGGGAATTGAACATTGCGCGAATCATTTGAGGTCAATTGATCAAAGTCATACGCCTCCTCAGACGTGGAGATGTCGAATTCTGGAAACTACATGCTGACGCTGTGTATCCAATACGTCCCTCACGAAAACCGGAACCTTGATTCCAATAAGCTCCGGCGATGCTTAGCCTTTCACAAGCCATTTGGTCTTAAGCTTTTTGGTGTCGACCATGGGTCTGATGAAAAAGCACAACACAAAAAGTCCAACAACAGTTGCTATCAATTGACCCTTTTGGAAGCTGGGTTTCAATTTATCAAACTGAGACGATGGCGACACTCTTGTGCAAAACAGGTCGTGACCCAGACTGCAAACAATACTGGTCGACTCCAGATTTGTGGGAACAGAAGTGAGGTGAGAGCTTGGTCCAGAGAGTACTCGCCTATGGTGCGTTAGTATTGTAAAATCGCTAATTGGAATTGCACTGACGTAAGGAGAGTTCAGGAACTCTTTTTTGTCGTCGGCCGACATCAATGCCTCCTCAACTCTTCTGGCGTTCAAAATATATTTTGGAAGAGAAGTGATCTGTCCGTTCTCGAGTTCAAGTATCACAGATCGTATCGTAATACCAAACTTGGTCCTCGTGAGAGCCAAGTTTTTGATGGCTTCTGGATAGATGTAAGCTTTCTGTACAACCTCTGGCTTCAAACCATTTGATAAAGGATCAACTGTCACCGATTCGTTGCTTAATCTTACGTTAGGCGTTAGAGATTCGTAAAACTCAAGAACTCCAATTTTTTGTTCTGGAAGAGGGTCGTTGCTGAAATAGGTATAGATGACCCAGTTTTCGCCAACCACCAAGTTGATCGATGATTGGAGATCGACCCCATCATTGTGGTACACGGAGTGTACAATTTCTCCTGTGACTATGTCAACAACTCTTAGAGTCATGGTGTTCGTGGTAAAGTCACCTGTGATGTAAGCCGCGAGATACGGATAAAGATACTTGTAAAGTACCGTTCTATTCCCCAAAATACTGCCCAAACTCACCACAGGGCTCTGGTCTCTATCTGCGAAAGCCAAAACTTTTTCGTTTTTGTCCAGATCGATACTCCACGTATCCTCCAATACATCGTTATGGTACAAAGATGCACTTAAATGAGTATCATCATGGAAGAGAAGATAGGTATCTTCGCTAGCTCTAGTTGAGCTGTTCAGAACTACTTTTGAGTGATCCTCAAGTTCCAAGTAGACAAAATCGCCATCTGCGAACGGCTCTGCAAAGACATTCGCTGGTAGTCTAGATTTGCTTAATAAAAACGGCTGTTTTTCAATAGCGCTAATTTCGAAAAGTAAGGAAATGCCGCTTTTCGTGAAGACCAACAATTCAGTACCGAACTTCGTTACCTCCATTTTCGAAATATCCTCCAGATGGGTCTCAATAAACCAAACTTCTTTTCCTGAGCGCGCGTCGAGATTAACAATCTTTCCCTTGTCTGTTGCCACAATCAAGTACTTCAGCAAACCAAAACTTATATCTTTTTGGCGAGAAGTGGCCGCATCATCTTCGCCAAAAAGTATTTCTTTGACGATTCTACCCACAGAAAAATTCTTTCCAGCCAGGTAGCTAACCAGGCGCTGTAGAGTTTGTTGTAACCGATAAATATAAGCCTCTAGAAACCCTAAGGAATCCTCCTGTGAAACTTCGGCAAAAATCTTGGCACTTAGAGGGTCTTTCGCGGAAACGAAAGCAAATGCCTTGATATTTGCTATGGATTCGTCTCTGATCCAGCTCTGCGATAGTTCGTAATTGACAATTCTCAAAAAGTGAAACTTCCCAGAATCTGTAGAGATGATAATCTCATAATCTCCGTCGTTGCGCTTGTTGAAAAATACCAACTCCTTGATGTCATCGGGTGATTCATACAAGAAAACTACTTGCTGTTTTTCATCGTCAAGAACTTTTAGTTTTCTGCCGATGAGCTGAGTTAAAGACGTATCGGGACGGCAGGGGGAAAGAGCACGAGAGATGATGGTTTCACTACCTTTAATTTCTGTGCCAGTAAGAAGATCTATGGTGATTTCCTCTCCCGCGCTGTTACGCAGTACCAGCTCATTAGGACCGCTTGTAGCTGCGTCTGATGCGTAAATATCTAAGGGAAGTCTGTCCAAGACTTTCCCATCTGTACTATTGACCCATGTCAGCAAGGAATTATTTCCTAACGATGAAACTATCACGAGTTGATTGTGGTCATCTTGAGACTCAGTAGAAGTGACATATTCGTAATTCCCAATGTTGTCCAGATGCCAATCTATGGCATCAACCTCGTCATCAAACACCGCTAGAACTTTACCAAAGTTAGCCAAGGCGAACAAAGTCAAGCCAAGCAGAAAATTGAAAGCTCTGGTCATCAATTGGGGCGGCCGTGGCGTCTAAATAAGTTTTCGGGCGTGTGTAATAGATGTGGCGATACGATACTTGAGTTACGAATCTCTACTTACAAGGAACTTCGCTTAATATTGAATAACCGTGATGTCGCATAACACGAAGATGTGAACTGACAGTAGATAGTATCGTCTCCGAGACCGTCGTTTTACTTCAACGATTGTTTCGGCCAGCGTTGGGATCATTCCGGTCTTCTTTCTCTACCGGGTGAATATCTTTGTCTGTTCCATTGTCTTCGGGCATCAAGACTGTCGGCAGAAATTTGATGCTTAGCGACGTTTCTAATGCCAAGTCTAACCATGGGTTGAATGCAGACCAAGTTTCCGTCAGATCAATATCCTGTGGATCTTGCAGACTAGGGTCAAAAGCGATGCCTTTGAGAGCTGTTTGGCGAGGGCCGTTAGAAACCGGTATGCTGTGTTTTGGAGATGAATCCATGAGTGAGTGCACGAGTTGCCTTGTCTCAGAGTTCTTCTTTATGAGATCCTGCAGTTCTTGCTTTTTATGCGATACGGCTCGACCCAGCAAGAGGGTTGTTGCCTCCTTTGTGTGCCGGCTTCGAATGAAATCCGTCATTTCGAGGTGATACTCAAGTTTATCCAAATACTCAGTAAAGGTCATAGGCTTGTATTCAAGTGGCCCAAACCAAGATATGAGCCAGCTGTCAGCCTCAGTTGTAGCACGCGCTAGCGCAACACTCTGCTTTACTTCGGGGGTGTTCAATGGCAGAACCTTCCCGTTAACGGCATCCTTCACTTTGAATCTTGTTGGATCAACGCCTTCATGATAAAAGCGCACAATGTCATTGAAAAACTGCTTTTCTCGAACAGAGTGAGCTTCTTCGTACCATGGGTCGTATTTCAAGATTGTGAGCCTGCAACTCTCAAGGAGTGACTGACTCAACAGCAGGGAACCGCTTAGTAAGTACAGTGTTCTTTTGAAAGCATTAAATTTCGCAGACTGGAAGAATCCCCCTGGAGCATCACGCCCAGTTCTATGAAATGAATGTGTCCCACCAAAGGTAGTACCAGTATGTGATCCCATATAAATATTACCGTGAGTAGTAGAGAACCGATTCAAACTGGGAAATTCAGATATATCTCTTTTCACAATTTTGCTACCTAGACGTCTGAATCTTTGGAAACAAAACAACCCAATCCCCGTTTGAATGCCCACCAGTGTCCAGAGGCCGGTTCTGTTGTCCGAGGCCGGCACTAATGGTCCCCAAAGTCGTAGTCCTAAACTGGGTCTCGGATAGAACTGTATGGATTTATCATCATCAGGCTTTTCCGGATCTTCCTTATGTGCTATTTTGGACAGACTAGGATTCTTGGAGCCGTCAGGCGGCGAATATAGACCCATTGCACGGCTACTGTCCTATGAAAATGCTATCTTGTATACAATGCAGTTAAGCTATTGACTTTGACTACTTTCATTTCTACTTGTTATTTTTCACGTTCTTGCAGGACAAGAGCAGTCGCACTTGGAAAACAAATTTCTACATGACAAAAACTGTATACTTTGACTATTAGCTGTAAAAACAATCACAATTCATCGTGTTCTACAATTTCTTCCGCAATGGCTTCGGCCTCATCGTCGACCTTGTTGGCGGCCTCGTCTGCTAGCTTTTGTTCCAAGATGGCAGAACCGTTCACACTGTTTTTGCCGTTTTCCGCTATGAACTCCATGAGGGATTCTAGATCTCTGGCACCGGAGTAGACGACAGGAGAGGATTTCTTACCTGCTGGGTATAGGATCAATGTTGGATAACCCTCTAGGTCGACGTTAACATCGTTCAAAGTAGCATCCACGTTGGCGATGACGACTTTGCCCTTGGCAGACTCATCAGAAGCGTAAACACCCGCCAGTTCTTCGTAGATAGGGGCCAATCTTTTACAGTGACCGCACCATGGAGCGTAATACTTGACCAAAACGTCTTTTTTCTCGTCTTCGACAATTTTGTCGTGAGTCTTACCAACGATTTTGAAAACACTGGCTTCCTGGACGTCAGGAATTTCTTCGGATTTCACAATAGGCTCCAACTTACCGTCAAGGAAGTTCTTGACAAACTTGGAGATGTCGCTGGTTTTCAATTCCAAAGGTTTGGTCAAAGCAGCGAACTTTTCATCACTTAGCTGAGGCATCCCAAACTTGAGGTTCTTTTCAGTGTCATGAATGACAAAGAGAGGGAATTGCTGCTTCACGTTTAGGTTGTCAGCATGTTTGCCGTACAAAGACGCATCCAAACCAACAAAGTTGACTGCACCTCTGTGCTCTTTGCCCAGCTTGGTGAAGAAATCTTCATGAGAAGCACGCTCCTCTGCGTTGTTGTAGAAGAAATAAGCGAGAGGAGTTTTGGTGCTCATGTATGACTGGAATGTCTCACCGTTGATCTCACCGAAAAATGGCTTGGTTTCGACTTGGACCCATTCGATAAGGTGTGTTAGCGAGTTGTTTTTGCCCTCAAAGTTGATTGGCTCGGCCTCTTTGGGCAAGTGAATCGATAGTTGAGGTTCTGCACCGGTCTGGTTGTATTGAACGAAAATAAAGTCATCTCTGAAAAGCTCTGCCAATTCGTGGAAGGTGTCATTTAGACCAGAAACACCACCGTCGACAATAACAGCAGATGGAGATTCGGCCAACACATCCTTGAAGTCTTCATCGGCGTCTTCACCGGCTATGACTGAGACAGCTGGCATGGATTGAGCTGTCATGTATGAAATGATAGACTGTGCGGTTCTTCCACCTTGGTATTCACTTGGAGACTCAATTTGGTGGTTCTTGAATACCTTTAGTGTTGGGTAGCCTTTGATTCCCTGCTCCATACACAGCTCTGTCTCCTGTGTACAATCAACCTGTGCTAGCGAGATATCCTTGCTTTCGAGAGCTGCTGCCGCCTCCACGTAGTGAGGTGCCAAAGTTTTACAGTGTCCACACCATGGGGCATAGAATTCGGCCAGAACCAATGGATGTTCTTTCACAAACTCAGCAAAGGTGTCAGAAGTAAGCTTAACAACTGCAGATCCCTCTGGAGCGGTAGCTTCTTGCTGAGCGTTCACGATTGCAGCTCCGAAGGCTGCAAACCCTAAAACAATATTCTTAGACAATTGCATGAGATACTTGCGCTGTCTGGAGGAGTGAGATCAACATTTTGTAGGTGGCAAACGCCAAATTCTCATACGATGTAACTTACTTATATAAAAATATAGCCAGTCTGCCACGTAACATGTCGTAAACAGTGATCGTGAACAGCCACATGAGTACAAGAACGAGTACTGATCATCAGATGCCTGCCGGGTTTCCTCAAGGCCAAGGCCAGTGACGAGCTGTGGTTTCCAGCATGGAAGTGATGAAAATCCGAAGACACTGTTTATGGGCTGTATGACTTTATCTTTTGAACAGCAATGCTGGTATGGGAGCGCAATATTTGATCGTTTAGCCATTGGGCTTATGGAAGACATAAAATGGCCCATTATCGCACGAAGAAAGAACTATCTGGTACTGGGAATAAACAGACTCCAGAAGTATGATCATGCAATTCTAGAGTGCAGCGTGAAAAAGGATTTTAGAGATGTAATTCGCATCAATTGGGTGAGAATCATCACCTACCCGTGGGCTCTTTCATTTTAACACATAATGACGACATACGCTATGCTTCTGGACTATCGTCTGCAGGTTCTTCTTTATGGGCTAAGCTTGGCGGTGGTGGTGGTATTGGTGAGCTTGAAGTGTGTTTTGTAGCAGAAGCAGGACTGGGGTCCTTTCCTTCTTGGAAGTAGTCTTGAATAGAAGCTGCAGTTGCAGCTGCATTTGCATTTCTAGTCTTCCGCCTATGAGTGGGTGGTGGCACAATAAACTGGGATGTAGTGGGAGGTGCAGTGTCCGAAACATCAGGCATAGTGGCAGAGTTACCTGCTGGAATGAAAGACTCGCCGGACGAAGAGGGCTGATCGTATGTTGTGGATGTTACGGCCGGTTGGGCCTCGTCGCCCAATGGATTGTGGAATCCATAATCATTGTTTTGGGCGATAGGAGCAGGTATGCGGTGCAGGTAACCATAGCCCATGTTGCAGCCCAGTCTTCCGTCTCCACCAATATGCACAGTGACGGGACGTACGCACTCACTGACCGCATTGTAGACGTAGAGTTCTAGTTCGTGATTTGCTCTGGATCTTAAGATATCCTGAAGCAGCGTTTCGCCTCCTGTTGCAAGTAGTCCCTCCTGGCATCCTATCACGAAGTCCTCACGGGGTACAAGACCGGCACGGCCCGCAGGGCTGGACTGGTCGGTAATGTTTAAGACATGATAGGTGTAACTAGAAGCAATCAACGGGGTCCACTGGACCGAAAAGCCTAGTTTCTCGAAAACATGATACTCCTGCGCGCCGGAAGCATCGAGTGGAACATCCTCAACGTTCTGTTTGCGCTCCACGCGTAGATATTCGGTTCTGAATGTACCACCACGGCCCGACCACACATTGAGCGCTACACTGGACCCGCAGGCAGCGTTCAGAATTCGCGTCACGGCTCCGAAATCCGGGTACAGGTAGCCATGTTGGTTTTGGACTAAAGGCAGCGGCTGCGAGTTGATTCCAACAATGTAGTCGAAGAAGGACTGCAATTGAAGCTGCGCAACGTCGCAACTAAGCACTCTGAGCCCATGGAGCGCCTCGTTGGTGTTGTTTCCGGGCACCAACAGCTCGGACGGCAAGCTTGCAAAGTACGAGTCCAGATGCGAACCGGCGCCTATGGTGTCTGAGACGCTCTGTTCGAACGTCTTCACGATATTCTTAGCTATTCTAAACATTGGGAACACGCGATTGGAAGCGAGGAATGAAGCAGAAGCAGAGTTTGCTGAGAGACGAGCAGTTATTGGGACCTTACCATTGACAATAATACTAGTAAGTATTCCCTGGAACTTCCATTTCAAATGGGGTCTTAATTTCGTTGAAGTGTCCGTATCAGACGATAACAAGATCATTATCATGTGACCATATAGCACGTGATTTTCCAAGAAAAAATATTTCGTATATAGTGTTGAAGTATTATGTAATCGATGTCATTTGTACTCGAGTACTCGACGCACTTACCTAACTCAATCTATTTCCATATATCAGCTTTAATTCATCCTTAACTATACTATGTTTCTACCACCTCTCTCCAGGAACGGAGATGAGGAAACCGCGTAGATTCATTACTGATGTCCGGTCGGGAACAGATCTACCTGTAGAGAACCTGTTTTTCTCTCGTTCATGATTTTCTTGTCTACTTCCGTCAACCCCGAATCTCTTCCACACTCCCTTCGTAAAGGCCTCCTCTACTCGTCTACCCCGCGTACCCCGGTTTCTACGAGCCAACCGTAATTGTAACCAAATTTTGAAAGCTGAAATAATGGCGAGACCAAAATTTCGACACAACAAACGTAGTTGCTTATCCGGTCACATCTAGCTCCCCTTTTTGCTTTAAGAAAGAACGGAAAACCACGATTTCGCCGTATGGTCTGTTATCCGGCTATGCGTGGAAACTTATACATTTATGTATATATATATATAAGAGGACGTCATGAAAAACTCATGATAGAAATAGGGAATAAGGTATATAATAGATGTAAATACATATCTCACGGATATTTACTCAGAATACAGAATTTGTGTCTTCATAAAACAAGTTCTATAACTAGTTTCTGGTTAAACAATCAGACCTTAATTGCCAGCTACTTGAAGCCCCTGATAGTGCTTAGTAGCCTTATTTTTTGCTACTTTTTTAGTAACTTATATACCTTCCCTTAGTGTTCCTGCTGTCTTCTGATTTTGTCAAGAGATAATGTCTTTCGATAAAGTGCACCAGGAGACTCACGGACGTCTGTCCAAGGCCGTCGACGACGTGTGCGAAGAGTTTGTGCTTTCCCCGGAAAAAATGCACGAGCTGACCAACTTCTTTATTGAAAGCATGGAAAAGGGTTTAGGGCAAGCCAAGGAGGACGCAGACTACCGTGGATTGCCAATGATCCCAACGTACGTGACAGGGCTTCCCAACGGTACAGAAAGCGGAATGTTGCTCGCCGCAGATTTGGGGGGCACCAATTTCAGAGTGTGTTCAGTGGAGTTAAAGGGAAACCACAAGTTTTCGCTGCTGCAGATGAAAAGTAAAATTCCGGAAGAACTGCTGGAAGACGAGAGTGTGACAAGTGACGCACTGTTCACTTACCTGGCCCGCAGAACACTGGCGTTCATCAACAAATACCATCCAGAATACCTGCAAAACGGCGAGAAGCTCAAACTGGGGTTCACGTTTTCGTACCCAGTTAACCAGACTTCGCTGTCTTCCGGTACGCTAATACGTTGGACCAAGGGTTTCAAAATCAAGGACACGTTGGGCAAAGACGTGGTGAAACTGTACCAGAAACATTTGGACGATCAGGGCATGTCAATGATCCGTGTTGTGGCTTTGGCCAACGACACCGTGGGCACCTTTTTGTCGCACTGCTACTGCTCCGAAAATAACGGTTCGCTCACGTCTGGTGAAATCGTCGAGCCCGTGATGGGCTGCATTTTTGGTACCGGCACCAACGGAGCCTACCTGGAGAAAATCGAAAACGTAAAAAAACTGCCCGAAGAGTTGCGTGCAGAGCTTTTGCAATCCGGGAAAACGCACATGGTCATCAATACCGAGTGGGGTTCCTTTGACAACGACCTCAAGCACCTGCCCACAACACGCTACGATATCGACATTGACCAGAAATTCTCGAGCAACCCTGGGTTCCATTTGTTCGAAAAACGGGTCTCTGGTATGTTTTTGGGCGAAATTCTCAGAAATGTGCTTCTGGACTTGTTCAGAAGAGGGCTTATTTTTGGCCAATACTCTTCGGAAGACCACCTCCCGCACAGATTGACCACTCCGTTCGAACTGTCGTCTGAAGTGTTGTCGCACATCGAAATTGATGATTCCTCGCAGTTGCGGGAGACCGAGCTGTCGATCTTGCAGAGCCTGCGGTTGCCAACGACGTACGATGAGCGGATTGAAATTCAAAAGTTGGTGCGTGCCATTTCCCGTCGTTCTGCCTACCTTGCTGCTGTTCCTATTGCCGCGATCTTGACAAAGACGGGTGTATTGAACAAGCGTTACCACGGAGAAGTGGAGATCGGGTGCGACGGCTCCGTTGTCGAGTACTACCCAGGATTCCGGTCCATGATCCGCCATGCTTTAGCCTTGAGTCCTATAGGACCAGAAGGCGAACGTAAGACCCACTTGTGCATCGCAAAAGACGGTTCGGGAGTTGGTGCTGCTCTGTGTGCTCTAGTTGCTTGATAACAGAGCGCCTAGTCTGAACGATACGAGACATGAAGCATATCACAGCAAGCAAGTAAAATACAAGAGCGAGCGTGTTGGGACTCAAACACCGACGCTCAAGATTTTCTTTCTTGAATTTTTGACATATTAAGAAGACTATATGCAGTTCAACGTCTAACTGCAGCATAACTACCAACCGATTATATAATCTATAATCTAAAGTCACATGCTAAGTTCTAAAAAGTGATCACGCCATAATGGCGTGACTAGATCACATTCGCATAAATTGACCTTTTTCTCTAAAGGCATCCCTTAAAAACACTCATGACTATAAATTGATCAAGTGTATCTCACGTATTTCACCTACCTACATCACCTGTGAGTCACTGCTGTATACTCCAGGTTGATGCCCGTAGCTTTTAATGCCACTAGTGGTGGAGGTAGTGTGCTGGACGCTGTGTCCGTGCCTTCGTTCTTGGGGAACCCAAACTCGAACTGTCGCCCCAGGACAAGTAATGCACCCTTTATGAACAACGATATGGACATGTCAAGGAGTCCTTTCGACAAAGTACAGCTCACAAAGCTGTTGATAAATACGCTGCACGAGATGGGGTATTCGGAATCAGCAGTTTTGTTGCAAAAAGAGAGCGGAGGCGTTGAGGTAAAGTCGAGCAATGTGCAAAGACTGTTTTCAGCTATCAATGGTGGCCAGTTCCAGCATATTGATTTGAATATGCTGCTTGGATTACCATTGAAACATGGCGGCCTGAAGAACTTGCCATTTTCTACCGAACACGGTCGTCCCATGTCACAGGACAGCAATGAAGGTTCCGAAAGAACGGCTTTCTTGGAAAATGGACATGACAGCGATGAAGATAGAGCTATGAAAATTGAAAACCTTATTGTTAAAAAAGCCGACTGGCATTGTTTTTTCGACGTCATGCAAAAAGATCTAGCAACTTTGGAGCCTCTGGTGAGGAACATGGCGGATTTTGACGGAGCCACACTCGCAAGCCTACTTGATACCGTCGAGATGCTCGTTTTGATCAATAAACAGGTTTTCCTCGAACTGATGTTCGACCAGCAGGATTCGTCGCTGGCGGTTGTTTTTCTGAGAACGGTTCTACGGAAATTTATCCAGTTATGGGAGTCTCTCTTGATGTACCAGGAAAGTTCCTATGCGCTCACCCCAGACACACTTCTCAAGCAAATGACAAGTATACTCACATGCCCTTTAGACTCAGCAGAACTCTCTGAAGTATGGCCCGGTAGTCTGGAAAGCTCGAGACAAATACTGATCAGGTCGTTGTCCAATTACATAGACCCCAACGATTTGGTGCCTCGTGGGAGACTTCTCACACTTTTGAGCCAAGCTATAAAATACCAAAACTCACAAGACGTGCTCAACTTTGAGGACGAGGATGAAAATTCTACTGGTGATGAATCCCGACAATACAATCTACTTCAAGACAATAGTTCAAGCTCCCAACGAATTTCGTTTGCTGCTCAGAAGATGCTTGCTCAGAACGCAGATGAAATATGGTATCTCGAGTTCTCACCAGATGGGAGGTATCTAGCCAGCGCTTCTGCAGACTCTCTCACCGACCGCAAAGTCCTGATCTACGACGTGGAACAAGATTTTCAAGTGTACAAGGTACTTGGCGGTAACGACCAATGTGTTCTCTACCTTTCCTTCTCTCCCGACAGCCGATATTTGGTATCGTGTCCATTTAACGAGGAAGCAAAAATTTATGATATACACAAGAAAGGTCAGCATGCGGATCTGAATCAAGAATTTGAAGGATCTATGGTCGCCGAGATCATTCAGCCTGATGACTACTTCAAGATTTACGAAAATGAAGGCACGCCAAACGGGAGCTCTCCAAGAATTTGGTGTTGCAGCTGGTTTCAAACTGAACGTAATAAAGGGCGTTTTGCGCTAGGCTCCCCTGACAGAGATGTCATCATTTATGATATCAGTACGAAATCTATTCTGTTCAAATTATCTCAAGTTCTCAGTTTGAACGCTAACCTGTCTCAAGAGCAATTTCCAAGAGTCCACGATTTGAAGATTACCTGCAAAGATAAATACCTGGTTCTCATGGCTCATGAATTTTATGTGGACACTTACGATATTTCACAAATTCCACCTGTTCAAAACGGGGAGCGAGTTAACGACTCTGGTGTCGACACCACGGGATTTCATATTTCAAAGGTCTCGCGGCTAAGCGTTGGCAAACGTATGACATGCTTAGCTGTTCCCAACGTCAGCGATTATACAAAAGATGAGAACACATTGATACTGGTAAATGTCCAACCACATGAGTTACAACTATGGGATTTCAAGGAACAGATACTCGTTCAAAAATTCTACGGCCAACGACAACTACAATTCATAATACGATCCTGTTTCGGCTATGACAATAAGTTAGTGGCCAGCGGTTCGGAAGATGGTAAAATTTACATTTGGGACAGATTTCACGGTAACATTGTAAGCGTCATAAACGGTCACGAAGCAGAGCGAGCGTCCACTCGAATCTCAAATAAGACTTTTGGGAGAAACTGCAACATCGTGGTTTGGAATCCTGCGAACAAAAACATATTTGCCTCAGGAGGAGACGACGGTTTGATTAAAATATGGAAAGTAGTCAGAGGATAGTACTCATAATATAAGCATGTTCATAAAGTTCATTTCGGGTTACATTAGCCTTGTTTTGTTTGGCATGGCACTAGTCATGTAAGGTTTGTATGTTACTGAGATCCTGTGCTTCTCTTTTACCTCTCTTGACGTCCAGCATTTTGAAGACAGGTATTGAAACCAACAGCAGGACGAGTAACAAATAAAATGAGTACCTGATGTTATGGGTTTTGTCAGTAATGAACCCCGCTAGAAATGGCCCAACAATCGAGGAGCCTTTGTCAGTGACGCTGAAAAGACTAAAAAATGTCGATTCTTTGCCGCTAGGTATAATAAGACTGAAGACCGAGCGAGAAACAGCCGATAAACCTCCCATAGCCAGTCCGTACCAAATGGCTAACACGTACATTTCTCCGGCATGCCTCAATCCAAATGAATCAAAATAAAACCCCAAAACACCATAGAGTGGAATACAACCGGCCCAGCAAATGATAAATATCATCATGCCTTGTTGTGATAGTTTGAATCTCGACGTAAGAATCTGTGGTATCAAAAAAGCACCTACGATACCACTCAAAAGCGATAGAACGCTGACGGTTATAAGTCCCAAAGTTTTCATTTCGAGCTCAGTCTTGGCAAAAAGAATGGCCGTGGAATTGATGGTTGTTACTGAATCAGATACAATAAACCATCCAATCAAGAAGATGACCACATCCTTCAAAAGACTGGCGTTTTTCAAGGCCTCAAACAACGAGCGCCAACCGTACGCAAGGTATTGTGCGCAATGGGAGACTTTCATGTCGCCTGCTTCGACTAGTGGTGGAAGAACATCTTGTAAGAGCCAGACCAAAGGAACCTGCCAGGCGAACCACCACAAGCCGACAAAGAAAACCGCGACCTGGATATTGTCGTGTGTTTTGCTATTTTTTATCAGAACTATGGATCCGAGCTGGACTATAAGAGCCGCCACGTAGCCCACACCAGAGCCTCTCCCACTGATCACGGATGTTACTACCTCATGGTCGTCCTGCTTATGAGCTGAATTGTACTGGATCAAATCCCGCGAAAAAACAGGCAGTAATGAGTTACCTACAACGTTGACCACGCCGTAGCAGCAGTTAGAGACCACGGCGAGTACAGCCAACGAATAGAATTGGGAGGTGTTCAATTGCGAGATTACAAGGGTCGATACGCTTCCCAAGACTCCAAAAGTCACGATAACGTAAGCCCTGAACTTTATAGAGCTCCACATGTCGACCAGGCCAGATATCGATATAACTAGCAACGCCTGGAAAAGCACACTAAGTGAGAACGTATAAAGAGCAAAACTAGCCGTATCGATGTAAAAAGCGTTATTGAAAACTCCCAAGACACATTTTTGATTCGGCGTAACACAATTCAGCGAGTGATCGTCTACTGACACCCCGTTTATCCTTGCAAACTGTTCCAACAAAAGGGGAACATACGTAGAAACGGCAGAAACAATGAATGGTTCACTCGAAAAACAGTACAGGTACCAGCCCAAAACGTTTTTCGAAGATTTCCTATCTCTATCGGGCTGGTGAACCAGCTCCTCGTCAGAGGTAACGGCTTGGTAGTTCATGGTTTTGAATATGTTGTTTAAATGTATTCAGGGTTTATCTTTCAAACGGACTTGATTAATATAATTATCAATATATTCTTGAAATTTACTAGGGTTAATATATGGATAACATACAAGATATTTCAGCGAGAACACCACTTATAAGCTAGAATTAGATGTAAGAGTCTATAACAGTGAATATTTCGCTCTTTTTATTGAAGACTGATGGAATCGATTAAAGGCTGAAGTTTGTGCTTTTTTTGATACCAAATTCGGGTTTTTCTGTGCGAAATGGGAATATTCTGATGCCCGGGTGATTGAGCGGCGCAGGGTATCAACAGAATGAGTGTGCAGTGAAAGAAAAGGTTAGGCAAGTCGCGCATTTCTATGTTTTTAACGGAAAGCCTTTGATTCTCATCACGTCATTGATATCTGTCGTGGAGACTAGAGAAATGAGTAGACGACTGCGTAGCTGGCAGGAGAAGAAGCTGGACACGACGACACATATTTTTGAGAGAGGTGTTTGTATGTCGCTGAAAGCTCCAAAATCATGGCGAATGGGTTGGGCGTCTATGGTGTAAGTCTTCTTAAAGCTGCGAACACTCAAAAGGCTCCCGGTGTCCCTTTTGTTCATCGCGGAAAAAAGTCCAAAGCGACAGCAATTAGGACAGCCCACAAGCTCTCTGTTCGCTTTGCAGACGGGGTAGAGAAAGATACCTTTCAGATCTCTATATACACGAAAAACAGTCGTATAGATCATGCACGGAAGCGTAACTAGTCATTGAGGATAGAATCAAACAGTCAAGGAAACTCGACCTTGAGTATCAGAGACCTCAGTCGTTGCGATAAAAAAAAAAACCAAAAAATATGGATATGAGGAGGGAGATGGTAAAACAGAACAATGCGATGAAATTAATGGTTTATGCGTGTCCATTGAAACTGAAACTCCTAGTGCAGGGAACAGCAGAAGGGATTTGACCATCAAGTTGAACTGGAAAAAAAAAAAGCTGGGAACAAGAACAAAAAAATAATATTTGGGATGTGGTCGTGAAAGATTCATGCTTAGAACGCTTTCATATTTTTTGGCAGAAAAAATTCATTTTAGCACTTGCATTGAACAGCAAATGATCAAAAACCCTACAACTGTGTTTAGAATACAGTCTCGAAAGAGTTTTCGTTGCAGGCGTTTTTGTTGATAAGTTTTCAATTTTTTATTAATCAGAGTGTGGCGACTTCCTAAGATTGATCATCATCGTTGGCCTCAGTTTGAGCCGAAGCTTCATGGTGGTGCTCTTCGTCGCCCTGTGGAGCTTCTGTTGGGTCTGATGCAAGTACTGGTGGCTGAATGCGGAAAGAATCCAACTCCTCGTTCAGCAAGATCTTCTTGTCATTTGTCTCCGCCTGAGCAGCCTGGTCGCTGTTGTCTGCTTCGGAAACCCATTGCTGCCATTCCTTGGATCTCACAAGGTAGTGATCCAAAGAAGTTTCAGCGGCGTCATTTTGCGCGAGGGCAACATCGACAGTGGCAGTCTCGTTGGCAACAATTTCTCTTAAGGCGCCCATAATGAGAGAAGCATCTCCCCCGAAAGACATGTTCACAATTCTGTAAAACTTGGAAATTAAGGAAAGTGGCACGAAGCCGTCGCTTGCAAATTGAGAGCGTAGATACTCATCCTTAGTCAAGTTTTCAACACTGAAGTAATACTCGATCTGTCTTGCAATGTTGTTGACGGCAACAATTGGATGAGGAGGCTGAGAGGCGTAAAATCCGTCATGGTCCCCCTTATGTGAGGTTCTAGAGCGGTAAGAGCGAGGCTGGCCAAACGAACCGTAATGGTGCTTTGATGGGTATTGCGAGTGAGAGTGATGGGATCTGAAAGATCCGTGCGACTCTGCGTCGTGCCCCTGGTGGTGGTTTCGTCTTCTGGGGTATCCTTGACCGTGATGATTTCTCCCGTGAAAGTTGGCTCTCGAGTTATGATGATGCTCATGCGGTTGGGAAACGTCAGAAGCGTTTCCTTCGAAGCTGTTTTCGTTGTGATGATGCGTTGCCTCACCAATTTCCGAGTTTGGTGATACCGCATTCTTCGCGTCATCAATTGTAGAAGAATCGGCGTCAGCCGAAGTGCTGTTTTCCGAGGGGGTTTGCTGGTCTTTCTTGACAGCTTGCTTGGAACCTGCTGGGTCAAGCTGTTTTTTTGTCCTGTTGGCGTTGCTGCCACTTGACCCCGTTCCTGTGCTGTTGTTGTTGTTGACCCTACGAGGTCTTCTGCCAGACTGACCGCGTCTGTTGCCGGGGCCAGAGTGGTTGCCGTTCGTGTGATTGCCGTTGTTCATGTTGTTGTTGTTGTTGCTGTTGTTTCCACCACTTCTCTTGGACCCCGACACAACGATAGACGCCTGCATTGGGAGCCATCTTTCTCTGCCCGATGTAGGTTTGATTGCAGGAATGGGAGGAACGAACTTGGAGCGTTTTTCCAGGGTTTCGACAGCTTCTTGGGTTGATGGCCATTTCGAGGACCCATTAGCAATCGCTTCACCCGAAGCAGGTGTCGTTGCTACTGCTTTCCATGGCGATGTGGTGGGCACAGGCGCAGGTGACAGGACGGGCTTTGGGGCCGTTTTTTCGGCTTCTTGGACTTCAACTGGCGCGGCAGCTGGCTCCGGTGCTGGTTCGTTAGCAACAAGATCTGACATGTTTAACAGGAGAGTTCCAATGGTTAAAAAAAAGCTGAGAAGTCCCTATGCAACGATACGATGAACTGAAAATGACACGATTTTTAAAAACGTAACTAACACGCTCAAAAATGGTCAAAAAAGCTTCAAAAAACTTCGATTCACCTCAATGGCACAGACCTGACACTCAAATAAAGCTATCTGGTTTCGCTAACACGACGTTTTTACCTGTTCTCAGAACCTTTTGTCTTGAAAGTTGTAAGTTGAAGATAAAGCTCATCGACTCAAATTCCAAAATTTTTCTTGAATGGCGAATTGCCAAAATTTTTCAGAAGCTCATCGCGCTCATCGCTCACGTAAGCGGTGATGAGCTTAAAGAGTTATTAGGTGTTGTAGTATAATTGAACAATGAAAAATTACCAACGATTGAAGATGGTTGATTTCTAGATTTGAAAGGACATTCGTGAAGCTTTGACGGAGAAATCTCAAGTGCAAATTGAGCCGAGAGCCTTGAGCACTGTTGGAAGTAGTACCTAGAATTTCAGCGGCTTCAAACGGTCCAAAAACGACTGAGATAGCGCTCATCTAGGCTCTGTAGACACCAACTGGGAAAAGCGTTGTGAACTCGGTAAGCCAAGAAGCCTTCTTTTCAAAAACAGCGGCTAGTGCTCTTCCAAGATCCACCAGTCTGTCTGTTCAGTCAAAAACCTGACCTGTTGATGCTCAAACAGTGGGATTATTGTTGCACAGCTATCAAGAAACAAAGACTCAGTACCAATCTAAGCAAGCCTAAAACTAACTCGATGCCTCCATTTCAATCGCAAAAGAGAAGCTATCAGCGGGAGCCAAATGCCATTTTTGTGAGAGGCGCCAAGACGCCCAGGGGAGCGGAAAATATCAGTGCGTACTTCAGAGCGGCAGCGGGCGTGTCTAATACCATTGGATTGTCCAAATCCCACATGCTCAAAAATAAGCATTTCAAGGACCTTACAAATGTCTCTTACACACCCTTTCCTGCCAGAGACGCTCATATCACAAACTACCTGGGCTTGATTGGGAAGTCGTACCGTAAGCAAGAAAAGCGGTCTGAACAGGAGCTGATGAAAAAGTCAGAGGCACTAGTTGGAAAATTGTCCGAGGAGGCGCCAGAGTCAGAATCAGATCTTGACCGTGAAAACCGGATTCGAAAAGCGCTTCGTAAACTCGAAAATGCTCACACCCCCAAGGTCAACACAGTTCCTGGCAGAACGGAATTCGATCACCTTTCAAACGCGATCGAGTATTTGAGCTCACAGAAAACAATATGCTTCTGTGTTGATGTAGAAGCCTTTGAACGGAACACAAATGTGGTGACTGAAATCGGAATTTCGATATACGACCCGCGGGAAAGTCAGTTTTCCACTGTACCGATTCTACGGACTTACCATCTGATCGTTGCCGAGTCATTGAAGCTGCGTAACGGCAGGTTCGTGTGCGATTTGAAAGATTGTTTTCTAAAGGGAGAAAGCTATGTGATGTCGTTAAGCAATTGCGTCAAATTCATACAAACATTGATAAACTATTACATGGTTCCTGCTACTGCTGCGGAACACACCTGGAAACGTGCATTCGTGGGCCACAATGTTAAGGGTGATTTAAAATGGCTTTGCAGCATTGGGGTCCAACTCCCCAACACCATTGACTACAATTTCAGTCAATCTAAATCTCCGCTTACTGTCAATGTAATAGACACAGAGCGGCTGTTCAGAAGCTCGTACGGGAGTAAAGGATCCAGTTTGGGCAAGATACTGCGGTTGTTCGAAGTACCGCATGCATTCTTGCACAACGCGGGTAACGACGCTTACTATACCTTGAAGCTAGCTTTGCACATGTGCGACGTACAACACCGCAATTTGCTGGAGATGGATGATCTTTATGCTGTGGTGGATAAGATTGAGACGTGGGCGAAACGGGACACGATGGAGGCCAAGATTTTGCCGTTGTCGTACGTGAACGCGGCGATCGAGTTTACAGACCCAAGCATCAAGAAAAAGACGGTGCACCAGACCGAGTTTGGTGGCTGCGTGTGGGTCGAAGACCCGATTGCGAGTTTGACGGGCCAGTTGTAGATTATTTAGTGAAAGTTTTTAAGTACAGGTAAGATGAACTCGGTGAGGTAGTGTAGGGGTTTTTGAGGGCGGGAGAGGCTGGAGTGGAGGAGGGTTGACTGAAAGTGGTATTTCGGGACCAGAACTATAAAATTTGATGAATGAGCACGAAGCACCAGGGGTTTCCGGAGATGAATGAGGGTTTGTATATGTGGATTGAGATTGAAAGGGGAATTTGTTTTACCTTTGTCAGCTCGGTTGTCGGAGGGAACCCATTTGGGATCCATTTGAGCACCTACTTGGGAACCCATGTGCAACCCATTTAAGGATCCATTTGGGAATCCATGCGCAACCCATTTGGAAATTCATTTTATAATCCTTTTGGGAACCCATTTGAGCACCCATAAACAACCCATTTGACAGCCCCTTTTACAACCCATGAACAACCCGGCTTTCCACGCTTGAAACCCATCAAAGATCCCATAAACATTAGTCTAATGACCCACAACTATCCGATGGGGCACCAGCTCATGCACCTGTTTGAGCATCATCTCCAAGAGCGATGATCCTCGGTTACCATTTACGACATGCAAATGCACATGCAATATGCAGTATACATACTGCATATTGCATACTGCATCAATCAAGATCTGCATGCATGTTTATGCATCATCACGCATATGCAGCCATGTGCATCGATAAATAGCAAACCAAGCTCAAGATCGCCATCCCGCATATCGCGCATTCGTCTAGGCATAATGCCTTTACGAGGCGCGTCTCCCACGCCGAGGCCCAGCATCCGCCGAGAATGTCAACAATCGCGTCTGCAAATCTGTTTTTGTGGCAAGTCTCACCAACCAGCATGGATTTTCGCGTGTTTGTTGTCGTTGCTGCCGCTCCCGCCCCTATTTGGCCAGTTTAGCGGGCTGGCTCGTCGGATACCTCCAGAACGGGTAAACTAGCAAGAGAAGTATATAAACACAAGGTATCTTCAGTTTTTCGGTACTTACGCGTCAATAGTTCTTCAATATTGGATTTTGTTACTTGTTTTTTGTCAGTCAAGCTCTCATAACTCGATAAACCGAACCTCATAATAATGGTCTCTTGCAAACTAGCACTAGGCTTGCTAGCTTCGGGCGCTATTGCCACAGCCGCCCAAACTTTCCAAGTCGCCATCGACTACCAACAAACGCTGGGCGTTTACTACTACTTCCGTCAAAACAATGACCTTGTCAAAGTGTCGCCTAACAACCAAGGTCTAGCCGTGACCGTCAACAGTGACAGCAATGTCTGTGACATTTTGCGTTCTGGTATGATTGTTGTCAAACCGGACGACTCCGCGAACAACAAATTGGTCACGTGGAACCAATATGAGGTTTTCCATTTGGACAACTCTCAGGGCCAAGAGCTCACCTGGACCCAAACCCTTGTGCAATCCTGCGGTGGCGGCTCCTCGTCGTCTGCTAGCGGCTCTGGCTCCTCCGGCCAGACCAGTACCGTCAGCAGCACCTTCACTGCTGGCAACTCCGGCTCCAGCTCCGGTTCTGTCTCCACCGTCAGTGCCGGCGGCTCTTCGTCCACTTTCGGTACCGCCAGCGGCTCTTTCACCGGCTCCGTTCCTTCCTCCACTATCATCGTCAACACCGGCTCTGCCTCTGCCTCAGCTTCTGCGTCTGCTTCCTTGACCCCATCTGTTGTCACCACCACCCACAGTGGCACTGTCACCTCCTACACCACTTACTGCCCTATCTCGTCCGGTGAATACACTTCTTCTGTCGTCACCATCACCGAGAGCGGCACTGTCACTTCCTACACTACCTACTGCCCTGTGTCCACTTTGCCTGCTTCTTCAAAGCCTCGAACCTCCGTTGTCACTGCTACTGAAAACGGTGCTACCAGCATTTACACCACGACTTTCCCAGAGTCGAGCCCTGCTGCATCCACCACCTCGGTTGTGACCACCACCATCAGCGGTGTTGAAACCATTTACACCACCACTTGCCCTATCAGCGGTGCCACTACCGGGGCTCCAGCTTCCACCGGCTCTGCTGCATCCACCACCTCTGTCGTGACCACCACCATCAGCGGTGTTGAGACCATCTACACCACCACTTGCCCTCTCAGCGGTGCCACCACCTCGGTCCCAACCTCCACTAGCCCTGCTGCCTCCACCACTTCAGTTGTGACCACCACCACTGGCGGTGTTGAGACTATCTACACTACTACCTGTCCTGTAAGCACCACGGCCTCTGAGACCTCCACCGTTATCACCACATCAAGCAACGGTAAGCCAACCACTTACACCACTGCTGTTCCTGTCAACCCTGGTTCCAACACTGCTCCTGGCGCGACCACCATTGTCCAGCCAACCACTATTGTCACTTCCACTGTCATTTGCACTGAAGACAAGTGCAAGACTCAAGAAGTGTCTACCGTGTCTCAGGTCACCTCTGTGGTGACTCCAAGCTCTGCTGCTCCAGGCACGACCGTTCCAGGCACTACTGTTCCAGGCACCACCGTTTCAGGTACTACTGTTCCAGGTACCACTGTTCCAGGCTCTTCTGCTTCGGGCACAGTCGTTCCAGGTACTACCGTCCCAGGTACCACTGTTTCGGGCACTACCGCTCCAGGAACCACCGTCCCAGGCACCACTGCTCCAGGCTCTGCTGCCCCAGGCACCACCGCTCCAGGTTCCGCCGCCCCAGGCACCACTGCCGTGCCATCCTCTCAGGCCCCATCTGGTCATAGCTCTGCTGCCGCTGGTTCGGGCAGTGCTGCTCCATCTTCAGTCACCATCAGTCTATCCACTGGTGGCGCTGCTGGCTTGAGAACCAACGGTATCTTGATGGCCATTGTTGCCATCTTTGCCTCTCTTTTGTAGTTTTGACGTAAGTTAGCTAACTTCCATAAGTACAATCGAATATGCTTTAAATTTAAAACATTGGTTGAATGTATATGAAAGGCGTTGTTTATCCACAGCAGGAATCTCTGGAGTTGCTGATCGATGCAAATGTCAAGACAAGTCGGTGCTATACATAAGCAGTTTGACGACTACATGAACAGGGGAACGCGATAACACAACGTATAAAAATCAATAATTACAATTGATTTGAAAGACAAATTCAAACACGATTGACTATTGTCATTCTTGCTGCATTTTCACCAATTTGACGATTGTTAAGCTACTGTCAACACTGCTGTCGTCAGCGTTCTCAGCATTGGCGAATTTGATTGTTTGTCCCCGAGTACTTTCTTGCTTGGCCCATCATGAGTACACGAGAGTTGTAGTCTTCGAAAAGATACCCAGTTCACTGCCGCATAAAACTGAAGACGCCCAGCACTAGGCTGGAATATCGAACACGGAAAACTTCAATTTTAGTCTCACTATATCTGAAGTCTCAGTTGCTTTCGATATGTTTATGCTTCATTATTCTTGTTGAAATTCCAGGGCATTGGTACACTCATCGAACAAAACAACAGAACATCAGCACTATAATCATTGCAGAATCGAGTCTGACACACCATGTGTTTGGAAATCCGTGCCAGTTATGTCTTCACATCAAGAATACTGCCTGGCCCATTCACAATTACTAATTTGTTCTGAATGGCCAATATCTGCACTACAAGCACATACACACACACACTAGCACTCTTACACCATTATCAATGCATTTCTTAACTATGTCATAATTGCACAAGAATATACAAACTGAGAGCCGTTGATCGTAGCCCAGTCTAAGCCAGTGCCTTCTTTAGCAAAGCGTCCAGCTTGCCACTTGATTCAAGGGCCTGAAGGTCGCTGTTGCCACCAATGTGTTGGCCCGAAATGAAAATGTTTGGCACGGATCTCTGGCCAGTAATTTCCTGTAGGGCATCCTGGATGTCAGAACCGTCCTTGATGGTGTCCAATTGCAATAGTAGCACCTGGTCTTTCGACAGCTTCTTGTCCTCGAACAGCAACTTGATCGTCGCCTGGCAGTATGGGCAATAGGTCTTGGAAGCAACAAAGATTTTGTTGTCCTTGATGAAGTTTTGAACTTTTTGAACAGTCTCTGGAGATGCCGTCATTGTACCGAAAACAGAACCAAAGAACCTACGGAAAACAAACACTGTGGCTATTAAAACAACTAGAACTAGTGCTTTGGAGATTTCCATAACTTCGACTTAAATGCAATGGGTCTTGCCAATGGGTTGATAAGTCAGCTTGGCTGCGCTTATATAGTCCGAGTATCTGGCCGGGTAACCTCTTAAATTTGGATTTTCGAAATTGCAGCTATTTAAATGACGTTTTACTCCCTTTAAAGAAAACATCAAGCATTGAAGATCGTTTTCTAATCGACACAGCTATCATCAATTAGAAGCTGGTATAACCACTTTTGAGGTCATTTTTAAGCTCCCAGTCGAGTGGAAGTGCCATTGAGCAATTTTCAGCGCTTCAAAAGAGCCCAAACTTGCCTAGTATGGGGTTTCTCACCGACCATCAGCACACCGCCATCACAGACACGATAGATCGGATTGTATCGTCAGAAAACGTTACTTTGGAGGTAGAACTCGCGGCTTTGATACAGCAAATTCGTGCCGGAAAGGGCGATTATGGGTACAACGGCAACCAAAGCGAGGCGGCCCGGTGTCTGCGGAAAAAACTCAAGTATGGGAATCGGGTTCAACAATCGCGTAGTCTGGACCTCTTGAACCTATTCATTTCGCAGCGTTTAAAGTTCTCGGAAATGTACAACGACGCCAAGCTGCTGGACAGACTGCAGGTGATCGCTTTGCAAACGGGCACTGACGCCAATGGACAGCGTTACCATGTTCGTGTGGTAAAAAAATGCATTGGCTACATTCTGGCGTGGTACGCGTTGATAGAGGATCAGGGCCCCAGTCGTAGTTACGAGGCTTTATATGATCTGGGCCGCAAAGTGCGGAGCAAATACACTGCAAGGCCACGTTCCACACCAACGAGGAGACGAAAGAATTTCATGAACGACGAGGCAGACGCTTCGATGCTCATGACAGCAGACGAGCGGTACGGTATACCACAGATAGACATGGCTCAAGAGGGACCGCGCATCCGATTGCTCATTAGCGACGCGCTGGCTTCTGCCATCTCTTTGAAAAACGGCCTGAACTCCCTGTCACCTTCGGCTAAGAGCACGGAAAGCGAAGAGGTGACTGCAAAATTCATTCAAGCCCGTGCTGTTCGTCGCAAAGTGCTAAGATACCTACAATTGGTGGCAGAGGGCGAATATTTGGGCAGCTTAATTCACGCCAACGAGGAGTTGGTGTCAGCATTGGGCCAGTACGATGAGCGCAGCGGGGAAGTATCCGACGACGAGTTTCTGTATTCGGATGAAAACGAAGATGAAGAGGAAGACGAATTTTCTGCTTTATCGTCATCGTACTCAAGAGACGTGGAACGTGCCGATTCGAACAACCCTTTTGGCGACCAGAACCGCATTTGAACTTTGCAAACCAAAATTACATCCAAAAAAAAGTAGGAGACCCGGAGTTCCTAATGCAGGGCAATCCCAACAGAAATACAGAACGCATTAATAATACACTCAAATCAAACATAAACCTATCCTACTTCCTAAATGCATGTCTCACTGTTTCAATCCTTCTTCTTGAAGTTCAATGACAGACTATTGACACAATGTCTGACGTCCTGAGGCAATCCCAGACGCTCGCGCCAGCCCTCGCCTTCGAAAACATGGCCCAAATGTCCGCCGCATTTTGCACAGCAGATTTCCGTACGCACCATGCCCAGAGTGCTGTCACGATTGTACGTGATGGCTCCTTTTGATACCTCTTCGTAAAACGATGGCCATCCACACTGAGAATTGAACTTCGTATCACTCTTGTACAATGGCGAGTCGCAATTGGCACAGTGGTATATTCCAGAGTCTTTGTTGGTGAGATACGCTCCCGTGTGCGGTCTTTCGGTGTGTTTGTCGCGAAGCACCAACAATTGCTCTGCTGTTAGGTTAGGGTTCCAATTAGGTGTGCTCATCTTTGACTTTAACTGGATAAAAGAAACGGAAAACTTTCTTGACAAATAACTACTTTCTCTTCTCAACAAGCTTCCGTTGAGTAAGGTCCTTCTAAGCATAAACTTGATGATAGTAGACTTGTTAACTTTGAAGTCCACTGAGCTTCTTATATACACTTCAAACTAATCGGGAGTTTTTCAGCCTACTAGTTTAAACTTGCAAAAATTACCTGCAAGTACTCAAAGTTGTTGTATTCACCATTTAACTTGACTCTCACACACTGATCCGCACTGTTACTGGATTACTAACACCAACACGGCTGCGCCATGACTACAAAGTATCCCTCCACGATGAGCTGCACCGAGGCTTTTGATCAGCTCAGTGCTTGCTATTCGGTCGGTGGCCAGTTCCGCAACTACTATCGGTTTGGCGACTTTAATGCGTGTACTAAGCAATTAGAAAAGTTCAAGTTCTGTATTCTACATGGGACCGACCCCGTGGAAATCCAGCGTTGGTACCAGAAACAAGCCGAACAGAACGCGGAGAACTGCGGCAGCTCCGAGGACATCTGGCAAGAGAGAAAGAGTAACTAGTAGACGTGATAACTATGGAACTCTCATTGATGAGCTTACCTGTATATATTATATATATATATATGTTATAACGATAAAATATGAAAAGTTTCATTTCGTTAGTAGTGATATGATATTACAGGCGCTAGTCCAGTTCTCTAGGGATATAGCTAGTGGATACCGAATGGCAGCGGTGCTTTATTTTGGGCAGTGCAGTTACAATTTGGTTTGATAGCTGAGCAATGGGATCGGAAAAATATGAGTTTTTTGGGTTTTGAAGGGGGCTCTGTCATGGTAATTAGATACGTGGGTTATGGACCTCCCCATATGGCGGCAGGAAGGAAATTCGGAGTTCACAATTCAAATGAATAGCAGTCACCTAAAAGAGTCTTGTATGATTAAGATGTATCCATATAAGCTACAATAATGATTCTGTATGAATTTTTTTGTCACTTTTTGAATGTCAGTCATTGAATCACGTGACTGTTCCACATTTCACTTTATTTCTAAGCTCTAGCACATTCCCACCGTTCAATTGAGAGTCTGCGATGCTTCGGATCAATTTCCAAGAGACTCCAACAAGCATAAACTCATAATTCGTGTTTTCCTGAATGCCTTCTGTAATGCTGAGAAAGAAACGAAATTCGAATTCTTTCTTCACAGCCAACATCCCTAAAAAAAAAGCTGAATCAAACAACAATAAACTACTTTAACTATTGGCAAAGTATCGTAAAGACACTGATCAATCTCTCATACAAGCTGATCTCTATCGTAAAAAACAGAAAAGACTATACCAGCACATCTCATCACTTTGCACGGCGCTGACACCGTAACCACCCAATAAATCTATTCTTAAACTAAACCCATAGGCTAGATCCTAAGCTTCTGCTCATCCAAGCTCATGAACAGGAGCTCTGATTCTCCTGGTACGCTTCAAGCATTCTGACCAATGAGCATATCTTCCAAGCAGACACCCGAAGAGCTTAAAGTCGAGGATGTCGCGCTTTGGGGCGTTGAAGAAGTGCTTATTTGGGTCGAGCAGGTAATAGGCAGCTTGGGAATCGAAAACGCTGATGATGACGAGGAAGAAGAAACCAAGAGTAATCCTCTACTTGCAAAAGTGCAAGACAATTTCAAAGAGAATGAAATCGATGGTGCATCTATTTTGGAACTCGATTTGGACGATTGCAAGCAATTGATGGAGAATGATGCAAAGTGGGCAGTTCAATTGAAACTTGAAATAAATAAACTCAAGTCTCAAAAAGGTACACAAGAAGACGAAATTCTCGCAGTTTTGAGCCAGCTGTATTCGACCGTCAGCGACAAACTACAGGACTTTCAAAACCAATACTCTCGATTGCGACTGGACGTGCTTGAAGTCGTGAAAAAAGATCCAGTCTCGGTACCGCAGAGTCACCAATTGACATCTGGCTCTGTCCCTGCTTCCGCACACAGTCATGCACCACAACAAGACTACTTTGAAGGCCACCGTGTGGTCACACCATCGTCACCCAACAACCCCACAGGGCGTCAGCCTCTCAACAGGTCTACCTCAAGCACCGCGTCACAACAAAATGCCACTACTCCTGCGGTCAGCACTCCGTACTCTCTTCCCACATCACAACCGGGAAACGAGCCCCTCAAGCACATGCGGGCTTCGAAAGAAGACTCTTGCGAAAGAATATTGAAAAGTGCTATGAAACGCCATGGACTTAGCGAGCAGGATTGGCGACAGTACGTACTAGTCATTTGCTATGGTGATCAGGAACGTATTCTGGAGTTGGACGAAAAGCCTGTCCAGATTTTCAAAAATCTTAAACAACAAGGTCTTCACCCGGCGATCATGCTGCGGCAACGTGGAGATTTTGAAGAAGTAAATAATGGCCTAACCCCCGGTGGGAGGTTGTAAACTTAAACAGTGTAATTAATGATGCTGCTCAAACAATATTTCTCATTACCTTTATTTGGTACGAATCTAATTTACATCCACTATTTCTACCCAGACGCCTCTTGTAATTCAAGAGTAAGGATTGAATCTCCGCCTGCTCTTCATCTCTTTGACCTTGTCTTGATCTTGTTTGAACTTCGTCAATAACTCGCTAATTTCCTGCTTCTTACGTTCCCTGATTTGAAAGCGGTAGAAATCTTGCTTTGCCTTCTTGTCGACTATTGTTGGAGGCTTAACAACCTTTTCATGCTTGAGTAAAGGATTCTTGTTGAGAATCTTTTTGCGAATCGAGTTCAGAGACTTGGTGTTCTTCCCCACCACTAGCGTGAATCCATCTTCGTCCACAATCGAAGATTCAGCTTCTTCTTGAGCTTGTTGCTCTCTTTGCTCGAAAAGTGCCATATGCGCATACACGTCCTCTTTCAGGTATTCTGTATCTATTGGCTTGTAAAAATTGGTAAAAGTTTCCAAAGAAGGCGACTCAAAAGTCCAACTTACCAGCTTGGAGTTGTCACGCTCTTGTGAGTACTTCCGCAAAGCACTCCATGCATTATCAAGACTAGAGGAGTCGATGAACTGTAACAGAGCCGTGTTTCTCGGAGTGAAGCGCTTTTCTTCGGCGTCTCCAGTCGACATCAAATTAGAGGTGAGGATAGAAAGGTCGACATCCCGGAGACCAAACTCATCGTTATGCAGCAGTTGTGACACATGTGCTACAGCTCCATATCGTCCCAATATTTGGCTCATGCCTTTTTTCAAATTTTCCAAGTTTGTGAGTAGAGGCAAGTTTACGACAAAAATACAGTTTTGCTCGCTTTCGTTTTTCGACTGATGTTTCTTCATGAACATGTAGTGAGCTAAAGGCCTACTTTCATCATCGCTTGCCGCCTTCAAGCAATCCTTCAACTTTTCTGATTCGTTCAGTGCGAATGGAACGACTAAAAAGCCGTTCTTCATTGAATCAACGCCCGAACCCATTTTCGAGAATTTGCAAGACAAACAGCCGATCCAAATTTCAAAACCAGTAAGCCTAGCTGGAGTCCCTAACGGTAATGAGAGCTCTGGAACTGGGTTGGTATAGTTTTGACTTTGGCCAGTCAGTGGAAGGACTCGCCTTTGATGAGAGATGATCATTAAAGTCGCTGAAAAATTAAAGAAAAGGGTCACGTGAGGCGAAAGTTAGGATCATCAGTTCAATGAGTTCAAAGAACTTATAACCACGTTATAGGATCCTGTCTTGCTCACCAATGATTTCAGACTCATCTTGAGCCGCCAGCTCATCTAGAAACGTCTAAAGTTCGTGGTTGGGCCGTACTGTCTCCAGCGGACTGCGGGTTTTCGTCTTGATTTTAAAGCCTGAATGGATCTTAACGACATCTGCAAGACTCAATGGATACCCTCCGGTCTTAATTTGGTGCGATATTTCATCAGAGAAGATCATGGGGTATACCTGAGAAACTCTCTACCCTCCTGGTGTCATTCTCGACCTTCGCACACTTCCGACGACAATTCGCGGGAAATCATTTACTCTGATTGACGTACGGTTTCTGCCTCTTTCATGAGCTCGTAGAGCTGTGTCACTTGGTCGGGCGACAATTTATCCAGCAGCTCAGCGGACATTGTGGCCTCATGCCATTGTCCATTGGTAACAATGTGCAAGTAATCTTGCCATGACGCGAGAAAACCAACAATATGGAGAGGATTGCTCGTGCTTTTATGAAGTTTGAACTCGTTCTTGACATATTGATCCCCCAATTCTCTTTGTGCAGCAGGCAAGTTCCGGTGCTCTCTAAGAATGCGTCTATAAAGCTGTAGAGGCGGCAAAAGTGGCTTACTTGGTTTCGATCCTCTTCTACCACGAACACTGGCTTTAGCAGCGGCTTTCATTGGAATTTGAAACTGTTTGAACATATGTGGCAGGCGTGGATGACTTTGAATTATTGAAAAGTGGTAGGGCGATTGTTGTGGTGGTGGTGGTGGTGGTGGTGGATAAGGTGAAGCAGCCGTGCGATTATATTTAACTCATTCTGTCTATCTCTCTGGTTTAGAATTATTGATCAAGTCTTGAGGCCACGTGACCTCGAAAATATCACTTGGTGCAATCACTCCCACGGTTCTCTAGCCTCTGGCCAACTTGAGATACGCTCTAAAGCTTCAATTTGAGGCCTAAGACAAGTTGGGTGGTTCATGAAATAGGCTGCTTAACTTTTTAGATACTTTCAAATAGAATTCTGCGATTTTTCAGCTATTTCGCAGTGTACTCTCCATTAACTTATCTTATGTTACTGGCGACTCGAATCTCTGCACCCATTTCAATCTCCTCCATTGATGTGCTGCATTTCGTCAATAGCTAATTAGAGTCTCCCATTCGCACTATATAGGATGAAGTGGAAGGACTCTTTGAAAATGGAGTTCACCGAGTGATCAGCCCAGAACCCGATTTTAGACACCACCTTCACCCAGTCTTATTGCTGCGTTTCTTGATTAGTGAATGATCCGCACTTCAGGGTATTCTTGTCCGGTAAGGATGTGGCCAGTTCAAAATTTCAGCACTGGGTCACTTTGCCTGGTCGCAAGTATAGCGAACAATCGCACTAGTTCTTTTGCGCACTCGGTAAATATCCATAGTTTGGGTATACATTTAGGAAACTACAACGAAGGGTTCAAATCAACTCTACAGCAGTGAATGCTGAAAACGTGCGCGAGAATCAAAGTTCAGCTTGAAACGAACAAAGCCAGAACGTGCCGTAAAATCGTATTATTGTTGGTTCGTCTCTTGACATATTTGCGCTTATTGAACAAAGTTTCCGGAGAAATTGAAACCCTGATTGGGTCTTTGCTGACCCTGGTTGGGACGCCCGTTTTGCGGGTTTGAGGAAAAATCGTTGCCTTGCTCGTAACCGCCCGGTCTCCCACCGTGCTGCCCCTGGTTGTAGCCTCCCTGGCCTCCCTGGCCTCCCTGGCCTCCCTGGTCATATCCACCGAAGCTACCTTGGCCAGAACCACCTTGGTTTCCTTGGTTGTAGCCTCCCGGATTTCCTTGATTGTTGTAACCACCTTGATTATAGCCACCTTGGTTTCCTTGATTATTGTAGCCACCTTGGTAGCCGCCTTGATTTCCTTGATTGTTGAAACCACCTTGGTAGCCGCCTTGAGAGCTTTGGTTGTATTTCCCTGAGCCACCTTGGCCATAGCTGTCTGAGTTTGATCCATAGTAATCGTTCTGGGAGCCAAAGTTGTTGCCACCTGGAGGACCCTGCCCGTGGCCGGATTGGTTGTAATTGCCCTGGCCTGTTTGACCATGATACTGATTGCTGTTGCCCCCGTGTTGTGTGCTAGTCTGAGACTGATTGGATTGCTTGCCACCCCCCAAAAATGAGCTTGCCATGGCCGCTAAGCCACCCAAGCTTGACTGACTTTGAGAATGATTTTGACCTGAGGAGCCCCCGTACTGATTTTGGTTTCCATACTGGTTCTGGTTGCCGTACTGGTTCTGGTTACCATATTGGTTCTGATTTCCGTACTGATTATGAGAGCTCTGCGATTGGGAGCTTTTGCCGAAGAATTGGCCGGCCAATGCACCCAAGGCTGCACCAGTCAAGCCACCAGCCACAGAATGAGACCCTGAGGAATTACTTGTTTTACCACCGCCTCCGAGCATAGAGGCGACGGAAGACAAGTTGAAACCGCCCGAATTTTTGTTCGAAGAACCGACAATCTTGCTCAAAAGTGCCAATTTCCCAAGTTGCGACTGTGAACCTCCACCGTAGCCATTTCCGCCGCTCGACCCACCCATGAAAGTACTCAGCAAACTGCTACCCATATCGCGGGATGCGTTACCATCGCTGTTGTTCACCACATGTTTCCCAAGAGATTCAATCAGCTCTTCGATCACAGAAGCTTGCTTTTCGTTCGGATTCTGTTGAGCAGCTTGAGTCAAAGAGTCCACAGCCTCTCCGTGTCTACCTTGAGACAGATGTCTCTGGGCTTCTTGGATCAATTGGTCAACGTCCATATTTAGCTGAGATTGAAAATAATAAACAAAAGCCGCCCTATCTCAGTGAGCAAATACCTAGAAGTAAACCTAAAATGTGGTTTACAAGTGGCTAAGTTCAATAGGGTGGGTCTTAAAATAAGCTAAAGACAGAAACGCTATTGAATTTAACACATCATCGATTTCGTTTGTAGTGAGTAATTGTTTGAAAACTATTGATGACATAATCGTGACCCTGGTCACATGACTGGTGATGCTAAATCTCATCTCATCTCAAAGATCAAAGAACGAAAATGACACCTCTAGACGGGTACAATTCACCATGCATTGACGCCTCGCAAGTACAGATGGATAGCTACCAGCGCAAGATCGGGTGCTTCATTCACATTCCCAATGTAGGACGTGGTCAACTTAAATACGTAGGTGCCGTGGAGGGCAAACCTGGTACTTTTGTAGGCGTGGATCTGCTTGCGAATATTGGGAAAAACGACGGTTCTTTTCAAGGAAAACGATATTTCGAGACTGAATACACCCAAAGCGGGCTCTTTATACAGCTTCAAAAGGTGGCAGGGCTGATAGACGCCGCGTCGTCGGGCAATGGCTCAAGACGAACGACTTTCGGGGAAACATATGCGGGAGAAAACAATTTCAGAGATGGAAGCATTGCGAAATCCCCAACACCTATGCGTCACGGCTCGAGGCACAGCTCGAACGCGCTCTCAGATGTAATGGATGTGGATGGTGATGAGCGGCGTCATAGAAGCTCAAGCTCGAAAGAAACGAGCCACAACAACGGTTTGGAGATCAGGCTCCAACAGCAGACACAGGAGCTGATACAATGTAAAAAGCTTCTTAGCGACCAGAGAGCAGTATTGGAAGAAATACATCCGGCAATTGACGACTACGAGTCCAAGTTGCAGCGGATGGAGACTCAAATCGCTAGTTTGGAAGCGCAGCTGGCTAAGGAACGCGAAACGTTGACAAGACAGAAAGACTACTTTGAAACCGAACACGAGCAACTACTCTCGGTCGTCGAAGAGCTTCACACTGAAATTCGAGAAAATGAAAAACGAATGCTAGAGCTGCACCAAGCTCCTGCACCTTCGCTGCCGACGGACTCGACGATAGCCGAGCTGCAAGCAGAAAACGATGCGCTGCGCGAAGAAATGGAAGGGCTCAGGAACCAGACATTGGAACAGGATAAAGCCGCTGTGAAGTGGCAAAAAGAGCGTGACCAGTTGAAACTACAAAATGAGTCCCTCAGTTCAGAGTACAAGTACGTTTCCCAAGAGCTGCAGGAGTCATTAAGAAAACAGGAGCGGACTCAAGCTGCTCTTGCAAAAGAACAAGCACAGGCGCATACGTCTAGTCTAGTCGCCACTCAAGAGCCTAACCCGCAGGTTGAAAAGTTGAAATTACAGCTTGCCACGGCAAACGCTAAAATCCGCGCTTTAGAGTCCGCAAATTCTAGACCCAATACACCAGCACTAACAATGGCATCTGACCACACAGAGCAAGAGCCCGAAGCTGACACCAAAGAGGAGCCCGACTCTTTGCCTCTATACGTACCCAAGAAGGCAGACAGGGCTGCTGGGCGTCACAAATGGTGTGCTTTATGCGAAAGAGATGGTCACAATAGCGTCGATTGTCCTTTCGAAAACGAACAACTCTTCTAGACTCACAACCTGGTTTTCCCGAGCATTCAAGCATTCGAGCGTTCGGGTACTCGCGTACTCGCGTACTCATGAGGTGGTCAAATTTTTCGATGTGCTCATCTCATGATAATTTGAAATCACCAATATTCTGACTCAACTTCGATTCTAGGCCAAGATATAAAGCGATAACTTGGATTCACATTAAGATCAACCTTCTGGTTTATATCATCATTGTTTGAGACAAAGTGGACTTAAAATACCTTTGAGTTTGGTCGTGAGTTTTTGTTTTATTTCTCTGACCAGCATTGATTCGAAGAGCGAGAATTAAAACGTTATGGTCTTCCCAATTTTACCTTTTTTCGCTACTGGCAAGGACCTGAAAGGTCTAGTGGAAGCCAAGCCATTCATTGCATTGAGTGGCCAAGCTTTACTTGACTTGGCACAAATCGAAATCAAAGAAGCTGCTGCTTTTGTTGAAGAGAATACGGCTTTTAAGTTCGTATGTGGTCTTTTGAAGTCTGACCATCAAGTCAGCGACGACGACATCATAAGCTTCGTGAATAGCGGCATCGCAGTCTTATTTGTTTCCGACGAATCGGAAGCAAACCGCTTACAGGAGTTGGGAATTCCAAAGGAAAGAGTAGCTCTGGACGTTGGATCTGCTTACGCTAGCCGTTTTGAAGTTGTTCAAGATTTTCAAAAAGACCATATCATTGATGCTGGTAGTCTGACAGAGGCCCAGATGGCTCAGTCGTTACTCTCCACACTCAAGACTGATCGTGCAGACAAGCTTTACACCACTTTAGTGGTAGATACTTACGAGCGCTGTTTGGGTCTGGTGTACTCATCCGAAGAATCGGTCAAGTTGGCGATTCAGAAACAAGTTGGTATTTACTTTTCTCGGTCCAGAAATGAAATCTGGGAAAAAGGCCTCACGTCCGGCAACACACAGAAGCTGGTCAACATCAGTCTTGACTGCGACGGCGATGCTTTGAAGTTCGTTGTTGTGCAAGAAGGTAAAAAGTCTGATTTCTGCCACTTGAACACCGCATCCTGCTACGGTGAATTCCAAAGTGGTTTAGTCGGTCTAGAACAGCTACTTCGCCAGAGATTCGAAAATGCGCCAGAAAAGTCTTATACTCGCAGACTCTTCAATGACCCCGAACTTTTGACTGCAAAAATCAAGGAAGAGGCCGAGGAGCTTACTGAGGCGAACACTAAAAGTGAAGTTTCATGGGAAGCTGCCGACCTATTTTATTTCGCTATGGTAAAACTTGTCGCCAGTGGCGTTCCGCTTGAAGCCGTTGAGAGAAACTTGCACATCAAGCATCTCAAGGTCACCAGAAGAAAGGGTGATGCCAAGCCAAAATTTGTTAAGCAGGAAACTAAACCAGAACCAACTCAGGAAACGACACCTTCGCCAACAGGCGCCATCAGCCTTGAAGTGGTATCTGGCAAAGACAAAGCCGGTGTTGCGGCTGCTTTGGAAAGACCAATTCAGAGAACTTCGGAAATCATGCATCTAGTAAATCCTATCGTGGAGAAGGTAAAGTCTGAGGGAAACAAAGCTTTGATTGAGTTAACTCACAAGTTCGACGGCGTGAAGCTTGATAACCCCGTATTGGAAGCTCCATTCCCTGAGGAGTACCTCGAGGGCCTAACCCAAGAAATGAGGGAAGCCTTAGACCTCTCCATGGAGAATGTCCGCAAGTTCCATGACGCTCAATTGCAAAAAGAAGTCTTGCAAGTCGAAACTCAGCCAGGTGTTTTGTGTTCTCGTTTCCCACGTCCTATCGAGAAGGTCGGTCTCTACATTCCAGGTGGTACTGCCGTTCTACCCAGCACGGCATTGATGTTGGGTGTTCCAGCTCGTGTTGCTCAATGCAAAGAAATCGTGTTTGCATCGCCTCCACGTAAATCCGATGGCAGAGTGTCTCCAGAGGTTGTTTACGTGGCGCAAAAAGTTGGCGCTTCGAAGATTGTGCTAGCGGGTGGGGCCCAAGCCGTCGCTGCGATGGCCTACGGTACTGAATCTATCCCCAAAGTGGACAAAATCTTGGGACCAGGAAACCAGTTTGTCACCGCTGCTAAGATGTATGTTCAAAACGATACGCAAGCCTTGTGTTCCATTGACATGCCAGCTGGTCCAAGTGAAGTTTTAGTTGTTGCTGATGAACACGCTGACGCTGATTTTGTTGCATCCGATTTGCTTTCGCAAGCAGAACACGGGATCGATTCTCAAGTCATCCTGGTTGGTGTCTCGTTGAGCGAAAAGAAGATTGCCGAGATTCAAAAGGCGCTTCACGAACAGGCCTTGCAGCTACCTCGTGTGGACATCGTGCGTAAGTGCATTGCCCACAGTTCGGCTATTCTATGTGACTCGTACGAAGAGGCGTTTGACATGTCCAACGACTATGCCCCAGAGCACTTGATCTTGCAGATACAGGATGCTGCCAAATACGTTCCTATGGTGTTCAACGCAGGTAGTGTGTTTGTTGGTGCGTACACTCCTGAATCGTGCGGTGATTACTCTAGTGGAACCAACCACACTCTACCCACTTACGGGTACGCTAGACAATATAGCGGTGTCAACACCGGCACTTTCCAGAAGTTTATCACTGCTCAAAGCGTTACGCCTGAGGGTCTTGAAAATATTGGTCGCGCTGTGATGACGGTGGCCAAAGTGGAAGGTTTGGATGCGCATCGCAATGCCATCAAAATCAGAATGCAAAAACTGGGCCAACTGCCAGAGAATTTCCAATGATGTTGATAAACCTATAGGCTGTCCGCGTAATTCGACGGATATATAATGATGATAAATAATCGTGATGATCTTCATGGTAAACATAGAATCCACGGTCTCTTTAAAGATCTACAAGATGTCAGATACCGTTTGAACCATACAAATCTGTATTGTCTAAAAAAGCGTAAAATTACAGAAGAACGTTAATCTACCCGAGATATGAAACCTAGCTAGCTAGTAACAGGAGAACCAGAAAAAAAAGCCCTAATTGAACACAACTGTATCCTGAAGTTGAGTTTATGTAGACTTGAGAGGCAACACATTAGACTTGAAGTAAGAGAACTCGTCTTGTCCCTGGGTAGCGTCGTAAACGTTACCGGCAGGCGAGTACTCACAGATCAAGTAAATGGAGTTCTGTCCGTAGGTGGCCTGGGTGTCACACTGCAACACGGCACAACCAACGTTGGAAGACGAGGCCCAGACTAGCTGGGTGAAATGGCCCACTTCTTCGCCGTTGTGTTCGATACCGGTGATGTCATTGTAGTCGTAGTATTTGATTTCGTCGTACCAGTAGTCAACCAACACGTTTGGGTCAGAAGTAGTACCGAAAGCGATGTTTTCACCTTGGTTTTGTCTGTTGCTGGAATGGACCAAGACTCCGGAGCATGGGTCTTGGGCCGTGTTCTTGAGGGAGTTGGCGTACTCGTAAGCGAAAGCAGACAACTCGTCGTCCCAGGCTAGATCAGGAGTGTCCTTGTGAAGGCTTCTCTTGGCGTTGTGTTGTTCCAAGATGGCAGAAGCGGTGGCCGAGTCCAGGGTGGTGGCAGCGGAGATGTGGCTGGAGGACGAAGGCGTGAAGGGAGTGGCGGCGTCGGTGACGGTGGAGACGGCGGCTCTGCTGGAAGCAAGCGACGACGTTCTTGGGACGGTCGAGTTTGGGTATAGGACCGATGAGGAGCCTCCGACAGACGAGCTGGGCAGGGTGAAGGAGCCTGAGGAGCCTGAGGAGCCTGGGCCGCTGCTGGTCACAGAGCCCGAGGCCGAAGCCGAAGCCGGAGCCGAGGCCGAAGCGGATCCGGTTGGAGTCTTGGTGAAAGTTAGCTGGATCGCCGTGGCGGTGAAATCATCGGTGGTAGTGGTTTGCGCGGAGATAAGAGCCGCGAACGACGCGAAAACCGAAAGTGATACGAGTCTCATTTCTTACGGGATGTGTGCGTGTGAGTAAAAAATCAGGGGAGAGTCGTGTGATACGAAAGGATGGGAGCTGAAGCTAGCGAGTGTGATCCGATTGTCGTATTTCGTGTGCTTGTATATAGCCTTCCGAAAACCTCTTTACTTTTGTAAGTAGTGGGTACTGAGTGATCTTTCCTGGTAGAACGAGAGTCGTGTCTAAGTACAAGTTTTAAGCTACTATTAACTTGGTGTGTGTACCCATTCCCATCGTCCTGGGTCTGAGCCTTTTTATACCTGCTGTTGCTGCTGTTGCCGATTCCTAAAACGTTTGTGAAAGAGCGTGTGGGTCCTCGCCGATCTTCTTCCATAAAGCAATAGTTACAAATCCTCTGTGTGAGCGTGTGTGCTTGTTTATTTTTCGCGCCTTGTTGGGTCGGCTGGCATTCTTCTTGGCTTTGCCGAGCTGGACGCGTCTCGTTTCCATAATAGTTGATTTCTGTCTACGCGCATGAGTTCGACAATGCAATAAGCATGCGCTGCAAATCCCACGGGATCGGCAGCAGATCTGCAGCCATCTCGAGAAGCCGAGGAGAGACAAGGTACATGACGCATGCTGCATGCTTTGCAGTATGCGTCATGTAATATGCAGCAATGGTCATGTATTATGTATGCATAGATATGCATCCTGTGCATTAGGATTTCGCTGGTGTTTATACACCCCGCCCTTTACATTTTTTTATCCCCTTTGTGTGTCGTGTCACTAAAAAAGCCACGCATTCTTGCTGGGCTTGTGTTATTTTTCGCGCATGTGTGAGGGGCTGATAAAAAACAAAAAGAAACTCCACGGAAACTAGGGCATTATACCCGTAGGAGCAGTGGGCGGTGTCTGGGTGGAAATATTAATAATAAAAAAAAAACAAAACGACGAAAGGCACGTGGGAGCAAACGACGGCTTGTCGTCGAAAGGTACGTGTTTGTGCTCTTGAAACGCGAAAGTGTGTACACACACACAGACAGAGGCAACATAAACGAGTATGTGATCGGATACGACTCGTAGTTGCATGCGAGCATGCGGTCGGATTGGCTTGTTGAATACAAGACCGTCGTCACGACAATTTCCATCATCATCATCATCATCATCATCATCATCATCATCATCATCACCACCACCACCAAACCCAAAAAGGGTCTTGATTTTCTCCGCAAAATGGCTTCATTGTTGCTTTCCCTTTGAAGAGGTACCGAAAATCCTATTTCCCTGTACTACTACTGTGTTTACATCACATCGCATCGCGTTGGCAAATCATCACTTTCAACGGCAACCGATTGTTTTTTCCATGACAAACGAAAAGGATTTGCACGAAAAGCATCACTAGGAGAAACGAGGAAAAGGGTGTTCTGACGATCGAAGTATTGTTGGGAAGAAACAAAGTCAGTGGGTTGGTTGGTTGGTCTAGGGGTTTCGGTCATTCATGAATCGAGCTGAAAAAATCGCCCCGTTGTCTCGGTTGCATCTTTGTTGTTGTTGATGAGGTAAGGTCACGTGCTGGAAAAGAAAAAAACATGCCAAAGGGATTTGATGTACCAACTTCTTTAGAAAAACATTGTCCCGACTCTCTGGAACCCTCCGGTTATAGCTTATCAGCACTGTTCACGACTCCAGTACCTTTATACGACAAAGGAGTCGTCAATTTCGTGACTCCGGTAACTGTATACGATGGTATCACGTGACTTGTGATTCATACTTTGTAGCGCGCTTGTTTCTGAGATTCACCAAGGTTTGCGAAATAAGTAAGAGATCTACATATCAGGTGCAGACAACCATGCACTTTGTTAATATTCAAGCCTTCTCCATGAGTTCAAAAAACTACATTCATCAATGTCAACAATTATTGAATTTGACTAGTAATTTGCCGGACTCACAGCCCGGAATCATATCAGAGTCACTTTATACGTCAGACTCGATTCCCGAAAATCACTAATAACGGAAGTGGACTCATGAACAGTCCTGTAGCTTATTTTATTATAATCATTATTGACGACCTCTACTCCATCCTGTCCCCTTCTAGATCATTATTGACGACTTCATCATCCAAGTTTCAGGTCCCTACACTTGAAACTTCAATCAATCTTGAAACACAGACCTAACAAACGTTCCATCCGCGACGATTATCGTTCCCCCGATCCCTTCACTTAATCTTCGCAATGCTTTCCTCTATTAAAACACCATGACCTTTGTAGACCACTCCCTTCCACTCCCTTCCGCTCCACCTTTCTGACCAAGTCTCGTTACCGCGATGAGCACAACCACCATCAACGTGGCAACGGTTGTGGAAAGCATATACGTCGATCTTCTGTTTGCACCCAGCGAAAGCAAGCCGTTTTCCACCTCCACAGTTGTAGTTAGTACCGATTCCGTCCTAAACCGGGCCCAGTCTTCTTCGTCTTCGCCAAATTCGATGTCCACTGCTACACTGTTACAGCTGATGACTTCCACTAATACGCTTAAGACCCCTTCCAGCCAGCTCCAACCAAGCTCCACAACCCCTGCTTTGATCGACAAAGTCTCCGAGGGACAAAATGCATCATCGGCAATTGTCGCTCTGGCCATAGGTCTGCCCTTGGCAATTTTTTGCCTGGGATTCTGTTTCATTGTCTTCTACTTATGGATGCGTAAAAGATCGTACAGCAGGTATTCATCCACACCTACGTTTGCCAAATCCGCAGCACCGGCACCACGGCGTGAATCCAAAATATGGACCCGTCTTTTCAATCCAGAGCCCAGCTACCATACTGATCCCTTTCAACATCCTTATGACGAGAAATCAGGCACCAGATCTTTTGTGTCCTTACATGAAGGTTCTGCTACTATCAAATACAAGATCACCTCGAATCCTACGCTTCACCATGTTCAAACTCCACAAAAAGTAGCTTTCCCCGTTAACAAAAGCTACAGCTCGAATCAAATTAACACAATGCTTTATTCTAAACCGCCCCGCATTCAATCTATTGCATCGGCAATGCCCAATTCGTCGTCGGACCCAGAGGCTGAACGACCAAATCTGCTTGCTGCCGGAAGTTGGACTTATGAATCACCCTTATCGAGATGGTTTCTCACAAAGTCCACCTATTTACAAGACCAGGTCAGACAGCCGCTAAAGTCGTCAACGGTCAAGCTGAAGCAACTGAATATTCTGTCCAGAGTGTCCAAAAATCGCATCCAAAGTTATCTTCCAGATGAAAAGTCTCCGATTTTAAGTTCCGGACATTCTCCTGTTTTCCAAGATTCCTATGTTAAGAGTAAGTTGGATCCTCTTGTCCTCAGGTCATCGTCTCTTAATCATTCGGGAAAGCAGGTCAGTTGTGATCCAAAGGACAGAGATACTAGGTATTTGAAATCTGGAGAGATTTCCAAGCTGAATCCTTATTCACATTCAGCTAACCCGGGAAGTGTCATCAAACCGCAAATCATCGACAGGTCTGACGCCAGTCAACGAGTGTTGTTGAAACCTTTAGAGATCCAACGAGCGCCGCCCAAGAGTGGCGATCATGGGAAAAGGGTATATGAAAATGATGGGAAACTAAAGCCCTTCGATTTTGATTTCAAACAGCACCTGGATACTTTGGATTTGCACAAACCCTTACCTTTGACGCCAAAGTCCAGACAGGCATCTGAAAATCTGAAGTCAACGCCTGACACACCTGAGGAAATGGACGCAGACCATTCTTCGATTGCTTCGGATGTGGGACTGCACGAAATACATCTCGTTGTTCGCAGTTATTCGCACAAGCTGCCTGATGAAATATCCATTCGACGCCACGATTATGTACGCTTACTCGCAAGACACACTGATGGATGGTGTTTGGTTGAAAAATGCGAGCCGGACGGTAATCCTGGCTACGAAAAAGAAGAGCCTGAATGCTCTAATATCGATGGCAGGTTTTATTTGAATGATTATCGTGGTATTGTGCCCGGTGTTTGTTTGAAACAAGTGACATGATTTATATGAGACGAAGAAAGACAGGATTTGTTGCACATCAGAGGGAGACACAGATTTCTTCGCGAATTTGAAACCCCATTATTCCAGCAATGGTACCTCGTTGTCGATGAATGTCTTTTCACCAGGCTCAGCTACAGGCAGACCAAAAACCAGTTGACCCTGAACAGACCAGTCATCTTTAATAAGGTCTTTGGGAAGCGCTGCCTTGATCAGGTCGTTAAAGTGCTGCAAATTAGCTCCGAAACCCAACAGTTCAAGAGCTGTCCACGTCGACAGTTGAGCCGAACCAGATGAATGGGCGATCAACTCTGGGAATAGATCTGCATGCACTGGGAACTTTTCTTGCAGCTCTTTGGTTTTAGAATCGTTCACGAGGAAAACGACGGTTCCGATTGCTTCGTCTCTTGCAGCTAGTGGTCTGGCTTTGAACTTTTCGATCGGGATGGTTTGGTAGACATAGTCCCAAACGCGCTTGTGACTTTCGCCGGATAAAATGATGGCCCGGTTTCCCTGCGAATTGAAGCATGTGGGTGTGTGTTTGATGATGTCTTGCACCACTTGTTTGACCTCGATCAGTTCGACTTTTTCGGGTAACACTGGCTTCAGAGAGTAAACAGTACGGCGGGAAGCGATCGCTTTCACAAAGGGGGCAGCTTTAGATGACATGATGAGAATTGACTGTCAAACGACTCAAGTTAACTAAGGGAAGTTGTTTTAAATCGGTTACGAATAGAGGCAAGATAAGATTTCGAGATTTTCCTCGAGAATTTGGAGTAGAATCTCCCATAGCCGCTGATCATTTATATATCTTGAACGATGGTGATAAATACTCTGTCAAGTCACAGATGAAATGTCTCAGCACCGCCACAGTGTTTGATTCCATCACTTGTTACTAATGTCTCTTTATCATCATGAGTAAACATTTAGTAACACAGTAGTAAGATAGACACATATACTGGGGTGCACGTGACACGCTCGAGCGAAAGTTGGATTAGCAAGATTCTTGGCAAAACGGGTGTGAAAAGGAGCTAATCGGATGTTACATAAAGTATTCTAAGAGATTAGGCTTAATAAGGATACTTGACTAAGGTCTTAGTTTTATGTGACGATTGATAATAAGCTTGCGTGGTGGGGTGTCACGTGACTCGTCAAATGAAGCAATGACAGATAAAACAAAAGTGATGACAGTATAAGTATTGAAGGTTGTGCTTTTCAAGCTCCTTTTTGAATGTGCATGCTTATTTCTGTACTCATAAGCTGAAGTCTTTGGGGGTTTGGGGATTTGGGTCTTCTTTCTAGACATTTTTTTTTCGCGACTTCCTTTTTCAAGATGAAAAGTCAGCTATTCACAGAAGCTTGGATCGAAGACGAATGGTAGCATTGTCGAAACAATAAGGAACCATCTTCCTTAACATTGTGCAAAGACTTGCCTCCAAAAACCTTTTGAACTCGGGCGGAAAGCGCAGTCATATACTTGTTGATATGTGTGTCACGTGACAGATGTCAGCGACCTAATATAGGAACAGTGATCACCTTCAAAGCATCGTCTTCATTACTATCGATGAACCGCTGAAAAGGCTTCAAGATGTGCTTATTTAACGTTTTTCCTGTTCGGGTTGCATTCTTTTGCAACTAATGCACAACATTAATTAATTTCATTTTGACTTCCAAATTGTAATTCACACTGCATTCTTGAAACACGCACAAGTCTTAACAGCTTACGAAAACTTACAAGCTCAAACGTCTTCCACTTCTTGTAAAGAATGCTTCATGAAAGCAACGTCCTGGTTCATAATATAATACCGTCTTACCGTTATAAAAATACATAAGATAATCTCTTTCCATTAAAAGCTTCACTTGACGAACTGTTACCCCATTACGTTATTATACTTGCAATGGTGTGTGTTTGCAATTAAAAAAGCTGCAAAAGCTTACTTGCTGACCAAGTCTTTTTGCTTGCTAAGAAATTAAATTCATGACCATTAAACCCGCCATTTTACAGTCCAACTGTACCTTCTGGCGAATCAATTTACAGCCTAGCTGTTTGATTGGCTAAACAAGACCCCAGTTTTTATTCTAACACCAGAAGCTGCCAACTCTTCTTAGCCATCCGGAATTGCGAATGTATTCCTTGTATTCTGCGTCCTCTTGCTTCACAAGATCCTCGTCAAATACTTTGCGGCCAACGTTCAAATCAATTTCACTCGCTGGAATAAATAGCCTCCATTCTCTCATCCAAACTTTGTAGCCAATGTACAGCACCAATAGGATAGGCAACGCCAAGTAATTCTCGAAGAAATTGTTAGCGTCCAATTTGGATGAATCGATGGGCGCGATGGCCACCCAAAATTGGCCAATCAGCACACAAACCATGATAAAAGTAGCGTAGTAAGAACCTGTCACGCCAGTTTGTGATTTATAGCCAAGTTCTCCTAGGGACCGACCTTGAACTCGAAGCGCCTTTCTGAAGCGAATGTGTGATATACAGATCGAAATCCAGGTAAACAGTTGCGACAGCCCAGAGATGGCCAATAGCCACGTAAACACTGTCTCTTCTTTGGGAGAAGCTGCAACAAACGAGATTAGCCCAAAAATCGTGGAAATCAGCATTGCCTTTATGGGTCTACCTTGGCGGTCGACATAATTCAGCCATTTAGGAGCGTAGTTCTGACTTGATAGGGATAATAGCAAGCGCGAACTAGAGTAGAAGGCGGAGTTACCGACCGAAAGGACAGACAACAAAATGACAGCGTTAATGAAGTGAGGCACAACTCTAACTCCGTGGGATGAGATTGCAATGACGTATGGAGATGCGTGGGTTGCAGAGCTTCCGGAACCCATCAATTCATCAGAATTGAATGGAACCAAGAAGCCTACTAGAATGATTGGTACCAGGAAAATCAGTACAATTCTGTACAGAACTTTCTTGGCAGCAGAGGGAATGGCACGTCTTGGGTTGGATTGTTCAGCGGCAGTTAGGGCAATAAACTCGGTAGCACCAAATGCAAATGCAGCAGTCACCATTGTGGCAATGATACCTTTGAAATGATGGATTGGTTTAGTTCCATAGAAGCTACCAGGGTTGTGCCAGTACTTGGCGCCAATATAGCCGGAGGTTCCAGCTCCACCGCAGTTGACGATGATTCCCAAGATGAAAAACCCAGTGATCATGAGCACTTTGCAAGTGTTGAAGAAAAACTCAGCTTCTGCATAACCTCTGGCCCCAAACAAATTCACCAAAATGATGAGCACGTAGAAGATGGCCACAAAAATGTCGGGATTGACGGATGTGGTCCAGTACTTGATAGTTATCGATGCCGTGACCAGCTCGAGAGGGAAAACACATAGCCATTGCAGACAGTAGACCCATGCAACGGAAAAACCAAATCCTTTTTCAACCAAAATAGATGGATAAGCGTTGAAATTACCCGAGAGCGAACTGTACACCACGGCCAGCTCACCAGCGGCCTGGATGATGCAATACAGACACGAGCCCATAATAGCATATCCGATTGCCAAACCAGCAGGCCCACCGCTGTGTAGAGCTTTACCGTTACCCACCAACATACCGGTTCCGATACCCGTACCAAGTGATATCATCACTACATGTCTTGACTTGATAGTTTTTTTGAGGTTGGTTTGAGGAGGTTGGTCCGTTTCCGGACCGTATTCTTTGTCGCTAGCGTTGCCTAGCTCATCTGCTTTCTTGAAAGAGTTTTTGAAGCGCTGGAACGTAGTTTTTGGCTGGCTATTTTGAAATTCATATTGAGTTTCAGGCAAAGACGTTTTTTCTTCACTTTCGACGGCCGTCGTGCCGATCTCAGGTTTGCTAACACCAGACATCTGTCGCTGTTGTGTTTAGACTAACTGATGAGTTTATACCTGATGCTGGCGAAAGTAAGTAAGTAAGGTGCATCAAGAAGAAAACCTGTCTGGAGAAGAAGTCCTTCTTCAAAAGTGTTCGCTTCATATAGGTGCAGGTTCGAGCGCTAATGTTTCTCCGATTAGTTTCGCGCGCTCCCTCTTTCTCAAATCGTTTCGAAAAAATGACGGCACATCGATATCAGATTTCGCATTTTCTGCAAGTCCAAAGGGGGAAACCTTGATCAAAGATTTCTCCAGTGTCGGGCCGCCTCTCCGGTGGCTCTGGAGCAGGGCTTTGAGGATTAGAAACAGTTTGGAGCCCTTTTCTCCTGTCTCACAAAGTTGAAATAGTTGCAGAAAGCGCATGGTTTCGCGATCACAGATGAGTCCTGGCGGTTCACGGCTTCTGAATTATCGATGAAGGGCATCACGAGTGGGTTATACGGCGATGCTCGATTAGTGCCGTGAATTGCTCGAGGACGCACGGGGTTTTCTGGGCAGTCTTCGAGACAATGGGGAAAGGAAACCGTTTTGCATAAAAAAGAAGAGAAAAAAAGGAAAGAAAGAAGGTAGGAAGGCACGTTAGATAAGCACTGCTCGGCGTTAAGTGCGAAACATGCGGCGCTTTGTGTCACGTGGCATGTGTATGGGCTTGGTGTGTTTGGGTGTAAAGTGATAAGATCAAGCGCGATGCGATGAGCATTGAGAAATGGGTTATCAGAAGCGCTATTGAGCGATCAATGGAAGAAAGCATGTGGAGATTGTTGAGAAAGCTTGTGAAGCTTGTGACGCTTATGAAGCTTGTGACGCTTAGCCATCGATTAATGTCTCACTTTCAGATTTTGGAGTCATGCCTCCTAGATACAATGAGTCGCTGTCTGTCTGCCAAACGGCGTTGCTGTTTCATGTTTCGTAGTTTGTCTGAGGCCATTGCTAACTAGGCAGTTCGATTATAGTATCCACTCACCAGTAGAGCGCCTCTAACAATTCAAAATGTACTTTGTTCATTACAAACGGGTGACTCCTAATCTACACACATCCGCGGTCGTCCTTCTTTCTAACACCAGAAATACGACATACGCGTAGCCCATGACGAGTGACGGATTCTTTCCTTCTCTTCAGCGCTCTCGTGTCTCAAAATCTCGGCGTCAAAGATCTTTCTGTCCTTCACCAAGTCGATTTCCCTGGCTGGGATTAACAACCGCCAGTCGCGCTTCCACACCTTGTATCCAAAATAAAGCACAATCAACATGGGCATTGCCAGGTAATTTTCAAAAAAGTTGTTGGCGTCGAGCTTGTTGCTGCCAACAGGCGAGATGGCAATCCAGAACTGGCCGATCAAAATCGCCACGATCAAGATCATCGAGTAGTATGCACCCCATAGCCCTGTCCATGGTATGTAACCCAACTCATCCAAGGATCTGCCTTGCGCCTTAAGCGCAGCTCTGAACCGCACATGCGAGAGACTGATGGCAAACCATGTAAACAATTCACTTAGACCAGATATGGCCAATAACCAAGTGAACACTGTTTCTTCCTTGGGAGACGCCGCTACAAACGACATTCCTCCCACAATGCAAGCGACTATCAGGCAAAACACCGGTCTGCCTCTTCTGTCGATGTAGTTCAAAAATTTGGGAGCAAAGCCCTGCTCCGACAGCGACAGCAGAATTCTCGAAGACGAATGCAGAGCAGAGTTGGCAACGGAAAGAACCGAAAGCAAGATGACAGCGTTGATGAAGTGGGGGACCACTCTCACACCATGTGAGGCAACTGCAATGACAAAGGGAGACGCGTGCGTGGCACTGCCGCCAGATCCCAACAGCTCATCAGAGTTCCAAGGCACCAAAAAGCCAAGCAGAGCAGCTGTCATCAAGTAGATACCCACAATTCGGTACACCAGTTTCTTGGATGCACTTCTAATCGATTTCTGCGGGTTCGAGTGTTCTGCGGCGGTTAGCACGGAAAACTCAGCACCACCGTACGCAAACGCAGCATTGACAAGAACCGACACCAAGCCCTTGAACTTGTTGATATCGTTTTTGCCTCTGAAAGCGCCAGGATTGTGCCAGTAGCGAGCCCCGATGTATCCCGAGTTTCCTGCACCGCCACAGTTGATTATGATACCCAGAATGAAAAACCCGGCAATCATCAGGACTTTGCAGCTGTTGAAGAAAAATTCGGCCTCAGCATACCCAGAAGATCCAATGAAATTGATCGACACAAGAAGCACGTAGAAGATCACGACAAACGCGTCCGGGTTGATTGTGTCGTTCCAGTACTTGATCGTTATTGAGGCCGTGACAAGCTCCAGGGGAAGCACGGTGATCCATTGCAAGCAGTAAACCCACGCTACGGCAAAGCCAAACGCCGGGTCCACCAAAAGGGCTGGGTAAGCGTTGAAACCGCCGGACAACGACGAGTAGCTGATGGCCAGTTCCGACGCACTCTGGATCGCACAGTACAGCATGGTCGACACAATCACGTACCCGATAACCAACGCAGCGGGCCCACCACTGTTCAGCGATTTACCGTTACCAACCAGCAGACCGGTCCCGATGCCCGTGGCAAGTGACATCATCAGCACATGTCTGGGACGAATGTTCTGCTTTAGAGACTTGTGTTTGTGACTTTCGTTGACCTCGTGGGACCTTTCGTACTCGTCCTGTGAGTTTCCAAATTCTCCGGACCCGGATTCGTGGTTGACTGGTCTCTTGAACGAGTCCACCATACGGTGGAAAAGTCCTTCTCTGGAGGACGGAAGCTCCTCCGAATTTTCCTTGATAACCTCTAGACTGTTGTACGACTCCAGCGGAGCCTCCTCCGACTGCTTAGCAGTGTTTTTCAGCTCGTAGCTCATTGAGTTGGCGTCCATATAGATATATAAGCGTGAGTGTGAGTGTGAGTGAGTGTGTGAACAAGTATTAGTCTGTCTCTCTGTCTCTCTGTCCTGTCTGTCTTGTCTGTCTTGTCTGTCTTGTCTTTCTCTGCAATTTGACAGATGCTTTGATGGATGCTATTGACAGAGAAATGGGATAAAAAAATGGAAAAACCAGTCAAGCTCGGCTTGCTGTTCCTGGATGTGTTTCCGCTGGGTTTATAGCCTTCTCTTTCAGTTCCCCACACTGGCGTTGCACAGGCCTTGGATGCTTCGTTTTATACACCCAACAGTACCAGGACTAGCTGGTCAGGACTTTATAATCTCCCACCAAAGTTTCACCATTTGTGATTCGCCAAAGCGTCTGCGGCAGAAGGAGAGTCGGCCTACACACGCACAAAACTGCACAGATTTTTTTTCTGCTGTCTTCCTAGTGAGTCGCCCTTAGTCCTTGTTGTACTTGCCGTACTTTCCGTACTTGCCCGTACTTGCTGGTATTTGCCGGTACTTGAGCCCATAATCAGTAGAGCAGATAAGTGGTGAATTCGCTTTTAGGCAGGACGGAGTTCCTGACACGAGGTGGTTTAGAAACGTAATCGCATTGTCAAGCCGCCTAGCCGCTAGCTACGCAAATTCTGTAGGTAGTTGGTTCCTTGTAGGCGTCTTAGCAAAAAGGTTTGCGGCGCTAGGCTCTGTATACGGCGCTGAGATATTTTTTCACGGCAATAGATTTGTATGATAGATGTAAATGAGAAGCATACGGCTTTTAGAGGCGATAAAGCCGTAGCCGTAGAGCCGTAAGGTTGTAACATCGATAGTGGTAGGGACTATCGAGTATGGAAGACGGAACCATATTATTTGTGTGTGTGTGTGTGTGTGTGTGTGTGTGTGTGTGGTACGGCAGTGAATGGGACGAGACAAAGACGCTGATGTATTAGAATTGTATGTAGGTGACGTGTTGTTTTTTTCGTGCTAAGTGAGATGGCACATGATATATAGATTGTGTCATTTTATACGTACATATTTTCATACGGTTTTCGTATGTTGTGATTAGTATTGTTGTCGCTGTTGACGAGTATCGTTGGCGACGGCTACTCCGGGTAACCCGTCCGGTCCATTATGAAAATTATTATTATACCCATACAGCCAAGCTCACGCTGTAAAGCTGTAATGGAAAGTAGTGACGAATTAAATATATATATATATATATATATATATTATATCTATTGTGAATCGCCCTAGTCCTTGCCACTTCTGAGCGTAAACAACCAAGAACCTATACCAGCGTCCAGTTAGAATCCCATACGTTTCATACAAACCATGTCTGAGCCCCAGCAAGAGACCAAGCCCGATATCAAGCCCGAAACACACATCAACTTGAAGGTTTCCGATGGATCCTCGGAGATTTTTTTCAAGATCAAGAGAACCACGCCTCTAAGACGTCTGATGGAGGCGTTTGCCAAGAGACAGGGCAAAGAAATGGACTCGCTGCGGTTTTTGTACGACGGTGTGAGAATCCAGGCCGATCAGACGCCCGAGGAACTCGACATGGAGGACAACGACATCATCGAGGCGCACAGAGAGCAAATCGGCGGTGCTGCCTGTTAAATTTTGGAGAACGCAAGCGTTTGTCGTGCGAGAGCGGTGCCCAAAAGAAGAAGAAGAAGGAAGAAAAAAAGAAAAAAAGCAACATCAATCTAGCAACCGGCTACCGCTCTGGAGAGCTGGGGGGAATGGCCCCGAAACTTCGCATTTACACTTTCAAACACCTACACGCTTGTACACACTCACACACTTACACACACGACGCGTTTATGGTGATGAGTGTATGTGTATAGACATGTATTAATACTAAGAATGGAGAGACTGGCAAAGCAGTGGAATCTGAAGTCTAGGCAAAAACCGCAGTGTGTTCAATGATGAGATATAGCCAGAATTTCAAGCTGACCCTCTCCGTGTACGGTGTCCCTGCCGCTATTTTCAACAAAGTTGTGCTCCCATACGAGACCTTTTTTCATAGTTTAAATGTCGTGTGGTACGGGAATTTGCGTGTCACGTGGTGTGAGTATAGTTTTGCATAATACGGGGGGGGTTGAAAACGGAAGTTTTCAGGATTCAATTTCTCCAGAGGAAACCTGTGATTCATCATTCTTTAACTTCTAAGTCTATATGTGTTTCGCGTAGTTTTAAACCAGTGTGCGAAAGTGGGAAATAAATTCGACTGACAGTCATTTTATACGAACAATTGGTTCTGATACAAACCTACTATGAATTCCAATTTCAATGGTAGTATTTTGAGCCTTATGGGATCTTACTCCCTTTTAATCTAGTACATTCAAGTTTTGGCCCAACTGAGATCCGGGGTTCGCTAGACGTTCCCAACTTTAATCAACATCCTAGTCAGAAACTATTCTATCCACCGCTAATCACCACTTTACGCGTCACCTTTATAATATCAATTTCTCGTTTCAAGACAATAACGCGAAAAAATTAGAAATGAGCTATGCACTACCCTAGGAAATAAACCTCAGTTGGATAGAATCTCGGGTCTCCATTTTCATAGTGTTGCGATTCGTGCCACCTCCAAGACATTTACATGCTACAAGAGGAGCGCACTATTGAGGAGCAAGAAATGCCAACGGGTGCTGGCTCGAATCATCAGCAAACTCTGAAGGTCCAAAAAACCTACCGTTCTGGTGTGCTGGACAACAATGCAGAAGCTGCGCTTGTCCAAAGCACCCCCTCTAACGTAGTCAGAACCAGTCGAGGATGGATGGTAAAGTCTTCCTTGTTGAAGTTTTTCGACATAAGATCCACAGATGGCAAGAAAACCGCACACTAAGTATTGCAAGAAATGTTACAATGAAGGAGAATCTACAGGGAACATGAGCAAGCACGTTCGGGCCTTGCATCGTTCGCTTATGGAGGATCAGAATGGAAAGATTAGCAAACCCAAAGTTTCGGATTCTCGCGCTGAAATGAGGAGGGTACTCAGAATCTCTCAATCAATATCCAACGAGTACGAGAAAAACGTGCAAAACTTCAGAACGGCATTGCTTGCTGCAGAAGGGTTTTTGCCGCTCAACATTGTGGAGGCTGAAAGCTGGGGTCCGTTTACAAAACGAAGAGATCAATTACAAGCCCCCATCAGATCTAAAGCCGCCTTCGTGAAAATGCTAAAAACATATTCCGCTATGTTGGACCAAACACTTTGTCTCAACCTCAAAGACACTCAATTTGTAAACGTCCAATTGAACATCCGAACAGCGAGAAGTGGTGAGTCGTATATGGGATTGATGGTCTCGTTTGCTCCTAACGTGTGGAACACCAAAACACTCGATGAAGTGGAAGATCATAATATTTTAATGAACGATGAAGGGGCGGCTAAAAACGTACATCAGCTTGATTACGTTTGTTTGGGCGGAAAACCCCCCAAACCGGTAAACGTTCTGACAGTTTTGTTGCAACTTTTGAGAAAATACGAACTTACGGAGAAAGTTGCGACAATCACCATGGACACTGCCAGTCTTAATGCCTCCCTTTACCAATCATTAGTTTTATCGCTTTCTGATGACAAAAATTGTGTGGCGAGTCGTCTTGTTGGCAAAGCCCGCTATGTTCGAAGTGCGAGCCATGTCTTGGATGCACAGGTCGACGCGATAGTTTTGGAATTGTCAAAGTATTCAGACTTTGCGAATGCTTTGCATAGCATTAAGATGATAGCAAAGATTACGAGGCGCTCAACCCGAATTCGGCTCAGTATGAAAAAAGATAAGGTACCATTTCTCCCGCTAGAAACATCCACCCGAGGGATGTACATTTGGCGTCAGGTAAATGCATTTCTCAAAGCCAGTACCAAATATACAATCTGGTTTCTTAAGCATGAAGAGAATGGTGATAAAGATATAGTCTCGATGCTTCGTGAGTACATTCATTTTGATCAGGAGATCTTGAAACTGTTGCAATATTTCGTCCACAGTCTTCAGCCCTTGTATGATCTCTCATCAAAAGTTCAAAATGACGCTTACAACCACCTTTCAAATGGGGTACCGCTCTACTATTTGGCAGAGGAATTCTATTTTTTCTGTCAAAGAGCTTCAGAGGGCAGCCGAATTCCTAGAGCAGCTAAAGGACCTGATTTTTCATGCTTGAACGGAGCGCCCGAGCTCACTCGCGCCCATAAACTTTTCGTTTTGAATTCGATTTTGAAAACGCGGGCAAGTTACGACAAGCACATGGTATCAATTCGGCAGGACCCGCTATCTTACGTTGCAGTGATACTAGATCCGGGTGCGAGGACCGAGGCCCTGGACAAAATGATGCCTAGGGAGGAGGCCGAAGAAAGGGTAGGCGAAGCTTATGACTTTCTAAAAAGCTACCTCCAGAGAATGGACGAACCGGTTGCTTCTAATCCTTCGAAATCCTGCCAGCCTCATGGCTTTGGGAACAATGAAGATTTCATATTTGACCAAGCGATTATTTCAAAATTCAGCTACGCACCAACTTCGGACGAGGATGCCACATCAATTCAAGAATCTAGAGCAGAGCTCATGCAAGAACTAGGCTCGTATCTAGAGGAAAAGAAACTTGAAGAGAGGACGAAGGAGACCGCCATTGCATGGTGGTATAAAAATCGAAAGAAGTATAAACGGCTCTTCCCGCTTGCCGTATCCTTATTTTACACCAAACTCAGCTCATGTGAAGTGGAAAAAACGTATCCCTTGGCCTCGAGATTCACCAAGAGAGGCAGAGGCTGGCTTTCCTCGGGCACTTTTCGTTTGCTGCTACTGTTGCGGGACAGGTTTGATAAATTTGGTTTCTACAAGCTTGGCGCAATGCCGCTTCGCAATTTTTTCGATGGTGATGAGCCAGTTAATGGAACTGATGGCGCTTCAGACTCTAACGAGCTTTATCCTGCTTCTGACGACGCTCTCTACGAAAGCGACTCGGATTTAGATGACACTGAATATGACTACCCGTCAGAGGACGACGACAAAGTAGACTACGAGTTGGACCGGGAGTTATATGGGGTGTATTACGAGGAGTCATAGGATGACGGTTTTCACTAAGCGGATTGAACCGGTAGCGCGCTTTGAAATAGGTCAGAATGAGGCGCTGGACGCCATATATCAACTACGCTCTGATACACCCTGGCACCACGAAGAGTGAGGTCGTCGTATAAAGGTATACATTCTTTAATTGGCGATACCTGTCACTCGTATTCAAATGTTGTAGAAACAGAAGCAATGAGTCGCTTAAATATTCGGATTGTGATGATAGGTAACTCTCAGTAACGAGTCTAATAAATTTCGCTATGAAATAAGTCAGCAAAAGGCATAGGCAATTGTAGGGTATATAAGACTTTGGAGCATCGTGATACGTGTCCAGTGACATTTTATGCGAATAGCTCCATATTGTTCGAATAGAGGTATGGTTTTTATCTGAACTTACCGACCCACTTGTTTTGATCTCCAGTAGTGACATTCTTGATACTTTCTGGAGCAGAAGCATATATTTGTGAAAGAACAGATACAGCATTATAGTGATCACGTGCAACAGAACCTTTCCCTTTTGATTACGTAAGTGTATTTTACTCTTCATCTTGGCTTGTCACGTGGCATGAACATGTTACACATTCTTCTTCGGTCGTACTCAAAGCTACACGAATATGAGCCGTCAGCTACCCTCCTTCACGTTCAACACATGCTTTTACAACTCCACCTTAATGCTCCGTGTCTTTCATAACGTGTTTTGCAGCTTAATTGCTCCCTTCTCACGCGTCTTTTTCATGTCCTTACGCGTTCTCTTTTTCAATAATGTTCTCTAACTTTTAAAGACACGAAAAAATTCACACACTCGCACCTGGCCAAATTCATTCTTGCCTCATTGAGATAACTATGTAAAAGCATGGACTGGGCTACGCGACAACGATAAATACTAGAGAATGGAGGCGACACCAAACGCGTCCTGAATTTAATGCCTTGAAAAACAACACGAAAGCCGTTTGAGCAACAAACTACAACAAAAAACCATCGCTTAGTTGTCGAAGAAAACCTGTTTGCAGTTTAAACCTTACCTCAAACCTATCCACCACCGTGAGTGTAGAAGTATAATCCAAGATTGACAGCACGAACTCACAACAAACTAGGGCCAAATAGTACAATCTGAAGGAATCGCTCAAATATGTCAGCACACTCGAGGCAGAATTCCGTGGTGCAAACTGCACCAACGGCTCAGAATCCCCAAACTACAGTGAAAGGCGACAAAATTGGGCCTTGGAAACTGGGGCCTACCTTGGGAGCAGGCAGTACAGGCAAAGTGCTTATGGCACAACATGAGTCCACAGGCCAGCAAGCCGCTGTGAAAATAGTGTCGAAGTCAGTGTTTGGCCCACAAACCAGTAACAATTCGTCGACAGTTGTTGGTTCGTCCGACCCAGACGTGCTACCGTACGGAATCGAGCGTGAAATCATTATTATGAAACTACTGAACCATCCCAACGTGCTTCGGCTGTACGACGTATGGGAAACTAACTCGAGTCTGTACATGGTTCTCGAGTATGTGGAAAAGGGCGAACTGTTCAATCTTCTGGTTGATCGGGGTCCGCTGCCTGAAAATGAAGCCATTCGGTTTTTCCGTCAAATTATCATTGGTATCTCTTATTGCCATGCCTTGGGGATAGTTCACAGAGACCTGAAACCTGAGAATCTTCTGCTGGATCACAAATTTAACATCAAGATCGCAGATTTCGGGATGGCCGCGCTGGAGAGCAAAGACAAGCTTTTAGAGACTTCTTGTGGCTCTCCACACTACGCTGCGCCTGAAATTGTGTCGGGTCTTCCCTACCACGGTTTCGAAAGCGACGTGTGGTCCTGTGGTGTCATTCTGTTCGCTCTTCTCACAGGAAGACTTCCATTCGACGAAGAAGATGGCAACATAAGAAATCTGTTGCTTAAAGTTCAAAGCGGGCGCTTTGAAATGCCAGATACCAACGAAATTTCACCAGAAGCTCAGGATCTCATTTCTAAAATTCTCACAGTGGATCCCACAGCCAGAATTAAGGCGCGTGGAATTCTAAAACATCCACTCCTGCAAAAGTATCCAAGTATCAAAGACTCCAAGAGTATTCGAAACCTACCTCGTGAAGACACGTATTTGAATCCACTTGACGATGTTGATGGAAACATTGACGATGCTATTATCCAAAACCTAGTTGTGTTGTGGCATGGGCGTAACAAAGAAGATATTGTTGCTAAGTTGAGGGAGCCAGGCGCTAATCTAGAAAAAACATTTTACGCACTCTTGCATAGTTTCAAAGCAGATGCCAGCCATAACCAGGAGCGCCGATCTCAAGTCAAGCAGGGGTTTTCTCCCAAGAAGAGCAATATGACAAAATCAACATCGCGCAGATCAATCAACAATTCTTCAACGCCTAAAAGAAAATCGAAAGGGCCTATTATCAGTGCCTCGTCATCGCATAAAAGACCTGTTTCTTTCAATAGACTTCCCGGTACTCTTGGTGCGAACACTGATAATAAGTCGCCCACCCCAAGCAAGTCTAATGCCCTCAATCTTTCATCAAACAAAAGAGCGTCAGCACTAATTAATACCAACTCGCCAACACCCGCTAATAAGAGGTCATCTTATAGAGACATCAATGCGACTGCGCCTCCTATCCCTGTGGACATGCTGAAGGACTACAACAAATCCAATTCGAAGGCGACAAAAAGATCGTCACGCTCAAGCAAGAGATTATCTTTCTTGCCTGGAAGTAGTAAGCGCGGTTCCATGACTTCAAAGCTGATTGCTACATTTGCCAAAATCTCGGAAGACGACGACTGGGAATACATCGAGAAAGAGACTAAAAGGACAAGTGCTGACTTCGCGACTCTATGTGATCAAATTTTCGAGCACGAAAAGCACGAGCAAATCAGAAGAGAGAAGGAAGAGCTTGAAAGACGTGTGAGAGAAGCTAAAGAACAAGAAGAACGAGAAAGGAGGCAGCGTGCTGAAGAGGAGCGAAAGAAGCAAGAGGAAGAGGAACAGAAGCAACGACAATTGGAGGAAGAAAACGCTTTGAGGCAAAAACAAGCGCTAGAACAAATTGACCGCGATATGAAACTTATCAAAACAGGTGGTGACGGTAGAAACGAGGCTGTTGGGACCCAAAACAGATCGGTTTCTGCTCCAGCTGCAAATGTGCTGAATGTAGAAAAGCGTGGTTCCATTTTGGGGTTAGAAAACGATATTCAAGAACTCCTCGAGAAAAGAACCTACTCCCTTCAGACAAGGCCTATTTCTCGATTAGATCCAGGTATTTTTGCGGACTCTGAACTGTCGCAGGCCGAAACTGAAGCTCGCGCTAAAGACCTCAAAACTGAGAAAACAATCCTCGAAACAATTCGAAGATCAAAATTTTTGGGATCTTCATTCGACATCAATAAAGAGTTGGCGAAGGACAAACGACTTAGAGAAGAAAATGGACAGTCTTCATCTAAAGAGCCAAAAAGCCAAGATCGTGTTGTCTCTAATGCTACCGTGATTTCCGGTACTAACACGGGTTACAAATCTCAGACTCTTCCCAAGAACGCTACCGCAATGGCGCCACTAAGGGACAAAGCTAGTGAAAATCCTCGGAAAATCTCTGAGATTCAGGTCCCACAATTTACAAGACGGTCACGTCACTTCACAGCATCGAACAAAAGGCTGTCGGTGCTTTCGATGTATTCAACTAAGAATTCTTTCACAAACCTGGCGGACCATCTGAAAAGTAATGGAGATCTTCAATCTTTAAATGGCAGCCCACCCTCTGCCTCGAGAATCGATCCAGAAGGAGAGTTCTTATTTGAGAATGTCGACAACGAGGGTAAAGACACGGCAGAAACATCTGCAGATAGTCGGTTGTACGAAGTCCCTGAAACTTCCAAACACGACACTCGTCACCCAGTAAAGCTGAACTTCGCCGACCGCTTCAACGACTCAGTGCCTCCGAACAAGTCAGTCATAGACGAATCATCGACGGTAAAGCTGCCTGCTTTGCCGCCTTTGAATGAACAAAAATCTAATGGTATGACGGGTCTTGGTCTTTATCAAGCGCCTTCTGATGTGGGTGCAGAGGAAACTAATGAAAGGTTGACAGTTCCGGAACCATCGAGAAAGGTGACGTCAATGGTGCCACCCCAACCAGAGCGTACCGAGAAGACCCTGCCAAAGCCGATCTCCAATGAAAGCGAGAAGCTCAAGGATAAAGAGCTGACGAAAAAGGAAGCTGACGTAGCCAGAAGGCCACTCGAGGATATTACCCCGGCAGCCGCCAAGAAGGCCAACAAATCTTTTTTCCGCAAGTTCTCTTCGAAATCTCACGAAGACAAGAAAAGCCAAACGTATAATGCTGTCCTGCACACCGTTATAGACGAGACACAAATGTTCAACGCTTTGAGCAAGCTGTTAGTGGCCTGGAAAGAGTATGGCTTGAAGGACGTCAGGGCAATCCCTTCAGAGCGGAAGATTAAGGGTAAGTTGAGCAGCGATAACATATTTTCGCTGCGCTCAACCCTGTTCGAAATTTCGATCTTGCCAAACAATAAGAACTCTCCAGGATCTGACATTGGCTTTGAGAAACTATCAGGGTCAGGAAAGACTTTCAGAAAGCTTCTATCTGAAATTGAAAAGATTCTTGAGTCTAAGAAAGCCCTGGCGTAGCTTTAGGCATGACGCATAACCGCAAAGCTTGGAGCCTGACCTCATAAAAGACAAACATCACACAACACACGCATTCGAGAAACGTCAAATGCAAACAATCATTGAAGGAACCGAAATCAAAGAGATAGGTATGTAATATATATGTAAGTTACCAGTTATTATTTGAAATTATACGCTAATGTACAAGTCACTTAAGGACATTCCACGAACGTCCAAAAGAGCTCTTAGTCGAACGGGACTTTTCAACTTCGAATATGAATGCTCAGTAGCTCATGATACACCTCATTACAACCCGAGGTGTGTGTCGCGCGTTCTGCCCGCCAGCATCTGTTATTTTGTTCAACTCAAGACAGTAAAGTAAAAAGTTATCTCTAGAATGATTATTATATTTAAAGAACCTAGGTCATTAAGGTAAATGTGACATTCTATACACAACTTGTATAAAACTCCGAAGTTGGCTGATCAGAAGAAATGACCATACCGCTATATGTGGTGGCATGTATGTCGCTTATTGTTAGTGTTTGTAGAGCAGACACTATCTTTCACGAGCTGAACATTTCGAGGATCACATCACCAACAGGGAAGCAGTCGATTTCACTAAACGGAGAAGCCAATTCACTGGGACCTATTATCCGAGTTCAAGCAGGCGATTCCCTTAATTTATTGGTGAATAATGATATCTGTGAAGAGCACGAGTTGTCAACTTATGGAGAAGACTATTGCAATACGTCAATTCATTTTCATGGCCTGGTGCTGGAAAATGAAGCTGGCGGCAAACTAGGCGCTTTGAGCGATGGTGTTCCTGGTGTAACACAACGTAGTATCCCGCCACAAATGTCATACTGGTACAACTTCACAGTTCCAGCGTCCTTGGAGGGCGGGACGTATTGGTTTCATTCGCATTCTTCGGTACAGTACGGAGATGGTCTTCGAGGGATCTTCCTGGTTGATTCACCAGTAAGAGACGAGTATCTCGGACGCGTTGTGGCTAAATTGGATTCAGACGGTACAGCCGGTGATTTGCTGACAGATCTACCGGAAAAAGGAAGCTCGAAACCTATTCATGAGGAAGTATTGGCCGTTTCCGATTGGTACAGTAAATCCAGCTTAGACATTTTAAAGGATGTTATGAGCTTTACAGGAGGGCCAGATCCTAGAGTAGAGGGATCCACGTTGAATGGTGATCAGAATTCCGTAAACTTTTTGATAGACTCAGAGACCGAATACGTTGCTTTGCGAGTTATAAACGTTGGAATGAGTGGTACAAATGTCTTGAACGTGGAAGGTCATCGATTATGTGTAGTGGAAACCGATGGAGTATTGACTAAGCCCTATATGATTGACACCCTGTCTTTAGCGGTAGGCCAAAGAATCACGGTTTTGGTCAAAGTCAATAAGGACACGCCCAGTGCTCGCATCATACATGGCTGTGGTAAAATGATGGGGTACATCACAAAAACGCATTGGCTGACACGGCCAGGTGTGGATCCAGGTACTTCCTTCCAAGGAAGCGTTCGGTCCCTGCCTGGTTTAGACAAAAGTGAAAGATACCGCGATTTTGTTCCTAGAGAAGGGACCCTATTACCGGACCCAAAGCAGCAAATATCACTCGATTACGCATACGAAACTGCTTTCAAAGAAAAATACCAAACAGGAATGTACTCTGTGAATGGTGACACGATGCCGGAGTTTCTTCCCGAAGGAGTGCTACTGGAGGGTGACCGAGGCGCAAGAGACCCAATTGAACTAGAGAGTAATCAAGTGGTGGAGATAGCCATAAATGCAATAGACCATATGACACATCCCTGGCACATGCATGGGCATACGTTCCAAGTCATATCAGTGGGACGCGGGCATGATGGTCCCCTGTATTTTAATGAACCGGGAAGCGCTGCCATGCGTCGATATCTCGATGATGTGGCCTCATGGGAGGATAAGGTCCCGATGACTCGTGATACGATCAATATTCCGGGGAATTCGTACGCGGTTATTCGCTTCAACGCCAGTAATCCCGGATTTTGGCTTCTGCACTGCCATGTGGAGTGGCACATGGCTAAAGGTTTGGGTGTGATTTTGGCCGAAGGAAACGCCAAAGTTGACGCTGTTGCCAATGCGTTTAATAGATTTCAGACGCCCGTGACATCAAGTGTCAGTGAAACCCAAGCAGCCACGGAAACTGCGACTTCGCCCTCAGAGAATACATCCGAAGCATCTTCCGAAATGAAGGCACAACCGCAGCCATTAGAGAAAAGTTCGAAAGCTAAGGTCCTGCTAATTTACCTCGCTATAATGTGCGTGTTCAATGGAGGGATCTACTTTTTCTTTTTCCCTCGACGTTAGTCAAATACAAAGCGGCTTTGATAGATTTTTTCGGCTGAAGCTTGAAATAGGTTTAAACATAGATAGATAAGAAATAATGGATTATGATGGGCGGGCTATTTTTGGTGTATGTGCATGTTAGTGTTTGGCCTTTGGTGTCAGTCCCCGCTTTTAATGTTTTTCATGCCATTCAAGACATTTAGTCAACCGTAAGAAGTGTAAAGTAAGTCTCTCGAAGAATCCAATACAATTGACAAATGCAGCCAACGCAAAAGATAAAAGATGTAAAGATAGTCTAAAGTTGTAGGCGAACAATTGTTCTAGTGCACTGTTCCCGCTTCAAACCCTATCTGGGAAAGACTCAGTAGAGATAAAAAGTTGTAAACAAGTAAGGTCACGTGAACATGCTATTTAGACCGATCACGTGCCAAAATAGTACATAGTGATCCCGGGGACCCAGAGAGAGAGAGCTTTCGTTTGTTGTTCAAGGACGCGACACTAGCCAGAGTTCAGCGAATGAGCAAGTCTCTATTTTTGAGCAAGAAAGGACCATATTCAACATTTCATATTAAAGCAAAATTCCAACGGCTGTTTTTTTCAAGGGCCAGATTTATCGTAAGACTCTGAAATTAGCCCTTTTTACTGAGACCCTGTTCGTCGGCCAAACAAATTTGTCTCAACCACAGCAAAAAACAGCCAAAAAAAGGTGGATTTACCCCAGCATCCATCAAAGCTCAAATACTTCAATACTCATCTTCATACGGCCTTCTTGCCATAACTTTTTAAAAAAGGTCTAGGCATATTTATTTTGACACTTTCGACGATACATAGGCTTTTGAAAAATAAGAAAACACCAAGCGAAAAAGAACTCTTCCAAAACCGTTGGAAAAATGTCACAAGATAGTCCCCCATAATTTCTCCGAATTTTACAAGGACTATACCATCTATTCCAGCCGCCCTGCTCTAGCGCCAAATTCTGTCAATCCAAACTCAAATCACGCCCCCCACGTTACCTCCGCAAGTGACACACCCGTTTGTTATGACTTCTCCACGCTTAAACAAGGGGCGACGCATTTTTATTTTTCGGGGCCAACTATATAAAGCCAAGCCATTTCAAGACATTGAATTGGTATCCGCCCACCACAGTTTGCTACCAAAAGAAAACTCTGAACAAAACTCCTTTGCAACCTGCTAAAGTTCTTGAATTCAAACCAAAAAGGCCCGGAACAAGACGTTGATAGAGTCTTAGGAGGTTTCCGAGGAAAAAAAACAACAAAAAAGTCGGCGAGAATCGACTGAAATAGACACGAGAAAAGTGTGAGATAACGGGAGGGTAGCAAAGAAAATAGTGATAGAAGAGGACAGAATAGGACAAAAGTTCTTGTGTTTCAACATATGAGTAGCATGGAAGACAAACGTTTTGAGTTTAACGCGGATTTGCCGTCGATAAACAGCACGACGAGCATTTCGGATAATTTGGCGCTCCGCAATTATTATGATAAATTGCTGTTCAAAAATAGCAGTGGCAAGTCTTTGACAGACTTGCCACGACAGGCGATGCCCAGGGCACCAGCGGAACACCCCGAGACGCGGAACGTGGACTTTATAAGCGGGCTAAGTTTTGGGATCAGAGGCGCTGTTCAGCCACCGCTACAACAACAACAACAACAACAACAAATTCGACAAGCACCACCACAGCAGCAACAACAGGAACAACAGAGCCCACAGTCGGTTTTCCGTGCTGTGCAGATGACGCCCTCCAACTCGGAACCTTGGAGAGTGGCACCTGGATTCCAAGTGGGCGAAGAGCGTGCCAATTTGCAGGCCATTACATCCCAATTCAGCAAGCCACCGCCATACATCTCGAGCCAGCTGATGCCTCAGGTGCCTCCTCCAATGGCTCCCGTGGCTTCAATAACCGCTTCAGTCGGAGCAGCCAATTCCCGCAACAATAGCGTCGGCTCCTCAGGTTCTTCTGGCTCAACGTTGCTCACTTCTCCAACAAGTTACTACGCAGCACTAACACAACAACCATTGAACCGCGTAGATGCTCTTTCTCCAAATAGCGCCGGAACAATCCCATTTCAGGCATTTGACCAACAACCTCAGGTCCCACCTCTCATGCACCAAACTGCGCATCAATTTTTGCAGCCACATCATCAACACTTCAACGCCGATCGCAGATCTTCTTACATTTCTGATACCCTTATCCACAGCCCCATGAGTTCAGATCCCAATGTCATGCTTCCGTCGAACTTGGACCGCTTATACACATCTGCGAACGTGACAAACAATCGCTACCTTCAGGCATCTGGCAAAAGGCAATCAATGCCCAAAATCAATTATAGATCGGGGGAGTCTTATAACTCTGTGGCTACCGCAGCTGGACAGCAGAATGGCCCACACCATTTAGACAATGGGCTGGAACTAGTCAATGGTCAAGTGGCGGCTTCTTCGGAGCTAAGGTCTTTATATCACGACTGCGGGAAAAATTATTTCTCTAGCAACGAAGCTTGCGAATTTCTGGACCGTATAAGGGAGTTTTTGTCAGGTTCGAACACATCCGACCTAGCAGTTAATATCACCAAATTCCTTATCTTTTTGAAGAGTTCCAACTTGAACTACAATCCTCAATCGGACGCATTTCTTTCCGGAAACGAATCAAAGAGAAACGGTAGCACGAGCGCATATTTACACTATAAGCCCTTGGTTTTGGTTGCATTGAAAAATGGAAAACTTGAGCTGTTATCAATTTCACATACAACAAACCTGGCGATGGAGCGTGAAGACTTGGTTGTGATTGATGGAGACCGCGGCAAGGATCTGGCTATAGTGATCGATCCTCATGTCGAACTTGACCTTGCTTTGTTCATCAACTTTTTGAAGAAGAAGATTCATTTTGACTCATTGATAACTAACAGAGATCAGCACTTCCCTAACAGGGACTTTGTCAGGGCGCTTGTCGACACCATTCAAGGCCACACAGACGAGCTGAACTCAAAACTCTACGACGTTATTGAACTCACGCAGCTGATCATTCCTTCAAAGCAGGTGCTACGTTTTGCCACATCTTGGGAGGTCACCACAAACCTACACAATAAGTTTCAGGACGAATTGAAGGCGCTGCACATTGCACAGTTGAAGCTAAAATCCTTAAACAGTGGATTATCGCATCATCAGCACCAGCAGCCACGCTCGAATTTGAACATCAAGATTCTAAACGCGGAGTTTCAGTTCGACCGCAAGAAGCTGACATTCTACTATGTGTGCCAAGAAAGAAATGATTTTAGAGAGTTGATCAAGGAGCTTTTTAAGTTTTACAAAACCAGGATATGGTTGTGCGCCATACCGAACAACCTGGACATTGAGTCCAAGTACTACGATAAACAATTGAAAGAAATCAAAATGTATCAGTCTATGATGCAACATTTCTCCGGAGAAGACACCCTTGATAATGGACCAGGGTCCGGGTTTATTGTTGCTCCGGCGCTGAACTCGATCTCGCTGGATAATTTTCAAATTGGGGTTTACAAAGAACTTGTTAATGACTTATTCGCACAGAGATAGAAAGCGGATGACAATCAAAATATTTTTATGACAGTTTTTATAAAGTTGGGCTTTACTGGTTATCGATTTATTATAAACATATGAATAGATTTTTTACTTAATGCAGTTGAATAGAGCCGAAGATGATAAGAAGTAAGTAAGCGAGTTTCTCTTGAGGCGACAGCCATTAATCGAATTAGCGAATGATTTATGTTATTGTTTCATATATATTCATTGAGTAAAGGTCTTGAAGCGATGGCTCTTTTCCTTCGAGATGAGAGACCTGCTCATTTGGTCTGAGCAAAGAAGAAGTTGACGGCGATCAATTGGAGATGGTTCTCGGTGGCCCACTTGTCAACGCCAGTAGCTGGAGTGCCAAAGCCCCAGTTTGGTCTGTCGACGATTTTGGTGAAGGAAGAAGAGTCCCCAGGTTGCTTGTAGAGCAGGAAAACGTAGCGGTGTTTTCCTGTCCCGCTGGGAGGAGCTGGACCCTGATATTCGAGCAAAGACTTACCGTTGGTCAATTGCGACGCTACAAAGTCCGGAACTGGCGAGCTGGTGCCGTGTTGGTACTCAAAGGGCAATCTGATGTCAGTTTCGACGTAGTGGGCATATTCACTCCATTTTTTGTCAGTTCTGGAAGGAGCATCGGGGTCTGTGATCACTAATGTGAAAAGGTCGGAGTCCTTGATCTTGAATTCTGACTTGGGGTCCAAAGTGAAGTGCACTTTGGGCTTGAGCTGCGTTTCCTCCACAGCCAGTGTGTTACCCATCGCCACAGGAGCGCTAGCGGAGTATTCAGCGGCCAGCAAACCCCAGGGCTTGAAGTCGTTGCTCTTCACCACGTCTGGGATGATATCGTGGGTGTGGAGCGCATCGGTGGCTACTTTGGAGATGTCAACAGCGTAGTTCATGATTGCTGTAATTGGTGAGAATTGAAGCTGTATAGTTCAGTACTTCAGAAGTGAAGGTCAGAATAGGTTTATGTTATGATAGATGAAGATACTATCTCTCCCTTATATTAGAGTACTTGTAAACGACTTTGGGTTTATAATGTGAAACGACTTGTGGAAGGTTAAAAACCCAAGGTGGTCGGTGTCCCTTGTAAACAGGTTGGGGTTTACATTGAGTATTGAGTGTGGAAAAAACGCGTAAAAAATGGCATTTGGCGTGAAAAGGCTTTTATTTACGCGACTGCAGTATACATGAAGCGCTAGAAAAATCAAATGTAACCCATAGCAAGCCTAGTCTCGAGCCTACTCGAATTTCGTCTGCTCTTGATAACTACTCAACATGACGAGCCCTAAGGTAGAGTTACTCGTTAAGTTACATCGAGAGATCTGCGGTGTTCACAGCTTAACGGGATACTTGCAGTATCTGGCCCGGCATTCAAAGATTGACGGGCGCCAAGAGTTCCTACGAAACTATGATTCAGGCCAGTATTCTCTGAGGTACCAATATGGCAATGCTTATATTCGTCAACTAACGAACGCAACCACACGGCGCGCACCGCAAATGGCTCTCGAGAACTTAGAGGATAGGGGAGTTTTCTCCAATGGAGAGCACAAAGCATTGGAAAAATACCTCGAGAAGCTGCTTGTAGATGAAATCAATTTTGAATCTATAAGAAGGACCAGAGCTCGGGGCAAAAATTTCCGGTATAATAGCAGATATCATAGCGGTGGGAGGTTTCGACTTACTTATACGGACGCTGACTTCCGCAAGTTGACCGGATTTAGTAAGTTCGATCTCGATCGCATAGTCAAGGCACTGAAGATACCTTCTAACATTGGCTCTTACTCACTTGACGCTTTCGAATGTTTCTTCATCTTCATCGTTAGAATGAGAAGTGGCTGTACTTACACAGTACTGACCAGCATTTGCGGCAGAGAACCCACTACAATATCCAAGATTATCACATTTATGACATGCTACTTGCTCCACATTGTAAGCCCATCTCTGTCAGTTGCAAATGCGCCGTGGCTTGCGAGCCGCTTATCGCTCATCGACCAAAGCCTTCTGAGATCCAACAAATCAGTCCCTAACAGCAGAATTGTGGGCTTTATCGATGGCACGCACGTCAAGATTGCGAGGCCGCATGGAAGTTCTGAATTGCAAAATTCAGCGTATAGCGGGCATAAAAAACTCATATCTTGAAGTATCAAGCGGTGACAACGCCTGATGGTATTTGCATAGATTTAGCAGGACCCTTCGCTGGTAGTCAGCACGACTCCTTTCTTTTAGCAAATAGCGGCTTATACGGAAGATTGAAGCCAGCTCTAAAGATCAGTAGCGTTCAATACAGAATATACGGGGATCCTGCGTATCGGAGTTCTGACGTGCTCACGGTGGGGTTTAAAGGACAGAATCTGACAGCTGCCGAAAAAAACTACAACAAAACCCTGGCGAAATCTCGTGTTTCGATAGAGTGGTTTTTTGGTGCGGTAAAGAACAACTTCCAGATTTTCAATGCCCTGGGAAAACTGAAAGTAGGTAGAGTGAGATTTTGCGGTGCGTACTTTACCATCGCTGTCTTTCTGACAAAACCTCAAACATTGTCTAGAAGGATCGCAAAGGATCCAAGTACTTTGGTATTGACCCACCATCCTTCGAGGAATTCACGAGTAGGCTCAAATTTCCAAAATATTTTGACAATTTTATTATCGATAATCAAGGAGAGGGCACTTACTACTCTAGGCAGTATGAGCACTTAAGCTTTGATCAACTGGAAAACCTTGCTTGAGCCAGCTTTGCAATGAAAACTTTGTAAATCAGCCATGCGGACAAAATTTAGCTAACACTGACACTCTAACATTTGTGATAATTAGTTCACGCATAGTGTGCTAAAAAGTCTTGAAGCATCTTCTTTACAGCATTAGTCGATGAAGAATTCCCCTTTTCTAGGCTTTGGGCCATGAGCGTCATTTCCATTACAGTCTTAATCTTTTTGGCTTCATGATCGAATTGTTCACGCTTTTCTTTTTGAGCGCTGTATTCCATTTGTTGTTGTTGAAATTCTATAATCTGCTGTTGAGCTTTTGCTTCGCGTTTCCTTTCTTCCGAAAGTGTTGCTTCAATAGTTCGTAGCGCAGAATCTTGCAGTTCTCTCGTTGGTGCTGAGAGTTCAGAGAAATAATGGGCAAATGACGCGACATCTCTTGAGTTCAGCGACTTGCCTGATCTGTTCCTCTTTTCGACCGTGATAGTATTAGGTTGGTTCACGTCATCTATGGAAGACTGCTCATCAGAGTCTAAAGGGACAAGGCTCTCAATGACACTCGGAATACTATTTGAGCATAGCATCTGGCCCACAGACCTCTTATTATGTCGTTGGTCGGTAACACGTTTATGGTATTCTGCTTTACTCAGTTCCGAATCATTTTTCAGCCTACAGAGCTGTTCCAAAACGTCATCTATTTTGTCAACTCCAGTAATCGAGAAAGGATTTCTCTCATCTCCTGTAGTGACAGCAAATAATTTGGGATGTGCCATGTCTGTTAGATATCTGCACCTCTGTTTAATTTGACCCTCTGTTGGTATGATATTGTTTTCGAATTGTAATGACAACAGAAGATCATACAAAATACAACTCCATTTAAGAGATATGAAGCTGCTTCGTTCTAGCTTCTCAACTCTAGGTGATTTCAGACGTTCGAAGCCGTAAAATGGACCGATTTCGTTGCAATACTTGACCAGGTAGTACGTCGAGTTGTCAGTCCACCTGAACTTAAACTCTTTCCCATGATCTGATGATCTGTAGCCTTTCACTCTTATCAATTCTCTGATAGCATTTGCCATTTTATCCAGTGAAAGGCGAGGATTCTTTATAGTAGCTAAATCCTCCCTTATGATTGATGAATGAAAGTACTCAAGATAAAGCTCCGATTGTTCCATTGCGGCATGATTCGTTGAGCTCGCGACGTATTCAGCGGTGGCTGATGTTCTGTACTCATCAAGGCCAGCACCAGTTGTTGCTGGGTTGGCTTGTAAACCCTCATCAGCGAGCGAGTCACTTGATGAAGCGTCAGAATGATGTTGACCCGTTGACTGGTTGTCACTTGTACAAGAAGCTGCTTCCATTGCCCTCTTGAACTTGTTTCTCAATGGTCAGACCCACTGGTGATCATCTTCTGATCGACCTGATACGCGCTATTGTTGTTATTTCAATAACAATTCTTTAATCCACAAGTCACTGGGAACGAAATCAGCTCGAAATCAACTTGTGGAAATATTTCCCAAGGTACTCGAAAAATGTACCTTGCGTTTCAACTTGTGGACAAAAAAAAAGAAAAAAACGATCCACAAGTCGTTTCACATTATAAACCCAAAGTCGTTTACAAGTACTCTACTTACTCTTCGTCATATATGATACAGGAAGTGCTTTGTTTGCTAATAAAGTGAACATAAAAATCACATGACCCTGAGGATAAACCTCAAATGAAATTACGTCATCGGCCGGTCATGTGTCATATATTACATAATCCAAAAACGTGACATTTATTTCTTTGATTACATAATCTTAAACTTGTCACGCGTAATCCACATGACCTAATTTTTTACCTTTCTTTCACTTTGATTCTCAATGCCCTCATTTATATATATAAAAAGTAGCTCTACATAGATAGACAAATGGTACTTGGTGACTAGTAGTGAAATAAAAAAAGATGGTGAACCTACCCAGTCAGTGGCCATAATCACTCTCTTTTCCTCTATAAGGACAAACAATCTCTTAGGGCATGCACTTCTAACATGTCTGTGCGTTTAAAGCAATTGATTTCTTATGCGGCAGGGTTCGCAATGCTGTATGCCGCATGTGCGTCAACAATTGGTATCTTTGTATGGTCAGAGCTATTTCTGCATCCGAGACTGTCCAAACAGTTTCGCACCGATGATCCGGCGATCAACAAGACGTTTATACCAAGGGAAACCGTTTCGGGACTGCAATGTCTTGGCATTGCGTTCCCATTGCCTTTGCTGGTGCTAACGTGGTGGTGTCTCGTAGAAAGCGACTCGAGCATTCAACATCGATATTTGGCACGTTCTCACGCAGGTGTTGTCAAGCCAGACTGGGTGCCGGCGAAATTACATCTGTATCACGCCAGCTGTGTAGCCCTGGTACTCATATTGGGCATTAATGGCGTTTTAACAAATGGTCTCAAGCTGATCATTTCGAACGCTCGCCCGGACTTCATCGCTAGATGTCAGCCACAAGATCCGGACGCCCTGTATGTGTCGTTTGACCAATGCACGCAAACCAATCGCTGGATTCTGTACGAAGGGCTTAAGAGCACCCCGAGCGGCCACTCGAGTTTCGCAGCGGCGGGGCTTGGATTCCTGTATTTATGGCAGCTGCGACACACACGAGTATCGCAATGGAAACATCTTTGGTGTCCCGCGCTGTGTCTTGTGGTCATGGTATCGAGGGTGATCGACCACAGACACCATTGGTATGATGTTATAGCTGGGTGTGGTCTGGGTCTGAGCGTGTGTGCACTGGTCTGGCGCAGTCTACTGCGGGAAGACGCTGCTCAAGTTTTGCCCCGCTAAGTAGAGGAACAAGATTTTGACCATCAAGGCCGTGCCAGCGAGGTCAAAAAGACCAAGCTTTCCTTTTTTTAGGACCACAACCATTAATAAATGCTTACCAGGTTCGTATAGCATCTGCCCGTTTGGACCCTACGTTCACCATGCTGTGAAATTCGGATACATCGGGGTTCTCTGGTGTGACGTTTTTGGCGAAAGAGGCGGATGCACGGGAGCAAGCTCAATATAACTTTCTGGACGTTGTTTAACGGCAGTGAGCAACGAGACACCTCGAACGTTTTGCAATTAGCAATTGGCGTCAACAACCCAAACGTTGTAGGAGGGTTTTAATAGTTCAAACTGATAGATACTATGCTACGTAAAGAGTCGTTGGTACGTGTACGTTGTCGATGAACGCGATGGGGTCGTCCATTTTTTTTTACAAGCCGCCACGAAGTGAAAGGCTTGTGAGTGAACCAAGGAGGGCAGAAAGTGTTAACAGCTGGTTCACACAATACCTGGATGTCAGGAAATCTATCTGTTGACTATTGCCTCTGGGACTTCATCCGATTACTCGGCCTATCACGTGCCACTATGAGTACCAATTATACGAGTACTCCAGATTCTAAATTACAATCGAATGAGCGGGTATTCTGTTTGCAAGTAACATCGAGACAAACACGTCGTCAAAAGGTCTTGAAGAAGCGTCGGAAACGAACTGTAAAGAGCCAATTGTATCAAAGATTGGCTTTAGATCGGATTGGGTTGAAAATGGAGTCCAGTCAATTTAATTAGCGACCAAAATACCAGTGATCAGAATCGAGGACCCTAAAATGCTTCCATAGCTCAGAGAGAGCTCTGAACTCACTGTTTTTTGAACAGCTTTCTTTGTTGCTTCTCAACAATTAATGAACGAATTGCTGCAAGACCGGCAAACAGTAACGCACACACAAGCAGAAACCAAGGTCGTTCGAAAGAAGTTCAACCGAGCCAATTCCACAAACGGCTCATTCCACTTCACACAGTCATGTGTCCCTAACACTCAAACTTCTTCCCAATGGGAGCGTTTCCAGTACCATTTGCCGTCCTTTCTCAAGGTCCTCCATGAAAACCCCATACCCTACATCTTGAGCCAGAGTCATTACACCAGAGTCACGTGATCCACAAAAAATCCTCTGGTTTTTCCAAGCCCATTACCACTAATACTACTATCTGTCTACCGATCTTTAAACCCGTCTGGCGTTCACACACAACACCATTTTACTTCCACATTCAGCTACATTCCAAGCATTCTCCCCTTCTCACAACAAAAAGCCAAACATGGAGGAAAAGAAGAGAAAGTGAGTAAGTAAGAAACGGCGGAGCTTCTATTGCCGTGCAAGACGAAAAAAAAAGCTCTACAAACAAGGCGCCTGATTATTGGCACTAAGACATACACTTTTATTCGCTGTTCAAAACTCAACTCTTAGCGCCTCGTTTCCATCATCCCGACGAGTGAAAACTGTGCTATGAGATCTGTGCTACAGGTCGGTCCTTCACATCAACTGTATTTGCAACTGTGTGCCCACATTCGCCTTTCATGTGATCCTTCTATTGCCCTGTGGCTTCCCACCCACGGGATCTACCACCCTAAACGGCGAACGGTGATAAAACTACTAGACCAAGCTGGACCCATCCAACATCTAGCAGCGTACTCCAGGAAGGTGTGGCTGGGCTACTTGTAACGGAAAAGGTTCAATCGACTACAGGGCATGTGAAAAACCGTAAGAAAAGAATCAAACACAGCTGCAGTTCGAGAAGCAGATTTTGGATATAAAAACCGAACGTTAGAGCTTTGGTCTTGTAACATTTTGAAGCTTGGCAAGAGTTCTCCTAAGAAATCTTCTATCCCACCATTACAGTTGCAATTACAGCTACAGCTACAGCTACAGCGCTTTAGATTGCTCAACTATAGTGAAAAAGTTATAAGAAAAAATGGCCAAGACCTTTTTGTTCACCAGTGAATCCGTCGGCGAAGGCCACCCAGACAAGATCTGTGACCAAGTCTCGGATGCGATCTTGGACGCTTGTTTGCGTGAAGACCCATTGTCCAAGGTTGCGTGTGAAACCGCTGCCAAGACCGGTATGATCATGGTTTTCGGTGAAATCACCACCAAGGCCCAGTTGGACTACCAAAAAATCGTCAGAGACACCATCAAGCACATCGGTTACGACTCCTCCGATAAGGGTTTCGACTACAAGACCTGTAACGTGCTGGTGGCCATCGAACAGCAATCTCCAGATATCGCTCAGGGTTTGCACTACGAACAGGCCATCGAAGAGCTAGGTGCCGGTGACCAGGGTATCATGTTCGGTTACGCTACCGATGAAACCCCAGAATTGCTGCCATTGACCATCTTGTTGGCCCACAAGCTCAACCTTGCCTTGGCCGATGCCCGCAGAGACGGCTCTTTGCCATGGGTTAGACCAGACACCAAGACTCAGGTCACCGTCGAATACAAAGAAGAAAACGGCCGTTGGATTCCTTTGAGAATCGACACTGTTGTTGTCTCTTTGCAACACGCCGAAGAAATCTCTACTGAAGACCTAAGAAAAGACGTCCAAAAGCACATTGTTGAAAAGGTGTGTCCCGCTGACATGTTGGACGAAAACACCAAATACTACATCCAGCCTTCCGGTAGATTCGTCATCGGTGGCCCTCAAGGTGATGCCGGTTTGACCGGTAGAAAGATTATCGTCGACGCTTACGGTGGTGCCTCTGCTGTCGGTGGTGGTGCCTTCTCCGGTAAGGACTACTCCAAGGTCGACCGTTCTGCTGCTTACGCTGCCAGATGGGTTGCCAAGTCCTTGGTCAACGCTGGTCTCTGTAAGAGAATCCAAGTGCAATTCTCGTACGCCATCGGTATTGCCGAACCATTGTCGCTTCACGTCGACACCTACGGTACCGCCACCAAATCGGACGAGGAAATCATCGAAATCATCAAGAAGAACTTCGACCTAAGACCTGGTGTCTTGGTCAGAGAATTGGATTTGGCTAGACCAATCTACTTCCCAACCGCCTCTTACGGTCACTTCACCAACCAGGAGTACCCATGGGAAAAGCCTAAGGAGTTGAAATTGTAAGCGATTTTGGCTTATGCAAAACTGGGTTAACTTTCCTCTCTGAGCCCCTAATATGCTCAACTCGTATCTGGGATACTTCAGTACCATATGACGGCTGATTAGGGTGTATGATACAGCTATTCTTCCGCCCCCCCCTTGGCCATCTCCTTCCTGTAGAATATGTTTGTCTTCAGATTCGCTCTAACAATCTGAAAGTTATTTGCATCTCTGTTTCTGTCTAGGCGCATTGTCACTTTTATATAGACCACCTCCCATAATAATGAGTCCCTCAACGGACAGAACTGATAAATCAAAGAAAGTACGTTATTGTTTATTCTATTTCCTCCAGTTGTTGTAGTGCTTTAGTGAGTTCTAGTTTTGCAGTCTTGAGATCTTCGTAATTTAGGGCGCTTATAGCAAATCTCGCTGTTTTCTGAATTGCTGCGATTTGATCCTCTCTGTTCCACATACTTTTTAGGTCGTCCGGGTTGTAATGAATCGGTTTTTGCGTCACAATTGTAGGCTGAACTGCTTCTTCGACCGGATCGATGTTCTCATCGTCGAGGAAAACGGGTGGCTGGCCAATATGTGTTGGGGCTTGCGGCAGTTGCAGTTCTGGCTCTGAAGAGTCTTCTGGCGATACAGGCTCCGCGTCCAGCTCGCGCATTTTGCGGATTAGATCGTCCGTTTCTTTACTTTCTTGTGTGGTATCAGCCTTGGCGTCGTCTGACACCATTTTTTTCTGAGGGTCCTCAGTCAGCGCGGACTCCCGTTCCAGACTGGCTATAAATTCTTCCACCTTTTCGGGATCAACATCAGACTCGTTCTCTTCTTCCTCAATCTCTTCCTCTTCGTCATCCAATGGTTGTACATCGTTTTGGGGCATCTTCGAATGCGGAGGCTCCTGATTGACCTCCGGAGACAGACTTCCAACCACGTTTGCTCCCAGTTCTCCACGAGCCAGTTTGCTCAGAAGCAGTTTGCACATCTTGATTCTTTTCTGGCATTGACTTACTTCGTCCTTCGTTGCTTCCTTTCCTCCCCACAGGGCCAATATGGCAGTCAGCAAGTCCACGCAGCACCACAGGGCTCTGGAAAGATCGTTTCCAAGGTTGTTGGCCTGTATTTTCGCTAATTGCTCGTTGTATAGCGATAACGCAAAATTCAGACAATAAACCATGGCCTTATGCTGGTCTTTCAGAAGCTGCAAAACCGCCTCGTCTTCTGCACCCTGTTTAAATTCTTCGATTTCGTTCAGAAGTTTCGTTGCATTTTCGATTACTTCTTCGTCTCTTTCCGCCAGACCAAGCAGCTCTTCAACCACGTACAGCTTGAGATAGTATGCTATGACCGGCATAGCATACTCGAAATCACCGCACAGTCTTAGCGACCTTTTGACAGAAGTCGGAATCCCCATTTTAAAAAAAACAGTAGTCTTTTAAGCCGGTCCTTTCTAGAACTTGGCCTAGATCTTGGTGGATCACGATGAGCCAGCTAGCTGGGTTGCTATAAAAGCTGAGTGTATTATGTATGTATGCCCTTATAGCTTTAGCTAGCTTGGCCTAGTTATGTAAAGGAAGTGTAATTTTTCACCAGTAACGTGATAGTCACGCTGGTGAATGAACAGAAGAGTAAAGCACGTGAGCTAATTTAAAATGACTAAAAAAACGTGACATACACACACACACTTCTGTTACGTAATCACAAATTCTAAAAAAAGGTAAAAATGTCACGTGACCCAATACCAAAAAAATTTAGGGTCATTACATAAGCAATATTTACCTTAAATGAAGTCACGTGTACGCTCGAATGGTTTTTCCCACCCCCCAAATTATGAATAATTTTAAGATCTTTCCATTAAACCAGCCACAAAGCCCCCTTCATACCACCATTAATCCATTATTATTATAGTGTACAGCCCTTCGCACTATTAAAGACTAATGCGTTCCCTTTCAACCCGCGTCGCAACCACATAGGGTCTTTTGTCCTTACGTACGAGCTCATTACTAACGCGTCTTGTTTTTTCTAGAAATCCGGAGAAAAAGCAACATTGAAATTTCACACGGGGTCCGATCGTCATATCATGTAACACGAAAAAGGATATCGGTGGGTGGAGTTAGGGAGTATCTTCTCTCAAGGAGAGAAGTATAAATAGTGTACACTTTTGCCGCTCAACGCTCTCCGTTTGAGACGAGTCTTGTTATGTGCTAAAAACGAAAATAAAGGCGTTTCGCACAAGATTTTCATTCTTAACATAAAGCTATGGTCACAGTTACCAACAGAGCCATCACTTTCGTCAACAGTAAGAGCGTGCCCTCAATTTCGTCGCATGAAATAGACCTCGATGCATGCTACAAAGGAAATGAAATCGTAGTTAAGGTCCATGCTGCGGCTTTGAATCCCATCGATCTTATGGTGTACCATGCGGCATACCCCTGGCTTGCTGGGAAACACGAAAAAACATTTTCTAGAGACTACAGCGGGGAAGTGGTCAAGGTGGGCTCAAGAGTCAAGGGTTTTGAAGTGGGTGATAAAATAGTCGGGCTTTTCCAACATCTTTGGGGCGCCCAGGGCACTCTCAGCAACTACTTGGTGCTAGATCCAACCGTGCAGTGTGCCGTGACAAAAGTCCAGGCTTTTGAAGACCCACAATACAGCGATTACGTGCTGAATGCAGCATATCCTCTCGTATTTGGCACAGCGTACCAGGCTCTAACAGGAAACGGACAGAAATTGGGACCAGACTCCCGGATCCTGGTCATTGGTGCTTCGACTTCTGTTTCCAGCGCCCTGGTCCAAATCGCCAAGAACCATTTGAAAGTGGGCACGGTGGTCGGTACTTGCTCCAAAAAATCGTTCGATTACAATAAGGCTTTTGGATTCGACCATTTGGTGGCGTACGACGAGGGTGACCAGATGCAAGAGATTCAGAAACTAGTGAAAACTGATTTTGGCAATCAAAAATTTGACCTCATTTTCGATTCCGTGGGCAGCAGCGACTTTTTCGCCAATATTACAGAGATTCTGAAGGACAAGCACGAAAACTCGCACTATAGCAGCGTTGCGGGTGACACTATCCTGGACTACAGTAATATTTCACTGACTTCGCTTTTGCCCAGCTGGGAATCGCTCAGGAGATGGGGGCCATTCCGCAAATACAACTACAAATATGTGCTCCTGCGGAAGGACCCTCATGCCATGGCTACAGCAGCTCAGATGATTGCCGATAAGAAGTACAGGCCACCAATTGATTCCGTTCATAAGTTTGATGACTTTGCTGACGCTTTCAAGAGACTTTCTTCGCACAGGGCCAAGGGTAAGGTCGTCATTGAAGTGAGCTGAAGAGGTTGTGAGACTAAGGAAGTGAGCGAAGCTGAACGAACGTTCAATTAGCGTTTGTATGTATATATATGTAAACCATGGATTTTAACGCACAACATCGAACCCGACCAAGAAAGCAGAATTCTGCGACGAGAGATAAAATGCTGGTGTGTTTCGGCCGAGGGGTTTGACCCTGCAGAGCATGCTCTTCCGTCGCTTCGAGAGATGACTTCTCACCACTGTGTCAACTCATTGGCTCTATTATCGGTCTGCCGATGTCACACCAGAAACACACCAAGTCCACGTACATTATCACTGATACTTTTTCTTGAGGCATTCGATTCTAAGCGACGTAATTGTAAACAAGTTTGTTGTGTAGTCGCCCTTGATCCCTATAGAGCTCGGCGGCTGTTTGGGTCACCTCACAGGTCGTCCATAGTGAAGATTAGAATAATATGGTAGGTAGATCTATGAGTAGAAACACAGCACAGCCAATCCATTATCAAACCAATAGCTAGCCGGAACGCTTAAAATGATCAAGATCCCGTTTCTTATCCGTTTCTTATCCGTTTTTGATCCGGCGAAGTGTTTTTGTGTCACATTCAAAATCCTCTAAAATACTCGAAAATCGATTTATTAGCCGCCAAAAAAAAACTATAAAAAGGCAGGGATTGTGGCTATTATTCTCTTTTCTTTCGTTAACTCTTTTCTTACATGGTGGGTGAGAAACAGCTTAGCATATAGTTTCATATATGAAGAGATGTATATACCAGTAACGAGATACTCGCCTTAGTCGAAGATACGGAGTAGATTCAGCCACACACAACTACAAGCCGGATACACTTTATTCTCTCCACACTCTGAGACATTTGGGGAGGTTCTCTGAAGCTACGGTATTTACAGTTTTGTATAGTAGAGTAGTGATTTTAGGCGAAAACGCTGAAGATAGACATCCGGTACCAGATTGATTTGTACTACCTACGAGTCTCGTAAAAACGGTCAAAGTAAGGCTAGTGCTATTCAGGTTTAACATGACGCAATGGCAATTCTATGCAGGCGTGTCATCTGAGAATAAACCTTTTAAGGACAACATGGAAGATCGGGCGGCGAAAAAAAAAAGGACCATCACCCCAGCCTCAAACCGTTCAATAAGTACAGTCATCCGGCGCCATTTGCCATGAATCCTGTCCCATGTTTAACATGGCCCCTCCTGTTCCGGTTTTTGACAGTGTTGATAGCACTTCAGACGGAAACAAACACAGTGCGCGTGAGAGTGCACGCGTCTTAAAAAAAATATTTCAATATGTCGCTTTCAGCACACCAGGAATATCGAAAGGTCCGCTGGTGTGCTTCAGCTGTCTAGATAGTTTGGACTGGTCAGAGTACTCAAAGTGAACTAAAGAGTGAGTGCAATCTGCCTTCGACTTGCTTAAAGAGAGTTTCCAATATCAAATAGCACTTTCTTGGCACAATCATTCAATCCCCTTTTGACAGGCTGAGGTCAGCATCGGAATTGGTGTAGCATGGCCATTCGGGAGCTCGAGGTCGAGTGTATTTACCGCAATGGGCAACATTCCGTGAAATTTGTCCAAGACTTGGAAAATAGTCTAGTTCTGGTAGAAGGCTTTTTGCCTCTACTGGCAATTCAATGCGATGAGGACCAGTCACAAAGTGGTTGGCGGAGCAGATTGCTTCAAAAGCTAGGTATCTCAAATAATTCGGACTCACAAGGGTCGGAATGGATTTCCCGAGACAAGGCGCGCGAACTTATCGAACTGCTAAAAATACAGGATGCTTTCCAAGGCGTTTTTGACATTGATGAAGGGTCACAACCGAACGACACGGATCAGGACGAGGATGCGATCGAGAATGAGAAAGCTGAGAGAAACTCGAACGGTGCTGATGTGAATAATGGTGGGACCAATGGCGATAACAATGGCTCGGATAGTAAACATTCCCAAGACCACGACTATGGTGAGACACCTGCGTTCTCGAAAAGAGCGGCAGTGGCAGACCACCAACTAGGTTCGCCTCTCAAGAAACTCAAACCTGCTGAAACTTTTATGCCGTTGCATTCAATGAACCAGGAGTTTCAACTGAATCTGCCCCTTTCGATTCAGCCCGCCAAAAAGCCCGTCACAAATTTCGCACCCGAGGACCGCGTTAGACTAGAGCAATTGTTACAGCACATATTGTTTCCTGATAACCAATCTGTCCGTTTCGAGACTGCTGTTGCAAACTTGGGATTACCATATCCTCACACTCATTTGAATCTGGATATTCCTATCGACGAGCATGGTAACACGACTTTGCATTGGCTTTGCTCTGTCGCAAATGTCAAACTAACTAACGATCTGATAAAAAACGGCGCCGACCGATTTCTTGGAGACAAAACAGGCGAATCTGCTCTCGTCAAGGCTGTTAAATCGGTCAACAATTACGACTCCGGTACTTTTGAAGAGCTATTAGATTCCCTATACCCGTGTCTCATATTGGTCGACGATATGGCCCGAACTGTACTACATCATATCGTTATAACATCTGGGATGCCTGGCTGCTCGGCTGCCGCCAAATACTATTTGGACTTACTCATGGGATGGATTGTCAAGAAGCAAACTAGGGAAATCTCAAATGGTGAGGATCCTATGATGTCTGCGCTAGATCTTAAATGGTTCATAAACCATGTGCTCAACGCGAGAGATGTTAATGGTGACACATGTTTGAATATAGCTTCAAGACTTGGCAACGTCTCAATTGTGGAAGCCCTATTGGACTACGGTGCCGACCCTAGGATATCTAATAATTCCGGCCTGAGGCCGGTAGACTTTGGCGCTGGCGCCACGAAATTAGAGGGTATGCATGCTAACAATGCTAGTGTTGATGAATCTATCACAATGTCAGGTCCGGACCCCTCCATGCTCATAAACAATATTCAATCGCTGGTAAACACAATCTCACAGGACTATGAGATGGAAATCAAGCAGCACAGGGAACAGCTGTCGAAGCTTCATACTGACTTGGACGCCCAGCGTCAACTTCTCGCCACCTCAAGAGAAAGACTCACACAGGCCCGTCAACTTCGTGAAGAACACACACAATTAACCGAACAGATTTCAAATATACAACAAGCGATTGTTCAAGAAGATGCAGATTTTCGAAAGGTAAGTGGAGAGCTTGGGATTGATGACGAATCTCTGGAAATGGCGGAGTTCGACGCCGATGAGCCATTCCGCATTGATTTCATTTATGATTTCCTAGAAAAAAAGCTTCAAAATGAATATTCGGGAGACTTTGAGCAGTTTACGGAAAATGTCACTGTGGATGACCTTTTGAAGAGCTTAATGCAGGAGAACTCGGGCCAAGAAGAAAGCATACCTCCGGAAGCGCTTTTACGTGCTCGCATAGCCGCTTACGAAAAAAATGAGCATAACCTCAATGACTCATTAAGTTCATTACGCGAGAAGCAAGCTCGCTTAGAGGAAAGGTTCAGACGTATTCTTTCGCTATGTCTCAAGGTTGAAGGAGACAAGATTGATGGTATGCTTGACGGCTTACTTCAGGCAATATCTTCCGAAGATCCAGAAGATATTGATACAAACGAAATGCAGACGTTCCTAAGCAAACACGCAGTACTCTAAATGATCACAGGAAACTAATTGTATTAATATATTTCAAGGTAGATAAAGATTGAAAGGTTTCCTTTTAAAAGTTGAGGATGGGACAACTCTGCAAAGAAACACAGACATCCAGCGACTGATATCTTTTTAAGTGGGTTTTTTCCAGAAGTATTGCTTATGCACTTTCCGGCAATTTCTAAGACCTGTTCTACCACCTTTCAAAGATGACACGAGCTGTCTTCTGTTGTTATCCGAATCATTTTCCAAGTCATAGTAGTACTCCTCGTCCAGAGGCTTACCAGCAGCGTCTTTGCCCTCACGATAAATCACTCCTATGCACTTTTCGGCCTTCAGAAGTGCACGCAATTCAAACGGTTTCAACTTTGAGATTGTCGAGTTTACATCTTGTAGTTGAGAGAAGGGCACCTGTTGCACATTTGAGAAGGCTAAATGGTTGGCCAACACATGTTGGAGATCCAAAGTAGCAACTCCACGGGATTCCATTTGCAATATCACACTTTCACTGGAGAATGTAGGCTGCTGGGGTTTATTCTTCCGTTTATGGTTCTTCTTTGGGGATGGAGACGTGTATTTCCTGCGTCTCAAGTTTTTGTGTGCTTCGTTATGCGGCGTAGTCTCTTGTGAATTACGACTGCTATCCTTTTGTTTTTGAGGTGTTTGATGCAGCTCGGGCGTTACCGTAATATGCTTTTTTTGGAAAGGGGCCGTACAGTTGTTAGTCTTTGCTTTAGTTGCATCATTGGGCTGGCTTTGATGAACGGGTTGTGCATTGAGGTCCTTGGCACTTTTGAGGGTCTTGAGAGACTTTTTGGCTAGCTTAGGGGTTTCCTGCGATCCTTCAAGTTTAGACATCTCTGTTTCTTTAATTGGTGGTACTGACGACGCGGCTGTGGCAATTGACTTTTCAGTAGAGGCATTTGTAGCTGCGGCTACAAATTCGTCGTTCTTAGCTTCTCTTGCATGACCTGTCGGTGTTTCGTTGGAATTTCCATTGCGCTTTTCTGTTATCTCGAGATTGGTATGTGTCGTCTGAGCAGCAACATCCTGTTTCGTCTCCGAATGATTTGGTTGCCAGCTTGGCTTCAAGCTTTGCGAGACAGGGACCATTTTGCGAGGTGGTGTAAGCGGTTCTTGAGGAAAGTCATCGCTGGTAATGTTGAGTGCTTGTAGCTCATCCTCGGTCTCGGTCTCATTGTGCAGGTCATCGTAATGGTCCTCTGGGAATTCTTTGAGAACTAGTTTGCACTCGATTTGCCTGAAATCGATTTTGGTGTCTTCAACGTATGGCATATACACCGTTTCGCCTTGCAAAACCACAAAGGACGTGAGGTTTGTATCACGGACCACTTCTTTAGTAGCCAGTGTGATTTCGCTGCAACTTTCGTCTACTAGTCTGTAAGTATTGGAATACTGTGCGGAAACTGCCAGTTTCAAGTTTAGCTTAACGGGAAACACGACAATGAGACCGTTTGTACCCTTGCATTCGACTTTCACCTGTTTGGTTGTTGGAGAGTACGTAACGAACGCGTGGAGTCTAGACACGTTTTTATGACGTGGCAGCACTACATCGCACAGGTTATTTTTGCGTCCCACTGAGACTCTTGTTTCGACACGAGAGTCGAGAGGGATGTCCAAAGATCTTGTTAATCTGAGGCTCCTAGAAGAGTCGATTTCTTGACGCAACTCCTGCTCGAATTCGCATTCTGAAGGTGTTTGAGAGCTAGAGGCCAGTTTATCCCCGGTTTTCAAAGGTGACGATACGCCAAGAGTCGAAGAAGGGTTAGGCGTAGGATACTGAGCGACATGGTTAGAGACTCCAACTTTTTTCTTGAAGAAATTGAGCGTAGCGATTGATTCCTTTTCGGCAGGTTGGTAAAATGGGTCATTTTCGTCGTACCTGAAAGATGCAATTGGTGATGATGGTGGATACTGTGCCGACATGGTTAAAACTCAGGCTCAAGTCACTGTCGAGTGGAAACTTAGCAGTTCGTGCTCAAAATGCGTTGAGAATAGTCAACTATTGAGTTCTTCGAGTCTGGCTTTTCTCGAGAGTCTTGGTCACTGTTCTCAACATGACGCGTAAATGAGAAAAAAAAAGGTACTCATTTTTCGCGTTTACGCGTCGCGTAAAATAAAATAACAATCGCCAAACTAACGACAATACAAGAGAGCAAACAGTACATCAAATTCACCTTCCAACCAAGCTAAGACAAGAAAGGATGTTTTATAGCCTAATAGGTCTGCTATATACTATGCCTTCTGTTTCTTAGGCTTTTTTATAAGAAACAGTCCGTCTTGAACCAGTCTTGTAACAATTATAGTATATAAATATGATGGGTCCATAAAGATTCAATGGGCAAAGCGGAAATCCAGTCTGTGATTGCCCTGGTCTTTGGAGTTGAAGATATAGTCTCGTTTTTCGTCTTCGCTCATGGCGTTCCATATTTGATCCTTTTGCCGGTTGCGATATATGTACCAAGCCTTGGTGAGCAACAGTAGAGGGATCAAGGCCAGCGAGATGAAAAATAGTTGGAAGTTACCACGATGATACAATGGTTTGTCGTCGGCTCTGTAGATCTGACTGCTAGCAATGGTTCCAAGCTGCACGAACATGTTGTAAACAGCGGAGGAAACACTACGGGTCTTAATGGAGTTGGAGTTCTTGGAAACCCAAGCGACACACATGGCATGGATATATGGTTGACCCAAGAACAAAGTGGTGATCACATACGTGGGCCATGCTTGAGTCATAGAACCGGACCACCATCTGATGAACCCCAGGAGGAATGTGGAATACACAGGCGCCGCCAACGATATCAGCGATCTCTCGTCAAAAATATCGGAAATTTTGGTGATCAACAACAGCAGAATAATGTGCAAAACGTTGTATGGAATGGACAGCAACTGGACGTTGAAAGTGGAAAACCCGAGCTGCTTCAAGTTAAGCGTCAAGTAAGGTTGAATTGTGCTGACTGGAATGTAGGCAAGCAATCCAATCGCATAGATAGGCCACAAATCGTGGTCTTTCAAAGCATCCCACAACTTACGCAAGGTTAAAGTCTGACGATTGTTCATGTCACCTTTGGAAGGATCGTCTCGCAGCACCCGGTTTACAACAATTTTCTCCTCGCGCTCAGAGAACCAGCCCTTAGGATGCATCCAATTCTTAGTTTGCACGGCTGAAGGTACCATGAGATAGAAGGCAAACACACCGATAAACAGAGTGATGAGACCTTCGATCAACAATAGCCACTGCCAACCGGTGAGACCTCCGATTCCACGCATTCTCAGGATTGCGAAGGCCAGCAACGCAGTGAAGATTTGCACAAGCGAAAGAGTGGTCCAAAACCAAGACAAACGGAGGGGCAGTTCACGGGAAGTATAGAAATAACTGAGCCACAAAACTAGGTCTGCGATAAACCCACCTTCCAAAAGTCCCAGAAAAAAACGAGTTGCGAAAAACCCGGCCTTGTTGTTCACACCAGCTTGTGCAATAGAGACAATACTCCAGAGTACCATCTGGAACGGAATGAAGCGGTCGGGCCCGATCCGTTTGGACAACAATTGCGAGGGCACTTCTGCGATTGTGAACGCTGCGTAGAACAGCTGCATCCCGGTATTGTAGTCATTGGTTGTCATCTTAAGATCCTTCAGCATGTTGTCTGCAACGGCCTGTTGCAGATTTCCACGATCGATCTGCAATGCTGCGAACATCAGACATGCCGGGATAGCCACACGCCAGTCCACTTTGCGCAACAGTTTTTTTTCTTCCTCTTGGGACCACTTGAATCCCGGGTCGAATGCGTGCAGACACTCATACTCGCAGTCTGCGTACACTTTACGGTAGTATTTCTCCAAGTACGGGTCAACAAACGGGTTGCGGTTAGAATTATCGCTTTCCTGAGACGAGGTCTCGAATTCTGCGTCCTCAACAACTATTTGGTTTTTGTCGTCGCTGAGCTCTGCGACAAAACTGGGCTGTTGGGAGTCCTGCGAGCTGCTGCTATTACTGCGTGTGTTTACTGTCATCTTGGGGACAAGGACAGTATAATAGGAATGCTAGCTGTACGGTGACGGGAAAATTGACACTGGGATTCTAACGAATCTAAACCCACAGCTGCATAAGCAACAGATGCTGGATAAAAGTTGAACTTTGTTCAATTTATACAACATGGGACACAAGATTTTTGAACAACAGGGGCATTTCACCTTAATTGTTGTTGCTCAGCATCCAAACACACCTTCTTCCACACCGTTTTCCACACTGCCACTCACTGTCTTTCCCAAGTTGTCTATTATCACCCGCTGTCGTCAACTATTGTTTGCCGTCGTCCACTGTCGTCCACTGTCGTCCACGCTGTCTCGCTTAACTCCGAACTTTTCGAATCTACAAAACTCTACGACCTCTGTGGCGTCCTCCAGATGCTTGCTTCGACCGTCATCGGCCTGTTATTTTGATCTGTGGTTCCCAGCTCTTGGCGATGGTTGACCTGGCGCCAGAAATCACTTTGACCTTACATGCCATGGAGGATGATGACGGATGATGACAGATGAAATTAAGTCGTTCGCCATAGTTAACTACACAGCGACACTATGACTTCAAAACGCCATGGCCAACCACCACCACCACCACGAACAACAATCACAACGCAGACGACAGTGATTTTCAAAGACAAGAAGAGACCGAGACAATTTGAACCAAGTAATTTGTGGATTTATTGCAGGAATAATGCTGAGAAATCACAATTCTCCGATTTTATTTCGCTCTCCTGGCAACGACAGCATGTCTTTGGGATAATTCGTGGCGAGCGCATTGTGAAGGTTCCAATGGCTCCAATGACAGTGGGAAAAATTATAAAAGAGCGGGGGAATCTGGTGGCCAACGAGAGATCTTAGAAACTTTTGGTTCTGGTTTCTCGCATCAAAAAGAAAACAAAACAAACATTCAACTTAATCATGCCTCACGCTAAATTGCTGGAATCTGACAACGGATACGCCAATTTCGATACTCATTTCTTCGACGGTCAGGACGAGGTCGGCAAGGACGGTGTGTTGCGAATCAGCAACAAATTCCGGGCGAAATCGGCGAACGCCGATTTCTTGCCGGAATGGGATCAATCTCAAAAATACGGGCCACTCACATACCATGATTACGTGGATCCAGGTCTTAGAGCAGACCCGGGGTTTCCAAATTTGTTCCCGGATTTCGCTCCGGGCAAGGCCACGATCAAGAAAATCACACCCAAGCTAGGTACGGAAATTGAGGGTATCCAACTCACACAGCTATCGGATGCCGCCAAAGACGAGCTGGCTCTCTTGGTGGCGCAACGCGGTGTTGTAATTTTCCGCAACCAAGATTTTGCCCAAAAGGGACCCCAATACGCAGTCGACTACGGAAGTCATTTTGGCAAATTGCACGTCCATCAGACGTCGGGTGCTCCAAAGGGCCACCCGCAATTACACATAACGTTCCGCAGGCCAGACCAAAAAGAGTTTCATCGTGTTTTTCGCGACCAGGTGTCGTCCATCAATTTCCACACCGATGTGTCCTACGAGCTACAGCCTCCCTCTTACACGTTTTTCTCGGTTTTGGAAGGCCCCGCAGGCGGCGGAGACACTTTGTTCAGTGATTCTTTGACCGCATACGAGAGGTTGTCGCCAGCATTCCAAGACTTTTTAAGCACTTTGCATGTGGTGCACAGCTCCAAAGAACAAGCAGAAAACTCTCGTGTCCAAGGTGGTATTCAAAGACGGAAGCCAGTGACCCACATCCACCCACTGGTGCGCTACCACCCGGTGCTCAAAAAGAAAACGCTTTTTGTCAACAGCTCGTTTTCCCGCCGGATTGTGGAGCTGAAGAAACCAGAATCCGACCAGATTCTCCAGTTCCTGTACGACTTGATCAATCATACTCAAGACCTGCAATTAAGGGCCAATTGGGAACCTGGCACCGTCACAATTTGGGACAACCGTAGAGTCCACCATTCTGCTGTCATCGACTGGGAAGAACCAATTTTGAGACATGCTTTCCGCATCACTCCACAGGGTGAAAGACCCATCGAGGACCCAAAGTATTTGAACGACCCTACTTACTTCCCTTCGGATTTGACCAACAAGAAATAAACGTCAAAATAACCGGCAAAGGTCCGGAAAGTGAACGCAAACACGAGCTACAGTTTGATCATCAAAAAAAAATTCTATGTACGACTTTCATTTACATATATATGGTTTAACAGAACTCTTAACGACGTTTGGAAGATCGTGTCGTCGACTGTAAAACATGCAAAACAGGACATTTTTGAGCACTGGAAATCGACAGACCCTTCCTGTCTCAATCAACAACACTTCAAGACCTTTTTGAAGCCACAATTCACCCGGTAGACTACTCTTTTGGTGGATTTCTAATGTTTCTGTTTCTTCAACAAAGTGTATAAATAAGACAGTGTCACTTAAATAATAGAACTTGACCTTAAACCCATACAAGCTACAAACCAAACCAGAGAATCATGCCTCACACTGCCGATATTAACCAAGAAACCAAGTATAAGCTCAACAACGGACTCGAGATCCCAGTAGCTGGGTTTGGAGTTTATAGGATTAGTCCCGAAGATACTGAAGAACGAGTTTATCAAGCTTTAAAGGCTGGCTACAGACACATCGATTCAGCCGTGGCCTATGGTAACGAAAAGGAGGCCGCTGCAGGTATCCGTAAGTTTTCGAACGAGACCGGTATTCCCAGAGAAGCCATTTGGTTTACCACGAAACTCACCGGCCAGCAGCAGGGACTCGAAGAAACTAAACAGGCTTTAAGAGATGTAGCCAAAGATGTGAAAGAATCAATTGGATACGTGGACTTGATTCTGTTGCACTCGCCCAAAACTAGCTCCCAAAGACGTTTGGAAGCATGGAAAGTGCTGGAAAACGCGGTATTGAATCCAGAAACCAGTTATATCCCAATCAAGTCTATCGGAGTGTCCAACTTTGGGGAGGCGCATCTGGAACAGCTGTTAGCGGAAGCACGGGTCAAGCCGGTCTTGAACCAGCTGGAATTGCATCCTTGGCTGCCTCGTGTAGCGTTGCGTCAGTATCTGAAGAAGCACGAAATCTTGGCCGAAGCTTACTCCCCATTGACGCAAGGCGAAAGACTCGAGGACCCCGAATTGCTGTCTTTGGAGGCTCAAAGCGGCATTTCCAAAGCCCAATTGTTGCTGCGTTGGTCTTACCTACAGGGATTCATTGTTCTCGTCAAGACCAACAACCCTGAGCGTATAGTGAGCAACCTAGAGGTCCTGCCTAAGAAGGATGACGACTGGAAAGTTTCGCTGGACGACACTATTTGGAAAGCGTTCGACAAGCCCGAATCGAATGACGTTGTCACTTGGGGGCACAACGATCCTACACTGTTCCCAATCGACTAAGCTGGTCAGATCTGGCTGTCCGTACATGGAAGACGTGGTGTGTGTCTCTACAGGCATGATGTTAGCGTTCCAGACGGCTGGCCGGGGAGACTAAATTTACTGGAATTTCAATACAATGCAACTCGAAAGACCTGGTCACCGAGTGGAAAGCAAATATATGTCTAGCAGTAGCAGTAGCAGTAGTTACTATAGCCTGTCGCACACCACACCCGTCACCACCATTGTCGGTGAACAAAAATTCCATGGCTCACGTGACGTATGTAATTGAAAGGAAGAAACGTTAAATATGGTACACTTTTTATCAGACCTAGGCTTGGGCGATTATTTTATGATATCCAGTGGTGTGGGGATCATTTGCAGGCTCATAACTTGCACTGGATTGGATATGAGAATTGTTTAGAAACGACTTTAGGTCACTGTCACTATACCACAGACACTTTTATGGTTTTTCACGTGACTGAGGTGGGAGTTTGCAAGCACCATATCGTTATCATTCTCATTAGTGTTTTCGCGACGTCAATACGATACTACTATCTGTTTTCCCTCTGTGTGGGTTGCTTCTCAAACTATTAGCCCAGCGCTGCTTATCTGTTTCAACTGCTTCGATAAGTGATTTCGAACTCGTGACAGGAAATGACATTTGAAGTATCATTAACGAGTGTTACTAGTCTCAAAATCGCGTCCATTAGATCCCTCTCACATCAATACGCTCGTGACAGTTGCTTCACGTTTCTTTGAACTTGCTAAAGTTTTCAATCGCTGTCGCTGTCACTGTCACTGTCGCCAAAGCTATCATTTTTGTTTTCACTGTCGTCGCTTGTCTGTCTTGGGACTGCTAAAGACTTCAACACCCATACATTTCCTGGAAATAATATTTTAACATTTTGAAATTTTGTTAAACCTCGAGTCATTTGACTACTTCCTAATAAGGTAATGTAAATTTGGGCCTCTCCGTCGCTGACTACAGCGGCTCAAAAAAGACAAAATAAACTCTAGATTCCTCGTCGTCTGCCGTGACACACGCACACGATTTCTGAAAAATTGGAATAATCCCACTTTAACCAAAAGAGATGGTTTACAGCGAACTTACACCTAGTTGAACCTCCAACACCAGCAACGCAATAATCAAAAATGGGTAGTATGTAAGGGAATCAACACATTGAGAATTAAGGAACGCGAGAATCGGGGAATCCAGAGGTTAAACTACGAACAAAAACGAACGATTTTGGATCATTGAACGTGAAGTTATGCTATAAACCAATATTTCAGTAGATGTGAGAAAAGTCCAGCTCGAGAATTATGAATAGCTATTGGAACAAATACGGTACTACTACCGACAGCACCTGAGGCGTATTATTATGGCTGCCAAAAATTGACAGGCCTTAGTGGTCTTTGTTTGTGCGAGCACTTCGAATACACAGCTTGAAATCGTTGTGTTTGGTCATGGGTGACTCGGTTAACGCTTTTCTCGCGCGTCCCCAAAAAGTCTGTTCATTTACTAACGTCCGTTTGCAGAGGGTACTCCTTCTTTCGGTAAGCGTCACAACAAGTCCCACACCTTGTGTAACAGATGCGGACGTCGCTCTTTCCACATCCAGAAGAAGACCTGTTCTTCTTGCGGCTACCCAGCTGCCAAGATGAGATCTTTCAACTGGGGTGCTAAGGCTAAGAGAAGAAGAACTACCGGTACCGGTAGAATGGCTTACTTGAAGCTTGTGTCTAGAAGATTCAAGAACGGCTTCCAAACCGGCACTGCCAAGCCTCAATCCGCTTAAATGGGAAAGACACCACGTCAAGCATAGTGCGACGCCAACGACAGGCGACCACTTTGGTCTTGCAGGAATGATCTCTGTACTTTTATAGCCATCTACTCATTTAAACAAAACCGTTTCGTGTTAGGACCAAAACATAGGGCATCCTTGGGCCTTCCTTACTGACTACGTTACTTCACCTTTGATTAGAATTCTTATTTTCCTTTAGCTAAACCCTTGGGCTAATTTCCCATTGTCACTTCATTTCCGCGCATAGTCAAATATAAAACATCCGCATCTTCCATCGATGTGATTCCCTCTAGCATTTTCTTGGCCATTTCCTTCAACCCCATGTCGACTCCAACGCCCATTACCTCTTGACAGCGACTAAAACTCAGAGATTCCAGCTCTTCTTTCACAAAATTAATATCAATACCGTCAAAAGCATCTTCAAACAACTCCGACTCCGCCTGTAACGTCATCGCGTCAAACTGATCCACCAACGTTTTGTGCTCTGCCATCTCCATTTTATTCATCAAAGCCTCGTCTTCCGTATCAGTCCCAAAAACTACTCTCCACAAACAAACCGTGAGCTCACTCTCAACCTCGTTAATGAGACCCAAATCACAACCTCTCTCATGCCAGATCTGGAAGATCAATCGTAAAAGGCCCGAGAAGTACTCGTAATAAATATGAATGTTTTCCGAGTCTTGCCCCAGCAAAACTGTCAGCAAAATCTCCTGAGTCTGAGCCATCTGGCGTGTCAATACTTTAATCATAACCTTCTCTATGGGATCTGTCCGGTATATGGTTGACAGCTTGCCGAATAATTGCACAATCCCAATTTTCAGCTTGAGACACCACCATTCAACGTCAATTGACTTCGGAGTAATCAATTCGGTTTGCGGGAAGTCTTTCAAAATGACTTGTGGTATTGCCCGCGGTTCATGTTTCGAAACAAGTTGTGAAATAAAGCGACCATTATAGTTATCACCAATATTCCTGACCAGACCGTAAATGTTTGTTTCATTGGGCAGAAATAATGAGTCGTTGTCAGTTTCACGCATTTCATTGTTACTAGCTGTCTTGGTCAAGACTTGGTAAAATCGATTCTTTACGTTGTCCCACCAGCTATACGGAACTGTTTGGGCCAGCACCGGTGACTCCAATAACATATTAGCAATGCAGTTGAAAATTTCCATGGTATTGTAAATGACGTTGAGGACGGGCTGATATGATATCGTGAGCGAGAGGCGCGAGAGCTCGTTCACTGCTTCACAAAATGATTTGTCGATGCAAGCAAGTTGGCACTGCAGTGGGAGCGATTGAAGTGTCTTCAAGCTATCCTCAAGCGTGTCAAACGCATATAGTACAATAAGAATGCGTATAAGTTCATACTGGAAGATGTTCGGTCCCACGTCGAGATGCAAAGGCGATTTAGCGAGAGATTTCTTCAATATTCCTCGGTTCGTGCGAACCAGATCAATCATGAAATGAAACAAATCTTTAAGTGCTGTAGGTCGCACTGCACTTGGGCGAAATGTAACGGAATGATGCATCAGTGCGACTAAGAAAGGTATGGCTGTCTTGCACTCCTTAGAGTTTTCAGATATTTCCTTTATAAGAACCGCCAAACTTTCCAGCAGGAACTCGATAAATTGATCCAGCTTCAACAATGATCGTTTCCGTGCCATGAGAAGATCAAAAATGCCTTTACCCACAGAGTCACCATCACTTATTTCAAAGTCGCGAAAAGTAAAGTCTCGGATCTCTGCCAGGCGTACATGGTTCAGAATTTCCAAGGTAGTCATCTCTGAGCCCTTTAATCGGTGAGATATGATGGACTGGATGAAAAGTCCCGCTTCATCTGCCAAAACGCGGTTTGGCTTTAGTCCAACGATATCCTTCACATTTTCAACGACTTTGCGCTTTTTGTTCGCTGAATCACTAGCATCAATGCTTTCGTGAGAAATTGAAGACGAATTTGCCACCGCCGTTGTGTTAGCGGAAGCATTGGACTTCAAATGAGATTTTCCGGCATATGATAGAAACTTCTTTTCATCCTCTGCTCTTTGTAGCTCGGCTTTCAACGAATCGATTTCTCGCTGATGCTGAAGATTTCGCTCTTCTACTTTCAGCAGTTGCTGTTTTCTTTCCTGATCTCTATCTTTCTCAACCAGTTGAATGCGGTCGCGCAGCATGCTAGCTTCGCCTTGGGCTTTCAGCAGTTGTGCCGCGGCATCGCCTTGATCTTGGTGGCTTTGAGTGTTAGAGACACCCAAATCCCTGGGCGGCTTATTCAACAGGGTGTCGAGTAACTCATCATCGTCATCGTCGTCTAGCCAATCATCCATGCTGTGGAAGCGTCATCTCATCAGAATACATCATTGTTGGTGACAGTGTAGGGTTTTATAATATCGAGACATTTATGACACTTCGTATAGAGTGATTGTGAATTTAGAATGTTTGTTTCGTGCCAATTGAGGTTTTGAATAGGGACATTGGTTCACGGGAACAATTGTGAGGTCTGCACGTATGCTTTGGGTGATATTGTACTTTGCGTGGATAGAACTCTGAAAGATGAACTCACTTCTTCAAAATTATTCATTCATCATTATATACGGCTCATCGCGAGCCAAACGTGTGGTGGAAGAGGTGCATATTCATAACAACCAGGGGCGCGAAGAGGATTGAACGCCACGACTAAAGCTTCTTTGTCTGAGTTCTGTTATTTTTAATTGAGACAGTGTCTCATCGTCGCGTTGTGCGGCTTTAGGTAGTTCGTGTCACTTGTAGAATCTGCAGCTCTGTCAAAATTGGTCTCTTCAGATCCAGAAAAACACCAAAATGAAGAGAAAAACCTCTGCTTCTTTGCACACAGTATTCTTACTCAGAACTCAGGTTTTCTAGTCTCTCCAACCTCGCCCTGCGGTCGGCAGTCCTCTCTTGATGTATTAGGCGATCTCATCTCTATATTGAAAAATTTCCTGAAATTTCAAAAACTTCAGCGATGAGCTACCTACACCCAACTGCAAAGGCATCCAGTTCTTGACACCAGGGTACTTCATTGGACGTCATGGTCGAGGATTCTAAAGTCAGAGATGCGCTGAAGACTGGCGAAAAAAAATCGCTGCCAGCTTCGCTGGTTCCACAAGCTCCTGCAGTGCTAACATCTAAGGACAAAGTAACTAAAAGGATGATTGTTGTGCTTTCGATGGCATCGCTGGAAACCCACAAAATCTCGTCTTCTGGTCCAGGAGGCGACAAATACGTGCTGTTGAACTGTGACGATCACCAGGGTCTACTGAAAAAAATGGGCAGAGATATCAGTGAAGCAAGACCCGATATTACACACCAATGTCTTCTGACACTTCTAGACTCGCCCGTTAACAAGGCTGGAAAGCTACAAGTGTATATTCAGACCAGTCGTGGAGTTCTGATTGAGGTGAACCCCACAGTGCGAATTCCAAGAACTTTCAAGAGATTCTCGGGTCTGATGGTGCAACTGTTGCACAAATTGTCAATTAGATCTGTCAATTCTGAAGAAAAGCTGCTCAAAGTCATCAAAAACCCTATAACAGACCATCTGCCCACGAAATGTCGCAAAGTGACACTTTCATTTGACGCACCAGTAGTGCGCGCTCAGGACCACATCGAAAAGTTGGCCGATGACGAAAGTATATGTGTCTTTGTTGGGGCCATGGCAAGAGGCAAGGACAATTTCGCGGATGAATTCGTCGACGAGAAGATCGGTCTATCCAACTACCCGCTTTCTGCGTCCGTAGCTTGCTCCAAATTCTGTCATGGCGCCGAGGACGCCTGGGGTATCATATAGTGTAGTGTAGCGTAGCATAAGAATAGAACAGCGCAAGAATTGGACATCTGTCAAGTGTTTGAAGGCGTTCTCGATAATGACATTTGAAACTGTTACTTGTTAGAGCGCTGTGGTGCGTTGAATATGTTTCAGAACTTGTTTCATGATGTGAGACACGATGACAGTGATGTATAAAAATATGTGCTTCTTGGAATCCAAAGTCAAGCTAAGACGAGTTCTTCCTGTTCTTGGAGACATGGAGTATTGGTAATGGGATTGAAACCATATTTGCAATTGCGAGGTCGAATTTCGCAAGTTTGGTTGAATCAGTACACCTTACTGTTAGTGTTGACAATTGTTAAGCTGACACTATTCTCCGTATCACTGAACAACGCAATCAATACTTCTAAAACTTACGCTTTAAGCAGCTGCAATTCGATCGATGCCCTCTACTCGGAGTTCAAGGATTCTGCGCCTAAGTACATGTGCCAGTTTGGCAACTACTTGGTAGAACAATCTATAACGCAATCCGTAAAAGCCAGCCTGAAAACGGTTTCACTGCTAGTTGATGCAGGTGAGCAACTTGCAATCTTTCTGTTTGATTTCTATTTCGGCACATATGTGTGTCTTGCGACAGGTGCTGTGGACGGAGCCGTTGACGTCGCTACAAACACTACTGAAAAACTACTCGACGTGGTGAACAGTACACTGCTTACAGTGGGAAACGACATTGATTCCGGACTCGATGAGCTGTCTGGAATAATCAACAAGATAATGGAAACAGTAGATGATGTGAAAAGCTTCTTTAAAAGCGGAAGTGAATCGTCGGACGTCGATTCATCCTTCAAGGCAGTGAATTTAAGCATTGCGAAGCTGCGAAATATGCATTTGCCGGCTTCAATCGATTTCAAGCTAAGCCAATTGGCTAACAAAACACCTAGTTTCGATACCGTTATGAACAAGACGCATGTCGAAATCTCAACTCCGTTCGAAGCGGTGCGAACCAAGATTTCTGCCGTCAATGTCTCGCGATTATTGGCGGACAACCATAACATGTATCTGCCCTCTCCAAACGTCACCAACTCTTCATCTTCAGGTATATGTTCTGCGGGCAAAAGTGCCATCTTGGACTTTTACGCCGACGTTTCTAAGGCCATTAGCACACTGGTCATTATTCTAGTAGCTCTGCTGGCTGTTGGGGCAATCTTAGCGATGCTACCATCTGTGTGGTCCGAATATAAGCAGTGGATGCGACTGCGTAAACTTCAGGCCTTGTCAGACGAAAAAATGACCATGGGGGCTGCGCGATGGGGAGAAATAGACGTTATACAGGATTACCACAGGGTCTTCAATAAATGGCCGTATGCGTTTGGGGACTGGCTCGCAAGTCGGCTTTCGAGCAACGTTCGCATGCGCTGGAAAATTCGCTGGTGTGTAGCGTATGCCATGTCTCCCAGAGCACTCACGGTGCTCGGAATCGCCCTTGCGGGAATCGTCATGTGTATATGTCAATTTTGCCTGCTGGCTGCCGCAAGACAAGCTTTGGCAAGTCACAAGGCTGCCTCCGCAACGCAGTCCGCTCTGAAGACCGCTAATGCCACTTTACAAGAAGATTTGCACAGCTGGGTGCTCGCAACCAACAACTACATCAATGCTTCCAGGACACAGCTCAACAACGAGGTTTTTGGCTGGAGTCAGGATGCCACCACCGCACTAAATCGTACTGTTTCTGAAGCCATAACAGACATAGACACTGTCCTTGCGGATTTCTTCAACAACACCTTGTTATATGGCCCAATGACCACTGTTGTTCGCTGCACGATCGAAAACAAGCTCTACAAGATGCAAAAGGCTCTCGTTTGGCTCCATAATAACCTGCAATTCCCTATACCACTGATAGACCCCGCTGCATTGCAAGACTGGGCCCACAGTAGCAACCAGTCCACGCAACTGCTGTCACAGCCCACCTTCGACAATCATGAAGTTTTTGAGCCTTCCGCAGCAGCTAAAAAGCTCATTGAAACGGCAAAAGTAGCCCTCAACGGCGTGCTACATCAGTTTTACTCCGCCACCATTTTCGAGCTCGCTGTCGCCCTTGGGTTGCTCGCGTTGTGGATTTTCCAGTGGCTCATCGCCGTTTTTTTCGTTATGGTCGTCCACCCAGCTTAGGTAAGCCTTTGTCTGGGTCCAGTCCGCATTATTAAGTTTACTTTAGAAACTTTGATAATGAAATCAAACAGACAATCAACAAACATTGCAAATAAGCGTGCGTGTTTGGCCATCTTGAACAACGAGACTAGCTTTTTTTCGAACTTTCAAGCTGTCTAGCATACTGAGCCGATTTCGCGCTAAAAAATCCGGGTTTTTTCAAGTCTTTTCGACTATTTTACAGCAAGTACAAAACTTGTGTGAGTTTGGGAAACCAACGACAGCAGTGAAGTGAAAAAGTAAATCAACATACTGTGAGAAGTGGACCAGTGTCTGCGTGTCAACTCTACGATCGGAAAGTTTTTGCAGGTTCGTTTTGTGGGCAACTCTATCAAGAATAGGTGTTAAATCCCGTATCATAATATCAATCTGTAAGATTTTCGGAAAAGCATGAAATTGGGCCAACTGTCGCCCACCAAGGGCTTCCTGGCACCGCCAAAGCCTTTCCAGAGTGCGGACGACAAAAACTCGCGCTCCAGGTCGTCAAGTTTTTCGCGGATTTTCTCATCCAGTGATAGCTCTCCACGCAGAAAAGGACCCCCTCTAGAAGAAATATCGACAGCAGCCATCCCACCGGAACTGGTGCCGATTGTAACGCTGCTGTCAGCTCAGGCCCATCGCCGTTACCATGAAGGCGTTTTCCTAATTCTGAAAGATCTGAATAGCGACGGCTCGCCAGCTGCTCGAACCTGGAAAGAAGTGTACGGTGTGCTTATCGGCACACAACTGGCTGTGTGGGATGCACGCGTTTTGGCTGAAAACGGGGGTGATTCGGATGAGCTTTTGAAGGCTACGTCCAAGCCCACGTACATAAATTTTACCGATGCGTCGTTCCGTCCTTTGGACCCGAAAGACGCGGTGGTTGGAGATGGCAAAAAACAGCTCAAGCACACGATAGTGGCATCTACAACACTCAAGAATAGGTATTTCCTGCAGTTCAGTGACGCCGATGCTTTCGCCCTGTGGCACTCTTCGCTGAGGCTGAGTGCTTTTGAATTCACAGCTTTGCAAGAAGCCTACACGGGCGCTTTCCTGTCCACCAAAGGTGCTAAATTGGGTGACATCAGAGTTATCCTAGCCGACACAAAATTCAACTATGAGGATTGGGTCAGCGTTAGATTTGGAGCAGGGATGCCTTGGAAGCGCTGCTACGCGGTGATTTCTCAGCCCACAAGGAAGAGCAAGACTAAGCGCATATGTGGCGAGATCAATTTTTATGAAAACGAAAAGAAGACCAAAAAGAATCAGATCATGACTACTGTTAGCGATGCCTGTGCTGTATATGCCATCTATCCATCGTCTCCCATGCTTATTGATACATCAACGATGATCAAGTTAGAGGGACGTGTGTCATTTGGGAAAAAAGATACGCCGAAGGATACAGACATTTTTATCATGCCAGAGAAGCACTACGCTGTGCCCGGTTACGATACAATCATCAGATTCTTGATACCCACTATGAACGCGTTTCAGCTGTATGGTAGACCCAAGCGGCTGATCGCAGACAGACATGATTTGAACTCGTTATTATTTGGACTGCCAACTCTGCCCCACGTCCATTTTCTTCAGAAGGAGGACATCCTGCCTTTGGCAACTTCGAAATCCAACATGACTTTATCCGTTTTGGAGTGGAGGAATAAGATCAAGGAAATACTTTTAAAGAAAGTCAGTGCTGGTTACACTGGTTGTGGATCAAGTGAGGGGCTCGATGGTGCTTTGGCTTCTCCGGCTATCGGCTCTAATGAATTGTTTGATAGCACTCCTATACAGACGTCCCCTTTGATGGCCTCGGTCTCGAGGTTCCCTTCCGACAGTCAACCAACCAAGTCTAGCCTAAGAAACGCCTCGGGCATGTCAAGAGGTGCTGAATACAATAAATCGCAGGATAACGTTTCATCCATTTACACAGGTGGAAACAAGTCACCTCACAAATCTGTCGAGGGTTTTGAGATATCCACAGCAAAACCGCAGACTCCAGAAAGAGTTGAGAAAATGAAAAAAATGGCGCCCACTATTGAAATTCAGCAATCAAATTTTGAGGATTTTGAAAGGACAATCAAGCCTCACACCTTGGATGCCACGGTCAGAAAATCTGAGCTATCGACAATATACGACAAGTACGCGCAGGTGCCGTTTGGGACCTCGGATCACAGTCTTCCGCCCTCGAACTTTGGCGATACAGCTGATTCCGCAGGAGCCTACGAAAATTATACTGGCTCACCTAGAGTCAAAAACCTAGACATTTCTAACCTTCGGGACTCTAACAGTACAGATCAAACTGACTTGTCTAGAGCATTTCATGGTGAAACTGGTAGAACCAGCAATGCTAATAGCTTCTACTCTGACGGGATAAACTCGCAGGCGGAAAACTCAGTTCACGACGATGTTTTAGAAGACTTTTACAGCTTGTCTCAGCAAATATCTCAAATGGGGCTGGAGAACAAGAGCGCGGTCAATGTTGGTGCTAGTACGGGCAAGAGTGGGGAAGACGACTTCAATTTTGAAGCCGCTAGCGGCAACAATTCACTGGATAACGTTTTTGATCCGGACTACCTGGAACAAAACCAAATGCTGGACAATGAAAGTGAGTACACCAGTAATGAAAGTAAGTTCCGCTATGGGGCTGGTAATCCTAGCCAGCAATCTCTTACTGTGTCTGAAGACAGGAGAGGTATTTCGCCTCCTATTCATGGACAACAGCCCACGGCTGGAGTCCAATCCCTGAATATTCCAAAGCAAAGAGCCAACCAACAAAATGTAACTCCGACTTCACAGAGGTTCCATGCTCAAGATGGAGTCACAAGCCAAGCAACTGTTGGATCCGCTCCCGGATCTAGTGAAAAGACAATGAACATGAAACACTCTCCTGGGTACGCCAACCTAAACGCTGTGGGCTCCAACAAGAACGCTGCGTCCCCTCAGCATGGAAAGCACCCCGTGCCCATGGCCGCGGGTAGTCCTGGACCTTATCGCCGCCCTGTTCCGCGTGGAGCACCCATGGGTATGTCTCAGCAAATGCCAATGTCTCAGCAAATGCCAATTACTCAACAAGTTCCAATTTCGCACCAAATGCCGATGTCCATGCCGAATCCAAAGTCTTTTGCTCACCCTTCGGCTGCCGGCAACTATGGTCCAAGAGCATACTCTCCCGCCCCCGCCCCTCATGCTGGCATGACCGGACCCTACGGCCGGCAGGTTCCAGTCAATGCTGGGGGCATGCCTCCTCCTGGCTCTCAGCCCGTCTATGCTAGAGGACCGGTGTATGGTCAACCTCCTTCGCACATTAAACCAGTGCGCCCTCCTGCTCAACAAGCTCCACCCTCGAGACCACCAGCTCAGAAACCTCGTGCGCCCATGGCAGGTGGTTTTTCTCAATTTATGCCAACAACAGCGAACAATCCCAACCCCTACAGCACCAATCCGTACCAGTAGTAATGGTCAATCGATTGAAAACCAACGGTAGATTTTGCTGGCTGTTAAACCAACGGGACGAAGACACTCGAATCTCTGCAGCTTTACAGCTTTACAGTCTCAATTTCAACCGAAAACCGCCCATTTTTTAGCCATTATTCCACTCAATTTGATTGAAAGACTCAGAGCTGCGCTCCATAACTGTGTACTATTACTACTGATAGATATTTCATTCCGTTCAACTCTCTGTTCATCGTTACCTGGTGCGTTCTTAACTCGAGTTACTGCGTCGCTGTCGTCGTACTCGGTTTAGGAAAGTACTCGTGTACTCATAACGTAAATTGATTCAAGTTTCTCATCTTCATAAAGAACAATCGTCCAACAAGAATTCCAAAAACATTCAACCGACCCATTCGGCTAGAGATCTGGTTTATGACACTTGCTTAAATGCTTCGGTCGAGTTGTGGTATCAGCACTTTCCAGAATGCGATTTCAACGGGGTTTTTAGGCCCCAAATTGGGCCACTCAGCGGTAACTACAAGTATAAGAATGATGAGCAGAAACTCGAGCAATTTTCTCAAAGTTGGAGCTGCCACTCGGTTGCAGACCATCAATTGCGTCCATCAACTGAGATGGCAACATACAGGGCCTGCGAAAAATGAGCAATCGTTGACGCAGGGCGAAGGAAGCGCATCTGGGTGGAAAGACATAAAACGATTGTTCCAGCTGGCCAAACCCGAATCCAGATCGATGTTTCTGGCACTGGCATTGATCATTGTCTCGAGTTCTGTAAGTATGCTTGTCCCCAGCGTAATCGGGAAGCTGATGGACGTTGCCAAAGAAGAAGATTCTGACAATTCAGAAGATTCGGAAAACTCCAGTCCGACTCCAATCATGGATAAGCAGATCTTCGGGCTTACCATGCCACAGTTCTACGGTACTCTATTTGGCCTGTTCGTTGCAGGGGCAATGGCAAATATGGGAAGAATTGTGATTCTCAAAGTAACCGGAGAAAAACTAGTGGCACGCTTGCGTACAAGGACACTCAAGGCATCATTGCAGCAGGATGCGACGTTTTTAGATAACAACCGGGTGGGAGATCTGATCTCGAGATTGTCTTCAGATGCCAGTATCGTGTCCAAGTCGCTAACCCAAAACATGTCGGACGGAACGCGATCCTTGATACAAGGATTTGTTGGATTTGGCATGATGAGCTACATATCTTGGAAGTTGACCTGTGTTATGATGGTGCTAGCCCCGCCTTTGGCTGCTATGGCTTTGATCTACGGTAAAAGAATACGAAACCTCTCACGTTCATTGCAGGCGTCCGTGGGTGGTCTTACAAAGGCCGCAGAAGAACAACTTTCAGCAACAAGGACAATCCAGGCTTACGGCGGTGAAAAACAGGCAATTCACCAGTACGCAAAGGAAGTGCGAGAAGTTTACGAAATTGGATTCAAAGAGGCACTTACTTCCGGTGGATTTTTTGGGCTCACAGGATTAGTGGGTAACGTTGCAGTTTTGGCCTTGCTCTTGACAGGCACATCAATGATCCGTTCTGGGGCCCTCACGGTTGGAGACCTTTCCAGTTTTATGATTTACGCGGTTTACACAGGAGGATCCTTGTTTGGGATGTCATCTTTCTACTCGGAACTGATGAAGGGCGCAGGTGCTGCAGCTCGAGTGTTCGAACTCAACGACCGTCGACCTTTGATTCATCCTACTCGCGGGATCAGCCCTGGATCCTTGGCTGGCAAAACTATCGACTTCAACCACGTCAAATTCGCATATCCAACGCGTCACCAGCACATTATATTTCAGGATTTAAACATACGCATACATGCTGGCGAACATGTATGTATAGTGGGACCATCGGGTGGCGGTAAGTCTACGGTTGCTTCTTTGCTCCTGCGCTTTTACGATGTTAACGAGGGCAGCATCACTATAGGCGGACAGGATATCCGGAATTTCAATCTGCGCAAATACAGACGCCTACTGGGCGTCGTGCAGCAAGAACCACTATTATTCAACGGCACCATTCTCGACAACATCCTGTATACGGTACCGGAACACATCAAACAAGATGAGACGCTGGTTTCGCAGGCCATTGGCCGGGCCAATTGTTCTGCATTTTTGGCCAGTTTTCCCGACGGTTTGCTAACGCTTGTTGGACCTCGGGGCGCTCAATTGTCTGGTGGTCAAAAGCAACGGATTGCTCTTGCACGGGCGTTCTTACTCGATGCTGACCTTTTGATTCTAGATGAGGCCACGAGTGCGTTGGACTCCCGCAGTGAGGAGATTGTTGCGCGCACGCTATACTCACGTAGCGCTCGGGGCAAGACCACGGTTTCAATTGCTCACCGTGTGAGTACAATACAGCATAGCTCGCGTGTGGTTGTCCTAGACCGAACTGGGAGGGTGGCAGAAACTGGCACCTTCGATGACCTCATCGCCGATCCCGCTTCGCAGCTAAACAAGCTCTTGCGCAAAGAAGAAGAAACCCCAGAAGAAACTGCTCAGCAGGAGAATCCAGTACGGGCAGCAGACGCTGTAGAAGGGAAATCAACCCAGCCGTTTCGTCCAGCTTAACGTTGTCGATGGGACCTATCCCAATGGGCACTTTACAGAGCATTGAGAAAAGATAAACGTGATTTTCGCGTGACTCGTCGCTTCTGCATTTGCACACGTGACACATATCACTTCTTACGCGAATTTTGGATCATGTGTTTATCACCTGGTGTGTGTATCATGCCGATTTCCGCCACAGTTGTGGACAAGTTGATAATAGACTTCACACCGAGATGAGATATAAGAAAGGTGACTCGATACCGCTTATTTCTCGATCCTGGATAACCATCTTTGTCTGTCCATTACATCCAAGTCTCCAACGATTTCATCATAATCATTCACTCGTTGACCTGACCGCTAAACTGTGCAGATTTTCGAAATCTACGAGAAATTTGGTCCCTAAAAACTTGACGGTCCAGTAAAGACTAAGACTCTCTTCTCCTCATCACGTCAAGCAAGAGACTTTTGATTTGAACTTTTGAATATATCATGCCATCTGCCGCTGGATACTCGTTAAAATCGAGTCTGAAAAGTGTCGATATTAGTTCGCTAGAAGCCACAAATGAGTACGTTTCGCTAGTGAAGAATCAAGAGATTGTAGAAGTGCCAGAACTGGAGCTAGAGTCTGGAGCAGTGATTCATAACTTCCCGATTGCTTACAAAACGTGGGGTCGACTTAACGAACGTGGTGACAATGTTCTGGTGGTGTGTCATGCCCTCACTGGCTCATCGGACGTAGCAGATTGGTGGGGCCCACTTCTGGGGCCGGATCTTGCGTTTGACACTTCACGGTTTTTAGTAATATGTTTGAACTCGATGGGGTCTCCTTACGGGTCATTCTCCCCACTAAATGTTGACCCAGATTGTGGTGAAGTTTACGGACCGGAGTTTCCATTATGCACGGTTCGCGATGATGTAAGAGCTCACAAAATTGTTTTGGATTCCTTGGGGATTTCGTCTGTAGCGTGCGTCATCGGGGGATCCATGGGTGGGATGCTTGCCCTGGAGTGGTCGTTGACGTTTGGTCGCGAGTACGTCAGGAATTTGGTTGCGCTGGCTACCAGCGCAAGACATTCAGCATGGTGCATCTCATGGTCTGAAGCTCAAAGACAATCCATTTATTCTGACCCTAACTACTTGGACGGCTACTATCCTAAGGGCAAACAGCCTGTGGTGGGACTTTCCGCTGCGCGGATGTCTGCGCTCCTGACGTACCGTTCTCGAAACAGTTTTGAGAATAAGTTTGCCAGAAGATCTCCCTCTTTATTACAACAGCAGAAATCCAGCAAGAGCCTCGACACATATAAACCCTCAAAACTGCATGAGCACAATCTGGCTATTCATAATGATGGTCACTCACATTCAAAAAAACATGAGCGCAGAAGCAGTGAGTCTAGTGATTCTTCGTCCGAATCAGTAAAGTCTTTGTCTTCTACCACTTCTTCTTCGTCAATCACCTCAAAGCAAGGTAAGGCCATCAAGCCAGCACAGACATACTTTTCTGCGCAAAGCTATCTCAGGTACCAGGGAAAGAAATTCATTGATAGATTCGATGCCAACTGTTACATTTCCATCACTAGAAAACTGGACACTCATGATCTGGCTCGCGATCGCGACGAGTATGACGAGGATTTGGATAAAGCACTCGAATCCATTCAACAGCCATCTCTAATTATTGGCATCAAGTCCGATGGGTTATTCACGTACTCTGAGCAGGAATATCTTGCAGCTCACATACCCAATGCGGAGTTGAAGAAAATAGATTCTCCGGAAGGTCATGACGCTTTCTTGCTTGAGTTTAAACTGATAAACGAGTATATCATCGACTTTTTGAAGACAAATGCTAAGGAGATCACTCAGTCTCCTCCTCGTCTTTGGCAGGATAACACGGACCGCGAAATTGTGAAGAACTCGCTCTTTGGCGAAGCTGAGGAGGTGACGAATTGGTGAGTGTTCCCGGGCGGACCTCTCAGCGAAAAGACCCCGTAATGACCATAATCACGACGAATATTCGGTATATAGACTCAAATATAAGCTTGACTTGAAATTAATGACAACACAACTAGACTAGACTAGAAACCATGAATTTTCTTCTGGTGATCCCAGATCTTTCATATCGTCTTGTTTTTCCTGATATTTTGCCTGAACTAGACTCTTCGCGTATTCAAGTTCGGAATATATGCAGCTAATCGCTGTCTCAACACCGTCTTCCTTAGCAATCTCTTGTTGAATTTGCTGCGCTTTGTGAGACATCCGAGAGCTTGTCGTTACTTCTTTAAGTGCCCGCGATAACGTCTTGCTGTTCAACTTCTTGAGATTAATGCCAGCACCGATGTCCTCGACGCGGCCAGCGTAGAAAAACTGGTCGCCAAAAAAAGGTTTTATAATTGTTGGGAGACCAGCTCTCAAGGTGGCACCTGTTGTGCCCGATCCGCCATGGTGCACTGCAGCGTCAATTTGAGGAAATAGCCAGTCGTGCGGCACAGAGCCTGAACTGTAAATACACTCTGGAAAAGGTTCTTCAATATCGTCACTGCTACTATTATCATCCAATCTATCCGACCATCCTTTGTTCAGAATACAAAAGACGTCTGCTTCGAGTACAGCATCCACCACTGCTTTTGTCATTTTTTTGGGGTTGTTAATCACAATGGATCCGAACCCAATGTATACCAGTTTCTTTCCTTGCCCCCGAGCTTGTGCAATGAAGTCTGCAAGTGCTTTTGGTGGACTGTAGTCATCCTTCCCGTCCAGAAACCAGTACCCTGTGACTTTGATCCACTCGCTAAAATCTACAGATGGTGGAAAGACGGCGGGTGATATGTTGTATAAGAATGGAACCTTGTTTTGCTGCATCAGCATCAAGTTGGTCTTCTTCAAGCCCAAAGTCTCGATCCGCCATTTGTTCACTTGCCCTCCAATGCCTTTCCAAAAGATGTTCTCGAAAAGCACATGAGTGAAGAAATTGTAGTTGCCGCCCCTTTTCTGATCTGGTACAATGAAGGCATGTGGGTAGGCTCTGGTTCTCGTCCACGGCATTGTGAATGCTCTAAAATATGGAATTTGCAACGCCTCTGCTATATGGATACCTGCCATGGCAGACGGGGACTCGATTAGAATATCGAGGTTCTGACATGCTTGCCATGATGTCCTCAGAAGTTGCGATATCCAATCTCTGAACTTTGAAGAAGCTTCTCTAAGCAGCCCGACATTCATGGAGCCATGCTGTACCATTAGAGACATCAATTCTGCCGGATTGCCTGCAATCTCTCGGAATTTTATCCCATAAGACCTAACCCATGAACCAAACTCCGAATGGCTTATAATGGTAACCCTATGACCTTCTTTCAGCAAACCTTTTGCAAGGGCGATATAAGGCTGGACATCACCGCGAGATCCTATAGTTAAGAGTCCAAATCTATAGGATTTCTTTGGAGTTATGCTGGTTTTGTAGAATGGGCTTTCTTCGACCATCATGGGAAGATCAAAGCCCTCGGCATTTATCTTGTCTTCGAAAAGCCTTAGCTTTCCAGCATCGGTTGCTTTCTGCTCTGCTGAAATGTCAGCTGTTCTGAGCTTCTGAGAGATGCCATCGACTGTTGTAATCGGGCTATCCACATCGAGCTTCGTAAGGTCTAATTGCTTCAAAGTAACATATTCCGCGTCATCCCGAGAGCTTGGTAAACTGAACTCAAAGAACAGTTCTTCGTGGCCGTGAATCACCAAGACGAGTCCGAAATACCCAAAGCGGAAGCCGCGCTCCTTGTAACAATTCTCAAGATCCTCAATAGGGAGGATCATTTTGGTCTTATTACCGGGAATCAAAGATCGAAAACATATCACGGACGTGCCAATATAGAGCTTCCCATACACAGGAATATTTTTGTTGAGATGAGTGTAGTATGCTGCTCTCAAGATCTCATCGTCTTTTAGGGAGAAATGTGACTTGAACCTTTTGCTCGCAACCAGCTGGTCTTTAGCATTTGCCAAGTACTGGTCGTCATCTGGGAATATATCAGCAAGATCGTGTCTATAATGAACAGGGTGGGCACCCCACATACTTCCCATATTTTTGATTGGGCGTGGCGTCCAGCTTGCTAGCTTGGAAGTTCCCAACTTGTTATCTTCTGAAGTTTGAGCAGACTCGTCACTATCAGATATTTCATCAGCAGTCACTTGAAGTTGCTGCGGGCTCCCCAATTCAACTGTGTCTTCCAGCGTATGGTGACTGAGCCCACCAAATGTATCATCACTTGATGTTTTGGTGCTCGACTCGCTCTCGTTTTTCGATTTGAGTAAACTCAGTGCGCGTTGGGGATATTTTTGACTGATATGGACATGTACTGGGAAGCTTGGCCTCCGAACTTTAGAAACTGGTGATAGAACACGTCTTATAATCTTTCGAGAATTGGAATCTGACCGACCTCGTGCCGTTTTATCTAGCACCTCACTTTGTCCATCGTTAAGCTCTGTAACAGGGGGCGAGAGGTGGCTCAAATCAGATTGCCTCAATGGGGGTTTCTCCATTTTTGAGAGTTGAGCATTGATGGCCTGTCTCAGATTCATCTCACTTTTCCCCAAAAACATGAAGAAGTAATCATCCACTGCGAAGGAGGCTGGACTTTCCAGGACACGAATCCTTAAGGTCACAGATTGTGCCACTACCATTTGTTCTTCCACGTCGAGAATATTCACCAGGGGAATTTTTACTGACATCGAATCGTTTTCCGAATTATGAGTTGCGAAAAGCTGCTTTTTCAACGCGCTGGACCACGAACGGGAGGAGAAATGGGAATCAGCACGAAATTTGTAAGTTTTGGCTTCTGTGCAGATTCTGAATGTACCGGTGGCTCCATGGCCGCGATTGTCGAGTTCTATCCGGCTTGCGTATCTGAGATCAATAGTCAAAAGCGGAAAATACAGGTCCTGCCTTGAATTGTAGAGAGATAATGTATGGTCTTTGAGTACCGCCCAATAACGACTCCATCTTCCCCTCAAACCGCCAGAAAAAGTGGACAGATTCCCAGACATTTTTGCGGTACCCGTGCTTTTGGGCAGGAAAGCAAAAAATAGTACATGCCGAGATGTGAGAACGATGTGACCCTGGATGAGCAGATCCTTGAGAAGCCAGCACGATTGCCGAAGAACAAATTCGTCCTCTGCTTCGTTCAAGTTGAAACGTGACAGAAGTTTGCGGTAAATCTTGAGTTGACGGGAGCCAGACGACGTTGAAACGACCGATGTAGCGTCATGATTAGGTTCTACTGAAATTTCAAATAGTGTGTCTTTCTTCGACACATGGGTCACTGTGTCCGTCAGGGAATCCAGGTCGATGGCAGAGTCTGAGGCGGTTGAGTTTTCATCGCCATGTGGACTCACGTTATCCGATGGCTCCAATTCAAGTTCTTGATTTTCCTCATTTGCATCGTGTTCATGCTGTTCTTTGTTTTTTGCCGATTTACTCACCGTGCTGTCATCTCCTTCCTCTTCAGCGGATGAATCATCCTCGCAAATTTCTGCAGCCTGTTCCATATCCCCCATTCCTGCATACACGCTTGCCGTTGTAAGCAAGCCCACAATGCTTTTTGCCATGCCACGAGGACAAGCCAAATCCGGCTCCAAATCTCTATTTCCAGTCTCTATCGTATTGGATTCTTCACCGTCGCTCGCCGCCAAACTTGACCTTTCACCACCAGCAACTTTACTAGGAAAATGCATCAAGCTAGCACTCGAATGGTACAGCTTTCCCACCGGCGACAGCGATCTCATCCAGCGCCGTTGTGAAGTCGAACCCCGGCGTCCCAGGCCGTCCGTGTTGGTCAGAATCACGCTTCCAGGCCCAGGAGTCTGTTTCTTGGCCATTGGTAACTTGACTTACACTGATCCAGGAACATATACTGGTGTTTGAAGTTTGTGTTCTGTCATGGATGCTATATGGACTTGAGATGAGATGAGGGGTCCGGCCCCTTAGGCTGTGAGTACTTTAATTTAGCGTGTTTACACAACGTATATAGTTACATATATCTATATCTATGTCTGTAAGTTTGGGTTTGGCGTTGAAAGTCGTGGAAAAGAGTCTAAAAGAGATGATTCGGAGTGATAACGGAAGGATATTGCTGTGACTGGTGTATTTCGCAAGGTCAATACGAGAACTTGAATGTATCTTCAGGTAGCATGAAAAGTATCACGTGACAGTTGCAAGATGACAGTATAGAATATAACAACTTACTGACCACACTAGAGCGTTTCGATAACCACGTTAAAGGAGGAGTTCTTGAAAAAATGTTCTTGTGGTTTCGTGAAAGCCCTTTCTGCATTCTCACGGCTTTCAATTTGATATTTTGATGTGATTTTCTATTTTGATATTATTTTGTTTATGTTGGTATGACAGTTAATAGCACCATGACAGAATGAAAACGAGATCTGACCTACAAAACATGAAAAAACACGATCAACGACAAAGTCGAGTCTATCAATCTTTCTAGAGCTGTAGTATTTAGTTTTATAAATGGCCAATTTTTGTAGCAGATTTAGGTGGTGTCAATGCTTGTTCTCGAGCAATCTGTAGGCGTGCGACTTGGCATCCAAGACTTCCATCTTGACCTCTTCTAGTGCGCGTATTTCGCTTCTTCCAAACAAGAACGAAATCAAACCGTCCACCAGACCAGTGGCGACGGCAACGGTGAGGAAGAAAGCCCAGAAAACCGAGGACCAAGTGGCGCGGTTGGCCGTGAAAGTGATCGCAACGTGTACTATGATTATGCACACTATTGTGAGCCAGAAGTGCGTGCCTCGCCACATTTTCTGCCAGTGTGCGACTTTGGTATAGCGGTTTAAGACGTTCAGCATGTCTTCGTAAATTTCGAGTCGCTCCATAATCATGGAACGCACAGTTTCCTCCTTCGTTTGAGACCGAACGTCCCGTGCTTGCAAACGCAGCGTGCAGTTGTATGCAAAATGGTCAGAAAAACTGCCAATCTCTGGTATTCTTTCGGTGAATCTCACACTCGCTTGCAACGTTACAAGCCTGCTCGGATCGATCAGCGCATAGTCTAGTCGACAGGCTTCGTCAGGCTTCCTCATCGAGCGCCACGTGTTCATGATCGAATCGCAAGTGGTACCACCGTATTCTATTTGCCGCAGTGGTTCTAGCTTTGCAATATGGGCTAAATCTTGTTTCCCATGTAATTGCTCCCACGAGTCCACGAAACCCGTTTCTCTGGTCAAGAATTTATGTGGCAAAGTGCCTGGCTTAGAGTTCAAGTCGCCAACAATGACCACTGCATATCCTGCCAACTTGTACAAATTGGCAAGCTTGCTCAAGTCCCATGCCTGGCAAGAGCGGTGGCAGTAGTATGCAGCGTCGCCAGTCGCTGCATATGGTGCGTGCATATGGCTGTTCAGAATCGCGAGCGGATATGCACTTGCATTGCTTGGTCTCAGCAGCGTCACTGCCACTGATTTGCCCACATACCAATCACCCCGGAAGAATGCACTGGGTCTCCCATTTATGGGAAACCGGTACAAAAATGTGGATTCAATGGGAATTTTGGACAAAATCGCCAATCCAGGGCCTGCTATGATACCAGAATAAAACAGTCGACGATACGGGTAATTGTGCTGACATTTGCGTTCGATATAGTCCCAATCCGATTTGCACCAAATTTCTTGCAATGCCACTACATCGTAGTCATCTATGGCTGAGTGCGTTGCTGAAAGGCCGTGCAGAGGCAAAGCTTGAGATTTCCCACCCAATTTCTCTGCAATGGCTTTCAAGCGTTCTTCGCGGAATTTAGAGACATATTTGAGCCCCCATGTGTTAAAGGTCAGAAATTTTATGTCTTGAGTTCCCTCTTGGGCACTCATCGTTCGGATAATTTGCAGTGATAATGCTAGTAAGCACTATTGAAAAGGATTTAAGAGACTACCGAAATACTAACAAAAGATTTATTTGGTTAAACCAGAAGTCTGAAAGCGTGAGCGTGGAGTGGAAGAACTCTTTTGGTACTTCGTTAGTTTGTTCAAGATGTCAAGAATAAGTACAATTATTATACAACTAATTTGTAAATTGATCAAAATGTCAGCGCTACAGTAAGGTAAACAAACAGTACTGGATAGTTCAAGAAAGGTCAAGGACAGTAATAAGATGGTTATAAGTGAGTTTCCAAAGCTTCAAAATGAGATGGAATCTTTCCAGGAAAAACTCCGACTTTCTTTGGAGAAACATAAGCTCACTTTAATGGAAATCATAGAAACATATAAAGAAGACGTTGACGGCCTGCAGGTACGGCAACAAAAGTCTCAAGCAAGACTGAATCAACTAGTGGAAGATGAAAGGCTGTTAAGGAATGGTATGTGATGGAATTACTGATTGAAAATAGATTTTTGTTCACTCGTGGCTCTTCTTGTAGTCTCATACTAACAATTCTCAGAAATTGAAAGTTCTGAACGAGAAAAAGATGAAAGTGCTACTAGGGTAGAGGTCTTCAGGCTTAGAAAGCAACAACTAGATGGCGAAAGAGCAGCTTTGACGAACGAATCAGCCCAATTGCAACATATGTTGTCCCAGAAACATGACGAAATACGGCACAAGAGACAGCAACTTCAGCATCAACAACAGCGAGACATCGCAGAGGCAAATGCTTACAGTCAGGTGCTCGGTCTCGACATCGAGGCGCCCGCACCACAGGTTTTGCAATTCATCTTTCGCAGAGTCTTGGAATCCGATTCTAATGCTGCGTGTGAATTCAGTCTCGATTTATCCCAGGAACGATACAATATTATAGGTTCCAGGCCCGAGCTCCCGCAACAAGTTCTTTCCGACCTCGAAGTGAAGCTCAATGACACCGGGAACCTAGGAATGCTCCTAAAGGCAAGTAGGGCAGCTTTGATTCGAGCTCTTGAAAGCGGGTCGTAGAATGCGATCCCTTTTTCAATATTAGGCTGCCGACCACCGAACCTGTCAACCAAACATCTAAAAGCTTGAATTGAGCATAAATCACACTCCCGGACCGGGTCCATTTCAAATCCTTCCAGCCTCAACGAAATTCAGGTCATGCTCATTTTACAAAGACTGCTAATTGTCTCCATAGCCTTACGGAAGGTCCTGGGTTCAATAGGTGATAGACTAGACGAGTTTACCGAATGCGTAGAGGACTGCCAGGTTGCTTTGAGCTGCCCCGGATTCGAAGACGAATTGCCGACCGGTATCGCATCCGGACCGCATCCAGTCTTTGTTCCTGCATCCTCAGTGGCGAGCAACTTGTTTTTTTGGGATTGCACTGCTCACTGCGACTATCAATGCCAGCAGATCATCACGCAATTGCGCATACATGAGGGCGAGCCAGTTGTACAATTTCATGGTAAATGGCCATTTAAAAGAATGCTTGGTATGCAAGAGCTCTTTTCGACAATTTTCAGCGTTGCCAATTTTGTCCCCCATTACCGGGGCTACCAAATGCTGCAACATGAACTTAAGGTAACGCCGTCTCATAGTAAAGTTCGTCTGGTTCTGAGCAAATATCTTTATGTGGCAATGGCAGGTATGCTTGCTTGGACTTCAAGCTCTATCTTTCATTTCCGTGATCTCGAGATTACCGAAAAGCTGGACTATTTTTTTGCAGGAGCTACCGTTCTGAGCGCGTTTCATGCCATTCTGATTCGTGTTGGGCGGCTGTACAGACAAGAGCTTTACCATCGCGTGGTATCTGCTATGGTTCTGCTCATTTTCAGTATGCACGTTTTGCGACAGTATTTGGACTGGTCATACACTTACAACATGAGATTTAACGTGGCATTTGGTGTTTTACAATACGTGTTGTTATTGACAGTTGCTTACAGAAATTATAAGCAATTGAAGACGGCAAGACAAACGCGTAAGGCCCATTTCAAGACGCGGCGATCAATGATTTTTGACCTATGCGTCGTACCCGCGGCTTTGGTCATCGGTACTTCTCTGTCCATGTCGTGCGAGCTCATCGATTTTTTCAGTTACAAATGGCAGATAGACTCACATGCCATCTGGCATGCTTGTACGATTTTTCCTTCATGGAAACTATACGATTTCTTCATCAACGATTACCGCTATTTGGAAGCTTGTGAGTCAGGCACAGAAGATTGAGAACTTGGTTATTATTCTCACGGGAAGCGAGGCTAAAAAGATTTCTGTTCGAGTGGTGGTTCATGGAGACCTTCCTATAAAAAGTCATTTCGCAGAAGTTCTGGAAATTTTGAAGACTCGATAAGCTCCATAAGATATGGGAGAAACGCTTTTGATCGGGCATTTGAAACAGACTCTAAAGAGGTGTATTTCACTCAGCGTTTTTCTCAAATTGGAGTTGCAACTCTTCGCACCATTTGTGCCTCAATGAAGTATTTATTGCAGCATTGAAAAGCTCGTTCTTGAAAGCACTGAGGTCTCTTGGGCCAAAATGAAATCATGCATCTACCATCTGGCCAATCTCCCCGTGATCATACAGAGGAGACCACAGTGCTTTTATCACCTCAAATGTCAATGTTTATGAAAATTGCAATCCCTCTTGAGGAATCTCTAGTGGTAAAAACCTATTGGTTACAGAAATGTTGTTTAATGGAAAACAAGCATTAATTTGAGAGGACTGGCAAGATTACCGGCGCCAACAAGAGCCAAAACGTTCAAGTTAGAATTGCGTCTTCAAGCCCCAATTGCAATTAACATCTGGCTTGCTGATATCTCCAAGATAGTTTGCAAGTAACCCAGGGCCTAAGTCTCATCCATCGAGACCCTTCGCTGGCCTCTTGCGCTCTAAGAATTCACAATTTTGACCTCGATGCTTCTCCTCCTCTTGCACGAGTTAAAAAATCTAATAATGAGTAAAGGGCCCATGATGCTTTTATATCGCCCACACGCATCATTATGCAGGGATTTGTTCGAAAGCTTTCAACTAAGATCACTCGATAAAGTTGACGATCGTAATATCTATCTCACTTCGCTTGTGTCCAATAGATAGAACGGCCACTAGTGCTGAATGGGTATAAAAATTTGACCTTCGGCTTGAATTCCCTTTCAACCTCAAGGACCATCGTTAACCGAGTCTTCTAGAGTCTTTTGATCAAAAATGTCGAAAACAGAGTTTTCAAGTGACCTGGACGTTCCACGCGAAGAAGACTATGAGTCGGGTCACCATTGGATCGGAGGTCTTTCCCGTTTACCAAAGCCGTTGGCAGGAATAATCCTGGATGTAAAAGACAGACTACCGACCTACGTTTCAGATTGGACGGATGCGTGGGATTACAGAGTGATACCGAGCGTTGTTGAAACCTACTTCAACAATTTGCTGCCGGCTATTGCATTTGCCCAGGACATGTTCGATAGAACAGACCAGTCTTACGGTGTCAATGAGGTGCTGTTGGCCAGTGCGTTGGGTGGGATCGTTTTTGGTCTGTTTTCAGGTCAGCCTTTATGTATCGTGGGCGTCACGGGGCCGATCTCAATCTTCAACTATACGGTCTACGACCTGATTAAGCCGCTAGACATTGACTTTTTTGGTTTCATGTTCTGGATTTGCATCTGGGCAATGGCTTTACATTTCGCTCTCGCCATGAGCAACACGGTGTGCTGGCTGCGCTACGTTACGAATTTCCCGTGTGACATTTTCGGTCTTTTCATCAACGTTGTGTATGTTCAAAAAGGCATTCAGATTCTCACAAGACAGTTTAAGCACGAGGGAAATCTCGATCTGGCAGCAGGTTACGCTAGCATCGTAGTGGCGTTGATCATGACAATCTTTGGGCTCGGTTCAAAGCTTGTCGTGCGGACGCCGCTATTGAATCACAAACTGCGTACTTTTATTGCTGACTATTCTACGGCTCTCTCCGTGGTATTCTGGTCGGCATTTATACATTTCGGTGGTTTTTTGGAAGATGTGCATTTTCAAAAGCTACCGATAACTAAGGCATTTCATCCAACTTCTGACATCCGAGATCGCAGCACTTGGCTCGCGTACGCAAGTATTCCAGTCAAAGACGTATTTTTAGCACTCCCCTTTGGAATCATACTCACAATTTTGTTCTACTTTGACCACAACGTGTCATCGCTAATGGCTCAGCGATCTGAATACAAACTCACCAAGGCGTCTACTTTTCACTACGATTTTGCCATGTTGGGTTTGACCACAGGTGTAAGTGGCATTTTAGGAATTCCAGCACCCAATGGGCTGATCCCGCAAGCGCCTCTACACACCGAGACTCTTCTGGTTCGCAATGAGAAAGGCGAAGTAGTACGATGTGTGGAACAACGGTTCACAAACACCGTGCAGGGTTTGTTGATTTTGGGCACGATGACACGACCATTATTGGTGTGTTTGGGCCAAATTCCCCAAGCAGTACTCTCAGGTCTTTTTTTTATTATGGGACTTAACGGGCTGCTGAACAATACTATACTGGACCGATTTTTGTTTGTATTTACCCAAAAGTCTAGGCGGGAACTGGGAAACGCTTTGAATGATGTGCCTATCAAGAAGCTATTGCTGTTTTTGACACTGAGCCTTCTGGGGTTTGCTGCGGAATTTGCTATTTTGAACACACGGGGTGCATTAGGGTTCCCTTTGGTACTTTTACTAACCGTTATTGTATCATTGTTTTTCCCGAAATGGTTTACTGCAGCAGAGTTGAGCAGGCTCGACGCCAAAGTGGGCGAGGAGTTCACCTTGAAGAACCTCATGCCAGCATCTTTGACTAGACAAGCTCGTTAGAGATGGCGTGCCTTTTATCGCTGCGGTATACTGATTGAATACGCAAAATTGCAGAGTCTCAAAGATTCTTGCAAGACTATGCGTAATTTGCAGCGAAATGGCGGCCGTTAGCAAGTGCCAATTAGTGCTGGTTTATTCACGCAGACCACAAAGCCACCAACTCTCGATGAGAAGGAGAAAAGATTACTACCAAAACGTCTAAAGAATGGTTACATACGATGAGTAGTTGGGAAGCCAAAGACAAGTGAAAGTTTTGCTGGTCAAGAAGCACAAATGGTTAGGGGGCCCTTTCCCCCCCAAAGTAGGTTGGTGTCTACTGCGTTTTGTATTTTATTTAGTCTCTGCTACAAAGCACCGGATTGCATAGAGTCAGTGATCTTTACTGTAATGGGATATCTCTAGGCTTCATTCGCGCCAGGACCCACACGAGAGAGCTGATCGTTTTGCACGCAAATTTAACATCCATCACTCCACACGTACCGTGTTTCCAGTTTGTTTCCAGTATGTTTCCAGCTTCCGTTGATTCCAGGTTTTCGCCACTAACCGACCTTGGAAAAAGTGCGACAAAAATCTGCGGCAAAAATAACGTATATAGCGATCTATATTTTTTAATTAATCGGTTGTTTCCAATTTGTTTCTACTTTGTTTCCAACTCCCACTGTTTCCAGGCGGGATGAAAGAAATCGGATTCTATGAAAACTACAACAACTCAACTAACTAGCTCGACCGAGCAGGTCCATCAGTCATCATCCACGAGTATCACTTCATCACCCATTGGCCTTGACATCCATAAGATAAAGATATTCTTCTTCATCTATTGACCAAATACTATAACATATGGTCCAGAGCAGACACCTACTTGAAAGATTCTTCTTCTTCTTCTTCTTCTTCTTCTTCTTCTTGCTACCACCACCCTGCAAACTTCTTTCACTAACTGCACCAGCTTTACACACATACACACATACACACACACCTCTTGTCTGAATACACCCTCAACCACCACTACATCACTCTTGTCTTATTCTTCTACAGAGGCCCTTTCCGCTTTACCGTCGCACCATTGTCTGCGAAACTGCATCGCATTATCCTGCACTCCTCTGTCACCACCAACAAGCGATGGGTCGCTCAAAGCTGCATTTGCCAAGAACAAACGCACTCACAAAGGAAAAACTACTTCACCGCACAATATCGCACGGCAGGGCTTGTGAGTTTGTTGGCTTGCTTGTACACTCGACGTGAAGTCATTCAGTCACTCGTTCGGGTTTTTCCATTCTGGGAATCCTGTCTAGCTGGTTACCATCGCTACTAATGCAACTGTGTATACGTGTGCTGTATTCCCCGGGGGTTTTTCGCAACTGAGGAGAGCGTGTCCTTATCTAGAAACGGATTCGCTCAAGCCCGAGACACAGTTCACGGCACTGGTGCAGTTCCGGTTTCTTGATTGGCCTAGACAAGTCATTACAACGTCACATTTGGTCGAGGCCACCTGATATATCCAGAGGTGTATAAGATGAAGATATTAAGATATCAATTTGCAAAGGGCAACAGCCTTAAGAGGACTGACTAGGTTTTTAATAGCTGTATAAGGACAGGGATTGTCGGTTGCTAGTTTTAAAGAGCACAACTAGACTTGATTGATCGTGATAAACCGAGTCTTACGAACACGCAAGACGCACACACAATATACATACCTAATCACACACACACACACACACACACACAAACCAACTTCAAATATGAGCAAGCCAGTTGTACTTAGATTAGGAGCTGTTAAATATGCACAGGAAGCATGGGAAAGACTAGGTAAAATTGCACAAGTAGTCACCGTGGAAGAAAACAGCACTAGGGCAGATTTCCTCAAGGCGTGCAAGGACCCTAAGAATGAAATTTCCAAGACCCAAATTATAGGAAGGACTTTTGCCAGTGTGGCCAACACAGGCCGTTTCGATGCAGAGCTGGCACAGGCGTTGCCAGCCAGCGTGGCGGCCGTTTGTCACAACGGAGCCGGCTACGACCAGATCGACGTGGCGGACTTTGCCAAAAAACACATCCAGGTTTCCAACGTGCCAGAACTGGTCAACAACGCAACGGCTGACACCCACGTTTTCTTGCTTTTGGGTGCGCTCCGTAACTTCGAACACGGCCAGAGACTCATGCTCGAGCACAAATGGCCCTCTTCGGGTGCGGCAGCGGGAGCCCCCATCGGCCACGATCCAGAGGGCAAAACCGTCGGAGTATTGGGTCTCGGAGGCATTGGCCGTGCTATCGTTGAAAGACTCAAGCCTTTTGGCTTTAAGAGGTTTGTATACCACAACCGCAAGAGACTGGCTCCAGAGCTCGAAAACGGGTGCGAGTACGTTTCGTTTGAGGAGCTTTTGAAGGTCTCAGACGTGGTTTCCATTAATATCCCACTCAACTCCAATACCCGCCACATTGTCGACGCCAAGGCAATCAGCCAGATGAAGGACGGCGTGGTGATCGTCAACACCGCCCGTGGTGCCGTCATCGACGAACAAGCCTTGATTGCTGCGTTGAAATCCGGGAAAGTTAGATCTGCCGGTCTGGACGTTTACGAGCACGAGCCACAGGTGCCCCAGGAGCTGCTGGACTTGCCCAATGTATGCGGCGTTCCTCACATGGGCACCCACACTGTCGAAACCGTCAAGAAAATGGAGGAATTTGTGGTGCAGAACATCGAGTCCGTGATCAAAACGGGAAAGGTGATATCTGTTGTGCCCGAACTCAAATCAGAGGCCTGGATCGATGAGCAGAAGCCATTGCAGGCCTAGATCAACTTTGAGACTCAAGTTTTCACAAGTGTCCTTCCAAGCGTGTTTTTTTTGATCAACACACTACATAGTGCTAATTGTCACTCGTGATAAACCTATAACTCTATATTATCTACACACACGCAGAGCGTTCTGTCCTTAAACCTTCACATAATACACATTGTCGCCGTCTTTGTCGGCTTTGGTCGAGTTGTTGCCTCTGAAGCTCCCTTGGACCCGCACGAGAGCGAAATAGCACAATGCAGCCAGCAACAATGCCACGAAGCTGTAAAGTCCACAATGCTCCGAGACGTGGGCTTTCAAAATGCATGACATGCTGCGTTCGTGTACCTCTCGATCAAGTCCAAAATCATAGTTGAAATATCCCAGTCCGTACTGGAATATCGATTTGAACCCTCCAAAATCCGTGTATGTTTCCTTCGCTAGCACAATGCTTAGGTCTCCAATGTCTTGGTATGCATGTTCGCGGAGCAAAGCTGGATCAACAGGCTCGGGGATCATTACAACAAGCCTGTGGAGTCGCTAAGTGAAAGGATGAAGATCGATTTGCAGTTTCCCATCCATGAATGCATTTCGCGATTTTCTGGTCCCTGTATATGGAATTTTTCAATATTGAGTTCTTCGAGCATGAGACGGGTGTCACTATGGAGTATAGTGATATTGTAAGCTACTTCGAATTTTGACTATGTTCGTCGGAGCAAGAAGTGATAAAGAGAGTCTGTTTGACGAGGCCCTCATGATGACGGGGATTCTTGGGAGAGGTCTCTAGTGGAATTGTTATGGTAGGTCTGGTGATTGATTAGAGATTTTTCCTAATATGAACTTTCGAAGCTGAGGACAAGAAAAGGCCAGGGACGCCTGTAGCAAATACTTTAGGATTCTTGGACCGATTTAGACTGTCTGGGAAAAGTCTTGAGAGACTGCTGCTCTCGTAATTATCATGATATCGTTCGTACAAATTTTAAGTGATGACGATCTAAAATAGATGGTCGGAGCCTCTCATTGTTGCTGTCAAAACAACAAGCAACACTGTCAGGGATTGCAAAAGATCTCACCGCTAACCAAGTACGACGAATAACGCTATGGTATGATACTATATCTCCTCGAGATCGACCTCATTTACAACTCATGGCGCTGGGTCACGTGAAAGTGATGATAACCTTCTAATATAAAAGTTTCTCTCCTGTTCAATTATATGCAAAGAAATGGAAGGCCGTAGTCACACCAATCAGTTTGAAAGTGTGTTTCTTGTTCTACTCTGCTCGTCTTCATGTGCAAAGTACAGTTCCTCAACACTGTCTTGACTATTCAGCTTGGGAGAATTCTATCATTATATACGTAAATGTACTATTTTTCTCTCATTAGCGTCAGTCATCAGTGATTGATAAAACGACATATCAAAGAATAAGTGATCAAAGTCTCGAGTAGTTGGTGCTACTTACGCAAGACAAGCTCTCAATCCCAAATTACCATTCAAACGGTACCGTAGTCACATTTTTGGAAAATAGAGTCAGCTATTTACTTTACTTAGTCGTTTGCTATAAAATAGTGGCTTTTAAATAACAAATAATGTAACTTTCACACATAGGGTTTAACAACCATGTTCAGACTCTCGTACAAAAGCTCAAAGAAACAATTGTGACAGTGTCAGTATTAGTGAGTGAGGAGTGTGATCCATAAGTTGTGTGTTTACAGGCAATTGAAAAAGCTGCGCATCTTATCCAAGACAGTAAACCTTTTTTCTTTATACAAAAAGCTGCCGGAGACGAAACTCATCAGTCGCGATCTAGATTACTTGAAGAGTACTGGACAACAAATAAAGCGCCTAACAATAAGTTTAGCACTTGTCAAGCTTTCAACTGTGAATGCTTGACATATATCGAAAGTCACATGACCTCACTATTAGCTTAAATTATGATTATTATATCAATGCATATACAAGACTCTAAGACCTAAACTCAAATAACCTACGAGAACGCAACAAACAAGTTCAATTCGGTGTTTTTTCCCCACCAGTTTCGCTCTTTACCATCTGCAAAGTCATGGCTTACTATAAATCGACTCCCAAGCCAGGCCTGGGATCGCAGACGCTTGCTAGGACCCCCGAAACTGCTTTCAAAATAGCACATCAGCGGGTGTCAATAGATGTGGACTTGTCAAACCACTCTTTGAACGGCTCTGCTGAAATCATACTGATACCACTCAGTGATAAACTCGAATTTGTGACGTTGGACTGCAAAGAAATCCAAATAACGGATGTCATAGTCGAAAATAGACGTTGTGATCATTATATCCACGATGATCCTTACAGATGGTATGCCGACAAATACAGCACCGGAAAGCTCTCCGAGTCTCCCCTTTTTGTTAACAATTCGGTGGAGCAAGCTCATTTTCTTCGAAACAAGTTTGCAGAGCTCAATTTGCCCTCAGAATCCTCAGACGCAACCCGTTCCCAAGTCACAATCCGAATTCCACCTTCTGTAAAAATCACACTCCAGGACGCCAATGCAGTATCTTCGTTCACCCCAATAACACCCTCAATTCGTACTCCTGCGCAGGATACCATTTATTCCCCCATAACAATCAAGATTAACTACCAACTTCAAAATCCTACAAGTGGGTTGCAATTCGATACCTGCAATGAACAGCATCTGTGGACAGCGTGTACGACTAATACTGAATGGAATGCAAGTGCTTCTCACTGGCTGCCGTGTGTTGATACCATGGAAGAGAAATGTACATGGGAGCTAGAATTCAGTATACCCAAGAAGGTCAAGGACATAGGAACTCGTAATGTCATAGGAGTCACAAAGCCCAACAAGAAACGGAAGATACGAGACGATAGTATCGAGGGGGCTGACACGGAGCGGCATATAGATCATGAAGATGCACGGTCAACAAGACATCGCTCTCGCCGGAATGCAGAGGGAGAGCGAAATGAAGAAGACGATGATGACGAACACTTAGACGAAGACGACGAAGAAGATGATGACGAGGACGAAGAGGATAATCCGCTAAACCGTGACATGGTTGTTTGCGCTTCGGAGTTTTCAACGGGCAAGGAAAGTTCGCATCCCACTGATCTCTCTAGAAAACTGGTTTCTTTCCAAATTTTTAATCCCGTGGCGCCTCATCATATTGGATGGGCAGTTGGTGCTTTTCAGGCTTGGACTCTGCCGCAAATCAAGACTCAGGGTGAACCAGAAGAAGAAAGCGAAGAATCACCTGCCATTGCAGAAGTTCCCGACGATGAGGAGCCAGACGTGATCCCGATCCAGGTTTACACGTTACCGAGCCCTGACATTGACGAGCGAGTTATTCTTAATTCGACGTTGGTCACACAAGAAATATTGGACTTTTACGCGCGAGAATTTGGATCGTATTCTTTCACCTCTTACTGCCTCCTCTTTTTACCTTCAATACCTGCCGAGTGCACGGATTTCGCTGGTGCCACTTTTTGTAACACCAGGTTGCTGTATCCACCTGAAATTATTGATCTAACATTTTCAACAACTGACAAACTAAGTTGGGCATTGGCAACGCAGTGGTCGGGAGTCAACGTAACACCCCTAGAGCTGAATGACATATGGTGTTGCATCGGAATGGCAGGCTATATGTCCCTTCAGTTTTCTAAACACTTAATGGGACTGAACGAGTTCAAATATAGAGTTAAAACCTTATCTGAACGAGTAGCAGACCGAGATTGGGAAAAGCCGCCAATGGCGGGCGCTTTTGCACAGGCCTCAATGCCTGTCACGTCTCTCTCGAAAGAGTTGGAATTTCTAAAGCTGAAAGCCCCCATCGTACTGTACATTTTAGATCGCAGAATGACCAAAACAGAACGATCTTTTGGTATGTCTCGTGTTTTGCCAAAGATATTTCTACAGGCGATGTCGGGGGATCTTCCAAACAGTACCCTGTCTACCTCACACTTCCAGCATGTTTGCGAACGAGTCAACAAGAATAAGCTTGAGAACTTTTTCAAAGAATGGGTATTCGGATCCGGTGTGCCTATATTCCGAATTACTCAACGTTTCAATAAAAAGCGAATGGTTGTGGAAATGGGAATTCGTCAATGTCAGGTTCAAGAGATAGCCCAAGATAAAACTGTGGGGGCGGAAGGCTTTCAGTCCAGTGCACTGAGCCATATTTCTTATCCAAACACAAATTTGACACCTGTGTTCACTGGATCTATGACCATCAGAATTCATGAAGCTGATGGTACACCATATGAACATATTGTTGAGCTCAAAGACACATTTACAAAGCTTGATATCCAATACAATACCAAATATAAGAGGCTAAAAAGGCGAAGGAAGATTAACAAATCTGCTAAACACGATGGAAAGGATCAAACTCCTTTTGAGACAGCGGATATGGCTGGTCCTGATGAAGAAAACGAGGATATTGTTCTCGTGAATTGTCTCGGTGATGTATTAATGGGTGCTAAAGATTGTCAGCAATGGAATCTTACAGACCCTCTAATGACAAGCGAAGGCGACGAATTCCAACAACAAAACGAGGCTTTTGAATGGATTAGAATTGATGCAGATTTCGAATGGGTTTGCAAAGTCTACATTAATCAGCCGGACTACATGTTTGCCTCCCAATTGCAGCAAGATCGGGATGTAGAGGCGCAGATCGATAGCATAAGATTTTTTCAAGATGTTGTGATGAATTCAAATGAGAATTCTCTAGTATATTCATCGATTTTGACCCGTACTGCTATGGATGATAGATATTTCTACGGGGTTAGAGTGGAGGCGTGCAGAGCGTTGTCCAGCTTTGTTGTGTCTCAGGCAAACTCAGACCATTTCATGGGAGGTGCAAAGCATTTGATCAAGATTTTTCAGCACTATTTCTGTTACGAGAATTCTAGCATCCCGTTCAACAATGATTTCTCTTCTTATCAGCGCTATTTCTTACAAGGAGCGATTCCTCATCTCCTTTCGCAGGTAAAAAATGACAATGATCTCTGCCCCAGGTTTGTGAAGCGGTTTTTGCTCAACATTGTGAGATATAATGAGAACGCAGAAAACAGCTACGACGACACGATTTACGTCGTAAATCTTATAAAAAGTGCTGTCACGAGCGCTCTTAATGATCCTGACGATGAACCTTTCTACCGAGATCTTCTCCACGAGTTGCGAAGGTTCAAAAACCTGGATCAGTGGATACCTTCGTATCAATTACTGGTCACAAAGTGTATTATGGATCAACATTTGAGGCTGGCTGTCGATGGCTTTTATGTCTACGAAGATATCTCACAAATTCTGGAGTATACACTGAACGAGAAGTCCACCCCATCGCCGGGAAGTTGCAGGCACTACCGTGAGGGGATGCAAGATCTTCTTTTGACTTCTTTCAAAATTCTTCTTGTCGAAGGGGGCATAAAGAACAAAGAGGCTCTGAAGCTGTTCTTTGAGTACATGCTCTTTCATCCCGATCCCTACATCAGGACAAACCTGATAGGCTCGCTTGTTGATGCCATTGATTTCATCGCCGAAAAAAGGTATCTTGATTTTCTAGATGATGATTTTGAAAGTCTGCACGCAAGCGCCAACACGGCAGTAAACGCGGAATCTTCAGATTTGGGGGACACTAATATCATCGTGGAGAGTTTCAGCGCTGAAACGGCCAACAAGAGGGAAACGCAACTGAGGGGAACGATTAACGGGCTGGTCACTCTCATGCGCCGAAAATTCGCATCCTATGAGCCTCTGAAACAGATAATATGGGACACTTTGCATTCCCCATTGGCTAGCGTCTACCAGAAAAAACGCCTCTTCGATCTGGTGCGTGTAATTTATCAAATGGAGGACAGATTCTGCGTTAGACTTACGATTCCAAGAGACCGCAAGCTCATGGCGAAGAACATGGGTAAGGGCGTGGTCAAACTACGTCGTGAAGGCATTCTGAAGGTTCATCTAGCTCCTAAGGCTAAAATAATTGCTAAGCGAAAGCCTTCCATGACACCGAAATCTTCGACATTGAAGGTAAAACTTAACGCAACCAACGTTAAAAAACCATCGTCACCAGCCAAACCGCGTGGTGGTGCCGGGGGTGCTACTGCGCAAGGTACGACTGTCCCAGTCTCTCCAAAGAAAAGCAGCAAGCCGGTGAAAAGTTCCATCACAAAAATTGGCACTCTTCCTCTCAGGTTTATCAGAATTTCTTCGCGAAAACGTTCTGTTGATATTTCGGCCGTGTCATTCAACAACAATGTCAGTATTGTGAAGTCAAATGCCAGATCTCTGGTGGTGAAGATTCGGACAGCCCAAGGCAAGGTTGTACCAAAGAAAGAATCTTTATAAAATAATCAAGAAACTATACATTCAAAGGGAAAGAGGGCTTTTCATCAAATTCAATAATACGCATTAGATACAGTGAATTGTGGTCGACATGGAACTTCAACGGTGGTCAGAGTCTTGGGTCCTTCAAGCTTTCTCCCGTACACGATTACACTGCCGATATTGGTCAAATCCTAGTGGAATAACATTCATGAGATACCAGACTACCGTTAAAAGACCTGTCACGAAGGCTAGTTCGTAGCCTTATGCTCTCACATGGGAATTCATCACTGTCTCATTGGATTCCTGGGATTCATAAACTATGCATCATGCCTTGAGGATGCACTCGTCGACATTGGCCAAACCAATGGGACATCGCCGGGACCAAACGCCATCTCGCCGAGCATTGCGAGTAATGATTGCTCAGCAGAAGTAGAGAAACTAGAGCAACCAGTAATTCAAGTATGTGACACACCAGATGGGAAGTTCAACATGTCTACGACGAACTCGACGATAGGTGAAAATGACACTGAGATCAACACAAGTTTTGCACGTCAGGTAAACCCAGATCCTGTTTTGATTTCGATCACTGCATCTGATGATGTTAGTCCGCTGGCTTCGGTTTGTGCCGACGTGGAGCAGAACGACAACGACACGAGGTTTCTCTCATTTGACGAGTGGAAAGAACTGAAACTCAGCCAGGACTCCAAAAGGGAAGTACACCCAGACTTGAAATTGGTTGAACACTCGGAACCCAGTGGCTTTAGGAGCGAAACAATTGGTGATGAACTGGAGATCGATGTTGGTCTTTTCACGTCTCATGGAAGCAGCGCAGACGAAGAACCCGAAGGTAAATTATACAAAGACCGTTTCAACTATGCTTCACTAGGCTGTGCTGCCACAATTGTCAAGACCAATTCCGAAGCTTCTGGGGCTAATTCGATTTTACACGAAAACAAAGACAAGTATCTTTTGACCCCATGTTCTGCGTCCAGCAAGTTTGTGGTCATAGAGCTATGCCAAGATATTCTAGTGGAACAAATCGCTATTGCCAACTACGAGTTTTTCTCATCTACTTTTCAAACATTAAGGTTCTCGGTGTCGGATCGATTCCCGCCCAAGAATGGGTGGAAGGTCTTGGGGGAATTCCAAGCTAACAATACCCGGAACATACAGAAATTTGACATACCAAATCCACTTATTTGGGCAAGGTACGCTAGAGTAGAGGTGCTATCACACTTTGGGAATGAATTTTATTGCCCCATATCAGTTGTTCGAGTACATGGGAAAACAATGATGGATGACGTGAAGTTGGGTGAGTTGGAGGAAAGATATAACCAGGAACAAGAGATCGCCAGAAAAGTCGAAAAGAAAACGAAGGAGTGCATCGAGGAAGAGATGGCAGTATTGTCTTCAGCTGGTGCAGTGTTGGACAAGTGTCAACTTCCAGATTTTACGTCGAACCCGAATTTGACTGGAATTTCAAATATAGAGCTTGGAGGGGCACAATGTCCAACGGTTCTCCCGTTTTTGGAGTTTGATCAATTTCTGAGGAATTTCAATCAAAGCATCTGCGATCCATCGAAGTTCCAGAATGCCCCTGACACATCTAGTACACTACCGTCATCCTCAACTGAAGAATCAATCTTCAAAACAATCATAAAAAGGCTGAGTCTTCTAGAAAGCAATTCAACTTTGTCTCTACGATATATCGAAGAGCAGAGTAAGCTTATATCGAAAGCGTTCTCCCATTCGGAGAAGAATCAGGCCAGAAAATTTGATGCTTTAGTCGACGCTCTCAATCAAACCATTTTGTCAAGCTTAGGAGACCTGAATGTTTTTTCGCAACAACTTCGGGAATCATCTCTTAAGGCTTTAGACGAGCAGAAACTACTGAACGATCAGCTGGTTGCTAAAACCTTAGAAAGCCTGGAACGTGTGAAAAGAGATGCCATATTCCAACAGAGACTGTCCTACACTATGTTGTTTGCTTTCGCAACGCTGTTGGTTTACGTCTTGTTGGCTAAGGAAGCGTATGTGGATGAACCTCCGGTTGATGACGGCTGGTATCTAAATTCTCCTCCATTACAAAGGGCCAAAAACACCCTCTTGATGAAAACAAACAATGATAGGAAGCCTAGTGGACCACTTGTTTTCGAGGCTGGCCGCGAGAATCAGGGCACCGAATACAAATCTGACATTTCTGCGTCCACATCCTCCACTTCTTTGTATGAAGAATTCGATTCAGAGGATGATAAAGTTCATTCACGGGAACGTAATCCAGTCAAATCTGTCGAAAGTTTCGATTAACAAATTACGACGGACTAGACAAAACCAGGAGCCGCTGCTGTCATTTTAGATCTCTATTGAATTATTTTCGAAATAATGTTGTATTATAACTAATGATTTGACTTATTTATTTGATGGACAGGAGGGTATCCAGATTCCGGCCTCTTACGTGACTGTTGAAATACGCGCAACAACGTGAGATTCAGCGACGCAAAAGTGCTTTACTCAATTGACCTATTCCATTAAACTGCTCTCAACACTGTTGAGACGAGTCAAGACCCGTTGTGTATTGTTGTAGCCGTGAGAGTGGGAAGTCCACCTTGTCATTAATGGTTTGCCGGTATGAGACAGCATCGGCGACCCAGCTGAAGATTGTGATAAATTTGAAAAACTACTGCTGAATATCGAGCCTGATGAGGATAGTGGAGTGTAAGGCGTGGTAGATTCGGAGTCTGATAAATTTGCAGTTGTTGGCGGATGAGAGGCATATGGACTTGAAGGCCAGCCACCTGGGCAGTCTGTCAAATCAATATGAGCAGAGTGTTCACTGCTGGACCGACTAGACCAATATGCAGCTTTGTAAGGCTCTGGGAAATGAGCGCTGTTATTTTTTCTTAGACATCTTAGGCCAACGAAGCTCTCGATGAAGTTCTCCACGGTTTCATCGACGTGTTCTCGATCAATTGCATTCAAATTTTGGGTCAATTGACAGAAGGAAGTGTACTGGCTGATATGTTGAGACCAGTAGCGATCTACTATGGGTTCAACAGAAGAGCCACGGTATTTTTGAAGAAGTGCGGCAGAAAAGGGTTTCGGAAGTAATTTGGTTCCGAATATGTCATTGACAAACAGGAGACCGCATTTTCTGACGTCTTGCAAAGTCTCCGTGGTGAGTGGTAATGCGTTCAACGCATTTGATTTCCGCAGAGCACTTTGGAAAAGTGGGTCTGGGCTGGCAAACATGCCAAGATGGATCTGATCTGCCAGATTGCTACTTTCCATCATTTTGGAGGCCACCAGGGCCGCAGAGAGAGCACGGATTGTGCAGGAATGTTGCAAATAGTTTCTCTCGTACATCGAGTGTTCTAAAAGGAAATAGGCCAATTGTGCGATTGACGAAGCGGCTGGGTCTTTTTCAAAACACTCCATGTCGAGAAAAAGCGCTAGACAATCGTAACTGGACGCAACACACCCAATTGACCAATCCAAAGTACTGAGAATATGCATTTCCATCTGCACGAACATTTTGGCTTCGTAAACGTTGCGACACAAATGGACCAATTCTTTCAAAAGAGGCGTTCTACTTTTTTTGTCCTCGTATTTGGCTGCGATCCACAACGCTGTACTTACGGTAAGCTGGTAATGCGCCTTCCGAACCATTCGTTTTGATAAATACCGGTCCACGATGGAGCATGCCAAGAACAACGTTTCTGGTCTCAATCTGAAATACGCATGCAATTCCAGCAAAAAATCGATCAGATAAGGTCTCATGTACCATTCCAATTCTGGCTGACTGTCGATCATGACAGGGTCGATACAATATTTGGCATTTTTGCTGGACCTCCTTTCCAGATCTTGCAAATTATCTAAAAAGTCTGCTTCATATTCTGCTATGCATTTTTTACAAGCTATATTTTCTGACTGTTGCAATTCCAGGTCTGCTGTCCTGATGATGCCTCTTGAAGCTTGTTGTAATCTTGGCATTATTACTCCGAGAGTCTTATTGAGTCTTATTGAGTCTTTGAGAGCCTTTGCTAAATCAAAAATTACTGTAGTCCCGCTACTGAATTTTTCCCGAATGCACTGCAAATATGGTGAAAATAGCCAGCTGTTTTCGCTCTCTTTCCCAAATCCCAGATCTCAAATCTCAAATCTCAGATCTCAGATCTCAGATTTCAAGCTTCTTGTTTGGCTGGACAGTTCTTTCCATAATCTACTAGATATATATTATATATGAAGCGAGCCACTAATCTCACCCGAAAAAGAAAGACTCTCTCTCTCTTTACGGATATTTCAAATTTAGCGGGACTCTTGCCCGAGATTTCAAGCCGATCATCGCGTAAATTCGGAATTGTGAATTCCCCCATAGCGAAGGCCGCATGCGTTTTCGGCTGATTATTTTTCGCTCTCTCGAGAAACGCGTTAAGAATCGTGTTATTACCGTTAAAAGTATATATGAGAACGTAGCAGGTGTAATTGAAAAAGCTGCGAAAAAATTGAGATACTGAGCCGTGGTGGGCTTGAAGAATAACGGAGATAGTGTGTAATGGTGTGGAGAGTAGCAATAACAATATGAGAGTTTAATTGTAAGAAAGTTGAATGGGGCGGGTTTAAAGAGCTGGAGAGTGTGTATGATGAGCTTTTATCTGTTAAAATGATGATAGTTGTGGTGGTGGATGTTGTCATTATGCACGAACCTGACACCTTTTTAGGAAAGTTTACTTTGTACGAGTAGCCACTAGTTGATATACTCGTGAAATCACATACTTGTACAGTCAGTCAGTCGCGCTTTGTGCGAAATTCGGTTCAGTAACCTGTAATTCTTCCTCGTAAGTTACGTATTTGACATCACTTTCGACGAATCGGAAATTTTAATGTTACTACTTATTACACGACTCATTCAAAAATGACAATAAAGAAGAATATTTATTATTCGGCGATATTTGTCACGATGGAGAAACTTATAAACAACTGGTTAAATGAAAATGGCAATAACTTGGAAGGGTCACTTTAGCAGACGTAAGTTGTTGTGTAAACTAATCATAAATCTAAGGTACTTTTGTACGGAAAAATGAAGTAAATTACTAACACTTTGTACGTTAGACTACTTATAAATTACTCACGTTCAAAACGATCAATATCCACAGGGGAAGATTTCGTTTAATGTGATAAACTCAACACTGGAGAGCGAAAATCGCCTTTAGAAAGGGGGCTCTGCTATCAAAGAGCATTTCTCCGTCTCCTCGTCCAGTGTTTCGTCGTCAGGCGAGGTTTCCAAGATCCAAATGATTGCTTCACTACTGAAAGTTATACGTAAATTAAAATCATTAAATCTTGTTTTTAATCAAACCAAATTTTACCCGCGGAGGCTACCCGTACCGTGTTTACTTTTCGCAAAGCTACTCGTGAAATTACTTGTCATTATCTACGTCGTACTCGCCGTGGCTACCCGTACTCGTCCCCACGGCGATAAGAAACCCCGGGCCGAACATGTCACGTGGACTTATCACTTGATACCAAGATGTCATAGGTGTCAGCGTCAGCGTCAGCGTCAGTCCATCTTTCCCACACAAGAAAAATACAAACGATTCCAACAACCAGCTCCTCAAAACTCTCACCTATTTCCGTCAAGGATAAGGACTCAAGTATCAGCACAACATCAGAGTCTACAGCGGCATGCAGAAGTTTCTAATCGCAGCTGCAATCGTGGGATTCAGAGTCGCAACTGCGGCCAAATTTGTCGCACAGATCAGCGACACCAAAGCCGTGAGTGAGATTCTAAGCCAAAATTTCGAGCAAATGAACGCAGACAGTGGCATAGGTGCCATCAATCTTGGCAAGTCGTTTCAAGCCATATACGGAGACTTCCCAGATTCCATACTAGAGGCCATGTACTACGACGGTCGTATACTGGCCATGTCCATGGATAGGAATCTGACGGCTGCGGAATACGTGGTGCAGGCAAATGCACCACCTCATTTGGCGCGTTTATCGCAAAAAGCTCCTTTGCTCAAGACCGACACCACGTTCATTTATCACTCCAACGCCGGTATTGGTGTTGATGTGTATCTCCTTGACACAGGTATTGATGGGAAAAGTCCTGCGTTTGAAGGCAGAGTTCAGAAAGTCGCCGATTATGCTACTGGTCCCGCTTTTGAAGGCGATCCACATGGACACGGAACTGCTGTTGCAGGTGTCATTGGCTCGGCCCAATTTGGAGTGGCAAAGAAATGCAATCTTTTCGATGTGAGGATCGCTGATTCGGATGGAACTGCAACTTTGATAAGCACTCTCAGGGCTCTCGAACATGTCACCAAGCTGGCCAGCGTCACTAATAGACCATCGCTAGTGGTGATACCTTATACAATGGAGAAAAATGTGGTTCTCAATTCCGCCATCGAAGCGGTCGTCCGTGATCTTTCAGTTCCTGTAATTGCAGCAGCCGGAAACACTAATCAGAGTGCTTGTAGCATTAGTCCTGCTAGTGCATATGGTGCATTGACAATTGGATCCATTGATGTTACGAAAAATGACCAGCTTGCTCCCTTCACGAATCATGGCGAATGCGTCGACGTCTTTGCCGCTGGAATGCGTGTTCCAAGTGTTGGATTAGATGCTTATTCCGAAGTTCAAAGAAGCGGCACATCTATGAGCGCTGGAATAGCATCGGGTCTCGTGGCTTATTTTATGAGTCTCGGATTCTATGGAATGGAAGCCGTGAATAGAGTGAAAAGCCTAAGCGTTTCGGGAGTCATTCCAAATATGGCTAAACAGCTGCCTTCGACTAGAAACTCTATTTTACAGAATATGTAGGGTGGTTTTGATTATACAATTAATTTAAAGCAGCATATTATGACAAAAAAGAGCGATAAAGCATAAGGAAGCGGTGATTAAAATAGAGAAAGAATCGCTGAATAACAGTATCTTATGAATGGCAGACTGTTGCAAACCTTGAAACTCTACTTTGTATAGAACTTGTTGAAAACAGCGTTACAGCAGTAAAAACTGGTTTACACGTGACCTGTGACAGCGACAATATAGCCAGAGAATGACAAAAAATGACGCTAAAGACAGGTCAAAACGCATTTTCGATCAAAAGTTCATGATTCTTCAACTCTGCGGTGACCCAGTAAATCTTCATATTGAATTCAAATCTCAAGCTATCTACAGCACTATTTTCGTGAAAGTTCGACAAAATTTTGTCGCCCTGGGGACTTCATCACGACATCTTACTCTGGACATCTTACTCTGGACCCAGCGCATCAAATGCACTCTATATTAGCATTGCATCGTCTATTGAGTTTATCAAAGAAAAGGCCTCTCTCCAAAAACTCAGATTAGTTATTCATCTAGACAGCGAGAAATAAAACCTTAATTTTTGACAGCTAAAGAATATATTATGCCAAGGAGATGCAAAAGCTGTGATCCAAACTTTCTCAGTCACATTGGGCTCGATTCAATGAAATTCAAAATATTTTGATATCTGTTTAATGCAGTTCACTGTTTCCATTCGATAGATAGCTGTGATTATATTATCTCACTGTAAGCGTCCAATTTTACCTCAAAATTCTACGAAATAGAGCGAACCAGCACTGATTCACAAAATTTCTCATAGAATGGGTGCGTGGCCTAAAAGAACATAAAATGCAATGATAAATGGACAATGGAGCACAATTTGAAAGCCTTTACTACCTGACCGCCAATACAATCACTTCTCACGAAAAAAGTCTGATATATATCGAACGCCAAAATATATGTGAATTAACGCGTCATTAGAGATGAACCGAAAACCAAAGAGAAGGACCATACATATCTCCTAGTTCCGAAGCATTTTGAAGTCAAGCGAAAGGCCATGAAGCCTGACCGAGAAGAAGAGTTTGATGGACCCGAAAAATCGCCGAAAAATGAGCATCATTTCGTGGACCAATCCAAAATATTGAAGGCCAGAATTGCACTTCTGTCTACAGCAATTGGGGGTCCAGATCACAGTTCTGATATCGATCCGCCTCCATATAAGATAGGTGATGATTGTCTTGCCTGTTTGAAAGATTTAAAGCGGTGGTTTAAGCTTGTGGATGAACGCCAGTCAAGATGGGATGTAGCAGCAGCAGCAGCGCAATATAACATTCTGACGGATGACTTGATACCAATAATGACCGGCTGGGAGAATTCCTATGCCACAGCTGCCAAAAAGGCCAGGAAAAATGGTGGGAAGGTCGAGGACTTTGTTAGAAACAAGGAATATTACGATAAAATATCACTGAACGCACTACAATTGATGGTGCTGATGACTTGGCCCTTGATTCTCACAGATCAATCGACTCAAAATCAAGTAGAACACTATTCAAGTCTCAAAAAAAGTCAGGTCATTTACAAAAAAGCTATTCTGAGTGCTGAGAATGGTAAAGTGCTAAAAGCTGCTGTAAGATTAGCAGTAGAGGTGATTAAAATTGAAAAGCGGTTGCGAAGTGCAAAAGACAATGTTGTACTGAGACTTGTCTTGAATTTTCTACGGAATGTGGCCGCTATCGAACCCAGCGATCTGACTTTGAGCAATAAGAAGAAGACCGCCACCAAAGGGATCAACGCTACCGATATGCTACCGCCAAACATATCTAAAAACGATATATCTCTGGCTGCCGTTATCGAGGCTTTCAATCGCAACAAAGTGCTTGGTCTACTGCTCACATTTTCAAGCTCTATCAACCAGGAGTTCGATGCTGCATTTATAAATGTTCCGCTACTCGAGCTCATGTTCTTTCTGGTTAAGAATGTGAACCATTCGGTGCTATATCGGAAAAGATCAACAGACAAGTCTTCGAGCAGAAATTTAGCAAGTGAAGAGCATAGAAATGGCAGCTCAGAACTTTCAGGCCTGCTGCAGAAGGAGCACGAGATGAAAAAAAATGTAATTCGAAATACTTCGACGCGTCATTCCAATTTTGGCACCATGCTTTCAATCCAAACATCGGACAAGAGGCGGCTTACAGTTTCTGGTGGCCAGAACTTGCTGAATAGCGATTACGCCCTGAGAAAACTTGATTCACGCAAAAAATGGAACAAACGAATTTTAACGGCAAATGAAACAGTTGAAGGATTGCCTAGTAATCTTTTGAGCTCTGATGAAGAAACAGTTTATTGGGACGATTCTATCAGCTCCACATTTCGCAAATTCGTTGACGACTTCGTGAAATCGGGATTCAACTCGGTATTAAGCAGCGTAACCGATTACTTCACCACAGAAGATGACAAAATGGTACTGATTCATCAAATTGAGTACCTATTATTTTATTCATGGTTTTTGAAATACAGCAGACTTGCAAAACAGAACAATGTTGAAACTGACATTAGTCCTATATCTTTCGCTCTTCGCGATACAGCGTTGATTCTCGTGGGCCAGCTATTACGGAGGGGCATGGAACATAAAATCTGGGCGGTAGTTCACGCAGGAATGATTGCCTATACAGAGCTAATATCGTTGCTCGAAAGCATGGGCAATAATGAATCTGAATTGGAGGCCAAAGGACACGTCGAGTATCAGCTTTTTCAGGAAGAGCGCTTGAAATTGTTTTCGAGTATACCAAGAACAGCTAGCAATCACTCTCTCTCTTATGTGCGAGGCTGCGTCAATCTGATACATGTTTTATTCAAAATCATAGAAAGGACAAACAAACGACAAGAAGCGCAGTCACAATCAGCACCAGAAGCTGGACCCAACACTATTTTTGAACAGGCAAAAATCTTGGCTGAGGAGGAAGGAGTTGAAATTGAAGAAGCCGTTGAAATTCTCGAGTTCAATACACAAAGAAGTGAAGTGAACTTCAAAAAATTGCAAAGATCTTTTGCAAACGACAATACGATCAAGACATATATCACCTACCTTGAAAACTTCAAAGAGCTGGCTGACGAAGACATAAAAAAGTGCATTCAATTTCTTTACAGAATATTTGTATCTGCCGAAGAGGAGTCTTTGTTATTTCGGATTGACTTCATGATCCTAATGAAGGACATGATTAGTCCAACTGGGCTACCAACCATGTCAAGAGCGCGGAAACACGTCACAAAATTTGCAGATGTCTTTACCTCAAAACTGAAAGTGCGGCTAGCAAAGTCGCCTTCATGGTTTGTAGGTATACTTTTTCCGGTCATACATGATAGAGAGACTGGCCACTATCAAAAGTATGGTGAGAAACTGGATTCGATGATGAACGTCGAACGGGTGGCAAGACCATCTACATTCAAGTCTACAGAGGAACTCGAGGGAATGAGCGCTTCCGCTGCCCTTGATTTCAAGTTTGGGATATTAGTGTCAACACTGATTGATAGGGAAAGGCAGAATAGTGTCGAAACACTATTAGAAAACCTTCAGCGTTCTTGTGCAGTAATGAAATCATGGTTGCTCAATGAAGCAACGAGGGGCGAAGTTGACAGTACTCCAAGTGGGCGTGAACAGTTTGAAACTTCATCATCCACTATCCGAAAAGATGTTCACAGAGACTCGGATTTCAGAGCACTATTAAAGCTCTGCGGCTATCAGCTCTCGAGGTCAGAGAACGAAAGCTGCTTTCTTTTGACCTCTTACCAGATCACTGATATAGAAACGTCCATCGGTCTGATTATGAAGCACATGCACAATACGTTTGAGACGCCGAATGGCGAACCATCTTCGTTTTATTTGCATAGACCAGGATTGGAAGATAAAATCCTTGGGCCAAATGACGAATCGCGTGAATATACTGAACAGGTCAGGGAAGCGGAGGAATTGAGCGAAGAGGAAAACGAATACTTTAAGTCTTTGACAAAGGTTTCGTCGGCTAAGAGTAACGGTGGCCAAGTTCCCTCGAAGGGCGTTGCCGCGATAAAGAAAAAAAGCGTTCGAAAGCGGAAGAATCAACAAGGTGGGGCTAGAAGAGCATCGGAATCAAGAGATAAAGAGAATAACAGTAGCAACGACGTTTACAAGCAAAGGGAAGTTACGAGCGCTGAAATGATCAGCGACTCCGATGAGTCTGATGATGAATTCGCGCAGACCACATTCTACGAGAATGAGATGTTTATGCGTTTTCTACTGGACAAGTATAACGGTTCTCTCCCACAACAAAAATTTGTGCAGTTTGCAGCCTTTGCATCAGAACGAATCAAGAATAGTGGAAAGCTTGTTAATGATTATACGGCTCTTTTTGACGGGCCTGTACCGAGCCCATCTTCTTTAATAGCTACCGAAGCGATGGGAGGGAAAACTTTGGCACCAAAGCTGGCACAGATTATGGAGGCTCAAAATGAAAAAGACGCTGATGATCTCAGTCTATCTGAAGACGTTGACATAGACAAACCGGTGTCCACAGAATCAGAAGATCTGAACTCGAATACGAACAAGACAACCGTAAGTGAAAATATAACCCATGAATACGGTGACGCTGTTATTTCTAAATACAAACGGCGAAAGGCAATGAGAATCGAAGATGATGAAGATGATGACGAATAGTATAATGTGCAGGTTTTAATAGTTCAGTATCATTTTTATAGCTCACAGTGCTTTTGATCGCCACCTTTTATTGATGCCACAATTGTTTGTGTTCCGCTTATGAACATTATGGCAAATCCAAGCGCGATACACATGTAATGAGGAATCTTGTCGCGCATGGTTTTTCTGCTACCTGTTAGTATGAGGTTGACCCAAGGAGGCAGTATATATGCCATCAAAGAAGCAGTGGTGGCCCCAATTAGCTCAAAAAGGGCGCCCAGATTACAGGTGGTTAACGAAATAGCCATAGTCGTAAAAACCACGACTGAGGTGATGGTTACATGCAACTTTAAGCTCAGCTCTACGGGGCGACCCTCCGACTTATCAGCATTGAAGAATATCAAGTCTCTCACAACATCTCGCAAAACGAAAACTTCAAGGGGGAAGGTTGTTAACATGTTGAAGCCGAAGCAGAACCTTGCCACGTTGATCAAACGATCGTCGCCAGGGAAATTATTGAGAACGTTGCCTTTTGTTTTATCTTTGAACACCAAAAACCCCGAGTAGCCCATAATGAGACAAAAAACCATGGCCACAAGGCAGCTCAAGTGAGTCAGCCTATCAAATCTCTTCATACTTGGATTCTTTAGAGAAAAAAAAATGAAACTTGTGTTATGATGGCAGACAAGAGCGAAGGAAATCACAGAGATGCCTTGAAATATTCTTGGCGTTAAGAACCATTGGCTGACGTCCATTGTTCCTCTATAAGATGGGTCGACTGACAATCCATGTATCACAACAATTGACACTATTATGACCATACTCAACAATGCCAGCATTGAAGTCCGAGACAGTTTCGAGATATCTCTGTTCAGTGACAAAGGAAAAGAGATCAAAGTAGTAACGACGGAAATAATAACATTCCTGTTGAAAAGGTTCGCATGCGAGGGGAAAAATGCTCGCATTACATGCGGAATTGTGTCTCCCATTATGATACAGAAACCTATGCACCCGCCAAACGCAAAGAGCCCGTTTGTGAGTAAAATCAAAACTTTGCCTTTTCTGCCCATAGCGAGTTCCACACTATCCTGATAACTAGAAGTCCCTGAAATTTTGAGATTGATTACGATGAGACGAATCGTCCAGTCCACCAGCGCCGAAAGAAGCACTATCGCTAGAAATCCCCCGATAATTCCACAATTTTTCACAGCAAGAGGCTGTCCGATGACGCCCGCACCCAGGATACTATTAGCCATATTCATAAAGGCCATCAAAGTACCTGACTTGGACCTTTCTTCTGCAACCAAAAAACCGGTGAGCTCTGCAGCATCTATATCCGCATTTGCAGATTGTTCATTTTCGGCAGGTGCTTCTTTCTTAAAGCTCGAAAGCACGAACGCATCTTCTGCTGGACCACCATCAACCGTCAAAAGGTTTTCATCTTGTGAGAAACTATTGCTAGATCTCTTGGCCATTGATTGGTGTGTTATTTCTGTCATTTTGTTAGAGTTATGCTGTTGTTGATCAACAGTCCGTTTAGGCTTATCATGTGGAATTCCTTGCGATGAGCCGTACGAAGAGATCTATCCTGACCAACATAAACCAAGCAGCTGAATCCGTAGACGTACTAGCCAGATGCTTCTAAGAATGCTATGGGACCGTGCTATGAGCATCATCGAATGCCGCATCTTCGTCATCGGTTGTGCTTTGTATTTTGTTGTCTGGAACTGAGTTTTCCAACTTTGCATTTTCGGAAGTTGGGCCCGCCATCAAGGATGGTACTTTGTCTGAAAGCTGTGTTTCTGATGAACTTCTTGGCTCAGTAGCATTAGATTTGACAGGGCTGTGATTCTCTTCAACGAATTCCGATAGCAATGCGTCTTTGTTTTGGACGGCTTTAAGTACTGGCTCGATCGTGTCTTGTTCTTCATCAAGCTCTTGCCTTTCAGCATCAAGTGATGTTTGACCCGCGTTAGCGGGTGAAGAGTGTCTCTGAGTACCAAGGTCAGCATTTTCAAGAGCTTCTGCCAAATTTTCGTTATCGTGTTTCTGCGACAAACTGGCCCCATCGCCATGGGGCTCCGAAGTAGTAGACTTGTCCGTAGAAACTTTTCCTGTATCATCGAACTTGCCATTATCCGGCATTTCAAAGTCGAAATCTTCGTCAGTGGGGGTGGATTCGGACTTATGAATAGTGAAAGAATCTCGAGTTTCCCGCTTTTTCAGATAATCTGGCGTCAAAATAGTGGACTCCGAGAGCTCGCGAGATTCAGTTGCGACAGGCCCTATTTTAGTTTCTAAGCTATCTTCCAAAGCCCAGATCCCTATGTGAGCCCAGTGCAAGGATGCTCGCAATTTGCAGAGTTGAGCCCATGCGCGTTGCGTGTTCGTTGAGGGGTTGCCGCTTTGTGACGAAATCAGCGGGACCATTTTGGTCGAACTTGGAACCTTCGATGGCAGCGATTTGGAAAGCCCTGCCATGAACGTTGCGCGTTTTGATTTGTTTTCAAGTCCGGGATTCTCAGACGCATTAGCGGAAGGAGCTGACCCGTCTGTCGCAATTTGTTGCCGGTGGTATTCTGACAAGTCTTCAAGATGCCAAGCGCCACTTTTAAGCAGCCTTAAGAAGGCAAAAATTTCACAGGTCTGCCTTATCTTCAGTAAACAATAATGGCAAAGGGGAAACTGAGCGTTAGGTGTAATGGAACCATCTTCATTTTTCTGCAATGTCTTGAGTAGATACAATCTTCCGTGCTCCAGAATGTCATTACGGCTCTCGGAGCAGAAAGCGCAAGGGTCCTGAATAGCGACAGGTGGCGAGTCCGCGGGGTAGTTGTAAAGATGTGATTCTCTGGACTTCTCTGATTTTGGTAGCTGAGGAGAGTTTACCGCTGAATTAGAACCATGACCTAAACGATATGTCTCGTTGATGCCACTAACGGGCTCAATAATTACCATTCCCTCCATCATGAGATTCATTAGGTTACGCCTCACGTACCACCCAACGCCACTAGCGTTGTCTAGTCGCAGCATTGGTTGAATTTCATCGTTGACCAACCTTCTAAGGAGCTTCGATCGCGAAGTTGTGTCTTTGATCGAAGAACATTCAGGGAGCACGGTCACGAACTTCAGAAACTCATTATATAGTCCCAGATCATACCTTAGAGATTTTAGATATGGCGAGAAAACCACAGTATCAGACGTTGGCAACGTTCCAGTCAAAGCATTCATCGTTTTCTCCAGAGGTCCACTTGACAGTGCTCCCGATTCATTGGCCACGACAGAATTACGATTAGACGCTTGTGCTGCACATTGTTCTTGCTCCAGGTTGTATAGAACACCTTTAAGGTTCTTCAGCTGGATCTTTAGAGTCTCTAAAAGTGTATCTTTTTCCTGCAGTTGTTCACTCAGCTTGTCGTTTTTGACCTTGAAATTGTGAGTCTCTCTCCGTGCATCCGCAACCATGGAATTGGCTTCGTCAAAAAGAGACGCAGTGAGTTCCTCGACTTCCTTGTTAAGCCGATCGGCCTCGGCTTGTGCTGATCCTTTTTCCTCCTCTGCAGTTCTCAGAAGACCGCGGTTCTTGGCGTTTTGAGCTTTTTCCGCTTTCAATTCATTCCTGGTCTGCGAGAGTTGAGCTTTCAGATCTTCCAGGGCTTCCAGCGAAGCTTTTTGGCCATTGATCACTTTCCTGGCTGCTAACAGCTGTTCTTCCAATAGTGACTGTTTATCAATGCTTTCGATCAATTGTGTTGACAAAGAAGACACCTGGACGGATACTCTTTTCGATTCCTCTTCCTCAGACATTGAAATAGGTTATACTCAACGAACGGGCTGCCTGGTGCTACCTTTTACTGAATTCTTGACGTTATAGGGTCCTTCTTATAGATTTGAGATGAGATAGTCATTTGTTTGACTTTGATTTAGCAAGGTATTCAAAAACATCCAGATACAAAGAAAGGAACTAGAGTAAAGACGGATGGGATAGCATTTTCAAGATGCTCGTGAATGAAGTTTGGTTGATCCGTAGTCCAACACCTTTATATACATTGTTTAGTTCTTGCTTAGTTTGTTCCAGGATGTCGGTGTGCAGAAAATCGTAAATTGGCAGCTTAGAGCTATCCATCATGATGCATCGAGATATTCTGCGCTGTCGGAATCTGGAGTTTGCTCTTTGATTGTTTCATGAGAGATATTGCCTCCCGGTAGTGATTTGTTATTGGTATCTGAGGCTTCATCGCCGTCTTCATCATTTGCATCAATTTCAATAGATGCATGCTCTACTTGATCAGAATTAGACGAAGTTGTGGCTTGCGAATGTGTGTTTAGGCAATTGCCATCGTCGACTGCTTCACTAAGCGTGCCCTTGACATCCTTAGCAACGAACTTAAGTCTATTCTCAGAATTATGCGATAGGTCGACGCTTTCTCTGGTTCGCCTCGTCCTTAAACGATCCTTACGGTGTTCTGCAGCCGAACGGTTCCCTGGTGACTCAGTGCCTCTCAGCTCAAACAAGAGATCTCTAGCTCTGTTCGGAACAGACTCTGAATCCTTTTCCAAAATAGATCGCTCTTGTCTGGACTCCGGGGTCGGAGAGGCCTCAAGCTCCCCGTCCTCGACTGCAACATCATCGCCAGATGGCGATGTAAATAATTTGTCATTCGTACTGTCGGCTTCGAAATTGTCAAGAATCGTGGCATTTTGAGAGCCGCTCTGCAATAGCTTGCGACGAGCAACTGCGCGTTTTCTGGCGGAAGAAGGGTCACTTTTGGCAGGGCCGGCGTTCTTGAGTTTTTCCAGCAATTTGTCCATAACATATCTATCTCCGTTTGCCGCCGAATTGTCACTGTCGTCATCCTTATCATTATTATTACGCATCGCTTCTTGATGCTCTTTTTCTTCAGCCCTCTTCTGTTGGTCTTCTACCATCTTTTTCCTTCTCTCATATGCCCTCTCCTCTTCTTCGATTTTCAGGTTGAAGCTTTGTGCTTTCTTGTACTCCAACAAAAAGTCTGAGAACTTCTTGAAAAACGAGTTTTTAGAGAACTTGTCGACCGGATCTTCGCCAAAAAGCTTCATAAGATTATCGAACTCCATAAGAGTCAGTTTCATTTCGTCCACCAAAAGTTCACCCTTCTTCTTGGCTTCCGGAAGAACCGGAAGGACCTTCATCAAGACTCTGTCATTTGGATGAAATTTGAGGGGATCGCTGAGGTTTCCGATGTCGATAGACCTTTCAACGTTTAGAACGGCTTGCGAAAAGCCGTTGCACTCTTGAGCGACTTGCTCGATTGAAATTTTGACTGCAGCGGTGACAGGTTCAAGATCTTGAATAAACGTATTGAACTCAGGATACGTCTCCCTTATAATCTTTTCGACGTAGTGCAAAAACGTCATGCTATTTTTTTCATCTTTGATGAATGTGAGTCTTTGCAGTGTTGCGAGACGGAACCCCTGTGCCTGTTTTGAGGAATCGTTCATAAAATTACCCACTGCTAAGATGATGTCCAGAATGCTACGCAAACTTTCAGATTGCTGAATAGCACATGTGGCCTTGTCAATCAACCTCAGCTTCTCTACCAACTCGTTATACTCCCTCTCATATGTTGTAATGACCTTAATTGCACGCATGCGCGAAGACCAATAGCTCTGTAGGTTAACAAAGAGTTCCAAATATATTTGATCAGCTCTTTGAAGCTCCGAGGGGTCTTTTTCTGGCGGTTTGGCCTCGCCCAAAGATTTCACACCTTCCCAATCGACAGTATAGGGAGCAAAGTTTCTGGCCAAGTTGTTGGAAACCTCGACAATTTCTTGTTTCGATAGAAATTCGATTACACTTGGAGTTGATAAGAAGTCCCTCTCACATTTGAGAATCTTTGTAACCAGCTCTTGAACAGTAAGAGATGAATACATGTGCAGGTTGATACCAAATTGTTGTGAGACATCCCTCGACAAGAAAGATATTTTATCGGCGTCCTTCTTCTTTCTACTAGCCAGAGACTTGATTTCCCTGGCCGCGAATGCTTTTTCAAGTCTCGATAGAACACCCTTTTCGTACAAATCATCTGCGAACTTTTCAGCTTTTGCATTCTTCCAGATGGAATCTTCGGCATCATCGATTTTCTCCCAATGCAGCTGTTTCAGCCTTTTCGTAGGACGTGGATAATTCTCAAATAGGGACGGCGACTGAGGAAGCAATGGAGAAGGAGCAGCAGTTCTAATAGTCGATTGCGACCCACCAAATGGTGGTGGTGGTGGCGGTGGTGGTGGTGGCGGGCCACCTGAAGCCGTGCTGGTAGAATTTAGAAGAGAGGGAGGCGGTGGCGGTGGGGGAGGTGGAGGAGTACCAGTTTTGTGAGCTGATGAAGATGTACCCATCAAGGGAGGCAGCGGCGGTGGTGGCGGCGGCGGAGGCACGTTTGACGACTTCACAGTGCTCACCATCGATTTGTCCGCTGCCGTCTCGTTTTTCGCAATAACGCTTCCCTGTTGAGCGAACAGCTGCAAAGGCGGTGGAGGAGGTGGTGGAGGGGGAGGAGGGGAAGAAGGCGATTGGTTTGCTGAAAGTTCTCGAGGAGAAGAGCCATTATTGCTGTTGACGAGCAAAGGCTCATGGTCTTCCTTTTCATCTGAGTCCTTTACTCTTCCGCGAGGAGTTTTATTAGCGAGTGTACGATAAGAATTGCCTGTTCTGCTTGCAAAGCCGTCACCGGCCACAGCAGGTGGCGAGAATGACCTTATGGCATCGGTAGTGGTAGAATCGCTCTTTTGGTCCATCATTATACCAATCCCTATCTTATTTTCTTGCGTTGATTTATCGTCCTGTGAGTGATCGGTATGAAGATCAAATTTGCCAGACAATTCGTTCAAGTATGGAGCAGGATCCGACCTTTTGACACGATTCATAAATGACTTCCTGTGATACCCGCTCCCAGGATATGTCGAATCTCGAGCAGCCGCAGATGAACGATTGTTAAGTTGGGACCCTGTCCCAGTGCCATACTTTTGGGAAAGTCCCATAAGGAACGATGCCGACGGTGCTTCATTACTATCAGCGGTCGAAACTTCTTTCTCCTCTTCTGACGAATCCGACGTCGATGCCTGTTCTGAATGAGTGTTTTCATTTGGTGACTGCCTCGTCTTGAGCGCATCTAGGTCAGTCAAAATCGTTGATACTTCATCATTCAAGCTTTGAATTTCTTTGGGATCCAAAGTTCTATTTTTTTGGCTGAATGTAGCAAGAAGCTCTTCGCGAGACGTATTCTCCAAAGAGTCTTGGTTAAAATTTATGCCAAAATCTTTGTAGTCATTCTCAAGCTTCTTGAGTCTGTCCAAGGCTGCAGCTTTGTGGTTACCGAAAATTTCATTCATTCTGCCCTCAACATTGAATTTAGAAATTTCATTACTTTCTTGTTGAAGCAGGGCTAGCTTGCTACGAAGTTCTTGAAGCTTAACAACAGAATTTTTGGTACTATCTGCATCGCTTTGATCGTTCTCGGGAACAATTGGAGGATCCTCGGCCAATTCCGTCTCAATCGTTTCATCATGATATTCAGAAAAATTGGTCATTTCAAGCTCACGAGCCTGGTTTTCGATATCTTCCATACGAGACCGCAACATTCTGAGCCTTTTGTTTGGTTTGACTGCGATTCCATGTCTCCTGGATTCGACATTGATTTCTTTGGATGTTGATTCAAGTTTAGCCTGCAAAGCTCTCTGGATTGCCATCTTCCTCTCCGACTTCAAAGGTTGAGGTCCAGTTTCAGTCTCCAGCATTGGCTCCACATTTTCTGCCGCTGGACGGGAGTTCAGGGCTGTGAGGGCTGTCCGAAGTTCGACTTCGTGCTGATGTTTAGCAAGTAAGGACTTTTTCTTTAAGTCATCGAGATCTTGTTGTAGCTGAAGAGTCACCCGCTGGCCTTTCTCCAAAATGCGGTCCCGCTGTCTCAGTTCTTCCTGCAATTGGCCAACTAAACCATCCTCAGCGCTGGCCAACTTGGTTTGCAACACATCGCGTTCTGCTTTCATTTCTTCGTAGCGCTTGACCCAGTCCCTGTTCTCCATTATGGCACGCCTCGCAATTTCGTCCGTTTGCATTGCATCGTAAAGCCTTTGCAAGGCACTGTTGAACGAAGATTGAACATCCACAGAAGCCAACGAAACGTTGGAAACTAATGCATCAACTAGTTTCAATTGTTTAGCTCTTTGAGTTAGATTATCAGAACTTTTGGCGCCCAATTCGCCAGCACCGATCAAGAGATTTTGCAACAGGGACGTCAAATGCTGCTCTTCCTCGGAGCCTTTGCAAAGATTCCAAAGACTCTGTACCAAGGAAACGGGATCTTTCATATCAATGCCCTTAAAATTGGAATTGTGAGCGTACAGCGCATCGAAGTCATCGGCGGTACTATCCTCAAAAATGGTAAGCTCTTGATCAACTTTTTCATATTTCAGCAGCTTCATCTTGTTCAAAATTCTTGGTAATCCAGCATTTTTCAATCGAGAGCGGACGAGCGTCCGTTGCTTGACATCGGCTGGCGTTCTGCACAAATGGTTAACAAGCAATATGGAAAGATAGGCATATTCCATAATAGCATTTTCACCGCCAGAGGTCTTGAAATCATCAGAGGCCCCCACCAGCGAGCCCATCTTTCCTCTTCCATCTAATGTGAACTCAACCACCAGCATCCATTGCTCCATTTTTTTCATGATGCGATTTCCGTTGTCCTCTGAAAGTTGATCTGTCGAAATGCCCTTACTGGGCGATTTGGTGAGTAACCGGGCTTGCAAGTGGACGTTATCGCAGAATCTGGACTCTTGCTCTAGCGAATTTATAATATGGTTGAAACCATGCGGTACGGCCCACTGACTTAAAGACAACAATAACTCTGAGGCTATTCGCCGCGTGGCTACACGCAGCGATAAGAGACCCTCCACGATGGCGGACGTGATTATTTTGGCACTGCTTGACAATACTGCTTCATCAGCACCCTCTTTTAAATTCAAACTCGTTTTCAGACACTTGAAATAAGCGAACTCCTTGTCGAGAACTTCATCGCTCAAAAGGTTTTCAGGAGACTCTCTATAACAAGTTTTTGTAATGACGTTAGCAATCGCCACTTGCCCTTGAGCATCCAAGAATCCAAGAACCCAGTCCAGTTGCTCCGTTCGCAGAGAAACCCATAAATCGTTCAATCGTTTGGCCGTGATGTCGTTGCAAATAATTTTTCTGACGTAGTAGTCAGGCGGAAGATGAGATGGGTCTTGGGACAGTGTGTTAGTACTCGAATTTCCATTCTTGGAGCCATACAACTGATCTGCCGCTCCAATGGCGGATGTCTTAGAGCGATCTAAACCAGCCAGGCTTTCGTCTATAGAGACGGCATTGGCTAAATTCATGTTGGACGATGGTTGGGAGTCGCTGCTTGCAGCGGCTGTGCCGATGATTGAAGGTGCAGGTGACCTCCCACTACTACCCTTTTTGTTTTTGAGTTTTTTGAGTTCCGATTGTAAGTCCTGTTTCACCATCAGCCACTTTTTATCTAGATCATAACTGTTAAGTTCCTTTTGAGCAGCGGCCGGCAGACTTTGGTAGACGTTTCGTTTGTACAGAACTTCTTCAAAAAGCTCTTCAATTTCGCGCGGATCCCGTGGCTTCTCTAGACGTATGCTCCCGTCTGATCCCATGAATCGAGAGAGATTGGAAGTTGAACCCTGTGAGAAAATGCTAGCGGACGATAGACTTTGGTTTGTGTGCTGCCGAGAAAGCCTGGGTCCGTTGGCACCGGCATTCGGTACATTGCTAGACCATTGGGAGGTTCTACGGGAGTAGGAATATTTGGTGGGGGATCCCGTGGAAACGTTGGAAGATGAACGGTTGTGAGGGTTGTTAGCGTCCGTATACGCTGACAAACTGGCCAAGTTTAGCGTTGGCTGCTTGCTCAGAGGTTTGTGGGAAAACTCACCTGCGTTGGGCAGACTGATCTTTGTTGGCGAAGAGACGTCTGAAATGTCTACCTTGTGTGAGTTGGAGTCTCTGTCGGCATTGAAATTACCGTTATTATTACTATTATTACCACCAGTTAGTTTCTTCAAATTTGAAAAAATACTTCCAGCTCCCGAACTGTTGCTTGAAGTCCGGTTGTGGCCACCCTTCGAAGACTTGGAATTGCTAGAGCGATGCATAGGTTGGCCCGTAACGTTTGAGAAGCGCTTCTCGGAGTTGGTTTCAGTGTGTGGGGAAGGTGTTTTTTCCTGTATCTGATGGGTAGCGTATAAACTTTCACCTTTTTAGAGATTGCTGGAATTGCGAGTTTTGGGCCGATCGCACTGGAAAAAAAAGGCAACTTGCGATTCCCAGCACAGCTGAACAGTAGAAACAGCAGAGAGTCGCCCTTAGTTGCTCCAAGTTGGCCCCTTTTGTGGCTTGGTTTGGTATTTCGGGCAACAGTTTCATATGGATGACTTGGGTTCAATTAACTAAGACGCATATATAGGCTAGAAAGATATAATTTGTGGGGATCACTGTGTACGACAGACGACAGCGATGACAGGACGACGACGACGAGAGGTATCCGGGGAAAATATTCTGGCTGAGCCTGTTCCGGATGGAATAGAGCGACCGCATTCGGAATTTGGTGCGATCTCAAAGCGTGTCAAGGACGAGCCGATTCGACGGCTGCCCTGGATGAAGGGTTTTTATTTAGCTAGCATCACGTAATGAAATATCAACGACTGACGGGACCCTGCTAAATTCAAGACTTACCAGTATGTGCTGGAAATAAACACGACCAATATAGAAAGTGAAGCTAAGTCTGCACCGGCCATACCATACTGGGAAAGCTTCATCTGAATGGCTTACATAAGCTGATAGAAAACTGACACCGGCTGGCGAAAATTGAGAGTTTCCCGTTCGTGACAAGATATTACGTAAGTAAGGTTTTCGAAAGAGATGCACGTGACTATACAGCATCAACTAACATCCAAACACCCATTCACCATTAGAACCCAGCCACCCAGCCACCCACACACCCTTTAGCCCAAACACCCTAAAACCCAACTATCCACACCACCCACACACCACACTGTTCCTTCAAGAATCAAGATTGTGGCGCGCGCATTTTCTTCATTTCTTTTCCCTGCTGCAACGCTTCTTCCATCACCATAAGGCATCAACTAAAGATAAAGAGCCGTTAGCCACAACAAAATACTAACTGGAAGTATCACCACCCATCTTTCACCCCTCGTACAAAATTCCTGAGGGATTTCCCGCTCCAGTCATCAAAACTACACTAAACTTATGACTACTTCTTTATTGACGAGTTTCTCTCTCCAGGTTATTGAAATTTAAAGTAGAGAGAAATTTATATGATTGAAAAATTAACATAAAATTTGATAAAAGAAGAAAGAAGTTCAACTCACTATCTATCTATCTTCTTTGTTGGTGATCTGTTCACTATATAAAACACACGACGTGCAAGTGAGCGTCTGTGGTTTGTGATTGTCTGTACTCGGCGTTTTGAGCTGGGTTTCTGCAATCAGGTTTTTTTTTAGCACTACTTGGCACTAGGTGTCTGTTCTACTAGGTTTCTGCACTAGTATCGCACTAGTATCGCACTAGTATCGCACTAGTATCCATCCATATTATTGAAAAACACACATTTACTCTCAATCTCGACCAATTGAACAAAAAGTGCCATGGTCAAAAAAGTTTACGCCCATGACTACGAAGATGGGGTCAAAACAAGCGGGAAAGAAGGAGCCGAAAGGCTGGAAATGTCAGTGATCTCGGGGGAATCCAACTGGCCAGAAAATGGCGGAACAGGAGACAGCGACCCTGAACTGCACAGTTATCAGGACTCAGAGCTGCACGGCCACGTCCAAGAGGGCCAGGTCAAACGTGCACTCAAACCGCGCCATATCTCGATGATCGCACTGGGAGGAACCATCGGAACCGGTCTGTTCGTTGGTATTGCCGCACCGCTCTCGTACGCGGGACCCGTGGGCGCCCTGATCGCCTACATCTTCGTCGGCAGCTTTGTGTACTTTGTCACGCAGTCGCTGGGCGAAATGGCCACTTTCATCCCCGTGACCTCGTCCATCACTGTATTTTCGTCAAGATTTCTGTCCCCGGCCTTTGGGTTTGCCAACGGCTACATGTACTGGTTCAACTGGGCCATCACATACGCCGTCGAGCTGTCCGTCATCGGCCAGGTCATTCAGTATTGGACCGACGCGGTCCCGCTGGCCGGCTGGATCGCCATTTTTTGGGTCCTAATCACCTTGGCCAATTTCTTCCCGGTCCATTTCTACGGCGAGGTCGAGTTTTGGGTCGCCGCTCTTAAAGTTCTCGCTATCGTTGGATACCTACTGTACGCGCTCATCGTTGTGTGCGGTGGCTCCAAACTGGGCCCCGTCGGTTTCCGCTACTGGCGCAATCCTGGTCCTTGGGGAGACGGCATCATCTCCAAAAACAAAGCCGAAGGCAGATTTCTAGGATGGGTGGCCTCTTTGATTAACGCTTCCTTCACATATCAGGGAACGGAACTGGTCGGTATCACCGCGGGTGAGGCTTCCAACCCCAGAAAGACCGTCCCAAGGGCCATCAACAAGGTTTTCTTCAGAATTTTGTTTTTCTACATCCTCTCATTGTTTTTCGTCGGTCTTCTGGTGCCCTTCAATGACCCAAGCTTGAGCCAGGACAGCAGTTCTCCGCTTATTGCCTCGTCGCCCTTCGTCATTTCCATCAAGCACGCCGGTACCAGGGCACTACCGGATATTTTTAACGCCGTTGTTCTCGTTACCATTATTTCTGCGGCCAACTCGAACGTCTACGTGGGCTCCCGTATTTTGTTCTCGCTGGCACACAGCGGCATTGCCCCCAAACACTTCACTTACCTAACCAAGCAAGGTGTTCCTTACTGGGGTGTGATTGGTACTGCGCTACTGGGCCTATTGGCTTTCCTTGCCACCAATGACAACGCGAATGAGGGTTTCAACTGGCTGATCAACATATCGACCCTTGCCGGGCTCTGCGCTTGGTTTTTCATCTCTTTCTCCCACATCAGATTCATGCAATGTTTGAAGCATCGTGGAATATCGCGCGACGATCTGCCTTTCAAGTCCAAATTCATGCCCTGGGGCGCATACTACGCTGCCTTTTGGGTCGCAGTCGTCATTTTCGTTCAAGGTTTCCAAGCCTTTTCGCCAACAACCACTGCTGCTAAGTTCTTCACCAGCTACATTTCTCTAATCTTGCTGGTGGTGACCTTTATTGGTGCCCAGATCTTTTACAGATGCCGATTTTTGACCCGCGTCGAAGACATTGACATCGATTCTGACAGAAGAGAAATTGACGCTCTGATATGGGAAGAGGAGGAACCTACGACGCTATGGGGTAAGTTCTGGACCGCTGTAGCCTGAAGTGTAGTCGTCAAGAAAATAACAACTTGTCTCTCTACCTGGAACTCTGCATTTAATACAACGAATAGAAGTCGTCGCATCAGAATGGCGAGCTGGATACACAAATAGATTATAGATAAACTAATACAACATTACACGATCAAATCAGTACAACGTATATACTGCACACCATCTCATCTGTTAGAAGAGACATTCATTCTATGAAGAGTCTCTAGTTCATACTGACATCTAGGTGATTCCTAAATCTCTTAAATTCTCTTGAATCTTCGTTCATAAGTACATCACCAATTTCTTATTTAGTTGGATATATTAACATATATCCTGTCAAGATGTGTTCAGAACAGTCATATTTTGGCACACCCCATCAACCCATTTTGAGCCCACTTTTCAAAGCTTTGTGGCGAGTTTTACACTGCTCAATTGATTCTGGGCGGCTGTTTTTGTCTTTCGAGTTTTTGGAGGTAACGATAATTTCTCGGTTTGGTGGGCTCTAGTTTTGATCTAACTTAGAGAGCAACCGTCGCACTAAGTAAAAGATCTTATTGAAGTACCGCGGAAAGCTCTTGTTTCAAAATAATGGCAGAAAATTCGCCAATTGTTCAAGACGCGGAGGACGATACTGCAGGTGTACCCGGTAATAATCAATTGCTACTAAAATTCATCAATTCCGCCCATTTTACGCTGTATACGAACATTGAGTACTTGACCCGATATTCACAAAACATTGGCATTTACTTCTACTTGTGTCAAAAACTGCTAACTTTTCCACACAATGAGCTTCAATTTTACATACCCCAACTGGTGCAAGTTCTTCTTACTGTGGAAACAGAGTCAATTGCTCTGGAAGAACTTCTGCTCAAACTGAGCGGGGAAAACCCACATTTTGCGCTTTTGACGTTCTGGCAATTGCAGGCTCTATTGGGCGATTTATCCCTAGATCCATCGAGCTACGGGTTTCAGGTAGCTCGTAGGACCATCAACAGTTTACAAAACGTTCTCTTTAATCCTTCCAAGGCTGCATCAGAAAATGAAAAAATGAACGAAAATATTGCGCCAGCACTTATAGCTTGCTCCCTGGTAATGGGATCTTGCGCCCTTCCGACAGTGCTCGAAGCGACTAAACCGTTGATACAGTCCCAAGGAAAACGTCAAAAAAGCTATGTTTTCAAACTGGCAAAGAACGCTATGAAAAACCTAACGAAAAATCTGACAATAAAAAACACTTTAACGAATCAGAGGCGAACTCAATCCAACGGATCGCTGGAACCATCGTCGCCCATTGAATTGGTCGACGGTGGAACAACTAGGGAAGATACGTTGTTCAAGAAACCTAGACAAAAGTCCATTACATCCTTGAACTTTGACATAATAGACGACGTGGGCGAAAAAATGTTCCAGGACCGCATATCGAACACTATCAAGCAGCCTAAACGGAAATCAAGAGTTATTGACCACTCATATGTTCACAGAGTTTATCGAGAATCGAAGCAACTTGGTGGTGCAGATTCGTTGTATGAAGAGGATTTCACGAACTCATTACCAGATCTGCATAAAGAGGTGGCGAAGAATGATATTGGAGACCCGCTTCAATCTTCGAGGTCTCAAGACGAAATTGACAATTCGGATGAAATCAAAAGTATCAATTCGAACCCTGCGGGTTTAGCATCCTCCTCCCACTATTCTAAAGACAGCGATATTAAAAGAAGGTTGGATAGTGATTCAAATGGTGTCAAGGTGGACTTGTTGCCGACCCCCAAGAAAATCAGGCTTTTGAAATCGAACTATTTCAGGTGTGAAACTCAACTAGCGATTGCTCTGGAATCGATTTCGCAAAGACTAGCACAGGTGCCCACGGAGGCCCGTTTAAGTGCCCTGCGTGCTGAACTGTTGCTTCTAAACAGGGACTTGCCTGCCGAAGTTGACATACCAGCCCTTCTTCCAGCCAATAAAAAGGGCAAACTCCACAAATTGGTCAATATCACAGCTAATGAGGCACAAGTTTTGAATTCTGCCGAAAAAGTGCCTTTTCTACTTCTTATAGAATATCTCAAGGACGAAATGGATTTTGATCCTACGACAGACGCTAATGAAAAAGTTCTAAGGAAAAATCGGACGGATAACAGCTTTATTTTTGATCTCGCTTATATTGCGAAGGATATGAATGCTCGAACCGCTGTTATCGATGCAAGTGGTGAGATCATAGAACCGGTTTCTAAGTTGCAGCCGCACTTCTATAGTGAAGACTCTTTGTCAAAAAAGTCTGAAGAAGTTGATCTTGGAGATATGTCTGTTGTGCGGCTAACGAACCGCGACGAGGTCGAAAGCTACAGGCGGGAACTGATGGTTCAATCGGCCACCAAAGTGCCAGTGATTCCTGACGACTCCACAAATAGAAATCCGGAATTACAATTCATCAATAATTGGGAAGACATCAGTACCAGCCTCGAAGGACTTGAGCTTGACGGGATTAAAGCATCTACTGCAGAGAATCTAGCTACACAAATGCGCATCTCCGCCGTGATGCTTGCACAGCTAGACAAATCTCCACACCAACTTCATGGTGCGACAAATCAAATTAGAGCAAAAATTATCGCGTCAATGCAAGAGGTACAGGATAGATTTGGCTTTCGTGATTTAGAGGCTATTCACGGCATGGCTGGAGAAAGGAAGCTAGAAAATGATATGAAAACAGGTGGTCTCCAGGGAACCAAAAAAGATACTTCTTATCTCGGCGAAGACTGGAATACAAAAAAAGAGAGGATACGGGCAACTTCCGAATACGGTCACTTGGAAAATTGGGATCTGTGCTCTGTTATCGCCAAATCGGGCGATGATTTAAGACAGGAAGCTTTTGCATGCCAATTGATTCAAGCTATGGCCAATATTTGGGCGAGGGAGAATGTCGACGTTTGGGCCAAAAAACTCAAAATCTTGATCACGAGTGCCAACACAGGTTTGGTGGAAACAATCACCAATGCCCTATCGATCCATAGTATAAAGAAATCACTGACGAGCAAAATGGTGGAGGATGGAGAGCTCAACGAGAAGGGCCAAATTGCAAGTTTGAAAGATCACTTTATCCGTGCATATGGTGATCCTTCAGGATTCAAATACAAGCGCGCGCGAGACAATTTCTGCTCGAGTTTAGCTGCTTATTCCGTGATTTGTTATCTTTTACAGGTTAAGGATCGTCATAACGGTAACATTATGGTGGATAACGAGGGCCATGTGATTCACATTGATTTCGGGTTCATGCTTTCCAACTCCCCAGGGTCTGTTGGATTCGAAGCTGCTCCTTTCAAACTAACGTACGAATACCTGGATTTGATGGACGGCATCGATTCCGAGTCCTACAAAAAGTTTGTCACCTTGACTAAGGAAGCTTTTCGCGCCTTACGGAAATATGTGGACCAGATAGTGTCCATGTGTGAGATCATGCAGAAAGAAAACATGCAGCCTTGCTTCAACGCCCGCGACCAAACTAGCGCGCAACTCAGGCAGCGTTTCCAACCAGGACTGAGCGATTCGGAATGCGACGACTTCGTCGAGAACGTCCTGGTTGGCAAATCGCTAGGTAGCATCTACACGAGACTATATGACCAGTTCCAGCTCGTTTCCCAAGGTATCTACTCGTAGAGCATTACCTGTTTTCGCCAAGCATTTGTTTTGAGAAAAAGCACCTTCGAAAACCAAAGAGGCTACAAAGCATGTAAAATTATCAGCAACATGATCGGCACAGCTCTAGGAACAACAAGCACTCTGCGCTTCGATCGACTTTTCTTAGTAACGTTATCGAAACTTTGAATCCAACTCAGAGACCATTATCGTCACTCACGTGACACCAGATATTTCCGCGCTTATGTAATAAAGTTATCATCTGGAAAGTCAAATCTGCTAAATTGAACATCGAAATTTACTGAGTAATAAGAATGATCTTCAAAGTTCACCTTTCTCCACTTGAATACCTCTTTAGCACGAAACGGAGAGGGTCTTTCGAGCCTTCAAGACTTGGAAACTATTCATCAAGCTTGGAGCACTTGTTTGCAACTTTTTTGAGTCTTTTTGGACAATTTTTCACCTATTTGATATTCACGAAGATACTGCCTTTAGAATAGTAGTAATTTCAAAGATTCTGGTATATTCAGGCTTTAGTCAATCTTAGAACCCCATTTTAAGTCTGAGCCCGTGGTTTCAGCTCAAAAACGATGCTTAAAGTGTCCAAAGGGCTCACCAATAGCTCCCGAATTTATGGGGCAACTGTACGCAATTTAAAACGTACACAGTCGTCGTTCGTTTCTTCAAAAAATGAACGCCGTGGCTCCTTCGAGCCAATGGTTCACGGACCAATCATGACCAACGCGGCCGGCCTGCGGCATGATTTCTCCCGGGACGAATTGCTGCTGCTGGAGCAAGGCATCAAGAAGTCAGACGAACTAGCTTCTCAGTTCACTAACTATCGTTACAAATTCAAGAAACTGCCGCCAGACTACGGTGCTAATCAACTCCTTACAATTGATCCAGAATTGCAAAAAAGTCTCTCCAGTGTCGTTTCGAATTTCCATGCACCTGTGAAGTATGCTTTTGGTTATGGGTCCGGGGTTTTTGAGCAATCTGGATACTCTAGCTCACAAGAGCGGCCACAAATTGATATGATATTTGGGGTGTCGCATCCTGATCATTTTCATTCCCTTAACATGAGACAAAACCCCCATCATTACTCGTCGTTACGTTATTTTGGATCAAAAGTTGTTTCTCGATTTCAAGAAGTTGGTGCTGGAGTGTACTTCAATCCCTTCGTTGAGATAAATGGGCAAGTAGTCAAATATGGCGTTGTGTCAATGGACACTCTTTTGAAAGACCTAGCAACATGGAACTCTTTCTATTTGGCGGGCAGGCTACAGAAACCTGTTAAGGTCTTAAAGAACGACTTATCGGTCCAGTATTGGAACCAGCTCAATCTCAAAGCCGCTGCAACATTGGCTAATCATCTCATAACAAAAAACAAAAAGAATGGTAATGATTCACTGGATGAATTCCAATTTTACAAACAGATAACTGCTTTGAGTTACGCGGGGGACGTGAGATATAATCTCGGGGGCGAGAATCCCAATAAGATCAATAATATTGTGGAGAAGAACTTTAGTCACTTTCAGGACTATTACAAACCAATCTACAAAGATGTTATAATGAACAATTCTCATTATTTGCCGCAAGGCTTCACACTTGAAAACTCCATAAAGCTTTTGGAAAAAAGAATATTTCGCACTAGTACTGTGCAGACTGTGAAAGGGATTTTCACAGCTGGGATCACCAAGTCGCTACGCTATGCATGGGCAAAAAGATTGAAAGCCATGAAACGGTCCAAGTGATCCTAAGGCTTTACAGTCCTACCGAGAGTCATTTTTTTTACATAGGTTTAATATAATATTACATTAAACGGTAGCAGGACTATCTATCTGCGCAGAGCAGCAAATCTGCTTTTCAATTCATCCAAGTCCGTATCATTCACATTTTCCTTGGTCGTCTTGACTCTAATGTCTTTTTTGATGCTCTGGGGAACTTTCAAGTCCACACCAATGTTGTCACTGTTCTTGCGAGGTTTTTGAACCGTTATGGGATGTTTGTTATCCGGTACAGAGCCACTATCCAAAGCCACGATGGGCCTGCCATCATCGGATCCAGAATCTTCAGCCGAAGGGGCACTTTCCTTTTCTGATGCATCTTCTAAAGCTGGCGACTCAATTTTACTATAGGGCACCTCGTAAGCTGCTGCAATTTCTCGTAGATACAGGACAACCAATTCCTCACCGGGAAGGTTAGGACTGCACTTTTTCAAAACCTTTTCAGGGACGCCAACCTTCTCTTCCACTATTGCTCGATAGAAATCTTGCCCAAATTTAAACGTCAACAGGTCTCTGACTTGCTGCAGCTCTTTAATCTCAGGTGCATGTAGAACAGCGTAAACAACAGCTCTAACGGCTTCATTTATGCCGTCTTCAACATGATTCTCAATCAAATCCGCCTCATCTGATACATTGTTGACCAGAGCTATTCTGGCATGCAGTAATTCGCAGTAAAGTTCCAATATATCCAATAGCTCTTCGTGTACGTCTTCATTGATCAAAGTTTCGATCCTGTAGTGCGCTTTCAACTCTTTTCCTTCGCTCAGCAGGAGGGCCACATCTCGACGAGATTTTTTGGCTAATGACTGCTGCTTCTCTTGCGCATACCTCAGCCTCTGTATGCACATTTTCAACCCTGTTTTGAGCTTAACCTGTTGTACAGCTGGGCATGCTAACTTACATCTTACTTGATGGACCTTGAAGGGAACACCAACAGTAAGATTGAAAATGCCCGGAAAGTTAGTCAAAAGAACTTCTTTGTGATGCTAAAGTTATACATTGAAACTTACAGCAAACGGCACTTGACTACTCATCGTTGCTTGTACTGAATCTGACGTTGATTCGTCTTCACTGTTGTCGGTATTCATTCAAAGGGTTTGTAAGATTTAATAGCGATGTCGACAGTTAAAGCAGAAGTGACACACAGTTTGGCTCCAAAGTGACAGTGACCGAGCGTGTTTACAATAGTTCTTCCTGGCATATCCGGATTTGTTATTATACAGATAGATACTGTTCCATCAAGCTATTTGCCAATTCTGTATTCCCACTTTCGCTGTATATCAAGACACAGTTATAGGCAGCGTGTCGTTTCAATTTTATGTCGTCGTAGTCGCCCAGTACCTTGTCGTAGTATCTAACAGCAATGGAAAATAAGCCAAGAAGGTGGAACGCACGGCCGATATTGTAGTCTGCTTCTTGCCTTTCGATTGCTGAGTACTTCGTGGACCTAATTTCATGATATCGATACAGGAAGCGAAAGCCATGCAGTATTTGGATATGTCGTGCTGCGGTAAGTCTCTGCATGGAGCGATGGAGATGTGCCAAGCCCATCATCAAATTAACCATCGGATCGAACTGGAGCTCAGGCTGCAAACGATTGAGATATTGCAGAGCAAGAAGAAACCCTTTGCTCGAATACAGTAACATGGCATAGATGTAGTGCAAGTATGGAGATTTGCGTTTGTCCGGATTATCGACTTTTTTATTGGTAACAGACGCCTGTCCGGCAACGGGTTGTTCATATCGTATGCTGTCAAAGGCTTTCAGCTGTCGCAGAAAGAATTTTTGTTGCACGGTGGAACTCAGTATGTTGGAGCCCATTCGACCATGCGCCACGCAAAACATGAAGTTTTGTAACACTTTGCGATTAAACTGGAATTGATTCAAAACACTGCGCAAACTTTCCACCAATTCTTCTTCGTCCCCCATTTGCAATACTATGGCCAGTCTAACAAATTTCATCATTTTCGCTCTCGAAGGATCTTGAACGAAAACATTTACCTCCTGTGCTGTTTCGATGATACTGAGTCCATCCATCGCACTTTGCAACTTTGAAATCACAAGCGATAGTTTCATGAATAATTCAAACCATTGTTGATAAGTGAGTCCTCGCAATTCGGTAGAAGAAGTCAGGAATACACGCTCCTCCAAAAGTGGTAGCCCGTCCAAAAGATTGTCTCCTTCGGAAAGCTTTGAAAGACGCTTGATCTTGTAATCAATAACCTTGTTAAATTTGCGAGTCCTCTTGATAATCCCAACGAATTTTTTAGAGCGGCTTTTGACAAAAAAATTCTTTACGCTCGAGAAGACATCGATAAGGTCCGACGCTGTATCAATCCATAGCGTAGTTTGGTATTCATTGCCTTTTTCCATACCCTCTTGATATATCTTGAGTTGGTTATACTTGTCCAAAACTTTTGTCGTGATACGCTTCTCGCGGTCTCGTCTCTCACGCTCTGTATCCTGTGGTGTTCTTTTTTTCTTTGTAGCAGGTTTCTTTATGTGAAGGTCCTCCAAAAGAGGCTTTCCAGATGTTGTAGCTTCTTGAGTTGCATAATGCTGATCTGTCTCGTCTTCTACAGATGACAAAATCTTTTGAGCTTCTGTATCCTGTCTTTTCCTAGCCTCCAAGACTTCTAGCAAAAGGGCGTTGAAGGTATCCTGATCATCCAAATGGTAATGAATCTCAGCTAACGTCAACTTCGTCTCAAGATCATTAGGTTTCATTTCAACAAGCTTTTCAAAAATTAGCTTGGCGTTTTCATAATCCTCCACTTCCCTGTAGCACCTACTGAGGGGCTTATAGACCTCTATAGTATGAAAGTCATTGACGTGTAACAGGGGGGTGAAAAACTCAATAGCTTCAGGATACCTCTCAGCCTTCGTCAACGCACAAGCCACTTCTAAATAGAGATCTGTGATATCTACGAAACTTTCGTCGTAGAGCGCCTGGAAATGGTTGACTGCTTCCAGAACATTCTTGTTAAACAGCCTCAGAAGGCCAAGTCGTACTCTAATATCGATAGGAAGAATGTACGCCTTCTCCTTTTCAGCTTCTGGTAGGGATTCGAATTTGCTGTTTTTTAACCTTCTTTCGTCAAATTCAGAATCATCACTGACAGTATCCCAAAATGTTTGGTTTTCTCTTCCTTGAATCCATCTCGCGCACCTTTTAATGGTTTTTACACCAGAGTTTTCACCCAATTGTTTCAAAAACAGCTCTGCCAAGATGTTAAGTGACGACCAGTCAAAATCTATGCAGCGGTATTTTCTATTGATTTTCTTCCACTTGATGTTGGGATATCTTTTGAAATTTTCACTCTCCTGGTCAATCTCCAGATCTTCTTGATCGTCGTCACTATCATCGCTTTCTTCTGAAGATTCCACAGCGTCCTCTGAAGCAGCGATTACAGCTTTCCGTTTCTCCACGTTAGCGTCAAACACTTTCATATACAGGTTAATCGCTTCGTTGGTTCGATTGTAGTCCACGTAAAGAACTGCCAGCTCCCTCAAGTAGTTACCGTCGGTGGGAAACCGATTATGCATTCTCTGCAAGCCCTCAAGGGCTCTACCTAGCTGCCCTGTGTTTTTGTAAAGTACTGCCCTCCCGTACACACAGTCCCATTCTTCACTATTCATTCTAAGGGCCCTCGTGTAACAATAGATAGCTTGCCGAACATGGCCTAAGTCTGATGAGAGGGTGGCAACCACTTTCCAAAAACCCCAGTCTGACGGGTTTAAGTGTGCTGCAAGAAACCACGAGTTGCAACAGTCATTGAAACGACCCTGTAACTGGTAGATATCACCAAGAGTTTTGTATGCTGCAAAGTTCTTGGCATCTTTTTTGATGACCTGATTGTACAGCTGCTCAGCAACCAGAGTATCGTTTCTTACAAAGGCCTCGTTGGCTTCAGATAACAGTTGGGCCACTTCAGGGTCCAAACTTCTTTCCCTACGTGGTCTACCTGGCGCTTTTGCGCTACCTGAAGCCTTACTTTTTGCTTTATTCTTTCGCTTGACTTTGAAGTTATTTGCTTCTCTAATGGCATCCATAAAGTCCTGCTCGTCGTATTCGTCATCGGAGAATTCACCATAATCAGAAAACTCAGCAAGTAGATTTTCTTCCATGTTACCTTGAGCTTCTTCACCTTCAGAACTATGCGGACTGTAAGTCTTTTCGATATCTACAAGCTCGTCGTCGATCATCTCCTGATCAGAAAACTCCACCGGCTGCTCTTTGGCAGCATTGTTGGGAGCATCGATCAAATCTCGGAGCTGATCCAGGTTCCCGTAATATGTTTCCTCATCTTCAGCACTGTTGCCTTGTGTCTTCTCGGAACCTCGTTCAGACATGAATGGACTCAATCGCTACTTCCTTGCAGATGCTCCAATATCGCCAAACAAGATAGAAAAACGTAATTGCAGATCAGAAAAAGTATCGGCGCAGCTTTGTTTCAAAGACTGCAAAAAAGGCCTTGATTATCTTTGAAAGCACTAATTATCAGCAAATAGCGCCGAATATCACTTTCCAAAGCTCGGGGTCTTTTTTGAAGGTTGTTCTTTGTAAGTTAACGCTTCTAATCAAAACCCAAAAGTTCCCTATTTCTAACTTGAAATTAAAGGAAAATGAGCTAAAAAACAACTCGTATATAGTGCTATCAACAGAAACGTGGTCTTAAGACGAGTGGCTATAAATATACAGAATTAAATACCATATTTCTAAACCTTAAGATTCATCTCTCATTATTCCATGAAACCTTGGATTACGATCAATTCTTAAATCTACCAGCGGCTGATTGTTGAAATCGTGAGCTTTAAAGACTTTACTTGAACTTCCAAGCTTGTCGCAACGGCGTTATGTTCTCTGGATTTGGCGGAATCGGAGGATTCCCTTCTGGATTTGTGAATGTTCCTCAGAAATTTGAAGATTATTTCAGATGCTACCCAATTGCAATGATGAATGACCGGATTCGCAAAGATGATGCGAATTTTGGGGGCAAAATATTCTTACCACCTAGTGCGCTGAACAAATTGACCATGCTCAACGTTCGATACCCTATGCTGTTCGAGTTGACGGCCCCAGATTCTCAAAAAAAGACACACGGGGGTGTTTTGGAGTTTACAGCAGAAGAAGGCCGTGTGTACCTGCCACAATGGATGATGGAGTCCCTGAACGTAAACCCCGGGTCCTTGCTTCAAATAGGCTCCACAGATTTGCCCTTGGGTCAGTTTGCTAAAATAGAACCACAATCCGTTGATTTTCTCGACATCTCAGATCCCAAAGCGGTGCTGGAAAATGTGCTTAGGAAATTTTCCACGCTCAGTGAGGACGATATTATCGAAATCAACTACAACAATCACATCTACCGTATCAAAGTCCTGGAAGTCAAACCCGAATCTAACGCTAAAAGCATATGTGTGATTGAAACCGACTTGGTGACCGATTTTGCTCCACCGGTTGGCTATGTAGAACCAGACTACAAAGCCCTCAAAACACAGACACCTAAGGTTGATCCCTCCGCAAGAGGAATGGGACCCATGTCCAAGCGAATAGATTACGCGGCTGCAGTGAACGCGAGCCAGCAAAATAAATCTGCTTTTGGTGGCCAAGGCCAGAGCCTAAAAGGTCAAACGAAGGACAGAAACAAAGGCAGAGAAGATGATCCTGACTTACGAGATATAAAGATTGATTTGAATGGCCCACCTGCCCCGTTAAATGTTCCGGACGGTGTTCTATTTTTTGGATTTCCTATTATTCCAAAAAGCGACGACCAGGAGCAACAAGCTGCTGAAGGAGACTCTAAGATACACTTTGCCGGCGCAGGCCAAAGCATAAGGCAAAGTAACAATAAGCGTCGTAGCACCAGAGATTATGTTAGTCCTAAGGTCAAGGCGCCAAAGAGTCCCGAGGTAATAGAAATAGATTAAGTATTAATTAAAAGTATTTGGAGATGGGAGGAAACGCAAAAGACTTTGTGCTTTGGATTGCACTTCTGATGCTTGATTTCAGATCACTCAACTTCTTCTGTTCAAGATCACTTTCTTCAGGGCCAAAGGCAACTCTTCATCAGAATCAGAGTCAATTTCAGCGTATTTCGCCATTTCATTACCGCCCAAAGTTCTTGTTTTTGACAGCAAGTGAAAGTTGGGACCTGTGTCCCCTTTAGATGCAATAGAGAAAAATCTTCTCCGAAATTTGGACGGCAAAGATGGCACTTCGCTCTTGTGCGACGCAATACTGGCCAAATCAACCTGATCGGGATCGCCGCTCGAGTTGGTAGATTTTGCGTCCATGGCGATTGGTTGATGCTCTTCGAAGTCTGCCGCCCTTTCAAGCTCATCGTCCGAGCCCACTGATGTGACCGAGTTGTTATCTCCGACGTGCTCAGTTTTCAGCGCCCGCTTAGAATCCTTTTTTTGAGCGCCCCTGGATTGCTCAATGAACTCATCAAAATTTACAGCGGCCTCGGCAGCCCAATCTGCGTAAAGGGGCCTAGATAAAAACCCATATTTGAACTCGTTTACGCCAACAATTATTTTGGTCAATTGTAATAGCTCTTCCACGTATTCAATCACCTCTTCAGAAGCAGCGCTTGTAGCATTCCAGCTCAGAAATTTTTCTTTCATGATGTATTGGTGTGGTGGTAATGACATTCTTCTTTTGGAAGGCATTTTGACAACTAGTGCATCTTCGCTGTCGAGATCGTTTTGACTGCTCCTGAAAGGATCAATCATTGTTCTCGGTTTCAAACTGCTCATTTGAGAAGAGTATCTTGTTTTCAGCGTGCTTTGCACTTTGTTAACAAGCCGTCTGTGAGCAATTCTTGCGCTCGGTAGGAACTGGGGCAATGGTGTCTTGTTACGCACTGCTTCTTGTACAGCTCTCATCAAACATGTAATTGAGGCCACATATTGTCGCCGGTAAGGATAGACCATACTATTCAGTTCATCAACAACGGCACTCCCGTACTGCTTTCGCAAAAGTATGATATTATCCATGCGATCAATGATCTGTCTTTCGATGTATATCATTTGAGTGAAGACTTTTTCAACTTCAGTGTATTCGCCTCTAAGTATGGGCTCTTGGCGTGTCAAACCGTTATATGAGGTAGCCCTGCCAAGCGCTGATTTAGCGCTGGCTGAAATTTTAGCCAGCCGCTGATATCTTTCTTCTGGCAAAGTCGATTTCAATGTTTCCCCTTCAAGACCGGCTGCTAAGAGAATCTGCATCTCCGATATGCATCCTGCGACAAAAGAAATTTCACCATTCAGCTGCTCCCTGGCTGTCACTGGAAACATTGTGACCTGTACTAAAACTGCTATCCCGCCACCGTATCCCACCGCTAGGCATCTCTTTGCAAAATTAGAAAGAATCGAACCCTGGTTCTCAGACGGAATAATCGCAGCTAGCATCACCACGTATATGCTAATAATTTGAATGATAGCTGCCTTGACGTAGGGAGTTCCTAAAAAGTAATAGAAGCCAGGAACGGCCCCGAAAATTGTTATGATCACTTCGAGATAAGGATTGGTCTGATTGCAGCCAGCTAGATATGAGACGTAAGCCCAAGCTGCGCCTAGAATTACTCCTACTCCTCTGAGAAAGAAAACCCAAAAAGTGCCGCCCACTGACGGCTCCATCGCCAAGATAGCGACGAAACCAAACCAAGTTCCTCGCATTTTATCGTACCAATCCCTGGTCTTTGGTATAAACATAGGAAACGAGGTAAGCATCAAAGCAATAGTGACTTGAAGCCCAAATCTGAAGTGGTCCTGATACTTTGAGTAAAAATCGTGACAGAAAATCAATACCGCGGTGAGCACCGGCCTCATAACAACTGACTTCGAATCACCAAGAAGCACAGAAGGTTCTGAAGTTCCGTCTGATCCGCCTTGGTCTCTATTGGTGGTGGGCAAACTAAGCTCTTTCTTCGCAATGTCAACAATATCAGTTTTTCGCTGAGCCAAAAGAGCCTGTTCTTCACCCACAGGTCGTTTGATCCCCATGTCAGCAGGTGGCCTGTAATTATCAGCAATAGCTCCACCGGTCAAACTTTGTGACTCTGTAACGTTGCTGCTAGTTGCACCGGTAATCCACGTCTTGAAAGTTTTGTAATTGCTCAAAAAGTTCACCCATAAGGTTTTACCCCTCAAAGGACCTTTTGCTTCTTTTGATTTTCTGCGTTGGTAAATTACATGAGCTTCCTTTATCATAGTGGTCACCGAATGAGTGGTTTCTTTGAAATTCAGCAGAAAAGAGGAAAACAGAAACATTTCATCATTAGGCTCAAGAAGGCTTTCATCTAAGTGAATCAGTTCTTCGCGCGCTTGCAGATCAAAATCGATCAGCGCATCAACTAGAGTTTGGATCATGGCACCGATATCAAGCTGCTCCAAATAATCTTTGCTCAAATCGGAATTATCAGCTTGCTGGGGAAAGATCGTAGCACCTTGGACTTTTTCGAGCTTTACGTCATAAGAATACGCCAGCATTGCTTTGATCAAGAATAAAGACTGACTTAACGTCTTATGAAGGCCGAAGATAGGCTCTTTCATCCGTCTCAGAACTTCAAACAGCTTTTTAGCGTCCGCGTATTGGATTTCCCTGTCCAACTTAATATCCATTGGCTCCATGTCCTCATTTGTGCGACGACCCACCAATAAAAACTCCAATTGGCAGGCGTTAATGAGAGCGTTGATGTACTTCGACAAGTTTGAAAAGGACTGTATGACTGGCTTCAAGTCAGAGGGAGACACGTAAGAGTAAGAAACCTCATAAATGCACTCTTGTAAAACTAACGTGCAACTGGAGATCTTGGCGTCAATGGACTTTTTCAAATTTAGGAGCTTTGCAAGCGATATAGGTTGCTCCGAGTACAGCGATTTGCTTGCATCCTGAACGTCGATGGAAATGAAAAAATTCAGCGCTGAGTCGACCGATTTGTGAATTTCATTCAGTGCGTCCACCGTACTATTACCGAGATAAGTGCTTCCAAATTCGGGGAAGAGCACCAAATTCCAAAAAATGGCCATTGCTATTCCCAAATAAAAGGGCACACTAAAGGCTTCGGCTATTGTGCCTGCTGTTTGATCAAGTGAGGCCATGAAAGCGAAATGAACCACCAGAAACAATGGGAATACAATGCCAAAGTAATGATGCGATACGGACCTCATCCAACCGTGGAAGAAAAGCATAATGACCTCAAACACAGCCAGAACCGCCAATGCTGCTTCATACCGCATGTAGCTATGAGTATAGTGCTCCGATTCTTTCACAGAGTGCCAAGTGGAGCCAAGACATTTTTGGGCGAGAACTCGACCAAATAGAGCATAAGCCAGACCCACCAGTAGTCCTGTAGTACAGTAGATTGCCCCCTGAATAGTTGCACTGACTCTGCGGCCTGGATGAACAATCACGGCTATTAAAGGCAGCATTGCTGGCTGGTTGCCTAAACGATTGCGGATTTGCGGTATCAGACAAAAAATGAGCGAGACAGTGGCATGGACAGTGGATTTGAAAATTCTTTGAGCAAGGACCCGACTCAGGGGAAACTGTTTCTTAGCAGCCTTCCATAATCTTTTCGTTGAATGTTTGTCCATTGCGTATTTACATGAAAGTCTTCGGGACAGCTTTCAGAAATTCTCGTAGTAATGGGCACTAGACCTTCTTCAATGAAGGAGCTGCTGCCTAAGCACTGATTCACGTCTGAGCTGGGTGGAGACGAGGTTTGTTTGCTGGGTGGTTGAACATTTCAGCTCAAATAGCAGATCTCGCCTTATTTCAAGGTTTTCATATCATCAGATGACGGACTTCTTTTCCGCGATTACTTAAGCGACAAATCACGTTATCGGACGTGATGGTTCGGCGATTGAAGCTTGTGCATGTCGAGCTATCCCGACAACAGCGTCTTCTCGAATTGAGTGGGCTTTGCAGCGAGCCAAGGCGACCTGTCACTTTTCCCGGTATAGTAAAAGCAAGGTAGCTGCCTGCAACTTTCCAAGCCAAAAAAACTTAGAGACAGCGCTTTAATGCCATATTTGTCTGCTCTTTCGGCTTGATGAGGCTATGTCTATAAGCCTGGGCCCCTTGATGGTGGCGCTACTGCTCGGGCACTTTCTTTGAAAGGATTGGATCAAACCTTTGGCAGGAAACACTTTGGTAGTATAAGTCGAATCGAAAGAAAAATTTACGATAAGCCTTTATGTTTGACTCAACCCTTTTGCGATGAGCGAGTTACATGCCCTTGGTTGTTTCCGCAGATCTCGCTGTGGATGCATCGTCCAGACGTAATAAAAAGGCGGACGACAAAAATAATGCTCGTTCCTGGCGCAGGTTGAGACTTTAAGACCTTCACCGTCTAAGACGTGCATCGTGAACATAGCTCTCACCAGAATAGCATACAAAGAGTTGCCTTTGGGTACAGTAGTTACCGTCAGGCTTCGATACCTCTTTAGATGCCAAAATTACGGAACGTGCCAGATGAGAGCAGACTCATCAGTTCCAGTGGCCATCGAAGCATACTGCAGATAGTCGGACTCGAGACAGAAAGTATACTTTGCCCATCTCACAACGGTGAATGCTACCCAATTTCAATGAACACAAGCACGGCACAGCTATGAAGCGTGATCTGTGGATAAGTGCTGCTTCAGATCATCCTCACTCACTCCCACATTCCCGCCGTGATCTAAAAACGCTTGAAACATTTGAGCTTTTCGCTTTGTGACACAACGCGCTAAGTCGTCCAAATAAGTATCATTGCTGTAAACGAACTCCAGCCTACCGTTGTGCAAAGTCTCTAATTGGGATTGCTCAATGTAAGTATCAAATGGCTCCTCGTAAATCAATTTGGACCTTGTTATAGGATCGACAAATGGTTGAAATATCTTGATGAAGTTCCAGCAGTACCATGGTATGTTGCTCAAGACAGCGCGGCCCAGGTTTCCGGGATAATGCTCTTGTATAATGTGCAAAACTTGTTTGCTTATGGAAATTGGAGGCATCCGCGCAAGCGGTGGAGTTAAATCATTATAGTTCTTGAAATCTAACAAAACCGTCAATGTATCAACTCCCGGAGGCATCATCACCTCGGCGCTTTCAATCATGTATATCAGATGTTGTATTTGCGCAAAGCTTGTCTGTGTATTTTGACGGCCGGTCTTGATGTGCAGAATTGGGCGTTGTTGACGGTCATAACCAAGTAGATACATTTTACCCGTTTTATTTTCCGTCTTGGCTACTTCTGCAAATGCCGAGATATCACACGCACCATCGCTGTTTTCGGAAAGGCCAAATTCTCGCCTCCAAGTGATGGTATTCTCTATCCTCTCGATTGTCTTCTTAGTATCCCAACTAGTTGATCGAAGATACCTCAGTATACGCTCTTTTGTTAACCAGCACTTTTCGTTCGAGGATAAAGATTTCTTGTTCACCGCATCAAGGTCGGCCTCCCCTTCATCACGACTTTGAGCTCTCGTTAAGATGAGATTCTCAGGGCTCTCAAAATGATGGACAATCAGACAGATGCAGTCCAATTGATGCGTGTCCAGTTGCTCCAAAGTCTGCGACTTTACATGGCGACTCGAAGGCCTCTTGATGACAGTGTTGCACTCTATTTTAGGGCTATTCGATGGCTCCTTTTTAGAATCATGACTTTTCTTCGTGAAAAACCCTTTCATCACTCAAACTGAGGAGAAGGAAAAAAGTTGCAGCTTTCAGCACCAAACACCAACAGTCTGCCTGTTCGTTTGATTGGAAGTATGGCAGAGTGGAGTTTATACCAACTGAAGTAGCGCTAACTTAGTTTGTTGATTTATCGTTAAGCACGAGAGCAGTGTGTTCGCTCGGCTTGGCTTCTTAGCCCATGCTCAATCCAGCTGAATGGCCTCGTTGGCAACTCTTTGCCTTATTTCGGGTGAGATATCAACCTGTCGATCAAAAGAGAACACGGAGGGATTGACTTTGGGAGAAATATCTTCCAAATAATTCCACAGGACACCTCGCGACTCCGACGGGTTCTGCTTGGCATACCATAGGTTTAGAATTCGTAACACATCTTCAATCTTCTCGAACACAACATATGAAACGATCGTGCTGTCGTTTTTGTAGTCGTTCCGCGAAGAGTAGTAAAGGTCGAAAATTGCTGCCTGGAACTCGCTGCTCGCTAAATCGCGAAGGTGGTCTTTACTTCGTAGGAGGCCAGTATTTGTAATTTCTAGACGGAGCGTACATATTTCCTGCAGTTTGTGTCTTGGCATGCTCGGATTCTTCTCGATATGGCGCCAGTCGCCGTATGGAATCTTAAAATGTTTCATTTTTCGCAGCGTTTGACCATACTTCTCGTAATCCGACAGATCAAGGCTCTGGTAAGGTTGAGAGACAGCAGCTTCCTCTCGCAAATGCAGCTTTTCTCTCTGCAATTGTATGTTTCTATCCACTTCCCGCTGTTTTATAAAATTTCCATTATACCACGAATCGTACGCCTTTCTCGTTGCGGAGTTCTCCAGAATTTCGACTGCTTCATTCAGAAGACGAAATTTAACAGCAGCATCCTGATCTGGGTTTTTATCGGGGTGATATCTTAACGCTTTTTGCCTAAATTTCCGCCGTATCTGAAGCGAGGTCACCTTGGATAAATCATCTGGCGTTACTATTTCAATGTCGAGAGTCTTGTAGAGGTCTACTCGCTGTTTCAAAGCGGCTTCGAGATCCATGGCATGCGCACTTTGATCCTGCCTGTTTGTATAAGCGTATCGCGCACAATTAGGAACATTTGGATAAATTGGTATTACATACTTTAACATATAGCGAAGCAGACGAGTGATGAAGAGGAGACCAAAGGTCACACAAGATAGCGTTCTTGGTATGGCTTTTCTGAAACGATATGCACAACTAGATGCTATATATTGATTTGCTTGACTTGTAGTATGGTCTTTCCTCAAGCATTTGTAGATGGTAATGCGAAGCCCATCATCCCATTAACCACATCAACACGCTTTGCCAAACAAAGCCGTACACGAACAAGAAGTAATTACACTTCTTGACAACGCTTTTCTTGACAGTATGGACCTCATCGCTGCCATCAACAAACAGGTTGAATTTGACGGATCTGAGCAGAAACACGCCGAAAGCTATTAGCAGATATATTTTGCCCAAAACAGATGCAAAGTATGGCTTCGAGGGCAAGAGCAACGCCAAAGTCAAGGGAACAAACTTGTAGCCGACGTAGCATGCCAGCTCGGTTATGCTGGTGGTTGGTGATTTTGCTGTCACTAGTAGAAAAAGACCCATTTTCAATATGAAGAGATCCATCAAGACTGAAGCTAGTGTCGTGGATAGCCTTTGGTACAAGTTGCCCGGGTCGAAAGAGCCCTGCAGACCCTGCTGAAAGTTCCAGCACAGAATGTAAGTGACAAGGCCCATAACGGGAATGTACATATCTGGTGAGTTCACATCAACGCGTGGTACTTGGAAGCTTGGACCCACGCTAGTTCCGTTCTGTGGGATCGGCAGTCGTTGCCAGTTACGGTGCAGGAAAGGCAATAAAATGATTTTCAGCTTGCGGAAGACATAGCTATTGGAGACCTGGAAATAGTGAGACAACGATGATGAGTTGCCAGTGGCTTTGCTGAAATTTTCTTGAATTTGGCTGAAGTTGTTCTGTCCTATGATGTTCGAGAAGGCTGACTGCCCCAATTGGTATGCGACTGAAGATCTAGGGTCTTGGAAGGGAAAAGCGGTATTTGGTCCATTTGCATGCTGCTGTTGTGGAGGTTTGCCAAAAATTTGCGGATTTGAGTGTTGTGCTGGAACGTCTCCTACATTGGGTTGCGAGCGATCGTTCAAATACATATTGCCCTCATCTTGCTGAGCGTACGCATAGGGATTGTAAGACATTGTGCAGCTTCCAAAGAGCTTCGACTTAGAATTGTCTGTGGTTGTGAGAACTGCTTGCCTTAGGTCAAGGCTACGGCTAAGACACACTTGAACCTACGATCAATAATATTCCAAAAAATCACTTTTTACTAGCGTGTCATCGAGTAAGCGATCTCGAAAAAGCATTACAAGACTACAAGCTGATTGTTGCAGGGGTAGTCGAATATAGCTACTCAATCAGATTTGATCGAGGTTTTGACAATTTTCCATTGGTGTGTGGTCAACGAAGGTTCACCACTGTGAAAAAGAGATGGTGCTCAATTCGCGTAAGGATTGTGTCCATGTTTGTGAGGCGATTAGCTCTGACTTGTCTAGAGAAGTGCTACAGACTCTACTCAAGAAACGTTTTGGCACCTAAACTACATTCAAATCGTTTTCGTTGTGGAAAATATTGATAATTGACAATGGTGGTTTACATCACTGACTTCTTCATTGTTCTTGTGCCTGAAAGTCTGCCAAGAAGAGATCAAATATTCTCATCCATTCGTCTCCCGTAATTAGCTCGAACAGATGCAGTGTTAACATCTCACTTGAGTGCTTTCTCTAAATATCATGGTGCATGTACTACTTTCATATAGCGTTTTTCTGCTAAGACCTTTATTTTAATTTAAAGTCATAGTTATATAACTAACATCCTAGGAGAAAGTATCCTATTGATGACGCATTAAGAAGGATCACGAGAGTCTCAACAACTCTGGTCTAAATGTGTCTGCTATAAGTCAAACGGATGATTCGTATGTTTTCGGTCCCAGCTTAAAGTTTTAGCAGCCCCGGTATGCAACAACGCCTGAAGACTAGATGACAACGGGAAGTTATTTAAAACTTTAAAGTATACATAACACGAAAAGGGACTACTTGATAGCACGATTAGAGCCTTTGGCGTGTTTCTCACACTTCGAAAAAGCCAAAGGAACCTTTCATTCGTGATCTGTTCACTTCTGCTAAACCATAACGACACTAAAAGTTAAAGTGATTGGACTGATAAATTAGTCACGTGACTGCTTGGAGAAAGTCGCGTCGCTAGCCTATGGATGACGTAAGCCAATCTCTCTTTTTTCGATACTATGGAATTAAATGAAGCTAGTGAGACGCGTTACCATAGAAGAGTTCAAGAAACCAAACGCAGTTCATTCGGTTGACCCAAAAGGCCATCACCCGTGCGTCCATCATGTCAGGTAGATACCAGGGGTCCAACACAGCGAAATATGTGAAAAACAAGAGTGATCAACGGTCCAGTAGTACGCAGCAAAGTATGGTAAACTCGACCGCACAGCAGCTCATCGAAACGCTCAAGAAGGACGAGATAGACACCATGATGGGATTCGAGCGGTACATGGCACCACAATTCAGCGGTAAAGCGAGCAGCTGGCAGTCGACCCCGGGGAGAGTAGGCTGGCTCGTCAACATGCATCCAGTAATGGTCTCAGAAGACTTTGCTGACTCAAGCACCGGCAAGAGCACATCTTCTTCTGGTTCGGGAATTTCTGGAGTGGATTTTTATTTTCTCGACGAAGAAGGCGGTGGGTTCAAGAGCACTCTTACTTTCGACCCCTACTTTCTAGTAGCATGCCGCGACGAGTCAAGAATCCACGATGTGGAGGAATTTCTCAAAAAACATCTGGAACACTGCCTCAAGAAAGTGGAACCTGTGGTAAAAAATGATCTGTCGTTGGGCAGTCCCCTTGCAGGCCTAAATAAGGTTTTACTCAAGCTAACGTTCTCCAATACTAGTAATCTGTTTGAGGCACGTCGAGTTTTGAGACCAATTATTTTGGACAATGAAACTAACCACCTCCAAAGGTCCGTGTACAACACTACATCGGGAATTGTGGAAGACACAAAAATGCTTATATCGGATATTCGTGAATATGACGTGCCATTCCATGTTCGTGTGGCAATTGACAATGATGTTCGTGTTGGCAAATGGTACAAGGTGACATCGCAGGGTTTCATTGAGATTGTTGAGAAAGTTGCCTTTGCAGATCCGGTAGTTCTAGCTTTTGACATTGAGACCACGAAAGCACCTTTAAAATTCCCCATTGCCACTGTGGATCAAATTATGATGATCTCATACATGATCGACGGAGAAGGGTACCTTATAACCAATCGAGAAATCATCTCTGAAGACATAGAAGACTTCGAGTACTCCCCGAAGCCGGAATATCCTGGGTATTTCACAATATTCAATGAAGCAGACGAGCTCGCGCTTCTTGAAAGATTTTTCGAGCACATCAGAGATGTGCGACCAACTGTCATTTCCACTTTCAATGGTGACTTTTTTGATTGGCCATTCGTAGAGACAAGAGCCAAGATTAATGGTCTCGATATGTTCCAGGAAATCGGGTTTGCTGCAGACTCTGAAGGTGAATATAAGTCAACGTATTGCGCTCATATGGACTGCTTTCGGTGGGTGAAGCGTGATTCTTACCTTCCACAAGGATCACAGGGTCTGAAGGCCGTTACGCAAGCAAAGCTGGGATATAATCCTATTGAGCTCGACCCGGAGTTGATGACACCTTACGCCTACGAAAAGCCGCAACTATTATCCGAATATTCGGTCTCCGATGCAGTCGCGACGTATTATTTATACATGAAATACGTGCACCCTTTCATTTTTTCGCTGTGCACAATCATTCCACTGAATCCCGACGAGGTTCTCCGCAAAGGTACGGGTACTCTTTGTGAAATGTTGTTGACAGTACAAGCATACAAAGGCGATATATTACTGCCGAATAAGCACACTGATCCAATTGAAAGATTTTACGATGGGCATTTACTGGAATCTGAAACTTATGTCGGGGGACATGTCGAATCATTAGAAGCAGGAGTATTCCGAAGTGATATTAAAAACGATTTCAAAGTTGATCCAACAATGATAGAAGACTTATTGAATGATCTACCACATGCTTTGAGGTTTTGCATAGAAGTGGAAAACAACTGCAACCTTGAGGATGTTAAAAATTACGCAGACGTAGAACTGCAAATAAAGAATAAGCTTCTGGATCTGAAGTTGAACACTGACAGAAATGAGCTGCCTCTAATTTACCACGTCGACGTTGCTTCGATGTATCCAAACATCATGATCACGAATCGTCTACAACCGGATAGTGTAAAAAGTGATCGCGACTGTGCGGGCTGCGATTTTAACCGCCCTGGTAAATCATGCGATCGGAAACTTCAGTGGGCGTGGAGAGGTGAGTTTTTTCCCTCAAGAATGGATGAATACAGTATGGTCAAGAGAGCTCTGCAAAATGAGGTTTTCCCGAACAAGAACAAAAAATCTTATAAAAAGCTTCTTGCTTTTGAAGAACTTTCGTACGGTGATCAAGTTGCTCACATTAAGAAGCGGTTGACTGAATACTCCAGAAAAGTTTACCATAGAGTGAAAACCTCAGAGGTCGTGGAAAGAACTGCTATTATCTGCCAACGAGAAAACCCTTTCTACGTGAACACTGTCAGATCCTTCAGAGACCGAAGGTATGAGTTCAAGGGATTGGCCAAGACCTGGAAACAGAAGCACTCGGCTATAGAAAAAGAACAAAAACACGAAAGAGATGAGGCAAAGAAAATGATCATTCTCTATGATTCATTGCAACTTGCACATAAAGTAATTCTGAATTCTTTCTACGGGTATGTGATGAGGAAGGGTTCAAGGTGGTACTCGATGGAAATGGCTGGAATTACGTGTCTCACTGGTGCAACGATCATTCAGATGGCGCGATCTGTGGTTGAAAAGATTGGAAGGCCACTTGAGTTGGATACAGACGGTATTTGGTGCATCCTGCCCGAGTCCTTTCCGGATAATTATCAGTTTGAATTGAAGAATGGTAAAAAACTGTTTCTTTCTTACGCATGTTCAATGCTCAATTATAAAGTCCATCAAAAGTTTACAAACCATCAGTACCAAACTTTGGAAGACCCTGTCAATCATCGTTACAAGACCCAAAGTGACAATTCTATTTTTTTCGAAGTGGATGGTCCTTATAAAGCCATGATTCTTCCAACCTCTAAAGAAGAAGGTAAAGGTATCAAAAAAAGGTACGCTGTTTTTAATCATGACGGTTCTCTTGCAGAGCTCAAAGGTTTTGAGCTTAAAAGAAGAGGGGAACTGCAACTAATCAAGAATTTCCAAAGTGACCTCTTCAAGGTCTTCTTGGATGGAAAATCTTTGGAGGGTTGCTACGCAGCCGTGGCGTTGGTGGCTAACAGGTGGCTTGATGTTCTGGATTCTAAGGGTGCAATGCTCGAAGACGAGGATCTTATAGATCTGATTTGCGAAAACAGAAGCATGTCTAAAACATTGAAAGAGTACGAGGGACAGAAATCCACCTCCATTACTACTGCGAAAAGACTCGGAGAGTTTCTTGGCGAAGAGATGGTAAAGGATAAGGGATTGCAGTGTAAGTACATTATCAGTTCCCGACCCGTCAACACCCCAGTCACAGAACGAGCGATACCTGTCGCAATCTTTTCTGCAGATCTAAGCTTAAAAAAAGTATTCTTGAGGAGGTGGCTGGCCGACTCTTCATTGGATAGTTTTGATCCGCGAACCATCATAGATTGGGAGTATTACAGGGAGAGACTGGCATCTGTGATACAAAAGATTATCACAATACCTGCAGCCTTGCAAAATGTGAAAAATCCTGTCCCTAGGGTTGAGCACCCTGAATGGCTCAGAAAGAGAATTGCAACAAAAGAAGACAAGTTCAAACAAATGTCGCTTAACAGCTTTTTCAAAAAATCCGATAAACCTCTTTTAGCGGATATTGAGGAAGCTTTCAGAGAGCAACCTCTAGGGCCAATACAGCGCAAGAACGCAAAGGTTACATCCAAGCGAAACTTGAAAAGAAAAACGACAGAGACGAGAGACGAAGAAGCGTCGCTGGTTCTTCCTTCAGTAGCACCCTTGATAACCGATGATTACGTTGCGTGGCTTTCATATCAAAAGATCAAATGGAAGATTCAAGAACGCGATCGTCAGCGAAGGACTCAACTCTTTGGTGACCGCACAAAGAGCAATCAAAGAACTTCATTGGGAAATATAATGAGAAAGCATGCTGAATCTTATGCCAACTCCACATGGGAAGTATTAGAGTACAGACCAACTTTGGAGCCAGGAGTATTGGACGTCTCGGTTCTTTTGAATGGAAAAGTTCATAGACTTAAGTTCATTATTCCCAAAAGTCTTTTCATCAACTTCAAATCCAATATCCTACAAGTTCGAGGAATTGAAAACGGTATCGTTGAAAAGTCTACAGCCACTTTGCCGAATGTCGGTATGTCAAACTTCGAAGAGCCTAGTCCACTATTCAAAGTAACTCTTTCTGAAGATGCCTATCAGGAAGAAATCGGTAAGCCAACGAGTCTTTTCAATCATGATCAGGTTTTGGGGATCTATGAATCTTCAGTTTCGTCTGTTGAGCGGGCCATTATGGAACTTGGCTCGGTCGTGGCATTTGACTCGAGCGTTATTGGCGCATTAGGAAAGGGTTTACAGAAGGGCTTTGATCCGAAGAACTTGCACCCGGAATCCTCAGAACGGTACTTGAGCAAGTTTTCGATGAGCACAGCATATTTACTTCATTTGACTACTAATCTGGGCTATGAGTTTTTCGTCCTTTTCAAAACTTGGAGTGCCGAAGCAGATATTTTTGTGCTCAAACCGTCTCTAAACGCTCAGGAGTTCACAGCCACCTCGTTGCTAGCTATTTTCAAGGATCTCCGCTCACAAAAGTCGGAAAAGTTCCAACGATTCCACAATCTTGTGGAAATCCCGGATGAAATTGATATCAAGATGCACTCAATGACAGATTTGAGAATACTCTATCGTAAGTTGTCCTCAGTCATAAACAAATTGAATGAAGAAAAAGGATCCCAGTTATTGATGCTCTTTCAATCACCTTACTGTCACAAGCTAAGACACATTATCAAGCCACTTCGCCAAATAGCAACTGTGGAGATGTCTTCAGCAGAAGCGAACTTCCCACAATTGAATTGGCAGGTTGCCGTTATGAAGCGAATTTCCAATCATATTTTGAGTCTCGGTTCATGGTTGCATAACTTAATATCCTTATCGAGGTACAGTAATATCCCGATCTGTAACATCAGGCTCGACAAGATGTCGTTTGTTATTGACGTCATGTATGCTAGAAGCCTAAAGAAAGAAAATATTGTTCTTTGGTGGAATGACACCAAACCGGTACCTGATCTAGGCGGTAAGGAGAAAGATTTTGATCCTCAGATGGCTTCCTTGATGAGCAACCTCGATCTCTTTGTTATCAACTCTCCTTCCATTTATGAGAGTGTCACTTTAGAATTTGAGTTGAATAACCTCACAATTAACACTGTTTTAACCTCTGCCGTGATCAACGAAGCCGAGGGTACTGATTTAATGGAGATAGATCATTCGAACTCGGACGGAACACGAGACACGATCAACAGGGCTTTTGTGGAGGACAGTTTTGCGGGGGCTGCATTGTCCGTGCTGCGAAATCTCCTGAAAAAGTTTTGGGATAGTGCGCTGGAAGAGAATGAAACTGCTGATTCTCTTGTGCACACCTTTATCCATTGGGTTCAATCCCCTGATTCAAAGCTATTTGATTACGCTCTAAAATATCATGTCCATAACCTCACCAAGAAGGCGATCCTGCAGCTCATAAACGTTTGCAAGAACTTGGGATCAGAAGTTGTGTACGCCGACCGTGGAAGCCTCATTCTGAAAACTAAAAAGACCACCGTAGAAAGCTGCTACGCATATAGCCAGTATCTCGTCAAAGCCATCAGAACTTCACCTCTATTTGGAGTCTTGGATTTGTCAATCCGCAGGTATTGGGACCTTCTCTTGTGGATTGATCCGTTCAATTTTGGAGGGAGGGCATGCATCGATATTACTGATAGCGAACGTCAGGACCTTAGGGCGTATTCAGAATGGCACATAAGACAATTTTTGCCCCGGATTTATCAACAAGAGTTTGATGACTGGATGATGGTCATCCTGGATAGCATGGTGAAGTCCAAAGAGGAATATTACGATGGCTTCAAAGAATCGCAGCGTCTGACTCAATTGTCTCGGGATAGCAAGGTACAGCAGAAGGACGACGAAGAGAACGGCGTGCTTTCAGGCTTTACAAATCGTTTTGGTGCTGCTCTTACAAAGCGTATGGAAAAGCTTTTGCGGACGCAAAAGGAATACATTCTGGATCCAAATTTTGTTTCTGACTATACTCCGTCAGAACATCCAGGATCGCATCTGAAGATAAGAAATCCTCTTTTAGAGCTGGTCAAATATCTGTGTCACATTATGCTTTTGTCTGAAGAGCAGACGCTCGAGGTCAGAGGACTGCGGAAGAACCTATTGAAAATCTTTGAAGTCCGCGAATTCGACTGGGAAGCCGAATTTAAGGATCCTAGCGCTTCACTCAAAGTCTGCAACTTGGCTTGTGAATATTGTGCCTTCATCACAGATCTGGACTTCTGTAAACAAGACGGTGATCGTCATCTAAAGTGCCAGCAATGCCATAAGCCTTTCAACCCGACGCTCCTCCAGGAATATCTGATTCAGACCCTTCAAATTGAACTTCAAGACTACTATGTGCAAGATCTCAGATGTGCCAAATGTAACAAGATTAAAGACGATCTAATGTCTGCCCATTGTCCATGCTCCGGGAGCTGGAAGAATTCTATTTCAGAGAGCGTTTTGACCGAAAAACTTGCAACATACAAGAAAGTTGCATACTTCTACAACTATGAATTGCTGAGTTCGGCAGTCAGCAACTTGAGGCCAGAAATCACAGTCTAGCGGTTTAGGTTGAAAGCCGGTGGATAACATTTCAATGAAAGTGGTGAGTGAGTCTCGTGGCAGACGATTCCTTCATCATTTCTCAAATAATGATCTCTGAGTTTAGACGTGGAATATTCACCAACAATCACGACACTTACATTGAAAAGCGCGCCAATTACTCATGGCATCAGCCACGCCTTCTGTGCTGTTTCGACAATATCAACTGGACTGTCTGTCAGCTTTGATTAACGAGACGCCAGAAATTTGTCCGCCCAATGTAATAATTCAAGGGCATCAAAGCTCAGGAAAAACGTTCACAGTACGAAAATTCTTCGAGGCGAATCCACATATCTGTAATTGCTGGCTCAATACGGTGGAATTGGTTACATGGAAACCTCTTTTACAGCACGTAGCACGGAGTGTGTCGAGCACATTGAGGTCGTTATTCCCCCAAATCAATTACGACTATCAAGATGCTCTAGAAGCAGAGGACTTTTATTTCTTGCTCAGGGTTCTAGAGACAGAACTTAGTCATTTCAAAGAACTGAAGCAGCCTATGAGCTTATATGTGGTCCTGGACGGATTCGATCAACTCAAAGAACTCGATCTAGAACTGCTTCCCAAATTTTTAAAACTGCATGAACAGCTGCCGCGAAATCTCAAAATTCAGCTTAAATTCATTTACATTGTCAGAGATGTTGCCTTTCTCAACAAGTACAGCACTTATCACATTCCCACAATCGTTTTCCCCCGATATAAGCATGAGGAAGTCGCGGAGATACTGCTCTGCAATAAGACAAAAGAATATATGGAAAGTAAAAATTTGCTTCTACAGGTTGTGAAATGTGGTCTTGACCCCGAGGACTCTATCTTTGAGCGAATTGCTGATAACTACATCAAGATGATAATTCAAGCATTTCATTCCTATACTGGTAACGACATTGTGGCATTGAACGACATCATGGATTCTAAATGGGATAGCTACGTGCAATCCATTACGAAGGACAACATTTACGAGCCATTGTCCCTATATCGATCGAACATTGAAATTTACACATCTACAGGAGACACATTCACCGAGTCAGAGGCGACGGGCTCTTTCGATGAGACAAAAAAAGAAGCAACTGCATATGAGCTTTCCGCGATCTCGAAATATTTACTTCTGGCTGCCTACCTGTGTTCTTATCTGGAGCCACGCTACGACAGCAAAATATTTTCTAAGAAATCTCACCTTAGGGCAGGTCGTTCGTCATACGGTCGCCGTAATAAGATGGAAACGAATCCTCGGTACCTTCAGCCGTCGCTCTTCCCGCTGGAGCGACTTTTTTCGATTTTCCAGGCCATTTTTCCCGTAAAGGATGGAGCACATGCTAAATCAGGCATTTTCTACCAAACTGAGTTGATGAGAGCTAATGTTGAAGTTTACGAGAACTTGGCAGAGCTCAATAGCTTGAAACTAATCACAACTGCTTCATCCAAAGGTGTTGATTATTTGAGTTATAAAATAAAATGGAAAATCAATGTACCCTGGGAGATCATTACTGAAATCAGCTCTTCAGTAAGTTTCGATATCGCAGAGTACTTCACAGGACTACATAATTAGATACATGTTCGTCAAATAGTCCAACATCCGCATAAATGTCTTTTTGATTTTTTGAATCAAAAAGCGATTTTTAGACATTCAGAAAGGCTGGGTTGACCACTTTCTTGACGACCTAAATTCAGAATAGACTACAACTTGGCTTCACTATGGATGAGAAGAGCCTTCCCATTCTTAAAACTAGCAAGACACCTCGTAATGAGATCGACAGCTTGGAGGAAATGGTTGAAGAAGGGTTTGTTAACAAAAGAAGAAAGGTCATCGAACTACAAGACATCAACGATTCTTTTCCCTCTGAAGACAATGGCATTGAAGACCAAGATGATGGACTTGCAACGGTCACCATAGAAGATAAAGAAGAAAGTAAAGATCAAGGTTACGAAGAAGACGATATGTTTGCCTCTGATGATGATCAACCACTTTCAACTGTGAAAAACGGACAAGACACGGCAAAATCTGAAGGACCACATCAAGAACCACCAGAAGGAGATGGAATCAAACTAGATGCTTTCAATTTGGAGGAAGAATCAAAAACTGGAGTGTTTGATCAATTCGGAAACTATACCGAGACGAAACCTAATGCTGAAGATGAGGTGCAAGACCAAGACCGATGGTATGACGACTATAAGGAAGATGAACAGCTACAAAAGGCCAAGAAATCTCAAGAGAAGATGGCAGAAGACGAAAACATCAGAAGAGAACAGTTCTCCAAAAACAAACGGCTATATACACTTGAAGAAAGTTTGAAGAGACTTTTATACTTCTTGGATGAAAATGAGACTGTGCTTACAACCTTGGGAAAGCTTAACGTGGTTCGAGAGCGTTACAAGAAAAGGAAAGCCAAAACGAAAACTAGCCAGAAAAAAATCGACGAAGACAGCGCATTGCATGAGAAGCTTTGTTTCCAGTATGTTGTGCATTCCATCAATTTCCTCACCGAACTCTTAGACATCGTCGGAAAGAAAGGAATACCAGATGTGAACGAACTCACAAGAATACGAGTGGCAGCTCTCATTGAGGAGGAGTCACTGGGCGACGAACCTATTAATGACTACGAAACCAAGCTGTGGAGCTTCAAATGGCTTCGGGACCTGGCAACCGTGAATGGTCCATTCACAAATTACGAAATGCAATCGTGGAAGAGCACGTACTTCCAGGATAACGTGGTAGTCAAATATGGTGATGACGATCCCAATGAGGCCAGAAACTGGATTCATATCAGTTGCGTTCATTTTATGTGACCATGCGGCGTTTACCACATATCAGCTTGCGGTTGTGAAGTGGCCTCTGTACCGGATTCTTCAACGAAGGCATTCAATTCACCGGCAACTATTCTGGACATTTTTTCGACGGCTTCGAATGTCAGTTTGTTGCCAGGTTCAGGTGCTAAATTTTTCCATTGCTTGCTGAGTGCCATAAGCAAAACTCTGAACTTGTTTTTAATCTTCACCAAGTTACGCTCGTATATTTGCACACTGGCCTCTTCGTTGTTGTGAGGAATCTCACTAATGAGCCCAAGCACAACGTCAATATTTTTGTCGATTGATGGGTTCAATTGCTGCGTTTTAAGAAGGTTACAACAACCCTGGATCAACCCTATCAGTGTAAATCGTTGGAATCCAACTTGAAGACCGTACTGTTTGCCCTCAATGAGATTATGGGCGAGGTTTTCATTTCGGCCTTCCTGATAGCCTTCTTGATAAAACTGCTCTTCCAGATTCAGCACATCGTCGAAACAGTCCATTGACGAGGGCGTCGAGAGGTGTTAGCAGCGGTGGATCGATTTTGTTGAGAAAGCGATGGATTTACAAGTTGTCAAGTAGGTGTGCTGATGGAAACTATGGAAATTTAATATCCGAGTACATTGATGATGACAGGTCCAAGTACTCGCGGACCGTTAATCACATGCCATTGAAGAGTACGTCAATTATTACATAAGCTCAAAGTACTCGCGGCGACAAATGTCCCAATTTACGAGAATATAGATAGCTATACACGGAGAAGCTTGATTGCTCGTTTCACACGAAGGATTTTTTCTAAACAATGCCAAAAGGGCCGTTTGGGTCTCCCATCTATTCGATGGTGAGTTGCATTTCACACTTGGCCTTTGAATATCAAGTGTTGGACTCTCTTTTACAAAGCTCCCGTGGCTTTTTCACAGCACTTGTGCATTTTTCACTTGTTTGCCCGTTTTTTTGATCTTCTCCAGCACGGTCTCTAGCGGAAGTACACTCACCACGTCGACGGTTTGCTTCTCTAGCGAGATGTCAATATTCGAAACGTCGGGTTCCAGTCTCGTCAAAACCCTGTTAATAGCGTTGGAACAACCCTCACACGTCATGACAACGTCAAAGTGGTAGTGTTTGGCAGTAGACATTTGAGATTGGTGTGAGAATGTGATGGGAAATAGGAATTGAGCTGGTTTCAAGGACCTATGGCGTAAGAACTGCTAAATGGTTTGATAGTTGAAGCAGTTCATCTCTCTATATATAATTACATTGTCAGCCAAATTAACGCACCCTTCTCTCTTTAGTCAGGTGATACTTGAAGAAAGACATCAGTCAGCGATTAAGTAAGCAGAGGTTGCATTAGAGAATTAGAGAGAAAAAAAATGAAACTCTGACGCTACCGGGGTTCGAATGGATGCCATTTATTCAAAATACTGGGAAGACGAAGACTTGGACCGAAAACTCTAACCTTTCGGTGTCGTCTTCGGGTTACCTATCTTCTTGTTGCTCCTGACGTATAGTTCGTATCTCATCGAGACATTCCCGTCTCAATCCGGTATCGGCAAACAGTAGCACTATCCATTGGACGATCTCATCAGTAGAGAACAAGTAGAAGTCACCGTTAGAAAACATATCCATAATGTCTGTAAGATGAGCAGTGAGTACATCACCGATCACTGCAAGTTTTTCGCGCGACTGTTTACACCGCTGGTCTTCTTGCAATGAGGGGTGCTTCGTGCTTGCAAGAAGCAGTTTGATCATTTCCTCAAGATTCTCGGAGTTTTTCTCCGATATCATACGCCAAGACATAAGTTGGGCGACAAAACAGTCTGCGTAGACATACTCCACAAAATCGCTCAAGACTCGCGGGTCATGCAATTTGAAGACGGTTGGAAGTGCCACGGTCTCCAGATATGGCAGCAAAGACTCAATAGTGATGCCCCAATTTGGTGCCTTCTCATTCGCTTGGAAGTTGCGAAACTGTTGTTGAATTAATGTTTGGACAGTTTTCTTCAGGTTGTCCACATGCGTTTGAACAAAATGCGCGTCGAGTTCTTTTAACCGGAAAATGACTCGTTGGTTTGGACATTTTGTAAGAATATACTCAATATCATGGTGAAGCTGCCACCAGTCCTTACATTTACAAACACACATTGCCATGAAAGATGTCAGCAGTAAATTTCTCTTGTAGTCCACAATCATTTCAATTTTCTCTCGTCCAATCTCGTCACATCCAGTTTCAAAGTCACTAAGAATTTGAAGACATAAAGCAGGTAGCTGAGTTATTTTTCTTTCACCAGTATCCTCTTCATCTGTGATCTCAGTCTCACCCCAGCTGCTCTGCCAATCGTCTTTTTCAACACTGTTTTTGGGCACTTTCGGTATCGAACTATCAAGTGGCTCATTATTATCGTCAACAGATAATTCGATTTCGTCACCCCATCCATCATTTTCTTCGTCATCATGGGTTTCAGGAAAATCGACCTCGTTTCCCCAATTCCATTCGTCTTCTGAGCTATCATCTGTGACTTTGGCGGGTTCTTCTCTTTTGACCTGAGCTGATCCTTGCACGGGGACTTTGACCACAGAGGTTTTTGACCAGCTTGAGGTGCTGAAAGTCTCTCTTATCCTCACAATTTCGGATTGCAACAGTTTATCCAGTTTGACATTGTTGATCACAGAGTCGTCATTTAGCATAGAATCCAGTTCTGTACCGTTGTATGACCAATCACCTTTTGTACTACTCGACAAATGCTTTAAATCATCATTGAGCCTCGAGAGCTGTTCCTTTTGCTCGCTGCCCGGCGAAAGCAGTAAAGTTGAATTTTGTTTGAAAAACTTAAGAACTTCAACGGCAAGTGTGTTACCCAAGCGCGACAAAATAATCTCTCTATCATCGCTGGTGAGCGTCCGTAAAAGAAATTGTACAACAACGGAGTATTTGCCCATTGTATCATCCAGGCTACATTTTTTGGTTGTAACCTCCAGTGTAGACCCATTTTTGTACACCAAAAACACGCTATCTGAAAATAAAATTCCCTTCAACCTTTCCTGTACCACCTCGAGTTCAATGTATTGTGTAAAGAGTGCTGAAAGTTGTCTTGTGATGGCCTCCTTGGTGTCAGTCATACTGAGCGATGATATAAACCAGTTTGTAGGTTCGAACCTGCCGTTTGGAAAGAAGCAAGTTTTCAGAAACTGAGAAAAGTAGCTATATTGATATTCAACCTTATCCGTGCCAATTGCCGTAGATGGCACGAACGTTATGTGACAGTCGTCGACCTTCCAAAAGTGGTGCATGACATCGTCACAGCGGGTGACCAAATGAGCATGCATTTCGTCTAAGTGCAATTTCAAGTCTTGTTCAAACCGCACCGGCAGCCTTTGGAAATCAATTGTAGTAGCTTTCTTGCGTATGTTTTGCAATGAATAGAAACAGTTTTCTAGTTCACACAACTGAAGATTCATTTTGGCTTCTTCCAGCAAATCTGATACTAAGCCGAGCTCGCGGCACACCACAAGCTGATCACTTAGAAGCGTATCTTGTGCTAAAAGGGCCTGAACATCAGTTGATTTTTCTTTTCCGCTTGTTGCATCTGAAAGTCGAAGCTTAGGATCACATTCAATGGTGGCCGAAATGCTATCTGGATCCGAGAAAATGCCATCCAGTTTTTCAGCTATATCGCGAATCTCACCGTTCAGTGACGAAATGCTCAATTGAGTCATTGAAGCAAGGTTGTAGCGCCTTATACTGCTCGCCCCAGCTGTGCAATCTTACCACCGATGAGTTGAGATGAGATGAGATGAGATAGGTTTTTGATTTTGAAGGAGGAACTATTCTTAGTACAAAGTGATATATTACTGAATTGAACAAAATATCTACAACAATACGCAAGATATTTCCTAGTATCAAAGACTCTTTGATTCTGGTGAGCTACGATTCCAGTCATATTTCTGTATCTAAGGTCAGTTAATTGATGAATGTTGGATAGGAAATGTTATCTATCATAATTGATCTGAGTGAGCTGAGTAGGTTATCATCATAATAGATACAGAAAATAGTGAAAGAGTAGAAATCAAGAGGTTGAACATTGAAAGAGAGATGTAAAGAGAGCTTTCTGTAATGAAATCATGGATCCGGTATCCTTACCGTGTACTGATTTACCAGAGGCTCAGGGCCTGGATGCCCTTTGAACAAGATGGCTTGGTTGATGGGGAATGGTTTATTTTATCCGATGAGAAGAGATGTACTGAGATAACTAAAGGCAGTAAAAAACTTTTGATTTATATAGTTTTAATAAAGTCCGGGTAATACGCATAGTACAAGTGATCATAAGGGCACAAGCTTGTAATCGTAAAGGTGGTAAACGCATTCATAGCAGATCTTGAACACTTTTGTATTCTTGCTGGCACCTTCTACAGTGACTTTGAAGCTCTGTATCGTTGGTCCACATGTCGGGCATGTCAAACTCGACTGTCCTACAATTTTGGATTTCTTGAGACAAAAACGACAAATAGTCGCCATGTACCATCTCTTTCTCCATGGCGTTGAGAATTTTGAGCTCCACAAGGAGCTCATTGCGCTTCAAACCGATCTCGTGGCGCGTAGCACGATACTTGCTTTCCACGTCGTGATCGGATGACATAAATCTCTCAAAACACTCGCCGTTCCCACCAACGAGCGCTCCAGAAAGTAGATCCAAGTCTTCCAAAAAGACAGCACGCTGCATAACTTGTCGACCCTTGTCAAAATAGCTCATGAAAATGTTTTCCGCGCGCTTGACGGACCAATATGACCATGAAGACCTGCCTGCTAAAAACATATTGGCCCCTACCGACAAAAGAAGTCCCAGCACCAGTAGTCTATTCAAGGCAACAACGTTAGTTATAACCCTGTAAAAAAGCTGAAAAAACATCCGTGTGATGGCGAAAATCGCGTTTACCGTGTAAAATAAAATGCACTTCATTGCAAACCGTAGTAATGATGTCCGCGAATACTTGTTTATCGTATTGTCGCTGAACCCACTGAATTGTTCAACGTCATTTACGAGGGCTAGTTGGCCGCAAAGTCGCACCGCCTTTAAAACACGGCCATGCTTTCCAGTCTTATCGAAGTACTGCTGTACAGCATTGCGCAAAGAGATAGATTCATAACGCATAAAGTGCAGACAAATACTTTTTGCGCACCTATCGAAAGTATTGAGCCTCTTTGTTCGAGTATCACCTGCCTCATTATAGAAGTTGACCTCATAATAGAGGAATAACGAGGAGGATCCACCATTTTTATCGCTAGCATTGAATTTGGTCGCCTTGGCATCTGATCTGGTGATCACAATGATCTTAGATCGCACATTGAATGGCTTGGCAAGCGGAAGCTTGAGCTTTCCTGTCTCTTGCTCAATCTCGTAGTACACGTTGTCCTTGGCAACTTTAATGCACTGAATTACGTTCAAAAACGCAGACTCCCTACCATCACCTGGAAAAAAAAAGCCTTGAGTGGGGTCAATTTTAAAGTGCACTTTTCTTACTGCCTCAGTAAGATCTCCTCTTTTCTTTGTGTGCCACATCGATACAGTATTATCTGATCCCGTCTTATGGGCTAATAGGTAGGCTCGCGGAAAGACGTTTGATTTGTTTCCAAATAAAACATGCATCAAACCCTTAGGAGGAATATTGAAGTCCGTTTTAAAGGCGGCGCTGAACTCGGCTCCAAAACTCTCTTGTCGGTTTTTGAGAGCTTGAAAAGATTCATTCACGCCCATAAAAAGGGTGTCAAAACGATTTGTCGACTGTGTGAGCGTTATTTGATCGTTCTTGGCACTCTGTTCTTTCCGTAATTCGAATTCCCTTTCTATCCTCGAAAAAAGTACTAAAATTTCCTCTTCGCCCTTAGCATCCTCGGTTGCCCCGTTTTGAATCAAAGCTCGAATTTTGGTCGCAATTAGTTCAGGATCATCAAAGTAAACCGTGCAAGATACAGTAAGCTCGTTTACATCATATAGTTTCAAGACAGCACCACTACTATCGTCTGACCTTTTCGTCTCTTCGACAGCCACTAAATCCTCAAGATTTCTGTTCAAGAGGCATATAAATCCCATAGAGTTCATATAGAAATAAGTGTTCCTCATTGTCACGTAACACATTCCTGAAAATCCCTGCTTTGTGTTCGGAGACCACGAACAGGAAAAAGATAAAAGGAGAAGTTCATTGAACTTTTCCTCGTTTCTTTGAGCAGCAGTGGAAAAGAATAAACTCTTAAATTGAAGATCTTTATTTCGCATGTCCTTTGAATAAAACTCGGGGTATGTGATAGGACTCCATATTGGCGACGTTGTGTCTTTGACAGGGCAAAGAATTCTTGTACCAGACTTGAACTCATGGTGAGATGGCTTACCTGGTTTCACGTTGTAACAAAAACCACTCCAATTGACACTTCCCCAGTAGTTTGCCATGATAGCGTTTGGCACTCCATCATTGACGAGAAAGAAACTTGAAATGATACTGAGCTTTGTGAGCTTTGTGATAATCGGAGTTTTCAGCAACGGTGTCTGAAATGCAGAATCTTCTGGAAATATTATACTACCGGTTTCTGAAAAAGCCGCTTGCATCAACTGTAAAATTGATTTTCCATAGTGTCCATCAGGATCAAATGAGGTTAGTTGTTGATCAGTCTGGCTTGCTGAACTGCATGCAAATTCGTAGAAAATTGGCGGAATTCTGGAGAACGAGAGCTCGTATTCTGGATCGCCTTTATCAAGTAGAAGAACGTGCTTTTTGGCTTCCTCGAACACGCTGAGCCAAGACCTTAGATCCGCCAAGGTTTCCGCTTGGAAAGAAAGAGACATGCGCTCCGCGGTATTGTTTCTAGCACCTGTTCCTGGCTCAGCGCCTGCTATCTGTGCTTCAAAGCAAAACTTTCGCTCTTCGTTGGGGTCATAACGAACATTCATCAGAAGAACACCAAATTTATCAGTTTCCTCAACCGCTGTGAGAGCCGGTGATAACAAAAAGATACCAAAAACGGAGTCTTTTACAAAGCACCATCTCCTCACCCATGCGGTTCGTGCTGGTTTGCCGACTGTTGTTTTCATGAATAGCCATCCGGATCTTTCCCGAGGCAACTGAGCCCCTGACTCCGGCCCCAGCTTCAAAGTGGCTTGATTGATGCTCCTAATGTTGTAATCATTAATCTCTCTAGATGGCTGGAGTTGCTTTATGGTGAAAGCCTGAACCTGTTCCTTGGCTCTCTTCATATCTTCTGCTAAGGAAGAATTGTTTTTCTTCATTTCTTCATGCCATTTCCGGTGCTTTGAAAACATTTCCACCAAGTCTTCGCCGTCTTGTGAGCTCATAATCGCATTTTTCAACGATCCCCGTCTTAGTAAAGTAGTTACGACCTCGTTCATGGTCTTGTCTAAGGATTCTTGAGTTTCAGCAATTTCCCATGCAAGATCAAGGCAGGCACCTAGGTAGCTTTTGCGCACTTCAAACAGCTGAAATGCATCTTCACGCATACTGGAAGGCTCAACGTTAGGGCCATTGACCTTTGTGCTTTGATATTTTGCCAGAAGGGTGTCATGTTTTGACTGATAGAAATCGAAATTCCTTCTTTTTTCTTTATAGGGCTCTATGATCTCCGTCACTATCTTTACCAGGCTTGCCAAAAATGATTCAGGATCACCTCTCAGTAGCAGTAAAAGTCGTCCCGAAAGGTTGCAGAGATCACTGTGGAAGGCACCCAGGATGGCAGGCGTGTAAACTTGATTTTCCACGACGCCATTGTGCAGGTAATCTGCTGGCGGCAGAGACTGTGCGAAAAATGTGTCACTGAGCTGCTTAAAGTCATCCAATGAAGGCAAAAACTTGAGCTTGTAAAACCTTGATACATTTTCAATCCAGCTCTCGAATGACTCAATCTGTACTTGATAGAAGTTTGCGCTGGCTCTAAAAGATGGAGAGTCCATGGATGCTTCTTTAAAGTACACTGACATCAGTTTAAGCAGCCGATTGGGCTTATTTCCACTTCCGTCATCCGGCATGATCTGCTGCGTAATGAATTCAGTGTTTAGACTTTTTTGGCCACAAAAGAAACCCTAGCGAAGCCAACGGTACGTAAAGAGATATAGCGAACCAATGAAACTTTTGCGTCAATGGTTCGCAATCCCAGTTCTCAACTTGGGCTCGAATGGACTGTTGTCAAAGCGTAATTTCATTTCATCAACTTCGATACCTAAAGACCGCTAGTAATTAACAAGCACATGACCTGCGAATTTCGGACTCGAGTATCGAGCCTAAAAGCCTCTGCGAGCCAAGTTGTCAGCTATTCCCAAGTAGAAGTCCAACATATCTACATCGGGCTCTAATCCCTGCTTAACAGAATCAGTTGGAGCTAGGGCTCTTGAGATTTCCTTTTGAAATTTATTTTTCCAGTTTATGATGTCAAGATGGTCAGCATTTTCTATAGTGCCCAAATATTCGCCCCAGTGGCTGCTTGGGACACTTACTAGCCCATCGTTTGGTGCGCCATTAGAAAGTTCATGAACAACTCTCCACGAAGTGAAGAATAGATTGTACCATTTGGGCTGCATGGAGGCTCCGTAGCTCATGTATTTCACTTTCGGATGATCCGGTGTGACCTTATTGAATTCCTCCATGCTTTTGGTAGTCAGTTGGTATATCGCGGGTGGTAAAATTTTCAGTTTTGAGTCCGCCGAGATGCCTTTTCGAAGGTCTTCCGACAGTCGCACAACGAAATCTGCCATCTCAGATCCATGATGAGGCGTCGAAACCGTAGTTAGACTGAGCACGTCAAAATTCTTGTTCTCTATCTTGGAAATAAGATATCGGCAATCCAGACCACCCATAGAGTGTGCAATTAAATTGACTTGGACAGGCTTTTGGATCCCGTTGGTTTTGTTTGTTTCTTGCTTTCCGACATTGTAAGTCTCATCGGGATTTTGAGACACCCTGAGATGTTCCGTTTCCCGTTCTATGCACTCATTTAGAGCTTTGGCTCTTTCCTGGATAGTCGAGAAGCCAGGGACGCGGGTAGATATTACTGTGCAGCCCTTGGCCTCAAGCGCTTGCTGGACGCCAAACCAGTATTCCACTTCCCACAAACCTTTCAATCTTGACTCCTCCGTATCCTGCTCCATATGCTGGTCCGAATTAGCAGAAGCAGAGTGGTTGCTCATGATTTTCGTCAGCTGTCCCATTGACGGCAGTAATACTAGTCGATCAAATCCTGAAAGTCCGTGACATAATACTATAGGATTTTTGGGGGCACGAAAGTCCTTCCTTTGTGTTTCCGATGACTTTGGGCAGTCAATTGCATGCCCTCCGTGGACTGCTTTTGAATAGCTGTCTTGAAAGCAGGTCAAGTTCTCATCACCATATTTCCTTGCAATTGCTTTGATCGATAAGGCTCTGGGACTTTTTCCACGCAGTAAAAACTCCGTCCGGCTTACCCATGAGCTTAATTTGTCTTTCAGGCCATAAGAAAAGCTCTCGACATCGCTGGAAACCATACCTGGCACCCAAAACCTTGTCTCACCTCCTTCACCAAACTAATTTTTGATCGCTTCATCTAATTGATACAATGTGATCTAATCTTTCCTGGAAGCCATGATGGAAATAGGCGTTCAGCATCAAAATCATCTGCTTCGAAAGGTAAATGCAATTCGAATCGAATTCAATCTGTTAGTGGCCCGATTTCTTAGCACTTTGACAGAAGTCAACATGTATCCTGCGATCGTCTATCAAGGCCCCGTCCATCTTGGAAAGTGCCGTTTCACACGATTTTTTATCGCTGAACTCTATGAACCCGTAGCCTAGCGACGCCCCACTCTCTTTGTCGTGTACGATCTCTATAGTGTCGATGGACCCAAATCGGTGGAAGATGACCGCTAAGTCTTTTGCTCGTGTCATTTTGTTAAGCTTGCAGACGAAAAGGACTCTTTCCGAAGGTTTGATTCCCACAAATGGAATGTCACCTAATATTTCGAGCGTCATTTCAGTACTGCGCATCTGTGTAGCACGCCTTTGTTCCAATGTTTCCTTCTCAGCTTCGAGCTTGACATCTGGGGGCAGTCTTATATCGCCATTAGGCAAGCTAACGTTGAAAGCATGGAATCCATCCGGATCAGGAAAGGGATCGTGCAGGATATGTGCCATTTTGATACGAATGTCAACTTTTGGTCTTTTGGAGCTATCCACATCCTTTGTTTCCCAGAGCTTGAGCACTGCTAAAGTCTCTGAAGTCACCTTTCCAAAAAAAACTGTGTCATCATAAGAACTGACGGGTTCTGCCAGCGCGAATATGAATCTTGAACCCACCACAGGTACTTGGTCATCTAAGAGCGATGTGAGGTACCCGACGTCTCCAAATTTAGCCTCTCTCGTTTTCAAGTACTGTTGAGAAGACTTAAGCATTGTATCAGACGCATCTTTCCCTACGTTTAGAAGACCGTTAATTGAGCAATCGTGGGTTCTAAGCGAGCTCCTCAGTTCGTTTCCAATCAAAGCATCGCCGCACTCTATGGAATAGTTTTTATTTAGGTTGTAGAAACATTGGTATTTGAAGAAGCCGCTTTTGCACTGCTTGATGAAATTGAAGGCCTCAACGGGATACTTTTCGAAATCAACATCGATAACCACATCTCCTACAGTTGTCTCCAGAAGGACACTCATGATGGGTCAAAGCAGGCGATTCTAGGGTGAATCAGATCCAGTCCGCATCCATTGATTTGTTCATTACAGTGGCCTTTAGACATAAACATTTTATAAAAGACTATGGACAACGCCACGTGAAAGAACATTCAAAGCTGGGCTTCGAAGCTTACTTCACTTTGCCGCTGACGCTTTGAATCATGAAGTCCTTTATTGGTTGTAGCTTCTGTAGAACTTTCAGGCCAACACTTCTTGCGGCGACAATGGGTCCAAAATCTGTCGAGTAAAGCTTGTGAAGTTTGTCAACCACGCCAAGTAGCATATTGTTGTATGGGTAACGCTCTGCCCAATAAGGTTCCAAGGCCAATAAAGACCCGAGGTCGAGTCCCCTTTTAGAGGCAGTTTCAAGAGCCTTGACAAGAGATTCGACATCTCCTTGGCCCATGTTGAGACCTTGTCCAGCCAGTGGGTGTGTAGTATGAGCAGCATCACCGACTAGTGCAATTCTGTCTGTGATGTAGGAGTCTGCATGTGAAAGCTTGAGTGGGAACCTAGCTCTGGAAGAACCATCGACTTCACTTACAATCGGAGGGTAAATTTCGTCAATTAGTGACTCGTCTTCCAGCTTCGCATATTTCAATTCCGTGCGATGGGCAATATCTTGTTGAAGCTCATGGGTTGTAATGGTACCCTGTTCAAGCTGCTTGTAGTAATATTGCATGTCAACGTCATCGAGAACAAACGCAGCGTTTATAAGTAGAGTTAATTGTTGTGGCTCGATCGAAAGTAGCAGCCTCGAGAGAGGTTCTGTGGTGCTCCACACCATCGTTGCATGATCACCTGGCATGGGAAGATGGGCGATGGGCCCTGTGGGCAAAAATCTCTGCCATCCCCTGACTTTGAAAGGCGGATAATCGAGCTTCAAATTCGCAACAACGCCAAACCTGTTGTAGAACCATCCGCGAGACTCAATTTTCGAGAACTTTCTGACTGGCGAATTAAAGCCGTCGCAACCGACTAACAGGCGTGTCTCGAAAACATCGCCATTACTCAGTGACACCTTGAGCCACGATTGTGGGTCTGTGGGGTCTTTATATTCGATTCCTAATACCTTGGTCTGGTCTATTATATTCAGAGTTGGGGCTTTCAACCCAGAGAGCCGGTCCAACAGCGAGCTTTGAATGTTCAATATTTCGATCATGAACCCCATAGAGTCTTTTTCAAGCTCCAATTGAGCGTCAGTACACCCATCGGATACATACAATCCGTCAAACGCTTGCAATCGATCCTGTAAAAGTTGCACGCCAACCCTTTGTTCGAGAAACTTTTTTGATTGAGTAGTCAGACTGATCACCCTATTAGAAAAGCTTTCTGGAGGCTTGCTATGAAACTGAGTTATTTTCTTTAAGTCGCCAGCATCCACTAAGGTAGTGTTCAGGTCAGACAAGTGAGGCGATGTTCTTATTGCAGCAGCCAATGTCAGGCCAGCAGGACCTCCCCCTACTATAAAAATATCGGTTTTTTTTGGGGCAACGGAACTTGCCAGGGCTCTGAACAAGACCCGACGTGGTCTAAAGAGTTTAAGGCTGCTCATTGTCACACAGTTTGTGATGAGAAACTTGTAGTTGATGTCCATTTCTACTGTACTGACAATGAAGTTGAAATAAGTCCATAAGCTGACGAGTACTTATTCAAGAAAGTACTCATAGAGAACCTAACAAGCAAAGCTCTATTCAGCAGAGGACAACAACAATATCCACATCAATGTTTGGGACTATAAAAGAATCCGAAGCTCAATCGGTCTTTATTATCGCGGCCAGCGCTGGAGAACATGTTTCAGATTGGTTGAGTTGCCAGTTTGATAGGTTTAAAACTGAAAAGCATAACTAAACAACCGAGCGATCATTTGAAATTTATCAGCATACATATCGGAGCGCAGCTGCATAAAGATTTATTGTGACGGTTTAGTGACGTCCTCACAATTGGGTTCTGGCGATGTTAAAATGCCAGGTAAAAGTTTATCACAAATGACGTGAGTGTCGCTCACCATAAATTGAATCAACTCATCGCCTTTAGCCAACGTTCATTCACATGGAAGAACTCAAGTCAGACGTTGAGAGCTCCTGAAGGACTGTTCAGGGTTCAAACTACTGGTTTCGATTAGAACAAGTTGCTGTTTAATCAAAGTTTTACCGTACTTCGCCCACACCGTATTCAAACTTCTATCTTCATGCGATCGATAATGAGTTTGGGCAAGAACGGCGCATCGCGAGATAAAGTATACATTGAAAAGCAGGGCATTCGTGCCATCATCGGCCCAGATTGCTGGAATAGAGTGGTGCCACAAAACTGCCAAATTTCGCTTGAAATGACAACAGATTTTGCCAAAGCTTCAAAGTCCGATGAGCTGCAGTACTCACTCAACTACGCTGTCATCTCCAAGGATGTGGGTCGATTTGTCGATCCTTATCTGGACTACAAGACTCTAGGTAGGCTAGCGGAAAGGATCATGCATCATGTCAAAAGTCAATATCTGGGCGTCGAAAAACTGGCGCTAAGAGCCGAGGCCCAGGAAGCGCACATAAGAGCAGAAAATGTGAGCCTTTTGATTCACTCTCCACCAGAAGCACCAAATACTGATCGATTGATCATCTCTGGCCTCAAATTACTTACGTTAATCGGGGTCTTCACTTTCGAGCGTCTACAAAAACAGTTTGTGACAATTGACATAAACATGCCTTGGGATTCCAGATCGAAAACGAACGTGGACTATCAAAAGGTCATCAAGGTTGTTGTTGATTTTGTCGAGGCCTCTAATTTCAAAACGGTTGAGGCCCTTGTAGACAGTGTGACCCATATCGCCTTAAAACAGCCGTTCTTCGAGGAACATTCTGACGCACCAATTATGGTGAAAGTTATAAAGTTAAATGCCATCACCGCCACTGAAGGTGTGGGAGTAAGCTGCCAACGTACTCTACGCGATTTTGAGGGCAAAAAAATTCCGAAACTGGGGGACGCTAGGCCGATTTCTCCTGTCTTCGATCTTCCGGTCACTCAAGTGACCGACGTTGTTCCTGGAAAACCCAGCATTTCCTATGTAGCATTTGGGTCAAACGTGGGTGACCGTGTTTCAAATATTCAGCGCGCTTTTGACTTACTGAATGCACACGCGGGCGTTAAAGTGCGGAAAACGTCGTCGATTTTCGAAAGTGAGCCGATGTACGTTCAGGATCAACCGCAATTTCTAAACGGCTGTCTAGAAATTGAAACAGAACTTCCGCCTCTCGCACTCCTACGCGTTTGCAAGCAAATTGAGTATGAAGAGCTCAAGCGTGTAAAAGAGTTCGAGAATGGACCTAGAAGTATTGATCTTGATATCATTCTCTACAAGAACGGGCATGGAGAAGACGTGGTTATGACTACAGAAGAACTAATCGTTCCACACCCCAGACTAATCGAACGTTCATTTGTGATGGAACCGCTATGTGAACTCATTCCTTGTACCACAGTTCACCCGGTAACCGCGGAGCCGATCCTGAATCACCTAGACCAAGTTTACGAGCAGCAGCGTGACGAAGATGTTCTTTCTAAGGTAATACCTCTTCCGAAGCTAAATGGAAAGGATAGATTTCTAAAATTCAAAAACAGAGTAAGAAAAGACGCTGTATTGGACCGCCCAATTGCCTCAACTGTGTCACCCACGTTAACAATGGGAATTGTCAACACGACGCCAGATTCCTTCTCTGATGGTGGAAAATTGGGTGACAATCTCGATGTCCAGTTATCCAAAATAAAAGAAATGGTTGAAGATGTGTTGAAGTTGAACGATCAAGTAATTATTGACATTGGTGGGTGTTCCACGCGGCCAAACTCCGACCAAGCACCGCTTGAGGAAGAGTTGCAACGCACAATTCCGTTGATTCGCGCTGTGCGGGCTTGTGATACCATTCCTCAGGAGCAAGTAATTTTGTCGATTGACACGTATCGTTCAGAAGTTGCGGAACAGGCTATTGATGCCGGCGTTGATATTGTCAACGATATTTCTGGCGGGAAGTTTGACCCCAAAATGTTTGAGGTTCTGGCCAAGCATCCTACGGTTGCGTATGCCATGTCTCATATACGTGGAGATATTCAGAGCATGAACAAGCTTACGAATTACAATGGCGAGGATAGTGATGGCGAAACCCAGACAGAATACTACTTTGGCAAGCAATTTCGCAACAAAGAGGACACGGCTCTGATCAGAACCGTTGCGAGAGAACTAGCCGCTCAGTTTAGCACTGCGCTCAATACGGGTGTCAAGACTTGGCAGATCATACTCGATCCTGGTGTCGGGTTTGCCAAGCATGCCAATCAGAATCTGGAAGTCATCCGCAGCATTTACATTTTGAAAAACTACAGCATTTTGAAGGGCTCTGAATTTGTGAATTTCAGAAACAAGCCCGTGCTCATCGGACCCTCGCGCAAGAAGTTTATTGGACACATCACAGGTGAAACTATAGCGTCCGAAAGAGATTTTTCAACCGGAGCAGTTGCCAGTGCGTGTGTAGGTTACGGGACTGACATTATCCGTGTTCACGATACCGCCAATTGTGCAAGAAGCATCAAAATAGCCGATTCGTTATACCGTGAATCGATCTAAAAGGTACTTGGCCCATCAACAACTACAACTACAAAAAAAGATGTACAGGTTCAACCAACTTAATAAAATTACCACCGATAAAGAGAGAGAAACAGGAAGTACACACTATTGTCTTTAAAAAAATTAAACCATAAGCCTGGCAAACCACCACACGAAAATGAAGAGAAGAGAAGAGAAAGTATTCAACAGTCACAACGACAAAACTGACATTGCGAGGCTGCCAAAACCCAGAGTCCAACTTCTTTATTTTTTTTTTTGACTGCACAACGATGCCAAATACTAACTAGAGCGTTTTTCCATTCCGTTCTTAAAAAGTCATTTTTTTATATTTTGTTCGAAGCGTTTCAGCTTACGCAACAGGGCACAGAGAGCTGCTCCAGCTTACGCAACAGGACAGTCTCTGGAGATGTGGCCGGCTTCGTTGCAGTTGTAGCAAGTCTTGGCAGCAGAACCACCAGCACAGTCTCTGGAAATGTGTCCTGTCTTGCCACAGGCGTAGCACTTGGCCTCGGACTGCAAGCAGTCCTTGGCCATGTGGTTTGGCCCGCCGCATCTGTAGCACGACACTTTCGAGCCACCTCTGCCGAAACCACCAGCACCGGCAGCTGCGCCAGCAGCTGCGTTGCTGCCACCGACTCTGGGCTTTTTGGGTTCTGGACACTCTCTGGAGATGTGACCGGTCAAATTACAGTTGTAGCATCTAGGTGTGCTGCATTCGGACTTGACGTGGCCGGTTTCCCCGCAGTTGTAGCATTGTTTGAATTCCACAGTTTTCGCAACCGTGCACTCAGATTGGACGTGGCCAGGCTGATTGCAGTTGTAGCACAATCTTTCAGACTCGCATTCTTCGGCCAAGTGACCGATTTTCCCGCAAACGTAGCAGGCTTTTTGAGAAGACATTTGTGATGCTATATTTTTTTCTGCTGTACCACACTTCTTCTTATAACAGCTGTCGACCGACGTATCACTACTTCTTCCTTCTGGTAAACTCCTTCCGAAAAAAAACCTCACCAAACAACAAAAAAAGACAACAAAAATCCGCTAGAGATCTTTTAGACTTTGATATTTCAGTTACAAAAATTCAGGTTTGACTACCGAGAATTTTTAGCGTTGTGTGTGCTTCGATGTTGTATATCGCTGGGATTTTATACCAGAATTGAAATTGACCAAGAAACGCTGTGAAGGTTTGAAAAATAATCTGGGATGAGAGGGCGATGCCCATCAAGGCTAAAAAAATTTTTCAAGGCTGTAAATAGCGTCGACAATGGCATCTGGGGGATATAGTGATATGGAGGAAAAAGTGATAGTGACGAGTACGGGAGGATGGGAAAGTGGGGAGGTCGAGTACGGAGGAGAAAAAGAGGTAAGGTGGGCGTTGAGCGAGGAGATATTTGAGTAACTGGCTTGCTAGAGTCAACTGAGTAGTGCGTTTTGGAGATTGTAGGAAAGGAAAAGAGAGAAGAGGAAAACAAAGAGGTCTTTTCCCCACCCATTACCTCAGAGATCACTTTGACCCTTTGTGACGCCCGCTTAGGTCACGTGACTATAATTGAAGATTAGGTAATCTGAAATCATCTCTTCTATTTTGTGTCGCGAGTTACCCTATTAGGAAAGAGTCACGTGCAAACATCGTTTTTTCTTAAAAAAGAAGAAAGCAGTTCCGAACCGTATGATGTGATACTCTCCATTGCGTCACATGATCCCGGTAGAATCTCTAGCTCTTAATCCCAATACCAACCAACCAACCAACCAACCGCCCTCCATACCGATGTCTTCCAAATACAATCCATACAAGACTCCCGCTTAATCAATTCCAATAACAACAACCACTCATCATCATCATCATCATCATCATCAAACGTCCCTCTTTTTATTTCAATTAAGTCTATAAAATCCCTATGCCAGCGTATGCCGGCAAATTCACGCTTTTCCCTTCTTATAATTCCCAGTAGTGACTTCAAGGTATCTCCCATGATAACCCTTCATGTGAGTCTTGTTTCGTGTCCGCTGCTGCTGACACCCTGTTTTTGGTTCTGTCTTTGTTTATCTTGACCAAAATTATGAACCCTGTAGGTCTTGGAAGAAAACCGATCATCCAAACCTAGACTTTGCAAAGCTCGCTCCTCAGCCACCATTTCAAATGGTTCCAGAGGATCTCGATCGGCCACCAGGCGGCCGAACTCCGTTGTGTCCTCCATAACGTCCCATGCCTCGTGGATCGTCAATCCCATCTCTTCACAGCACAAAGCACTCAGCAATTCAGGAGCCAGCACGTACTGCGCAAAATCACGCACCCCCCACCATTTCAGCGTCTTGCTACTCATTTTCTTCATCCGCTCCTCATAAGCATTAGTGACATCCACAGACACCAGCATCTGCCGCCTCATACCGTAGTAACCGGCAGTGAATTGGTTTAGATCCAGTCTCCGCAGCTCTTTCGTTGACAAGACTGCATTTTTGGACGACTGAAAAACCTCCCGAGCCTTGTGGTAGAACCTCGAGGTGCGTTCCCCTGTCAGGACTGAGTTTACTATCGGAAGGTGTTTTTTCACTTTCTCTCTAAGTTCGTCCGCAAATAGTATAGCAGGGATTCCAAACTTTTCCATGTATCGTAATCTGACAGCTAAGGTCTCTTCGAATCTATCTTTTTGGCGTAACGATAAGGCCTTTTTCCGTAATTTTGATGGCCGTGGTACTATGACCATGTCGCTTTCTGGACTCTCCAGAAACCTCTCGATGCGATCATTCTGCTCGTTAAGCTTTTGCACTTCTTGAAGATCTGTTTCCTCTATATTTTGTTCTATCATTCGAACCAATCTCTTACCTACACGCGTGTGGCCTTTCTTTGGTGCGTAGACTTCGCGGACGTTTTTCGGATTTTCCACTTCGCTGTTCACAAGAGCGTTGAACTTGTCATCATCCAAAACATTTTCATTGATTTCAAATCGACCTTGGTGGGTCTCTTCCATATCTCTTGATTCATCAGCGTCTTCCTCATCTTCATTGTCAGATTGAGTGCTGGACACTAGACTGTTTATTTGTTTTGAAAGAGTTGTAGAAAGTCTGGGCTTTTTATAAATTCCTCTATTTGATCTCTGAAAGCTCCCTCCTTGATACACATCGGCCTTATTCATTGTCTACTGTCCCCTTCAATTGCGTGTTGTGCAAACTCAACGTTAGATTCACTATATTTATCTAAATGTCACCTTTAATTCTAGAGTTCATAAAGTAAACAAAGCTGAGATGCCAAATTTTGACGAAAGATACATAATCGAGGTGCTCAGCAGTGCGATTGGTTTTCGAATGCTACTAAAATGACATTATTCAAAAAATACCCGAACAATAATGGAATAGTTAAAACTTAGATACATGTACATGATTCCGCATATATACTCAGAAGTCCTGTGTAATTCATTTAAGCTCTAGAGGACAAACCTAGGTTTGAGATTTTGTGACTTGGACCTATAAAGGCTCTGAGATACCGCGAATTGAAAAAAAAGGCCTCTCGATAATAGGAGTCCAATGCAAATGTTGGTTAGCGTGGACTGGAAGTCAAACTGTCACTTCCTGTTCACCAGCTCAGATCACCTTTATCTCAAACTGTCGTTTTTTCGATATTTTCTTAAGTGGCCATATTGATTATGTTCGTGTATAGTGATGTGTATCCAGAAACCAAATAAAGGACCAAAAATAGGAGTTTTTCATGGAATTTGTAGGCTTCTTAAACCAGTTTCCAAATTGGAAATATACCGCCTTCGATCCAAAGGCTTCAACGCGCATTTTTTTCCCAAAAAATCATTGATTGTCACTATATACGAACACGCTCAAAGCTATAGTACCCTGGGTTGATGATGATGATCATCAGATCTGTCAGCGTTTATAAAAGCGTTAAACCAGCATACAACAAAAGGTGGTTCTGATAAGGGGTCAATGACTGGTCCAAACACCTTCTCGGATACTCCTTCCTCACATCTCTCAAATATTTTTGCAAAACTGGATAAGGTCGCTCTCCATGACCAGCATTTCTCGAAGGTGAACCTACAAGTACCATCGAAGTTCACCGATAACTCGGAATTTGTTAATCACGATAACCCTGTTTGTTCATTAGAGTTTCATCCAACAGGTGCTTATGTGGTTTACACTAGGGCTGACGGCTCGCTAAATCTGTGGAAGCTTAAATCCGATCGAACTGAGAGTTACAAACCATTGACTCAGGACTCGACCAAAGAATCTATCAACTCAACACAATCCTGCATCTCCTGGAGTCCATTTACTGGCTTTTTGTTTGCTACAGTTAACGGTTCGAACGTTATACGCGTCTATGATGCCTCAACAGGCGCCAACATCAAATCTTTGAACAGTGATGACGAATGCGAGTATAATTTATGCCTTTACGATCCTAGCGGTAAATGGCTTGCTGCTGTAACACAGGACAATCAGATATCACTTTTTGATGTGGATGCTGAGTATCAATTAGCATGGAAATCGTCTCTTAATAAAACGGCCCACACTTCTCAATTCGTACCCAAACCTGCTAATGACTCTCCCTCTTCTCACGTCACTTCCTTCATTTGGTCCCATGACAGTACCAAAATTTACGCAGCTTTTGATTCTGGGAAAATCGAGATCTACGACGTCCTTGCAACTGGAATACAAGGACTGATAGGCGTGTCGGGCCATACGGGTCCTGTGAACTGTATGAGACTGGACCAGACGGGGTCTTATTTGATCGCTGGTGGAGAAGACACTATATGTTCTATTTGGGATCTTGCTTCCATGTGTTGTACTTTAACCATCAATGACTTTCCCGATTCCATTAGAGACATGGATCTGTCTCATGATGGGTCTTTACTGGCTTTGAGCTCACCGAGCTGTACCCACATCTACACGTTGGAAGAGCGAGCGTCTATTCACAAAATTGAATTTGACAGTAAAGTCAGTCGGCCCAAATTTCGGTTTTATCCTGGGCACTCGACCTTCATTTTGACGACTGAGAAGGATCTCGTATCAAAATATCATAGGCCGGACCCCGCGGACGAAGCAAATAGGAATGGTATCCATAATACAACTGCTGCAGACAAGAAGCCTCGACCTGATCGCCGATCTGGGAATGGTGGTCGGAGACGGGACGCGGACGCCCCGCTTAAAAGCAGGTTTGTGAGAAGATCGGCCAGGCGTTAAAAATTAATGCCAAAACATGATGATATTGGGAATTTAAAAATTATGTACAGGGGCGACTGCGTCGCGAAGATTACTGTGTTGATGGTGCGTTCATATTCATTAATGACCAGACCGCTGTTTTTGATTTCGAGCTCTAGCAGGCGACAAGCTTGTGTGGCTCTATCAATTGCCGGCCAATAGGCAAGATAAACCCTGGTAATATGCGTCATCAACACGTTGCTGGATCTCGCTTTTCGTCAGCCATGCGAAATCGTTGTATTGGGACTTTTGCTGGAGTTTGAATGTGCCAGAAATGATGTGAGATTTTATCATGAACTCTGCAGCGTCAGCGGCTTTCCAAACGCCTGCTGGGGTGTTGGAAACGGTCCAAGTGTTGATGTTTGAACCTCCAAGCTCTCTTACGCCAATTTCCGCTGTGGTATGCAATGGTTTTTTGGACTCCTTTTCAAGAGCAACTGGAAAACTGGGGAAAGACCACTTGCCCTCCGTGCTTTTAACGACTAAATACAGCGTTTCGCTTAGCTTTCTTTCAAGACTTTGAATGTCATTAGACTTGTCTGCTTCTGTGAGTCTTGAATTGGGTGCGATTGGTCTAGAAACGCTATCTGAGTCACTAGCCTGCTCCCCGGCGGCAGCATCGAAGTGTTGAGGCAGATTTACCACCTGTTTCGTGCGTCTTTCACGGTTGTGTTTGATGTCTGGTACACCTTGAGGAAACCATACGCCAGGCTGTTTGCTGACGGGGCCCTTTTGAACGGCCAAAAACCGTTTTTCCGCCAACGTGCCTCGTTTGAAGTAGTAGTACTGTGGGAAAGTCCACATAAGTCTTTTTTCAAGCTCACTTTGATATTCATAGTACTGTTTTTCAAGCTTATTCAAGTCCTGTGTAACAATTGGAATTCGCGATAAAATAAGGCCAGCCTTGATCCCAGACGCCTTAAGCGTCGTCGCCAATCCTCTCGACGCCACTGTTTGTAGCCTCATTGAAAGCGATTAACGATATACGACACCGCTTTGTATTTGATCTTTCTTATTTGTAGTCAAGTTCCTGTTCTTAAAGGCTTTTTTCAAGATTTCGATATTTTTCAGCTCATCGTTATTTAGCTTCTCTTGAATTATCCATGGTGTGTATACTACAGACAGACAAAATTTTCCAGAGATCTCGTGACTGAAGAAATCGTCGATGGTGATACAAAATATATTTATATTAGGTCACGTGTCGTAGAAATTTATCAAGCTTTAATACGATAACGCGATTGCTTCAGGTTGTCCTATTTGAAACGGTATGATGGGGAATTTTGTGTTTTTGTATGCATTTGGCTATTTTTTTTATGCGGATATTTTTGTTCAATTTCAAGCTCTAACACATGACATTAAAATGGTTTGGCCTCAAATTTTCAAAATGATAAGTCACACAGATCAGAAAACCATGCGATATATCCATAAAAACTCTTTCCGAAAGCGCTGCTGGTGATCCCAAAGAGACAACCGTCGAATGGATGACCATTGACACATACGTGTTGTAAACCCATCTCGTCTATAGTGATACCTTTTTTTTTCGTGATACCTACGACAGCACCAGGATAGTACAGAGTGATAAAGTGTTGAACAGCAGTCTCGAAGGACAACCTTCAAAGAGTACACTACAGCCTTCAGAGATACACTGTGTTGAGCTTCAATGTACACATTCACTCTATTCCCCATTTGTTACACTTCTATCGATAAAAAATGACTATGAAATACACGGTAACTATATATATTTGCACTACTCCACTATGTAGCGCTTTTCCGGGTGCTTAGTTTTCTATTTCTGTTGGTTAAGCATGCTCATCAGTGAGTTCAGTTGTGCCGTGGGATCAAACTGGGACTGTGGAGCTGGAGGCGCTTGTTGAGTACCATACATGGCTGGAGGAGCCTGTGGGGGCATCGCAGCTGGTACGCCATACGATTGCATTGGTGGGGATGCGCCATATCCTGCAGGAGGGTATTGAGCCTGAACGGGCATTTGACCCTGCATGGGCACCTGAGCCATCTGTCCGTAGAATTGGTTCTGACCCGGAGAGTTCCGGTACGCAGGGCTTCTCACAGGTTTTCCTGACTTGGGCCCATTTCTACCGCTATCCGTGGGCATTTTTTGTGAAATGGCCTTTGAAGAAACACCTTCACCCACCACTATATCGGGCTCCTCGAAGGCAAGACCCTGCTGCAAAGGCTGGCCGGCCGTTCCTCCCCATTCCGCATGAGTAGTCCATTTTTTATCGGCGTCCGTTAATCTGTGAAGCGGGATGACACTGTACCCGTGTTGATAGTCACAACAGTCTCTTGGCCCGAAACCAACGCCCCATCTGGTTCTTAGGGGTGACGATCCATCCTTATTGAAATTGTTTAGCACATTTTCCGCTTCTTGTCTGGAGTAGACCTTTACAAACGCATGCTTTCTGGAGCTGTTCAAGATGACACTCTGCACTTCCCCATACGGCTTCAATACACGGGCTATGTCGTACTCTTTCATGGAAGGTGGGACCCCTCCCACGAAAAGCGTACGACTGAACACCTTAATATGGTCCGGCGGGACAGTGTGGTCTACTGATACAGGCTTTGGTCTGAAGTGAGAACTACCAGGTATGTTTTCTTCGCCAGGGTATAAGTGGTGATTGTTGGACGCGTTGGGGCCCTCGGAGCTTCTGTAGACTTCTCGCCGTGGAGGACTACGAGATCTTGTTCTTCTTGAAGATGTATTGTAGCGATCGCGTCTGTCGTCTCTAAAGCCTGACATCGCTTGATCATTTCTGTTCACTGTATTACTTTGTCTCGAGCTTGTTTGAGGCGGCAGCGCAAATCCAGCTTGTGGCATTGGTCCAGGTGTTCCGATCTGCTGAAGATTGACCAAGAACTGGAACAAAGCTACTTGTTGCAACGTTGAATCGTCAGACTGTAAATCAGCAGGAACCGCAACTTTTGGAACATTAGCCATAGGCTGTAGGTTGTTCAAAATTTCAATGCATCTCTCTGAAGGATCTTTTGACAAAACAAACGAAGTATTAGGCTGCGTGTCAGTAACATTGGTGGTTGCGCCTACAGTGCTGCTCAGCGGCGAAAACCACTTTGCTCTTACTGCATTGAGATAGCCCTTTTGGAAAAGACCGCTGCGGTCCCATATGTCTACCAGTGTTCTTATTTTCTCTCTGTGATCTTCGTCACTGTTTTTGACGGCATCGCCTAAAAGCTCTTGAATGGCTTCTCCAAGAAGATACACACCGTGAGCGCAAGAGCCTTCTCTGGCGGTGGGTTTGATGTAGTCATCCTGTGCGCGAGCCTGCTCGAGATATGCTCTACCGATCGAATCTATAATGTACAAGGAGCCCAGTTTGTGGGTCGCAAGCGTTTCGCGCGAATAGTCTATGACCAATTGCATGAGTTGTGGTTCCTGGTCCACATGGTCAAGAGCGTAGGATGTTAGTTTCTTAATACGGGAACCTGAAATACCAGATTTCAAGTCTTTGAAAGACTGCAACGTGGCTACGAACTCGTCTAGTTGATCGTTCTGCATGGCTTTTCCGTTCAAATGCTGGGAATTTCCTCAATATTTCACGTCCTTGCGTATGTGACTTTATAGTTTACAGCAAGTCTTCTTCTTCTGAAGCAAACACCTTTATTTTCTCTTCTTCCGTGCAATCCTTAAGCTACCACTACTTTAGCCGCAAAAGCCGAAAATGAGAAATGAAAACAAAGAGATTCAGAAGTTAAAGAAAAATGTCAGAGAAATAGAACAGATATCTATACCGTTCTGACTGTAGCAAACTTGATGTAACCTCCACCTAAGCTGTTTGTGCCAATTCAGTTCGAAACTGTGGTTATTCTTAGCCGCTAAGATCTTACTATTACCAGATTTGGCTACTTTTCAGCAATAAGTACGACTTCTTATACTATTTATTCTCTTGTTTGAGTATCCAGAAACCTTAGTGTCTTAATGAGTTAAATGTTATTGAACAATTGATATTCAAAAATGTCTCTCCTTTTATAGGTTTTTTTTTCGGGGCGCCACAAAAACGTCTCTAAATATTCAGATCCGGGTAACTCTTTCAGAATTAGATTGATCTTCAACTGACCTCATCACGTAAAATCAAAGTGACGAACAGCAGCATTTCCATCTCTTTTGGCGATCCATTGAGTGCTCAAATTGGGTTCATCAGAGGATCGATCTACTGTGCAGTGCGTTTTGTGTAGCTGTGAGGGTATTCTTGTATGTCAGCGATATATAAGCTCTCGATTCAGGGTATTCGTTCATTCGATTCCAACGAGCGAGAAACAATTGAATTTGGGAAACCTCTGACGTTGATTGTGGGGACCAATGGATCCGGTAAAACTACAATCATAGAATGTTTGAAATACGCGACAACCGGAGATCTGCCTCCTAATAGTAAAGGTGGGGCCTTCGTGCACGATCCCAAAATCACTGGCGAAAAAGATGTTCGAGCTCAAGTGAAACTGGCTTTTACAAGCGCAAACGACGTCAACATGATTGTTACTCGTAACATTCAATTACTCGTGAAAAAGACTACCAACACGTTTAAAACACTCGAGGGCCAACTAGTAGCTCTAAATCGCGGAGAGCGTACCACGTTGAGCAGCAGGGCTGCAGAACTCGACACTCAAGTTCCGTTGTATATGGGTGTCCCCACTGCAATTCTCGATTATGTTGTGTTTTGCCACCAGGAGGACAGTCTGTGGCCTCTGAGCGAGCCCGCGAACCTGAAAAAAAGATTTGACGAGATTTTCCAAGCTATGAAATTCACAAAAGCTCTTGATAGTCTTAAAACTATCAAGAAAGACATGTCTGTGGATATAAAGCTGCTGCGGCAGTCTGTAGAGCATCTAAAGGTGGACCGTGATCGTAGTCGGTCCACTAAGATCAACATTTCAACCTTGGAACAAAAAATCGAACAATACCAAGCTCAGGCTCGCAAAGCAGAGCAGGACCTAGATCAAATTACAGAGCAATCTGACAGGCTTTTTAAATCCAATCAGGAATTCCAGCAGGTTTTGAGTAGGATGGAAGGTCTGCGACACAGCAAACGATCGATTCAAGAACAAATTACCCGCCTGGAAAGCACTAGCGAGCCATTGAACATGTCTCTAGCGGATCTTAACACCTTGATTGCAAATTTCTCTACCGCGCTGGAGGAAAAAAGGCAACATATTGCAATCCTGGAGACAAAGATTCAGTCTTGCCGACGCTCACTAGAACAAGCTCGCGAAACTCAAAGCGCACTGACTTCCAAACAAGGTGGCTTGAAGGCTCGAAAAGTAAACTATCAAAATTGTCAAAATCAGCTAGTATCTGTGACTCAGGAGTTGCGCGACAAAAATATCATCAAGGGTGAAGACCCCTCTGCAGAGCTCATCGCACAGTCAGAAAGCTCTGAACAAGAAGTGGCAAGAATATGTGCTCAAAACGAGGCAGAAAAGAAAGCAATGGGAAAAGAAATCTCTGAACTCGAAAATACCCAGGCGAAGGAAGAGCAGCATTTAGTATATTGTCAAAATGATAAAGAAAAGGTTCTTGCGGAATTGGACTCACTCAAATCCAAGTTCGAGAAAATGTCTTCTCTTGAAGGCGACTTGAAGAGGGAAAAGGAAAATGTCGCACTTTATGAGTCTCGACTGAAAGACAAGGGTGGTGAGAACGAAATAAACGAACTTGCTTCTAGTATAAAGGAAAAACAAGCGCAAATTCTGATGTTAGAAGACGATCTTGCAAGAAATCAACGAGAACTTCTCAAGGTCAACGAACAAGCAGATTTGAACGCTCGGTACTCTCTGCTCAAGAAAACCCACTTGCAGAAGGAAAAGGAACTCGCAAATGTGATTCTAGATCTGTCAAACAACCCCGAAGCCCAAAAATGGAAGCTCGACCCTAATTCGGACCTAGACCTTACATTCAGGAGAAGATATGTTGACGTGCAAAAGCGATTGGCGGTTGCAAAAAGAGATCATGACGATGTTGTCAAAATTTTGGCTCATAAGAAATTTGTCCGCGCATCTTGTGAACGAGAACTGAAAGAAGCTAAAAACAAAATTGATGAGCTGAATGAAAAGATCAAAGGAGGTCTTCCAGAAGATTGTGTTGTTGGTGATTATGCTGAACTTCTACGAGATGCAGAAGAGTCATATAGAGTTGCTGTCGAGAATCTAAAAATGCACAGAACAACGCTAGAATTCAATTTAAAAGCGCTGGAGGTTGCAAGAAACAACAACTCTTGTTATCTTTGTCAAAGAGAATTTAACAGTAAACATGAATTGAGCGCATTAATGACCGAGCTAGAGACCAGAACAAACACTGAGTACGAGGACACTCTTAAGACAGTAATGTCTGAGGAGAAGGAGTATCTTGACTCCTTGAGAGCACTTGATGCGGACTTTTCTTTAATTAAGGCATCTTCCCAAACCGAGACTGCGCTAGAGTCGCAGCTGAAAGAAGTTCTTTCTGGAATGGTAAATGATGAAACAGCTGTGACCAAAAGCGAAAACGCACTCAAAGATGTCAATGCTGAGTTGGAAGCTGTGGAAACGACATTACGTCCCCTCGTCGAGAATATTTTGAGAACGCAAAATGAAGTCAAGTCAGCCAATGGTGAACTTCAGGATGTTTCGAACGAATTGAGCCTGCAAAATGGCCCTGGGGGCAATGTGGCAACGGTTGAGGACCTGCAAAACAAGCATAAACACGTTCAAGATTTACTCAGAGAGTTAAGAAGGGCTGTTGGGGATCAACAGGAAGAGAAAGAATCAAAGACACGAGAATTAAACAACTTGCTCAACTTGATAAAGGAAAAGAAGTTCAAAATCAATGATCTTGAAAGACAGTTAGGTGATAGGGAAAATGTGGCGTTCTCTATAAAAGAGCATGAGAGATCTAGTACTCAGGTAGAGAGTATTATAAATTCAGTAAACTCTTCTCTTGAGAAGTTCTCAGCCAAGCTCATGACTTTGAAGTCTCGGATGGATTTAAAGGAGAATGAGGCTTTACAACAAGAATCAGAGGAAAAACGAAAGTTAGCCTTCTTGAAAAATAAACGAGATTCCTTTCTAAAGTTGAATGCAGAAATTGAGGAGTATGAGCAAACTTACGCTTCACAACTATCCAATTCAGAGATACAATTGAAAGCAGCCGGTGAAAACATCCAGACTTTATCTAATGAAATTGAATCTCTTAACAGTCAAATGACGGCCGAAAATCGTAAAATTCACGATTCATCGAATGAACAGAAAAACATCAAGATGAATATCGATTTGATAGAACTTAAATCAGATCTCGATACCACCAACCGTGAACTTGCCGATCTCGATGTACAAAACGCAGAAGCAAAGCGAGATCAATATCAGCACGAGTCTTCGCGGCTCAGAAGCTTATTTGAAAAGCTATCTGCAGATAATGCAGGGAGAATGGGAGAAATTAGACAGCTTCAAAATCAAATACAGTCGTTGGTGGCACAACTCAACAACGACTACCGTGATGTTGACAATACTTATCAAAAAGAGTGGGTAAAGCTTCAAACCAAATCGTTAGTTACTGACGACATTGATGTTTATTCTAAAGCCCTCGATAGCGCAATCATGAAGTACCACTCGCTGAAGATGCAGGACATTAACAGGATTATTGATGAACTCTGGAAAAGGACATACAGCGGAACAGACGTGGACACGATAAGAATTAAGTCAGATGAGGTAACGACTTCCGCGAAGGGTAAGTCGTATAACTACCGTGTTGTGATGTACAAACAAGATGCTGAGCTAGACATGCGAGGGAGGTGTTCGGCAGGACAAAAGGTTCTGGCCTCAATCATAATAAGACTGGCCTTGTCAGAGACCTTCGGAGTCAATTGTGGTGTCATTGCTCTTGATGAGCCCACCACAAACCTGGATGAAGAGAATATAGAAAGTTTGGCAAAGTCTTTGAGCAACATCATTGAATTTCGCCGGCATCAGAAGAATTTTCAGCTCATAGTTATCACACATGATGAAAAGTTCTTGAGGTACATGGGTGCGGCAGATTTCACGGACCACTTTTACAAAGTGAAGCGCGATGATCGCCAGAAGTCTCAAATTGAGTGTGTGGACATTAACAGAGTCACCACTTGAAGCTTTAGCTTAGTTGTCTTCCCCTCAACTCACTTGGACGTCAACCATTGTCCTATATTTTCTCTGAACTTTGGCCATGTCAAGATAAATCTCGTATTTGACTGCGAGCAGTCTGCGTACATTATCGTTATCTTTAAGAGAAGGAAGTGTTTCAACCTCCAAAAGAGCAAAGTCTGCAGAGTGCTCCGTTCCAGTGCTGAGTAAGCTTTCATTGAGGTATCTAGACTTGCCTAAGAGAAACGCGCCTCTTACGCCCATCAACTCTGCTCTCTTCATTGGTTTTCTTACCGGAAGTCCACCATTTACCATTGAAATGAGAGAAAGAAGCCTAGAATTTTTGGCTTGACTGCCCGACACTGTTATGTTCTCTATGTCCGCACCTAGACAGTCCCTTATCTGTTTTGCTTGAAAAGCCAGAAATTCGAGAACCGTCACGTATTTGAACATCAAGTCCTGTAGTGAAGTGTCAGTAGTTTCACCGATAAACATTCCTGTCATATTGGGATCGCAAAAAGGCGTTCTATTTCCTTGTAACTCACCATATGTGAACATGTATTTTGTCAACAAATGAACCGACTGCCCTGTGCTTCTCTCAACATCTTCAATGGCTCTTTCTAACACATCGAACAACGATATTCCGCCAAGTAAGTATTGTTGGGCGGCTGGATGAGATTTGAACAAATGTTCTAGCAGTTTTCCAGTGGTTGATTGACCAGCTTCGTAAACAGACCAAGTTCTATCAGAACCCTCATCGATTATGTCCGTGAAGGGCCCCCAAATGCCAGGGATGCATTGATTGGAGCTGGGTTTTGCGAAGAGATAACAGGTGGATGTGCCTGCCGCCATGAACAGAGTTCGATCTGGTTTCGGCAAACACATAGCGAACCAGCCTGCATAGCAATCAATACAGCTGGCCACTTTGACGGGGCTCCACATTCTATTGATTCTAACAGGTCCAATTCTAACAATATTGAGTAACTTGACTGGATTCCTATAGAATTGGTCACTCCAGCCTCTCACTTCGCCATCATGGCCGATACCATTCTGGTTTGGCTTGTTGAGCAGAAGTGTCGCATCCCAACGATACTTTTGAGCCAGATCATATGCAATGAAGGTATGGAGATCAAAAACCTCGAAGCTCTTGGTGCTGCTATTAGACAAAGTTTCAAGGAAGGCGTTCAGTTTTGGAATGCCCATTTCTGGGATAAACCCACCTCCTAAGAATTGTTTTTCACTCCCGTTGAGTGCATTCAGTTCTTCTGCCTGTTTAGTGGCTGTGCTGTCCATCCAGAACACAACATTTTGCACTGGTTCTGTTTCCAGTTCATAGAGGCGATGAGGTATCAGGCCTTTTACATTGTTGTACTCAAAAAAAGCCAGTGAGCAGGTAGCTGCCACTCCACAGGATTTGATCATAGATAAATCAACATTAAGCATCCCTATACATTCAACAATGGCACTTATGATCTCATCTGTACTTTGAGTTACTCTTTTGTTTCCGTGGTTGTAGTATGGCACTGAGCTCGACTTAACCGCCACCAATTCGTTGGTAAAAAGATTATAGGCTCCAACGCGAACATCAGTCGATCCTAAATCAATTCCCAGACCTATTTGCATGTTTGGTTTTGGTGTGAACCGAATCTCGGTCGTGATATGAGAATATTTATGCATGCCTTGGTCTAAAGATGAAGCTATAAACTTGAAAAGAGAGAAGATAAGACTTATCGTCGCATTATTTGATATATTTAGTTTGTATACTCTACTTCTAACGGCCACCACGTCTAACTCTTCTGCCAGTTTCTGGGAGTTTGAATGGGACTTTCATCGTAGCTATCTTGTAAGTGGAAGCAGCGCTTTTTGGTATGCCAAATGCTTCTGCTTGGGAAACAGTAGCACCTTTAACAATTGCACCAAGGTTTTTGAACAGATTGACAATCTTCGATGGTTTCAGACCTAACTCTTGTGCCAAAGGAGAGATTTCGACGATAAAATTGTCCAAATGCAAAATGATGGCCAGAATGTAGCACAATAGTTTATCCTCTCTCTGAGGGTCGATAAAGAAACCGCGATCCCTGGAACGCCCATATTGACCGGTTCTGCTGATTGTGAATCTCTCTAGAATGCCGTCAACTAGCAGCTCGGGTGGTGCATTCAAATTTTCTAATAGTTTGGCTTTGTCGCTAACTCGCTTATTCTCAAAAACTCCCAGAAGCAATGAAAGGTAATACAGAAGCTGCAATTTGGTCATCTGCTGGGCCTGTGTTAGTGTTGCTAGCTTCTTAGCAACGTAAGGAGATTTGGTGTATGGGAAAAGTTCGAGTCTTGCAACTTCGTCCGTTTCCTTAAGTACCGCTCCAACGCGAATATGCTGCCATTCTCTCTTGGGTATTATATTGTGGATTGGATAAATTTGTTCCACGTCTGTGGCATCCACGTTTGCTTCGGGTGTAGTCCTATCCTGCGAGGACACTTGCTGGAGCTCTTCTCTCGAGGGCAAGTCTTTCGATGCTGTTTTTACAGAGTCCACGATGTCAACGGCGGAATCTACCAGCTTGTCTGGGTCGATTCTGTTGCGTTCTATGTCTGCAATGGCCTTCTTAGCCTTTTTGGTACCGAACGCTTCTCCAAGAGCATTTCTCAAGGCGCCAGCACGTAGATCTGTTTGTTTGATGTCTGGCCCCGACAAATCTTTGGTCGCTTTTGGTGCCACTTTGGTAGACAGAACGGGTGCTTTATGCAATTGGATCGATCTCTTAGATGGATCATAGATACCCACCAGATACTGGCTGCTTTCGCTAGAGTTTGAATCGGTACTACCCGCGTATTCAACCCGTTCGTTTTCCCCATGAATAAGAAAACTGTCAGACTCATTTTTGGCATGGTAAAGCTCAAATTTCGTTTTCTTAGGTACCTGGATTCCTTTGAAGAAGGCCCCCACAGCCACTGAAGGCTCTAATTCCAGTTTTTCAACCTGAATCGCACTAAATCCACGTTTTTGAGCCATGATCTCTATTGAAGTACAAGCTACCAAAAACTAGCCAAAAAACACGCTAAAAAGTTCACAAAAAAACCATGCACTTTGCGAACTAAATGAGTTGTAAGATATTAGCTTCTACCTTCAACCAAAATTCTCTGAAACTACTGTTTAGCTAGCTTGAATTCTGATTTTCTGTATCTCATCGCATGGCATCTCTAAAATTCGGAAAATTTTTATATTAATCCGATGAGCTGAAAAATTCCCAGGCGGTTAAAGTATAATTATTCCGTAGAATTGGTGCATATTGAAGAGCTTAACCTTTTGAACGCTCGAAGCTAGAAGGGTTTAAAGAAGAAACAGTTCGGGTACAGCACTTAGTGCTTGGAGTAAGTCTCTGCCCACCTAGTGCAAACATAGGGCTATTGAATTATTTTTCTGATTTCAATTTGGATAATTTTAAGACCAGTTTTTAGTTTAGCCAGACTGTGGGATAACTGGAGTTGAAGATGGTTTTACAAACGTCACACTACGAACTCTTGGGCCTGGAGGCAAATTGTGAATTGTCGGAAATCAAACAAGCTTATAGAGAGAAACTTTTGAGCTCACATCCAGATAAAATGCAATTTCGTGAAGATAGCCCACGAATTGGCGATGGGGCCTCCATCGAGAAGATAAAACTAGCATATCGAGTGCTTTCAGATCCAGAAAGTAGGGCACGTTATGATTCGCAGCTTGCGGAATCTTACAAGAAACACGGTTTCCACAATACTGGAGAAGGTTTAGATTCTTTCTCGCTAGACGATTTTGAATACTCCACTGGCACGGAACAGTTTTGCATGGATTGCCCGCGTTGTCAATCTAAAGGTGGGTTTGAACTGACAGAAGATATGCTGGAAGAAAACGCGATTGATAATCCAAGCGGAGGCTACCTCATCGTTGTGCAGTGTAGCGCATGTAGTTTATGGCTCCAGGTTACGTTCGATGTTGTCGAAGACTGAATGCACCACCTGTCGCCCAACTCAAGAAAAGACACACACTACAGGCTAATTAAGCAAAGATTAGCCTATTCATTGTCAACAAGCGATATGAAGGCCTTGCCCATTGCTTCGAAATCGGTCATAAGACTGACATGTGCGCATTCGGACGCGATCTTGGCTACTACGGGGAAACCACGAGTTTCAGGCAAAAGCCACTTGTGGTGCACCACACCGTCTCCCGGGCCGTAGTAGAATTCCTCATATTGACCGCTTTTGATCTGCTCCTTATTATGAACTTTTGCACCTCGCACAGTTGGTATTCGATTGCCGTAGACAATTGCTAGAGGCGGATATTTCTTCGTTTCGTCAAATTTGAGGCTCTCTAGATACTCGCGGGTCTCCCTCAAAGTCCTCTCCAAATACTCTTGGCACTTCTTGTAAGGTGTAACGAAGTGCACGGGTTCTTCATTACTGCTTAAAGATCTCATCATATCCACATGAGGGATCAAACTAAACTTTTCCTTTTCAGTCGAGCTAATCTGAACATCGTCTTCTTCTTTCAGGCGTTCATCACTGACAAGCGGCGAAAGACCGTATTCGCGCCATATTTTAGGATCGAAGAAATCTAGGTCGTAACGTTCGAGTGTATCTGTGTTTGCAAAACATCTCCCGTCGAATGGCAAGAAATAAAAGCTGCTTCTCATAAAAAAAGTTGACTCAGCGCTCAGGATGCTTTTGTTGAAAATAACTTCATCTCCAAATCTCATGGGACCTAAGATGTTAGGGCATTGGCTAGGTGAACCAACGTATATAATTCCTCTGATCAGATGGGTATGCTCCTGAAGTACTTTGTGGGCAACTAGTCCACCCATCGAGTGCGCTACTAGAAAAGTGCCTTTCTTTATTTTTTGGTTGTCGTATATCTCCGTTAATCTTTTTGCCAAGTCTTTAGCTGGTATATCAAGTGAAAACCTCCAGTCGTAACCGAAATCTTCGACGTTCACATTGGGATTGTTCCTAAGCCTTTTGATGAGTTTCCTGCACACGTCAACTGGCCCCAAGTGAGTAAGCATTCCGTCGGGATAAATTTTGGATTGAGCCTTATGCTCTGAATCTGGTTCGGGTCCAATTAGTAGATCCACTTTGCGTATATTGAAGCCAGCACGAATGGGCAACCAAATTCTGCGTTTAGTATTACAGTCTCGCAAAATACTTCCTCTATACCCGCCCAAAAAAACAATATCGCCATCTAGCTCATCCCAAATGGATTCTATTCTATCCAAAGGATATCCATCGTGCGTGGTGGCTTGCTGGTCGGTTGAGAACGATTTTATTGTGCTAAATAATGCTCCTGGTGTCAAAGCCCTTTTCACTGCTCGGGCTCGAACATTATCGATTCCCTTTTGATTCTGGAAAAGCTCAAGCTCTTCCATTGAGGAGATCGTTTCTTGACGCTGGAGCTTGAGCTTGATTTTTCTTCTACTCTTAATGTGCTCCTTGTCGTCCGAGGACGCGGGCAGCAAAGTTTTGCGTAGCGTGCTGAATGGTGCTACCGGAATCAAAGATTTTCCACCGAAGGGAAGATTGAATGTGAAAATCGATGTATTTTGTTTATTTACATTGGATCCATCCATATCCTCAGGCGGTGGTTCGTTGTTGGACAAATTACCACCAGCTTCTTCATTTTCACCTTCCTCTTCTTCTTGCTCCTCCTCCTCATCGAATGATCGATCAGAATCACTATCACTCTCTTTGTGATCCAAAAAAGAACCTCTCGGAGCGCTTTCGTCTCTCAAATGCTTTTCAGAAACATCTTGATATTCCAAGTTTGATTCGTCACTTTGCAAGGTTACTTGACTTACCGTGGAAGTTTCCTCACTGGAACCGGCCTGTGGTGTGTGAGCCATTTACAGTTCCTATCGATCGAAAACCGTTTTACAATATTAAGACAAGCCTTTCTATGATGAGATCTGTTTCGAGATCTGTTGAAGTTGTTAGTTCTTGGCAATTTCTTATAGAAGTTATCAATATTTATATTTAAATGTATATTAAAATAAGCGTAACTAGACATACCATATTTTATAAACTAACTATCTCGCAACTACAGGTTAGCAAGGCATTCTACATGCAGTAGAATGACGGGAAGTAGAGATTCGATTATCGATCTTCTTTGTGGCTTTTTCGCGGTTCAAACGCGACCTTTTTCTAGCTCCAGGTGTCTCGTTCGAAGATTGTTTATGAGACCTTTGCAATTGTAGTTGAAAGCCGGAAAAAAATGAGATTTGAAATGGCGGTTGCTTGAAACCACTGTATGCTATGCTGTTGGACCTTGGAGATTGACGTTCTGGTAAGCTTATGGAAAATTTGGTGGTGATCTCATCAGTCGTCGCGAAAGTGTTATTATACGCGTTTTCGAAATGCAAGATAAAAGACGTTATGGCTGCTTTATTCGAGCCTGTGTGATGGTTGGACCTTGAAATTGTGCCATGATTTTTTCCGGTCCTGACCGTCCTTGTCGTTTCTCGATTAAGATATAGCTGAAACCCACGGCAAGTTTCAACGTTGTGCAAAGACTATCTCTGAGCTCTTTTTCTGTCACAATCTTCTTGCACAAAGTTGCTGCTGCTAGTTTCTGCAAACTTAGCCCGCGTACGGCTATTCTGAATAGCCAGATTCAAATTTTCAACAAGGCAAAAGTTGTGAGCACCAGATCGAAGCACCAAAGTGCACAAATTTACCCAGCAATACCTATAATGAAACACAATTGACCTTTGGAAGTCCATAAACGACTACTCCCCGTCAGAAAGCTGGACAGATCGTCAAACTCATTCACTGTTGTTGGTTGATAAGTGTCACGTGATGATTCTTTTGAACGACTCATTCTAACATTTTCATGTTACCCATTGCATACAACTGGCTAAAACTGACTGTTTTTTTCAATAATTTCAATGAGCATTTGAGTAGAGGTTTCTTCTGAAAAGAGGAGTAGTGACGCCCTGTTAAGCCATTGCACATTCTCTGCTTCTCTCAAATCGATTGAGCTTTATCAAGCGGTAAATTGACTGTTTTTTTGGCTACTTTTTTGACCTACTTTAGCAGGTTTATATGGCCAAAACCTTCGAATTTACACAGCTATTGAGAAACCTTGGAATCAGAAAACTAAGCAAAATGTCTACTTCCACGGGTACAAAAGTCAGACAGCCAGCATGGCAAAAGCCTTCAAATAGTGGTGGTGAAACTGGTTTGAAGATGTACAACAGTTTGACCAGAAATAAGGAGGAATTTGTTCCAAAATCCGGAGGGAAAACGGTATCGTGGTATTCTTGCGGTCCCACAGTATACGATTCTACTCACATGGGTCATGCCAGAAACTACGTGTCTATCGATATCAACAGACGTTTACTTCAGGACTATTTTGGCTATAATATTCAGTTTGTTCAGAATGTCACCGATATTGATGATAAAATTATTCTACGTGCGCGCCAGTCCTACCTATTTGACAAATTTGTAGCTCAAAACCCCGTCCCAGATTCTGCAGTGCGCGAAAAATGTTTGAAGGCTACGCTTAAGTTCATTTCAGAGAATTTGAAATCGGATATTTCATCTTTGGAACAGTTTCAAACCTGGTACGAGTCTTTAGACAACTCTAAAGAGAAAGACGCCAATCCTAAATTTGGTATGCACTCTTCTGCAACCCTTTCCGCTATCGGGGCTTTAACTGGTAGTGGGGAATGCGATGCTAATGACTTTTACGGGAAAATGAAGGATGTTCTTGTTCCTGTCTTGGACGAAGAATCTGGAAACACTGTAAATGACCCTGAAATCTTCCGTGCATTGCCTGCCTATTGGGAAAAACAGTTCAACAAAGATATGGCTTCGCTGAACGTGCTACCACCATCTGTGACTACTAGAGTGTCTGAATACGTTCCTGAAATCATTGAATTTGTGCAAAAAATTATAGAAAATGGCTATGCCTACGCAGCTAATGATGGTTCCGTGTACTTCGATACTGGTGCCTTTGATAAGTCCGATAAACACGAATATGCCAAGTGTCAGCCATGGAATAAAGGCCAACTTCTTCTGATCAATGACGCAGAGGGATCTCTCAGCGACTTTTCCGGTTCTAACGGCAAACGCTCGCCCAACGATTTCGCTCTTTGGAAGGCCTCAAAACCAGGCGAACCTGAATGGGAATCCCCATGGGGAAAGGGTAGACCGGGCTGGCACATTGAGTGTTCTGTAATGGCCAGTGACATCCTTGGTTCCAATATCGATATTCACACTGGTGGTGTTGATTTGGCGTTTCCTCATCATGACAATGAATTGGCTCAATCTGAAGCTTGTTTCGATAACTACCAGTGGGTTAATTACTTCCTGCACACTGGGCATCTGCATATTGAGGGACAGAAAATGTCAAAGAGTTTAAAGAACTTCATCACAGTCGGCGAAGCATTGGAAAAGTACTCTGCAAGGCTGCTGAGACTGACATTCTGTTCTGCTCAATGGAATAATCCTTTGGATTTCAAAGAAAGCTTGATCACTGAAGTGAAATCTTTTGAACAAACCTTAAACAATTTCTTCAGGAATGTGCGAGCCCTTGTTGCAGACATCGATCATAGAGAAGATGGAGGGGAGTGTGTTTCTAAGAAACTCGGCAAAGAGGAAAAAGATCTAATAAGAGATTTCGAACTGTACCAGGAACAAATTCATACGGCCTTCTGTGACAATTTAGCCACGCCTGTTGCCATAAGAAATATTGGCGAGCTGCTAACCAGATCCAACTTGTATATCGCGACCATTGGCAGCAATTTAAGGATCGAACCTTTAGCTGACATTGCCCGTTATGTTACCAAGATCTTGGGAATCCTTGGCTTTCCATCTAGACCCGATGGCTTGGGATGGGAAGACGATGCGAACAAGTCACAGTCTTCGGTTTCTAACCGCGAAGAATTGTTAATGCCTTACGTCAAATGTCTGTCAAATTTCCGTGACGAAGTTCGTCGTTTGGCCATTAGTGGGGCCGCGCATTCTGACCTTTTGAAACTTACTGACAGGGTTCGCGATCACGATATTTTGAATCTAAATGTTTCGATTGATGATCGGAGTGATCAAGCTTCTCTGGTCAAATTTTTGAACGAGCAAGAAAAGGAAGAGCTTCAAAAAGTGCTAGTAGAGAAGGAAGAAAGACAAAAGGAGAAGGAAGCCAAAAAACAAGAGCAGGCCAGATTAAGAGAGTTGAAGGAAGCGGAAAGAAGGAAGAAGGCCGAAGTTGCGCCCCAAGACATGTTCCGTGACACCGAATTGTATTCTGAATGGGATCAAGACGGCTTACCAGTTAAAAATAAGGATGGAACTGAAGTTACAAAGTCGATGTTGAAGAAGTTGAAGAAGCAGTTTGATCAGCAGAAGAAACTACATGATGAATATTTTCCATGATACAAGCTGTAGCGTCGTTTGAAAAGCCGGTAATAAACCAGTTTGTTGCTTTTGTATTGTTCAATTGGCGTTCTGAATGGATACGTTTCCTTGATGAAAGCCGAAAGGTTAATGTATATGTACTGGTAGTGTCAATCTCTAGATTTTTCGATGTTTCTGTCCAAGATATTTCTTGTTTATCTGCCTTGTTAGATTTAGTAGATAAAGACTCAAGAAAGCATTGTATAAGATTGGAATTGAGAAGCATATTGCTGATTTCATTTACAATTGTTATATTCACTTCAAAGCACGACCTCTTTTCTTGACTGTGATGTCTTTCTGCTTGGTTTTCGTGTTATATGCCTTACAGGCCTAAAGCTGGAATTATTAGTTCGAAGATCTGGTTAAGGTGGACAAACACCTCTTCAGTTGCTCGATAAGCAATGGTTGAGGATACTTTGTATGTTTATGTTGTGTTGTAGTTATAATTGTTTCGATGGTTTAATTAACATAGTTTTTTTGTTAGAACTTACTCTCTGGATGCTCTTGCAGGAGTTGAAGATGACATCGAAAAGATAGAAAAGGAAGTTGAGATTATAAGACTGAGGAAGCTTTTGCCCATTTATGAGCGTCGTTCTAAGGCAATTTCTGGAGTGGACGGATTTTGGAAAGTTGTGCTTGCTCAACATTCGGATTTTGCCAATTATGTTTGTGCTGCGGACCTTAAGTATATCGATTGTATAAAATCGATCGATATCAAGTGGCCGTGTTTGGAAAACGAAGAAATGGATTCTCGAAATGTAGCCATCACTATCGCTTTTGAGGGTATTGAAGGAGATTTTGATGCCCAGGTTGTTACCAAGTTCTTTGAAATTGAACACGATACAACAAAATTCAAGTATAGAGGTAAACGGACAGAAGAGGACGATTTGAGAGATCAGGAATTGGGGTTCCTTACAAGCAAACCTTGCCTTGTCAAGTGGCCGAAAGCCTTTGATGAGATAAACCCATCTTTTGTTAGTGACAAAAGTACCGCTAAGGGCAAAAAAAACTATCGGACTGGAATGAAGTCGTTTTTTTCATGGTTCATGTGGACGGGTCTCAAAGTTGGTAAGGAATTTCCTAATGGTGACGGCCTTGCGAACTTGCTTTCTGATGATATTTACCCCAATGGTACCAAATATTACACTGAAGCCCAGGTCGATTTGGAGGATGAAAATATCGACGATGAAGATATTAGCGATGGTCCAATTGAACTTGAATCTGGAGATAGCAGCCTAGAAGAAAAATCGGAAGAGGCGGCGGATAACTTGAAAAGACGTAAGCTCTAGGAACTTAATTTACCAAGTTTATTATCATCAAAGAACCTGTCTAATCAATAATCCATATCATTGTTTGAGTTTCTTGATGTTTTTGAAGATTTGAAGCTCTGTGTTTTCTTGGGGGTTTCCTTCGAATATTTTGATTCCGGTTTGGTGATTTTGTTCGCTTTTTTCCTTGTGTGTGAAAGCTGGGCCTTCTGGAAGGCGGCTAAGGGGTCATCTCTGGATAATTCTGCGTTTTTGTTTGTGGGTGTCTTTTGACTTTTCAAGTTGTTGTCTTGCTTTGTTATATCACTTTTTGTTACTTTTCTCGTTGAGGCTTCCTGTGGTTTCTCGGTATTCAGTAGGGACGCCTCTATTCGTTTTTTGCCTAACAAGAAATCCTTATTAGCTTCTCTTGTGGCCGGCTCATCGTTATACATCCAGTCGAGTCCTGATTTTTTGATCTTTTTTTCTGCCCCATCTCTTGTAAGTGATGTTAGCTCGTCTATCTGTCGTTCTTTCTCTATTTCTTGTTGCCTTTCACGCAAACGCTGGTTTTCTTCCAGCAGCTGCTGTTCGGTTTCCCATACTTTCTTTCTGTTCTTCAGTAGATGTGGATTCCATGATTTCAAAAGGTTAAGGTCTCCTGTGCCCATGTCGTTAAGTTATGATTAGGATTCGGTGATATAGTAATAGGATCCCAAGGTGTGATGCTTTTGGGTTTACTGTAGTCAGTGTTTTTGTTGTTAAGCTTTGTTTTCAATGATTATTGTATCTATTGACTACAGGTGATGAGTTTATAGTTTTTGATGGAAAGTAAGTGTAAAGTTGAGTTGATGTTGAGGTCTCCAATGTAATGCACCGTAAGAAAGGTATTGAGTACTATATGACTTACACTCTGATATGTAAACTGTTAGACACTGAATGGCACGGGTAGCAAATTTGAGGTTCCTCTTTAGCGCTCTAATTTGTTTGCGAGTGAAAAGAGGAGGTTGAATGAAATTTGTGTGGAAATTGGATGAAAGTTTGACCCGTTGGGCTCGATTCAACTTGTCGATCTTGATTCAGAAACCGTGGATCTTGATGTTTTTCTTCTTCATTCCAAGTTGAGTGACCATGAATTCGCAAACCTTGGCTCTCTGGTCACCTTGCATTTGGATAATTTCTCCCATTTCTTCATCCTTGACGATGTTGCCGTTGCAGGCAAAGTCCTTCTTAAGGACCTTCAAGATTCTCTTTAGATCATATTCAGCTGGAACACCTTGTACTGTGGTCAACGTCTTTCTACCGTTTCTTTGTTGAATACGGATGTGGATGTAGTTGGCCGTAGTAGTTTCGTTGTCACCTGTGTCTGCGAAAGGATCGAAAGACTTGAGGTTTTCAATAGACATATATTTAAAAAGGAGTTGTAGTTGGTGTGTTAAAGAGACTGAAATGTAGGTATTGACAAGGATACTGGTTGAATTGTCTTTTTCTTATATATGAAAATTTTCTAGTTATGAGATTTGAGCTTGTGTAGTTGTGTACGAAGGATTGGATACTGGTTTAAGAGGCGGTTGATAGTGACATGGAAAGAAGTTTGCATCCAAGCTGTAATGTTTGTTTTGAGTTTTGACAGCTATAAGATGTTTTTAAATTTATGTGTCTTTGTAGTGGTTTTCAATCATTTCCGTTGTTATTTTTGCTGGATCTAAGATTTTTGGAATTGGCGATGGATGTGACACATTTTTTTTTTAATTCTCGGTGCTTTCGAGTTTGGCTTGGCCAATTGCTTGATATGCTTTTAAAGTGTAGATCTAAATTGGAAACGGTTTGAACTGTCGTTAGATAGTTTTGTTTGAATCCATCAATAGCTGTCACCCTTTGGGTGACAGCTTTTTAGAGTAGAAATAAAGTTATTAGATCATTTTATTTTATGTGATGTTTTCGAGTGATTTAATGAAATTGAGCAGGTTCCGAATCGTCATGTTATTCGGTACATTGGTTTTCTTGTGTGTAGTACGATTCTTGTATTTAGTACGATTTTTAGATTTTTTGAAACGGTTTTTAATGACCACTATTTGACCTAAGCGAAAGAATAGTACATTTTTAAGTTAAGTCGTTTACATGTTCCTGGTGCCTGTAGGGAGTAGGATGGGTGGATTTTGAATTCCATTCCACTTTTTAATTTTGAAGGTCAGTTTATGAGAACAATTTTGAAGACTTGTTTTCCTAGGAAAAGATGCTTAATTTGTCTTTTTATGTATTAAATATGAAAGTTACTTTGGTTGAAAATTTAACAAATCGAAAGGGAAATGGCTTCTAAGTGGAAATGAGCCTTACTACCAATCTTTTTCATATCTGAAGGATTATTATATACGTTTAGGAGTTTATGGGCATGCTTGAGTTAATGATTGCTCGTGGTTTTTGTCGCTTGCCAAAAAGTCGGCGAACTTGAAAATTGATATTCTTATTTTTTGTTAATTGGTTGGCAACTTCAACTTGACGTTCAATATCCTCCTGTTACTCTATCCGCCGTTTCTTTGTTGTTCACCTTTCTTGTTACTGTCGCTGACGCCATAAAATGAACATCATTCTATACGGCATGCTTGGAAAACGGTCATAATTTGATAGGGGAAAGTTCGCTAGCTTCTACACCTGAACATTGCATTGAATTTCGACTTTGTTATCCATCTTTAACCGTTTCACAATGTCAAGGTTGGACCTTGATGTTGAGCGTGCTGTTCGTAAGGCATGTTCGTATGAAGAAACTGCTCCCAAACGTAAACATGTTCGTGCTTGTATCGTTTATACGTGGGATCAGAAATCTTCTAGAGCTATATTTAATGCTTTCAAAGTTCAACCTTTGGCCCAAGACGATATTTCTTTGTTTAAGGCTTTGATCACAATTCACAAGATCTTACAAGAAGGACATCCTTCAGCTATTGTGGAAGGTATCAAAAATCGGGATTGGATCGAAAGCTTAGGACGTATTTATGATGATCGGGGTGGTAATGTGTACGGACGATTGATAAATGAGTACGTTGGGTTTTTGTTGGAAAAATTGAATTTCCACAGACTTCATGCTGGTTTTAATGGTACATTCGAGTATGAAGAGTATATGTCTCTTGTTACTACTTCAAATCCTGATGAAGGCTATGAATCAATTCTCGACATGATGGATCTTCAGGATAGACTTGATAGGTTTGGAAGAATTGTATTTTCTAGTATCTCCAGCGGAAGAAGAAATGAATGTCGGATATCGGCTTTGGTTCCGTTGGTATCGGAATCATATGGAATATACAAATTCATAATGTCGATGATCAGGGCAATGCATAGTCAAACCGGAGAGGATGGAGCCCTTGAACCTCTTTACAGTCGATTTTGTGAAGAACACGCTCGATTGTTTGAATTTTACGCGGATTGTTCAGCTATAAAGTACCTGACTGGATTGATTAGAATACCTAAACTTCCCAGTACGCCGCCCTCTATTCAGGGAAATGACGAAGATGTTAAGATAAGTCGACCTTCTACGAGATTATCCAATGTTGGTAGTGAAAGCAGTGCTCACAGTTCGAAAGTGAATTTGAGCGTGGGGAGATCAGCCAGTCAGCTTGGACCATACAACACTGGTGGTAACGGCGTGGCACCAGGCTCTCACTTTTCAAGGTCGAATAGTTCAGTGTATGTTGATAATAAGGGCGTTCAGGGCCAATTGCTGGCTGAAAGAGAGAAGATGGCCGATCTAAGACGGCAACAAGAACTTATTGAACTGCAACAACAGAAACAACAAAGAGAAGCAGAAGAACAAAGACTGGCCTTGGAACAAGAATCCCAGAGACAGCACTTATTGCAGGAACAACAGTATCAATTGGAAGCGGAACGGCAGCAACAAATTGCTCTTCAGCAACAAGAGCAGGCTATATTTGAACAGCGGATGAGGGAAGAACAACAGGCACAATATGAAAGAGTTGCTCAGAACGCCCAATGGCAAAATGATCTTAATGCGTTGAGAGATCAACATGACAGAGACCAAGTAATGTTGCAACAGTACGATGGAAGAGTAGCCGCATTGGAAAAAGAATTGGAGAGTTTAAATATGAATGTGGAAAGTCAGTACCGAAACCATGAAGAACAGTTAAGGACATCAGAAGAATGGAAGGAAAAATATGAAGGTTTGGCCAGTCTTTATTCTCAATTAAGACAAGAGCACTTGGCGGTTTTGAAGAAGCTAAAAAAGTCGCAACAGATAGAGAGCAGTGCTAGGGAAGCCGTAGCCAGATATGAAGCTGCAGACACTGTAGGGATGAGCGTGACTAGAGTAGAAACAGTAAGTGGTATGCTTCTGATGGCTGCTGCAAACAGCGTAAAGCTTTCACTTTCGGATGCTGCAACCAATTTGGCAAATGATTTCAATAACCTCGTACTAGGAGGGGAACTGCAGCCGTTTACAAATAGTTTGATGGCTTTTGTCAGAGCTTCGGGGAGTAACGATTTTTTGTTGGCTCTGAAAAACATGAAGGGCGATCCGGAGGAGGTGGTGGAGAAAGTGATAGAATTGAATGTGGCTTATCAATCACAGCTCTAGCGCGTCTATTACCAAACCACACTCTCACCTGGGCTCCTGTCATCCCACATTTCTCTTCAATTGCCTTACGTTCTCTTGAATTAGGAGATCTCTTTTTCTCAAAAACCGATTCCAAAAAAAGTCTAGTGTCCTTGGATAGGAGAGTCCTTCTATGCTCTTGGCGGCATAAAGCGCCACACGCCTTTTTTATTGATTCCAAAGTGAGAAGTATGTCTTTCGTATCCATTTTCAATACTGGGTATATAAATCGTCTCAACCACCGTCAAAAATTCCATCAAAACAAGTAAAATGATATTAGCGACCGCTTTTATTATCCCTCTTTCTACAGCAAAGGATAATGCGTCATCTGAAACATAGACTGTAAAGTATTGACGGCAGTTGAGGATAACACACTAGTTGAAAGGTAAAGCATCAAAAAATTCACGTAGTTCAGTACAAGGTTAGGGATTTGTATTACATTTTGAGGCAAAGGTCTAGACGGTTGATGACATGCATCGAATATACAAAAACAACAAGGATATGAGGTAAGGATATGAATAAAAGGAATAAAAATATCCAAGAAAGTGAACTATACAATTTAAGAGGAGATGTTAGTCTTAAGATTTGTTTGTAATGATAGCTATAAGAAGGAGATGCTTGGATAGGGAATTAAGGTAATACTCTCCACGAGCTGAGCCAAACATGCTAAAGAATTACAATATTATCGAAGGACAGGAAGGCTTTGTGACTAAAGGAATTTCGGAGTGTCAGATCCCAAAAAAGGTGACCAACACAACAGCTGTCCTCAAAAAAAGTGACAAACGACAAACTTTCTCCAACTTTCCTTGTACAGCGAAACTCAAAATTTCAACAAATAACTGTCGTTTTGTAAACCCGACATCGAAAGACAAAGTCTCTGGGCTTTCTAGTCAACGGACGAGAAATAAGTTTATTTTGATGAGGGGAATGATACACAGCTATGTCCAGAAAATTGCAAATGTGTCACCAACCAGCCAAAAATGGAATCACAATGTCGAAGTGGTCTCTAAAATAGCATCTTGGTTGTGGAAGCAAAACACGGGTGTTTTCCAGTCCTATTACGAAGCTCTCGCTTTCTTCGAGGACAACAGGCTGACGAATTCAACTATAGCAACAGTGTCCTCCAGAAAAATTCTGGACGCTGTGGGAAGACGATGTATACCATCAACCTACAGTTACGAAACGCTGACCAATGGGGCAGACACTACAGCGATGGAGAGCAAGAAAACGTACAAGGCCTTCTGTGGCAGATTCTCTCTCAAGGAGGCTACAGGTAGGGTCAGGAAGAAGAAACCTATACAAACGTTCGCCCTCCGCTCGAGAAACATTGAAGACGTCTTTCTCTTATAATATTGATGTGTCTTGTATGTTCTATTATTCTACTATCCACCGTCCTTAGTGATTCCTCGTCTCTGACCTCTTATAATAAAGCTATGATTGTCATGGACTATATAGATAGTTTATTAAGTTAGCAGTCGCTACTTGAAGTCTCGATACTTCCAGAGCACGTAGACTATTGTACTTTCTTGTACCTACCTATTTCCTCTCTTTCTAACAATTTTTCTCAAAAACATTCATCTACATTTCTCACTTCAAGACTCTCTTTAGTCGATGAAACAACCACGTTCTCAAACAAATCTCTAATTATCTTACAACAACAACGCTGTCGTAGCATTCCGCATCCTTCATCGGTCAATGCAACCACAAAAACCTCAAACAAATCCAAATCTTCTATTTCAACGCTTCGTTCTGCAACCCCCCTGAAAACGACCCTCAAAACCTCACGTTCCTCAAAACTTTCAAACATTTTGAATTTTTGCTCTAGTTCATTAGATCGAACAGACGACGACACGTTTGAATCCTCATTCCTTTCTTTCACATTAAACCCATTGTATCCCAGGTTCCCAATTATATTCGTCATCGATCCTTCATTGTTTTCGGCAAGAACCAAATTTAACGAAACAAACTGGGCAACAAACATCTTAAAAAATGGTATCCTCGTTATCCCAATCTCCATAAACCACTTAAATTCCTCGAAATTCCTTCGACAAACATCGCTAAACGTCCCGATGTAACCTTTACCCCACATATATTCACAGTCAAATTCTATGACTTTTAGAAAATTTACCTCAATGTTGCCAAAACCCATGGGAGTACTAATACTTCCAACAAGATCAAATATCTTGATGTAAAAATTGACCCACTTGACTTCCCAATTCTTTTCGATGTTGATCTTCTTCCGAACTTGTTCCAAGGTTCGAATATACTTGCTCATAAACGCTGTCATGTATTTCTCGAAGCCATATAGCACAATATGATAAAACAGATAAAGTGTAAGTTTTTTAACAAACACTTCACCATTGAAGTGGGTACCACCAATCTCGCGGGTTCTACCGACGATGAATGTAGCCATGCTGGCCCGATCATAACAGATTCCACTTTTTTTATCATCAACAGCCATTGAACAAAAATCATTTAAAATAAGATCGAAGGTTCGTTCATAATCCAACCCAGGTATCTGAAAATAAAAATTGATCAAACACAATAATAAAGGCAATTCTTCATTTTCGAATAGTGTTTTCAAACAATACCGACTTGATCTTTGACCAACGATGATGTCTGATACTATCTCTTGCTGAGCTTCCCAAGTGGCATACATTTTCAACATTTCACCAACTAGTTCACCAAAGTCATTCAAACATCGATCAATCGAAGCAACAGAAATAGCACAATTGTTAATGCTCAACGTTTCTTTACCCAAGGTGAATAAAACATAAACGTCTTTCCCAACTTTCAAGACTTTACTTGAAGAATATTCGCCATTGACGATTCCAGCTTCACCGCATGCTTTAACACATTCTTTTGCCATGATTTCGTACTCACAATAAATGTCATCGACAACTTTTACAACCTCGTTAACGCCCTGAACTATGCTGCTAAGTTCATGAGAACGTTTATGAGGAACAACGTAATCGGCGATACATTTTACGCACCGCTTCGAGCAAGCAGTACACGAATTGGGTTTTGTTTCGTTATAATCGCATCTTATCTTGTTACGTCGACAACGTGAACAGGTTTTCAACTCCAGGACTTCTTCGCTATCAACCATATTTATAAAATACCGGATGAACGTGTGTCAAGTCTTGAGATGTAATTTTCTTGAAAGATGAATTAATGTGCGATTAATGATCTAAGTGCGTCAGTAAACCAGATCTTAAAGAAAAACTCAATAAGTAGCAAACACACTGAAAGCCTTAAGACCAAGAATCTACTTTATAATTACAATTAAACCACATATGTGTGATAACACAATAACTATTTGGACTATGTGAATGAAATATTATTAAATCCATTTTGATTGAATATAAGATAACTTGACGGAAAATAAAATTTGATGTCTAAAATATAAAAAATTATGATTCTTATCTCCAGCAAGTTATAAAAAAGACAGAAACAAAGTGAATTCTGGGAACTTGCCTAGCAAGTTCCTAAGTATCTCACTTGAAAAAACCATTCTTCAACCTTGTCTGAGACCATATTCAAATACAGTTAGCTTCCTCTTCAATTCGAACTTTTATAACATATCACGTTTTGTCTATCATCGCCAACAACATACATATCACTTACAATCTTAAATTCGAGTTGAGCTACATACCTGTACCTTTTAACAAATCAAATTACTAACAGTCTTAAAACGATGCTTGTAGCTAAACTAGATTCCCAAAATCTGAATAATGAACTGCATGGTACCCTTTGGTCATTAATACAAAAAAACTCTCCAGTAACGGCTTCATTGGAATTGAAAAGACTGCTATTTGACTCCCTAATCTTCTACCTTTCAGCGTTGACAACAAAAACCAATGGTGTTACAACTTACGGTTCTTCGTTAACGGGAGTAAGCTTCCAAACCACAAAAGGTCGTTTGTTTTTCGCAAACTATCTTCTACCCAGAATTATTCAAGAATTGCAAAGAAGGGCGTTATCGAATTCTAAAACTATAATACTTTTGGCAACATTTCTAGACGCACTGGCAGCACTATGGTCTACCCAAACACTTTTGCAGTTCTTATCAACAGACAAAGGATACCTATCCCTACCACACAAGCTATTGCGAATAAAACCATCCATGGACACACCATCGAGTTTCTACACTTCTTCCGTGACATCAACAATCAACTTTCAAAGCACACAACTACTTTACAACGCTGCACTACAATTTTTGGCGACACAACTACTACGATCATCCATTTTGGCCAAATTTTTAAAAAAAACTCCACGACTAAGGAAAGGTCAAAACAGCGAACATATCATATGCCCAAATTGCGAACATACGCCAACAACACCTTATACTACAACATGCTGCTCCGCAAACTACTGCTATATCTGCATATTAAAAACGATAAAAACTAAACGATGTCAAAGGTGTAATTCAACGAACATTAAAGGTAGACCAAAGTATGCAAATAAGGCAAGAAAAGACTGAAACAAAGCGGAGTTAATTTTTTGGCCTTCTAAGATTCAAAGAAAGAACAGATTAACTAAATAAATAATACTCAATTAAAACTTGGAATGGACTACTCACCAACATCAGCGGCTAAACATTGTTATTAAAGCTAATCGATCACCACCAACGAAACGTAAAATTGAGATTTACTTCTACAATTAAAGAACAGAGACAAGATTCACCACTGTTCAAGAAAGTTAAAACAAGTTAACGCGACACCTTATCATGATCACAACGTGCAGAGCAGCTACTGCTTTGAGCCACCATATATGGCGATATCAATGTCGACGAAATACAAGAACTATAACCAACATCGAAAACAATTTCAATATTTCTGATTCTTATACATCGGTACTAGAACAGGCTAACTTGAAAAAGAGCAATATTGCCCTTCACAAATCAATAAAGGACTACTGGAAAGCCAGCAGGGCTAACAAACAGATAAATACAGTTTGTGAAGCTTCCAACCCAATAAATGCCATAATTCACCAATCTTTCCCGGAAAACAGGAAAGCCAATTATAACAACTCCAAAATATACCGAAGTTTCGCTAGATGGGAAGTCCTCCGAAGAATCAATGATACATCAAACGCAGCGTATTTCTACAGTTATCTCAAAGGCGACGATATACGGACAGATTATAAACATTCCAAAGACAGCGAAATCATGTTTTCAAATCTAATAAATGATGGACTAGAGCGCTACGACATGGCGGATACAGTGGATCTTTTGATCTGGTATGGTACAAACGTCAAACAACCGTCCATTGATATGATAGATAAAGCATTGACATCTTTGGCTTTTTCGGATCCACAAAACGATGAAATTTTGTTAGTAAAGGTTTTACAGTTGATGGATTATTTGCAGGCCAAAACTCCAAGATACAACTTGTCTGAAAACCACGCTATACAAATAGCAGCCAAGGCAATGTCCACAGCTAACGAACCACTTTTGTCGAAAAAGGTTTTGGAACACGTTTACAACTTTCCTTACAACAAAAGTAACGCGGCAAGAAATGCGCAAGTCATGGCAGCATACAAATTAATAAAGGAAGACTATAAAAAGTTTAACCCGGCGGGAGTTTTTTACCTATGGACAACGATTAGAGAACATTACACTTCAATCGAAAAACATGACTCAAGGATTCTTTACCGCATAATAAAACTTTTTACAAATCAAAAGGCATACCGCTTCAGATGTAAAGAGATAATTACAAAATTGAACCCACACTATTACGTCAACAACCCACTTCTTCTTCAATCAATCATCAACTTCTCCGCCAAGACTAAAGATTTTACAATGGCAAAGAAGATTATGTCGGACATCACAAGCTTCGCCACAGACACTACAAAAACAACAAATTTGGAATCCAGATTTATGCTTTCAGCATTGCTAAGGCTTCATCTCACATTTAATGACTCAAAAGGCGTGGAAACCGTTTTAACAACAATAAAAGGGAAAACTAAAGGTTTATTACCAGCAGACTACCAAGCAATAGTTTCGCATCTATTGAGAACAGGAGACAGCATAGATTTGATAAAAGCCATAAAAATGACAAAATCAATAAAGGGAATTGACGCTCTACCATCAGCAGCGGCAATAGTGAATCACATAACAGGGCCACATTATATGAATAAAAAGGATTCGAGAGGGTACCCGATTTTGAAAAACATCCTACACTACGCGAACAAGATTGACAGAACACACTCAAACAAATTTTGGGAGATTTTAGCATCTATATTCGTTAAAACCATGGCGTCATACAAGATCTGTTCTAGGCAACCGAAAGGAGATAAAAACCTTCAACATAAAAAGATACATTCAACCGAAACAGCAGAGTTGCTTAAGCACATTTACACCAAATCACTACGAAAAAAGCCAAATGAATCCACAACCGATCCGTTTAACACAACAAATCCGGAATCCATCGTTTTGAAGCTCACCAAAACAAACAAGCTGGTAATACTACGAACAATAGCTAAAGAGGCAAGATTCGCCAATAATATACAATTGGTAAGGTGGACTATCAGTGAAATGATAAATTGCGGCATGCCATTAAAGGAAGTTGAACTAGATTGGAATACAATGGAAAAGCATCAAATTAGAAGATACACCTACAAAGACACCAAAAACTTGTCTCAAAACATCAAGCATCACGGACTCAAAAACTTCAAAAGAGTCATTCAATAGCGATCCCGCATCATGTTAACTTTATAGAATATATTGTAAACGACACAACACTAATTAAGACGAACTACGGGGAGGTGGTAAGGATGGGTACTTTTTGGGTTCAGCTATAGCTTTGTTAAACTCCCTGACAACAATACGACATTCAACTTGCTTACACAGTTCAACACGCTTGTTTTCTGGCAACTTTTGTAAAAATTGTAAACCGGTGCTTCTACTAATGGCGTCAACTGGTACTTCGAAATCTGTCAGTTTAGTGTCATTTGAGATTTTATCATTAGGCAATACGAACGCGCCAACAGCAACTACGTCGGTGCTTGAACCCGAATTAGGATTTTCGGCAACAATCAGTTTGTAGAAATGCGTGGGTACGGCAATTGTAGGTGGATTACCAATAACTTCGTAACAAATCTTCATTTTCCCGTCAACAGGATCTTTCTTGGGTAAAAACAATGGTCCAGTAACGATCCTGACACTTTGATACTTTTGAGTCAATTGTCGGCAAAAGTACTCTAAATGGGCCCAATAGTCCCTGTTGAATCCTTCACCAACTTGAGGGCAAATGTTCGTCAAATAAAAAGTCTCATCCATTGCTTGTTGTGAGAATTTTGCATTAGCTGCAGGTGCCATATGGCCTCTATCATAACCAGAACGAAAGTAATCCTTAAGACGAGATCTAAAAGTATCTGGCAAGGCTTCGTCTTCCTTAAAAAATGAGTTTTTACGATCTCCAGACTTGTTTTTGAGAGATTGGGGCGTTATGTGCTCAACAACCCAGTATGGAATCCGGTTTTGACGATCGTAGCACGAAACAAACTCTTCGCGGTTGCGAAGATCGTGAATTGGTCCAGGAAAACCGTATTTGAAAAAACCGCTGGGATTTACATTAGATCCGTTTCCAGGACTTAATCCATCAGAGCCACTGCTTTTTCCGGGAACTCTTGAATTTTCTGTACTATTTGGTAGACTTGGACCATTTGTGCTTTTCTCTTGAGTACTATGACCAAACGGATTGCGCCAAAAACTAGCTATAACGCAACTTCCCAAGCCGAAACTACCAATCCCTGCTACAAATGGGCGGAAACTCATGGCGGTGAGCTACCTTTACTAGTTTATAGAGTGACGAACTCCTCGGGAGAAAACATTTGAAATTTTGACATGGGTTCCAAAAGAGATGAGATGAGATGAGATGAGATGAGATTTAACTATATACAATAACTCTATAAAAACGAACTTCTGGCGTCAGGAAAATGATTTGAACAAAGTTCTGACGAATTGTACAACCAAATTTCTTGCAAACCACGCTTAAGTCCAAGAGGTCAGTTTTTCATCTTTCAAATGACCAGTTCTCGTTTGTTAGACAAAAGACCGCAGTTCTATCTGATTGCGGTTCGACGCCACATCTTCACCGTCTGCCTTACTAGATGCTGATACAACATTCGAAAAGACACGCTTCTGATCTTCGTCGAGATGCTGTGTAACAACGAGTTTGCAGGCGTCAGTGAAAAATCGGAACAATTCCGTGATTTTCGAGACAACAAAACTTCTTAGCTCGAAATTTCCTTCGTAGAGCGATAACAGCACAGTAAAAATAAGCCTTATCAGCGGAAACTGGATTTCTGTCTTTTTCTCACACGTATTGCGGGTGAAAGACATCAAAAGATCAACAGCAAGATGAATGCTTTTGACGTCGGTCGATTCCTCTCTATTTTGAACGAAAGCAAAAAGACGCGCGACGTAACGACGCACAATTTCTCTGAAACTCATGACATCACCGCTTTCTTCAAGGTAGCCATTGAACAAAGCCAACGTCGTTTTGGGGCATGTGCATTTCAACAAACTAGAAGATAACATTTCAACAATCGTCCCCACATCAGCCTCTGTAAAGAAAGAGCCGGAAACGTCTCTCAGCAAATAAAGCACCGACAAACTCACATCAGTGTTCAATTTTGTCAGAATTATGCTTTTTTCAGCTTTGAAGAATATCTCAACGAGAGCTTTTTCCTCTTGGCTTGGATCAACAATACTTCTTATTTGTTCGAGAAGGGGTAAGACGACAGGCGCTAGCGATTCATGATCTTCAGACTGGAAACATTGTCCCACAATGTACAACATACAGGCGCAGAGATCAACTCTGAACTCTGGCGGAAATTTGCACAACAACTTAGATATCGAACAAAAGCATTTGCTCAGCATCCTTTTCTCTCCAGAATCCAGGCCACAAGACGATTTCTCTAAAGCATCTCCTTTAAGAAAAGGAATTTTGGAAGTAATGATCATCATTATAACTCTTAATAGAAGGTAAATCTTACCTGCACTTTCAATGAAGTTATTTTCTTCGCTCATTGACTCGAAGAATTTTAGAGCCAAACCTTCAATCACATCAACGAGCTTGAATAGTTGTGGAGTTGTTCCAGTCAATACAACTCTTTCAAAGACTTCGACCGCCTCATCAATATTTTCTTCGTTGAACAACTGCTCACATTTTGTATCAATCTGAATGATATGACAAATACCATCTAGTGTTCTCAGCTTGATCTTTTCGTCTTCAAAATTCAATGTCAAGTGTTGCAAAGACTGAGCATAAACGACAAAAACAAAACTTTCAAGATCGTCTTTTGATAGACAAGATGAAAAGATATCTTGGTTTTCAGAGTGGACACAACATACCGCCTCTGTGAGGTTAATCCATACACTCTCATATGTCATAATATCTTGATTCGTGGCAATTGCTTCCACAGTAACTGAAATCGAAGAACTGCTTCTTCCAATATTTCTAGCACTGATAAATTCCCTCAAAAATATTATCCACAAGGGAACTAGTGTATTCCAAAATGGTTGTGACAGCTCAATCAAGCCAAAATTCTGTTTTTCAACCGCTGCCAGCGTAATCAAAGCCCAAGAGTTCAAAACAGCAATCTCAACTCTGCTTTTACCGTTAGAGGTGCAGACATTGACCTCTCCACAGCTAAAAATGTCTGGTTTTTCCATTACCTCGGCAAGCGAACCTACCAAAATTTCAACTGCTCTCGAACTTTTTTTTGATGCTGAATAGCATAAACACAAATACTGCGCACAGGTACTTATCGCGATGGGTAAAATAGCGGGCGAACTTCCTTCGTCAAAAGCAGGCATTAAAGCACTAACGATGTGTGCTTCTTCGTCGTTTAAACTCGATGTAACAACAGACTCTTCTGAAGCTGAAAATGTATCGATGACAGCACCCAACAATTCTAATCCTCTTCTTTTCATTTCTGTATTTTTCATAGCCGAAGCCGTGAAACACAGCTTAATGATTTTCGGAACCCTAGACTTCAAAGTCGATCCCCGCATTTTGCTTGATTCCTCGGAGAACAAGATCCCCATGAGGTTTAGCACAAAAAACCTGAACTGCCACGACAACGCGTCAACTTTCGAAACAGTTCCAGATTCAGAAGTAAATGCCTTTTCTTCCACGTCAATGATCTCAGAACTTGACAAAGCCCCCCTATCCTCGGCCTTGGTACTCCGATCAACTTGTCCTACTTCTTTCCCGCCCGTGGTCAAGTTCGCGAGCTGTTGCCGAGTTATGAAGAAAAGGTTGTAAAGCTTGTCCAGCCAAGGCAAGACGAAACTGGATGTGTGAATAAACCATTCTTTCAAAAAAGCTTTCGCAGCTTTGCAGTCCGGAAAAACTGAAAAATAGTGCCACACCTTGTTCTCAATATTTTGAAATGTTCTGTCAAACAAATCTAGTCGAACGAGCTGATCCATTAATTCGAAAACGGCCTCGATCAGTAATTTATTGTACGCTCCACGAAAATGTGTTGCGTTTGTGGGAAAAAGTTCATAGCCTGAACGGGAGTCAAGACTTATACTAAGAGCTCGCTCCATAAACAACATAGCCAATGGTGTAAAGGAAATAGGATCGACAATATCTAGCATTTTGAAAGCAGCTAAATTCGTGATGACACAAGTGCCATAATAGCACTCGATACTGTCACAGGAGGTCATCATAACATAAACCAGATTCCTGAACTCCTCTAGGGTTGTAGGAGACAGCATCTTAACTTCTGGACCGAGAATCTGCGTTATTGAAGAAACGATTTTCGCAATAATACGTTGGGAGTCAAACTTGCAGCTGTAATTTAGGCCCCAAGCCTCAGTTGAGTTTTTACCATAATTTTCATTGACAATAAGAAACTCGAGAAGAGAAATTATCTTGGAGGCTGTGGGCACGTCCAATACAGAAACTCCCTCTACAAGTAAGGAAAGCCCCTCGACCGACCAAGTATGAACAATTGGGTGGGGGTCTTTGATCAATTTTTCAACTAGATCTAATGTATGCCAAAAATTGAGCTTTCGGCGTCTATGCTTGAAACCTCGGCATATACCCAAAATGTTGAAAGCTCTCGAATAGGGATCATCATGATCTAAAATGTTCTTAACCATCACATCTGATATCTCAGCGGAATACGAGCCCTCGGAACCTAGTTCAGATTCATTAATAGAAGAAGTGGACGCAATAATCAATCCCGCACATTCCGCTTTTAGTCTTGTCATTAATTCGTCGTTGAGAGTGGGTATATCTTTCAGCATTTTCAGCATCAAGTTTGCAACAGGTACCTGTAACTTGATGTCATTTCTTTGGACTATTTCGAGTCCACCAAGAAGGGCCACACAACAATTTGACGCAACAGCTATCGACCTCATAGTGACGGTCTTCTTGGAGAATAGAGAAGAATTCATGCTTTCCAGAACGGAATACTGAATTTTCTCGTTAAGAAATGGGAAAATGAGACTGAAAACTTCTATGGAAGAGTTTACAATGGATGTCGTCACACGGGGGCAGTATTTTTCTCTACTGGTATAGCCATCTGGCCCATACAGAAGGACGAGACTATCATACGACAACACGGACGAAATTGGTGTGTAAACTTCACTCTCATAAGGACCGAACCAGTAATCCCGGCCTCCATCCCAGGGCTTCAAGTTCTTCGGCACTAGCTCGCTTACGTTCTTTATTTTCAGTTCGTCAATGTTAAAATCGTAAATTTTGCTGGAAAGTCCATAAGCAAACCCTGACTCATCGCGTAACAAAGACTCGAGGTTCAAAACTTCGGGATCGGAGACGTCCCGTTTCAGCGATCCTTCTTTAGTCGCGGAAGTGTGGTTACTTATGGGGAGGCGACCCTCATAGTATAAGTTAGGATCTGCGAAATTCTTGACAATGAGGATTAAAACAGCACTATTGAATTCTTTCTTGACAAACTCATGGATCTTAAGATAAATTTGAAGTATCCTGTTTTCATTTTGCAATAGTACGTTATCGATAGTTTTATTCTTGAGTTGAATAGAGTTGTTGAACGTAGAGCATTTCGTTAAGAGAAAAAAGACCTGCTTCGCAACGTCAGCATCCAGATCGATTTGGTTAAGGTAAGACAGCAAACATGCTAACGCGTGGTTCCTTAGCTCGATGTTTTTGTAAAGTTCATCCTCGTCCCTGTAAGAGTAACTGTGCGTTAGGATAGCCTTCCAGAAAAGAAATAGTTGGGATGATTGGATTTTGAGAAGTTCAACATCGCTATAATTCATAAAGCCACAAAGCAAAATCCAAGAAAATAGCTGTTTGTTGTATGACGTTAATCCCCCACTTGGTGGATGATCTTTCAAAATTGTTGTAGCAAAAATGTTCACTCGCATCACTAGTTCGCTAGGTACGTACTCAGCATTGCAAACCCGAACAAGATTTGCAAGCAAGAACGTGTACCCATGACACTTCGAAAATGAAAACTTGGAGGCAGAGAATAGTTCATTGGTCAGTAAGTCCAAAGATGACTGAAGAACACCAGATATTAGGTGTGGAGCGTGTGTGAGATATGTTTGCAGGCATTTGGTTGCATGTACCCGGATTTGGAAGTTATTACTGGCCGACAGCTCTAACAGTTTTGACTTTATTACTAGCACGTTGCGACTATTGGTGATAAAGGTAGACGAAAGGTCGTCCATTAAAAGACCGGCGAGAGTTAAGAAAACTATTGTCGGAAATAACACTTCGCCATCTTTGTCTTCGAGTAGACGTTTCGAATCGTCCTTTCCACAATCGAATATCGAATACAGCATGAGCAACCTACCTGACTCAGACATATAGCGCAAAAATAACAAGTGTAGAGATTCAAAAAACTTCATGTATTTGGAAAGATTGTCAAGCTTCTGTTCCTTTATTGAACGGTCTCCGAAGATTGAATACGCAAGCTTTGAAACAACCTCTAAGTACATTCCATCTTCCAAAACCTTGCAATCATCTGACATAGTGAGGCCTAGGAAATGGGCCAAACCTTCAAAGATGCCTGCTCTTACGGAGCGGTTTTGGACCGTCACGAAAATATCACTGAAAAAGCCGATTGCGTCATTCAAAGAAATCGACTTTCTCTGAAAACACCAGTTGTGTAAAATTTCACCAAGAAATTTGCTAGTCTCTTGGCGCAGCTCATCAGTGGATAGCCCATGGAGACCATACCCACTGAGGAAGAACCTAGTTTTCAGAAATTCGAGTGGCAAGCCTGATGTTTGTGACTCTACGAATTTCCAATCTTTGTAAAGATGTGTGTATGTGCGAATTATGGAATTCACAAAAGGTTTTGGTAGTGATTGATCATCTGTCCTTACACGGTCCAGAACATGCTTGGCAATTTTGGTAACCTTCACCGTTATGGCTGGGTCTATATTCCCTGAAGTTTTGTAAGCAGCAGAGACGAAAAACATCAATTGTGTTAAATAGACCGCATGCATGTACTTCTCCTTTTCCAGTGCTTTTTTGATATTTTTAAGTACCTCGGGAAGCACTAAGGGAAGGATGGATGTGAGTTGTTGCGGATGGCTTTCAACAAGAAGAGTAAGACTCACGACACTCAACAACTTGGCTTGTGAGTAAACATGCGTTTTGGCCTTGCTCTTTTTTTTGGTCTTTGACTGCGCCAGATCTTCTTCACACAGTATGCTTGCCAAATGAAGAGCCGAATCGTATAAATCATTATCGGCAACGCTTCTCATGCTCCAAGTATACAAGCTCGAAATCTGCCGGCACATTACGAGTGACATTGTGAGCGAAGAGTCCCGATCATTCGCAAGGTCATTTATAAATTGTTGAAGTTCTATTCTGATGTGATTTGCAGGTTGCACGTCAAACTCGTCAATTTTACTGAGTTTGTCTGTAGTCCATGTCAAAAGCTCATGCTCCTTCCGCGAAGAAGCACTAAGTGCATTAACTAAACCATTGGTGTCAGAATGTTCCATCTTCACTGCAAGGTGGGGTTGTAAGTCGTTGTATTGTTGCGGACTGCCTTTATTCTTATGTGTTCAACTTAACTTGACCAAAAATTCGCTTATTTCAGGCACGTGAATTGAGACTTACTGAGGCAGCCGATCAAAGTCTGATGAGAATATCCCGCGCTGACGAGCTATTCCACCAAGTAGCCCGGGTGGCTCGCAGTTCGATCCGATTCTCTTGTTCAATGTATTGCAAAACTGACCAGACATCCTTTTTATGATTAAGTGCATTCAAAACAGTACTATGGGCGAAAATTACGCTCAACATTTAGTTGAGCGCTATGCCATCATGGATAAAGGAATATTAGTATATTGTTGGGATTAATTCAATCGGCGAGAGCATAAATGTGCTATCACAGCGTATACTTATCAGGCTTCACAGATTACCGCAATCCTTGCTCGAAAGTGTTAGAAGCTAGCTCATCATAGCTTTTGAATATCTAAACGTCCGTGACCGAACTGTTTCTGCTCGGATCCCGGGGTTTAGCCCTGTGCTTGCAAATATAGCTTTGGAATTTAGAACCCGGCAGCTGGAACGCCAATGTAGCACATATAAAAATGTAATAAAGCCAATGTGCTTTGATTTCACCTATTTTACGCACTATTGCAGGCGAGAACGTCAGATACCTGAACTGAATCAATGTGAGCTGATTTGGCATAGTAGTGTGGTATCGAAATTAGCTATTTGCCGCATGAGCTTCATAGTTCAGCTTCGAATAAAGAGTTCCACTCCTCGGGCATTCCCGTGAGGTAGGAATCCTCGAAAAAGGAAGCGAGACGCGTTTGCTTGTAGCTATTGACCAACGTAGGATCAAATGCGTCGCTGCCTGATTGCAATGGTGTTTCATTTTCGAAAATGGTCGAATCACCAAGCTTCGTTGGCACGGCACCATTTGTATCATGGTATCGAGGAGTTGTTGGTGTAATGTAAGCCTGTAAGTCATGGTGGTTAAAAGTGGAAGCGTTTGCAAAGCCTGACATTTCTCCAAGATTCAAATTGTTGAATTCCTCAACAGAGCCTTCGAGAGACCGGTTGGTGAACTTTTCAAACAGCTTGCTTAGTACATTAAATGTTCGTTCGCTCGTTACTGAACAGCTTCTCAGTTCTTGCAAAAGGTCTATGCCCTTTTTCAAGTCTTTTTGCACCTCTTTCAGACTGGAATTATTAAAAACGCTTTGTTCCTTCAGCTGTGCCTGATGGACAATGTACATCAAATTCGTCACTCCCAAGAAAATAGTGTGAACGGAAAACCAGTAGCTTCCGCAAAGAATCTTTTGGCCACACATTTTGCCCGCTGATGCCACTATTTGTTGTGCGGTTTTCAAGCACTTGATTCCCAGCTCCAACTCCGTTTTTCTAGATGCTAGTTGGTCTGGGTTCATAAATAAAGTGTCAATAAAGGGTCTGTAAAGCATAATAGTGGCATGGAGGTAATCAAAGTTCAGAAAATAATTGGCTAGCCTGTATGATTTGGTCTCTTCGAGATCAACAAATTCATATCCTGGCACTAGCTGCGGGGGAAGGGCCTGTCGCCATTGTACTAATTCATGTTCCAGAGCACCAACAACCTCATTTGTAGGCAGTGACCTCGATGTCTCGTTTTTCTTGTGGGATCGCGTCTCGTCATAAATTCGTTTGGTGATCCTGGTAAGCTTTGTATGCTCATTGCTCAGGGCGCAACTGCTGATTTGGTAGCTCCAAGAATTGATCTCGATACCCTCATCAGTCATATCGTCATCGTGGTAGTTTTCAGGTAGTTCTTGGTCAATATCGCTATCTGCAATGGTGACGGGAAGACCCATGATTACGTTAACATAAACGTCCATCTTGTAAATCGTCCAAAAAAGTCGCTTCCGAACCTCCGCCTCAATAAGAGAGCAGTTCCAAAGACTGGATTTTTTATGTAGACCAATTCGTAAAGCAGCTCTCAAAGCAATTCCGATCAGCGAGTAACATGTCGTCAATTTGGCAGAGCACTGCAAAAAGATAGTCATCATGAAAATGGTCTGAATAGCGCACACGTCTGACACGTTAGTGATATCTATCATTTTGCTCGCCGCAGTGAAATACTTGTAACCTTCCTGGTGAAAAAAATCTTGAATAGCTTTGTCTTGACTGAAGTCATCTTTGGTGAAGAGAGCACCTACAGCCAAAATCGAGTATATGAGCGGCAGCGCATTATTCTGTTCGTTGCTGTAGTCTTCTGGAGCAGTGGTGTACAGACTTTCAAGCACTTTTATAAGAGTGGGCCGGTGATTGAAACGGAAAAGGACGAACGCACATCGCCAGCTTTTGTAGACCAAATTTTTGGCCATGTCAAGCGGAGGAAGCACAATTTTCATCTCAATCGGGTATATAGCCGGACCGTCATTATTGAGGTGACTGTCAGTTCTTGATTGGCCGTCGAATTGGGGTAGTTCGAGAAACTTGGATTCTATGGATTTGACATCCAATAGACCCTGGAAATTACTACGCTCTATGAGTTCAATCAGCCTATCGGTGGAAGCCTCATCTATCGGATCTTCTAAATTTGGAAATAAGGCATTGAAGATCCGCTTATAGCTTTTTAAATCGGTTGAGTTTGACGTTTGACTCTTGGAAAGTGCACTTTTCTTCTTGAAGGGAATCTCGTTACTCATACTGGATTCTCGGGCATTTGAAAGTGTCCGGGACTTTCTGATTGCTCGTGAAATGGGGCTGTACGTACAGTTATGAGAATACACGGTGCAGTGTATACAGGGGCGTCGTCCATCACATCTTACCTTTCTTTGGCGACACACATCGCAAGCTCTTGGGACTCTTAAACGCTTGGGCTGCAGTTTTTCGGTAGAGTGGTCGAGCGAGAGAACCAGGACGTTTGGAATAGCTTGTGAAGACATCACTAGACCGATGGTGATGGACCTCAAACGTTCTTGTTGAACAATGGCCCAAACTTATCAATAGCGATTTAGTCACTCAACTCTAATTAAATTAAACCATCCCAATTAATGCCGTAAATGACTAACGTAAACTAAACCGCTATGTAGAGACCTCAGGGGCCATTTTCATAATACCTGAAGCTTGCCAAATCGTAGAATCAAATCAAGTGTTTTCAAGCTTCTACTGAGTTCACTCTCGAAGGCTATTGCATGTTTTGCTGACCGATGCGAAGTCGTTCGAGACGCTTGCGAACCAGTTCATTCAAGGAATGGCCAGGTTCTCTGCCAACTTTCCTTTCATGAGCGTAGTAGCTTACCGCTCCGACTGCAAGGGCAAATATGGGGTCCAAAAACCTGTGAACAATCAATTGGTGTTAGTAAACTCAAAGGTAGAGAAGAGATACATTTACAGCTATTATTCGCCAAACATCGGTGAAATGATGCCTGGAAATCCAAAATAAAACTTACCGTCCCAATAAATATGGATTGGGCTGTACCATTGATGATGAAAAATGCTGAAGAGGTCAGAAACTCGATCCTGAGTTGTTCTTGTACAGTGTTTTATCCGAGTACGTGTGAAATCAATCAATTCTAGTAGAAAAGACAGATCGGTTTATTGGCTATGAAAATTGAAATATCATTCGAGGTAACAAAGAATAAAGAAAATCGAACTTGTAGGCCGTTTCTGTTCACTCAAAGAGCATCAAATTCAAGCCCCGGATGAATTACAGTACAATTGACCTGGACTCCGGCTTACAAGACCGGCCCATCGCCGAGTATGAGCTGCATCTTGTGCCCTGCAAGATAGGCACGACGGGGCCCACGAAAGAGATGGCAAGCGGATTCCGAAGAGACGCTGACGAGCCCAAACAAGAATCCGAAGGGTCGGTTACTTACCTTCGTGGCCGTAAAATCATTGGGAAAGCTGTATTTCCTCAGAAAGACCGCTATACAGTGGTAGCACTGGAACCGTGCGAAACAACAAATAACACATCATTAGACCACAAGAAAGCAGCTGAGATCTCTCATATCTACAATTACGAGCGCGAAGGCAACGAGCAACGCATGCATGAAGAAATGGACAAATTCCACGAATATCTCGAGCTTTCAGACCTGATCCATCAATCGTAGGAAGCACGAAAAAGAAAAAAAAACGCCACCAATCGGGGTTTTACGACAAGCGTAGCCATCTATAATTATCCAAAGGGACTACTCAAAGTCATTATCCTCCAGTTATACAAATCCTCGAATCGCTTTTGTCGTCTGAGATCGCGAACTCGTCAGCTCGAGTCAGCTGACCTTGAGGTGCACGTGACTTTAGCGTGGAATTACATCAAGGAAGCCAAGCTATACATCCAACAAGGTTGTAGGAACTCGAAGATCTGGAAATAACTCTTCAACTAAAGAGAAGGGCATAGAGCAGCTAAAACCCAACGCTGTGATTAGAGCTGAACCGCCGCTCACAAAATGACCATCCTGAAAAAACGACGGCTGGATTCGGACGAGAATGAAGTCAATAAATTGATTAAATGTTCTATCACAACACCGAAGCCCATGCAAGAACGTAAGTTTACCAATTTTGTCAACGAAGCCCCACACGAGCTGATATGTGCGATACTTATTTTGCTGGATCGGAAGGACACTATAGCACTCGCTTCTACGAGCAAAACTATGAGGAATAGGCTTCGGCCGTACGTTTTTGACCAAATAAAGTGCTCGTGGCACGATCTGACAAACTATTGGAACTTTTCAGATAATTTGCAGGCTCCTATAAAATGTCCCGCATTAGTGGAAACAATGCGTATTTCGCTTTCGTGTTCCAAAAATGAATGGGCCTTCCCCTTTCATGTCCTGTTTGACCATAATTCACCCTTGACTAATCTCAAAAGCCTGGTGCTTCCAACTTCAGGGTCAACGAATTTTTTCAAATACTGCCAAGAAGCACCTCGCTTGCTTAAATTGCGTATCACCGCAGATCGGAACAATTCCGAGTTTTCCCTCGAACATATTCGAAATTTCCCTGAGCTGCAAGAGCTCGCTTTAAGCAATTTCCATATTGAGGACCACGAAGACGCAGAATTTGATACATGTCCCAGGCTAAAAAACATTGCATTAACCAATTGCACATGGAGTTATCCATTCAATATTGAAAATCTGGGCAAAGATAAAATAACCACTCTCCATCTAATATATTCCAATAGCTTTATCATGAGCGAGCGCTTTAGATATTTTCTCTCATGCCCGGGCTTCACCAATTTGGAGGAGCTATCGGTGGTCAACTACGAAAATAACTTAAGGCTCACAATATCAGTGCAAATAATGGCCCTGATAAAGGCAATCCCCACATTAAAAAAGCTAAAACTGACAGGCAACATTAGCGACGAGGCCCTTCTCCGCCCGACAGAATCGAGGGATCCTAGCCACACCAACGTCGTGGCGGTTCAAGATGTTAAGATTTTCTACTCTAGTTTTTTGCGAGAGATAGGCTAAAAGAGGGAGAAAGGAAGGGAAAGGATAGGGAAACGAAAGGAAAACCTAGAAAAGAATAGTTACATAATATTACAATCACTGACGCCTAGCCCGTACATGACTTTTTCAACGTCTCTGCGGACCTTTACCCAGTCCGTTCTGCGCTGTACAAATTCATAAATTTCTTCCTGCGTGAATACGCCTTGGAACCTGCCAAGGTCGCAAATCATTTTACCTAGCTCCTTCGAGTCAGCACCCGATACCAGATAGAGCTGCCCAACAGCTTTAAGACCAGCGAAGAACGGTATAATATTCTTCTGCTTTAAGGTGTGCGCGATAAAATCATAATAATAGTTTAGATCGCAAATGAGAAATATGGCACCATCTGTAGAGATCAAGTTTTTTTTGATGTTCTTCACGATTTCGCTGAAAAACCGCTCCCCTATCTCCTGTTGAAAAATGTCTATGGTGCCCTTGTCGGTAGCACCAGTCAAAAGAAAACAATGGTTTGACAAAAGCTCCACGTTTTTAATAGCTGCTTTCGATGGTTTTATCTCTTTGGTCAAAAGTGTTTTGGAGTCTGGATTGAAATCATCCGGAAGTTGTAAAGTACCGAAAACAAATAACACTTCGTCCATTAGTTTGTTTATTCCAACATTGAGCCCATTCGCCACGTAATCATCAATCATTGTCTCAAAGGCTTTCTTGGATTGCACAACGTCGTTCAAAAAATCCTGATTCTTCTCGACGATCTTTATCTGAACCAATTCGTTCTTGTAAAAGATAGATATCATTTGCAGCACAATGTCGCCGGTGTTGATTAGTTCGGTAAACTTAATTAGGGGTTCAACGTGCGAGTCAAAGGTATCGAGTTCCAATTGTACATTTTTCATCTTGTTAGGGTCGTATTGATCCAATAATGCAATCGCTTTATCAAAACCTAACTTAAAATGGTCTTTAGACAAGCAGCCCACAAGTATCTTGAAAATTTCTCGGCATTTCAGCTTGACGATCTCTTCAATGTTTTTTATGGGCAAAAAGGTTCGCATATCCTCTATGCAATCTTTACAAGACTGCACGACTTTGTAGCAAAGATCCAAACTGACAAGAACCTGAATGTTATTCAAGCTTAAGTTCATGACATTCAAATTGTAAGCCATTTGAAGTTGCTGTTCCTCTTCAGCCTTGGCATTGTTGGAAATTTTGAAAATTTTGGTGAAAGATGTGAGAAAATTATTCTTTTCGTCGATGAGCTGCTGATTAGATGTTTTGTCTTTCAAGGTTTGATATATGCGGGCGTGTTGTTGTTGCTCTTTGAGCGAGTTTTCTTTTTGGAAGTTGATGAACATTTGCTCGATCTTGACGCCAAATCTCTGAACGCAGAAATCCAAATAAGTCAATATTTTGGGCTCGAAGTAGAGATCAAAGAATTCAACGAACATATTCTTGAATTGCGGTCCCGCATTTTGACTAGAAGATAGTTTTTCGACGACCTTTTGATGGAAAGCTTTATAAATCAGTGGCAATGACTCTATTGTGGCGATAGTTCCGTCCGTCGAAGTATTTAGCTGAGATCCAAAATATTCGGTGACGTTATTGGCTATTATACTTTCCACATATGTCACGGTCACCGGATGAGTTTCGCCAAAAATCCTGTCTGCTAGTTCAATTTTCGAATTCAAAAAGGAGCTGATTTGGTTCAGAGCGGCATCGAGCTGTGTTGATATAAGCTCATGGCTGACGGCATCAAAAATGCTCTCTGGTAGACTTACATCTGTGGAGAATTCATTTCTGGACTTGAACATGTCAACGGCCGTATTTTCTTCGTGACATTTTGCCAGAACAGTGACAAAGTCAGCCACTGTATCGTAATTCTTACTTCCATACGCCAGGTCCATCTCTTTAATCGCGGTATTCACGAACAACTCTCGAAGAATGCCCAAATTTTCTGTTGCTTTTCGACATTGAGAGACGTCCTTGGCTTCCGCCGGAATGTATCTGTATAGACCATCTATAATGCATGCCTGAGAAAGTGGATCGGAATACACTGGAGGGAAAAATCCGCCAAGCTCCCCACGATACAGCTTTTCCACGAAACCTTGATATTGTTGATAAAACTGGGAATAGATGGTCTTGGCGCATACTGCAGTAAAAGTTGTAAAGTTTGAAAAAATATCCACAGCACTGTTTTGAACATCGTTGTTGTTTTCAACAATCTCACTTTCGAGCAACCCCAAAATTTTGAGCTTTGCAACCCACACCCGGGTGTCATTGACCTCTGAGAGATGTTGGTAATAAACTTCTCTATTTACTTGACGAAAACTCAGGTAGTCCCGGGTGCACAATTGACTGGCTATTTCGACTACTATGTTGGTGACTTTGAGTACATCTTCCATAGTAGACGCCATTTTTGAAAGCAGATGAGTTACTTTGTTGAACTCAGCGCTTTGTCTTGAATTAAAGGTTTCTCTGGTTTAAATATGTATACCATAATAATAAGTATATTTCACTATACATTTCGTCAAATTATCACTTTCACATCAATCCGTCGCCACACCATTAGACAAATAATAAGGACAAAACAACAGCGTTAGCAACAACTAAAACTGTCGAGTGTCAGGTTATAGCGGCGGCGAACGTTTGAAGAAGTTGAAGAGCTTTCAAAACAACTTTCAACGGTACGATATTTTCGGAGATCTTGAAAATCCTCAAATATTCTGAACAAAAAGTTCATTTCCAATAGCGCGAATCTCAAGGGATAATGAACACAATGGCAAATGTAATGGAAACTTCCGGAATCAACACAAGGATTACGCTGCTTATTAGAAAGGTGAGTCCTTTAATGTACTTGCGTGTCAATATTACGACAAGCTAATAAAAACAATCATGTGACCCGATGAGCTAGATAGTTAAATATTGATGAAATAGACCTAGGGAATAAACATGGCTATAACTTTAGTCTCCCACCGGACTGGGCTTCGGAAAGCTTTCATAGATGAGTGATGTTGAAATAAAGCATAAGAGCTTGAATCATAGTTATTCACTTGAACCAGAAGACTCGGAAACTAGGGCTTCTATTGTGAAAACTGCCGAATATGTCAAGCGAAATGGAAAAGAGTTTGAAGCGAAATTGAACGTAGAGCAATTCCCATTCTTACAGGAGAGTAACGAATACCATGGATTTTATATCGGTCTTCTAGGACATACCCAAAGTGAAGAAAATACAGAGTTGCTCGAAAAACCACCAGTAACCGCTAAAGAATCATCACCAGTGGCGCCTCATTCATTCGTGTTTAGTACCACCGACAGAAACGTACCGAAAAGAGATTTGGAAATTGTCAAAAAAACTGCACTCATGTGTGTGTTGAATGAGAAACACGATTTTCTGAATACACTGCGAACCAAAGCATCGGAGCATCCACTACTAGGATTTCTAAATCCTCGCCATCCTTTGAACGAAACTTTCACAAGCTTCATAAATCAGTATAAGCAAGTTGCATCTAAGGAATTTGAGCTAGGGTCGCTTTTTGTGGAACAGGGACAAATGGGCTTTCTCAAACGGTGTTTCGAAAGGGCAAAGTACATGGAATACTCAGAGAGAATAGAGGTGCAAGAGGCTGCAACGCAGGAACGGCTCAAACTTCGGTTTTTCTCTTATGCGTGGGACAATTTCGAAATTTTGGGGAAGGTAGAGTTAGGTCTAGATGACGACTACGCGAAACCGCTTGAATTTGATCTTTTGCGACAAAAGACGCTACAGCACTCATCTACAAGCTCTACTTTTGCAGTTCATTCGACCATATCATCTACAGCTAGTGTCGATACTACTGTTGCAGAAAAAGAGACGAAACCCAAGAAGAAAAGCAAAATGAAGATACGTGCTGCGGGCGAGACTAGAATCAAGCAAAAAGGAGGCAATACTGGCACACAGCCAATGATAGAATGTCCCATCACACATAAGATGATTCCAGAGGTGGATTTCGACAAACATATTCAGGTCTTGTTGAGCGATCCAAACTACACGAAGGAAAGACACGAGTACGAAGCCAAAAATAACATATCAAATCTCACACTGGAAAGTGTGCACCAAAATGTTAAGCGACTCTCGCAAAACAGAAACTCCGTGCCTACCAAAAGGCAGAAAATATGACGACATGACATGCGAGTCGCAGGAACCTCTTTTCTAGAATTGTCAAAGGCGAGATAACCTAAGAAGACTCTGGTGCTAAATTGCAACCAGTCATTATTGTGAATGGATCTCGTTTTTCACCTTGAGCTCCCACAACTTTCTCAAAACTGATTGAAATCAGCGCAGATTTCTGATGGCCTGATTGATCTCAAAACAAGACTTTTTTCACTGCTTTTGCAATCAAAGAATAATACGGCAGGGTGAGAACGAGATATTCGAACGAAAGACGATTAAGTGATACTATGTTTATTTTAGTATCCCTGGACAAGCGAACATCATATGACATAAGTAGGATATGTCAACACCATACCAACGCCATGCCAGCAGCGCAGCTTCACAGTGAGAAAACGTTTACCTCGAAATTTTTTGTGGACTCTTCAAACCTTGCTCGACTCAGAGCACCTCTGATCGTGGCCCATATACAAACGCTAATCTGCGAGTCTGGAAGTTCAGGTGAAAGCAATTCTCAACAGAAGAGCAAGTGTTCAAACGCTTCACAAGAATAGGATGAATACAATAGAAGTCATTGGCTCACTTCTGGAGGTACACAATACGAACGATGAGAAATTTGGTTGAGATGGAAGCAATTTAGCATTGGTCTACAAAAGTTCAGCCGTAGTGCTATCACAACAGAAGCTAGATTTATAGATACTAATGTGACAAAAATGATTCACGATTAACATACTGAACAGGCTTAAGTATCAATAAAGGTATTCTTTGAATAGGAAACAGGCGAATTGCCTAATGGAATGAGAGCGTCGCCATGTCCAGGTATTTCAATGCTGCACTTGCTTGACCAACCAAAATAATTTTGCAGAGACTCGTCCTTGTTAGCTCAGTTGGTAGAGCGTTCGGCTTTTAAGCACGCTTGCAAGGAACCGAAATGTCAGGGGTTCGAGCCCCCTATGAGGAGTCTCTTATTTTTTTGGACTTCATGTTTTCGCTTTGTTTACATTTAAATTTATCAAGAATAAAGCGTAATAGACCCATAGACATCAAAAGCTCATCATAGCACTATAATAAGGCCAGCTTCAAGATTCAAATAGCACAGGATGGAATCCAACCTCGATATTAATCTCGATAACATTTTCTTCAAGTCTTACGCAATAGATCGAACATACAAATGTCCCATATACGTATTTGATTCGACCTTTTTGCCGTCTTCCGATCAAGTGAATGATCGAGAAATCTACGACCTGCTCATTGATGAAACGATGAATAAACTAGCTACTCAGCTACCGGAAACACCGTTCTCGCTGGTAGTTTTCAGCTCAGGCTTTTCCCAAAAAAAAATCAGTTGGATCTATGGCGTCAAGATGTATTCCAAAATTTCCAAAAACACCAGAGCCAAACTGCGGCAGCTGTGGGTTGTCCATGAATCACTTTTCGTGTATGCAGTCCATCAGGTACTCAGCAACGCGTTGAATATAAACCCATTTAAACTGAAACAGTCTTCCGCAGACAATGTTATGATTCATCATGTACCTAACCTAGTGGAGCTCAAAGATCTGGTTGACATTTCCCGGCTTAGGATATCACTTGGAGTTTACTTGTACGATTATCATCTAACAGAAACAACAGACATTCCATACAATAACCAGGGTCCAAAAGCTGCACTAGCCAACCGTCAGTATCGACAACTCATTTTTGATAAGATTTTCAAAAGGCTGAGGATTGAGGCCCCTAAACATCCACTTGTTTTCCAAAGGCCAGGATCTTATCAGAAAGTGAACATTCTTCTGGGGGTAATTGCTCGAAATAACTACGTTGACCTTTCGCATTGGGACGTTTACTCTTTGGGGACCGTGTTCCTGAATTTCATCAAAGGCAAAAGCAAACCCATCTTTCCCATTGACCTGATACCTCTCCCGATCAGCGAGTCTGTGGAGTACACCTACAACACTTTCGTCAACATGATGATGTACAATGAATACTACGAACTGACCTCCTACATTTTCGAGCTGTTCCTGACACTACTAGACAACTCACAAATTACTCTGCACGACTACAGGTCACTGAGTAAGTGTTTGACTCCGACACTTTGCCAAGAAAAAGTATCTTATAAGTCTTCAGACAGACTAGCCATCGGGTACCGGTTCACCAATAACATTTTGCTGCATTTCAGAGAGCTCAAACAACGTATAGAACAGTCAGGTGTCCTCAAAAACTCTGTCGCTGACAGTCAAAACGCCAAAGGAATTCCCAATCTCGCAGAAAATGCTCCCAAGGTCCCTCCTCCTCGAAAAGCCAGTCCCGTTAGAGCTGTTTCGTCCAGAAATACTAGTCCTGCGCGATTGACACAGTCCAATGAAGCATATCTCGAAAGAACGAGAACTGTGTCGGGCAAAGAAGCGCCACCTTTGCCCAAAAGGGCGGAACAGCGCTTTGTGCGCGATGCGCAGTCAATCCCAATTTTACAGCCAGACCAGCCAGACCAGCAGGATCTTTCGCCTTCTACCTCTTTGGAATCTCTTCGAATCGAGTGTTCTGCCTCGCCAAGTCCGGAAATTACCTCAAAGACTCAATCCAAGGATTCTGGAAAGCGGACTTTCAAAAATCCATCCAGTCCGCGGATCACGAGCGGCTCTTCTATCAAACTAGACAACGCAGACAATGATACTGAATCTAGACTCGTGTCCGAAGATGCAGTGAAGTCAAGATCAAAGGCTACGTCTGACAATTTCAAGATAGACCAAAGCAAGCTAAATTTACTTCTTGAGAACAATCAGAAGATCAAAAAATTCGACGAGGAGCTAAAAAAACGGAAGACAAGTACCGCTCCAAATTCGAACGGTGTTCCCAGTAAAGGTTATTCTGACATCGCCGCTGGCAATAAAGTCAGCCAGCTTGCAGCTTTGTATGAAGAAAGATTAATTGGAATCAAGGTAATGGAAGACATGCGCAGAAGTCAATGATACAAATCAAAGATACAAATGTCATACATTCTGACGGTTTACAAGCTGTTTTGATCATCGCGGAAAACTCGGTGTACGCCCAACTTGACCAGACCTTCATCACTTGTCACGAAATAACGAAACGCCAAAATCAATATACGCCTCGAGGAAAGCCAAGAATACCAAACAAATATTGAAAACACGGTTCAAGCTTCAAAGTTCCCCTTTACCAGCCTCAGTATTGTTGCGATATTTCGCTGAAGTGGATCTTCAGATCAACTTTTGGGTACTAGCTTACAAAGAAGAGGTGCGCTGTAAAGAACTCTGTCATACGTTGAGATCAGCGAGAGAAATCAAGGCGAATGGTTCTTCCGACCACCCCTCTCTCCGCTACTAAGGACCCTATAGATTCGAGCACTGCTTCATTATATGAAGTTACGCCAACAAAGCCTCTGGATCTGAACCAGGCGCCACGAAATCAGCAATGGTTTCGCAACGAAACACAACAAAATCATTCACGAAATTCACAAGATACGACTGGCGACCAACCAAAGACCAATCGGGTAACAACTGACTCTAGATACTCTACTTCGTCAATTCTCAAATCTGCATCAGAGCTCTCCTTTCAAACAGCATACTCGTCGGGCTCTCCAAATGGTCAGCACATGATCAATAATGACGATGCTGAGCAACAGTCGGATTCAGAAATATCGATGGATGATGCGACGCCAATAGTGGCTCCGAGCTCTCATTTCGGTGCTACCACCCCTCATTTAGATGTCAATGGATCTTACGTGGACACAGAACAACACTCACCAGATAGCTTCAATTTCGTGGAAAATAGTTCCAATGTCCCCAAAAGCTCACAATGGGCAGGACTAGGCCTTTCCTCTACAGAGCAGACCGCTGGCGGTACGACAGAAAGCACTCGATTATCCGAAAACTTTTCGGGACAAAATGACCACACAACGAACCATGTTCGAACATCTCCATCCAAAATATCCAAGTCGCATCGGAGATCATTAATGAGTTTGAAAAGAGAAAGCATTCACAATGCATACACCAAGACACCTGTGGAGGCCCCAAAAGCCACCGAAGAAGGAATTGCAGACCTAGTCAATATTGTGGAGCCTAATGAGATCAGCGCATATAGCGAAGATTCTACTTTATCTCACGATGACTATCACTATCGTCTGGACGATGAGAAGACAGGACCTAAAAATATCGAAAGAAAGCATACATTTAAGAGAAGCTCAGAGTTGGAGCTCGACGAAACAAATTTGGCGTATCTTTTTATTGTAGCAATCCATTCCTTCAACTCCCAGTCACTGAAGAACCAGGATGATATTGCTATTTGTCTGTCGTTCGAAAAAAACGATATCGCTTTCGTGCATACTGTGGATGAATCGGGCTGGGGTGAGGTAACACTTGTCAGCAACCAAAAACGAGGGTGGGTTCCTTTCAACTACTTCTCTGACATGATAGGAAGCTCTACAGACTTGGGGGATAAAATGAAATCTTCACTGAATAGAAGACCACCTTTAGCCAAGCTTCTATCATCGTCCGCCCAGTTTCTATTGCATCCTCAAGACTATGTTTTGCCTGACGGGTCGGGTGTAAGCTTTTCCCTCAAGTACATTAATGGTATAAGAGACGGCGTGAAATTCTTACTTGAGACCACTGGTTGCGTCTCGCGATCCAACGAACTCGTTAAGAATAGAATTGCGCTGAAGCGGTCCAGGAAACTTCTTCTCGCTGACTGGTACAATCTTATGATCAAGGCAGATTCTTACAAGTACACAACTGATGAAAAAAGACTCCAAACTCTAACTAATCTTACATTCCAAATTATCAAACGGGGCCACGCTTTTTACTACGTGTGGTTTATAGAGAAACAAGCTCATGAAAAGGAAAAGAAGCTTGGTCTAACCCAAATTCCAAGTTCAACAGATGTAATCAACGGGCACATTGACGACCGAGGGAACAAGAAACTCGCACCATCCAATCACTCGAATTTCCCTAAGTTGGAATCACCTCCGTGGGCTGTTCAACGACTGAACGAAGTTCACGATATGTTATTCTCGTACATTGCCCTGATCCTTGGGCGAATGGATATGATCGAACGCAATGCTGCTGGGTGTGAGGTGTTGGAGACAGTTGTACACCAAATCATCATTCTACTTCGTGAGTTACTATATATCAGCAAATGCTGTTCATCCGTTGTTCAGGTCAAGTTTCCGAAGGTGCAACGAAAGGAGATGTCATTGGATCAGAGCCTCGATCCTTTGTTGTCTCTGGTCTCGGAACTCGTTTCTTGCATCAAAGTTTTTGTTGTGCACTCGATGAATGATGGTTCAGAGGATAAAAAAGGTTTTCTCGGAAGCACTTTTGTGAGGGATGAGGATTACACATACACGGATGACGGGAAGCGATTGATGGCAATTGTTTCAAAGATGACTGGCTTCATTGGTGTTGCCATTCAGCAATGCCATCGCTACTTGAAGGTGACTGGAAATTTCCAACTAGGAGAAGAACGGTCTTATCCTGATCTTGAAGTAATCAAGATAACATCAGAACAGTTTGTCAAACGATGCTCTGTTGGACTAACCAAAATAGCAGAGGCGAGACAAGAACAGAGAAGTAGTATTCCCGCTGCCGCTGTGGCTAAAAATGGTCATCCTTATGCCAAAAAGCTTTATCGATACTCACTGGTGAGAGCAGGAAGTAACGGCATAACACCTTCCGGAAGCCAGCTGCTTCAAGAGGTTATACCTGACAATAAACCGTTTATCGATGACAGTTCTTTTGATAAATATAAACTTTCGGAGAGTGAGTCGGAACCTACCACCGGACATGACAATGTGAACGATAGAGAGCGCATACGAACCGAAATGGTTTTCGATAATGATGGGAAACTGCTGGGTGCGTCAAACCGTGCTTTGATTTTCATCCTTACTGATGAGCTAGATCGTCCAAGCGAATTTTTAATTGCAACCTATTTGTTGAACTATCGCTCTTTCTCAAGCCCCCTGGATTTTATTGCTGAGCTTATTGCAAGATTCGATCTACCGGATAAGTCCTTCGCATATGAGCGGGATGTCAGAAATGGGCAATATTCGTCGAGGTCTTCAAGGCTCAAAAATAGACGTCGCATGGTGTGCCATATTTTTCAAGTCTGGATGGAAAGCTATTGGGATTATCAGAGTGATTTTACTTACTTATCCACAATTATCAATTTTTTCAACGAAGGTATTTCCAGCCATCTCCCACTCGAAGCGAGAAATCTCATTGAGACAGCAGCCATTCTTTTTTCAAAAGCGACTGCATCCGAGTATCAAAGCTCTTTGGCAGCTTCTCAAATTATGCCGAGAGAAATAGTTATTCCGAGCAGACATTCAATAATCTCACTGGACTCTGTTGCATCAAGCAAAAGGTCAACAGTCATATCGGTGGACGAACATGTGCTAGAGGAGTATGAACTTACAAAACTGCCTTCTGGCAGGACAAGCTCCATATCTATACCACTTCCAATGTTAAATATTGGGACGTCGTCGCTTCTGGGACGCAGACAAATCGCCGAAATGGAGCGTCTTACCAAAAACTATCACTCTATGCTATATCCATCAAGCTTCGATTTCAGTAGTGCTGATACTAAAACCGAACCTGACTTGATTTCTATGCTTTGCGAGTGGTCGTCACTAATTCAAAGATCCGCTTTCGAGAACCCTCCTGCAGGTTTGGTTCATAACGACCTCAATCTCGTGGAGCTGAACCCTTTGGAAGTTGCCAAGCAACTTTCACTGATTGAATCGGCATTATTCGTGACGGTGAAGCCTGGAGAGTTACTCAATCAGAAACGCAGCACAAGCAAAAACGACACCACGAGCTCTCCTGACATCGAGCGGATCATTGATTTCTCTAATGTGTTATCCAATTATGTTATTGAATCTGTTGTCGCGCCAAAACTAATGTTGAAGGCGCGTGTCAATAGACTTACTGCCTGGTTGAGCATTGCTCTCTCTTCGTTGTATTTCAGAAATTTCAACTCTGTTGCAACGATTATGACAGCTCTCCAGAGTCACATTTTGGGCAGACTGGCGCCTATTTGGAAGGGTTTGAGCGACAAGCATGTTGAGCTATTCCACTACTTATCAAAAATTGTTCACCCTAACAAAAACTACAGCGTTTATCGAACTAAATTGAAGAGTTTGGCTACAGATTTCACACCTTCGGATAACATGTACACCAAGTGCCACCTCCCATCTGTTCCATTCTTTGCATTGTTTCTACGAGATATGGCGATAGTTCAGGAGGGTTTAAATGACTTCCGTGATCCATCTTCGTTCAGACCCAATCGACTAGTCAACATGGACAAATTTAACAGACTTACAAAAACAGTTTCTCTTCTGCAGTTCTTCCAAGTTCCATACGACACTAATGATAGACCAAACCTTTTGGGAAGCGGAAGAGATTCTTTTTTCAATCTCTCCGGCAATTCGGATATCGATACTACTGGAATTAAGCCCGTTTTACTACTACAAAAGTTCATGCTGTATGAACTTTGGCGTGTGAATGGTCTTTATACTGACGACAGAGACCGAGGCTACAATCTCAGTTTGTCTCTAAGTCCTAAAAATGAGTTATAGAGCCGAAGCTCCTCAAACTTTATAGCGTAGAAGACGAAAATACAACTCGATATAAGCTGCTGGCAAACAAACGATTAGAGCTTCATTTCTTGAATAAATATTGATTAAAAATGGTCAGGACCCTGGACCAATTGTCTTGAATCAAAAGATTCACATTTCAAGCGCGGCTTATTTCGCCAATGTAATTGATAGCTGAGCCGTACTTGAAGAAAGCGACCTGATCTTTGGACATGGTGTGCTTCGCCTTTATGGTGAACGACTCGCCGGTTGGTTTTGTGACTTTAATGTCTAGCTCGCCGCCGTTGTTTCCGTCCTTTGCAACTAATTCCTTCAAACCCACAGTCTCCAAAACGTCACCTGAAGATATCAGATCGTAGTCGGATTCGTTGGCAAATGTCAGAGGTAGTACACCTTGCTTTTTCAAATTCGTTTCGTGGATTCTAGCGAAGGACTTGACCAAAATAATCTCACCTCCCAAGAATCTTGGAGACAAGGCAGCATGCTCTCTTGCAGATCCTTCACCGTAGTTGTGCTCGGCTACCACAGTCCACGGTCTCTCTTCTTGCTTCCATTTCATCATGAGTTCTGGAATTCCATAAGCTGTACCGTCAAAATCGTATGCCTTGTTTACTTCTCCAGTTTCCTTATTCTGGGCTCCGATTAGAGTGTTGTAAGAGATGTTTTCCAAATGGCCTTTGTATTTCAGCCAAACTCCAGCGGCAGAAATGTGGTCGGTTGTGCATTTACCTTCAACCTTCAAAAGAACATTTGTTTTCAACTCTTGACCATTCCAAGGCTTGAAAGGCTCGAGCAACTGCAAGCGGTCAGAAGTAGGAGACACCCTTACTTCAACTGAAGCATCGGGTGTAGGATTCTGTGGTGGATAAAACTCTTGTCTGCCGGACAGAAATCCGCGCTGTGGCAGTTCGACACCCGTTGGAGGCTTGAAGGTGAAGTCTGAGCCATCCTGCAGCTTGATTGAGTCTTTTATAGGGTTGAACTGAGCATCCCCAGAATAGATCATTGCTGTGACCATTTCGGGCGATGTTAAAAAGTTCATAGTGTTTCTGTTTCCATCGTTTCTGGCCTTGAAGTTACGGTTGAAAGAAGTGAAGATGGAGTTCACCTCGCTGGAAGTCTTTTGAACGTCCTGTCTATCCCATTGCCCGATACATGGCCCGCAAGCGTTCGCTAGCACAATAGCTCCATTATCTTCGAATGTCTTGATTAAGCCGTCTCTTTCCATAGTGGCTCTGATTTGCTCTGATCCTGGAGTGACAAAGAAAGGAATGCGGGGTTTCAATCCAGCATCGGAGGCCTGTCTCACAAGATCTGCGGCTCTGGTCATGTCCTGGTATGAAGAGTTGGTACAAGAGCCTATAAGACCAGCGGATATTTTCTGAGGCCAATTTTCCTTCAAAGTCTTTGAGCCATATTCAGATATCGGAGTGGACAAGTCTGGAGTAAATGGCCCGTTTACATGAGGTTCCAGCTCGCTCAAGTTGATCTCGATGACCTTGTCGTATTGGGCACCTTGATCAGCGCGTAGAAAGTTGTGGTTGCGTGCAGCATTATCGGCCAACTCAGCAAGTCCTGCTCTTCCAGTGGCCTTTAGATAACGAGCGTGTGCTTCTTGATATGGGAACGTCGAAGTGGTAGCTCCGATTTCGGCACCCATGTTACATATGGTAGCCATACCGGTGCAGGACAAGGTTTCAACACCTTCTCCGAAGTACTCGACAATGTAGCCAGTACCACCTCTGACGGTAAGAATACCAGCAAGCTTTGTTATAACGTCTTTGGGCGAGGTCCAGTCGTGCATACGACCGGTGAGCTTGACACCAAGGACTTTGGCAGCCTTGAGCTCCCATGGTGTGCCAGTTAAGGCATCAACAGCATCAGCACCGCCAACACCGATGGCAATAGCACCCAGACCACCTGCGTTAGGCGTATGGGAGTCTGTTCCGAGCATCATGAGACCTGGCGCCGAGAAATTTTCCAGCACAATTTGATGGATAATACCAGAGCCGGGACCCCAGAATTGAATACCGTATTTGTCGGCACAGCTCTGCAAGAAGTCAAAGACCTCTTTGTTGGTGGCAATGGAGGATGCCAAATCCAGGGCCTCACCGTCCTTCCCAACGATAAGATGGTCACAGTGGATGGAAGCTGGAACCGAAGTCTCTGCCAGACCTGTGGTCATGAATTGTAGTAGCGCCATCTGTGCAGATGCGTCCTGCATGGCCACACGATCAGGATTCAGTTTGAGGTATTGTAGGCCGCGGATATCTTGCAGATTCGAAGACGTTAGAGACTCCTCTGGGTCACACAGGTGCGAATATAGAATTTTTTCGGCAAGCGTTAGCGGCGTATTGTTGGTGATGGCTTTGACTTTGTCGAGGTTAGCGATGAGCTTGGCATATGGCGGGGCTGCACGTGATCCAGCCATGTCCGAGGTGAATTTTTGGGCATGGGTGGCCAGACACCTTTTGGTGGCGATTGATCTTGCGCTGAGCATTTTGAAGTTTCAAGGGCAGAGAAATAAATCGAAATTTCCAATTTCTTCAAAAAAAATAAGTCTTTCAAGTTTGTCTTTGAAAAGCAGAAAGATACTATGCAGAATTATCCAACTTCCGATGAAAATAATATCGAAAAACGGACAGAATTGGGTCAAAGTGATCTCTTTGGTAAACAAAGCTGGAATAAGCCTAGATGAGAAGTTGGGAGCGAGTATAGGTTGTCACGTGCTCTAGGTGTATGGGTGTTGTAAAAAGATCTCGAAATGGAATCTTCAGGCGAGGGTCACGTGCTGTTTCTGATGCTTACGTAATAACCAGTATCACGCTAAAACTCAGTAGTACACTTTAAAGAACCAGAAATAAAATTTATTAGCTTCTTAACGACAGCGGCGGGAAGAGAGAATGCTAATAAAGACAAAATCTTTAGGGAAAAGTGGCAAGTAATGAAATGTGAGAAAACCTGTCTATCTTCTTGTGCGATACTGTAATACACCACCTTGATAATGCTTGCCTCTGTTAACTATGTACAGGTTCTAAGCAAGACAACAATTAGACCGTCTTCTCACCTTCTATATAATCGTTGCGAGCGTAGCTGGTATGATGATCAGTCAGTCATATGAAAAAAAAAGTTTTTTCCGGGGGAAAAAAGCAAAATTAGTCACGTGATGATTTGGTCGGAATTGAAAAAATAAATGCTTCCAACCAGATTTGAACTGATGATCTCCACATTACTAGTGTGGCGCCTTACCAACTTGGCCATAGAAGCTGTTTCTGTTGGTGGGGGAAAGAAGGGAAAATATAAGTGTGGTCTTTGGCAGCAGATGATGTCATGGGGTCATGGAACGATCAGACTTGAATAATTAAAGGTGAGGTTGAAAGGGAGTTTTTGTCACTATCAGCCTTCAATATGTTAGCTTTTGTGTGGGGTCTCATCTTAAGCTGTCGTTTTTGCACGCTAGTGTATCGCGAAAATTGGGGGCCTTCCAAAAGCCGTTCTAAGTCTTCCCGATCAAGCAACTAAAAAGAAGAACATCGGTATCTGGATGTGAGGATAGCTCCCACCGGCTAGCAAATAGATTCCTGATGAATTTGTGAGATTAACTTCCCATTATCTGTATGGGTCGCGTGACTCCCAAGGTATAGGTTTTGGCTTGATATTTAAACCCTACAGCCGTGCTTTCGTATAAACTGACATACGTTTAAATTCCATTTTATAATTTGAACATTCTCCCCTGCATTTAACCTCAAATAAATTAATTAAGACTTACCTTCCTGATCACCACTTTTTCAGACGACTTCGAGATAGAACAACAGAGCGGCTGATAGCCATGCTCCAAAACAACTAGTTATCATCCAATTCCCAATGCGCCCTTGCGATTTTAACGCTAATACCGACCGGTTCTGTCTTCTCTACCAAATTTCCCCGTCAACCTTAGCCGCCGATGATAAAGGGTCATTTTTTTCGGGGAAAGCTTACGCTGATTTTCCTCTTTCTTTGACAGTACAGACAGCGCACAAAAAAACAAACACCAAAAAACCCTCACTTTTTGGGCAAAACCAACCCAAAACGAGTCTATTTTTTTTTTGTGTCAAGATATCGTCAATAGCCGCTCAGCGTCAAGACCACAAAAATTGAAAATTCGTCGTCCTCGTGACTCCGATATCACCCCCAACGATCCGTGCGAACTGATCATTTTAGCTCCGGAAAAAAAAGAATCTAACAAAAAAAAAAAAAGAAAAGAAAAAGAAAGGCATGCAGGGAACCTGATGAACATCTATTTTCAAGTCCTTTCTTTTTTAGGATATGGACTAAGTTCTGCTCACCCTCTTCTAAATTGATGTAGCACGTTTACTCAATTTAAATTTAAGATGCCCATAAATCCGGGTCTCCAAGAAAAATTGACAACCTTCAAATTGGCTTTCCAATCTTGTCCACACACGTTTCCTCATCAACTCTATACCAACATATTGTGCTTGGCAGTGTTGTAATCTCAGTGAACTGTTTGCAGCAAGGTAGTTAGTGCCCAGCTTTGTTTTTTTTTTGGGGGGTACATCATCCGTGCATTTAGATGAAGTTTTCAAATTCTTTGAAGTACAATGCGGTGCCGGAATGGCAAGAACACTACTTGAATTATTCGCAGCTCAAACGGCTAATCTATTCTCTGCAGGCTCAAGATCTACGTGTAATCGATGAGGGCGGACAGGTAGACGCAGAACGCTTGAAAGCGCTTGAAGGGACGTCAAAAGCGCTTCAGAAATTCAAAAACAAGTTCCGCAGAAACGAACGGACCGGCAGCGGCCAGAAAAAATCCGATGAAACTGCCAATGACATCGAGGGAGACGTCAATGTGGAGACTTTGGAGTTGGACGATTTCCGGTCCTCTGCACGCCGAAACGCGTCGAAGGCGGCCGCTTTTGACCATCGTTCTTCGCTCTCCAGCGATAGAACGCTTTTCAACCCACAGGACACGTTCATGAGCAAACTGACCGACGAGCGTGCAAAAATTGACGATTTTTACAAGAAATTGGAAGCCAAACTTTACGGTCGTTTCGAAACGCTACTCTCAGATCTTCAAAAGGTGACCGGTGCCGGCCGTCGCGCCAGCGTTGGAACTGGCCTTGGCAGAGCATCATCGACCCCGTTCAATGAAACTTTGGATGACCCAGAAAGTGTGATTGATGGACGCAGTAACACCCACAGACGCGGGTCAGCATTATCAAGGCGCAGTACGGCGATCGCAGAGCTGCACCGCGAGGGCGATGAAGAAGAGGAAGAAGAAGAAGAGGAAGAGGAAGAAGATTACGACGAGCATCACGAAAACACCGCTTTGCTTAACTACTCTGACTTCAATGTCAAAAGTCAAAAAAGGGCAATTCTCAAAAAAAACTTGATAGACCTATACGTTGATCTTGCCCAACTCAAATCTTTTATCGAACTCAACCGCATCGGTTTCCTCAAAATCTCCAAGAAATTTGACAAAACGCTGAACTGCAACATTAAGCAAGAGTTCATCGAATCCGGTGACTTTTTTGCGAACACCTATGTATTCCAGCCTCACACGTTGGAGACTTTGGACTCTCGAATCATGCAGCTAATCGATTCATATGCCCGCTTGACACACGGTGACCTGGTCGCCAGTAAAGAAGAGCTGAGATCTTACTTACGCGACTTTATCGTTTGGGAAAGAAATACAGTATGGAAAGATATGTTGGGGCTAGAGTCACACAACAACACTTTTACCTCTGCTGGAAGACCCGACGTAAACGGAGACATCACCAATTTGGAAAACAACACCCACCTAGAGTACCGCGTTTGGAATCTTCCAAGACCTATCAAGATAAGATCTTGGACGTGGTCCACCATCAAGGTTCCGGAACTATTTTTCACTCTCAAAGCTTTGAAACTGTACATCATTATTGCATGTACAATTATACTTCTCCTGGTTCCTACTTTCAACGATCATGCCCAACACCGTTGTATGGCGCTTGTTGCTTGTGTCGCTTTCCTGTGGGCTTCTGAAGCTTTACCTTTATTTGTTACAGCCATCTTGGTTCCCATGTTCGTCGTGGTTTTCAAAGTTGTTAAAACTTCGGACGGTAAAGTAATGGATGCCGCAGCAGCGTCTAGCTGGATTTTGTCCAAGATGTGGTCGTCCACTATCATGATTTTGTTGGCTGGTTTCACGCTAGCCGCTGCCCTCTCCAAGTATAACGTTGCAAAGGTTCTCGCATCGTACTTACTCACAATAGCAGGCACTAAACCCCGCAACGTTTTGCTCATGACCATGAGCGTTTGCTTCTTTTTGTCAATGTGGATCTCTAACGTTGCGGCCCCAGTCTTGACATACTCTCTTATCCAGCCTGTCCTCAAGACTTTAGACTATAGTTCCCCTTTTGCAAGATCACTTGTTCTTGGTGTTGCCCTATCTGCTAATGTCGGTGGTATGGCGTCGCCCATCTCATCGCCTCAAAATATCATCGCCATGAACTATTTGAAGCCATACAACGTTGGTTGGGGTCAATTTTTCGCCGTTGCCCTCCCAACCAGTATCTTGTCCATGTTGACTATATGGGGTCTCTTGTGTTTGACTTTCAAGATCAACCAGACAACATTGAAGAAATACACTCCTATCAAAGAAAGATTCACATTAAAGCAATACTATGTCATAGTGGTAAGTTTGGCTACCATCATCCTATGGTGTGTTGAATCAAAAATTGAGGACGTGTTCGGCGCCTCCGGAGAGATAGCTGTGATTCCAATTGTTCTTTTCTTCGGAACCGGTCTGTTAAGCACTCAAGATGTCAACAACTTCCCTTGGTCCATTGTCATTCTGGCTATGGGTGGTATTGCATTGGGTGGCGCTGTCCAGTCCTCGGGTCTTTTGGCCACTATTGCCGGTGCTTTGCAGCGTCGTGTCATGGACTTCCCGATATACGCGGTTCTCATCATTTTCGGTGTTGTTATGCTTGTGGTTGGTACGTTCGTGTCTCACACGGTGTCTGCCATTATTATTGTGCCTCTAATGCAAGAAGTCGGTGATAAGTTGCCGGGGAAGAACTCTGCGCCTATCTTGGTTTTCGGATGTACTCTGCTCGCATCATGCGGTATGGGGTTGGCATCGTCAGGATTCCCAAACGTCACAGCCATTTCGATGGTCGATGAAGTGGGCAACCGTTATCTGAGCGTCAATACGTTCTTGACGCGTGGTATCCCCGCTTCCTTTTTAGCATTTCTCTGCGTCATCACCCTGGGCTACGGGATAATGAACTCAGTCTTTTAAGCAGAGGGATGTTGTTGGGGCATCCGCGGTCCCCTATCACATCAGGAACGAACGAAAGGAAAGAAAAAAAGGAAATAAATAAATGCTGAATTATGGGAAGGTGCGTTTTTCGCTTAATACAAGAGTTACGAATCCTTGGTGCCCAACGCGAGCAGCATTTCCGAAACACTACAGGGACGTCAAGTTAGTTTTTCATAGGTACATCAATCAGCATTTTATTTGGTTAATATTTGATGTTAATGCACAATGGATAGGAGCCTCAATTCGCATTTGTAGCAAGAGTGAGGTTGTATTCCTGGTAAGTAATCAACTGTATCGCCAATTTGGCTTTTTCAAATTTCTTGTTTATTTCAAGACGTTGAAAGCGAATTTCATGTCAAGATGCTTTGAAGACATAATAACATACAAGAACGGCAGTTGCGAAGGGCCATCTTACACAACAACACTCTTAAAAGTTAGGACATTTGATACATTTCGTGTGTAACAAACGCTCAAGTCCGGGAGCGTTTGATAATTTTATTTAGAAAACTCAAGACCAAAAGCGAATGAGCGGTTGGACCAAAATCGGATACGGAGCGGTCAAAGCGGCCAAAGGAGAAAGCCTTAAAGTGAACGGGCTTGAATTGTCTTGACTTTCTGCTGCCAGACGACCGGAAGAATGATCATTAAGCCACGTCAGAACTTGGATAGCTTGGCTCAGAGATAGAAGCTCATTCATGTGACCTAGCTGAGCGCATATTATTCCAAAATTGTATATTGTTTGTTTCCCTGTACATAACACGATACCTCAACTTTCTGACCTACAAATAACACAACGAGGGGATACCGCCGAAGCTATTAGGGCATCAGTAGAACCAGAAAAGCTTTCTCACTATTGTAGGCTTAATTTTCTGATTCCAGCAGTTTTTTTGACACCTAAAAAAGCCAAATTCGAGAAGTTCACGGTGGTAAACCAATGGATGACGAATCGACGCATTCTATAGGGAGGGAGTTCCAGGACGAGTTTGTGGGAGATAAGGCGACGGAGGCGGCCCAGATAATTGCAAAAGACGAACACAACAGGTCAGCAATTGATGCAAGCACCGTTGAAAATCATGACCATGAAAACTTGTCTTTAGCCGACCAAAGGGCAAGTTTGTCTCAAATGTACGAAAAATCCCAAAAAGAAGCCAAAGAAGGTGATCCTGTTTATGTCATACCTTCTTTATGGTTCGACAGGTTTTTGGATCCACAAATTAACGAGAAGTCCGCTCTGGGACCGCTAAATACCAGCTCTATTTGTCGCGATTATGATAATTTCGTTTTGGCCGACTATAATTCGAATCCGTACATTTCAGTGCCACAGGCGATTTTTGAGAAGCTGTTAGAGTGGTATGGACTCTCCCCGGGCTCAAGGGCTCTGAAAACTGTATTGGTCAAGGATGAAAACGGTCAACTTGCTCCTGAGTACGATCGCTGCTACGTCAGATTACATCTATTGAAGCCAACATCAACCACACAGCAACATAGATACTCAAACGGGAATAAAAAACCACTATTTTTCGCCACCTCGAGATTGAGCACTTTAAGAAAGGTGATACAAAAGTGTCTCGAAGTACTGGGACAGCACGAGTCTGACCTCGATCTATCAACACATCAATTTAGGATTTGGCAGGTTGAAGCTTCTCAAAACTCAGGACAATCCTCTCAGCTATCACAATGCTATCTTTTAGATTCTTTGGCATTTGCCAAACTTCCAATAAAAAAGAGGTTTCGTCCTAATTCTTTTGATGAATCTGTTCGAGCTCTGAACAGTTCTGTTATAGACCTTGTAACAGAGTTCAAACGCCCCGATTCCGGAGACCACTGGCCATCAAACTACTATTATCATAACGAGCTTCGTCCTCCAAAGGGGATCGTGGGTCTTTCAAATTTGGGGAACAGTTGCTATATGAATTCAGCGCTCCAATGTCTGGTCCACATCCCTGAATTGAGGGACTATTTCCTTTATGGGAACGTTGAGCACGAAATTAATACACACAATCCATTGGGCTACAGCGGTCAGATAGCCAGAAATTTCGCTTCACTAATAAAGTCTTTATTTGACGAACAGCATCCAAACCTTACAACATTTCTACCAAGAGCATTCAAATCGACTCTGGGACACCATAATTCCATGTTCTCTGGATACTTACAGCAAGACTCGCAGGAGTTTTTATCATTTCTCTTAGATGGACTGCATGAGGACCTGAACCGGATCGTAGACAAACCTTTCGTTGAAAAGCCGGAACTCTCTCCTAATGATGACGTGAACGATGAGAAGTTGATAAGTCGCCTCGCCAAGGAAACCAAGGACAAGCATAAGCTAAGAAATGATTCAGTAATCAATGACCTTTTTACCGGAATGTATAAGTCCACTCTAACATGTCCGGCCTGTAATAAAGTGTCCGTCACTTTTGATCCTTTCAGTGATTTGACTCTTCCTTTACCCGTTGAGAGTTTCTGGAGTAGTAAAATACTATTGTTTCCTCAAAACTCGCCGCCTTGCGTAATTGAGGTCGAGCTAGCCAAAGGTTCTACTTACCAAGATTTGAAGCACTATATTGCAAAAGCGGCAGATTTGAAAGTCGAAAATCTGATAGGCGCAGAAGTCTTTAACCATGCATTCTACAATAACTACGAATCCGCAAGTTCCGATTCCAAATACCTACCGATCAATGATTTGGCCTCAGAAGGAGACACAATTGTCTTCTACGAAGTAGCTCGCGATTCAAACACTTTAATCGTTCCAGTTCTCAACACTGAAATTGAGGAAGGATTCCCGAGTCCAAAGTTATTCGGCTACCCTTTCTTCATTGCTTTATCGAAAGACGATCTTAATTGTTACGGTGCAATCAAAAAGCAGTTAGAGAAACATTACGGGAACTTGAGCGGAAATTTTATTGATTCTCAATCACCACTCGCTTCGGAATCTTCCACAGCAGAGGCACCAGAATTGTTGAAGAAAAAGTACCCAAACGTGGACTTCACCGACTACAAGAAAGATATCGAGAACAGTTCCTCAACCAATTTAATCAACCACATGTTCTCTTTGAAGATTTTGAATGGTCCCATTCAAAGAGATCCTTCCTCCGGTTCAATTGATGAGGCAGAAATTTGGGCCCCCGACCCTCGAGTTAATGTAAACGCCAGCATTGACGTAACGACGCTAATGAATAATGTTACAAAAGACATATACGATCATCAAAAACTGGTCGATCAAAAAGAAGAGATTGAAGATTATTCTTCATTGATAAGTCAACAAGATAATATCAGCAAACCTGATGGCGGAGGTGAAGGGCATGAATCAGATATGGATGTTGACAATGACTGCAATGTTTTGTCTTCTCTAGACAACGCTGCGCTTGCTCCGAATAATACTGCGCATTCACTGAGCGTGACTGGACAGAAGGGTTTAGGCTATGACAATATCCCTTCACAACCAGCCTTACTTGGATTGGGGCAAGCATTAATCTGCCAATGGAACAGTGGCGCAGTGGCTAAGGTTTTCTCCGATGAGTCGGAATTTTCATGGGATAGACCTGCTGAGCTCAGGAATCCAAACCTAGAGGCAATTAAAGAAGAAAGAAGTAAGCGAAGTCGAAAGCAAATCACTATTGAGGATTGTCTGAATTTGTTTTCGAAGCCTGAGGTTCTAGGAACCGCCGACTCGTGGTTTTGTCCTCGCTGCAGAGAGCACAGACAGGCTACCAAACAAATCCAGCTTTGGGATACTCCTGAAATCCTGATAATCCACTTGAAGAGATTTGAAAATCGTGACTCTTTTAGCGACAAGATCACAGATGTAATATCCTTCCCTATCACAGGTTTCGATATGTCTTCCCATTTGGCGAGCAAGAAAGAGGAGGGACGGAATATTTATGACTTAGTTGCGGTCGATAATCATTATGGTGGGCTCGGCGGTGGTCATTACACAGCATATGCGAAAAATGCCGAGGACGACAAGTGGTATTACTTTGATGATTCTCGAGTTACGGAGACAAACTGCGAACGATCGGTTTCCGAAGCAGCGTACCTCTTGTTCTATCGTCGCCGCGAGATAGGTTCTAACAAGGAAACCTCAGAATTACGAGAACAGCTGTCTGCTTGGCGTCAAGAGCATAATCTAAAAATCGAAAAGTTCAACAAAGAACAGGAAGAATTCTACCAAGAGAATCCATCTGAGGAAGACGAGGGCGAGGACGGGCAGGAAAATTCGATCTTTGCTCAAAACTCGGGTGCCAGTAAAGGTCTGTCTAATAGCGTTGCGAGTTTAGAAGTTGGTAGCTCGCCGCTGGATTCATGTCCGGACGAGAACGATGGTAGAAGGAAGTTGAGATTACTACACAAGAATTATACGAGTGCTCTTCCCAGCAATGATGCTCTCAGTTCTTCTGCAACAGGCTCTGATGCATCAGATGAGGGAGAAGCTCAGCCTGACGAACCCACATCTCCGAATTTGTAAACTGTAAAATATTTGACGTAAGACTAAGTTGACGAAGCTACCGTTTATAGATACAGTTTGCTTACCTCTTCATGCAATGGGATGCTTTCTGCAGCGCCCGACCGTTGAATGCTGAGAGAACTGGCTCTTGTTGCAAAGAGCACAGCTTCAGACAAGGTGTGTTGTGTACAAAGTTGCGAAACGACTCCACCCAAGAATGTGTCTCCGGCACCTGTTGTATCAATAACCTGTGGAACACTGCATGCAGGTATATATTGCGTTTCGGGTGACTCGCCGGAGCAGAATACACATCCTTTTTCGCCTAACGTAACAACAACGGCACCCATCGAGTTTTCTATACTCAGCAGGACACGAAGCTGCGTGGCTACTTGCTTGTATCCACTAACGAGGTCCTCTTGTGTTGCCTTTTGAAGATCGGTAACTTCTTTTTCAGAAAGCGTCGATCGCAGCACTTGGAATGCTTCTATTTCATTGACTACCAGAAGATCCACGAGGGCCCAATCTGATCTGGAAATTTCTTTATAGGGAGACGGATTGTAGGCGATTTTTAAAGAGGACCTATTTTGAGCCAACCAATGCATTATTTCAATGGTTCCGGGGATCTCGTTTTGGAATACTACGAAACTGCTCCCGCTGGATTCCGGCAGACGTGGAAATAATTCTTCTAGCTCCGCGTTGGAAAACTTAGTGCGACCATTAGCTCCTTCCGATATTAGAATTCGGTTTTGACCCGTATTCTGTTCCACCAGTATTGTTGCTACTCCGGTGCTGGTCCCATCTTCTAAAACCCGAACTTTATCAGTGTCAATGCCGTTGGATGTCAAAAGATCTTTCAATTGGGCTCCAAAAGCGTCATTACCCACATGTCCTATTATTTCTACTTGAGCTGCATCTGCGTCATCCAATAATCTTCGAATGGCTACCGTTTGATTCAGTCCTTTGCCTCCGGCGTGAGTTTCAAATCTTCCAGCACTGATCGTCTCGCCAGCTTCGGGAACCCGCCCGGTAAAGGTCACTAAATCGTAGTTGAGTGAACCGCAAACAGAAATACGAGTCATTGATCTGTGGAAGTCTAGTACAAGTGTCTTGGACTGGGTTTGAGAGTCTTTGGATAGTTGAGGGAAAGAGCTGTGCTCGAGATGGATTGAGAGATAAAGATGGATCTGCTATATATATAACGTCATTTTTCAAGCATTGAATTATTTAATGGTCACGTGCGATACTCGATCAATTTACCATTGAGCCAATTTTTTTTAATATGACACTAAGAGCTGAGGATGTATTATTCAAAAAAAAGACCTTTAATATATCATTTCCAACCTACTGCAAATGTTCAAACTCACCAAGAAGACTGCTTTATCAATTTTTGTTAGATTGGTAAGAATACTTATCGTTTTGTACGTAGTTGTTTTAATGTCACGTTACTCGGTGACAGCGACAGACTGGGTGAGAAGTGATAACCTTCATGAATATTATTCACATCGACTAAATGCAATAGCCACATTCATTGACTCCGACTACCGTCTCTCGTATTTCCAAGGGATTTTTCTTTACCCTTCGACGTCAATCAGCTCGTTGCGTAAGGGTTCTTCCTTTCCTGAATATTCCGTTCGTGTTCCATGACTAAGAATCTCTTTCATAAACGTCAGGATTCGTGGACGACCAAACACCAATTTCGCAACTGCGAAAGTGCGAGATATTTCGCATAGCTTTGGTTATGGTCCAAGCTTTGAAAAAAAAAGCGCTTTAAACAAAAATCATTAATTTTGAAAAAAATCAATGAAAATGATTCAAGTCAACCAATTTTCAAAATTCGTATTCCTGAAGAGCTAGCAGCATAATTCTTTAACCAAAAGATTCCTGAAGTGTTTGTTCAACTACTTTCAATGACAAACTCTCATGGCATATATACTTCTTGTTCGTATCTAGTGATATAGTATTTGAACTAACTAAATTACCATATATTTCCAATTCAAGCTCATCGCTCGACGAATGTATCCCATCGATCCCACCATAAAGGTACAACTAGAGCACCTTGTTGACGTGTTGAGCATTTAACGCGATGTCAGAACCTGTAGAACTACGTCCGGTGACTTTCCACCCGGAAGTTTTGGCGAGAATTGCACCAGACTTGTACATGCAAAGACACTTGTCATTGGGATTACGACCAAGTTTGCGGGCCTTTGAAGAGTTCAGAAACGTTGAAATAAGCGATGGGAGGCTGTCTTGTGCATCCGAAGACAGTATTAACGTGGTGGGAAACAATATTCTGGGTTCCAACGTCCTAAAAAGTGGGAAAACCATGGTGATAACGTCTATCACGGGAGGAATAGTCGAGGATATAGTTCCTGCAAAAGCGGAAGAAGATGAATTCACAGACTCTTTAGAAGTAACAAACCGCGTTTCCCAGTTTGGAAGTGTTTACCCAGTCGTGGAGGTCGAGAGAGGCCGTGTAGGAGCTCCCACAGACGAAGAAATGACCTTATCCCAGAGACTTTACAACTGCATCTTGCACTCTGGATTAATACCCAAGAAATCGCTTGACGTGGAAGTGGGTATCAGGTCCACGAATTCCGAGGGAAAATCTAACGTATTGTACCCTGATGAAGAAAACAACTCTAGCGCGGTAGAAACACTTTTCAGATCGAAAAGAAAATGGTCCTACACACTATATGCTAAGATTCAAGTTTTCAGTCGAGATGGGCCCCTTTTCGAACTATGCTGGAACTCGCTGCTTTATGCTCTGGCTAATACCAAGCTTCCCAGGGCTTTTGTAGATGAGCGCACAACGGACCTCAAAATTCCAATCAGTATGAGAGGACGCAGTGCTGTTATCCGAGAAACATTCGACATCATTTGTGATCCAACCACTTTTGTACCTTTGAGTCTCGATACCGTGAATAAAGCCTTTGCATCGAATTTTGGTGTTCTTGAAATAGACCCAGAAGCTCAATTGCCAAAGGACGATGACGACATGCAAGAAGACTTGCCTGGCTCCGTGCTCCTGGCTGATGTACAAGGAGAATCTGAAGAAGCGTCTGTGACTTCCACGATATCTGTGCTCACGAATGCTGATGGGAACATAAAGCACTTTAGAGCTGTTGGGGGCTCTTCGAAGAATACATTAGAAATGATACAGCGTTCTATTAAGTTGGCAAAACTGCGAGCACTTGATTTGAAGGGTAAGTAAACAGATGCCGATATAACTTGGCAAGTGCATACTAGAGACTCACTTTTTTCATCATGTTAAAGTAGGACATCAAATAATAAACAGTACATACAACGAAGAACCTTCAATTCGCTAAAAAAGCTTAAGTTGGGCTTCTTGTGAGGCAAAAAAGCCTCTACTTGCGAGCAGGGGATGGAGATGGGGTGGTGGTTTTTTTGAAGTCAACGCTCACGTATTCGTTCACCTTGGCAGCGACACCACCACGCACACGCTTCACAATTCTGGACTTTTTAGTGCCTCTGCGTTTGTAGACTTCAATGTAGAAAGCCACAAACAAAAACAAATAAGAAGAAATGATGGCGCAGCCAGAAAAAGTAGCCGTGGTCGATCCCACACAGTCACCACAATGAGGTAGGCTTGGAGCATATAGATGCGCAAACTTTTGGTAAACCGCGAAATAAATAAATCCAATGTCCAAAATGAACTGCAAAATTTGGAATCTGGTGACCCATTCTTTCCACCAGACCCTGATGCCTCTGGCAGCCAAAAAGTAGTACCAATACATGACCACATGGACCCACAAGTTTAGGGCAATGACAACCCACGAAATGGACGTGGTGCCGACCAACTGAGTGTAGCACAACAAAGCTGTGGCACCGTGGTGATAAGTGTGCAAGAAGCGCAATTGCTTGTGTTTCAAAACCAAGAATACAGTATCGATGAATTCAATGAATTTCGTGACGTAGTTCATGTAGTACAAGGTCACCAAAGGTTGGGTCCATGCATCTGCATTGCAAATTGCAAAGTAGAGGCCATTGTTCGCGATTAGCGGAACTAATTGTTCAACCATCAGGAGCAGAATTGTCAGCGACAGCGTAGTCAAAAATAAGTTATGCAATTGGAACCAAGCGTTGAGCTTGAAGGGTTCTGAACCTTTCAAGATGTACCTGCCACCGAAGATGACAACATAATAGGTGGTTATAGCAGCCAAAACCTGGGGAAGCTCACTCAATGGAAGCTGACCAGGCACGAATTCGAACTTGCTGGGAACAAAGTGTCCTAGACTGACTTTCGAAGCCAACTTGTCGAAATTGTTCCACAACGAAATGTTGAAAAACGGACGTTCCAGAGAGGGTTGGAACTCCCTGAGACACGGATATTTCTCCAACAGAGCGAGTGATTGTTCTTTGATGACGGAATTCATATCAGAAAAGACTCACGCAGCCTAAAAGTCTCAGGTCCAAGAGATATGTTTACGGTGAAATGTTTACAAGTTAAGTTGGCTCAAATCCATTGAAAAATTATGGAAACATCGCGAAACTTTGTTGGTCGTTTTGTACGGGTATCGCGAAATCAAGAACAATGTCAGCGGACATAGAATTTTTTTGGTTTTTACTCTCTTTTCGGCTTAAAGTTTCTTCGAAATGCGTTTAAAAATCTACCGGTTTTTTCATGATTTTAATTATGACATTAATGGTGCTCTTTGAGCGGTTTTTTCGGTATTCTTTATTTTTTTTTAGGTATGGACGTTATAACGGTTTTATCGTCATCCTAAAGAAAATCCGATAAAAAAAAATCAGGGTTTTTCGGAATAGAGAATGTTTTCGTGCCGTTTTGTTCAAATTATTTTAGTGTAATTGATCGAAGCTGCTGAAGTTGTGGATCTATCATACTGAGTTGCATGTTAAACTCGAGATTTGTTTGTTGTTGTCGCTTTAGCTTGTCACTGTCACTGTCATATCCGTTTTAACGAACTTCAACAAAAAACGACATTTAAGTACAAAGTGATATAGGACAACTTCAAGTTCTCTGACTTTAGTTACCATACTGTCTTGTCAGTATTGTCATGGGCAAGATGACACTGTCAAAGTGCTGAAGCATAATAGCCTGTGGAACATTCAAGTACTTTTTAGTGAGTCTGCGTAATAAATACAAAGATCAGGCGATCGTCAGCCCGATGGAGAATGCTGACTACCTCTACCGTCCGGCGGAATATAGGAAGTCAGCACTTCAGGAGCTGAGGCCACGGCCGCGAGTGCCGCTAATGGATCACTCGCAAAATTGAAGTCAGGCCCTTTTTTGGTGAAAAAATCCCTTGACGACGGCGTCATTGGTCCGAGACCAGACGCAGATTGAAGAGGCACGGGAGGTAAAACGGGTTTAATGCTAGAATGCAAATCGAGCGACGGTTTGGGAAACTGACTGATTGCCACTCTTGGCGGACCTGAAGGTCCTTGTGGACTTTGAAGACCTTGGAAGGCAAGACGACCTTTGCTAACGTCGATTTGAGGAGCAGGAGCGCTATTCAAAATCGAAGATATCGATCCTGGATTCCTGTCAGATTTCGTCGGTACCGAAAACATAGGCACCTCGTTTGCAGGAGGCAATTCTTGAACAATGATTTTCGCATTTGAGGTGTTAGTCGAGGGCAGCTCAACGGCTTTGAGAATTGGCGGTTGAGGCTGTTGAATAATTGGCGTTTCGTTATTGAGCAGGCTCTTGATAGAGGACCTTCTGCTTCCGGCTCCCTGTTGAGACGATGCTGATGATGATGGGCCAGAAGATTGTACGTTATTGGGAACACTGGACGTAGACGTCGATAGCGAAGGTGCAAAATGAACAGAAGGACCAGAAGAGGACTCCAAAACTGCAGGTCCTGTCAGACTCTTTCTCGTATCCACGTTTGTGTGTTGTGTGTGGAGTTGAATGGAAGGTAGTCTGGGCGGTGGTAAGCCATGTGGCGTCGATTGCTGAGAAAACGTGTCCATAGTCGAAAGCATCGGTATCTGCATCGGCGTGGACGCATCTCGGCTAGACTGGTTGAAAATGGAAACAGACGGCGTCTGCTGAGGAGGCACGTAATCACGATGCGTTTCGGGGATGGTACCCTCCTGCGACTCTTCTTCCTTACCAGAATGCTGCATTGCGTTAGGTCCCTCTGCTAGAGCTTGCCAACCCATTTGTTCCGCATTGCGTTGGAAGTAGTTGCGAACCATAGTAGTGGACTTGGTCCCTAGCTTTTCAGAGATCAACGCCCATTGGGTGCCAAACTCTTTCAGCAATTCGGGGAACATATTAGTCTCCTTGACACTCCAGTAACTGGACTTGTGGAATCCATCATTATTCCTTGCCTTTTTCCTTAATTGTTGAGCCTTTTCCATGTCCTCATTCTTGGAATGTGATGCTTTGTCCATAGCACTGTGGTCCTTGTATTCTGTAGCAGCGGGAGGTGCAATTGGTGACGTTTCTAGAGGATCACTACCTGCTTCATCTAGCTCTTCAATTTTGCGCTTAGTTGATTCATTCATCGCCAAATTATCAGAAAGGTGCTCTTCCTGATCTTGATTTCCATCTCTGATTTTTGATGCCGCCCCATATGAAGCGTCCACTGCACTGTCCGTTTCAAGTTCTGCTTCAGTTTCTTCCTCCTTTTCTCTTCGCAAATTAACAGCCATGGTATTCGTAGCGGCACCAGTCGCACTGAGTGCTGGACTATTCCCTTGTGGAATCGGCTTTTCTTGCTCTGTACCACCGTCCACCGGCCTATCCTTGGTCATTTGGCTAACATCTTCGTCTTCAGTCTCATCAATGGTTTTATCCCTTTCAGATTCATTGAGGCCGTTAGAGTCAGTAAGTATTTCCCCATTGTCTTCGGGCCTAGCAGAATCACGCTCTTTTTCTTTCTCCTTACGCTTGCGTCCGGCATTAATTTTGCGTTTCTTATTCCTATCAATAAGAAGTTGTTTGTAATTGGTTTCCTTTTTGGTTCTATAATAATGCAACACGCATTCCTCCGGCTTTCGTAGACCTCCCATGTTTTGTGAGATTCTTCCAAATCTCTTTGGATAGGTTAAATATGCTTCCACGAACAGCTCATGCTCTTCAGGAGTGAAGGTGTCTACAGCGTCGCTTGTTGATCTAGAGGCCCATAGGTCCTTATCTGTAACGAGATTGTTGACATCTTTGAATTTAATGACTTCCTTTTCAACAGGATCAAGAATCATGGGAGGGATTTGAGCAGCAAGCTGATGATGCTTATAATCAGGATCAATTTGTAGAAGAACATTTTCCATTTCGTTGTCATCAACAAAATCTGCACGGTTGCGCCGCCTGCTAACGGCACGATTCTGTTGATTTCTTTCATCTGCAAAGTTGTGTTCCTGGGCTTCATTTGAATGATCTGCAGGCACAGAGCTGTCGCATTCGTTTTCTTTGACGTCTTTGCTTATGTCCTCCAGTTTTCGGCAAATCTTTGACCACTTCTGATCCAGATCCACAAAGGTTTTTTTAAGCTGGAGACTCTTCAATCTTTCTTGACGTTTAAGTTTTCTGAAGAAATCGAGCAACACTGGCTTGACGGCCTGTTCATGTACGACAATGTTCTGTGAAAGAAAAGGGTATTCTTGCAAAGACACAATTGGCCTTTTGAATCGATACTTTTGAGCCCGAGTTGAGATATTCCTATTGCAATTTTTAATCTCCCACAGTTTTGTTTGAACCTCGGTCATGGGAAAGATACAACCAGTGACTTTATGCGCTGCAACTGTTTTTTCCTTCGCTTCCGTTCCTGACTCTGTTGAAGGCTGAACGGCAGTTGAAACTGAGCTTTTTTCTTTTCTCAATTCCAATGACAACTCGTTTACAGTACCCACAGAGATTTCCTGCTCGCTTTTCCCAAGAGAAGACAATACTTCAGTTTTCAGTGATGATGTGATCGGTATCGGCTGCTCAAATTTAGCCTCTTCATTGTTTGCGTCAGTATTTGTTTCATTTAATTGTTTTTCAGGTACCGCAGCTTCTCCTTTAACAGCTGTGTCGGGGGTTGAGGGACTGGTGACCTCAACCTTCCCGTATTCTTCTTCATTATTAGGCTTCCGTTCTGAAATTTTCTGTCTTCCTAAATCAATTCGTTCGTGGGCTGTGGCGACCATTGCCTCTGTTTCGCGAGTGGTTTGAGGAACAGAGTTGATCAAGCTTGATCCCAATGAGTGTTCATTTTCATAAGATATTGACGATGGTTTCTTGACCCTTTCCGTATCTCGATCGTTTTTGTACGGAGTATATCGATGGGAGTACGGCTGCAAATTATTGTGGTATCGGCTCAGGCCATGAGAATGAGACTTATCAGAGAGCTGAGGTACAGTTTGAGCCGGAGAAACTGAGGGATGTTCTTCATTATACTCAAATGGATAGGAATCCCGCCATTTATTATGTCCACGAGCTGAGTAGCCATGACTGGCCGTTTCATGGCCATCAGACACAGACGAGGGGCGAGATCGATTGAAAGATGGAGGCTTATAATAGTTGTGATAGCCTTGTTTAGAAGCACTTTGTGTTTGATATTGGCTGGAATTATAACGACTGGCAGTGGAACTCGATGAAGGATGTTGATGATGGTAGTTTGGAAACCCATTTGAAAATCGCCTTATTTCATGTGCACTAGAGCCTCGTGCATTGTTTTGGTACGAAGGACCAGAATCAGAGCTATACCGACTGCCAGAGCGTGGATTTACCTGAGAGCCATTGCCATTACTGACGCTGCCAGAAGACGAGTATGGACGACTTGAAACACTGGGGTTGTATCGAGAGGGCCTGGGTCTCGAATTTGGGTTAAAGCTGTGCTCTGAGCCCGCTATGGCAGCCGGGTTGGCCTCAGCACCTGGATTGTGTGCAGGATTTGGACCACTGCCCATCGCGGGTGATGGTCGGCGATAAGACGCATATCTCGGGCCCGGGTGGTAAGCCTTTTTGTCCCCCAGCCGATGGGACGGACCTGGTGGCCCCATTTCAACGGCAAGTGTGACTTGGTTGGATACCTCTGAGGTTTGTGGATCGGATTGCCGGGTGCCGCGGCGAACGTCCAAGAAAAGCCAGGAAACGCGCTGAAAACCCGGGGAGAAAGGGAGCAGGTAGCGTTCAGGCTACAGTTCGTGGACTATTCGAAAAGGTTTCTGGTTTGGAAACCGCTTTGTGCTGTCTAAACTGGAGTCTTTGTCGATGCTGCTTCGATGATGTATTGGGTTTGAATACTTTAAAAGTTGATATTTTGAGATTAATCACCCAAGACACCAATTAATTTTTTCGTCTATGGCGATTTAGGGTCAGCTGATTATTCGCGGTGGGTCATGTGATGCAATTTTGACGTAAGATGTGACGGGTCATTCATTTCTTCTGGTAAAACTTGGCAAGCAAAGCTCGTTGAGACCGTTGACGTAACTATTCGAATTAATGGGCAGCTATCGCATTATTGTACCGCGGTCTGACAAGCATTCCAGTTAGTAAAGAGTTTGCACGAGTTTGGACTGCAAAATGAGCGGCATCAAAGGCTCTGTGGGAACATAAAAAAAGTCATTTACTTCTAGTAAGTAAAAAAGGAGTAAATGTGGCACATATTTCAGATAAGAACAGCCTCTAGTCTAGACCTAGTAATCGAAACTTTCGATTACCGTCTTCGTGTAAAGTGACTTGAGTAGGAATAGGGTTATTATTCAGTTTCCTTGAAAGCCAAGCAGAAAGTCGGTTAGTCTGGATTTCAGTGCATTGGGAGTATATGGGGGTTTGGCGTGAATGTTACTATTTGAGTGTTAGTCCTTCGTTTGAAGGATGTTTAACTTGTTCAACTACGTAGAATGTCTGGGAGGGCGGAGAGAGACGAGAAATTGAGAAAAGTGAGGAAAAACTAAGTGTCACGTGACTCTCAAAACCCAGACGAGAGGTTTGGCTTCTAACTATGCGATGAGTAGGGTAAAACTTGTTGGTGGGAAGTCTATTTTTGATAGGAATGCATTGGGGGTTTGGAGAAAGTCTCATGATGTTTCAAAAGCAGTGCCAGATCTTTCGACCAGTCTTTGAACTATAGGTATGGTATACAATTCTGTACTCAAGGACCTGACAGTCTCGTGACTCCACGGCATGTCCAATTGACAATGTCTAATGGGTTGAATACCCATAGACACAGCTGCGAAATCTATTCTCTAGAGGCATTGAACGAGAACACTTAGTTTTTAGAAAATGCAAGATCTCAAAAAAAGAATGTCTTAAGTGTATTCTGGGTGAAAAATGTCCCAGCAAGCTGACACAATTGTAAGAGAGCTGCAGTCTCGTTGCAAATGTCTTTAACATAAATAAAAATTTCTCGGTTTGATGATTCACTTTCTGGTGCGTCTACAACAACTGATGACAGTAAAATCTTCGAGAGTTATCACTATCTGTATATTATGTCTCTGGAGCATGGGTCACGTGACTATCAAAGAACAATGGCCCATCCTCTCTATTCTGAGGGCCAAGAACGAGGTTATGAGGAATGTATAGATGTTGAAGTCCGAATTTTCCTCAATCCCAATATACGTTTATATCTGTATCTGTATTTATACTATTTATCGACATGCCCACTCGCTCTACCCGTTTTGAACTCCGTAAATGTCTAGTCGATTGGGTGGCAAAAGAAGCAATTTCAGGAAGCAAAATATTCAACACTATAGCATAATTCGAGTGGATTCAAGGTGTCCCTCGTAGTTCCACGTCGTTTGATTATCTTGTGAGTAGAGTCTAAAACAATGATATTATAGTACAAAGTGATAACATGCAATTAATTTAATTAATTGAATCCTTTGGTGACATTTATCAACACCTTCGACAACAACTGGCTCCTCAATGTGCGGGTGGGTCCCAGTAATTTTGCGAAACCCTCGTCGCATGAGCATTGAATTCTTTCATAGCTGATATGTGCAACGAAACTTCAAATGAAGCGAAAGGTTTTTGAACTTTACGCTGTTTGAGCTCCTCTAGAGTAATTGAATTATCGGGAGAAAACCTCCCTTCTCAACATTTCACAGATATAACATTGGCTTCTCCGGTTTCGGCCATAATAAAAAGTCTTTCCAGCTCTTCAAAAGTCGAGAAACTCAACCCAGTGTCCGCTTAACACAATTCTCATCTGCATATTAGGATCATGGACTCAGACTAAAGTTTGAAAAACCTTATCACACGCACAGATAAGGCCATCACTTCCTCAAAGACGAACATGGCTTCCCCCGGGTGGAATTCAAGACCTTCTAAGCATGCATTGTTTTCGTTCCATCTAAAAATTCTTTTTTTTTTCTGAACGAGAAAAACGCCAAGAAACCGAACAGCAAACCGCAGACGTCTCCTGGCCAGCTGTGAATACCAGAAGGTGTCTTTGCCAAGACCCAAATGTCATCGTTCCACACTTTTCTACGTCATCTTGTCTGGATCCCGATCTTCAAGTGTATGTCACGTGCCCCATAATTTATGGCAGAAAACGCGTAAAGGCTAAAGACGCGTTAGGAAAGAGACGCGTAAACTAAACCGAAAAAAAATAACGTGAATCAAAACGCGTCGCGTAAAATTGAAGGAAAACGCTAAATTGAGATGGCTTCACTCCAGTATAAAAGACCCTTCCAAAACCTGATCTGGGACTATGTAAAATTGAAGTTAGCCAGGACTCCAACCTGTCTTCGTGTCATCCATCGCGTAATGACTTCGACCACTGCAACAACAACAAGAACTACGGTTGCGACCGCCGAATTCGAAAACGGCCTGTTTGGTTTGAGCAGAAAGAGGCTAGCATTTGAAATCTGTGAGGATCAGGATCAAGAATCTGATAATCGTGATGCTAAGAAGCGGGCTCTCAATGATTGCGGACTACTTACGCCACCTTCTTCTCCCGTGAAACTCGGGCTAAAAAGCAGTCCTTCTGGAACATCGGCAAATTCGGTATACTCAGGTACTAAAGCAGTCTTGCAACGATGCTCCAAGATTTCTCACACTGGCTTTGACGGATGTCTTCCTACCAGAAAAACGCAATTTGCACAAATCATGCAATTTTTGACCAACTCATTGAGTTCCGGACATGGTGACTCTCTCTACGTTACAGGACCTCCAGGAACAGGTAAAACTGCGCAAGTGGACCTCCTTATACGCGAAAAATTTCTTACGCTTGTCTTGGAGCAGCCACGTTTACAGCACGATCCTGAACTTCTCAATACCTCTTTCTTTAAAACAGATGAAAACAACTATCAACCAGTGGCAGTTATCTCCATCAATTGTATCGCCATCAACAGTGCAGAATCTATTTTCGCCAAGATTTACCATTCGTTTGCAAAACAACCGACGACTACGGTGCGCACTGCAGATGATTTGCAGCAGTTCATGAAAAACCATCCTAAAACCACATTTGTTGTCATTCTAGATGAAATGGATAAACTTGTCACGTCAAGTTTGCAAAATACCAACGCCACAAGACACATATTCGACCTTTTCTTGATGGCCAAATTACCACATTTGAAGTTCGTTCTGATAGGCATAGCCAATAGTCTCGATATAAAGGATCGCTTTCTCTCCAGACTCAATCTCAGGCAAGAGTTGGTACCCCAAACGGTATCTTTTGCACCTTATACCGCAGAACAGATGTCTGAGATTGTGATGGAAAAACTCAAGACTTTGGATATGGAGCCTATCATACAACCAATTGCCATCAAGTTTGCTGCCAAAAAATGTTCAGGTAACACTGGCGACCTCAGAAAGTTATTTGACATCCTTAGATCTAGCGTTGAAATTGTTGAGCTAAACTCTTTCAAACTGAGAAATCCAACGGGCTCGAAAACCTCAGCTGCAAAGGTCACCCTAGCACATGTGGCTAAGGTCTTCGCAACGCTTCACAACAATTTTTCGACAAAGTCGCGCATAACCAAGCTCAACATGCAGCAACGGCTAGTGCTCTGTTCTTTAATCCATCGCGAAAAATCCGACATTTTTCAAACACAAACTTCGCTGGACGAGGCATATGAATATTACGCAAGACTATTGCATCAAAAAGACACTATCTCTCCGTTGGAACGGAATGAGTTTCTAGAAATTTGCAACGCTCTCGAGACTTGTGGGGTGGTTAACATTGTTCAAGGAAAATCACAGGGTAAAACCAGACACATCGTTAGATTCATCAGATCCAATGTTGATAAGAAAGAGTTCACTGACGAGATTAGCAAAATGCAATCACTCAAGACCTACTTGTGAACTTATGTTCAGAAGTATCGATAATACGTAAAATAATTTTTACACTAATGCATATTTTCACTGGCTGAAACTGGGTAGTTGACGAATGACAGTTTTGAGTTTACTCGTTCTGTGTCCATACAAAAAGCTGGTCGCTGTTGTTTGCTAGAACTTGGCACCTTTTCTCTTCGAAATCATTAGTCTGATGCCCTTCGACATCGATATAAAGCCGGGTGACTGGTTTTGATACCTCTGTTGACAATGCTTTCACTTCTTGTAACTCCCATGCTGCAAGGCCTAGCCCTTGTCTCAGAGCCAAAATTTTAATCTCACCATTGGTGAACCCCAGACCGATCGTTTCTTCTTCGAGCCAGCCAATAATTTGATCATCAACAGATAGGAAGCTCGCAGAACTGATAGGTGTGTCAAACTGCTGCTCGATGTAGATTGATCCATTGAGATTGCAAATTGTGACCTTGCTTGACTTGTCACAAAGAAGCACGGTGGCAGACGTTCCACTGAACGCAGAAAGCGAGGCTTCTCTAGAAAAGCACCGGAGTATTTGTGGAGCGAGAGTGTCCCATGAATACAGGTTGCCGGCGCTATCCAAGGAAAGTAACATGTTATATTGGCTGGAAAAATGTAATTCTTTAATTGAGCAGAGATGTGCGGCTAGCCGTCCGATCTCAATCAGAGAAGCATAACCGCCCTCTTTATTCCATTCCCATAATTTGATAAGTCCAAATTCGTCCGCAGTGCATACCTGCCTGCCTTTTAGTTGCTTCAGGCTCGTAATGTTACTCTGATGTGCATTCAAAAATTCCACCTCATCAATGTAGATTGAACAGCCTTTGAAACTCACAAGGGAATGCTCTGTGCTCTCGTTGGGGACTCGCACTTGTTCGTAGTTAGACAAACGTTCGTTTCCGTGCATGTCCCGAACGAAAGGCGTTTTAGGTAGCTTACTCAGAGACCAAGTTGAAGAAGACAATGGTGTTTGTTGCAGGTCCTTCTTTGGGTGTGGCTGGTCAAAAATTCGCAATGGGCTCTGACCAAAATTATGAATGATACCAGTCACGGCCACCCGCTCATTTTCGTCATCGATTTTGTCCAAGTTCACAGCTCCTGGGTAGCTCAACCTATTGAAGACATTTACTGCTTCAACGGCAGCGTCGCCTGTCTGCTTGAAGCCAAAAATAAGGTCGATCCAATGATGAAGCCGTTGAGAGACATAAGGACATTCAAGTGCTTGCCTATTTTTGGTGACAAAAAGCTTAGGATCATTCTTTGCCCACGGAGGCAAAATAACGTTGTCTACTCTTTCCCCGTTCTGCAAAATACCATAATTGTAACCATTCACATTCTCAAGGAATTCAGGTAGATAGAAAAATTCCGGGATTAACTCCCTCACGTCAGTGCTATTCTCTCGTGAAGCTGAGCTCCACGTTCGCTCAATCGAATTGAAGAGTCTATCTGCATGGCCGAATTTACCATCCTGCAATATCAGATACGAATCAACAAAAGGCGGTAAGCGTATCATAAAGGAAGAAACAACCATTGCTGATGAGTAATGAGTGCCATAATGAAAAGGGGGCTCTGCTTCACCCAAGTCTTTCAATGCATCAAAACGCTCGACAAATTGGTCCTTCCTGCGCTCGGACTGTGCCCCCATAGGCTTCGAAAGATCCCTGAAAGTTTTGGGGCTCGCAAGGTCGAGCTCTTCACTGTGATAGTCAGCTATGACCCAAGGAAAAATGGGATATTGTGTGATATCATTAAAAGTCCGGCCTGCGAGAGTATTCAACATTATCAGATAATAAAAGTTTGAGATTTGACCCGATCTCCAAAGTTTTAAAGCTTTGAAAGAGAGCGATGAGTTGTTTCCATAAGAAAACACGTTGGCAACCTTGTTGGTAAGTCTATACTCAGAAAGACCATTTTTGATGTTGATATCCTCACTTTTCGTTGCTACCTCATTGTAGGCATCAAATAAAATCGTCTTGTTTTTTGGTTGTTTTCCTTTCTTTTGTAGCCAGTGGTGGGCGTCATTTCGCCATCCATTGTCGCGAAATGTGTAGAAGCTGCTTTTCCCATCATCAAAGGAAATCTCAATTGCCGAATCTCTTAATAAAAAGGGTCTTTTCAGTATGGAAACTACCTCAGATATTTTCCAAAATTGAACCTCATGTCTTCTGGAACCTTCGTCTTTGTTGCGGGAGCCCGATACCAGTTTGACTGCAGGATCTCGCTCTGTGGAAGCAGCGTCGCAAAGTTCGACTACTTTCGAATCATTCACCGAGTAGAAAAAGCCTGAAAGGAAATAGACGAAACTTGCTCCCAAAATCAAAACTCCTTCGGTGATACTAAGTCCAACAACGTTGCTACAGTTCCAGATACGTTTGATTACGTCTCCCTTTTGCAGCATTCTAAGCACCTTTCGGTTCCTATCTTGACTATTTTCCGCTCCTAAGTTTAGCATGTCTAAGTCGTTAATTAACTCAAAAGACATTGCACTACTGGCCTTGCGTTCACTATGGCGGTCTGCAGGTTGGTCCTCTGGAGCTGGATTGTGATGCCGATCGTTTTCAGGTAATAGTGGGGCCTGGGCGCTCGGACCAATACTAATTGGAATGAGTCGCTTTCTCATTCGATTTGAATCTTCCATGGGATCAAGAGTCCATTGTACCTCATTTACGTCTGAATTTTGAATCCTGCGACGATGATGGACTCTTCTCTCAAAGTCATCAAATCGCTGACAAAAAGCTACCAACTCATCCTCTGTGTCATTGAGTGAATAAAGTCTCTTTTTTTCCTCGGCAGCTATGACCGATTCACTTGTCCTTTGACCATCGCGACAAAAGTTTTTGTACATGCTGTCTAGTTCGGCCAAACGTCTCTCAACGATATTCTCTCTCTCCTTTAGCGAGGCAAGTTCTTTATCTTTCGTTTCTAATTCTTGCCTAGAGCTGTAATGGGGAGAGCTATTGCCCTCTGATTTTCTTATGTGTTTCCTGACGTGAGTTTCGAACGCTCCTCTCGTATCCTTAGATCTTAAACGTTCTAGAAGGTCCTCATCACTTGCCGAAAGAGAGAACAAAAGACTGCCGAGGACCGTTTCTTTCCTACTGCGGTCAATGAAATTTGAAATGCTATCGAGAATGTTTTCGTGGTGCAGAACGATGATGCGCAAACAGTTGAGCACTGCCGTTTGAGAGTCAGAAAGCGCTGGGATTTTCAAAGACCAGGCTAAAGCGCTGAGAAGGAAAGCCACGGCCTCTGAGTCAAAGATAGCCTCTTTATTTCCTATCTGAAATAAAGCAGACTGTTGTATCAGAGTAATGTCAACGAATTTTATCATGTTTGGAGATAGAATACCAATATCGGAGGTGACAATGCTGCTGAAAAATGCAACGTTGGTCTTGTAGTTGATTTTGCAGAAAATTCCACTAGCAGTGCTGGTTTTTTTGCTTGGTGTTGCCCGATGTGTCAACCATTCAATGCAAGCTGTTGCGATTCCGTAACTTTTTAGGTAGTGGCCAATTGGTAAGTCAGTGAAAAATACACTGCTGGTAAAAATCTCCAGAAGCTGAAGAACATTAGACAATATGAAATCACTTTGTTCAAATAGTTCCATAAACGACGGTATAAAGCTTTCAAGTTGCTCGAGAACGCTTTCAAAAGGCGAAATCCAGTAATATTGTTCCACATAATGACGATTGGATTTGTTCCCTCTATCCCTTAAAAGATTGGATATCTGATCACCAAACTTCTTAGGGTTCGAGAACGATAGATGATGCAATAATGAAGTTGTGAGGATAGCTACCAAGGCCTCAGATGCGCGAACGTATGTGTTTGTATTTTGGGGTTTTCGCAACGTCATTAAGAGACCCAATAGTTTTCCGAGAAACAATGAATGCTGAGCGTCAAATAGAAGATTCCCGGGCGAATCCTCTTGTAGCGCCTTTAGATCGGTCAAATATTCACAAATCAGCTTATTTGTATCCAACGGATATGCTTTAACATCATTTAAGACTGCCCACTCTAGGAGGTCTATTATGATGCAATGATTGTCTGACTTGATTCCACTCTTCTGACTTGATGGAGAAAAACCTTGAGACATTTTCGAATAATGTGCCGGGAAATTGGGTCCCGATAGAATTTTGATGAGGTTATCATAATATTGGAAGTCAGTTTCCTTGATGATACCATATAAAATGCGAAAGCCATTATTTTTCACGAATCTTGAATGCGAGATGGAAGCTGACTCCAGGAAACCCATTAATAATTTCAAGCCGCTGAACATCACATTTGTTGAGTGCGCAACGTCGATTGTCATTAAAATGAGCTTAACAGGAAAGATTTCAGCTATACTGTGAGTCGATCCCTCATCTTCAGTCAAGAGATTTTCACTCAAAGCGCTAGTTAAGGAGCCGAAAGTCAACGCTGCACTTTGCTCTGATCCCTTCTTGACCTCAAAGAAGGCAAAATTGAACAGAGATAAAACTTCGGCTTTTGAAGACCTCTTTATAATGAGTTTCATGACATCTGAAACCTCAGTCCGAATGCTATCAACAGTTTTTATGCTTTGCGAATTTGAGTAGAATTCATCAAGAAATCCTGTTAGTCTACTCGAAATCTGTAGGCTGGCAAGTTGTTTATAATTATACTCCGCGAATTTTGAGCTTTCAAGCGCTTCACGAAGCTGAAAGAATAAGAAACAAATTATTTCAATGGAGGGATCTTCGAAAGATGAGGCATTCTTGCCTACCCACCACCTGAAATTGAGTAGAAATGAAGAACATGCCTTCCTGTTTCTCAGAATAGGGTCCGCAGAACCATCAAAATTCCACCCACAAAAACTCAAGATGATGTTCATGAAGGGTAGCGAAAGATTAGTATTCAATTTCGAGAGTACTTCAGATTCAATGAAAAGACTGAGAAATTCATACCCTATTACCTCTTCAAAATTATGTCGAAGCCCGGTACATTGCATCAAAATTAGCCAATGGTCGATGTACCCGTATAGGTCATCAAGGTCTCTAGAACACCGAATTAAGCTTAAAATCATATCAGAGACGCATATTGTTTCGAAGCATGAAAGTAGTGAGGAACGCTTGTAGCATAACATTTTGCCAATGTTGCTAGAATTGTCCTCGTCCATGACCAAAGCGTAGCCCTTTTGGTGTAATCGCCATGAATCATCTATTACCTCTGACGGAACGAAGCGAATGAGTAAATGTGTGGTTCTCAGTTGCTCTGCGTGATGTGCGCAGAGGCCCATCGTTATTCCAGGAGTTTCAATGGATGCGCAGACTTCCTGTAATAAACCCACATCAAATTCGTCTGAGATTTTACCTCGGCTGCCGGTGCCATTAGCCGAGTTTCCAGGATCCCAAAAGGGTAGTCGATAAGTTAATTTGATACCAGTCTCGAAAAGCGGTTCGGACCATGCCCAGAATTTGAAAACCTTGAACGAACATATCATGGATCCCAGCTCCAATTTTTTTATGCTGCGCTCGGAAGAGGGCGTATTTGGGATGGCCATAGTCTCGATCAATACGCCGTCGACGAAAAGGGAAAAAGTATCTCCATTTACATTCAATGAGATGTTGTATAAAACATCTGTATTGAATTCAAAGGTCTCGAACACCGCAAGGACGAACTCGTCATCTGAAATGCACAAGATGGACTCTCTTATTTCGACGAAGATATTGTTGTTTAGGGAAAAAATTCGATTTGATGTTACGCGATTAAAGACTGTCCAAAGTTGCAAGCAAAGCTGGGTCTTACCAGGCCGTATTTCAAATATTTTGTATGCATTATCGAAGTACAGGAGACTTTGATAACCAATATCCGACAATGAGTTTCCTAATGTGTTGAGAATTTTGAGCGCCGTTCCTGATCCCGTTTCCACTTCACCATACAGATTAATCAGGTCTATGGGGCTACAATCAACAGCCAATATCTGTATGTAGAGCTCACTTGTGGCCTGAACTACCACATCTGAGGCTGCAGGTTTTTGCGTCAAAATCCTCCAAAGGCCGTCTTTTAGGTTAGGAATTTGGCTTACTTGCTGAGCGTTTATAATGGAAAGATATGAAAGGTGCAATAAAATGTGTGCGAAGCCAGTGAGTTCGAAGCTCGAATCTTGCAAGTCCAAACTTATAAGGGTCTTCCATTTATTTGGGTCATCGATGACTAAATTGTTCTCGCCTTCGCCTAGATTCACGAACATCGATGTCATTTGATCGAATACATATTCTGATACCATATTATGGTCGTTAGTCTCTAGCTTCTCTTGACAACCGCTAAGTATTCGCCACAATGCATCACTCAAAAGCATTCCATCTGAACCCTCTTCCCAAGAATCCTCGAGCTGGAGGTCTAGCACCTCTGACATTAATTCCGCATAGGAGTTACCGCGAATAGCCATTGTGGGCCTACCAACCTATCAGACTTGATGGAACACCAGATTACCTTAGATGTACCTTTTTCGACATCTGAGCAGAGATTATAGTACCGGCTAAAACTCTAATAAGATGAGCCCGTCAAGAATGATTCAAGATTCTAACTCGAAAGAGGGCGAGCTGTTTAACAGCCACTCCTTGGAGCTGTTTATCTCAGGCCCTTCAGTTGTACTAGTCATATGAAATTGCCGGTTTTGTTGTTGCCACTTAAAGACGGCCCGAACTTCTTTTATCTTCAATTTTTTTTTTCGATATTTTCAAGCTCGCTCTGAACTTCACTCTGGTCCGATTGTTTTTGCTGCTGTTGATGGAGTAGCTTATCTTCGGTCGCTTCCAATGCTGCGGCAGACTCCAGTTTGGAGAAAATAGAAGGGAAAATAAGGGCCACGATACCGGTGATCACTGCGGCGAGCTTGTACTTGGAGGAAAGAATGCCAGCGATAGGACCAGACTTGAACAGATCTGAATTTCTTTCTTGCACATAGACGCGCAGCGGAGCCTTGTTGACCAGAGTGATTGGAATGTGCGACTCGAAGGGGATCTCCTCTAGTTGTTCGGGATGCACGATTTCGGGTGATGGGAAGTTTTCCTTGCCGAACACGTTCTTGTAGGCTTTTACTACAAGTTGTGTGGTGCTGTTAGAGCCATTGCGTTCAATACTGACCAAAATACGATTGGGTTTAAGGTTGAAATCGAGGGACGATGCTTGGAGCACGAAAAAAGTCCGGGAACTTGCGTCTTGCGGCTCTGGCACTTGTTCGAACCCGAAATCACCTTCGAGATTGCTTATTTTCGCTGTCGACGTAAATGGCCGGCCCTGGTACTCTCCCACCTGGATTAGCTTGAAATCAGTGTTTACAATAGATCTGCGAGTGAGATTGAAGGGCGAAACGTCGACTCTTCCTTTAACGGTAGCAGCCAAGACTGTGATCCACAGCTCGAAGAATACGCATAAGAATCCAATCAACATGTCTTCCTTTTAATTTCACTTGCAGTCTTGTTAGCCTTGTATTCACGGTGTCAGAAGCACACAGTCAATCAGGGCATCATTTCATTGTTTTCGATATTTTTCATTAATTTCCAATTTTTCAGGTATAAAAGGGCCAAGGTTATTGACTGAAAAAGTTCCAATGGCTCAGGCGTTGAATTCTCTTTTTTAGAGAACCCATTTACATTTACATTCAAGAACGGGTATTATTGTAGTGGAATTGTGACTATTCTAGACAATATCTTCTCTACAACTCGGTTCGAGAAAAAAGAGCAACGCGCAAGCCGTTACGCCGCATGGATCTGCGATCTGTGAGGCAGGTTTGTCGTCGCACATTTGTTCTGACAGCGCAGTGCCGTTTCGAAGAATCCCAGGTGATCGAGGGAAGTAGACAACGCTGGTAACTAGTAAAAATCAACATTCTGAGTCAAAAGTAGAGGGAACATTTCAGAATTACCTTGTTAGATGCTGCTATTATTCAGCCAACTATCGACCCAAAACTTCTTGGTATACAAATGTATCTTAAATTCAAATCTCAACAATCATGTGTAAGCAATTCAGTAGAGTCATTAACAACAGCTATCCGTAGATCTTCGTCTTACGCCTAAACCATCTGATTCTCTTCGTCTACTACAATGATCTAGTGAAGTTAGAAAGACTTCCCTCTGAAATTTGAGCTCTAGATATGACTGTTTTTTCTATAACACCCGTACATTTTGGGATCTTTAAATTTTTTGAAACTTTTGAAATTTCAAGCTTGCCATGTATTCAAATACATTGGGCCCACAATGAGCTCGTTGGCGAGAAAGTCCCATCAGCTTAGGCAGAGAGCTAGGCAGAGAGCTAGGCAGAGAGCTAGACGGAAATCCAGCCCAGCACCCATCAGTTTTCTGCCCGTACAGGCCCGCCCCACCCCCCACGCAGAACGATGAAGCCTACTCCTTTTTAAATATTTCAGCGTCAATTCTTCAATCTCAGTCAACTCAGACCTACTAGAAACTCAAGAAATCAAGAATGGCTAAAGGTACGTAAAGGGGTGGTCTCCTGTTTAAAACCGTTTAGTTGATTCTTCAGAGCATCTAGTCGATATGCTCAAGCGGGTTTGTGCATATCGAAACGATATCTTCAGCGGTTTCTGAACACTTTTTCGTCAAGACATATCTGAGATATGACTTATGGGGAAAGTGGACATTAGCTGTGGGATGTTGTTGAAAGAAGTGACTTTTCATTGCGATGGTGGAAATTCGCATAGATCCCGTTCTCATAAGGTAGAATGCGGGACGTGGCACTTTGGCGAACGCCCTGGCTGCTGATCAAGTCGACTTTTAACGCTCTAGAGAGCATCTGAACGGTTTTGAAACAAATGGGACTCTTTATTTTCAAACAACATTTAAGGCAAATGGAACCTTGACTAACAAATTTCACTTTTTTCTTCAGATCTAGTTCAAGCTCGCGACTCCTCTTTGGTTTTCGGCGTTGCCAGAATCTACGCTTCCTTCAACGACACTTTCGTGCATGTCACTGATTTGTCCGGTAAGGAAACCATCTCCAGAGTCACTGGTGGTATGAAGGTCAAGGCCGACAGAGACGAATCGTCCCCATACGCTGCCATGTTGGCTGCCCAGGACGTTGCCGTCAAGTGCAAGGAAGTCGGTATTACCGCCCTACACGTCAAGATCAGAGCCACCGGTGGTACCAGAACCAAGACCCCAGGTCCAGGTGGTCAAGCCGCTTTGAGAGCTTTGGCCAGATCCGGTATGAGAATCGGCCGTATCGAAGATGTTACCCCAGTTCCATCTGACTCCACCAGAAAGAAGGGTGGTAGAAGAGGTAGAAGATTGTGATTTGCTCACTCGTTTACGAGTGCATTTTGCAACGCATTTACAATTTCTTGTACTTTAAATACATTTTGTAAGTTAATACGTTAAGTTGATACTGCAATGGATATAACTTGGGAGCCGTTAGTGCTAATGGAGGTCCTTCAGTACTGGAATCATAGCCTCTGCGTACCGATAGCGATTGGCATGGGAAATTGGAAATTGTTCCTGCTACGCCAACGGATAGACTTGAAGAGAGCGTAGAAGTGTGTTCTTCCTGCATATCTCTACGATTCTGATGTATTTGGTCGCACCCTCGTCCTACGAAACATCCTTTCCACTGCAGCGGTGCTTTGGTGTGATGCTTTACAATTTGCAGTGTCAGAACGACTGACACTACATGATTGGCCCAATTTGGGCGTCAAGAATAGCGCTCAATGAGTGCCGCCCGGCTTCAAAAGCCGAATGCTAAACCCATTCATAACAAGGGCAGCTCTTATGCGGTTTCGATTGGCTCAGTAGCTTTAAAGTACACGTTTACATATTATGCCTGTGCTCTATGCGTCGTGGCGCTTCGCTTAGTAGACAAAACCCAAGATCTTACCAGCGACGTGCTTTCTTCTGGCCTCTTCGTGGTCCATAATACCGGCAGAAGTGGTCAAGATAACGTAACCGAATTGTCTGGCTGGAAGCAAGTTCTCGGTCCACTTCTCGATGTCGTTGAACTTGATGTTGAATCTTGGGGAGATAACACCACACTTGTTTAGTCTACCGTTCAACTGAACGACGATCTTACCGGATCTGTGGTCGTCGATGTATTCGAATTCACCAATGTAACCGTGCTTTTGCATAACCTGCAAGAACTTGATGATGACCTTGGAAGAAGGTCTGATCAAGACTTGACGCTTACCGGTCTTTTCGGCGTTGTTGATGGAGTTCAAGGCATCAGCTAGGACGGAGGCTCTGGCCATTTTGATCGATGTGTTCTGTGGGTCCGGTAAGTAGTATCAAAATGACAACTCTGTAGTGTTCAAGAGGTTAAATCGTACTACTTTCTAGCTGGCTGCTGTGCATTCGCGCTTGCAGTACACTCGAAAAATTTCATGTTTGGTATGTGACTGTTTTCGAGGTTTTCTGCTTTAGTGGTGTGGTGTTAGGGTGTTCTGAACCTTTTCTGAATTTTTCAAAAAAACCATTGCGTGGGTTCTATAAATTGTTGATGTTCATGTTTTCTACTGAAAGACCCGATAGAGAGAGAAGCCACCCCATCGTCTTGGGTCTAGGCGGAGCAGCTCTGTCTAGCCCGCTGGGCTCGCCTCTGCCTAGCGTCAGGTACCCTCTGCCTAGCAGTCTTCCTCGAGCTCGGCGTGCTGGGCCTAGGATGGCAATGGTCTCCAGACTCGCTGGCGACTTTGATGGGTATACTTTTTGAAAGATGAACCATACTACCTTCATCAGGATTCACACCAGAAACCAACGATTGTAACGATGGCTGTATGTGCAATAATATGGGATATTTGAAGAGGACAATTGTGGAATAGAGAAACAGAACGAAGGTTGAATTATGGTACCGATTTTAGACTAAAAGGCCGAAAAATGGGGGTGATAATCATGAATTAGCACTTGACTGGGAAACCGGCTTTGGAAGATGGATAATTAATGACCAGGGAAGTTGACACCACGACTGAGATAAATACGCGTGTGACAAGCTTTTGTGATTAGCTGACGCTAGCGTAATACCGTGCATGATCGTAAGGGAAATGCAAACATGAGTTATGTGTGTGTGTTATTATGTTTTTGAATGAAGAGCCAAGTGCCCAAGAAATTAGCTTCGAATCGTTTTCTTTTTTGGACCATGAAAAAACTGGATCGTCTCTCAAACACCGTTGTCTTCAGTTCGACGCCGCACTCTTTACTAACCACTCTTTACAGGCCCAAAAGTCCTTCAGAATCAAGCAAAAGTTGGCTAAGGCCAAGAACCAGAACAGACCATTGCCTCAATGGGTCAGATTGAGAACTGGCAACAAGATTCGTTACAACGCCAAGAGAAGACACTGGAGAAGAACGAAGATGGGTTTGTAAGCGGATCTTGCAATTTTGCACGACTCCCCCCGTCTTTTTGTTCCCATTTCATGCTGTCATTATGGTCCCGCACTATTGTTGGGAAGACTGTATAATTTCTCCATAAGTACGTTATTAGATTGCAATTCTAGACTAAAAACGAACAGCATTTCGACTCGTCTTCATGATGAGAGAGAGAGAGATAAAGGCCTAATTGAATCTTTTACAGGATACATCAGTTTTCTGATCAACACTTGAAATCATGAAGAAATTTCATATACTATCTAGCTTATTGGTGTTTTAGAATCTCATCATTGTATCTTGGATTTGGCATTTGCTCAAGATCGTGCTTGGCAAACGTCCTCGTTAACTGTCACACGATGCTGCCGTTAATTGAAAAATGAAAATTACTAAGATGTTACAGTTTTAAAGTCGGTTTTAACAGCCTCAGGTGCTTGCTGGTTTGTTAGCCAGTTCTTAGTAGTTTCTGGTGAACTCGAGGTTCAGATATCTATACTTTATAAACTTTAAATTATAGATGTCGCCCTGTACGAGTACTCGAAATCGCTATGCAAGGGCTTTTTCCATCACCCGAGCACCAGAGAAACAAGGCTTCGAGGAATAGTCGAATCAAATTGTCTGTTGTTTAAAGCTTGAATTCCAAGTTTGCAACTGCGAACATCAAATTATCAAGTATTAATTACATAAACATTTCGGGCTTCGGCCCGAAATCGTCTTCCTGTACTATAGCGCCAGCCTTGCGAGTTTTCTCGACATATTCACATTCCTCTGAATGCAAGATCTCGCTCGCCGTAGGTCTTTTCCTATAGTCCGGCTCTATCATGCGCCGAACCATTTTTTCCAGAGATATTCCATCAATGAGAAATTTGGGTACCCACGCTGGAATCTTGCTGTAGCTATCGACCAAAAAATCAAGTTTGTTGGCCTTATCGTGGGACGAAAGATCGGTGACTTCCGTGGTCGTATTCGCGTTGGAAAACAACGAGTCTGAATGAATTTCGGTGGAGCTGAGCTTACCAGCATCGGATAAATCGCCAGAACGTAATTTGTGCCAGGCGTTGCCATTATCTGGCAGCATGACATTGGCAGCTATTTCAACGATCATCAGCCCCAAAGAGAAAATATCAGCCCTGAAATCGTAGATACAATCTGATATGATTTCTGGTGCGATATACTCTCTGTCGCCTTCGTTCTCCAAATCATTGTTTACAACCGGTAATTTCGTTGCCATTCCAAAATCGGCCAGCTTGAGACTACCTTCGAAAGTAATCAACACGTTCGCGGGTTTCATGTCTAAGTGGGCAATTTGGCAAGACTCGTGAATAAAGTTGAGCGCCAGGCTCAACTCCACTATAACTTTCCATATCCGCCAGTCTTCTAATCGCGTTTTCTTGCTCACAACTTGTTCCTTGAGAAAAGAATCCAGGTCGCCATTTTCACAATATTCTGTCATGACGTAATAGAAGCCTTGATATTTCCATGAACTTATGAAGGTTAGCACATAGTCTTTCCCTTCCTCATCTAAAGTTGTCTCGCTTATGCGTGACAATATGTCAATTTCTTGCAGTATCCTAGCGGTTGTATTAGATTTATTGGGCCGCATACTTTTGACAGCATACTTGATGCCTGTTTCTGCAAAAACTACTTGGTAGACGCGGGAGAAATGGCCGCTACCAATTGTGCAGACATTTTTGAATTTTGTGGACAAATGTGAGTCCGGACTTATATGCATCTGCTCCAATGGCGGTGAAGCAGGCCGACTTATTTTCGCATTAATAGATCTTTTCGGTTTCGACATTAGAAAAGGGGAGGGCCGTCGTACTGGGTACGGGGACTTTGTTGGCGTATGCGATGGACTTCCTGCATCTGCAGAAAATGTTATTGTGGGTGCTGTGGAGGAAACACACCCAGAAAGAAACCCGTCATCATCGTCATCGTTACCATAAAGGTCGTCTGTGAATTGCTGTAGTGTGTTTGTCAGAACTGTATTGCTGAACACCTTGGATGTTCTGCCAGGCTTGTTCTTGCCAAGTGATGATGAAGAATTGGTGACATTGGAAGAATGAAATCGGCTGTTAGCAGCGCTTAACGGTGATTGATTAACGGAGTCGAACCGTCCGGTGGCCGATGTATAGGAGCGCATTGGGGAGTCCATTATAGAAGAAGGATCGACAGTTGTGTTGTGTGGCGATTTTTTGACTGGTGTGTCTGGAGTGCTGAACACCTGAGGCATGAGATGCGATTGCATTTTGGACTTGAGCCCAGATGACATGAATGCAGTTTGATCGGGTTTTGCATTAGAGAAAGGCTGCTGGGAATAGGTTTTACGCTGTTTGGTGAAATGAGTTTGTGATGGGGAAAGGGAGCTGCTTTTCGATTTGTTCGGCGAGCTTTCTACTTTTTTGTACATCCATTTGCGTAGTACTTCAGGGTCATTGACGAATGGAGAAAGCTCACTTTTGCTAGCAGTTCTTTTGAGATTTGCGGGCGTTTCAGGTCGTTCTTCGAATGGACTCCAATTATCCATATAGTCGTTGATAGCAGGCACTTGCACCAGATTCAATGTTCGGGCACTTCTGGTGAGCCCCGGCATAGGAGGCTTTACAGGCCGATCTTCTTGAGTATCGTTGTTTTCATCGCCGGGAGAATCCTCGAAAAACTGCAGATTGTTTCGATGGTCGTCAGAGCTGTCCAGCAGCTCTGATACTTCGTCAACTTGCTCGAGATGTGTTGTATGGCCTTCTAACGAAGAAAATGCCAATTTCCCACGACTGTTATTGACGTCGCTAGGACTGAGAAGCATCAAGGGGTCTCTTTGCTGAGCATCTCCTGGAGATCCACCACCACCACTGGCTTTTGAGATTTTGCGAGACCGACTTCGATGTTCTCCAAACATCTGTGTATTTGGGGAACAGGCCTCAGTAGTTTAGAAAACCTAACTTTTCAAGCTAGAGCTAGTGACCTGAAATGTAATGTAATGAGGTGAGGCTTTGAGGCCGCACCATGCAATCAATGGCTGCGTAAAACCCAAGTTCAGTCTTTCCAAGTTTAAATTTTCAGTCGTGTGTAAGATCTCTTTCTCTGCAATCACAACACGATCAACACCTGTTGAAATTATCGTGTTCGCGTTTCTGTATGTAGATGGAAGAGACCGAGACGGGATTGAATTTTCGCGTCGCTTGGAAAAAAAACGCGACAGGAGAAACAAATAGCTGATTAGTGCCAGAGCGGACGATTGATAAGCGAGCTATGGCTTGAAGGGTCTCAAGGGCGGTATTCGTGAGTCGAGTGTCACTTTCAGAGAAGAAATGACGGCTTGGGAATCAGTTTCGACACAACTCAGCTGAAGGACATATTTTCAATAAAAAAATTGGATGTGTAGGACAGGAGGGACCCAGCTAGAGGAATCTTGTTGACGTTTCAGTAAGCAGCACTCTTGCACTTTTGCACTTTTAAACCTGATTGTAATGATCCGTTAATATGTAGATCAGGGTATATTTCTATATATGAGTCTTGACTGGAAAGAACGCTGAGAAGATCGCGTGAAAAGAGCAATAATCGTTTCTGATGGTTTATGATGTAGAGAGCGCGCTCTTTGGAGAATCTTGCGGCCTTTTGACTGTTCTTCAGCGCTGTATTTGTTGTTTGTTGAGTGTGTCGGAGAGTTGTAATTGTATGTTAACAGGTATCTAAATGTCAATTTCAATTAAATGTGCTGAAATCCTTCCTATACATAAAAAGAGAACTACTGTCGAAGAATCGAAGGATTGATTGGGGGAAAAAGAGAAGACGGCAAAACCAGGGTTTTTGAACCAAATGGTGTGGATATTTGGTAGATAGTGAGAGTTGTTCTTTTGGGGGGATCTTGGTAATGGGGGGAGTAAGAGTTGAGTCACGTGACCAAGGCCCGGTACCGGTGGTAAAGTTGAGATGTGATTGGAAAGTAGGAAAAAGGCAGTGACTAAGCCTTTTTGTAGAAACCAGATTACCCGATTCAAAGGCTATCAGCTTTTCAACCAATTCTTGGTTGGGTTTTCTTGATCTGTGGTTCCAGTCACGTGACCATATGTGAATTAAAACAAAACCTATTCACACTGAGGTTCCTCACAAGTCAGTGGTACTATTGGAGACTTGAGATTATCAGGAAAAGAAGGCATCAATGTTTAAGATTATAGTGCTAAGTAGCCATCTGAAGTGGATTTTAAAAAAAATATTTGTATAATACTGGGTCATGACACCTCCGGCAACTTCAACCAATGAAACTTCAAAGATTCCAAGCGATAAAGTCAGTATAGAAACTACTGGTTGCACAGATACCGACTTTTTAAAACCAATTGCGCCTCTTCCCGATATGTCTATGTCGAATTTACCTCTGAGATCCGGCGTCAGATTCGTGACAAAGTGATCTGGGGCGCGTGGTTGCATGACAGCGACACACCTGATAAAGAATCAGCTTTGAGCATTAGCACCCTGAGCTTGCTAGCGCCCATGATACAGCGTGCAGCTGACGGTGCCACCCGATATCATTATTTAACGCCAAAATTATCAAAAACTTTTCGATTCCACAGATGCTAAAACTTTCAGCATAGTTCAAGCAAGCTCTGGGGCCATCCTCACGGATACTGGAACTTCCAACCTATAAGACCATTATCTGCGTAATCAAAACAGTACGAAGGGAGAAATCTCATTGGATAGGGAGTAAAACAGTGGTCACCCATTTCTAATGGAACATTTTGTTTATGCTCGTTGTGAGACTTTGATTGAGTCTCTGGAGTGTCGTGGTACGAACCGTATTATACACAGGATATTTGGTCCAAATGAGATTGGGCGATTATTATTGTGTTACGTACCGGATGAACTTATCTTTGCTTACTGTTTAACGTTCAGAGGTTTTATAGCTTATTCCTTTTTGCACGATTTGGGGAATCTATTCTCCATCGATGGAGGTCAAACCTTTTCACTTCCATTTGCGTTGTGTGGCAATGATTCAGACCATTTTTGGAGTTGCGCGATGGTACCAGGTGGTATTATCCGTTGCCCACTGCATCATGGGTGCTCGAAGCTGATCTGTCGCTGTCATTCGTCACGTGCATTTTGATCACTTTGTCATGGGTCTAACGCCAAATCTCAGAGGTGAAACCGGCACATTTTACCCAGCTTATGGAACGGTTTGAATTCACACGACACTACAGAGAAATTCGATCAAAGTTTTGCAACGAGTTAAAAACTTTTGATCTTGAGTCTTGTAACAAAAACCAAGCATTGTTGCTTTCGCAACGTCAGAAAAATGAGAAAGTGATATGAGGCACGTGACAATAATGGGAAAGCAAATTTTTATGAATTTAGCCTTTTCCTGATCGAGTGTTTTGAGACCACAATCCAGCTGCATATTCGATTTTCCTCTTCATATTGAACCATCCCCCCCCCTCACGCCCTGTGTCGGTGACCTGAAAAACCAAACGCTGAAGATAGTATCTTCCCCGTTCAAAACGATACAATCCCATCCACTGTAATCTGGGATGTGTTTTTTGACGCATCAGGTTTCGTAGCTCAGCCGCTTTGAGTTTGAATGATGAATAAAAATAGCACATCAGTTTCAGTGAGCTGCATCCCCACCTTATCGGTGAATTCAGATAAAGGGGGAGGGTCACGTGATACATACTTAAAAAAAGTGATTCTCTCGGTGCAATAATGTTCTTCACAACCATTATTCAAAGCGCACACACACAAACACCATACAGCTACGCTCCAAAAATTACCACTTCCCTTTACCATTCACTTTCTCTCTCTCTCTAAAAAAACCAGCCTCCCGTAAATAGCGACTACAAAACACCCTCCACGTGACCCACGTGACCCAATGCAGATCTCATCATCTCAAACGATCTCACAGCAAACAAAGGATGCGAAAAAAGATCTGTTTCTGTCAACCCATACTGAACAATAACAACATTATATAAATTTGAAAAATATAGATATCTATAATCTATAAGATCTACTTCAGCTTAACAGCCGTCTTGAAACCATTAAAAGCCAATCCAAGAACTAGCCAGTTTTAAAACACGCGGTTAGCAGCAACAACTGGTGCGAGAAAGCGGGTCAATGATTGTGCTAAAGAAGAAGCTCCTGGCGAGCTGCTTCGTGGTTTTTTTGGCTACTTTGGCACTGTTTTCCGTGCATAGACACATCAATGCAGGTGCATCTGTCAGGGAACGGTTTTATGCAGATGTGTTCTCCAGCATCAAGAAATTCAAGCCGATTCACCCGCCCAAACAACGGGAGTCTATGAAACTGACCGGGTGCGATATGGGCAATGCAGGCATCAACAAGGGCGATTCCGTGAAACGCACTACGCTGGAAAATCTGGACCGGTGCTACAAACTGTCAAAACTGCAGTTCCAGGGTCTGCAGGCGCCACACATGGGGTTTCTGGCCACGATCCGGGAGTCGTTCAACTACCAGCGTGCGGCGCCGATCTTTCAAGATCTGTTCCCGCAGGAAGAAGGGTTCGTCACCGTGGGCGGCGGCCGGTTTTCGCTGCTGTCCTACACAATGATCAAAACACTGCGGGAACGAGGCTCCACGCTGCCTGTCGAGGTGGTGATCCCGCCACAGGACGAAAAAGACGAAGAACACTACTGCAACTCGGTTCTGCCGCAGCTCAATGGCCGTTGTGTCTTCTTCAGCGACGTGTTGCCCCGTCAACTCATCCAAAACTGGGAATTCAAGCGCTACCAGATCAAGTCCGTGGCGCTCCTCATCTCCAGCTTCAAAAAGATCGTCTTTATCGACGCAGACGATTTCCCTTTGAAGAACTTGGACTCTGTTTTCCAAAGCGAAGTGGTCAAACACAACGGGCTGGTACTGTGGCCAGATCTATGGAGACGCGTCACAGCACCCGTTTTTTACCGTATCGCCAACGTGGACGTCGACACGACCAGTCGTGTACGCAACCTGGGCGACGACGTGTCGCCTCCTTCGCGTTACATAGACCCCGCACTGGACCTGGATCTCGAAAAAATCCCTTTCCATGATTTTGAAGGTGCTATTCCAGACCCAACTTCGGAATCGGGCCAGATGGTCATCGACAAAGTCCGCCATTTACAAACCCTGATTTTGGCGCTTTACTACAACGTTTACGGACCCGAATGGTACTACTCTTTGATGTCACAGGGAACCCCTGGAGAAGGCGATAAAGAAACGTTTGCATCTGCTGCTCACGTGCTGGGACTACCGTACTACCAGGTCAAGACCAAGTTGAGCTTTGATGGATATTTCAAAGACGGGTTCCATGGAGTCGCCTTGTTGCAGCACGATTGCGAGCAGGACTTCCAATTGCACGAAAAAGCTAAAGAACGGGTTGAGGCCGACCTTGCAAATTACAAAAAATACGATCCCAGTTACGACCCTGAAGATGCCTTCTACAGCGACCTGTTGAAGCGTGACGATAAGTCTGATATTGATGTTATGTTTGCACATGCCAGTTTCCACAAATTTGACCCATGGCAACTCTACCACGAAAAGGTCTACCTCAACTCCGACGGTACCCAGTTCCGCTCATTCACCAATCTCGGAAAAATCAAAAACTTTGACGTCGAGCTCTTCAATTTCGAGGTCCTGCAGTCCGCGCTTTGCTCTTCAAAAGTTATTCAATTTGCATACTTGAAAGATAAGTTCAACACTGCCAAGTGGACCGAAGTGTGCCAATACGTGAGGGACCGTGTTAATTTTCTCACGGAAACCCATAAGAAGGCCACCGGAGTTTCATCTTAGTTGCAGCGTTGAACTTGACTGATGTTCCATCCCACCGATTTCCCACCCACCGTAATTTCCACTACAAAGAAATTTGTTTGATGTTTAGTTGGCAACCCAAGGGCGCTTCATGAAAACCAAAATAATGTTAAACTTGATCAGCAGCTTTCCAGGATTAGCGAAGTATCTCCTTCTAACACATTTTGGATTCAGCTTGGGTGCTCAGCTGCTTAGAGTGCTTAACCCAAGTCCGGCGTCACATGATTATTCAATGATAATAATATTAATAATTTTCCATAATCAAGTAAACCAAACTACTCGATCTCCAGATAAAGAAGGCTATATACAACTTTGTAACGCTATAAACACTCAATAGAGTCTGTTTGAAGACTGCTATGTCACCGGAAATGAACGCAGAACGTTCGAAATATGCTGCCACGATTTTGGTCGGCAAAAAACCACTCGAAGCCACCGAAATTATTCGATTGCGACTTTCACAGGCCAAACTCATAAACAAGCAATTCTTCTTGCTGTTCCGGGAGTTGGCGGAATTGAAACGTCACCAGGCTCAGCAATTACGCCAGATTATTGCAAAGAATGAAGATTTGAACAAGCTGTTGATGCGGGACATGCTCGAAAGTAGGGTTTTGACGTCAGAAGAGTTGCGTGACTTTCGGTTCGATTCATTGGGCGAAGTGGCCGGACTTTGGGATGGGATCATAGGCGGTCTGAAAGTGGACTTGCAGTCCAGCTCTGCGTTGCACCATTTGCTCGATAGAAACGTATCTGCTGAGCTCAGGGAATCGACAGAAAGAGACCCCCTATGGCTGCAGAGCAGAAAGCTGCATTCCGATTTGTGTAGAATAGCAACGGAACACGACCAACTCACGAAAAAGGACAACGCAGGATCGGAGTCCGTAAACACAGAAAGACTCCGTGAAATCAACAGCCAATGGGACTCGCAGGCCGCTAATCTATTTGAGATTTTCGAAGAAACAGATTATAGACGACTACTAGAGCTAAAGAACTGCATTTCCAGGTATGAAAGCGGACTGATCGACTATTCGAATTCGAACCGGGAGCAATGTGAAAAGACGATGGCTCATGTTCTGAACTTCGATGTCGAGGGAGAAATCGATAGATTTGCGCAAGCTGCCTTAAAGTACGATTTCGACTTCAAAATACCAGCCGTCCAACAAACTGACGTCACTTCCTCATCTGAAACTGGCTCTGGTGCTTACAAAAAACACGAGAAGTCTACGAAAAATGGCCATGGGGCTTTTGGTGGACTTGCTAACAGGCTGTCGTCGTCAGGTACTGTAGTCAAGCACGACCTTATGAAATCCGAGTTTTCAGATTCCGCCAACAACACAACATTGAAATCGAAGCAACCCACGAACAAACTCAAGTCAAAAATGGGCTCGCTTTTTGGGCGGAAAAAATTGAAAAATAAGAAATCTGGAAAGCTGCAGGAAAATGCCATCACCGAAGCGGAAGAGGCATCAGTGAGGACATCCGATTCAACTCGGAATCGCAGCACAAACGTCAATTCAGATTCCGACTCTCAAATTTATACCTCTCGTGCTACTGCCGAGACATCCAATAATGTGAATGAAGCCGATCTGCCTCCACCTAAACCAAGTTTCACCGGGACAAGTTCAACACTCTCGATCAATCAACCATCGTTAAAACCACAGCCTAGAGGAAGAACGAACACAGGCGATCTGCGCGCTGCTGATGGTACATTACCTGCACGCAGCAACGATGTGCCCAATTCGGCAAATGACTCGCAATCAGGAGAAGCGTCCCGCTCTACGGTTGGGGTCCCTGAACCCGTCACGAATACTACACAGCCCATTCACATTCAAGCTCCCCAGGTACCCGCTCCCCCTCCAGCTCGCAAAACAGGCCACCCTATTGCAGCAACTTTGGCAAGGGAGTCGCATGGCTCTGTTCCCGCACCAGCTATAAGTGCGAGACGCGACATTCAATCGACCCTGTTCACTGACCTCTCTCAAGCTGATATAGATGCACAACAGAATAAGCGTCAGTCATCGCTTGCTTCTCAAATGACCGGAGAATTGAAGGCTTTGAATCCACAAGTTACAGGTTCATCGATATCAGTCGCTCCGGCCACGGGTCAATCAATTTTTCAGCACTCAGAGCTCACGTCTTTCGGATTCAATGCAAGCGTGGCCGAAGTTATCAGTGCCACTTTCCGTGAAGGCGGTCTGATCTCTTCTCAGCTCATAGGTGAGATTGCTCTCAACTTCGTGGCTGATAGCGACACTTTGCCAATCGACATAAACTTGAGGATCAAAAACTTCGAAAGCGTGGAAAAGGTCATTGTTAATCACGCGTTTATCGAGCAGGTTGGGCCTGGTGCTTTCAAAGTGAATCCTCAGTTTATCGAGTCCAAAACCTTGGGCGCTTTCAAATACGCACTTTCTGACCCTGTCGCCCCAATTGTGATTAATCCAGTATGGCGATTCGAGAATCATCAATCTAGCGTAGCACTCACGCTCAGTATAGCGCCCAACGTCCACGCTTCTATCCAGCAGTTGGTTATTGAAGACCTCATTGTGTTTGTATCAATCGAGGGTGCCAATGCCACAAGTGCACTTTCAAAGCCACAAGGCTCTTTCAGTAGGGAGAAAAAGAGAATCACTTGGAGGTTCAAGGAGCCCATTACTATCAATAGAAATGGGGAACAGCGGTTGATCGCGAGGTTTTTGACTGACGGAAAGGCTTCCGAGTCGCCAAAAGGTGTTGAAGCCAAGTTCACGATTAGAAACTTGAACTCAGGAGACTCTATTGAGTTAGAGAGTCAGGAAGTCGATGCTACTGATCCTTTCGCGGCCGATGCAGCTTGGAGTCTTGTTTCTTCCAAGCGTACGATGGTCGCTGGAAATTATTCGGGACTTTCGTGAGACGTTGAGGAAGAATCCAATGCGTGAAAGCCACTGTTGTAAGATAAAAAAACAAAAACGACTTTGAATGAATCATTATCGTAATGAGGGTTGTGTGCAGCGCTGTATGGATATGTAATCTAGTAACTTGGGATATGATCAGGACTGAATCGAGTTACAATGTTCCAGCCATGCCAGGACTGCAAGCCGTTGGAGGAAAGCGTAGCAGAATGAGAGCTGCTTTCACTTTGAGATTTCGAGGTCGAGATCTCTAGTTCTGCTGCGGGCGGCGAAAGCGGACCCGTATCAATATCCTGTCGCAGCGCACGCTGAAATGTTAATTCACGATTTGCGAATACCGAAGGGACATTTTTGAAGCGCGGGTTTGAGAAAGCTGGGGCCAGCTTCCGTTCCAGCAGAAGCGGCCTCATCGATTCTGCAAAATCGCGGATTCGCAGACGTTGCAGTGGACTCACAAAGTCCAGAATATGTGCGGTATAATTATCGCTGTGGCGCGCTGCAATTCGTACTGCGGTGAGCGCCCGCACCACCTGTACGGCTGGAGTCCCGTTCTCAACCCCCCATGCCTCCACTATCTCCTGTACGCGTTTGTTTGCTGGGGCACGCAAACTTGATAGCGCTCGTCTGTCGTTTTGAACGCACCAGTCGTCGATCCGTTGCGAATTAGACACCTCGGCACGCTGTTCTTGCTCTGCAAACTCATTTTCTTCTTTGTCCACCGGGTATCCAGCTCCCAGTACCGTGCCCTGCGTTACCTCGTCTCGTTCGCTCGAAGTAGACAAAATTGCGAATTCTTCCGAGCGTACTTCGTTGGTGTACAAGCGCGAGTCTTCACTAACCTCCTCTTCAGCAGCAAAGGGCTCCGCCGGTCTGTTCAGCACTTGAATGTCCTTTGCGCTGACATTTCGGAAAATCGTCTCTTCCCACTCGTTGAAGTTCTGCTGCGTTAAAGTCGCTTGCGCTGCAGATCGCGAGCCCCTTCTATGGTAGCTATTGAAAGCCATTTTTACACAGGGAAACTATACAAATGCTATTTGAATGTGTGGGTTGTGTCTATAGATCGATTCTACCTGCTAGTTCTACGTACATCTGCTGTTGATGAGTAGATGGATGATGGCGGAGGGTATAGTTGGTAACTGGCATAAGAGCCATAATTTAGTGGAAGGGATGGTCATGTGATGTTAATAAACGGCACGACTAGAGAAACGAGTAGAGGAACAACGGGAAAACTGGGTCAAAAACAATATGAGAGGGTGTGTTGGAATGGGATGTTGTATCATACATGGGTGACTCATCTTGAAACATAATTGAGACAACGAGCATGAGTTTAGTGGCTTCACTGAACACCAAGTCTTTGAAATAAAACATAATTGAACAATACTATCTTGAGTCACGTGCCAAGACTTAAAAGTCACATAGCTGGCTATCTTAGGATAGAAGTAGGTTTCCAGCTTGATTGAGGATCAAAAAATGTGGCAAAAATATTTCTATCAGCTACTGAGTGGAGCTGATCGCCTGTTGTCTTACATTCTTCTCTTCACATGAAATGAAGTCCGGTGAAATCTTTTAAACGGGGTTCCCAAACAGAGACGTTTGAGACAGCATTTGGGCACCCTAATGAACGGATTTGGAGTCTGGAAAAAGACGCAGTTGATTTCACAGAAGCGGTAACACACAAAGTCACGTGACCAAAGATAGGGTGGTGACAGAATATTAGAATAGTGATCTACAAACATGCAATAAACTTTTGTACCAAAGTACAAGGGGCTGGGCTGTATGCTTTGTAACGTCTGTTCATCAGTTACGCAGAGTCATCTGTACTGGAACCTCAATAAAAATATCACATACGTAGACTAAGTGAACCCCGGAAGAAACAAAAAATCGTATACAGTGACATCTACCACACCAACCAATATGTGACCTTAAAACGCTCGAAAAACATACACCATTCAAGAGAGACAGCTATAGTCTAATTTTCCATATACTTTCATGTTTTTCGTCTCCACCGCCTTAATTTCGCAATGACTATCGTCAATGGCTATATAACACGTGATCCGAAAGCTTCGCCATAATGACTCGTAAATAGTTACATCGATCAATTTAGCAGTCATATGGCCTATATCATTCATTAAGGTTCTCGACCTAAACCATCTCTCATCTCTACATCACCAAACGGTTCCACGACTGATCCACGACTGCTCAAAATGCTCCGCCAACAAGTTCGCTCACTTCACGCTACCGCGAGAAGATATGACTTCTCTAAGATGACCATTGTCGGCCGCATTGGCTCAGATTTCACCGAATACACGTCGTCCAATAACAACAAATATCTGAAGTACAGCATCGCGTCGCAACCCAGAAGGGATGGTGCCACCAACTGGTACAATATCACGGTGTTCAATGAGCCCCAAATCAACTTTCTGACGCAATACGTGAGAAAAGGGTATGTTCACGGAAGATTGGAGCTACAGTTCTCATGAAATTTCGCGTTTTTGATTACTAACATCGACCCAATTGCAGCGCTCTTGTATATGTGGAAGCAGACGCTGCCAATTATTCATTCGAGAGAGAAGACGGCTCCAGAGGCACCACTTTGAGCCTTGTCCAGAGTATGTTCTTGTATCCAAGAGATTACCTACTAGAATCCGCCAATTTTTGTGCAATGAGCGAAATTTACTAACCTTTCATCTTCAGAGGAGATCAACATGCTCAGAAATGGGAAATCCGAAGAGACTGCCGCTGAAAATTCCTCTTAGAGAAAACCCACCATTATCATGATTTCTCTATTTTCAGTCGCTGTTTCGAGCATGACTACGGAACCCATCGAAAACTGTGCTCTGAGTACCTAGTTAAGCGCCTTCTCAAGATCGGTGGAGAGAACAGGCTACCCAAACCCATCTGCCAACTACAAGTACGTATAAGATGATTATATTATAATTCGATAATATCTTGAATCCATATGAGAGAACTCGAGTTGATCACAACTCCCAAAGAGCTTTCTTGTTTAACTTCTGAGATTCCATCATTATCCCAGTCACTGACTCTGAAGAAACTAGCATGTCCGAGGTTTCAGCAACTTACAGCTCTCCAGAAATCGAAAAACGGGTTTTTTCGGTGGATTCCTCGCAAAACCGCTATAACACCACTAATGGCAGCACTACAGGTCCCAGCGCTTATGTCTTACAGGCTGGACAAATCGACAAAGATAAGCCAGCAGAACCAAAACGTAGCAATGATGGCGAGTTCACTTTTCTGAGCAAAGTAAGAATGCAATTGACTGGTCTGCAGGACGATATCAACGAGTTTCTCACACACCAAATGGAGACCGCCAAAAACAAGAAATTGAAACAAGACGATGAGTTACGTATAAAAAGTGAAATTGACAAGCTTTTAGACGGTGGAGAAGACGATGAAAGTGATTCGGACAAGAAGTAATGGCGCCAACAAGCGGCCACAAGTAACAAGATGGGAAAGCTGCCTGGAGGAGAATGATATCCCATAACCGGGGTCTTGTTTTTTGTCAATCAACAGAATCAGGCGGGAAGCCCATCAGAATCTCACACTATTCTTAGCCAAAGATGGCATAGCAGCTCATAGCAGCTCATTGGACGGCAAACTCATGGAGAAGCTCACAGTCATTCACGTCTAAAGTGACCTCATCGCTAAGCTCACTTTAATAAAGCGCTAGGCATCAAATGGCTTCTCATCAAAACTCGCACCAACCTCTAAAGGCATTGGTAAAGACACCCAATTGGGCCAGGCTATAATGGACCAGGCTCGAGAAAAAGGCTCCAACGAAGAACCTGGCTCACAAGAAATAGTGCAGCCTTCCGACCTTTCGTGTTCGGATTCGGTAAACGAAAGAAGACTGCTGTGGAAAATAGATGTGTTCGTCTTATCCTTCGTTTGCTTGCAATACTGGATTAACTACGTTGACAGAGTTGGCTTTGCCAATGCTTATGTTTCCGGTTTGAAAGGCGATTTGGGGCTCCGAGGTGACCAGTTCAATGTGATCAACACTTGCTTTACAGTCGGATACGTTTTGGGTATGATTCCTAACAACCTGATACTCTTAGTGGTCCAGCCACGGATATGGCTAAGTTTCTGCACCTTTGCGTGGGGGATATTAACGCTGTCTATGTACAAAGTTACCAGTTTTCAGCAATGCTGCGCAATTCGGTTTTTCCAGGCTATATTCGAAAGTTGTACTTTTTCTGGCACTCACCTTATCTTGGGTTCGTGGTATCGCGAAAATGAGCTTACCATCCGTTCGGCCATTTTCACAAGTAGTGGATTGGTGGGATCGATCTTTAGTGGGTTTATGCAGGTGGGAATTCACGATTCCTTGGACGGGCGCAGAGGATTGGCTGGATGGAGATGGCTTTTTATTGTTGATTTCTTGATTACCATACCCATTGCTATCTACGGCTTTATTTTTTTCCCCACGACTCCGGACCACATGAAAAGCCAGTCGGATGTCCCACGATGGCTATTTTCCAGCCAAGAGCTTGAGTTTGCTAAGCGTAGGTTGCCAACACGCGATGAACGTGCAAAGCTGGACTGGTCGGTATTCCGCCGTGTTCTTGGTAGATGGCATTGGTGGCTTCTTTCACTACTTTGGATTCTAGGCGGCGAAAATCTCTCTTTAGCGTCTAATTCGACTCTTGCTCTATGGCTGCAGTCCCAAGGATATTCTTTGGCAGACAAAAATCAGTACCCAATGGGCATATACGCGGTGGGAGTCGTTGCTACTTGCGGTAGCGCTATTTACATGGATAAATTCCGTCATTCGCAGCATTGGCATGTTGCGCTTTTCATTGGTGTTGTAATGTGCGTTGTGGCAGTCATGGTGCGAGCCGCACCTATCAGTCCTGGAGTATTGTTCACAGCTCAATACTTAGGTGGTGTTGCGTATGCCGCACAGGCCGTATTTTTTAGCTGGGCAAATGTCGTGTGCCAAAATGACCTACAAGAGCGTGCCATTGTTTTGGCATCTATGAATATGTTTTCCGGTGCTGTAAATGCTTGGTGGTCATTACTGTTTTACTCTGCGACCATGGCTCCTCGATACGAACGTGGATGTTATGCATTGATTGGAACTGCCATTGGAAGTATTGTGTTGGCGGCACTGATCCGCTGGCTCCAGCGCCGGGACCAGAATCAGAATCAGGGGAAGCGCTTGAACTACGTTGCTGCCGAGGCGTGGAATTGAATTCTGTTACAAGCCACCCTCAATTCAATATAGAATGAATTGGTTGGGAGTTTTTTAGCATTGGTGCTGGGGGGTGGGGAGCGTTGGTCGAAACTCTTGAAATTGTTGCTAATCTGAATGGCAATACTTACAATGCGAACATGAGTGACAAGCCTTATTTTCGCTACAGAAACTAACTTGCGCAGCACTATCGCACCGCCACGAGGCCAATGAATTGCGTCTCTCTAATGTATTTGGCACCATGCGACCCGCGTATCGTTTGGTATATTAGCAAAACTTCCCTATTCGAAGTCCAGACCTACAACCGCTCCAGCAACCTTTGTGAATTGTCGCCCTGCTCTATAGCAACGTGACGCTGTATGTTGAAGAACGTCTGAATTTCACACTGCAAGAAAAGACGGCGATCAGTGGCCGTTGAATCTGGCGGCGAGCCCTTCCATGGTCACAGTCTTTCGACGATGAGGGAAAGCGCAAAATTATCTCAACACATACAAGGGGCCGTTGCGAACGTCATGGATTCATGAGGTCTAAAATATTTCGGTGACACACTTTCGAGCAGAGAGTTAGCATCAGTTTTCCTAGTCGAAAACACTCCAAATAACATGAGAGAAAAAGTGTATGAAAGCTTTTTCAAGCTAGAGCCCTGTTACAAAAGATAATAAATTCTCATTTCGAACAAAATGTTCAGCCAACTGTGTCGTTACTATCTTCGAGGCCATCACCTTTCACCTATGTCTTCTCTCTTATATGATTTTCGTTCATAATGATATATTTAAACAAGAATTTATTATGCGAAGACATTTGACGAATTTGAGTTGATCTTCACGGTTTTCGTGCACTCAAGGAATTCAATAATCTGGTTCACGTCAGCTCATAGCGCCCACTGTTCTGGTTGGGACGGTCGATAAGTGCTATCTTTATATTAGCACGAGGAACTTGAAGCAAGAAAAACGGTGGTTTGTTGCTGCTTGCGCTTTGCATCGGGCTGTTGAGAATGGCGTTCAAACCGAAGAAGAAAGGAGGGATAGAGTCTTCTAGCCTTGTGGAACGCATTGTGAGGAGGCTGAAGACTTTAATGGTGGACTCGCGTCGCAAAAGAACCCAGGTTTTCACATTTGGCTCTATAGCAGTGGGACTATTGGTGATATATTTACTGCAGGGTCTTGTCTTGCATAAAAGTCAACAAGACTCGAATTTTCCCCCGGTACATGGTCATTACACGGAAGAGATCATAACAACACAGCCTTTGATTTTCCCTCCAATTGAACATGCGGAACGTCTGAAACAATTGAACCTCAGAAACCTCCACATGCTGCGAATCGACTTGGATGGGAACAAAAAATATGTTTTGAAGGAAGACGATAAGCCCATAACTGACAAGGAACGTAAAGAAATCACAGACGAATTCGAACTTGTGAAACGGGAGTATTTGGACCACGGTAAAAGGATATATCGCAAAGGATCAGAATCGCCTGAAGTTGTGGTTGTCACACTAGTGGACTTTGATCAAAACAGCGCCGATACACTTATTCCCGTGGTTCAAAACAGGGTTGACTACGCGCAGAGACATCGGTACGGTGTATACGTGCGTTGGGCTCAAGAATTCATTCCCACAGTCGATAATCAGGATTTGCCAAAAACGTACGAGTATCTCAAGCCTCTGATGATGCGTGCTGCGATGCATGCTTTTCCAAAGGCCAAATATTTTTGGTTCTTGGACCAGCACGCCTTGATCATGCGCATGGATTTATCATTGCAAACCCAACTGCTGGACCGGAAAATTCTGGAGATCGCCGCGTTGAAAAACGTTCCTGTTTTAAAGGGCTCCAATATTAAGACTTATAATCACTTCGTCCCAGACCTTGCCGAGGTGATCATTCCTCAGACGAACGAGGGCCAGTTGGACTCGAATTCTTTCATCGTCAAGGCCGGCCTCTACGGTAAAGCATTCATGGACTATTTGGGCGATCCGCTTGTGCGCGACTATCCATGGTCATCTTTCTCGGCAAGCGTCGGACACGCTTTGCAATGGCACCCCAACTTTCTTGCCAAAGCCGCTTTGGTGATTCCTAAAACTATCGCCAGCGTCTATGACCCTGCTAAGTCAACCACAGAAAAGGCGAACATTGATGATTTTCACTACACGCAAGGCGATTTTGTCGCTTTGTTCAACGGTTGTCAGGAAAGAGGATCGTGTGCCAGCGACCTGGCCTTGCTCTACCAGCAAGTCCAGAAATAAGCTACTTACTTGGTTTTGAGTACTAGAGAGGTAATGCGTTTTTTCCGTTCGGCTACAATACAAGAAAGCTCAAAATATAGATCATCTTCACCAAAACCTAGAGTCATTGTTTTTGCGCAAACACAGACTGCTAGTGGCGGGGATTCCAACAATAATGCATGTCAAGCTTGCACGAGCCACTCAACCTCAAAGAAGCGCATTTGATAGATAAATACTTTTCGTTACTCTACTAAATCAGATCAAGATTATCTATCTACGTGCCAGACAACCTTGCGAGTGATATCAAGCTCGTACAAATTTGAGATATCTTGAAGTAATATTCCATCGTCGGTAAGATTCAAGAGCTGCTTTGCTTGCTTGTCCTCTGCGTGTCGCTAAAAACGCGAAATTCGTGTTTTTGCTTGTCTTTCTTTACGCGTTTCTTACAGGATTTTATTCACGACGCGTAAACTAAAGTAAATTCACGAAAAGTTGTGTGAAGATGCGAAAAACCTACCAACAACCGGAATAGACACAAGGTCAATGAAGCGCTGTTTGCCGGAGATGCTTGCTATGAAAATATTTAGTAGTGAGCGAAGTCCATCCGCGGCGCATAGCTCTTATTTTACTTAGTTTTAACATAGGTTTAACCTTTCTGTAGTACTTTGCAGCTTAGCTCGAGAACAACATCGAAGTGAAGCGAGACGAGGAGAAGCGAAGAGTTCGAGGAGATTTTGCGAAAGAGTTCTACGATGGTCACAAAACTTGAACTATTGGTATCCTCTGAAGACGAATATGTGTCTCTTTTGACACAGATGCAGCGTCTGCTAGAGCCCCGTCAAATGAATGGCACTACAACCAATACGTCCAGCTGTGACCCATTGAACAGGCTTCTACGCGAGTCAGCTACGTTGAGTGCTACATGCAGAAAACTGCTGCAAAAACATGCCGGTCTAGCTCAGCAACGGCTCTACTCGGGTTTGGACTTTAGCAGAGTGCTTACCAGCTGGCTGGAAGACAACGAACTGCAACAATTATATTCTACGCTTCTCGAGAAATCCACTACTCTTATCTTCGAAACGAATAAGGCCATCCTTCTTCAGCGGTTCTCACCGGTATCCGAGCTCACAAGGCTCTTGCTAGCCGTATCTCGAAGATTGCAAGAGATGGCCTCATCATGCATGTCGCCAAACGATAAAGTCCTTGCAATGACCAGATTGTTCGAAGAGCGATTTCTGACCCAATGGAACCGCATGGATTGCAATTCTTTCCGATATGACGATGTAAAGCCTTTGCTAAGTCAGTTTCAAGGTCCCATTAGTGCACCATTGGTAGATGCTGCCAATTCAAGGCAAAGAGGCTATTTCAAACTGACATTGCCGAAGTTCGGATACCACGACCACCTGGTAGAGCTTCTTCAATTAAGAACTGGGGAGCTAGGGATCTACACGGTGACTTCAGGGCATCTTTCACCGATGTCTGTGGATCAGATTGCGCATCTTGTGCTTGTCAGCCAGAATTTCAAGTCAGTGCAGTTGGGTAGGTCACTACTTTTCCCAGTCCTGAGACCAAGTGATCTCAAGATAATCTCTGTGAGCCGCAACAGTATCGAACTGGAAGCCAAGACCGACAACGGTGTCAAGCTCACGCTGGTTGCACTTGATTCCTCACAATGGAATAACAGTTGGAAGTCATACCTCAATATGATGTTTTCTGAAGGCTCTCACGAGGCGATCTTGCCTTCTGAGCAACAAACTTCCTCTTCACTACCACTGACCAGATCAACGCACTATTTGGAAATTTTAAAGGCTAAGCACGACAAACTTTCCGCTCTTCGCCCTGACGATGTCGCAGGTCTGGGGTTCAGCATAAAAGACACCCCTTCACAACCAAGCAAAGTCGTGGATTCACGCAATGTCTCCCAATTGCATAAGTCAAAACCTCTGGATGGTTCATTGATGTCACCAGTCTCTTCCCTTCATGCTCTGGAGGATTTGGATGATTTGGGATGCGAATCGCTGCTTCAACTGGATCATGACATCAATATGCCAGAGTCACCAGTCTCACATTTCGAACAAAGCTTCAGCGCTCAGAACTTCAAAAGGGTCGATTCCGGTTCATCAGTATCGAGAGAGGAAGTTTCTTCCGGTGAATACGCGGAAGACGGTGAAAGCATTGTGTCGTCTGTGGACGATGGAAAAGACGAGGAAGCTTTCGATTTGAGCACCGAGTTCTATAGACCACAATTGACCAGAAGGAAATCATCATCGCTATTGAGTATCTTCAGCTCGAATAAAGCAAAATCCTCGTCTAAATTGTCCAAGAGTTTGGCGCTGGAGCTTCCGTCTGGGAACTCAACTGCAAGCCTACTAAAAGTTCCCAGAGTACAATCACCTGCGAATGAAACATCTACTACCTCTCAGCAGGACGAATATTGTGTTCTCCCTGCTGAGATTAATGTTAATGAAGGCTTCCAAATATGTGACCATAACGTCAAAGTATCGCATTGGTATGCCAACAGTTGGAAATTACTCTCTTTCCAATCTCTGTCTTTTAAGCTACATGAAACTACTGAAGGTAAGGTTGTGTGTATGCTTTGCAGCACTAAAGACAACAGAAAGCTGAAAATTTGCGCGTTTGTGACACCAGACTGGAAGGTCACCAGACCAGCAGCACAGGATGTGCAATTGAGAATTCCAAGCACCAGCTTTCTCGCTTCAACTCTGCCTAACGGTCCTTCTGTCATCAGTCTAAGATGTCAACAAATTGACAAGTTGATGAACACATTGCACCACTGCATTAGACAGAACCTTCCTTCGAGGATACGAGCCTCGAACACTTCGGGCACTCTGTCTACCACATCATCTACATTCAGTGCGATGGATAAATCCGTGTCGCGCTCGGATACAACTTCCACAGGTCTGTCATCGATTGCACAAGATATTTTTAGCCGCTACAAGGAAGAAACCATTTCCCTTTTACTTTTGTCCAACGTCAAAGTTCGACTTCATCACAGAAATGGTCAGGCAGGGTGGGAAATCAAGGATAAAGGTTTGCTAGGCCTGTACTCGCAGGAATTGCGGGGCCATATCATAGGCATGAAATTCGATATTATAATGGGAAGCGCGAAGAAGCAAGAATACGTGAGTAAAATGGGTGACATCAAAAGAATTGGCCGGACCGGAATTTCATTGGTTCACGATGACAGCGATTACCTGGTCGAGTTTAGAAATCAGATTGTCGCTAACGAAGTCTTTAAATTGATTTCATGCCTGATATAATGTGTCGATGACCTTCAACTATGTACAAAGGACTTTTTTAATGCGCAGGTTATGCAAAACGGTATCTCAATCCCTGTATGCCACTATGGCAGCGGCATTGATGTTTCTTCTTATGTCCCTGTAATCCACGTCGTGAGTATCTTCAACCTCGCCCCATCTTTCAATTTGATAGACAGTTTCTAGAGTTGCACAATGTGCGAGGTTCTCCATTGTGAAAGAAAGGTCCGGGCTTGGAGTGCCGGCTTTGTTCTGAAGCAGCAAAAGTCCACAAATAAACGACTTTGCCGTCAGGACTGTTTTCTCGAACACCGCCAAATCCCACACCGACAAAGACCTCAGGTATTTGAGCGCTGCCTCTCTTGTATCTTCGGACTGAGCGTTACCTCTGAGCCCATGTAAATCGGCATCTAGAATTTGAATAGTGATAGGCTTATTTGCGACGCTGGACAAAAACGTTTCGGCAGCTTTGATCAACGGGAGATAAAGTTTGTTTTGAGCTGCTCTAAGAGTGCCTTCAAACTCGGATTTGGGCGAAAAACACAGCAATGTGTCGGTGTCGAGATACCGAAGTAGAGTACGAGAAATCTCTTCTCTGTCGGCCCCGATTTTAGCAGCGACCTCGGCGTCAGCGTTGGGCTTCGAGGCGTATTCCAGATCTATGCACCGGGAGACCAAAGACGTGACAGGCAAAGAATGAGGTTTGATCGACAACGATGCCAAATTCGACCACTCGTGCTCCAAAGCCAAACCCAGAAGTCTACGGTCGCGTGGGATCGTCAAATTGTTGCCCAATGGCGTCCTAACGGGTTTATTGTCAAGTTTGAGTGTAATTTCGTTACCAGTTTCATCGATTGAAACTTTGTTCCAAAACTTCTGCATTGTCTTCGACACTCTATTCGTCTCGGTTTGCATATTATTTTCAACGCTGGAATCAATCCCAAGAGCCGTTGTTTGCGCGTAAAGTCTTCTTCCTCTCATAGCATTACGAATCTTGAGCCCACCACATAAGTAGCTAGATTTGCTCAGGATTCTTGCAGTTCCAGTTCTCAGCATCTTGTAGAAACAACTATCACTCACACTAACTATAAAGACCGATACTAAGCTGTAAAAACTATACTAGCAAACTACAATCGAGATATCTGAATTGTTGCCAGACGATCAGAATACCAATCTGTAGCTTTGGTTGTTGTTGTTGATAGAATAAAGTTTGATGATCTTTCAAATTCGATGTCCATCTAGTTTAGCCAATATTGAATATAAATTTATATTGATCTAGTATCAACTTGATATTCAAAAGCTGTCTAAACTTGATCAAACTTGACCTTTAACACGCTACTTTTGAGTTCCAAAAGGTCAATTGTAATCCGACAAGATCCTTAAGCATGTCGCAAAATATTGCACAAGAAATGGCCGCTTCTCTGCGGTCAAATAAAGCCCAATTAGACGTAGTGAACGTGCAGTTGACGCAACTAGATAGACAGAAAAAACTAGCCAAGTTAACGGCTCAAGAGCTCGAATCGTATCCTGTGGGGAAAGTTTGGAGATCGTGTGGAAAAGCGTTTGTGCTGCAGGATAGATCTACATATACTGGAGACTTGGCGAGTGACGAGAAAGTGGTGGAAGAACAACTGAAGGCATTGAAGATTAAACAGAACTACCTGCAAACTACAGTGGACAACACAGTGGATAATCTCAAACGGATGATGGAACAGAAATGAATAACCAAGGAGAGGATTTTTTTGATTTTTGTTGGTTGTAACGGTAGTGGGGCCTTGGTTTTGACAAATCTATACATATACATATTTGTGTGTGACTTTTCGCTTCCCCGCGGGTTCTGGTATCGCCCTCTTCAAACTGCGCTATAGCCACCTCTTTGCGAAGAAGAAGAAGAAGATCGTCCAAGAACTCTGGAAACCACCTCTTTGGTGAATTGCGGCAACGACGACGCTAGACTTGACGACCGGTCAACAAACTCCTCGCGGAATTCACGCAAGCTGCCACCTCGTGTGCTCATGTAAGATGTAGCGAGCAGATATATAAGTGCAAACAACAACGCATAGGTAATGAGCCACAGAAACCAGGATCCAATGCTGGTGCCCTTTTTCTTGTCTGGCTTGGGTTCCTTTTTGCTGTCGTTATCTTTGTCATCCTTTTTCTTGAGACAGCCAGCATCTCCCTCAACAACCATTTCCACCTTTTTGTCGCGCCACGCCAAAGACGTAACGACGTTGGGATTTTTGTTAGCAGCACATACAAATGTTATCTGAGCGTCGATTAAATAGCTCCCCCATTTGACGTCCTTGAAGTCCACCACAAGATCGCCATTGGAGTTCTCACTAGCCGCACTGGATACAGATTCCGGAAAATCAATCAATTGTGTGAGAATGGGCTTATCGGGTTCGTCTTTCAAAGTGACTTTGGTTGTCCCGCATAAAACGTCATCTTTCTGACAGCCTTCAGGGGCCTCGTCAGGGTTTTCCTGACATATGTTGATCCACCAATCTTCAGTTGTGCTACTTGGAGGCGTAGCTCTGATATTTTGATGTGAAATACTGTACTTGTCAACGTTGTATTTCTCAAGGATACTGTCTTTAGAACACTGGAGACCAAAAGCCGCTTGGGCGATAACTGAGGCTGCCGCAAGTTGAGCAATCAACCTCATCTCAGAAACAAAGAAAAACGGATCGGTTACGACGTAACGTATGGCCAAAAGCTCTGTGCTAGCCGTGATGTTAATGGTGTGGGAGAGCTTTCGGACTAGAGATGGTTTGAATATGTAGATGGATATATTTGGATGATGAACTTAACTCCGTATATCGTGATGTAGAGTCGTTGTGGGATAAAAAGTGATTTTGAATTCTGCTTCCGTGCTTTTTTGGCTATTTTAGCTGAGTGCGGAAAGCTAAAGGAATTTCGGCGCTTATTAGGCTGATGGTTTTATGTTTGCATTCTGTTAGGTTGTTGTTTTGAAATGAAGCTCTTTCTTTATCTGGACGACACGATAATATATATAATTAGATCTCGTATGTGTATCACTTTGTACGTGCGTGACGCGTTTTAGGAATTTTATGAATTTTGGAACACAAACGCTGTTCAAATCTGTTTTCTAGCTTCTGGAAAATGACAATTACACAGTCCTAAAAGCTTCAAATCAGTCGAAAACTGCTTTATGATCTCGCGAGCCACCTGCAAGATTAGATTTTTTTCCAGATCAGTAGTTTGAAAATCCGTCTTTTCCGTTACTTCTAATAAACATAAATATCCCAAAGCTGGAAATCAATCAATTAATTTCGGTTCGCAACAGCGCGTAATCGCTATACCCGCTTTTTTCTCGGGAACGAAACACTCATCGTTTCTCTATCCCACGTGACCTGAAGATAATTCATTTCTTGTGACTGTTTCTTACACCCATACATCTTTCGAAGATGAAAAAGTTCTGTAAATATCGATTTGAAAAATTTAGCTAGAGTCCCTCTTTGAGAGTTGTTTGGGTTCAGTCTAGAAGGGATGTCCACTCTACGCTGGACAGCGGACAGGCCAAGCCTGTAGCGGTGGCCCTATTCCGGCCTGGATGGCATCCCGCTAGCACCAAGTCTCCCTCTGGCGGATGTCCTGTCCAGGGCCGCGACTCGCCCGAGTCTCTGCCCAGCTTCCAGCCTAGCCTCCGGCCTAGCTCCCTTGCTGGGGCCCACCAGTGTGTCTGCCAGAATCGTGAAATTTACCAAAACTTCCAAATTTTGGCAAATCATCTCTAGATAGACCTACTTTCCACAGTCATCTCCAGAAATCAACGAAACAATGGCTAGATACGGTGCTACTTCTACCAACCCAGCCAAGTCGGCTGCTGCCCGTGGTTCTTACTTGCGTGTTTCTTTCAAGAACACCCGTGAGACCGCTCAGGCCATCAACGGATGGGGTTTGGAGAGAGCTCAAAAATACTTGGAACAGGTCTTGGACCACCAAAGAGCCATCCCATTCAGAAGATTCAACTCCTCTATCGGCAGAACCGCCCAAGGTAAGGAGTTCGGTGTCACCAAGGCTAGATGGCCAGCCAAGTCTGTCAAGTTCGTCCAGGACTTGTTGCAGAACGCCGCTGCCAACGCTGAAGTATGTTTTCTAGCAATCCGATAATGGAAGCAAATACGAGGGGAAAAACCAGAAATCCAAAAGATACGGGCGAAAGCGTGTGGGTGGCCACAAAACTGATATAGTGGCCGCATTTGTGGGCTATAGTAACAAACACACACTGGCTTTTTAACTCTCATGTCTGCATTCCCCCCATTTCTCACAAATCATCCTACTAACACATTTAACAGTCTAAGGGTTTGGACTCCACCAAGCTTTTCGTTTCTCACATCCAGGTCAACAAGGCTCCAAAGCAGAGAAGAAGAACTTTCAGAGCTCATGGTAGAATCAACAAATACGAATCCTCTCCATCTCACATCGAGCTTGTCCTAACCGAAAAGGAGGAAGCCGTCGAGAAAGCTGCCGAAAAGAAGGTTGTCAGATTGTCTTCCAGACAAAGAGGTAGATTGGCCGAACAGAAGCGTATTTCCGCTTAAATTCTGAACCAAGGGTTATAAACGCAAAGATAGCACCTCTACATCACCATTAACACTTCTGTATAATCTAACGCAAAAAAATTGTGCCGCTACTGCCCGATTGACTGAATTTGAATTCAGTCAGATGTGTAACTTGCCATTCAGTGAGCTGTATTCAGATCCCAAACTCCGCGTACCGGTTCTCAATACCATTCCTGGTCATGCTGATCTATTTACGCTTTGACTATGTTTGGTATTTAACTGTCAAGAAAACCCAGGTCGGACTTTTCAAAAGCCTATACGGTTTCCGTAACTAGCAAATTCTATATTTTTACACCTTGCTCTACCACTTTTGCGCCTCCATCAACACTCGTTGCGTAAATGCATGTTACCAACACCAGTCCGTGTAGAGCTAAACAGTATAGCATGAACACCATTCTGCTTGTTTTGTTGGCCAGCACCACCTTTGCGAAATTCAGGAAGAGCTGTTCCAGAGGCGAGATCCCTTTTCTTTTTATCCTGTCCAGCTCCTTCTGTTTGAATTCGGCTAGCGGATGCAGCGATTCGTTGTAATTTTGAGAATAGTCCGACAGATCTTCTGTGGCCACACCTTTGGATCCGTACGATGACAAGAATCTTATACGTTCATACATCTTGGCGTTATCTGCTTTGAGTCTGCCCAGTTCTGCGCGTAATTGGCCGTCATTCACATTCGTCTGACGTAGCTTCTTTTCCAGTTCAGTGGTCTTGGAACGTAGCCTATCTCTCTGTTGTGTTATCATCCTTAGCACAGTGGAACTTCCGCCCTCCATGGACTGAACTTCTGTTTCCTCGGGGATACCAATAATCGAGCTTGTTGGTGAAAGCTTCCCGCCGTGTCGCGTTGAGCTTCCAACACGGTTCATTTGTCGCGTCACACCTGACATCATGCTTGCTGTGTCATTTTTAGTGCTTATGTTATCTATCCGCTCCAGGTCCGATTCCAATTGCACATTGACCTTCTCTAGCTGTTTGAGTTGTTCAGCCAGCTTCAAATTTTCCTTCCGCACCGTAATTGCCTCTTTTTCCATTCCACCAAACTTGCCACGAAGCTCAGCCAGATTGCTTTGGAGTTTCTTGTTCGCTTTCAACAATGTTGAATCTACGCTGGTACCGTCTTCGTCAGACGTTCCAAATTCAATTTTCTTGAGCGCTGTCAATTCCCCTTTGATAGCTTCATAATCTCCATAAACGTTCAGTTTCCGAGCCTTTTTTTCGAGCTCGTCCTGTGCTAATGCCAATTGCTGCTGCAGGGAGTCCATGCGAGTTTGATTTTCTGTCATACTTGCCTCCAGCAATTTGCGTTCATGAGCAAGAGAAGCGCTCAGTAAAGCGTTTTCAGACTCTAATTCGTTGACTTTCAGATTTCTTGCGTCCTTCTCTAATGCTTGCTCTTCTTCACTAGTAGCTTTCGCCAATTGGCCGCTCAAATCCTCGTTCCTTTTTTCGAGGTCCAAAATTCGGGCCTGTGAAGACTGAACCTCTTGGAGCAGCAACTGCTGTTCAGCGGACTGACGCTCTGTAGAGCCTCCCTGTGAATGTTCACCCTCATCGACTGTTTGAGTGAGCTTGCTTTCCAAAATCTTGTTGGTATCCTTGCTTGTTTCCAGTTGGCGTGATAAATCCTTTTCGCGCTCCTTCCAGTTTCTTTCCTTCTCTTGAAATTGCGAGTTCAATTCCTGTTCCTTAGCTGCCAGTCTCTTGGATAAGGTCTTGGCAGAGTTTTGTTCAAGATCCAAAAGCCTAGCACGGATTTTGTCGTAATCCGCCCTTTTCGATATTTGGTTTTCCAAATCCTCAATTTTGGCTTTCAATCTTTTGATATCATCGGCACCCTGGGTTTGTTGTGCCGACATTTCAAGTAATGGGAACGGATCGGGGGTTTCTGATAGTTTGGAGTACAGGTTCAGCACCAGCTCTTCTGCAACCTTTGACCTCGATGTCAAACTGTCTACTTCTTGCTGGTAGCTCTTGATAATTTTATTTACCTGTGTCAACTTTTCCTCGTTTTCAAGTCTCTTAAACTGTTTGGTCTCTGAGGCCAACGCCTTTCTTGAGATCAATGACTTGGACTCTAGTTCTTTGACCGTCAACACACCGTCGTCCAGCAGCCGTTGTAACTCCGTGAAGCCCGCCTTCGACCACACTTCGACAGCATGCTGGAACACCGTATTGTCCAACATACTTCTAGTTCAACCAGATGGCTTTCTGTAAGTCCTTTTATGTCAAAAAGTTGTTGATTCCCTTCGAGGTGATGAGCTGTTCATCGGTGTAGGTAGTGAATAGGCTCTTATTATTCTAGGTCAATTTGTACGTGAACAGACATAGCTGCTTTTGAGCGACTAAAAACCCTGGCATCGGTAGTGAATCTCCTTTTAAACTCATCCAAACCAGCTTCAACATCTTTGACTTAATTTTCTGTTCAAATTGATGTACCTTTATCGAGGCTAGCAGGGTTTTTGGGCTACTTTCGATCCGAAATTTTTGAAAACCCGGAGAGCCACGTCTTTGTTGCCAGTGCGACAAATACTGGCTGAAATGGATCTTTGGCGCCCTCATTTCCAGCTCTTGGTAGTTTTCTTGATGCTTGCTTGCATATTGCAGGTATAAGCGCGAATTTTAAGGTTTCATATTCGACTTAAATAAATGGCATAAACCACCCGAGAACAAGCAAAAGACCAAATGCTTTGATTACTTTTAAGCTCTTATTTATTAGTGATACAATAATTTACGTTGTTACAAATACTCATTGTCTGTCTTGGTAAACCTGAGATTGCCCAGAAATCGGGATGTTGGACGTCCACGATGCAAAAGTGACATCTTATGTGCACTCAAGCTTATATTAAAATGCTGGTGGATATCAAGACAGTGAGTAACATTTGTAGTTCGCGATTTGCGCTCTTTTCTGTAACGTAGATGCAGCACCCCTGGCGAGCTAGCCCGACCAATACCGGTACGCCTGAGGGGCATCTACTGACACAGGTTTAACAAAAGGGTCCTTTGTTAGGTCATCGACAGATTTTCGTCCCTGGTTGTGTAATGTGCCGTCTGGAACCGGTGTCGATGACATACCCTTCCCCATACTGGTCCTAGCAGGTTCCTCTTGCAGCTCCTTGAGATCGTTGAAATGCGCTTGTAGCTTCGCTTTGTCATCGAAATCATCGAGGCACTGCTGAAGCTTGGCATTTATGGCGTTTGAGTGTTTTGCTAACGATAGTCTTTGTATGAAAGTGTCTTCTTGTTGTTTTTGGATTGCCTTTTTTTCCATTTCAAAGGATTTTTCCATTGTCGCCAGTAGTTTGAGTTTCAGACCAACCTTTTTCACTTGGAGTTGAGTCATCTCATTCGCCAGTGCGTTCATATGTCTTTCTTCATTGGTAGCGAAGACGTGTGATCTGGCACCCAAAGTTGCCAGAGCTAGCTCACTGCCCTCCTTGATATAGCTGCTGTTCTCTGAACTGATCTTCTTTTCGTTTTCTTGATTCATTGAGTCTATCGCTCGGTCGGTCATTTTCTTAACCAGATCGGGATCTACTAGACCCACCAAAAATGCAATAGTAGACATGACGGGATTGTCGGCTTTAGAAAATGGCAAGTGCGGTGCATACTTCAAAGGTCCCAGATCATCGCCTATGTTGGATTGTAGAAATGGATCTTCTATGGGAAGTTGCAGGAACCTCAGTATGCATTGTTCTGCAGTTTTATTACCGACAAAGTGGGCGACCCTTTGCCAGTCGCTTTTGTATTTTTGCACTCCTTGTAAAAGCTTTTGAAGATTCTCTCTCGACCAGTCTTTGTCCACGGTGTCCAAGATGTTGGGCCTCTGAAGTTTCGCTTTGGGGCTCGATGACTCAGAGCTATCCTCCAGAGTCCTTTTCTTGTCTTCCTTGATTTGTAAATTAGGCTCGCTTGGTTTTGTTTCTTCCGAAGGCGAAACGCCAGGACTTGGGTCTATCTGATGCATGAGTTTTTTCAACCGTGATAGGTCTGGAATCTGGATTGCAGGTTTATAGCTCTCAAATGGGAAAAGCCCGCGAGGTGCGTCATGTTTTGTGGTGAAATCTCCGGTGAAAGGCGGTTCCACTTGTTTGGGCTTGGTCTTAGCATCGACTTGATAGTTGATTAAGCCCCATTTGGTGAGAAATTTGTGGATTCTAAGGATGGCGCCAGCGTCACCGCATAAACTCCGCCTCGCAGCAGTCATCGTGAAAAACTCATTAGGGTTCAGGCGATAAGAATTGACCATGAAATTGCGGTACTTGACGTAAACTTGAGGCGTCTTAGATGGGATTCGGTTTGTGAAATATTCGGGTAAGGATTGTTTCTCGATGGAATGAATTTTTTGTAGATGGAACCAGCGCGCATACGATGGTATGACAATGTCGTGAGATTGTGGAGTAGCCAGATCAGCCTGCTTTGTAATCGTTGTCTCAGCAGACGTTTCTGTCGCTTTGTCTTCTTGCAGACCGTGTGAACTTTCAGTTTTAAAGTGTGGCTGTTCTGAGCTCAAGGCCGCGTTCTCTTGGTTTTCCTGGACCTGGTCCGCACTTAAATCGTCTGCCTTTTCAGTCTGTGACTGAACTGTGCTTTCCACCGGTCTTTTTGTTGCTATTTTCACGGCGTCTCTGACGCCTGGCTCGCTTGAAGATTCAGTGTATGTCTCATCTTTCAGTTCCTCATTACTTGTAGACATTTGCGGTTGTTCGTTTGATTCACTGATCTTGTCATCTTCTTTGGCATCATCTGCTTCGCTTTCACTTTTGGGCTTCTCCTTGTTGTCTTCTTCTTTCTGCGCTTCTTCTTCTTCTCCTCTTTCTTCTTCTGCTTCTGTTTCCTCCTGCTTAGGTGAAGGCGCGATGGTCTCAGTCGGTTGTGTTTGAGCGTTACTGTTGAGCTCTTGAGCGCCTATTTCGTGCATCCGATCTTGACTATCCCTATCAACAGTATCAGTATTTCCGCTGCTTGCAACAGCCTGCTCATCAGTTGTGACTTTTGAATCTTGGTCCGGCTTACTTGAATCTCCAAAGAGATTCGTATCATCATGAGAAACCTCCTCAGACTCCGGAGGAACGGAGGCCGATTGTTCAAGAGGCAGTGTGCTTTCTGGATTCTCAACTGCACCTTCTTGTTCCTTGTCCACGACCAATTTGGGTTCGTCCTGACTGTTATTGTCTTCGACCGCGATTTCTTCGTGTTTTTCGTGGTTACCGTCAACAAGGTCGCCAGAACTTGGTTCCGAACCTTCCAAATCTTGTTTGAAAGCTTCCTCCATGGTCATTGATACACAGGTGGTCCTTTTGGCTACCAAAACTGCAAGTCTTCTGTCCGCTGTTATACGTTGAATAGATATATGGGTAGTTGACATTTCGAACTTTTCACTGTTTGGTCTTTCGTGTGTGGTGATGTGCCGATATAATATCACTATTATAGTATGGCTGGCCTAATGATGGCAGCTGGGTGCCCGCACTAGTTGGTGGGGTTTTGAAATCGAGTCGATTATATCAATATTATTGTGCTTGGAGGATCATAGGTTTTTTTAGGCTTTTTTTAGGGAAGAACATGTTGTCAACAGGCAATGAATTTTCCACAACTGAAGGCGAAAAAAGACAACAAAAGAAGCCTATAAGCGTTCAGAAACAGGAACAGAGCTATTGGGAATTTTCGAGTCATTGGTTCATAATTTTTGAGGTTAAAAATGATCCTAAACGTTGGGTGAGATAAGTTGTCACTTTATACTATTCAGTCATTTGGTCGTGCGGACCAAGTAGACGACTACAGCAGCACCTTTGCAGGGCTTGGAAAAGCTTTTCCCGTCATTGTGTGGAAGCCATATTTGAACGTATTTAGGCGCGAAGAAAAGGCAATTGTAGTTTCGGGGGGAACTTTTTTTCACCGAAATTGTAAGTTTGGGGTGGGGAGGGGGGAGGTTGAATTTCCAATTACATAGATTCGAGATTGAACCTTTTGGTGATGAGATTGACTCAGAGTGCTTTAATTAATTTTTCAACAACTGTTACCGTTTTACGATGACAGAGGAGGTGAAGGGACTGGACAATTGTTTTTCGAGATCACTCTGAACTATTCGTCACATTTCCTCGGCGTTGGTGAAGTTGCAAAGGAGTTCGAGAACTATGTTGATGGTCGCTGGCAATGCAAAACCTGTGCGGCATTGTAGGGGGAGAGTTTAAGGGCAAAAACTCCCAAATTATCGAAAGATTATATTATTTCTAAAACACCGGATATCAAGACTAGAGAAACTGTGTTGAGATCGATTGAAGCTCTGAGAATCGCTCTGAGAAAGACTCTTTTAGGCAATGGTGCTTCTGTCAATTGTACACTTTACTTGTAAAAGACATTAGGTTTCTACTTGTGGCCCGATTTTGGAAGGAGCCGCTACCGTTCAAATATTTTAAGGAAAAAGGGCATTTCACACACACACACACACACACACACACACACACATACTGCTCAGCGTAGCCCTGTCGTCTTGCACTCTTCATTGCGTCGTTATATCACTTTATCCCATCGCGACACCCTGTGGATGTCTGTCACGTGCTTATGTGCCGTGTCTGGTTTAAATTATTGGGTTTTTCAAGATCTGAGGCCCATTAGCGAGAAACAATACATTCAGAGGACGGATACAGCTATGCTTTCAATTGATGCTAGACAATTGGCAAACATACAATCACTGGATCTGCGTCCAGATCCACCAGATCTGTTATTATTTCATGAGGTCACGTGGCTTTCGGTCAAAGCGATATGGAATTGATGCCCGTACGAATTGTTGTATCTTTCGACTACTCGCCCCAAATCAGACTACCCTCCATTCAACACTGCTCAGCTCTCTAATAATCATGCTGAATTGGCCCTAATTTAATCTCACTCACACGATTACTCTGTCTCACTTTGTTGCCGTACACAACGACCTCTCTCGAGGCTTCATCCACCCATAACATCTATAATTATAAAGCTATATAGTAGATCTCTCTAATAATAAATAACTGATTAAGCCTCTAAACAAGCATTCTTGTTTTTCATGAAAAAACTGAAAAGTTGTTGAAAGACGAAAACAAACCAAATCGGACAGAAAAGAGTTGAATCGAGTCGAATCGAGTCAAATTAAGACGAATCCAAAACTCAAGACTCCTCCCATCGAATTCTTACGATCTCCAGGATGCGTTTGAGTTTTTTGTTGGCTTTTTTGGTGTCGTTTGCAGCGGCAGACATAGCTTTAAGCAAACCAGGTTCGGGCCAAACTTTTACCGCTAGCGGTGGTAAAGTTTCCATTCCAGTGGAGTTTTCGGATAATGGGAAACAGCCGGTAATGAAACTGTTCCAATACTACATTTTCTCGCTTTGTTACGGTGGTAATGACGCTAATTTCAAATGTATAAAGGGAAACAAGGTGGAACCCAACGATCTCAGCAAGGATGGAGATCTGTATTCTGCAACAGCTACTTTCGATAGCACAGCGGCAGAAAACGGCCAGTATTTCTTACAAATCTACGGGTACATCAGTGGTGATGGTGACAACACTTTCCAAAGCATACAGTATTCAGGCCGTTTTATTTTGAAATCGATGCAAGGTACCGTAGGAACAACACTCACAACGACATCGCAGCCAGCAAATCAGGTGGCATACCAAACAGGCACAGACCACGCCACAGGTGACACTTCTGCGTCTTTTACCATTCCCTACACACAGCAAACCGGAAGCACGCGGTACGCTCCCATGCAGATGCAGCCCTCTGGGTCTGTGACGGCCACGACGTGGACCAGAAGGTTTCCCACGAGCGCAGTCACAATGTATTCTACTTTTAATCCATCCATGCAGCAGGCCAGTACCATAACACCCGGTTGGTCTTACACAATTACGAGTGCTGTGAACTGGGCTTCTCCAAAGCCATATCCAACACAAAACAATGGCTGGTACGATCCAAAAAAGAGACAGACATTGACCACGCGGAAGTTGAATCTCAAGCAGTGGGTAGGTTCGAAATTTGCGACAGAGTCGCAAGGTTAGGGAAACGCAACAAACTATTCACACACACGCACAGCACATCGGACTGGCGCATTTTTCAACATCAAGAGAAGAAAGCCAACACGTTGACGCAAATATATCATTAGGTAAAAACAAACAAGCATTTACAGACAATCGTGACAGATCTTTGTTCTGTCAAACTCGCTCCAAACTTTCTTAAAAAGGTTTGCTATATTTGAGTACTTTCACGTATATCGAAAATCCATGCAAAAATCGCTTGCATTGGAGCCCTCCACTAAGTTAATTCCGGAAACTTGGGTGCAAGTTGCTGGAGTGCCACCACCCCGGCTATGCTTATCGTTTCACCAGGCGGAAACACGCATTTGACAGAATCCAGCACCAGGAATCCCACGTCGCCAGAATCGTTGCTGCGACACACGAACTCGTACCACTCCTGCAGCTCGTAGTTCACACTCGTAGAGGTCCGCACGTTTGTGAGACTCACCATTTCACCACCTGTGGTCGGACTTGCTATGATAATCTGGTCGCGTTGCGGCTGCGCTGTGACTTGACCTATTATGCGGAAAACGGGCGACGAAAGCTGGCCTAGCTGCTGAGGGTCGACACGGGGCGTTAGACTCGACATATTCTTGTGATTTGTAGAGGACGGGGAGAGGGATAGGATAAAGCGGGAAGGTTCTGGCGAGAAGCTGTGAGCTCTTTTTGTATAGCATTGCAAGTTTTAGATGGGTCGCGTACCTGTATGTTATTCAATATGTATAACGCGTCCTTGTTCGTTGTTCGTGATGTAATTTTCCAGCATGTGACTTGTTGATACAATTGTATCATTTGGTACGTACACACATGCCTAAAGCCTGTGAAATTTGAAATCTCGAAAATGGAAGTGTGTGACCGGTTGCAATTGATAAGTCTCCGAAGTACAGCGTTTGTCAAAGTAACTTGTTTGCGTCTGTTTTTGTCAGATCCTAGTCTTGGAAAAAGTTAACGTCAGAATAATAATTGAGTGATTTTCAATCACGTGATACAAAAATGGCCGTCACGGTGAGGAAAACATCAAACCTGAGTACACCAAAGGTCTCATTTCATAAGACTGTGAGATTCAAGTAGAGCTACTGGTCCTCTCTTATTGTACCGAACTGCCAATAACGACCGCTTTTGATAACGTGAGGCTCCAAAAAAAAAAATGAAAAATCTGAATCTCACAACGAGCACGAATTGGTCAACTTTGCAATTTGAGCATTTAATGCACCAGCTAAAGGTTTATCAAAGCTGTCTCAAACACTTTAAAAACCATTATATACATTGCAGATAAAACTACGACACAAGTTATCTTAAGAGTAACAGTATCACTGTATACGAAAAGGCAACGAGGGCCCACTTGAAAATTCGCCATGTTTTACCTCGACAATGACCACTAGTCACATATGGCACCAGCAATTCAATCAAAGCTGCTCCATCGAGCCTGTTACACCTGTGTCATGCGTTCAAGTTTTTGTGTACCACGTGACCTCTCGGCTATCTGCACCCTTTCCCAAAAGGGTATACTCACTTCCCGTTTTGGATTAGGAGTTGATTAGATTAGCCTCGTGAGAGATGACGTGAGCTATCCATATATAAATGCCAAGATGTCTCCATGTCCATTTTGAAGTTCAACAAGCTGTTGGAATACTGAATTTGTACATTCTAGCATCCTGGAGTTGTTGGCTGTCATTTTCAGTACTTTGAACAATTCCGGTGGTTTTCTTTCTGCAAGTTCAGTCCAAGAACCCATTACACCCTGAGATAACTTGACGAGAGTTATAGCAGCAGGAAAGACACAATGGAAGCGGAATACGAGCCTTTGCAGGGTTCCAAACTACAAAATCGTCCTGCTCGCAATGCTAAGAAAATAACGACGCTAATGGGCGTCGGTTTGGCCTTGAGTTCTGTTGTCTGGTTTACAGGGTCGTCAATCTTGTCATCGTCGTCGTCGTCGTCGAAACACGTGACTTTTTCGCAGCAAGGCTACGCGCCAGATACCTTGAGGTGTGGTAGCATCGAGCCAGTGGGTCCAGAATTCAACAAGTCTATTGAATTGATCTTCAGGGACCCAGACTTTCGCCAAAAGTCTCTTGAGAACTTCAGCGGTGCCATTCAAATCCCCACGGAAATTCAAGATACCAACCCGCAGCCTAACGATGACCTGGACTACTACCAACGGTTTTTCCAGTTTCACGACTATTTGGAAACCACTTTCCCACTGGTTCACCAGCATTTGAAGCGTGAAAAGGTCAATTCGGTGGCCCTACTGTACACTTGGAATGGCTCAGACCCATCTCTAAAACCCTTGATGCTGACTGCCCATCAAGATGTTGTTCCGGTCAACCCAGCCACGGCCGATAATTGGACATATCCACCTTTTTCTGGCCATTACGACAACAAGACTGATCTTGTTTGGGGTAGAGGCGCTGCAGACTGCAAGAATCTTTTGATTGGAGAGCTGGAAGCAGTCGAACAGCTTTTGAAAGACGGTTTCGAGCCCAAGAGAAGTGTTGTTCTTGCCTTTGGGTTTGACGAAGAATCATCAGGATTACTCGGTGCACACGATCTTGGTGAATTCTTGTACGAGAGGTACGGTGACAATGGGATTTACGCTGTGGTGGACGAAGGTGGTGGGATTGTTCCAATAGACAAAAATGTTTATGTTGCGGCACCAATCACTGCCGAAAAGGGCTATGTGGACGTCGAAATTACAGTCCATGGAGTCGGTGGTCATTCTTCGGTTCCCCCAGACCACACCACTATCGGCGTTGCAGCCAGCTTGATCACTCTGCTGGAGTCTAATCCGTTCCCTCCTACTTTCACCCCAGAAAACCCGTTCTACGGTTTCTTGACTTGCGCTGCCGAGCATAGTTCTCGACTTCCAAATGAGTGGAAGAAGGCCATCTTGGATGCTCCTTTTGACTCTGAGCAGAAACACCAATTGATCAGTCTTGTTAGCTCCGAGAGATCCCTTCGTGACTTGCTGAGAACCTCTCAAGCCGTTGATATCATCCAAGGCGGTATCAAAGCGAATGCTTTGCCAGAGATGACCTCATTTGTCGTCAATCACCGCATCGACATTAACTCCTCAGTCAAGAAGACTCTGGAAAGAGACTTGCAGTTTGTCAAAAAAGTAGCTGAACAATTTCACTATGGTGTCGTTTGTGATGGTGAAGAGATAGTTCCTTCAACGGATCTTGGCTATATTGAGGTTCTTACTAAGAAAACTTTAGAGCCAGCACCTCGCAGTCCAGTGACAGACTCTAAGGTGTGGGACCTCTTTGCAGGTACTATCCAGAATGTTTTCGAGAACGGTCATTTCAAGGACGACTCTGACGTCGAATTCTACGTTACGCAGTCTCTAATATCCGGAAACACAGACACCAGGTATTACTGGCGTTTGACTGAAAATATCTACAGATTCATGGCAATCATTGTTGATAAAGCTTTGATGCATACCATACACTCAGTTGACGAACATATTTCGCTCTCGTCACACTTGTCGACCGTTGCCTTTGTTTACGAATACATCGTCAACGTCAGCGAGAAAGCGTGAAAACTACAGTTTAAGTAAGTAGAAGCTAAAAAGGACAGTACAGCTCAAGTCGGCGTCTGAAAATGTACACATTTGACTGTTTTTGCTGAGCGTCTTACACGTACCCAGCGGGATTGTTTTTGATGAAGTTGCCAAAGGTTTCTTATTTGGACAGAAACATAAAATAACAAAACGAGAATGAAGTAAATCTTACTCTTAAAAACATTTAAATAGCTGAGCTCGTCCCAGACAAGTCAATTGTCTGGCAATTGATTTCGAGACTCTGATTATCTTTACTTTCAAGCACGGTGTCGAGAAAACAAACAATCCCGTTTCCTTCCATGGACGAAACTCGCACCACGAGTAAGGTGATGAATGGGCGACTGAAGAGTTGTTCAGATACTCTCACCATGACCGTGGTCTCTCTTAAAGATTTGATAGACGTAAAAGCGATTGTTCTTACGGTGCAAATGCATTTAAGTATGCAAACCAAAGTGCCGTTCCACCACCGTCATATCACTTTGCCTGGAATTCCAAGCTTTTGTCCTCCATCAAATTTTTAGAACTGCAGTAGTCGAGAGAAGAGGACGGAACATCTGAATGATACGACACCCGTCCAGCCTGAACATTTGCGTCGGATGAGTCGTTAAAGGGAAGATCGTCGTCGAAACTTATTGGCGCTGTGGGCTGTACCATGTACGATAAGCTTTCCAAGTCATCTATTCTACCACCTTTGTCCCGAAACCTATCTTTGCGAACCCTTTCATGAGGCAGCACATAATCGATGATAAAATGAGAAGGAGAAGTAGGAGTCGTGGCATCAAACTCATAGGATTCGCCATCAGAAAAGGCTTTTGCTGATTTCATCACACTTGTGCCATCAGAGGAGGTGCCAGGACAACCACCGTTTTTCAAAGTCTCTTGGTCGCTGTGGTAAAAGTGAGATAAATTCGAAGTCCGCTTTTGATCACTTGCACTCAAACGTTGCGAAACAATGTCCATCAAAGGCCCCAGACCCAAGCACCTGGCCCAATCTGCGTACATTTCGAGCGCATCTGTACCTAGCCCGAAGACGACAAAGACTAGATAGGACATCAAGATGTAAAGCCAAACACTGTAAAGTGGTTTTTTAATGTCAAGCCGCACCACTGTATTCCATGACGATTTATCGTGAATTGCTTGAAAATCGTAGCCACCGCTCAGTTCTTCGAGCTCAGCCACGAATGAATAGAATGAGAAGGGGAACATAACCAGAATGATCAAGACGCAGAACATGAGAAGCCGTGCAAATCGCGCTAGGTTCAAGCCACTATTGGTACAATGAAGAATGTCTCTCACGTCTTTGCGCTTCCGGTAAAAAACGTAAAGCAAGAGAATGGCGTAAACTAATCCAACGAACGACCATGTGAACATCCACATAGTGTAAACCACAACGGTTTCCCATGTTGGTGCAAGCAGATTTTGGCACCCGTTGTACCTGAAAATTCCAAATCTGTAAACCTGGACTAAGTAAGATAGCCCCATAACTGCGATTGGTGTGATTAGACTGAAGCTTAAATCTGTTCGTAGCTTGCGCCATGACTTGGGTTCCGGAAGAACGCTGTCTGCTTTCAGAATCGTGTGCAAATTGAACGCGATATTAGCTACAGAGCAGGACAATCCCACATTGGCTCCAACCTGCAATTTCGTCATCAGATCACACCAACCGTAACCTGCCCATTTTTCAGCAAAGTCAGAGCCGCCCCAAATTGCAGCATCGACGATTAACTTGATATCCATTATAACAAGCCAGATAATCAAAATGATAGCTGGCGTATTACGAGTTTTTGAGTGCCAAGCCAATGGTGGAAATAGCAGAACCAAGGCTATCACACCCAGACCGAGAATTGCAGAAGAGTAACCCATTATTCGGACACCTTAAAATCGAGTTATTTGAATTAAGGCTTTGAGAACCAACATGTAAAGCCCAAACGACTACTGCATCTTATTTGATCGGGGTCGGCCTATTTATGTGTTTTAGGCTTCCCATAGTGTTCATAGTTTGAGGTTGAACTCGATGCCATTTGAGAGGCTCAACATGGACCCTTGAAACAAATGTGTGGTTATTCTGCTTTCTTTCTGGAGAGCGTTGTAGTCAATTCCTTCCTGTTTAGTTCACCAATGAGTGCAGATTGCACATGCATGTCAGTTCGGGACAAAGTGATATTTCAAAAAGAGACAAGAGTACACGAGTACACGATTCTTCGAGTACCTGACTGAAAAGGTGTCTCTGGCTAACAAATGGCCAAAGTAAGGCATACTGGCCTGGACTGAAAGCCTGAGCTCATGCACATTGCTGCGTCTTCACCATCTAATACTTGCGATTCTTTCGAAATGTATATCTCTAGTTGTATGTTTCTTCAGTAATTCAAAACAAAATTGTGTGGGCAACGCTCGTTAGGAAAGTGAAGGCGTAGAACCACACTTTGCCAGGCCCTCTCTCGAAGAGAGCATATGCATTGGACTTCGAGGTGGTGGATGGAGCAGTAGCAGAGATAGTGGCCAGCTTGGTACTATAACTTTCTTTCTCGTCGTACGAGGACAGCAGACTGTTCAAAGCGTCAGCACTAATGGAATCGTCGAAAGAAGTGTTGTTGGAAACGAAAACCACGGTGTTCCCGCTAGAGTCGAATACAACACCACCCTTCATACTACTCGAAGTGTCTCTAGAAATGTAGCCACCAGCCTGGATACCAGTTCCTAGGTCCTCAATGCCCTGGAAAGTGTGGAAGGTAGAGTATAAGTGATTTCTCTCAGTTCCGTTCATGACCTCGAAGATGTCGAACTCACCGCATCCACTGGCCCAGCACGAACAGTTGGCGTTTAGAGGGTACTGCGAAGTTCTAGGAATATGATCGTTTAGCAACCAGATGGCAGGCATGTCGTAATAATCGAAAGTAGATCCGTTGTTTTGTGTCTCCTTTGGCATTTCGAAATCGAATAAAAACATTTTTGTGTCCGCTTCGAAACCGTGGAAAGCAGGAATGCCCTTACGGTACACACCGCACGCATTCTTAGTGCTAGATTTAGGACAGCTGATGTTCGAGAAAATCGCGTACTCTTGGTCGGATTTGATCAATGTGTCGTCCGCAAGTAAAGTAGCGCTCTTAGACGACGAAACACCATCAGCACCTGCAAAAGTGAGTGCTTTCCCCAATACTGGCGAGTCGGTTCCGGCATTAGTCAAGAACGTAACGTTGTCGCCTGTCTGACTGCTGGCGTCGAAATATGCTACCCGATTCCAGCTCGAGGAGTTGCCTGAATTACCCACCGTGAACGACGAGGCATTGTAAAACGCAAACTTATTTAGTTTCAAAGGTCCACGAATGTGCACAGACACGGCATCAGTGATGGGTGCGTTCGAGCCCGAAAACCACTCTTTGGACCCTACAGAGCACGAGCACTTATCAGAATCCGGGTTTTTAATAGACGTTACAGGCGTATATGAACCCGTAAAGCCCACGTTGCTAAACTCGACTTTTTGAAACGCCTGGACGCTATCGGCAGCTACTGAAAGCTGTAATAAGCCAGCAGCTGCGATCAACATGTTTTGGAACTGCATTTTCGAAGATTTTAAACTTCCTCACTGGAAAACAGCTCAAAATCAACACAGAAAAGTGGTTTGAAAAACTGCAGTACTTTGCTGAAGTTTCAAATGCTGATTGGTGGTCTTAAATAGTCCAATGTGAGTCCTGGATCCAATTTTGAAGTTCGTGAAGTAAAACGTCGATACTTGACTCGAAGTTCGTGTATGCTTCCTTTTATAGCATTTCTTGGCCAATTTTATCATGTACGCAGAAAAAGGGCCAAGCCTCGAGCTCCTGTCACGTTATCATTCAACTGTCGTCTTTCGTGATTTTGACTTTTTTCTGAGATGCCAAGCTTAAGTCGGCGTCAGTATTCTAGATATGTGTACTGGAACGAAGAGTCAGGACCAAGAACAAAATTATGATGGTATAGCACACTAAAGATGCACCAGCTCTGAGAGCCCAATTGCGGTGAAATCGGTAAACTTTGGTATGCCATTGGATCACATCACCTTCGACGGTGCGGATGTAGTCAGCTCTTGCGCTGGCCAAGATCTGGCTAACATGGGCAGCGCTGGGTCTTGAACTTGATGGCAAAACGTCCGTTTGATTGCTCAATAGACAGGAGTTTTTTTGGATTTCGTTTTCTTCCGCAACAAGCTTTTTTTCAAGTTTCTCCGGCGACATTTGTTTGGGTTTGCAGACGCATTTGTGAACCATTTCCAGCTCAAGCAGCGTAGGTAGCTCGTCATCTATCAGCGGCGGTAGTTCAAAATCATGCTGTACCACAATGCAAGAATATGCGAAAATGGCAATTACCGAGATCCAGCAGAACGGGAAAATAAAACCTGCGAAAAAGAATCGAGGCATCCAGAATCGGGTTTTATCACACAATTGGCAGCTTTTACAACGACAAGCATGCACTTTGGTATAATCTTCAAATGGCGGAAGTGCATATTCGACCACTGTGAGAGAATCAGACGCTGACATTTTTTGTCACAGGATAAAAAAGTTTTTATAGAGAAGTTACTGAACTTCACTCCAAAGTCTGGCCAATGCGAAGCAGAGATATGACTCGGTATTTTATATCATTCACAACAGTGATTCGATGTTTGAACAGCTCCTCGCACTGTCTATAAAAAATGTGTGTAACAGTAAGATGTCAGCGTCAGCATATAATAAAAATTACCGTTTTCGACAAGGCCAATACCAAAGTATGTTTTGAGCGCCAGGCCCGAGAAAGAAATAATTCGGCATCCTTTGAAACTTTCTACCATTACTGTCGCACACCCTTTTGATATTAAACAATCCGGTGTTATCAAGATTATACTTTTTTGAAACTTTTATGTGCAGATTGATGAGCTTGATAGAATTTACAATCGCGCTCGACACAGCTTCCGTCAGAGAAGCTGTGTGCATCAAGACTGCTGCACCTTCCGCCGCGCATACCTCTCCGAAAACTTTTCCATGTAAGCCTTGGTGAATTCTCGCACCTTGATTCGTTTTTCTTTAGTCAATTCCGCGGGGGGATTCTTCTTGTGGTCTTTTTTCACTTCCTTAGCGGAGAGAATCTTCGCTATATCACGAGCGCACTCTTTGATGTGTTCCTTCCCCAAGTCCTTTTCATAGTGTCGCACCATGTTGGGCACTACTGAAGCGAAAAGCTTATTCCACTTGTGCGTCAGATACTCTCCTTTAGTCTGCTGCAACCTTTTCTGTTTCCTTTGTTGCTCTTCTTCTTCTCTTTTCTTCTTCTCGATTTTCTCTTGCTCTTTTTGTTGATTCACCTCTGCGATGATTTTCTCAAGTTCTGTTTTCTTCTGATCTTCCAATTCCATCTTCAATTTCAATTGTTTTATTTCCTCGTTTTTGAGTCTGTCTATCTCCTTTTGTTGATTATCAATCCTTTGCTGCTTCTTCTTTTCGTACTCTTCAGCGTCATAGACACGTTTTTTTTTGTTAGCAGAACCAAACACAGGTACGTCCGGAGTAGCTCTTCGGCCGGGCGTCCTCGTACCGCTGAAGGTTTTGCTTGCACCGTTTGGTGGCTGATGTAGCTTAGTCTGCTGCTGCGCGTTGTAATACACAGGTTTCCCATTTTCATGAATCAACTCCCAACCTGGCGGCAACCTGATTCTTCGTAAATCCGTCTTCATGTTTGAGATGTTCTCCGAAACGTCTTTCTTGCTAATGCGTTTATAGGTCTCGTAGGTATTCCATTTTTGCAAGAGAGTCTCACAAATATTCTCAAGAGCTGGCTCAGACCGTAGTTCCTCAACCTTTTTGTTGATTTGGGACGATATGATACCATTTTTCGTTGTTTTTGGGAGGGAATCCAAATAGTGCAGTATTTTCAGCTGGAATTCCGTGTCTTCCTGGAACGTCGTGAGAAGCTTGTTGAAACACCTGTACCCATGCAATTTTATGATTTGGTAATGCAAGTCTTGGTCTGTAGTGAGCAAAATCCGTTCCGTTAATCTCCTGATGATCAGAATGTCATCTGCCTGCAGCAAGACACTCATTACTTTGGACACTTCGTCAAAACGCTCACATGCACTCAGTTCCAACGACTGAACGAATTCAATATTGACGTTATTGACCTCGCTTTTGACAATTTTTTCGCCTTTCGCTTTCATCATCTTGATCCACTTCTTCTCCACTGCTGGCACCACACCCAACGCATCTGCATAGTTCTGTGGAAGTAAAGATGCAGCGTCGGTCTGAGTCTTGCCTCCCAAGAAGCCGATACAATTTGGCTCATCGCAATAACAGGGCTGGGCTGTAGCGCCGTAGCGATCAACATTGTAGTCGAATGTTATTTCTTCACCTTTGACAATATCACGATGCGCAAATATCCCCATTCGTAGCTTGCCCGCAACATCCCATTTATTAACGTATGCGTTGGGATTACAGGAGTGGTTGCAAAACCTGGCAAGAGAGCCCTTCATTGTTGCGTCTATGAACTCCCCAGCTTGCAACATCATGAAATAAAAATGTTTTAGTTTTTGACGGTCGTAGTCCACCATCCGTTCCCTAAACTTGTCTTCCGGTATTACTTCTCCGGTGTACTCGTAAATGAATTGGTTGGCAGCTATGTCTCGGTCGGCTCTTACACCATAGCCTTTTCTCTCCGTGCGGAAGACCGAAATGTCCGCATACTGTCGTCTTTGAAATCTCTGATTCTGACACTCATAGCCACAGGATCCACACAGGTCATTTACACACTCAATCAACGTCAACCTATTGATGCAGTCTGAGTCCTCGCCACAGGCTCTATTCTCTCCTTCCACACGATCCTCATAGCAGTCACATTCGATGTAGTCATGAGACTTCGAGCTACCAAGATCTTTGAATGCGTACAAACAGCTTTTCAGTTCCATGAATGTTGTTAAAGCTTCCGGTGTCTTGTCCTCTTCGAGCTCGAAAGTTCGCGGTTTAGCGATGCTAGAGGCACTAAAGTCATCGGATTTTCTTGGCGAAAGGGAAGGCGATAATGACATGTCTGCCGTATCTAGAGTATCTTGGCTAACACCTACAATAAGTGTGCTCGTTGTGTATTTTGATGCTGTTCAAAAAGTGGTGAGAATCAATGATCTCTTGAATATCAATAAGTTCTTCAGTGCGAAAAGTCGCCAGTACTCGCGATTCACGTGCCAGCCAGAGGCAAGTGCTTCAAAGCTCGATATACCAGATATGACGACTCCTTTGACGTTATGGCAGCTCGTGTACAGTTCAATATGAATTGTCTTCGTCAAGACTTAATATTTGGGGTGGTTTTCATCTGAAGTATGTGGTGCTCGCCAGCGAGGTACTCGACATATAATCTATGTTGAGTTCGGAAAGCCAGATCTTCAACAGCTATTACCTCAGAGAGGAACAGGGAAGGCCGGGGCTTCAATCCGCAGCTTTCCATGCGTCAACTGCAAAGTCCTTCGAAAATGTGTTGAAGAGCTTGGAATTTTTCGTTAACGTCGGTGATGTCTTCCCATATGACCATAGCCCGCTTGATGTTGCACTCGCAAGCAAGTACTAGCTGCTGAAACTTGGGTGAAACCCTGGTGCACTTGCCTGAAGAGAAAATCTTTTTCGTGCGGAGAACATTTCTCGACGAATAGTGGTCGCGCTCTACAATAATGTCTTTTATTTCTCGGGAACGAAGAGAGATGAGTAAGGTATGAGAACGCACATTGGCATGCAAATCTGCCTTCATAGCGCTAATGACTTTACGCTCAGCATCAAGCGCTATCGGAATGGCCTGCAATTGGAACCACGGTACGAAGTTGGGCAAATAGGATGTGTATTTTGGCAGGAGCTCACCTGTAAACTCACAATTTTCTTGGGCCTCAAACTCTGCAGGAACGTTCAAAACAGGAGCATGGAGATCATTGCCCTTGATAGCGGTAATCTTACAATCGTCAGGTTCGAACAAGCAGATCGATTTGAAGGCTTCATCGACGCTTTTTGTGTCTGTGACCCTATTACAGTTTCGTTTGACATCAACGTTTTGCAAAGGCATCACAGAACAAGAATTCAGACTTTGTCGGCCATTTTCTATATGCGGCGAGCTTGGGGTGCTAGAAGTCCACGGATACTCGTCCTGTTCAATCGACAGCGGCGACGGTAGTGGTGTAAGGCGGTTTGTGCTCGAGCCCGCTTGATGTAATGACAGACTACTACCGTTGTGATGCTGGAAAGGAAAGTGATCTGTGTTGTCCACCTTGGCAGGTGGGCTGTGTATGGAGGTTCCAAAATGCCCTGAGCCCTGGCCCGAAGTGGGCGCTGCAGTCATTCCCATGCGCTTGCTGAACCACGAGCCATAACTTCCATATGCAGAAGACAACGACGAGGATAGATATTGTAAAGAGCTGCTACTGCTTTTCAGCGAAGAAGGTTGAATAACTTGCGCTGCTGTCTCATCTGAGGATAAGCTGGTAGAGCTAAGAGACACATTTTTCTTAGGGATCTCCCAACCTTTACCCGTGATTGTACCATAGGATTTGAGATCGTTGTCTCGAGATGGTGAATCATTGCTTGAAAGTATACGTCGCTTGGCAGTCTCAGCGTGGAAATCTTGTTCTGTGGCATCATTTTCGTCTATAGTAGAAATCCTACCCTTGAAGCGAGGCCTAAGTAAAGCCGATATCAGAAATATCAATTTGTTGGCTACTGCCATATTTCCTGATATGACAACGATGCGGCAGCATTCAGATTTTGTCATTTCTGCAGCGAAGTCTTGAACGACTTTGGCGAAGAGCACGGGTAAAAATCGCAGCCTGTGTCCATCTTTGATTTCGAGCCACTGGAAGACGTCTTTGAACCAACAAGACAAGTAGTCAAAATTGTTGGACGGATAGAGCAGTAATCTGGGAATTTCGGTATGCGATGACATAAGTGGTAGTACAAGCGTGTGGAGGGACTGAATGATGGATTGCGTTACTTGTGGATCATGGACACGCAAATCGCGCGGCAGAAAAGTCAAATCTTGATCAAGCAGTATTGCAAGAAGTAAGTCCTGACATTCATCAAGCCAGCGGCTTACATGGTCCCAAATTTCGCTCAGCGCGGTCAAAAAGGGTTCTGGTAGTGATAGACATATGGCCAGGCGTGTGTCACGATTTGGTGCATAAAAGACTCGTGTCACTAGTAGAACGCCAGCGTTCGCTACAACACGAAATTTTTCACTCTTTTGTCGGGTCTTGGCTCGTACTGGTGACCCAAACATGTATTCCTTGACCTCGGTGACAGAAATATGGTCCATTGCTGTGCCACGAGCCGTTACATAGTCAAAAACAACTTGATAGTTTTGCCTGCTCATAAGCTGACCAAGTTCTTGGGCTATCACCACTCTGAAGCGATGCACTGAGGAGACAGTGCAATCCAGATGTTTTGTGCCATACAACTTCTGCTTGATTTCGTCATTTAGATGCGGGCTGAACTGTGGTGGTAGTTCCTCAGAGTGTGGGCCCGCATCATGAAGCATATTCTTGGCAAGCAGACGACCCAGCATCTGTGCGAGAATGAGCGCAGCTGTGTTGGTTATCTGGGAGGTGCAGAGGTTGGATATGGGTTCTGAGCAGAGGTGATATTGTAATTGGTTGATGAGGTCACTAAACACGTAAGGCTTCCAGCAAGTCCTCAAAACCCTGTGGCAATTCCAAGAGCAGTGGGATAATTACCCAAAATCGATTGTTCAAACGTTTTCAGAATGAGATAATATTGGCGAACGTCCAGCGTCTTCTTTTCTGATGGATCTTTTGGCGTGGGATCCTCCCACCTACAGGGTGATATACCTGTGAATCAGCTGACCTGAAAGTATGGATAAGATAGAGACCAAACACCATTAGGTGAAGCAGACGAAAGAAATTGTAAATATAGAAGACTAGTCAAAAATCTGTACTAAAGTGGATTTTCGTTCTACGTTGACACCTTGGGCGATTAAATCACATCGCTATCCACGAGTGTGTCATGCAATCCCTCTCATTAGTACAAGTGTGACGTTTATCAAGCAGATACGCCTCCATTGCATTTCCAAGATTTGCTTCGATTCAAAGATATCATCACTGCTAGGTGAGATGACCGTTGGTGGTGGTTATTTTTCTTCTTTTTTTTAATCACCTATGAATGTCACGTTTGGGTGGTCAAACCGGCTTTGAATATACATACAGGTAGCCAAAAATTACCGTGGTATGACTAGAAGCACTATACATGAATAAACGACGTCAAGTAGTGTTCCTTTAACACAACGACAGTAATAAACAACAAACCACGTGACCTTCATTGCAATATATTCTAGCATTCTTTACTTGCAGTTTTTAAACCACGTTGAAAAGAGCCGAAATCAAAACCGAGATAGGAGAGTGGGCGTATCAAGCTTGATGATCTGATCTGTGTCATTGAAATTTTTCGGGGCTTAAGTCACACGGCTATCACATGAGGCGAGATAGCTCTTTAGGCTATTTCGTAATGACTGATAACATCCGATCAACATTAAATAATCACGCGGTGTAACGTCACGATATATTAATTTAACAGTTGTCTCATCGTATACGAAAACATAAATCAGTGTTGATAATGACATCGATAGTAACTGAGCTCTTCTCCGTCTATCAAGAACACTTTACGATGCGTAGAAGTCACAGTAGAATCATCTTTCTGGCTTCTGGCAAGACGAACTTCAATTTGTTTTGAGACTTTGTTGAGGTCTTCAAAACTTCTCTTCTTAAGCGCCCTTTTTTTGACGCTTTTTGCCGTCAAAATCGTGAAGAAAACATCCGGTCAAATAGCGTTGGTTTATCAACAGATAGATGATGCTGGTCGAAGACATTCCAAGATGGGTCATCTTCACGGCTATCTCATCACTACTGTGTGTTGCAGGTAGTTTTTGTGTACCAGTTGTATCGCTTTTTTTCCGCAAAAACTCCGGAGTCAACTCAAGGTTACTGAACTACGGTCTATCGTTAAGCGCGGGATCGATGATGACAACCAGTCTTAATAAAATGCTTCCCAAGGCCGAAAAGTCAGAGCGTTTGACGGTGTTCTTGGGGTTTGTATTTGGAGTAATGGCGAGTTTTCTGCTGAACTTCATCGTACATGCCTACACGAGTGAAAGTCTAGTTCACTGTAGTCATGGATCAGAGGGCGACACGAAATCTCATGATTCGAGCTCCCACCACCACAGTCACACAAATAACGAACCAGATTTAAATCAGGTCCAACATTCGAACCATCAACACCATCACCAACATGGCGGTGAAAATGGTGTGCCCTCAGAGCGCCAACACGAACACGAACACGAACACGAACATGGAAACGATCATGAACACGAACACGAACCGCTTCTAGCAGCAAGGCCTCCACTCAAATCTGGACACGCACCACCGCTACGATCGAAGCGTTCATTCATTGACTTTCTGTCTCGACACACAAAAAATGCAGGGAACTGTTATGGTTCCAACTATTGTACACCCAAAAACGGTCGGTCTGGAAGCTACAGCAACCCAGAGGATGTTGCCGTAACGTGTCCGTCAGGAGCCTCGAAAAAAGTCTGCCCGGAAAATGACATCGGATACGATCTAGAGAACCTCTCGGTGTATCGTGCCAATTTCTTAAAGAGTGAGATCCCTCATGAACATATGCACGCTCATGGGTCAATTGAATCTTCAGCGTCCTCTCCGGAAACTCTTGATAGCGGCGAACACCATCACCACCATGTTGCAACTCCATTCTCCAAGCTGATGTCCATCGGAATTCAAACCTGTTTGGTGATCACATTGCATAAATTTCCTGAGGGATTCGTTGTTTTCTTCACCAACAAAAACGACTCAGACTCTAGGTCTTTCGGACTCTCCATATTTCTCAGTCTCGCAATCCACAACTTTATAGAGGGCTTTGCGATGACTTTACCACTTTACGCCGCTTTCAGGAATAAGGCATTTGCTGTTTTGACCGCCAGTGCATTAGGAGGAGGCTCTCAACCTCTCGGTGCTATTATTGGCTATTTGATTTTCAAAAGAACTGGAGCCCAAGAACTGAACATGAGTCTTCTTCTGAGCGTCACTTCCGGATTCTTGTTCGTGATAGCGATTCAGATGTTTCAAACCGCGATTAGTTTTAGCGATTCTCACCATCACCATGATAGCGGCGAAGAAGACGAGCAGGAAGAGCCTCACACATTAGCCACAGTATGTTTGAGATGGTGCTGTCTGGGAGCTTTCCTAGTCCTATCAACGGGGCTTTTCTCGTAACAGAGAGCCAGATCGCACACTCGTGAGTAGCTTTAGCTATTTCCTCATCGCTAATGCAAATCTATAATTTTTTTGGTTACACCCGGTGAAGTTACACCGGCTTCATACAAACAAACGAGTCTTTACTTGAATGTACGTAGCTCCTGCAGAGCAATGGTATCTACAGAGTTCTCTGTTTTCGAGTCATCTCCCACCAGGGGCAGTTTGAAATGATATTTGCCCCACCGAAAGTACAATGCCGTGATGCACCCTAAGAACAAGAGGTACACTACGATGGCATAGTTCATTGTTCCGAACGTTACAGGCACTCTTGGTGGTAAACATATTATCGCCATTGTAAAAAGAAGCCAACATACGCACGACAGGTTCACAGGCCAGCCTAGTCTGTACCTGATCTTGATCGGTGAGCCGCGTAAAGCTCTTCGACGTGAAACAATCACTAGTATCAAGGGAATACAGGTAGCGGAACACAGACATAGGACGGCAGCCCCCATGAAGGCATTGAAAGCTGCTGTGGAAACTAACGCCAACAATCCCAAAAAATACGATATTCCCATACTCAGGTATATCGAGTTTTTTGGAACCATATGCTTCGAACTCGCATCTACATGAGACCAAGTTTCACTGAACGGGAGAGCCATATCGCGACTCATACTGTAGACAGCGCGAGATGAAGTTGTCATGGAACCTATTCCGGAGAAGAAGAGGTTTCCCAAAATCATGATTACCAGAAAGATGGAAACAAACATAGAATGCGTCGAACTAGTGAATATCAATACAATAGGCAATATGCTCGAATCATGGAAAATAGTTTGAAGGTCTGGTAGTATTACCATTATGGGCAGCAAAAAGACGATCCCAACAAATGTGGAAATGAGGACAGAAGTGGACATACCTCTCGGTATATCTCTTTCCGGAGTCTTCACTTCATCGGCAAGCGCTGGGAGCATACTAAACCCTTGTAGTGTGAAGTTGGACTGCTGAAAACCAATCATGAACGACAACGCTGCACTCGTGTATCCTGAGCGTGAATTGTCGAAATGAGTGAGTGCGAATTTCAATGACCGGTAAGAACCTGAGTGGAAGAGCAGGAGCAAAATGTCGATGAATATTACAGCATAGAGGATCCAATAGACGCAAACCTTGTTCACAGTTTCAATTGTCCCGGGAAATTTAAGATTTATAAGTCCCACAACACTGACGATCAGGTAAAAGACCAAGACCGTGAATAACATGATCAGATCTTTTCTTATTAGTTCCGAATTTGCCATGTTTATCAGTGAAATGACAAGCTGTGCGCCCGCGAATGTTATGCTTGTACTCATGGTCCAGTTTCCGAGAAGCATAAGCCATCCTGTGAACCAAGAACAGGATAATTTATACTTTTCTGGAGCCAGCATCGCACTGCTTCCATGCAGTTCCATGGGAAACCGCGACACAATCTCGCCTAGTGATAGAGAGCACAACCAAGTTGCAAAACCACACACCATGAATCCCATGACTATAGTCAATGGCCCACCATTGTTAAGCCCTATGCTTATGGTGGTACTCATGCCCAGAACGGGGCTCATTAGTGCAAATCCAAGGCCTATGATGGAACTCTTTGACAGGAAAGCCCGGTCCAGTTGCTGCTCGTATTTGAATACCTCGACTTCTTCGATGCCATTATCTTCATCTTCGCCTTGAAGGATTCTTTCCCAATTGGCAATCTTCGACCCCGCTTTCAAACCCAGCCTGTCTTTTAAAATCTGACTAGCTTTGATGTAAGCTTGCATTAGTGAAAGCCCGAAGAGTGCGCCGTGTGGTAGATACATCTTCTTTCGAGCTGAACTGCATTCCACAGATGGACATGACTATGTCCCTGCACGAGAGATGACCCGTATAACATGATCATAAATTATAATAGTTATCCAGCGACCTTTTTGAAGCAGAAGGGAACCAGTCTAAATTCGGTTCCTTCATGCATTATTCTTCATCTGCTGCGTTCATGGAGAAATGGGGGGTCTTTCTTTGTTTTACCATTTTCGAGGACAATTTTGTCTCGATTTTTACTCGAGTGAAGGAAAAAGCGCAAATACATGCTAGCGGTCATTCTATCAAAGAATGAACGCCGAATAAAAAGGTCACAAACAGAACGTAATAGTCGAATTTCATTGTTCTTCCTGTTATTTGACCTTCATGTTTGGAAGACTTATTCACTTTGTCACTGTGTACTATAATTTCATAGTGACAGATATTGGAAAAACATAATTACTGCGACAGAAATAGTCATCATCTTGAGTTGTCCGAGTAAAACAGGCTTCCACTACTATTTCCAGATTCAATTGAATCTGTGACTGATAATCTTCGGGTCTGACACGGAAGAGTAATTCGAATTTAGGAATAAAGAGGAAATGTTTGAAAAAAAAAAATCGGAAGAAACGAGATTTTAAGACGTAAAGCAACTCTACGAACCAATGATCAATGACAAAGAAAATGACAGTACATTATGAACGTGGAAACGAAAGCCAGTTTTTTCCCGAGCCCCCCTCTGTCCAACCTTATTATATACTGTTCACATAGCGTCAAGTATTCCATTTCACTCACGTTTTTCCTCAGCTCAAGATATGATCATTTGAATACCAAAAATGTACTCTTCTAAACTCCCCGATGACCGCTGTCGCCTCTTGACGCCGTCCTAAAACAAAATCAGTCACCATCGAAAGACTGGATAGTCGTGTCACGTGGTCCAAATATATATGTATATCTAATTATTATATTATATGCACACTGCTGTAAATCATCTTGAATAAACTTTGGCCGATGAGCTCAGAAGTTCGAGTTCGAAAACATGGACGAAGACCTTTATGATGAGTATGGTAGATCCTGTACGATCTTTGCGTCATAATATTATCTATACTAACCTTTGTTTTCAGGTTTGGAAACCTAATTGGGGCTGAAACGGACAGTTCCCTTTCGGATGAGGAAGAATCGATTTATAGATCTGGCGAGGCAAACTCTGCTGTTGCTAGCGAGGAATCAGATCCAGAACAAGCCAGCTCAGCACTAGTGACGCGGGAGACACTGGCTACCGCTTTTCCAGATGATGTTGAAGTTCTAGTAGAGACCGAAGATCAGCAGTCTATAACACAACCGCTAGTGAAGCCTGCGGACCAAGCTAAGGATGAAGCATCCGTTTACAGCAAATTAACTACTAAAACGCCTAAGGTGACATTTGACTATGAGTACTTGCACGCTTTGCTGGAACTTCCGGAAAGGACAAAAAATATCTGCGTTTTAGGCCCTTTAAATTCGGGCAAGACTTCGCTGGTGGACCTTTTGGTTTGGGAATCTCACGAAAAAATCGCCAACGTTTCCAAAAAAATTAGACAGGGCTGGAGACCGCTCAGGTACTTGGACAACACGAAACTTGAGATTAATCGAGGTATCAGCTGCAAACTGAACGGATTCACTTTCCTCGGTTGCGATTTACAAGATAAGTCTGTTGCGCTGACTATGCTAGATGCTCCTGGGCACGTCAATTTTATGGACGAAGTTGCAGTAGCGATGTCTGCATCAGAGACCTGCCTTGTGGTAATCGACGTTGTGGAAGGAATAACAGCGGCGGCTCAACAACTTATTGATCAAATCCAGAAACGAGGCCATGGGATGATTTTTGTACTGAACAAGATTGATAGACTGATTCTGGAACTTCAACTACCCCCTAAAGATGCATACCTGAAAATTGCACATGTAGTAGAACAGATTCAAAGGTGTACACATTCAAAGTACTCTCCAGAGCTAGGAAATGTCATTTTCGCCTCTGCCAAGCTGGGATTCACATTCAGTATAAAAGAGTTTGTTTCCTATCATTACCAAAATCGACTGGGTATGGCAAAGGTACAGGGTTTCATTGACAGGCTGTGGGGAAACATTTACTTCCATTCAGGTCAATTTTCGGCGAAACCAAATGCCAAGGGTACAACAACTTTTACAGAATTCATCCTAATTCCTTTGTACAAGATGTTCACGCAAACTTTGGCGAACAAGCCAAAAGAAGTGGCAGTTTTTCTGAAGACGCGATTCCAGGTCGATCTCAGTCCGGAAAATCAGAATCTAGATCCCCAACCCTTGTTGAAAAAGGTTTTGAGTTTGATATTCCGAAACCAATGCGGTCTCGTCGACAGTATAAACGAATTTTGTGTGACTGCTCAGGAAACGAATAATGCCAAAATGACCACTGCGAGTCACAATTGTCCGAACAATGCAATTTTGGCGCATGTTATAAAAGTAATGGATTACTGTGGCGAGGAGTGGGCACTTGCCAGGATTTATCAAGGCAGCATTAATGTGAATGATTCCTTGCGAGTTATTGACGTTGAGGCATCAAATGATGAAGATGCACCTACGGTGAAAGTTCGAGCGATGGCGCTCATGGGCGGCAGATACGTAGTCCCGATCCAACGAGCGAGTGAAGGTCAAATTGTCTTAGTAAAGGGTGTTGAAGACTTTCTAACCAAATCTGGCACACTCACAACTTGCGAGAATTTCAAATTTCCTGCGATCGACTATATCAATGAGTCCACCTTCAAACTAATACTCAAACCTTTGCATCCTCGTGAACTACCTCTCATGCTGGAGGGATTGAATAAGGTCAACAAATTCTATCCCGGGATGGTGACAAGCGTTGAGGAAACTGGCGAAACCACAATTTTGGGAACTGGAGAGCTATATCTGGACTGTCTAATGTGGGATCTACGAAACAACTACGCCAAAGCTGAAATTTTGGTGTCGAGTCCGCTTGTTAAATTTGCGGAAACTTGTATCAATGAATCTTTCGCTTCCATTCCGGTAAGTTCTGCTAGTGGCAAAAATCTAACTCTAAGCGTCACCGCCCAGCCGCTAGAAAAAGATCTGGCAGGCGATCTATTGAACGGCACATTAACAGGACGGGATACTGAAAACGTCCGTAAGCTGGCGAAAATATTACGTGAAAAATACGGATGGGATTCTCTGGCTGCCCGAAACGTGTGGAGTATGGAGAAAGGAAACGTCTTCGTGAATGACACCTTGCCAGATGAAGTTGACCCTGACACTTTGACGAGTGCGAAAGAAGCTATTTGCCAAGGCTTTGAGTGGGCAGTCAGGGAAGGTCCGCTGGCAGAGGAAGCCATTCACGGAGTACAATTCCGACTTTTGAGTATTGTTGCTGAAGGCCTATTGAACAAAGGTCAACTTGTCTCGCTTGCCCGCAAATCTTGTTACGTGGGGTTACTCACTGCCGAACCCGCGCTTTTAGAGCCCATTTACGAAGTTAGCGTAGTAGTCAGGGACCTGCTGGTGGAAATAGTCGAGGAAATTTTCGCCAAAAGACGCGATGCCCGAATCTATAACCGTGTCAAAATACCGGCTACGCCTCTCACGGAAGTATGGGGCCAAATTCCTGTAATCGATTCGGTGGGCTTCGAAACCGATCTACGACTCGCAACGAACGGGCAGGCCATGTGCCAGCTGCATTTTTTCAAGAAAATATGGCGGAAAGTGCCTGGTGACGTTATGAACGAGGATGCACCAATTCCAAAACTGAAACCCGCACCTCGCGAGAGCATGAGTCGAGACTTTGTCATGAAAACTCGCCGGAGAAAGGGTCTGTCTTCAGACGGTCACGTGACACAGGATGGACCTTCTTTATCGCGTTATATCAGTCCAGAGCTATTTGAAAAGCTCAGACAGAACCAGTTGGTGTGATTAGCGCAAGTGCAACTCTTGGAGATTGATTTAGCTGGAAAAATCGTTATTGAAAGACCATCTTTTCTAAAACGTCTCACGACAAGGCGCTTCCAAAATCCAAATTTTTTTCTGTGGATTAGAGTTTCAAGAGGCCAGGCTCTCTAGACGAGCAGTTGTGAAGCCAGCAGCGACCTTTTCCCGCCACATTGCTACGAGAGAGCTTTAACATCCATCTCTGCTCACGTTACTCGCATTTTGTCGTTCAAAACGCTCTAGCTCATCGCCTTCAATTTAAACCTTTACTATAAAAAATTTTCAAAATTGAAGCGATGAGATGAGATGAGATGAGCTCTCCCATCACATCAAACTGCAAGCATCGAGCTCCAAGAGAAGCCTCAAAATGGTCAAGGGTTTCAAGCTCAAAGAGTTTCTGTCGCGTGAAAAAGAAGCGTCAAAACTAAACCAAAAAAAAGCGGCCAAAACTGCTCAAAAACAGAAAGATTCAAACAAATCAGAGGAAAAGCCCGTAGTTGTGAGCCATGAACAGGTTGTAGAAGTAAAGACGCCGACCGAAGCTGCTGGGGACGAAGGCGAGACGGAGGAGTACCAAAGTCAGGCGCTGTCGAGAAAGGACCGCAGGAAATTGAAAAAAATGGAGAAAACCAAGAAATCTGAAGACAAGGTTGAGGAAGAAGTGGAAGAGGAGGAAGAAGAGGAAGAAGAGGAAGAGACAGTGCCCAATGCTTCCAATCTAGATCTTGCCAAGCTGGAAATGAGTGAACCAGAGGACGATGATGAGGAGGAGGAAGATGTTGAGCAAGACAATGATGAGGAGGAAGAGAATGAGGAAGAAGAAGAAGAAGAAGAAGAAGAGGAAGATGTTCCGCTTTCGGACGTCGAATTTGATTCTGATGCCGACGTGGTGCCCCACCAGAAAGTGACCGTCAACAACACCAAGGCCATGACACATGCGTTAGAGAGGATTCAATTGCCCTGGAAAAAGCACTCTTTCCAGGAACATCAGTCTTTGACATCAGAGTCCAACACAGACGAAGGTATCAAAGACATTTACGACGACACAGAAAGGGAGTTGGCCTTTTACAAGCAATCTTTGGAAGCCGTGCTTCAAGCCCAGCAAAAACTCACGGCTCTCAAAGTGCCATTCCAGAGACCTCTAGACTATTTCGCTGAAATGGTCAAGAGCGACGAGCACATGGACAGGTTGAAGACCAAGCTTGTGGGTGAAGCCAGTGACCGCAAGGCCCGCGAGGACGCCCGCAAACAGAGACAGCTGAAGAAGTTTGGTAAGCAGGTGCAGGTGGCCACACTACAGAGCCGTCAGAAAGAGAAGAAAGAAACTTTGGACAGAATCAAATCGCTCAAGCAAAAGCGTAAGCACAATGAGATCGATGATGCTGCCTTTGACGTGGGGATCGAAGAGGCCGCTGCTTCTGAAAAACCCGAAAAGAGACACAAGCCTAACGGCAAAAGGTTGGCTAAGGATTCTAAGTACGGCAGTGGCGGTATGAAGCGTTTTAAGCGTAAGAATGATGCCAACTCGTCTAACGACGTTTCTGACTTCTCTACCCGGAAAATGAAGGGCAAACCTTCCCGTCCCGGCAAGAGCAGGCGTTCGAAGCGTTTCTGAACCAGTCTCTATGTTATAAGAGAGAGGATTTAAGATAGTAAGAAGAGAAAGCGAAGGACCTCGCATTTTTGCATTGTATAATAACATCTAGCGTATCACATCTACTCCCACATGAGTCCATTTATTCTCTTTACCTAGTCTGATCTCTAACGGTTTCCTTATCCTGGCAGAGTTCTGTCACTTTGTCCCAAACTGATGAGATTTAGATATTTCGTTTAACTGTAACCTATCTTGTAAAGAAAGATACAAACTTTCTGTTCAAGATCCCTACAACTAGCTAAAGAAGCTCTTTCAGCACCAATTGACTGCCTGAAACGTACAACAATGTCCAAAGAAGATAAGAGAAACAGATTTTTGGGAGTTTTCCCCGCCCTTGTGGATGAATTGAAGTCCATTTTGTCAGGATACGGTATGACTGAAGATGCCTTGCAATGGTACGAGAATTCCTTGAACTACAACACTCCTGGCGGAAAATTGAACCGTGGCCTGTCAGTGGTGGACACGTATGCAATTTTGAAGGGTAAAAACTCATATGCTGACCTTTCTGATGAAGAATACTTCAAATTGGCTATTCTTGGATGGTGCATTGAGCTTTTGCAAGCGTATTTCTTGGTGGCTGACGACATGATGGACAAGTCAATCACAAGAAGAGGTCAGCCATGCTGGTACCGCGTTCCCGAAGTCGGCGAAATTGCCATCAATGACGCGTTCATGCTGGAAGGCGCCATCTACTGCTTGTTGAAAAACCATTTCCGCGCAGAATCGTACTACGTCGACTTGTTGGAGCTGTTCCACGACGTAACCTTCCAGACTGAGTTGGGACAGCTTTTGGACTTGATCACTGCTCCTGAGGACCGTATTGACCTAAACAAGTTCTCATTGGAAAGACATTCGTTTATCGTGCGTTTCAAGACTGCGTATTATTCGTTCTACTTGCCCGTGGCACTAGCGATGTACGCTGCCGGAATCAACGAAGAGCGTGATCTAAAACAGGCCCGGGCCGTTCTGATCCCATTGGGCGAATATTTCCAAATTCAAGACGATTTTCTGGATTGTTTTGGAAAACCAGAGGATATCGGCAAAATTGGTACCGACATCCAGGACAACAAGTGCTCGTGGGTCATCAACACTGCGCTCAAGTTGTGTTCTGCAGACCAACGTAAGGTTTTGGACGAAAACTACGGTAGAAAGGATGCTGAATGCGAAGCTCGCTGCAAGCACGTGTTCAACGATTTGAAGATCGATACTTTGTATCATGAATACGAGGAAAAAACCGCCAGCGAGCTCAGAAAGCTTATCGAAAACACTGACGAGTCCCGCGGTTTCAAGAGCCAAGTCCTCACTGCCTTCTTGGCCAAAGTCTACAAGAGACAAAAATGAGGGAGAAAAAAAAATTCGAACTGATAAAAGGGCTCATTCGAGCCCTGTTTTTTCGTCTAACAAGCAACAGATGTATATGAAATACCTGCTGCTTCCCCATATTGTATAGATGGAACCTAACATTTCACCATTCTCACTTAAACTTAACCACCTCTTCGCCGCTATTGACCAATCAGAACCCAGTATTCGCTGATCACGTAGCACGAGCTGCAATTTTTATAACTTTCCAAATTCAATTAAGCACCAGATTCAACTTGGAATCCCATCTTGACCCATTGAAAACACGTCGGTTCAAGAATCAACAACTTTTGGTAGTTTCTAGGACTTTCTTCCACTAGTTACACATCTTTAAATTCACAACACAAAATGGGTGGAGCTTCAGCTAAGACTTATATGGGATGGTGGGGTAGCATAGGCTCGCCCAGGCAGAAGGGTGTTACATCGTACTCGGTGTCGCCATATGCCCAGAAGCCTTTGAACGGTATTTACTACAACGCTGTTTTCAACACCTTCAGAAGAGTCAAGTCTCAGTTCCTGTACGTGGCCATTCCAGCCGCTTTGTACTGGACCTGGTGGGTCAACTGCAGAGACTACAACGAGTATTTGTACACCAAGGCCGGTAAGGAAGAACTTGACAGAGTCAACGTGTAAACGGGTAAAACAGAGCACGCCGTGTAAAAAGTTTCCGCAGAAACTCTAAAGAACAACACAATGCATATTCCGCTTCCACAGCCAAAAAACAGCCCATTAGACGATGGCTTGATATTTATAGTCCAGGAACTTTCATTCACACACCCACACATATATAGATATATGTATGCCTAGTGGTCATATAAAAATATGTACCCATAACAGGATATCTACGCAACGCAATGCAACGCAGCGCAATGTGATGATGCAACAAAGAAACGGAAGAGTCTGGAGAGAAGAAAAGAGTGGAAGCTGAAGGGCAATGGTTCAAGTGAAAAGAGATACGGTTAAATCTCTATACAAACCTAATTCAATTCTCACGGTCCAGGCAGGCTCTTATAGCTCGAGATTTAGACGTTTTGTTCGAGATGACATAACCGTGTGTTATGATATCTGAACTTTAAGAAAGTCATCTTATATTAAGATCCTTAAAAGCTCCTTCTCCAGTTACAAAACACTATCTGAATAGCACCAAAGGGATCGACACTGAGCCTGTTACGTGCTTAATTCTTACCGTTTGAGATAATGTAGCGATGTCTGAGCTCTTAGATCCCACTTCAAGCTCGCAGGCGAGTCCTCACTCGTCGAACTTGGGCATCAATTTTCTAGCGAGTCAGAACAGACAAGGCGAAACTTCCAACTCTTCGAACTACAATCCCGGAAAACTATACAATAAGGGTGTCGCAGATGCTAATGGTACCGACCATAGCATTGGTACGAACGAGACCCTTCTTTCAGAACCAGCAGCCATGTATAAACAAGGTCAAAAATCGAGATCCAGAAGCACATTGATTCGGGTTTATTCTGAAAATGAGCGTTCGAATTTCCACGATTCTACAGGTGCTCGTATTTACGATGATCTGAGGTATAGACCGGTGCATCACGATGGACAAAACGGTTCTCCCACGAAAACTAGTCCGATTGACATATACTCGAAATCCAAACGACGACATTCGTCTTCCGCTGAGGAAGAACGCGAACTTTATCGCAGAAATCTGAAAGTCTCCCAACATAGTTACGGGGACATGCAGGACGAATACATCCCAGACTTGGACTTCTCGAATACAGTTTCACAATGGCAAAGCGATGAAAATGTCCTCGAGAACAGAGGTGGCTCCGGACAGCGCCAAGAGCAGTCAGAATCGCCCTGCTACAATAACTGGGCTGATTATGAGGCTGACGTGAGTCGATCCTCGTCTATGTCGTCGTCTTCTATCGTTTTCAAGTCGGCCCACGCCAAAGTGGGCCCGATTCCTCTGCCTCAAACATCTATTCCAATGGCATCACCCACCCGTTTGCGTCACCAGGATACAAGCACCACTTTCGACGAGAGAACACCGCGCGGCTCATCCTTATCCTTTGCCAGGAACAGGGCTTCACCTAATATTAATGCACAGCCAGGCAGGTTGTATAAGAGACAGAGATCGGGACTCGATTTCGAATCTCCATCCTCACCATGGACCGCTACATCAGTGATTGCCACTAGCTTCGCATCTTCCAATGACGGTCGCTTCTCCGCAGAAGAGCTGACCGATATCATAAAATACCTTCCAGAGGATTTCACTTCTCTTCCTTACAGTCAAAGAAAGAAAATTCTTTTGGAGCAGTTCCCAAATGTGGATTACAAGTCCATGATGGCCAGCATAAAGAGGGCCCAGCTCACATCCGCAAAGAGTAGCACCCAGTTACAATCGAATAGGTCCAGACGTGGTTCGTTGGCTTCACAATATCTCAGCTCTTTTACGCCCTCATCGTCCTCGTACAAGCCCGATGACAAGGGCTCTACAATTATGGGATACACATTAGGTAAAATAATAGGATTTGGCGCCTGGGGTATGATACGGGAATGCTACAAGAGCACGGCTGGACAATCCGAAAAGAGCGAGAGTTCAACTTCCGCCGTCAAAGCCATCAAAATTGTACGGTTTAAAAATAACGGCATAGTGAAGAACCAGGTGTTGAAGGAAGTACGAATGTGGTCAAAATTGAAGCATAAGAACATTTTGCCCTTGCTCAAATGGCAAATTGATGAGTCTTATGCTTTGTATTGCTTGACAGACAAGATCGATGGCGGAACCCTATACGATCTGGTTGCCTCTTGGGGAAATGCAAAAAACTCGACGATAGATCTCGCTCTGCGATCCAAATTCACAGCCGAACTAGGCTTACAAGTGGTGCAAGGTCTGAGGTACATGCATTCGAAGCAGATTGTCCATGGTGACGTCAAGTTAGAAAACTGTCTATTGACCTCTCGACAGAGTAACGACGGATGGACAGTTATTCTCTGCGATTTCGGGATGAGTTCAGAGTTCCACCAGCGTGAAACACAAGCCGAAAATGTCGGGGGCTCGAAAGAATTTGGTGGTGACAAGCGAAAAGACCCTTCAGACGGCTCTAGACCTTTCGCGAGATCGCTTTCCAACAGTGTTCTCAAAGACACTTTGAGAAGACAGCATAGGACAATTAATCACGGCCATGGGCCGATGGGCGTGAGCTCGTTTCCCAAGCAATATGGACCTGCGTTGAGCAGTACAAATCTGACAGGAAATTTCGTCTCCCCCAATGAGTTAACCAGGGCTTCTAGCATGGAGAGCATTTCGAATTCGACGTCTATGGGAACTGACTCTACTCCGGTTTCGCCCGCCAAGGATGAGAATTCTCATAACTATATTGGATCGCTGCCATACGCGGCGCCCGAGCTCTTGGAACCTACACCACCATCACTTTCTCCGTCAGCTGATGTTTGGGCGCTTGGAGTCACCCTATACACGATGTTAATGGGGAAACTGCTGTTCAAACATGACTATGAACCTCGTTTGCGTGCAATGATTGCAGCTGCCAAATATGATGTTCGTCCTTTGGAAAAGGTGTGCAATGCCAATATTGACAAAAGCCCTTCCCACTCTTTGTTTGACGCTGTCAAAGGGTGTTTGGTCAAGAATGTATCCAAACGTTGGACCCTGGATTGCATAGAATCATCTCTGGCTGACTATGTCAGTTCTCTCTCAAAAGCGACATTCGAAATTTCCAAAAATTCAAACCATGATAATTCGATGCATTTAAAAACCGCTGAGGCGACTCAAAAAGTCATCGATTCAAAAACCATAATTTAATATCACTTTCCGATCTTACAATATCGATGGTATAAGATCTCTTTACTTTGCTTACATAGTGTCCGAAGCCTCTGTTTAAGAACGTTGATGTTCTTTTGAACGAAGGTCCAATTTTTTGGAAAATAACCATCAAGTTGGCTATTCTTCAAACTATAAAATCATCAAAAATATCACTATCACCAACCATTAAAAAAGACCGTCAAGTCCTTTCTGGACCCTTTTGAAGCACTACATAACCTGGAACAATGATTTATCTGAAATCTGTGATCAAAGTTATCGACAATTCCGGTGCCCAGATGGCAGAGTGCATCAAAGTTTTGAGAAAAGGTTCACCCAAATCGCCTGCCAACATTGGCGATAAGATCGTTTGTGTGGTGCAAAAGGCTAGACCTTTGACTCAAAATATCACAGGTACGTCGAACACCAATCGTGTGAAGAAAGGAGACATCGTGCATGCAGTTGTGGTGCGTACGAAACAAAAGAATATGGCGCGTGCCGATGGATCCACGGTAAGTTTTGGCGATAATGCATGCGTTTTAATCAACAAGAATAGTGGCGAACCGCTAGGCTCCAGAATAATGGCCAATGACGGTTGTGTAAGCAGAGAACTGAGAGATAAAGGATTTAACAAAATCTGCTCTCTAGCAAGTCGAGTTCTATAGACATCGAAAACACAGGTTGGAAAAATGATCATTACAATGTGCTACCTGGGGTTACATATTACGTTTTTCTTGTATATAGGTGAATGATGGTGCTTCCGGTGAAAAAAAACAGGTCGGTGTTGTTTTACGGTCTCGCAGGTACCTCAGTGAATCGCTTTGAGGCCTCTATATGGCACGCAACACCACGTCCTCTTCATCCAGTTACTGTGCAGCAACTTCTCAACACTTGTTCGTTTTTCAGGGTTCCACTGGAATATCGCATACAGGCATAGCCTACGACAGCGACCGACTTCGGGCGAAACATGTCTCATGTCTTCAAAAACACTGAATTCTCGCTTCGTGCGCATTTCTTCAACAAAGGTGGCGTACACGGGATCTTTATCAACCAGTGGTATTTTCCAGAGGTAGTGTCCGAGAACCATTGTGCAGTAAATGACACCGCAACTCCAACAGTCCACATACCTCGGATCATATTCTCGTTGTGCAATGAACTCCTCTGGTGCGACGTATGGCTCAGAGCCAATAGCACCGGTCTGGAAATGCACCTGTTTTTCCCAGGCAGTCTGGAACACGCAGCTAGTACCAAAATCACAGATCTTCAAGACACCTTGTGGGTCGAATAGTAAGTTTTCTGGTTTGAGATCGCAATGTGCTATCCCATGATCATGCATATACTGAACACCATGAAGCAGTTGTTTCATGAAACAGTCAGCTTCGAGAACATGCAAACCACCGTTCTTCGAAGTGCGCGACAGTAAACTGTATAAGTCACCAGAGGGACAAAATTCTAGTACTTCGACAAAACCATCCGGAGTTTGCATCAGATCGAGCATTTTAAGAATATTCGGATGAGATTTCCGCTGCTCTGAGCCTCTCTGGCTTAAAGCATGACCAATGATAAACTCCGAAGTGAGTCTCGTCCCAAACTTCTCCTTCGCCTCGTCTGCTTTTGGTTTCAACTTCTTCACGGCGTAAAACATCTTGTTGCCCTTCACAAAGGTCTCGTCAGGAGAACGTTCATCAGTGACGCTGGACTTATCTATGCAACACACCTTGACAACACCATAAGCTCCGTGACCGATGACGCCAACGGGCTTACCATACTTCTGGAAGAGTGTGTAATTTTTCTTGGCAATCTGCTCATCCATGCTACCCTCCACCACAACTCCGTCATGTATCTTTTTTGAGATTTTGCTAATCATGCCAAGTTCTTTGGATCCAATTGCTGCGTTGGGATTGACAGGCTGAGGCATGCTGCTCTTCTTATCGTTATTGTCTGAGCCTTCATCGTTTTCGTCCTTTAGCTCATCGTCCATTATTCTGCTGAGCCTTTTGTGAAACTCGAACCTAGTACGAGGGAGCAAAGAAAGGGCGCTTTCAAGCCTCTCGTCGTCCTTGTGACTTTTGAAAAAGCCTGTCAAAGAGAACATGGATTTGCCTTTGGCACCTCCGTCGTCGTCGTTGTTTTCTGAAACTAAAGGAGTAACTGACAATGTATGGTTGTGATGGCCGTCTTCAAACACCATGAAAGTTTCAGTTTTCAAGACGCAATGAGCTTCGTTTTCGTCTTCATGTTGTTCGCGCAATACACTGCTGCTGCCTTGCGTTGGGGACCGGCCCCTATAGCGGGACGTGAGCGACAATGAACGAGATCTGGAACTTGAAGTCACATTTGGATTGGGCCTTTGTAAACTTTTAACACGCCTTACGGATTCTGGATCTTTCGTCAGCTCATTGTCAATCGTGAAGTCTTCATGACTGACTTCGTGTGCTTCGTTTCTGGCCGGCCTTGACTGAAAATAGTCAATTTGATCCCCATCTGATGAAGCAGAGTCGCCTTTCATCGAGGACGACAACTTGGCCTTTGCCCTGGAATCAGCATCGCTCACCACGGATTCCTGGGACGTATTCCCGGTTCCAGTCTGTTTTCCCAAGGAAAGCTTACCCAAATCTGTCACATATGATTGGGATTTTGTGCCTCTTGTTCCGTTAGCAACTTGTGGCCGCTGTGCTGCCAAAGGTACTGCCAAAGGGACTCCTGCACCGGAGTCTTTTCTCTTGCCTTCTAGCTCCAATTCTTTACTTTTCGCCAGTTTCTTAAGTCTATCATTTGTTTTCGCACTTGCTCCACCAACATCGGGTGTTCCAGGCGTTTTCCTTGGCGGAGAAGTCGATTTGAAAAGACCCTTGATCGATTTGGAAAACGATCTCGACCGTTTTAACTCGCTGTCATCGACGTTTTCTTCCAACACAGGCCGTCTGGACATAACAAAGTGCGCTTGAACCGATGGTCCCGTCCTCTGGGAGGCTAAAAGCAGCTAAATTGACTCTCTTAGGGCTTAGCTACTGTTCGCCAAGATGTGGTGAAGAGTTGAAATAAATGTGCTTGATTTTGGTTTCCTATCCAGCTAGAAATGGCAAAAATTAGTCTTGGGCACATGTGTCATAACGGACGGGTGGGTCGTCCCTATGCTTGCAAAAGGATATGGAACCTGGCGCGTGGTATCCAACGAAGCGTCAAGATAACCGTAGCACGACCATTGATTAGCCCTCAACTCTTTTCATGAGTGGGAGAGAGCACAGTTTGCTAGCTGTTTGCTAGCGTGTGGACAAAATCCTTGACTTTAGTGACAGCACTCAGGACGACCATGAAGGCCCCGAAGAGCGAGAACGACAAGGTACTGATGGCTGCAGCGCGTCTGTCAACACCTAGGAGATATGCAGTGGTGATTGCACTGGAACTGCATCCTAGAGTAAGTCCCCGCGTGACGTAGTCATTCTCCGGAACTCGTAACAAGTCCAAAAATGGACCACCCATCAAAACGCCCACGATACCACTGACAACAGTAGTGACGGCCATGAGTGTGACAGAACCATCTAAATTTTCGACAGTGGGCGTACCCAACGCCAAAGTAATGCTTCGTCCGACAAATCCAATGGACATATCGCTTGACATGCCGATGTGATGACAGATTATCGGGTAAAGTATTAGCGAACCAGCGCAAAATAAGAAGATTGGAGGCATCATGCTAAGGAAATGACGACGCAAATCGTAACGGTGTGTGTACATGGGTAATGACAAACCCACAATTGAAATATCCATACAGGTGCTGAAAACGTCACCTGCTCCGGGCCATGTGTGGCCTGGAAACGAATCATTGTCGAATAGCCTCAAGTAGGTTCTTCCCGTTTTGTAACTTCTCAAGTCGGTCAGGAAATATTTCACCGCTTGGTGCTTGATCATAACTGACACTAGGAACACGATCCATGACAGGGCCACAGAACAGATGACTGGATGTAGCAGCTTCTTGTACCTCGGGTTTTTAACAAACGGATTGTCTACCACAAACATGAATGTGACGACCGCGGTAAAAAACTGGAATGGCATGGTGTACCAAGTGAAATAATAAGTGAAAATACTCGCAATAAAGCCAAGACCATAAAGAATATGATGCAAGTGGTCCTGCCACATGTTGAAGACAAATAATTTGTCAAAATCCTCGGAAAAACTCGATATTTCCTGGTTCGTGAGAGCTCGCTTGCATATAGCAGGCTCGCTTTGATGCATTGAAGCGGTTTGCGAGTTGTTTGTAATGATGCCAAAATAAGTGGGTTCCGGAGTCTGGATATGATTTCGTCTTACTGGGCCTGAAGTCTCACTGTCGATTGTCAAGAGAGCATCGGTTTCCAGACCTGGGAGTGGGTCGATCGCGCCTGTGGATCCCATGAACGATAGCGATATGTGATCTTGAGTATCTTTGGGAAGACTGCTGACCCGTCTATGCGCAGAGATGTTTGTATTGCTTGCAATATCAGACAATCCAGCGTCAGATTCGTAGTTCACCTCGTTTTTTTCAGGAAAGCCAGTTCCTGTTCCTGTGCTGGAAGACCTTCGGTGGGTTCTTGTGGGACGAGTGAAAGTTGAGCCGGCCTCCATCCCATTGTCGATTTCTTCTTGTCTCACAAAGATGCTGATGAATTTACGACTCCCAGTGAGCTTTTGGCATAAAATGGTGATGTAGGCTAAAAGCACAAACGACACCGCATATCCAATGACGAACACCGCGACAATTAGCAATGCTTCTTGCCATGTTATCCAGGGGCTCAATGGCAAAACCACAAAGGCCGGAGTGAAAAAGAGGTTCATCCATCTGAGACTCCAGCTCAGCGGGACATCTATAACCTTCATGTAGATGTCGGCATAGGGTCTGCGCCATGCGCTCAGTGTGCACATAAACCCAAAGTTGATCAGCATAACGGCAACACTAGCTGGAAATGTGACCTGAATCACATTTCTTATAAACCTATCGACACCATATAGTATACATAGAGCTATGATGGCACCCAGAGGTACCAAAATATACGTTTTGATCAGTAGGGCCTTGTTCCCGTTTGCAAACTCCAGAAAGAGTTTCCAGTGTTTATATATCAATTCTGGTAGCTCAGTAAAGCTCGGAAACCCGGTATTATTCCTGGAGGTCGTCATTGGGTTTCGAAGGCGGCTACTGTCAAAGAATCTGGATGATGTTGGAAGTAAGTCAAGTACTGGGGGTTTGAGTCGTCTTGGTCAAAACTGGCGCGACGACCAATTATAACGTAGATCGTGGGGCACGAAGGCCAAGTTTCTAGTTGGCCGCGATGGACAGATATATATATACAGAGAGAAAGCCTATTTTATGCTCACTCGAGACAACTGGACTGGTTTCTTCATTGGACATCTCGGTAGTGATTGGTGTAAGTTTTGTCGGAAGGGAATGTCAGTTTGTCGAGCATTTCGAAGCTCTTTTCTTTCGGGTGTGGACAACAGACTCGTCCAGAACTGTGTAGGCGGTAGCTGGAGATGCTCTTGAGTGTCTTCTATGGCCATTGAAGTCCATGGAAAATGGTACGCTATGCCACCATTCTGACTGGTAAATGCATTAGAAATGAACAATCGCTGTTAAAGCTTGACAATGTCCTCCTCGGCCACTTTGACGTGGTCAACCTCGGCGAGAAGCGCCTGCATAATCTCGGAACCTTGCTTGTTACGCATATCTAGTGATCCCACAGCCTTTCCTTCCCTGTCCAGAACCTCCAAAACACATGGAACACTAGCATTTTTTTTGTCCTCGTTTTTCACCCGGGTGACCTGAAAACGCATTTGCGGATTGTAGAACTGTAACGTCGGCATATACTCACGCCAGAATTTCCTGGCTCCCATGTGTCCATTGTGATTTTGATACTGGAACGTCAAATTCAGTCCCGAGTATTTCTCGGCATTCAGAACGATTTGGGGCTCCACAGTAGTCGTACTGATCTTGTTGAAAAACTTGAGCTGTCTTGCCACACGCGACATAATTCCACGAATGCTTAATCAACCTTTTATGATGTTACTCACTGATACTGGTGCTGATCGATGCGATGTCAAATGGTTTAATGTTTAATATACTATAAGCATTTTTTTATTAAACAAAAATTAAATCACGGCTAACGTTGAACAAGAATCCTCCAGTTCATCAACGATCGAAGAGCCCTTCTAATAGTTCTTCAATCTGATGGGTCACGTCCGTGGATTAGACATTTTTGGGTTGATGTTGTTAAATTCCCAGAGTACTTTCCACCCGTAAAAATATTTAAGAATTTATCTTTTCAGTTATGCCGGTCTTCACCTGCTGGACGATGTATCTCTCTCTCCCATGCACTTTTGCCCGGATGATATGTTGGAAATGGGCCCTGGCTAGTGAGTTTGGCTTGGCAGCTGTAGTCTGCGCGAAGAGATCGCGCCACACAGAAAATATCGAGATCATGTATGTGAGTAGCTGATTGGCTTTGATATGCACACACCACACAGTTCTAAATGTTGTCGACGATTGCACGCACCATCATCAAAACTCAGAAAACAAGTCTCTGTGGGCATCGTCCCCGTCACGCCCGTAAGTAATCTCCTCTTCTGGGTATCTATCATATTGAGAAGTATCACCTTGTCCCGCTTGAACAGGAGGCTCGTATGGGGTTTCAATATTTCTGCACAGCAGTTTTTCCCATACCACTTCGCTAAACCACGGATGGTTTTTGACGTCTTCACTACCATTTTGCAGGTTCCCCAACCGTTTACTCAAATCGCGGGTGATCAGTTTGCTCAGCAGATCTTGTACATCGGCCTGGAAAAAGGGCGGGAATTGCAATTCTGCATTTAAAATATTTTCGTAAGTTTTCATCGTGTTGGAATCGTAGAAAGGCGTGTAACCAGCCAGCATTTCGAATATTAAGATGCCAAAACTCCACCAATCAACAGACTTGTTGTAAGGCTTGGTGCTCACCACTTCAGGAGCGATATAATCTGGCGTGCCGCATAGCGTGAACGTTACGTCTGGCACAAACTTGGCAAACCCGAAATCCGTGATTTTGACATGCCCGTTCTTGTCGAGCAGTACATTTTCCGGCTTCAAATCTCGGTAAATGATGTCCAATGAATGCAGATACTCCAGCGCCAAACACACTTCTGCAGCGTAAAATTTGGCCACTGGGTTTGGAAACCGCTGCGATTTGCGCAACAGCGAGAACAGCTCGCCTCCCTCGATGTAGTCCATGATCATAAATACCTGTTGCGTGTCCTGGAACGTGCCCCACATGCGAATGATAAAAGGGTGAGCCACTACCGAAAGCATACGGCGCTCGTCGTTGGTGTGTTCCACCTGCTTCAACTTGACAATCGTTTTCTTTTTCAGCACTTTCATTGCGTAGAAACGACCGTTGTGATTGGACCGCACCAGATGCACACGACCAAACGAGCCAGTGCCCAAGGTACGCAAAATGTGGAAGTCGTCCAAATTGTATTTTCCCGATGTCTGTCGCGGCTGGAAGCTCGGCTTCTGTGAATCTACTGCTTCCCGGCTCAACGAATTATCGTGTTGTTCCTGTGTTCTTTCTTCATGCTGTTGGTCCCCGTGGCTTTCAGAGTTGTCCTGCCGTCTTGTTTGCTCTTGCATAGATCCTTGCGTCACTTGCGGGCTCAAAACACCCAAAGGTAGTTCCTGGAGTGTGTCGGACATGCCGGTTTCTGCCGCGTCCATGGACGAATCCCTTTACAAAGCTTTCTTCTGCTAATCACCAACGGTCTTTCCGGCGATCCCAGCGCTTGTTGCCGGCCTTTCCACTTACTGGTTGGTGTGGCAAACTTGCGCTGTTGGTAAAACCTCGAAAAATAACGCTTTCGTCTTGGGAAAAAGAGCTAACGATAGCTCAACACTGCCAGCAGATGATAGTGCGACTTTCAACTACCACTTCCACCTTGCGAAACCCTTTTTTTCTGGAGAAACTTCGTTGTTACTGCTCGGATAACCGTTTTAAACAGTATTCTTTGAGCTTGTAAAACGATGAACTTATGCGCGCTTCCCTTTAACCATAAAATTCAAAACTTGGTTTTCGTTGGACATGGCAGACTTGTTAATATTTTTTTTAATGAAAGCAAACTGACGTTTTCGTTTAAGGCGACACGTTGTGTACTCGTGTTAGTACTCGTGAAATTTGATCACTAGAGACGGGATCGCTGGGATCTGTACTCGAGTACTCTTTACGAGTTCAAGCATACAGCGAAGGCTCTCACTCACCAACACTCACGACGGTGAGTCTGGTTTAGACTTGCTGGCGCGGGAAGCAGGCTCTCCAGATTTGGAAGCGGGAGCTCGTAATGTCTGGGCTGTTGAAGCGCGTCTATCGGCAGATTTGGAGGCCCGGGGCTCGGAGTCCGTGTAGCCGGCAGAACCGGGCCTTAGTGACGTCTGGGAAGGTCTTCGTAGACGCTCGGGGTCTGTGACAACGTCCAGCGTGTAGGAGAGACCGACGGCCATTGCCGCAGCGCAAAATGGTAGGACCATGAATGCCATGGGTCGAGTTTTTACCGTACTGCCGTAGATTTGGAAAAATGCAGCCGGGAAAATCAGCATTGTAGCACTTCTTACCAACGCCAAGGCCCCGAAAACCTCGCCCAGCGACGAGTGCGAGAAGTACTTGATTGCAGTGGCCTGTAAAGTGGGCGAGAATATCGCACTCACATCTTGAAAACACGCAAACACTATCATGGAAAACCCTCGCTGGTCGCCAACAGCGGCCATTGCTATTGAAGCCGTAACAGAAATCATTGCCACGCGCATGGAGGTCAAATCGATATTGTCCACGGAGTTGTCCAACCGTGTGTGACGTTTTTTGAGCCAAACAAGCAGCACCGGGGCCAGCACCAAGAGAATCAGAGTCCGGCCAATTCCTACAAGCGACATAAAGTAACCCAACGTCACAGACGTCCAGTTGTACTTGAAGGTGCCATACAGCACCATGGGTCCCATAATGGCCGCGGTCGACATCATATAACAAATGTCCATAGCGACCAAGGTCAGAACGCTGCGGCGGGCCACAAAAGAGCCGTCAGCGGATGGCGGAAGCCACAACTTCTTCAAAGGTGACAAAAGGTCCAGAAACATCACCAGATGGTAGCGGCCACGATTGTGAAGCGACCCGGACGACGTGTTCGATAGAATGCTGTCGAAGCTGCGACGACGGTCCTGGAACTTGAGCTGGCTGTGTTCCAATGCCTGGGCATGACGAGACTCCATCAATCCAAACGTAACGAACAGCAAACACCCCAGGATCAAGACCATGGCCACGATAAACGGAGCAAAGTTGTTATTGTTCGAGAGCCTGACCAAGGCTGATCCGATCAGAGGCCCAAAGCCCATGGTCCCATATATGGTACTCATCAGAAAGCTAAGGGCCATCGTGCGCGATGCTGGTTCCGTACAATCTGCGATGTAACTATTCCCCGTTGCAATGAGAACCATGAGATCTGCACCAACAGACGTGATGCTATTGGCCAGCATGATGCCGGTCCTGGAAAACCGCGTTTGTGGTAAAATCGTGTACATTATGGCAACGACGGACACCAAACGCACGAGCCCTATGTATTGTAAGATGGGTTTCCTGCCAAACCGGTCCGATAGTTCGCCCATTTTGCCTGCCAAAAGTGTGCTTACCGTTCCAGCCAAAAGCATGCGGACCGACTGGATTTCTGAAAACACTCGTTGTGCCTGTGCCCTATCGCACACGCCGTCCCGCATGGCCACTTCACAACTTTTCTCCACTGACATAACAATAGTTGGCGAAAGTGTCAAACTTTCTGCAAACGAGATCAACCCGATCACAAAGCACAAAATCTCAACACCCGGTTTCCGCCATCCAAAACGAGAGTGGTGTACCTGGCTTTCCTTGAACCACCGACCCTCATTGCTGTCGGTACCACCCACAGTGTTGCTCAAGATTACTTCACCGGTGTGTTCCACAGCGGTCTCCAATCCTTCTAGATCGGGTCCCAGCAACGCTGAAACCTCATCAGGTTCTGATGAGCCTCTTCGAGGCAGCGCTTCCTCCATAACAGTTGATCTTATTTGTTTTTTCGTCGATTTGTATGTGTCAGTGAAGTAACTTGATGAGATGAAGTACCTTGCCAGTTATTAACAATATTTGTTGTTGATCAACGAAAATAACAGCACGATTGGTTCAGGATCGCAAATGCCACCAGTTGGGTTTTATATAATTTGAGTGTCCTCTCACTGCGATTTATTGAATGGATTTCATGCCATCAAGGTTGTCCGCAAGTGTAGTAATCACAGGTTGGGCTCAAAGTTTCTTGTAATGAGTATCCCATTTGGGAAAAAAAGCAGCAACATTAGTCGCTTCAGGGTACATTTTGTTCCGTGGCCTCCCATCTGCTTTATCTCCCGTGGAGACGCATAGTTCACGGGTTCCAATCGGGTTGCACATCATACTGCACTAAACTTCTCTGTCATCTCATGCAGTTGTCTTCCGTATGACAACATAGTCTGTCAATACGTTATTTATTGTGACTTCTTGGGTTCTGCAGTGCGATGCAGAGAAACATTTCTCAGCAGAACATGGCTGATCAATTCCAGGAGCAGCATGGCCAGCGAGGACAAAATTGCCAAGCAATAGTTGGAGATCGTGACACCAATGTCTAACCAGCTGCCGTCAGTCTTCAACAAATAGAAAAATTGCAGCGACAGGATGTCACTAGTGCAAATAATCAAGGACGAAATGCTGTAGTCCTTAATGCGGAGCTTCAAGTTCAAAATTCCAAGGCCCGTAGATAGCGTAATGTAGGGCAGGATCAGCTTCACCATTAGCAGGGCACCCATGGGGAACGGGTCAAAAACTGGCATCAACCTGTACACCGAGTCAAGCGAGAAAGAAGAGATGGAAGCCACGTTGCCGGTACCGAAAAACGCAACCTGCATAAGGAAAAACCCAATAGTAGAGACACGTAGCAGTTGTAGCCGGTTTTGCGGAGCCGTAGATGCGTCTCTGTGGGCTTTTAGGTCAGACTCGATCTCGATCCACTGGTAAATGTACGCGGTGAAGAAAAAGTAGAAGAAGGACTCAAACGAGATCGTGAGGAGGATAAACGCCGGCGCAAATGTGAGGTAGATAGTCAGCATTCTGACCCGGTAGTCTTGGTTCATTTTTGGGTAGTGGCATGAGGGCATTCCAATCAGGGAAACGAAAAAAACCGCCCAGCCTGCAATTTGCGAGTCCCGCGGTAGTCCCTCACGATTCTGCAAAGAAACCACAGATTTGTTGGTGATGGCAACCATCGCGACAATGAGAGCGATCTGGACTAGAAACAGGACAAATGTGTAGCGCTTAATACTGGACCTTACGTGATTTATTCCCCATAGCCCACTCAGGACGATCATCGCACTTGCCACGTTGATCTGCGACAAACTCTCCACCTTGACAGCGTCAAATAAGGTGAAAACGGATATACAGCAACTTGTGAGCAACCAAAAAAAGTTCTGGCGGACACCGTGAACACCACATGCCATTGGATAGAATCCAAGTGCAATGAAAGTGGCGGTAAAGATCCATCTGTTGAAAAATCCGTAAACAATACTTTCGTAGACAGTCAGGACCGCCACTACCGCGCTGATCTTCTTGTTCCACGACAGACCTTTGAAAAACTCCCCAAAACCATCGCTCAGGATAACCTTGCTTCTGAAAATTTGACTCCAAAAGAACAGCGGGAACATCAGGTACATGTAGAAATTGAACGGAGACTTTTGATAGTAGAGCGTATAGTTCAAAACAACTGCCAAGCTTGCAAAGACTGTGTAATGGAAAACTGAAGCCTTTACTTGGTACTCTTTGGTCAAAATGAAAAGTCTCAGGAACAAAACGAAAGAGTATGTGATCCACCCGACAAAGCCAAACGTCACAATAGTCCTTGTGAACTGTCTATTGTAAGTTGTCAAATAATAAAGAGCATCTAGGGTGTTGGTCATCAGTTCCTCCGTCAGCTGAATAGCGACGGGCTCCGACGCAAGATCTCCTTGAGACACTCTTTCAATCAAGTCTTCGATTTCGTTCTGATACTCAATTGGGGACTTTAGGTCGAATTTACCATATTTTTTGTAAAGGAATTGTGAAGCTATAACTTCCTCTTCCTTCACAAGATACTGCTCCAAGATAGTTCTGGCATTGGCGTATAGAGCCTTCAATTTTTGGCCTTCAGAGTCGTCAATGTAGGCCAAAGGCAACTCGCCCACTGAGTTGACAGGGTAGTTGGCACCAATCAAAAAAGACATCAAAGATGCTATGTCGGCTTGTTTCACATCGTTCCTTTTAATATGAGACAGATTCCAGCCGTGTGTGTAGTTATCGTAGACGGGGGTATTGTTTATAACAGGTTTCTTAATTCCTGGTCCCCACGCTACAAGCGGTGTTCTGGTGTTATTAGGGTGGCCATCACCATGGGATCCAAATGCGCTCATTCCGTGGTCAGCAGTGAAAATGAATGCTGTGTCATCGTCGCCGAAGAACTCATGAACTCTTGGAACCAAACTAGCCAATTGTGTATCAATATATTTGGCATTATCATAGTACTCGGCCGAGTACGGACGGTAAGAGTGGCCAGCGGTATCACACCCCAAAAGGTGAAGGAAAAAGACATTTCCTTCCTGTCTTATTTCTTCATTAAGCCTCTCATCGACGGTAGAGTTGTGAAAGAGATCTTCGAGTTTATTGAATACAAAGGCGTCAAGTTCGATCGATGACTGTGTGAAGTCTTCGAATTCATGCCCATACATCCAAGTGTCAATTCTATTGAAATCTGAGGCTCCCTTTTGGAACATGGGCAAGATATCTGGTGAGCCGAATGAGTATGTGTGTCTTGACTGGTTGAAGAAACTATCGAAATCCACAGGGTTCTCCTGCCACCCTTTTGTCACGGCACTCACATCTTCATAGAAACCGGCGATCATCGCAACATGACCTGGTCTTGACTCCGTTGGCATTCTGGTGTGCGAGACACCAAAAGTTCCGTTGTTTTCCACAATAGATCTGATGTAAGGCGCGAGATGTGCAGTTTCTCCAGTGATCGGATGAGTTATCTTTTCAAAAACGGTGTCTGCTCGCAAGCCATCGCCAACCACCAGAAATAACCGTTTTGCTGGCGGTTGGTCTGTACTCCGGTGCGCTTTCATTCCATGAACTAGCGGCGACACGAAATAGATGTCGAAGATTGACCATAGGTAAAAGAAATGGAACAAGATCCCGACCACCACAAAAGTGAGTCTTTGCTTACTCCACATAGCGTCTGACCACGTTCAACTAGATTTTGAAGGTCAATTGGATCTAAAACGAGTCCTGACTTCTCTTTACAGATTCACCAAATGGTTTATATACACGTACGCGTTAACAGATCTAATTCTAACCTTGTAGGATATCGCTCCCGACGGCTCATCGCTGGTTGGCCTCTACGAACTAAAGGGCATTTGAAGCATCCTCAATTGTGTCCCGCACGATAGAATGAATCCATGAGCATGCTTAGCTTTTCTGCTACCTCCTGCTGCCGATTTTGTAGTTCCTGTAGCATTTCTGTGACTTGCACATCGTATGATTTAGCTTGTTGAAATACCAACTTGTTCTCGACGCGAGTGAGACGAACTTTGAAGAGATCATCTGCTGTGGATCGTGTCAATAATACATCCAGAAGTCTGCGCTTGAGATTGTTGGCTTGATTATGGTAAATTCGTACCATTTCCGTCATCCGTACCAAATCCTGGTTGGTGATGACGTTGCTCGCGTGCAAAATTGGCACCATGGGCAAGACCAGGTCGAGGATATCCATGTCCATTCCTAGCTCCTGAATAGAAAGATGCTCTACTTTGTATATGCGCGGCAGTGCCTCGTTCACTGGTCGAGACAGGCTTTCAAACGTTGATCCGTGAGCATGTGCGCCCTCAGGGCTCTGTCTTTGAACTCGCGTGTAACTGTGATCCTGCGAAGCATTGCGCTCTGTTTTAGGTCTCTTGACCCGCACCCCATCTAGCATTTCACTTACTTGCTGCATGTCGAAGAACTCGTCGTCATTGGGAAGCACCGTTCCTAGTTCATCGAGTCTAAAGTCGGAGGTTTTGGAAGAATCTAACACATTTGGGACGGCTTTGGTGTCTCCGGGCCTTTTGAGCGGGTTTATTATGTCCTGTGGTCGGCTTGATATGTCATCCGCATGCGGATGTGATTTTTCTTCGCTAGAATCTACTCTCATCGACGTAGCATCTAAAGTCACTTTCGTCTTTGTTGGCTGCTTCGTTTTAACGCTAGATTTCGTTTTTTCAGAGTCATTTTTGACTTGAACGTCATTGAATCTTTTTAAGAGGCTTTTGAGGTCTTGTAGAGTGTCTGCACCCGTGTTGGGCTGATTCTTCACCGGCGATGTAGACCTTCTTTGTTGTTCTCTTTCGTGACGCGTGGTCCTCGCGTAGTGCCGTTCATGGTGGTTCGAAAAGGGAGAAGAGAATGCGCTGTTTTTGCGACTCTGATTGTCATCCAGCTTTGTCCTTTTCCCTTCGTTGGCCATATTATCTGGCAAATCTTGCGCCGGTCGAGCGTCGTTTTTGAGGCCCTGTTTGGTGGCTTGGGACCTTGATCCATGAGTGGAACCACTTGTTTTAAATTCCCTTTTCTGCTCTGATTCTGGACGCTGGTGTTGGTAGCTCTTTGCCTTGAATGTATTGTGCTTTTCACTTCCTTTGGCCGAAGAAGATGGTCTCACGGCCCCTGGGCTTCTCTGTTGAAATTCATTTGCGACCCCAAATCCGTACGGTTGTTGCTCGTAGGGTTTACTTTGGCGTGAAAATGAGGTTTGAGATGAGAAATGGCTGAAGTTAGTGGGTTTGCTAGCACTTTCGTTAGTGGATTTGACAGAATTAGCTCGAGACTGAGGTTTCTGTGGCGAAGAGGAAGGCGTTTGGAACTCTCTCTCATTTGCAGTATTTTTCCCTGCTACTGCTGAGACCATTGATGACAATTTGCAAATTTTCGGTACATATGTGTGGAGACCCTTTGAAATCAGTTTTCGATTGTAATCTTGTCTCTTCTGTTTATCGGCCAAGACAGATTGAGCGTGGGAAACCAGTTTGAAAATTTCGGCCGCACCATTGGACTTGTTCTTGTCTGGGTGAATAGCTATCGCTATTTTACGGTAAGCTTTCTTGATCTCAGCTTCTGAAGCATCGGTAGTCAATCCCAAAACCGAGTAATAGGTGGTTTGATCCAGCCATTCTTCTTGTCCTACCATATTCGAACGGTTTTGGGGAGAACTTGGCCGTTTATCGTGTCGCTTGTTCGGGCTCGAAAATTAAGTGGCTTAAGAGCGCGGCTTCAGCGCGCTATACAGTGAAGTGTAGTTGCGGGCTAGCTCATCACTTCGCGATGCAGTAGCCGAAAGTGATCTATTTTGAATTGTAAATATACTTAGATACGTAAATTGACAAAGGGCAAAAATAAAAATTATCGACCTCGGTGAGGATTGAACTCACGATCTTGCGATTAACAGTCGCACGCCTTAACCAGCTTGGCCACGAAGTCATTAAAACTTGATGAAACCTTTGAAGGTTAAGCTAAATATATTCACACTGTGGGATCACGTCAAGAAAGAAAAGTAAAACAGCTAAATTTCCAAAAAATTACTCCGAAGCGGGGAATCGAACCCCGATCTCCACGGTGAGAGCGTGATGTGATAGCCATTACACTACATCGGATAATTGTTGAAAGAGTTGCTTTCTGAACTTAGATATCCCAAAGTGCTGGTCAGGAGTAAGTATGAACAGATCGATGTGCACTTCGAGTTTCTCAAGGTGTTACCAAACTAGCTGTATGCACATCTATATATCTTCTTTCACCATGAACCAAACTAGGCAAGGCTCCCAGATCAATCTTATTGTTTGCATTTAATGTTTTGGACGCGAGAAGTAGTTTTAAGGTTACATTTCGCCAGTGTTCCTTAACCTAATCAGCTGCCAAACAACAAATGCAACACGTCTCAAAAGAAAAAAAAAGGCGATTCTGATGAGTTCAGGGTTACTCCGCATCCAATAGCAGTTTTTACCTGCCATGTTCAACGAATTTGACACAGGGAGGGGTACGTCTTAGTATTGCGAACACTATTTGACTTTTCCCTTCCGCATCTTTTCTCCCGCGTCAGTTATTCTGAAATAATTACATTAGGCTGCTATATAAGGTCTAATTCAACAAGAAGCTAACAACCATCTTGAAACTACAAGTCTCAAAGCCACAGCACAAACATTGTATTTGAAGAACAGAAATGGCTAACGGTAAACCCATCAATCTTCCTTTCGAAGTCTCTAGACGCAACCTTTGGTCAAATATTGCGATAAATTCGGCTTTCGGTCTGGGTATATATTTCCTCTACAAAGACTACAAAAGTAGCGATCACAAACGAACAAGCGACCGGGCAACTAGACCCGTCACACAAGAGCTCCCTGACCCTATCACACAAACGCCTACTAGTGTCCATGGACCCTTAGCACGAAGAAATATCTCTTACAGAGAGTTGTCATTTGCTACGGTAGGCTATGGTTTCGTGATGCAGCTGGCGAACATGGCGCACGTGACGTATGACAAAAAATCATTGTCCTATAAAGCAGGTCTAGCGTCAGTAATTCTATATCCGCCTCTACTGTACTATTTGTACGCGGCTCGCGAGCCAACTCACTAACGGTTGCGTTTGCTAGCTTGACGGGCTTGCTGATGCTCAAGATGATGTTAACAAAACGTTTATAACATATAATCTTTATTAGAAGGAACTAGTGTACATATAATTGAATGAAAATGGTCTCCTGTGACCTGGGAGCCAAAACCTGAACAGCTTCTGTTGTTGGCAATGCCAATGCTGTTACGAACAAATACTCGGTTTACCGTGCGGCGAAATTGTTTAAAAAGATGAATCGTGATGCATTTCATGAATTGGGAGTGTTTGGAAGACCAAGATGTGAGGTCAAACTAAGCCCAATAATTTAACAGTCGATAAGTTCAATGACTTCCAAGTGGACTGGAGAGCATTGAGATCCGATAGATTCGTCGTACAAGTTGTAGAAGTTGCCCGACAAACATTGGTAGAAGACATCGTGTTCACCAATGGCCAAGTTACCTTCTGGGGTGATGGCCCAGCCAGCAGCGTAGATGGCACCGGCTTGTGGAGGAGGACCGTCAAATTGGAATTGTCTGTTGGCAACGATAGAACCGATTCTTCCCTTGGAATCCTTTAGCATACCATTGTCCAAAGTCATGGATAGAGAACCTTCAGCTTTGCAAGAGACGGAAGACACGAAAGAGGAAGCGTCAGAGGTGGAGGCTGGAGAGATCGAGGCAGAGGTGGAAGAGGCCTGAATTTGACCGTCACCAATTTGAGAAGCACCGCTCACGGTAGTAGCGTTAGCAGTAGTGGCCTGGATTTGGCCGTCACCGATCTGGGAGATGGTCAGGAGCAGAAGGCTTCGAAGTGGTGGTGGTGGACTTGGATTGACCGTCACCGACTTGAGTAATGGCAGACGGCAGAAGATTTGGAGCAGTGGCAGTGGTGGCCTGGATTGACCGTCACCGATCTGGGAGATGGCAGCGGCAGAGGCTTTGGAGCAGTGGCAGTGGTGGCCTGGATTTGACCGTCACCAATTTGGGAAATAGCGGCAGCAGAAGACTTTGGAGTAGACTTGGCAGTGGTGGCCTGGATCTGACCGTCACCGATCTGGGAAATAGCGGCAGCGGAGGACTTTGGAGTAGTGGCAGTGGTGGCCTGGATCTGACCGTCACCGATCTGAGAGATAGCGGCAGCGGTAGCCTTGGAGGATGGGGCAGTGGAGGTGGTGGCCTGGATCTGGCCGTCACCAATTTGCGAAATGGCGTCTCTCTTGGCGTGGTCGGAGGCGGTAGCAGCGCTCAAAGTGGACACAGAAGAGGTGACTGGCACCACGGCAATACCGAAAGATTCCGTGTAGGCTGTGAGGGCACCGGAGTAGGTGGCAGTAGGAGTCAAGGTGCTCCATGGCTCAGAGCCGGTGACGGCGGCAGAGGCAGAGGTGGCTAGCGCGGCAGCGGCCAAAACGGTGGATTTGTATTGCATTTTTGGAGTAGGTGGATGGGGTTGGTTGTTGGAGTGATTGATTGATGGGATTATAAGAGAAAAGAGATTGGAATACAGATCAGAAAAGTGTAGAGTTGATCTGGCACCCATATATATACCCGCTGTGGGCCAATTGGCAAGGCTTGGTGTGTTAATTAGAAAAGCGAAGTGATTGCATGTTTTAACGGCGGGGCTTGCTGCAGTTTAGTGGGATCAATGTCGGAAAAGCAGTGTGCTTGGTGCAAATAGATTGCATTTTCTGAGACTTTTCTTTCGGGAATGTGACAAGATGTGACAAAACAAGATCGGCTGGGCTACGCCGAGCCGTGTGTGTGTGCTGGGTTCAATTTAGAAGAGTTCTGGATTCTATTTCGAGATTTTGCATATGCATTAGTAGAGACCAGGTATTAGTGTGGGAGGGCCAATGAGCGGATCCACCAGCCATGTTAATTTTGCAATCAATTGGCGAGTACAAGAGCGCGAGTACGCGTAGGAGAAAAAGAGAGGCGGAAAGGCAACGACAGAGGGGGTGGGGCGGGGGGAAAGAGGCATTGATAGGGAGAGGTGGAGAGACAGTAATAGGGGAGATAGATGGAGAGAACTTTATGGTATACCAAGGGCTACAAAACGGTATTCATTATTTGAAACTCATTATAATTTGATACGAAAGATCTCCGGGGTGGTATCGTCCAAAATGATAACTCACACATTCACTTACACTTACACACACACTTAGCCTCTCTCTCTCTCTCTCTCTCTCTCTACATTCTCGATATTTCTCACCACCACCACCAGCCCTCTCTCCCATTGTAAATTTATTCCTCCCTGCTTCTCCCAGTCTTGGTCTATGTCTATTTCCGCTCTCCACCTCTTTACGCGTTAGGCCTCCCTCTCCCGTCTCTTGCTTCTGCCACTATAAACTTTTTTCTTTCGCGTTTTTTTCCCCAGAAATGCCGTAGCAACAAGTCATAAGAAAAAAAAGCCCACGCGTCTCACACACACAGCCATCCCAATAAGTCCAAGATCACCCGTAACAATACGACAGGGGCAATAAACCCAAGTAATTTCAAGACTCCTTATTCTCCTTCTATCGTAGAGCCTTTCACCCAACAAGGAGCGTCCAAATCCACTAAATGAGTAAATTTGTCTTCTGTGCTTTCCGGATACCGGATCAACAGGATCAACACCAATGCTTAGCCATTATTACACCAATAGCTACTAACGCCAACACCAATGGTAATTAACGCTAGCACCACACCAGCACTCTTGCCGTACTCATACTTTACCCGTACTCGTCTTGTGCACCTCCTACCTCTTCTTATTTCTTATTTCTTCTCCCGATCCGGAAAACTAACGATCCCCCTCAATAAGATCTCCCAAAGCGGTATACAGATAGAACACACCAGCTCACAGTGGGAAAAAAAAACTGGCGCACACACACACGCGCAGCCTCGGGTCTTTTTTTAGAAGCGGAAAAGAACGGCTTGTCAACGGGCTAAAAAGCATATCGCCGCTCTTGTTTCTAACCTTTTCAAGTATATAAAGACGACGATCCAGCTCTGGTCTGGTTTATTCCATTGAAGTTTGTCTATACTTTTCTTTGTCTTTTACATTTTTATACATTCATCATCATCATTGTTATAATAAGTAACTACTACTACTTAATATTCAAGCAAGAGTACTACTTCTGATCGCTCTCTTTCTTTGTCCATCGCTAGACTTAATTGCATCCCAATAGGCGCAGAAATCACTCACTTGGCGAAAAAAAAACAACAAAAAACCACCCAATTTCGCATATAACAATAATGCAATACAAATCCACCGTTTTGGCTGCTGCCGCGCTAGCCACCTCTGCCTCTGCCGCTGTGACCGGCTCTGAGCCATGGAGCACTTTGACTCCTACTGCCACCTATTCAGGTGCCCTCACAGCTTACACGGAAACTTTCGGTATCGCTGTGGTGCCAGTGTCGTCCTCTGTGTCCACTTTGAGCGCTGCTACCGCCTCCGACCACGCCAAGAGAGACGCCATTTCGCAAATTGGTGACGGCCAGATCCAGGCCACCACTGCCACTACTCCAAAGTCCTCCGCTGCCGCTATTTCCCAGATCGGTGACGGTCAGATCCAGGCCACCACTGCCAAGTCTACTCCAAAGTCTTCTGCTGCCGCTATTTCCCAAATTGGTGACGGTCAAATCCAGGCCACCACTGCCACTGCTCCAAAAGCCTCTGCCGCTGCCATCTCCCAGATCGGTGACGGTCAAATCCAGGCCACCACTGCCACTGCTCCAAAATCTTCTGCCGCTGCCATTTCTCAAATCGGTGACGGTCAAATCCAAGCCACCACCACCACTTTGAAGCCTTCTGCTCCTGCCATCTCCCAGATCGGTGACGGCCAAATCCAGGCCACTACTGCTAACGCTACTACCGTGAGCGGTGCTTCTCAAATTGGTGACGGTCAAATTCAGGCCTCTTCCACCTCTGCCTCGATCTCTCCAGCCTCCACCTCTGACGCTTCCTCTTTCGTGTCTTCCGTCTCTTGCAAAGCTGAAGGTTCTCTATCCATGACTTTGGACAATGGTATGCTAAAGGATTCCAAGGGAAGAATCGGTTCTATCGTTGCCAACAGACAATTCCAATTTGACGGTCCTCCTCCACAAGCCGGTGCCATCTACGCTGCTGGCTGGGCCATCACCCCAGAAGGTAACTTGGCCATTGGTGAACACGATGTCTTCTACCAATGTTTGTCGGGCAACTTCTACAACTTGTACGACGAATCCATCGGATCCCAATGTTCTCCAGTCCACTTGGAAGTCATTGAGCTCATCGACTGTTAAGTCAGGCAAAGCAATGAAAATCAAACAAAAAACACCAACCTCTCACCAAGGGTTTGAATAATACCAACCCCACCACTACTGTATTGCATTCCAACACTCCTTTATTACGTTACACCAATGCATTTTCGATCCCATTCCATTCCATTTCACACATCGACGTTCCCTTTGCATACATTTTTTCAAAAAAATACTTACGAACCCACCATTTTTAGCATGAGGTTCATTTCCATTCACACTTTCAAGCTTTCTCTCCCCACGTCGTGTCTTTTTCGTCTTTGACGCTGGACACCTTTTGATAGTTCTTTACAGGTGTACAACTGAATCCCAAGAAGCCTCTTGAAGAGGAAGAAAGATTCTACCGATACGCCCAGTTTACATAATTAATTCAAGATCATTCTAATAGTTTCAAGCTAATTATCGGTCAAAGGCTCATAACGTCTTTGTTTGTAGTTGTCTTCATTTCTACATGTAGGTGTATTTCGTCAACGATGGTACTAAAACTCGAACTCACCTGCCAAAAAAATTAAAATCAGCTTGCACTCAGGTTCGAACTAAGGACCAACAGATTTGCAATCTGCTGCGCTACCACTGCGCCATACAAGCTGGTTTTGATATGATGGAGATCAAGAGTACATATAACTACTGTTCCGCGGCTCCTGTCTTTACAAAATACGCTAAAAGTCACGACGGCTAAAAGGAAGAGATCTCCAATTCGAGTTGATGAGATCAGCGTTTGCGCTGTGACACAAAAACAAGGTTGTCACAAAGATGGATAAGAAATCGACATATAAATAGGGACCTGGTAAGCCGTCAAGTGGGAATTTCAATGGATAGAATGATGAAAAATGCCAGTTAGCTACGTGAGAGCCGTCGAACAGTAGAACTAACGATATATTTTGTAGATGCACTAATAGTTCGTGATTTCTCCGCACGCCAAACATCCAAAAAAATTACAAATACAACTCAACTTTTCGAGCGTTCTCGTCCGACGTCTCACAATTTCTCACTAATCAATTCAGGTTATAGCAACTTCAGTTTTCCCCTTGCCATTTTTTGACGGACAACTTGCAAATTTCACCCTTTGTTTTATTATTCATCATTGAATTTTACTATCAACGGCTCACTATATAAACGTACATAGCCAACCCCAAACCGAGCAGAAAATAGGCCTGTGCAGCACTTCCCTTTTGCTTTCCATACAACAAGCTTCTATCAACACACCGAATATGGCCGAAGCTACAAAAATTGCTCTGGTGACCGGTGCGTCGTCCGGGATTGGTTACGAACTCACCAGACAATTGGCTGGAAAGGGCTACAAGGTTTATGCTGCTGCAAGACGTGTGAACCGTATTGCACCTTTGGAAAAAGAGTTTCCAGGACTGGTCACAGCTCTGGAGCTGGATGTTGCAGACCATTCCCAGATTCTGGCCCTCAAAGACCGTTTTCAATTAGAACTACCTTCCCAGAAATTGGACATCCTGTACAACAATGCTGGACAGAGTTGCACCTTTCCAGCAACCGACGTGACCAACGATATTTTAGAACAAGCCTTCAGAGTCAACGTTTTTGGGCCCATCAATCTATGTCGCGAGTTACTACCTTTTGTGATTAACGCTCGCGGAACAGTGCTTTTCACAGGTTCGATTGCTGGTTTACTATGTTTCCCGTTCGGATCCGTCTACAGTGCCACGAAGGGAGCTATCCAAAGCTATGCGAAGGGGTTGCATGTTGAAATGAAGCCATTTGGCGTTAGGGTCATCAATGTAGTCACAGGAGGCGTGTTAACGGATATCGCTGACAGTCGGCCCTTGCCCGAAGACTCGATTTACAATATCCCAGAAGCTGCAGATGCTTTAGAGGCTCGTAGATCCATTGCAAAAAGTAATCGTCCCGAGAGTGTATCCAAGTACGTGGCTGAAGTACTCAGAGACATTGATAGTTCAAAAGATCCCATCGAGGTGTACCACGGTTCATATGCAAGTATCGTCCAGTACTTCACACGCTATATTCCTTATTGGATCGTGGAATTCATGTTAGAACGCAAATTCAAGCTGGCCGGCATGAAAGAAGCGCTGGCCAAATCCAAGCGCGAGTGAGTTTAAGGAACAGAGTCGCGCAAAATCGTGGTGCACAGTTGCTATACTTGTCACTCAAAAGTTTGCGTATGGCCTACATACATAGCAGACGATATAATCTACTATTTTTCAGAGAAAGAAACGAAACGGAACTATCTTATAACGGGGTATCCATATATGCTAAAAATGATCCAAGTGGTATGGGCGAACTAAATAAAGACGTTACCGAAGCAGGTAACGCCTTGTGGAAGGTTTGATGGGTGATTTTATTGGATTATCATTACAACGTTTAACAGTCGACGAGCTTGACGATTTCCAAATGCACTGCAGCACACTGGCTGCCAATAGATTCGTCGTACAAGTTGTAGAAGCTACCCGACAAACATTGGTAGAAAACGTCGTTGTCACCAATGGCCAAGTTACCATCTGGAGTGATAGACCAGCCAGCAGCGTAGATAGCGCCGGCTTGTGGAGGAGGACCGTCAAATTGGAATTGTCTGTTGGCAACAATGGAGCCGACTCTGCCCTTGGCGTCCTTTAGGATACCGTCGTGTAGGTTCATTTCCAAAGTACCGCTGTTTTTGCAAGAAACGACTTTGATGTCAGATTCTGCGGAGCTTGAGGCAGTGGCAGCAGCAGAGTTGGAAGACAAAGTAGTTGTTTCGTTGACACTGGAAGATTGCTGGATCTGACCGTCCGACACTTGCGAAGCAGCAGCAGCAGAGGAAGTAGAAGCGCTGGAGCTGGTGCTGGAAGGCTTGTTGGAGGTCGCCTGAACCTGGCCGTCGGTGATTTGAGAAGCGGCGTGGGTGGTAGAGGTTGACTCAGTGGCAGTGGATGCCTGGATTTGACCGTCACCGATTTGAGAAACAGCGTCTCTCTTGGCCTTACCGGTGGTAGTGGCTTCCGACGAACCAGAGGCCTTAGCCACAGGCTGAACGGCGATACCGAACCCGGTAGAGTATGCGGTGGCTGCACCGGCAAATGTTTTAGTAGGAGTCAAAGTGGTCCACGAGGAAGATGAGTCTTCAGCAGAAACGACGCAACCTGAAAGCAGGGCAGAAGCAACGACGGATTTGAAAAGCATAGCGAATGGAAGGGTTCTTTAAGAGAGGGATAGAGAGAGACAGGCAAACTAGATCACTACTGATGGAAAGCGAAAATGAAAAAAAGTGAAATTCTAACACAACAATTTGTTCAGTCCCAAAGTCTCTCTTGGTTCCTTTGCTTATATACCAAGATGATTCTGATTCCGGCCTCACCTTCCGCGCCGCGATTCCACCGCTACGATCTACAGTATAAGTCTCGAAAAATACAGTTTTGCGGCCGATCACAGCTGGCCGTTCTTTACCGAGTTGAGCAGTGACAGGATTAGTAGTATCATAACATCAATTTCGACCAGAACAACGATAAAAACAACATTAACATCAGTCAATCCGCGAATACAACGAGTGAAAAAAAAAAGAACGAACAAAAGGTTAGCACACTTGTGTGCGACAGGTGCGGGTCGCGTCCGTGGTTCGAGAACCTCTTGATTTCTTCAGGAGTCCTCATTGAACTGTCAAAAGCCCACGAGAAATCTACCGCGCCAGTGCAGCTGAGAAAACACGGCCAAGTATTCAAGAATGTGGATACCATAAGCTATTGACGTTTTTTCAGAGCTCCAGGTGATTATATTCCGGTTAGGTGGGACAACAAAGACGGCGTGGGTGAAAAGTCGTGGCTCGAGGCTACCACGAAAAATTGGCATTGGTACTGCGGTGTTAAAGTCTCTGGGCGTACTCGAGGCCCTCTTCTATTTCGGGAAATATGATTACCGCTTCTGGACAGTAGGAAAAACCACGGTGGTATTACCGTTTTGAGTAAGACAGAAGCCGAGAATAGAAACAGAGGTCTACACAGGTCGTTCACAGTTTTGGGAGCCCAGATGAAATTAAAAGAACGAAGGTGGCGTTGAATTTGCCCTAGACTCGTGTGGCATGAAGAATATTGGTAGGAAATATCAGTGGGAATAGCCAAAAAATGAAAGATGGTTGAATTCGGCTAGAACATGTGTCACTTCCAACGACGAAAAAGTGACTGGAGGATCGACTAGAGGGCGCAAGCCAAAAAGTCAAGGTAGAAGAGACGCCTTTTTTGGGAGCTACATTGACAGGTGCTTAGAGAACTATATGCTTTACGTGGTCGTGTGCAAACAAATTCCACGAGTTTGCTGTCTCAAAAAGTTTTTTGGAAAATGGGATGTGAACACGGAATATTTTGACAAGTTAGCTCAGAAGCTCTCGGTTTGGGCTCAAGGCCCCTTCAAAGACGTATAATGATAACAAGACTGATACCAAGCGCTTTCAACAAATGTTGCGTGCTGTTTTGAAGTGCTGGTAGCAGCCAGAGAAATTCAACTCAACGTCACCAAATTGAGCGACGCACTGAGAAAAAGTGATAATCATTTCGCGCCTTCCTTTCGCCGCATGTAAGGGCCCTTGACAGGCCTTTGAAGTCGATTTTTCTCGGACACATAGGGTCTACTCTTGCGCTATTCATGTTATGCTTTCATAGTTTCATGAGAGCCCTGTTCAACAAGTTAAAACAAAGCTGACAGCGCATTAAACTTTTATTAATGATCTCAAGATGACTTGGAGACTTGACAGCGTATGCAACACATCCTCTCCATGATAATGTACTTTCTCTCAATTCAAGTCGTGGGAGAGACGCTCACATTGCCGTTCGCGTATCGAAAGAGTTGAACGAAGCTCTAAAGAGCTTGTATTACTAAAAATCTATGAAAAACGACAGGCTTCACAATGCTTCCCATGACAATAACAGACGTCATGTTTGTAATACGCTTTGCACGTCGTCTGCTATCACAAAATGACTCCACTGTTACAGCCTCTCTTGACAGATTAACCGACCGCGCATTGCACACATCTCCCACCTTGACAAAGCCTGGTCTTCGCTGCTTTGACTTGAGCACAGCTTTGTGATGTGATACAACTGCGCGCTCAACTTTTCGGCATAACGACCGAGAGGCTCGAGTTTGACAAGCCGATAAAACCTAGGATCATTGCAGACACAGTCACGGCTGATGCAGAATACCATGGAGATGAGCTGATTTAAAACAGAGCTCACGTCAACAGTTACTTCAACCAACACGTTCATGAGTGTTTCAGCGATAAGTAGTTCCATTTGACGTGACGCAAAAATCATGTCCCGGGACGCCGACATTGGGGGCGCAAGAGATATGTTCAAAGTTTCTATGTCACTCTCTTGAGGATCCTGGAAAGGAGAAGTCAACGAGGCTTGCACTGCAGACGCCAAAGAGACCGTTGTTCCACAGGAGCTGAACTTGAAATCGCATCCTAAAGAGTAACCTTGGTGAGTCAATAATCCAGAGTGATCATACCACTGAGAGGAATATTGGAGGAGGGAAGAAGATGCTTCGCGTGATAAAACGTAATGTTCAAGACGCTGTCGCAGACGGGGAACATCAATTTGAATTTCCAGTAAAACACTTTTAACCTGTCCGGGCCGAAGGCATCCAAATTCAAGAACCACTTCCTCGACAGATTGCACTAACTCGATCAATCGACCGTTGCGCTCGACAGAAGAAAACCGGGCCACAGAACTATCCGCACAACGTAGACTCGCGGAAAATGACTTGACAAAACTTTCATGAAGTCCTGCTATCAGATCTCCAATGGAGAAGTCTTTGAGAGCTTCAGAGCCCGTAGATATGACATTGTAGAAATGCCCTTCGACCAAATCGCTCAACAGCACTCGACTATTGCATGTGAAGTGATGATGGATTGAAAATCGTAAGTCCTTAACGATGAAATCAAGCTTGTTTTTAATCTTCCGTATTTGAGAATCATCTTTATTAGCCAACGCACGCGCGGGAAAGTCATTTCCTATTATAACAAGCTGCTGAATGTCGTGCTGACTTTGCTCTATCGTGCAGATCAGCTTGTGGCATGTTTCAAGCATCACTGTTAGTTCAGAAACGTCATTTTCAAAAAAATTGTCGTTACTGTGAACCACCAGACCATCGACAAATTCAAGAAGACCATCCCAGTCTTTTTGGACCATGCCAATGAACGTCCCGAATGGCCCAACCCTGCCAAGACCATCTCTGCCTACGACAACAAGTCCGACCAAATCCTGTCTGGAAAGGCAACTTAGGCACTGTACTAACTTTGATTTTAAGGTGAGAAGGTGTTCCTCATTGGAATGAAGCTCTGGGTGACAATTTATGATACTGATGCATACAACGATTTTGATTGGTAGCCTGCCGTGTGGAGCAAAAACACTCGAGCGAGACTCAACTTCTGTATCGTCAACAAGTTCCGCCGATTTGGGACGTATTGGCTGAGTTATTGATTCAGGAAGAATCTGCCAATTATTGCACGTTAACTGTTCAAGTGGAACAACAGAAGAACTTAGATCTTCTGATGTCAAGTAGACGTGTTTAAGGTAGTAAAACCACTTACGAATGACGCCAACGCTGTCATCACATCGAAGGAAGATTTCTGGCAGAAGCTTGCACTTAAGATTCACTATTATTGTATTTGGATCCAATTGGTGCAACTGTGAAACCTGGTCTCTGCTGACATTTCCAATAACACTCTCGCCGGCTACGAGCACGAGTCGTTCTTGGAACATAAAAGCGGTGACAGTCGTCCAAGTGTCCTCGTCTTCCGAATAGCTCATTTTATCGAATGTTTGTAATGGTCCAGTTGAAACCGAAAGCTGAAGCATTCCTTCCACATGATTCTGTATCTCGTTGCGAATACGTGCTTCCTTTTTTCTCAGTAAACTTGCGGTCTCGGCAACACTGCTGCATTTTGGCAGATACGCTGTCATGACGTATTGTACTTTGGCAACCGGGGCATCCTCATTTATGTTAAACTTCGACAGCTGTGGTACTAAATGAATGCGAGGTTTACTGAGGTCCAAGTCATGTTCAAACCCATCGCCTTTAGAGGCAATACTTCTTGATCGAAAAGAGCTGTTTTGACTTGAGGGAGTACGTAGATTTTCGGGCGATGCGTCGTAACCGCCGTAACTCTTGAAACCATCAATGGTTATATCGGCGCTTTTGATGACCTGATCGTAAGGTGTTCTAAGATCGCATTTTCGGCCACTCTTGCGATTCCCAGTGTCATCGGATTGATTAAAAACTTGAGCTTTCACGTTGCTTGCGGTGAAAAAGCTTTCGCTGTCGGCTGTGTCAGGAAAGGCGAACCCTCCGCACAGAATTTTTGTCGTAATCTCACTAACGACATCATCCCTTTTGGGTTTAGAGTGGCCACCACATATCGAACATTTTGGGAAGGCGTTCGCAGGAAGAAGGGCTTCTAAAGATACCAGAAAGCAATTGTAATGGCATTGGTGGTTGCAAGACAGTTCGATCAATTTCTCGCCGTCTAACGCACACGCAAAGCTTTCGCTGCAAATGCTGCAGCTGCTTGCAGCAAAATTCTTCGGTCCTCCCGAGAGTAGAGCGACATTTTTCCGAAGTTCTGCAGCGCATGTCGGGGATTCTACCTCGGGATACATATCTCCCCAAGGGTCTCTAAATATTGGTTGGTCGATAGTGCAATGGCTCTTGGCAGATGCTTGTACACTGAAATCGAGACATCTGCGTGGATCCACGGAACTTGCAGTGACCCAACTAGCACAGTCTGACGAGGAGTAATCTGATCTTCTAAAATCCATGGGTGATGCCAAGCAGGGTGCGACTTTAGTGCTGGTACTGTGAGATTTGCGAGGCGTGGGACGGGGCGTGATGGGACTCAGGTGCAAAGGGGCTGGCGCATTAGTACGCCTTTTGCCGATGTTCATAACCGGTTTTGCCTGTGGAAGCGAAGAAGGGCCAAATTCGTAATCTCTATTTTCGCAAGGTGCAAATCTAGAAGAGTTTCTTTGTACAATGCGTGGACGCTCCTCAAAAGTGTGGTGATAGTTAGCTGGTGAAGAAGCATTCGACGTGCTCAAGCTGCGAATTCCAGAGTTCACTCGAGTGAAAACGTTACCCGAGAATTTCTTGAAATTTCTCGTCGACGCTGGAGAAATACTTCCAACGCTAGGAGGAGAGTGGACATTCTTACTTCTGGGCGTAGATATAGGTGTGTGGACTTCCATCGATGCCCACTCAGCTTCAATTTCGTATTTCAGAGCAGCTTCAATTCCCAATGGTATGTGTCCTTCCTTCACAAATTTGGGTTTCGGGTAGGTTTCGTCCCTACCTATACCCTGTTGGAAAAGCGATACATCAAGAGTTGCCAGAAACGCCGCTTAAATACATCTTGCAATGTTCCAGGATGTCTTCAGGTGCAAGAGGCAATACCGGAGATGCCCTTTAAACTTCAACTTGGAGGATCTCCGAATTTTTCAGCTTGTGAGGTTTAAGGTGTGCCGTTAAAGATGGTGAGGCAACCATGAAACCTCATCACCGCGTAGGAAGAAGAGGGGGTGCAAGGGGAGTAAAGTAAGACCGTACTAGCATATCAATCCTCAAACTGATGGTAAGGGGTCCCTTGGATATGACGTTAATGTCAGATCTCGGTTTTATTTCCTGGGGTAACATCTTGACAGGCTCATCGAGAAGTTCAATTTGACGGTTTAAAGACGTTAGAACATTATCACTCTGTACATACTGACACCCAGTGACAGAGGCCAAAGTCTAGTTCAGCAACCAGTAAGACGTGGTGGTCATAAGAGCATCAAGTGTTCCAGAGAAACAATGGAAATGAGCGTGTTGAGTATTTTTGTTCTAGTCGGATTCATTGTATTGCCACGGTTTCGAGACTTCAGGCTTGAAAAATCATGCGAAAAATTGTAAAAAATCCAAAGAATTACGACATCATGTACAAACTCTGGGTCGTGAAGAGCTCTTGAAGCTTGATTTGTAGTTTAAGTAGTCGCATCGCATTATTATTCAGTGTCTTGCTTTTTGAAAAAGTCCATGATCAATTTTTTTTTTCTGACGTTGTTGGTGTGGTGGACTAAGAGTAGAAGAGATTCAATAGTCATCAAAATTGAAAACTTAAAGTTCTCTCCAGATGATTCTGATTTTCCTGTCGTGATCTTCTCCCCTCTAAGTTTTCTTCAAAATACTGCAGTACTGCAGTATTTTGGTGACAAGGTGTCATCGTCAAAAACATGCAGTCCTAACGTCAAAATCGTATCAACCAAAACTTCAAAAATTGGCACTACACCTGCCCGTGTCTTTCATATGAAGACACATTTTCCTACCTTTTTGAATTGGCCGTATAGGGCTTATTTGGGCCTGTTAATATCCCAAGAAACGCCTGTCACTTTGTGTAGTCTATCCAAAATGTCAACGATCGGAGTGAAAAGCCCAAATTGGCGCTGTTCGCCGTCGTAAGAGTGCAGCATTCCCACCACTCCCAGTCCCAGCCTCGTGGTTAGCTTCGTGAGTATCCAGGCACCAGAATCGCCGCCAGCCGCGAACATAGGAGTCGGAGAAGCTACAACAAACTCACTGCTTCTCAACTTACCGTCTGCCCAATATATGAGCTTAGACCCGTTGACCTGTCCTCTTGTAAAATTTGTTGTTGCACCAACCTTGAAAACCTCCATTCCTGGTTTCAACTTGAGTACCTTATCTTTCACGTACAGGTTCTGGAATCTTAAAAACGGGTTTGCCATCGAACTTACATCGTCGCCAAGAAAATTAGCGCATTGAACGTCAGAGCTCACCTTTATGATGGTAAAATCCGAAAGTTTTTGATCAATAACAGACCGCTCGCCCCAAACTACCTGCCCAAAACTGTTTTCTCGCTGCCAATCTAGGTTCTGATCAATCCTTGCCGCTTCTTGGTCAAAGGCAGCTTTTTCAACAGATTTAGAGGCGTAACGTTGAGCTTCCTCCAAAATAGCGGTCTTATACTGTTTCTGCAATACAGCGGATGGCACAGATACGTATGGGTAGTCATGAGATTCCGCCAGTGCTACATGAGCACAGGCCATAGCGAAAGTAGACCCCGAATATTGTGCCAAAGAAGTATCGTTTTCGTCTATCTGAGGATAAACGTAGCCCCCGAGTGTGCCCGTAATCTTTTCGCTATCCTGAGACGAAATCGACATGGAAATGGGCGGTGAATTCACATCTGATGGAAGACGGTATGGAGGATGGAATTGTGAAGTAGCTGTTGCCTCCATTGGCTGTGGGGCCTTTGTCCCAGGATTTATGACATCCGCACAAGTTGTGATGTAATCTTTAACACAGTAAAAATGCACATCTGGAAATAAAGAGTATAACGTTTTGATCATATCGAAGTGCTCTTGTTGAGGGTCCGGCAGGCCAAACGCGAGGGTTAGGACAGCTGACGACTGGTCGAGGCCCCTCAACACTGGCGCGATGAAAGCACCGTCTTGATCTGAGATCTTAGCAGAATCTGTCATGGCTAGCTTATCCATAATGGAGGCAAGCTTGGCTTTTCTCGGCAGGTCACATTCGGCGTCAATGCAAAAGTTTCTTGGATGGGGCAAAGCGTGTAGTTCCGAGCTTTCTTCTAGTGGAATGTTGATCTTCTTAAGAAAACTCATGAAGCGCTTTATTATTATAGCTCTGGAGTTGTTGAATACCTCGGAGAAAAGCAAGTTGTCAACAAAATGCAGAACAATCTTTGTTATACGTCTCAGGGTAGGACTTTTGCTACAAGAGATACGATACGGGAGTTTAGCGGCAGAAACGTCGGGCAAGAAATCCTTGAAGAATTCTGCTGCCTGTATCACGGCCTTTGAAACATTCGTGACATTTTGGTGGATATCATGCATGAGCCCGACCAGATTCTCATCCAGACCTTCCAGAGCTCTGTCGAAATGTTCCATACTCAGTACTGAATTATCCTTTTTCGACGAAGTTGTGACGGTAGGATTTCCAGTGCGGCCAGATGAGTATTCATCCAAAAACGCACCGCTTGTCACGAAAGGATCTTCCTCCTCAGAAACCGGTTTAAGCGATCCTAACTTGCCAAATTCCAGCACCCGTAAGGGCTTTCCCATGTTTTCTGCATCTCTTTTACCGGGCAATTTGGCACCACTATCTTGTGTGCTACCCGTGTGCATGGAAGACGCTCCAGTACGATGAGTCTGACGACTTTTGGAGAAAACCGAGGAAGACTGGATTGAAGACGAGACTCTACTAGAATAATCATCGCTTTTGCTCATGTTTGTCGTATTCACGTCCTCATCTTCTGCAGTCCGGGATGAGGATGAAGTACCCGATGATGTTCGTACATTGAGCAAATCTTCATCTGCAGCTTCGTCATTGCTTTCGGGTCGCTTCCAGCTGAGGCCCAGTATTCTCTTTGGCATGGCGAACAATCAGCGATGTGAGTTTCAGGGAAAACAGGACTCAACCAAGCTGGAATCTGAGCTTTATTGAATTATAAGTCTGTCGAAGAGGTAGTCACTTCAAATAAGATGTAATTTATTATATGCACTATGAATCATGAAAATGTAATCGTCAAAGAACAAGCACGACCTGGATATAATGCCGAATTACTGTAGCTATTTGGTAAGCTCAATAACATTGGCGTCTCGGATCCGATAAAGTGTAAAAAATCGATAAAATAGCATTTTTCACCTTTTAATTTTGACCATCTGAATTCATTAGCGCATGAACCGACTTCTTTTGACTTGAGTCGCTTTCACCAACCTGACTGGTCCCCTTTCCCTTATACGTACTGACCGCGGGAATATCTGCTTTGATTTTTGTTACATGGGTCGCATACGCCCGAGGTTCGAGACGTATCAAGGTGTGCAGTGGAATTGACATCCAGGGCGATTCCTCCTGGGGCACATTCATGAAATAAGCATAAATGCACCTTAGCACGGCCTGATGTGTTATAATAAGAATATTTTCTTGCCGCTCGAGTTCCATGATGATTGGCTCGAGCCTTATTACCACGTCACGGTAGGACTCACCACCGCGATACCTGTACTCATATTTGTCCTCGTCCCGTGCCTGGAAGTCCTCCGGAAACGTTTCTTCAATCTCTTCGTATGTCATACCGTCGCATACGCCAGCGTCAAGCTCATCTAGAGCTTTCCACTGTAGTTCCTTGTAAGGTAAATCTTGAGCGGTCTCTTGTGTTCTAATCAGCGTAGATGTCCATACAGTGAGATCGCGATTACCAGCGGACTCACGCACTAGTTCTGGTAGTTTTTTGGCGTATTGGAGTCCTCGCGGCGAAAGCGATGAATCGCCTCCAATTTTTTTTTCCAGGTTGTAGATCGACTCACCGTGCCTTGACAACCAGATGTAGCGCGGTTTTATGTGGAGATTCATCACGTAAAACACAATCCGGCTTTCCAGATAGGTTTCGACTTTATTGATAATAACCTGCTGAGCAATATTGATCAATCGCACGAATGTGAGATCCTTGTCTTGTACTTCATCCAGCGCTTGGTATACCTGCTCGTAATTCGCGATTCGCTCCAAGAAATCTGCCGTGGCAACTTCAGGGTCCACACCTTTGTAGTCTGGTGAAGAATTCTTGACGTCTACGATATTCCTCAGAACAATGTCATTGTCGTCGCACCAACTTTCCAAAAACATTGGCTCGATAGAGTTTTCCCGGCAAAGCTTCAACACCCAGTTCCGCCTTTGCCTGGTCGAATTGGTCGCATCGAGAATAGCTACCACGCCTTGCTCGTCTGCAAACCAATTCATCATATCAAGAACGGCTTGTGTCACTGCCTGTTCCCTTATTTTATATGCCTCCTCATTAGAAGCATCGAAAAATTCTGCGCTTGGCCTGGGAGCACCTTGACGTCTGTAATTGCCCACGTTGAAACACTTAGATTTGATAGAAAGCCAGGATAGATAACGCACAATTTTTTGTGAAATGAACGATTTGCCTCTCGCTGGCAGTCCCACCATCACCACACATATTCTGAAATTTTGAACCTGAAAGAAGACGCAATTCGCGATTGCTTGATGTTAGTTCAATTTATCAAAGTATCGAACACAAACTGGTCCTTCTGAGACCTTCACAAAAGCAGTTCTGACAGTTTTAATCGCTCTTTTAACATACATTTGATACCGTGTAGACAGGCATTTTCGGCACTTTTTTGACCGGCTTTTTCGCTCAAGTATTATGATTTACTGCCCAAAGATTGTCACAATGATACGTATACCTGAAACTCTCAAGAGAAGTGCTCAATCTCAGGGATTTGTTAGCCTTTTTCAAGTTGACCTTTACTGAAATTTGCTAAAGTTGCAGAATTAAACTTATGTGTTTTCGTGTATAGTGACATCTACCAGTGACAGCCTATACATTGATGGCCTTGAACCTATCGTCAACGTCTTTCTGATCTCTGATGTACTGTAACGTTCGAGCGAAATGATCCACGGGTATGGATTCGAGATGTGCAGCTTTAGAAGGAATGGCCTTATTGTAAACGGCCGCCACACTGCTCGCGGGATTCCGATAAATATAAGAACCATCGATACCAATGTAAGTAGCATCGCTCCTGTTATTTGCAGCATCCCCCAGTATGGGGTTAATTTCGAGTTTCAAAGAGTCGAGATTTGTTCTTATCAGCTCAATCAACCCGTTGATGTATTTCACTCCGACGTGGGTGGAGGTCTCGTCGCCGTGGATGTAGTAGTAACAGCATCTATCGAGAATCTCGACCATGAGCTCACAACTCTGAACATTGTCCATCACAGAGTCAGCAACTCTGAGAGAGCGCTGTAGACATTCCAAAACTCGCTTGCCCTCACGGAAGAAATTATCTGTAACACCCTCCTCTTCGCCCAATTGCGAGATCTCCGTGGCCCACCACAAATGCGAGCAAGTGTATACGGCACGACATTGGTCTTGCTTCTTGAGTAGTTTTGATCCATGCAGCGTGCATCGTGTTATCAAAGTCTCGTAGTAGGACTCAGTGTGCAGATTTCTTGTTTTCTGCAACGTTTGCGCCATGTTCACTATAGCCTGGAATTGGGTACGCGAATCGCTCAAAGACTCTTCAAATATAGTGAAAGCCTGCGAAAAGAAGTCATAAGCGATGTCACTCAACTGAACCTGATCTGCCAGCGATGCTGTCTGCACGTTTAGCTTGTATAACAAGTCCAAACATCCCGCACCTCCGGCGTTATATAGGTCGTTAATGATTCGGGACACATGTTTGAATAACTGCTTCATCGTAGCAGTGAGCTTCTCGCGTGTCTCAGGTCTCTTGTTTAATCTCAACTGACACCGCCTGATCAATTTCCAGTAATTGCATATTAGGGCAGGCGAGTGATATTTGATGTTTTTCCCACTCTGTTGAAACCAATTCCTGCACGTTAACAACAACTCAGAATGAGAATCAATTGACTTGTTGTAACATAGATGAGTAAGCTGGGCCAGTTTTTCCTGATCTGGGGCGAAATCCCAAATTTCAGAATCCATTTCGCTCTCATCATCCATCATCAGCGATGAGCTTGATTTGTCTTGATTTGAATTTAACAATGAGCCACAGAGCTGAAGAATTTTCTCGAGTTCGAGTTTCGACGCTATCCGCCACCCAGCATGCGTCAATGTATCCAGAATTTCGTTAGCGCATTCTTTTTGAAGTCTCAGGTTTTGAGCAGAAAGAAGCCCTTCGTAGGCGTCGCATTCCGTTAATAATTTTATGAAAAAGGCGGTATCAGATTTGACTTCCGGAGCCAGCAACAAGTCGTGGAACAGGAAGTCGTACTCTTCAGGAACAGCCTTCCCGTATTCTTTGCATTTTTCGTGCATGAATTTGAACAGTACATCGACATTGCTGATATTATCCGGGTACCAGCTTAGTGTAAGCTTCAAAACTCCCTGGATAATAGGTGCGAGCTCCTGCAAAGACAAGTCTGGCCGCTCCTCGCTCAATTGAGTGAGAAACTTCCAGAATATGAAAAAAAGATTTTTATCGCCCTCTTCGACACTCATGAAAGCCAGCCCGCGTGTCAAATCTTCCACATCAGTACTACGCTCCATGAAGCCATTGAGTCTTTCTACTAAGGTCAATACGACCTTGTTTATGGGCACCGCAGGATTGAGCTTTAGCGTCGTGGTGAGAAGTTCTGATAACGTGCCCAAATGGAACTCATCAGGGAAAACTTGGCAAATCACATCCAGCAAATACTCTTGAGACACCACGTCTCGGCATTGTACGACCTGCTCGAGAATCAACGGTAAAATCTCGTCCTTATAAAGAGCGAAATCCATTTCGATGATCTGAGAAAGCCTGACCAAGTTGGCGCCTATCAAAACCTTGAGCTCTTTTCTTTCGCGAGTACGTTGTTCTCGTTCACGCAGGGGTCCCTGATGTTGCAGACGTACCCACAATTTGTTCATTTCGATGAAATTTGTTATGATGAAATTGACGTTGGCCTTTTTGGCTTCGCTGTCCTCTGCTTGGAAAAACTGCTTTGTTCGCTGTGACAAGTAGTACCGTAGAAAAAGGCCCCGGATCGGATTTTGAACGCCTTTGCACATTTCAATCATATCTTTGAAGATTTCTTCGCGCGGGGCGTCATTTGACTGCAAATAAGCGCTTCCCACCGTTATCATGAGGTACAGCCGGGGCAGAATATTGCCCGCGTACTGCACCAATTCGTACAGATCTGCCAAATGATGTCTTTTCGTATGACTTTCAACGAAGTACGTTGACAGAACGCTCAGAGAGTCATATATCGAGATGTACAGCTCGTAGTACTGTTTCGGGGACAGCAGTGGGCTTCGTAGTTCTGTCAGCATGACCGATGCATGCTTCAACGCGTCCATAAGCTTGTCTTGAGCCAGACATCGTTGCATCAATATTGTCTGCTGTTTGCAATTGGTTATGGCCTGGTCTATAGTTTCCGCATATGACATTGTGAGCAGAGAGCGGGGGAGTTCAAGTGGGGAGTGTGAGGCGCTATTCCAGCCGGCGTTTGCTCGAGCGAACGATAGGGGAATGATAGGACACCCGTTGACTTTCTATTTGGAAATTACTAGGATGAATCTCTCTTCGTCGATGGTGATGTACGGTGGTTGATGTTACGAGCTGTAGGATTTATGGGATTTTATGGTCGAGTAACGTGCTTGTTAAGTAGTGCTATGGAAATCGTATTGATTTTGGTACCTTTTTTCATAAAACTCCTGGTTTTTGTTTATATAGTCATACGAAATCTTCACTTTAACACGATTTTTTTTCTTAGTTCTGCTAGAGCCCAAAGATGTTGAAATTCGAGGAAGGTGTTTCTGAGTTTTCTCTCATCCGTCTCCTCTTCTCTGGCTTTTTCTTTCCTGTCTCTATGCCAATTGGCTTCTGCCAGCGTCAGTGCCAGCGTCAGTGGTAAATGATTTGAATATTAATTTGTAGATATAAGCACATATATATACATACAAGTTGGCGATGCGTAGTGAGAAACGAGAAAGAAAACCAATTGGAAAGCAGTCTCATCGTTTCATTTCGTAAAGCCGGTATATAACCCAGTTCCTCTCTTCATCACCGGCTTTTATCCTCATAGTATCACCAACACACGCAAAACAAAAAATCACCACAATAATTACCACCGTAACCACACAACAAACCAAAATAGTCCTAATTCAAAGACTCCAAAGCTCAGAAACCACGCCATACGAACCACACTCCTCTTGATTGTCACTGCAAAAAAAGACTGACATCAAGCTACTGATTTTGTCACGTGCTCATTTTTAGAGGGCTTATCGCATCTCACGACAAGTTCTAGTCCACTTTATTACATGACTAAGAGAGAAAAAGGCCAGATACCAGAAGACAAACTACACCATTCTACAACACCATCCATTGATCGGGAACAAAGCTCTTCCAAAAACCATCTTGAATTAGTGTCAACGCGTAGTAAAACCAGTCTGAACCAGTCTGAAATATTTATAATCTCTTTACTTAGTCACTCACTCGTGGACCTGTGCCGAGCGCTCTTCTATGCATGTTTAATTTTCAAATACTGCGGGCTGGGCCTATCAGCAGAATCACCCGATAATGCCGTGTGTTTGCTAGTAATCGCTATACGCTTCTGCGAGCGTTCTGACTAGCAAAACACCGAAGCGATGATGGCGACGATCCTGGCGAGATTTCGCCAATACCGCTTGCTTACTGATGCAAAGCTCACGTATAAGCAGGGTTTAAGTAAGTATAAGTAGAACACACATATCTTAGGGTAAAGTAGTGGAAGAAGAATAAGAAAACCAGTTCAATTCGGTATCTCACAATACTTCAAACACAATCATGTCTGCAATTGGTGCTAGATTTACCAGAGCTTTCAACCGCAAATCGATTTACCTGCTAGCAGGTGCTACGGCAGCCGCAGGTGCTGGTTTGGCCTTCAACAACTACCAAAACGATCGTAGAAACTACAACAGAAACTCCAACAATAGCTCCAAGGTTTGGACCGGTCTGGCTGCCGGTACTGGCTTGCACACAGCAGTGGCGCAAAAAGCGCCCGAAGATTACCAGAAAGTGTACAATGCCATTGCGCAAAAACTGCAGGACGAGGACGAATACGACAACTACATCGGCTACGGCCCAGTGCTAGTGCGTCTTGCGTGGCACGTTTCGGGAACTTTCGAAAAAGCTGACAACTCCGGTGGGTCCTACGGTGGGACATACCGGTTCAAAAAGGAAATGAACGACCCATCCAACAAAGGTCTGCAGAACGGATTTGAGTTTCTCGGGTCTATCCAAAAACAGTTCCCATGGATCTCGCACGGTGATTTGTTCACTTTGGCCGGTATCACGGCCATTCAGGAAATGCAAGGCCCCAAGATCCCATGGAGAGCCGGCAGAGTGGACCAGCCTGAGAGGGCGACCCCCGAAAACGGCAGATTGCCCGATGCTGCCCAACACGCCGATTATGTTAGAAACTTTTTCAAGCGTATGAATTTCAACGACAGAGAAGTGGTTGCCTTGATGGGCGCCCACGCTCTGGGAAAAACGCATCTCAAGAACTCCGGTTTCGAAGGCCCATGGGGCGCTGCTACCAACAGCTTCTCCAACGAATTCTACAACAACTTGCTCAACGAACAATGGAAATTGGAAACCAACGACGCCGGCAACAAGCAATACAACAGCAAGAGTGGCTTCATGATGCTTCCTACAGACATGGCCCTGGTTCAGGACCCCAAATACAAGAAAATTGTCGAAGAATACGCCAGCAATCAAGACGCTTTCTTCAACGATTTCGCCAAGGTTTTTACCAAATTGATCGAAAACGGTATTGAGTTCCCAAAAGACATCAAATACACAACTTTCAAGACTCTGGAAGAACAGCAGTAATTACCAAAGCGGAATTCACCCTCGCACGATGCCGACAACGCTTCCGCTCGTCAAATCCTATATTTATGTTGAACACTTATTTATAAACCGATAATAACTATTACTTATATATACTAGCACATCAAGACATCTTTCCAGTCTTCCAAACAACAACTTCAAGAGAAAGCTAGGTAAAGAAGTAGAACAGATTTCAACGCCAGAACTCATACCGTCATTCTCGATGAACTTCGGTCAATTGCTTGGTAAGATCAATTCTTCTGGTCGATTCTCTTGTCAAAGGATCATCTGACCTCAAATTTTAATGAAGTTGTTATAATTCAAATCTACAAGTAGTTCGTTGCATTCAAAGCTCAAAACTCAAACTTGGTAGCTAAAGAGACCTATAACGTGCGATGCTAACTTCAAAACTTGCGGCTAACAGGGCGATCGGAAGAGTTTCTTGCAGACAGCTTTCGGTGAGTCGTACCCTTCTCTCAGATCAAAAATCAACCACCAACGGGCAGGACGAGACAAATACCAAAAACGTCTTTACATGGACCGATTTTTTCCAGTTGAGAAAACACGAACGCAGAATTAACCTTGGATCGTCGATAGTCACGGCTCTGTTGACCAGTAATGCCTCCTGGGCGTATCTTTCGACCATGGAAATCGATCCCATGCAAACAATAATGGGATTCGACCCTTTGGTGGTGGTTTCGGCCGGCCTTATGGCCTCTGGTGCTCTTGGATTTCTGTTAGGCCCCATATTTGGCACCACCGTGTTTAAGATGAGACAAAAGTCCAATCTCGCCGACTACAACCAGAAAACTAAAGAATTTTTGAAACACGTTATCGAAAACCGAGTGGACTCGTCTTCTCAAAGCTTCAGCAATCCGGTGCCTGATTACTATGGTGAGAAAATAGGGTCTGTGGGCGAGTACAGACAATGGCTGAGAGACTGTCATGCTTTCAGGAGAAAGGCCAGGGAGTTTCTTTAGATGAAAGGGCAATTTCACCATGGACAAGTCTTCTGAACACTCACAAAGTCCTCACAAGTGCGTCTTCCACAATTTATGAAGGTCTACATCGGGACAGGAGCCGTATTTCTGTCGAATTACTGTAAAATAACGCGAAATACAGGCAGCAGTGAAATGAATTGCAAGATAATTGGTTAGCACTTCGGGCCACCCAGCGAATCAGGACGGCCGGAGGTATTTTTCACTCCTGTATATGCCATAGAAAAATATCATGTTCGCGTCTATTCATGACGATATATGTATGTATGTGTCAAATAATTATCAAAAGCTACAACCCCCCTCCGAATCAGCTAGCCAAGAAGCAGTGCGGAAGATTGTACGCATCAGTGCTGAATCTTGTTATCGGTTGCGACCTGTGCCGCGCTTCCATTTGGAGCAACCTCATTGTACGCAGGTGGGATTTCGGGCTGTTGCACGGACTTTGAAGCTTCGGATGTCTGAACTGGACCCTGCTGGGCCTCTAGATCTGAGTTCTCATCCACACGAATGTATTCAGAGCGCTCAGAACTTGTTTGATAAACTACATAGACAGCGTGTAGGAGACCAGGGAACCCAAATAGGAGACATAGTAATAAGTTAATCCAGAAGTCCTTGGAATTCACTCCGCGGCGCAAAATGACCGGCAGAGGTGGCAAAATTAGCGCAGAAAGTGCTAGAATAATATCATCCTTGTTAATCGTATATATGGTGGACATCGTCACTGAGATGGCGATTTTGGGTTCGCTCAAAGTTCGAAATCCTTGATGATCAAATAGTGAGATGAGGCGGATGCCAGATAAAGAGTGTAATTATGAGCCGGTATAACGACTTTTGCGCGTGAGAAGTGATGTAGAGGATGTGGATGTTCCACGTGATGTAGTTTAAGCTTATATGACGATTGAGAAGCAGCGGAAGTAGACCTAGATTTAGTGTACCACTTTCACAGGAACGCGATCTAGTTCTCAAGGGTTTTTTTCGCTAAAGGTATTCTCTCGTTGCTAAGCTGTTCTGAACTAACGCTTTAGAATTGTTCAGATAAAATGGCGCGAAAATTGAGATAAATTTAAGCTGTGATTCGCAAGAGCGGAGTGGATACTTATGTTTCTTATCAGGTTCAACAAAACTGGGTCTATTATTACCGTGAAACTGCTGAAACTTGCGTTTCGAGTAGCGTCAGAATTATGAGAGATTGGTCACGTGAAAGCGCAAGACGACGTCGCAGTAAAAGGAAGAGCAGTAGTAGTGTGACAACTGGGATAACACTATTTCTTAGATGCAGACACCAGATGGCTCTGTAACATTGAAATTTGATCAGAATTTGCATCTAAACACTGCGGTAAGCTAGCCTATTTACTTTTTTTGGTAACTAATTCTCATAGTTGTGTCTTTTATGCCACATCACTTAGAGATTACTCCTACTCTTGATTCGCTCGCCAGCGTAACTAAAAACAAAACAAAACAAAAAACGGTACGTAAACGGGGTCAATTATCTCGTTAAAGTGTCTCGGAGACACAGTTCCAATACGATGAAGAACAGAGACAAGACCGAACTTCAAGCAAAAAAGTCAATAAAAATCAAAATGTTTGAGCAAATGACACCAATACAAGGCGAAAATATTCTAATTGTTTAAGAAGTACAGATTGGTTTTCTTTCATGACCAGATCGAATCTTTGCGTGCCACGTTAAGATACTACATGATGATTTTATCACTTTGTTTTTTCTTGGCGAACTTCGCCGCGCCAGGTCGTGCTAATGTCACTTTAAACTGTAATGACACATTTTTTTATTCCCGTGAAAAGTCAAGCAAAGACATACTAGAAGCTTCAAACAGCTAACCATAATTTGTTATCAGACTCTATTCTGGCCCTTACCATCCACCAAGCTTCTTAAAACTCACACCCGTTTCCTAGGGCTTTCATTTTTCAAATATATAAGTCCAAAATTCAAATTCAAGCTTCAGAAACTCAAGCTTTTGTCAAGCAAAACCCAAAATGTATCGGATCCTAACACCTTAAAGCATTATCTCTTGACAATTGCGCGAATTCGGCGGCTATTGTGAATCTTTTGGTTTCTTTAATAGTATTCTCCGTATAATGTTAGAATTCTTTAGTAAGTGAGTACATCTTGATACGAATATTATAATATAGCACTAGACTCTAATTTCTTGTTGAATCACATTGAATTCTAAAGCTCAACAAGTTGAACACCTTTGGTTTCCGCACCTCTTTGTCGGTCTGGAATCGAGAAGTTAAGAAGCCACCTGAATATACTGCAGTTTTCTCAAGTCTCCCATACTCGTTTTACAACTCAGTGATCGGCAGATCGATCTGAAAGGGGACATCGTCTTAGGGAAGAGTGATCACGGAGTTTTAGCTTTTAGTCATGCAGTTTCCAGTTAGTGCACCACCTAACGATGTTTTGCCGGAAATCTTGTCTTTTTTGCCGCAAGAGGATCGACTACAATGCACTTTAGTAAGTCGCAAATTCAACAGCATCGCCACAAAACTTCTGTATCGACGAATATACCTAAATGACTCCAATGTTGTCAAGAGCGATGTGATGAACTTGGCTGTCAACTGGACGGTATTGTATGTGCCGAACCAGCTGGCTGAACCCATCGCACGGAAAGTGGCAGATCGGAAACTGCGCAGTTTGATACGAACGCTTGAATCCAACGAACGTGCTGTACAGGCCGTTGAATGGGTCAGAATCAACTGGGATCTCAACCCAAAATGGCAAAAGCAGTTTCTTTATGTCATTTGCAACAAAAGTGAGTCTTTGCAACGGTTGGAAAACGTCACAGATCCGGCTTGCAACGATATTATCGCGCATGGTAAAATCTCCAGCCAAAAACTCACCAGTTTCGACATGGCACCTCCCAATCCAAACGCAGGATCCGAGGTGGACCCCTCATACATTCCAAATCTGAAAAATTATCTTTCACAGAGAATTTCCTCGCGAATAACATACATGAACCTTTTCATATGCCCCATTCTACTATTCTCGTGCTTATATCCTCTAAGAGACAAACTTCAGGTTGTGGATCTCAAGTTGCATTGGAGAGTGGAGTTTTATCCAAAGATGTTTTTCAAGAAAAAGATAGCTGAACGCCCCATAGAGAAGCTTTCAGATGTTTTTGACGCCAGAAGTCTACAAGTTCTCACTATTGTTTCCTGGCATGAATGCCTTCTGCCCAAGGAAAGGGAGATGCTTCACCAGCTTCAAGATTTTACAAACTTAGAGGACCTATCTTTGATATCTATCGAGCAAGAGACCAAACCTTTAATAGGCCTGTTCAGTAAACTCACCAAACTGAAAAGACTGAAAGTAGATTTCATTGAACAGCTTTCATCCCAGTCCACAAAGCCAGAGGTCTTTTTAGCCATCTTACACTGCTGTCGAGAACTGGAATTTCTTGATATGAGGTTTGAGGGCCTCGATGCTCCCATTGTTGATGTGGATAGAGGTGATTTCAGATTGACGCAAAAATGTCATTGTAGTGCTTGCATGCACGTATTTGACTTTACATTGCGACAAAAGCTGTTTCTGTATCCCGAGGATTATGTCCTTACTGATTTCAGGGACGTCATGACTAAAGATATTTTTCGAATGATACGGTTTCACTGCTTGCTCCCTTACTCAAAAGCGTGTGACTACTATCCTAGCGTGAGAACGTGTCCGATGGACATTGATAAATTCGTGTCACTTATGAACAATGATCTGAAACTATACCGAGCAAGCAGATCTCAACTAGTTAGAGACCCTGTTGTCTCTGATGAGAGTGATCCTACCAATGGTAGCCAACGAAACGGGTCGACAGACGCTGGCTGTCTGAATAATTTTCTGGAAAACGACGAGGAAAATATCTTTACCGACCTGGTTCTTCCGCATAAACCGCTTAACCGACAAGATGTAGTAGACTGTTATCATGCGCTTATCCACCACCATAGAAGGACATACATCGCATTATTGACCCAGTTTCCTAAGCTTAGGTTCCTGGTGCTGAATGATATCGCAACTGTGGTTGTGAACGAGCATGAGGAACGCGTGCTGCAGCCGGTCTTTTACAATGAAGGGTTCAAATCAAATCTCAACGGTTGGACTCAAAAGGGAAAACGGCGGAAGGGTTCCAAAGTTTTCGTAGAGAAATCGCTCTCTGCCGATGGTGTTGAGTACAAAACAAATTAAGGTTCCCTAAGGACCAAGTGCTCTTAGTGAGAACAAATCTATGCATTTTAAGTATTAGTACGTAATTATTACGCATTAGTTTAAGTATCCGTTCAGATTGTGATGTTCCCCACTCACCTAGGTTGAACTCAACAATTTTAAGCGGCTGGCTTAAAGAAGTCCAAAAATATGAGCGGATCGTAGTGACTTTCGGTTCCGAAATCCAGTAAGGTATAATCGAAATTATCAAATATATTTTCAGGCGAGTCCGTAACACAGGCAGATGGTAAAAGTTTTACGGTTTCGAGAAATTGTGAGGACGCTTTACTAAAAAATGCATCAAATAGATCATATTCGTTCTCTGACAGTCCCTGGGTAAACGGCAAGCTCTGAACTAAGTTTTCTATGTCTAACTCGAACGAAAACAAGCCTCCAGACATATTGAGGCAGCTATCCCACAGCTCACCGAGCTTAACTTTCCCGTCACGCTGATCATAACGATCTCTAAACTTTTGCATTTCCGAAGGCTGTGGTGCGGCCATAGCCTCGCTGTCTTTCGAGCTTCCTGCGTAAAATTCCAAAATTGTCTGGAATGGATCTGTTTCGTTCAAGTGTTTAAGGGTTTTAAACAGAATTTTAGCATTGAACATTCGTCTGAAAGCTTGGTAATAGTCAGTCCCTAGGCTATTGAAGTATGCGGAAAGTGTAGCTTTGTAAAACTTTGTAAGAGTAGCTTTCATCTTTGCTTCGGATGACCTTCCCGAGCGTAAAATAATGGAAGGTAAAATTGATATTGCGCCTCTCAAAGCCAGTTCGACGATTCTATTCGTGTAAAACCTCGCAGGCGCTAGTACTTCATCGCGATTGAGCAAATATTGACAAAAATTGGTGACTTCTAAAATCTTCTCCATCAATGCTTGGATACAGTCTCGGTATTCATCAGAGTGCTGAACAATTTCGCAATTGACGACCCTAGCATGTTCCAAGGAAAGCTCAAGGAGAAGAAGAACAAGGTTCATTTCGTGTGCGTGTACCGGGTTTAAAACGTTATCCTTCGAGTCATTTCTCATCATCTGCTTCAAGTGACCTGACAATCTCATAATGAGATCGAAATCAACTTTCGTTGGACAGCTGCTTATTGTTCTGGAAATTTTTTCTAGCAAGAAGTCGTAGCTTAGCGCCGGCAAGGACAAGCCGTCATGTTCGTTATTATTGACTCTCATTGTCGTTCCGATAAGACAAGGAAGGCCAGTCAACAGACTTATCTTGCGATCCCAATGCAAAATTTCGCACCAGACGCGTTGATACTCTTTCACTTCCTCCAAGGTTTGCGTAGGATCTATAGCGCACTGAATATTTCTGTCTGTGACAAAGTCCCCAATTTGCGTCAGGCAATGCCATCCCAAACCTATCCCATAAGATCCAGACACGATCATTCCCATTAGCATACTGCTTTGCTGCAAATATTCGCCATCCCCATCGTCAGGTGCGCACCACTGATAAAATCTTAGCAAAAGCATGGCTTGTAGACCGAACAATGAGCACTTTCTGATGCTTTCGCCTCGTAAGAGAAAATGATGAACTATGGGGATATAGCATTCCGTTTCAATGCTTTTGATGATCGGGTAGTCATCAGCACGTCCTGAAAGTTCTATCGAGACCTGGACGATACGTGTAATTAGTAGGATTGTGCAGTAGCACGCAAAGTCATCTATGCCGTACTTCTGCTGTGGACTTTTGGCATAAGCAGTATGAATCTTGGTCTCTAAAGTTGAAAGATTGAAAACGGGGCATAGCTGCCAAACATGGTCGACGTAATAAGGCCAAACGTGTTGAAAGAATACGGTTGCCTCGGGAATCAATTCAAACGGAGTTTCTGTGCCATTCCACGATTTGATGCGATTTTTCCGGGACGCCCCGAACTTCTCGAAAAGCCTTTTGCAAGTATACCAGTGTTTTGCAGCCAAGTCATCGCTTAAATCAGCGGCTTCTTCCTCCATTTTTTTGATGTGACGAAGGGAGTTGGGCAAGCCCTTCATTGGAGATTCTGGTTCCTCTAGACTGCAAGATGGATTGTCTTGTTCTTTTTTATGATCCCCTACTGTTGCCGTTGCCGTTGTCGTTGTTGTTTGTGCTGCTGTTGAATGTTTCTCCTTTCGTTTATGTGATTTCTTGCTGCCAAACTTGGGGGTCGCACACACTGAGCGAAGCACACGCAAATAGACGTCTCGCTGTATACTTGCTGCTGCTGTGAGTGGTGCCACGTAGCCCGTTCCGGATCTTTTTCGATTAACAAGCAAACCTGCAGGTATCAGGTTGATGTAGGAAGCTTCAAAATGAGGTATCTCAAAGGAAAAATCAAGGCTCTTACGCTGCAGTAGTTGGCTACCCAGATCCGGAATGTATGAACATGTTTCTTGAAGGCCCAACTTGACGCAGGACTCGCAAGGCTTCCCTTTATCGCATTTAGTCTTGCGGCGCCTGCAGTTCACACAAACGATTGTTTGACGTCGCCGTTTTCTCGACCCGTTTCCATTCTTGTCGAGTTTTGAGTCCACCATCTTTTCATAATGATGAGATCGTGGACTACTCAGTTGCAAGCTTTCTTCAGAAGTTTTTGATACGTCTTTACTCAGTTTCTATCATTTCAAGAAGACGTTATTATTTCATATCACTTTTTCCATTCTGTCGTTTTTTGTTGATGTAAATATTGGCAACTCAAAGGAAATACTAGTGATGAACTTGAGATGAGTTAAACAATCGAGTTCAATAACAAGGTCGTTATCCAATGCTAAGAAGCGAATTGAGGATTGTTCCATGGCGTTTTGAGACAGATCTGACGAGAGTTGGTGAGCTCTTATATCCTTCCAAATACGGAACCGTAGACTTGCGGCATCAGGCAATAAAAGAGGTCAAATGCTGGGCAAGTAGAGGACCGTATGTTCCGCACACAGTGGAATCAACAGCGCATTTGACAGAAGCTAAATTATTGGACGAGCAGGTGGTCACTGGAGAAACCGTTTTGCAGCTGAGTTACACCATGGCCATGATCAGATTTGTGAATGGTCTTTTGGATCCGATGCAACAATCACAGTTTGCCATCCCATTGCACGTCTTGGCAGAAAGAATGGGACTTCCATCCTGGTTTGTTGAGCTACGGCACTGCGGGACTCATGAAAGAGAAATGCCAAGTCTGGACATGCTACGGGTGGCAGTTGACCAGGCGTTAGAGTGGCTATGGGTTAATTACTGGAACGCAGAGCCTGTGCAAAATTCCGCTGATGAAAAAACCAATCAAACAGAAGTCGAGGAGACGCCTTTGAGAGATGCAGTGACAAATGTTGAAAGTGTAGACAAAGTTATGAAGAAAGTGGCATCAATCACTAACCTTCTGATCAAAAACCCCGACTTGGGAAAAGCTCAACGTGTGTCGTCCTCCTTCACGGGCGATGCGGGGCCCCAAATTCCTCCATCCAAAAAGCGCAAGAGTCAGGAAAAGCCAGAGGATAAGCTAGAGAGGTTTGTGCTGCTAGCTAAAGAAACGTGGAGAGGTTGCAAATCCCAACCGGACATTTTCTTGGAGAAGTTCATTGGAAAATACAACTCTAGCTCACCGTTGATACTGGAGCTTTTAACACAACGTATCCAGCCATTCGGATTCGAGCTGAGTCGATGGATTTTACAAAACTATCAAATGTGTCTCAAATCGGAGAAGAGCCCGCTGCGACAGGCTTTCGATGCTTCCCAGCTGAAGAGGTTTTTATCAGAGGTGTGCAAATACGCCCTTAACGTGAAAATGATCATTGTTGATTGGGAAAAATGGTCTAGCCTTTTGCGAGAGTATCCGAACTGGATCTCACTACAAATACTGCAGAGCTGCGAGACTGATCTGATCACCGTGACCGAAAAGTTTCGCAGGCGGTACCAGTCCGAAATAGCAGATTTGAAAGAATTATCAAAGCGTTTTCAAAAATGCGTTCTGAAATCCGAGTTGACAATGTACCAATTGACAAGCTCTGCTCGACCAACGAGCAGCACGGCAGCTAGCAAAAGCTCTGTTGCCAACTCTACCAATGAGATCTTGAATGACTTGCGAAAATTGAAGCAAAATGTGGCCGAGAAAAAGATATATGCATGGGAGCCTGTAGAGAATTGGACGCCGCGACCTTTCGGGCAGACGTAAATAGTAGTAATGCAAGAACAGAAGATAGATCAAGACAAGAAACTACAGATTTAACTATTGGACTACTGTCATTTCGCAAACGTGTACTCAGACATCCTAGGAAGGTCTCAAGAATGAGCGGTCAACGTAAGTACTATACGATGGGTTCGTTGGCGTACTCCTACCGTGGAAACTGCGAATGTAAGGAACCAGATTTTCATCATCGTACACGTTTTGTCGAAATGTGAGACTAAATTTTTAAATGCTCATCGCGTTAGTATGCTTTTCGACCTTAGGCCAAATCACACCTTGGAAGATCTTAGTTGCGATGCTTCATGGAGGCGAAGACTCAAAAATACACAAATTGAAAGGCATTTTTGCGCTATCGCAACCATGAGACCAATGTCAAGTGTAAACGAAAAGCTACACGCTTTTCACGCAATGAAATATTCCGTTTAAAATGGAAAAATCTTTTTCGACTGATGGCTCGGACACTTGAATATAGTGAACGCCTTTTTGAAGGGCGCCCACTGGCAAGAAAAGCGAGTGAATCCAAAAAATGGAAACGTCGCATGGTAGAACCCCATATCGTCATGGTCGAATCGGACTGGGAAAGAAGTAGACCGTTATCGTCACGGCCGTCGAAATGATTGCTTCCATAAAAACTATTTCAGGAAATGGCGTGTGAAAACGTATATACCTTCCGGTACATCATTGACACTATACAACTGTCTTCCAAAGCAGGCATTCATCCTTGAGTGCCTAGAGACAAGAGCAACAGCACAGCTGAAGCTCCTTATGAGGCTTCACTGCAGCACTGTCGCACTACATCCCTATTGCTGACTTTAACAATGGTTGGTTTTTAAAAAGATGAAGAAAGATAGGTGGAATGATGAGATTCAGAAGTTGTTTTTCGACCTCCTTATATAGTTGAAATTCTGGATATGAAAAATTTAATGCTTAGGGCACATCGCGTATGTAGTGATGTGTGACAAGACTTTACCCGGACAGCTGTGTTTTGGGTCGTTTTGGACGTATGTGACGTTGAGATAAGTTTAAAGACAAAAGTAAGATTTTAGAATAGTCTAATATTGCAGACCATGGTAACGGGATTGAAACCAATTAGTCTTTTCTTCAAAATTCAGGATTTACATGCCACAAGATCAAAGTTTAGTCAATTTTTGATGGAGCTTTTTCATTTTATACCAAGACCGGCGTTTAAGGGTATTCGTCGACACACCTGTACATAATACCATCTTTACGGCGCAATACGTCAAGCTTCAAAATATGAGCATATCAAGCCAACGTTTAACCGCCAGGCATTCTAGCATTTTTTGATAATCCCCAAGCGAATCGTATCAGATCACTTTGTACTATCGTGTCGCCAAAATCCAGCATGTTCCATCGCGTAAAGGTTTCAAAGCCTAATCAGGTCGAGGAAAACTCTTGGATCTGTGATTGCTCGACTAGCATCGTTGCCTTTATGCCCCAGGCGAAACGCTCTGATTCTTCCAAGATTTATGTCTTTACTGTGTGGGTCGTACGCAGTGTGTGAAAAATTTGGACATTAAGATGTGAAAATTGACTGCGATGCGATGCGATGAGCTGTGGAAAAGTAGTCTGCAAGGCAGAGAATCACAATAGCAAGAGCATGCTGGAGACTATAGGAGGTGTTGACACCACGGGTTACAAGAAGTGCAAAGACCTTGGGTCTTTTGAGGCTTCTGGAAAGGAGGTCTGGCTGATAAGAGCACCTCGCGGACTGGATATCAGCGAGATCAAGTCCCTGCCCGTGGACTTCACAGGTGAAAGCCATGCAACCTTCGAAAGCAAAGGTCTAAATTTCGAGGTTCGCGAGGATTTACACGACACTGGCTCTGGTTTGTCGGTGCTTGTACCAGCTGATAAAAAGACGCTGGTAAGCGGTGCGAAAGTTGACCGTCTATTCACCATCAGCGAGACAGTTGACATCGCTCAAAAGGCCGAGAACGGGAAGCGTAAGGTTTCAGAGTCAATCGAAGAGGCGGAGGCACCAGTAGAACGCAAAAAGCATAAGAAGGACAAGAAGGAGAGCAAAGACAAGAAGGAGAAGAAGGATAAGAAGGACAAGAAGGATAAAAAGCACAAGCATAAATGAGGAAGTTTTGTAAGTAACTTTCGGAGAAGGGTTGAATAAATAACGACGTGTATCATAATCTTGCTGTTAGCCTCGATTGACAGCATTTATTTTCCCATGAGTAAGACCTATAAACTTAAGGTATATTAACTTGAAATGTAGAGATTGGTGTGTATGAGTGTCTTTTCATTTGTGAAGCTGAGAAACTTTCCGCGATAGAGTGCGAGTTAGCAGGGAGATGCAGCCTGCAGTAGTAGTACACGCAGGGTGCACGTTTTTATTGTCCGTACCAGTTCGAATTCATGTAATCTAATCAAATATTGCATGTTACATTCACACACACGCTTAAGGGCTGCTATGCCGCCGGAAGGAAAAAAAGAGCCCACAATTTTTTCTTCGCTTATGCACGTTCCGAATAGTCCCTGAGAATGCCTGCCATATGGGTATTTGTGATCTTTCCCCGGCGTTGTTTGCGCTTCTTGACCTCTACACGAGTGGACTGTCTCTTTACAGTTGCCGGATCCACACTGGCCGGTTTGAGACCCAGATCTTGCAATTTGCGAGGCAACTCCCCACGCTGTGGCAATTTGCAATTTTCCCACATTTTTACGAAATCTTCCTCCACACCTCCCAATGCTCCTCCAAAGTTGTACCATACAAATCTGGGCTGGTTGTCCTTCTTAGTCCGTAGCACCAGCACTCTGTTCTTGTTTTCCAGCTCGTCTACGACCTCTGTACACTGAGGCCATCCGTCTTTGAGCTCTTTGCAGGAGATGCCCTTGAACGTTACCTGTGCACGCAACAACTGCAGCAGTTCCTCGGCAGAGTGCACATCGTAGATCGACACGTACTGCAGTGTATTGTATTTTGCATCGAACTTGATCTTATTGATGTTCTTGAGCAGCGGAATGACGTTATTTTCGGGTGACAGAGAAAGATACGATTCGATCTGTTCGATTGGTACCGCTTCGCCGCGTTCTTGAATGTACTCTGTTGCCAGCAACAGCTTCGTGGATAAATGCGTCCCACTCAGACTTTGTTCTGATGCTGCAGATGAGCTTGAATCCGGTATTTTGAGCTTTTTCACCGGGGTTCCGGGACTTTCTTCTTTCTTCAATGGTCGTTTCTTGGTATCATTTTCAAGCGCTTTTTCAGCTGCAGAAGGCAATGGGCTCGCTGGCTTGACTTTGTCTTTGAAAGCATTAAGATTCTCCAAAAGAGGATCACTACCACCCATCACAGTCGATGTTTTGACTCTAGTTGTCAGTGTGATGCTTCATATCTCGAAGCCGATGCCCTCTATTTCACCAGTACAGGATATTTCATTATAGTAAATATTGAATAATCAAAAACGTAAGGTGGTTACCCGCAGATCAACAATTCTTTGAGTATAAAAGGAGTCCTCAAAAACGATTTTAACCATTTCATCACCACTTTTTGTTTAAAAACAAAGTTTTCTTTATTTTAGAAAAACAGCGACAGTTTCAATTGCCCTGCTTGTACTAGGCAATGGAATGGCAAGGCCGACCTTTGAGTCGCCATTTTTATGTTAAAGCTTTGTCGTTTCGCCGCTTTAGTCGATCTTTTTGAAGCATCGTGGTCCACTGTTGTAGAAAAATGCCATATTTTTATGGCACTCAACTTTAAAACCATTGCTGTTGGAGGTCTGCTTCCCGTATGTGCGGGTCGAGCGGCCACTGAAATGGTGATGACCTGAGGTTTGGGATATTCTGAACGCGTTTTCGCGTGTTGTAGATTCTCTTCTTGAACTCACGAAAAAACAAATCTCGTTTGTTTTTGCTCTTTTTGGTACCGCTTTTCTTGTATTTTTACCCTCTTATATAAATTTGACTACCATCTGAGACCGAGCCACCTCTTCTTCGCGATGTAAGGAGCTCAGCACTCGTGTCAGCGCCAGTCGTGCTTCTTCAGACACATCGGGGTCGCGTGCGGAAAGCTGTAAGAGCTCATCAAGTTGTCGCAGGAAGCGATATTGATACACTGACGTTCCGGTGTCCTCCACTGAATCGTACGATATTCTATTTTCAACGCTGGCTCTCACTGCAGCCAAACACCTCTTGTTTGCGTCGCCTGAATGTGACCTGTGGAGCGAAAGTGCCCTCAGTGACTCCACGAATAAGTTTTGTACCTTGGTGAGCTGACTATTGTGCGGATGAGGCAATTGATGCGCTACAGAGTAAAGTGCCTGGTAGAGACCGACGAGATCGGACGCATTCCAGCCTCCGATTTTGGCAGACCGCTCGAAGACACCGGATACGCCCGAAACTCGGTGATCACATTTCCATATCAGTTTTCGAGCTACGGGCGCCAAATCATGCCATTTCGAGGTCCACCGCTCAGTGTAATCATTGTATAAAGTAGCTGCTTCTTGTCCTCGCAGTCTGTATGCCAGCATAGCAGCGAGTTCAAGTTCATGACTGAAACCTGGCAGGTTCTCACGAACCTGGTTTAAATGCGAGAAATTCCGGTTCATGATTATCTTGGTCAGGGCAGCCGTACTGAGCTTGCTGCTCACCTGTAGCTCGAGTAGTAGAGCGTACAATTGCTCACTAGAACTGCACTTGCCAATTCTGTCCGGAGTGCTTAAATGTTGTGACTTCGAAACCATGTCCTCCACGCCCGTTTGAGCGATCGACCTTTCTACCACTTGTTTCAAACGAGACATAAGGATGTCGTAATGAGCGTCTACTCGTTTTCGGTGCTTTTCTCCGTCCGGAAGCTCATTGTTCAACAGATCGACCACTTTCTGAACATGTACGGCATCAGTTCCTGGTTTTTCAAAAAGAGAGGATATTGTGGTGGATTTATTCGCATGCGCTAGAAACTTCAGAGTATTTTGTGAATCCGCTTTGTTGCGTTTAGCAAGTGCTGCTACCATTGTGGTAAAACTGCGTCTCATCCTGTCAGTGTTCTTGGAATGGTCAGCGAGAAGCGAATTCTTGATCGGAAATTCAATAGAAGAAACTGCGTTACAGAAGTTATTTCGAGGAGTGACTGTTCTAGATTAGAAATAATGAGGTTCGAGGTCTTATGCTATGCTTTTTGGAGGGTTCGAACTTGGAGGTCTTGATCAAATGCCAGGATTATAGCTTAGTTATATATATCAAATTGGCTTAATTGTTTGGATATTGATCACTTTGTACTTATCTGAAGCCAGCTATTTTACAAGATGTAGACACGAAGCCAAGCGCCATTCGGGCATCTAGTAACTAAAATTGAGCCTCTACTCCTGTATACTCCAGCTTCTTAATGTTCTTTTTAGTGCTGTTTATTAGACACCTTTCCTCTGTAAAAAGATGATGATTTTTGTTTTCACATTAGGTAGTTTTCAAACTGTCTCGATCAATCTGGTCGACTAACCTGAACAATGCAATACCTTTCAAAGAATATTTCCGCCGCATTCAAACACCTTGTCGGCGTCACATTTCCAATTCAATCTTTGGACTCAACAGTACTCGCCCGATAATAGTCGACCTGGAGTCCCATAATAGTCCAATGGATCTTCAGATGAGCTTTTCTAACCCTAATTAATAGCTGATAATATCAACAGATACTATTTTCCCTACAATTCCATAGTATGCTGCGATTTTGAGGTCCGCATCAAACACGACCACACCTTTGGAAGAAAGCGATTTTTTCAATGTTCAGAAAGGTTTAAGACATTAGCCCTGCTCCTTTTGCTACCGAAAAGCTCTCGACTATTCACATTTGGCCCACCTTTGAATCGAAGTTGTCGACTCTCGTCACTATTCATTGTGTGTCGTCCCATCTCGTGATGTCCCATCTCGTGACTTGACTACAGGTAATTAACTTGACATGCGCATCGAGTTCAAAGAATCAATCATGACAGGCTCAATTCAGCTGGAAGATAACGTTGAAGGACCACATTAAAAGCTGTATTGGCGGTTTGTGAGTGTCCTCAAGCTTCAAGTGGCTGGTGGCTTTTCGAAATCCTAAATTTCCAGCTTTTTCCGTGAACTTTTAAAGGAAAACTTCAACGTCCATTTTAAGGTCAAAGACATACAACGCCGATGGATTTGCTACCAGACGACTTGGCCTCAGCGGTGAGAAAATCGTGGTCGGAAGCAGCAGTCACAGAGGGGGTCGATTCCCCCATTGGAACCCCGCGTGGAACCCCCAAAAGCTCAGAGGGTCGTGGGTCGATGTCTCTGGAATCAAACACACCAGTGGATTATCAACTTCTGAACCATCATTACGCGAGTTCTGATGTGAACAGAAGAATCAGTGTTCAAGAAGAAATTTCAGATGTCTTGGGAGGTATAGATCCATCGACTTATCCCCAGGGTCCGCAGCAAACTACCCGCAGAAAATCTATAGAAGAAGTGTCAAAAATACGCCAGTGGTTGAACCCTCGCAGCTCGTTTTCGGGAGTTTCCAGCGAAGAACCCTGCTTGTACACCGACATTATGTCCCAGAAACGATGGGTCACTGTCGTGGAATCAGAAGACGACTACTGGCCAATCTTGGTCCTACAGCATTCCTTAGTCAGTAGTGGGTCTCGCTACAGATTGCTGGTTCTTTTCACCGAACAGAACAGGACCGTCGCGACGCATCTGGCCCACCACGGCGTGGAAACATGGAAGGCAACAGACATCGCGCCCACTTTGGTTTCGTCTTCTTCGGCGCTCCCAGCACCACTGGCTTCTGATCTGCCGCCGTCTTCGAGATGGTGCAAGCTGCTGCCCTTCGTTTCGCTGGCGAATACATTCGAACTGGTTTGCTACTTGTCGCCGCGTTCATTCGTGTTGTCCAACATCGACGAACTGCTAGACTCTGAAGTCGTGTCTTCGGAGATTGACAACGAGACCTGCGTACTACTTACAAACTCGATGCAGTCTTCGCCCACAGTCATGGTACTTCGTCCCAATAGAGAGATCGACGCTTGCATCCGCGAATACATGACCGTATACACGGATTCAGAAAATAACGGTAAGTGGTCGAAGCTGCGAGACTCTAACGACGCTGCTGTACTGAGGGAACTATTTCAGGAGTCCTGGGGAATAGTTGCTTCTGAGTATTGTCATACCGGAGTTGACGGCGTGCCGGCACATGCCAAACTCGTGGAATGCAGCACATCTCAACCTTGGAAGGGCACCGACAGCACCAGCAGGCTGTGGCAGCGTGCATACAGTCAGATCAATCCATAGTCTTAACCACACTAGTTACCCACACTGGTTACTACGTAAGGTGGATTGAACCCTTTCTCTTTCATCCAAATCCTTCTACATATCGCCGCTAGCTATGCAACTAAGTACAGATAGTGATCAATGAGGGTGTTAGGTAACGTTACAATTGTATACTAGGCTTTTGAGTGTTCAAGATACTGTGATTCGTGATATTCATGATGTGATTCACTGATGGAGTCAGACCTTGACTCAAACTTCCTGTCTTCAAATTTTAAACTTCAAATTCATCGTTCAAGACATAAACATTAAATTAAAGCATTCAATATTCAATTCATGAACTTAGTTGACTGACACTCATCTCAAGAACAACTTTAGAAAAACAAAGAGTTCTGCCTTACTTCTTTTGTTGATCTCTCACGATGCAATTCGCCAGTGATGTGGAGCGGAAAGTATTCGACAAGCTAGTCAAAAACCTGCCTACATTGATTGAACAAAAGTGCCATGGCCACGATGAGCTGTACGGTTATAAGCTTTTGCCAGGAGAGTATTACCAAGAGACAATTGCGCACGCTCTGGTGTACAAATTTTGTAAAGCGTACAAATTTGACTACGAGGCTTCAGCTTCAGCGCTATGCAGCACCCTGAACTGGAGAAGAGAATTCGACCCATTGAGTGCTGCTTTCAGCGAGCGTCATGACGAAACGCTAACAAAAGTAGGTGTGCTCACCAAATACCCGGAGGAAGAGGCCAATAAGAAAGTTGTCACTTGGAATCTGTATGGCGATTTGGCCAAACAAACGCATGTTTTCAAGGACATCAACAAGTTTCTACGGTACCGGATTGGGCTGATGGAACGTTCCATTGGCTTGCTGGATTTCAGTGACGAAACAAACAATTTTGTGGCACAGGTTCATGACTACGATGGCGTCTCTATGTGGAAGATGGATCCTCAGATTAAGAAATGTACGAAACAAGTGATCGCCGTTTTCCAAGAGCACTATCCGGAGTTGCTGTCTGCCAAATTTTTCATCAACGTGCCCAGTCTGTTGACTTGGGTTTATGATGTGGTTAAGAAGTTTGTTAGCGAGGATACTAGAAAGAAATTCGTGGTGCTGAACGATGGTACCAAGTTGGGACAGTATCTTCCATCTGCTCCATCCAGTCTTTATGGAGGTAAATCCAAAGAAACACTACAGGCTCAAAACGTCACAGACGTGAGACCCACCGACTATACGCTTCATCTTTTCCAACAAAAGGTATCTGCGGATGTCGAGTGATCGGGCAGACGTGGTGGTATATCCATGACCTGCGATAAATAATATTACTGAAACTACGAAAATAAATCTTACTCGAGTGCTTTCCTAGATCAGGCTGAACCTTGAGCCGCGACGGCTCTTTGGTCAGCGTTGTATTCGAAACTTTGCATTGGTTCCAACCCCCATTTGGCCAACATTGCTTTGTCTTCGTCCCAACCGTTACACATGGTGGTCAACATCTTTTTACCCGTGAAAATGGCATTGCAACCGGCTTGGAAGCACAAGAACTGTTCTGTTTCTTTCATTGTGTATCTTCCTGCTGCGAGCCTGATGATTGCGCGTGGCATGGTGATGCGCGCAGTCGCGACAGTTCTTAGGATATCGTCAAACTTTAGCTTCTTGGCGTCTGATTTTTTCAAATCTTCTGCCATCGGAGTACCATTGATGGGAACCAGCCTATTGATCGGCAGCGATTCTGGGTGTGGGGTCATGTTGGCAAGAGTGTGAATAAACCCGACGTGGTCTTCTTCAGTTTCTCCCAATCCCAAGATGCCACCAGTGCAGGCTTTGATCCCTGCCGTTTGCACATTTTTGATGGTATTCAAACGATCATCGTAAGATCTGGATGTGATGACCTTTGGGTAGTGTTCCCTAGAGGTATCGATATTGTGGTTGTAGGCGGTCAACCCAGCCTCCTTAAGCTGCTTTGCCTGATCTTCGTTGACCATACCCAGGGTCACGCAAGTTTCCATCCCCATAGCATTGACTTTTGTTACCATTTCTGAGATTTTGCGGAGCCCAGATTTGCGACCCTGCATATCTCTCCAGGCTGCTCCCAAGCAGAACCTGGTGGACCCGTTTTTCTTGGCTTCTTCTGCCTCCTTCAGCACCGAATCTAGCGCAACAAGCTTTTCGGCCTGAACTCCGGTGTCGTATCGAGATGACTGGGCGCAGTATTTACAGTCTTCCGAGCAGCCACCACTTTTGATGTTCATCAAAGTGCACAATTGCACTTTGGTAGGATCGTGCCATTTGCGATGTTGCAATTGAGCTGAATGTACCAATTCCAACAGTGGAGTGTTATAGATTTCCCGTAACTGCTGTTTGCTCCACTCATTGCTGGGTTCATCAAGCGACAATGCCATTTTCAAAGCGGAAACCGGTGGTACAACGGCTGAATCCGTGGCTACACGAGTGGCTGCAGTAGCTGCTGCGCCCTTCAGCTTGTTGGAAGTTGAAATAAACCGTTTGAGAGCCAACATAACGAGATTTATCTACTTCTCTACACGACGAGTTGCTGGATAACGACGCAATCTTCATATTTTCGAGGCATCCATATTCAATTCAAGATCCCTGACCCTTATATAGAATACTCGGACTGCCTCGAGCCAGAGATGCTTGTTCAATCGTGTTGGATTTTTTTCACAGGATGATTCAACCATACGACTCGGTAGTCGTACTAAGCTGACTCAAGTTCGATAAATTAACTTGAGTCAGGCTAAAGAGAGAAACAGAGGAAGAAGGAAAGCCAACAGCGATAGCGTGGCCAAGAAGGTTGAAAAGAGATGATGTGCATGCAGGGCGTGGTGGAGCGGAGTCGTCTCTGTGGCGGAATCGCTTATGCCCTGGGAGCTGATAAGACGAAGTGATAGCTTGATGTGGGAAGAGAAGGGCGATGGTGAAAGTGAAAGATGGTGGGTTGGCGAGATGGCAAGCATATGTGGGATTTGGACAAGGTAGAATTTGGCCGGTGTTGGTGGTAGGCGTCAGGAAAGGGAAGAGTGATGAGCATACGGAGTGTAGAGGTGTAAGGAAGATAATTGTGCTAAGCAAAGGTGAAAAAATTGATGTGGGAGCCGGCAGGTCTTTATGGGAGCGAAAATAACGAGATGAAGGTTGTTTTGTAAAGGATGTCATTGGTGATAGAAGGAACCCTGCGTCGGGCAAATGATAGCTGGATAACACGTGATGCGGAACGAAAAGCGGGTTGAAAAGCGGGTCGAGAAGCAGGTCGAGAGGCGGGTAGAGAAGTGGGTCGAGAAGCGGGTAGAGAAGTGGGTTCCCTAACGGGTTTTCAAACGGGTTTTCAAACGGGTTACAGTATGGGTTCCTGGACTGAACATCCTCTTGCACGAAACAATCACAATCACACACGAAAACATCGTTATCATCAACCTGCGAATGGCATTCAGTTCTTCAACGGTCCAAGCACCTTAAATAATGACCCCCTTCCCTTGCCGTCTCCTTACTCAAGTCCCACTTTAATTCCTATTTTTTCGTGACACCGTCTTCTCAAGGCGTCACGAAAAGTATAAAGTGACCAAAAGTTTCCTCCTCCTCCAAAACCTATCGAAAACTTTGAAAGATCAAAAGTTACACCACTCTTGAAAGCTACGTGATACTCTTACATATACTACTCAAAAACCTCCAATTCATCAACTTACCTGTGCTATCCAAATTTCCTTAAATCCCAATTGTCAGTCACGTGACCCAACACGCTCCCCTACTTTTTCTAGAAATCTCTGGAATTAGCGGTAGCGAATCTAAGACGCGACTATATAAATGAGAACGACGCCAAACCTCGTCTCTGATCCAAGAAACTCAAAGTCTGCTGAAAGCACGAGAATAAAGAGCTTAAAGATAGTGGTCTTAATATACCTGTTTTGGATGACAAGATTGTTCAGTCAAGGTACGACATGAGAATTCAAAAACCGGCCAGATACATGAAAAACTCAAGAAATTTGGGAAATTTCCGGAAGATGCACTCCGTGTCATCGGATCATCCACGCCAGGGCGTTTTGGTAGATGAGATGTACGGGGATTTGCTGCCGCAACAGCCTACAGGAGTGTATTTTTTACTTGAAGTGCACACTCAAGAGGCAGGACTCACACCTCATGAAATCGTGGAAGTGGCCGATCAAGAACCTGCCGTCAATGTGCATGCAGACGTTGAAGTGGAAGAGATTATTCCGGCTCGTGAAAACAGTTACGGCGACCACGACCGCACGCATCACGACGACGAGGACATTGAAATGCATGATGGATGAAACTGGAGAGGATACAACCAACAAAAAAATGGTGATAAGCGATGTGAAGAATGATGGAAGGGAGGGGGGAGAGATAAAATTGGAAAACTGAAGACAAGTCACGTGTCATTCACGCGACTAGAAAAGTCACGGGGTTGGGTTCGTAAAAAATCACTACACACGATAATCACATTTCACGGATTTTATCTTTCCTTCCCAATTTAAAATTTTCGTATTCAAGACTAATCGCGAAGAAACACACAACTACTGACCACTACCAACAAAACTTGGATTTTTGGTATTCGAGATCAACTTCGTTAAAAATCCTTTGGGTCTTTCCTTGTTTAACTGGTCGATCAAACTCGTTGAGATTCTTCTCTTTCAGCTCCCGTTTTCAGATTCAATTTTGGCCCATTTTTCGTAAAGAAAAGCGAGTAGCCATAACTCGAATCAGCAATACATTAGTCAAAGAAAATGTCGGCAGATCATACCAGAGATCCATGCCCCGTGGTCATTTTGAGTGACTTCGGTGGTGCTTTCGCCATGGGTGTCATTGGTGGGTGCGTATGGCACGGTATCAAAGGTTTCAGAAACTCGCCCATGGGAGAACGCCACCTCGGTGCCGTCAGTGCCATCAAAGCCAGAGCTCCTGTGGTGGGTGGCAATTTCGGTGTATGGGGTGGTCTTTTTTCCACATTCGACTGCGCTGTGAAGGCTGTGCGTAAGAGAGAAGATCCCTGGAATGCCATCATAGCCGGTTTGTTCACCGGTGGATCCTTGGCCGTCAGAGGCGGCTGGAGACACACTAGAAACAGTGCTATCATGTGTGGCTGTCTATTGGGTGTCATGGAAGGTGTGGGTCTCATGTTCCAAAGATACGCCGCCTGGCAGGCCAAGCCAATGGCCCCACCTTTGCCCGAGCCTCAGCCGGCTCAGGCTTTGGGTGCCTAAGGGCTTTGTTAGTATGCTTTTAAAGCACTACCCGTGTCATGACTTATCTTTGTCGCATACTAGAGAAGCTTCATTCCAAATTTATTATCTCAACATGCATACGAAGTGAAGCTTCCTTACCTGTATTATGCGCAATTCAACCTTCTCCACCACTCACCATGTATATATACAAATACACAAACACTTTTTAATGAGAACAGAAACTTTACAATGAGGGAGGTTTATAATTTTGGTTTGAATTTCTTCGTCAAGTCGAGAGAGCTCTTCACGCATCAGTAGCAGGCGGCGTTGGAATGATATTGTATTTCAACATCGCTAATCGCCAATTTTTAGTTTGTTTATCTCAGATGAAGCGCTTCGGTCGTGCACCCGTGGTGGTGCTTTCCCTGCTATTCTTGGTTCGGTACCAGGTGGATACCATTCACCTGTGAATGGTTGCTGGGTGATGAAAGGATGCATAGCTGCTTGTGGCGGCGTCCATCTCTCTAGCGGGTTCAAGTCCAGTAAACCCTTCAAGAAGTGCGTCAAGCATTTTCGGTCCAGTTTCTCTTTCTCTATCAGCTGTGGCGAGCCCAGCAGTTTTTTGGAAAGTCGATAGTTATCAATAATGTCTTCCAGCTTGTTCCACTTGAAATATTGTTTTCCAGCGGTTTCATTTGCATGGAAATCCATGTTGTATTCTTCCACGGTTTTGACTTCCCAAGTTTTCCCGTCATCCTCTGATTTGGTCAAAAAATTGCATGAATTTCTGCCCATGTCAAGCATCCAAGCTGGTGGTAAACCAAGGGTACTGACTATTCTGGTGATTTGATTGAACTCGGAAGAGCCAGGGAATATGGGTATACCCAAAAACAATTCCGCAATGATGCAACCAAGGGACCACATATCGATACCGGTCGAATATGGAATCCCCAAGATGACTTCGGGCGCTCTGTAAAATCGCGATTGGATGTACGTGTATAAAGTTCTCGACTCTTCGCATGCAGACCCAAAATCAATAACTTTCAATTCAGGCTTATCCAGTGAAACCAGTAAAATGTTTTCTGGCTTCAAATCGCAATGTATCAACTTGTTATCTTTCAAAACACACAAAGAGTCCAGTAGCTGTCGTGCAAAAGTTCGGATCAAACTTATCGAAAGCCCATGGAACTGGTTCTGTTTGAGAAGTTCATAGAGATTGCTGCTTAGCAGCTCAAAGACCAGACACAAATGGTTTTTGTGAACAAATGTCTCATGCATACGCAAGAAATGATGTTCACCGTTGGGATCAATCTTACTGTTCAGAAGCTCTAAAATTTTGGCCTCAGTAATACTCTGATTCAAATATTCACTTTTAGATTTGACCACTTTGACAGCAACAATCTCTTTTGTTAACATGTTTTGACATTTTACTACCTGACCGAATGTTCCCTGCCCTAAAATATCCAGAACCAGGTATTTCCTATTCTGTTCCGTTCCCAAAACATCGTTCACATATAGAATATAGTCGCTGTTCACATTGTCAAAACCATTATTGTGCTTTCCTTCGCTAGGTTTGGTGAGTACCCTCTTGGGGTTTCTGGAAGTTTGGTACGAAAAGTCCGGCGAGCAAAGGGTGTAGGTTGTTGTCAGCGCCTTGGTTAGCGCAACAAGAGGAGAAACGGTTTTGGAGTCCAATGAGGCCCTTCTATATTTTGGCGTGGCATTCGTAGTTGGACGCAAATCGTGTTTGGACGAAACACGGTGCGTTCGTGGCAGTACGACAGGAATAACATCATCTTGCTGTCTTCGCAGTTGTTTCATTGGGGGTGACATCGGAAGCGGTACATGACTGCCTGCGTTATATGAGCTGAGTTTTCGATGGAAGGGTGACATTGGAGCATGGAATTGCACTTCTGGCAAAACTGAAGCTGCAGCAGCAGCGGCAGCAGCAGCGGCAGCCGTATTTGCAGTGGTCACGGGCGGCGGTGCAAACGCATGCTGTGGTGCCACGGCTACCGATTGTCGCCGATGCATTTCCTGGCCGTAATTGGGATATCCTTGATACGGCAGAAAAGCATGATGGGGAGGAGGATATGCGTCAGGAGCTGGACCCGCTGCTCTGGGAGGCGGTATCACCAAGCTCGAGTTTCTTCTGCGTGCCCTGCTAATGAGTTCCTCTTCGTAAGTCGTAGGAAGTTGCTGTTGATGCGAGAAAACCAGGGACTTTCGTTTTGACGCTCCTGTATCGTGCCACGGGTTTCTGAATCCATAGGGCGCCCCATTACCTGTGGCAGCAGCAGCAGCAGCGGCCTGCTGCAATTGCAGCTGCTGCTGTTGAGCGCTAGTCATGAACGCCGGATTCCAAAGGCCTTTATCTGACTCAGACATAAGGCAAAACCCAACCGGGCTTGAAAAACGCGCAAAAAAGATGCGGGAAAGAGGAGAACCCTACTTAATCGGGGCCTACAGTACACTTGAACCTGAAGCAGAAGCTGCTAGACGTGGTATTTGGGCGTCTTATGGCTTGAAATTCTTCAGTTCAACAAAGAACAAACCATGTGAGAGCTAGCAATTTGTTGATTTATGTCCAGGTTCATCACACCAGACGAGCTGATGGATAAAAATGTTTAGACTGCACACTTTTTGGTCATTTAAAGTGAGTACTGAATACCACGACTCTGAGTAGCGATGCGAGTAGCCCGTTTCACTAGTCAAAGACGTTTTTCCACCGCATTTTTTGAAGAAATCAGGAAAATTTCCCGGTTTTTGGGTCTTGGCATTTCAAAATTTGAAATTGTATGTTGGTTTGTCTTTAAATGAACGGTAAATCTAGAACCGGGGCTATTTGGGCGATTTTTGAGTCGTTGATTTCAAGATTGATCGAAAATGGAGCCATTGTTCTGATTTTAGGAAATTTGTAATTATTGACAGAGAAGAGCTCATGAAGCACTCCTGCGAGAATGTAAGAATTTTAGGCGAGCTTGGGCTCGTGAGCCGTAGCTGTAGACATGTTTTCGAGTATATAATTACTCAGTGAAGCCAAATGAACTTTGATCGTGGCTCCGTGGTGTGGACAGTGGAGAGTTACTGGAGAGTTGTGAGTTTCGATGTGTAAAATAATGATATTAATGAAATTTAAATGAAGATCACTATATACGTATCAGAAAGATGCTGTGGTGTTGAATATTGGCATATTTGGAACGTTCGGCAGAGCAAAAGAGACGCAGCCGATTTTCATAATTTATTATGTGAAATGGTCGCAACAGAATTCAAAGAAAGAGTCTCGAGATTAATAGCTTACTTTTGTTTTGTTTTTTATGTTTTTAGTGATACCCTTTCAAAGTCACGTGAGAAAGACAAATCAGAGTGTCAGCGACAGGATATGTTAAAAGTGATCATTTTGATAACTGGGTGATCATACAATGTTATTAACAGCAGTTTACCAAGAATACCAGAAACAACGAATTCAATAGGATCATTGACTAAATATGACATTTTTTTTCAAGATTGAAAGGGTATCTCAAACATCAGATTGAAGCACATGTCTCTACTTCCCCAAACTGACACTTCAACCAAATTCCGCTAACAATTTCGGTTGGTATCACTTCTCACGACGAGGTTAAAATCTAATTACCATAATATATAGTGAAATACAATGATCGAAGTAGAATCCTGGCAGTGGTTTTGCTGGACTTTAGCATCAACACCATCGCATCGAGCCTAACAGCTACTCCAGGTGTAGCTCAATCTTCTACTCACAATGAATATCTCCACATCCACGTTCTCGACTAAAAGAAGAGGGCTGAAAAAGGTCGAAGAAGAAGAAAACGCTGCAACTTTACAACTCGGAGAAGAGTTTCAGCTCACCCAGGTAAACCATCAGGGACAAGAAGAAGAGCTGATCGCATTGAATTTGAGCGAAGCACGGCTGGTCATCAAGGAATCGCTAGAATTGCGCAAGAGGCTATTCAAACAATGGATTAAGAGAGACGATACGATGGAAACGGACGACGACGCAGATGCAGACGCACACACACAGAGCCATGAAAAGGAACTCCAAAATATCGATAAGCTGCTGGAGACAACCACAGGTGGGAATAATCAGGCACTTAAGCAAACAATGGTGTATCTGACGAATTTCTCGCGCTTCAAAGACCAGGAAACCGTCACTGCTGTAACTCAGCTTTTACAAAGCACAAACCTGCATCCGTTTGAGATTTCGCAACTCGGATCTCTTTCTTGCGAAGATGCCGATGAAGCCAAAACTTTGATTCCAAGTTTGGGCAATAAAATCTCGGACGACGACCTCGAAAGAATATTGAAAGAGCTGTCCAATCTCGAAACCCTGTATTAAGACTTTAAAATGTAATTGAATAGTGCTAATCAGATCAAGTGCCGGTCGACGACGACTTGTGCTTCATGAAATACTTCCCGCCTCCGCTCTTCCACCACCGAGCCAAACAACTATGAGCCTTGACGTCGATGTTGCTCTCTGCGTTTGGATCGCAAATACATCTTTGTTGTAATCTGATATTATGCGCAGACGGGCAAGTGCCAAATGGAATATGGTAATATCCAAGCTCATCGAAATGAATTATTTCGTCTTGCCGAAGAAGAAGAGCAACGGCAATAGAATGCACCGGAGCGTCGCCCCATCGTTCCAGATAGAATCCTTTCTTCTTATCCAGATGCTCAAAAAACTTCAAGTATTTCTCGCTCCTGAAAAACGAGAGATCACCGATCTCGAAGTTTGACCAAAAGTGGCAGAGATTGTAATTCGAGTTGGATTGAATTATTGGCATCTCTAATCCGATCATGCTGTCATCAGTAATGAAATCATAACTGTTGGTATCAAAGTCGACCATTTCGGGCTGGTCTGCCATGAACTCTTCTACCGCATCCCATAGAGTCGGAATGGTGTCCTCGTACTCATACATCGATATAACGAAACCATATTTTTTGCGTTGTTTTCGCATGACTTCGAAAGGATCATATGGGAAATCACAATAGTATTCCACCTCTGGCTCGACACGGAAGTAATATTGATATTTATCCAAAAGTGTTTGCCTGAAGAAGAATCCAGAATTGAAGCGGCACATATTTCTATAGGATTTAGAGCCGCCGTAAATGACTCCCTTTTCTTGCATTAATTGCAAGTTACTTTCAAGTTCCTCTTCATCAATGAAACTTGGTTTGTCCCAATCCGAGCTGGGTATCAGGCCGTAGTAGGTATTACCACTAGCCATTGCGGATGTCGCCTCGATAAACGCATCATCAAACGGAACATCATTTAAGAAAGTCCAATCGTAATTGTAATTTCTGTTGAACCTATCTTCTAGAGATCTCATGGATTTGAGAGCGCCCTCAAGTTCCCAATTCCGTACCAACATTAACAATGTTGCATTTTCTCTCTTGTTCTGATCCAAATCTCCTCTGCTCAATTCTTTCCCATCGTTCTCAAGATAGCTATTGGTAGAAAGCTTCGGCAGCCTTCGACTGAGATCAAATCCCCTTTCGCGGTCGAACTTATGCAATACTTCAAAGCTTTTATTGAAATACCTACGTTCATTGATGCGATGAACCAAAGAAGTGGAAATGACAGCGTGTGCAATGAATAGTAAATACACAAATATCGCCGCGCAAGATATGATTCCCGCTACTGTCACTCCTTTCTTCATATTCTTTGTTAAGAGGCTACTTACTTCACATTCGATGAGCATGTAATTTCGAGAGATGAGCTTGCTCATATTAAAATCAACTTTGGTTCCTCATCACACTCCAGAAAGTTGAAACCAGCAAATACACGAAATCTATGGACCGGCTTGAATTAGTATAGACACACACACATATATATATTTATATCATTGATACCAATTGTACCAATTGTGTAGCCTTGTTGTGTCTCCTGATCGTGATCTGACTTTCAGAGTAGACAAGCAGAAAGTCGACTTCATGACACGAACATTGCTCCATCCCCACCAGATGCTATGCAATTAGTTACAATCGAAGTTCTTCGTCTTCAGCAACGGCTGCCTTTTTTTCCAGCTTGAGAATCGGTAAGCTCACACTGTTACTGGTCTTGACGAAAATACCCGATATGTCACCTCTGATGACGCCGCCCTGCGGTTTCTTAGATTTGTCGGTGAGAAACGAAACAACGTCTTGAATATTGTGGACCATTTCTTGCGCGGAGTGAACGCCAACTTCACCGATTTTCACGCTCAGACAATTATCAACGTTCGGGACATAAAAAGTGTTCTTGGCAATGCTTCTGATTTGGGCACGAACGTAAGAAGCGTCGCATTCATCAGCAAGTTTCTGGCCTTTGACTTTAGCGGTACGCGCCATTTGAACAATAAACGGCAGTTTCTTTTTACTATGATAAAATGCGCTTCCGAGAATCGAGGGAAGCAAATGGTGAACTCTGTAGTCTGCCACGACCAAATCGTACTCTTTGAACAGCTTGTTGAGCTTGGAGCCACGGTATTTTCCCTTAAGATTCCTTACGGAAAGCACAGTTTTGAACAAGTCTGAGGTAGCTGGGTCTTCGGTCAGAGTTTTCCTATACAGAGTTGATGGATCCTTGGTGATGAGAAGAATGCGCAGTTCCCCAGGCTTGTGCATTCTGCATTTGCTGAGTGGAATAATTCGCGGAACATAATCGTTTTTAAGACCTATAGGCTTCTTTGTGTTGATAACCATGTGTATGTTTTTGTCGTTGGAAAGTTTTGGATCGTTCTTACATCTTTCCACAAGAGATGTAAGAGCATTGGTTGCCAAGTGGTTCTGATCAATCTGCTTCAGCGACATAGCGTGATACAAGTTCAGAAATCACTTCCAGGTATATTATATGCTAACTTGTAGTATTTTGACCAAATCTTCTTGCTTTTAGCGATGAGATGAGATGAGATGAGATGAGCTAGACATGTCTGAAGTGATATTGACTGAAAAATTTCGATGCCCGCCGATCAAGACATAGAACGAACATCGTGTCGCATAGCTAAAAACCTAAGTGCATATTTTTGCGAAGTATACATTGTTTATAACAAATAAATGCGACCAGTAAAAGTTTCACGAGCACTTGCGTAGAGATGTCTCCCCAACAAGTAGTCAGTTTCGGAAACTGGGCTAACCAAAACTTGTTCTCAGCAAAGGGAAGACGGGCCTTCAGCGCCTGTAAAAAGAAGGGCTGGTCGGCTGAACATTAGGTGGAAGGAAAAACAGGTTTCTTCTCACGCTTAATCGAACAACTCGCTGATGTTAGCTGGAAGTTCTTCGATCTGGGTAGAGTAGAATCTTTCCAACTCTCTCATAGCGCCAACGTCCTTGTTGGTGACAAAGTTGATAGCAATACCCTTACGACCGAAACGACCACCTCTACCGATTCTGTGGATGTAGTTCTCCTTGTTGGTTGGCAAGTCGTAGTTGATAACCAAGGAAACCTGTTGGACATCGATACCTCTGGCCAACAAGTCGGTGGAGATCAAGATTCTGGAAGAACCGGTTCTGAACTCCTTCATGATGGTGTCTCTCTGTTGCTGAGGCAAGTCAGAGTAGATGGCGGACACGGTGAAGTTGTCGGCGACCAATCTCTGGGTCAACTCCTCGACCTTTCTTCTGGTGTTGCAGAAGATGACGGCCTGGGTGACGGAGATGGAGTCGTACAAGTCACTCAAACAGTCGTACTTGTAGTCCTCTTCTTCAACGTTGATGAAGAATTGCTTGATACCTTCCAAGGTCAATTCGTCCTTCTTGACCAAAATTCTGATAGGGTTTCTCATGAACTTGGTGGTGACTTCCAACACGTCACCTGGCATGGTAGCCGAGAGCAACACAACCTGGGTGGTTGGTGGCAAAAGGGTGAAAATCTTGTAGATCTGCTCCTTGAAGCCCGAAGACAACATTTCATCGGCCTCGTCCAAGATGAACATCTTGATGTGGTCAGTTCTGAATCTTCTACGCTCGATCATGTCGAAAACACGACCTGGGGTACCCACAACGATCTGGGCACCGTCTCTTAGAGCCTCAGCGTCCTCGGTGAACGAGGTACCACCAATACAGGCGTGCACCTTGATGTCCATGTGGAAGGCCAAAGCCATCACCACCTTCTGGATCTGCAGAGCCAATTCTCTGGTTGGGGCCAACATCAAAGCCTGTGGGGCCTTGATTTTTGGGTCGATCTGTTGCAAGGCTGCAATCGAGAAAGTACCAGTCTTACCGGTACCGGACTGGGCCTGAGCTAGCACATCGTGACCCTCGGTGATAGGCAAAATGGCACGTTGCTGGATGGCAGATGGGTCCACAAAACCGTAACCGTAGATACCTCTCAAAAGCTCTTCTTTCAAGTTCAAGTCATCGAACTTGTACACGACCTTGTCGTAGTTGGTTTGAATCTGAGATTCCTCAACTTCGGTGATACCTTCAGACATCTTGGTGATACTTTAAAGATAAATCTGATCTGTGTCTCGTTTGCAACTGAGACTAGAACAGTTAAAAAGATTTGGGAGAAAGGAAGAAAGATAGTTGTGAGAGGAAGCTCATCTTGAAAAGTTTTATGATCTCGTCAGACGGGTTGAAGAAAATTTTTTTTCCCAGTGAAAATCCTGTGCGTGCGAAATGACAAAATGAAGCAGAGTCCTCGAGTACATTGCGTGTAAAGTGACCAGTACTCAGACATCATGTGATTGCTGTACTTGGGAGAATTTGGTACTTGCGGAGTCACGCGAGAGTAGCGTGACTCTACTAGATTTGTTTTTCGATTTCACGGAATATACATACTACATACAAATTTAAAGATCAGCGATGAGAAGAAGCAAGACAATGAGAAAGACGATGAGCAGGTGGTCGAGCAAGTAAGTTGGCAATAGAAGCAGAGACCTAATGGCATCCAAGCATGCGCCAACGGTTCATTAAAAGAACTATTGGTTTCATAACCCAAACCTGGGTTCTTTTCCCTGGTTTGGCCCCCAAATTTGGGAAGAGATGCGGGCACACACACACACACACACACGATGACCGGCCGTGCGAGATTCAGTAATGTCTCAGGCTGGAAAAACCCGCGTTGCGTCGTGTCTGTCGGTATATGACTCCCAGGGAAACACGGGCTTGGGGCCCAGCTGCAGCTTGGGCAATTCGTCTTCGAGCAGCTGGCTTTCCTGACTCCATTCGAACCGGGGCTCCAAATCCAACGTTGCCGCCTCAGGAAGCCCGTTGAGTGGCGGGGGTTCCTTTGTGGCGTCCCATTGCGGTGGCAAAAGCGGCACAGCACTCGTAGCGGGTGCCAAAGCCTCTCCCATGTTATCAACGTTAACGTCGCATTCATCTCCCGGTCCGTGCGGTCTAGGGTGTTCTCCGGCAAACTGTAGGTACAGATGCCACCATTGGCGGCGATACGTGTCGTCCTCGTCTTTCGCACTCGTCCAGGGCTTGTCTTTTCCGATAAAATGCACCAATTTGATCTCATCCCTAAAATACTTCACGGCAGGCACGTTTTGATAACCAGCGTTGGGAATCGTCATGTTGTAAGCGAACGGCAAACGGATCCAGCCCGTTGCGGCTTCTGCATGATTTTCTCTCTGACACGCAGGGTTGAAAAACTGATTGAGCACTCCCTGGTCCGCGCCATCTATGGATTCTGTGTTTAGGACAAACGCTGCTAGTTGATCGTAAACTCGTCTATCTGGCACAAGAGTGAAGACACCGCTGTTGAACATATCTGGCCAGCCGCAATCGGGGCTTGCTCCGATCTCGTGGCTGTCCTGCCCCTGCGTACAGGCCAAAATGCCCTCTAAAAATGCATTCACGGTGTTCTTCACGTTCTTGTGATCCACCAGCAGACAATCACAGTCTAAGTACACGATTTGTGCAAATTGTGTGAGCCGCCAAAGCTCTATTTTCAAAAACGTGAATGACAGTTCCGGTCTATCCAGTAGTTCCAAATTAGGTTTATTCAGTTGCACAAGCGTATCAGAGACATGCTCTGAGCTATTGACAGGGATTACCTGGTCGTACAACAGACGTAGCAGTTCCACGTCGTAATTTCGGGCTTCGTCCTCGAGCAGCTGCGAAGAAACCAGAATACAGGTAGTGAACTCAGAGATATGTGTGTTTTCCTCTTCGTCCTCGTCGCTACTAACTTCAATTGGTTTTGCAGCTTTTCGCAGCTGTGAGCCCAGCGTCAGTGCACCCGGGAAGTAGTCATGCGAATACAGAAGCGTTACTATCGCTATGGACATTGCAATGACGGTGGTAGTGGCAGTTGTGGTGTTTAAAAATACTATAACTATGTTCTTGATTTCTATGCAGTCCAATCTCTTGAACTCGAGCATCTAATTTCCCGACCCTTGATATCTAATATAACTACTATTATAGAGCGAAAAGAAGCAGGCAAAATCAATTCCGAAACCAAGGGGGGACCCTTGTGAAATTTCAATTTTTCGATAACGATCAAACGTATATTAAATTCAATGGTGCAGAAATCCACAACAGACGGATAAACCGCCGATGCAGACAGAAAAAGAGATATACTTATTTCCCAAAGTTCCTAGTTTGTGACAGATGAGTGATGGTGGGATGTGTTTACAAGAAAAAAACTGTGAAGCGAAGAGCTAGCTGTTGCAGCATCATGTACGCCTCTCAACGGTAATTTCCTCTTAACGGGAGTAAGACCACACGTTCTTCAACAAACCGTCGTTCTGGGCCAAACGGTTCAAGGAGTCGTCGGCCTCACCTCTGGCTCTGACGTAGCCGGAAAGAGCGTAGGTGATGAACTCACCTGGCACGGCACGGCCTTCTTCGTCAACCTTGGCAATGTTGATTTGCACAGAGGCGTGGTCCTTGGCCTTGACGATTCTGTTAGTGGCAGAGCACTTTCTTGGAACGTAAAGTTCGACCTGAGAGGAGGTTAGTAAGAGAATCATAACATAACAGGGAAAGGAAGGTAGAGAGGTGAGAACGCTGAGAGCTGACAACCATATCGAGACGTTTCACAACATGTTCTTGGAAACTGGAAATGAAGTTTAAAGTCCTCCGAATTCGTAAAACTTCAAGCAAAACGCTGGACTTCCGGTAGTTTTGTAACACCAAAACAAAGTTGGTAGCACTGCAAACCCACGTTCGCTGAGATTTCACTTGATCCACTTGATTTTAGAATGCGCCCACGTCGATTCGGGGACGCCGTATTTCCACTAACGGACGTCGTTCTACCTTCTTTCAAATCCGCGATTCTGCACACATACTAGTTGGCCTTTGTCGTTTTCCATTTTGGCTTTGGTTTGTGCGAGTTGGTCCTAGATTCCAATATCTAAACTGCCTGTTCCACTAGTATTGAACCTCCGGGCCTGTCGAAATTACAAGTTTTCCAAAGTCCCACATTTGCTCTGGTGCGTTGGTCTGAAACTTGTGGATTGGTGTGCGTGGATGTATGACTTATGTGCAAAATGATAGACGCTTCTTCGATAAATTTTTGAAAAAAGTTACAACATTGTAAAATGTATGGGTGTCTGGTCGAAACAAGAGAGCAGTCACAAGCACGTGACTGTGAAAAGGAGAAGATTTCTTTGGTTTCCAGTTTGTTTCCCATTTGTTTCCAGTATCGGCTGTTTCCAATATGGAACATTTTATGAACCTGCCAAATATCGCCGCACAAGCGATCCCTTTATGTTACACAGGCCCTTTCCTTAAGGCGCAGGTGTATGGGTGTACCATCCTTGTCCAGTCACATATACCGGATGAGAAATCAAGAGGCCCTGGTGTCAGCGTCAGCGACACAAGACATGAGCTGGGTATAATAATGGTTCCATCAGCTGTAACTCGTAGCTCTATCAGACGACATTTATCTTAAAAATTCACACAATAAATACAAAGACGCTACGTTATCCCACAATTGATTAAACTCTAGTCAACACACAAATGCTTTCGACGTGGTGGGTTTGAGGAAAAAAATCAAAACCGCGAACGCTTTCGATCTTGTAATTAGCCCCATTCACCGTGTCTTGCAAAAAATACTGCATGTCTCTGGCCTGAGAGTGCACGTTGCACGAGATGTACACGATGCGCGCAGGATTATACTCAGCAAGCTGCTTGAGAAAAACGTCGTCGCAGCCTTTCCTTGGAGGATCCAAAATCACCGAAGTGCGGTCGTGCGGGGTGTCAATGGAGGCGAAAATGCATTCAGCCTTTCCCACAACAAATTTGCAATTTTCCACACCGTTTGCACGCGCATTTCTTTCGGCAAATGCCACAGAATCGGCAGAAACTTCAACACCGATCACCTTGTCGACGCCCTTCGATGCCGTGACGCTGAACAGCCCTGAACCGCAGTAGGCGTCCACCAGATAGTGCGGGTCTTCGGGCTTCGAGCCCGCGATCTGAAGATTCTCACAAACATATTCAGTCACCTTACCCAGAATGCTGTTATTATTCTGAAAGAACTCGCCCGCAGAAAACTCAAACGTATAGCCATTAATATATTCTGTGACCACCTGTCTCGAGTTCGTAACGCATGTCTTGGCCAGAGGCTTGTCTTCGGTGATTTCCACAAATGATTTTTCACCCGTGTCAAAATCTCTAGACGCCTCATCAAGTTGTTCCAACACCCCTTTGTCAGAGTCCAAAACACGAGTGTTTTCTCTTAGCAAAATAGTAGCACCACGCTTGTAATCTTTGAAATCGCGTTCAAACTTCTTGCGCTCGTTGGTCATACCGCGGTTCAAAATTTCAGTTCCAATAACACATTCCTCGATATCAAGAATGCTCCTATTACCACCCGCGTCAGACTGACGCCAACTGGGTCTACCTTTCTGCCCGAATCCAAGCGGTGGTCTTTCTTCCAATTTTTTCATTTTCCTTGGCATATCAAAATGCGGGGTTAATTTGGTCCTGTAGTCGTACATTTTTGGTGATGGTACTGTTGAGCCTATTTCCGGCACCAGTTTGTTGGCGATCAATTTTGGCGCGAAATACTTGTACGCGTTGAAAACGGTGTCCCTTTTAAGCTTTAGCTGCTCGTCGTACGACAAAAACTGGAACTGACAACCTGCGCATTTCCCGAAATATTTACATTTGATGTTTTCGTCTTTTCTCAGTGCCGAATTGTGCGTTACTTGCAAAAGATCACTTTCCACATAATGTGTATGCGTCTTGAAGACTCGGATAGTAACTATGTCACCTGGCAGAGCGAATGGGATCACGACGACCTGCTTTTTATCATTTTCTACCGGGTGGTCGATGATTGCAAGACCGTCTCCACTGGCGCCAATCTGCAAAACGGATACTCCACTGACCTCGCGATGGTACTGCGAGCTTACAGGCTCTCCAGTGCTTGTTTTGTAGTTTAGAACTGCTGTCATGTCATTTTTAACTTGATCTTTCGTAAGTCCCTCCTTTGTTAAAAGCTCTTCGATTTCCAGCTGCAGTACACCCAAAGGAGATGTTTCGTCGACCTTCTTCGGCTTATATTTCCTTAGTTTTATCTTTTTCGTTTTGTTAGGTACGCGGTCATTGACATGATGGTTCGTAGCTGGTCTTTTCAAGGCTGACATTTCAGTCGAAGTCGGATTCGCCAGCGCTGGTAGAGACATTCTACTTATGGTTTTGATAAGCAGTCGCGACTGTGATGAGTTCAGTAAAGTGAATGGACGTCTGAACAGGCCTCCGCTGAGCATTCACGATTACTGCTGATGACCCGATGATCAATTTTTTTCAATTTAAGCTCATCTCGATGGCTATGAAAATTTGAATTTCTTAGCCTTAAAAGGATATGAGCGACCAAAGCATGGAAAACATAAGATCGTGATGGCCCATCGAGAACAAATGCTTGAAAGGTCTTCGTTATCCATCAGTTTAAGTTAGTTGAACGATATCATTTTTCAGTTTCGTAGAGATGGGAAATGAGATTGAAAACTAACTATAGTTAGACTTGCATGATAATCAAACGGTGCCAAAGACCTCGTGATGCAGTAGAAGCAGTTCAGGATACCATGTCTCATGATGGTTGAGAAGAGTTCAACATCCTGCGTTGAAAGTTCTCACCGGAAATCAGCGCCCGTAATTGCATGCGCTACAGACGATGTATTGCGCCAGAATGGTATGTAGTAAGTTCTTAAGCTTGGAAATGTCAAGCTTTCATTATTGGTCAAGCTCGAAAATCTCGGCATTCTCCATCCTACTTGCATAGTGCCTTGGAACGTACAGCTCTCAATTTTCGATTTTTGCGTATCGAATTGGGGTTGCAGAGTTTTAGCTGGTGACGAATATAACACGACTTTCCTCTCTGGTTCGTAACACTGGTATATCAATTCCTCGAATCAATGGTGTAAAGTGCTAATATCGTAGAGAACAGTTTCAGCCGTGGAAAAAAGCTTGGATTCAACACAAGTTGTTATCCTAAGTTCAGAGAACCTTTAAGGCACTTTCAAGTAACATCCTTCTAGACCATCCAGATGCCATTGACGTAAGTGTTTACGTCTCACAGATTCCCACCCTAAAAAAGTATGTTCCTGTTTGAAAACAAGACCTGGCATGCTCATGTTATAGCCTCGTACCTTTGAAAATCTGTCACGTAGAACTTTGAATCAAAGAACGGAGCACCGGTGTTTCCGTCGCCCATTTGTTTTTCTGTTCCGCCCAACAGGCAGAAAACTTCTTTGTCTATTCGAAGAGCTATGCAATACAGCAGTCATGGCCGCACTGAAGACCTCGTCTATGTTATGGTGAGACTTCGCAGAAGACTGAAAATGGCTCACTGCCCCCTCTTGCAGGGCCAGAGTTTCTGCCACAGTGGGATCCACCAGCTTTTCGAGCTGGTCCGAGGCGTACAGATCGCTTTTGGTGCCAACCAGCATGATCGGCGTGTCGGGACAGAAATGACGTACTTCAGGTATCCAAAGCTCTTCAGCGTTTTGTAGCGAAGTCTTGCTGTTGGCAGCATAACACACCATCAAGAGATCCACGTCTGTGTATGACAAAGGTCGTAGTCTATTATATTCTTCCTGACCTGCCGTGTCCCACAATGCGAGTTCAATGGCTTTGTTGCCTGGACCTCTGATCCTAGTCACGTAGTTCTCGAACACCGTCGGAATGTATTCTTCCGGAAACCTACCCTGCGTATATGATATCAGAAGACAAGTTTTACCCACAGCACCATCACCTACCACCACAATCTTGATATGGTGATCTACCGACCTCTGTGCTGCCTTGACCCGCTCGAAACTTGCAACATCTGTCAAAGTCCGTTCGAAGGGCGTTGAGTGCTTGTAGTTGATAGCAGAGGTGTTCAAACTCATCGCAGTCTTTAATGTCACTTTCGAGGTTAATGCTACAACCGATGCTCACTAATTTCAACACCAGAGCTTTTACAATTTCCACGTAAGGTTTATAGGTCTACAAGTTCCTTAATCGTATTTAAGTAGTACATAAGATCTATTTTATATCGGTTTCAATTCGAGTATTGGCCTTTCTAGCTCTTGAATTTCACTAATGTTATTTCTCGAATCAATTTGATATATTTACATAATAATATATATATATTCAAATAAATATCAAAAGGTAGAGGCAAGTTAGATCAAAGTTGTATGTTTAGACTAACATCAACACTAAAAAACATTGGTGCAAAGCTCTATATTCAAGGCCAATGAGCCTAGAAGAGGTCAGACGTGCACGTACATATAATGATTACTTGGAAAACGTAGCACATTATTGTTTTAGAGTGGCTTCTGCACATTTTGGGGTCAAACCCGATGCCCATGCCTTTGATAGCTTCAAAGAAGTCACTAGAGCGTGTATAGCCGACTTTGCGGCTGAGGAGAACAAAAGAGGTTTGGTTTTGATGCTTGGCCTAAATGGTACCATCTTGGCGGAACTTGAGCGTCCGAAAATGGCAGAAAAGAATTTGATCAATGAAAAGATGATGGTAACTGTGATTAAGAACTCACCTCAGCTAGATACTGAAAAACCGGTAGAGACACAACTTTTCGCAATCAGCTCTTCGCATGCAATGTCACATGCGGCTCTCGGTCATTTGATGAGCACAGGAGTCTCGTCTATTCTGGATCATACCATCAGTTCAAGCCGCGCTTCTGAATTGAAGAATGATGCATTGTACAATATCCGCTCTAAAATGAGCGAGCTGTCCAATTTGGTTGATAACGTGGAGTCTGAAGCTGTCGCCCCAGACATGCTTTCGACAGTTCACCCTTTGGTGAGGCATATAGCAACAGAAGGCGCAACAAAAGACAATATTCAGACTTTTTTGAACGAGCATTTAAAAGACAATTCTACGCTCAACTCGTTGCAAACTACAGTGTTAGGTTGGACTCAGTCCTTGCGGCACCTCACAGAATTGACACGCGAGGTGGAAGGTGGAACGCTGGAGGACGAGGTGATGTTTTGGGATAGCGTGGAGAAAGCACTAGTGTCCGTGCACGACCAAATTCAAGATCCAGGTGTACAGCTCACGATTGAGGTCTTACACGAGGCGCGAAGATTGCAAACAAGTTTTATCCATATAAGCCAGACGGTTTTGGCCGAACGTCTGAAGGAGGTAGGTGCGTATAATCTGTTTCTCGGCGACATACCAATTTCAAAACTTCGTGCAATAACTTCGCTTGATCAATTACACTCGTTGATCTCGGAACTAAATTCGAGCCTCAAGAAATTGAAAGTATGCGCGTATCCTGTTTCTCGAGCTCAATCACTGTTGAGGCTTCTGACCAAGGAATTTATAGACAGGTTGAGAAAGGTCGCTCCTGAACTGAGTGCTATGGATTTCAAGACTTTCGAAAGCTCTGTGAAAAGATTACAGGCTTTGCTTAAAGCTTGGGATGATCTTGTTGCTGATCAAATTCTACTTTTCAGAGAGATTGTGCGCAGGAGATCAGAAAAGCTCAAACTCATCAATCAAGACTCTCAAACAAGCGCTATTCGATTGCGGATTGAACAGCTGCAGGCTACGAGGAACAATTTACAGGCATGGAAGGTTGATATTTTACAAACAGGTTTGACAAAATACTTGAACCTTGTTAACGAGGCATTCGAAGCATTCTCGTCCGTCAACAGCTTGAACTGCTCCAATGATGTATGGGATACTGCTACGGATGTATACAAAGCGCGATGTGCTTCTCTGGAGGCAACATTTGCTGGCGTATTGAGATTCAAGCTCAATAGCTGCCAAGAAGCTTCAGAAATGTTTGCCGTCTTGGAGTCTTTCCAGCCGCTTCTCACACGAGCAAGGCTGCGGGCAAGTTTACAAGATTTCCATCGAGTTTTATTCAATTCTGTGCTGCTGGATCTTATAAGGCTTAAGAATCGGTTCTCCAATCAGCTCCTGGACATTCAGGCTTCTCAATCTTTGGATATACCTGCATTTTCTTCACGAATTATGCGGAATAGAAATATTGAGAAGAGAATAAAAAGCATAGTAATGAAAGCAACGTTATTGTTTGGCGACGAGTGGAAAGACTCCGACGAGGGCCGTCCCGTGCACGAAGAGTGTACCTCGATGCTCGAGCTCATAAAAACAGAAGAAACCGGCCAAGATTGGATTTCGACGGCAAACTTCAGCCTCGATGTAGGCAATCAGCCCGTGCTGGGTATACAAAAGAACCTCAATCAGTTCAGCGCTCATGTCACATCAAATGGCACTTACCAAAATGGTTTTAAGGAGATAAGGAATTTGAAATGGCAGGGATTCACATTTTCGAGATCGGTGGGGAAAGCCACCCAGTCGATCAGGACTGCGTATCCACTTGCGATTGATCTGTCAGAGCACTTAGACACATTTCTTATTGTTGCAAACAGGATCAAGAGGAGTCTCTATCTAAAAGCTCTTTTGAATGAACAGGTCGGCCAAGCATTCATTTTGCTTGGTCAGTGCATGGAAATCAAGTGGAATTCTTTACATGGCCTCAATTCACTTTTATCAAGAAATTCTGATGACCGCCTAAGCAACAGTCAAACCGTTTTGGCCAAATTTCGAAGACTCAGCGCTTCGGTCATTGAGGCTTTCAATGCTACAGAAACTCTAGATGAGAAGCTCAGGGCTGCAATGCAGTCATTATCTGATGGGCCGTATCTTGAAGATCGACTGAAAATCAACATTGAAGTTATAGTTCGTTTAAGTGAAAAGTTCACGACCTTCAACAACTTTGGTGTGCAGGCCTTTATGAAGTGTCTTGATTATGAAATGGTTAACCAACTGACTTCGGCTATGGAAAAGGCACTCAAAACTGAAAGGCTTCCCAAACAAGTCCTTACCGTTAAAATCAGCAGTGGAAGAATCGCTATTTCACCTCGACTAGAGTTGGCTAAATCTCAATGGGTCAACTACACGCAAATGATTCTCCATATTGCATCACAATCATTGAAAACGTTTCGAGTTCTACAAAGACAAAACGGCATGATTCCAAGGAAAAATGTACTGAGCTCTTTTTTGAGAAGAGCGTCGTTAATAGTCAACAAAAGCTTAAGAGACCAAGATCTTGCATTATGCAATGCTTTGGCGAGTCTCCAAAGGTGGAAAAAACACGAAGGTTTATGGAATATGACGGATGAAAACATTTTCGAAAAGGCAGCAGCAAGTTTGGAGACCATATTCCCAGTCTATACTGGGCTTTCAGCTGATTTAGAAACAGTTCAGTCGATATGCTCACAACTGGAACTCACACAATCGCTCACACTCATCCTCAAAGACTTGAAGTCCACACTTCAGATTTTTTTGAGAAGTTGGCAAGAGCGATTGTTGAAGATGATGAAGGAGTTTTACGTCGCAGAATCAAGAGACTTCCATCAATATTTGTCGAAGAGCCGGACTACACTCGAGCGAGAGGCTGGTCCTCTTACGATTTCATCTCTTGGAAGTTATTCTGAACTTTTTGCTGCGATTGAGGAACTTGTACAAGCACCAGATACGATCAAAACGCGTCTCTCGCTCATCGGATCTGTTTATGAAGTAACGAGAGGCAGCAGGGGTTTTCTAGCAACAAATGCCATCTCATTAGATCAACTGGAACTCGATGTCATGTCCTTGAGACAAGCTTTGAGAAAAAGACTCGACTGGATCGACCAAAACAAATCAATTATCATCCCTGCTTTCGATCGATGCTTTGACGTGATTGAGTCAGCTGCAAACTTTTTGGAAGTTGACCGGGCACAGAACAAGGCTGTGAACAGCACTCGTACTCCGACTGAAGCACTAGAAGCTCTCGATCTGGTTGGAATAATGATCGACAAATATTCTGAACAACTGTCTCAAGTAAATCAGCTTTGTTCAGTTCTAGCCCTTCCCAAGCGGTCCATCAAGTATCTTTCGTGCGCATCAAAAGACATAGCGGATCAAAGACAGGCCTGGACCGCGATACATTCCAATTGGTCTACTCTTCAGCTCTTACTTCAAACCAAATGGAGCGACATTAAATTACCAGAGCTGAAATCCCACCTCGAGAGTTTCTTGTCGCAACAATATGGGGATCAACAAAATGTACAGAACAATTCTGTTTTCAACTCTTTTCTCACTCAGGTTCACTCCGTTAACAACGCGTACAAAAAACTCATGGAAATAAAAGAATGTCATTTGAGGGCCCGCCACTGGTCTTCATTATTAGGTGGCAATGACAAGAATAATGAATCATACGAAAAAATTGATGCGAGGCTTCTTTCTTTGAAGGATATATTGCAGGTTGTAACTGATAGCAGAAACCTTGAACAAGTATTACATGAAGCCCGCTCTGAAGCTGTTCTCGAAGATTCGCTAGAAAGTATTGAAGCCCACTGGAAGAGCACTGAATTCAGGCGCAAAGAGCACTTAGCTGGGCTTATTCTTGTCACCGAGTGGAGGGTCTTGTTTGAGCTTGTGGATGATGACCTCGAGACCTTACGCTCAATGAAGAGCTCGGCCCATTATAAACACTTTGATCATCTGTGCGAAAACTGGGAAAGGAAGCTCAATAGCCTGGCATCAATTTTCAAAGATTGGTCAGAGGCACAGAGATTATGGCTTTATCTGCAAGCAGCTTTATCGACTCGTCAAAACTCCATTCTTCGGTCCGAATGGTCAAAGTTCGAAGGATTGAGTTCTGATTTTGCCTTTCTTATTTCGAGGGTTTTTGAAACGAACGTGGCATCGGACGTACTAATCGTTAGAGATTTTCACAAACTCTTGCAGTCTATTTTAGAGTCCTTGAGAAAGATAATGGATTCGCTGGATAAATATTTGGATACACAGAGGAAGCATTTTCCTAGATTGTATTTTCTGGGAAATGAAGACCTGTTACAGCTCATGGGCGCAAGCCAAAATTTGGAGCAAGCGTCTTTGAACTTTGGTAAGCTGTACATGGGCGTCTCGAGCCTGCACTGCAATGAAAGAGCTATATGTGGGGTAGTATCTCGTGAAGGGGAATTGCTCTCTTTTGAAGCACCGATAGAAATTGGAGATTATCCTGAGATGAAGGATTGGTTGATAGAGGTTGACAATAGAATCAAGTTAGCAGTCTTAACAGCAGTGGAAAGTTGTCTGGCCCGAATGCATCAAGGTGGACTTGCAATGCTCATTCAAATGTTTGAGGAATGCCTCTTTCAAGCCGCTCTATTGTCGCTTCAGATATGGTGGACGCTTGAAAGTGAAAAATTACTAAATGACATGAATTTTGACATCCTAGAGAAGGAAATCCGTGATTTCATCAGCCACCTCACTTACAAAGCAGAAGCAACAAATAATTTAATTTGCCGGAAGAAGGCTGAGAACTTGATAATTGAAAGCGTTCATCTTCAGTCTATTTTGAATACTTTGAAAGGGTGTGATTCAGCGGCCGCCGTTAATGTATGGACTGACACTTTCAAGTACTACCACAGTGCCGGGGTGCCGCCTTTACAATGCATTCAGATAAAAGTTGGTAATTCCATTTTCTATCATGGTCTCGAGTATATTGGAGTCCCTGAAAGGCTCATCTACACACCGCTATTATCAAATTGTTTTACAGCGATGGCGCACGCTTTGTCTCAAAAAAAAGGTGGCTCACCATTCGGTCCTGCTGGTACCGGCAAGACTGAAACTGTTAAAGCGCTTGGCCAAAATTTAGGCAGAATGGTGCTTGTGTTCAATTGTGATGATTCATTTGATTTTCCGTCATTGGGAAGACTTCTTTTGGGAATAGCTCAGCTCGGGGCCTGGGGTTGTTTCGATGAGTTCAATAGGCTGAATAAAAGCATCATGAGCGCAGTGTCTTCTCAAATTGGTGAGCTACAGGAGGCCCTTTTTAGAAAAGAAGAGCACATTTCAATCTTGGGAAAAACATCGGCCCCGCTGCATAACAACACAGGACTTTTCGTTACCATGAATTACGGTTATAAGGGTCGTCATGATTTACCAGATAATTTGAAGAATAAGTTTCGATCCTTTTCCATGAGTGAGCCAGATAATGAGATTATAGCAGAAGTGATTCTGCTTTCTCTTGGCTTTAGAGAGGCCCATGAAATGTCTCTGAAGATCACTAGCTTTTTCAAAATGTTACAAGAACGTTGCTCTGATCAAAAATACTATGACTTTGGCTTGAGAGCGATGAAAGCAGTGCTTAGAAACTGCAAAAAATTGAGGCAATCCTTGTTCGAGAATAATCTCGATAGAAATCTTGAGAGTTTAGTATATCTGAGCTTGCATCAGTTACTTGAACCTAGACTAGAAGATAAGGACCTGTTGGTATTTCGTGATGTGCTCTCAGAGCTATTTGATGACGTGAAACTGCAGGAATTTGATCAGAATTTTTCCAGCAATATCAAAGCTGCCTGCCTTGAACAAAAGCTTGAACCCACCGACGAATTCTCTAAAAAGTGCAGACAGTTATTCCATATCCAAAAATCACAACATGCCACTATTATAAGCGGGCCTTCTGGTACTGGTAAATCGTGTGTGTGGAAAACGACTCTGAATGCTATGACCTTGATGGATGAGGTTGAAAACACGGTTTACATCATAGATTCAAAAGTGTTGAGCAAAAGCCAACTCTATGGAAGCCTAGATCCGGTAACTTTCGAGTGGTCAGACGGCTTGTTCACTTCACTCTTGAGACAAATCACACGAGATGCTTTGGGAATGTTCCAAAAGAAACGCTTATGGATTGTTTTTGATGGTGATCTTGATTCCGACTATGTGGAAACTTTAAACAGCGTTCTCGACGATAACAGGGTTTTCACTTTGCCAAATGGTGAAAGATTCAATATTCCTAGTAATTTAAGGTTCATTTTCGAGGTCGAAACCCTCGAAGCTGCAACACCCGCAACGATCAGCCGTTGCGCTGTTGTTATCGTAGGCCGCGAACTTTACAACACCATAGACGTCCTACGGAGCCAGTTACATGCCTATTTTGACCGCGTCAACTTTCGGGCTTTTTTGGATGATTTGAAAGTAACTGAATTTGTTAAAATTGTACTAGAGACTTTTGGACCTTTGCTGGAACGCTTGTACTGGAAGGTACAAAGCCATTTTAAAAATAGGCATATTGCGCTGACTAGGTTAATTGAAACATTTGTATCCCTGGCAGGTTCAAAAGTCCTTCAGGAGACTGACAAATTATGCATTATGTCTAGTCATGCATTCATCACCTACCTGAAAAAGTCATTGGCTATATGCCTTGCGTGGGCGGCTAGTAGTGACTGCGACGAGTCCGATAAGGTCTTTGTGGAGGGGATGGTCGAGGAAGTCTCTCCCCTTGCCACCTCTGGGAGCTCTTCTGACGGCTCACTTACGGACTTGTTTGTTTCTCCAAGAGATCTTGATTTTGTTTCTTTGTCGACCCTGGTTCCGCGCGTCTCGCTTGAGCCACATCAAGTTCTATCCCCTGATCTATTGATAGCGACGTTGGACACAGTCAAGCACGAACGCTTCATCTTTGATCTGCTAACCTCCGGAAAGTCTTTAATACTATGCGGTCCCCCAGGGTCAGGAAAAACTATGACTTTATACAATGCTCTGAAAAATTCTAAGCGTTTTGAACTTATTGGTCTTACCTTTTCCAAAGAAACGTCAGTCGACACAATTCGCACAATTCTCAAACATCATACGACTCTAACCGAAAATGCGACAGATATGGTAATGCAGCCAAAATCGATGTTGAACGATCTCGTTTTATTTTGCGATGAAATAAATCTCCCTAGTACCGATAACTATGGAATGCAACCTTCTATCATGTTTCTAAGACAAATCTTGGAGAAACGTGGTTTCTGGAATACTGAGAAGTGCAAATGGGTTCGATTAGAAAGAATTTTAATCGTGGGGGCATGCAATCCGGCCGATGGCGCCGCGAGACAAGTGCTTACTGAAAGGTTTTTGCGACTCACGCCTATTCTTTCTGTTCAATATCCGGGCTCAGAGTCTTTACGTCATATCTACATGACTTTGTTCGACGCTACTTTCAAACTTGTTCCCAACCTTCGTGATTACGCGACTGATTTTGCAGAAGCATCACTTGACCTATATCTGGCGTGCTGTCAGAAATTCTCCTCACATAACCACTCACTTTATGTCCTCTCACCAAGAGACTTGACTAGATGGATTAAGGGAATTCACTATATTCTGAGTAACTCAACTGTTCAAAATCTGTCTGAACTCATAGAAATATGGTTTTACGAAGGTTCTCGTTTGTTCGGTGATCGACTGGTGAAATCTGCCACAAAGCAGGAATTCCGCAAGGCCGCTCATAGTACTATTTCGAAATTTTTCCCCGGCCAACAATCCTTCAATACAGAAGAAGATATTCTCATTACTAACTGGACTACGACAGAATATAAGAAAACTTCCAGGCGTGAAATAGCGGCTTTTGTGACCGAGCGACTAAAAGTCTTTATTGAGGAAGAGCTAGAATGCTCGCTAATCCCAACGGCCTCGTTAATCAATCATATGGTGAGAGTCGATCGGGTCCTCAAGCAGGAACAGGGCCACTGCATTATGGCTGGTCCAAATCGGAGTGCAAAAAGGTCACTAGTGAGATTTGTTTCCTGGCTTAACGGAATGGAGGTCGTACAGCTCCTAGTTCATCGTAATTTTGACATCTCCGATTTTGAAAGGCTTCTTAAGTCAGTTATGATAAAATGCAGTATTGATAACCGTAAAGTGGTTCTTTTGGTCGACGACTCAAGTACTCTGGATCCTGGTTTCATCGAAAGAATGAATACGCTGCTGGCAAACTCCGATATACCAGGATTATTCGAAGGGGAAGAGCGGCATAAACTAATGACAGACTTGTCAACAAGGGCCGAAAAGTTAGGATTGCTGTTGGACAGTAATGAAGAATTGTACGGTTGGTTTACGGCATTGATTGCGCATAATCTCCACGTCGTTTTCACGATAAACAACACGGGTTCACAAGGTGCTACAAGTATAATGAGCTCCCCGGCTCTTCTTAACCGTTGCGTTCTCGACTTCATGGATCAGTGGTCCAACGAAACCTTTTCGGAAATTGGCAATGTAGTTTTGCAATGGATGCCGCTTGACCAGGGATACCAAGAAGAAAATATAGGCGGCGAGGTAAGATCGCAAAGGATGATGAGCGACACACTTGTTAACACTGCAGTTGAACTTTTCAGACACTATCAAAGTTTACAGATTGAACCTCTAAGTTATGGAAAGTTTTTTGACCACCTTTCGGAGTTCCAGAGGATCTATTCCGAAAAAACTTCCGAACTTGAAAGTCTACAATATTTCATGTCCACTGGTCTAGAATGTATCAAAAAATCTGCTCTAAGAGTCAAAGAGCTAGCTGTAAAGCTTTCGGAGAAGAAAAAAATACTTGAGGTCAAAGAACTAGAAGCTCGGCAGAGCTTGGACAAGATGCTTGTTACTCAAAACGAGGCCGAAAGAAAACATGAGGCGTCAGTTGAAATCAGGAAAATTTTGGAGGTTCAAGAAAGGGATTTAACATCACAAAGAACCCAGATCAAAAGTGATCTTGCCGTGGTAGAACCTGAAATACTTGAAGCCCAAAGAGGTGTCACGAATATAAAGAAGCAGCATATGACGGAAATTCGATCAATGATAAATCCGCCCAAGAACGTAAAGCTTACACTAGAAGCTGTCTGCATTATTTTGGGTCAAGGCTACAAAGAATGGAAGGACATTCAGCACTATATTCGAAAAGACGAATTCATAGCAAACATTGTGCACTATGACACAAGTAAAATGATGGACGATTTCACTAGGTCGTACGTGGAAGACAATTATATTTCACGACCCGGGTTTACTTACGATGCCGTCAACCATGCCAGTAAAGCTTGTGGCCCTCTTTATCAATGGGTCGTTGCCCAGGTAAAATACGCCTCTATGCTTACCACCGTGCTGCCGTTGAAGAACCACGTTTTGGAAGTGGAGCAAAACATTCTTCAAACGAAGTCAAGGTTACTAGCAGCGGAAGATATGATTGTGGATTACCAAAAGATCACAGAGGAGTCTAAGACCGAGTACAGTTTGATTATTAGGGACATTGAGGTTATCAAGAGTGAGTTGGCTCAAGTGCAACAGAAAGTATCACGCTCCCAAAAGGTGCTTGAAAGTCTGGTATCAGAGAACTCCAGGTGGTCCAGCAGTATTGCCAAATTCAATGAAAATAAAAGTCGAGTGGTGGGTGACAGTTTTCTTTCGGCCACTTATATTACATACTGTATGTGCCATAACGCTGGGGCACGCAATATGTTTATATCACACAGCAAGAAGCTTCTTTCATCGATGAAGATCTCATACGATGAAAACTACAATTTTAGCGATCACAGTGTCAGATTCGAAGAAAAATCTAAATGGATCGAAGATGGCTTACCAGAAGATGAGACATGCATTGAGAACTTTTACGCAATGTTCAAGCTACGACAGTATGCCTTTGTTATTGACCCTGAGAGCATCATGACCTCTTCGATTACAAAGCATTTTGGTGAGCGCTTGATTGTTACCAGTTTTCTTGATAGTGGATTCGTGAAGAAGCTGAGAAACGCTCTCAAATTTGGCACAACCATTTTGATAGAAGACGGTGACTATTTTGATCCCATCATTTCCACGCTCGTAGCTCAAGAGTTTAAAACAATTGGTGGTAGGAAAACAGTGAAGATCGGTGAGGAAACTGTTGATGTTTCTTCCAATTTCAAGCTCATCATTGCATCCAAAAATGCAGCATGTCCAATCCCAGGGTTTGTCAGGGCACGCATGTCAATTGTGAGATTCGTTATCGACAATTTTTCGCTACAAGCACAGTCCTTGGAGCTTACATTGAGACATGAAAAACCCGAGCTTTGCCGAGAAAGACTGGAACTGCGGCAACTAAACGAAAGCTACAAAATGAGGCTACATTCTCTGGAAAAAGACTTGTTAGATGCTTTAAGTGGCTCTGATAGTGACCTATTGGAGAATGACTCACTACTGTCGATGTTAGAGCAAGTAAAGACCTCTGCCTCTGAAGTTCAAGTCAAGGTTAAGGAAACAAGAGGCGTTCTCGACGCTGTTGAAAAAGCGACTACCGAATACGAAGTGATAGGCAGGCATGCTATGACAATTTACTCTGTAATGGAGCAGTTATCTTCGCTGCACTGGAGTTATCAAATCTCAATAAAATCTTTTTTGCGTTGCGCAGCTTCGATTTTCGCCTCAGAAAGCCCTGTCGATCAAGGCAGACCACAACAATTACTCTCATTATTATATCAAAAAACATTCCAGTTCTATTCCCCGAGTATGACAGAGGAGCACAAAATCGTGCTGGCCATACTTTTGTTCACTCGCCATCTCGAGCTTGATTTTACTTCCAAGCTTCATTATGAGTTTAGAGAGCTTTTATCATCTATCAGTGAAAACACGGATGCAGAATTTGAAGCTCTTGACGAGATTGGTTTATCTGCACCGGAGTCGGACGCCGCACTAGCGTACATCAAGGGGCTGAAACTCGGTGTGAGCAATGATTGCGTGTTTTCGCAGTTTTCGGGAACTATGAGTTATTTCCAGAACCCAACTCCAATGGGGCTCGAAGAATACATTGATGCTAATATCGACGAGCCTCTATTGATTCTTTTGGAGAGAGGTGCAGATGACACATCTCGTCTATCGCAGCTTGCGGCATTGAGGTCACAAAACTTACTGACGATATCGCTGGGCTCATTAGAGAGCACCGTGATGGCTGAAACCGCTCTCTCGGACTGTATTCGCACGGGCCACTGGCTGTTGTTGCAAAACTTGCAAATGTCACCTGCCTGGGTGCGGTCGGTATTGACGCGACGTTTGGAATCTATGGCGAATGAGCCGGATATATCTCGCAATTTCCGGCTGTTCTTGACTTGCGATCTAGAAAGTACCGATATGCCACCTCCATTATTGCGGAGAAGCTGGCACTTTGTCCAAGGCCGTAAGAGAGGAATTCTAGCGACGGCCCTAGACGTGTGGAGCACTTTAGGGCATCAAACGGCAGTCAAAGAAACGCTTCCCGCACAGCTGTTCTGCTACTTTATTCTGGCCTGGTTTCACGCCCTACTTGTTGAATACAGCAATTTGCATCCTCTGGGGTTCACGAAGAACTTTGACTTCAATGATGCCGATTACAGCTCTGCTATTTTCTATTTGGAGAGGCTATTCAACTCCATTGACGACCATAAAAGTATACCTTGGAGCAATATCACTTTCAACATATGCGCAATCATCTATGGTGGGAAAATTGACAACGAAAAGGACTTGAATTTGTGCATAACCGTGGGCTCCCGTCTCTTCACGGCAGATGCACTCGAACCTGATTTTGAGATCGCTCCAGAGGTTCTGGCGCCAAGAAAAGACAATATGAAATGGGGTGATTACAAGCAATGGCTGCTACAATGTCCAGCTCCCGATAGCTGGTCTAAATGGCTCGGTCTCGGCGACGACCTCGAAAACGAACAGCAGAGTATTCAAGCCCAGAGGATTGCCCGCTCGGTACTGGCGGTTTCGGATGATTGCTGAGTATTCTGAAAAATTACCAAGCCACCAATCTACATAAAACAAATCTAACTTTTATATAGCTATCTCTATTTTCTGATAAGCATAATAGTATTTTGTAAGTAGAGTTCGAATACGTATATTTGGGTTATTAGCGGTTCAATATGAATATATATATATATATAAATGTTGAACATTGTACATCAAAAGATATAAAAACATAAAGAACAACTGAATACGGCTTCTTTTCAAAGCCCTAGGGTCCATTATCGAGATGGCCAGTCGAAGCAGATCAGGAACGGAGTGTGAGATAACACTTGACAAGCTGGATGAGGTCAAAACATATAAAGATAAACATCCATATGCTGATCCAGGAAATCATGACAGTGAACATTTCAAGAAGAGAATGAGTCCTCTCCGCTTTCAAATGCGGGAATACCTCGTGCGGTACACGGAGAACCAGTCCGAGATGCTTTATGAGTGGCAAAGCAAGGTCCGTTGCAATTTTCTGGACAAATATTTCGCATACACAGCATTGATGGGGTCCCATATGTTTTACGTTATAATGGTCCCAATGCCGCGCTGGCTCGGCTATAGTGGTGTTTGCAGGGATCTGGTGTACATTCTTGGGTATTCGATCTATCTGAGCGGCTTTCTCAAAGACTACTGGTGCTTGCCTCGACCCAAATCTCCACCTTTAACCCGTGTCACGCTAAGTGGATACACGACCAAAGAGTACGGAGCACCCAGCTCGCACACTGCCAATGCCACAGGAGTGACGATGCTTCTATTGTGGTACATCTACAGCTCAGAAACAATGCTAATGTATTGGAAATTAGCGGCCGCTGCAGGAGCATTCTTCTACTATTTTACGCTTACTTTGGGAAGAATATATTGTGGGATGCATGGCTTACTTGACATCTTTTCAGGTGCTATAATAGGTGCGTTATGCTTCGTTGGTCGGTGGGCGGTTTTGACTCATACCGACTTTGATGCAGCAAGCATGAAGGACTGGGGTTTGTGGTTTCCGATTGGGTCCATTACACTGGGATTGAGTCTTTTGTTTACGCACGCGCGACCCGTGGATCATTGTCCGTGCTTTGAGGATAGTGTTGCTTTCGTAGGAGTCATTTGTGGCCTAGAAAGTAGTGACTGGTTGAGTTGGACTCTTTTCGGTGAGTCTAATTACGAGGTCTACTATAACTGGTTCGAGTTCGGAATTCCATATACTATTAGAAGAATCATTGTCGGGGTGACTCTGGTTTTGATATGGAAAAGTCTGGTGGGGAAGAAGCTAATTTACAGGATCTTAAGTATCATATGGGATGACGATAGACATCTTTATGCCCATGGACACGATGAAACCTCCTACTCGAAAGAAGTGCTTCTTTTTGTGGGTCGTTCTAGAACTGAACTTCTGTGCCGATTTATCCTTTATGCTGGTGTTGCTGCTGTTGTTGTTCTTATATGCCCCACGGTATTCGGCTACTTAGGTGTGTGAGAGGAAATCTTGGTGATACAAAGACTACGGGGCAGTTCTGGACGAGATGCTGGGATAAAGTAGACGTCCTCTCTGAGTTCTTCATTGAGAAATCGTTGCGCGGAAACTCATGTTGCTATGGACCCCATGTATATTGAAATTTGAGGGTGTGGTAAGCTTGAGAAGATGCTGTACGCAATGTTGAAAAGGAGATGTTTCAAGATGTGCTGTCAGGTGGCCACCGATAATCTCGCGACTTTCATAGGAAATGGGCAATCACAGCATGTCTAGTGCTTAAAGAGACTATTTTGTGGTTGCGATCATAAGTGAGAAAGAAGGCCAAAGCATACACACTGGAAATGGCCTTGTGTTTGATCCTGTCACTATATTCGAACGACTTCGGCGACTTCTGTTATGGTGTTAGCAGACGAAACTTCACAACATAGAAGCCGCAAAGCCGCAGTTCGAAATTGATATATAATTCATCACCCAATTTTCTTGACCGGATGAGAACTCCAAAGTTGTTCTACTCTTACGTTCGTTGGGTGCTTGTTTGAGCTCACCTCAAACAAGAACAAATACTAGATTTACACAGAAATTATAGACTATGTTGAGACAAACCGAAACCCTATTCTGTCGATTTGGTTTGCTATTTTATACCAGTCCCATTGGTTTTTGAGCTCTTCATATCGTTGGGCTTAGCTTTTGGAGTGTTGTTTCTTTCTAGTCTGGGCGTCTTTGAAAGCTCGGCGGCTAAATTTTTTATGATTGTATTTTCAACTAATAAAAGATGGAAGTATATATATAGCGACTAGTTTTGAGAAATGAGAATCTGAAGTACACTTCACAGTGATAACATAAACAGTACAGTTCAAAAAGCCGTTTATTATACACGCTCAGAGGCATACCAAAAGATAACTTACTGCAATGGTGGATAAGGAGTGAACAAGCAGTTATTGGAAATCTAGTGACAGTGTCTCCAAACGCAGAGGGGGGTGTTTGAAGGGAAAAATGGAAATAGTGGTAGAAAAGTGTTGAGTACGTCTTGGTCCTTGGGCTGTGTCAAACGGCATATACACTGGGAGGAAGTACAATAAAACCAGTGGCGGAGCACCATTTAGCTTTTATGGCATGTTTGATATTGATCAACAAGATTATTTGAAATGCGTCGCGTTGGGTTCATATATTCGATCAACAATTCAATTGATTATCCTCAGAACACAAAGAACTTTGCCTAGCATTCGATTACGAGCGTGGCGTAGCAAATTCTGATTCCACCTTCGAAAACCTCGAAAATCCAGTGCTGTATTCTATTTGAAAGACATAATGAAATGGCGATAAAATGTTTTGACAAAACGATGCCGGAAGTTACAATGAAATGCTGCTTAATAGCTAAAATTTAAGCAAGACGATGCTGTCCTAGTTGCAACCAATAAAATGGAATAAAACACATCAGCAATCTCCAAAAAAGTCAAGAAGTTCCGAATAACAGATCGGATTCTTCTCAAGCGAGGAATTGAACTGACGTCGTCAGATGTCTGGCAGAACGCTGTTACGGACCCTAATGCCACTTGAGAAGCCTACGAACGTGACGGTCTCGCCCAAATGCTTAGCTAATGATGCGATGATGTCGCTCTGAACGATCTCAAATTTTGTTAACTTCGACCTTCTAACGAGCAGACACCCAGAAATAACCATCAAGAGATACCCAAGAGGAGGAAGAGCAACGGTTTAGGCCATCGTTAGTGCTTACAACACTCATTCATCTGTTTTATTTTGAGACAAGCAGCTGCGGAAAAATTCAGAATCTACACCATGGCTGAGGAAATCGACTACGAGTCGCTTCCGATTAACTCTCCGCTCTCCCACCAGTTAGCTGCTGGCGCTTTTGCGGGGATCATGGAACACTCTATCATGTTTCCGATTGACGCGATCAAGACCAGGATGCAAGCTCTAAGCGCATCTTTGGGTTCAACAACAGCAGCGACGAAGTTGCCGTCCAATATAGTACAGCAGATTGCCCGCATATCGACCACTGAGGGCTCGTTGGCCCTATGGAAGGGTGTGCAGTCTGTGATTCTCGGTGCTGGGCCTGCGCATGCTGTCTATTTTGCCACTTACGAAATGTGTAAAGGCTATCTGATCGATCCGCAAGATTTTCAAACGCATCAACCGCTAAAGACTGCCGCAAGTGGTATCGCAGCAACCGTTGCCGCGGATTTTCTGATGAACCCTTTCGACACCATAAAACAGCGCATGCAGCTTCAATCACCCTCCAAAAAGGGCATGTGGTCGGTTGCAGCTTCGATTCGTCAAAACGAAGGTTTGGCAGCTTTCTATTATTCGTATCCTACAACGATTGCTATGAATGTACCCTTTGCAGCATTCAACTTTGTGATTTACGAGTCTTCTACGAAGCTTTTCAACCCTACAAACACCTACAACCCACTCATACATTGTCTATGCGGTGGTATTAGTGGCGCTGTATGTGCTGCCATCACCACTCCACTTGATTGCATCAAAACGGTTCTACAGGTTCGTGGAAGTGAAAGCGTCGTGAATCCACTGTTCAAGAAGGCCGATACTTTCTCAAGAGCATCAAGAGCCATTTATCAAGTGTACGGCTGGTCCGGTTTTCTGAGGGGTATCAAACCTCGTATCATCAGCAACATGCCTGCTACTGCGATATCATGGACTGCATACGAATGCGCTAAGCATTTTCTATTCAAGGGAGACCAGATTTTGTAAAAACTGATCGGACCCTTACATTCACTGTGATAGATTTTTAGGCTTGGATTAGCTGCTTGTGAGGTACAGCACTATTCCCAAGATTTCAATCGAGCATTTTTCTCTGGAATCCATTGTAAATAAAGAGCCGCCCTTCTTGAGGCCGCTACCCCATTACCAGACTACCTTCATTGGCACGTAATATGGCACAAGCCATTGTGTTATATAGTTATTAAAAATATGCCACGGTAGAGAGTAACCCATCATGCCTGTATGTATTTCATGGATCGTAGGACCGCCGCGTGTTCTGTCGCAGAGCCTCCATATCCCTGCTATATTTGTATGAATCTACATCCCAAACGACCGGATAATTTGGGTCTTCAGGAATATAACCATCTCTGGCCATATCCACCCATGGCTCATCATCCTCTGTACTTCCATATGCAGCAGACCGCGATGGAGATGGTGACTCGACGCTGTTTATCCAGTAGTTGCCCCGACCTCCATCCGAGTATCTGAACCCAGCTTGTAAACGACCCAATCGGGACCGGGAATCTCTGTGAGCAATCACAGCTTCGGCGGAGTTGAAATGACGATAATTGTACAAGTTTCCGAAAAATGTTATTTTGAAGTCCCATTTCAGATCGCCACAGCCAAAGCAATCTCTAAGGGCGTATACAGTACGCATTCGAGCACCCTCTGGTATGCTTTTCGAACTATACGCGCTCCAATTGAAAGCAATTAGATGTCCAATGGCGAATCCTATCATTTCAACGCATAGCGCGGCGTTTTGATAAACGTAGCCATAATCCACGCTATCTGGGCGATTTGGAATCAGACCATACTTGTTCATGAGTGCGATGAAAATGCCTTGCCAATATGAGGCAAAAATTATGAGTTTGACGCACAGAAACTTGGGCCATGGACTGTGTTTTTGAAGCTCGTCGTACAGACATTTCCAAAATAGTGCGAGGTTATAAAGCGACAACGTTGCAGAAATGTTGTACGAAATCGTCCAGAAGGGCATCCAAAAGTCTGGATACCAATTGTTTTGCATACACAAGATAGTCCCCACACAGTAAACTGGTTTAAACCACACGTATTGCAAGATCCCACGTTTAACGCTTAGGAAATCGCTAGGATCGGACATATCGATTTTTGGTAAAATACGGCCCAGTATCAAGATCGGGTGTCGCATTGGGGGCTTCCCCATTGACAATTGGGTAATAATCGTGCGTTCTCCACCTAAAATCAACGTTAGCAGCGTGAAAAACGTGTAGATTACAAACGATTCGTAGATTTCACGCACTGGATCTATCCAAATTTGTGCTTTCCTTGGTATGATACATGCCAACAGACAAGTTGCACTGAAAAGCGGGACCATAAGTTGTATTCGGACCACCAACCTTTGTTCATATGGTTTTCGGTAATTTAAGAACTGTTGAGCTATGGAGACTGTCGAAGTTCCTATGCTGAGAACTGACGAACAAACACATAACAAAAACCACCATCGCGGTATGTAGTAGTTCATAGATCAGAATCGGCGGGTATCGAGGATGTAGCAGGTGTGTGCATCGCTGAGTTCATTGTAGTTTTGGTGAAGGAATGAGACTCAGATGATGATAATAAATGAAGGGACACGGGATAATATCTGTGTCACGTGATCTCATTTATTACTGGCAGCGACAGCGACAGGAAATTATCAGTGTGGAAAGAATCGTTATGAGTGTACTCTCAATGTGCTTGTACGTTACAATGTTCATGTTGTTTTTTGGTTTAACGTTTGGGTAACCTCTTGCTCATAATGGCCAAAAGTGAGTTTTCATGACGAAATTATAAAAAAAAACTCATTGCGAATCTGGCTAGGCAAAGTTGGATTTATCCTCACTCAAAATTATAAATCCTGCCGATACAAATTGCAAAATCAAAATCTGTGATTTTTCTAGTGATTGAAAACGATAAGGTGGCTAAAAAAGCATTTTTGATTGATCAAAATGTCACTGTCACCTGTCACGTGACTAACAACTCGACTCATGAAGGCCCCTGTGGTTCGTCCTGTAGTCAGTTATGGGTGAGTCAATATCCATTCTTACTATTGTGGTGAGCTGTTAGTGTTACAAGATGTAACGAAGCCTACAAAGATTTACAGAGTGGAAACTCTATAAATAATGCAAAATCTGGCGTAAACCTAGATAACTAGCCGCATGGGTTTCGTTCCCAGCCTCATACTCATTTTGAGAAAAACACACCTATCAAAAAAAAACGTCGCGACACTCTACATTCATTAGAGTCAACCAAAAACCTGGGAAAACGGTGGGACCGTCTTCTGAGATGTAGCGTCTAATAAATCACATAGTGATAAAGCACGTGACTCGACGACAACGACAGAATTGATACAAATGCCATGAAACTTGAAAAATGGCAAGCAACTGGCACAACAACGTCTATGATCCCCAATAGCTTTCCAGTGTTTTATCCTGCCTTCGGTTTGATTTGATACATCTTCGTTTTACAAGAGTTAGGTTCGAACTTCCAACTTCTGGCATTATTGGAACTAATGTCAGACCCATCTTCAAGGGTAAAGTTATTCAATTTACGGAAACAAATTAAATGCTCACGCTTTGAAGTAAAGCGAAAAAAAACAGCGTACATAGCGCGTGAGTCTAGCTGGCGCCTCTAGACGGGAAACGTCCACAATAGTAAGTGCAATGCTAACCTGAAAACTTTCAGCACCTTTGAAATAAACTGTCGCTGACGTTGAATCACGTGACAAAGCCCATCATCTTCCTATGTTCGTGTCTCTTTTCGTGCTACCCCAATGTCACTATGAGCATTTGGTCAGACGTATGTTCTGGATTTTGGTGCTGTTCTGAGATCTTTTATGTCGAATAAATGACCGATTTGAAATGCATTTTCTTCCCTTCGCGAGCATTTGATCACTTTGTCATTTACCGTCGCTTTCGAGCAACGACTTTTCCAGACCGCATATTTCATGATCGGCAAAGCGCTAATGTTCTAGGAGTTCCGTCAGAAATTTCCTTCAATCAGTCTCTCAGGACCAAGCTCATCAGAAACTCGAAAAGTAGTCTTTTCCGTGGGCCCAAAATTCATTTTGAAAATAATAGATAGAAAAGATACTGCATTCGACATTCAAGCGGTTGCATTCGAGACATAATTCACACAGAACGCCTTCTTTGACCTCGATTATTGGACTGTTCACCACCGATTCCTTAATCGAGACAACACGCGGATATTGTGAACACTTTTATTGATTGAATAATCACTTGTCGTTTTCATTCTCCTTCTTGCCTTACAGAAAAGCTAGGAAGAAGAATCAAAAAAGCAGATCCACCACTAACTCTTAACCGAGCTCACACAGATATTATACTTATACTTACTCATCCTTCTGACAAGATTTGTCTTTATTCTGACGCTCTTATTCAAGGTCTTTTATATATATAATAAGGTCTAATTATCTTTATAGATCTCTATAACATTGTTATAAACCAATATCAAAAGCATCCGTGAATGCAAGCTAAATAGCTTGTAGCGCACCATGATCATCATCAGGCTACTCGTATGGCTTTTACAAGCGTGCAAAATAGTCCAATCTGCAGGGGTGGCGGCTCATTTGACGCTTTTGGCGCGAACAAGTGTACCCAGTGGTTTACAACCTTATCTATCGCAATTGAAAGCCGGAACTTTCTTTCCTGACGCTTTTTACAGTTGCAATACGAATAAAAAATGGCAGCAGTTTTCGGAGTGGGCACATTGGCCACCTTTTTTGATCTTGGGATCCAAATTGTGGCAAGAACGCTATAAAAACGATCAAGATTGCGATAATTCTAAAAGATTGAAAGCATTTTTAATGGGCGTATTTGTTCATCAAGTGACTGATGTGTCTTGGCATTCGTTGGTGTCGGGTTATAAAAGTCATGGATTAATCAAGGTTCTAGCAGGTCTCGAATTTGATGGTGACTACCAGGCGGCACACAACTTTATTGACTCGATGGGAGATTTTTTGATTTTAGGCCAGATTTTAACGGATTACTCCACTGAACAATGGGCATACTACACTGATCAAGATTGGGAATTTCCAGTAGAAGACGATCTTTTGGAGCTTATTCGTAGATCTGGGGTAAATGACATGCATTTATGGGAAATCAACACCTGTGTGAGAAGAGGAGCGGCAGCTCTGGCCAGTGAAGTCATTACTATGGCACAACGCAAAAACCAGGTCCTCGAGCTAGCCTACGGAATATCTCCAAGAGCACGAGAGCTCATGCAGGACCATTGGCTGGGTGGAGAAATGAATTTAGCAGCTATGATTAACAAATGCCTTCCCACATTCCTGTCTCTTTTCGAGAATGAAGAACTAAGCATTGACGACATGGCCACTCTGATGGAGCTCTGCGGCTCATTACCGTCCGCAAAGAAGTTGGCACCCGTTGAAAAAATGTCGCTACAGACTCAACATCAGAGTGACGGTTCACTATTTGTCTCACCCTTAATGCCCCTGTCGTTGTTCGGATCTGATATCGCTGTGGGAAGGTTTCAAAAAAATGCTACCTCGCTGGCAATTAGTGCGCCACTAGAAGAGACCGAGGGATCTGTTTACGTGATTCCCTGGAATGAACTGACGGGTTTGAATCTCAATGTTGCTGAAAAGCCGCTCACTTCAACCTATGGTGCACGGGTACATGCATATACCCATGGTTCGGTGGATTACCTCGTGGTATCCGCTCCCGGTGAAAATAGCATTTATTTTTACGAAGATGGGCTCAAAAAGATTACCTTGAGCGATACCAGAAGTTGGGAGAGGCATCAACTTTCAGTATCCTTGATTGGGGACATTGATGATGACGGAATTCCTGATTTGATCCTCACAGGCCCTCGTTATGGTTTGAACGAAACAGGCGTTGTGATGATTGTTGATGGACGCGAAACAGTCGATTACCTTCGGGACTCCAAAGAACATGAATTGGAGCTGCATGATATGGGAACTTTGACCCTCAAAGCTCCTCTTTCGGAGGCCTTTCAAAATTATGGATCACAGCTAGCCCTTTCAACTGCATCGAGCGTGAACAGACTACTTTACGTTGCGGCACAAGGTCTGGGCGTGATATTTGCATATTCGCTGAGAACGCTACATCAGAACGCTTTACCGAGTTATTACATCATTGACGAATCTGTTGTTCCTTTCGAAGTGGACGTGCCCCTCGACCTGCATATAAGAACATCTTCCCAACACGGTATGTTCGGGAAGGAAATGAAGACTTGGAGGTTTGAAGGTAAAGGGTTTGTTGCAATCTCTTGTCATTTACAAAACAAACTTTTTATCTATGAGGAAATAGCCGGTGCCTTGACTTTCCATGCTGTATTGGTCTTGGACACGTCAGCCGACCCCAAGACTGTGAAGGCAGCGGTGGGATTCGGGACTTCTCTCGAATACGATGACAAGAATGACAGACTTCTCGTCTCTTCTCCTGGATTGTTCGAGGGCACAGGCGCAATTTGGGGAATTAGCATGATCGAGATATGGCAGTCAGTTAAAAGATGGAAACTTACTACCATCTTGGTGACGCCTGCTAAACATTTGATAAGCCTAAATAATGGCGTATCTGGAAAAGGAATTCCAGATTATGGGAAAATCATTAAAATGGGACCAGACGGAAAGCTTCTGGTGGGAGCCCCGCGGTACGGGTATGGAGATTTCGGTGATCATCAACTCTCAGGTGGGATATATATCATATGAAAATCAGGAGTAGCTCTCAACTTTTTAAGAAGAATATTTACAAGACTTCTGTGTTGGTATGAGATTATGTACATGTATATGCATGAATAATAAAGGGATTTTATAGTTGAGATGATGCGAATTCTTTGTTCTTTTTCCTAAGCAGTTTTGATTCCAGTTTCGCCTGCTTTAGCTGCTTGCGTTCCTCTCTGAGAGCCGCCTTGTCGTTTTTGTTTGATGCGGGCTTCGGGTTTAGCTTCATGATCAACCTGGAGTCGATACTACCTTCCAAGACTGGCTGAATAGCTAGCTCGCTCACAATTTCGTGAAGACTTTCTAGCACAGTTTCCCGTCTTCTATATTCTTTGGGTGATATAGCGGAGCCTTTGGATTTCTTCTCGTCTTCCTGGTGAGTCGGAATGTCATCACTCCAATTGACCTTGCTGAGTTCTTCTTTACCATTGAGATACAGGTAGACTTTATGGCCTTTTTTCAACTGCGATGTGATCTCATTGGCCTTTTGCTTGTTAAGGTCAGAATCAGAAATCTGCCAGGAAATCTTAATTTGCTTCAAGTTGTCAGTGTTAGTGTCTTTGTCGTTTTTCTTGCCTAAGCGTTTACTGGAGAATCCCATTTTTATCAATTCCTCTTTCTTCCGTTCGGCCAGCTCATCGGAGTACTTTTTCAGAGCGGTCTTAGAGTCCACTACTTTTATCAGTGGTATGCTGCCGGAGCTTCTCTGTTCAATGTTCACCAAGATAAATCCCATTTGGTCCAAATCGATTCCCGCTGCCCAGTTTACAAATGCCTTTTCTTCGAGCGTATTGGACTCTTGATTGACAACTTTGACGATTCCACGATCATTGAGCTTCAAAACCTGCTGAAGTACATGATTAGCTGCGTTTCGAGCTCTTTCCGTCCCACTTGTCCATTTCACTGATGCACGTTTCTTCGTGAAATGCTGGCCGGAAGCAGAGTTTCCAAACTTGGGATTTCTTTTGGCAAAAGTTACATTTTTCGGTGGTTGCAAATTGCCACTGCGAGCAGTTGCACCACCCTTCCTTTCCTTATCGTTCTTCATGGATGTTGTTGCATTGAACAGAATGTCATTACTCTTACTAAATGACCCAGAAGTTATCGGTCTGTCAGGTCGGAAACCTCTCTGAAAACTTCCCAGTCTTCCGAACAATACTCGATTGGCAAATGGAATGCTTCGAAGGCCCGGTAGGCTCGCCATCGTTGCTTGTAGATCGAGAATAGTATGTGTTAATCGTTGAATGTTCAAATAAGATATGAGATGAGATGAGATGAGATGAGATGAGATGAGCACGTATGAAGGCATGAAGAAGAAGTTCGATATCTCCAGTGCACAACCCAGCGACTCAGACCACTGGATTCCATTGAAGTAGCGAGCGCACATCATAATCTCAAAATTCAGTAGTTTACAGGATCAGTACTTATGTAGTGTTATTGTCAATTGGCTATACCATGGTGCTGAAATTTTGCATACATCGATATCAGATTCTTTGATATGATTCATTGACTGCAATCCTAAAAGTCCCCACCAAAGGACTCCAGTCAACAAAGCAATTTGATCGCGATATGGATGGACAATTGCCTATCTTTGGTTGGTTTTCAGATTCAGAGATCAACACCCATTACCATGGCCAAAAGAGCCATTCTGACGAATAGTCCATATCTCATCTGTCTGAAGTATGCGGCACGGTGATCATAGTCTACTTCCTCACGGATTTCGTTCACACGAGGCAATGGATGCATGACAACCATTTGGTCCTTTGCATGAGCCAAGATTTTGTTGTCCACAATGTAGACGTCCTTCAGTTTTTCGTATTGGTCAGCGTTTTCGAATCTTTCTTTCTGCACTCTAGTGCAGTACAATACATCAGATTTCGAAATGATCTCAGGCGTCAAAACTTCGCTTTCAACGCCAAGCATTCCAGCCTTGGCAAGTTCCGTGCGCAAGGCAGTTGGCAAGCTGAGTTCGGAGGGGGAAACCAAGTTGATTCTAACTTGGTAGTGTCTCAACAAACGGCACAACGAGTGTACGGGTCTTCCGTATCTCAAATCACCCATGAATGTAACAGTAATACCGTTCACGGTACCCAGTTCTTCACGGATAGTGAACAGGTCCAGGAAAGCTTGAGTAGGATGCTCACGCGAACCGTTACCACCGTTCAAAATTGGAACGGGGGAGTACTTGGCAGCAGTGTGAGCAGACATCTCGTCGGGATGACGCAAAACAATAGCATCCGAGTAGCACGCTAACGTTCTGATCGTGTCCTGTAGAGTTTCACCCTTTTTAACGGATGAAGAGGTTGTGTTAATGTTGACTGTTCTGCCTCCCAAACGTTCCATAGCAGCAATGAAAGACGATGATGTACGAGTCGATGGTTCGTAGAAAATGGTTGTCAACAACCGACCCTTCATAATGTCTAGAATACCTTCCCTTTCAACACCGGATCTTAATTCTTGTGCTACCGCAAACAAAGCATGGAAGTCGGAACGCTTGAATTGGTTGACAGATAAGATATTTCTCCGCAAGAAGGGATTGTTACCTCTGATCAAACTCTGAATAGCGCCTGGTGCAGCTAGCTCTTTGGGTGGTCTAGAAGACATCAATCTTTGCTCCAAAGGTTGATCTAATAACGCTTCCTCTTCCTCATTGATACTGGCAAAAGAAGAACGTTTCTCGTTGGAGAACGAGAATCTTTTTCTGCTGCTGGTAGGAATTTCAGTGGTAGGAGGAAATGAAGGTGCAATCACCTTACTACCGCTCACGACTGGTTTACCTTGAGCTTCAGCAGTAACTAGATCACCACTCAAAACAATGGTTTCCTCATTGACAATAACGCGCTCAACACCTCCAGTCAGGCCGCCTTTGGTGTATGGAGACCATCTCTTAGTGTGTCTGAATGCAAAATCTAGGTCAACTTCCACTTCTGCTTTTTGTGTTGGAATATTGAAAATCTTCGATGGATTGTCATGCAAGCGCTCGACAATGTCTTCAATCGTCAATCTGCCTTTGTTTACTGCGGATAGAAGAAGAGGCAAAGCTTCTTTGATACCCATACCAGTGACGATTTCGCGTCCTGTAACTTGAGCAAGCATTGTGGGTAGGGCTCCAATAGAGAATGCATCAATAGAGTCCAAGTTACGCCAGAAAAATTCTTGGTCTTCATCCGTTGGTAGAAATTTAGCCTCAGGGTAGTCTGATTGACTGACAAATAGGGCGTGAATGTTCACGTCACAAGTCACCATATCTTGCTTTTCTTTGACAGTCATGATCAAAGACAAGTCGTCCCTAGTAGAAACGCCAGTGATATGAATTGGTCTGTTTTGTAGGGAGGCCAGCAAGATAACTGAGGCTAGATCAGATGTCTTCGCCTCGGCAATGACCTGCTTTTCCAAAGGCCAATTTTTCAAATGTTCAGCAACAGCAGCTATTTTTCCAGTGAGCTCACGGTGAGGCAAAAATAATGCGTTGGCACCATTGGCGCATTGGGCTACGTCAGCGACGTTGTTCGCTGTGGCGGCAACTGTTAGACCAAAATCAGTGAAAGCAGAACCCTCTACGACAGAGTTTGCCACCTTCATGGACTGCTCGTTTGTCACAACAGGGCCAATGGTAGATTTTGGCATGATTTGCGAATAGGTGAAGCCCGATTCCGCAGAAAGCCTCGTAATTTCCTTCATTTCATCAGGGCCCTGAACAACGTTGGAGATATTAGGAATGTAAGATGAAATGTTGATCAAACCAGGAATTGAAACCGTTCTGTGAGAAGTTTGAGCGTCCCTTTCAGAAACGTCCAGTTTCAAGTTTCGTGAAAGGGCCTCGATCAAAAGCTTGGCGCACTTCACATTTGTCACTAGTGGAACAGAATAATCCACCGCCATACGACGTGTCTGATAACCTTTTGAAACGTAAGAGGCTGGACGACGGAACCTGTTCGCCGATGGCAAATTAATGTACAAGTCAATCTTGTTTTCAGCCAAATGTTGCGTCAAGGAGTATTCAGACTTTTCGTCATCTCCTTCGTTAAGCACTTCCAAATACTGAACAGGGATGCCATGCTCGGAAATGAAATCAGCGGTACCAGCAGTCGCAAATAGCTTATAGCCCATGTTGTATAGCTTCTTCACAAAAGATAACATTTCTTGTTTTTCTTTGTATGAACCGATGGAGAGCAAAACGTTTTTCTTAGGCATCTTAAATCCCGTCGACAAAAGCGATTTGATGTATGCCTCATACTTAGAGTGCCCGAAGGTAGCGACTTCACCAGTCGATGCCATTTCAACCCCGAGAACAGGGTCAGCACCAGCCAGACGTGGGAAAGAGAATTGGGGAACTTTGACAGCGACATAGTCTTCTGGGAGTTTTTCAGTTGGATAAGGTGTGACTGGCAGCCCCATGATTGCCTTTGTGGCCATTTCGATCAAGTTAACATTGACAACCTTGGAAATGAATGGGAAAGAACGCGAAGCACGAACATTACACTCGATAACCTTAATATCATTATTTTTAGCAATGAACTGGATGTTGAAGGGACCGGTGATCTTCAAAGCCTTTCCGATTTTAGCGGTAGCCACGACAATTCTGTTCACGGTTTCGGGGTCCAAATCTTGAGGTGGTACAATCAGTGTAGCATCTCCTGAGTGAACACCAGCGTTTTCAACGTGCTCAGAAACAACGTGCATAACCAGCTCACCATTCTTGGCTACAGCGTCCATCTCAATCTCCTTTGCATTTTCGATGTACTTGGTAATGACGACAGGATAGTCACGAGAGACTTCAACTGCTTGATTCAAGTAGGAGGCAAGGTCGTCTTTGCTGTATACGGTATTCATAGCCGCACCCGATAGAACGTAAGATGGACGGACCAAAACAGGGTAGCTGACGGCCTCGGCAAAAGCTTCAGCTTCGTCCATGGACGTAAGTTCTTTCCATGCCGGCTGGTCAACTTCAATTTGATCCAACATACGAGAGAACTTGTAACGATTTTCGGCAGCGTCAATCATTTCAGGTGCGGTGCCCAGAATTTTGACGTTCTCACGGTGCAGGGACATAGCAATGTTGTTCGAGGTTTGTCCACCCATGGACACGACCACACCGTTGGACGACTCGATTTCATAAATATCGAGAATCCTCTCCAAGCTGATGGTTTCGAAGTACAACCTGTCCGCTTCGTCATAGTCTGTTGAGACCGTTTCAGGGTTATAATTAATCATGATTGACTTGATGTTGTTCTTACGCAGCGTACGCACGGCTGTGACAGCACACCAGTCAAATTCCACCGATGAACCGATACGATAAACACCAGATCCAAGAACCATTACACCGTGGTCATCAAAGCTCAAATCATGCGTAGCAGCATTGTAAGTCATGTAAAGGTAATTGGTGTGAGCAGGAAATTCTGCAGCAACAGTGTCAATTTGTTTGACAAAAGGAAGAATGTTATGTTCCTTTCTCAAACGTCTAACAGCGACTTCGTTCGAGTTCACGAACTTGGCAACTTGTCTGTCATCAAATCCCAGCTGCTTAGCTTGCTTCAACACCAACGCAGGCAGCTTCTCGATCCTGTTGTAACCTTCAACATGCTTTGCAAATTTGACAAGGTCATAGAGCTTAGTCAAAAACCACTTGTCAATGTTGCTCAGCTCCCAGACCTTATCCACCGAATAGTTCAACTTCGAGAACGCGTTTGCGATAGCGAAAATACGCTGGTCTGTTGGGTTTTGAAGCTCATAGTCGATGTCGAGTTCATCGTCCGTTTCATTAAATCCCAGATTAACATACTCAGTAGATCTGATTGCTTTCTGAATGGCTTCCTCGAAAGTTCTCCCGATACTCATTACTTCCCCAACAGATTTCATGGAAGAGGACAAAGCCGTGGAAACCCTGTGAAACTTTTTCAAGTCCCATCTTGGCATCTTCACAACACAGTAATCCAAAGATGGCTCGAAACAAGCACATGTGGACTGTGTAACAGAGTTTTTCACTTCATTCAATGGAATGTTCAAACCCAATTTTGCTGCTGTGTAAGCCAATGGGTACCCAGTAGCTTTTGAAGCCAAGGCAGAGGAACGAGACAGACGAGCATTAACTTCAATAATGCAATAGTCTTTGCTGAAAGGATTGAGGGCGTATTGGATGTTACACTCACCGACAACTCCCAGGTGTCTAATGACATTCACCGCTGTAGTTCTCAACATATTGTAATCTTCATCTGACAAAGTTTGAGATGGTGCAACGACAATAGAGTCACCAGTATGGATCCCCAAAGGATCGAAATTTTCCATGTTACAGACGGTGATACAGTTATCAAAGGCGTCTCTGACGACCTCGTATTCAACTTCTTTCCAGCCTTTCATGGATCTTTCCACCAAAACTTGCGGAGAGGAGGCGAACGCCACGTTACAGAGATCCACAAGCTCCTTCTCGTTATTAGCGAAACCAGAACCTAGACCGCCAAGAGCATAAGCTGCACGGACAATGACTGGGAAGCCAATATCTTTGACAGCTTCCAAGGCCTCCTGGACCGACGAGGCCGCTTTGGATTTAGCACACTTCTCATTGATTTCATCCATAGCGTTTGAAAAGAGCTCACGATCTTCTGTGGTAATAACGGTATCAATTGGAGTACCCAAGACCTTCACGCCCAAAGCTTTGAACTCGTCCTTCATCTCGATACCAACGGATAGAGCAGTTTGGCCACCAAAAGTGACGTAAATAGCATCAGGGCGTTCGTGAAGGATCACCTTCCTCACGAATTCAGCAGTGACTGGTAAAAAGTAAACTTTGTCGGCCAAACCTTTCGAGGTTTGAATAGTAGCAATGTTGGGGTTGACTAAAATCGTGTAAATTCCCTCTTCTTTCAATGCTTTGATTGCCTGAGAACCAGAGTAATCGAACTCTCCGGCCTGTCCAATGGACAGACCACCAGACCCCAAAACTAACACCTTCTTGGCTTCAACACGAGGGTGTGCAGCTAGATTATCCGCCAACAAGCCACCTGGGAATTCAACTGCCTTGAAAACCCCGTTGAACTTGAAATCCTTGACGGCGTTGATAAAAACATCGAATAGGAACTCTGTATCTCTTGGGCCGGGAGTGGACTCTGGATGAAACTGGACTGAAAAATATGGAAGCTCAGTGTGGTATATACCTTCGTTGGAACCGTCGTTGGCATTGACGAACAAAGGTTTCCATCCTGGAGACAAAGTGTCAACATCGACTGCGAAACCGTGGTTTTGAGATGTGATATAACACTTGCCTGAGATAGTTGAGGTACATGGAATATTGTGGCCTCTGTTACCAAATTTCAATTTCAAAGTAGATGCACCGGAAGCTCTAGCAAGCAATTGATGACCCAAGCAGATACCAAACACGGGAGTTTTATTGGTCTCCATGACCTTGGCCAATCTGCTTCCAAGTTCGGTAAGAACAGAAGGGTCACCAGGACCGTTGGAGATAAACAGACCGTCATATTGTTCCTTTGTGAAGTCATAGTCCCATGGGACAACCAAGAGCTCCACACCGCGTCTAACAAAACAGCGGATTTGGTTATATTTCATACCGACGTCAATGGCCAAAATTCTCAAAGTTTTGCCATCGGGACCAGTTTGAAGCTTTGAAGAATCGAAGTCAGATGGTGGCACGTATAGCTTAGGGCTCTTGATAGAGACCTTGGCAACCAAGTTCTGGACATTTGGGTCGTACCATTCGGGAATTTCGAAAGAGTCTACCCACTCGGCAGAAGTGGCACGAGAAAAGTCCGCGCCCGGCTTTTGCAAAGCCAATCTTCCCAGCATAGATCCGCTGTCTCTCAAATGCTTGGTCAGGGCTCTGGTGTCCACGCCGTATACGGCTGGAATTTCTTGTTCTTTCAACCATGCCGCGAGAGAGGACTGCGCAAGCCAGTGCGAGTATTCCTCGGTGTAGTGAGCGACAACGAGACCAGCAATATGGATGCGAGAGCTTTCGAAGTATCTGGGCAAGGAATCGATCAATTCGTCCACCAAATTACGGTCAGGAACACCGTAGTTGCCGACGAGGGGGAACGTGATGACCAGGATCTGACCTTCGTACGACGGATCGGTGATCGACTCAGGGTATCCGACCATACCGGTTTGAAAGACCAATTCACCGGCTGCAGGCTTTTCGGCACCGAACGAGTACCCTTGAACGGCCACGCCGTCCTGCAATTCCAGGGTTATAAGACGATCGCCTGTGGCCTCCATTGGTGGAGCAATTGGACCTGTTGGAACAATAACAGACATAATTGCTTTGGATGGATCAGATTGTTAAAAATTAACAGGAAGTCGCGAGCAATAAAATGAGGACGCTTCGAATAGGGTTGTCTTTTGCGGCAAGTTCAAAGTGGGGAATTGGGTTGGCCAGCGAAAGATAGAGTATTTACTTCAGCGCTTGGTTAGTACAATCTTGAGAAAGCTTTCAGAGAGCGGAAGAAAGAATTGGAAAAAAGGTTCGAAAGAGAACTTGGTCAGCAGCTTTCAGCAACGGCAAAGACACTGCTTTTTATTTAGCGATGAAATGAACCCTCACAAAGAGCCCGGACGACAAATTGGTCCCGGTATCGAGTTATATCTGGTCACAGAAAAGGAAAGTCCAGAAATCGATTGGCCAAGTTTTTCAACATTGAAAGATATCATTACCACTTCATCAACTTATTGAATATTGATGTCCGCGTATCGAATGACCAGACTCATCGTCTCTTCGCCTTAACAGAGATCTTCGCCTTAACAGAGATCTTCGCCTTAACGGAAATCATATCAAGCAAGGCGTGCGAGAATAGAACGCCTTCTCTTCCCTTCGCTCTTTCAAGTTCTTCACTACTTATATTTCACACATACCAGTGGTTGAGGCAAAGAAAAACAACTGTATGCTATGCAAATGAGAAAAACGTCGTACCTTATTCTTGAGTCTCAATATTAACTGTAGACGCAAAGAAAATCAGTATTCAAAATGTGTCCAGAAAAGCGGGGACTTCAAGGGGAGACAGGATAGTGTTACTCGAGCTTCGAACAAAGATGCGCGCGTGTCAAAATTTCTCAGCAATAGCAGAAGTTTTCCTGGCTTGCTTCGTTTTTTTTGTTATCAAGACATAGACAAGAACAATACACACAAAAAGAATAACGAATGACCCAAAAATAATACGAGCAGGAGGAAATACACACACAAAATATGGAATGAAAAGTTGTGAATGCAAGAGACTCTCAGAAACTCTTTTCCGTCTGGTATTTATAGTCATCGATCGCGATGAGTGGAAAAAAATTTTTTAATTTCTTTTCACGCTACCCTTATTATGGACCCGGAAATATATAAATTGAGAATACCGGACGTTATCCTTCTATACGAAAATCATACCTCGGCGGCAATAGCTCTTTTTTTTTTTCAGGCTGACGTAATGAGAAAAAAATACACGTGACTACCTCGTACGGATGGGGTATGGGTGTTGAATTACGTTAACTTGTTCCGTACATTATGAGCGTCAGTGACAGGTTACAGCTTCCATGATCAATGCATTGACACTTCCCAGAGCATACTCCGCTTGGCCACCCTTCTCAAATGAACTGTAAATAATGAATTTTGTCGACACCTTACAAGATCGTCGTCTTGTTTGTTTTTGGGATAATTGTGTATGACTTTACATCGTGCTGTCGCTGAAACTTGAAGCTGCTTTTCACTATGGCAATATGCGTGCCCGCTCTTCTTCTTGAGCATCCGGTGCCTCTTGAGACAGCCGAGAGTTTCCTTCGTCCAACCGGGAGCTTTCTTCCTCCGCATCGTCACCCCGGGACTTCAACTCAGTTTCGACGTTACGATAACTTGCACGTGGAGATCTTGCGCGTGGAGACCCTGACATCGGACTTATTTCACCATGGATAGGGACCCGGTCACTGGCAGGCATCTGGTAATCCACTACACTACGCAGTGAAGGTGAACTGGCGTTGGTCCCATTTGAGAATTTTCTGTGAGGAGGCCTCTCCTCGCTTCTCAGAGAAGAGCCTTCACCTTCACCATGAGCTAAAGAACTTCTGTTCCTTAGCATGCTCTTAAAATGACCCTTGGCGAACTTCGACTGTTTCCGCAAATACGCCACGAGTGGGTCGTTGATCCCAGAGCCTCCCTCGCGGTTCATATCCTCAATCTTGTCGCGCTGCTCGAGACTTTGACTCGGTAGGATGATAGCTCGATCCAGGGAATATGGCAAGCCTCTATGTCTCCCGCGGACCAGCATAAAAATCATGATCACCTTAGAAAATGTGTTGAACTGCGCACTAAAAGACTGGTCAGTATTGGGATATCCAAGGGAAAGGCCCACTGTTCCGTATGCGCTGACGATCTCGAACAAAACTTGAAAGACAGTAAAATCGGGCTTTTTGGGATCCTGTATCTTGCCACCCTCACTAATGCAAATGATGAATAAGCCCAGAAACAGAAACCACAGGTCAAAAGATAGTTGACGACGTAAATGCGCACCAATAAAAGATTTCGGGCTTTGGTTCATATTCTTACTTTCAGTGTCATCATCTGCATCGGAACCACCGTCGTGAGGATGATATATTCCCAAAGATTGCTCTTCGTAGACGTTTGTACGTCTGATTGAGATAGCCAGGGGCAGCACGGAAACGTACATCATCAGCATGTAAGAAACTTGGATGGAGGGATGCAGTAAGCTTAGGTTCAAGACGGAAAAACCCGCAGTTCGCGTGCTAACAGCCTGAAAAAGACCATCCAGAATTTTGAAGCCACTTGACAGGCCTTCCACTACTTGGGAGTTTATGTCCAGAACAATGAACAATATCAGGTCAATGGCGTTCAATGCTACCAAAATAAACAATAGCCACCATGTTGGTGCACTTGGAAATAATAATGTGAAACAACGCCGTGGGTGGTCCAGCAAGAAGCCTAATGACTCCTTCAATAAAGATAGCTCCGGGCTAACTTTGAAAAGGACCCAAATTATGAATCGCAAAAAGACGGGAAAACCAGTGTTGCCAATCACGATGAACCACATCATAACTATTAATGGATAAACCGCAGTGTTGAATGACATCATGGAATCAGGGGTCAGCGTTATTCCAAGATCATTGAAAGCACTCATAGAAGTGAAAAATCCCCACCAAGCAGGAGAAACGCCATCTGTTCGCAAGAGGTTGACATAGCTTTTCATTCTTGTGATCCATGGCAATAACATAACAAATGCCATTATGTGAAAACCGATGTAGTAGACTAACAGCAGTTTGCAAAGAAGCTTGTTGGCTCTATATTCTACGCCTCCAAGCTCTGCCTTTTGCACATCATTTAAGCCCACGAAAGTAGAATTACGACCGATCTTAGGCTGGTACGACAAATAGTTAGTGCTCATTCGCTGCAACCGTGGTGGTCTTTCTATAGCTTGGTCAAAAGCAAGCCCCGCATAGTCTCCCATGGCTTCCTCATCGTCAGTTGTATCCCCTCGATCCCTACTTTCATCAAACGGATATTCGTTGGCCCCATCAAAATCGCTAGAGCTGCGAGAGATGACAGAGCTTTTTCGACGTAAGAACCCCCCCTTACGTCGACGATCTTCTTTCCACTTATTGTATATCATTTTTTGGAAACTTGGCGATTTCGTAAGCAAGTCCAGATTGCCATTATTACTAGGTTCCATGGTGTTGCTTCTCTTGTAAAACTTTGAGCCACCAGTGGCATCCCTGGAGGGCACAGCCAGATTTGAGTGTACCTTTTCCAGGTTTGGCGTTTCTGTCGTGTCGTCCAGCGAATTATTGTCTGCTACTGCATGACTCGGTATGTCTGTTGGCTCGACAGATTCATTGTCGGTGGAGTCGGGCTCTAAATCAGCGTCGTTACCATCTTCGTTCGTATCATTCCTCCGTCTTCGTATCCTGTCACGTAGCATTGAGGGACGAACGAACTTTTTAATAGATTTGCGGTTTCTTTTGATATTTTTGGGCCCTCCTTGTGACCTACGCTTGATTCTCCGCGGCGGTGGTTGAAATTGTATCGATGACGGCGTGAACGAGTTATTATTGACATTGGGACTCCACTGAACCGGCTTGGAAGTTTCTGCAGTTGAAGAATCACTACTCAGCTCTACTGCCTCATTATTGCTAGGAATATGCTGAACAGAGTCTGAATCTTGAGTCGTGGACAACATGGTAGCTCCACTATGGGCAGGCGAAGGTGGTAGGGCGTTCGTGCTGTGGCTTGAGGAGGCAGGTGGAGTTGTAGCACCATGAACGGCAGAGACAGGCTTCGTTTCTGCTTCTTGCCTTCTTTCAGCCGGTCCGTTGATGATAAGAGCAGGACCGTCTTCGCCTTTCCCCTCTACAACATGCTGATTCCTCAGCATCGCAATAGATCGAAACATATCCGCCGGCGAAATGTCCTCTGACTTCCTTCTTGCACTGAACTGTTCGGCAGCGGTTGGCATGTGATGACTGTCACTTTTGGGTGGCTTGGGCAAAGCACCGAATTTGATTCCCGGAATATCGTCACCTTGCTCAACGCTTTTGGTAGAGCCAGTTGATGAGCTTGCACGAACATCTTTATTGTCCTGCTGTTCGCCTTCATGCTCATTCATGCTGTTCATTTCGTAATTTTCTTTCAGGCTTGAATTTTCCTCTCTATTAACCATTTGCCCACTGAAAAGTTTGGTTTGAAAGTCCGTATTGCTCGTGAAGCCCCGGGAACCGTGTGAATCTTTCATCGTGGGTCTCCGCTGGGCTCCAGTCGCAGTTCTTGTCATCTCTCGCTGGATCAGCGTTTTCGTTCGACGCATCTTAAAATTCTTCTTCGACCAGACCTTTATTCCGTCGAAATGGCGCTCGAACCAATACAGACGAACAAATGCTAACCCTCCGTGAATCCAGATTGGCGTTGTCAAGCAGCAGATGAGGTAAATCACAATCTGTTGGTATAAGGTCATCTCGTTTGTATTTATAGTGTTCAGTCCACCCTGCGTACAAGCTCCTGCTGCAGAAAAAAGGATATCAATGTACGCGTAGTTCTTGACCGGATACATCAAAATTGAGCCTATCACCGTCATTATAATGATGTAGAAGTAATGAATGGCAATGAAGTTCGGAAAGACATGTTTGACAAACGGGTAGATTAAGTTGCTGGTATACTCAATCGCATCTCTTAGTCTATGGCCGAGAGTTTTGTTGTACTTTAAATTGATCGAGGCCAAGCTAGGACGACGACTTTGCGTCTTCCAAGCCTGCATTTAATGCTTTGAGGCGATGAGTTTAAGATGTCTTTGAGATGAGTTCAGAATTCTGAGTTATCATTAAGTCGACCTCGATTCACGACGCACTATATACGAAAAGATCGGCACCATACGAATTCTGCTTGTCTATGAAGGCTATGCGCCCGATGAGAGCCCAGAAGCAGTAAAATTTGGTTATAACGTGCCCAGAAGTGCTGTCATTCAATTGAAGAAGATCAAAATCCCACACAACGAAGTTTAAAGTTCTCGATCCGATTTTTTATATTATAAAAAGCACTGTCGTGGGGAGGATTTCAAAAATGTATAACAGATACTTAAGCGAAAAGCCTACCATGGGATGCGAAGAGCTAGGAAGTGTACTTTCAAAAGGTATTTAAATGACAAACGAAGATTGAGAATCTTCTAATAAAGTGATGCTTGCATGTCGTGAATTTCGTCAAGGGCGATTGTTCGTTCGCTATTCACCTCAATCATCATAGACCGCCCTTGTGAAGCGCAGGAACAGCGTTAGTCTTAGTGACTCCACTTATTCCATCTGCTTCGGTAGCATGCAGCTTTTTATGCAGTCTTGTGCTGATGTATTCACTCATGTTGACGTCGGCCGCGCTATACTTTTGCAGCCATGGGTGTTCAACCAGAGCAGCATATGCGGGTCTTCTCTCGGGAATTTTTTGCAGGCACATATTGACAAAGTCTTGGGCCAAAGAGCTGAATTTTCCCTTTGGCAATTTTGGAGGAGGTGAGTCAACAATTGCGCTTAGTTGTGAAAATATGTTGTCAAAAGTCTCAACAGGATAAGGATATGCTCCGTTGGCCATTTCCAGAATACTGAGCCCCAAAGACCAAACATCGGACTGTACAGAGTACGTGGACTTATCGGGGTTGAAAGACTTGATACGCTCTGGCGCCATGTACGACTGACAACCGATGTTTGTTTTGGCCAGTGATGCTACTAGATTTCCCGACACACCGAAGTCGCAAAGTTTCACTGTTCCTTGGGCAGCTGAGCACAACAAGTTTGTGGGCTTCACGTCGCGGTGAATGATGTTGTGCACGTCTTTCAGCTCTTTAAGACCCTGAATTATGGAATAAGTGATGGAGGCTAGTTGAGGCTCGTCTATACCTCCCAAAATATCGTCATCGTAAATTTTGTCAAGGGACCCACCGTCCATGTATTCAATGCACATGTAAACAGCGCCTTCTATGAAGAAGGCCCCGTAAAAGTCCACAATGTAGGGACTTTGACATTTGTGCAAGACCTCCAACTCCATAAGAATCTGCGTAAATTTTGATTCGTCCAATTCCAGCCTCACCTCCTTCATAGCCATTATGACATTAGTGGGCTTATGTAAAACTTTGGAAACATTCCCGTAGTTTCCATGCCCCAGTTCTCCCAGAAACTCTAGCTCATCTAAAGTTATGCGAAAACTGGAGCCGTTGCTGAAATCGACACCTTGAGAGCTCAGTGATAGTTTTCCTGCAAAATTCAGCGAGCCTGACTTGATGTCAACGTATTTGGAGAAATTGGTGAAAAGCCCATTAGAGCCGCTCCGATTTTGAAGCTGTTGGTCACCTTGTTGTGGTTCTGTGCCTTCGGTATCACGTTGCTGACCCGATGATGTGGACGTTGTGGAAACTCCATTGACTAGCGAGCCCGGATTGCTTCTGTTATTCGAGGCTGCTCCTGAATTTCGGTTTGATGGTGCACCTGCAAACTCCTGGGCAGCAGAAGTGCCTGTAGTAGCAGCAGGAGGTTTCATCTTGAGCGACATCCCGCCTGCGGGCAATTTCAGACCACGTCTAGCGCTCAAACTGGGTTTAGCCTTTGGAATGGTGGGTGTAGAAGGACCGGGTTTTGAAGAGACACCATTGGGAGACACAGGATGCGGAGCCCTGGGAACACCGGGTGCCCCACCCATCCCAGAAGCATTTACGGCCATGGAGGGAGGTCTGGGGGCTCTTCTGATCGGACTCAGCACGTGGCCGTTGTTCTCCTTTTTGGGGGGAAGTGGGGGCAGGGGTTTATTGACGATTTTATCGATGTTCTGTGGTTCCGGGGCCTTCACCACGCTTCTATGACCGTCCAAGTGTGTTCCACCAGGCCCACACACGCCGTTCGGACCTGCTCCTGCGGTAGTCTTGGCGTTGGAATTCGACGCCCCTGGCGTCACTTCTGCTGCTCTGGTCGATACATTCACCTTCGATCCGTGTCCTGCAGACCCCACGCTACCGTTTCGCTTGAGTTGTCGTTGTTCTTGGAACGCTTTTACTCGAGCATGCAAATTCGCGTTGAGATTGCTATAATTCGACGACGAAGTTGATCCTGATCTTCTCAGTTCCGCACTTTCCGCTCCAGATCCTGAAGGTTCCATGATGATACTTTTCAATCAAAGAAAGATCGAGCGGTGAATAGAGTTTGAGCGGGTCTCAGAACGCTTGCTTTTCTCCGACTACGTTTTGCCAGTTAAACTGGCAATTACAGCATGCTTGAAGTTTGCTTAGTCTTTTATGACCTTTTTTAAAGCCTTTTCATTTTACACGAAATAATCCTTCCATCGTGTAGGGCGATTTGAGATCGGCATTAAAATATAATAAAGGTTATATATATCATAACTATATAAAATATATATATATATATCTATTCATATATAACTGTATAGCCGAAGTCAACTATCGTCAACTATCCTGCCAAGCCAATATGTTGAAGATTTCTTGAGTGCGTAGATATAGAAAGCTTCTCTTTACGTTGTGATTCTAATCCGGGGCGGAATCTAGGTTGAGCGAGAATCGGAACACTCGAAACGCTCTCTTGTTGTGGGTGGAGCGTGAGATTCTCGAAAAATCTAGTAAGAAAATGCGCATACTCTCGCTTCTTTTTTCATTACCATTGCGTGGCATTGATGCTTTACTTCAATTTTGAAAAGTCATTGAGCAAAATGGCAGTGTGAGGTACGTTCCAATGCGATGGATGAGTAGCACATCATAATATATATGAAGTTTTGAGATAACCACAGCCATATATATACCTCTCCAAAGTAGTCATCTTTTCGTTCGCTGTGTCATGACCCAGTATTCGCTCACCGCTTTCTAGACGTGTCCCTGAGCGGCCAACGAAAAGACCACACAACTTGCCAAATATCCCAATAGTCGGAAAAACGCCTGTCTAGAGAGTAAAATCTCCTGACTTCGCGTGTGCGAACGAGCAAAAATCCCACGGATGTGAGTCAAGAAGAAAACCATGTTTTTTAGGCCGTCAAGGGGCGCACTCTTTGCCTCCGTTGAACAGGTATTAGAGCTGTTGATAGATGTACTGCACTGCTCAAGCAGTATAAAAGCTGTTCGATATACCTAATAATAAGATTGGAAAAATACGGTAATGTTGTACGGACATATGTCTGCGATGATCTTAATCAAACGAACTACGAACTGAAGCAATGGGAAGCTTTGAACCATTGGCAACATTTCTTTCTGGATTGCCAAAAACGTTTTTCAACCTGTGCCAGACTGTTTTTTTTGCTACCCGACCGTTAATTTCCAGAATTCCAGCCGTCCATGCGTGACAAGTCATTTGTACACGCACAACACTGCTAAAACCATGGCCAACAGCTAATGTTTGACCACTCAACTCGATTCGATAGACTTATCAAAATTAGCACAGCGACTCACTACTCTTTTCAAACTTTTGAGATGAGTTAAACTACGATTAAACCTCTTCAGATGACAGAAACGTATGAAATGATCGGGAACTCATCTTTAAATAAGGAACATCAAGTTGGATTAGACAACCTCGTCTAGACCATCTTTTCAATCCACAGACGGAGTAACCAAACATGGGCACCAAAGGTGTTGAAATGTCCATCTGGAACAATCTCAATCGGTCTGAAAAATTGAAGAAGTCGGCCAGTCTTTCACCTGTCAAATCAGGTCCTGAGACTTTTGACTACGAAAAACAGTCACCCAAGAAACCCTCAACCTCAAAGGGTTTTATACATCGAAATGCATGCATGGTATTGATACTGCTTTTAATGAGCTTATGTTTCTATTCAACCCCAATTGAATCTATGCTGAAACTTTGCCGCGGAGTTGATGTATCGCGGGTTTCGAGTGGTTCCTCATCGCCAGCCCAGGTACAAGAGTCGTTTGAGATAACCGTTGAGCAATTGCCGGAAGAGCCTCCCGTTTTCTCCCAACGGCTTCTACAACATTCTTTTGCAGACTCATGGGGCAAACCGGTCACAAAAAGCTTCACTCCATTCGCCGAATCAGACTACGATAGTATAGTCCTGGAACTCACCACCAACGTTTCCGGACGACAGTATGACCGCTTGCTTCACGTCTTCATCGGAGACGTGAACGTATGGAGATCGTCTACTGTAAGACCCTGGGGCAACAAGGCCATTCTCAGCCATTCCATTAAAGACATCTCGCCCTACAAATCACTTTTCAAAGACGGACAGCTTAATGTAACCGTGCAGTTGGACAATCTGGTGACCAACAAACTGACCGGAATTTTCAATGTGACCTTGGACGTGTACTATTACTCAAAAAAGGATCAAGGCGCCACTAAAAATACAGAAACACTACGTGGAAAGCTCCTCGACCTTTTCACTGCGCCCGCAAATATCGTTACGCCCTTGGTCTCTAAATTCTCCAGAACTCCCCTTTTCTACTACCCATTGGCTTCAAAAGAGAATCCACGCTGGTCTCGTGGCCTTCCCGAAATAGAGCAAAATACCAACATCTCTAGAGCTATGGTCGAAATTTTTGCATCTGGAAATGCAGCGGAAGAGGAATGGTATACCAACGTATTAGACAAATACATCACAAAATTTCGCCAATCTGGACATGAGCTTCTGGGCCATGGCCCTTTCCGCGCTATCAATGTTTTTTTGACGAACTCGGAAACAGAGATTTTAGTTGACACTGTGATACCCACTCCCGTTATTTTTCCGGGCTTCTTTCCACCGTTATGGCAACCATGTGTGGGAATGAATGCTTTTAATATCAAAAGTTTCAAAATAGACCTAACGCCTTTCCTATCTCTCTTCGAAAACGGTACGTGGGAAATGCAGCTAGAGGTTGTTAGCAGCCTGGGTTCTAGCTTTAAGAGCACTGTGGGTGAAAATTGGATATTTTCGGGCAATATACATGTTTGGAACGAGAGTAAACATATAAGTGGATCAAAGTTTCTCAACTCGACGATCGTTGAACCCGTTTTCCGGACAAATGTGAATGATAGCCTTTCAGATGAGCTAAGGCAAATTGTTTTTGCCAGGAATGGAGTCAACATCAACAGTATCATGACGATAGACAACACCGATTATCAAGTGCAAGGCGTGTCCGAAAGCTCATTGGCCAGTAATCAAACATACTTAAAGAGTGCTGATGAGGAGCGGGCTGCTGTGGACCTTTTGACAAGGCGCTCAATTTTGATATCAAAAGATGGGAAAGATCTTTTCAAATTTTTCGATGAAACCGGATGGCTTCTAGATGCCGAACTTGATAACATCTCACAGGAGAAGTCCTCTTTGACTTATTCAGGTAGGGTGAGTCGAGATTTAAATCGTTACGTTGGGCTACACGAGCTTGGATTAAACGGCTCTACTGATGTGTTGCTATCTTTACATGGTACCCAATCAGGGAATGCCACCTACGTCGCTTCTCCGGATAGGACTGAGGGGTCTGGAGATAGTATACATTCTGTTCATTTCGAGCACGGCTGGCCATTCGAAAACAGTTTCAATCGTACTGTGACTGTGAAGAAGAACGTGGTCGTGAGTGACATTATAAACTAGGATAAACTATAGAACATTTGCAACAGTATGCAAGATCAATAAAAATGCTGATCGTCGGAGTTACGCTCGAATTGATCATTCCCCCGCTTGTTGCGCTGAACGGCTTCGACGGCTGCCATTACGTTGTCTTCGAGGTTTAGTAGGGCGTCGTCGACCATATGCGTATCATCTTGGTCCTCAATCTCAACGGTAGCAGGTCCGCTAGAAAGCTCGTTGAGAGATATTCCAGAGTTACTTCCTGCACCAGAGCTCAGTGCCACATCGAGGTAGCGACGTTTCGTATTTGGCTGAGATGGGGTGTATGAATTGAAACTGTTCATAGACTGTTCATTCCCTGAAATTTCTTGTGTGTCAATGCGTGAATTTTCGTGCCCATTGAATTTCAGCCGATGAATACTTGGCTTTGCTTTCTTATTAGCTGGCATGTCATCTGCTGCTATCCGTTCTGAGTGTGACAAGGGACCTTGCAGGCTACCTATCACAGCAGCAGCCATTTTGCTGAGCTGAGAAGAGTCGTCTATCTCATTGCCGCGAACAGCCATGCGCGCTTGCTGTTGAGGAGAACCGGCCTCCACAACTATCCCTATATCTTCTTGTTGGTGATTCTTGCAAAGAGGACAAGCAGCGACGATCCTTGCCACAGTGGTTTTAATGCCTTTCCAGTGATAACGTTCAGCGATGATTGTAGTTACTTTGTTGATACCTTGATGAGCGACTTGGTGTACTTCGAAAGCCACTTCCAACTGCTTCTCGGGATCGTAAATAACCTCCCTGCCCTGACGCATCAATTTTCCATTCTGAACCATATGGTATTTTGCACTAGCACGCAATCGCGCTTTTTCTGTTCTGTCGCAATATTCTGGATATTTGCCGCTTTCGAGATAGTATCGCAACCGTTCGTACTTGGCGAAATGCTTATTCGGTTCATTCAGTAAGTCAATGCTCTTAGAGACGTGAGTGAACTCTTTCGCATAGATGAAGGAGTCTACTGGGACGTCGCAACCTTTCAAAATTGCAGACTCTGGCAGTTTTCCTACTCTTCTGAAATTTAACGTTTCCAAGATGCGCCGGATTCCGACGTTGGTGCCGTATACGAGTGGGAAAACTGAGGAAGTGAAACCTAGCTGAGGTGCCCAGCTCAAAAAACATTCCACCAAGGTTCTTCCTATTCCTTTCCCTCTGATACCGGCGTTCACCAGGAATGAAGCGGTCACCACATGCGAGGAACGTCCGGGATATGCCGGTTGTAGACTGAAAGCACCCAAACACTGTTTTTCCCATTGTATGTTTAAATTCAAGTTTCGACGTTCCTTACGTCGTACATACTGTAGTGTGTGCCGAGTGACCTCTGCTTGTGGATCGTCACAAGCTGCTGCAGAATCGCCAGAGTCAACAGGGTTACTGTAATCGAGCTCTGGTATTTCACCCAGCACCATGACGCACACCAACCCCTCAGCATGAAACCAGGTCCCGCAGAACCCGTCAACGGTCAGTGGTTCATAGTACGGCAGACTATCACCTTTTTCAATTTCCATGTTGAACTCGTCTAGCAAAAAGGCTAGAAGACCGGCTGGTATCTGCTCTGCATTTGCCGGAATCGGATACATAGTGGCCGTTGTTTCCCCATCTTTCAGCAGTATAGATTTAGGTTGTAAAGGAGTGTTGACAGGGTGATCGTGGCTGGCATCGTGGTCCATATCCTTTAGCTCAAGTGGTGGTTACTTTGGATAAACTTGATGCGATGAGCTCAGTTTATCACTTTCTGTAGTGACAGGCAGATCTTCGATATACGAGTACAAATGTACTCTCGTAAGTATCCAGAAATCGAAAGTTTTTAAGATCCGCAGAATCAGTTTCAAATTCTTGTTGAACTCAGTCAAATCATATTTTCATGCACTATTTTGGATTTTGGTAAGATCTTTGGTATCTCAAATGCAAAGAGCCGCTTTGTGTTGAGACTTGAAAATTCTCGTTTGTCGAGCTTAATTTGGGACAGAGATCGTTGTTTCTGTTTTCGTTTCTAAAGAACCGTTTTCCTGGCTTGAGGTTGAAGTAATATAGTGGCCATTTCAGAAATGGTAAAGAAACGCTTTGAGGAATGGATTATCTTTCCTTGTAGCTCTGCTGACGTCCTTTTATCTGTCGCTGTCATTGGGTCACGTGCGACAAAGGTTCTTTAATCGATTCGTCTATGTTTTTAAACCCCAGGAAAATGTCACCTATCGTCCAGTTCAGTGCTACGTTTGTTTCAGTAAAATCTTCCAGAGCTGGTCTTTTTTAATGGAAAAGGCTAGTTTTCATGCTCGTTGAAAAATTTGGGTTGAGTCTTTGGAGTGTCATATTACGACATTTGTTATATATCTTGCGTATTGAGTTATACCAAGAGTCGATCAAGGTTTTTCGACGAGAAAGCCATGCGTTAATCTTGAAATAAAGTAAAGCTTGGGCTCGGCAAATATAGTTCTTTCTGGCAGGTAAAATTGTTTTTTTTTTCGCACAGCTCTGAAAGTCATTTCTGCATCGCTGAGAATGAAAGGGCTTAACCTAAACAGACGTAGTGTGATAACAAAAATAGTCAATATTTAACAGTTGAATCGAAATTGATGGTACGATACGTTTTCTGATTCAATCATGGCGCCAAGAAGAATGGAACCTAACACTCAAAGTTGAATATTTATTGATTTTCCATGCTGTCGTCGGGTCACGTGTGAAAGATCATCCAGTAATGAATCTGACGTCAAAGCCTAAAAAATGGATTTGACGATTTTTTGGATAGCAGGACTTCTTCAGTTCCACTTTCGTGTAGTTCTGGTCAGAACAGATATAGGAAATTGCACAAATTGTACGCTGTTTTGAAGTCAATGTTGCATTCACATCGTTTTTTGATAGCACTGTCATTGGTAGAAAGAACCTCTCAGCATTCGAATTGGTAAGGAACTAAACTAACAGAAAATATTACAATTCTCCATAAACTATAATACCAATATGATGCCAACCGCGAACACATCTTTCAGTAGTACAAATTACTGTCATCTCGATCTTGATCTCAAGTTGTCTCGAGACTGCTCACTTTCTACGTTCTTATCGATCATATATAGCCCTTAAAGATAAATGATAAAGAAAACCGATGCCCTGATCCAAAGCTCTCGAAGAAACAACTCTCATTCAACCCGGCTACCACACTCATCGAGTTCATCACGGCTACCCACGCTTGTTCACTTCTTCTCTTCAAAAAAGTCTCGCAGAAAAATTAAGCATCAGTCATTTGCAGCATCCAAAAGTTGATATCAGTCTCTACAACTCAATGAATAGGGTTGCCATCGGTCAAATATGTTCATCCAGCTCTTTGACGCAAAACCTGAAGACTATTAGCAATCTAATCGACTCTGCTTTAAAACAAGATGCCAAAATCATCTTTTTCCCAGAAGCCTCTGATTACATTTCGAGATCGGCGTCGCACTCCAAAAAACTGGCATCCCAGTCTCCAGGATTTGTAGACAGTTTATGCAAAACAATTCCAAGCCTTTGTCAAAAATATGGCAAAAAAATCGATGTGTCTATCGGAGTTCACTTGCCAGCCATAAAAATTCATGATAAAAGTCCCGATGACAGAGTCAGGAACTGCCTGCTCTATATAAACTACGAGGGAAAGATTCTACAGACATACCAAAAACTACATCTATTTGACGTGGATGTTCCCAATGGACCAGTGCTAAAAGAGAGCCAATCCGTGCAACCTGGGTCGCAAATCCCGGCAGTCGTAGCGACGCCAGTGGGAAAACTCGGACCTGCCATTTGCTTCGATATCCGTTTTCCCGAATTATCACTACGACTACGTTCGAATGGGGCTGAAATCTTGTGCTTTCCCAGCGCATTTACAGTTAAAACGGGGGAAGCCCATTGGGAATCTCTTGCGAGGGCAAGAGCGCTTGACACACAGTGCTACGTTATAATGCCCGCACAGCAGGGCGAACATCAAGTAAATCTCGATCTTGAAAACGGGGCCACAGAAGAGTCTTCTGTCAAAAGAGTCTCTTGGGGTCATTCGATGATCATAAATCCCTGGGGCGAGAAAATCGCTGAGGCCAGTCCGCAGAAAGACGATGTCCAACTAGTTTTCGCAGATTTGGACCTTGCTGCTCTCCATAAATTCCGTACGGATATGCCCCTATGGGAACAGCGGAGAAGAGATGTCTTTGGAGATTACGTGTAAATTACATGTTCATTTTAGATACAACGCTTTCAAAGCATGCCCTATTTACTTTCTGCTTTTGTCGGTAGCGGGAGTTTTGCAGCTTTTTCCCTCGTTTGATCGATAATTTTTGTTACGAGAGCTTCATCGCGTGTCTTGTCGACGACTTTTGATGCAAACGTGAGATACGAAGTGTGCGACTTGATTTCACTTTCCACTTTGGAAACTTCTTTCCATTGAAACCCCGTGTCACCTTCTTTGACACGAGAGCCTTTCCCGAATGGATTGTACTCCGCCTTAGGCGTTTCTGGCCTTTCTTCAAATGCTTCTTCTTGATCGCTTATCAGTTTGTTGAACATACGTTTTCTTCTTTCCATGCCCATCTGTTTGCGCTCTTTTACGTCCCGCAGTCTTTGTAAGGCATGGTCTAGATGGCGTACCATTTGTCTACGTGATTCGTACTGTTTTCCCTGGATTTCAACCATTTCTATGTCGACCCAGCCCTGTTTTTCTAGCACTTCCACAGTCTTATCGACTTGTTCTATGCACGGAGAGAAGCAGCACAAAGAAACTTTCGAATCTTGGGATATAACTTCGTCCAGATGCGGGATGGCGGTCCATGGAGCCGGTAGATCAAGGAATATGACGTTGGCGTCAATCTTGGCGGGACTAGTGGCTTCATTCAATGTCGAATTATCGAATAGCGTAGTTGTGTCGTTTTTGCCAATGGCAAACCCGTCCTGGCACACATCGCGATGTGTGATGGCCAGATTTCCATCCCGCAGAAGACCGTGGTCCTCAAATTCCTTTTTCGCTTGTTCATATCTGACCTCATGAAACTCATATGAGAAAACGAAGCCTGCAGACCTAGCAAACGCATGAGTGAAAGACCCAGACCCAGTTCCGGCTTCTACGACTCTTGAGTGCGGACTGCATTGCAGACGCTGCATGATGTACGAAGAGTCTGGTGTGTACACGATTTGCGTTCTATGCGGCAGTGAAAGCGTCCATAGCTCCGGTGTGGGCTGTAGAACATGTATGAAACCAAACTTGTTGGAACCACGAGTTCTTACTGCGATTTGGGACCCAAACGGTTTACCAATCATGTCATCGTGTGGGAAAGAGCCATATCTGGTGTTGAAAGTAGCCCCGGGTGTGATTCTCACAGGTTTTATATTGTCTCTGGATATCCAAGCTAGCGCCAAATCGCCTGCCTGCATAAGGTCCTTGTATTCAGAGAATTGAGACATCTTTCGATTGACGAGATCAATGCGATGAGCTTCGGTATTCTATCTCATCGTGATGTTTTTCTAAAATTTTGCCTAGTAACTAGTATAGAATAGAGATGTAAATTGTCCATGTTGTCGTAGATAGTGATGACAGAATCGTAGAGATCATTTTGTCATTAAAGTGTCGTCCTACTTTTGACTTTAACATCGAACTAATTCGTATCCACATTGGATGTGACTAGCAGGTATTGACAGTTTCTTTTTTTACATAATATTCGATCAGTTATGAGCTGATTTATGAAACACAATATAGCGAATTTCAACTTTCATTTTCACAACTCAAATAAATAGCTTTCAACGTCAACTTAAAGTCCCCAAAAGCTAAGGTTCTAACGCTTCAAATCCCGCATCGTTTTTAATCTGTTATCAACTCACTCGCTCCACATTCTGTGTCGCTCAATGGAAGGATAAGGTTTAACAAGAAATAAAGCTACACACGTGACCTTGGAATACAGTATTTGTAGACGATAACGAAACTAACTCACAGAGTGAGGAGTACGGTTTTACAGGATTTCTGGTTGTGATATCATCTATCTTGCGCGTGAACGCTTCCCATAGTTTCTTGGTATTACTAGTTTTTTTATTCTTTTTTGTAAGGAGTCCGTCCTCCGCTGTCTCTCTATATACTCCTACTCAAGTTCAATATATATCGGATTTGTGGAATTCGTAAATGAGACCGTGCTGGGCCATGAGCATGCCCTTCTTGCTCTCCGAGGCGAACCTGGCCTCGTCCTGGGCTTTTTTCACCGCCAACGCCTGGTCGAACGGTATTTGTTGCATCTCACTCAAAGGCTGGTCTTCACGATCTATGTCCACCTCTCCGAGCATAACCACATTTTCACCACGCACCATGAAAACGCCGCGGTCGCATTCGGCGTATTGGTTCTGTTTTGTCACGTATATTCTCTCCACGCAATGCTGGAGTATCAGATTAGCGTATTGGTCAAACGTTCTTAGCACACCAAAAAGCATGCGTCCGTCTCTCAGCAGCACGAATATTTTACGGTCTACAGACCCCACAATTGCTGCAGTGGTGGTGAAGTTGTATTGGTCTAGATAAAGGTCTGCTTCTCCTTCGGAAATCTTGGAAGACGAACCACCACTCGTGGGCGGATTTCTGCCCTCGGACATCGTGAAAAAAGAAAGGAAATTAAACTTTTTACGCTGCTTGCAATGTGGATTTTCTGGCCAATCGTTGCAAAAAGCCTTTCTTAGTATAGGCCCTCAATCAAACGTGCACTCTAGCTCTCTTTTCCTGGCGTTGATCACTCGAAATACTCGGGATGCTTGTAGTTTAACATGGTATTGGAAAACTTTCTTTAATGACATTATCCCATATATTTCGTAAATAGTGATTTGATGTCTTTTCTGAGTATAAATAGGTAGCATTTTCGTGCAATTGCATAAATTTTCCAACTAGACCAAGGTTTTTCCCTTTAGGTTTCTTTGAACTGTAAATTGATATGGTATTCTATCTTACTCACACTGTGAACCCTGTATGTTAGCGCTTGTTAATTGTATGATTTTCGTTATTACAGGTTTAATTGAGGAAATTAGACAGATGAGATAGAGATGTGTCGCTTCAGACGGTCCGGCAGTTAAACGCAAGCTCTAAATCCCTAATTGGCCTTGACAACTACTATCTCACTCATTCATTCGTCCATACTCAAGAAGCGGATGCTAGAGTTTCAAGAATCAATTATCAAAAGTCAACAGTGTTCAACCTAGCACGTAACTATATTCACATTCTCTTCTCATTATGTCTTTGTTTAGAACTCTACAAAACCAGCCTAGAATTATCACTTTGTTCACACACGATGTGGCAAGCAAGCCTAGTACACTGATTATGCAACAATTGCGTGCCGGTTCTTCGGATAAATACGAGATTGAAGTCCACACAAAGTTCCCCACGTTGGACCAGCTCAAATACATGAACAGTATTGATAAGACGGTGTTGCAGGCTCAGGTGCCAAATCTAAGCCGTCTCCTACTCAAGGATAGCACATACGAGACTTTCAATAAAGACCTCAAGGAATGCGTTTCGCTTAACTCATGGAACTCGACATCGTCGCTGTGGGTAGATTGGGAAAAACGCAAACTCGGAAACAATGCAAGCAGTGTCAAATCGTTGCTTGAAAAACTCTGACTGCAACAGCAGCACTATCCTCAAGAGTCCAAAGGAGAGAAGAGAAAATAAAGACTGGGACAAAGAGGCAATCACCATGCAAACCTAAGTAACATACCGTTATATGACCCCAGGCCCAAAATAGCATTAAGATTCTTATTCTTTTTTCACTTTTTAAATTTCCTCCATTTGATGGAATAGAACACCCCACCAATCTTTCTGTTAAAACCCCATGCGATCAATCACGTAGTTCTGAGCCACGACGCCGAAGGCGAGACTTAATCCGTCCTCCACCCACTCTTTAACCCACTCGCTAGCATCCACGTCCTCGGTGATCTCGGTGCCCTCGGTGGACTCTGTACGTTCCCCGTTATCCTTCTTAGATTCTCTGTCCTGGATGGCGTCCTGTTTGCTTTTCAACTCTGAAGTGCCCTCGAGCCATTCGGCCCATCTTTGGGGAAAGCCTTGGGAACGTGTTATGGAGGTAAAATCATTTCTAATGTCTTTCAGAACAATCGTGAAGGCAAAATTTCCTGGGCTGGTGGGATCTGTGGTACTTATTTCTGAAGCCTTGGCCTTTTCAGGCACGGCTATTGGCAAAATCGAAATAAACACGTCGGAAATTGACTGTTCTTGGGCCGGTTCGTCTTCCACATCTTCGGTCTCGGTCCGTTGTTTGGCAAGTTCTTCTTTCGCCTTGGTAAAGAGCTTTATAGCATGATTGAGGTTTGCGTAGGCCAATTTTTCCCCATCGGCAACTTTGCCTACAAACATGTTCAGGTGCCTCTTGCCGTCGTGTAGAGACTCCTGATTTTCTGCTGGGTGATCCCATTCGTCGACAAAAATCCTTACACCGCCTTGGACCTGAGAGCTCAACACAGAGTCGAATTGTTGCTCAACATGGTATGACAAAAGCGGGTAATTGACTAAGCTGTGTACGAGATGCACTCTCAATACTTCATCCGTTTCCCCCACCACGATCCGGCTCAAATTTTTAGCCAGCGAGGAAATCGTGGCCGAATTGATCTTTGAGGCCAGCGAAGTTGTTTGTAGCCGTGAGGTAATTCCCTGTTGCTCATGAGCCAGTCGATCCTTGAGTTGGTTGGCCTGCTCCGCAGTTTTACTGAAAAAACTGTTTACCGTGGCAGAACCGGAAGACGACCACCAATTGGAAATCGACGTGATAGGATCATGCAATTGTTCTTCAGACGATTCACTCTTCTGAGACTGAGGACCGATATTGGCCTCAACAGGAGCATTTGCAACTGGAGATTCTGGAGTTGTAGTCGAACGTGGTTCTGTATCATTGTGCACGGTTTCCTGAGCGTTGTCCGATTGAGAAGTCTTTGAACCACTTGGCTTATGCTTTGAAGTAGACTCTTCCTTTCCACTTTGTTTGTCTCTTTTCAAGCCCAGGTTGCTCTGTTCAAGTTCATCCAGGAAATCTAAGATCTCTGTGTCATTTTTGGGGTCTTGAGACGTCGTTTTTGTCTCCTTCTTAGTGCTTTTGGCATCCTTCTTCTTGCGTTCGGGAAGCGAATCCAAAAAGTCTAGTACATCATCAGCTTCGGTAGAATTGCGTCCACTCATCTGGTCCGCAAAAAGGTTATGGGAGTTTTGGTGTAAGCTGCTTGAGATGTATATCAGAGAGGACAACTTGTTCCACACAGATACCTTAAAAAAGTGTTGATGTCATCCTAGACGGAGATGGGGCTTGCTAAATCGAAGCAGTTCTTGGACCTTTGACTTCTCGGTAGTTGTCAAAGTATTCAATTAGCTTCTGAGCCTCTCGGTATTTGATGCTGATTTTAAGGCTTTTTTCAAGGAATCATTTTGGTGTTTTCGTGAAATGAATCTGTAATTTCTGAGCAGAGACTTATGATTTAGACCAAGCGCGCCGAACGAAGGTCGTTCTTCTTGCAGCATAGATTAATAGTAATTGTCAGTGTCAGAAACTTGGAAGTGTTTCCAAGAACCGTTGAAGTAGCGTAATTCTTTCAGCAATGAGCACAGCGGAGGTCAAAAACCTCATGAAAAAGAACTAAATTCGCTGGATGGTTCGCGTTTGAGACTTCATGGAAAATGTACCATGATACTAATTGTTCGATTTATAGCTCAGTCTCAGAATCAACCTTTCGATGATGCATGCTATAATGCTAATAAATTGACGGTCACAACAGATTGATGCCAAGATATTCAGGACAAAGTCATTATCTCGAAAACAATCATATTTTATAAATCTTAGTTCGAAAAACCACAATCAACTGGCAAATCATCACAGCTTGATCGAAGATACTAACCTTTCTCATCACCAGCTCCATCTTTCCTGTCATTGGTAAATTTACATGTGTGCCAATCTACTTCCTAAGTGATAACACTTCGAGAATATTGTCAGTCACGTGCTTTTCAATATTGAAAATTTTTGATTACACTGGCTTCATCTAATAATCTTGATCAAGCTCATCGCATCTCATCGCATCTCATCGCATCTTAACTCAGCACACTGCGATCGCTTAACAACAAGCACGACTCACAAAACCCTCAAAACCACCAATGCCATCCAAGAACTCTATCAATAGGCCAAAACAGCAGGTCAACCTTAATAGGAAAGTGCACTCGTTAGCGAGGAAGAGAGATGCCATGGACCGTGCGGGTCTTTTGAAGCCAGCCAGGTCTTCTGGAGAGTCCAAGTCTGGATTGGCAAGGTCCATTCCCGTTGACCTGTACAGAGGAGAGAAGCAATCCGCCGGCCCCATCACTACCAAAACCTTGTCGAAGAAAAGAGCCAAAAAAATCGAAAGAAATATAAAGTACGCTGAGCAAAGGAAGCTTCTAGTGGACGTTCAAAAGAAGACCGACGATTCTATGGATCTAGACATGGACAGCAAAAAGCCAGCGTCCGCGCCAAAAAGTCAGCTAGAAAGGGTCAAGGCCGCGCTGTTCAAGGCCATGGATGACACGGCAAGTAACGGCTTGGTGTTGGACGCCGGTGCAGGCACTACTCTAGGAGGTCCTTTTTTTCCATGAAGCTGGACTAAATTTTGGGTTTTACTAATATATGTTTAATATATATGGGTAATTTGTACATTAATATAGAATAACTGCGCACGTCGTTAATCCAACATTTCTAAGTGAGCAGGTTTCTTTCCTTCAAGTTTTCTGCCACCTCCGATTTCAAGAACGAGATCACGTCAGTAGGGTTCTCAGCTGTGAAAACGCTAGTTCCGGCAACGATTACGTTAGCTCCGGCTTTCGCAGCGTGTGGAATTGTCTCTTTCCCCAATCCTCCGTCCACTTGAATGTCCAATTGAGGGAACCTTTTTCTCAATTCCTCGACTTTGGGCATCATGTCAATCATGAATTTTTGGCCTCCAAATCCGGGTTCTACGGTCATTACCAAGGCCATGTCCAAATGTGGTCCTAATTCGAATAGAACATCGACGGGCGTACCAGGCTTGATCGCACAGGCCGCTCTAATATTGTGAGATTTGATAAGTTTGACCAAAGCAAGTGGATCCTTGGTAGCTTCGTAGTGGAAAGTGAATTGATCTGCACCGCATTTCACGAAATCAGCAACCCATTTCTCGGGAGACTCGACCATCATGTGGCAATCAAAAAATGCCTTTGGCTTCGATGAGCTAGCGTCATCCACTCTGGGAACTGCTTTCCGTAGACTGGCCACAATAGGCTGTCCCAATGTAATATTAGGGACGAAGTGGCCGTCCATAACGTCAATGTGCAGCCAATCGGCACCGGCGTTGATAACTTTATGACAGCCACATTCCAAGTTTGCAAAGTCAGATGCCAGAATACTGGGAGCTACAATAGGCTTAACCATATTTGAATCGCAACGTCTAGGTGGCTCTCACAACTGGAAATACGACAGTGATTACCTAGGCTCGAGATTATATATATGCGTTGGAAATATTGTTCATTTTCTACGACAAGAAACATACACAGTTAAAAGAGATAAAATAGAGACCTTACACACTTGCATCGCTAGAATTGAGTCGATTGCTTTGTTTTACGATCTGTTAGGTAAAAAAATGAGCTTTAAAGATCTACCAACATCGCGCATGGCTGTGTTTTCTTTATAAGGTCTGCTTAATCGAAGGACCGAGCTTTGAAAGCCTGCTAAATTAATCGAAATTTGCAAAAAGTTCTCCCGGGGGCGATTCGAACGCCCGATATCCAGATTACAGTGATAACATTACAGTCTGGCGCCTTAAACCAACTTGGCCACCGAGAGGATTTCTTGGAAGGGAGAAAGTAAATAAAGTATATATACGTGAAGTATAAAGTTGAACGACAAAACTACCTGGAAAAGTCAACGGATTTGAGCTATTGAGAAGTTTGGTTGCCAACATGAGCGCTACCTCGGGATACTGAGACTAGATATTGATCAACTTTTGGAATTCTTGATGAAGAGAGAGAAAAACTATCAAAAAGGCTCCCGGTAGCTTAGACAACAAGAGCAGGAGCTGATTACAGCACATAAGAAAGTTGGCAATATTGTGCAGGCTTGCTAGTTCTAATTGAACAAATTAAAACATATTACACGAGACATGTCTTTTAGTGAGCATTTGTAAGGCTTGGTGGGGGCTCATCAACAAGTGCTTTAACCTTGAAAATTGAGCGTTTATATTATGAACGAAGTTTTTAGGCACGCAATGGTGACCGGTATAGACTTGCTGCACCTGCTCTAGAAAAAGTAGACGCATAAACCCATAGCAGCATTGCAAGCTTCTGACCATTCACCTTATAACGAAATCTGTCACCCTATGACGGTAAAAGCTCAATCGTATCATCATTTACGAGCCCAAAACTTAGATTCAAACTGAACCTTTTTTAGAATTATATCGCGATGGAAGCTTGTGAGAGAGGGGATGTAATCATTCCAAAGGCTATCTTTCGTATTGCTCGTCAGTTTCATCCTCTCTCTAGCTTCAGAATAGTCACAATGCAAATTAGGTCACGTGGCTAATGATTCTTGTTCTTACCCTGCGAGGATAGATCTGAGACGATGCACTTGAATCTTCCTGTCACCCGCATCGTGTGCATCAGTTCAGTTTATGGTGAAATTATTCTGCTTTTTCCTTTTAGGCGTTAACAAATGTTTATCGCACCAAGACAGAATTCTATATAATTATATACGAAAACCAGCATGCATAACCTCATCGAAGCAATAAAAGTCTCCTTACAGGCGGTGAAGTGCAGTTGGTTTAGCTGCTTTATTGATCTGTCTAGGGTCGGTGAGCCCTCTTGACGCGACCTTCAAATCAAAGGAGCTCCACACGTGCTTCATAGAATTGCGTGCTCGTTGGTCAGATGGCGTATCTAGTGACACACATAGATGTAAGTCCAATAAATTCTGAAAATCTCAAATATGTATATCTCCTTCAGTGGAACATCTATCACACATCTCACAAGAAAATCTACCCACACACACACACACACCAACTGGAAGATACGACATGTCCAAGCCAATCAAGACCACGTCGTCGAAGATTGATGCCGCGCCAACACCTCATAATACTCCCTCCAGCGTGTTGACGGGCTCCTACCTGAAAAATGGGAACCCAGCACGTTCTGTTCCGCAAACAATCAAGGAAGAGGACATCACATCTGCTTTGGCAAACAACCCTCAGCTTCTAGCATCTATCCAAGACAAACTAGGTGATTTAGTGGGCCAGGACAGCGGCTACGTGGCATCGTTGCCACACGCGGTTAGAGACCGGATTTATGCATTGAAAAAATTACAACGCGATCTGTTTGAGCTAGAAAAGGACTTCCAGCTTGAAATGTTTGCATTGGAAGAAAAATACTTGCAAAAGTATAGTCCAGTACACCAGCGCCGTTATGAGATCACTTCTGGAAAACAGGAGCCTTCTCTCAGAGAAATAGAGATTGGAAAACAGCTAGGGGACGAGCTCGACACAGTTGCTGAGGAAGCCGAGGAAGATGAAGACGAAGAGGGGCAAGACAAGATTAAGGGTATTCCTTCGTTCTGGCTTACGGCTTTTGAAAACTTGCCCATGGTGTCGCAAACGGTCACAAGTGCCGATGCAGAAGTGCTAGAGTGTTTGACCGACGTCAGACTAGAATATCTAACAGAGGGGAAGCCCGGTTTCAAACTAGTTTTCCAGTTTGACGAGGAGAACCCTTACTTCACCAACAAAGAGCTGGTTAAGACATACTTTTACCAGTCGGAATTGGGCTATTCTGGAGACTTCATTTATGACCACGCCGAGGGTTGCGAGATCAAATGGACCGACAATGAGTCCAACGTGACCGTATCGGTCGAAAAACGCAAGCAGCGCAACAAGACCACGAAACAAGTGCGTACCATCGAGAAGATCACGCCCGTGGAATCGTTTTTCAACTTTTTCGATCCACCCAAGGTCCCAGCTAAGAAGACCAATGAGTCCGAAGTGGAAAACGCCAAGGGCGAAGAAGAAGACGGCCACGACAGCGAGGACGACGACGAGGAAGACCCAGACGAAGTGGCGGAACTAGAGTCGCGTTTGGCATTGGACTACGCCATCGGGGAAGAGTTTAAGGACAAGCTTGTTCCACGTGCTGTGGACTGGTTTACGGGCGCTGCGATTGAGTTTGAGTACGATGCTGACGAAGGAGAAGACGAGGACGCGGAGTTCGACTCCGAATTCGACGACGAAGAAGATGAAGATGAAGACGACGATGACGACGGCGAAGACGATGATGAAAACGCCGATGATTCTGAAGAGGACAGTGATCCCAGCGATTTCAAACCTGCCGGATCCAATTCTAAAGAGCAACCTCCAGAGTGTAAGCAAGCTTAAGTGAGTATGAACGCTCGCTTTCACCATCATCATCATCATTATCATCATCATCTAGTTCCAATCTGGTACGCTTTGGATATCAAAAATGATGCGCCAGATTCCATATCATCACCAACGACATGCTCTCGCCTTTCCCTTCCCCGGGTAACACCTCTCGATATTTTCACATTGCTCACGTGGCCAGATTTTTTTCGGATTTTAACTCCCCTTGACATTTGACTATATATAAAGGAAGAGATGCTATTTTCGTGCCCCTTAGAAACAAAGACGAGCCGCCTCAAGGAAAAAGCGAAACTGTGTGATAGTCTCAACCTTTACAATCTTTTACTGAAACGTCAAGCTTCAATACTTCGTTTTTGAAAGACATCTGGTGAGATTAAGTTGAGTTAAGTGACCTCTAGTGACGATTTGCAGATATTTGTTGTATTTGCAAGTTCCGAAAAAAGCGCAGTTTTAGACAACCGATATAAGTAAAAGAACCTCCGGTCTTTCTTTTTGTTTTCAGCTCGAAAACTATAGAATACCAGTGTTGCCTTTGGGTATTTCGGCTGAGTTGAAGGAAATAAGCATATCACATCACCTTTTGTGAAGCTAGCTACCTTGAACAGCTATTTGGAAATTTTGGCGTCTGTGATTGACGATCCATCTGATAGAAATTTGCTTTCCTCTTATACTGCAATGAGCAACAACTCTGTTAGAGTTGTGGTCGACAAAGACACAATCTCGCGGTTTGCATCCTGCCAATCCGCAACGTTGAACCATCTCAATAAGTACGAGACCCTCACAAACACCGTGAACTACCTATTGTCGTTTTCTGTGGTCTCCAGCACGATATCTGCAGTGCTTACAGTGCTGTACCGGGCCAGACTTGTTGCCGTTGACTCTCCCAAATCACCACAGGTAATTAAAAGGGGCTACCAGGCCAGCGTTGCTGGCGCCCGCAAATTGGACGAGTGGTTCAATATCTTGGTTTTGCGCGAGGGTATCGACGAGTTTGTGAGCCAGTACCACACACACAGCGGCAAACCTGGGTTCTGGGTTGTTTTCTACCTGCTCGACTATTTTGCTAATGTGTCGAACCTGGTGTTGAAAGAACTTGTGGTAAAACCTCTCAAGCTTGGCAAAAAGCCCTCGGGCCCAGCAGAAGCAGCACATGAATTGGACCTTGATGGAGGCGTACAAAATGGCCATTCGCACCCAGACAACCTACCTCACATAAAGGAGCTAGCTGGCACCACACGTTCTTTAGGACACGAATTGCAATCCAAATTACAATCTGAATATATTGAACCCACCAGAACAAAGCTACAACAGGGATACATTGACCCCACCAAAGATAGAATCAACGGAACTAGAGACTACGTTTCTGAAAAGTACGGTGAGTTCATTAAACCCACTTACGATGCTGCCTACCAAACTGTCTCCGAAAAGTACGAAGGCAACTTGAGTAAATCCGAAAGCGTGCCCAGAGCAATTGTGTCGACAGGTGTCGACATAGGTCAGCTGACGATCGGGAAACTGAAAAACGGAGTTGCTCATGGAGTTGACTCCGTCGAGCCTAGGGCCAAGGTTCTTTCCGACGAAATCAGCGAAAGGGCTGCCTCTGTGCTTCAAACCACAGAAAACTTGACCAAGCAAGCTGCTTAAGCTTGCGGGTTCTTGTTGCCTGCCGATTGATCTTCCCTTTCACTCCCGCTACAGTGGAGAGTCTTGTGGGTCACAATGGGAAGATTTTCGGAGGAAAAAGAAAACCAAAAAAAATGGACCATTTTAAAGACAAAGCACACTTCCTTAAGTTTCCAATTTATTTGCTTTGTCATTTCTTTTGGCTAGGGATTGAACCCTAGCATTCTCTCTTCTTTGGGTTTGTTAGACCCTCGGAATTATATTTGGGCCGTGACAGTATTCGAGTCTGGCGTTATGTTTGCTATAAATCCTTTTGGTACTGAAGGTCTTTTGCTTATTAAATATAAAAAAGAACATTGCTTTCATATGAACTTATCTGCTGTTGCTCTGGCATCGACTTCACTTCTGAAGACAGTGATAGAGGAAGAGCTCTTGTAGCTGGTATCACGTTCCACGATAATTGTGTCAACGTTATAGATTATAGGCTGATCATTATGATACCAGCCGGTGTTACGTCAAGAGAAAGAAGCCAGCAATAGAGGATAGTGTGTATAGAGACCAAGACAATCAATTCAAGCTATGAGCCAATGAATGCCTTTTTCTAGTTCAAAAAGGTGGCCCAGTTCCCAAATTTTTTCTTTAGATTCACTATTTTATCAGCCGTTGAAATTTTTGGCTTACGTAATCCCCATTGTCTTAAAATGTCAGCGACGGAGGAGGTTTTAAATAGAAAAGAGCCAGATCGTCTCGGATTTGGATAAATGGACAGCTGCAATAAGCCGATTGGTCTCTCTATTTGCAATCTTTCTGAACTCAAAGACAGGATTTTCGACTTGATGGACCCTTAAAAGAACATCCCAAGACTTTATTTATTTCAAGCCCCTCAAAAGAAGATTTTTTTATTTGAGTAGTAGTTCGAAAGTTAAATAAACTGCGACTGGGGGGTCTTCTCGTAGATTCTAGCATCTGACTAGTTCAGTCTTCTACTGTTTGACTTGGATAGTCTAAATCTTTATCGTGACGCTAGTAGCGATGTGTCACATGACGAGACTGAAATTAGCATCTCATCTCTATATATATTGTAATCAATAAGAATTCGATTCTCAAATGCTGTCTCATCAAGTTAGGGAAACGATAACCACCAATAATGTCGTCGAATCATCACGATAACGCCTTCCAAGGTATGTTTGAGTCTAAACCCAGTCGAGAAAATTGTATATCTCGAAATTTGCTCATCTTACTAACTCTTTCCCTCTTGTACTAGAACGTAAGCGGAAACTTTCGGTATGGGTGAAACGTATTATTCAACCCAACAAGGAATCCTCTCACTTTGAGGCCACCACTACACACACACCAATGCATGCGAAAACCAGCGAAAGACGAAGGTCTCTGGAGCAAAGTCGATCATCTCACGTCAACGCAGAGCTACCGAGAACAAGGACAAAGAATGCAACGACAGACGATCCGAAACACGGGCACAGAAAACGGGTTCCGCAAACTGGCTCCGTGATGTGGGATAAATCTGTAACAAAGGACTCCACGTCTGCTACGAACCAACAGCTACGGCTTGACTTTGATCAAATGCACGACAACGCCAGTACTGCGCCCTTAGTGTCACATTGCTCGTCGTCAACGAAATCTTCTGTTTTTTCGGAAGTGGCTTCACTACAGTCCACACGAGCCACCGTGCTGTCCAATAAGACGCTCGACACGAACTCAAGCACTGTTGGAATACCGCCGGCAAGCATTTTAGACCGCACGCGCCATACGACCAACAACCCGGGCGCTCCTTCCATTTTTTCTCTTGCCACGACTCATCATACTTCCCAGGCCAACAGCATGCGCCAGTTTTCTGTCTAGCACCGCGCAATCGCCTCTTTCACAACAGATTGTTGCAGGAACAACATTTTACTTACTACATTCGCATCACAACCCTGCGAAAAAAAAAAAAGATATTCACACCACAGCAAAAGCCGATCGACAGCAGTCCGCAAACATGAATTCGAATAAACATTTGGCGGACTTCTAGATCAGCCTTTCAGCTCCAAATACAGTTAAACTCGACGTCCAGATATGGAGCCTGTCCAGAAACCTTCACTCTTCCCACGAGTACTTTTCGTACTCGCCATCGATGTGTGAAAGTCTCCATTGTCATTCGAAACTAAAGAACGTGGCTACCACGTGTACCATCGGGAAAAATGATCATATGCCATGCACGGTGTGTATATATAAGAGCATACACGCCTCTTGGAAAGCTGTAATAGCACCTTTCCCATGGACAAGAAGCGAACTAGCACTCTGGAACTACATTATGGGTAAGAAAACAGGAATCGGAGGTCCTATCAAACAAATCGATGCTTCTTTGCACGAACCAATCAACAAAGATGCGCCTCCTACCATTTACGGGTCGCACTTGACTCCAGAATTGGCAAACGCATCTCTCAACCTAAGTGCTGATTTTTTGAAGCAACAGCAGTCGTTGGCGAACAAATATGTTATTTGGCATCCTAGAACGCTAGGATTTTCGTTGTTTTGTACGCTGGCTTATCTGGTCCCAAACGCGGTGCTGCCAAAAAACACTAAAAGTGCCAGTGGCTTTATCATTCAATTCGTGCTGATGAACCAAACTGCACTGTTGACAGCAAGCATAGTTTTGCTGATGACTACATCTTTCGCTTTCACTCTGCTGTCCAAAGTCACAGAAAAAGTGTTCCAAGCCAAAGTGGACGCAATTGTTGAAACAGAAGGAAACTTGGTGTTCGGCTGTAAACTCGAACAACTGGCAAATGGCACCATCAAACCAACTGAGAAGCTTAAAAACACCCAAATTATTGTCTACAGAGACACGCCAATCGCGCTGGCTAGCATTTTGGAGAATGAGGCCGTGTCAAATGCAGACTCGCTGGTTATGGGTATTTCATCCATTGGGACTCGTAGGGTTTACGTTAAAAGTGGTATTATCGAAGACTTGCTTGACTGGGCGTTGCTTCGCACCAAGAACATTCAGATTGGCAGCCAGAAATTCAAGTCTGACAGATCCATGAAGCTTCTGGTGGACGTTTACTCTTTTGATCAAGTCATGAAGGACACACTTGTCAAAAAAGGTTTTACTTTGATTAAGAGCCATAAACTTCCTGAATCGAGATTGCTGAGCGGAATTTTTGGCATGAGACAGGAGTTGTGGGGAGTTCAATTTCGTTACGATTCCAAGAAAGAGAAATAAGAGAGAAAGCCATTAGCCGCTTCTGCTGCAAAATGAAAAGGAAAGGACGAGACTTTGTCTGTTTACTTTGGTCAAAAATCGTTCCTGTATATAGAATAACAACGTACAGAATTTTAATGTTAAATGCTTTTTTAAAAGTTTGAGTTGCTCAGTGGGTTCAACCCAAAATGTTCCGCGGACGCTTTTTGGCCCGTATAATATGCATGCGCCTTAATGCAATCCGCACTGTAAGCGAAAGTCCATACACGGTGACAACTATGCACAACCATTTGAGTATGGAAATGGTCAACGATGGCGGTTTGTTCGGTATGAGATCTAGATTTGTTTTCCCTTGTGCTTTAGCGGCTTCCCAATCGTTAAGCTCGTCTTTCTTGATACTGATAAACTCGCCGTACTCGTGGGCTAGGAAAAAGCGCATCTCATCTGCCAGATCAAAATCTTCATCATCTTCGGCGCTCCAATGAAACTCAGAGGTCTCTACATGTTTTATCTCAACAGTCTCGGTGAGCTCGCCAGTCAGCGCTCCAATTGCGATATACCGTTCTCCCGTCTTTTGATTTTTGGGCAAAAACAGATTTTTATCCTTCTGATAAAGCTCGATCCAGTTTTCGTGGTCCGAATATGACACATCTATCTTCAGAAACCCAATACTTTCTAAGGAAATGATTCTGAGCTTAACGTCCTTTCCTGACAAAAGAGAACCTTTTAATTTGAGAGGGCCCGCCAGTGAAAAGCCCGTGCTTTTTTTACCGTCGGATGCAGCGTCGTAATGATGTCTTTGTGGATCCACGTTGAGCAAGATGTTGGCGAAAGGCGCACTAATTTTGGTTTTGGGGTCATTCCGGTATGTATCGACAACAACGGCGAGTCCGGGAAGGTTCCGCGGTAGCCCCATGAGCTCACAATCGCTGTATAGGATACCACCTGAATTATGCAAGTATTGTTGTTTGGCGTACGAAGACCGCAGATCAAGAGACACAAATCGTTTTTCCGGGGTAATCATGAATACCATACCGTCACCCATCTGGCGCTTCCCACGCATGCCATCGTTTTTTTTACCCGAGATGCTGAACGAAACTATGGTCTCGAAATCGTCCAAAACGTTGTCTCCTGCTCCGTTCGATACTATTACACCATGCTGGCCCGGTTGGCCGCGTGAAGTCAGTCTTAAAGTTCCCAGATTTCTGATCTGCGTGCTGCCACTGACCAGCCAAAAGTTGTTGACTTTGTCCAAAAACGGCCTGGACAAAGATGCATCGGGATTGTGCTGTCGTTGTATCCGCGGTTCACGGAACAAAGAATGCAAGTTGGGCGTTTGATCTGGGACACTTTCGCGAGTTACCAGTATCTTGAAAAGTAGAAAGAGAGAAAAAATGATTCCTGCTTGGACCCATTTATTCCAACTCCTCATCCCCGCGAGCAACTTGATCGGTGCTACGCCATCAAACTATCCTGGCCTTTTGTATGTAGTAGAGTAAATTTACATTCCCATCTCTCATCCTGTTCTTTTTGGTCAGCTAACTATAGATATGACACGAAATTCAGAACACAGTCACATAGTACGGGTAGGGTGTCGCGCACTCTGAATGGATGCCAACTACCAGCTCATCAGCGTTGACCTTTCAGTCGACAATCCCGTTGGTAGGGGCAGCAAATACATATAGACACTTTCATTCAGTCCAATGGCTTCCAACCCCGTCCCCCTGACCAGAGCTGTTTTAGGTATAAAATGATTGGCGGCAATTTTTGGGATCCCGAAAAAAAAAGGTCAGCAACGTCTGATAAAGACTTATATCCCCAACTGTACATTAATTATATCATCATATTTGCGTTTCATGTCTTTCTACATAAGTTTATACCTCTCTATTCGAGATCCTTGATGTTTTTGAGTAAAAGTGGTATAAATTCTGATAGCTTCGGTAGCTGTTCAGGGTTTAATTTACTGTCCTTTTATACCTTTTTTTTGGCCTTTGGCACAAAAACGATTATTTTACAAGCCGCCTTTATGGTAAATACGTGATGAATGGCATCAATGCTTGGTCATTCCGAGTTTTTACGCGTACCATTTGCTTGGCTTGTTAGCGAAACTTGAGGAACTGGGATGGATGAGAAATTGTGGATCGATTGGTGCCAAACAATCCTTGTTTTGACAGTCAAAAGCTTCAAAATGGCGTTTTTGTGAGATATTTGACCAGACATCAAGTTTGAACCTAAAATTCCAAAATTATAGAGGCTTGAAGATCAATTTGAGATAGTAAACAAAGTCCATTGATCGTGGCAAGTTGAAAGATGTGATAAAATGAGTGGTCATACTTTATGAGATTATTAGCGGAACTGAGTGCTGTTGTTGGGTCACTTTGATTTTGCTGCTACTTTTATTCCAGTAACATTTTGTAGTGCGGTGCTGGATGTTCTGGAATTTGGTTTTTCTGTATGTGTTCAACACCGTGGAAAGTTCCAATTGTGAGCAAGAGCAAATTTACCAAGCTGGGTACCCCCTATCAATTTTGATATGCTTTTGAAAGGTGAGTTAGACGATACAGCTTGATTCATGCCTCGCATTGAGATTCTGTCTCATAAAAGGAACGCTTATGTATCTGTATCCAACACTCTGATTACTATGTTCTGATCTTTTCACTGACGCTGACATTGAATCACGTGACATGAAGAAGAAGAGGAAGAAACTGTCCAAGGCTTTTGGTAGACTTTTTTTGGATGCAAGGTAAGACCCGCCAGATGCGAGTTTACATCAAGTTTTTTTCTCGCAACCTTCTTTGCATTGGTGTTGACGCTCTTTTCCTAGTTTTGTTTTCCGTTTCATTCATTCGCTTTCTACGTCTGTTTTTTGTCTAGTAATAATTCCCTTTCACATATTCGTTACTCACTCATATCAAGAAAACTGTGTCATCGAACCACTTCATACACCAATAAGACTGAAAAGGTAAGCTCAATCATTAGAACAAATCCTGTCACTTCCCTCTGTTATTGAAAATAAGTTCAATGATATATGGAGCATCATTTTCTTAACACGCACCTAGAATTCCAGCTTCCCAAAACTACCGAAATGTCTGAACATTTTCTCTCCGCGACCGAGAAAATTCCAAAAAAAAAGTCGGTGTTCCTTTAACAGCAGTATTATTGTCTTCTTGTTGACCCAGTCCCTCACACTCCACTCAAACTTCTGAAATAGTCAATTTTTCGTCTCGACCGTGCCAAATATGCCAATATCACCAAAAGTTCAAAATAAATGCTTTTAAAACGCTCTTTCATTTCAACTGGCTTCGATCAGATACATCGCACTCTTTTTAAAGTCATCCGGCTCTTCTCATAGGCGGCAGATCTCATTGAACTCACAGGCCGTTAGTCTTCACGTGTCATACTCACCGTTCCACTATAACAATATCAGGGCGTAAAGAATCGTATTTGAAAAGTATCTGATCGCTTCATCAACAAAAGCTCATTTCCGCTACTCAGGACCCTATCTGTTGATTATAACAGCAGATCTTTGCCCATTGCTAGCATAACGAAGTTGTTTACCAACATGGCGAAAGCACCAACACCCCGTTGTATCATTGTTCGTCACGGACAGACCGAATGGTCGAAATCTGGCCAATACACTGGACTCACTGACTTGCCGTTGACTGAGTACGGTGTGGGTCAGATGAAGAGAACTGGAGAATCTATCTTCCGCAACAAGTTCATCGACCCTAACCAAATCACCTACATTTTCACGTCTCCCAGAACCAGAGCTAAGCAAACCGTGGAGCTCATCTTGGAAAACTTGACCGAGGACCAGAGAGCCAAAATTCGTGTGGTGGTCGACGAAGACCTTAGAGAGTGGGAGTACGGTGACTATGAAGGTCTTTTGACCGAGCAGATCGTTCACCTGCGTAAATCACGCAGTTTGGACCAAGACAGACCTTGGAATATCTGGAGAGACGGCTGTGAAAACGGCGAAACAACCGAGCAGTTCGGTCTCAGGCTCTCGCGTGTCATCGGTCGGATCCAGAATCTACATGGGAAGCATCAAGCTGAAGGAATTGCCTCAGACATAATGGTGTTTGCCCACGGCCATGCGCTACGTTATTTTGCAGGTCTTTGGTTGAGATTGGGCCAAGAGAAACAATGTGACGGCAAAGAACCACAACCACCTACTTACCAGGATGAAACTGTGCCCTACGTTCCCTTGAAATCCTACCGTCATCTCGTTGACAACCCAAGTTTTTTACTAGATGCTGGTGGAATTGGCGTCCTGTCATATGCCCATCACAGCATCGACGAGCCAGCATTAGCTCTGGCCGGTGCATTTGTGTGTCCACCAGAGGAGGAGTCTCAACATGGCTCAACTGCTGAGTAGCGAATGAAACCTTTCACTTATAGACCATATTTTTCTTAAATGATAAATGCTATATGCTATAAACATATTTGGATTTAAAGTTCTTGTTTCCCAAATAAATAACAGATCAGATACTCAACATGATGACACAGCATGCTAGATGAGTTTCCAGTCGAGCTCAAATTGGAGCTGTTGAAGTCACACTTGCACCTGGCTTTCGTGAATAAGGAATGGTACCGTCTGAGCAATCGTTTTTATAGAGATCATTGCTTGAAATTGAAGCCAGAAGCTTACTGGAATCGAATCCAGAACGGAATTTGTCGTTATATTGAGAGTTTGGACAATGAACGTGGCGCTGCTCGAAGGATTAATGCCAGAGAGGATGTGGATGATGAGGACGAACGAAGTTACATTCCTTTTATGTCAGATTCTTGGCAAATCATTTACAGCGTTCTGTTCCGGAATCCAAGGTTCTTCGCCATGGATTGCGCAAGTCGCGAAATAAACCTATCGCATGACGTTGTGACAGAGTATTACTGCCCAATGGAATTAGAAAGTGGCAGAAAGTATCCGTGCAATCTTTGGTGCAAAAAAGTGACGAGAGGCGGATTCTTTGGTGCCATTCGGGTGGCTATTTACGCACAGCCAGACGGTTCAGAACCCTTGCTGGTGCGAGATTTACCATCGATGCTTGATGACTGGTGTGAATCTCCCGGGACGTACTGTCTATACGGAGGTCACTTTGAGTTACCTGAATCTGCTGCTTCGCTACAAGTGGTGCATATGGGTATTTCCATCACTAATGCAACGAGTGTCGTTTTAGAGGCAGTGGATACTACTCCTTTTCAAAGCACAAAGAGCTGGCTTCTGTTTAGTACGCGTGAGATGGAAATATTCAATCAGACCGAAAAGTTGCTAAGTGCAGAGCGAATGCACTGGGACGAGAAATTCGTAAAGACCGAGGATGCCGAGCCTGCTAAAGAAATTGGATTCGATTTTGTCTATCGATTTCCGAAGGACTTAGGGTCGCATCATAATCTGAAAAGCGTCTGGTTCCCGCGTTTGAGAGACTGTGATGTCGTTCATGACTAGCCTGCAACCAGGGGGATGGAGCAGCAGTAATCTGAAAGCCCAGTTTCTGGTTATGAAGTACTAGATGAGACACCTTAACTCGAAGATTCTACAAGGAACCACTTTCCGATCTTAAATGGAGGTACTATTCTGCGCGCTTCTTATGCTAGATTAACTCAACAACACCGGGCTCTCCGCAAACGCTCAGAAGCAGCAAACGTGGTTCTCTTTTTTCACACCACAGCATTACAAACCTGTGATGGTGTATGTATATGTTCTTAATCTAAGTATAGTGTCACTGCAATACAGTGACGCCTGAACTACCTATGTACTGCCACCGCAGACCTAACGAAATATCAGAACGACGCAAATACCGATGAAACTGTTAAAATCTAAACTTATATACTAGTAAACAAAAATGACGCCCTAGGCGATGAATCCCGTTAACGAAAGAACCATAATGATGGGTTGGGAAAAGAAATCAGTAATGTAGCCACTTGAGAATCAGTTTGATGATTCAATTGTAATAACACACGCGAGGTCAGGTAAGCAGTGCAAATGAAGCAACAAATCGCACGCTCGTAAAATACCTTCTCGCAAAAAGAGAAAATGGTCTCACTTCAGAGAGCAGAAGATGAGATAAAGGGGGGGGTATCATAAAACAAATAGTGCTTTTGGGTTTTTTAAATGCCCCTCAAACTTGTTCTATCTTCGAGCAGATTAGTAGAAGACGAAGTTGGCGGAGCCAGAAGTTACTGTAACAGTACATCCGTCAGATCCTGAACCCGAGTATTGACCGTTTTCGTAAGAACACTCGCCATTGATAGAACCGCCATCGGCAGCCTCAATCTTGACGTTGAAGTTAGGAGGAGTCTTGTTGTTTGGGTTAGGAATAATGGATAAGTAGGTGTTGCCGTTGGTGTGACCGGCACCCAAGACAACGGGGGCCCAGTTACCGACGCCAGAACCATCAGTACCCCAAATACAACCGTCTTCTTGACTGACACCGGCGTTGTTGACGTAGTACTGAGAAGAGGTTTTCTTACCACCCCAGGTGTAGTACGAGTCCTCATCGACAACCGAAACAGGCTGCTTGGAGTTTCCGTCGACCACGGTTGGAATAACCATGTTTTCGGAACCAGGGTAGTCTGTGCGGCACATGGCGATCTGGGAGTTTTTGTTGTTGACAGCGTAGGCGCTTCCGGTGCCTTGTTCGCACAAGTTATCGGTGTCCTTGTTGGTACGGTACAGGTATCCGTTGCGGCACTCTAGACCACCGACGGATCTGCCGTCTGAGGGCTGGTTGGAAGGCCATTGAGTCTTGGACATGCCCGGTTCGCAAGCGTACGAGCAGAAGAAGCCGTCTTGGCAGCTTTGGGAGGTGCTGCCGTCCTGGGCCATGACGGAGGCCCAACCCCCGAGACCGACCCAAGAAAGTTCAACGACGCCGTTTCCGGAGGGGAAATCGGAGCATTTGATGGTACCGTCTTGGAACGAGCCGGAGGAGGAGGAAGAGGAGGAGGAGGAGGAGGAGGAAGAAGAAGCAGGAGCCGAAGAGGATGAAGAACCAGACGACGAACCAGACGACGAACCAGACGACGAAGCTGCAGCAGGAGAGCTGGTAGCCACGTTGCTGCCGGCATTGACAGGATTGCCGTTGCTGTCCACGTACTGGACGACCGTCGTGACCGCGTCACGACGGTCGTGGTGGTGAACAGCGGCTGCAGGAGCTGCAGCTGCTAGTGGTGCTGCTAGTAGTGAAGCAGAAACGATTGCGAGATGAGCCAACATTGAAATTTGGGAAACAAAAAAAAGGAAAGAGAAGTTTTCGTTTAGTGTGATGTCTTTTCCTAGATCACGTGCTTTGCCGTGTGAAATGAGTGACTGAAAGATTTGGGGTTTTCTTTGTTTATTTTAGGCCGTCGTGTTTAAAGTAGCACAACAAAGGAGCGTGGTTTGAAGTTTGAAGTTTAAGCTGTTTCTTGTTGTGAGCGAGATCAGGAAAAACCTATTATTAATGAAAGTGAACGTGGGTGGTTTTATTTTATAACTGGAGTAGGGAAAGTCTAGTTTCCGACAACAACAAATAAAAACACTGGTAGGATATGTGTGAATGATAGGTATTCTTTACTGTGATGAATGAATTCTTTCTACAAGAACAATTACAAGAACTATTTTCAAGAACATTATAATTCCAACTCAAATCCCGTCCTTACCTCCCCACAGCGTTTCGTGCCATCTTCTTTTATACTCTGGACAAGGTTCTTCCTCGTCTGCGACACATCAACAGAAAAGCCCGATCTGGGCGACGAGGGCCTGGACCCGGCCTAATGGTGTGGCAGATCGATCTAGCGTTGCCCAAAGCGGAAACATTAGTGGGACGGGTAACCCACTAATTACCGCATTGGGGAAAAGATGGCCGCGCGAGCGCGTCACCACACCAACGCGGAAAAACCACGCAGAAAGCGCTCGAGGATTTCTTTTTCTGTTTTCCGGACTGCGGACAGGCTGAGACAAGAAAATTAAAAATAAAAAAAAAGAGAATAATACTAAGAGAGCACACACACACACGCACGCACGCTCCTGCGAGAAAAGCAATTCTCAGACGATGCTCGAGAACCACAAAAAAGAAAAAGGAAAGAAGAAAGAAGAAACAGAAGAAACAGAAGAAACAGAAGAAACACAAATCCTACATGCGTAGCACCATAGCACAATGGGCGAAGTCCGCGTGTGTGAGTAAGAGAGAGAGGAACACACAGACACACAGAAAAAGGGGAAGCGTTGTCGAGCAGATCTTTTGCCGTGTGGTGGAACGCTCAGTCTAGACCTTGCGTTTGCGGTGTGGCCTCAGTGAGGCTGAAGCAAAGAGGAGCAGATCAGTATGGAGCACACAGAAGCAAAATGGTGGTATTTCTTGGCTGTTGGTGGTGGTAGTGGTTATGGTGGTGGTGGTGTTTTACCGTATTAGGCATGAAAATGGCTACGAAACATAACATGTATGGGATTTGTGAGTGGTGGGTAGTCAGCAGTTCGTATATGTGTGTGGGTGTGGTGTGTGGGTGTATCTGTGTGGGTTGAGGTGTTTGGGTGGAGGTGTGTGGTGGCTGTTGGGTGAGGTGTGTGGAAGACGAATTGGGAAATTGGCTGTCCTTTTGTACGGCAGATGTACAAGTGGTTGTTGGACGAGTAAGTTGTTTTCAATAAAGACCCGTTTCGTATGACATTACAACCCATTTGGGATGCGTTCCCCCCCCTCGAGGTGGCTTTGTACGGATGGGTACAAGTGGGTTTACCCTTTGGTACGCATGATATTTCACGGGTTCTCTTTTGGTCTACGAGGACCCGTTTCGTATACAGCTACACCCCACTTGGGGTTTGTCTCGTATGACGCTACATCCCATCTGGGATCCGTTTTTTTTCCTGGCCTGGAGACGAAGCACGAATCCACTCGTTCAAAATGCTCGATGATTCGAATCATCTGGTATAATATATGGTAAGACGCTCAAAGAGTCCGAATGAAGTGCTTTAAACATACCCGTAGAGCGAACAAGTGAAGATACTGATCCGAGCTCATTTTGCACATGACGTACAGATGTTAGAAGACGAGTGCAGCGAATACGGGCTCCAGCCCAAGGAAAAGAGCCTATAGCATTCTCTTCGAATGAAATTATTGGTCCGTTGACCTCAAGCGATGACTACGTTCACAGTAATTGATTCTTGTTCATTAACGTTCGTATTCGTATTAGAAGACGTGATCGCGCCTACCTGGATTTGTGGTTTAAAAAACCGGATTCGCCAGATTCGTCCCTAGTCCTGGTTTTGCCCTCAAGGTGGTCTCGTTCGCAGGCGGGTCGCAAATGCGTTGTCGCTGTATACGGACAAGTACATCTAGGGTGTATCTTGAAAGGATCCGTTTTGTATGAGGCTACATCCCATTCTGGACGCATTTCCTCGTCGTGCAGCGCCTCAGACAGCTGTTCCCAAAATACTCTTGTCACCACTTACCCACCCGAAAAAGCCCTTGATCCTACAAGCTCATCCACCTCACACCTAACCTAATCAATGTGCCTCCGATTACCATACTACGTTCACCATTCACCTCTCCACCCCATCAACCATCCGCGATAGTTTAGTGGCTAGAATTCGGGCTTGTCGCGCCCGGGACCGGGGTTCAATTCCCCGTCGCGGAGTCTCTTTTTTAATATCATTTCTATCATTATCATTATTTTTTTTCAAGTCGCTCGCTATAGCCAGCTTCACAGGCCCAGGCTTAAATTCATATAAATATATATATCGAATTTACTACCTCTAACAGTAGGGTTTACATCAACATTCAAGCGAAAGCCTCAAACAAAGGCTCCCCACCCTACACTCACCAAATGGCTAATGCTTCTACTATCATCTGCATCGGGATAGTAGTAGGCGTGGTGTCGTCGGCTACGCAGTCGCTGGGTCTGACGCTTCAGAGAAAGGCCAGCGTCGCACACATCGCACAGGTCGCGAATGAAGAGCGGCCCGGTCCGTCGTTATACCGAAACGCTACGTGGCAACTGGGACTCGCACTTTTCTTGCTTGCCAACATTGTCGGAAGTACAGTTCAGATCGCCACGTTGCCACTGATCGTACTGGCGCCGCTGCAGAGCTGTGGCCTTTTGTTCAACTCGCTCGCCGCTCACTACGTGCTCAAAGAGTACTCCTCGTGGCGCACGCCCTTAGCAACGCTCCTGATCGTCGCAGGCGGCATGGTCATCGGCGTCGTGGGCGTTTCCTCCACGTCCTCGCACTCCATAACGCATTCTCTCGCAGAATTGTGGAAACTGGCCCAGGCATCGCTTTTCAGGCGTTGGTTCGTCAGCACCAACGCCCTGGTGGGCGTGGTGCTGGCCCTCACCTGGTATTATAAACAGGCCCTCCCCACTTTTGTCAAGGGCGTCAGTTACGGCTGTTGCAGCGGCATCTGGTCCGCGCATTCACTGCTCATGGCCAAATCCGTTTCTGACGTGGTCACGCACGCCATAATTCATGGCTCGGCTGATTTGGTCAACTCGTCATTTTGGATCCTGGTGGCAGTTTTTGTCTCTCTATCCCTCACACAGCTATTTCTTTTGAACACTGGTCTGCGACACATTTCAACGTCAATCTTATACCCGTTGGTTTTTTGCATCTACAACCTGGTTAATATTTTCAACGGGATAGTGTTTTTCAATGACCAGGGACAACCTTTGTCGAAGGTCTTGGGTGTGATACTCCCAGGCGTGGCTAGTTTAATATGTGGGGTAGTGCTTTTGTCAAGAGACCAGTTTATCATTTCGCAAGGCGAGGACTCCAAAAACGTACAAGACTCGCAACATCGTACCAGCATGCTTTCCTACACCAGTCTCAGGCCCAAGAGCGTAGACCTCGCATCCCTTCAGGCCCCTACGTCCTCGAATACGGAATCTTCAGACCCATATTACGTTTCTCTCCCGCAAACCCCAAAGAAAGACAAATACAACTCGATGTCTTCTTCGAAGCGTAACAGTCGAAGAGTACTTTCTTTTGAACAGGAAGGCATTCTCAGTCAAATGGTTTAGATATATAGCTATGTCAATCTCAAAGCATTTGTCTTTTCTGATAAAAAGGGACTCACGCAAAATAAATGGCAAAGTAGCAGGAAAGCATTCCATGCGATTCATTGGCAGGTTAGGCAACAACGTCCGCAAAGTTCGAGACCAGGATGTCCAAAATGCCTTCACGCTCATCACGATGGTCACATTTTCCGTGTCTAATGAGTTGTAGATCTTGACGCGTTCTTAATGAAAAACACGTAAACCTACTCATCACAACAGCTCTCGGATCCTACTCCAGCGTCAAGAGCTCAGAAACCCGTTCAGTCATTCGAACTTTCTACAAACTATGTCGATTGTCTCATTGCTAGGTATCAATGTGTTAAATAACCCTGCGAAGTTCGCAGACCCTTACGAGTTTGAGATCACCTTTGAATGTTTAGAGCCCTTGAAAAAAGATTTGGAATGGAAACTTACTTATGTTGGATCGTCTCGTAGTTTGGATCATGACCAGGAGCTTGATTCCATTCTAGTAGGCCCCGTGCCCGTGGGTGTGAACAAATTTTTGTTCACGGCCGACCCACCATCGCCCGAGCTCATCCCAGCAAGTGAATTGGTTAGCGTAACGGTGATTCTTTTGAGTTGTTCGTATGACGGACGAGAGTTTGTCCGTGTTGGATACTATGTGAATAACGAATACGACAACGAAGAGCTCAGAGAAAACCCTCCAGCCAAAGTCCAGGTTGACCAAGTGGTTAGGAACATCCTGGCCGAAAAGCCACGAGTGACGAGATTTAATATCATTTGGGACAATGAACAGGGCGAAGAATACCCACCAGAGCAGCCTGAAGTGGAGGCTGAAGATGTGGACGACGAAGAAGCAGAAGACGAAGAAGTAGAAGAGGATGAAGACGAAGATGACGATATAGAAGTGGAAGTGGAAGAAGAAGCCGAGCAAGACGATGACACCAATATTGCTGAAAAAACCAAGGGAGACGATAAAAGTTCACACGAGGCTGATTTCAAGGATCCAGAAGAACCGGAAAACAAGAAGCGCAAGCTCAAAGAGGCCGAAGAACCACAAGCCGAAGAGATCGATCTGGAAAACGACGAGGACGATGAAGAAATCGATTTGATTGAAGAAGAGGAAGTGGACGACGACGAAGATGGAAAAGAAGAAGAAGCCGATAAGGAAGCTACTGTTGAAACAGTTCCAACTCCACAAGATACTTCAACTGCGAGTGCCTCCGAACCGGAACCGTAAGCAAAGCAACACTGGACGTGAAAAGTCCATAGTCGTCTTCTCTCACAACTAATGAGTCTTTTCCCATAGACTATTTATCGCCTGAAAGATCCTGGTGATTTTAATTATGCTCTGTGAGTTTGATTCATCGGTCGCTCGTTGAGCCTTGTCGGGATGCCAAGCAATTCTTTCCTGTTTTAAAAGCTCTCGAAAACGCTGATTCTGTTCAGTTGCGTACCTTTGAAGAAAGCTAATGATTTCAGAGTCTTCAATGCCTTCAAGCGTCAAGTCTTCCAAGAAGGGCGCTCCCTCTATTGGCGCTCTCAATCTGGCATTGTCACGATTCATGTACAGAGAGATATCAGACGTTTTGTCAGGCTGAGACTTTTCATCAGAACTGTAATCCACCGAATGCTCTTCCCCATAGTAAGTCCCTGTTTGTTCCGACAACGATGGACCTGCTGATCGTACAAAAGTCTCGTAATCGGTTCTGCTTCCCACGAACCTATAACCATCCACAGGGGCACCATACTCGAACGTCGGCTCCTGTGAGCTCTGAAATTGGGTGCGGTTTTTCGGCTGCTGGTCAGAAGCACTCAAAAGCCCCACATTGGAGTGCTCTGTCTGGTGCTCCTTTATTGGCGTGTTTTCGGACACTTCCGCTTCTGACAGTGAGGTTTTGTCTATCACTTTTTTTGGTCTACTTTTGCACTGGCCGTTCACTAACTTTCCTGCGTCGTAACAGGACTCGAGTTTTACCCGCGTGGCTTCTTGTGTTGATTCCAAGTTTGTCTCATCTTGGGTAGAATATCTCACTTGTCTGTGAGCTTGAACGTGTGGAAGTTCGAGCGTTTCGCTCCTTTTTACTCTTTTCCGCATTAGCGAAGGCCTTGCGTATGAATAGCCATAGTCATCATCAGAGTCGCTGCTAGAAAGGAAATCGGCAGACAGGCTCATGGAAGATGTACCCCAGACGATGACATCAACCTACAATTCTAGTTCAGTTTTGATCAAAGTGCCCTTTCGAAACCGCAGAAAAAGGGCAACGATCAGAATGTTTGGCACTCTAATTATCCTACTATCAACGGAATCTAAATAGAGCTTAGATCGATATTATTTCTGTCCTGAAGGTAGCTTTGATTTTTAAATACTCATCGCCAAATATTTTTATCATCAAGTTTTGTAAACACTACATTAATTCAAGTAAATTCAATCCCAGATACATATTTTAACAGACAGAATCTAACATTCAACAGCTGTTAAAGAGCACCTATTCCGTCAAAAATAAGTTCATTGTGGTGCTACAAAGACTTTCCAATAGTGAAATAGCCTTTCTTGCCGGAATCTAAAGTCTTTATAGGGTTTTATTGCTGTCGAATTGCTAATCAAGCTCTTGGCGGTTTTCGCGAAACTCAAAAACGTCTTGTAATAGAGACGTTTCAATTTGATCTATGAGGTGCTTGCAGTCGAAATGTCTGATTATTCTGTGAGATCGGACATTCTCGCACATTCAATTAAGAAGAGAGAGCTGCAAAATCTCCCGCGAACTATGGCAACGAGTAATATTTTGAAAGAAGATTCAGATGATGAGAATATGTTAGGTCCACCGCAACTGAGTAACTTCGGATCTGCACTGGTGTCTGATAAGGAGAATATTGAACCAGGGGGTCGAGTGTATAAGCATGGGCTACAGGTTGAAAGAACGCTAGGGAAGGAGGTCGTAGCCAATAAGAAAAACAATGACACATTAGGGTCTTATTTCAACGCGCCTGGATCGCATACAACAACTTACTCCGAAGGTCATTCAGATTCCACGATGCTAGGGAACTTCAAAGATAACCAACAGAGCATGACTACCTTCAATTCCCAGACTCAGGCAGATTCTGGAAAAACCTATACTTTCAACGACAATAGTCCTAGCTCTTCCAAGCTTAGAAACCTACAACAAACGCTCAAGGATGAACTATCAACCAGGAGCACTAGAAGAAGAAACAGAAGATTTATTTCCTCTCGGCTGAGCCTTCTGGGACCTGCCCAACGAGCGTCTTCTGCTACCACCACTCCAGACAGAAGTGTCAATGGTGATGATTCTCAAAGTTATCAGCCTTTTCTCTTCAACAACCCGGCGAAAGCCGAAGACAAAAGCAGCTATAGCGTTTTTCATGATCCTCGACAATCTGTGCTCTCACCCTCTAATGACTACAAAAATACCGCTGCGGCTTACGAAAACATCGATTTTGGAGATTTAAACCCATACCAATATCTCAAGAAACACAATTTACCAACTACAGAACTACCGAACATATCAAGGGTGTATTTTGAGCGCCAAAAGGGCCAGAATCGAAGTATTGCGCTGAGAAAAAGTAACTTAACGAAAGACGCAATACAAAGCCGCCTTGCTTCGGCTTCACTTTCAAACTCGTCGTTTCTAAAACAAAATGAGCCCCTAAAACGCGAGCACTCATTCACGAAAAGGGAACCACGAAGAAAACTTAGCAGCGGTCCCGCAAATAACATATCAAAAGCTTTATCATCACCCGTGTTCGATGCAGCAGCTACGCGCAAAGCTTTAGATGGTAATGATGATCAGAACACCCATGACGAGAAGTATGGAATAGTCAAAACCCCCCACAAACACAGCGATGGCTACTTTCAGAGACGAGAAGTTCTTTCTAACATTGATATCAACAGCAGCAGCGCAAAGCAACCCTTGCAGAAGAAGTTCAAGCCTGCAAATAATAGATTTGAGAATCCAGAGGTCGCAAAGAAAGGTCAGATCCTATCTGTAGACCAACCTAGAATCATTGGTCTGCCTCACAATTCGCCCATTCTTTCTGAGAAAAAGCATGTAGAGATTCTAGAACCAGCAAGGTCTGCAGGACATGTTTCACACAAGCCTTCAACGGCTGGGTCGGAGCCATTGCTGAGGAGAAGGCCAACTGTGTGTGTTAACGGAATAGAATACGAGAAATTGGAGCTTCTAGGTAGAGGTGGTACTTCAAAAGTTTACAAAGTTAGAAATTCCTCTAACAACAAAGTCTACGCTTTGAAAAGAGTTTCGTTTGATGAGTTCGATGATGGCAGTCTCGACGGTTTCAGGGGAGAAATAGAGCTGCTGAAAAAGCTCGAAACTAAACCACGCGTTGTCCGACTTATAGACCACGAAATGGGCTCTGGTATTTTACACGTTGTCATGGAGTGTGGCGATCACGATTTATCGCAAACACTTGCCCAAAGGTCTGACATGAACTTGGATGTCGAGTTCGTCAGATATCACTCTCAAGAGATGCTGAAATGCGTAAAGGTAGTCCACGAGGCTGGAATTGTACACTCAGATTTGAAGCCCGCAAATTTCGTTTTTGTAAAGGGCATTCTCAAGATAATTGATTTTGGCATTGCTAACGCAGTTCCTGAACATACTGTCAACATTTACCGAGAGACGCAGTTTGGCACACCCAATTATATGGCACCAGAAACTCTCGTGGCAATGAATTTTACGTCTGATCAGGCCTCGGAACAAAATAAATGGAAGGTGGGTAAACCTTCAGATATTTGGTCCTGTGGCTGCATTATCTACCAGATGATCTACGGAAGGCCGCCTTATGGTGGCTTTCAAGGGCAGAACAGATTACTGGCCATCATGAATCCAGAAGTCAAGATCGTGTATCCCGAGAAAACTTCCAGCGGCGATATCGTGCCGAAAACCGCGATTGACACTATGAAGGCGTGTTTAGAAAGGAGTCCCAGTGAAAGGTGGACAGTCGACGAGGTACTGAATGGTTCGTTTGTAAATCCAGTTGCCGTCACACATTTTTTCATTCGCGATCTGATCAAAAACTCTGTTAAGTACGGTTTCAACAAGAGGGAGCTATCGAGCGATAAAATCGAGGAACTAGCGGATGATGTTTGGCGAAGGTTAGGTGATTTCAGGCTTTAGCATTTGATTCGATCGTGGATTTCTTTTAGCGGCTGTATTATATATATAAGGAACAGGTTTTTGGGCAATTAGAAATGCCTTTCGATTTTTGTGCAGTGCACAAGGAGCTCATATCTTCGTAGTACGTACTGTTATTGACGAGAACTAAGAGTTTGTTTGATAGCCTATGTGACAGCTCTATCTTGGACCGAATTTTGACATCGCTGCGGGTCCCATTTCTTGCCAATCTTGCTTCGTTAACCACATGTGATCTTTGTCGGCCATAATGTTCGCAAGTACAGCACCACCTATGAAAACCATGTGCTTTCTTCTAGGAGGATCTTCTATTCTCACTTTGAACTTTTCTAGCCGGGATGGGTCGTTGCGAAGAACTCTGGTGAACCAGAGCTGCTTCAGTTCCTTTTCTAACCTTGAGGGTAATCCCGGGTACATACTTGAACCCCCCGAAAGGACTATGGCTCTGTAAAGCGCACTTCTGATATCAACGTCAGCGGCTTGGATTGTATTGAATAACATTTCCCCTACACCTGGCTGCTCTACGTCAACTAAGTTTGGTTGAAATAAGCATTCAGGCGCCTCAAATCTTTCAGATCCCACTTTTATGACTCTTCCGTCGGGTAGTTCGTAATTTTCGACCAAAGTGGTAGTTTCTCTGGCCAGCTTAGTATCCAGATCCAGATCGTATGACACATAACTTAACTTTTCTTTAATTTGGCGGACTGTCTCAAAATCTGCACTTCTGTTGAAAGCGTAACCTCTTCTGGAGAGGAGATCTATCAAATGTCTTGTAACGTCTCTTCCGGCCACATCCAGTCTTCTGGTTAAATGGTTGAGCACCACCGATTCGTACACTGGAACAATGTGGGTGACACCATCACCAGAGTCTACAACCACACCGGATGACAAACCTTGTGCATACAGTGCGAGCACCGCCTGAATTGCCACGTAGACAGCTCCAAAGTCGTATTTCTCAAACATTACCTCACACATCTGTTCCCTGTTTTTGACGGGATTCATTGGGGGCTCCGTGAGCATTATTTTGCCTCCCGATAATGAAGGAAGCTTCATTTGGTCGTAAAAGGCATAGTCCCAAAGTAGTTCCATGTCAGCCCAGTTTTTTATTATCCCGTTTTCCATTGGATACGATATTTGCAAGTATGAGCGGACTGCGCTGGCCTCGTCACCAATCATAATGTCCTTCAAAGGTGTACTTACATTGGCGCGCTCCTCAGCCCTCAAAATCGGTCTTCCCACGATTGAAGGAAAAGTGTAGTCAGGAAAGTTCTCTCCGGCTCGACCGATTTTAACGAAACCCGTACCTTGATCCAGAACTTTACATCGATCGCTGTCAGTAGGATATTCCAAAATTGCTTCAAAATCGCCCAAATTTTCGGGATTCTCAGCTTAAAGTCAGCAACAAAGTGCTATAAGATAAATTGAACTTACCAATTGGATTTCTTGGATCCATTGTGAATGATTGAGACAGTCTGTTTGTTTGGGATTGATGTAAGATTCCACACTGCTCTGTACTGAATTCGATGCCCCTTTTCGATATTTTTGAGATTTTGAAACTTTTTTCGTGGATGGTGATTTGATATATATCAATTTTCGATTTATTATATGGTCACGTGCGGTGTGTGGTTTACCAAACGTCACTAGGACGAATTTTCTCGACCCATTTGAATAGGTTTCTTTCGTGTACTTAGTCTGAAGTTGAGGTAACTCATCTCTGCCATTGAATTCTGGCTACTCATGATTCTTGATTTCAGAACAAATTCTGATCAATTCGCTTCTCGAGATTTTCCCGTCATTTTCTATATGTGAATTCCCGATGACCTTCAGATGTCCTTTTGACACTTAGCAAGTCGTGACCCTTGTCTTTAAGTATGAATTGGCGTGTAGAGAGCGTGCGATAGGGAAGAATGGTCGTCACCATAGGACATTGCTTGTCTGTGCGTGCGAGCTCTTCGAGGAATCGAAAAGACCCCACTTTTTCAGCCAAACTACGATCTTGAAATGCGATGGCTACGCTAGCCAATTTTTTTGGAGGCTGATTTGAGGATTCCAGCAATAGAGGAAACTTGATAATCATCACAAGTGTGTTCTCCAGTATTTGACCACGGATTTGCGGGGCGTCAAAATCGATTTTCAAGTCGTAATTGTTGTCTACCCAGCTGGACACGTCATTCCCCAGAAAATATTCCCGCACCCCGAACTCGTTGGTTTCGAATGCATCGAGAACCCTTGCATTTAGGTAATTGAAAAGGTCCTGAAGTTCTCGACGCGTACGGCTCATATCCAATTGACTCAATTTGAATTCGTTTACAAGATCGCCAAAAACGCCAGAGGAGAACTGCTCTTTCTCCATAAGTGAACCAAACATTCTGGACTGAAGTCCCATAATTGTGCTGTATTCTACCTTCTTCGTAGACGACTGTAAGCTACGGTGCAATTCCTTTAGAATCGTTGTAGTCTTGCGTTTCTTGAACTGATACGTGATCAGAGCAGCGATTATCAATGGAAACAAAAATGTGAAGACAAAGGGAACCACGACGATCAAGATGCAGACGGCCCCGAAGAAAACGAAGGGCGTGAAGGGTGAGGGACTCCCAAAACGTCTAAAGTTTTGTCCATAATATCTATGGGATCCCTCACTAAGCCTTTGTTGCCCACTATTCTGCAGAAAAAGACCAGCTTTTGCTTTAGTTCGAGTAATCATTGATCTTTTGTAAGTCAATTCGTTGGTTGCCAAACCATTCTGTCTCAAAAGTCCTGGGCTTCTCAAACACAGCCTGTTAAATGAAGGCAAAGACGGCAGTATCGACCCACGTCCTGAGGGAATCAGGGTTCTTGCAGTGTTGGACACGCCAACAAACCTTCCCGGTGCTAGCCGTAGGCCTAAGTGATGAAGCATCATGAGAACTTTTAATGTGCTTGCGTCCTGGTAAACTGGATCCAGATCTTCAACTTAATAAGGCTTGACCCAAATTCAAAGGTATGTCGTCTGCTGTGATGTTCTTATAATAGTGCCCTTCCGCCTGGTTAACTGAGTGATCAGTAGTCTGACAGCTAGCCTAGTATCGCACTTCGTATGCACCCGATCTCGAAATGTACCGAATCCATTTCACCAGGTTGTAATTTTTGTCTTTTTGTAAAATGTCGAAAAACCGAACAACAAGGCCCGAGTTACTAAACATTAAGACCTCGAATGTTAGCGAGATTGAAGGTCTCGACCATTTGTCAAGCCTCATTTGATAACCCTTTGCCGGGATTGCAGTAGCTGAAATGCTGTTTTCTGTCAAGCCAAGGTATTTGCCAAATTGCCAAATGATGGCGCTTTCTGCAGCCACGAATTTGCATTTTCCGTTTGAAGTGGAAAAGCTGCAATCGACGGTTTCAGGAGGGACTGGTATGCGCAGCTGAACGTCTTTAGCTGTAAGCTTTCCCGGAAACAGCGACTTGATGGTGATCCGGTAATCAACAGAACCCGATCTGGACACTGTCACAATCGGAGTAATTTTAAAAGGCAAGTTGAGATTCTCTCTGACATGATACCTCATAAGCTCGAAGGCACCATCGGGTGGCACAAAGTTGATAGTGCGGTCAGTCTGGAATTTGTCGAGCTGGACACATTGGTGGAATTTGCAGTCTTCAAGCATTACACTGCCCGCTGCGGCTTTAGGAATAGCCTTTTTACTAACCAGCTCCGAGGACCCTTCGTAGAAAGGAGATGTGACAGACAAGGCATCGTTGAGCCCAAATCGACACACAGGCATGCCACTTAAATGCGTTGTAGCCTCTACTGTGCCGTCAACATACGATTTTAGGATTGATCCGTCTTTTGACACGAGAATGCTTATGCTCTCTTTGACATTCAGGTAGACCTCGTTCTTTTTGTACTTTATGCCGCCGCTTCTCCAAGGAACCTTTGAGTGTTGTTCGTAAAGTGAATCCTGTGAAAAGAGACTGCTGGATCGTTTCTTCAACAGTCGCGAACGCGGTATGAAACTTGCGCCATTTGCTATGCTTTCGGTAAAATTGTTAAACGCGTCAGCTGGAATTGTTGGTTTTATCGACATTTGCGATGCCACGTTACTGAACTCTGTGTCCATTGGCACGCCATCTTCGAGGAGAACGTCTAAGAGCTCGAAACAAGTCATGAACTCTTCTTTCATATCCTTTTCGGAGTCGAGACCGTAAGCCTGTAGCAGGGCACTTAACTTATGCAGAAACTCCCAGATTGCCGCACTGTCGGCGTTTGATCGGCTCACAGATACGATCCACAGATTTCCAGCTGACTTGATGTGATGAAAAGTGGTAGACCCTAGTGTCAAAACTGGAGATCGAACATCAAGGTTGTTTATAACTTGAATTCTGAAGATCTCAGCCATGGACTTTTGAGTGGGCTTCACATTTTTGGAGACAAGCAATTCGCCCCGTAGAGAATAGATAAAGAGAGCGCTGATCATTGATGTCTGTGAATTGAGGGTTTTGGAAATTTGGCAGCGCTAGAGATGGTCAACAGTTTAATTATAAGCGTAATAAATGTCAGTTTCGTATGGATGTACTAGTCTATCCAAGGAACAAACTAGGGACGACGGTATGTTTACCTTTGATGAGACGAGCTTGCTGTATTTTAGACCAATTGCAATCGCGGTACTTACCTTTGTCTCAAATGGCTTTTCTTTTCCAACGAGCGCTTTCGATATGCACTAAGAGTGTTCCTTACGTTTAAAATGGTAGAATACACTCTTGGACGTCAAAATCGTGAAAATGAGCTAACTCTCTCAAAAGAAAGATGTTGTAAGCACAGCATTCTAAATAATTCCTTAATCGTTCTCACATAGCTCATCAGCTTTTAGGTTTTCCTATGACCTCGAAAAGAGGGAAAGTGACTTTTGAAATCTAGCATCTGCCCGCCTGAGTTTAAAACTCAAATGATGCGTGAGCGTTTCCTGAAAAGACCTTTCTTTTGAAAATACAGCGCAGCTCACAAACTGCATTCATTTACCGAGGACTTAGAAGCTCTTTTCGATCACTTATGATCGATGACAGTGACGTTAACATTACACTAATTAAACTGAAAAACCTCGAAATTTCATCGATGAGCGGACGCAGTCCTCGAAATCAAAAACTAATCGAAAAGATAGCCATTAAGGAACAAGTCTGAATATCATGGTGTCTGAATATCGGGAATCTATATTCTAACATCATATTAGAAACTTTTCGATGCGGTTTAAAAGCTCATAGATAAGAGAGAGAGAATGCTATAAAAAAACGTAAAAACAAAGAAAATGTAAAATGCCAAATTTCACACATTTTCACTGATCATTATTCACATTCAATACATAACCAAATATCAGCTGTATCGTCATGGCTTCTCTGGAGTTTATCGATGGTTTGGTGTGCCATATCACTTTGTACTTATACGTCGTTTTTCTGATATTTTATTTTATATTATCTTCACTTCATCTTCAACTAAAGCTGGATTCGAGTGGGTATGATGATGTAGAGCAGTCAGCGTCTTGGCCTTCCCTCTCTAATGAACAACATTGTGGTTTTTGGGGGCTCTTCTCACCCCTCCATAGTTGACAAGATCTGTGGAAACTTGGGAATCAAGCCCTCGCAAGTCAAGCTAGGAAAATTTTCGAACGGAGAAACGAGCATTAGTATCAACGAATCTGTGCGTGAAAAAGACGTCTATGTAATCCAGAGCGGCTGTGGACATGTTAACGATAACTTCATTGAACTGCTGGTCTTGTTGAATGCTTGCAAAACTGCCTCTGCATCCCGTGTGACTGCAGTAATGCCTTACTTCTGCTACTCTCGTCAACCGGACATTCCTTATACCGCTAAAGGAGCACCCTTGATCTCTAAGCCCAAAGAAAAGTACACCTTTGAAAGTATTCCAGGCACACCTGTGTCTTCCGTCACAACGACGCAAACACCCGCTGGACCTTCCAACGACGCTTTTAACGCAGGTGGCATCGGCACCGAAGACAAGAAACATGCGGAGCCAACAACTTTGCAACAGCCCACACCTGTTCGTTTCGCAGATGATGGAGCAATTCACAAATCACCATCGCAGTCACGCATCCCCATGGTTCCAGAGCGTAAAGAAAACAGTTCTGAGTTAGGTTCTCTCTTTAACGCCAACAACGCGGGCTACAAACTTTGGGTTGCCCAAGCGGGTACCTTGGTGGCTAATCTTCTAACAACTGCTGGTGCAGACCATGTTATCACCATGGATCTTCATGACTCGCAGTTTCAGGGATTTTTCGATATTCCCGTCGATAACTTGTACTGTAAGCCCATTGCCCATAATTACATTCAGTACAACATTCCAGAGTACAAAGAAGCTGTCGTTGTGTCTCCAGATGCTGGTGGTGCTAAACGTGCTGCATCTCTTGCGGACGCACTAGAGATCTCTTTTGCCCTGATACACAAAGAGAAGAGATCGCAATTGCCTAAGGGTCCTCCAGATGCGACTTTGACCTCGGGTGGAGGAGCAGCAATTTCTGGCAAGCCCCTTATTGCATCCAGCTCAATGTTGGCAACCAACTCACAAGAGATGAGGTCTTCGACCTCGAGCTCCAGATATGTTCAAACCACAATGCTTGTTGGCGATGTCCGTAACAAGACATGCATCTTAGTTGATGATCTTGTGGACACTTCCTATACTATCACCCGAGCGGCAAAGCTACTCAAAGATCAAGGTGCCACGAAGGTATATGCTCTGATAACCCATGGTGTATTTTCTGGAGATGCTCTCAACAGAGTCGCTCTCAGCGCAATCGACAAGATCGTCGTCACAAATACAGTGCCGCAACATGAGACAGTCAAGTTTTTGGGCAAAGATCGAGTGCATGTCCTCGACGTTTCGCAGATCTTCGGTGAGTCTATCAGGAGAATCCATAATGGTGAGTCAATTAGTATGCTCTTTGAGCTTGGATGGTAAATTTCCTTTTGAGTGGATAGGCCTATCTACAGTCTTTTCGTCCTCGAGAGACAGTTCCATATAAACTCAATGTAATATATACTACATCATTAAGGTGTGCGTACGTTTCCAAGATTTCCGCGCTTTACACTACTTGTGTTTCCTCAAGCTTAGATGTTACATCTTGTAATGCATCCACATTCTTTTGCTCCTCCTGTAATTCGGCCTGTCTTTGTTCTTCCACGCGTTTTGCGTTCAGCTCATTCAATTCATTCAATTCATCCTCTGTAACAAGATGATGTTTATGCAATTGCGGCAAGGTTCTCAATTTACCTGTCTCATCCAGTGAGCAGTATTCGATCTCTTTTACCCATGGATCATTCAGAACTTCATCCATCAAAATTCTTCTCCTTGGATCTAATTGTAACATCTCCGAGAAGAGTTTTCGAGATTGTCGAGGAAGCAGCTTAAGAATACGGTACGCTCCTCTTTGTGGATCTCTGTCGCTCTCCGGTTCTTCGCAGAAGAGTCTATATGATTGATACTTTTCGCGAGGAGCTTTCCAAGGAAACCTTCGAAGCGACATGCAGTAGAACATTATTGCAATTGACCAGACATCAACCGGTCTCGGATCGTATGTTGTACGGCTGAGTAGCTCTGGAGCTAAGTAGGGATCTGATCCAACAATTCCTCTCGCTTCTACTATCTGATTTTCAAAAGGATATTGGAAAACCACCGCACTGCCAAAATCGATCAATTTTAGTATTCCTTGGTTAGTAACGACACAATTGTCTAGCTTCAAGTCTCTGTGTGCAAGACCCATGCCATGCAGGTACTCAACTCCAAGGCATATTTGCTTGAAATAGCAAGCCACCTCTGCTTTGGTCATTAGGTTACTCATCACTAAAGTGAAAAAGTCATAAGGGCAGTATTCCATCACTACTAGAAAATTAGTGCCCTCTTGAAGCATATCCAAAGTTTCGATAATATTGCAGTGATGGAGGGTAGATCCAACGCAGAACTCAGCTGTCACTTTTTTAGAGTATTCAACTTGAGTTTCCTTCGAGCCTCGAGCTCTGAATCTTTTAACAGCAAACTGTTTACCGTCGGTGGACTCAACGACAGATACCGAACCAGAAGCCCCTTCACCGACCAGTTTACCTGGATTGCCGTATTTCTCGATCAATTCTCGAGCATCCTCGGTTTCATAAAGAGTCTTGCTTGCGTTAGAATCGAAATCAGAAGTTACTGCTAAAGGCAAGGCAGGGTGAGACCCTTGCTGCCTGCTGTGGGTGTCTTCGCCATGAATTTTCTTGAAAAATCGCTTCAAGTGAAGGGTTTTCTTAAGATGTTTTCTGTGCGCAAGTTTTGGAGGCGAGCTGCGTCTCTGCTGGTCCTCGATCTCACGTTGAAGCAACTGGGATGGATGCATATGGGTATTAGGTGAAGGAACCATTTTCAGAGGATGAACATGAGGTGAATGCGAAGTATAGCCAGAGGCTCCCGAGCAATCCTTGCTCAAGCCCGATGTCGAATCAATATTGTGTTCAACATTCACGTAATTATTAATATTGTGCAGGTTATTGCCATGGATGTGGTTTACACTTATATGATCCGTTGTGGGCAAAGATGACCTAGACCGATGGTTAGAATCCTGTGACCTCGAGCTCGAGTTGCTGCGATGCTGTGACAGTAGCTGTCCCAGGATATCCTTACCTGTTTCATTATTAGAATTGTGGCTACTGCCCTTGAACAATTTGCCCAAACCAAATCCGTTTTTTTTGCCAAAAAAAGATGCTGCAAACGATGAAGTCGACCCATTAGATTTTATTGACGCTGTCTCATTGCTGTTGTGTGTTGAAATACTGTGATCCTTGTGTGGCATTATGTTCGATTCCGATCTTGAAAAACTGTTGGACAAGGCGATTGTCCTCACCCTAAAAGCGATATCCCCAGCTTGATGTGGAGCTGGTCCAAAGAGAAACGAGAGGAGAGTTTGGTTAACCTGGGATAAAGACGGAAGTTGGCAATTCCTGATTTGTATTTAAAGGACTTATTTGATGAGAGATTAGATCGAAGTAAGGCTCTTTTAAACTTGTTGTCTGGAAACATACCTTAGATGCAAAAATACCAATTGGGTCTTAATTACTTGGCATCGTATGTGAAGATCATATCTTGACAACGACACATTCACGAGAAAGTGACAAGGAATTTGACGAAAGAAACTGACAGAAACAACATTGATTTGACGTAGCTTTGGCAGTCTTTGATTCTCATGTTGTATCGCGCAAAGAGTAGGTGTTGTTCCCGTCTGCTGTCAATTGCCCGGTTTTTTCAGATGATGCGGAAGTATGGGTTGACCTACCCCGGATGCTGGAGCCGCTACCTCCGGCGCTGGAGGGACGGAAAAGACTGAATAAGCTTCCCCTGCGGCTCTTTTGAGGTCTATTGGGCGAAGGCTGCTGCAAGGACTCGGGATCGTTCGCACGGTCTCCGTCCACATCACCGATCTCATGCACGTTGTTACTTTCGTCAATCACGACACCCTCGGATTCATCCCAGTCTCTTGCGGGAGCGATAATGGTCTTGGGAACTCCCTTGACCGTTACAACGCTCTCTACAATACCTTTGATGCTGGGGCGATAAGATGACGAAATCATCTGGGTGTCAGGAATCTCTCCTTGACCCAAGTCCAAATCAGAGCTGGACGCACCGGCGACGTCTATCAATTGTGTCGTGGTATTGGAATCGGCGCCAGGGGACAGCTGTCTTGATGTTGTGACCTGGGTGTCTTCACCAGTGCTGAGCGTGTATTGAGCAGCTTTTTGGGAAGCGTCAAGATGGCCTTGCAACAATGACTCGTCATCGCCTGTGAAATGGTTCGGCACACCTTGCTGATGATGTAAGCTATCGAGACCAGGGTTCTGAGTCTTGTCTCGAGGCGAGGTCCCTGTCCCACCGTAATTGCCGTGCTCGGCCCCTGTGGAGGAGTGGTGAGGTTCCACATTCCCTGGCAGTTTTTTGACTTTGACGTGTGGGTTTTGAGTCTTGATAGGATTGGAGGCAAGGTTGAACGGCAGGAAAGTTGTGTGTTGTGTTTGAGGTGTCTCGCGAGATCTCTCTAAAAGAGCTCTTTCTTCACCAGGGTATTCAGCCGAGTTTTTCTGTGAAGTCTTGTATAAGGAATGCAGGTAAGATGTGACGTGACGTTTAGAGAGTGGACCTGGTTGCTCACGCATGATTCGTTGATGGATATCTACGAAAACATCCGATTCATCAACGATTTCCTCTCCTATAAGTTCCTCAATGACATCTTCGAGTGTCAAGACACCTAGAGCACCGGAGGAGCTTCCGGGTTCTTGTGAGACAATGCACATATGCGACTTTCCCTCCTGGAAGTAGTTTAAGATGTTCAGACAGGAAGTGTTTGGAGATGTTTCCGGAAGCGTGGCTAGAGGAAAATGAGACACTGGCAAACAGTCATCGGGATCATAGGAAATGAGGACCCGTACTAGCAGCATACCGATAAAGTTATTTTTCTCGCCCGGCAAATGGATTGGGATACGCGAAAACCCGGAGTTGAAAATTTCACCAACCGTTTTCTCGTCAAGAACAGCGTCTGCACTCATTGTGAACACGTTGACCAGAGGCGTCATGATTTCGCGTACTTTCTTCTCTTTCAAGTCCAAAACAGCAGATATGATGATAACTTCGTCTTTTGTTAATCTTTCCACACCCATAGTCCGGTGCAATGTGACCAGAGTCTTAAGCCCCGACTTTTTGTACATGGTTCCGTGGTCTTCACCCAGGATCCAGTCCAAAAGCAGAGCAATAGGATAGGCAACTGGGTACATTAGGTACATGAGCAGTTCGACGAAGGGACAGAAAAAAGCGCCGATCTCGAGCCCGTAACGGACACACACGGACTGAGGGATAATTTCACCGAATATAACAATCAGCACAGTACTGGACACCACTGCCTGCCACCCGCCACCTAGGCATCGATCTAACACGATGGGCAGCGTTTCATTGGTGATGACGTTGGAGAGTAGTAAAGTAACGAGCACCCAGTGCTTACCTTTGGATATAAGTTTCAACACTCTTAGTGCGCATTTCTGTTCATTTGCAGTTCCTGAGGTGCTAATGACTTTCAAATATACCTCGTCCTGACCCATCAGTCCCAAAGTAAGACCTGCAAACACACCTCCCAGCAATACTAGGAGCACGGAAATGGCCAGGAAAGTTACGAAATCCGCTTCCTGGCGTTCCGATTCTAGGGGTACCATGTACGCTAAAGGACTACCGTGGATTGCATGAATCAGGGAAAAAAGCCAGGCGACTCTTCGTACGCTTAAAAGAGCACCGGAGCCACTCATTGACCTCTGTAACGTCCAGTTTCTTTGTATTTTGTTCCGATGGAAGCATAATATTCGGATAGAAAACTATTGATGGTCATTTATTCTTGAAACTTGAATAAATTATTGGTCACCAACGACGGGTCATCGCAGCCTTCTAGCGAGATATTCACATTTCTCTCTTAAAAAGGCTAGAATTGTGAAGATGATCCATTCTTTCAGAACAAATTCCGATCCCTGTGGCAGCATTTTTTTCGGTATGAGAATGCATGCGAGAACTAATTTGGAATTAGATGATTCCTCATCTGAGCTTATTGACGCTTATGATTTCATAAAGTCATGCTACCATTCTTGGTTACCAAATGACGGGTTCTGAGGGATGAACGTTGCTGGTCAAGTCTGCATCGTTGGAGTTGTGCGACCTCGGGTCTGTGTATGGGAAATAGTGGAGGTTAGTGTCCAACAAACTCTTATCTTTTTTGATTAGGAATAGTTATCAAACGGCTAATTCGTATGAGGTGTGCAAGGGTGGGAACAGGTAAGTGCCAGTGACAGTAAAGAACCGAATACCACGACGTTGGTCGTTGTTAGGCTAGACAATTTGAGCATTGTGATGCGAAATATCACTCTGTGTAAAACGGCCGGAATGAAAAGCGGAAAGCTCATGGCAGATGCGCAAGCAGATGTAAGCGTGCGGCGGAAAACTCAATGTTGGAAAATTGAGGGCTTCCAGAGGTTCATACCTCTACGAAAGTTCGAATGGTAGTGGAAGGGATGTATTGTGAAGGGCATGTCTTAGTGCAATCGAGGAGACTGTGGTCAGTACTAAAGGGTGGCAGCGTCAGGAAGGACGGGAATGAAGGTGCATAATGTCGAATAGCCTTGAGATATATGGAAGAGAACTACAGTGGCAGCAAGTTTGTCAAGGGCTGTAAAAACCTAAAGTGAGGGTTGGTAGAAATAGATTCATGCATTTGTGGGGCTTTCTTGCTGTGTGCATTGGTCGAAGGGGTGACTGATTGATTATTATTTCTGAATGTTTAAGTTGGGCTCTAATTTATTAATTTAATATTGATGTATGTTCACCATGAAGAAACAAAAGCGTTTAATTGATGATTTGGGGGCAACAAATAAATAAAAGCTTGCAACTAGAGAACTGTAACGCAGCGGTAAGTTAAGATCGGCTGTTGCTGAAATTATAAGTGAAATCAAGGACGTTGAATCGATACGTCTTTTCATCACGTGACCAAGATGTGTCACTAATTGTGATGTTGTTTTGGTCTGGCAGGCAAAAACGAGAAGGCTATTGAGCGATTTTTCATAGGACTCTAGCTTCCCACCTCTTTTATGGACACTGGGGCAAAAGAATTGCCTTTGAAAAGAAAATCTCAACAAATATGCCCGGGAACAGCTGCGGAAGTTGTAAATGAATTTTTTCATATTCTCGAAATTCTGACGCTGGATGAAAAAACCAGAATCCGACACCAATTGAATGCAACAAATATACAGTTTACATGCTTGAATAAGCGTCTTGGCAAGAATCCTGATGGTGGTAGTGGAAATGTACAATTGTGGAGCTAAGTGTGTGTGGCCTTTACGGAAGGAGAAGAGACCGTAACCACTTTCGTATAAAACTATAACGAATTTTCGAGATGCTCGTTTTGGATAATTGGATCGTCCAACGGTGGTGAGTCGCGATCCAAGTACTTTTCTACGACTTCAAACTAGCCCATAAGCTAGCCATCTATCATCTTTGTAAAAACGTCCACACCCACACACACACACACACACACACACACACACACACTACTCGTATTTCGTAAGAAAAAGTCGGGACCACGCCTCGCCTCGCTATTACTTTCCGTACGGAACGGGTCCCTATTGACTATTAGTTGGGACTATTAAGTTGGCATTAGTTCGGCAATTATTATTTAGTAACAGTAGCTTTACTAAGAACACACCTATTTCGTGCATCGTGCCCTTCACGAACGCCCGGGAGTCCGGATCATCCAGGCGCCGCGATCACTTGGTACGCACTACGTCCAAAGCGACACAACCGCCCACCACATCGTCGTCGTCCCGCTTCCACTATGTAATATACCATACCGTATACGACGGTAAAACCATTACGCAACTTTCTCACCATTACCATCACACGCTTTCTACAACAAAACTTGAAGGCGTATCACGCTGACAGCGTGTCACGCTGCGCTTGCTTTACACTGCGTCGTGTCCGCTGATTCCCATCCATCATCACCACCGCGTTACGCCACTCCGCTCCCAGGAAGCCTCTTTCTATTCTTCTCTCTTCCCTCACCTCCCCTTGGCCTGTTTCTATGCGCCCGCCCCTCTTTTGTCGATTTGACCCTCCTGTGACTCACGATTTGACCCATCATTTGACCCACAATTTGACCCACCACCGCCTGACCCTCTTCTGACCCTCTTCTTTTTGACCCTCTCGTTTTGACCCAACCGTCCCCCTCCGCGAGTCCGCGCAAGTACAACTCCCGCCCGCCGCCGCTGCCCCTAACACATACCGGCGGAGCAAAAGCGGACCCACACAACCCGTTGAACTTCAATTTCACTCACCCACTCATCCACTCACCCAATACGTTACGCAGCTGCTGCTCTTTTTGCACATAACGCAAAACCACAAATTACACAAAAATCGGATCCTCCCACGAGTACCGAAGAGACGCCCGCCAAAAAAGGAAAAAAAATGTACTCGTGCTTATAATTTTAGGGCTCAGTGCAAACGACCGGTTTTGTCCTACATCGGCTAATCAAAAAGGGAGGTCATGGCCCAATACCCGATTGTGGCCGGCAAAAAAGTATAAAAGGAGCATGGAAAAGAGACGAGGGGATATTTACGATTAAGGAAGTTGTTATACAATTATTATAGATTAGCATCAAGACTCCATTCAAGTTTCTGAATAACCCATAGTCAAGAAGAAGTTTAGCAAAGGTACAACCGCCAAAGCATAAACCAATCGTCGTACAGTACATTAAACGCACAATTGAGAAACAGATATTCAAATAAATCGTCCAACCAGTCGATTATCTATTTCTAGTTTGCTCATTTCAACACACACACACACAAACACAAACACAACATCACAATCAATAAAATGACTGCCTCCGATAGACTAGGTCAAACCTCTGACATTTTGTCGCAATCCATTAAGAGCGCAGAAACGCCGTTCAAAGTGACCGTCATCGGTTCCGGTAACTGGGGTACCACCATTTCCAAGGTGGTGGCCGAAAACGCAGCCTTGCGTCCACAGCTCTTCGTCAAGCGCGTCGACATGTGGGTCTTCGAAGAACAGGTGGACGGCCAAAAGCTGACCGAGATCATCAACACCAAGCACGAAAACGTCAAGTATCTGCCTAAAATCGAGCTGCCAGAAAACTTGGTGGCCAACCCAGACCTCTTGGACGCCGTCAAGGACGCCGACATCTTGGTGTTCAACATCCCCCACCAGTTTTTGCCCCGTATCGCTGCCCAGCTCGAGGGTAAGGTCAAGCCTTCTGCCCGTGCCATCTCCTGTCTAAAGGGTTTCGACGTTGGCAAGGACGGTGTGCGTCTGCTATCCACCTACATCGAGGAGAAGCTCGGCATCACCTGTGGTGCCCTTTCCGGTGCCAACTTGGCCCCAGAAGTGGCCAAGGAAAACTGGTCTGAGACCACCGTCGCCTACGAGATTCCAAAGGACTTCAGAGGTGAGGGTAAAGATGTCGACCACGGCGTGCTCAAGGCTTTGTTCCACAGACCTTACTTCCACGTCAACGTGATTGACGATGTCGCCGGTATCTCGGTTGCCGGTGCCTTGAAGAACGTTGTGGCTCTAGGTTGCGGTTTCGTTGAGGGTCTCGGCTGGGGTAACAACGCCTCTGCTGCCATCCAGAGAGTCGGTCTTGGTGAAATCATCAAGTTTGGCCAAATGTTCTTCCCTCACTCGCGCGTCCAGACCTACTACCAAGAGTCCGCCGGTGTTGCCGACTTGATCACCACCTGTTCCGGTGGTAGAAACGTCAGAGTTGCCACCGCCATGGCCCAGACCGGCAAGTCTGCTGAAGAGTGTGAAAAGGAGTTGTTGAACGGTCAATCCGCTCAAGGTATCCACACCTGTAAGGAGGTTCACGAATGGCTTGCCGCCTCCGGTCACACCGAAGAGTTTGTGCTATTCGAAGCCGTTTACCAGATTGTCTACGAAGGTGCCTCGATGGACTCTTTGCCAGACATGATTGAGGATTTGCAAGGTGTGAATGTCAAGGACGAGAAGAAGGACGAGTAAATTTGATCACCCGAACTTTTTGATCTCTCCCAGTGCGGGGAAAATACCCTCCTCACATTCATATCATCAATCATCCCCCCATAACTGCATTACTTTTCATATCGAGAAAGGGCATCAAAGTAAATCTTTCCTCTCGAGCAAATTCAGGTTATTGAGGTTCAGGAAACCCATCAAAAACAACATTTCAAATTTTGTAAAGTATTTATAATTTTAACCTGTGAATTATAATAGACTAACGATACTTTTAATTATTCCATTCAAATGGAAAGACCATAAATTACCCGTGAAGTGACAGAAAGGTCGCGAATGACTTTTTGAATTCTCGGAGTTTAGTTTAAAAATAAATATCTATTTCGCGACAGCTTGGTCCGATGCACTGCATATCTAGTTGTTTATGACCTTCACGGTGAAAGTCGTAACATCGAGTTTGAAGCTCCCATCACTCTCGATGTCAAAAAATTGCACCACGCTGGATGGTGCGCATTTTTGTAGAGACCTAATGGCCGTAACTCGTTCTGTGGGAGTCTTGGTCCGTGTGATCCATGTTTGAAATTCCATGCGCACACGATGCGTGCCTGTAGACTCGATAACAAACCCTGCACTGGCCAGCAATGTGGCCCATTCTGCAACCGAAAAATCGCGGGTGTGAGAAACGTCCCGCAGCAATTCCACAGTCTGGAGCCAAGTGTCATATAGCGGCGACACGGGAGCGACCACATCGATGAAAACCGCTATTCCAGCAGGCTTCAAAACCCGGCGTGCCTCACGTAATCCGGCCATGGCATCATCCCAGTGATGAGTTGTAAACCGACAAAAGACCGCATCAAACTCTCCATCTGCAAATGGCAGTTTTTCTGCATAGGCCTGAACGGTGGTGACATTTTTCAAGTCTCGTTTTTCGGCTTCTTGCTTAACGCTAGCCAGCATTTCCTGCGTAACGTCGCATGCCACCACTTGGCCCACATGAGCGGCCACACAATAACTGACATGTCCACCGCCACATCCTAGATCCAAGACTTTCCCAAATTTGTTGCTGGTAACCAAGGATTCCAGCTTATTTAAATCGGGGCCCATACTGTGTACCTTACTGTCCACATAGTCGCGGGCACGCTCTCCATAGTGGCGAGCCGTATAGTTTGGGTTGCTCATTGTCAATGCACGTATCGGAATTCTCTGATGGTTACAGCCATCCTTAACTCAAAGTCTCTTGGCAGACTGCAAGCCTAGTGTTTTTATAATGATTATTGGAGAGGCATGTCTTGACGGTATCGACTTTCACGCTATCATTTCCGATCAGAAGTCTCCGAAACAGTGTCAATACCGGGCTTGATTCTATTGGTGGAGTGTGTAAAGGTTCACCGGTTGAGCTCCGGATACCATGAAGAGCAGTTAGCTAGCTGAATCGCTCAGCGATTGTAGGGTATATTATAATATGATGGACGTGGATAGTGATACCATATCATGTGTGAAGGCCGGTACCGGCCTTGAGGTCTGTTTGCCCGGAGGTGATTTGAGAAAGATAGTGGGCAAACATCCACGCACCGAAGTGGTGTTGACTGCCCAGCTTCCCTTTAAGGAAGTTGCGAGCTACAACGAAGGGCAAAGAGCTTCTAGTTTAGCGGAATGAAAAAACGAAGCGTGAAAAAAATCGCAAGCTACAAGGCTAGGGAAAATTGGGCCGGTCGCTTAGTGTCCAAATCATTCTGATTACTCATTTTGTAGGAGCCTGTTCGGGGTGGACTTTTAGAAACATCCTGCTGTATGTAGGTCGGAATATCGCTGTCACTTCTCAACCTTTGTGACGCTGTCATCGAGTCACGTGCGAATATAATAAATGTGAGAGACAACCAAAACGGGGATGGGAGGCGGAAACATAGTCTCTCTATCAAATTGAAAATCGTGCTATTGGGGGGAGGGAGTCCATTCAAAAAGCTTTTAGTAGAGTGTGTTACAACCCCCAGTGTTTACGTTTGTACCTTTGTACGGGTATCAGTTCTGATGTATTTTGTCGTGTGAAGCTACTGAAAAAAAAACGCACGGAGTCATGTGCTTCGGCCATCGTTGTGTTGCGGTCAGGTGAGCACTTTCCCACACTTCCACGAGTACTTTCTGTTCCCGTGATTTGGTTTTTTTTGGTACTCGTCGTGAAAAAAACTCAAAAATCTTTAATTAAGCTATCATCTTAACATTTGAATAACGGTTACTTCACAACAAATCAGAATCAGCAATAGTCATTCTCTGGCACCGGCAATCGTCATTCTCTAGCACCCAGTATTCATCACCCAGTATTCATTATGTAGACCCTATATCTGTACGTACACTGAGAGTCACGGGCATCCTACCCTAGACGGAGGAACCTTCCCCCTACGATAATGCTACAGTGCATAAATCATATGCCCTCTCCTCCTATCACAGAATTCCAGCCAACCAAACCAACACAACACTCATACGGCGTCGCCCGTCTCTAACGCGTGACTTTCCTTGCCAACATCCCATACACGGCTCACCCATTCTTACGGTTCTCCGTAATGAGCTACAATTCTACTTATCATTTACGACTCCGCCCGCTGCTGGTGCCAAACCCATTGGCATTTGAGATATCATCAGCACACGGCTGCACCAGCAGCGATAACAGACAAAAACAACAAACTTGAAAAAAAAGTGAGCGAAAGATTGAGAGAGCGACAGAGGGAGAGAGTGAGAGGCAGAGAGGCAGAGAGAGGGAGAGAGAGCTAGCGAACCTGAGACGGAGGGTATCGATCAACCACCGACCCTGATGGCACGTATCTACACGACATCTGAGAAGAAAAAAAAAAAGTAAAATTTCAATGAAAAAGACTCATCAGCGAGCGGACGGGCTATGGCGCACTTCGAAATATAAAATGAGACTTATGAATTTCTGAGAGAAAGACATCGTCAACAATCCCGAAGCTAAATCTTTCTTCGCTCTTCCGTTTCTTTACGACGTCTGAAGCTTAAAGTTTTTTTCGCCTACACCACACTACACCACAGCTTAAAGCGATGTCTAAAGGTAAAGTTTGTCTAGCATACTCCGGGGGTCTCGACACCTCAATCATTCTAGCCTGGTTGCTAGACGAAGGCTACGAAGTCGTGGCCTTCATGGCCAACGTAGGCCAAGAAGAAGACTTTGAAGCCGCAGAGAAAAAGGCTTTGGCTATTGGTGCTACCAAGTACGTGTGTGTTGACTGCAGAGAAGATTTCGTCAAAGATGTGCTATTCCCAGCCGTGCAGGTGAACGCCGTGTACGAAGATGTGTATTTGATGGGCACATCGTTGGCCAGACCAGTGATTGCCAAGGCGCAAATCGACGTGGCTGAACAGGAAGGCTGTTTCGCCGTGTCTCACGGCTGCACCGGTAAAGGTAACGATCAAATTCGTTTCGAACTTGGATTCTACGCTTTGAAACCGGACGTGCACGTGATCGCTCCATGGCGTGATCCGGTATTTTTCCAGAGATTTGCAGGCCGTAAGGATCTACTGGACTACGCTGCCCAGAAGGGCATTCCTGTGACCCAGACCAAGGCTAAGCCATGGTCCACTGACGAAAACCAGGCGCACATTTCGTACGAAGCCGGTATTCTAGAAGACCCAGACACCACACCACCAAAGGACATGTGGAAGCTCATCACAGACCCTGAAGACGCTCCAGACAAGCCTCAGGACTTGACCATCACCTTCGAGAAGGGTATCCCCGTGAAGCTAGCGTACCCTGACAGCAGCAAGAACGGCGAGACCACGGAAGTGACGTCGCCATTGGACGTGTTTTTGGCCGCATCCAACTTGGGCCGTCAGAACGGTGTGGGTCGTATCGACATTGTGGAGGACCGTTACATCAACCTCAAGTCCCGTGGGTGCTACGAACAGGCTCCTTTGACGATCTTGAGACGTGCCCATGTGGACCTAGAAGGTCTAGTTTTGGACAAGGAAGTTCGTTACTTGCGTGACCAGTTTGTTACGCCAACCTACTCTCGTCTCATGTACAACGGTTCCTATTTCACCCCAGAGTTCGACTTCATCAAGGCCATGATCGCACCTTCCCAGACGTGCGTCAACGGTCAAGTCCGTCTCAGACTCTACAAGGGCAACGTGATCGTGCTGGGCAGATCTTCTGAGACCGAGAACCTATACGACGCAACCGAATCGTCCATGGACGAGCTAACAGGCTTTTTGCCCACTGACACTTCTGGTTTCATCGCTATCCAGGCCATCAGAGTCAAGAAGTACGGTGAATCGAAGAAGGCCAAAGGCGAATCGCTAACTTTGTAAGTCAGCGTTAGGCATGTAAATTTTTTAAAGAATTGAAATTTAGAATAAAGAATAGAGGACGATTGAGGATGCACAAGGAGTTGCACTCACTCTCAATGAACAGGAAGAAACTCTGTAAGACTTCAAGTAGAATTATGATAATTGTCGATGTCGAAGTCGATGAGCAGGTAATAAATCGGCGACACTCCCGTGTGGAGTGACCAGCGAAAACTCTCGATGTGCTCATAATCGTGCCAGCTTAGACTGGTCTTTGTCGGGACTGTATTCCTGACACAGTGCTTCTCTTTTCCTTATCATGATTTGGGCTTTTTTATTCTTGCAGACCGTACAGATCTACTTCTTATACATAGAAAGAGTAGTATCGAAATTTGATATTTAATGCAATATGGGTACTGATATTATGGACCCGATGTTTTTGGTATCAAAATTATAGTCAACCTTCAACGTCATTGAGTTCGCCTCGGAAAACTTGAAATTATCGTGGAGCGACGGTTAACGTGAGCAACAATTTCAAACACTGAAAAGATGTCAACTGTTTAGATGCGATTAATATTTGAGAGTTGAGAAAATAAGCTTGTTGCACAACCCAGTGCAGATCATCAGAATTCTTTTGGTCGACAAAATGTTTGAAAAAGAATTGGGAATTAACTTCGATATTCATGAATGACGTTCTCAGAGATCTACAAAAGCAGTAATATAATCGAAAGAGGCTTCATTAAGGCATTTGTGATATCTCTAATTACTCATGTTCCACACCGAAACTGAATTAAAAATTGGAAATACGATACTGGCAAACCAACCGTAAATTATCAACTAAAAGCTTGATTAATCCCCAGATTAACAGACCGAAGCAACGCTCCCATGTCGTTAAGAGGTTATCATGAATCTGCCAAAAATACGACAAATCTTATTTCACTGACGCGCGTCACATGACTAAGCTCTCCCACACCGGCGTATATTAAGACCAATTTCCCTAAACTGAGGTTTAAACATAACCAACTCCAGCTTCAACTCCAACAAAACAACAGCTTTTAGAGCATCAATTCAACTTTTGGTTCTCTCATTCACCAGCACTTTTTTTGATCACATTCATTGAGTCTACTGCACTCAGTGTATGTTTCGCGGGAGATTTAGTGCAATTGCAAGACTTTGTTTCAGAAATCTCACCTCCAGAAACCTTTCAACCATGGTCAACAAAACCTATCTTGCGGATCATAAGGCGCCGCTCATTATGTTGAGCGCCAAGGACTTTTTTGCGCAGCTTACTGATCAAGAAAAATTGTACGCTCACTACATGTCAAAGGCATCGCATGCTGGATCTAGGGTTATTCTTAGACAAGTTTCGCACGAGAGTGAGAGCATCTTCGACCTGATTTTGCAAGTTCATAATGGATTGAATGGTAAATACCCAGCCGGAGAGAATTCCGAGCTGTACATGGAGTATGTGGCTCAATTCCTCTCGAACCTAGGCAACTACAAGTCGTTCGGGGATTTGAAATTTGTCCCACGATGCTCTGCGGAGTTTTTTCTCGACTTGTTGGAACTAGCCAAAATAGATAAGATGGCAAAACCAGTCACTGCATCTTGTCCCTATGGTACTTGGGAAGAGGTTGTGCAGAAGGGTGTTTTCTACGTGGATGACAAGAGTGCCCTTCTTGGGTTTCCTTCTGAAGGTCACCATTCTTCCTACTACTTTGGTAACGTTTCCCCTGCAGACATGAGACTTATCAAGGATGAAGTATTCGCGAAGTTGAAGATTTTGCCTGAGAACACCAGAGTGCGTAAATCTGACAATACGTTTGAGATCCTCGTGGCATCTGAAGCAGCCTCAAACTCACTATCTCAGTATCCTGATGGACCCTTGACTTTGAGCGACGGATCTAAGGCTATTTTCAAGTTTGGTGACCACTCTCGTGAAATGGCCAAGATCGCGCATTACCTCGAGAAAGCTCGTGGCCATGCGGCCAATGAGACTCAGGAAAATATGCTGGGTCAGTACATTGAGCATTTTAAGACTGGCTCCTCTAATGCTCACAAAGAATCGCAAAAACTGTGGGTTAAGGACTTGTCTCCTGTCATTGAAACCAACATTGGTTTCATAGAGACCTATAGAGAACCTTCGGGGATCATTGGCGAATTCGAATCGCTTGTTGCCATCAAAAACAAGAAGCGGACAGAGAAATTTTCTACAATGGTCAGAAACGCGGGCAAGTTCATCTCGTTGTTGCCTTGGGATAGCGCATACGAAAAGCCAAAGTTCCAACCTCCAGATTTTACGTCATTGGAAGTGCTTACTTTTGCAGGCAGCGGTATACCCGCTGGGATTAATATTCCAAACTACGATGATGTGAGACTAAATGTTGGGTTCAAAAACGTCTCACTCGGAAACATCCTAAGCTCGTCATTGGGTTCCAAGATGCCAATCACCTTTGTCAGTGATGATGACCGTAAGGTTTTGGACAAATACCAAAGTGATTCATTCGAAGTGCAAGTTGGAATCCATGAGTTATTGGGACACGGTTCCGGAAAACTGCTAAGTGAGCTAGACGATGGAACTTTCAATTTTGACAAGCAGAATCCGCCCTTGGGTGTCGACGGAAAGCCTGTCACTACATTTTACAAAAAGGGAGAGACTTGGGGATCAAAATTCGGACAATTGGCGGGTGCATTCGAGGAATGTCGCGCAGAGGTTATCGCGATGTATCTCATTACCAATCGCGAGCTGTTGGAAATTTTCGGTTTCAAGACGAAAGAAGATCAAGACAATATCATTTATGCTGGGTTTTTGCAGATGGCTCGTGCTGGTTTGCTTGCGTTGGAATTCTGGGATCCTTCCACGGCGAAATGGGGTCAACCCCACATGCAGGCCAGATTTTCCATCATGAAAACCTTTTTGAAGCATACCAGTGACAACGAGTTCTTCCAGCTACTACACACCAAAGACGATTTTTCAGATTTGCGTCTCAGCCTGAATCGCTCGATGATCGAAACTGTGGGACATGCCGCGCTCAGGGACTATCTGACGCATCTTCATGTATACAAATCCTCTGGTGACGTTGACGCCGGAAGCAGATACTTCATCGACAGAAGCACTGTCGATCCTGACCTGGCACAGTACAGACAAATCGTTCTTGACAAAAAATTGCCAAGAAGACAATTTATTCAAGCGAACACAGTCTTGGAAGGTGAAGAAGTTACTCTTAAAGAGTACGAGAATACATCTCAAGGCATTCTCAGCTCCTTCCTTGAGAGAGAAGTGTAAGCGGCATGAAATAGTCAGGTGTTGAGCATACCGTAAAGACCAATCTTTACATACGAAGCATGCATTGCATCTCCTGATGAATATAAGAAGATGTTAAAAGAACAAGATCTACATCAGACAAGATCTCGAATTTGAGGTCCTTTGGAAGTAAGCAAGTTGTCTTGTGGCGATCGATACAACTCTAGGCTGATTCACGAGCCTTTTCAAACTACATCAGATTGTCAGATTAACGGGCGGATTATCTCCTTATGACCCAGTCTGATACGTACAAGCTTTATGTCCTAAGACATGGGCAAAGCGAGTTGAATCATGAGAATATATTCTGTGGGTGGATCGATGCGAAACTTACAGAAAAAGGTGAAGAACAGGCCGAAACTTCTGCCACTCTGATTAAGGAACATTGTCATGCGAATTCCCTGCATTTGCCTAGATTAGGGTATTGCTCACGGTTGGTGAGAACCAAACAAACGATGAATGTGATGTTGCGCACGTTTGGAATCACAGATACAGTATATCACATTGCAAGTTGTGGTGTTGCTGCTCAAGATGTTGCAAACGAATTATCGAAACATGAGGCTGTGGTTTATAAGAGCTGGAGGTTGAACGAAAGGCATTATGGTGCTTGGCAAGGTCAGCGGAAACCAGACATTTTAAATGAGTACGGAAAAGAAAAGTTCATGTTCATCAGAAGGAATTACAATGGCAGGCCTCCAGCAGCTGACTTGAGTCGAGAAATGGTACAAGAAGTTGGCGACAAGGGCTCCCTGACAGGTTATGATTTCAAAGAACCCAATAGGCACACCAAATACAAGGTTGAAGAAAATGCGCACGAGGTGCTGCCCAGCAATGAATCACTAAGTGACGTAGTGAGCCGTTTGGAGGAGTTTTTGAAAGGTACAATTTTGGAAAACGTGAATCGCGAGAATCCTTCAGCCTTAATAGTAGCACACGGTAGCTCCGTGCGGTCTATACTAAAGATTTTGGAAAACATTTCCGATAATGACATTAAAGATGTGGAAATACCCAATGGCATTCCCATTGTAATCGAGCTCGACAAAGTCACTAAGCAATTCGTCCGCAAGTACTACCTGGACCCTGAACTTGCTAGGATCAACGCTGAACGTGTGCGCAACGAAGGGTTTCAAAAATGAAAAAGTCTCATTGTAGGGACAACATGATAGACATGCCAAGCTTGCATTTTAAATCTTATATAACGAAACAATGACTATACTCAGAGAACGATTCAAGTGCTGTATCCTTCCTATGGACCTCTAGCGTAAAATCGTAAATGTTTCTATTATAGTAATCTAATTGCATTCTATTCTAACCCTTAATATCTCGAATCATTGTTCGTCATAGCCTTGTTTTATTTCCTTGACCTTTGGCCCTGTCCTCCCAATCTAAGCACCTGCGTATTCAACATTTTCCTTGGCGAACTGCAGAGCCTTTTGGGCCTCGGGACCTGTTAAGTCGTGTTTAACCTTAATATGTCGACTCAAAGCGTCGCCACGAGAAAAAGTTTTATCATACCCTTCGGCGCCTTGCTGTTGAATGCATATGACGCAGCGGAAAACTTTCTTCTTGCTAGCGTGAATAGTCTTTTGATGTCGAATTAAATCGTACGGTCTGGAAAACTTCTTGCCGCATATTTCATTTGTCACCGGGTTCATAGCATCGCATGTATGAACCTCTTGTACGCCATTTACAGAAAAGCTCGAGAGCGCTGTTAAAGACGATGGCTTCTTCTTAAAGGTTGGGGCCAAGGAGGACGTGGAGGACGACTTACGTCTTCCTGAATACTTCTTCATTTTGCTGACAGCTGGTACGGAAGGTGAAGACGTCGGACTTTGTATGTTGAAAGAGGAGCTAGAGAGGTGAGATGTATCTGCCGGCAAAGACGGTTCACGAGCGATGTGCGTTCCAGACGATTCACTCCGGAACTGATCGTCGGGACATTCCTCGCCACTTTCTATGCAATCGTCAGTAACCATGCGGCTATCGGTAATTTTTGTTTCTGTTTTGTCGCTACCCGGAAGATTCTCGATGTTGTCGTCCTCTCTTTCACCATCTTCTATTATAGCATCGTCGTTGGGTTGATAGTCGACAAACTTGGCACCAGGCCTACTTCTATCAAAGATGAGTGAGTCGTCTTCAGGGTTTATAGTTTGGGGGAATGCGTCTAAATTGTCGTCTGGCAGAGGTAAAGCGTAGGGATGGCCGTGTGCACAGTCTAGTCCGTTGCAATTATAATCGCACTCGTCATCATCGTCCTCTTCCTCTTCGTCACTGAAGTCGTTGCCAAATTCGCGATCAAACAGAGACATTGCATCTTGAGATAGCGTGGCAGAGTCCTGCAGAGGCCAGCTAAACATCTTTTGCGGTCCGTTGTAATCATCGTAAAGGTCCGGTGGGAAACTTTCGGGCCCATCGGTCATCATCATGTCTTCGTCTTCGCCCTGGAACAAGGCAGGCGACGATATACGAACCTCCGGTGTTGCTGTGCTGGGCAAACGAGCAACAAACGGGTTGACATTCATCACTTTATTGAGCGAAACGGTAGCCTGGACTGGAGTATTTATTGAAGATGGAGGTCCAGCTGCCGAAGTTCTACTCTGGAAAGCCGGTTTTTGGAACGACATTGTCGTGAGTGAAGGATCCGCGTATTTGTTGAACATCGATTGCTTACGCTCTTCTGTATCGTAAAGGGAAGCATTCATGGGGTCGGATCCGGACAGCAAGTCTTCCAAAGACCTGTTTTTCCAAGTTTTCGGGGTATTCGCGTTGTCCTGACCCATGTTGGCCGACATGTGTAACAGTTCATCGTCAAGCATGTCCGTGAGCGTTCTGGTGAGTGGATGCAGTTCAGTAGTGGTCGTCATCGGGAATAGCAGATGTAATGACTGGTGGGGCAAGTAACTCGAATCCCAGTAGGCTCTTTAAAATCAACGGTTTCTGCGGTGGAAAACTGACAGTTGAAAAAAATGGGTTGGTATTATTAATGATGTGTTTCAGCTCGTAACTTGTGTTGTAGGACGAGTTTTGGAACCGCGGTTTTTCAGGCTTGAACGCAACGCCAGCGAGAATTATAATTGGCTATGAAACTAGGTCTCACACCTTTCGAATTGCGTCCAAATGGTTTTGGACGCTTGATCTTTAAGTTGTGATCAAGAAAGATGAACAAGTGCAAAGAAGGTCTATTTTTTAATTCAAATCACTAATGAGTGTGTCGTTCGTTGGAAGTGACTATGCTTTGATTATGAAAAGAGCTGTTACGACGATTTTCCAGAAAACTCTAAAAAAGATATTCTTTCGTCGATAGTGACTGAAACGTGATTTATTTTTTTTGAAAATTACATTTCTCCCTTAAGTGCATGCGCTTTTGAGTTCCTTATATGCATCAATAGGTTCGTCTCATAAGAGCATTAAAGAATATGCGGTTAAGGGAAAGGGTACAGTTTCTAGAGAGAGAGAGAGACATCTCGAAGATGTAAAGTGTGTAGAGGCTATGTATTGTACAAAATACTGTACAGTCAGACAAGGTTTGACAACTGAAGTCTCTTGAATACTGTTAATGTCGACGCTTGTCTCAATTGTCTCAATTCTGCTCGGCTGGCGTGTCTTTGAAGTTTAACGCAGCATCCCAAAACTCGGTCTCGAGCTTGCACACGGCAGCGTATATTTCGCACAAGATATCCCAGTCGTCGGTCATCTGGCAGATTCGATCGAGCAAAATAAGACCCTCTTCCATACCCTCCACGTACCACGGCGCAAGATAGTCCTGGCACCAAGCGTAGTAAATGTCATTTTTGTCCACCGTAACTTCGTCCTTGACGTTGCGTAGAGCATGTCCGTATCCCATCAGACACGGCGACAGCGCAGCGCACAAATGGGCCCACGAACCGTGTTTGGAGACGTCATCGAAAAAGCGCGCGTAGTTGCGTAACGCGGATCCCATTTGAATCTGGTCGAAGTGCTTCATGTCGTCAATGTCGAAATGAGCCATCATTTTCTCGCGATGTTTGTTCATCTCAGTCTTGATCTTTGACACAATATCGACCGATTTGTCAAAATCTTCCGCAGTTGGTGCTTTGCTGGCGGCCAAACAATGCACCTGGGCGTAGTTGTCGAGATATGCGTAATCCTGTTCCAAGAAAAACTTGAATTTCTCCCGCTCCAACGTGCCATTGGCAACTCGTTTTACAAACTCATGGTTCACGTAAGACTCCCAATGAGGCTTGACGCGTGAGTCAGAAATCAGGTACTCGAAGAAATGGCCTGAGTCTCGAATCTGTGAAACGAGGCTGCTAGTGCTGCTGCTCCGTCTACTGCAGTCATCAGAGCGAGCGCTGGGGTCCTGTTTTGTCGCAAATTTGTCGTCTGTACTGATAGCTAATGCGTGTGCTGAATAGCACAAGTCGTCAACCATCTCGAGCAATGGCGCTTTGATAGCATAAACATGGTTGATGGGACCATTTTCCGTTATGTGTGGATTGGAAACGTGGCAACCCACTTGAATGGCGTTGTGAACGTACTGAATACCTCCGTAAACGGCATGCTCCAATGTTTCTCCGCGCGCCAAATTGCTGGCGATGGCAGACGCAAGTGTGCAGCCCGTGCCATGTGTGTTTTTAGACTCACATCTTTCACTTTCGTAGACGATACACTCGTCGTTGGCTTTGTAAAGAACGTCAGTTACAATACACTTGTTGTCTTTGTCTGTCCAGGGAACATGGCCTCCCTTCAACAGAATGTTAGGACAGCCAGTCTTTTCTTGAAGTTCCTTTGCCTTCGAAATCATGTCTTTTACGCTACGAAGCTGCAGTTCTTCTTCGCTGCAGCCCAAAAGTTGGGATGCTTCGTGAACGTTGGGCGTCAAAAGTGAAGCCAATGGAGCCAGAAGCTTGATCCGCTGCACTACAGACTCGTCCTTTACCAAACTTGCTCCCGATGAAGCTATCAAGACCGGATCCACGACCAGAAAGGGCCTTTTGCTGGGTTCCATTGCTGAAAGCACTTCCAATAGTACTTCCACGGAGTTTTTCGTCAACATTCCTGTTTTGATCGCGTCTACACGCATGTCTCTCAGGTTACTGGTGAGAGCCAGCTCGAAATGCTCCCTGGGCACCTCGTGTATCGAAAAAACGTTTTTTGGGGTCTGTGCAGTCAATGCTGCCAAACATGTCAATCCGTAGCATTTGTGCGCCGTAAATGTCTTTAGATCAGCTTCGATCCCTGCTCCACCGCTAGAGTCCGAAGTGGCCACCGTTAAAACAGTGGGGAGCTCACTGTTGGTCTTAAGAGCCACGTATGGAGGAGCTGTGTTAACGATAACTCGTTGTTCCCTGATTGAACTCATATTTTAGATCTAAAATAATGCTGTAAAGACACACGACTTTCGCGTCTTTCGGTTAAATCTCACTAATCCATCTGAAAGTCATCATAATTCACTGCTTTTAAGTCATTCCAGTGATCTGAATGCTATGTTATATACTTTCTAAGTTGGCTCAAAAGTGTTCTTAAAGTTGCCAAACTCCTAGATCTCATCTTGATTTTATAAAGAATATGAATATTAAGAAGAAACACCAGTTGACATGAAGTTTTGAGAACTAAAGTCAGACCATTGACGCTATACGAGAAGGATTTGGGCTTCACAAAGCTTCGCAGGCTACTGTAGAAGCTGGTTAAGAACATGAAGCTCTTTCCAACGACCTGGAATACTAGGATAGATCTATAACATAGCCAAAAGTCTGAATTGATCAATAACAATTGGTAAATCAATCATGGTTTCAGAAAATGAGCGGAAAAAGGAGCCAAAAGCTCGGGTTTGAGGCTGGGAAAGGGTCGGTTTGATAATAGGCTATTGAACAAGAATGTGGACATTTTCTGTCTTGTTATTGGGAGTCCAGACTATCTTTTTAAAGAGTTTACGGTCACTATAAAGTGTTGGTAGTTGGAGATGGTTACGCATTTCAAGTCAACAATAGGGTTGGTGGGAGAATTTTGTGAGAGTAGTAGATGGCCTTTTAACCGTGTCATCTATGCTCCGTCTTCTGGGGGAGGTTTTCTTGGCTTTATCGTTGGGGGTTGTTGTCGTGGATTCTTTCTTGGTGAGGTTTAGGGATCATGGCTCGAGCATGTGGTGTCAAGGATTGTCAAACTAAACCCCGAAGATGGATGGGAATATAATGACATGTGGGAGGGCATCGCTGGTGAGTTGCTAGGCGGATCTTTTCAAAAGCTCGAATTTGAATATTCAGAAAGCCTGCGCCAGCATCAGTGACTTTATTGAAAAAAAATGGCATATGGAAGTGTGCTTTTTATCTTGCTATGGATTCCACAATATACTTGTGCCACTGGTTTCCTGGACCTGAGTTTCTCGAAAAACAAGGGCTCTTCATTCGGGTCTGCCATGCAATCAAGATCGCAATCGCTCTACCCGCAAAAACGGGCTCTGCAGCGCGATGAGTACCTGCAAGTGCAGCTCACCAACGAAAACGACTTTTATTCAGTGACGCTGGATGTTGGCACACCACCACAACAAGTGACTGTTCTTTTTGACACCGGGTCGTCAGACCTGTGGTTTTCGTCCCGTCAAAACCCGTACTGTGCGTCTCATAATTCTGACGAGGACGAAAATTACAACCGGCGTGCCAACTTGGATCAAACCCCGTCAGCTATCTCAGCTGCACCGGATACGACTATCATGGGCATTCCCGTTGCTCCGACTATCGACTGCAGTCAATACGGAACTTTTGACTATTCGCACTCATCTACATTCAAAGCACACAGATCCAAACCGTTTCGCACCCACTATGCAGATGGTTCGTTTGCATTGGGCTTTTGGGGGACCGACGAACTCTATTTGGACGATTTGAAGGTCTCTCAACTAGACTTTGCAGTCGCGGAAGTATCCAACTCAACTGTTGGTGTCCTCGGTGTGGGCATCAAACAACTCGAATCAACTTTTAACTACTTCAACAGCTCATCCTATATCTATCCGAACTTCCCTGCAATGCTAAAAGATAGCGGGATGATTGAAAAGGTGGCGTTTTCCTTATACCTTAACTCATTGGATGCTACCGCGGGATCCGTGCTGTTTGGAGGCGTAGACCGTAGCAAATACACAGGCGATCTGGTAACGGTCCCCTTGGTCAACACCTACAAAGAGAAGGGGGTTCCACAACCAATTCAATTCGAGATTACGGTGCAAGCAGTTGGTGTGGAGAGCAGAAAGAAGTGTCTGCAGGAAACAATTAGCAGCATCAAGTTCCCGGCTTATTTGGACTCGGGTGCTACTCTTATGTTCATGGACGCATCAATAGTGGAAAAAATAGCCGACAGCGTGAACGCGACATGGTCGGACGATTGGCAATTTTATATGCTACAATGCCCCGCTGGAAACGACGACACTAAGCTTGTCTTTGACTTCGGGGGGTTTCATATAACCACGCCGTTGTCAGATTATATTTTACAGACGGACCAAAACCATCTGTGCGCGCTGGCAATTATTCCTGGTGATCAGCATGCCACTTTCGGGGACGTGTTTTTGTCGTCGGTTTATGCTGTTTACGATCTTGAGAATTTAGAGTTATCTCTCGCAGAGGCTGACTATCATCCAGGGGCTCCGGATATTGAAACAATACGTTCGACCATTCCCGGGGCACGTAAGGCACCGGAGTATAGTAATACTTGGGAACAAACCGCTGCTAATGTTGCTCTGGTCACGAAAAACATGTTTAAGTCTCCTTTGAGTTGCACCTCATCCACCAAGGCTACTAATAACTCGACGAATGTTTCAACCTCTCTAGCTAGCTCTCATTCGAGCAAGCCCCAGTTGCCTGGTCAAAGCGGTCCCTCTTCGATCTCAATTTCTTGTACAGATGGCCCAAATAACGCATCTGGGACATCAGCTTCGAGCGCCGGTTATGAAACGTCGACACATTCCTTCATTCCAACAAAAACCTCTTCGCTCTCTGGATGTGATTCCACAACAGACAGTGAGATGTTATCTGGCATAGGCAGTAGCTTCTTCAGTGAAGGACACAGAACCTCGCCAGCTTTCTCTGACGGTGATTCATGTACGAGAACGGCAACAAATCCTCGAACTCGTGCTTCTACTGGTGCTCCAATAAACACCCTCAGCATAACGAAAGCCAAGTTTAGCTTCGGCAATGGTAACACTAATTCAGCATCCAGCAAAGACACCGGTAGTATCTACACAGTCATCGCATCACACTCTCGATCGACAGCCAGTATTCTTACTTTGCAGTCGTCCTCGCCCGTCAGTACGTCCTCAACTCAACGAGAGCTGGGGTCGAGGGAAGAAAGTATAGCATCCACTTTCTGGCAAAGTGCGACTCACTCGCCCTCAGCTAGAAGAGAGAGGACAGAAAGGGATAGTTCCTCCAAATTTTTCAAGGTCGAGTGCCGAACATGCGGCACTCTGCAGACCGGTAACTCTCTTTCGGAATCTTCAAGGGCCCTTAAATACAGCAGCAGAATTACAGTTGCGAGCTCAGAGAGAAAACAGACATCAAATCTGATGAAAACTAATCGTGAGCTATGTTCTAGTTGCTCTACAACAATTGACGCGGCACTAGAATGCTCGAAGAGTGGGTCGTGCCCATCGGTAGCGTCGGCGACGTCTTCAATCTCGACACATTATATGATTACACAATCAGGTTCTGCCCCTCGAGGATGGAGCGCAAAATGGTGTAGTTATTCAGCACCCATTGCATTTTTACTAGTTGGGTTTCTTTCCGTCGTATGAACTGAAAAATATCAATTTCCGGCATCGATCTACAGCGTGAACGACAGCCGATTGGCTTGACTAAGGTCAGCAGAGCATCGTTATAGGTTTCGAACGAGATGCTCGCCGACCTTGGCAAAAACATCTGAGACGACCTTCAAACTTTGAACAAACACAGCGGACTTTCTGACTTGGTAACATTCACATCAAAGTATATAATGACGTTTTCAATCAGTATATAATTCGTTGTTCAGTTCTTTTTTTCGGCCAGTTGGTACAGCTCTGAAAATGTCGCTTCAATCTTGGCCGTTTCTTCTGACGGGAAACAGCTTTCTGGTGACTTGAGCAGATCGAGGGGAGACCCGCTCGCAGCTTTGTAAAGCACATCTCGATCTGCAAAGGAGAGCAAAATTCTGTTTTCGGTGGGGATCATGCGTAGGCCTTGAAGAACTACGCGCAGTTGTTCGTTGCATTTTACGCCTCCATGACCGCCATAAGTGGCCACGGCTGCCGGTTTGGCCCTCCACTCGTTAAACAAGTAGTCTAAAGCGTTTTTCAAAGCCGCAGGGTAGCCCCAATTGTACTGTGGAGCAACGAAAATGAACGCATCATATTTCTGAATTTCAAGACTCCATTGTCTAGTGTGCTCGTGGTCGTAATCTTGATAATTTTGCACTTGTGATGGAACTTTGGACTCGTTGTACATGGGCAAATTCCAATCATCGAGATCGACGAGTCTCAGCTCAGGTTTTTTCTGCAATTGTTGGTAAGTTGGTGATTTTTCGATCGTACGAACGATGAATTCTGCGATCTGAGGGCAGCAACGAGGTTTTCGAGTACTTCCAATTATTATTCCAATCAACATCCTGTACTCTTGACCACCTAACAAATGATTCTGATGCTCAATTCCAGGCTTTCTTAACTTTCAAATTCACTTGGTTTTTATACTCGATTTTACCGACCCTGATGTCTTGCAGTCATAAGCGGATTTTAACGTATTTACTTTAAAATACCATGCTAATTCTCACAATATAAAGTGGAACAACGTTGTTTCCGGAGAATCGTAGATTTGATCACTTATCGGGATGTCGATCATATTAAAGAATTCATGAATATCCTGAACTAATGGTTTTAGTTTAGTTGTAGTTTCGTGAGATGAGGTTGTTGTATTCGATTGTTCATCTCGATGATTGTAGAAATTGAGGTTGTGAAAAAGTATAAATCTTGGAATAAAGGAAGTATATAGTAAAATGTCAGTTTAAATATCTTTAGCGAGACAAATTGACAATTGAGACCTTCCCTAGCTTGACGGTTTTCTTTCCAGTCAATTTCAGCGACGTTGGTTTATCGTGTCGTCAAAGTGTGTCACTTAAATGACAAAATGATCAACTTCGTAAGGTGTCAGATCTCTCAAATCGGAAAAAAAAGCTGGAGATGAAACCCGAGACAGAGCTACACATGCCCGATACCTGACTTATTGGAAAACATCATTGAGAGGCATTTTGAAGTTGTTTGAAGGCGTTGAATCGTTTCGTATCATTTTGCACGGAATGTTAAATTGGCTGGTGGGTACACCACCTGACAGGTTTATTAAGCTCATCACCACCTTTAACTTCACCAACTTTAAACACATCAAAGTTGACTTGTTGCCGGTGCTAGCTACCTCTCCGGCCATGGCACAGGCGATGGAGAGTTCCACGGACCTTCAAAATCTTCCCAGCGAAATTTTGATCAATATCCTTAGCTATCTCGATGAGAAAGACCTCTATGCAGTGCAAGCAACATGCAAGCATTTCATGGAAATCGTCAACGATGAAGAATTGTGGAAGAACCTTTTCATTTCCCAAATTCACTCAAGATATTTCCCCTCTTTCTCCAGGTCCTGGAAGTACAGTCTAGAATACATCAAAAGGAATAGAGGTTTGAACGAATGGAAGCACAATAGGGCAGTCAAAACGAAATACACCGTAACGGCACAGAACCAGTACAATCAGCTGGAAAAAATGGTGTTCGAATATCCGCGCTGTGCTTGTTACAGCGACGGAGTGATCATGCTTGTACAGCTTCATTCTAAAAGAAGAAAGGACAGGCTAACTTACATGCCTTGCACCACACCGCAGGGCTGTTCAACCATGCATTTCAACATTAATGCTGCAGTTTTCGGCCGGTTCGATGGACGTGTATTTGGCAAGCTTCTGACCAACAAGTCACATCTCCATCCAGTGACAGAGTTTAACGCCGTACATCGGTCTGCTGTCACAGCAATAACCACAGCAGCTCTCGAAGATTCGGCAGAGGATTGGTGTGCAAGTGGTTGTGAATCAGGACAAGTTATTTGGTGGTGTGAAACGAAAATGCAGAAACACATGCAAATATCCGATAAGCCCATCTTAAAGTTGTCTCTGCATAAAGATCTCACGGTCGTTATGGACTCGCATCAGATCTTTATTGTGGACAAGATGAACTTTTCTCATAAATTAGACATTCCGTCTGATCTTCAGCATACACTAACCCAAATCCAGCATTTTGAAGTGGACTTTGGGGGTCGACATTTGATTCTCGGTAGTATGTCGACACTTTACGTCATCTCTATAGACCCTCACAAGGATTTTGGGTTTACGAGGTCTCTTTCTTTTCCTGATTACATCGAGAAGATTTTCATTGATGATGTGACCTCTAAAAGAACGCAGGAAAGCAGTTTGGCGGGTGGCGATGGTTGTTTTTTGGGAGTCTTGACGGGCGACAATTCCGTTGTTGTTATCAATATCAGAGCTCCTGGTCGAAACTTGCGCATACAAACCAAGCTCACGTTCGAGGAGAGGGTTCACATCGCGCAAATCAATAACTTGGTCCTAGTCTGTGCCTTCAGTGGATATCTTGGGATATTCGACGCAACTGACGGGACTGAGTTGAGAGTGGTAAGGAAGACGGAAAAGATGCCCCAATTCCTTGGAATTTCCCACGGTCGTATGATTCTAGGCAGCGGTAACGTTCTACATTATTTACAGTATGCCGATGAAGAAGCAACGCAGAAGAGGTCCGGATCATCTCAGGGTGCTCGCGGCAATAAATGGAACGAAGTCTTGAACACTCAGTTGGACCTCTATAATGAAGACGAAAATAGTCGAAGGGAAGAGGTCGACAGAATTCAGAAATTGCGGAAGCGGTTCATGGGTGACCTTGATGACGAAGAAATACAGTATCAAATTGCGTTAATGGAGTCGCAGTCAACCGCACAAGCGTTCAATCCTGCGGCGGCCCCAGAAGAAGGGGAACTGGACGAAGAGCTTTTGAAGGCATTAGAGGAGTCCAGGCTGACTGCTGATTCTGCCATGACACCACAGGTGGTTGACGAAGATACAGAAATTATGTTAGCGTTGGAACAGTCGAGGGAAGAAGGTGATAGACTGAATTCAGGGCGACGGATTCGCCGTCACGGGCCCATAGGAGAAGCAGTGTCGTCCACTGTAGCATGCACAGAACATAATGGATCAGAGGAAAGCCCGTCTTCTCCAGCACTGACATCACAGCGAAATTACGATGAGGATTTAGAACTGGCTTTGGCATTGTCGTTGCAAGAGTAGTATTTTACAGAACAACTTTTTCAAATCAGGTCTCTAAATACAAAAAAGTCTAAATAAACAATAGGCGCAAATCTATCAGCTAAAAAGCAAAGACCTGATCGTCTCCTTTCGATTTCTCGATCCCCTTAGGCCAGCCGAGATCTTCGGCATAACCCAAAAGCATTCTCACCATTTCTGGCTTGCCACTTATTAGTAGCCTGCTGTCTTCAGAGCATTGAGGCAAGAATTTCTGCATATGTTCCTTGGTAACGTAGCCCGTCTCGCCAGTCCATTTTTCAGATGGCGTACGCAAAACGTAGTTAACAGTGAAATTGGGATATTTTTCGGCAATTTCGTCAAGTTCGTCCTTGAGAAGGATGTCGTTTTCAGTTTCGTTGGCGTAAATCAAAGAAATTTTGGTGGCATCTTCAGGGTTGGTGATGACTTCATTGAGTACCTGCAACATTGGTGTAATACCACTTCCACCCGCGACCATGGCCAAATGTTTGTAAGAGTTGGTGGCGTAGTTGAACCTTCCTACGGGACCTTTGAAGTCAACTGTGCTGCCTGGTTTGAGACCAGCGAAGTATTTGGAAACGTTACCATTTCCATATGACTTAACAATGATATCAAAATATCCAGCTTCGTACTTTGGGGAGACTGGCGTGTAATATCTCACGTATTCTTTGCCATCGATGTTGGCCTTGACAGCAAGATGGTGACCGACTGGAAAGTTCAAGCTTTCAAGAGACGTTTTCATCTTGAAGCGGTAAATTGCAGTGTTTTTGGAGATCAACGTCTGATCTTCCAATTCCAGCGAAGACCAGCGATCTGGAAAGACAGAACGTCTTCTTTTGAAAGCTGCCGTGAATCTAATGGCAACAATGATAGCAGCAAACGGCAAGATCCAAAAAAACTTGTAGTCATCGACAGTATAGCATGTTATAGCCAATCCGACCACCAATAGTCCAATGGGGATGTAGATCCCATGAAGTGGATCATTGAGCTTATCAGCATTACTTGACATACTTGATAGAGGTTTTTGACGATGACAGGACTGCTGTTATAGAGCTTGAACCGATATGTGATGAGTAAGTCAAGTCAAACTTTATAATTTGTTACTTGAGCCATTAAAATGTTAAAAGCCTCCCGATTCGAACCCCGAAGGTAGCGTAGTTTTTAAAAAAGCTGAAATAAGTTCAACGGACCTATACATGCCGCTCAAGGGCGGCTGTGACTTGAACCCTTCCAAATGCTTGAAGTTGGTGCCGGTTAAGGTCTTCTACCGTCTTTTGAGGCGACCAGTTCCAGTCTTCATGAATATGCTCAAAACTTCAATTGTGAGTCTAACTTCCCGCCAGAAGACAGAATTCTTCAGGTTTCTTTCTTGAGCATTATCAAGGCTTATTGAATTTCGTTGATATCCACAATTCCGTTCTTAACAGCCCACTCAGTGTTGGCCAAAAATACATTTTCAGGATCCTGTTGACGTCTAATCTCTTGGAACGTCGCGAGATCTTCGCCATACCACTCAGTGATTTTAGATGCCATACCTCTCATTTCGTGGTCTTCGTAGCTGTGCTCAGCTTTTGTAGGGCCCGCGGCCATATCCGTAGACCCTAGGAAGTTCTTAGCCCAATGTGGTTTACCGCCGGCGGCCGTCATTGTTTGCTCAAATAAAGTGAACCATTTGTGGATCGGAGTGTTGGTTCCGAATGGTCTATAGATTGTAGCGTTGATGTACAAGGTGAGTTGACTGTTGGTGACGTCTTCGAGCGGAACATAACGTAGATTGCGGGGTGTAGCATCCAGGTAAGGACGCAGCACGTTACCGAATACAGCACCGCGGCTCACTTCAGTCCGACCGCTGTAGTCCGGTATCTTTTCAGGAAGGTTGGTGTTGGAGCAACGTACTTCAATTGGGGCGTGGACGTAGAATTCTCTGTTTTCAGCGGCCTGGGCAATTGAGCGATCCAAAGAACATAGAACTTCAGGACCGTTGCTTAGCGGACATCCCCATTCGTCAACAAACTGCGAAAATAAACAGTCCATGTTGAGCCCATCGACAGAATTTTGGATCTGAAGTTCACCGGCCCCTATGGTCTCGACTTTGCCATACTGTTTGTGAAACGCAAACCTCTCCACGATAGGAGTGAGAGGAGGATAGACTTTCACCGAAAGCCACAAGCAGACCTCGTAGAAACGACGTCCTATTGTACTTCCCCACCATGACTTCCTTGTCTTGATAATCGCAGTATCGCTGGTTTTGACGCCTCTCCATAAAATACACTTACTGGTGTACGGAAACCACCAGCACCTTATAAACTCGCTCGATGTCCAGATAGTGTCCCATTGTTTTAGAATAGTGTCGAAATTGACTACCTCCATGGTGGATTTGATCTTGAAAGATGGCACGACTCTAATGGTTGCACGAACAATGATACCAATTTTGCCCAACGACAACATAGCAGCTCTGAATACCTCGGGATTAGTTTCAGAGTCGAGAAAGACAACCTCTCCAAGACCGTTAACCAAAGTCAGATTGACGTACTGCGACGAAACCAAACCATGGTATGCGGACGATCCATGCGTTCCCGTAGAGATAATTCCACCCACGCTCTGGTCCGAAATGGAGCCCAAATTCTGAATGTCATATCCACGTTCGTGCAAATATTTGCTGAGCTCGAAAATCCGCATTCCAGCGTCCACAGTAATATCAGCAAATGATTCGTCATCTTTTCTAACTAGATTGTGAACATTGTTCATTTTGTCAAGATTCATGAGCCATTCCCTAGTGATACACATATCACTTGGTGAATGGCCAGATCCAACAGTCACAATCGTCTTGTTCAGTCTTCTCGCTGCATTCACCACTTTAACAACTTCTTCTATCGAAGTTGGTTGGAAGTACAACTGAGGCTTGGCAGAGTATATCCCTGCCCAATTCTTGAACTCATAGTTCGCACGCGCCCCGGGAAGTATGTTATCCATCACTAATGGGCTGAATGGAAGCTACTGGCTTGATAAGAGAGCTGTCTTGTTGTGGAATTATGCTTACTTCTATGTTTTATCGAGGATAATTTTTCTAGCTTTATATCAATGATACATACAGTGACATCAACGAGCAGCTGTCAGATAAAAGGTCTGAGCGAACATCAAGAACTTTCAAGAATAAAGAGAAGTATGGCCTCATCTTACAAATGACACTGGCTATTCCTAACTCAACAAGGGCATCTAGAGCACATTTGTTCTTTCCGCCCGTTTTTTCCGTCTAAAAAGTAAGGCCTTACGATATATCTGTAGCATTTTTCTGTCAAAGTAGCCTGCCTGCCGAGCTCAATTGATCACTTCTGCTGATAAAAATTGACCTGGTCCCACACAGCTCTGACTGCTTTTGTGAAAATCAGCTCTCAGAGGTCAGCAAGATGATTACCGGATGCTTGGTATGGCACTAAGGGAAAACAGGTGTGCTCGCCTTGAAAAATTTCAATCCAATGTGGTATTAATTAGTACCGGGGTATACAATATTGAGTGAGTAGGTGAGACTTGCCTTGTCACAAGGTAGGGGACTCGAGAAAGTGGAGGAGGCTGCAAATCCTTCAACGCAGGATAAAAGAGGAGTTGTGATAGCCTCTAGTCGGACGTGTACAATTTTCCAGCCGGAGTCATACATGGCCCATCGGGTAGACTAGTACTAGTACTGTTGTACTTGTTGCTGCCACAAAAAAGGTTTTTTTTTCAGTTTTTCAGGATAAACGGATTGCTTCAAAACTCTTCTTCGTCAGCGTAAGAGTCAGCACCAACCTCGATGTAATCTCTCTCAAGAGCAGCCAAATCCTCTCTGGCTTCTGTGAATTCTCCTTCTTCCATACCTTCACCAACGTACCAGTGCACGAAAGCTCTCTTGGAGTACATGAGATCGAATTTTCTGTCAATTCTTTTCCAGGCATCGGCGATGGCCGTGGTGTTAGAAAGCATACACACGGCTCTGTTGACGGAAGAGAGCTGTGATTGAGGAGTAGCGGTAGGTGGCTCGTAGCAGATACCGATCTTGAATCCCGTTGGACACCAGTCTACAAGTTGAACCGTCCTCTTATTCTTGACCTGGGCAACCGCGTTCTGCACGTCCCTGGTGACCACGTCACCCCTATATAGCAAGCAAGTGGCCATGTACTTGCCAGATCTAGGATCGCACTTCACCATTTGGTTACCAGGTTCAAAACAAGCATTGGTGATCTCAGAAACGGCGTTAGATTCGTGGTGAGCTTTGCTCTTGGACAAGATTGGAGCGTATGAAACCAATGGGAAATGGATTCTTGGGTAGGGAACCAAGTTGGTTTGAAATTCATTCAAATCAACGTTGAGCGAACCGTCGAATCTCAAAGAAGCAGTAACAGACGACACAACTTGTGCAATCAAATTGTTCAAGTTTGCCAAGCTGGGTCTGGAGATGTCCAAGTTCTTTTTGCACATGTCGTAGATGGCCTCATTGTCCACCATAAAGGTACAGTCTGCATGTTCCAAAGTGGTATGTGTGGTCAACACGGTGTTGTAGGGTTCCACGACAGATGTGGAAACCTGAGGAGCAGGGTAGACCGCGAACTCCAATTTGGATTTTTTACCGTAGTCGATGGACAGCTGCTCCAAAAGTAGAGAGCCCAAACCAGAGCCTGTACCACCACCAAGCGAGTGAGTGAACAAAAACCCTTGGAGACCGTCACACTGATCGGAAATCTTCCGGATTCTGTCAAGGATATCGTCCAGCAATTCTCTGCCAACAGTGTAGTGACCACGAGCATAGTTGTTTGCGGCGTCTTCCTTACCGCTTATAAGCTGTTCAGGATGAAACAACTCTTTGTAAGGACCAGTGCGCACTTCATCGATAACATTTGGCTCAAGATCCACGTACAGTGCGCGGGGCACGAATTTCCCAGATCCGGTCTCGTTGAAAAACGTTGAAAACCCTTCTTCGCCACCTCTAGGTTTGCTGAGACCTTCTTCTAAATATCCATCTGGTCTGATACCGTGTTCCAGGGAGTAAAGCTCCCAACAGGCATTACCGATCTGACAACCAGCTTGACCGACTATTATAAGGTTTTCAATGTTAGTAAAACATGTTTTGAATCAAAGATGCGGTGGTGCCAGACACGTAAAACCAATTTGTTCACGCAACACGTCAATTTCCGAGAGCCAATGCCAGCCAATTCGCGACCATTTGGGCTCACTTCCTCTGGTCGAGAGTTGGGCATTCTTACCAAGGCTTAAGGCTGCATCAACCGTGCTAAATGTACCAAACACGATCTCGCACAAATGTCGATTGTAGCCACATTATTGACGCGTCTGCTCCACCGACGAAACACTCCAAAATACAAGTTGCACGTACCGTTAATACTAATGACTTCTCTCATCGTTCTTGAGATGTCTGTTCGTTGGCAATCCCGAGTGAACTTGGTGAAGTTGGATCGGTTCGTTTTGGTGTTTGGTAACATTTGTATATGTACTGTTTACATTTTTCCACAAAAGCCTTAGGGTATGACCTTCACGTGATCTGTTTGAAATTCATCTGCGGGTAACGAAACCGATCAAGTAAGGAACCACGAGATGAAAGACATGGTAGTGAAGCCAGGTGCCGCTAGAGTAAACGTCTGGGTTGGCATAATACTATGTGAGCAGCTTAAGTTTATTGTTTGATACGGTGGCCGATTTTTTTTAATGCTAATTGACGCATAAGTGTGAGTTTGAGGTGAGAAAAAACCGATAAACGGATATGAATTCTGTGGAGCAAAGAGGCGGCTCGATTAATACCAGATCGGTGTGTTGTGCACCTAATGGAGCGAGGAATCAGATTTCTTGGTGGTAAAACTGATGAGATCTGATGAGACGTATCACTATGTACGTAAGTGACGCTCGACGGGGCGGTACAAAGTGATTATTCAACGAACCTTTAAAGACAATGGCTATTCATACCGCTATAGCAGCGACATTGAATTAACTGACACTCGTTTTACTTGCCTCTCTACCTCTCCCACTCGCTGAATAAATTGTATGGGTGAGTGGTTGAAGTTTTAGCCCGTCAGAGCCCGTGGAACAAAGTGCCATATTTGAGTTTTTCTTAGTTAGATACCAAACCCCATCTCAACCTTGTTAGGTACAATCATTTGTTCAGTGTACCTGTTAATTGTAGATGTTAACGGGAAAACCTGTGCTGAAAGTGTGTCTATTTGAATTTAAATGACACATTGTTGCCTCGATTCTTATTAAAATGGCCCTGTTTAAATGTTAGACTATCGAAGTATCTGGCGAACCTTTTGATTATATAGAAAGCTGACACCCAACGTTTTTTATCTCCCAATGTCTCTTCTCAATACCACGAAGTTCAAAATAAAGAGACCCCGTTCTCTATCCATCTCATCATTGAAGTTAACTCTGAATTAGTTTATTTTTATACCTTTCCTTAAATAATATACATGCAAGATAAAAAGCGTCAAAATCTTTTATAAGTTCGATGGCATCTCTGGAGTCCATCCATTATTAGACGGTTTCGGTGTGGCTGGAAGAGGCAGAGTTGCTGTTCGGACTGGCATACTTGGAAGAGTCGATCTCATCATGGTACTCCTCGCAAATTTGTTCCAAAGTCTTACGCTTTGTTTCTGGGATTAATAGACTGCTGAAAAGACCACATAACATGAAAAGGGCAAAGATCTCCATGACGTGAGGCAACCAACAGCCGCTCTTTTGACCGTTCTTGGCACAGTTGTGGTCAATCAAAGTTCCCAAAGCGGTTTGTGCAATGATGGCACCAACCTTACCAGAGGCAGCGGAAATACCGTGAGCAGAAGATCTGTATCTGGTTGGGAAAACTTCACCTGGGATGATGAAAGTGGTGACGTTAGGACCAAAGTTCTGGAAAAACTGGCAAACAATGTAGAGACCCAACAATCCGTGGTCGCTCAATTTGTGGTAAGCAAAACCAATGACACAGAACAAAACGGTCAAGATGAAGAAACCAAAGAGCTGGATGGGCTTTCTGCCAATGGTGTCAATGGTAGCAACAGAGGCCCAGTATCCTGGAAGCGAACCAGCGCAAATCAAGATCAAGTTACCGACGGCGGAGTTGTAAAGTTTGTGGTAAACGTTTTTGGAAGAAGCGTAACCGATAGTTTGCAGAATGACAGCGGAGTTCAAGTTCAAACCGTAGAAGGCAACATCCAAGGCAAACCAGGAGAAGGCAGTTCCGAACAGAATCTTACCGTACTTCCATTTACCGAAATGGGTGACAAAGTCGCGGAAGGAAGCCTTTGGAGGAGCGATTTCGTACTGTTCAACAGCGGTTGGGGCTCTTTCTAGACGGGCGATTTCTTCAGCTTCAGCGTTGCCGTGCTCACCAGAGGCAAACTTGGAAATGTCGGCAACGCCCTTGTGGAGCTCGTTGTTGACGTCGAAAGTGTAACGAGGAGATTCAGGGATGGTTAGACGGAAGTACAGGGCAATGATACCGGGGACACAGCCGAGACCGACAAGAATACGCCACATCTGGTCACAGGCCTTGGCACAGGCAGGTCCACACTCGGAGCCCTTGTCGGCGACGATAAGCACGTCCTTGTAGGCAGCAACGAGGATCAGGGCAACGATACCGGCGGCGATCTGGCCAAAGGCCTGGTTGGCGAAAACAGCGCCCATGATGGCACCACGCCATTTGGTGGTAGCGAACTCGGAGGTAATGATCGACGACAGCGGGTAGTCACCACCGATACCGATACCCATGATGATACGGTAGAAAGTGAGCACGGCGACGAAGCTGACACCGGGGGCGGAACCAATGGTACATTGCAGAATGGTGGCGGCGATCATGACGATCAGTTCGAGCCCGTAGATCTTTTTACGGCCCACGACGTCGGCCATGACACCGAATCCGATCTGGCCGATCACGGTACCGACAGAGGTGGAGACTTTGAGCAGCGTGGATGTGGACGCTGGGATGTTTCCTTGCCACCACACGTACGACATCATGGACACGCCCAGGTTGATGGCGAAAATGTCGTACGAGTCTGTCAAGAAACCCACACCGGCGACGGCAATGGCTCTAACATGGTACCAGCCGAACTCGGCGTCATCAATTTTCTGCAGTGCCAGACGACGACGTTCGAGAGGGTCTTCAATGTGCGAGAAATCGTTGATGAAGTTGTGGAACGCTGCGTTTCCGCCAGCGGTTTTGTGGGTGTTAACCTGAGTGGAGTCTTTTTCAATGCTCATTGTTAAAATTATGGCTGTTATTTCTGAGAGCCTATTTTTTTCAGAGCAGACACTGTTTGTGCTGATATAGTGCTAATTTAGTAGTATTGGCAATGGCTAATGTATATTATTATGCCTTGGACTGGTTGCAGTGTAGACTGGAGAACAAAGAGAAAGCTACTGTACGAGAAATATTCGAAACTAAACCAAATTCAACTTTCTTGGCTTCACGATCTCGTCTTTATATACCATGTCTTTCCCTTTTGTCCCAGCTTTCACATCTTTTCCGTCAAAAAGCGATGAGAAACGCCATACAATTTGCGCCTGCGCGCTTGTGTGAGTGGGACGTGCCAGAATCTTAGCTCATTAAGCTCATTAAGCTCATTTAGAGCCAAAAACTACATTAGCGCATGGACATTGGCCCATGGACATTGGTCTATGACTTTAATTGTGTGAACGTGTGCAGTGTGGGTTAATTTACATTATTAGTAGTAGTAATTAGCTAGTCAAGGCGGTAGATGGCCGATGCAGTAGGCCACTAGTAATATTAGTATATAGTGGTTTTTTTTGAAATAATTAGGGTCCCACGTTTTCTCATTTGGAACGTGGGAAGAGAGATGAGAAAAGAAAAGAAAAGAAATCAGAGAGAGAAAGAAGGGTGTAATGAAGAAGATGTGGGTTACGTAAGCGTGCATGATGGGGGGGGGGAAACATGTGGATTGTGCGTTTATTTCTGAGGTGTCAGGAGTCATGTGACTCGGAGCTTAGGGAGGGAGAAAACGGATCCCGTGTGTGGTGATAAGGGCAAAGCCAAGGATACATACCCACGAGACCACGTGGCACGTGGGGGTGGTGTGCTAAAGAATGAAGAACCCTTTCTTCTATACGTATGCCAACCAATTCTTGAGATATTGATGCAGTGGTAAGATGAGGTGTAGGAAATAATGGATGGGATCGAGATCGGGATCATTTGATTTCTTGGTATTGGGAAGACGACTATTGGTTACGGACAATGGTGGTAGTGACAGCGGTAGTGGTGGAGAGACCGTTAGAAAACCGACGGTTGTGACGACGGGTCGGGGAGAAAAGAGGGTGTACGGGTGTATGGGTGTACGGCTGTGAATAGAGAGACGCATTCGTGGTGTCTGGGTTTTAAGTACACGTGCCTACTCCGGGGGAGAGAGCGGAGGGTGTACGGGTGTCTGGGTGTGGGTAGAGATGTTCTCGTGGTGTACGGGTGTCTGGGTGTAGGTAGAGATGCTCTCGTGGTGTACGGGTGGCTGGGTGGCTGAGTGGTTGAGTGGCCCCCCTCCTTCAATTTCCTGGTGTCTGGGTTTTGGACTCACATGCCTCCTCCCCTCTTTTTCCACGTCACTGCAGGAATGGCTTTCAGCACGTCTTTCCATACAGACGTGTCCCGGGGTACCCACGGGTACGTAGACCACGGGTACGTACGATCCACTCTGGGACCCGTTCCGTATATAGTTACGACCGTATTGAGATCCACTTCGAGGTATCCGGATCAACCCGGTGTACCGTTGTACATGACTGCAGGGAACAGACACGTCAAATTACACGTACATACGTGTATGTACGTATGGGGCCTTGATTTTATGTCACGTCAATGCGTACGTAACGTACCGGGAGTTACAGTGTCAGCGTCTCTGAAGCCTGCTCTCTGTTCATTTAGTCGCACCAGAACTGCAACTTCCTATTTGTTTGGGTCCAGCTCCACTCAGTGGGTTTGGGTTTAAGAATTGTGTGAATACCGCTTAGGACGCTTCAAGATCATGAATCTAGGCCAAAGCTGTGAGCCGGTGGGATCAGATATTTTTGAATCACTATATACGTCGATGGGTTCAATTTCTGTGTATTCTCAGAAGAACGAAATCCTGGTTAGTTCACAGCTGACAGTGTCGGTCTTGATGATGGTGACAAGATCATAAGTGCAACGCCTCAAAGCTCTGCTTGGTATTTGAGAATTACCTTATTGTTTCCAGGCCCTGGGACACGTGACCTTGGGTACTCAATCTAAAACCCGCTTTCGAACCCGTTTGGAACCCGTTTGGAACCCGTTTGGAATCCGCTTGGAATCCGCTTGGAACTCATTATGGCATGTTGCTGCAACCTGTAACACGGCCCTCTTGACTCCATCTCGTTGGACTAAGATCCTCTTATCGGCCCAGCCAGCCTCGCCGATCGCATCACATTCGCATGCATAAGCTCGAGAAGAATTTCAACATGGGTTGAAAAGTTGTAGTCCGTCCCAACCCATGAATCTTAGACGTACATTTTTTTCATAATCTGGTTTCCATACTCATGTCCACACACTCATATTTTATCGCATTTTTCTCCCGCGAATCCCACAGTGGAAAGATGGCATCTTTTACAAAGTACACCCTACTTTTATCATGTCGTTAGCCTGGCATCAATCCATACAGAGCTTAAACTACCATACCACGTCAAAAAATCTCTAGGATCTACTTTTATTTGACCTTGACCCAGTACAAAGCTTTTCGAAGTTTATAGTGTCATTTTTATGTGTCATTTTTATATGTCGATTTCCCACCTTCTTGAAGCTTACTTGTGATTTGACCATTCCAATCAAAATCGAGAAAGAAACCATCAGCTCGGCTCTTGAGATCCTGTCTTCTTGTTTCTACACATTCAATGACACCAAATACTCAAACCTCTATTTATCAATACTGTCGCTGTCGCCGTCACAGGTCACGGACTTAATCGCTAAAACTGAATAAACTGACACTGAACAAACAAGTTTCCAAAGACTCATTCACAAAGTTTTGGTCCTCCATCATGCGTATGGCTATAATCAATTGTACGTTGTTTCATTACATTCCCTTTGCTAGCTTTTTGTTTCTCCTCTGGTGCCACATCCTTGCACTTTTGCATTTTGAACAAATTAAACAACTAAAAAACCGTCTGAACGTAATAAACATTAATTCAAATTCTACTCCCAAAGCATTACTTACATTCTTACATAGCCCATACCAAGCCTCTAGCATCCCTATGTCGCGAGTTGCCGAGAATTATTATCTTTTTCTAAATTCTTCACAAATGCGAACGGCTTGCATCAGTCTTCATTCACCTACAAGACAATTATTCCTTCTAAAATCAATGACATTTTTGAATAGCGCTCTGAGACCAGCTCAAGATTGTTTCTTATTGAGTCTTTAAGAGACTCATAGATACCGGCAGTTCATAACATCACCCTTGTACCACTGAATAATAATCACACGCTCATCTTGGCATGAACGAAACAACTGCAATTTTGACGCAACGATCACAATTGACTTTTGCATACAACCTCAAGCTAATATGAAAAAAGTCGTCGACACCCACGATGCTTACTTTATTCTCAATTCACGATCATCAATCTATGGAGACTGCAAATTGATGAAGATGCATTTCCACAGGCTGTCATTTTGTAGCTTCCAGCCGCTCCAACTCACACATCAGTAAGCTTTCATACTTCAATTGCCAGCCGCAAAGATGAAAATACCTTAGTTTGCTGAGACAACCGGCAAACGTCTGATTCTCAGTTAACATCCAGCAATACTCTTGAGTAAGAGACTCGACTTTTGGATAATGAAAAGAAAACTTTCGCACGGCACTAACCAACGCATAACGTTTCATCGACAGGCTTCAGTTTCCGTGTAAAGATGCCACTGGCCATCAGCTCCCTAGAACTGGTACAAAATCCAACAGCGTAAGGTAACAGAAAAGGAGCACGCACAAAACATTTTAACGCAATTTGGTTCACAACATCAGCATTCCAGGAATCTCACCTTGACGAGTTCGTCAAATCCATACTATTCCTCTTTAAGAGTGAGTTTTCAGTACAATATCGACTTGACATTCGATTGAAGCCAATTCAACTCATCGTATACAGCGGTGTCCTCAATCAAATGGAAAGCATATGCAAAACGCGATTTCTTCGAAGTGTTGGTCTCGCTTTTGTGCAGCACGGAGCCGTGAATTAAAACGAGATCGCCCGCCTTACATTCCACGCTCACCCATTTTAGGTTGTCATCGTCCGGAATCCCCATTTCCATCGAGTCTCCGTTGTCCAAACTAATGAACTCGGTGCCCTCAAGTTGATCACCGGTGTCTTTGTTGAATTTACGCACAAATCGTTTGGTGATAGGGTGGTCAAGATGCGAGCCGGGAGCAAAACTGAGGCATCCATTTTCGTGCGTTGCATCTTCTAAGGGAATCCAAAAACCTACTGCACTTGTGGGGTCAGTATACAAAAAAACGCTGTCTTGATGGGAGGGCACCGCCCCACCTATTTCAGGCTGTTTGCATAAGACCATCGATTGCAAAGCTCTGGGTTTCTTGAACCCAAGACCCTTTGCAATTTCTGACACATCCGGGTTTTCGCTAGTCACTGCAGCAAATCCCGAATCACACAAATGAAGGCCATGCCCAAACTTATTGATGGCCCTCTCTTTTGGCTTTACAAGTTTTTGAATCCCATCAAATTCATCGAAGGCATCCGGTTCGAAAAAGAAGGATATGTTGTCTGCCGAGTTGAGGAAATAGTCGTCTCCCAGATGACTTTTATCGCTCGTTATGAATCGAGTTAGCGGATGGTTAGAAAGATCTAACTGCTGGAGATACTCATGCGATTTTTGCAACAAATGTTGGGATTTTGACTGTGACAAGAAGTTAGGTACGACAAGAAAGCCATCTTTGTTGAATTGGTCAACCTGTTTCTGCGAAAACATTATTTAGAGGTTGACGAGCGTTTTGGCCATGCATTGACTGAAAACTAGCGAAAATGGTCACTGTCTTCTTGAGTTTCATGAATTATAGGCATCATATGAAATATGTAGATAAGATAGATTTGACGAACTTGACCAATTCTTTGGATTCAAGCAAGAGTATTCATCATGAATAAGGCCAAGATATCATCAGGTGATTAGTGAATGGATCAAGACAATACCGTCTGAAAGCTCGAAGCTCGAACAATGATCCAGTTCTTGGCCGAAGTTGATAAGCTCTCAAATGTCCGATTGCTCACTTTTTCAAAGCGAGCTTTTAGTTGTTGCCCTCGAATTTTTATCATTCAACTACATGCCCTATTTGCTTTTGAATGACCATATGGTCTCTCTCTAATCGGATTAGTTTGAAATACTATAAATTTATTGGAATATAATAAAACGGACGGGTTTGGAGACTGTGATGATCCTTGTATTTGACTGTTCGATGATTTCTAGATTGTACTCTTTCCATCTCAAATATATGCTTACTCGCTGACGTGCAGAACCGAGGTCTGAAAGACTCCTTCTCTACTTCACATAGCAGATTATCGCCGCTGCGACGGTCAAAAACATGGTGAGGGTCATGTTAAATTGATATTCCTCGTCTGTTAGCTTGGAAGCGATCTTGGCATCGCAAACAGATCTTTCTTGAACCTTCTCGTAAATCAATGTTTTGTTGGGCGCGACTCCGGCAGGCAGTTGCTCTTGATACATCCCTTCGATGTACTGTTCTATTCTACCAATCCTGATATTGATTTTGAGGTAGTTGGGGTCCTCCACGGGGAGGTTTCTCTTGATATAACGCACATAGTATTGGAAGATTTCGACGCATCCACGGAAAGTTCTGGATTTTAGGATGAGGTAACAGGTTGTACCTTTTCTGATCTTCACGTTCTTGTGCAACACGGTGGGGTTGTTGAAGACCAACGCAAGCGTGGCAATAGCCATCACTTGAGGGATAGCACAGAATTGGAAAGTGGATTGTTCGTGCACGGAGCTTAGGTACAATAGCACATCTTCGATATGTGAAAGAGCGTTGAGAACAAGATGATTGATACAATGGACACCGGCCTTCGTGTTTTCACGTTTGGAGAAATCCACCAGTTTGTCCGCGTAAAGGGACCACACTTCTTTGGGCCAAAAAGAGCGGCCATCTTCAAGATCCTCGGCATAATCTCTGATGATGTTTGTTTTCTGCAAAAAGAGACCCATGCTCTCGAAAGTTTGGGCCGATTCAGCGTATAGGTCCTTGGTACCGAAGTTGGCTAGCACAATCAATTGTGTTAAGCCGTCCCCAACAACGCCTGCAACATAGTGACAGTACAGGTTGTAATCCTCGATAGTCGAGACACCGTTTAGGTTGAAATTTTCGTCCAAAATGTAGGACGCCATTCCGTTACCCATTTGGCGGGTAATGTCCTTGATGACCTTTTGATATTCGGGTTTCAGTTTGTGCAGCTCCTTCAATATGCAAGGAAACTCAACCAAAACGCACCGATCTTTTTCCGTAGGCGCGTTGCCGTCAAATGACCAATCCTGAAGATCCAGTTTTGAGTCAAACTCACGTAACAGCGGGATTTTGACCTCTGGGTCTATTGTCATGTCATCTTCCACAGTGTCGAGTGCTCTCAAAATGAGATAGAACAGCATGATGGCATTACGCAATTCCGGATGCAATTCCATAATAACCGCAGCAAATGAACGCGACGTGAGGTCTAGCAATTCAAAGCATCTTTTCAGTTCTGGGGAAGCCCTGGTATCGTCAAGGGAATAAAGTGGTTTCCGGATAAACTTCAACTTTAATGCAGCCTTGAGCTCTACAGGATGAGCTAAAAGTTGCGTTAATTTACCCATTTTTTCAGTTGAAGTCGTCAATTAGAACCACGAATTAGCAAGTTTTCTAGCAAACTGAACAACTATACACTCCTATTGCCCAATTGATGTTGAATCAAGTAGTTGTAGCCCTATTCTATCATGTCATGAGATGAGTGTAGATATATATACTCGGTATTTAATATTTCAACTTTTTTTCATTCTCGTATAGCGAAATAATATCGATATAAATTAACTGACAGTGAAAACCAGAAAACCAAGATAAAACGACGTTTTTGGAAAAAGCGATAAAAAACACTCAAACAACGGTCGTTATCGGTTCCGACAGACAAATGTTACGCAATGTGGACGGGTTATTGTCCGATAAGTTTCTTTGAGTAAATCGGTTTTCTTGAGTTTTTGCAAAAAAAGGTCTTACCCGGATTCGAACCGGGGTTGTCCGGATCAAAACCGAAAGTGATAACCACTACACTATAAAACCAGGATTTGTTAAAGAAGGTAAAATAATGGTGGTATATGGTAAGGGCAGGGTCCCACAGGGCCGAGTCGCGGGACTTCAGACAATGTCAAGAGTTCTTCTTGTTTATATGACTGAATACTACACATTTTGTTCCAAGGTGCTTTTGGTTCGTACTATCAATTTTGCTCATTAGTGTCTTTTGTTCGTAGTAGTTTCTGCAAATGCTGCAAATGCTGCATTGCTTTGGGAGCGCTTTCTGTTTCCATGACCTGTAGTTCCTCCTTGGTGAATTTCGACAGTACATATTTCGCGACTACTTCTGGATCTCTTTGCAGCGGTCTTCCGATCCCAACCGCAAGACGATAGAAATTTCCTCCGAAATGTCTGGTCAGGTCTTTCAAGCCATTGTGGCCCCGCACACTCGTTTCTGGTTTGCGAAGTTGCACCTTCCCTAGCGTCAAGCTCAGCTCGTCGTGAACCACTATGTGTTGGACGCCAGGTCCAAGTTTTTTCCATAGCGGAACAACGGTTTTTCCGCTCAAATTGATATAATCCCCATCTGCACGAAGCAGCAAGATTTCGCCCAATTGACACCGTCTCACTTTGGAATTGGCATTGCATGGCATATAAGGCTTTGAAAACTGCGAAAACTGGCTTTTCAGCAAGTCCAGCATCAAGAGACCCGCGTTGTGTCGACTCAAAGCATACTGCGGTTCCGGGTTGCCGATTCCTGTTATGCAAATACTCAGCGATCTCCTTGAAGCATACGCAAGCTTGATCACACGAAGTCCTTCTCTTCCAACTCTGAAAGTTATCATCGAATTGTTGTTTGTAGTTGTTGATTTAGATATCTTTATATATATATATATATATCAAATTTCATATTAAATTGTCTATTGATAATGTGAATGTTTAACGATACCAACTTCCTTAGAAAAGTTGGTCTTTAACATTCAGATTTCTAGGCTTGAAAGACTTCATTGTCTCCTCAACTAAGCTTCAATTATGTCCTCAAACAATCGTAAGAAACTTCTACTGATGGGCCGTTCAGGCTCCGGTAAATCCTCGATGAGATCCATCATTTTTAGCAACTATTCAGCATTCGACACCAGACGACTTGGAGCTACTATAGACGTGGAACATTCACATTTGAGGTTTTTGGGAAATATGACACTCAACCTGTGGGATTGTGGGGGTCAAGACGTGTTTATGGATAACTATTTCTCTCAACAGAAGGATCATATTTTTCAAATGGTTCAGGTCCTTATCCATGTTTTCGACGTTGAGTCGCAAGAGGTGATTAAAGACATCGAAATTTTCACTAAGGCGTTGAACCAGCTCAAAAAGTACTCTCCGGATGCCAAGATATTTGTCTTACTGCACAAGATGGACCTCGTGCAGCGAGACAAGAGACAAGAGCTTTTCCAAATTATGATGAGCAAACTACAGGAAACGTCCGCAGCGTACGGGTTCCCAGAGCTCGTTGGTTTCCCAACGTCCATCTGGGATGAAAGTCTCTACAAGGCATGGTCGCAAATAATATGTTCGCTGATTCCAAACATGGCAACGTACCAGGTGAATTTGAAGAAATTGAAAGCGGTAATGGACGCAAGAGAAATCATCCTATTTGAGCGGGCCACATTTCTGGTAATATGCTCCAGCAATACCACCAGCGGTGAACTCTTAGATCCCAAGCGCTTTGAGAAGATTTCCAACATCATGAAGAATTTCAAACAAAGTAGCATGAAACTCAAGAGCTCTTTCAGAACGTTGGTTCTCGACAACACGATTTTTGTTAGCGAACTTTCATCTAATATGATGTGCTTCATAGTGCTGAACAAATCAGACAGCCCGCAGGAACTAATACTGGAAAACATAAGAAAGGCAAGGATTCATTTTCAATAGGCAGCCGTAACGACCAGGAGTGGTTACGGGAAAGGACAATCTGTCATAGAATATCGCGAAGTCCCAGCGTCAGTAGAATTCTGATATCTTCTTTTAATACACGATGTTGACTATAAATAATACTTCTTTGAGCGCTTAATTGGATTTGCATTAAATCCTCAACTCATATGTTTGCCTTTGAATGTTAGTTATTTGTTAAGGAGCGCGGCCATGATCACAATGACCATAAATCCTCCCTTGCTGGTATTCCAACGAACCGAAATAGTGACTGATTACAGTTCCTTGAAACAGTCTCTTCTGAAGATGGCCAGCTTGAACCAGTCAGAAATGACCTTGAACCTGGATCTTGCGGACAAAATCATCATGGCATATAGGACTCTCCAAATGTAGAAAGTCAAAACACCACCACCAGTGTAGAAAGAACGCTTTCCGTATGTTATGTTAGCAATGGCTTTCTCAGCTCCCAAATAAGCCAAGGCACCGTAATGAACGTAGTCAAAAGGCTTGACACCCTTCTCCTCGAAGAACAAGTCAACCTTTTCAGTTCTCTTAGCTAGATCGGCATGGAAGTCTGGGGTCTTTGCCATCTTTTCGAAAACTTTAGCCAAATATTCGGCTTGTTGATGAGCAACTTGAGCTGTAGGTGGTAGGCCAGAGAAGGCGTTGTCACCGACAGCGAAGATGTTGTTAGTACCTTTAACCAACATGTTGTTGTTGACCACTAGCCCTCTTCTGGACTCTGCTTGTTGAGGGATTTTCTTGAAGAGGTCTGTGATTATGCTTAGAGGCTTGTTACCAGTGGCCCAAATCAGAGTACCGTAAGGGATGGTTTGCTCGGTAACAGCACCATCTTCGGCCTTGGTCTTGGCGACCAAATGATCCTTTTCGACTTTGGAAACGGCAGTTCTCAAATGAACCTTGATTGTAGTTTGCTGAAGAACGTCCTGAGCATATGAAGTCAACTTACGTTCGAACATGTTCAAAACGACTGGCAATGCTTCGACAAGGTGAATTTGAACTTCGGCCGCAACGGATGGCATAAATCTCTTGAGGTCTTGATCGATGTAGTCCTGCAATTCACCAGCAGTTTCGACACCAGTTGGACCACCGCCGACAACCACAATTGTCAAAAGACGCTTACGTTCAGCGTCGCCTTTAGGCAGTAGGTTGGCCTTTTCGATGTTGGACAAGAACCGCTTACGAATTTCGAGGGAATGAGGGATCTCCTTCAAAAAGTTACCGTGTTCCTCGACACCTGGGATTCCGAAAGTGTTTGGTTCGGCACCAACAGCAGTGACTAGATAGTCGTATTTGATTTCAGCCTTATCCTGCTGGTTGAGACCCAAGTGGTTGTCGGGCTGTGCGAGCTGGGAGACGGTGGAAACGGACTGGATAGTAACTGTGTTTCTGTCTGGGTTAACGGACGTAGCCTTTGCTTCGTAATATGAGATGTTGCCCTTCTTCTTGAGCGCGAAGTTGACAACTGGTTCGATGATCGATTTTTCGTCCACAGTTCCGACGGGGGTCGATGGCAACAATGGGGTAAACAAGAAGTAGTTACGAGGCGAGATCATGGTGACGTTGTACTTCTTTGAATCGATGTTTTGAAGCAAGGAGATAGCACCCCAGCCGGAACCCAATATCACGACGTTGGGCTTGTTGTCGACATTGTTTTCGATAACTTTGCTGATATTGAATGAAGATGAGCCACCGGTGGCTGCACTGCTAACGCTGCTTGTAGAAGAAGCGTTTCTTACCAGTCTGCGGGACGCATTGAGCGCAGTGAAACGAGCAGTGGTAAACTTGGAAAGCATTTTTACCCAATCGTGTTCTTGAACCTTCAAATAAAAGAACTAAGATCGATGAATGCGGGGTAAAAAGAAAATTCTCTGGACTGACGATATGGTTCAGATAGAATGTTCAATTTTTATGTCGAGCTTTTATTTTTTTCTGTTCCTTAGATGTCGAAAAATTGTCCAAAACTCAAGATATTAAATCAATCGAGAGGGCTTGATTATCGCAGAGCACTAAGAGAAAAAAGATTTTCAGTAACTGAAGTGGTTTCTTATGGCCAAAAATCCAAATCTTGAAGAACACTTTTTAGTAGTTGTAACACCTTTCTTTAGTGAAAATCCGCTTTACTTGCGGTATATATAGCCCAATCCACATTCTCAAAAACTTTGTCTTTTTGGGAACCGAAATTATCAAGCTCTTTCCCATTAAAGTCCACATCGGCTCCGGCCCTTCCCCCGATCAGTCCCACTGTAGCTGTCTGGCGCGTGAGCAAATGCGGAACCGACAGAGCGCATAACTAGAGACGAAATGACGTGTGGAAGGTCAACAACGGGCGGATTTCGAAGCAGGCCAAAATCCTGCGATGTGATTGGTCAAGAAACGAACGCGGAAGAAATGTCAAAAACTCGGGAGGAGAGTGCCAGAGAAGAAGGAAAAAAACAGGCGCATAAGGTAGGAAAGGACGTTGAAGGCTAGGTTTAATTTTGCGTGAAGGCCTGTATGCGGATCAATATTCCTTTTGACGTTTTTCCGTTTTCCGAATTGAGATAGGTGATGCGAGTTGTGGGTTCGTACAAAACGACACACAGATCCGGGGAAAACGTTAGGATACGCTGGGCGGCAAAAACAACCATTGCGGAGACGGGCGGGTGGCCTCACATAAAAATGGAAGCGAGAATGATACCAGTAAGACGTGACAATGGGCGACGGGTGCAAATTGGTTTGGAGCAGCAGCTGCTCGCCAGTTTGGCTGTTATGATAGTGTCTGTCGTGGGGGCGACGTCAGCGTTTGTTTCAGGCATGTGTCGCGCGACGGGGCCAGCATTCGCAATCGAAGATCGTGGGGATTGATCTGTAAGTGTGGTGTTTGACGGGTAGTGCACATTTCCATGGTCTCAGCAGCTTTTTGGCTTACTATTCATCCTTGAAGTGTTGAAGAACGGAAGTAAGTTGTTGGGGATCAAAAGTTTAAAATCTGTAATCCTCGCGATATGGAGATGGGTTCGTCAAATGTGACAAGGAAGAAGAGCGCTATACTTAACTCTCAAAACAGAAGTTAACCGTTGAAGATTTCATTTGCCAAGCTCTCTAAAGCGGGACCTTGATTGTTCCGGATATCGCGTAGTCGTTTGAAGAGCTGACGAAGTAATCTCCAACGAGTGTGACATTGATAGTGGTCACGTGCACATAGTACTCTTAGCTGACCATGTAATAAGGTCTTGATTCTGGGTGTGTTTGTAGATCTTATGTAGCTAAGAGGTTTGTACAAGCATAGTTGAGTATCTGAGCGCATCTGCGACTACTTGTGAGTTGAAGAGTTGAATATGACCCGATGAACTTTCGTTATGACCCGCGAACAACTTGGAACGTAAGCGATCAGTTGTGATGATGAATGGGCTTAGAACATAAGTGAAGTCCCAGAACCTGCCAATATTCATTGCGGACACTTTCAGTAGAGCTTCTTGCTTTTCTTAGCCCCTCCCAGGGTCTTTCTACAGCCAATCGCTGACGCTGTTGATTGCTGAACCATGCATTATTCTACATCGGCTCTTCACGATCGAATGCTGGTTCACTCATTTCTGCACTTCAACTTTTAGCCAAATGCACTCGGCGTTTTTTGGCCATACTTGTAGCATCATTACCTTGGCTGACGGTCTTTTCACAACCAATCGCTGGCGCCTTACATTGTTCGCTGGCATTATATTCAGCTCTGCTCGAACCCGTCCGCTGGAGTTTTCATTTGTTCAAGTATACTTGGAGCCAGCCTTACAAGACGCAACCGAACGCTGGCGCTTTTAAATTACTCGTTGCTCGTAGCCAGTCCCACTTTTCATAAATGGTTATGACACTTTCAATTCTTCCGATAGGCTTATAGATGTCTTAACTGCTCTAAGTAACTTATGTTCGTAGCCAGTCCCGCTTCTCACAACTGTCTTTTCACTTTTAGACGTTACAATAGATGAGGGGCTGACTCTTCTAATCACAACTGAGAGCGCCAGCGATTAGTGGTTCCAATGTGCTAACAATTGTCTATACTACCCACAACTGCTTTTGACGCTTTCATTTGTTTAAATGCGCTCATAGCTGTCATTAATACTCACAACTGATCACTAGCGCTCTCAGTTGTTCGATTGTGCTTATAGTTGTCTTAACTACTCACAACTGATCGCTGGCGTTCAGTCTTGTCACTTTCAATTGTTACAAAAGATTTGTGGCTGTCACAACTGATCGTTCACGCTCTCTGTTCTTCAAACAGGCGTATAGCCAATTCCACTTCTCACAACTGAGCGCTAGCGCTCTCAATTGTTCGAATGTACTTGCAGGTGTCTTTATTACTCACAACTGATCGCTAGCGCTCTCAGTTGTTCGGATGTGCTTATAGTTGTCTTAACTTCTCACAACTGATCGCTAGCGCTCTCAGCTGTTCGGATGTGCTTATAGTTGTCTTTATTACTCACAACTGATCGCAAGCGCTCTCAGTTGTTCTAATGTGCTTATAGTTGTGTCTACTACTCACAACTGGTCGCTGGCGCTCTCAGTTGTTCGGATGTGCTTATAGTTGTCTTAACTTCTCACAACTGATCGCTAGCGCTCTCAGTTGTTCGACTACCACTACAGCCACCCTCAGCGGCTATTCCTCCACCATCAACACCACATCAAATTCGTCCTTTTCTCCAGCTACTTCGATTTTGTGGACTATTCCACAAAGTTCCAGAAAAACAAAAAATGGTTACCCGGTCTCTTGCGTCCATATATATATGATCAAAAATTTTCTGATATTTCTTGAAAGTCAAGCTGGGCATAATAAAAAGGACTCACTTAAGAAGTGGAAATTTTCCAAAAGTTGAACAGTTACTACCTACTTGTGTTATTCTCCATCATCGAGGGTCTTTACAAGTAGCTTATAGCTTCCCAAGACACTCTTTACACACACATACACACTGGAAAATGCTAAGTGCAAAGTCAGTTTTCCGCAACTCGGCGAACCCAGTTCGCCAGTTTGCGCGTATGAACTCTAACAAAGTGCAAGGCCAAGTGATTGGTATCGATTTGGGTACCACCAACTCTGCCGTGGCTATCATGGAGGGTAAAGTGCCCAAAATCATCGAGAACGCGGAAGGTGCCAGAACCACCCCATCCGTGGTGGCGTTCACCAAGGACGGTGAGCGTTTGGTTGGTATCCCAGCCAAGCGTCAAGCCGTGGTGAACCCAGAAAACACTCTGTTTGCTACCAAGCGTTTGATCGGTCGTCGTTTCGAAGACATCGAAGTTCAGAGAGACATCAAACAGGTGCCTTACAAGATCGTCAAGCACACCAACGGAGACGCATGGCTGGAGGCCAGAGGCGAAACCTACTCGCCTTCCCAGATCGGTGGTTTCGTCCTCAACAAGATGAAGGAGACCGCCGAGGCCTACTTGGGCAAAAACGTCAAGAACGCCGTCGTCACTGTCCCAGCCTACTTCAACGACTCCCAGAGACAGGCCACTAAGGACGCCGGTCAAATCGTGGGTCTTAACGTGTTGCGTGTGGTTAACGAACCTACCGCTGCTGCTTTGGCCTACGGTTTGGAAAAATCCGACTCCAAGGTGGTCGCCGTCTTCGACTTGGGTGGTGGTACTTTCGATATCTCCATCTTGGACATCGACAACGGTGTTTTCGAAGTCAAGTCCACCAACGGTGACACCCATTTGGGTGGTGAAGATTTCGACATTTTGATGCTAAGAGAAATTGTCCAAAACTTCAAGAAGGAAAGCGGTATCAATTTGGAAAACGACCGTATGGCCATCCAAAGAATCAGAGAAGCCGCCGAAAAGGCCAAGATCGAGTTGTCCTCCACCGTTTCCACAGAGGTCAACCTACCTTTCATCACCGCCGACGCTTCGGGTCCTAAGCACATTAACATGAAGTTCACCAGAGCTCAATTCGAATCTCTAACTGAGCCATTGATCAAGAGAACCGTCGACCCAGTCAAGAAGGCCTTGAAGGACGCTTCTTTGAGTACTTCTGATGTTTCGGACGTTATCCTAGTTGGTGGTATGTCTAGAATGCCAAAGGTTGTTGAGACTGTCAAGTCCCTTTTCAACAAGGAGCCTTCCAAGGCTGTCAACCCAGATGAAGCCGTTGCTATCGGTGCCGCCATCCAAGGTGCCGTTTTGGCCGGTGAAGTCACTGACGTTCTATTGCTAGACGTTACTCCATTGTCTTTGGGTATTGAGACTTTGGGTGGTGTTTTCACCAGATTGATCCCAAGAAACACCACTATTCCAACCAAGAAATCTCAAATCTTCTCTACCGCTGCTGCTGGTCAAACCTCGGTGGAAATCAGAGTATTCCAAGGTGAAAGAGAATTGGTTAGAGACAACAAATTGATTGGTAACTTCACTTTGTCTGGTATCCCACCAGCTCCAAAGGGTGTTCCTCAAATCGAGGTGTCTTTCGACCTAGACGCTGATGGAATCATCAACGTCTCTGCCAGAGACAAGGCTTCCAACAAGGATGCCTCCATCACCGTTGCTGGTTCTTCCGGTCTTTCCGAATCCGAAATCGAACAGATGGTTAACGATGCCGAGAAGTACAGAGAGCAAGACGAGACCAGAAAGAAGGCCATTGAGACCGCCAACAAGGCTGACCAACTTGCCAACGACACCGAGTCTTCCTTGAAGGAATTCGAAGCCAAGGTCGACAAGGCTGAAGCCCAAAAGGTCAAGGACCAAATCACCGCTCTAAGAGAGGTTGTTGCCAGAGTACAGGCTGGTGAAGAAGTCGATGCTGAGGACTTGAAGACCAAGACTGAGGAGTTGCAAACCGCTTCTATGAAGTTGTTCGAGCAAATGTACAAGAACGATGCCTCCAACAACTCCAACCCAGAGGGTGGTGAGCCCAAGCAGTAAGTGAGATAATCAGTGCTATGCTCGTGGGGCGTGCAATAGCACGTCTGCGTTTGACACGATATTTCTCACACGAAATTAACTGTTCTCATTTCCGCTGAACATTATAGTATGAAAAACCTACTTGTATAAGCTTGTAAATAGATGTCACAACATTGTGCGAGAAGGTTAAGCCGTTCGCATTTTCGATGAAACTGATTTGAATGCAACTTGATATGATGAGAGAGTATGACAGTTGAATTGCCATTCGGGATAAGTCACGTGAACCATTCAATTTAGATTAATACCTTCAAGAAATCAGATTAATATTTACCACTACCATTTGAACAAGATTGACTACGAAGGCATCATCAGTATACCAGCACATATACCCGTATACAATGGGAATCACAGTTTCTCCGTTGACCAGAATCATCTCTTTATCAGGGTTTCTAGCCCTTGGATTCCTCCTGGTAATACTGAGTTGCGCCCTATTTCACAACTACTACCCTCTTTTCGACAGTATGCATACTTCATCAAACGAGGATTCAACCAAGTCTTCTTCTTTGTTTTTATTCAGAAGAAAGTTATACTAACGTGCCATTTTCTGCCCAGTTCTCATCTTTCTGGCTGCTCCACTGCCCAATGCGCTATTCAGCAAGCGCAATTTCGATTCGAGCGATTTCATGAGCGATGCCAGCAGTAGCGTTGAGGATGTTGGCTACTTTTTCACCGGGCTGCTTGTGACGAGCGGACTAGCTTTGCCCACGGTGCTATACCATTGTCAACTGATCAACCATTACAGCTGTATCATGAGCACCCTTGGGGGTGTCATCATCTATCTCAGCATAGTGGTATTCTCCTGGTTTTTCAATGCTGGTTGGGATGACGAGGACGACGGGATGTTCGGATACTGATTAAACAGATCTGCAGTTTAAGTAATAAAAATGTGAGTTTCGACCGATACCCGCTACTAAATTGTGGTGTGCAGTACTCGAATAGCTAGCTTTGCTAGGTAAATGGAAAGGATTGTTTTAAAAAAAGAGGTCTTACCCGGATTCGAACCGGGGTTGTTCGGATCAAAACCGAAAGTGATAACCACTACACTATAAAACCACTGTGATCGATGGGGCAGAATGAATAAAAACTATATCAGCTTAAACTTTACATGCCATAGTTCAGACACCTATCATGAGAACTCATAAGCTCAGTGTTGAAATTCTACTTTTTAGAGAGCTTCTATACTGAAAAGCATTTAAATCAAAATCCGGGCATAATTAAATATTTGTAGCCCTCTGCGCATCTTAATTGGACGAAAACTTATAATCGACTGGAACTTGTTGTGTCAGGTGGGAATTTCAATCAAGAAGCCACCATCGCGTGGGCGGGAGAAGCATTGTAACAGGAGGCACTGCTAGGTGCCTCGCAGCATTTCGAGTAAGATACTTGTTGATCGAAAATCTCATAGTTGAGACTCGGGTCACATGACACACATCGATTCCCTGAAGCCTTCTAAGGCGACTGACTTCTAACGTTATATGAGAAGACCTGAATTTAGTCAATGTTGTCACTCACCAACTCATTGGGGCTCGAGCTACGTGTCTTGCATTGTGCTCTTTTTTTGGCTATAATGATACGGGCTGACATTTTGAAAAAGGTATCACTGGTTGCGAAACTGGAGAGAGTGAGATTTGTGCTGACATCTGGTAAAATATATGACTCCAGTTGAGTTTCTGAAATTTCATGGTAAAAAAAATGTTGCACCCTTTCTATCATCTTCCATTGGAAATGAAAGACTTTTTCTTCGGGTTCTTTGGGTGGTGGGTTTATCTTTCAGCGTTGTAACAAATTCTATCGAGAAAAAACTGCCGAAATTTGTTGTGAGGTTCCACCAGTGTCTCTGAAGTGTCACAGCTTGACAACAGCCGCACACTTTGGGTGATAGATGAGCTGATGTTGAGTTATTATTCTTACAAAATATGCAGCCGAAAAGTGTTTTTTTGAAGGTGCGTTTATTTGCATCTAGGTGGCGGGAAATTTAGCCAGACCATTTGAAAACTATGCAATGGTACCAAGTACTATTTTCCATTGCTCTACGCACCTGGGGAGCTAAAAAGATGGGAATTCTGTTTTTAAGGTCTGACGCTGTCACTAGTCACGTGTCATAAATCTGACATATGGAAAAGCGACAATCTAAAGATAGTTGTAGCCATTTTATATGCTCAGTACTGCTTGGCTTATCTTAATTAGAGTTCGAGAAGAAGCAACTGGAGTCTCAATTCTCTAAAAAATTGACACCAAACCTCAAATGCCTTTTTAGCCAATTTGTTCAAGATAGAGATAAAATTGGTATGAAAATGATCCAAAAAATAGACAAAATAGCGTTTCAAAATCCACTGATTTTCCTTCTTGCCGATACAATCCAAATTTCATAAAACATAACGGTCCTCGAATGCTAAGTCATCTAAACGTCTTCAAATTATGGTATCAGACACATGCTCACGTGACCATATATATCGGCTCTAGATCTACAAGGAGAAAATTGATTGATCTTTAAACAACTTGACAACTACAACATTTCGTATTCACGCATGCGAATCGAGCGGCTTGAAGGCCTTTTCACAGGAGCCAACGTTGTGGTGACCTGAAGCTCTTTTACTAACCTTGTAGAATACCGATTTTAGTTAAAATATATAGTCATAACTTAGCCGTGCGACATTCATAGCATGTCTGAAGCCGAATATGTAAATTCATTTGCAGAATGGCAAGCCGATGACTTGATGCAAAACTGCTTGCATTGCCACACAAAGTTTACATTTCTGGTGCGAAAACATCACTGCAGATGCTGCGGAGGTATTTTCTGTGCAAGCTGCAGCGACAAGTTCCTTTGGTATAACCGACGCAGGGTAAAAGTGGTTCGTCGACAAGACGACCTTGAAGTGCCGGAATTTCCGCCCTATAGAACCTGTGTTTCGTGCAGCGAAAACTTGGTGCAACGAAAACTGGTTGTCACAAAGTGGGGCGATCAAACCAGAGGAGGGTCCCGGATCGCTGTGGACCGGTCAAACGCACCGTCAAGGTCGGAATCTTTGCTGGGTGAAAGTAGTGCGGACCGTATGCTAAGTGCGCCAAGCTCGTCTTCAGCGTCTTCTCTTCAAACCAACGAAGTTATAAAGACCATCGCTGTGGCGGGCGCTGCAAAGAAAATGGATGTGGATGCCGATCGCTGTCCCATTTGTAACAGCGATTTGGCCAAATTGACCGACTCTCAGTCAGCCAGTCACATTCAGAATTGTGTGCGTAGTGCAGAGCTGACACAGCAGCACCACCATCACCAGCAGACTTCGTCAAATCCAGGGAATTCTGCTTACACAAAAAGTCCCGTAATTCAGAATAGAATGTTGGTTTACGTTGTTTCCAACAAGCCGGATATACCGTCTGGCACAGAAACGGAATACCCAGAATGTCCCATCTGTTTTGAAGAAATGAAACCTGGAAATAAGGTTGGACGTTTAGAGTGTTTGTGCGTATTCCACTACGATTGCATTAAAGGTTGGTTTAGGAAGAAAAGTCAAAAAACTAAAGCCGCTTCTTCCGGGTCAATCACCAAGAACTTTTGCCCATTACACGACGCCGTGTTTTAATATTTTGTTAGCGTACGAAAAGGTGTTTATTTATCGGAAATAATGTTATTGATATTCTTGAAGAAAGCAACAGCTGTCCGCCGTTAAACTGCTGTGCAATTTTTAATGTACAGGTCTATGTGCAACTTGCGTTTTCTAAATTTTTGCGCTACTCCTAGCTCATATCCACGTCACTATAAAGATCGCTATCCAGATCTTCAGGAACGTCACTATAACCTTCTTCCTCACTGTCCGAAGAATCACTTTCATCACTGGCATTGTCTGTACCTTCCACGGGTTCTCCTTGCTCCTGCTGCTGTTCTCTTAGTTTCCGTCTCTCCATCTTACGCTGTTTCTTGGCATTCTTAACTTCATTTTTCTTTGCCAAGTTGGCCTCCTGTTCCTTGCGTCTTTCTTCCTTCAACTTCATACGTTGTGCGTGTCTCTTTTCCAAATGTCTTATTTCCGAATCTGTCTTTTTAACGTAGCTGTGATGTAGAACCTTGCCCGAGCATATGCCTTCTTCGATCTTGACAAGTTTCAAAGTCAAGCGAGGTCCCACCTCGGTAAGTTTGATGGCCTTTTTGCGTGGCATAGGCTGTTCTGGAAGCCCTTCGTCATTGTCTTCCGTGTCGGCAGCAGCCTCAGAGGACGTTTGGGTAGGTCTGACAGGAGCTTGACTCCGGTCCATCACTTTCACGATAGAGTCGTCTTCAACCTCACTTTCCGATGTGTAAGCTCCGAGGTCGTGGTCTAAAATCAGCGACGCGATGTCGTCTTTTCTGTGTAGATTGGGCACGGGCTTATTTAACTTGTTTTTAGCGCGATACAGCCGTTTGATGTTTGAAGAAATATCGACTTCTCTTACGTCGACGGCATAATGACGCATGCTGACCTCTTCCGTTGCAGGGTCCTTATTTATCATGAAGACTCTGTTGATAGAGTTCAGCTGGGTCCTGGCTGGATTCAAAGGTGGGAATATATTTTGGAACATGGAAATGATAACTTTTTCGACGTTGGCGCGTTCCAAAGCATCACCGTCATTACTATCGTTGCCCTCTTCGCTCGCAGGAGCTTTTACACCAAACCCGTTTAGCACCAAAAGAGGTGGATTCATAACGTCCTCCTTCCCCAGAGTGCGTGGTCTCTTCATGAATTTTTTTATGTCTCTCCCCAACGAATAGTCCAAGACTTGATATGTGATGGTAGGTCCGTGTGGTGTTCTGGCCATCTTCAGCGATACATTACCGGTTTTTTCGCTTTGCGTGAACATGAACAAGTGCGAAACACCCAGTGGACCGCACATCACCACGAAATCTTTGAGTTTATTGCATTTCCGCTCTTTCAGCTTGATTGCCGTGTGTGGTTGCATTATCTGACGGAAATCTTTGACCAGTTGGTTCAAAGAATGGTTCGACATCGATGTTTGTCCTACACGAATTACCATGGATTTTGGTATTTTCTTGACTTCTTCAACATCGGGCTTGACATGGGTTCTGCTCTTCTGTCTCCGTTTAGCCATTTTGACTCTCAAAGATGTGTAAAATAGCTATATCTCTTTGGTTTTAGCGATGCGATGAGGTGCGATGCGATGAGTTCAAATCCATGGCTTGAATTTTTTACAATATTTTTTCACCATCACCAATAAGCCTAACTCGAGCGTCACACTCGAACATAACCAACAATCGAACAAAAAGACGGCGAAAGGCCGCCCAAGACCAGCGCAATGAAGACTGGAATGCATAGAACTGATTCTCCATTTTTTTACAAAATTAAACATGTATCTTGGAGTCTCAACGGGCCCAAAACAACATAGTCAAATTCAGAAAAAAAAAAAGCGAATTAATTTAGCTATGTGACGCCGATCGACAGTTGTAAAATAATGTGACAAGCAAATAGCATTCACGTATTCCCAGGAGATGTGAATGCTATTTGCTTGTTGTATCATTTTACATCTAGGTGTTATCTAGTCAATTATCCACGCGATCATCTTATCGATCCTCTGGTCGATCCTCTGGTCGATCCTCTGGTCGGTCTTCTGGCGCTCGCTCTAGTTTATAATAATAATATTGAAAAATTTCTGGCAAGCGATGAGCTTCAAACCTGGAAAGCTCCATCGGACAGAACAATAATCGTCAAAGCATCCAGTAAACAGCCTTGTTACCGCTATCAGGTGTATTTCCAAGTTAAATAATGGTCAACAAAGTAATCAAGAAAAAATCGTCAAATTCCGAGTTGACTAGCCTCGCTGAGAAGATACGTCAGCGTGCTTTGGAACGTCAATCCGCTGACAAGAAATCACAGCTTGGCAGCCAAGACCAGGACAGTGCAGAGGAGGAGAGCGAAGAAGAAGTAAACGGAGACTCGAAACAAGATAAACAGCAAAAAGGAGACGCACCAGCAGCAGCAGCAGCAGAAGAAGAAGAAGAAGAAGAAGAAGAAGAAGAACCCGAATTTGAATCTTTCGATGAGCTCAAACTCGTTCCAGAACTACTGGAAGCGTGCGCAACTTTGAAATATTCCAAACCAACACCGATCCAGGCCGCAGCAATTCCACCAGCTCTGGAAGGCAAAGATATCATCGGGCTCGCTCAAACCGGTTCAGGAAAAACGGCAGCTTTTGCAATTCCTATTCTAAACCAACTGTGGCATGACCAGCAACCATACTATGCTTGTGTCATGGCACCAACAAGAGAACTGGCGCAACAAATCAAAGAAACATTTGATTCCCTGGGTGGTGCTATGGGCGTCAGAACAACGTGCATTGTCGGTGGTATGAACATGATCGATCAGGCCCGTGATCTAATGCGCAGACCACATATCATCATTGCCACTCCAGGTAGACTGATGGATCATCTTGAAAACACTAAAGGCTTTTCGCTGCGCAAGCTGCGTTTTCTGGTGATGGATGAAGCCGACAGACTGTTGGATATGGAATTCGGGCCCGTTCTCGATCGTATTTTAAAGGTCATACCCAGCCATGGAAGAACCACGTACCTTTTCTCCGCGACAATGACATCCAAAATCGACAAGCTGCAGAGAGCCAGTTTGACGAATCCTGTAAAATGTGCTGTTTCCACCAAGTATCAGACTGTCGAGACTTTGATCCAAGCCTTGATGGTTGTACCGGGTGGTCTCAAAAACACTTTCCTGATATACCTGCTCAACGAGTTCTTGGGTAAGACTGTCATCGTTTTCACGCGAACAAAAGCAAATGCGGAAAGAATATCCACCTTGTGCAATTTGCTTGAATTTAGTTCCACCGCGTTGCATGGTGATCTGAATCAAAATCAAAGAACAGGAGCGCTCGACCTCTTTAAGGCTGGAAGAAGGTCCATCTTAGTGGCCACAGATGTGGCAGCAAGAGGTCTAGATATCCCCTCTGTGGATATTGTGATCAATTATGACATACCGGTTGACTCGAAATCCTACATTCATCGTGTGGGAAGAACTGCCAGAGCTGGACGTTCAGGAAAGTCCATTTCCCTGGTTTCGCAGTATGATCTGGAATTGATTTTGAGAATCGAGGATGTCCTAGGACGTAAGCTTCCGAAAGAAAGTGTTGATAAGGCTGCCATCATGGCCATGCGTGATACCGTGGATAAAGCGAACGGTGAAGTGGTAATGGAGATGAACAGAAGATCAAAAGAGAAAGCATTGAGGGGCAAGGGCAGAAATCACAGAGGCAAATCAAGGGACAACATGGATAGAGAAGAGCAGTAATGTTCCATATATACTTACGTTTAAAAATGCATTGATATCGATTTCTCCTTGGGATTAGCCATCCGCTACCAAGGCCTCCACAGCGTAAGAATCAAAGCAATCTAGCTTGTACCAATTATGCGATTTTCCTGGTTTTCGCATTTTCCGCTTCGGCAACAGCAGTCTCATATTTTTCTATTGCCAAGTATAGAGAATCCAAGACCGTTTTCAAATAAGCTTTGCAATGATTCACCAAACCGTCACGGGCATTGCTTTCTTCTTTTTCTACCTGAGCCAAAAGTAACCTTATCTTGTCCAAGCACTGTTTCAAGTAATTGTAGAGTTTTTTCACAGCCGCGGCCTGTCGTGCCTCACCGCTCTGAAAATGTATGTAAAAGTGCTTCAAAAACTCACAACAAGTGCTATGAAGTACTCGACAACTTTCAAGCAATTCCGAGGGCAGCAGCGTCTTCACTTCTGGTGCATCGCCCACAGAAGTGAGTCCTGTTGTGGCTCCAAGCACGGATCCGACATTGGAGGTTTTGGCTTGCTTAGCATTGATTTTAACAGCGCGTATAACGTTTTGATTCACTTTGTTATTGACGCTTCCATTGTCCCTACTAACTTCTGTCAGATCAACAGATTGAGTAAGTGCGTTCAAAACATTGTTGACTTGATCTTTTATTTCTCCCCCATCAACAGCGGACCCCACCTTACCGCCATTGTTCATATGCGAATCCCTGTCGACGGCTTTCCGTTGCTTGACCTTTATTTCCAGATAGTTGGCCTCCTCCACATCCTCCAGATCGCTAAACAACAGTTCTTCCCTCTCCTCCTTGTCTACGTCTTCGGCCATTAGACTTATCCTAGAATATTCGTTTTCCAATGATTTTATCATTTTTTGACTCAATCGATTCATACCTTTCAAGATATCAACGACTCCGTCGCTATTCCCGTTGACATCGACACCTGGGTTCATTGTAAAATCCGGTCTATTACCTCTACGTTCTGGATCATCTTGGATATTACCTTCCAGATCTAAAAGTTTCTTGACAGGATGCTGAAGCAGTTTGTCGTCCTTTCTATCGAATTCCTGATCGAGCGTTAGGTAGCGATCGATGATCAAATCACCACGGTCACTTTGCATGATACGCTCCCCGCGAAGCTTTCTGAATAGCTTCGACGAAAAGAATCTTGCCCAAAACTCCTGCTCTTTGAAATTCTTCGGAACGCTGTCATCGTAGGCTTTCTTGACGATGGGGTAGGTCTGAAATATTGTCACGATCTTTTCGCGCGAGACGCTAACATTCACCTTATTGTCGGATGAGGCTACCGGTTTGATAGTTGAAAGCACGTTATAAGGTCCACTTCTTTGAGAAGTGGTTAATGCAAAAGCGCGGAGTAGAGGAACTCTTGTGGACCAGAATTCGTCTGGAGGAAGACCTGCATTGATGACTGCTTCTTGAAAAGTTCGCATCAAGGACTTATTTTCCCTCAATAGTGACTGTTGCAACTTCAAGTTGGTGAGTAGTTTTTCCTTAGAAAGCGAGTCATCTAATGTCGAAGTATTGATCAGAGGATCGGAATCCGAGGACGCTGGCACCGCACTGCTTTCTTTGCGCATTTTTTCCTCATGAACCTCTTCATCTTTGTAACGTGCAATGATCAGTTGCAGTGTGTCCTTGATGTTTGTCATGACAGTGCGGTTATTGAACGAAAATACATGGTTGGGAGGACTGGGCTTTATCTCATTACCTTCATTATCTTTACGTTTTTTCGATTCGTCCACTTTGCCTATAAGTCGCAGCATCATTTTTTCGCTTGAAGCTGGAGTCGCTTGCAATTTGTCCACGCTGTTCAGCACCACCTTGTGAGATTTGTCTCCATCAGTAGATCTCCATAATAGTTCTGCAGGGGAAGTATCTTCATTTATCGTCAAAATACCAGAAGTTTTCTTGAAAACAGCTGCACCTGAATGAGACATCTGGAGAACTAATTATGCGTTCACAGACAGAATGTTTGTAGACTTTTACTACTTGCCAAAAGTGTCAATCGAATCCAAAATCAAGTTTTTGAACTCAAAAATCGCTGCTAAATCCCAACAAAATATAGCGCTTTTTATATCAGCCACTAGATCAACTCACCTGGGCTTCACGGGTACGCTTAAAGGTAGCTACAACGTAGATTTGACTCTTGCTTCAACCGTGGCCATTAAAACACCTTTCGCAGACATCGAATCTTCACACCTTTCGCCTATGATTTATTCAAAATTGGATGAGTACTTTGTGATGATCTATGAATACTTTCTCGAATCGTGTTCTACGGACGAGCTTCAAAAATCTAATTGAAAATTTTCCCTCTCATCGATCATAGAATTCAACTACCTCTCCAGTCTAAGCACATCCCATACAGCCACGACTCAGCATTTTACAACTATTGAAAGAATGTCTCCTATAGTTGGTATTGCATTCGGTAACACCACGTCTTCTATCGCGTATGTTAATCCCAAGAACGACGTTGATGTGATCGCCAACCCTGACGGTGAGCGTACCATCCCATCTGTTTTGTCATACGTTGGTGAAGACGAATACCATGGTGGCCAAGCTCTTCAACAGCTTGTCAGAAACCCCAAGAACACGATCATCAACTTTCGTGACTTTTTGGGCCTGCCATTCGCTGAATGTGACGCTTCCAGAAGTACCACCGGCGCTCCTTTGGTGGAAATCGACGGTAAAGCTGGCTTTGTCATCACTAGAGGTGACGGCAGACAGGAGAAGCTGACTGTGGACGAAGTCGTCTCCAGACATTTGAACAAATTGAAGCTAGCCGCAGAAGACTACATCGGTGAAAAGCTCTCTGAGACTGTTATTAGCGCCCCAACCAATTTCACCGACGCTCAGAAAGACGCGCTTCGTGCCTCCGCCAAGAAGATAGGCCTAGAGGTTATTCAGATCATCAACGAACCTTCAGCTGCTTTGTTGGCCCACTCAGAAGCTTTTCCTTTGAAAGACGACTGCAACGTGGTTGTTGCCGACTTTGGTGGTGTGAGATCCGACAGCGCTGTCATTGCTGTCCGCAACGGTATCTACACGTTGTTGGCTACTGCCCATGACTCCAATCTCGGCGGTGAGAACCTAGATGAAGAACTAGTTGAGTTTTACGCTAAGGACTTCCAAAAGAAGACTCAATCCAACCCAAGAAAAAACGCTAAGTCTATGGCTAAACTAAGGGCCAACGCCGAGCTAACCAAAAAGACTCTGTCTAACGTTACCACGGCTACGATCTCTATCGACTCATTGGCCGATGGTTTCGATTATCACACATCTATCAACAGACTAAGATACGAGCTAGTTGCCAATAAGGTTATCAGCAGATTCACTCAATTTATCGAGGACGTCATTAGCAAGGCTGAATTGGATCCTCTGGACATTGATGCCGTCGTTCTATGCGGTGGTTCTTCCTTCACCCCTAAGTTGAGCTCTAACCTGGAATTCGTGCTTCCAGAATCAGTGGCCATTTTGGGCCCACAAACCAAAGAAGCTAGCAACAATCCTAACGAGCTTTTGGCCTGTGGTGCAGCTCTTCAAGCCCAACTTCTCTCAAACTACGATGCCGACGAATTGGCTCAAGCTTTGGAGCCTGTTGTTATCAACACTCAACATCTAAAGAAGGCTATTGGTCTTGTGGATGCCAAGGGTAACTTCGTTCCAGTGCTGATGGCTGAAACTTCTTTCCCAGCAAAGAAGACCATCACCTTGAAGAAAGCCACCGGAGATCTTTTGATTGGCGTTTACGAGGGTGACCACCATATCAAGGAAACCGTTGCCGAGCCTGCCGCCAAGGATGAGGAAGATGACCAGAGCGACTGGTCGGATGAGGACGATGAGCCTGAAGTTGTAAGAGAGAAGCTTTACACTTTGGGCACGAAACTCATGGAACTAGGCGTTAAGGGTGCCAACGGTTTGGAGTTGTCTTTCAACCTCAACGACGCTGGTGTTTTGAGAGTCGCGGCCAGAGATCTAAAATCTGGACAGGTTGTGAAAGGTGAATTGTAAGGTTTTCATGCCACTCTATAGAGTTTTTTAGAAAAGAAAAGGATACAATAAAAGCGTTACGGGAGTTGTATAATGATCGCTTTTCGACTGCCGTGTTTTTCGAATTCTTAACTCAATGCGATTTATAAGCCCGAAAGGGCTTTAGTGATAGAAGAGAGGCGTTCAAAGGTTTAAGGAAGATTACATTATAAAGACAGTGAAATTATCTAAAATAGTTCAGGAACTGCTAAGCTCACGTATTTTAAGTTTCGTCTCCATGTCGAATCAAAACTTATACAGTGTCACGAAAATCAAATTTGATCCCAAGAACACACTTCAAATTTCACCCATCTCAGTACAAAGTTGTGCAAAAGCTAGCCAGTAATTCGTCTATCTCATGAAAAAGCAGACTGAGAAACAACAGGGCTTCTTCTCTTGAATCGTGAGTTTGCCGAAGTATAGTCAGTCATTTCGTTTAGAGTGACACCAGAACGGTTTTCTTAGTGATATAGTTCAATAAGTTAGATCATATTTATCCATCTATCTATCTATCTATCTATCTATCTATCTATCTATCTATCTATCCCGCAGAACTCCTAAACAGTTGACGAATTCATCCTCTCTTGGCTACCACTTCAATGACGCAAGGGCAACAGAGAGTCTTCATACTAGGTTTTGGTTCTATCGGTGTGCTTTTGGCATCTCACCTGCAGCGAAATGCTCAATTTTCGGTTGTCCCGCTATTGAGATCAGAGAAAAGATTATCAGATTTTGAAAAGCTGGGAAGAACTGCTAGCATCAAGTCACTCTTTCAAACAGGACAGCCAACTGATGAGTTTGAGTTTGCAGGAGCAACATGTCCTGAACATTTTCCTAAAGACTGGAAAATTGACAATTTGATTATCACCACCAAAACGTATCAAACAAAAGAAGCTTTGGCGCCCTACATGAATTTCATTCACCCACAAACCAACGTTATGCTGGTGCAAAATGGTCTGGGTGTTTTCGAAGTGCTCAATGACGAGATCTTCGTGGACTTTAAACCTAACCTATTCCAGGGCGTAATTTCGCATGGTATCTTCCAAACCTCTGGTTTTTCGTTTAGTCACGCTGGGTTCGGAGATCTGAAGATTTCTAGGCTACCCAGTGGTGACTCGAATGGTATTGTACAGTCCAATACTTTTATTAGGGAAGATGCGACAAACAACTTCTTGCTACAAGTCTTGGCGCAACCAGATTTCGTTAAGGGATTGAACGCCGTTCATATGACGTACCAAGAGCTGCTTTTGGGACAATTAGAGAAATATCTGGTCAATGCTTGCATCAATCCGATAACCTCGATTGTGAACTGTATCAACGGAGAATTGAAAGATATTGCACGCCCAATTTTTGACTCTATCATAGCAGAGGTTCTGGAGGTCTTCAAAATTGCTTACAAGCCCTTGTTCGATTACAAGCCTAAAGATGCAGACTATCCAAGTCTCGACGTTGCCGGAATCCTCGGCCGCGAAAGGCTGTTGAACTTTGTTCTGAAGATCGGTTGCGACATAAACCGCAACAACAGCTCGTCGATGAGACAAGACGTTGTTAACTTACGGGAAACGGAAGTGGCATATATCAATGGGTATATTGAGAAGCTCTGTAAACAGCTGGGGCTGGGTCCCGAGTACTATAAAACCAATCAAACCATTGAGACACTGGTGAATTTGAGATTGGGGCTCAACAGGCACCGCGCGGGCCACGAGAATGATACAAAATGATAGAGCGCGGTATCCTGTCGACTGAACATACCGCGATGACCAAATGAAGACAGACGCCGAATTCAGAATGACAGTACTGTATAAAGTGATGTATAGACAAAATCTTGTTGAAGAGAAGCGTGGCATCGGGAGGCCTACATATATCTTTAGGGTTCTTGATACCTTCAGCAGAGAGGCTGCAATACTTGAGCAAATATTGGGGACAGTTGTGGCTAGGTTTCAGCTGTATTTGATGGAAGTAGATGAAAAATGGATGGTCATTGCATTAGTGAAAATGCGCTCTGTGAATAGGCCAGAAGTTGGTAGTTTAGCAATACCTGAAAACACTAGCTTCCGGTCATTAATCACCAAGAATTGTAAGCAGATTTCAAAAATATTGCCGACTCGATGCCCTTTAAATACGTTTTATAGAACAAAAACCGTTGAATCAGCGTCAGCGTGCGATGGCGACGGAAACGGTATTTTGGTGTCACTGGTCGGCCGTTAATGGAAGTGACTGGTATCACGTGACTGAACGTCAGCGACGGTGTTTTCGAAATAATTGATGTGATTATTTGACTGCCGCTGATAAATTGTGAGTGGAGAAGAAAAAAGCCGTTTTGATATGACGCATCAAGTGTTTATCTTGGACACTCGGTATGTCTGGAGTTATATTTTTTCCGCATTTCAATTCTTATACCTTATTTTCACTCCATGCCACGTGATTTGAGGATGACAGCGACAGTGGTTACTGAAAGTGACCAGGTATGTTCACACACACACACACACACACACTGTTCTCTCTTCTCTATATGCCTCAATCTCCGCCCAGCAACAAAAAACAAACCACGTTCTAAAAAACGTTTTGCGAGAAGTAAGATATTCAGAAATGGTCCGCAATAAACACTCTAACTTCATATCAATCAAAGAGCACGCATACACAGTTTTACCACAAATGGAATAAAAGCCCGGCCTCGGTTGTTACTCTCTACCCTGTATTTTAGAAACCTGTTTCTCTTCAATCACTCTATACGAATAAACAACCTAAAAAACCATTATTTTGTTTCTCACCATTGTTCCCATTTGTGTGTACCCTTTCCAAACTCTCAGCTGGCTCTAAACGCAGTTCAACTAGCTTCAAGTACCCTCCTTTCTAACCCCGAGCAAACTATTCCCTTCTTATACCTAATACCAAAACCCTAGAGCACGTGACACCACTTTTTCCCTTACCAAAATTCAATAATACCTCCAGATCAAATTTTCAAGCAAAAAACCCAACCCAAAAAAAACCGAGTATATATAGCGATTAGTTATTTCAGAGAATTAAGAAAGACAGCGACAGAAACACATCAAGGTGATCCCCAATATCCAAACTGCAACTTTAAAACCACAAACCTCTTTTTCATCTGGATACTCTCGCCTTTAAGAGTACTCACGGCTATATCATCACACATATCATAAAGTGACGCTTGACATCTGCGCTTCTCCTACTGCTGCTGGTTTTTTTTCTTCTCTGTCTACTCGTCTTCATCCTATTCTTATTATAAATCGTAATAGGGTTCAGATTTTGGTGTCTGTCAGGAAATAACATGCCCGATACCGCATCCAGGGGATTTCAATTGGGAACGACACTAGACTCGACAGACGATTTGCAGGCGCTAAACGGGAATATCAGCGACGCGAACAAAGACGCTAACGGGATCGAGAAAGGCGACGACAACGACAGCAGCAATAACAATAACAATAACAATAACAATAACGACAGAACCGTCACTACCACTGCTACTGATCCAGCTATTGCCACTGCCACTGCCACTGCTGCTACCGGTTTAAGTTCTACGACACAAAAATCCGACGACACTATCACTCTCGACGGATTGGAAGAGAACACCCACACACCCACAGACGTGCACAACGACAGGGAAAACGACGTCGTTTCTCACGGAAACCTGGAATTAAATTTGGGAACATCAAAAACAGAAACAACAATAACAACACCACCACCACCACCACTACCCAAATCACCAAACACAGCGCTTGGTTTTACCAACCACAACGACCGCAGCCCTATCACTGCTGACATCAACGGTAGGCCCAGCGAGCACAAGCAGCCTTCACAGACCGTCAACGACATCTCTTCGACTACGCCATCCGCGGTCGAACACAATCCCGCGTCAACAACAGCAGCCGACCACGAAGGTCTTGAGGCCGCAGCACGCACTCAGAGACCCGAACAGCAGCTCCAATCGCAACTGGCTAGTCAATCGGACGCCATAGCACTTCTCAACGACAAGCTCCAGCAAGTGGAAAATTCGGCGTGCACCACAGACGAGGGACTCAACCAACTTTTAGGCAATCTCTCTGCTTCGACCCGCAATCTAGCGCATAACCAGCAGGTACTCGAAAACAAACTCGAGGACTTGCTCAGAAACCAAGTTCACACCGACTCCAGCGTCAACGCATTACTGGAGAAACTTCAAGGCGTATCACAGTCGATCCACAGAGCCGCAAGATCAAACGCTCTGGCATCATCATCGGCAGGTGCACCACAATCGATCCATCGCGGACCAGGTAGACCTCCAAAAACCAGAAACGGCTGGTTCTCCGTCGCAAACTCGCTCTCCATGACCAGCAAGGATTCGCTCCCAGACAGCAACGTGGGAATTCCCCGCAGCCGGCGCATGTTTCAGGATCCAGAATCGTCGCTAGACGCTGAATCGGGACTCGCCGGCCAAGCCAGGTCCTTGAGACAACAACAAACCAGCTCTTCGTCAGCAGCCTCAGAAGCCGCACCCAAAAAAAGGGGTCCAGGTAGACCACCTAAACGGAAACATCATTGGGCCGAGAGAGGACAGAGCGGCTCATCTCGTGCACAGAGCGCCGAGGGTGCCACTGGTGACTCTGACTCCGAGCATGGCAAAGACGAAGAAGACGTCGATGAAGATGACGATGACGAATATCATGCATCTGATGAACCTAAACTCGAGGACGACGACTACTTGGCCCGTTCTTTGGGCGATAATTCAGGCTTGCAAGTCGAAGACTCATTTTACGAACAAAAAGCTCAACGTGGCAGAGGTCGTCCGAGCTCCAAATCTTCTGACAAAGCTCAGCCTTTGACAACAGCACAGATGAAAATGCAGCAAGAGCTGGAAAGGCGCCGAGACGCTCGCGAGCAAATGCTTGTGTCCATGAAGTACAGCGACCGTAACAAGGCCAAAGTGTTTATGGAGTCTAATAAAGAGTTATTGAGAGCAATGCGAGAAGAAGAAAGACGCAAGAGAATGACAGCTTTTCATTACGATTCTCAAAATCAATCTGGTGGAAACACCCCTATTAACACGGCTGGTCACAGTTCTCCTTCTCCAAATGCCGCTTCCGGAATAGGCGCTACGCGTCTGTCTCAATTCGCAACTTTGGCTGCAGGGAACCACGGCTTTGACGCTGAGAACCATGATCCTTCCATTGTCGCTCAAGGAGCATCTTCTCACACCGAAGGCGGTCCCGGAACCCCACCTTCAGAATCAACGCGCGAAGCTACTACGACCCCAACACTAGCCTCAATTGCAGCCTCATCCGATTACAACACACCCATGCCACCACTACCACGGAAAGTTGGGATTCTATCAATGCTCAACGAAGATGAAGGCGAGGCTTCTGGTCATAAGCGGAGGCACCCAGAGCTTTACGAAAACGGTCTTTCTCCAGACTTTCCAAGCAAAAAAGAGAGATTAGAGGAAGGTCGCGATTTTCGGTCTATCATCCCCATGCTTCCGGAGAAAAAAGATAACAGAGGACGTCCCGCAAATAGTAGTAGTAGCGGAGACAATTCCACTGCTCTATTATTAGCGTCTCCAGTAGAGCTACTCTGTCGTGATGGCTACTTTTACCGTAAATCAAATCCAGAACTTCCTATCACCACTGGAGATTATCTCGAGTTCAAATTCAAGTCTAAGGAAGACGAATTAATTCGTTTGAACTTGAGTCAATCGGATTATGCCGAGCTCACAAGACAAGATAGGATCAACGCTTATTTCTTGAAGCCGGACATCGAACGAGAAACAGATTTCGCTTGTCGACTTCTGAGCAAGACTGTATTAACAGAACGATACGTCAACAGTCTGGAATATTTCACAATGGAGTTCCGTTGGGAAAACAGACTAGTTGGACTGGGTCTCAAACTGCGCGAGTCTAAGAGAACCTGGCAAAGACGGAAAGCTTTGTTCGCTTTGTTTGAATTCTGGAGAGACAAGTCTAGAGAGAAGAGAGGATTTCCTGAGTACACTATGATGCACGCCGTCAAAGAAATGGAAAATTATCGTATCTTCATCAACAGGTCAGTATCATGGTTTTACAACCATATCACCTTGCTTAAGATGATTTTGTATGATTTGTGTGACAACACTCAAACTCAATGGAGAGAGTGGATGTTTCCAAGAGGCCAACCGATTCCCGTGGTTGGAGAATCTCTGGCCGAAGACAAATTGAACGCGGCCATAGGCCAGGTCCTGGCTTTAGACTTTCTAGAAGATGGCACCGACAATCGCGATGTCAAGGCGTCGTCTGCTAATGTAGTGGTTGAGCAGACTCCCGCTGTTGACGAACAAAAAACCGAATGAACGTTCCAGCGCTAATTCAAATCCCTATGTGGTACTCCTTGTTCTTGGGGTTTGAAGCTGACAATCTGTATTATTTTAAACTAGTTCTTGTATAATCATGGGCAACAAATTTGACAGTTTTTTTAAATATCATGGCAGGAGTGAATGAGAATCTGAGGTAAAAGTTCCCTTAATGTACTAATTTCAAGCAAATCTTTGAATGGACTAATGCTTGTGAAGTCGATTTAGGAGTTCCTCTGTCACTGGGAGCTGTCGTCCAACAAGTGTCTATTCAAACATTTTGACCTTTCGTATTTGATGCCATCGATAATTCGATGAGCTAGCTAGTAGCTATATTGAAAATTCAAGATCAAAGTAAGTATCCAAGAAACAGGTTGGAAAAGGCGACGATATGTTGGTTGACCTGAATGTGCCCTGGCCACAGACCTCTTTTAATGATCCCGTGAATGCACAACAGGTAACAGAAGTCACAAGGACTCTGGAAACGCTTCATACACTTGGATACTCACATGCTGCGCTTAATTTTACGATAAATCACACCGAGAAGTTCCCAACGTCTCTAAAAGAGCTGAATCCCATAAAGATCGAGGAGTATTTTGGAGAATTCATGCAAACTACGGGGCTGAAACTATACTCGAGAATAACACTGATAATTGACGATCCGTCGAAAGGTCAATCGCTTTCCAAAATATCGCAGGCTTTTGATATTGTAGCAGCGCTGCCCATCAGTGAGAAAGCACTTACAATGGTAACTTCGTCTTTGGATGTGGATCTACTTACGTTTCAGTACAATCACCGACTGCCAGCTTTTTTAAAACATAAGAGCATTTGCAGTTGCGTTGCCCGAGGCGTGAAGCTCGAAATAGTTTATGGCTACGCTTTGAGAGACATGCAAACCAGAAGACAGTTTATTCAAAATGCCAAAAGCGTTATTCGCAGTTCACGATCGCGCGGAATTGTAATAAGCAGCGGTGCTAAGAGACCACTAGAATGCCGGAACGTATTGGGTGTTACATCTCTCATCAAAATACTGGGTCTTCACAGCGACAAATGCATGAAGGCCATGACGGAGCTTCCGGCACTCGTACTATTGAACGGACGGCTCCGTACCAAGAGCCACAAGCAAACAATCGTTATAGGCGGTGGCTCTGAAACTGACATTGTCAACGAATCTGACATCGACCCAGGAAAACTCATCAAAGTAGTAAAGCGCAAAGCTGCCGAGTCATCCACGGATCAGGATCAGGAGCGCCCGACAAAGATAGCTCATACTTAAAGAATAGTGGTCAGTAGTGAAAAGCTTTGATGTGCGACATTTGTATGTGCAGTAACTATTTCGTATATAGTTATCTTTGAATCTGCTAATAAATGGAGGAGAGCTGGGCGGCTAATAGATTTGAATATCTGACCGCCACTTTTTATCGTGTTAAGTACTGGAATTTCAGAGAAAGAGACACTTGATAGTGGGTGAGCGTGTGTAATCTTTGTAAGGCAACATTTCTGCACTCGACTAAGAGGCACAGCATCTAGGCGCTTAAATATTCTATGGCCTTCGAGGGAGTCAAACGGTTTGGACAGAGAGTTTCAAAGCTCTCGCGTTGCCACAATGCGTTGGGTGACAAGAAAAGATCGAGGAAAAAGGGCGAGGTCTCTGAGTCGAACAAGAATGTCATGGGACTTATTGAGCAAGCGGGCTCTGATTATGCGAAGGGCGAGACAGATTTGGCCATCTACAGACTCACACGAGTGTTATCGAGTATGGAGCGTGAATGCTCATCGCTAGAAGAAACTCAGGCGGCAACCCATATCGTGTCACCCCCTGTGAAATTCGATGGAGCCGGCAAAAACCATGCGTTTATTGCTCCAAGACCGGATCCCACTACAAAGAGATCTAGCCGTAAGCTTTTACATCAAGATGAAATTGCCTATTGCAATGCTTTGCAATGTTCCCCTCCGCTGTGTATTGGGGTACCAACCATTCACGAACCAGCTCAATCACACGGGACCGTCATTGAAGACTACGAGATCAACATTCCAAAGGCTATTGCGCCAAATTCGGCGGCGCACGACGATAAAAGCATTTTTACGCTACGGGACGTGAAAACCGAGGTTTCTGAATTCTCGGGCCTGATTGAAAGATCTTTTAATCTTTTGACCATTGGCGACTCCGTCGCTGCCCTGGACGATGACACGACGCGTTTTGAAGATCGCGTACTATTCTTGAACAGTCCAGGCACCGAAACTGTCTGGAGCAAAAGCATCGCTAACGAATGTCAAACGCATACCCTCGAGACTGCAACGAATCGTTAGCGCATCGCTCCCTAAGGGGACGCATTTCGAGACGCGTTTGTCCATCTCCATTAGGCATTTTTCAGATCGCTTCCCAGAATTTTTTTTTTTCCCATTTTCACATACAGGAAGATGTGTACTCTCCATTTTCGTGATCTTACTTGAAATGGAAGCGATATACACTCTCAAGTCTGGCGTCTCAATTTAACATACTCGCTATAAAAGAAGTCTGTGAGGTTATACCGTGAAACTCGAGGCAGGAAGAGGATCAAAATCTCCTACAAAACTATCGAAAAAAGTCTGAACTATACCACAACTTTGGTATAAACGTACGCTCTTTTCACAGAAGATAACGGCAATTAAAAAGCTCTGATTGCTCAGTTTCATCTGAAGTGCGTTGGAAGAAAGTTGATTTTCAACTTGCAACTGTTACAACGAAAGGCACATAGACGCGCGTAAAAAAAATGGCAGTTCAGATGAATCTCCCGCAAATGCGGTCGATTTGGATCGATGAAGATCAAGAAGCAGAGAAACTATACGGGCTTCAGGTCCAGCACTTGATGGACTCAGATGGTGAGGACCAAGTAGATATGATGCTAATTAATAGCGATAGACCCGTCTTGAACAACAAAGAACGGATTGCGCTACCACCTTTGATGCCCGCTGCGTATAAGCCCAGTCGTGCGAAAAAGCCATTGCAAAAATTATCGGAGTCGACGAACAGTTCCTCTCAAACTAAGACCAAGACCAAGAAAAGTGGTGGAAAATTTCTCAAATTTTTCAGAAGCAAAGAAACGCGCTCCGGTATACCCAGTGCTAAAATTTCCGTTCCTTTCAACTTCCAGCACATCTCTCACGCCGATCTCAAAAATGTTTTTGAGGGCGAAGAAGAAACCTTCGAAGAGCCGGTGTCACCGATCGCTCTAAATAAAGCATTCGTCACCAAAAGTCCGGAACCAATGCACTCTGCACTCGATAGGAAAAAATCGTATGGCTCCAAGAGTCCATCGCTTCGCCGGGCGTCATCACTGGCCTCCTCACAATATTCAGCCGCCACGGCAAGGATAGTCTCCACGTCTACCATGGCCACATCTGTCAACGACTACTCATCATCGCTAAAAAAACTCGATCAGCTTGAAAAGATTCACTTGAAGCATAAATACAACAAGTCTGATGCCAGCAGTGTTTCTGTGGAGTTTTTGAAAAATTACAGTTTCCCAACGGTCCTAGAGGATGTCTCGCTAACAGAAGTCAAAACTCCAGAAATGTCCAAAGATCAATGCGACAGATTCACTTGGGAATCGCCTGAGAACTCTGAAGCCCTGCTGGAGACCATGCTTCAAACCAAATCCCCAATGCTGGGAAACGTGTCGTCACAGCCAAGAAGAAAGTCCGACTCCCAGCTATTAGTTTCCCCCATGTGTGAACAGCGTAGTTCTTATCTAGACACGCCGAAGACAAGGAAATCAGTTGATGATGTTCTACTCTGCTACCACCAGCCCAGTGAGACGAGTTCCGAGGCATGTTGTTCTACTGAATTTTCGTTCAGCCCAGGCTCTGGCAAAGGAAACGCTCGCACATCGTGGGGTCGCTAAAAAAAAATAAAAGCGATAAGAAATAAATGTGCGCTATTTTTGAGCTACACCGCTTTTGTGAGCAGCGCTTTGCATTTCCTCAATTGATGTCCTCTCTCCAACGCCCGTTCACGTCTCACAGCGGAGGATACGGTCCCCCAATTTTTACAATCTTCATCTTTTGGGCTCTCGATTTACGAATTTACAAAATAGAAATTCGGTGAGAGCCACCAAAAGCTTTTCCCTCGTTCAGCATGGACCTACCTCATTTCGATCCCGCTATTCATACACTTTGTCGACTCAAAGTCATTTTGCATTCACCTCAGTCTTTCGCTTTTTGGTACGTCCCCCGGTTAAATACATATACAATCCTTTAATGTTACCCCGTTTGTTTTTGGCCTTCATGATATCAATTCTTTGATCTGTCTGCGACAGTTCACCAGTTCGATTATTACTCCGATGCTGCCTTTAAAGTTTCTTTGACAATGTCTTAAAGATGATGGAATTGAGAAAACTCCGCCAAACATTTGAATTGGATCTCGAAGAACGCTTGTCGCTCGCTCTTGTGGCTTTTTATCTATAGTTTTGCGATTTTTCAAGCAGTTGTCTGTCTTGTATTTAAGTTGTTCTTCTTTGTCTTTGTCTTCTTCTGATTCAAATTGTGCTAAATAAGTCAATGCCCGTTCAGACTCCATAAGCGAAGCATTGGAGTCCCTAAAAGATACGAATTGAGAGCCCCTGAACTTTTCGTCCCAGTAATCACTCCCGTAGCGACCTCTAACGGCGTCTTTGTTGTGAAAGTTGGCTCTGCTCAAATTCTGAAAGCCGTCAGTAAAACTGACTTCCAACTGCTCCAAAAGAAAGTCATAACGAGCCAAAAGCTCCAAAAGCTGAGTACAGTCTTCCTCGCTGAGCATTGAGTATCAAAGCGTTATCAAACGTTGTTGATGGTTGAACGATCAGTTTCTTGAATAGTTTGAATAAATATACATAAATATATATAAATTTATATATCAAATCCCAAATGACTATAAGTTGAGTCAAGTTAGACCACTTTTAGAGAAACTGGATCCCTTCTTACAGTCTAGATCACCACAATTGACAATTGTGATATTGACATCTTGCTAATGGCTGATAGACTAACACAATTGCAAATATGTTTGGACCAAATGATGGAGCAGTTCTGTGCTACTCTCAACTACATCGACAAAAATCATGATTTCGAAGCATCGGTTAATGGAGAAGACAAAATGACAGATCCACAAGCTACCATTGCACCCAAGGAGGAGTTCGACAATACTATTGACGAATTGTCTACAGATTTGATTCTGAAGACAAGACAAATAACAAAACTCATAGACTCGTTGCCAGGTGTTGACGTTTCCGCTGGAGAGCAAATGCATAGGATAGAAGCATTGCAGCATCAACTGGTGAAAATGGAAGACAAGAAGATCGAGGCTACGAAGCAGAAGGAGGATCTGCTGAAAAAGGTGGATGACATGATTTTTAACTTCACAGTTGGTATCGCCGAAGCTCGTAAACCAGAACAGGGCCCTGGAAAAGAGTGAAAGAAGCATTTCAAGTCCTTTGTGCTCTCTATACTGTGAGTCTTGTCTAAAAAAGATAAAGAAAAAGAAAAAGGACGAAAGTTTGGTTTAGACTAGCAAGTATGTGGCGGTGATCACTGACGCAGCATATACTATGAGCACAACTCGGCTTGTAAGGCTATATTGCCAGAAAAAATTGGCCGTGGTGGCAGCAAGAACAAGGCTGAGCAGGTAGCTTGGAAGGTATTGAGCGAGGCCGAGGTTCTCGTGTTGACACCAGGTAAAAATATAATAATGCATGAACCATCCGATCGCAAGCTCGCAACAATTGTCCAAGTACAGAAATTTGGCTGGGTTCAACTCGGTGACTGGAGCAGCCCAAGGGTTCCAGCGCAACCATCTGCTTGTCTCAACGATCAAATAAATGACCAAGCACGCAAGAGGCGTAAACCACATGAGCTTCGAGCTTACGTCGTCTCCTGACGACGACAACCAACTATCCATCTTGATGTCGTTGATCTGGTCGTTGTTTTTCAAATAATAGTCATACTTGTACTGCAGTTGAACGTACTCCCTTGTGATCTTCCACAACTTTGTTCCGATCCAATCTGTTGGTCTTGCTAGGTACGCTCCGCGTTCCTTGTACAAGTTGGATCTATCCACGAAAAAAAGTGATCGTCCCATATCTGCCGGATCAACGCAAAGCACCTCTTGTTGTCCAAACCCCCACTCTGGCAACCTCAAGTCATGACTCAAAAGCTTGCAGTTGTGGCCCTTATTTTCCAAGCTGAATAAGATGGTGTAAGGGCATAGAAGATCATGATGCGCAGGCTTTCCTCGCTCGAATCTAATTCTCCAGGACTCGTCGGCGTCTCCCCTGTACTCTGAATCACCTGTGCAGGACACTTCGCTGTCGTAATCTTGTTCACTAATAGGTGGTTTTGCCGATGACGCTCGCAGAAGTTTGCCCGTGTTTTTATGTCTTAATCTTATTAAGGCGCCATTCCTCACAGGTTCTAGACGACCCTTATAATCCAGATCTTCTGAGTACGGCTCCACAACCCATTCATTATCTCCGTCATTCGAGTTTAGGAAAAGTGATACTTGTTGATCACCGGACCCACCGGGATAAGTGTAGTTATGAGAATGTAAGTAGCCACCTATCGATTGTGCATGCCTGATAAGTATGTTACTTCCATAGTAAACAACATCGGGTTGCGGCATTGGCTGTGGCAAAAACCAGTTTTCAAAATAAGGCGACACCATACTGGAATGATCAAGAGATGACCCTCTGGAGTTCGAAAGAAATACAAAGTAGGACAAGACAAAAGTCGTCAGTGGCAGCAAGATCATTGTTGTGAGTCCCGAAGAAGTAGTTTTGACAACTTGCACGGTTTTAACATTGGCATCCCCGATTGTTTCCCAGACCCTTTTGAAAAGAAGCAGTAGGAACCAAGCCCAGGTGACGAGTCCCAAAAACTTTGTTCCGATGCAACCAGAAATGGACCCTGCCAATAGTGATAAAGTGAAATACCATTGTTTGCTGCTTAGTTTCGAGCGTTTGAATATATTCCAGCTCAAAATTCCACACGTCAAAAACAAAAGTTGTGGGATCTCTGCGGAGAAATATGTACTTTCTTCCATGAATAAAGGCAGATTGGATATAACAGCTGCCGCGGCAACGGACACAGCGCTGACGATACTAGAGGCGCGCAAAGTCAGGTAAAAAACCGAAACGGTGATCGCAGCTACAAAGAGGTTGATTTTCCTCAAAGTTTCCAGAGAGGGAGTTCCCGCAAGCTTGAATGAAAAAGACAGCACTTGCACAAGCAAGGGAGGGAACGAATTGATGTAAAAATCGCCGGAATTGTAGTGACTGATTGCCTCTAGGAGGTCAAGTTCTGAAGAACGTGACTCTTTCACCAGATCGCCCTTTCTTATCCGACGAAGAACGAAGGAGACGGCCAAAAGTGCAGCTAATGCATAATCCGAGCCTTTCATTTTGACTGCCAACAATTTTTCGTGTATGTCAATGCCCAAGAAAGGTCTATCTGGGCCACGATTTAGATTCACCTCATCGTCATGGGCATTTCTCAACATAGCTCAGAATTGGCCGTTTTGCAGCAAACAAAAAAGGAGAAATTTGTACCAATTCCCTGGAGTTGTTCGAGGGAGCTGAATGTTGTCGACACCAGTGATTTGTCTCGATAGTTCTGCACAAGATGACGAGCAATTGAGTGTGGTCTGGGAAGCGAACAATTTACTTTGGATCCGATACTCATAATAAATTCAAAGTACTCGTAAAATCTGTCGCGAGTACATTTACCAAAGACCAAAAAAGAATTGGCATTGATGGGCAGAATCACCTGAATCGCACAACGTAAACTGTCATCCAGGTATTTGGAATTAACATGGGTGGATCTTTCTCGGAATTGGACAATTCTTTCCGATCGCCAGAAATTCATGCATTTACTGAAAACAAAAACGAGCTCCTCATCTCGAAAGAGAAATAAAAAATCATGAAAAGTACCGTTTCTGCAACCAATAAATTGGCACAGTATTTCTGATTATTCCAATAATAATCTCAGCGGTCTCAAGCGTGTTTTTCGACATTTTCAAGTTTAGTGTGTCGCTGGCGCGTTTGTGTCATTTTTCACGGATCATCGCAAGTCAATTTAAGAAAAAGGATAACATCTATAAACCAGGGAAGACACAAACACCATCGTCAAAACAAGTTTGTTTTGATATTGACTATAGCTTCGCAGCTCTTCACCCAATCCGCAACTGTTCGATTTTTTATTAAGTTTCCTTCTTCGTGGGCTTCTTTTGACACCGCATTGGTCGCATTTCGGTCTTATTAACCGTCGGCGGCTAAAACCTGCTACAAAAAGTAGAAATAAGAGTGCAAAACAGCTTCAAAAATAAAAAAAGACACGTTTTCCATTGTGAAGATTCATTTGACCTGCTCAGTTGTTGTAGCTGTATTGGATGAATAGTATACTTGTGTCCGTTGATATCGCCGTTCAGAAAGCAGATAGTGAAATTTGTGACATTTTGATTGGAAAACCAAGAGGCAGGGAGGAGTTAAAGCTTTCACTTGAATTGCAAGGCCGGAGAGATTAAGCTACAGTTACTAAGACCCTCTTGAGTGTTACTTGACACTGCAACCATGATGAATTTTGCCAAAAGCGATGATCATTTATCTCTTGACAATTCCGTGTTAGGAGATGGAAATTGCTCTGATATGCCAGGAAGCTTTGATCAAGATCTCAAAACGCGACACTCAAGTAAGAAGAGTGACTCGCTATTCACGCGGCGTGAAAATCAATACCATGGTATCAAAGATTCTTTGTTGCTGTATGAGGGCCAATCCTTCGAAATGGGCCGAGAAAATGCCACTAGTCTTCCGCGACGTCAAATGAGTGGCGCCCGGGATAACAATAGATTTGAGAGACCCAGCAACAATTTTAATCGTAATAAACACGTTTGGTACCGAACTGATAAAATTAACAAAAGCGTCGAAGGTGAAAACTCCACAGATCGAAGCTTTTCGCCCAACAGTTCCATCAACATTCGTGACGCACTAGGTAATGCCGCGCACTCGATTGCGAAAAGTCAAAGGGCTTGTCTGGGCATGAAGGAGCGATTGGAGAAGTACAATTTGAACAGCTCAATTCGTATGCCAGGCAGCTTTTCGAATTTCCAGGCCAGTAACGCCACTTTTGATGAGGTTGATCGTGGTGAGAAGCTGGTGAATTTGCCTGAAGACGAGGATGACAAAACCCCCGCTGAACCTATCAGCTATATCTCAGCTTGTTTGATGGGTCCCATTGTGATCAAGACCATCTATTTCCTTCTTGCTCAATCCGCTACTCTGGAAAGTAAAGATTATTCCTTTTCCAACACCTGCGTCATGATTGTAAGCTCGGAGCTGTCAGGTTTCAGCCTACCACAACTTGACAATTTGATTCTACAAATTACACAAATCTGGCTGCTTATTCGAATTATACCTGTTTTGATCAAGGTCCCTTGGAGGTTTCATGCAACCGTGGTACATTATGGAACATACCCACATTTGAGTGAGCACCTTTACGACGTCAACGACAAGACTCTATTTCATGACGCCGTTTCGTTTTTCAACGGTCATGAGAAATTCGGTTTACGTCTCAAAAATGTCAGTTTAATTGTTCTCGTCATTTCACCTTTCGTTCTGACTACGGGTTTGTTACTAGGGCATAATCTCACTGTCAAACTTGCCACCTATGACCTTCCGAGAGGTTCATCATTGTCGGTGTATTCCTCATTCATGGCCATGGTGTTCTCTCGATCACAATTCGCAATGCTGATGTGGTGCATAATGTGTCAGTACTGCAAAGATGCGTTTGAGCATGTCGAAAACTACGTCATTGACCAACAAAAGAAGTTTCAGAAAGATGCAGAGTCTATTGCTAATCGTTTCGAAAGCTCTGAATCTAGATCCACAGACGGACTAGATGCTGGAACCAAGCATTCAATACTTATCAAGAAGCCATTGCTGCCTTCCAAGAAGAAAGCGATCAATAATTCCTTTGATTATACACATCCAGTCGACAGTCCAAGCTCGCAAGCCCGACTTCCTTCATTTGCAGTTGCTGCCTATGAAAGCCCGCTTAAAAGTAAGCGGGCAAACGATACCCTACAATCGAGCATAAGACCAGTATCACCACAAGTCGGTATACAAACGGTCGTTGCTGTTGGATCTGACTCGCAGTCATGGAGAGACTACGCCAAAATGGTTGTCAAGATTCCGCTACATGTATTGTCGATGAAGTATAAGATCATGCGGCTATGCTTGAAAGCTGTCGTCTACGTTATTTTTTTGTCCTATTGGGTTGTGAAATCTTTTTGGCGCTGGTACATGCACAGGCCTGTCGTCAGGGCGCTAAACTAGCTATCATACGGACGGCATCAGTGCTTTCGATGTCATCGCTCTCTGTAATCGTTAAAAACCCAATATGCAGCTCCTATTATGACTTTAACCAGCGGTTCGTGTTGTGCAAAAAAAGCCAAGCCTAGTTGAATGTCACCAGAGTGGCTTAAAGACTCTCTGGTTGTCTGTATAGCCTATAGGTCGTTTACAGTAAATTTAGTGTAGATGATGAACAATTATTTACTAGCTTAAAGAAAACGTAAAGTCTATTTTTGTTGCAGCGAGAAGCCCTCCCACCAGCTGTCAGTTGTTATCGTTGCTATATATTCTTGTCGAAGGTCTTTAAGCTCTTGGGATGGCAGTGATTGTGAGTTCAGTTCCTTGTGACATCAGAAGGAGAAGACTAAATCAAATCTACATCTATATCTAAATATTTATCTTTACAACAATAAGTTCCGATAGTGTAGTGGTTATCACGTAACCTTCACACGGTTAAGGTCCTGGGTTCGACCCCCAGTCGGAACATTTGTTTTTTTTAATTTTTCGGTCATTTTTATAATATTCAAGAAGGCGATGAGCTAACCATTGCAAACATCAACTTAGAAGCCTTACAACTATATCCTTTATTCTTCTTCCTTTGCTTGTGAACATCACTTCTGCGCTTCCCATAGACTGGGAACTCACTTCACGTCAAATCAAAGTAAACACCACTGACTCGATTTAAAGCGTGTCTTGAACTTCATCAACGGTGAAGCAAAAGTAAAGTTTGGGATGCGCCAGTACAACCTCAGATCTTCAACATGGCCAATAAAACACGTCCTAAAAAGGTGAAGGCCCCGTACCGCAAGTACGTTGGCGGCCAAGGGTTCGTACGCACGCTGGGCTTCACTGCTAACTCGGCTGACGAAGAACAGGTAAGAACTAGTGGTGAGATCTTTCACACTCCGCAAGGCGCCTATTACTACGATGTGGGAACTGATTCAGTAGTGCATTTGGAGGTAAATGTAAACGATTCTACATCCAGTGTACAGTCAGGTGGGTCAAACAAGAATGACAGAGGTGTCGATGCAGTTCTGCCATTGGAAATATTCGAGCTTATACTGAGTTTCTGTACGGTTATCGAACCGCAGTTCCTCCGAGTGTGCCGAAGCTGGTACCGTATTTCTGTTCCGCTTCTGTACGCTGCCCCAGAACTCCATAGCCGCAATTTTGGCCAGTTTGTGGATACGGTGATCAACAACCGCAAAAAACGGTTGGGAGTGTATGTCAGGGACCTAGATCTGTCCAATATCATCCAAAGCGGTAAGAACTCATACGTATCGAAGCTTCTGCGGCGCTGTAGTCCGATTTTAAGGAGTTTCACCGCCCCACAGACTAGCTTCGGATATGCCCCGCTGATCAGTTTAAAGTCTTGTCAGCAACTACAATATTTGGATCTGGGACTTGTTTCAGAGACTGTTCAGCTGAGCGAGCTATTCAGTGCTATCAAAAGGTTTGCACATTTGACGCATTTGTCGTTCCCCAGAAGCTCTATCGACTGTTCCGGATATCGGGAATTCGAATGGCCACCTAATTTGCGGTACCTCAGGCTCAGTGGCGGGATTTCCAACGAGTTTGTGAGAGAAACCACTTTTCCACGGACCATCAGGACGCTGGAATTCTCATTTTGCCCACAAATAAATGAACATTCGGTGTATACAGTCCTGGCAAGAATTGGCGATATACTGAAGCACTTGTATTTCCATTATCCGATGCCAACTTTGCACGGCAGCTCGTTGGACTTTGTGTTTCGGTACTGTCCTAATCTGATAACGCTACAAATGACTGTGGACTATTGTTCGAAATGGGCCTTTTCGGAAAACATACTGACATTTACTTCCACTCCTCGTCCTCTGCGCAAACTGCTACTTGAGTGTAGCGGGAATCTGGGCCAGTCTTTCAAAGTTCACCCTGACGATATAACTATAGCATTGGCAGAAGATCGACTGCCGAATCTCAAAGTTGTGCGGGTTTCGTCCAAGCTTGGCTGGGATATGAAAAGCTCAGATGTCAGCGATTTGATCTCCTACTTGGAGGATCAAGATGGCAGTTTGTACATTAACTATTAACAAAAATAAAGAGACACTTCAAAACTGTAATGGTGGGGTTCAAGATTGTCCGGTGGTCTCTCTCGCCGACAAGGCTTTCTGGAGGCAGGTCGAGCTTGCTCACCGTTTACGGGGAAGACAGTTCTTATAGTTCGATTTAGTTGAACACTCGAAGCTGTAACTAAACCTTCATCTAAACCTCTGTGTACAGCAATGATAATGAGCTCATCAGTGTATTTCAGCAAGTTTTTGGTTACGAACCAGGTTTTTTATGTAAGTCCTAATGCTCATCCGAAATGTTGATCGTAAAACTAACAAATTCGGTAGAAATCGAAGCATTCGTTTGCGCTCGTTAACTTGAAGCCATTAGTTCCTGGCCATGTTCTAGTAGCGCCATTGCGGACTAGTGCCGTTGCGTTGGCCGATTTGACAAGTGAGGAAAGCGTAGACTATTTCACAACTGTCAGGCTCGTCAATCGCTTTATCAAATCCCATTTCAAAGCTGATTCGATGAATATAGCGATCCAAGATGGTCCAGAGGCTGGTCAAACTGTCCCGCATCTACACACACATATTATTCCACGGTACCGTGCGAACAATGTCGGGGACAAGATATACGAAATGATGGACAATTGGGAATTTGAGCCTTGGGCTGAGAGGCGTGCCAGATACGTCGAAACAAAGAACAACGCTGAATTTTCCAAACCCGACAATCAAAGAATTGCACGCAGTGAGGAAGACTTATCACAGGAGGCTCAGGAGTTGGGAGAAAGCATTGCCAAATTTCAAGCCAACGAAAAGTGCTAGACAAATAGAAATAAGAAGAAAAGCTATACTTCAGGACTGATCCACTTATATGTAGTATTTACAAGAATAATGAAACGAAAAAAATTAAGAGAGATCGAAGTAGTTGTTCTTTTTCCCGCATTTGTTCGGCTTTTATTCCAATCCTGTCAATGTCGTTTGTATCTGTCAATTCTTGACCCCGGACTAGACTGTGTCATTTTGCGCGGCACGTTGTTCCGCCCGCATTTTTGCAACCGTTTCCTTGCGCTTGCGTTCACCACCCAAGATCGATTTTTTGCCCTCTTTGATCTCGACGATCGGTTCGTTCTTCCGCAGACGCTCTATTTGACTCAAAATATATTTGCGCTGTTGTGCAGCCATTCCCTTCTCTTTCAAAACACTCGAATCCCAGGAAACCAGATTTTCCCATTTGTTTTCATACATCTCAACGTGCTCATTGCATTTCCGGCCGATCTTGTTTAAAAACACTTCTACCGAAGGTATTTGCTCCGTTGGAGTCGGAATTTTTCGCAGGCCCGCCTTATTGTTTCTTAACACAGTGGCGCAACGACTGAAAAGGCGCACATTGTTTCCAAAAGATCTCATCTGATTATGACGACTAGAGCGATGCAAACAGCCCGTCTCCTTGCAAACTCTTTGTATGTCTACAGTGGTGAGTGAGTGAGCTTCGTAGTTAATAGACTTTTTCAATTAGAAAATATTCGTGATTCGTGACATCACCAGTCACGTGTGTTTTAAATTGATTTTCTGGAATTGAAGTTCATCACGTGATGTGAAAGGTTTCCAAATTTCGTTTGTAATGACCTTCGCTATAAGCCGTGCTCATCGATTTGAATAAGAAATGTAAGTAAAGCACAACGTTTGATTCCTTCAAGAACGGCTCCAATTGGCATCTTTTAGTAGCTTATTCTCGATAATCATGAGCTCCAGTGATGAAGATGAGAAGTTCTTGTATGGTTCCGAAGATGAAGGTGCCGCGAGCTCGTCAGCGACCAAAAACAACAAAAAACGACCAGCTGAGGACATGGCAGCAGGAGATGTAACGACTCAGCGTGCCAAGACTGCCGAGTCCAGCAGTAGTAACGAGGAAGAGGATGATGATTCCAGCGAGGGTGAGGACTCGGAAGACGAGTCGGACGTGGAGTTCATTATTGGGGTCGGCACCGATAGCTCAAAATTGGACTCTAAGCAAGGTGCAGGCTCAACAGCGACCGGGGTCGCTAAGACAGTTTCCGTTGCGGCTCCAACTCTGGAAGTAGGATCCACCATTGGTAAACCCGGTGATGAGGACGCCACGCAGCAAGAACCTGTATTGGACGGGACGCCTCAGGCGCAACCGGGCACCGAAAGACTTCCAACACTCGATTTGAACGCACCGGGTCAGCTCGGCGATCAACTGGTAACTGACATCGACCCTGAAGTGCTAAAAGAAAAGCCATGGCGGCAGCCGGGCGCAAATCTCAGCGATTATTTCAATTATGGCTTCAACGAACAAACATGGATGGAGTATCTTCACAAGCAAGAAAAACTACGGGCTGAATACAACCCACACAAGCTGCTGATGGGTCTGCTGGCTCTCCAACAACAAGGAAAGCTCAATGACCCGGGATCCGACGGTAAAGGTCAGGATACTGGTATGCCATCCAATATGGCAACCACTGGATTTCCAATGGGCATGCCGTCCATGTTTGGTGGGTTCCCGTTCCCGTTCCCTGGAATGATGAACAATATGAATCAGCAGCAGAAAAAATGAACCGGTACGGATTGGAACATAGTCTTTGGTTTAATGAATTACGTGTATACTATTAAAATGATTGTTAATGTTGATGAATGGTTGTCTAGAAATCTAGAAGCCTGTTGTTCAAGACATGTTTGACCCAAGGTTGGTGGAACTTGTTCAATCCAACAACTTGGGTGATTAGAGCGGTCCATTTTGCTTTGAGATCGGCGGATTCAGCATCTAGGTTAATGATTTCTCCATTCTCGAAAATGAGTTTGAAGCACTCACTGAATAGTACCATGTCCGTGAAATTTCTTACTTTTTGAGCTGCCTCTTCAGTCAATTGCCCTTCCCCAACCACGCTCACAACTTTCAAAAGGTTGATGAGCGCTTGTGGTGTTCGCGTGATTTCATGGTGGGCGATCAATTGAGTTCCTTTCAACACATAATATCGCTTTTGCAGCAGCCCGTCGACGTCCCCTCCTTCTTGCCAGAGAAACCCCTCGAATTTTATGTCCTGCTGTTCAGCAAACTTGTTTACAACATCATGAGCCAGCTCAAGTGTCTTCGGAAATTTTTCGAACTCAGACGTTCTTGAAAGGAAACACATTTCAAGTTCGATTTCGCCGATTTTGTAAGCAGGCTGACGGGGAAGATTGTGAACGTTTTTGCCATCTTGTGACATCGCGGTATCTCTTTTCCATTCATTGTAAAGTGGATAAGAGTACTTCTTCCGCCTAAATGCATTTCCCTCCAGATGAGATTCATCGACTGGCAGTTTACAGCGGGCGAAGGAACCGTCTTGGGCAAATAGGTGGTCCCAACTGTCGTACTCTACCTTCTTGTTAACAAATGTTTTTCTCAAAGTGTACTTCGGTTTGCCGAATGAGAACTTCTTTTTGGTGGGAATGCGCTCTGTAACCTCCACCAATTGTGAAGTGGGTCTCTGGTATCTGCATTTTAGAGTTATTTGGGCGCATAGCGTCGGCTTAATGTCCTTCATGATCAGCTCATACTCTTGGTTCATTTCAATGGCGTTTTTTTCCAGAGGTGTCCAAGGCGTCTGAACAACATTGATCCCATTGTCGAATTCCATAGCTATTTCAGCTTTGTGTTGTGAAATACCTTCGAGCTTGATGGCTTTTATCGACTTGATCAGAATATAGAGTTTTCCGTGATCCTGCAATTTTCTTTCCTGTCCTGATGGATTCGTGACGGTTTCCTCTGTCGAGTTACGGACACTTGGCTCATTTTCGATCTGTCGTGTCTGATTCTCTTGTACATTGATGCTGCGAACTGGACTTTCTGTTAACAATTTCTTTGGACTACAGAGATTTTTGGCCCTGACAGTTTTGAAAGGACTCTCCACATGTGTGCTTTTTACCGGCGATGGTGTTGAGCTCTTTAAAGGCTTATCTGTTTCTCCCGATGCAGATCTGATGGCTTCAAATCCTTTAACGCTTTCGATATTGTATACAGCGACATCACTGTCGGCGCTTTTCAGTATTCCCAGCCCAGATACCTCGTTTTGGTTCGGTCCTTCTTCTGCGGTATTCCCTTCTCCGCTAAGAAGCTTGGTCAGTAACTTTTCATTGATTCCTTTCTTGGTGCTCGTTGCGTTGTCGTGTTCATCTTCAAATGAAAGCTCGACGGCGTTGTGATAGTTATCTTCACCCCATATGTGGTAGACAACGGGGTCACCATTCGGTTTACTAGGCTCATTCGAGGACGTATTGCCATGGCTAAAAGTTTTCAACAATTGTTCGAAGTCATCTGCAAGATCGAAGCTGTCGTCACCCAGATCGGTAAACTGTAAGGAGTCCTCGAGAATTTGGGTTCTCTTACCGTCAGTCTCCGCCACCTTACCAGAAATCGACTCTTCGGTATCCACTTCTTCAGCTTCACGACTCTCATGCTGCCTTGGTTCATGTGTACGCGAATCTACCTTCAAATTCAACGCAGCTCTCGGACCCTGACCTGATTCGGCCTGCGCCAAAGCAATCCGCGCGATGGATGGAATGTTCTCCTCATGGGAGTGTTTTTTAGAGAATTCGAGCTGTGTACTCTGAGCCCATTTCGAACGGAGGGGGTCAAATGTGCTAGAGCTACTGTTTTTCATTTGATGAATTTCATCCTGGCCTATTCGCGGCGATGGCCTTGTCCTTGGGTAGTAGATTTTAGTCCTGCTTACTATTCGCGGCTTGAGCTTGAAATTCGATGGCGCTGAACTCGACGACTCGCTGGTTATGTTGGACTGATGTGAAAACTGTGAGTGGGATGAGATAGTAGGAGAGGCACTGCTTGATACCTCTTGAGAGTGCCAGATTGAAAGGTATGTCGGTTTCAAAGAATAGGTGATGTCAACAGAATCTTGCGAAGTATCACCTATGTCTGCGAATATCGCATCCTCGTCAAAGACGTTTGCGAGATTGTTAGAGATTACCCGTGTATCTTTAAGGAATCCTTCATTAGGTTCTCTCACTTCGGCTGGCACTCTTTCGGCTACGATTGCGGCCGTAGGGTCTTGAGTCTTCTCCTCATTAGCAAAGGCATCATTGGTTTCGCCGCGATCCTTAGAGACTGGAAGAGCCACTTCTTCTTCTTCGTCAATGGAACTTGAGCTATTTTCTGAATTGTCGTCGCTGCTCTCTTCAATCTGGTCAGAAGTTTCAACAGATTTATCTCCTAGGTGTTCATCTTCAACTTCAACGTCTGCTGAGTTAGCTTTATTAAGATCCTGTAACGAAGATACCTGAACAGTAGATGTCGAGGGAGATTTGACCATATCTTCACCAGAAAGATCAAAATCTGATGGTAGGAACTTATTACCTTTTGAATAAGCGCCAGAGTTGCTATGATGATAGTCGCCCAGCTTGACTATTTCGTTGATTTTCGTCAAGGTGTTGTCCTCTCGTACCAGGCCTTCCGAAATTTGGAGATCCTCAATGGCCTGAAACTGTTGAGACTCGTCAGCCGAACTGTAGCTTTCTGCACTTTCTCTGGCCGATTGAAACTCATCTGCTGTCGTAGCCATACTGAATACTCTGGAGTCATTTCGTGCCGCATCAGAAACAATGAGGCTCCTATTTGACATCTCAAAATCAGACCGTGCAATCTCATGAATATTGTTGCCAGCAAGCGGTACAGATGTCCTCAGAAGGTTAAACTTGTCCTGCTTCATTGTTGTTTCCAGGTCAGTAATACTCTCATCCATGGAGGAGCCAGATGAGACGCGGCTGGGTTCCTGATTTGGTCTCAAAGTCGGTGAATTGGCCAGTCTGTTAATGCGGATGGTATTGGTTGTTGGAATTTTTGATGGCGAGTGTGGGATTCGGGAGAAAACTTCTTCGTCTGATTCTGAGGACTGAATTTCGTATTCTAGCAATTCGTGTTGTGGATTGTTGCCACCTAGCGGCGGCGTTGACTCGAAAGTGATTCTCAATGGCTTTGTCTGGGCTGTGCGGTCCATGGATGGGGCAAATGCCAAGTTGTCAACATGGTTGATCATTTCTTTCAATTTGGGAACATTGGGGGACCCTGGCTTGCTGCCCAGTACGAGATCAAGCCTATCATGTAAATTTGCCACAGAATTGGATCTCAATTCTTCTGTTGTGAGCAGTAATGAACTTTGTGAACACTCCGAACCACTACTGACTCTGTGATGTTGATCGTTGGCCTCATCTTCTTGCCTGTGATCGTGTGAAAGGTCTCTTGTCTTTTTCTTCTTCTCAATATCAGGTTGCGGGAGAGAAGAAAGATTCCATGCGACCGCTGTTGCCTCATCAAGGTGTTTCTGTAATTCCTCTGCTGCTACTGACGTCTCGGTTCCCGAGTATTCATGAAGCTCGGGCTTGTCATTGAACATCACAGACTTGCGATTGCGGGGCTCCAGAAGTGGTCGTTCTGCTGATTCATTATGGTCCTCTTCCTGGGCTCCCAGACTCGAATTGGATCGTGTGTTGTAGCTGACTATTTTTTCCATAGTGTCATCGCCTATATCTTGTAGTGGGATTTGTCTGCTGGCAGATGCCGGTATCTCTTTTTCGATTTCGGACAGCAACGTATCAACTGTCGATAGATCTTGGTCCGAGCTCTTGTTGCTGATGTTCATAACGGCTCGAATCTTTCAAAAGATGTGTACAGGACGTGAAATTCGACGAAGTTTATGTTTGTTTTGAGCTTTCTAGAATGGCTTTTTCGACTCAGTAAAGCCCCAGTTTGGAGTTGGAAAAGCAGGGTATCAAAAGATGGAGTTGGATTGCTGATTTTGAAGGTCTATTTTGACTTGGATGAAGTCCTGATGTTGACATGTCTAGGTAATTGAATTCCATCATCCCATCAGTCGTTGGTGAGTGGTCTGCCCGATTTGGAAAACAGTAAATAATAGTAAAGTATAGTAAATAAGCTCTGTTTCCTTTCCCGAATGGGGAAATACGTTGTCCCCTTTGGGGATATCGAGAAAAAGATGATCTTCCGGGAATCACGTGTTGGTGACGACATGTGATCTTGATCTTGGCCAATACAGCTCGATGAATGGTGGAAAAGTGAAGTTAAATGGATGGGGAGAGATTGATGCTCTAATATTCAGGAGAGTGCGTGACTATTGAACACTCACAAAATGGCGCTTTCTCAATTCAGTATGTGTACTCCCTTTATAAAAATTACAAAGCTGGTATGTTGGCTTTAATTTTACCAGCTTCCATCATTACGAGAGTTTGGCCGAGTGGTTAAGGCGTCAGATTTAGGCTTAACTTCATAATAAGTCAGATTCTCTGATATCTTCGGATGCGCGGGTTCGAATCCCGTAGCTCTCATTTATTTTTTGCATTTAATTTTTTTGTTCAAGTCTCTGAAAGAGGAGTTTATTTACATGTTTAGTGCTTCTTGGCGAACTTTGAGTTTGTAGGAAATGTAAAATAATTCATTGATAGTCATTTTCATGAAAACAATATTCGCCAATAGTTTGAATAAGTTGCCATGTTCGGATTTTACCACTATTATATATCTTCTCCTATCAGTCAGCCTCTCTTCTTGATCTCCCGCTTTTTTGTCACTGCAATGTACAGCGTTTTAACAGCCGCGTCTTCTACTCAAACCTCTATCCCTTTTCTCTACTCGTTTCGTACAGAACGATGCAGCTGCGAAAAATTACGCCACGTCACACGGTCTAAGAACAGTCAACAAAATTCCATTTTTACCACCAAGCTAAGCCTGTCAGCGCCATCATTTGGTTTGCCGATCTAATTTCCAGAAAAAGCGCTCGAGAAACGCGCACTAACGCAATACTCTTAAAATAACTTTAAGAAACTTTTATACGTTTATAATAAATGTAAAAGAACAAAGTTAGTCTCCCACCTGCTTTAAATGGTTCAGTTGCATCAAATTTCCCACAGAATTTTCCCGCAATTACTGCTAATTGCAAACAATAGCTGCTTCCCTGGCACACTGTTGGGACCCGCTTCACCATTTTCCAAGAAAAAACCAAGACATCATCACACACGGACAGCTAGACCCATTTCTTAATTTATTTCGAAATACACCGTAGCCATCCGAACTACAAAAACTGACCCAAACTTCAACCGACGTTTCAACGCTAAATCAACAGCGTAGATCAAGGCTAATTACCACTCATCAAATGGAGAAGGGCAAGTCGTCGCAGAAAGAAGGCTTGATGCAAATCCCAGAAGCCATGGATCCCGGAATAACACTGCCCTTGTATGAAGAAGAACTCAACGCAAATGATCCTAACCAGCCTCAGAAACTGGGATCATACCGAGTAAGAGCGGGCAAATTCTCCAACACGCTAAGCAATTTGCTGCCCAGTATCAGTGCGAAACTACATCATTCGCGTAAAGCTTCCGGAACGCAAAAGCACTCGTCAGACCAGGCTGTGAGTGGATCATCCAGCAACAACACCTCCCGGTCTCAAGTTAGCCTTTCCGGCCAGATTACACCTCCGGAAGCTTCGCAGCCGCTGGTGGAAGATCCCTTCTTCGGTTCGACAGTGCTTCCCCGCAATTCCGGCGAGTCGTTTTCGTTTACCACGGGTGGTCAAAATTTGAACGCCACAAACTCAACCAACGTGTCCCGAACCAGAAATAACACCGTATCATCGCAGATCACCTCACTCTCGGGCATGCCGCCAACTACGGGTAGTTTATGGTCGACAAACACTTCGCCAAACGAAGCACAGGTGATTTCAGGCAATCCCAACGCACCTTTTGCGTCAGCCAGTCCGCTCAACGATTATTCTTCCGGTGCCTACTTCGACGTGACCAAGACCGGCGCATCTGGTGCTTCTCATCACAATACAAACAATCTGACGGTCCCAGGGATGGTTCCAGGTATCATTCCAAACACGGCAAATGGTACCGCTAATAACATCTGGAACACCCGTCAAAGATCCCATTCAAATGCTTCTAGTATTTACACAGATGCTCCAGTCTACGATAATAAAGCTGTCAACCGTTCTAGGGCCTCCACTTTTGGACTAGGTTTGGAGCCCGCCCCTTTGCCGGGGCATAGCGCCGCAAATACAAGACAACTCACACCACCTTCGCCCTCTGTGGCGGATGAAATTGATCCGAGATCCATTAACTGGGTGACAACTGACCCTTCAGTTCCAGCGATAAATCAAATTTCAACACTTCTTCCAACAAATACCGTGTCCATATCAAACGTCTATTCCTTGCAACAGCAACAGCCACAAGTAGCCGATGCTGTCAATTTGACTAGTATGAGCCTGGCGACGCTGTGCATGAAGTTTGGCATCGTTCTGTCTGCAAGAACTTTGAAAAGGATAAATATGGCACTCGTTGAGTTCGACACGGTAGAATCCGCAATGCGCGCAAAGGATGCGTTGCATGGAAAGGAGGTATCTCTTGTAGGTGCCCCAAGTTCTGTTTCGTTCGCCAAGGTCTTACCTATGCATCAGCAAGCCATGTCTTCTTCGCAGTCCTTGGCAAGCAATTCTACAACTATGAATGGCCCCCAATCTTTGCTTCAAGAGCAGCTATACAGTGGCGCCCTGAGCTTCCAGCAACAAGGCAATATCTCAATTCCTGTCTTGAGCGGACCAGCGCCTCAACAGCAAGTCCAGCCTGGGGTATCGCAGCATCACGTTCAGTCACAATCACAACAGCAGCCGAATTCGAATGCAAACTCAAACCACCATGGCTCAGCATCTCATGGTAGCTCCGAGAAGGAACACTGTCCTTTTCCGCTACCACCTCCAAACTTTTCAAAGCACATTCAGGTCATTGAAGATATTATCAACTCATTTGGCGCAAGCCATGATTCAGCTCAGACGAGACATATTATAAACAACGCGCTGCTGTGCAATGGTACCACCGACACAGCGGATTTCGGTCCATTACCAGATCCTTTACCTAACAGAGAGTTCGATGCTCCAAAGCTTCGTGAGATCCGTAAAGCAATCGATTCAAATCTTATGAGCGAACTCGAAGTGGAACAGTTGGCCATAGCAATGCTGGATGAATTACCAGAGCTGTGTTCTGATTACTTGGGTAATACAATTGTGCAAAAACTATTTGATTATTCCTCGTCTGTCATCAAGGACATTATGCTAAGACGAACAAATACATTTTTGACATCGATGGGTGTTCACAAGAATGGTACTTGGGCATGTCAAAAAATCATTACTAAAGCTGATACTCCAAGACAAAAAATGCTTGTTGCCAAGGGCGTCGAAAAGTACTGCACTCCACTTTTTAATGACCAGTTCGGGAACTACGTGACTCAATGCGTTCTCAAATTCGGGTTTCCTTGGAATAATTTTATTTTCGAGCATATTGTATCCAATTTCTGGACGATCGCCCAGAACAGGTACGGCGCGCGAGCGGTGAGGGCTTGTCTAGAGGCTCATGACTTAATCACGAGGGAGCAGCTTCTAGTACTTAGCGGCATGATCGTCTTGTACACAGAGTATTTGGCCACTAATAGCAATGGTGCTTTACTTGTCACCTGGTTTTTGGATACATGCACCCTTCCTCACAGACATTCAATTCTTGCCCCACGCCTTGTCGCGAACATGGCAGAGATGTGCTGCCACAAATTGGCATCTCTTACCGTTCTCAAAGTCTTGAACTTCAGGGGCGACGAGAGAGCGAAACGACTCATTCTTGATACCATCTTTGGAAAGAAGGAGAGTTCCCATCCCTCACCACTGCTGTTTCAAATACTTTGCGACACGAATTATGGGCCAACCTTCCTGTATAAAGTTCTATCGATGTCTCTTCTCGAGGGAGACGTTAGAGTGCATGTCGTGCAACAAGTGCGTCGCGCACTTTTGGATATCAATCCAACTCAACAGCACCGTCGGTTGATGGAAGAAGTGGGTCTTGGTGGAACTGCTGTGGCATCAAACATAACGCCAGTTGTGTCCAGCTCCTCTAAGCATCGTCCTAGCATCACTCAAGTTTTCAACAGCGACGGCGTAAATCACGTGCGTAACCTTTCGGTGGGAAGCAATCTGAGCAATGGGTCTCGTCCACGGGCGCTGTCCAATACAGGCTTAGCCCCCATTCCTGCCGGTGCTGCAGTCTCTTCGATGCAATCAGCCAACCCTGGTTCCATGAATCTAGGCTCCAAGCAAAATTTGGCCACATCTGGAGGGGCCCCCGCGGGCTACTACAATTACGCTGGCGGAGCTTACCCCAGTTCAGGTGTTGAGAGCAGGGGAGTGTACGGGGATGACATATCGTCGCATTTTGATATGTTGAGTCTACAAAATGGCACCCAGATCTCTCTTCCACAAATCAGCATGAACAACAGCAATGCGACCAACAAATCCGGCAATAACAGCAACAGCAACAACAGCAACAGCGGAAACTACCTACATCCTTCCAATAGCAATGCGGGGTCACTTTATGGAACCTACGGATACTGAAACTATTGCGCTTCTTGCGTTAAGTAACGACAACAAACGGAAACGGACATCAACTACAAATTATCACACTACGACAACTCAACAAGACACTCAAGAACCAAAGCCGTTTCTAACACCACATTCTCGGGATCAAATTCTTTTATGTGTTGGTATAAGTAATGACTAATGACCTTTTACTAGCTTTTCTAAACATTTCTATCATTCCAGTAGCTTCAAGTCGACTATTTCATTCTGACGCTGTCACCGTCTACTACCACGTCCTTCGTATCAAATGACAGTGTCAAAATTCGATGAGGCCCACAAAAAGTGAAAGATTGAGATGATACTGATTACACATTTCTAACCGTAAGTTTGCGACTCTAGTGCTTGAACTTTGAGCCAATATAGGACCCGAAATCAACAGGACCATTGCACGGTAATTGCGTGGGTCACAATTCCGAGATTTGAAAGTTGAAGCGATCAAATTGGTTAACTTTTGGCTCTTACTTTGAGACCGATAGTTTGCGCGGTATCGAACGTAAAAGGAAGCAAGTGACGAGCTTATAGGGCGCTTTATCGATCTAAGACAGAGCTCGGGGCTTGTGGTATGAATAGAGAGCTACCTGCAAGCTGGTTTACCGCTCAAGCTCCTGCCAGGAATGGAATAAGCTCGCAGGATCGTGAGAGAACAATTCAGGAACACCGAGAACGAAATTCGCGGATTTCAAGGGTGGCACATAACGAAATGGCGTTGCATAGTATATTTCCCATTGGTAATGGACAGCAGACGATGGTGGGCGACAACGAGGAGATTAGAGAAACCGGCATCGACCGTGAGAGCGTGGAATGCCAAGAAGAAAACCAGGATGACAGTGAAAGAGAAGATGAGAACGATAAGTACGGCGACCAAGAAAACAGACCCACAAGTCCGGTTTTGGAGAATGTCAACGTCCAAGTTCCACAAAACAATGGCACAAGCACGGATGAAGACGTTGTAATGACCGAAAACGGAGAAATTGTCGATATGGCTATAATTCAGCGATTCGAAGAGCAGGCTCACGAAAAACTGAAGGAATGCGTACGTGTTATCGAGGCCAGGCGAGATGCTTTACTACAATCATTCGAATCTGACAATGCCTTGCTGCAGCAGATACAGCAAAGCGGCAATCGCGAATCCACCGATCCTGATTTCATTTCCAGCATAAACAGGCTACAGCGAATTCGATTACGGGCAATAGAAATGGAAACCTTACAGCTGCAGCGTGTGAAGGTATATTTTAAAAATAAGATGTCAGATTTCAGGACGCTAGTGAAAAACTATCTTCTGGCACAAGCGCGGGGCGAATATGTTGAAAATCCTCTAAAAGTAGCGAGAAACATCTTCAAAGACCTGAACCCCCAACTGACGTCCGGCATGAAGCTCGCTTTGGCCGGAAAAGACGACAATGGCCATCAGCTTGACATCACAGGACTTCGGGAGCGTCTGTTATATCCCTTGCATCAGTCGCCTGCAAAGAGAAAATTCCCTCTTAAAAAACTTCCAGCTGAACTCCTGAGTATGGTGCTGGATCGACTATCTCAAAGATCTGAGGTCGTTAAGCTCATGACAGTATGCAAATTTTGGGCCGAGATAATAGTCAAGCTGCTTTACTACAGGCCGCACATCAATAAAAAGTCTCAACTTGAACAGTTCATGACGACCATGCAAAGACCAGCCTACCAAACCCTTTTTAATTATCGCGCCATGGTGAAAAGACTAAACTTTTCGTTTGTGGGCGATTACATGACAGACGAGCAGCTCATTCATTTCGTCGGCTGCCCTAACCTAGAGCGATTGACACTCGTGTTTTGCAAACACATAACGAGCTCCTCAATATCGCTAGTGCTTCAAGGATGCAAATACTTACAGAGCGTCGATATTACTGGCATCAAAGAAGTCTCCGATAGCATTTTCAATACCCTGGCATATCAATGTCAGCGTGTTCAAGGATTTTATGTGCCTCAGGCGAGGGACGTATCTTTCTCCGCACTGCATACTTTCATCACCCATGCACCATTACTCAAAAGGGTTAAAATCACTGCTAATCTCAATATGAATGACGAACTCGTCACTCTCCTAGCTACACTCTGCCCTCTTTTGGTAGAGGTGGATATCACACTTTCACCAAATGTTCATGATCACAGTTTGGTGTCGTTATTTTGTCAACTCACGCAGCTGAGGGAGTTCAGAATTACTCACAACCCCAACATAACTGATAAGTTTCTCAAGCAATTAAGCCTCCAAGTAGACCACTTACCAGCATTGAGACTTATTGATTTATGTGATTGCGAAAATATCACGGATAAAACAGTCGAGAGACTTGTGTCCTTAGCTCCGAAGCTGCGAAATGTGTTTTTTGGAAAGTGTAGCAGAATAACGGACAATTCATTGGTTCATTTGTCACGTCTGGGCAAGAATTTACAAACCATTCATTTTGGGCATTGTTTTAATTTGACGGATAGTGGCGTGCGTATATTGATTCAGTCATGTCCTCGGATTCAGTACGTTGATTTTGCTTGCTGCACGAACCTAACGAACCGCACCTTGTATGAGTTGGCCGACCTTACCAAACTGAAGAGAATAGGATTGGTAAAATGCTCTCAAATGACAGACGAGGGACTTCTTAACATGATGGCACTGAGAGGTAGGAATGATACCCTTGAGAGGGTGCATTTATCCTATTGTTCCAATTTGACTATTTACCCAATCTATGAGCTTTTGATGGCTTGTCCAAAGCTCTCACACCTTTCACTTACGGCTGTTCCCTCTTTCTTGCGGTCTGACATAACGGCGTTTTGTCGTGCTGCTCCCTCGGACTTCAGCGACAATCAGAGACAGATTTTCTGCGTTTTTTCGGGCAAAGGTGTCCATAAATTAAGGCATTACTTAATGAGTTTGACGGCGCCCACTAATGGTCCCCAAACTAACGTGCGAGAAGTTTTGACTAACTTTATTGTTCTCAAAAGCCTCATCAAAGAGGGCGAGGACCTAGAGGCAGGCATGCGTAGAGTGGCAAGTGAGCTGAACCAAGAGACTCCTGCTATCTTGGCCGCTACTCACAGTCTAACACCATTGAACGCCATGAATAATAACGATTTTGCATTTCAAAACATCAATTTCGAGAGACTTGAAGACGTCTTCTTTTCGCTTCAGCGGGTACCGCAAGATCGGATACTCGATGAACACGATGTAGACCGGCTATTTCCGCTGATCGATGAAGAGTTTTGTGAAGACCCGGACGCCGAGCAATTCGCGGGTGTGGACGGGTGCGTGGCGCCAGAGGCGTCGGAGGACTTGAACAGTGAACTCGCGCAAATGGTGAGAAAGTTTCACGACTTACAGGAACGCGTATGTGATTTCGAGGTAAATGTTGCCAGCATGGTAAGAGTTCAATTTCAATTCGCGGGCGCCCTTTTGAATGAAATGACGCACATATATTTTCAGATGGTAGACCTTAACAGGTGTATTACACAAATACAGTCGCGGGTATACGACATGGGCGATGATAGGAACTTGAAAGGTCTCACTATTTGGCGCATTATATGGCAAGAGAAATTTGACCACATGCTGGAAAAGTACGAGTTGACGACTGTTGTATTGAGATTGTATCTGAGGGACAACGTAGCAGCGTTGACTAGACAGAGAGAGTTGTTTCTCGCAAGACAGCGGGTTCCTGCCGAGAACTCCAACGCGGCCGACGTAGTTCCTAATCCGGTACCTACAGATGTCGATGGGTGGAATGCTGACCGGAGTGATAGGAACAACCCTTGGAGAAGATTCGAGATTCGCAACGAGATGCGCATGGTACAATTTGGGCTTCAGGCGCTTCCTGGTGCTCAGGACGGATTGCCCCCAATTCAAACTTTTTTTCCTAACGATATGGGGCCAACGGATACTTCACAGGATGAAGATGAATATCTAGAAGATGCATAAACCTAAGAATCTACTAATATAGCATTTTTACAGTAAATTCGAATTTTAGCAGTATTTAAAGCGCATTGTTGGTACGGTCCAGGGCTCCAAATTGTTCTGCAATTCTCAAGAGTGTCTCGTCATTGTCCATGTTTTCAAAAAAGCTTTTAGCCAATTGAAATTGCTCTTCTAACTTAGCCACCTTAATCCTGTAGTCTCTTTCAAACTCCTCAACTAGTTCTGACTGTTTTAAATCTATCCATGCTGTGAAGGTCAGTTTTTTCTCTGCTGGTGGCATATGCTGGACAAAGAAGCTCAAATCTCCATCGACCTCGTTCGACAGCGACATGTCGTTTACATTGATGTATCGCAGTAGTTGGCGGAAATAGTCTGCTAAAAGCACCCGTTCCTCATCTACCTTACTGAAAGAATTGCGTAGCTCGGCAGCAGATGAAGATATGTTTGCGGAAGTTGGACTCGCCGGGGGTCTCTCTCGAGCAGGCGTGCCTTGTTGTGTCGGACCATCCTCTGGAATCTTTGGTTCAGAAACATTCTCTTTAGGAGTTTCTCTTGTCGTGACAGCTGTGTTTGTTGACAGCGGCCGAGCACTTTCGCCTTCAACCGCTAAAGTAGTTTGTTTAAGGGCTGGAGACAATCGATTGTTGTATTTGTTAATAGGTGATGGTTGTTCAGTGGTTTCCATGATTGCGCCAGACGATTCCGTGTCAACATCTGCACTGCGAGGTGAAAGTTCATCATTATCTGGTTTTTTGGCTACAAGTGACAATGTATCCACATCGATTCTTGATATTGACTTCGGGCCAGAGGCCGAGTTCAATTCTGTTTTATTAACCTCACTGTCTCGTCTTTTGTCGAGCATGTGTTTCTCAGGCGGGGGCAACGAACGAGCCGGTGAGCCGACGGGGGTCGAAGCTTTCGAAAGAGGAGAACTACCAGAAGAGTCATCGCTCATCTCAACATTCATATCTATGTCATCGAGAGCATTTTCTTTTAAAGCAAGCTTTTGAATAGGAGATTCTTCCTTTGGAGATTCATTGCCTGTTTGCGGCAATGTGGAGGCACCGAAGCTTTTTTCGTCAAGAGGCTGCAGTACGCTGCTTTTTTTGATTTGAAAAGCGCTTTCCGGAATTACGAATTCACTGTTTCCATGAGCGCTAAAGCTGAACGCGTCAAAGCTGTCATCTATGATAGGATTTCTCGCTTCTGACTTGCCTTTTGGCGAGGGGTTATTGAAGTTGAACACTATGCTTTTAGTTGAATTGGTGTCACTGTCAATATCCTGATCCTCCGTCGAGGTGAGCCGCTGGTTTTGACGCAAACGGACTTTGCGCTTTGGGGAGTTATCGAGCTCCGTTGCAGTAGACGGCCGCTCTATCTGTTGCTGGTCACCTTCAACATCTGACCCATCGCTTGGTGCAGGACAACTCGTTTCAGGTAAGATCGAAGGCGTTAGTGAATTGGTATCACCTGCAGATGAGGCGGCGGTTAATGCTGATCCACTCGAGCCAGATGTCTTCAAGTTACCAGTCGAAGGAGGTGACATGCTCTTCGGCATCAGATCATGCGCAGTTGAAGAAATTGTGTCTTTACGGGGCCGACCTCTCGGACGCTTCTGCTTTATTTCTGTCGATGCACTATCAGCAACCTTGCGTGGTCTCCCTCTCTTTCGTTTTGTAACAGGTATGCCCTCGTTACTTAAAGCAACGCTGCCCTCATCGGTGGCCACTTCTTCAGCAGGTTTCTCTTTTCGGGGCCGCCCTCGTTTTTTGGCTTCCCTAATGACCATTTCATTACTTCCACGCGACCGCGGCCTACCACGCTTAATATCAAACTCGTCTCCTGCAGCATCCTGCTCGTACTTGAGTAGTTGCGATCCGAAAGTCTCGTAATAGTCGAGAGAAGGTATGAATTTATCGTTGCTACCGAAGCCTTCTTCGTCGAACCGCGTCTTCATTTGCGCCAAAGTCGCTGAGTTTGACATGATCTCGAAGAAATGACATTGGCCCCCATTCGAGCAAACAAAGTGTTCCCATTGCGGATCGTCATCTGCCTCCCAAGAGCCTATAATTTTGCTGCAATATATGCAATATGTGGCATCCGGGTGTTCTTCCTGGAGTTCTGGTGATGAAAGCCCCAAATCGTAGCGTAGAAGACCTGCCTCAGCCATTGATTTTGAAGAAATACGAGAGTTACTTTCGTGGATCCATCCCTCTTTGAACGTCCACTGTCGCAGCCGTATCATTTCCATATTATAAGGATCTCCCAATATTTGGTGCTGGGACCAATCAATGGGCTCATTTTTCCAGAAAGAGCGTACTAGAATGAATTTCAGTCTAGAATACAAACAAGTCTCCTGAGTTTGCAGATGATTCTCCAACACTTTCGTTAGCGTTGCAGTCATTGGTTTGCTTCTGCAATCGTGGAAATCAAAGCTATCTGACCCGCAAAAATTACACCTAACACAGTCCCTACTCAATGCCTCTCCTTTGAACTTTGGAGTAAACTCAAATCCCATTTGAGCCATTGCTTTCGTCGGAATCACTCGATATGGCCATGAACATCTTTTTCCCTGAATATGGTACGTTTGAAGGAAGGAACTGTACCTTTCTTGGTATGGATGAAATGCTACAACCATGCTGAACAAATAGAATTATTTGAAATCCCTGAGATGACCATTGAGGCTGCAGAATGGCTGGTTTTTGTTCAACTTTTCTTGAATTTGTCAAAATTAAAAGCTTGATCTAAGTATTGAAATATAAGCATCACACATATTAAACATATAATAGCCTTAACTATGGACAACGTCAAGTAGAATAGACAACTTTGGTTCAAAGACATAGACTATCAGACAAGAAACTTGATTCCATTGGAATTTTGAGATTTTATTGATATATAGGTTCATCCTTTTCAATTGTAAAGTGTCTTCAAGGCATTGAATTACAATGTTATTTTAGTGATTTTAAGACTGTCACTGGTGATAGCAGCCAACAAAATGTTGTGAAGGAGAGCTTCACCAAAAATTCATGATCTTTCAAATCAAAATTGCTTGAATATGGTATATTACTCGTCGCCATGTCACTCTCTGCTGTGTTTCGAGAAATTGGAATTCTAGCGAAGATGCCCGACACGCTTGTCAGCAAAATAGCATTAGGATAGCAAAGCAAGCTATGGTTAATAGAGAAATTCCGAATGTTTACGGCGTGATTTTACAACCAACTATACGCTGACTGGGATGACGCTGGACTGGATGTCACTGAAAAGATGACAGTTTGGATGCCATTGTAGTACATAGTGACGTCGGAGTTTTGCTGGTAACATTAATTTTGGAAGGTTCGGCATCAACACCGTTACTGGTCCAAATGTGGCTCCTTTTCGTGAATTCCACTCTTCTCGTTTGAATGCTTGAAGTCGTCGCTTTCCAAAAAGTATGTTGAATCAAGAGTTTTGCGAAGTTACACAGCTTGTATATACAGTTTGAATCTTCTGACCCGCTTGCAGTTTTGAAGTTAATGAAATTCTGATTAGTTTGAATGCTCCTAAGTGCAGTGTTAAGACCTACCTTACTCTGAGTCGTCTTCGTCTTCGGACTCGGCAGTCTGCAACCAGGTGATGAATGGCTTTGCGGCTCTACGAACCTTCTTTGAGACTTCCTTGGGCACAAACTTCTTGGAACATTTGGTACCAAACTTGATGATAACTTCTTCGGAAATGACGTCGTTGTTGTAAAGCTGTACCAAAATCTTGGGCAGCGCTGGTATCAGAGACTTATGTTCCAAACCTAGGAATCTTTCAATACCGCCCAAGAATTGATTTTCGAATTCCTCGGTCACGAAAAGCTTCTTGAAAAAAGCAGTGTGCTCAGAGATCTCCTCCACGATGTCTTCATCGAAAAGAGCTTGAGCAAGCACACAAGCCACTTTTGGTTCTTGCAGTAGGTCCAATTCCGAGGCTTTCTTATATAGATCCACATCAGAAGGGGTCTCGTCCTGTTTCAAGATCCACTCTCCGAATTCTTCTAGAGTAGAGAGCTCTAGATCTTCACCCTCAGCCGCGCGCAATTCCTTGGCACGAGCTCTAATGGCCTCTTCAGACATATCGACCGCCCACTCGTCGTTGTTCACGTCGATTTCTTCCAAACGTGAAGCAGCAGCATTGATTTGACGAGCTAGTTCGTCGTCGTCCGAGTCTCCGCCGTGGTCGTTTTCAGCTTGTTCAGCACTTTGGGTCGAGAACTGGGACTTACCCTGGGCAATGTCACTGATAGAAACACCACCACCACGAATGTTGGCCGAGGCAGTGGCAGCCTTTTTCTTGTTTTTACCCTCCATGGACTCAGGTGGGTTCTTTAGAATAAACGAAGACAACTTGTGTCTGAGGTCCATTGGCGTTCTTTTACCGCAGGCTTTACAGTTTCTGATCAAATCACCGTTCTTGGTAATCACAATCTCGGTTTCAGGGTTTTTGCAGCTTCCACACAAGACAAAACTGCTGATAAACTTGTCCAAGACATCTTGTAGCTTGGCTGGTTCGTGAGATCCATTCACCAAATATCTATCCTTGTCAACAGAAATACTGGTCTGCGCACCTAGTTCAAAACCGAAGTACTTGACGATGTATGGAGAAGGTCTGTTCAGAGCACGGGCCACGTCCGCAACGTTCAAAACTGCGGTTTTGATACCGTTACCTCTACCTTCTACTTTAGCCTGTAGAGGAGGCATTTTGTAACGGTAAAAAGGATCATTGTTGTCTCTGCAGATGTTGATGGACATTTTGGAAGGGTCACGGAGGTGTCAAAAGCGTTCAACTGTTCTAGATAGGTGGCGATCGAGTTGCGATTCACTTGATGTAGCCTTGCTTATTTTAAAATTTTTAAGAGATGAGACGTGTAGTACAAAGTGATACTCAAGAAAAGTGTATATAGATCTCAAATCATCAAGAGATGAGGACGCTAGAGCTAATGACAGCGTGAAGAAATGTCAAAGATCAATTGTACTGTGCTTTTGAGTGGCTGATGTGGTTTATTTTTTGCCAATTATTGCCACCATTTTAGTAGATTTTTGGTAATTCGAAGACCCTGATTGAGATCTTTCAGTTTCTGAAAAGATGAGAAAGTGTCATTTCGGATCTGTTCAGTTAAAAGAACAACGACGGTTGTGGGCCAGAAAGAAGCAAAAATTTTGAAATTTAATGGTCGAATGCAGACAGGAATTTTAGCCTTTTTTTCAGTACATTTTCGTCCTTGGAGGCTTAAAAATTCTTAAAAGATACTGATGGTGTCAGCGTTCAGCGACGTTGTCAAATAAAAAAATGGCAACTAACAGACTCACACGAGTGTTCCAGAAAGCTTCCAAACGACTGGAAATAAATCAAAAGCCGAAAAAATACAACTCAACAACTTAGATGCGTCTCAAAAGGCTTTTCCGTACTTACCATGGTTCTTCTATCATTTTGTACTAATCTGTCATAAACGACAGAGAGTTGATTTCTCGAACAATGGACGAAACTTCGTGGGCAAGTAAAAGTGGCAATATCACCCAAGAATTCGATCATAACGCTTGATTTCAGCGATTGTTTCTTTGTAGTTCCTTTTTCTGGTCATTTCAAAGACAATTGTAGTGCAATTTTCCACCAAAAAACACTCACTTTTAAAACTGCTGTTCGACATTCTGTTCCAGTCTGTAACACTTAAAAAAATATAGAATCTTGTAGAAAGGTGGATCTCAAAACCTCTCAATCGAATCTCAACTACACGCTTGTTCGTGAGGTCGTAGATTCTGCTTCGAAACAAGGTCAATTGAAACGAATTTGCAAATCAATATACCTAGCATCACTAGCATCATCTAGAATCAGTTACAACAGGTCATCGAAACTTTCCAACTAGCGAGATTGAGCCATGGAAATCATCAAACAGCGTTATTTGGCTATTCAGTCCACCAAGCATTACACTCAGATTTCCCCCGAGGAGATTGTTGCGCTATGGACGCAACTGAAAGCCTTCCTTGGTGCAGGTAGCTGTCCTATGAGTGAAATCGAATATATGTCGTTGACGCACATGCTGTTCGATCTATCGATCTACGTGGACAAAGATGTTGAGGCCGAAACAATATACAAGACGTTCAAAGACCGTTTCGGGCCCAACTCACCCTATCTCTTCGTCATGAGAGCCACCATACTGCAAGTTAACGAAGGTGACCAAAAGGCCGAGAATTACTTGCAGAGACTGCTCGACGAATATTTGGATGACGAAACAGATATTGTTGCCTACCCTTTGATCAACAAAAAGCTTTTGGCGGTGCAACGCAAATCGTCGTCCACCGAACAATATATTTCGAAACTTTTAGAATTTGTGGAAAAGTTTCCGGTGGACGCAGAGGCTTGGTACGCTCTAGCACAAAGCTACGTCCAGCTAGGCCAGCTCAAACAAGCCGCTTGCTGTCTGGAAGAAGTAATTTGCATTTCCCCATTCAATTACGTCGTCTTCGCAGGGCTTGGTGAGATACTCTTTTACAGCGCAGGAAAGGATAACAAAAACAAAAAGGCTCTCATGCAACAATCACTGAATAACGCTCTCAGAAGCGTAGAGCTGTCGGAACTCTATGTGAAGGGATGGGCTGTTGCAGCAATGTCGTCTAAGTTTTTGGACAATTCCAAAATACTACAACTTTCAAAGAAGAAACTGAAAGAGATTACAGAAAAGGGCAACACAATTGATGCCGCTACCGCAAAGAAGATTCTTGAACACATATAGCACTGGTTTGCGTAACAACTATTTCAAGAAACTAAAGAATAAGAACGAGAACCAAAACCAACTTTAAGTAATTAAAAAATGAATGAATGTGCTTACTTACTTTCCCTGTTATAATTGTAAAACCTCGCATTCTCGTTTTACAAGTGATAGTTGCTGGACCACCCAATTGCTGTCCCTCAAAATCGCTTTCGGATCCCGCGATTGTCCCGCCTTATGTCTATTGAGCACGGCTTTGTAGTCGCCCTCGTGTTCCTTGTACTCTCTCACCACCTTATTTTCGTCAAATTCCACGTATACTCGTGTGTCGTAGACTCTAAACAGAACCCCGTCTACCCTGAGGAAAAACCTGCTGAGAATAAGGGCTCGTTCACTCATGACACGCACCTTGACGCTCACCACGCTGATGCCATTATCTGCTAGCTCGTCTTCAAACAATATCATTTCGTCGTAAAACAGAATGGGATCGGGCCGCGCCAGCTTATCGAGCGGTAAAACCTCTGCATCATTCGAAGTGGGCACATGTTGTGTATTTTGAGCGTTCACGGTTCCCTTGTAGCATGTCGTGTAGGTCCAGTCGTAATGTTGGCCTATTTGCAAAGAACGATCGTCTAATTCTGAGTTTTTTTGTTGTTTTTTCTTGGAGTCGATCCACTTGTGTGCGTAAGAGACGCGAATCCCAGAGTCTTCAATTTTGACGGCTTTCAGGGCATCCAGCGCGTTGAACTCTATACTCCAGTTGTGTTTTGCATTTTCGATCCTCACAAAGCTATTTCCAAAAATCATTTCTGGTAGTGCTAGCGGACCAAGAATTTGTTCCCACTGCTCCAGTTCCTGCGAGTTGAGTATTGGCTTTTTCCGCGTAGTGATTACCCAGTCTTCCACGGATATCGATGGTGTGTCTTCTGCTGGTAAAGATGCAATGGGTGCTGGAATTATCACCGCTGAGCAGTGAGCACAGCTAGGATTTTTTGGATTGTTACACTTGTGGCGTGGCTTGGCCGATCCTGGTGACCCCATAGCCCTTATAGTCTCCGAAGCTATCGCTGAAGTAGCATTGGTGTCCGAATTAGGCTGGGGACGACTCTGAGGGTTCCTGGCCCTCACCGTTTGGGCAAAAGCCTCTCGCGCTTGGTTCACCTGAACAACATTAATTCCGGGCCCTGTGGAACGCTTACTATCCATGACACAGAAAAGTTCTCCCGAGCACACCAAAAATGCAGAGATTACCAAGTCCAACTATGATACAAGAATCGCTTGGAAAGGGAGTAGTCAAGAGGTTATCTGAAGGAGATCTTCTGTAGCCTTAGAAAATATGTTAATTTGAACGAATATTAATGATTTAATGCGTAAACAATGATATAAACAGCACCACGTGACTATCATGTGATGATTATTCATTTTGGTGAAATCATTAATTACATCCATAAATGTCAGTTTAAAGAAGTTATCCATTATCTTCTTCTACATCTTTTTTGACTGGAGGGACCATCGCTTAAGGTTACCATCGCATCAACCATGATCTATCGACAGCGGCTAATAAGTGTTCTTGCTGCGATATCAATTATTGGCCTTTGGGTCTTCTTCTCTTCCCAGAACCTTTCATATACGACATACAATGACATTGGCGAGACAGCCGAAACTGGCAAAGAAAACGCGAAACCGGTTCTTAAGGACACTCAACTAAGACTACCGTCGTCGATTATGCCGTCTATGCCAGATCAACAGGCAAAGGAAGCGCTTGGAAGAGCCTCATGGAAATACTTTCACACGGTTCTAGCACGGTTTCCCGATGAGCCAACTACAGCAGAACGAGAGAAACTGGATCAATTCTTAAGGCTTTACGCAGAGTTGTATCCGTGCGGCGAGTGTTCTCAGCATTTTGTTAAAATGCTGGCGAAATGGCCACCCCAGACGTCTAGCAGGACGGCAGCAGCGCTTTGGGGGTGCCATATGCACAATCGTGTAAATGAGCATCTAGGGAAGGACGAATATGACTGTTCGAACGTCTTAGAAGGCTACGACTGCGGGTGTGGGGGTGAAGACGGCAAGATCAGGCCTGATCTGCAACTCAACAAGGTTTCTTTGCAAAAGGAGGCGAAACAAGGCGGTTGATTAAACCTGGGTAGTAGAAGAAGAAGAAGAAGAAGAAGAAGAAGAAGAAGAGGAAAAAAACAAGGTTCCATAAAGCGAGAAAAGATTATCGAAAATATAGCGTATGGTAGCAATTGCAATGTGGGATGCGATTTGCTGCTACATCAGTGTACAGCAGGTACTGTCAGTGGAGCCTGGTTCGCGATGCGCACGTCTATGTAAGTTAGAAACATTGGTTCGGTGGGGGTTCGAGCCTGCCATTGGGTACCCCCAGATTTCAGGGATGGCGTAGTCCTTGTGGGACGTTGCGTAGTCTATAATTGACAGGCATGCGTTGGAAGCCGTGATTCTTTCTCTTGCCAGCTCTTCTTTCAGCTTGCGATTGAGTTCATTGATTCGCTTCAATTTCAGGCTTTGAATTCTAAGCTGGACGTCGTGATCTTCCATGTGTGAACAAAAGTGCTGAGAGCTGGCCTGGCTTGCAAGTTTGAAAGATGCTACTCTGAGCTCTATATGCGATGTCTATGTTTGTTGCAGCGATATATTGAATTAGGAGTGTGACAGTATGTTTGATAGCTGAATCACGAATTTTTAGGGTTTGAGACGAACGGGAGATCATTGCTTGACTGTAACCTCAAAACCTCAAGTCTTTATGTAATCACTATGGGATTCAAGATCAGGTTATAATCAGGACACAAGGGCTTATTTTGAAGATGCTTGTTTGAGTAGAAGCCTACATGCCGTCGCTTAGAGGCGTGTATCGAAGTATTGATAGGTTTATGTATGGTAGAGACCTGACGACAGCGATCAAAAGGGAATTCCAGAAAGTTACTGAAGAGAGACGATTTTCTAGAGGAAGAAGGGTCCAGTGACACTGTGGTTGCTAGACTCTCAGTGATTCTTTCCAATGAAACGATTTTCACAGAATCCAGGTGGTTGGTCCAGTCAATGTTTTTAGAGTTTCAGTTCCAAGACGTTAATGACGAAAAAGTAGAAAATGACCAAGAGAAGAAGAACAAGATATGAAAAGCAGTTTGTTGTTAAAGAAAAAGTTGAAATAATGGGAGAATTGCTAGTTTGAATGGCAGGGAACTAGGGTCGGATAAACCGGTTTGTCCCTAGTTATTTTTATATCAGAGCGATCGGTGAAAAAAAATAGAAAAGAGTTGAGGAAAAAGAGGAGCATAGACCAAAGAATTATGGGGCCACTAGAGAACGGTGGCCATATTTGACTTAAGGAAAAGGTGGGTTCCAAAAGATGGAAAAAAGTTGGCGTTGTAAAAACACAGACTTCCGTGGGTCACGTGGTAGCACTTTGTACGACAAAGAAGTAGAGTAAAATAAAGTATCGCTTTCGACGGATAACCCGTTGCATCACGGGAATATATGGGGGTTGAAGGAATCCAATAAATGCTTGGAATTGCCACCCATCGGGCGGCAATATAAATGTGAAATAATAGAATAGATATTCAAATATTTTAGGATTGGGAAATGACACTTCCATCGTCAAAAGTGATACTCTACAGACAGCATTTATTTTTGGGCTTACAAAACTGGCCAGATAACACCGCTTATGGAGTCGTTTCCTGGACTATGTATTTGTCGGAACCAAATTGAATAAACCAAAATAAAATGGAAATTTAGAATTAGTCACGTGACACATTGTAAAACTTCAAATTGCACATCAAACGTACGTGTACGCATGCTCCCATAACTGGAATCCACACTCAATGCTCCCCTCCCTACTCCCTACTCCCTACCACTTTGAAATCATCTACCTAGATCATGGGCCCGTTCAAATCGTATATCACTACATACGGCGCGCATACACACACACACTTAGTCTAATAGTATTACAAATCTCGATATTCCCCCATACACACTCTCTTCCCTCCAACATGGCAACAACACACCACGACTCCACTTCCAGTCAGTCTTTATCCACAACGCAATGGAACACCCAGCATACACATTAGCAGCTCTAACCACTTTGGGTGGTGCCATGGGATTTGCCCGTAAGGGTTCCAAGCCTTCGCTTTTGGCAGGGCTCGCGTTTGGAGGTATTTACGGCTACGCCGGGTATTTGCTGAGCAAGAACGCAGACGGTGGGTTGGAAATCGCACTAGGTGCCAGTTCTTTGATGTTGGTTACTGGGATTGCCAGGGGTATTCCATCACGGTTCAGGAAGCCCGTTCCATTGGTTTTGACCGTTTTGGGTGGTTTGGGCACCGCTTACTACGCTAAGAAATACAAGGAATTCTATTAAGAAGAGGGAACACAACAAAGTATTTCACAGTAGCAGAGTTTCGAAATGAAAAAAACATCAAATTGTTTAAATGCCATACGTATCGTATCATGTACATAATGAATGAGGGATTCTCAGATTGTCCCCCATGCTTCCTTCTTTTTGTTTTGCTTTCTCTTTGATATTAGGAAAGACTTGTGGTTGTGGTTTGTTTTTTTGTTATCCGAACCTGAACACCGCCCGCGATGAGGAAGAAAAGAGCTGTCTTTAGTTCTTTCTGGCTGCTTCCAAGCTGGCAGTGCTGTTTTTTCTGCTGGCAGCTGGAGAAACTGGCGAAACAGATGGGATAACGAAAGGAGCTGAGATTTCAGAGGTCAATACTAGAAAAGCCATTTTGTGTGTGTAATGTGGGTGTGGGTGTGGGAGTGGGAGTGGGAGTGGAAATATATGCTAAGCTGTTAAGACAGATAGTTGGTTGATAACAGGGATCGCTAAGGGAAGACTGTAATTGTTGATGGATTAGGATTACAAGTATAATAATCCCAATGCAGTTCTTCCTCACCAGTGGTTGTTCGTGCTGCTTTTATATCATTCCAAACTGTGGTCGGCTGTGTACCAGCGATCATGACCGATGACCGATGACCAATGACCTAAACATCCGCCTCCCATCCGCCGCTGCCAAACGAACACCCAGCAATAAAGGTGGTCATGCCTTCATGACCCACATCACCGTCGAACAATTAGGAATTATAGCCCATTAATCATTACCGTCGCTTATTCGTGACCAATGCAGGGAACGGATGTCTCGATAAGCCTTCGGGTTTCCGTGGAAATCGTGATCACATCGAACAATACAGAATTCACAGCGGGATTGGTGGTGAAGTCACTGTTTTTGATCGCAGTTTATCAAGCGATTGTTCGATGAGTAGTTTGGGCTTATGACGCCTTAGTTCTGGTAGCACAGTTGAGTCATCTGTCATGACGATACACGTGATGGCTTTTAGGAGATAGGAGGCGGATTTTAGGAACGAAGGAGAAAGAAAAAAATTTAAGCCGCGCGCGTGACCCGCGCGCTGTTTAATGTGCGCGAGGAAAGCACTGTTGACGGGGTGTTAGGTAAGCAAATGGCTACAAGCATAGTTGTGAACAGTAGAGATGGCTAAAGCACAATTGAACAACAGATCGCTGACTCCCAAAGTTGGACGATTGATAGCATCAAATATGAATTGCTTCGATCAGTTGTCGATCTCTCATGCCTAACCTTGAAAAATGACAACTGAAGGACCAATTATCAGCGATCAATTACTCGATTCTTCTTGTAGGTCCTTCTTTGCAAAACCAATAGCTGACGTTCCCACTCACTTGGCTGTGATAATGCCATTGATATCATTCCAACTGGTCGTAGACACTGTGCTTGAGACCATCTTTGCTGTGCATACCTGATGGTGACGCTCCCGATCTTTCAGCTTTGAAAGCCATTCACACAAGTTTCTGAGGCTCTCAGTTTTCAACTGCGCTTTAGCCATCTTGACTTTTCACAACTGATCGCTGACACTCTCAATTGTTCAATTGTTCAATTGTGCTTTAGCCAGCTCTACTGTGCTTATCACCATCTCTGCTGTTCACAACTGATTGCTGAAGCTCCCAGTTGTTCAATTGTGCTTTGACCATCTGGACTTTTCACAACTGATCGCTGACGCTCTCAATTGTTCAATTATGCTTTAGCCATCTTGACTTTTCACAACTGATCGCTGACGCTCCCAGTTGTTCAATTGTGCTTGCTCTCAGTTTTCAATTGTGCTTGGACCATTCCTGGAAATGCATTCGTCTTGCTCACCACAAGCGCACGATTAGAATGCGACAAATAACCCTTAACATAACCCTTGGCAATCAGATTCGCCAAGACACATTCAGTGCTGTCTAGCGTGGCCTCAGACACTGATTCCCGGTGTCGATTGTCCAGACGACTCTCACTATACACGAGCGCACTGCTAACCAGTCGTAGCGGCACAATTGGGCCCGTTCTTGTGATTTCCAGCGTACGTTTCACCAGTTTCCGCACGATAAGCTCCCGTATTGCAACTAGGGCCACAAACAGGTTGCGTCTCAACAGCATGGGCTCATTTGCGTTAAGCCACTTCTCGTATTTCAGTAGATCGCCGTTCCGTAAACATTCAACCACGGGACGGTAGAACTCCGCCACGGCAGGACAAATTGATCTCAGTGTTGCAAGGTCCGGGTACCATCTGCGCGCCAGCACCGCAAAAGGTATCAGCAACACACAAATGGCATTTTCCTGCCTGCCCGCGCGCCTTCTTGACGCCAGCCATGCTTTCTGAGCGAACAAAAACCCGCGTTCGTAGTCCATTTCGTAACATCCAAAGTATCTAGCCATATAATGGTAATACGTGACCAGTTGCGCCTTGTGAGCCCACAAAGCCTGTTCAGGCGTAGGCAATTCTGCAGCCCGACTCTCGATCACTTTCACCAAATTTCGAATCATGTCGCCGTTGTGGAGCTGCTGGTAGATGCGTAGCTCCAGATTTGTGAAGAAATAAACCCCCCATTTCTTATTTTCCTGTGCAACCGGATTGCGGTCGTTGAGACACAATTTGAAGCTTGTGTGGATGGTCCTAACGCATTTCTCCAAGTACTTCTCTTCCTCCAGGTCTCCCTTGGATCTTTGCTTCGTTTTTTGCTTACTGTCTGAATTGTTGAATTCGGTTTGCTGATCGTCGAGCTTCGTGCTTATTTTCAGAAGTTGTCTAGCGCTAATCCAGAGTGGTCCTGTAATCCAGGCAGTTTCTCCATCTGAAAGTCTATTCAAAAGTTTCAATTGTTCGTTGCACAGCTCAAAGAGCCGCGGAGTGACCTGCCCCGCCGCATAATGGCTGGCATATTCTCCTTTCAGTTCCAATGTGCATTGGATTAACTGAACCAGTTTGTCGTCCCGGACATATTTCAGGTCTAAGTTTCCACCCAATGGCGCCGAATCAAACCTCAAAAATTCGACCAAGTAGAAATCAGAGTAGCCGCTTTCGAAACATTTCAAAACTGCATCCATTGAGGCCTGATTGTGATCTCTTAAGACCCTAGATTGTCTTGCTTGGTTGAGCTCATGTTCGGTTGTCTTTGGTGATTAGAGCTCTTTATTGATGAGATGAGATGCCCAATATGTATCGCTCTGTACGAAACCAAATTTCCAGATCTCGAGACGACAGTGTCCGTTGCATATGAACAATAAAACAATGCATTTTATACAGCGAGATGCAATGCAGTTGAATATAATTTCCAGTGCTTGCCTTTTCATAGAAAGTAGTGGCAATTTACCTACATCTGCCTTTTTTTCTGAAAATTAAAATTCTCGAAAGATCATCGAGTGACCTGAAACCGAAAATAATCAGCATTACTAGCGAGAAACTACCACAAAAAACTTGACGTATTATTTCAATGCTTGTGGTGCGCTACATATGTCACCAATTTCAACCATTGGTATAATTTGTCGAATTCTCATAACACGTGACCAGCGCCAGGTTTATTTGTTTGTTTACATCTCCAGTGATGATGATGATCTGAATACCGAAGATCCAGCCTTTACAGCTTTTTGAAAGAAGTTAGCAGATAGAATCATCACCAAGGTTGAAACGCCATTCTTTTATATATTTCCATAGCTTACTGTATATAGTACCCTCTCACCAAAGTTCAAATCTTTTCAAACGCTCACTTTTTGATGGATTGAACAACATAGAAGTGTACTGGTATAACAATGTCGAAACAACGAATCATCAGCGAATCGACAGGATTATACAAGTTATCGATTGTAAATAAGCAAAAAGATCAGGAGAATGATTGCGGGAATGAGGAGACTACCAGCTCAGTATTAGAGAGTCCCAGAAGGGGACTCCCAATCTCATCACCGGTGAGATCACCTGCAAAATGCGCTTCTCCGGTTCAGAATAGCCCTTCCAGAGACACAGTCTCAGTGGAAGCCACTCGTGAAAAGCTGTTTTATGAACTGGCATCGAAAAGAAGAAACGTCATGGAATTGAAACAGCAATTGCTTAGAGCAGAGCAAGAGCTGGAAACCTTGGAGCTACAGTGTAAAGAAATTAACGAACCAGAACGAACCACAGGCTCACCGGATAAACTTCACAAGCTTGCATCGCGTTTCCAACAAACCTTGGACGAAGTTAACAGCAACTCAAGGGTCATCAAAAGCAAGCAGAGCATTGGGAACTTTTTCCAGTCTAGAAAGATGGGCAATGAACAAGATTTACCGTCTAATACACAAGAATCAACAAGCCAATCTCCTTTTGCGAATAAATTTCGAAATATGCGAAATTCGGATGCCCCTCCTGCATTTTTCGATAAACTCATCAACAAATGGCAAAGCTTCACAGTGAACGAGGAAGACGAGGACGCATTTGATAAAGACCGGCCCACAGACAAATTTTATATCAAGAGTAAGTTAGATTATGACGAGGACGAAGAAATCACCTCTGAATCTGATGATGCTTCCCAGCTGAGTAACCTGGGCGAGGACGCGGTCGTGTCAACATACAAAAGGGACCACCAGGTCAACAACATTATATAAAGAGAAAGAGAAAAAAATAGGTGGGAAACGCAGCGACTAGTCTTTGGGCAGATTTATCATAGTTTTAATTATTTCTATTTCTTGTTTAGTTTTCATGGATCGTTCCTATTTAATGTGTAAGCCACATGGATCACCTGCTGAAAGTATGGGCAACAAAGGCCTGAGTGGCTTTCAAGGCTTCGTATTTGACCTTCGAGTCGGGATGGTTTAGCAGCTCCATGATCAACACTTTGCCGTTTAACTTAGCCAACACATCCACACTTTCGGGCAGCAACTCCACAACGTGCGTGATGTCGCTCAAAGCTACTTGCAAAGCTATCTTGGTAGACGGTTCGTTATTTGGAACGGTCAAAATGGCCACAAGTTTCTTGAACAACTTCCAGTTATCGTCCTTGAATTTATCAATGTTTTCCGACCAAAAGCCATTGTCAACATGAGGTGGGGACCAAACCAGCAATTTGGAGTTGACTTCTGCTTCATACTCGTCGAAGGATGTCAATTCTTGATAGGTTTTCTCCAATAGTTCTTTCAAAGTAGACAAGTCTTGGCGCAATTCATCGTCCGAGTATTTTCTCTCACTGAGAGATTGTAGGATTGGCAAAGCATTTCCGAGCAATAGAAGTTGACGGATTGTCGCCTTGTTGCCCTTGACATGAGGAGCAACACAGTTGAGAACGATGGCAACACATAACCTCGACAACTTTTCCTTGATCGTGATCTTGACAAGTTTCAACAAATTGAGGAAATCGCTGAGGTACTTGGAAGTGAATTCGGAAGAGATGCAATGATCAAAGGTGAGGAGCCAGAGGGTCAATAAGGAATAATACTGCACTTGAATGCTCAAGTTGTTACTGTTGGTAGGAGCGACTCTTGAAGAAGAGTTGGAATCGAGGGCGTTCCGAAGAACACCAAGAAGGGTGGGCATGAAGGAGCTTTGGGCAGACCAAACGATGGTTCTGTATTCTTGCAACGCTGACAATTCCTGCAATAATCTGATGCACACATAGCTAGTGTCCATATGTTCGGTATTTTGGAGGACTGCTACGAAGCGTTGGTTTGCAAGCAAAGATGCCACCAGATCTGGGTTGTGCAAACCCGGCTGAATCAACAAAGATACCACGTTGAAGCTGGAAAGCAGAATGGACTGGTCGTCACCCGAGACTGACGCTTCGAAAAGATCCACCAAGGCCCGAGGGTTGTTTATGAAATAGTCAAAGGCCGCGTCTGCATATTCTTCTGACGAAAGAAGCTCTGCAAGCAAGTTGTGCACGAATTTTTTCACTTCTGCGTTTTGCACGGTTTGTATGATATGGATAGCAGCTGGGATGCTTTCTGCGGGCGTGATGGCGATTTTGGAATGCTTGATCAAAGCACTTTCAAGTTTTTTAGCAGATGCAGCATCTTTTTCGCTGATCTCGGCGGTTCTAGCCAATGCATCCCATGCAATGGACCGGGACCTCACGGTGCTGCGAATGTCACTGAAATGTGTGCTATCCAGTAGCAACTTTGCGTGTTTGGAGACGGTCATGAACTGTTTTAATGTTGTCAATGGGCTTGAAGGAAGCCTCAGCAAACTAGCTATTGGTGGTTTCAAATGAACTAGCAGACTCTACGAGTGCTTTACTTTGACTTGTGGGTAAGGTTCAACATCTGAGTGTCGTATCGCTTAAATTTAAGAATCTCCCTTACTATAGGAAAAAATAGAGCGGTACAAGGGAGGGTAACCGCTGGTGAAATAATAATTAGAGTCACGTTATGAAAACGATGAAAGAAAACGAAAGTGACAGTGGGAAAGATGAAAAGATTGAAGCACTTTCGAGTTTAAATTATTATGGAAATATACTGTTGAATTTGATTTTGGTTGGTAGTTATTCATTGATTACAGTTTTTTTGCCAATTTTTTGGTGTTGAAAAATCGAATTTTTGTTTTTATTTGAAAAAAAAGGGTGGGTAAGAGAGCTAGTCGGAAGTTACTTTATGGATGGACATGATGGTATCTGGCTTGTAGAAATGACCGTCTTATGTACTTTTAAGATTCTGTCGTTGAGTACCGTTTAAGTGATCGTTTTTGACGTAATATAGAAATTATATCGTATCTACTAGTGTAAGCTCTACACGTCTGGCTTCAACTAGCTAAAGGGGAAGGAGGGAGGTATGTGAAATCAGCCACAGGTATCATAAACGAGGATTGGCTGTTTCGAGTCTCGGTTTTTTCTCTTTTTGTTCAATTTGGCACTGTTTCTGGAAAGTTCTACAGCAATTGGAGTGATTTACATGTGCGGATGAATTATGGCGAATACACTAGATTGGTGGTGGTCGAAATCACTAGTTTCGGGTTCTAATGGCCATTTTTCGGAGTTTCGATAGTGACCTGGAGTGTTTTTCCAGCTGCGACAGTATAGTACATAGTGATCTCAGTATTGAAATTTGCACGGTTTGGGTAATGTACAGCTTAGATTAAGATACAAGTAGTGGGGAGACACCAGCACTGGTTTCGCGACTCATGTACCTCTCTGCAGAGCTTGAAATAACGGAGTTATCTCTAGATCAAGATTCACCGCCATTGACGGTCACGTGATACATGTCCCTATCAGAACTATCCTTAGCAATAAGACCGTACTAACGAATTAAGGCTAGTCGTTTTGTTTCAGAAATTCTAGCGGGCCACCATACAAAAATACTTGAGAATCACATTTTCACATTCTAAACCATAACGCACTATCGGCGTGAGAAACTCAAATCATGTTTCACGGTAACCTTACAATCACCCAAAAAGATCAAATTGATCTTATACTTAATTCTCCCGTACTGGCAATTCACGTTCGGCAGAAGATGCCACCTGCATTACGCTTGTACCGTTCTTCCCACCGTTCTTGAACGCTAATCCGGGTTGCACCATAGTGTGTCTGTTTGTAAATTTTCGTGTCTATAAAATATTGTGTTCTTTCGCTCTATACCTGGTTTTCATGGAAACCATGGCACGGATACTAGCTTTATTTATTGTCTATGTAAATAGAAGCGATCTCCAGGATCCTAATGTACAACTGCGGAGTTTTTATGCTGCAACCCTGACTGAGAACAACACAGCCATGGTTGGTTTAGTTTAGTTTTGTTTTGTGTGATTTTGTTTAGTTATTATTCAAGCACTTTCCCTCTCGTATTCCTTGGTCATGTTAGCGTTGTCAATAGCACCGCAAACAGTTTCGCAGATAATACCGGTGACCAAGTAAGGGTCGATGTTGGAAGCTGGTCTTCTGTCTTCGAAGTATCCGTAGCCTTCCTTGGCAACAGATCTTGGGATTCTAACAGAGGCACCACGGTTGGCAACACCAGACGTGAAGCTGGTCACGGAGGCGGTTTCGTGGCGACCGGTCAAACGCATATCGTTATCGGCACCATATAGCTTGATGTGTTCGACGTGTCTCTTGCTTAGCTTTTCGATGGCTTCCTCGATGTACTTCATACCACCTGGAACACGCATCTCCTTGGTGGAGACGTTGGTGTGACAGCCTGCACCGTTCCAGTCGCCGGCCAAAGGCTTAGGGTGGAGCGAGATCTTGACGCCAAACTCTTCAGAGACTCTGGTCATGAGGTAACGGGCCATCCATAGCTCGTCACCCATTTCGATACCGGTGCAAGGACCGACTTGGAATTCCCATTGCGATGGCATGACCTCGGCGTTGATACCGGCGATTCTGATGCCAGCATACAGACACGCACGGTAGTGGGCTTCGATCACGTCACGGGCGTACACTTTGCCGGCACCAACACCGCAGTAGTAAGGACCTTGGGGTGCTGGGAACCCGTTAGTGGGCCAGCCGTACACCTTGTCTGAGGCGTCAAAGAGCGTGTACTCCTGTTCTAGACCGAACCAGATGTCAGCAGCACGGTGGGCTTCGAAAAGCTTGGCGGCCTCGTGACGGTGGTTGAACTTGTTTGGGGTACCGTCGTTGTTCCAGCACTCTGCTAGGACCAACACGTTGTCACCACGACGGAAAGGATCTGGGTAGAACGCCACGGGTTTTAGGTACACGTCTGAGTCGTGGCCGGGCGCCTGGCCCGTTGACGAACCGTCAAAGTTCCACTCTGGAAGCTCGTCCACGCTGGTGACGGGTTTGGACAACGTGCGGCCCTTGGACCGCACGTTTCCAGAGCCGTCGATCCACACGTACTCGGCGATCACAGATCCGCGTTGATCTAGGTCTAGATATTTGGCCAAAATGGCGGTTTTTTCAATGGTAGGGTCGTTGGTAGCCATTTTTTTTTATGAGGGAGAAATTTGAAAGTGAGCTTTGGGTTTAGTTAGCAACACAAGTGCTTTTTCTAAAGTCTAGAAGGCTTTGATTGCTACTGACACGTATTTCTACGAATCTTAATAGTCTTTCCTAGCTTTGATCTCCGGATGCTAATTCTTGTCCCTTTTATACTCGCCCTGGGGGGTCTGGCCCAAAGAGAAAAGTTTCTGTCGCTGACGTAATCATAAACACAGTCCCACTGCGTTAATTCTTTCTCCTGGCTGATAAGAAATGAGTTGTTTATGTGCGTGATGCAAAAACTCAAAATCAAAATACAAAAACACGAAATCACGCGCTCGGGCGCGATAAGAAAGGGGAAAAAGAAACGGGGTGGGTCGGTTTTGAGGCGCAAGTACGCGCGAGTACTCTCGAGTACTCTCGAGTACACGGCGTGCTATGTAAGCGATGGGGCGCGTGTGGAAGGGCAAGAATGAAGAAGATACGTGTGAGTGAGATGTCAACAGTGTGGGTAGGGCATTTTACGCGTGTGGTAATCTATAGCGGTGTGTATGTGTGTGTGTGTGTGTTTTTATTTGTTTATTATGTTCAAGTTGTTCAGACCAGATAGCCTTTTTGGTTAGATGCCGTGTTGTACTTACATGTCAGGTTCAGTTGTGTCAAAGGGGCCTTTAGTACGGCAGATGTGTGATTAATTGGTGGTTGGTGAAATGACGCGTAAAAGGAGGTACTCGTGGGTATAGGAATGACTCGCGCGCGAGTACATGGGGGCAAGCCAGTTGGGTGGCGGAGTCAAAAAAAAAAAAAAAAAGTGTACACGAAATGATACGGTGGGGAGTCAAAAAAAAATACCTTGGGGGAGTGATACGCCGGGGGTGATAATACGCTGGGATGATATGTGGTGATACGTCGAGGTAGCATGATAAAGTGGTGATACGTTAGGATAATATATCAAAGTAATATTACGATATAGTAGTATGATATAGCGGTATTACGTTAAAGTAGTATGATATAGTGCTAATACCTTCGGCTGATATCATTAGGTGATGGGAATACTTGTCCGATGGTAAAACCTTTAGTATGTTGAAATGATACTATGATTCCCTATGTGAAGCAGATCGTAGAGAATCATGCATGTAAACACTGTAGGGGCAGACACTCTTGAGAGAACCGCTATGGATTTGGAAATCGAGATCATATGATACGAGGAACATACGTTCACAATGATGTAAGAAAAGAAGATGGGAATGGGGTGGTGTCACGTGGTAGTGTACTCGCAGCCAGCGGGCAGTACTCGTGTTAAAACCGTTACGTATAATCATCACTCTGATCTATCATAGCGATAACCCACACAAAAGGGCTGTCTCGCCTATCGGCCCACCCGTTAGAAAGATTCCAATGACATTCTTTGCAACCGCGCTTAATCTCCGTGCATATCCAACTTCCCTTCCTTCTTCTTCTTCTCCAAGCCGCAGCTTCTGGCTAGCGCCGGTGCGATCCCGTTTCGTACAGCACTCTAACTTCTTTCCACCCCCCAGAATCGTGCTGAGCCTTTCTTCTTCCCCAACCGGCGATGGTGCGACTTGAAACGCGAAACTCGAAGCTCGAGACTCAGATCCTAGTGCATATCTTATGCAGGGTCCCCTGTTGTCCCGGCTACAGCCTCGAGCTATCGGTCGGTAATTTGTCTAGATCGCTTCGTACGTCCCCGCCATACCCTATCATCCCAGAACTGCATCGCGTCACCACTTCGCAAGAAACACCATCTCATCAGTAAAGGCCAAATGCTGCTCTAAGCAAGAAACAATCGCTGGTCTCGGGTGTAGAATAAGCCGTTTGCGCGCTATCATACCGATTGACATGTAAAATTGTTCGAATTTCGTTCTTCTAATCTTCGCGTGGCCACTGAGGTCACCCGTTACTTATAGAGCGACCAAATTAACGAGCTGATACTCTCAACCTGTAGTGAAAAAGCCTGGCCATTTGGTATTCCTACTATGTGGCGACGTGTGGCGATATTAAAGCCCCTGGGTATTTTGCGACCCGCAGGATTCGAACGAAGGACATTTTTGGAAGGGCCAGAAATCCTCGTTCTGTCAAACATTGTATCTTTCAGCACTGTGACGGCACGCTAGCTGCTGTGCATACACCGCGCCATTTTGGAAAGGTGCCGAATCCTACATTTATATAAAGAGAATGGTTACCACAGTGTGCGAGGCTTGAAGTCTTGGCTTCAACATATGTTCTGGGACGCTAGAGATCTTGCTTTGATCAACGTGGTGTATAATTTGCGCTGAAATAAGACACCATAAGTCCACCGCAGAACTATGAAATTACGGCAAACATGATCTACGAAGAGGTGCAGTAAGAATATTGCGTCAATCCACGGAGAGTAGAATGAATTTGACAAAAGCGATTTTTGTGGTATTCGAAAAAACCTCTACGCGAACCACAAATTTGGAATAGCTTTTGGTGTATCTACACCAAATCATCGAGTCGTCTTTCCCGTGGTGACTTGACCTAACCTCTTGCATTAGATGCCAACCTTACGAAGGACTTTTTCAACTCGATCTTATCATTGTATACGAAGACGACAGTCCCAAATTGGAAATAAAGTTATCCTGCTGACCTAAGCACATGCTTCTAAACGTCACAACGGTACATAGTGACAAGAAAAGAATCACTGGGATTTTTTACCTGTGAAAGGTCCGTCGTTTTCGAACGCCAAGCATATCTCGTTCACAGTCTGGCTGACTTTCACAGCCACCCTGGCATTGCTAAGTTCTCGAGCATTTTGCACTGCTAAACTGACTGGCGTGATGTAAAGCATCGCATGACATGGTACCGCACGGCACGGCACGGTATCCTACAGGCATTATTGCAATAAACATTGCTTCCGTCGTCTTAAATGCTCATGTACTCACGTGCTTTCAAAAGATCAACACCCGTACACCGCATCCATATTCAATTATTCCCACAGTCTCTTCTAAGCTTAATGGCAACAGCAATCACAAGACCTCGAGGAAATGCAGGGGTCACATGTCTCTTCCTCGGTTTCTTCTAGGTTGCTTTCTTGACTGCGTCAAATGCTCCACGCTGGTTTTTTTTACTTTGCTTTGAAAGAATAGCCTAGAAACTCAACGTAGCAGCCGTTGCAGTGGCACAAAAGTATTGCTAAAACGGATTAGGGGCGAGGCGCCCCTAAAAAATGTTGCGGGCAGGGCAAATTACGAGTATAAAAGGAGAGGGTCCAGGCGGTTTGGGACTTACCCTTCTACAAGTATGTTTTGATTTTTCGAGTTTGATTTTAGATTTCCGATCCCACCTCGAAAAGGAACATCAAAGGACCTTCTAGATTAGTCGCTTGACGCTTGACTTAAGTTTAGACTTTTGAGTAACCGTACCCATACACACTCTCTTCAGCAAATTCCAAATTGGATACCGTGTTGTTTTATTTTTTTTCTGATACAGCTTTCTTTCAGTTCCGTTTAGTTCAGTTGTTTTCATTGTTTTAGTACTACCCCACAAAGGTTTTTTATTTTTGCATACAACAACCCCACCCACACACCACAATGTCTGATAAAATCACCGAAAAATTAAAGGCCTTTTCCAACAAGATCATGTCCAACGACGCCGAAGACAAGACCGGCTCGTCGTCTCCATCTGCCGTGGAACCGGAAGTGGACCCACTTCAGAAATCCGGAAACGACCACCACCGCCAGGCCCGCGAAGTCACGGAAGACCAGCGCGCCCACGCTCCAGGCTCGCACGTCCAGACCCAGGACGGCAAGCCCCGCACCAAGTCGTTTTTGGAAAGCGACGGCATCGACGAATTGAAACCTACAACCCGCAAGCACCGTGTGTCTTCGATTTCGCTAAGTGATCAATGGCGCATCAACCAGGATTTGCACCCCATGACCGCCTTAGACGACGGAACCCCATCGTCGAGATCGATATCGCGCAAAGCATCCGTTGTCTCTCGTGGCAGCGTTTCACGCCGTCCATCCAACGCCGTTCGCTACCGCAAACAGGTTATCGACCACGAGCGTGTTGCATCGTATGCTTTTGCGTTCGATATCGACGGTGTGATTGTCCGTGGTCCAGAGACTATTCCAGAGGCAAGAGAAGCTCTACGCATGTTGAATGGCCAAAACAAGTACAACATCAAAGTTCCTTACATTTTCATCACTAACGGTGGTGGCCGTTCCGAGAAGGCCCGTTGCAAAGATCTATCCAAGAGACTTGGTATCACCGTCACTGAAGACCAGGTCATTCAAGGTCACACCCCTATGAAGGATTTGGTTCCAGCCTACAAAAACGTTTTGGTTGTTGGTGGTGTTCTAGACTCGTGTCGTAAAGTGGCTCAAGACTATGGGTTTGAAAACGTGTATATTCCACTGGATGTTATGAAATGGAATCCTAGTGTCACCCCATACTACCAACTCTCGGACGAAGAGAAAGAGGTGGCCCGTGACGTGGACTTTTCCAAGATCTCCATCGACGCCATTCTCGTTTTTGCAGACTCCAGAAATTGGGCTGCCGACCAGCAAATCATCTTGGAAATTTTGCTGTCAAAGAATGGTGTTATGGGCACTGTTGCTCATGACCCCTCTGAGAATCACGTTGGTCTATACTTTGCTCACTCGGACTTTGTTTGGGCAACAGATTACGGTCTTTCTCGTTACGGTATGGGTGCTTTGCAAGTGTCCATTGCAGCTCTTTACCAAGAGCATACCGGTCGCGAGCTGCAAGTTACCAGGTTTGGTAAACCCCAACGTGGTACTTTCAGATTCGCCGAAAAGGTTTTGTCCAACTGGAGAAGAAATACGCTTTCCGAACACGTTGAGAACTTGAGTCTGGAGGATGCAGACGCCGAAGCCGAAGCCGATTTATCTGATTCGGACGACGAGAGCAATGACACCGAAGGTGTCACTTTGCAAAAGGACTCCAAGCTCTCTTTGGAGCTACCTCCTGCTTCCACAGTATACTTTGTGGGTGACACTCCTGAATCTGATATTAGATTCGCCAACTCTCACGATTCTTCTTGGTTCTCCATTCTGGTCAAGACCGGTGTTTTCCAGGACAACAAATTGCCAAAGTACCAGCCTAAGCAAATCTGTGATGACGTGCTTGAGGCCGTCAAGTTTGCCATTGAGAGAGAACACCAAAAAGAAGTTGAAGAGTGGAACGAAACCGCCATCGAAGCGCCTGTGGTGGAAGAAACCACTGCTCAAGCCAGAAAACCTTAAATTGATTGACTTCCATGACTGGGTCTCAGGTTTCATCCATTTTCCAACTACTATTCATTGCATTGCGGTCCATGCACCTAAACAGCGGAAACTATCTGTGATAGTTGTGCCAATGTTTGAACATTATTTGCATTTTGATATATGAGTTTTGTTTGTATATTTAAATTTACACTATATCACAGTTATCGTGGGACTATCCACAGTTAAAACGTTCCAGAGGTTGGTTGAAGAAGGTAGATTGTAGTGATTATAGAGAGGAGTATTGTCAATCTTCAGAAAACTCTCAAATCATTTATTCATTGGGAGTAATTCGTGATAGCCATTAGGTTTCGACACGACATAACTACTTATAAATCTAGTTTTTTCGAAAGAAGGACGTTTATAAGCTAGCTGTGTTTCCGTCACAACCATGTATTAATCATGATCATTTGTAAAGCCTACAAAACGGCACCGAAGCCGAAGGTTAGCTTGATGCTTCTGACATAGTATTCCAAAAAGTTTCCTCTGGCTTTGTCTTCTTCACCTACGGGAACCCCGCTCCATGTAACTTGTAGTTTTGTTTCGTGATATTCTTGAGATTCATGGAAGTCCATGGCTAGAGTGCTCCAGTGGCCAGAACGCCAGTCGTTGAGACGCCATTGAAATACCAAACGCTTGCCAGCGTCAGCCTCGATGAGCTTGCTCGTCACATTGCCTCCGAAGAAAGTGAACTCATCGCCTTTTTCCAGCGTGCTTTTCGACGACTCACAAACCAACTGCGATCTTGACCATGCTTGTACCCGCTGTTTGTCGAGAAATGTTTGATACAGCTCGATGGCAGGCACGTTGAAAGTGGGCTCCAAATGCAACGTTGTGGTATTGTAGAGTGGGCCTTTTGAAGAGCCTGCAACGGATCCAGACTTCACGGTGCTGCTTGTTTTGGTTGTCGACGGTTTGGAAGACGAAGAAGACGCGGGCGTGCTTGCGGTCTGATTAGACTGTGCGTTAGCTCTTGTGAACTCCGATTTCACCTGTTCTTCAGGCACCTGTATGTCGTTGGCATGCGTTTGCAGCAACTCCGGACCAAACTTCAAGAAAGCTTCTCTCAGCTGCGGGATTAGCCCTTCCCTTACCAGTGGTTTTGCTCCGCTTAGCTTGCTCGTTTCCTTGTAGATCGAAATTTCGAACTGATAGTCATCAGCCTCGGAGTCAAATGCTATTTCAGGAACGGTAATGCTACCCTCAAAGTCCTCGTCTTCAACTTGACCCTTGATCATCAAAACCAGTTTAAGGTCGAAAAGAGAGATTACTTTGCCCTTGCGTTGGCTGACCTCGCAGTCACCCTCCATCGACGAAATCGACGACACTTCCACTTTCTTCGTCTCATTTTCAGCACTGTTCAAACCCACAAGACGATCTTCAAAATAGTTACGGGCCCAGCTCAAACAGTTTTTGTCAACCCAATGCCAGTTGTTAGGGTTGTGGACGACCATTCTTGTTGAAAAAAAAAAAAGTTGAGTTATTGAGCTACTGGACTACAAGCAAAGACCAGATGTACTTAGACTGCGTTCAATTCGTCTCAGGACCAGAGTTCACCAAAAGCAGACGTTTACTTGCCAAAAACTATTTATACAGATAGGTCATCGGGCAGCCCTTCAAGTTCACCTTCTGTTCTCGAATATTCCGTCAAAAAAAAGTGTTGATGTCATTAACGACGAATTGTCGTGCCCGTCATATTTCAGCCTTCAACTAGCGCTAATGGTAACAACGAACTACATAAAATCGGTAAGACCCGGTTGAAAATTGGTTGTAGTCATGGATGGCAAGCCTCCGCCCAAAAAGTCCAACATCATGTGCATGCCCCCACCGCTGTAGTCATCAACGTCCTGTGGCAATACTTGGGTAACACCCTCCAGGAACCATACTTTGTCCTTGACTTCATTAGCGAAACCTCGCAGAAGTTGGTAGTAGCATCTCATGATGCGCATGGCACCCATGTCACCCGTCATCAGTAATGCCAGGAAAGTCTTGTCCAGCAATGCGGGGAAAGCGAAAATTCGGAGAACAAAATCTGACTGATTTTTCTCGCGATGCAGTTTATCAAGGTATGCTAGGGTTATCAGGTAGGGAGAGTCTATCTCGACAGGGTATAGGTCTGAAATGCTCTCATCGAAACATACGAGCTCGGAAACCGTTCCGCTGTCCTGATTTATTACGTCACCAAGATCGCTGAGGTCGACGGAAATGAGATTGTGAAATCGGGACTTTTCAGTCAAGGGCCACACCGCGGTTAAGATGGTGGCAGCGCCTTTGACGTGGAAAATCCATGCAGACGGAGATATCGATGCCGCTAGAGAATCGGGAGCCGTGGAGTTGGGAGACGAAGCGTTCGCCAGAGAGTCCATGATCAAAATCAGAGCACTGGCGACCAGAGCATCCGTATTATCTTCAGATATCTCTAACACAGCTTTGCGCAGCAACCGCAAAGCATCCAATCGATGTGCGGCTACGTGCTGTTCCAGCCCTGGCTCTTTCCGTGACAGGTGAGTGGCACTAAACGCTAATAACGCATGCATGAGAAAAGGGTAGTCGAATGCCAGCTTTGGAATTTCATCGCTCCATATTTGTTTGCCACTTATACCTGCTGATGTGATGGTGGGCCACGTTTCAGTACAGTAGTGATGGAAAAGTTTGAGATCTACCAGGTTGAGACTTCCTTGGTTTGACAATTGCATTAGTCGTGCGATTGAGCCGGGCTTAGCCTCCTCTTCCCTAATGGGCTCTTGACTGAGTGATTTATCCAAAAGCTTGCTATCCAAATCTAGCCCATCGCCTGAAGACGTTTTTTGACGGAAAAAATGAGGAGCCTCAGAAGCGCTGTTTTTACCCATTGGAGACATCGGTGCTGCCGGTGATATGGTCGGGTTGTTTGCAGGATTGGGGGTTTCCTGGTTAAGGGCCGACAAATTTCCACCATGCTCATCATCGACTTGGCTGCCAGTAGCTTTTTGCGATGCATCGTGTTGAAAGCTTTGTTGCTGTCGCTGTAGCGTGGCCAAAACTTCTTCAGCTGTAGTGCTCGTGTTTTTCACTGGTCCATCACCGCCTTCCTGAGACTTCATACCCATAAGTTCTTGAAAATCGTAGGTTACGCCACCAATGCCCGCGGTTGAGAACATCGCCATGTGCTTAAAGTTTATGCCCGCCCGACTCAAAGTTTGCACCATTTCTTGTGATTGCAATATGGAGGAAAGCGGGGACCCTTGAATCTGTTGTTGTTGTTGTTGTTGCTGTTGCTGCTGTTGATTCTGATTGTTTTGCTGATTTGCAAGGTTGTTGAGAACGTTAGAAGGAATCTTGTTCGCCGCGAAAAAACTGCCTATGCTGTTCGTGATGTTCATTGCAGCGGACTGGAAGGGCGGACTGGTTGGGAAATCGAATCCCGCAAACTTCTCGGAATTGCTCAGGGTCATGAGCTGCGGAAGCAGCTGTGGTTGCTGTTGTATTTGCTGCTGCAATTGCATGTTTGCACCGGGGAAAAGAGGCGGCAACAATAAGTTATCTGGTGAACCGAGTTGGCCAGCAACCGGGTTTGAAGATTGAGGTTGTTTTGAAAAGCTGCTCATGGGTGTTTTCCCAAGTTTTCCTTCATCCTGAGCCGTGACAGGATCCGCAGAATCTCGTTTGAGACCCTGTGTAGTGTGTTTGTGTATGCCCTCGGCTAGGTCTTCCTTTTTGAGAGATGCTGCTTTAGCACTATCTCCGGAATTTGACGCACTTTTCGGTTTTCGAACCACCACGGGCGTGTAGACGCAATCCAGTTTCATCGAAAGGCATTTTTGACACGCTGGTTTGTCCTCGTCGCACTTGACACGCCTGCGCTTGCAATTGTCGCACCCGTTTTTCGATTTTTTATGGAATTTCCGTTTCCCGGTCGAGGTTTTGCTGACTTTTTTGCCGTCCACCTCGATAAGCTCTACAGACTTTTCCTTATGCTTTGGATGCCTGGCAGCGTTGTCTTCTTCGCTGAAATCGCTGCTCATTTTTCTTGAGTACAACAGAAAATAAAAACTCGCACCAAGTACCACACAAAGATACGTCTACCGAGCTGTGCTGGCTGTTGCTACTGTTTCCAGAGCCTCGACAAAGGTTTCACCACCGACTTTCTCGATGTTTTCTTTGTTTTTTATGAAAAGTGTCACTTTTCCAGTGCACCAGTTCAGCTAATTTTCGAGATATCCAAACTTGAGGAAGCAAAAACCAAATTCAAACAGTAATAACTCGAAAGCACGCTATTGTCCCGCCTATAGCCAACCACTTGGTGATCACCTTGCTCTTCACCTTCAAAAAATAATGAAAAATTGTGTGTCGTCCCACCTATTGATTCCAGGCTGTGGTGTAGTAGATTAGCACTTTTTCCAGCTTGTTTCTGCTCTTGTTTCGACCCCGCTGTCTAAAACTCCTAAACGCTTCGTTCTTCCTATTCCTCTTCCTTCTCTTCTTCTTCTTCTTGAAGTGCCGACAGAAGTGAGATCAAAGCTCAAGTCCAGTCTAGTTTCTCTCGTTTACCCTCAGAAAGCTCCGAAATCTCCAGCAACTACAAGTATAGATGCCTTAGGCTCAAGAAACTAGCCGTCAAATCACCAATTTCAATTCCTATTGCTCGCCACAGTTCTTTCCAGATGGCTGCAAAGCTCGTTACGGTCTTTCAACGTTCGTGTAATGATAATGAAAGATCAGAAGATGAGTTCAGTTCTTTTACGAGATGCTCGTTTTTTAACATCACGATGGCCTTATTTCGTCGCCCGTGGAACTTACTATGGAAGCGGAAAAAAAAGTGCAGAGCGATGGAAAAGTCGGGTGATTTCAGGTCACCCGACGACAATGCGAAGGAGTCAAGTCATATCTGGGCATCTGGGCAGCAAAATCGACGACAGGATTTGCGCATTCTTCAGTATATACAATCTTTAAATTTTTTGGGATTTTTTTTGGTGACAGAGTCGGTAACGGTTGTTGGAACGGGGTTGTGGGTTGGTTGGTCAGTGATACGAGCCTGGGGTGTGGAATATCTATCCATCCAGCCTGGACAGATGTGGAGCCCTTCCTTTTCTTTGGGAAAAGGCAGTATTAGAGACCAATGCATGCTGACTGTAGAAAAACGTCAATGGCGTCTTTATGCCAAGAGAAACAACACCGACAACAATACAACACAACACAACACAACACAACACAACTTCACCATGTATGTGCTTTGGAAACAAACAAAAAAACTTCAGAGAATAGAGAGAAAACAAAGTAGATGGATGTTGTGGAGTACTTCGATTTCTTGAACCGTATTCCGCTCGAGAGTGCTAAAGTATTGTGCAGTAGTAGCCTAAAACTGCGGGTCCGTGTGAAGTGACATGGCCGGGCAGGTGTGGGGCCTAAAAGCACCATTGGAGGCAACTAAACCAATCAATGGTGGCCGTGAGGGTCCTCCTTGGGTGGCTCAGGGTCCACGGTGATCATGGTGTCGATTCTCAGGATCGCAATGCACGCCTCGAGCGCGGATTTCAGCGACTTCACTTTGCTGATGGTGGGCTCCAAAACACCGGATTGGACCTCGTCCACGACCTTGCCACGGATCAAGTCCAGCCCGTAGTTGCGGTAGTTTCTTCTCTTGACATGCTCCAACTGGGCCTGTTGGCTGGCCGCATGGTACGACCGTAGCTTGGCGATCAGGTCGCTCGAGTCCTTCGCAGCGTTCACAGCCAACGTCTTGGGTATGACCAGCAAAGCAGCAGCAAACTCGGCAATGGCCAGCTGCTCGCGCGATCCGACAGTTGTGGCGAAATTGTCGAGGTATATATTCAGCGCAGCCTCCACGCAACCACCGCCTGGAACAACGTTGCCGCTCTCCAGCGTTCTCTTGATGACAGACAAAGAGTCGTGAACGGAACGCTCCATTTCGTCTAACGAGTAGTCGTTAGCACCGCGCAGCACAATAGAAGAAGAAGAGTGCTTGGATGTACCCTTTACCAGGATACATTCGTCGTCAGAGAATCTTACCTGTGACACTTCTTGACACGTTCCCAGAGATGAAGGCTCAAAGACCTCGTCACCTTCCAAATTAGACATGGAGCTGATCAACGTAGCACCAGTGGCCCTGGCAATTCTTCTGAGATCCTCTTTCTTGCACCTTCTGACTGCCATCACTTTGGCCTCCACAAACTCCTTCAGACACAGGTCGTCGATACCCTTGGTGGTGAGCACCACGTTGGCACCTGCAGCTATGACCTTTCTGACTTTTTCCAAAACGATGCCTGCTTCACGTTTGCGGATTTCTTCCAGCTGATCGGGGTCTGTTATGTTGATCTGGACGCCCATGGCCATCCTGGCTTTTTGAAGGTTGATGTCCAGACACGCAATTTTCACGTTGCCTCCGCCAAGGCGCTTTGGCATGGCCTGGGACGCTACGGTGCAGTTTAGTGCGTAGCCCTGCACAAGAACCGATTCACGAGCAGACTTACCGTGAGCCTTTAGAATGTTGACGGCCTTGACTGGGTACTTGATTTCGCCCTTAGAGTTTTGGGTTTTGACGGCCAAAAGAGCGTCCACGACCATGTTTCCGAAGAAATCTGAGTCTGACCCAATGATCTTGGATGACATACTAGTTTTCGCAATGTTTACAAGCGACTCTTTGCCCAAGGATTCCACACTCATCGACAAAACCTCGTTGATGTATCTAATAGCTTCTCTGAGAGCCACGCGGAAACCTGTGATGATTGTCGTTGGATGGATCTTATTTTTCACCAGGGAGTTGGCTCTCTTGAGCAGCTCAGATGCGATAATGACCACACTGGTGGTCCCGTCTCCAATTTCGCGGTCTTGCTGTTGAGCCAATTCCACCAGGATCTTACCTGCTGGGTGTTGTACGTCCAGTAGAGATAGAATTGTAGCTCCATCATTGGTAACTGTGAAGTCACCGATGTCGTCGACCAGCATTTTGTCCAATCCGACTGGTCCCAACGAAGTTTTCACCACATTTGCGACCGCTAGAGCTGCCAGAACGTTTTGATTCCTGATATCATCGCCGCTAACTTTCTCGCCACCGAGAAAGAGCGTATCTGAACGTGAATTGTTCAGTACAGAAGCCATTATTTTCGCTGAAAAAAGTAGCCAAAGATCAAATAAATGGATATAGATTCAGTTCCCGTTGCTACTGGGCTTCTCAATTGCGTGAATGGATTGATTCCTGTTCGTGATTGACCTTTGAAGTGAAGGTTTGTGGGAGTTCTTGATCCATTGAAAAGTTAGTGAAAAATCACTACAATATATATCCCATCATAGGAGACGAGGTTCAGCGACAGCAGAGTATAAAATCAAGAATACATCACGGATTGGACGAGCTTTAGCGGCTTTGACACAGCGGCTAGTACTGTCTCATGTCTACATTAAACTAGTTCATTTCTTGTTTCACTCTTCCGCCAGTCTTTTTGCTGCTTACGGGACATGACAGCCTAGTAAAACATGAGGAAGATAGATGATCAAAGATCACAGAGGAGCGGGGGAGAGATCCACAGGAAAGAATGGAGTGGGATTAGAGGGAAGGACCACGACACGAAGATGCAATAATCCTATGCCTTTCAATTGCAATCTTGTTGCGAAAAATTGACAAACCTCTTGAAAACCGTACGTTCTTTCTTGAAAACAACCCTCCGGGCCCGTGTTACACGGTCTTCGTTTTTGTCGTCGGCAGCGAAAAAAAGGATGCCTTCGATAGAAAGAAAATGGTGGCATCTCCGTTCTCTTCGATTCTCAGTTTTTTCATTCATTCGATTCCAGCTTTAAATTTCCATCACCCTATAAAATAGTACATTTTTTGCTCTTTTTAATCACTGGAGGCTCCAGCGCCGCGACAATGGCCTCGTCAAAGACGTTTTTGAGTCCGCGTTGCGTCAAAGCGGAACACTCCACGTATTTGATGGCCCGTAGCTCGCGTGCCAGTCTCTCACCTTGTTCAGGCAGTATTGGCCGCAAACGCTGTCTTTGCAGCTTCTCGATGATGACTTTGTCGTCCCGCAAGTCCACCTGGGTCCCTACAATCAGACACGGAACGCCGGGACAGTGGTGATGCACTTCAGGAAACCACTTTTCCTTTACGTTCTCGAACGATGGCGGAGAGATCACACTGAAACACACCAAAAAAACGTCCGTGGACGGATACGACAGCGGTCTCAAACGATCGTAGTCCTCCTGTCCTGCAGTGTCGAAAAGCCCTAGAGTGTAAGGCTCGTCTCCGATCATTACCGTCACCGCATAGTTGTCAAATACTGTGGGCACATAGTCTGCTGGAAACTGGTTGGTAGTGTACGAAATCAGCAGACACGTCTTTCCCACAGCACCGTCGCCCACCACTACACATTTTAGAGTCTGCATGTTGTCTTCTTACTGTTCCTGATTCTTATTCTTCGCGAATTGTTGAAATCGGCCTTTTTTCGTTCTGTCCTGTGATTTCAACTAGTAAATGTATCCGAGTTTGGGCTCTAAAAAACGCTATTCTTGACCAGGGTTTCTCACAGCAAATCGAATTGACTCAAAAACTTGAACGACGGGACTCTCGATAGCGAAACTAAGTGTCTCTCTTCGCGTTACAGAGCTTCAGCTTTCTTTCGGGGGTTTCTCAGCTTACTTTCTTGTATTTCTCCTTGATATACAATTTTTCATCGGGAACCGTCCTAGTTGATATTTGACGATAGAGATTAGATGAAAAATAATTATTTCAAACTTACGCCGGGTAACCAGAAAGATTTAATAAAAGTGCTTCGCAGGAGTTTCGAACGGTCGCTTTTTTTTATGGAAAATGGATGGAATCGTCAATTGTATATACTGACACTTGGTTCGTCGTCTATCTATGGTTTGTAGTTGAGATGGTCTTTGGGGTGTCATACTTCGACTTCCAGCTGGTATTAAGACACGGTTTGTGTGTGTGTGTGAAGGTTTGAATTTGTTTCTTTGTCTGTGTCTGTGTCTACGTGGTTTTGGCCCGAAAAAAAAGTGGGCATTTCAAAACGCCATTTTAGTTGAATTGCGAGCTCAAAACGCTGGATAAAATTGAGCCATCGGTATGGATCCCGCAGTTCCCAAGTGACCTTAAATTGTAGACGACAAGACTTTTTTTGATGGATATCATTCGGGTTCTTTACTGTCACTTCTAATTTTCCTGACAACAAGGTCGTGTTCAATCACTGTCTGTTTCTTCAGACTCTTCTTCAGAACTCGACTGTTCGTCAGCAGTTCTGAGCCATTCGACCCATTTGGCAACCAGAGCCTTGGGTTGATCGTACTTGGGATCGTCTGAAACCTGGTTCCACCATGCATCAATGGCGTCTTCGTCCAGAATGTCCTGGTCATACAAGAACGTCAAAGCAGTGAACACCACGAACTCGGGTTTCTCAAACTGCTGAGCCACCGTTTTCTCCAAAATCAAATTCGCCAAGTCCACATACTCATCTTGATCGAACGCCTGGCGCTTGAACAAAGGTCCCCACTGGCCAAACACCTTCTGTACAGCATCCTTAGCACCCAAAGTCTGCGTGGCGATGAAATGGTATACTCTTCTCAGTAATGCAACCACGGTGGCTGACCTCACCTCCTGGTAGGTGACGTTAATGCTCATTCGTAATGTATTGAGCTCCAAAAGAGCTGTGTCGATGTCGTGGTTATTTTCCATGGCTCTCTCCACAGTGGCAATGGCCTCGGTTGCGAAGTCTTCTTCGTCCTCATCATCGTCCATGTCGTCTTCGTAATACTCATCGTCACGACCGTTCAGCGCGGCAGCACTGTTTGTAGAGAACCGGCGCTTTTTCTTGTGTTTGGCCGACATCGATGAGATCGAGTTGTCACTCAAGTACAAGTCATCGAACCGGTGCGTCAAGGCGTTCGTGCCGTTCAAAACCACACTACTGTCTTCGTCATAATCGTGCGCATCGTCGCTCTCATAGACATAGCCAACGCCATTAGCCCCAACCAGTGCCAAAGCAGGCAAATGGTTTTTGGATTCAGATTTAGACTCATCGATTTCGTCATCGCTATACGACTCGCTGTCCAAGAACTGAGACACGCGCTTTTCAACGTACGTGTCCGAAAGTCTTGTGCCCACAGGAATTGTCATGTCGTCATCGATCGTGACATTAAAACCTATGACACTTCCATCTTTCAGAACGACGCCCGAGCCAACGTTGACGTTCGATGCAACAAGAGCATGCTCAATAACGGAATCGCTGCCAATGGTGACGTTGTCCCATATGAAACTGTCTTTGATAACAATGTTCTCTTTGATGTGGCAATTTCTCCCAATAACAGAGTTTTCAATGCTTGTACCTTCCCCAATCTTCGATCCGGATCCAATTCCCGTGCATTTGCCAATTTTGCACGATTGCGCTAACACCACGTCTTTCTCCTTATAGATATGTTCGGACTCGTATGAGTATGACTGGTCGTCGAGCAGGTTCGAATTCAAAACCATAGGATAGCACCATCTGGCAATGAAATCTTGAGAGATAGCATCGTATGTCTGCCAACTCTCGACACGAGCAGCATAGTCGTCAGTGATGAAGGCGTATATGCTCTTCTTTAGCAGATCGCTGGTTAAAACACCTTTGACAAAATCCCTTCTCAAAAATTGATAGTCAAAGTTCTCTTGAAAAATGGCCGGTACGTGAGGCGAGCAGATGTCAACGTGGCAGTCCACAAGATCATTGCGGACCCTGAACTCATCCACGCCTTCCAAAAGCTCGGGATCTATGGCTATCGCGTTTTTGTGCTTGGAATTCTCCAAAGGAATGTCCTGGTAGTATAAGCATTTATCGTTAGACTTGTCCAGAATGAAAGCCGCTGGTTCGTGGCACCTCGATCTGAAAAGCTGGCTTGCTCTGCTGAGACACATAGTGACTATATGGTCTCTGTCCTCTGCTTTTCTTTTGCGGTGGAAATCCAGAGCTTTGTCAAACTCCATGTTTGTGACAAGGTCTCCGCTTACCAGTATAAAGTCGCCGGTGATGATACCTCTATTATCCAGATCACGCATGGCGTCTCCGACGGACCGCGATTCAAGTGACATGATTGTTGAGACGCGGAAGGGCGACCACGGTTTGTTCCATTTCGACTGTTCAATGTACTCGCTGATTTGTTCAGCGTGCGATGCACACATCAGATACACTTCGCTGGCACCTGCCTTGGCAAGAAATTCCAAAGTGTACTCGATTAAGGGAACGTTGGCCAAAGGGAGCAAACATCTGGGCTTCACCGCTGTTAGAGGCATGAACCGGGTCTCAAATGAATCCGTCAGCACGATGGCTTGTAAACGCTCATCCGGTACAACATCGTTTTTCAACTTGTTGTTTCCAGCTTTATCGCTAGACTTACCTTTTTTTCCTGCCATTTTTGTCAGCCTAGGGTATTATGTCTAGCAGAGCTCAAGAATGCTGTAATTAAGAGCGCTAGAAAGGCTATGAGAGAGACTTGAGGTGGATGGAGACTAGTCCTTTTCAAGCTCATCGATGTCAGATGAACATTGAATTTTGAAAATTAGAGTGAGCTTAGAAAATTGTCCCAGTCTTACGTATGAGATGATATCTAATTTTTGACTGAAAAACACTAGAGTGACAGAATAAAGTTTAATAGAAGGGAAGGGCACAATTCATATTCATAGTTTGTTGGAGCGATGCTTTATATTTGGTATTAGAATCCTGTTTTTGAAGGGACTTATTTTGGTGTCATTAGTGAGTATTTTAATTTTTGGTTCTGTCACAAGATATTATATGACGCCCATGAAACTCAAAATCAAGCTTCAAAATGACATAAACTTGGTAGCATTTTCATCAATTACATGCTACAGGAATAATATCTCTTGTTACTGTGTTGGAAAATGTGGACATCTTGGATGCCTGCGGTTTTCTGTCCACTTGTACGAAAACAGTGAATACTAGAATTTATTAGCTCTGTAGTTTTCAAAATTCAAGTACCTCTTCTCTGGTCTGGATGTGATCTGCGTTGTCCATTGATGCCATCCAGATTGCATTAATATTTGTACGAGTATCATATTATAGTTCAGGCATGTCTACTAAAAATGCAAAAAAAAAATGGAAAGTGCTCGAGGTGGGGTTCGAACCCACGACGGTCGCGTTGCTTTAAAGGCCGTGTTTAGCGGCCGTACTTTCACAGAAGACTTCGGAGAACCGAATGTATCTATAAGCACGAAGCTCTAACCACTGAGCTACACGAGCATTTTCGAAAGTAATGGCTGCACAAACATCTACTAGTACCCTGTATACTGGTTTGAGCACCAAAAAAACAGCGACAAGCACGGATTAAACAGTTGATGTGACGCATGCAATTACTCCAATCGCCCTCTTTCCTGAATACACAGATTTGACTTCCACGTTCTCTCTGCTCTGTCGCTTACCAGAGTGATCTTTTCTTAAAGTATTTATACAAATGGCCCTACAGAGTGCTATTCTTTGAAGAAACCCCGCTGGTTTCTACACGTATTTTTTCAACGTAAGTGACTCCTCCGCTCAGTACCTCATTCCACTAGTGCAGAATGGCATTGGAAATTGTCGTGGGCCCGCTCAATTGCAACACAGTTCTAGGAGACAGCAGCAGCATAGTGCTCCCATACACCATTGGCAGCAGCCACCTTCTTCTTTCTGAGGAGCTTGTTGTTGATACATGGGCTGCTGTTGTTGGTAGTATCCACCTTGAGGAGGGCCCTGCTGCTGATAGTAGCCCTGCTGTGGAGGACCCCGTTGGTAGTAGCCTTGCTGTGGTGGACCTTGTTGGTAGTAACCCTGCTGATTGTTCATCTTGGTATAGGTCTCTGCTAGCTAGCTATGGGGCCAAATTATAGTTTGGTTCTCTGACGACGAGTAGTGTTCAAAAGAGAAACATGCTTCTAGTTCCATTGCATACGTATATTCTTCGAAACATGTTCTTGGCGTTACCCTTATTTAGAGGGTTCGAGGCTGAAAAACTGGCGCAGCACCCAGTCAAACCCAGCTATTCATAGACGAAAAAAGCCTATGATTAAACTCGAAAGGGTAAAAGTGTAACTGTGATCTGAATAGCTTGTTAGAGCAAGCAAATTGAAGAAAATACAGTTCACTGGTTCTATATTTCGACCTTTCGACAAATATCTTTGAAGATTGTAGCCATTTCTATATCCAAAATTATGTGTCACTTTGTACGTATCTGTCATTGAGCTCTCGTAACCACTTATAGAACCCTCTATCAAGGACAATGCAAGAGTTTCCAAGCGAATTCTTAGTATTAAAATCTATTAATTATCTAATTCATTTAAACTGAAGGACGAAGGGCACTCTGATAATTCACCAGAGTCCGCGTACGTCTCAGTAGGAGTTTTTTTTTTTGATTTACTTTCAATTTTCAGCTCTGTTGTTGCTTACCACTTCTACTGCAGGATGGTCAGTAAACTCCTTGGCATTAGGGTTGTCCTTGTATCTTTTTTGAGGAACCCTGTTGATTGAGGCTTCCATGAAGTCATAAAACCGGTCGCCATAGTCTCGGGGAGGTACAGCACTGATCACCTTTAAGTCATGGCTTAAACCACGCCAAAACGTTTCCAATTTCTTCACCAAGGAATAGTTCGTCAAACAATCAATGATTCCCACATAGTATATGGTGTTCAGATCGTTGTTAAACTGATCAGACGCACGAATACCACCTTCGTCCTGCTGGAAATAATGCCGTACCGCAACGGTTGACTTGTGGCGCACTTGTTGATCTGCCATTGACTTACGCTTCACCTCCTGCAGCTCGTTTTCATAGGGACTGAACTTCGTCAAAACGTTACGTTCGTCTATGAGATCGTTGCCCTTTTCCACATCGTGAATGCCCAGCAAAAGCGAGTAATCCATGATGTTGAGCCGCGCTAGCAGATCAACGTCCTTCTCGAGCTGCTGTAAGAACTTTTTCCTCTTCAACGGACCAAACCGTATGGCGCGCTCTTCTTGTAACCAGTTGAGATCCTTCAAAACCGGCCTATGTGTCTCATCTTGTTCGGAGGATTTCGAATCATCAACTTTGGTGTACCGACCCCAAGTAGAGCCTTTCAAATCAAACGTTGTGTGTATCTCTAAGTGAGGAGGAAACAGATTGTTCATCACCAGAAAGTAGATTTTGCGGTGCTTGATTTTACTCTTGAAAGATATCGGCATCTTTACCCGATGTAGACCGTAAAACTGGGAAACTAGGGTATCTGGATTTTCCTTTATGTGGGTGTAATAATCCTTCAGAGTTCTCCTTAGATGTAGATGTTCTGCATGATGAATGGTTTTGATGATGTATTTGTAGTCCCTGCTGAAATAGAAGAATGACCCACTTTTCCCTGGTGAATTCAATTCACTGAGAATGTACTTGGACGTAAGAGACATCAAATAGTCGGCAGGATCGAGACCAAACAACGCCCGCAATTCTCTGAAGACCTCAGGGCAGTAATCTTTGAATTTAAATGCGTATTGAGAACTCGGTGTCAGTTCATTCCTGTGAAAGTCGAATGCAAGTTTCTTGGTTTGGCGAAAATCGCGGGGCGTGAGTGGTTTCATAATACCCGAGCACCGGGATACTGCCAACCTGATACCTGTGAGCATGTTGTAAGCGATAGTGAAGTTAACGTGTCCTTCGCTAACCTTGTTTCCTATCAGTACCCTATCGTCGTCCAAGAAATTTTGCTGTTTCTTACGCATTTCTCGTTTTTGTAGCAAGGCCTCGCGCATTTTCTTTATTTCGGCTGTTGCAGACTCCGAACGTTTCAAAGACCCATCATTCACTGCGCTAGGCCTGTGACTAGCATTGAATGAATGTACAGAGGTCGCACGTGAATGCGAATTACGCAATAGAGTGGCTATTTCTTCCAGGTCGATATCCTCACGTTCGGCGTTTTCCGCTTGATCAGGCCGTGCCGTGACCACGCCCGGTTCAAGCGCTTCGTCTGTAGGAGGGGAAGCAGGCACGATTTTGGCATGTTTACCGGAATCGAACGGGAATTGGCGTAAGGAGTTGCCTGAGTCCTGGGTTGGTCTCCGGGATGGTTTTTTGCGCGATGTGGCACCATTGAGCAGCACCTTTTCGTCGTCGAGACCCTGGATGAAAGATCCATTTTCCACCACGCTGTTTCGATCCAACACGCTTTCACGATCGTGAGCGTCGTGCATTTCTTGCGAATCGAGCGGGTCGTGGGCCACATCTGCGGAGCCCGCCGCAGCCATGGTATCCTCGCTGTTCAATTTGAATTTGTGCCAAGTGTCGCCTAGCAATGACGACCCATTGGACGGACCGATACTTCCCTTGGGCAACGGATGCAATTTTGGAGGCCTGGGTCCGTCCAGCGGATCTATAGCATGTTCCAGTACTGCTTCCCGGCCTCCCTGCTTTTTGTTATAGCTTTCCACGGAAGTAGGTGATGAGTAGCAGCGTTGCTCTTGTGATGATCTTGGTGAGTCTGAACTAGTGTCCCGAGCCGGCAAAAGCTGTTCTTGCAACGCTAGTGACATGATCTTCCAGATTCTTATATAGAGACTCGCTATCACAACACAACTGAACCCCTCAGACCGCGTTTTCGGTCCAGAAAGCGTTGGGTTTTGTTCTTGTATTTTGTGTGAAATCGACTGGAATGTTGGTTAAACTATTTCTATTTCAGAGCAGGTAGAAAAAACACATAATTTATTTGAAATTCGGATTGGTAATGTAAGACGAACCGGATACTGCGGGTTGCGAAAACGCCGTCAACGTAAGAAAGAGAGAGATAGAGAGCGTTATGTAGGAGCGAGATGCTCCGAATAAGGGTGCGCTTAAATTAAGAGATTGGCTAATTGAGCTGTATGAACTTATCAGGATGGGGTGGCACGTAATAGCGATGGGTTTTTTAAATTGAAAGTTTCTTAAAGCTGAGATTAGTATCTAAAGGTGTGGCGAATGGAGGGGGCATTTTCGTGTGTATCTTCACTAGTATGTTTTCTTTTCGGCTATTTCAGTCTAAACTTTGGCTGGTTTTGAGGTTGGGACGTGCGATGACACGAAAATAGATTCATGGGCTTTTACTTTAAATGAGAAGAGTGGGAGGTGGGCTTTGAGAAGCAGGTTTGATCGAGTGCTTAATCTGAATGAATTGAATAGAATGTCAGCGGTATTGTTTGGGATTATGCTGCCTGAATCCACCTGAGAAGTTAACAAGGATATTTGAAATCGTTTATCACGGGTGTGTCGTTTTCTGGTGAAATTAATGTTTCGAAGATAACCGTCACATTCAGTTAAAAGTACGGATGGAAAGTGTCTTGAAGTCAGAATTATGGGTCCATTTGTAAAGAAGTAAAATTGGCGGTTATTGAATGTCGTACTATAATTGTGGGACCTCAAAATCTTAAGAGGGAAAAATAGTACACTGATTTAATGTATAAATTATGGTTCGGTACACTAAATGCCTGTGAGAAAGCTTCTGCAAGGGTTCGAGCTAATTTTTGATGGCGTGGATTTCTGTATAATGTGAAAATGTCAGTAAAACACACAGTACGAAACGTACTCAGCCTGTCAAAGAAAGGCCCCGTGTGTACCGTAAATCTGTGAAAACTTTCAGTTTTGCTCGCAAACCATCAATTTCGACCAGCTTGAGGGAAACATTCAACGCAAAAAAATTGCAGTAGAAATGTAGTTCTACCGTGGATATTTTAACCGGTTAGATTGCAAGAACACTGACCGACCGTAGCTCGAGTCATCGGAAAAAAATCGCATCACGTGCCACCTGTTTATTTACTGACGCTGCTAATGGGACGTTTTCTTCAATTCAGATAAAAACAGATTTCCTGATCCCTAAGCCTTCGGGCAGTGGCTTTCTAATTTCTCAGAACTGGTCTGTCATATTCTCAACAGGGTTCCTTGCTAACGTCGCTGACCATTGACCTGCGTCTTCGCATCCATTTTGTGATTTCCGCGTCGCGGACGCCTTTAAATCTCAACCATCTTTACATGAATGCAGTGACAGCGAAAACTAAAACTGATAAACCATCCATAAAGATAATCATTTTTCAAAATTTGTTCCAATATGCGTTCGTTCCATCAAAATACAAACAGCAAATTCCCCAAAAATACGCTTTCAAATTTCACAGACACTAACGATCATACTCATCGGGTGGCAACCACACTTCTTGAAATATATTGCATCTCTCTTGAACGCTTAAAGCGTTGCGTTAGTTACAGCTGAAGCTTTAAAGATCGAGTCGTGCCAGCCAATGATTTTCATCTCGGAGTTACCCGCACAGCTGGAATTTAGCTGGCGGACTTGAAAGCCTTATCTATAGGTTCAAAGAAAGACAACTACACCTGGCTTCAAGTATCTGCTTTCCTCTAGAAAGCCCAGCCCAACGCAATTGATATTTACCATGAGCCCCAGGATCCTCAGCAATTCGCAAATTAGAGACTTTCTATTGAAAGCGTCGCGCCAGCAATGGATCAATTACATTGGTCAACTGCACTGTGCGTTAAAAAGGTACTCAAATAACCCAAGTATCGTACCTCCTAGGACTGTAGAACCTACTCCAGATGGCAGCTGCATCCACTTTGTTATGCCGGTGTTAGACGATGTCTACTGTGGTGTAAAGACCATGGGGTACAATGCCACAGCGGGTACTGGGTTTGACGGCTCAGTGATAGTCACAGACCCGAAATCTGGAATTTTGAAAGGCGTGGCAGAGGTCAAAGTGGTAACCGGCGTAAGAACGGCTATGTCCAGCTGTATCGGTCTTCTGCGTCAATTGCCTCTGTTTGGACAATCCGTGAAAGTCACCGTCTTCGGAACCGGTCTGCAAGCGTTCTGGCACGCGTACATTTGCTCCAAGCTTCTAGAGGGCAAAAAAGTCACCATCAATTTTGCGTATAGGTCGAAGCCAATGGACACGTCTCTGCTGCAAAAGTACGCAGCAGGTGTAGACCTACTTCAAGTCCCACTCAGCGACCATGCTGGCATCTCCAAGCTGGTGTCGCAAAGCGACATTATTTTCGGGTGCATTCCCTCAACCTCGCCTGCTATCTTGAAGAAAGATCTCGACACGCCATCAACGCCCAATTACACGTACATCTCGTTGATTGGCAGCTACAAAAGCCACATGCACGAGTGTGACACTGCCCTGATCGACGAGTTCAAGGGCCAGAATGCCAAAATCCTCGTAGATTCTATTGAACACACGCTAGCAGAGTCCGGTGAGTTGATAGATGCCCACACAGAGCCACATCACCTATTGGAGCTGGGCCAACTGGACGATTCGACGCCAATGCCTGCTACCCAGATTAATGAACACAAGAAGGTCACACTTTGCAAGATAGTCGGACTGGCCGTGATGGACGTGAGCACTGCCCAAACGTTGCTCGACGTGGTGGAATAGCTGAAAGGAGAGAACGTTGAGAAGGCTTCCATAAGTTTAGTGGTGTCTGGCGTGTATAAGTTGTCGACGTTGTTATGCTTACATCACCCCGCGTATGTAGCGACATGTACCTGTTAAATAACCTCGGCTCATAAAAATGCATGCTTACATAATCACCATCCTACAGCTACATGCATGAGTACTTCACCTTTTTGGTTTACAAGTCCTTATCAGCTCTTCCAGAAGCTTGTTGCCATGACAACTGCATAGCCTTCTCTGCAAAATTTCCCTTCTGGGTGTTATTGGGCTCCACGTGGCACACGGGTCATGTTTGAATACCTTGACAGAGACCTTAAAGCCACACTATTTTTTATCACATGCTCTCAACGGCCTTTGTTCGACAAACTCAGGAAGAAACCAAATCCTTTCTTCTCTCTCTCTCTCTCTCTCTGCCTCTCTCTTTCTTTTCCCCTTCCGATCCCGTGTGTTCCATGCCGAATGTCCGATAGCGGCGGCTTTCTCCTTCCGCACGTTGTTTACTCCTCGAGGGGCGCATCTTTCCTTTATGCAAAAGAAGCTTGTAGTGGCGTAATTTGCGATAAATAGATAGAAAAGAAAAACCGCTTATATAATAAAGCCGTAGGCTTTACCCTCACGAGTCATGTTAGCTTACATAAGTGCGCGCTAGCGCTCAGATCGAACACAGAAAGACGCGTACCGGAAAAAGACTTGCTTCGCCCCGATGAGTGCTTAGCTAAGCCTTCCCACACCCCTCAACGGCGTCACGATATTAAATTAAAAAGTGGAGAAGTACCCCGTGCCTAGAAACAGCCGCAGCGTGGAATATTTGGACCCTTGGTTTGGTGTCTCACCCACGGACCTATCTAAGGCAGGACAGCTTGAAGAGTCCTGCCCCTAATTTTGGGCGCTAGAAAAACGTATATAAGGAAGGGTTTTAAACGCCTTTGGAAGTAACTCTCAAGTCCCTTATCGATGTAAGTTATATCGTATGTAGTATTTTATTTCTGGCTTTCTCAAAGCAGAGCCTAGTGAACAACTTTAAGGAACCACCCTCAAAAACGACACATCGCTAGCTAAAATCGTATCGTTGCAATCAAGACATTCCACTTGTCCAGATACCCCGTTCGCTTTTTTTTGGCTACTATAAAACAATTTTAGCTATCTTGTTGTTCTTTACCCTCGCATACATCGCACTACGAGATTAGCATATTCAATTCAGGCTCAGAGGTATGTCAGCGGCTACCTCCTCCCCAAAGCAGGAAACCCAGCGGCCATTCCACACTCTTGCGGTTCACGATGTGGCCACAGCGCTAGCCACCAACGTGAACTCTGGACTACGCAGTGAGTCCCAGATCCACGAACTTCGAGCGCAATACGGAGAAAATTCGCTGGGCGATGACTCCAAAATCGACTTACAGGCCATCTTGCTGCACCAAATCTGTAATGCAATGATTCTGGTGCTCTTCATCTGCATGGTGATCACGCTTGCGGTCCGGGACTGGATCTCGGGAGGTGTCATCGCGTTTGTCGTCTTTATAAACGTCGCGATCGGATCCGTCCAAGAATACAAGGCTTCCAAGACTATGAGCTCATTGAAGAGTCTCAGCACGCCATCAGCACATGTTATTCGAGATGGAAATGACATAGTCATTCCTAGCAAGGAGCTCGTCCCGGGCGATCTCTGTGTCGTCAAGGCCGGTGACACAATTCCTGCCGATCTAAGACTAGTAGAATGTGTCAATTTCGAGACGGACGAAGCCCTACTTACCGGTGAATCTTTGCCCATCGCCAAAGACGCCACCCAGGTCTATCCTGCCACAGAGGACATCCCAGTAGGGGATCGTTTGAACTTGGCGTTTGCTAGTTCCACGGTCTCCAAAGGCAGAGCCACTGGTATTGTTATACAAACCGCTCTCAGCACGGAAATTGGTAAAATTGCAAAGAGTCTACAGGGAAACACCTCGTTGATCTCCAAAGACGAAAACAAATCTTTTGCTCAAAACGCCCTTATCACCCTAAAAACTAGCATCGGTTCTTTTCTCGGAACCAGCACTGGAACCCCCCTACATCGTAAACTGTCGAAATTGGCGGTTATTCTGTTTTTTGTTGCAGTCGTTTTCGCGATTGTAGTTATGGCTACTCAGAAGTACCATGTTAATAAAGAGGTTGCCATCTACGCAATTTGTGTTGCAGTTTCCATGATTCCTTCCTCTCTGGTGGTCGTATTGACCATCACCATGTCGGTGGGTGCCAAAATTATGGCAACCAGAAATGTCGTAGTCCGCAAATTGGACTCTTTAGAAGCTTTAGGAGCCGTCAATGATGTCTGCTCTGATAAAACTGGAACTTTGACCCAGGGTCGTATGATTGTCAAACAGGCATGGGTTCCATCTTTCGGTACAGTATTGGTATCCAATTCTAATGATCCTTTTAATCCATCTTCGGGTACCACGCAATTAATCCCTCGATTCTCACCAGATGAATATCGCCACAACGACAGCGAAGACGTGGGTATTATCCAGGGCTTCAAAGAAAAGTACTTGAAGAACATTTTACCTCGTGAAATCAGTCCAATTCTTTTTGCCAACTGGCTCAAAACCGCTACATTAGCAAACATTGCCCAAGTTTATCAAGATTCCGAAACTCTTGAGTGGAAAGCTCACGGAGATCCTACTGAAATTGCCATACAGGTTTTTGCGCACAGAATGGACCTCCCTAGACCATTGCTCACACTCGAAGGACAGTCAGATGAAACAGAAGACGAAAAAAACGATTCAACAAACGCTGATTACAAGCATATCGCCGAGTACCCATTTGATTCCTCAGTCAAGAGAATGTCGGCCATTTATTCCAGCACTAAAGAAAATAACGAATACCGCATTTTTACCAAGGGTGCCTTCGAACGTGTTTTAAGCTGCTGCACACACTGGCTACCTACCGCTGAGAGCGATGAAACCAACCCTTCAGCCATGACGGAAGCCGACAAGGAAGAAGTTTACAGGAATGTTGAAATTTTATCTTCGGAAGGATTGAGAGTTCTAGCCTTTGCGACAAAAAGCTTCACCGAAAAAGAAGCTCATGAACTTGGATCCAAGCTTACCAAAGACCGTGATTTTGTCGAAAGCGACTTGATATTCCAAGGCTTAGTTGGTATTTACGATCCACCCAGAGAAGAAACGGCCGGCGCTGTTAAAAAGTTTCATAAAGCAGGAATAAACGTGCATATGCTCACTGGTGACTTTCCAGGGACTGCAAAAGCCATCGCGCAAGAAGTTGGTATTTTACCGCGCAATTTATACCACTACCCAAAAGAAGTGGTAGATGCGATGATTATGACTGCAAGCCAATTTGATAAACTTGCAGACGATGAGATCGATGCTTTGCCTGTGCTGCCATTGGTCATCGCCCGCTGCAGTCCAGCTACAAAAGTTAAAATGATTGACAGTCTTCACCGTCGCGAAAAGTTTTGTGCCATGACCGGTGACGGTGTCAACGACTCGCCAAGTTTAAAAATTGCAAATGTCGGAATTGCAATGGGCATCAATGGATCTGACGTTGCCAAAGATGCTTCTGACATTGTCTTGAGTGACGACAATTTCGCATCAATTCTAAACGCAGTCGAGGAGGGTCGTCGAATGACAGACAATATCCAAAAATTTGTCTTACAGCTGCTGGCGGAAAACGTAGCGCAGGCTCTCTATTTGATGATTGGTCTCGCTTTCTTGGATAAACATCATTTATCAGTATTTCCATTGTCTCCTGTCGAAGTTTTGTGGATCATTGTGGTGACATCCTGCTTCCCAGCCATGGGTCTTGGTTTGGAGAAACCAGCGCCTGATATCATGGATAAGCCACCCAAGGATTCCAAAGCAGGTATCTTCACTTGGGAGATAATTTCGGATATGTTTGTTTACGGTTTGTGGATGGCGGGTTGCTGTCTGGCTTGTTTTGTCACTGTTGTTTACGGGAAAGGAGAAGGAGACTTGGGTATGAACTGTAACAACAAATTCTCTGCAAGTTGCCATTACGTTTTCCGTGGCCGTGCCGCAGCCTTTGCTACAATGACCTGGTGCGCTCTCATTCTGGCATGGGAAGTTATTGACTTGAGGAGATCATTCTTCAAAATGCAGCCAGAAACAGATACACCTTACACACAATGGATGAAAGACATTTGGTCCAACCAATTTTTGTTCTGGTCTGTTGTCTTCGGCTTTGTCTCGGTATTCCCTGTCGTCTACATCCCCGTGATCAACAATGACGTTTTCAAGCACTCAGGAATCGGCTATGAATGGGGACTTGCTGTCGCGTACACAGTTCTCTTTTGGGCAGGCGCAGAGCTTTACAAATACTTCAAGAGAGTATATTTCAAAAACAGGGAACGTGCTAGCAACCCCGAAAACGACTTGGAAAGCAAGCGCGTCCATGATCCGTTCGAGAAATACAACACTTCATATTCGGCTTCAACATCTGTTCAAACAACGAATGCGGTAATGAAGATGTAAAATAGAGTCCCATCTCAGAGACAACTACCAAGATCCAATTAAGTATTTTTCACTAATCACTTTGTTTAATTTCACAACACGTTTGATATCACACTAAACTTAGTTTAACAGTTATGCAATAGATTTGATAGCTTCGTCTAGTAACGTAACTACTCTGAAGACGTCCTGGAAAGTGTTGTAAAGCGGGACAGGAGCGATTCTAATCACATCAGGACGGCGTTCATCAACAATCACACCTCGCTCGTTCAAGTAGTCGAACACTCTTTCCATTGTGTCCAGCTTTCGATCGTCATGATGTGGGAAGAACAATAAAGACAGCTGAGCACCACGTTCTTGCTCTGCCAATGGGGTGAGGATGGTAAATCCTGCCGAAGAGACCTTCTTTGGCAAATTTTTGTAGTAGTTTGGCGATGCTGTTAAAAGTTCGACAAGGTAGTTCGTCAGCAATAGCGATCTTTCTCTCAGAGCATTGATACCACCGAAATCTTGAATAATTTCAAGTGACGACTTCAACGCTACGACGTCGATAACGCTAGGGTTGGATTGACGAAACCCTAGAGCTCCAGATATCGGCTCAAAGACTTCCTTCATCTGAAATCTTCGCTCTCTGTTGTTGCCCCACCAGCCGGCCATACGTGGCAAATAGCGACCGTTACCTAATGATCCCACTTGGCTGTGTTTCTCGTGCACGAAAATACCTGCTATGGCACCAGGACCGGAATTCAAATACTTGTAAGAGCACCAACATGCGAAATCTACACCCCAGTCGTGTAACGCCAGTGGAACGTTGCCAACTGCGTGTGCCAGGTCCCACCCAACCACAACATCTTTAAATTGGTGAGCAAATCTGGTTATCTTCTCCATGTCGAACCATTGGCCTGTGTAGTATTGGACGCCTGGCAAGCAAACTAGAGCGAGTTCTTCATGATGATCGCTTATCGCTCTGATGATGTCGTCTGTACGTAAATACGATTCGCCCTCACGAGCCTCCAGCCTTATGAGAGCTTCGTCTGGATCAACCTTGTGGAGTGCACATTGGTTGTAGAAGGCGTAAAAGTCTGATGGGAAAGCACCTTTCTCGCACAGAATTTTGTATTTTTTAGACGTGGGACGATAAAAAGAAACCATGAGAGCATTAAGATTTGCCGTTAAAGATCCCATAACCGCTACTTCGGATTCCAAAGCACCTACCAACGACGGAAGCAGATTGGACAACGGCAAGTCGATATCCATCCAAGAAGTGAATCCCTGCTGTTCTCCAGAATGCCGGAAATGCGATTCCACCGCACGATCGGCCCATGCATCCAGCTCTTTATTGATGGCATTTCTTGTAGATTTTGGCATGCATCCTAGAGAATTACCACATAGATAAGTGACTGGAGAATAATCAGATTGATTTGCCCCATCGCTTTTCAAACCCATCGACCCATAGCTAGGAATACAGAACGCATCACGGTGAGTAGCAGGGTATCGATGGTCCAAACTAACAGCTTTTTCCATGGTTCTTTGACTCAGTTTTATTCAGTTTTAATCCTGTTTTTTGACAAGATCTCATTACCTGAACAAACTTCAATATAAATGTCAATTATATATATACACTCTAGTTTGACATCCAGATCAAATATTCAAATGTATAAAAGGATATCATGACTCTGATTGCACGACTCAATTGTATTGTTCAAGATGGTTGTTGTTACTAGAAGCTAAATAAGTTAGAGTCAGATCGAAATCTTATGTCTAAACCTTGTTTTTAGTTGAAATCAACTAGACCTTTACGTGTTATAATCAAGATGACAGCGACATGAAAAAAGAGTTGAGTGTTGCGTAAGGTTCGAGATCAACGCTAAGATCAACGCTAGTTTTGGTCCTTATTATGAATATGGTGACAACGTGCAATTGGAAGAGTACTGAAAGTTATATGTTATGGAAAGTCGTTAAGAAACAAGATATCCTGTCCTGCTGTCAGGAGAGATAGCTGCGAAAAGAAGGGCATCACACATGCATCCGTCACTGAGTCAGTCTTTGAAAAATACTCGCATCAACCAAAAAAAATGTTTATGCGAGTAAGTGAGCAAAAACGGAGGCCGTGGCTGCAGATGGAGTTGTAACCGATATGGACAAATCATTAATCGGGTCGACAAGGAGTGACATTTTTGGTGCAATATGCGTTTTTTGGAAATACGACGTCATTTAATCGTGTATGCGACGCATGAAGAGGCACAATGGCTATAAGTCAGGTCGGGAAGTAGGCCAGTTGAGCATTTCGAGTATTTTTGCTTGTTTTTAACGAATACGGAACAAGTTGAGGCCTGAGAATAGGCTTCTTCTAGCCAGCCTCAAAGTCATTTTCTAGACTGACATGTTTTACTGACACTGGCAGGCCAGAAAGCTGTACAATTTCACCTACTCAAAACACTTTTTAGCATCGACCTGAATCGTAGTATGAGATTTGCCAAATATTTCCCGCCAAATAGTCGGTAAGGCCCAAGCGTAACTACAGATTCCTCCAGCTCTGGCGTTTCTCTTGGACGAAATGTTTTTCTTATATGGCTGTGATATACTGACGGCTGTTACAGTTTGGATTCTAGCTGAGCGCGGAATTGAAGTGGAAAGGGTCTGGAGAGTGTTTGAAAGTCACTAAAGCGGTGAAACTACATTTGGGCAAGAAAACTATTGGAAAGGATCGAATCTTTTCAGTTCGGAAAAAAGGTTCGTCAATTTTTACTGGAGTGAGGCTCCGGGTGGCTTAGAGACTGAGTTGCTAATTTTACGTTAGATCGTATGCACCAAGAGCTTGAGCGTCAACACAGAGAAAAAGAGCCAATATCGATAGCTGTGGTAGACGCTTCACTATGGATTGCATTGCCAGAGGTACTGGGACGCTTCTCGCGCCAAAATGTCGTTCTTCACGAACAGCGAGATTCACTTCAGTACCGGTCCGTGTGAAAGACATTTCTAAGGGAAGCCACCTGCTTTGGGCGGCCCTTAAGATAGACCATACACAACCGGGTGCCATTTTGGTTACTTTAACGTCTCTAGTGGCGAAAAATTCTCGTGCAATTGACGATACAAGCGTACTCTCGGTTACCGAAGAGTAAACGCGGTTGAAATATGAGGTGGCGTTGCTGATAGATCCCAGTACATATCGGCGCACGTATTGGAACAGCACGAACACTATTTCTCTCGATACAGAAACTGCGTCCACGTGACCCCTACTTTTGAGGGGGTTTTTCTTTCGTGTTGTTTATTCTAGAGCAACTCCCCGGGACCACCGAAGTACATGAGTTTCTCAAAGACTACTACGCATAAATCACAAATAGGGTCCCACAAAGACCTGTCGCTTAGTTGCAAAAGCTTTTTAGTATACAAAAATTTAATCACTCTACACGACAACAACATACCCAATATATATATATATATATATATATCATTACCGTCATTGTCACCATCATCATCACTTTTTCGTCCCACAAGTAGGCCCCCTAACGTATAGATTCACGAAAAGAACACTTACCCACTAGCCAGTACCCACGTTCTAATTCAATACCAGTCCATCCCGTCTCTCTCTCTCTCTCTCTACAAACTTTAAATTTCCTACATCGTTTTATACGAAAATTCCCGGATTACCTCTCTCTTTTTCTCTCTTTTTTTTTTCTTTTCGCAACCCGTTTCTCAAGCGCACTTTGTGAGACAAACAAGTCCCTTTTCTTTCCAACCTCTGAACCCATTACACTATATCATCTTTCCAAACCTTTAATTTCTCTTATTGTCACTCTGCCCAGCATCACCCCGTACGAGGTATACTGGGGGAATTCTAAATACAAAATAATTACCACTTTTCTTAAAACTCATATATATATCTAAAACCTTTATATTGTGCTTTTGCCGCACACTACACTTTTAACACAAAAAACCGCACGTTAACACCACTCAAACCACTCGATATGCCGGTTGGAACCGAGCTACAACCGGGCCACAGCGTACCGGACACGCCTGAGTCCTCGAATGCGGATTCTGTGCGTTCCCACGTCTCAGTTCCGCCCACTCTTGCCGCTGACACTACGCGAACGACGGGTCAGCAATTTGTGGCCGAAAGCGACGATTTGGAAACTGCAAAGCCGACTTCTGCACCGCAAAACACCCCGGAACCGGCTGAAGCCGAGACATCCCGGTTTTCGGCCACAAAATCGCCGATTTTACACGAAGACCCCAGTATTGCACCGTTGTCGTCGACAACAACAAAAACAACAATAGGAGCTCCGTCAATAACCGGAGCAAGTCCGCAGCGGGCTCAAAACAAAGCAGATGACTCAGACAACGCGGACAATACCGCAACAGGCGCTTCAAACCGCCTTTCGGATCGTGGTCCTGTGTTTCCCACTTTTTCTGCTCCTCGTCAGGAGTCATCATCACCAAAACCGCTTAATAGCGAGATCACTGTGGACGAAAAAAGTGGCACGACCGCGGCTCGTACTGCCGCGGTCATTGTGAACGGGGATCGATTCGCAGATCCAGACACCCAGACACCACACGACCAAGAAAACTTGGAAACCAATGTCAACAGTAGTAAAAGCTCTCCATCATCGCCAACTGCAAATTCGGTACAACTGCCGCACATTACAACGCTGTTAACACTGCCGAAAATTCCAGAACCTGCCCGTCACAACCATGCAGCGTCACCCAATTCGATTTTAACCGGACGCAACGTTTTTGCAACCTCTGCGTCTCGCAACTCGCCATCCGACACTGGTGCGGGTAAATTCGACAAACTGCCGCTTCGCGGCGCAAGCAGCTTTAGCGGTGTCAGCAGCAGTAGTCGTAGCGGTATTGGAGCTGGTGGGAGCACTCCGTTGATGTCGGTCAACAACAGCAGGACATTTTTGACGCCGCATCGACTAAGCTTCAATACTCACCAAATGGCAACCGATCCGCATGTTACGTTGGTGGATCACAACAAGATTGATATTTCGTCGTTGCTGAACTCACGGGGCGAAGATGTTTACACTTTACGGTCGCGAGAACAATTGAGCTCGTCTCCGGCTTTTCAAGGGCTGGGCCATGATGAAAACGAGAGCGGGGCGTTCAGCGATGAAAATAACAACAACAACAATAAAAACAGGAATAATAGGAACGACAATTACAACGGAAATGAGAACGACAATGACCACGACAACGACGCTAATGACCAGGAATACGACAACCGTCACCCGAAACAGTCACACAATCTTCGTGGTAAAACCGGTCGCTCCAAAGCGACCAAAACACTCGATTTCCAGTCAGCGTCAACCGTAGTGGTGCCACCACCAAGAACACAACCGGGTCGCATCAAGTCTAAGTTCGACGAAGTACGTTCACGCCTGTTACTCGACCCCAATGCTATCCCGCCGCGTCCAGATAATTTTGGTTCGTCATCGTCCGCTCGATCCGAAGACGACTTTGCAGCAGCAGGTGCCGCAGCAGCCATTATAACCAAAATGCGCTCATCACCTTACGAACCTCATGATGAACCAAGCGCCTCTAGTCGTCCTGGATCTGCTAGCTTCAGACACCATATGCGGCCAGTAGTCCGGATCCATCAACGCGAATACGAGCCTAATGAAAGCGATGAAAGCGCAGTGATAGAAGACGACACAGAAGACGAATCTTATGAAGAGGGTTCTGGACATGCCACGGACAAAATCAGCTGGAACAAAAGTGGGATGAAAAAACGGGTCACCCGACGCCAATCTGCACCATCTTCCAATTTCAAACGCCGTCATTCCGTCAAGGTAGAAGAGTCCAATCCGAGCTCGCGCACTTCGCGACATTCTTCTACTTCGTCCGCATCTACGGTCACGTCGTTACTTTCAGCTGCTAAACTCTTGGGTAAGAAACCAAGTGACAAACCTGTTAAAGACGAATCGAAAGGCCCTCATTGGAAAGGGAAAGATCCAGCGCTGTCACCACCTACCTCGCCAAATCATAGCAAAGTGCGCAGAAAAAACGCAGCGGGCTCGAGATCGAGGAGCGGATGCTGGATTTGCAGACTGCGTAAGAAGAAATGTACCGAGGAAAAACCAAGCTGCCACAATTGCATGCGACTCAATCTGCAATGTTTCTACGATCATACAAAGCCAGACTTCATATCAGATCCTGCTAAGAAAAACGAAAAGTTGGAAGAAATCAAGAAAAAGACTAAAGAGGCAAAACGCATGGCCATGAGGAGACGGCCCTGAACAATTTCAAAGTTCAAACATCGTTGACGATATATACTTTACTTCGGTTCTAATGACAATATACAAACACACGCAAGTGCGCGATATAGATGAAATTCTAACCTGTGCTGAGTCGAGAGTAAATCACGTATATGTCGATCAAGTCCAGCGCTGCTACAAAGAGCTACTGCCACGCACTGGCCTGAGCTTTTGAAAAAAGGTCTTTATCAACTACTGATGACTATAACGCCATCTCTCTGTGACATCGAATTGAACAACAATTGCTGCTGATCTGAAGAAATGTAAATCGAGCCTCATTGCTCAGCTATGATCAAAAAATCGTACACGAAAGAGCCGGTTGACTTCGCAAAAGCTCATTTGCAACTTATACCTAAACTGCTTGACAATTGTAGTCAGCGCTCGATCGGAACTCGATGAAAGACCGGTACTGTTCAGAACCAATGCTGGACCCACCAGTATCCTGGCATGCGAAGTACTGTGTCGAGGCCTTTGGCCATTTGAAGCAGGCTTTGTACTCTAAACCTTAATATTCTTCCTTCTTCACGGCTGATTCGCTAGTCGAACGTGTAATAATGCTTTTCGAGACAATCAGTACTGTGGATAAACATAGTTTCCCGAATATGCTTGGTTCTGTGGCCCCGCTTGTGGCACATATGCTGCTTGTTGAGGGAGAGGCATGCCTTGGCCTGGCCGACCAAGACCATTATACATCATCGGCTGGTAGGCAGGTGGCCAATATTGCATGTAGGGGTTGTTCATCATTGGTTGTGGCCCATTAACGTAATATGGAACGTCGTATGTCTGATGAGCATCATGTGTAGAAGCTGCAACCATTGGGGCTGGAGAGTGAGCGGGTTGACCAAATTGGACTTGAGGTGAGCTGGAGGGAATCTGAAAAGTTGAGTTGGTATTATTTCCCAACACGGGAGAGTCAAGCATAGGGTTAACTACCTGTATGCCCGGAGGAGCACGAATAGGAGGTCCAGGGACCATGCTGCTCATCATGTTTCCCGAAGGCATCTGAGGAATCTCATGAGAGGGTGCAGCTGAGGATCTTAAATTCGAATCGCCAACTGAAGGGGAGGGAGAGCTTGATTGCAAGCTTGTTGAAGCTTCTGATCTACCAGTAAAAACTTGCACTGGCCTTATAGAGGAGATTGATGTTGGGGTCTCACCTTTGGCTGGGTTGCGGTTGGTGAAATCCACACTTGGCCTAACTTCCAAAGTAGCTGGCGCTAATGGCACTGAAGAACCACTGTAGCCGCCTGCTTTTGCAGCCTGAGCCGACTGACTCTCGGATTCGATATCGCGTGAAGATAGCACGGGACCACCCAAAGACTTCAATACACTTTCAGTTCCATTATTCAATCGTTGCCCTGCGCTTGTTCTTATAGCCGATCTGACAAATTTCTTGTCCATCAATTGAATTCCACAAGAGTTTTTTAACAGAAACTTTTTGCCCGAAACCGCGATGGCGCTTAGCCTCAACGAATGCTCCTCTTTTTTGGAAAGCTTCTTGTCTACCATTCCAATCAAAGCCTTTGAAGAGTCCTTCGCATTGAAAAGATCAGAATCTTTGAAATCGGATAAGGAGTATCTCAATGGCTTGAACTCTCGTAAAATAACATCCTCTTCAAAGTAGTAGGGGCGGTGAGGTCTATGATTTGAATTACTTTCAAGCTCACGGCAAGCAGTCTTCTCTTGGATCGCGTTCATTAAATGCATCATAGTCTCACAAAATTTTGTATTTCTATGAGCAAAATGTAACACAATCTTGTTCGCCATTAGCCAACACTCAGCAACACGAACAAATGCCAGATATACCCACTCCTTTTCATTTGTCAGTTCCGTTGTAACTGCACTGCTGATGAAATTGCTAATGTAGTCCATAGCAAACTCCAGATATTTGCCTTCATTCGCTTGCGCTTGTGGCAGATCTGGGCTCTTTCGATTAAGCGTTCTTAGAATTTCGAAACCCGCTATAATCAAAACCAGATTTTGGAAAATCAGCTGTAAGCTTTTGGAATACCTTGTTGCAGTCTTATGCATCAATTCCTGCTGTACATGGGAAAGCATGACTTCACTGATGAGGTTTTTCTGATCATTGCCAATCCACAACGCAGGCGCAAATCTCGAGCCAAATAAGACCAGAAAATAAGTCTCGATAATTTCGCGATTGACAATTTGGCCCCTCGTGGCCTGCTTGTGAACAACATGGAAACTCTCCACTATGTCATTGAATATCTTGCTATTGCGTTCGCACACGGAGTTCATGAAATTCCCGAAACCTGCACTGCTTGGAAGACGCGATAAAGCACTTCTCGCAAAAGAATAGGTGGAGGAACCGTAGCTCTTGACATGCACGTAAACCAAACCTTCTTGCAGGTACAGTTCTCCCACCGATGGGAGTACCAGAGTGGCAAGTTCAAAATACCGCATGGACTTCTTGAAATGTGCTAAACTTGGCGATCCATTGGTATTCTGGGGTTTTTCGCACATGCTTTTGTAACGGTGGCACGATCCCAAGTTGAGCAAACAGCCGTGGATCAAAAACATCATTGAAACAGCCTTGGGATCGTCTTTGTGCAAAAAGAGTCTGTTTGCTGCCGCCTTGGGTTGCTGTACATTCAGTTGCCGCAAGAGAGGTTCTGGAACGATATCACGCAGGTCAAACTCGGACGTGAGCTTCTCCAGAACCCCATAATAGAACTTATGGATGTTTTTGAAGAATTTTGTGAGCTTGGCGTTCATTTTGCGCAATTCCACGATCCGCGGTTTCTGGTCCACTTTAACTGTAAGCAAGTGCTGACGCCACAATTGAAACCATTTCAAAATAGGATAGTGTACGTTTTTCCAGCAGCAATCCATCACCCGCTGTGCCAGCTCCGGTTCCTCATTTCCTGCTGCTTCTTCCACATATTTGATGCACTTGGAGTGCGCAAACGTCAAGAATCCGCTCAAAAGAGCATCATCCTGCGCCGTGGCGTACGTCTGCAGAATCCCATTCACCTGCTCTTGGTATTTCTTGAAGTTTGTCGCCATCTGCGGCACTGTTCCAGCTTCAGCGTTCGACATAGGCTTCTTATCCTGTGGTTGTCGTAATCTTTTTTTTTGGTTTTGGCTAGATTTTTTCCGCTTATAGGTCGAATTTGGTAGCGTTGAAACCAGATTTTTTTACATATGTCCACACTTCGATGTTGAAGCTACCCCTAGTGACTCACAGTCGATAAAATGCTGTTTTGAAAGCTGTTTTTAGGCCTGATTTCAAACCTTTTGACAGTTGCTCGATGAACTCATCGCTCTCTTTATTATTTCTTCAAATACTTCATTTAAATTTTTCACCACGATCACTAATCACGGAACGATGATTTAATTTCAATTTTGAAAAGTAAATATACAGAACTGCAAGGTAAGCTCATCGCATGTCAGACAAATCAAACAAGAATCAAGAGAGATCGTGTGAGGTTTAACTTGAATCCTGTAATCTGTAGTCTATATCTTTAGCGGCTAATGCCGCGGGTGGTATGCGTTGCTGAAAAAAACTCCATTGCCAAAGCTGTAGCTGGGATTTTGAGCGGTGGAAATTCGTCCAGACGTGATAGTCCTAGCAAGTATATAAAGAACTATGATTTTAGCTTTGATTTTGGGTTTTCCGGGTCAAGCGAGGTGACAATGACGTCGGTGGCAGGCCATCTGACGGGATTGGACTTGGACCAGGCTCACGGATGGGGCAAATGCCCCATTCCCCAGGTTTTCGATGCTCCGATCGTGGATATACGGACTAGAGACCAGGAGAAAATGGCTAGCAATATCCAGCGGGAAAGCCGAAATGCAGATTTTCTCATGATTTGGACGGATTGCGATCGTGAAGGAGAGTACATTGGGTGGGAAATCGTTCAGACAGCGTTACAAGCTAACGCTGCGCTTCGCAACAATGTGTATCGCGCCACGTTTTCGCATTTGGAAAGTCGCCATATTTTGCATGCAGCTCGGAATCCCAATCGGCTGGACCAGCGTGCCGTGGATGCGGTTCGAACTCGGATGGAGGTGGATCTGAGATCTGGGGTCGCATTCACGCGATTTTTGACGGAATTGCTGGGATCAAAAGTCGAACGCGATTCAAGTTCAAAATCGAACCAACGACCTATTATATCGTACGGTACATGCCAGTTCCCGACGCTGGGATTTGTCGTAGATCGATTTGAAAGAATTCGAAAGTTTGTACCCGAGCAATTCTGGTATCTTGTTCTCACGCTCTCCAGCGGATCGAATAAGACCACATTCCAATGGGAAAGAGGTCATCTTTTTGACCGTCTTGCCGTGGCCGTGATCTATGAGCTTTGCATTGATAGCTCTCGCAACATTGCCAAAGTTGCGAATCTAAAATCGAAACCAACGTCAAAATATCGGCCATTTCCGCTAACTACAGTGGAGCTACAGAAAAACTGTTCGCGATACTTCAAAATGAGCGCCAAGGTTTCTTTAGAAGCTGCCGAAAAACTGTACCAGAAAGGGTACATTTCCTATCCCAGAACGGAAACCGACAGTTTTCCACAGGCCATGGATCTGCGAGCATTGGTACAGCAGCAAACTTCAGATAGTCGTTGGGGCTCATATGCTGGGAACTTGCTTAGCGACCAAGGCTCAAATTGTTTTCAATCACCAAGGTCGGGAAAACATGATGATAAGGCGCACCCTCCAATACACCCGATTGTTAGCGCAGGTGCTGGATTAGACAATGAAAACGAAAAAAAGGTTTATGAGTACGTCACTCGGCATTTTTTAGCATGCTGCTCCGAAGACGCAAAGGGACACTCGACCACGATGACTTTGCAATGGGGCCCGGAATTTTTCAACGCCAACGGCATTGTTGTGCTCGAGAGGAACTTCTTAGACGTTTACGTTTATATGAAATGGGATTCTACTAAAGAGCTCCCCAATCTAGACGTAGGGCAAAGTGTTGAGCTGTCATCCTACCTGATGAAAGATGGACAAACTTCCCCACCGAACCAAATGACGGAAAGTGAGTTGATTTTATTGATGGACGCGAATGGAATAGGCACTGATGCTACGATTGCCGAACACATTGAGAAGATACAGCAAAGAGATTACATCAAAAAGAAAAAATTGAACAAACAAACGTATCTTATTCCAACTACTTTGGGGGTGTCCCTTGTTCATGGGTTCGAGGCTATCGGTTTAGAGGACTCTTTTGCTAAACCATTTCTTCGACGGCAGATGGAGGTCGACCTGAAGATGATTTGTGATGGTCTCAAGAATAGGAACGAGGTTGTGAATGACTTGATCACCAAGTATCAAGACTACTATGGCCTGACTAGTACGAGGAAAAACAAGCTTATCGAGACTTATACCGACATCAAATCGATAATGTAACTTTAATTGTGTATGCTAAACAAATATTGAACTTGATATGTGCAGGAAAATCCTATGTCTCCTTTGAGCCCACATTTGATGGAAATCAAGGAAGGGGAGATGCGTTGGACACGGCAGAAGATCGGCACCAGCACACCGAATCCTTAGGTTCAACCTGTACCCAGGATTTGATGTTCGCGTCCTTCAGTATTTTTTCCACGCGTTTCTTTATTATGGTGGAGTTCTCCCCTTCCATGTACTGAACGTGAATGTAGCCGATGAGAGTCTGTGATTCTCCCGTTTGGCATGAAGAATCACTTTCTGATTTTTCACTGGCATGCGAATGAGAATGGCCATGGGAATGCGAATGTCCTCCGTGCGAAGCAGATGACGTTAAAGGCCAAAACCGAGGTGTGGTGTAACCAGTGATGCCTGGAGTCATTGAAATTTGATTTAGAGCACTTTTGAGGTTATTTGCTTGCTTATCGTTGAGCTTCAGTAGTATGCTTGTGGTGGTTGATTTGATCAAAGGAATGGAGCTTAAAAGAATCAAAACAGCAATGAATATTGAAGCTATGGGGTCAAAAATCTGAGAACCAAACAATTTCGTCAACAATGTAGAAATAACGACCCCTACTGAACCAAGTGTATCGGCCATGATATGCAAGAAGATGCCTCTCATGTTCTCATTGCCGCCATCATGGCTGTGTCCACCGTGATCAAACGCGAAAAGTCCGACAAGGTTTACTAGTAGCCCTAAGAAAGAAACCACTAAAAGTTCAGTGGTTTCCAGTAGAGTAGTTGGATTTGAAATCCTATCAATGGCCTCGACTAAAATTCCAGAGACAATGCCAATCAACAGCACACCATTAGTGAAACCTGCTAAATTCTCAAGATAGCCAAGGGCAAAGGGAAATGTGTCGTTTGCGGGCCTTTTGGATAAGATCCCGGCAACCAGTCCGAGCAGAAGTGATAGGCAGTCCAAAGCCATGTGTAGGGAATCTGATAGTAGCCCGAGGGACTTGGAACGGAAGGAATAGAGTAACTGTACGAACATGAAAGCAGTGTTTAGTAGTAGGAACAGGAAAATGGTCCTTGTTTCCGGGTTCGTAGCAAGTTGAAGGAGTAGCCTGGAACTAGGAGACGAGCTTTCATCAGAGTTCGAACTAGGGACGTGATGGTGAGCATGACTATGAGAATGATCATGACTATGACCATGATCATGCGTGTGAGAATGTTCGTGGGACTGTTTTTCGCAAACCATTTCGGCACTATCCGTGTGCTCAACTCCAGTATATTGTTTAGTCCTGAGTGACACAACACCACTGACCACGATGAACGCCAAGAGCGTGGAATCTGTTGCAAGAGCAGATGGAAGTGTGTTAGACGATATAAATTGCAACGCCATTGCTGCAAATCCCAATACCGGGGGAATGTAATGGGAGCTCAGGGCTCTCTGTGCGCTTGTCATGTTGGAATCGCGACAAATTTCCTTCCAACTGACGAATAGCAGCCCCAGGCACCCGAGACAAACAAACATCATGGAATGTTGTACCTTGAGACCCGATTGCACCATGCTTGGTATGAGCCCGAAGTGATCTGTCACTAACATGTGCAAAAAAACGGCCAAAATTACGGAGAAAGATGCAAAATGTACAGGTCTCAGCTGCTTGCCACGCAGTATGTTCATGCCTGGCAATTTGACGTTTTTAAGGTAGAGAGTCAGTAAAATCACAAGATAACTCGCAATGGTCTTAGAATAGGATGTGTTTTGAATGTAGTCAATGAGTAAGCTTAGAGCTGGAAAGACAGCATACAGGGCATTGAAAGCGGTTGCACCACTGATTATTTGCAAAAGTAGAGCCGACAAAACAGAACTTTGGATATGCCCTAATAGCGAATTGAGTGAGAAACTCACGAAAGCCAATCCGAAGACAGAGCCCAGTCGCTCAATTGAACCCAAAGCTCCACCCAGGGCAGCCACGGCTGATGCACACAGCAATGGTGCTATCAGTTGCTCTAAAAGAAGCTCTGCAAATCCAAATCCAGTGGTGCCAGCTGCATTCTCACCACTTCTGCTCACGATCAAATTGCTGCTCAAGAGCACCGTCGGATACGAGAGTATAACCGGGATCCGGGAAAGTACATCGTCGATTCCCATGTGGATAGTGCGGTGCAACAAATCTGATCGACCTGGAGCTATAGTTGATGGGTTTATGGTGGTGTTTGATTTCAAGAAGTGGTGTGTGAGACCTGAGAGGTAGTGACATGGACAGTTATTGGATTCGTATTAGATGACATCAGAGAATACTGTCATGTGATCATAAACTTGGGTTGAGCTTTTGTTGACCTTGAAGGACTGTGTGGAGGGAGCTGAAAGGTCTGGAAGGATGATTCAAGAGTGTTTCATCTACTTCAAGAGTTCTCAGGCTGATTTTGTCTTGGTGAAAGAGACGTCAATTCATTTACATGAGAATTGGTAGAGTTTAGGCAACGGAAATCGTGTCGCAAGCATCGAAGTAGCTTGTTTTATAAGAAGCAGCAGACAATAATAATGCAAAGAATTGTTTTAGACAGAATGCACTGAAGTTGGTATGACTTCCGACAGAATATTTCCAAGAAACTCATGGGGGTGCATCAGGGTCCGTGACGGAATGGGACAAAATGATAACTTTTGAGACGAGGCATGTGTGCCTGAGTTTAGGCTTATGAAGCTAGGGTTTGACTGTACATCTTCTGAGGTGTGAGGGAAAGCCGTGGTTTCGCACTGGGGAGGATAATCGGGGAATAAAAAGTGCCCGAGAACGACGACAGCGACAGGTGGGACAAAAGTGACATAAAATGTGGTCAAAGGTCTCAAGCGGTCCAAAGATTGGAAGCAGCTGCTTGAAGGAAAAAAAACGCCCAAAGGTGCTTGGTATGAATGAGCCAAGAGTCTTTCTTTTTCTGCTCTTTTTTTGGCCAATTTTTTTTCTGGTTTTTGGCCTTCGGATTTGAACTCAATAAACGCCATTACCAGCGTTACGCGATTTCCTGCGTTCCCTGATTGTAGGAGATACAATCCAGCTTCTTAAGACCCTAGCAGGCTTCTTCAAAACGATAAAACTTGTTTTGGCAGCCGATGCATGGAGTCAGATGACCTGATGGGACCACGATGAATATCTAATTACTACCGTTAATCGCATCAAGCGTTCAACTCGCATAAATCGAATTTCGTTCCTTTTCGAAAACAATTTTGGCACGTTTCATTGTGAATGATTGCATTACAATGGGAATGCCATTAGTATGAGAACAAAGAGGACATTATCAGCTGTGTCTTTGTATCGATTTAGTGCGATATAATCTTCAGTTGAGCTCCGGACGACACTCTAGTACAAAGTGATCTCCGGCGCCAGGTTCCAAAACCTGCGTCCTATTTCGAAGCTCGTCTCTCTACAACGATACATACAGCCCAACGGAGATGCCACCTAAATGCTCAAGCTATACATCAACAACACTCACTCTCCAATTGCGGACTCCAAAAGGTAACTTTCTCGAGGACCCTTACTTCGGACTTAAGAAAAATGAGTTAGAATAGCCAAACAAAACAAAAAACTCTTAAAAACAGCACAGCATAAAAATGCCCCAATTAACCACTTCCAACTTTGAATATTATCACGTCTCAAACACGTCTCAAATACGTCTCGAACACCTCTCAATCCTTCTCGTCGTCTACTCAACTCACCGACCAAAGTCCGACCGTGTCACACGATCCATTCACACTGTGCGTCGCCAAGACCCATAATTTTTCAAAATATCATAACTCATCGATGCCCATAAACGCATAGCGATGCTTTAAGTTTCCCACAAGTCAAGCAGTGCCGTATATCTGTGAAAAAAATCAACAGTTTTTCGATACAATGGTCACAATCTTGACGGTCGCATCTTCAAGCCGGTCTTGGATCATATAAATACATAGTTTTTTGGAACTTGTCAATTTTCAACTCTGTTCGGTAATACTAAGTTGATCAACAACAGTTTGACTATTTAAACCCATCAATTTAAACACCAGAGCTTAGGACAACTATTCAAATGTCTAGCGAGAGTGTGCAATCCGGGAAACCTCGTGGCAGCCTCATGAAAGGTGTGTCACGGTGTTTGTCTTTCCTGGAAGTGCCCGTCCAAGAAAGACAAACTCTGAGCGTACTCAGAAATCCAGATTTACAGCCAATCCCCAAGGAAGAACAAACATGGGGCTGGGTGTCCAACTGTGCGTATTGGGGTGTTATTTCGTTCAGTGTGGGAACTTGGATTAGTGCAAATGCTGCATTGGACGTTAAACTGTCGTATCCAGAAACCGTTGCAACTTTTATTCTGGGCGATGTGGTAACAATCATTTTCACACTGGCAAACTCGTATCATGGTGCAGACTGGAAAGTCGGCTACACCATCTCTTCGCGGTTTGTGTTTGGAATCTACGGTTCCGGTCTGGGCATTTTGGTGCGGTTTTTGATGAGTATCGTCAACTATGGGTCCAACGCTTGGCTGGGTGGTTTGTGTGTGAACATGATTTTGGATTCGTGGTCGCACCATTATCTCACGCTTCCCAACACCTTGAGCTCGCACGTTGCAATGACAACTAAAGAAGTTATCGGGTTCATGTTGTTCCACGTCATTGCATCGTTTTTCTACCTCATGAAACCTTACAAAATGAACTACTTTCTGATCGTGTCCTGTTGTGCCACTTGTGCTGCTATGACGGGTATGATCATTTATCTCTGCGTAAAAAACGGCGGTGTAGGCGATTACTTTCTAAGCACCAAGACTACGATTCACGGTTCAGAGAGAGCATGGGCGTGGGTTTACATGATTTCATACTGGTTCGGCTCCGTGTCGCCAGGATCCGTCAACCAAAGTGATTTTTCCAGATTTTCCACATCCAAAAGAGCCGTTTACGCCGGTACCATCCTCGCTCTTCTCATTCCTACGACTTTAATCCCCATTTACGGTGTAATCGGTGCTTCCACGTCCAATGATTTATACGGAGAACCATTTTGGATGCCTATGGACATTTGCGATTACTGGTTGAATAATGGCTACTCTGCAGGTGCCAGAGCGGCCACGTTCTTCTGTGGACTAGCTTTCTTGTGTTCGCAAATTTCTTACACGATTTCAAACTGTGGGTTTGCAGCCGGCATGGACTTGAGTGGTGTTTTGCCCAAATACATCAATATTTTCAGAGGTGCCATTTTCTGTGCTGTGCTCAGTATAGCGGTACAGCCTTGGAATTTTTACAATTCCTCGTCTACCTTTTTGACAGTTGCATACTCCTTTGGTGTTATCATGACTCCAATCATCTCGATCATGATCTGCGATAACTTTTTGATCAGAAAGCGCAAGTATTCTGTCTCGCAAGCATTCATACTTCATGGCGAATACTACTACACCTGGGGTATTAATTGGCGTGCTATTTTCGCCTTTGTGTGTGGTATGACACCTGGTCTACCTGGTCTGGCCGCTGAGGCTAACCCTAATATCAAGGTTAGCCAGGGTATCCTCAACTTCTATCTAGCGGATTCCTTCACCTCATTCTTGATCTCGTTCTTCACCTATTGGATTGTGTGTCTCATTTTCCCTGTCAAGATCAAGATCGAGCAAGACGACAAGGACTACTACAACTCATTTACGGACGAAGAGGCCAGAAGAAGAGGCATGGCTCCATTCTCAGAGCTGTTACCTGAGGAAGTCAACGAATACGATTACCAAAAGAATGAAGCACCTCTAGGACGTGTGGATAATCCAAGTTCTTTGACCACAGCTGATGTTGAGTCGGCTCATGAATCTTTAGACAAACAGAAATAAGGTGTCGGCCTTGGGAAGGCTTTTTAATCATAGATAGACGTAATACAAAACAGGAGTGATATTTTCTTTCTCATTAAGGCTGGATTTCGTGCTTTTCATATTTGAGCTTGAACTGTTTCCGCTGCTGAGCTCTTTCCTTTCTGATCAGTCTAAGGTCCGGCGGAGGCGAGAGATTCAAGTGTTTGCGAATTTCATCCAAGTCATGGTCTAAAAGCTCTTCCCAGTAGACGTTTATCAGCGACTTGGAGCTCAAACCGCTTTTGATAGCCCAGGGCAAGTAGACATTGTACAAACGGTCCTTTTGCACCGGCTTCAAGCGCAGAGGCGCCAGCAAAGCCCCCAATGCAGCCATGGGAACACCCATATTCGCAGCCTCGAGTGCTTTGACCGCTATTTCACCCTCAATTATGATTGGAAGGTCATTGATGGCATGGTAGAAATCGTGACATTGGCGATAGCGTTTGAAAACATAAGCATGTAAAGGATCGTCAATATATTTGACAGGAGCTCTGGTATCGGGTGAAACTCCTTCCTTTATTAGCCATTTGTAGTAGCTGTATCCCAAGGTATTGGGTGGCATTTTGCCAAGACGTTCCATGTCAAGGCTTTCCGATGTGATATCGGGTTGTTCCCTCAAAATGCGTCTTCCCGTCTTATCTGCCAGCATGGTTTGCTGTAGGTTCTCGAGAAAAAACGTGAATGCCGATGCTTCGCCCAATTGGACGATGTTTTCGCCATCTTCCGGATGGAAATACGACTTTAGACCTGAAATGACGAACAATAATACTCGTTCGTGAGGGTACAGCGGGATGTGGCCCTTGTAGTTGGGTTTCATAGGGCGAGACTCTGCAATTGATTTGTATTTTAACGGTTCCCCAGTATTATTCTTGTTATGGAGTTCTCCCCTGTCCATAGCATCTGCCAAACGGGCATCGCGGCCGAAAACGAGGCTTCCAAAGGTCAAAGCGCTTGCTAGCACGAATTGACGACTCTGTATAGATGCAGGTGACCTTAAAGACTGGCAACTAGCCCTCCTTAGCATCATTCAAATGACTTTTCAACGGTTTACTGGTAAAACTGGTAAAACTGGTATATATAAGTAGATAGAATTGTAATTCATATTCGATATTCAACTATCTCAACTTAAACACACATTTTACAAGAAACAAACAACTTCTTGGATCAGACGCAGGACTCCTACTCGGGTTTCATGACTACCGAACTTTATCCTGATGACTACTTTGGTGACTGCCCGAAACAAGATCAACAAGGTGAACGGAAATGGTTGATTAACGAGATTATCAAGCCAGAACTGCCCAACATAATAGACAATGTTGACAAATGCTTGGAATTGTTGACCAGTGATGAAGATTTCAAGATGCCGATCAGCTCTGGGCTACCGAACGAGTCCAACGGCGCCTATGTACGTGGAATATTGACCAGAAACCGTGGATCCATAACAGACTACCAGCTCATCGTCAAATTCAAGCAATTCAACCGTGGAAAACAGTGCGCTTTCAAGATGGACACCAGTAGTCCGTATCGGCTCAAGCAAATCGATGCGATTACGGAGAATTTGACCAAAGTCTCGGATCTGTTGGACGCATTACAGCAATGTGAAGATGCAGGCCAATTTGAAGGCCACTTGGTCGAAATTTTGGATCTGTTATCGAAATCCATCAATCTGCTGCATTACCCACCACAAAACCTGCTGTTCCCATACAACGGCAACGCATTGCTCAAGCGAATGTTCACGAATAGCGAGTCGTCGTTTCAAACAGCGCACCATGTTCTCAATATCGACCTTGTCATTTTACGAAACGAAATAAGCATGGATTTTCGCAACTTGCAAAAAGTCACCACTAGACCGTGGTGCGATTTTGACGCAGCAACGGGCAAGACGTTTACAGACAAAATACGCGATAAGCTGAAGGCTCAGCGTGGTAAAAAAGTTAGCGACGCTTTACACGAGGAAGGACTCGAAATCGAGGAACCTTCGCTACTCAGGAACGTTTTCCCACACAAAAACGCATACAGGGCTACGACCCTTGACGAAGCGCACAACGTGCTGGCACGCTGCGTGACTTTTGAGTCAGGACTGGTTTCTGAATGCGAAAAAGTGTCGGTGGCCACAAGCGATCCGAGCTTGATTAGCATCACTTCTAAACTTGGCGCATTGGAAAACTGTGTTAGCAACTACTACACCAATCTAACACTGATATGAAAGAGGAGGTTATTGAATCCTGCTCTATGACAAAGAGTGTCAATGATCAATTATTTGGCAGACCTTCTTCTACACCAATCTAACACTGATATGAAAAAGGAGGTCAATGGCTCCTGCTCTATGACAGAGAGTGTCAATGGCAAACCTTCTCTGCCTTCTATCACAATTGGGCAAGTAAGATCGAGTGTGAAATTTCTGGTGTGAGACCAAGTGTTCCATATGCTTGGTTGATTTGAATCTTTTCGGCTGGTTTTTGGAGCCGAAACCGAGGATTTTCACTGCCCATGTTTTCTCAATTGAGATTAAGTACTTTCATACCATATGAGGATCGTAATTTAACCAGGATATTCTTATCGAGGGTAGGTACTTTTCAATCTGAATTTCTAACCTGGCTTCCACAATTGAGAGGGTCAGCAACCATTTCTTTCACTAATGAAAACGCAATAGTCATTCCTCTCACCCTGTTTCAGCCTGACTTTCACAACTAGAGGTTCAGCAACCATTTCTTTCGCTAGTAAAAACGCGATAGTCATTCCTTCCACTTTCTTCTAGCCTGGTTTTCACAATTGAGAGGGACAGCAACCAAATTTCACTAGTAAGAACGCGATAGTCATTCCTTCCATCTATTTTTAACCCATCCCTCACAACTGACCTCTGGCGCTCTCAATTCTTATGCGCTCCAAAAGTTGTGCTTTTTGAGCTTTCAATTCCTTCAATTGTTTCAATTCCTCTGGTGTTGACGATGTCATAATGACCACGTCTGAACCCGCATTCTGGCCAAAAACATCATCCTCATCACCATCTCCATCACCCTGACCATCTCCTTCTCCGCTGTATCTATTCTTTATCTTCAATGCGTTGAGTTCCAGTGTTTGTTGCAGATTATCCCGTTCTCTTTCCAATTTCAACAGATTTTTCGTCACTTTGCTGCTCAGGTTATTCACCAACGGCTCAATCTCCTCAATCAAGTCAAGTTTGGCCCTCTGAACATCGTATTCTGGCACCAACTCGAAAACTCTTCGAGATTGCAGCAGGCTCTTGCTCAAGTAGTTACTCGTCCTAGATTCCTTGCCCAACGTCACAACCGTTTCTTCCAAACATCGAACGCTTGATTGCAAAGCATCAACGCATTGTGACAAGCTATCAGCCATCCAAAGCTTCTTGTGAGTTGTAGATGTTGTCAAAGTTTCTTCAAGATTGTTCAAAAGTTATGTTTAAACTAGTAAATTGAAGTTAAAGTTGAAGTTTAATGTCATTGAAATCGAAAAGTGTTGAAGTTATCATAAGATTTGATCGAATTGAACACCAGCGATGCCTTCAATGAGCCATGACAAGCAGGAACAATCGTTAATGTTGAAGGCTGGAGCTAAGGATTCAAAACAGCAAGTTCGAACGCGATCCAGGACCAACTCGAGTAGTGAAGGATCAGCCAATTCCGGATTGACATCTGAAGTAATGACACCAAATGCGAGCCCAAGAAACAAATATACACACATAACGATTCTGAAATCTTTGAACAACACTTTTGAAACCAAAATACTGGTGGTACCTTTTAAACCGGACGGTTTGAAACTGGGCAGACCAATTGCCAATTCTACACTGCCACAAGGCGCAAAACAAGACCTGCAATCGCAGGTGAGACCCGATAACGGGAACTTTGATTCGCGGGTGCTGTCAAGAAACCATGCTTCTCTAAGTTGTGAGCCGTTTTCCGGGAAAATCTATATACGGGACCTCAAGTCCTCCAACGGTACTTTTGTCAACGGAACGCGAATTACGCAAAACGACGTGGAACTTCAAGTCGGGGATATCATCGATTTGGGAACAGATATCGATGCCAAATTCGAGCACCGCAAGATCAGTGCTCTGGTAGAGGATATATCTGTGATTCCGCTGATACACGACGAAGACGTCCTTCTCAACGGAGTCGACAGCACACTGGGGACGTCTTCTAACGGTTTGTCCGGCAAAAACCATGCGGTCGCACCCAATGCACAACGAGCAGCGTTTGCAGCTGCAATGTTTGGAGACGTTAATAATCTCGATCTGGAAGGGTCATTGCTAGGATCGGAAACAGAAGTTTTAAGTGGTATATTCATCAATAACTCCATCGGAACAAGTCCGAACCTCATCAATGTGATCAAGACTCTGGTTACCGAGATATCACTAGAGAAGCTTGAATATGAGAAAATGAAGTCCATTGAGAGGTTTTTGATTCAGTTTTCCACTAGTTTCGAACACATCAACAGGCTCCGAGTAGAGAATAACGACCTGCAACTTGTGCATTTACAGAACGCACTCAAGCAAAAACTTAATGAGAAACACGAAGCATCGGCCCTGGCGCATGCAGAGCGGCTCAACGAGGTCAAACAAGAAAACAAACATTTGCGGAACCAATTGGTTGACGCCGAGAAGCATGAGTCTGACGAGATAGCAGGCTTGAAACGAGAAATCGAAGACCTCAACACAAGACTCGAGGTGGAGAAGTTCAAGAACGCTCAACTACGAAAAAATACAGAGGACTTGGGAGTTCCGACAAAACGTTCTCGGGAAGGACAGCCGTTGAGTACAGCCGACAACTTTTCGAAAAAAACTGGCGTAAAAAGAAACAGATCCACAATACTCTTGAGCGCTTTCACGATAGGGGTTTTCGCAGCTGCGTTCCAATACAGCTCGAAGAAATGAAACGCTTTGTTGGAGGGAAGAAATAAGCTGTTTAGTCCAGTTTTATATCATCTAATTGAATACGCTCCACAGTTGCGATTCCCAATTTCTTGGAAAGTTCATTGACAAACCTTACTGCTACATCATGAGTGGTGCACTTGCTTTCGGGCCGCTGCTCGCGTATCGAGGTTGCCCTTGAGTCCTGGAGCCCGCACATCACAAAATTGTTCATATATGATAGATCAGGTTCCACATTAATACAGACTCCATGCGACGTAATGGATCTTCTCACATGAATTCCTATACTTGCGATTTTTTGCTGTTCGTTGATCCAGACACCCGTTTCCGCAGTCTTTGTCGCCGCAATGCCAAGGTTAGTGTTTCTGGCGCCGTCTGGAATTTTGTTCAATGCACTAATTGTGGAATCTTCTATAGCTGACACCAGGCATTTGGCTGGGAAGTTGTTGAACGATTTGAGATCCAAAATCAAATACGCCACCACTTGTCCGGGACCATGGAAAGTCACTTGTCCGCCTCTTTCTACTTGAACAAATTTCGGACGTTGCTGGTCTCCACGCTGCTGTGGCACGAAGTTTTCAAACCTGGCGATGTCTTCCGGAGAGACAGCTTTTTTGCTGCGTTTCCCACCCGTGTACGTAGGCTCGAATTCGAACGTCAAAACCATGGGATGAGGTTTCATTTCTGAGATATTTTTCAAAATCCATTGTTCATGCTGATTGAGTGTCGTTCCTGGATGCTCTGTCTGCAATTGAGCCAATTTTCGGTCGATTTTGGATTGTAGATGCTTCATGTCGAGCTGAGCCCGGACAAAACTCTCTTGGATCCTGATGCCCTTTTCGAACGGTAGTCTTTTCGTGAACTCGAGGTGTCTTAGTACTCTCGAAGAATCTTCCAAGGGAAACGTTGTAGCAGTAGCTGAACAAGTACTGTTGGGTCTTACATTGTAGAGTGGTCGAGTTAACCAGCCCAGTTGACCAGATGGCCTTTTAGTCCACCGCAGAGATGCCTTCATCGCTGCATATCCACAATGACAGAGGCGATGAGCTAACTTTGGTTTATTTAAATGTGAAAGTTTTCTAAAGATTAGAGGCGATGAGCTAGCTAAACTCTGTTGACAAGATACATGTACGGTTCCAGCATCCATGAGAGTGACCAGACTAGCTGGAACGTCAAGCTACAAAGGCTAGAGGCATGGTTAAACGGTGGCCAGGGCTTTTATATCAGTGACAATGTTGTTCTACAAGACATTCAAGAATCAGGAAGAGGACTATATCTGAAAGATGGAAAAATTTCCAAAAATGATGTTGTAGTGACAATACCAAGTGAATACCAGCTCAATTTCCACACTGTGGTCTACCATATCTCTCAATTCAATCGAAATCTGGTTTTTGAAGGCATCACCTGTGAACCACATCTAGACAGCAAGAAGAATGGCGCAACGGATGATCCTCGCTTCGAGATGTACGAGTCTTTGAACAACGAGAAAGTGTTGCAATTGAGCTCCTTCCAGCTGCTGTCTTTGTACATCCTGCTCGAATGGAAAATCTTGCCGTCCTATTTCTCGATCGAGTCCTTCTGGAAACCCTTCTTTGACGTTTTCCCCACTCCCGAAGAGCTTAGTTCGATACCAGCACTTTGGGAGCTCAGCATTGCGTCTAAAAACAAGCCCTTGTTCGATTGTCTCCCTTGGGCTTCTAAGTCTCATGCTGAAAGGATTGTTGCACTGGTGCGAAATGATTGGTCGGTGATAGAACCTTTGGTCAAGCAATGGTGCAACAAAATTGAGAGAGACAGTGGCATATCGCTCACATCGCGAGATTTCTATTCGGACTTCTTACACATTTACTTCGTGATCAATTCGCGATGCTTGTACATGCACGTTCCTCTGAAAGACAGCATCGCCGACAACTTCACACTAGTCCCTTACGTGGACTTCCTGAATCACGATGCAGACTCGGAGCTCTATTGCACGCCAAAGGTGGATAAGCTGAAGAGAGGCAAGTGCGGCCTCGGCACTTTCAGTATAATTGGTGGATCACATCAGTATAAGCAAAGTGGGGAGCAGATCCTTTTGAGTTATGGGGCGCATTCTAATGACTTCTTGCTCAACGAGTATGGTTTTGTCCTTCCCACCAACAAATGGAACTACATGGACGTATCTCCCCACTGTGAATCTATGATCAGTGGCAAGTCCCTCCAGGACTTTCTCAAAAAGCATGAGTTTTGGGGTGATTATACCATATCAGAGGGCGATATAAGCTATCGTCTCTTGGTTGCATTCGCTTCAAAAGTATGTCCAGATCTCAGAAAAGTAGAGAAACTCATGTTGGGATACTTGACGGAAGCTTCTTTTGATCCTGCTCTGACAGAATTGATACAAGAATTTCTACAAACTTTGCATGAAGAAGTTAAAACACAGATTTCAGTTATCCAGAGCTTGACCGATACTGATCCTGTATGTCCAAAAAATGTTCTTTCTATCTATCATGGCTATGAACTAATCCTTCAGAACCATAGGGCTGGGGAGTCGCAAGAGTCTTGAGCACAGTCTCACGGCTTTGAACTGATGCGTGAACTTACAAGGATTTGTAATTGAGACTAGACTCATGCGCGAGCTCGAGCTTGGCTTTGGCGCATATCATCATTGCCTCGTTGAAAGGTAATTGAATATTGCGCTTTTTGGCCTGTAATGCAAAATAACCATTGAATTGGTTGATGTCATGAACGTTCGTTTCGTTGTAGAGTTTTCGCTTGTCACTATTGAGAGCTCGGCATACAGCTGATACCAATCGCTCCTGATTTAATGCTCCTGCGGAATGCGGTATATGATTAACGAATTTGTCTGTGATTTTGATTGTGAACGTGAATTCTCGAACCAAGTTTCGTACCATTTTCATCAGCTCTCCTGATACCGTGATATCAAGCGATTGAGGCCCGTAAATTGTTGTTATCGGAAGAACACAACTTTTAGTAATAAGCTCTTCGTACCTGTACAATAAAAGATCGCCGTAGGACCTATTTGTGACCCCAAAGACGGAACCCGATTGTTCCTCATTTACGGATTTCAGTAATCGCAGTAAAGGGTTTGTCTCCGCCAATTCTTGAGCGTGTTGCACGTCCTCCTGATAAGAGTATCCCCGATGCGATTCCGGCACTGCAGAAATTTGAATCGAGCTTTTATAGCTCGAAAGCTGGGTTGTGAATTCGCTAGGTCGCGAAATATGTCGCTCATTGGCCACGCCGATGAACAATTTTGGGCTATTCTCACGCTCACGCCATACATTTTTGCGTAAGATGTCCACTAGACCGACCGTAGGATTCATAAGTAGCACATTTGTCCCGCTGTGAATAGAATCCATGTATTTCTTGAGTGCATGGGTAAAAGATTTTGGCGTTTTTTCTCCGACAATAACGTTATCGACTTTGGCGACTTCTCCAGATGCGAATTTTGGGGGCGAACAGGACGCCATATATTGATGGGAGCCCCTGTAGCCTCCTTTGGGTCTCTCTACCACCAATCTAGACTCATTTTGCAAAAAACGGTTCAGTTTTTTTTGGTCTTGCAGTAACAAAACGAGCTCGGGAACTCGAGGCTGGAAGCTTAAAGACGCAATTTCGTGGCTCATCAAATACACCAAGGGCGAGTTTCCCAAGGCGTATACTCGTGAAGCGCTCATACCATGCTCTGGAAGCAGTACAATAGCAGTATCGTGTGACTTTCTTGATGTTTTCTGGATATGTCCATCCTAGTTGATCTTCGAGATCTATATGTATAATGATAATATTATGCGATGAGCTGACTACGTATATAGTGATATATAATTTTTGAGAGGCAAGAACAGCCATTTTGGTCGGTTTTGGATCGTGTTGAGACATTCAATTCAATTCAATTACAAAAAGAGTATCCAGATATCAAATTCAATTCTTGGGAGCTGGAAAAGTTTGATTTTTTTACTTTTCGTACAAAATCATCAAATCTCTTGATATATGTCCTTAAACTTTACAGAGAACTTTCAAAGTTGAACTCGAGTCTTAGCGCCCTCCGAAGTCCAAATCAAAATCTTTATGGGTTTACCGAGTTTCTACTGGCAAGTTTTCGTCAATACGCCAAAATAGCGTTTCACGTGACCTTTTTATATTGGTTTTCAGATCTCAAATTTGGGTCTTCAAATAAGGTTCAAAAACTCACTGACACAACTGTCAAATAGTCATTTGCAAGGTTCCACACCATCCTGCCACGTTTGTAGTCTCTTCAAACTCACCACTGCAGAATGCTTGTAATCGGGTTAACAGGAGGTATCGCCTGTGGGAAATCAACAGTCTCTGAGAGACTTGAAAAAAGCTACCATATACCAATTATCGACGCTGACAAAGTTGCAAGAGAGATAGTAGAACCAAACCGCGATGCTTACAAGCGTGTGGTCCGCTATTTTGGTGATAAAGTGCCAGATCTCATTCTCGAAGACGGTTCCTTGAATCGACCTGCCCTGGGAAAACATGTATTTGCAAACCATTCCGACTTGAAAGTACTGAACGGAATCACTCACCCCGCGGTTCGTTTTGAGATCTTGAAGCAAATACTACTGTCATATGTAAAGGGCAAAAAGATGTGCGTCTTGGACGTTCCCCTGCTTTTTGAAAGTGGGCTGGACAAATTTTGCGGGGTCACTGTAACGGTAGTATGCAAGCAGGATACGCAAATCGAACGAATACGGTCTAGAGCGCCTCAAATCTCAGAGGAGGAGGCCAAAAATCGCATCAAAGCTCAAATGACACAGGAGGAGAGAACACGACGTTCTGATTATATTCTGGAAAACGACAGTTCGCCAGAATTCCTATTTGGTCAAGTCCAGTCTTTGATCGGTAAGATCAAACCATCGTGGATTCGGACCCTTTTGGAGTACTTCCCACCTTTTGCCTTTGTGAGCGGTCTAGCCGTTGTAATGATCAAGCAACTGCGCTCCATGTAGCTCTAATCTCAATGTCGTTTACTTCACAATCGCTATTTACATCCCACAACCTATAATAATCACTTGCATCCACTTAATAGAGCGATACAGACCAGCGCTAAACGGTCTGAAGAAAAAAAAGGACTATATTTTGGTTTTTAATGTTACATATGTCTTTCACAACACTCTTGCAGATCATGAAGACGTCGGCCTAATAGGGTAGTCATTTACATGTACTTCAGGCACCCTCTTGTAGGGTATTCCGCCACGATCTTTTTGTAGAAGAAAACAGTTTTTGCCGAAGGCGCGTACAATCAGAGGCTTCTGCGACAAGTTTGGATCGGTGCTATCGATTTCCGTGGGTTCCGAAGGAGTTTTCGCTAATGATTTGCTAAACGTCGTGAAGTTCAATCGATACCCTAGCGGTACACGCGTCTCGCACGGTACTAATCCTCCTAATGTGTCTACTATATCTGAATCAGAAGGAGCCTTAGGAAAGGTGAGCTCTCGTACCTTCTGATTGTTCCATGCAGAGAATGTGATTTCTCGCGGTTCTCCGTCTTTGAATGGTTTTAGCACTTTTTTCAGCTTATTTGGCGACACAACCAATCCCTTGGTGGGGAGTTCGTCACCGTAAACAGTCAGAAGTTTATCATCACTTACAAATCTTATTGGGTTGCGTTTCTTAACATTTGACTGTGTTTTCAATATAGAGGGTAAAACCGAATCCGAGCTTGAATCGTCTGTCTTTATTCGTTTTGTATTGCTTTGATCATTTATGCCATCGTCATCTTCTGAAGAACGCTTGGTGGCGGCATTATCATTACTATCACCCTTCTTTAAGTACTTGGAGAACGATATTTTCTTTTTGGTGACCGCTGGAGTTGTAGCTTGCGAAACCTCTGGAGTTTTGGCCTCAGTGGCCGTTGAAATGGAGCCATTCTCATAGTGGGGCATGTTCTTGTCAACTTCTTCGACAGAGTACCCAATTCTGAGTAGTAAATCTGCATATGCCTGTGTGTTTTCCTTGACAGTGGAGTCGAGGACCGCCAGGCTTGCAATCCCGGCAAGCAAGCGATCATTTTTGCCGATCTGGGCTGTTTCCGGCTGCGCTAAAAGCTTGTCAATGTATGCCTTTCGCTCACTAGGCTGTTTATAGGGTAGCTCGTCGCACACGTAGTCCACGGGACGATCACCGCCAACGTTTTCTTCTTGACTGACGCTGCGTTGCTTGAGTTTTATAAGTTGTGACAGGTAATCTGCATACATGGTTTTGAGCCCAGTGTACAACTGCACGTCTACGGCTGTGACATGGGCGTCTCTACGTTCGATATGCTCGTTGTCGCGTGTGAACTCGGCGAACGCCGTTTCCAGCGACGTGATGTACTTGTCGATCTGCTGGGTTTGCCCATCCGTCAGCTTTTCTGTTTCGTTGAACGTCTTCACTTCAGAGCGCAGCTTCTGCACAAACGAAGATTGCAAAGCGTGCGATATATTTACTAGCTGCGGGATCGGGCTTCCGGACATTGTTAACAATACTGGTGTTCCCAAAAAAAACGCTTCTTTCAAGCGTTTCTCAAGCTTTTTTCGAGCTTCTTTCTACAGTCCACACAGCCAGCCACACAGTGTGCTAACTTTTCCTCGAATTGATGCTCTAAACCCCTTGAAAGCCTCGTTTTATGTGGTTTGAAACTATTACTCGTTGACTATATCTTCATTCATGAGCTCGTCCAAGTTTCTTAATTTTCCAATATTTCGAGCCTTCGTCGTAGGTGACCGATCTGGTGATGTCTGAAAAAATTGTTTGTATATAAAGAGGCGATGCGATGAGATGAGATGCGATGCGATGAGCCAGGATGAGAAGGGCTGACAGAAGCCAAAATCTGAGCGTATATTGCTGTGGATTAAAAGAGCTTTCTGAACCAGGTTATAGACAATTTTCGAAACTATAGAAATCTGCCTTTAGTGCGTTCTTGACCTTTTGAAGACTTGAATTTATCTCAAAAAAAAGCAAATGATTACGACTCTTGTGCCGCGAAGTGGGTGGCTTGCGAGAAAAATAGCTCTGCGAAGCTATGGAAGTGGTTTAGCTATAACCAGCCTGAGTTTGGGCTTTTGGAACGGGTCGAGAGGCGGCGTTCGCCATTATTACGAGAAAAGTGGAGGTTATTCCAACAGAGGCTCCAGAAACTCCAGAGGACCAAGAGAGGGATATAAGAGGAATATGGATGGCCGTCGTGGAAGAAGAATAGAGGAGCCACGCGATGAAGCAGCGTCATTGCTAAAATCGTCTAGAATCAGCAATATCGTACAAGTGCCACTGGAGGAAAATGCGCAAGAGATCACTCTTGACGCGCTTCACGACGAAGGCATCATTCAAAAAGACCTGCACAAGGCTGTTGCACGCATGGATTTTGCCAGCTTGACGCCTGTGCAGCAAAAAACTATCAAACCCATTCTCACCACAGAAGACGACGTTATCGCGCGCGCGAAAACTGGAACAGGTAAGACGCTGGCGTTTCTCGTCCCAATTTTCGAGCATCTAATCAAGACCCGTAAGGAATCATCCAACATGGTGAAATGTGTTATTGTGGCCCCAACAAGAGATCTAGCTTTGCAGATTGACTCGGAAATCTTGAAGCTACAAAAAAATAACTTTGCTTTGAAAAAATTCGGCTCAATTGCCTTGATTGGTGGTAGTAACTTCCAAGTAGCTATCAAAAAGATGTTCAAGGATCGTCCCAATATCGTGGTTGCGACTCCGGGGCGTCTCATCGATGTGTTGTCGAAGTTCAGCAACCAGTTCTTCAAAAATGTTGATTTTAAAATTCTTGACGAAGCAGACAGACTATTGGAAATTGGGTTCGACGAAGACCTACGCAATATTTCCAAGACGTTGAATGGTATAAATGAAACGGGCCCAGAACACATCAGAACTTTGCTGTTCTCCGCGACTCTGGGTGACAATGTCCAAAAACTTGCAGGCGGGATAATGAATCGCGAACAATGTTTGTTCATAGATACCGTGAACAAAAACGAGCCAGAAGCACACGAGAAAATTGAGCAAACACTAGTGATTTCCGACACGTTTGCTCATAACATGTACGCTCCAATTTCGGCCATGAAAGCCCGTTTGGACAGCAATGCTCCTTTCAAGGCCATTCTTTTTGTCCCCACTGTCAAATTCACAAAATTCTACAGCACTGTGTTGCAGAGAATGTTCCCCTCATTGCCGGTACATGAATTTCACGGTAAAGTGGATCAGAAGAAGAGAACGAGGATGGTGCAGGTTTTCAAGCGTGCTGAAGAAGGTATTTTTGTTTGCACAGATGTGGGGGCGCGTGGTATGGATTTTCCCGATGTAGAGGAAGTTTATCAATTGGGTGTTCCATCTGAGATATCCAACTACATCCACCGTATTGGAAGAACAGCTCGTGGTGGTAAGGAAGGTAAGGCATCGATCTATCTTTTCAAAGACGAGCTTTCTTTCATCGACACACTGGCCGCCGAAAAGAATGTTAACGTCAAGAATCAGCGCGATTTTGTTCCGGACGAGAATGACGCAGCAGAATTTCAAAGATGCCTGCGGGACGAGTTTCTTTTCTCAGAAGGTCTGGAGTCCATGCTTTCGTTCTATAAGAATTGCGAACAGGCATATGGGTTCCGCATGCCTAAGATTGCTCGTCAAATAGCCGGCGCTTATGGTGAGAGTTTACTTGACACCACTCAGAAGCTTCGAGTGAGTCGTGAAACTGCCAGCATGCGGTACGGACTACGAGGCAGGATTGTTGAAGAGCTTTTTGACACTGGGGCTTCAAGGCGGAGAGACTCTTATGACGATTACGAGAACAATTCAAGATCCAGTCGTGATAGGTTTGAGTCCCGTGGCAAGAATTATAGAGAAACACGCGGCCGTTGGGACTCCAAAAACGACAATAGAAGATTCGACGACAGACGTGCCCGCTCCAGTTACAGCGGCCACAACCCCAGATTGGATTAAAAAAACATAAACAAAGAAGTTCTACCTGACTGTAAATACCATGTAAATACCCTGTAAAATATATGACAAAAATAAAGCTAGCGAAAAAGGTCAATGCTGACACCATCCTAGTGCTGTCGGCCTTCCAGGATGATTTTTGATCTACGACTCAAACATCTACTTGGCGCCTGGAAGATCAACTAGATAGCATCGTAGATAGTGACATCATCATCGTCTCATCCATAAGGGAAATCTACAGTCACCGATGCTCACCTTAAGCCAACCTTAACAAACAGATGGATTCCATGGAGGTTTGATGTCCATCAAAAGCGTTACATTCTGCGTATCCAATGAAGTCACATTGCCGCTGCAAATTAAAATTGATTCTTTAGAGGGATTCAAACCTCTACTTAAGGCCTCTCAGAAACTTACACAACCTTCATTAATCCAAAGAACATCAGATGTACAAGCAGATAGTGAGATGTTTGTTTCGGTGCAAGTGTTTGATAGCCAGAGCCGTCGAAATCAAACCATTCCGGTTTACACGCCATATATACCTTTCAAAAACATACGAAAATGGGACGTATGGCTGACTTTACCGATAACATTGGAACAACTGACGTCGGACAGTACGCTCCATATTGTACTTTGGGAATTTGACGGCGAGAAAGAAGTAGAATTCTTCTCCACTGAGACTGCACTATTCGAGAAGAGCAGTCGAACTCTGAAGAGAGGCTCAGAGTCGATAAAGTTCAAGTACGACGAACCTGGAAGCAGCACAATTGAGGTCAGTGAGACCCAACAACTGATCAATAAGTACAAGCAAGGCGAGATCAAAGCGATTCCATGGCTAGATGAACTCACCTTCCAGCAATTAAACAAGGCAGGTAAGAGAAGGAAGCTTCCGCAAGGCGTATTTGTTCTGAACATCGAATATCCGCTCTTTGACCTCCCGGTCGTCTACGCAGAAAAAATCTCCACAAACGTTCAGGAAAACATTCCCACGTACCACAATTTTGATTTGAACAATGACGTTCAGATTTCCCGGCCGGAACCACAGGCCAAAATCTCACTGGGCAATGCCACTGATTCCACATTGAAGTTTTACGATCCCGACCAATTCAACCCGGACCCGATAGAAGAGAAATTCAGACGTCTCGAGAGAGCAAGTACCAATACGAGTCTAGAGAAGGAACTCAAACCAGACGCGAAAAAGAGAGACGCTTTAAACACAATTATATCTTACCCGCCAGGTAGCGACCTAACAGCGCATGAGAAAGGACTGGTATGGAAGTATCGCTACTACCTAATGAACAATAAGAAGGCTCTTACAAAGCTTTTGCAAGTTACAAATCTCACGGAGGAAAGCGAGCGTAGGGAAGTTTTGGAGCTGGTGGATTCATGGGCTGAGATAGATATAGAGGATGCCCTTGAACTTTTAGGATCAGCATACAAAAACTTGTCTTTGCGATCGTATGCCGTCAACAGGCTTAAAAAGGCGTCAGACAGCGAACTTGAGCTGTATCTTTTGCAGCTGGTGCAGGCGGTTTGTTTTGAAAGTGGCTCTCCGCTTTCGGACAAATCGGCCAGTGAGTTCACAATTGTCAATGTCGCTCAAAGTGGAGCTGCCGCCCCGCCTTCTCCCAAATATGAACAAAATATCGGCAACAGTTCCACGAACGAACTAAACAATTCAGAGCTGGGACAAAGCTCAGTATTGATATCACCCCTTGCGGAGTTCCTTATAAGACGCGCGATAATAAATTCTAGACTTGGGAATTTCTTCTACTGGTACTTAAAATCTGAATCCGAGGGCAACCAGTATTTGACCCATATCCTAGACAGCTTTGTAAGCCGCTTACCCGAGGAAAGGCGCACAAAGCTGAAGCATCAAACTCTCTTCATAGCCATACTGAAGGGTTTCTGTCAGGAGATCAAAAATCTAAGGGACACGACGCCCAAGAAGGTAGAGCTTTTGATGCATCTTCTAACGTCGAAACTCCGGCCTTTCTTGAGATCTGCTCCCGTCGAGTTACCACTGGATCCCGATTTCACTATTACAGACGTCATTCTACAGGACTGCAAAGTCTTTAAAAGCTCATTGTCACCGGTGAAGATTGCCTTTAACACCCTTCAAGGCCAGGAATTTGCTCTCATGTTCAAAGTCGGCGATGATCTGCGGCAAGACCAACTGGTTGTTCAGATCATTTCCTTGATGAACGAGCTTCTGAAAAACGAAAACGTTGATTTAAAACTGACGCCGTACAAAATCCTTGCGACAGGATCTAATGAAGGCGCGATCCAATTCATTCCGAACGACACCCTTGCCAGTATTCTAGGCAAGCACCACGGAATCCTACCTTATCTGCGGAGCCACCACCCCTCGTCTGGGAATGACTTGGGCGTGCAAGATTTTGTTATTGACAATTTTGTCAAGTCCTGCGCTGGATACTGCGTTATCACCTATATTTTGGGTGTTGGTGACCGTCACTTGGATAACCTCCTTGTCACACCGGATGGCCATTTTTTCCATGCTGATTTCGGATACATTTTGGGCCAAGATCCAAAGCCATTTCCACCTTTAATGAAGCTGCCACCCCAAATAATCGAGTCTTTCGGAGGTGCGGACTCCGAAAATTACAACAAATTCCGCAGCTACTGCTTTGTTGCCTACTCAATTTTACGCAGAAATGCCAACTTGATATTGAACTTGTTCGAACTGATGAAGCCGTCCGATATTCCTGACATCAAAATTGATCCCGATGGAGCTATGTTAAAAGTGAAAGAAAAATTCTGCCTTGACATGTCAGAGGAGGAGGCAATTGTACATTTCCAGAATCTAATCAACGCTAGTGTCAGCGCCCTTCTACCGCTCGTCATTGACCGTTTACACAACTTGGCTCAGTACTGGCGAGCTTAAAATCTCTGTCACGTGCGTTACCCGGGTCGTTAAATTACCATATGAATCTGAACAGTAATGGAAACCGAATGCATCACCTTTACCTATACCATAAACTCCCGCTCACAGCCGGAGGCAATCCTGTATCTTCAAAGCAGTTTCTTGTTCTGGACAAGATCCTAGGCTCCAAATGAAAATCATTTGGAATTTCACCCAGATTTTGAGCGAACTTCAAGCATCACATAAGGATCATGATGGCCCTGATTTTAGAAAACCAGCAACTAGAGTCGCCACGACTCAATTACTGATAGCTTGTGGATTGGGATTATCAGCTTTTCTTATATTCTCTGTGCTTTTGAGGAAAATGCCGAAATTGTATGCCAGTAGAATGGGGAGAAGTCAGGTATCACTGCCGACTTGGGATGATAGCTCATTATTTGCATGGGTACCAGTAGTGTACAAGATCAGCGAAAGTCAAGTACTGGAAAGTGCCGGTTTGGATGCTTACGTTTTTCTGGGGTTTTTCAAAATGTGCATTAAGCTTTTGGCTATCTGTTGCGGGTTTTCGGTTTGCCTGATCTCGCCTATTCGATATCATTTCACTGGGAGATATGACGATGGTGGGGAAGAAAGCTATATAAGCATGAAAGATGCTTCGTACAGTGGCCCGGGCGACAATTTGGGCGAAGGACAAGGACCAGAAACCGCGGAGCTCTATCTATGGATGTACGTCATTTTCACAGCCTTTTTCACACTCTTATCACTGTACCTACTGATCGAGCAAACCAAAGTAGTGGTGGATACACGGCAACGTTACCTGGGAAGGCAAAATACTCTGACGGACAGAACTATCCGGCTAACTGGTATTCCTGTGGAATTAAGAGATGCAGCAGCTTTGAAATCAAGGATAGAAGAGCTCGAAATTGGTAGTGTAGCATCCATCAGCATATGCCGCGAGTGGGGTCCTTTGAACAACTTATTCCATTATCGCAAAAAAATTCTCGAAAATCTCGAATTAAAGTATGCTCAATGTCCTGAGGCACTGAGAGACGTTGAGCATTACGACGAAAGCTATAGGCTTAGAAGTGATGCTTCCAGAGAAAACCTGGATAACGTTGAAACCCAATTGACCAGTGAAGGCGACAACGACGCTCCAGATTCAAACCGTCTCTATTCCCATATTCAGCTTGAGGGTCGACAAAAGACTAGAACTGGCTTGTTTGGGCTTTTCGGCGAACAAGTGGATGCTATCGACTACTTGGAAAGACAGCTCAAGTTCATCGACGAAGAAATTGTAGAAGCTCGCAAAAGGTCTTATCCGGCGACCCCCACTGCATTTGTTACCATGGACTCTGTTGCCAATGCACAGATGGCTGCGCAGGCTGTACTTGATCCGCGCGTTCATTACTTTATTACGAGACTCGCGCCAGCTCCTCATGACATTAAATGGGATAACGTCTGTTTATCGAGAAAGGAAAGGCTAACTAAAGTGTGGTCAGTAACAATTTTCATTGGTTTTTGCAGCTTTTTCCTGATTATTCCAGTTTCTTATCTCGCTACATTGCTGAACTTGAAAACAATATCAAGATTTTGGCCTCAGCTTGGTAAATTCCTAAAAGAAAAGCAGTGGGCTCAAAACCTTGTGACGGGCCTGCTTCCAACATATTTGTTCACGCTTTTGAACATCGGCATCCCATACTTTTATGAATTTCTGACATCTAGGCAAGGCCTCGTGTCCTACAGCGAAGAGGAGGTTTCATTGGTTTCGAAAAACTTCTTTTATACGTTTGTCAACCTATTTTTGGTCTTTACATTGGCTGGTACTGCCTCCAACTACTGGGGGTATTTAAGCGATACGACAAAGATTGCTTATCAGCTGGCAACATCTGTCAAAGAGTTTTCGCTTTTTTACGTCGATTTGATTATCTTGCAAGGGATTGGTATGTTCCCTTTCAAGCTTCTTTTGGCAGGAAGTCTGCTTGGTTTTCCCTTCGTGAAAATCAAGTGCAAGACCCCAAGACAAGAGAAGGAAATGATGAAACCACCGATCTTCAATTTTGGTCTACAATTGCCGCAACCGATACTTGTTTTAATAGTGACGCTAATTTACAGCGTAATGAGCACCAAAATTCTGGCTTCTGGACTTGCTTATTTTGTGATTGGGTTCTACGTTTACAAGTATCAGTTATTGTATGCCACAGACCACCTGCCACATTCCACAGGAAAAGTTTGGCCATTGATTTTCCGAAGAGTTATACTCGGATTGCTGCTATTTCAACTGACGATGGCAGGCACCTTGGCAGGATTCCAAGGTGGCTGGATTTTATCATGCTTTTTGGCTCCATTACCGCTTATTACACTCAGCTTTCTGTGGGATTTCGAAAAAAACTATCTACCGCTTTCAAACTTTATCGCCTTGAGCTCAATTCGTGAGAACGAGAGGGACAATACGATGGTTTCTAGTGTTGCGGGGAATGGCAACTACCAATATCCATACTTGGTGACACCCTTAGAAAGACCGCTCGTGAAGTAGTCGATATTTAGAATTAAAATTTAACAGTCATTTTTGGAGTTTCTGTAAAAGGCGCTCGGAAGTACCACTAGGTACAATAGTTGTAACTCTGACTTGGCGTACTGGAGACATAAAGCGAAATCACCTCCGGTAACAAGCAATGCAAGCAAAGGTTTGACCGTAAGAGACCGAGCCAAAAAAACAAGCAGAAAGAGGATCACAATGTCGAAATAGCTTTTGTTGGTGACAATTTTGAGAGCCTCTACAATGTAAATATTGGCCACAACTTTTATAACACTCGTGGTGAAGATGGTATCATATGGCCAGATCAGCATGAGAATTGGGTATATTTTCGCGCCATAAGACAGCAAAATGGTGTAGGAAACAACGTATTTGGCGTACCGGATGTTGCGGCCCCATCGGAACAGCTTGAATAGTAAAAAGTAGGCTACATTGTGCAACACCATAAAATCTGCCACACAGTAAACTGTGAAATACAGGTATTGCGTCAATGCACTTCGGGACAGCAGTTGATGCATCAACAAGCCTCGTGTTTCCAAGCTCTGAGTCTGGAAACGTCGTTCCTCAGAAACCCATGTCAAATATACTTCAAAAGCTGTTATGATAACCCAAACTCGATTTAACTTGTCAAACTTCACAAACCAATCCCGTAACCGAGAAGCGAGATCCAAAACCCGGCGTTTCACGCTTCTATCTCTAGCTCTAACCAGAGAACCACGATTTTGTTCATTATGGGAAAATTTCGACAGTTCCATCTCCAGTGAGTTATACACCAAATGTCGATACGCTCCAGGTTTTAGCAGCAGTAAATCGATGAACAGCAGCACATTGTCTATCTCCACGTAACGGTCCACAACCTCTTTGCAATCGGGACAGTCCGTGAGTCGAATGTGGTTATTGGAATACCTGACATACAGACAATCCACCTCTCTGCAACAGTTGATGCAAATCATATCATTGTTGTGGTCAAAGATTCACCAGCAAGTAAGTAGCGAGTTCAAAAATATCCTAGAATTTATCTTAACTCGCCAGTGGACCAAACAGAACAAGTTTGGATCGATAAGATGGCCTTTTAACTTGTTTTTATCTCTAAATGTGATCGTAAGTTGGTTTGGTTCTCAAATTAATGAACTTGATGTATCTCATCGACATCTTGATCTCAACTAAATGTCTCAAAACTAAGCCAAAAACAACCACAAGTAGGCCATTGAAAGCTCGATCCAATGTCTTTCGGCAATCGGAGCAAGACTCCTTGTAAATATTTCCAGCAAGGCCGTTGCAAGAAGGGAAATAACTGCAATTTTGCGCATGTCTACACGAATAACAGCAATGGGAACGGTAATGGTAATGGAGGTAAAACAGGCGGTGGAGACCTATATCAAAACTTTATAAATCCTTCAAATTTGGGGAAGTATGCTAAGGAGGTGGAAGACGACATGACTACAGCCTCAGAACTGAAATTTCAGCCTTTGACGTCGAGCTACGGACTGGGAAATCCATGTGCGGTGAATTTGATTCAAGATCGAGACCTATCACCGGAAGAATCTCGATTCTTATACTATCAATCGCAGCTGCAAAACGCGGTACCAACTTTCCAAACACAGATGCAAGCACGGGCTTCAGATTCGCAGTTTTGTCGAAATTTCGTCGCTGCAGACACCAGGAAAGCTGCAAGGTTTCTACAGCTGGCAACGCAGAAAACCTTTGAAAACGGAGTTCCACTGGCAAAGGGCTTCATCGAAAAACCCTTGGATCTGACAGGTAACTCATACTCGAATACAGCGGCCAACTCAGGTGCGTCGAACCTGTTCGGCTCAACTAACAGCTTTCAAAACCCTTTCGGTCAGCAAACAAGTGGATTTTCTCAAACAGGCACTTTTGGTACCACGACAACAACAAGTGCGCCATCTTCCTCTGGAGCCTTTGGTCAACCCACTTTTGGGTCAACGGGCGCAGGCGGAGCTTTTGGGCAGCCGAAGTTTGGTTCTTCCGGAACGCAAAGCTTTGGTGCGTCTCCGTTCGGGACAGCTTCATTTGGAGCTCAAGCTGGGTCTTCAGCATTCGGTGGTGGGGCAAACGCTTTCGGGAGCAAGCCTGCTGGTACTCCCTTTGGCGCCGCTCCCGGTAGTTTTGGTAGCCAAACAAGTGCACCGGCAGCGTCTAACCCGGAACCTGGTAAACCCGCATTTGGCTCAGCATTTGGACAACCGAGTTTTGGATCTACATCAGCGCCCCAGGCGCCAGCTTTTGGAAGCAGTGCTTTTGCTCCCAGTGCGGCTGGATCCCAAACCTCCTCTGCATTCGGAAAGCCAGCTTTTGCTCCCAATGCAGCTGGTCCACAAGCGTCTTCTGCATTCGGAAAGCCGGCTTTTGGAACTGTTTCCAGCAGCTCTCCATTCGGATCTCTTCAAAATACACAAACTGCATCCCCATTTGGCTCGATAGCCAAACAACCTAGCACTGCAGCCACGCCTTCACCGTTTGGAACATCCAACGCTGTCGGAACCAGCCAAAAACCGGCGGAGGCTCCAAAACCTTTTGGATTCGGCCAAAATAATGCTACTTCTGGAGGATTTCTCTCAGCTCCAGCTGGCAACCCATTCACTTCAGTACAGTTAAAAAATACCTTGGGACAAAACACTACACAGCCGCAAGCAAATACGAACTCTTTTGGGACTGGGCACAGCAATCAATCCAGATTTGTTCAAGGCTTATCGTCAGCAGAAGAACCATCAGAAACTGATCTCCCGAAAGAAGTCATCGACTATTTCCGAGCTGACCGCTTCGAACTGGGTAAAGTCCCGGATATCGCACCCCCATCGGTCTTGATAAACTAACTTTCATATGCATGCTGTCTTTGGTCCTGGGACAGCAGAGGGTCTGAATTCCTTCATTGACATCACATAACGACGGTATTCCATATATGAACACACGACTTTCATGCATAAGTTGACATCAAGTTCATTTCAGAACCGAATTTAAAGGAGAGTCAAAATCAAGATCGAGTTAAAGCATAACATGTGTGTTGTACCTATTGGAGAGAATGGCACAGCTGGTGGGAAGGCCCTGTTACTCGAGATGCCTGTACTCGTGATTTTTCAAGAAAGTACTCATCTCATTTAAACAATTTTTGACATCCAAGAAAGATCATCACTGCAACTAAACTTCAAAGAATCGGCTACCAACCATCATCCATCATCTGGTAATCCATGTCTCGTGTCGGTGTGCTTGTTTTGGGCCCTGCTGGGGCCGGTAAAAGCACTTTTTGCAACTCCATCATTTCCCACATGCAAACGATAGGACGCAGAGCTCATATTGTAAATCTCGATCCAGCTGCTGAACCAACAGAATACGAATTTACAATCGATATAAGAGATCTGATATCACTAGAAGACGTCATGGAAGAGTTGCATTTGGGTCCCAACGGCTCCTTGGTTTACTGCTTCGAATATTTGATGAATAATCTTGACTGGCTAGAAGAAGAGTTAGGTGATTACAACGATGAATACCTCATTTTCGATTGCCCGGGACAGATTGAACTGTACACGCACATTCCGGTACTGCCCGCGATAGCTCGTCATCTGCAAACACAGTTGAACTTCAGTTTATGTGCTGCGTACCTTCTGGAAGCCTCATTTGTCATAGACTCATCGAAATTCTTCAGCGGAGCTCTGAGTGCAATGTCTGCTATGATTCTCTTGGAGCTTCCGCACATCAACATTTTGAGTAAAATCGATTTGATCAAAGATGAGTACAGCAAGAAGAAACTAAAAAGATACTTAAACCCGGATCCTACACTACTACTAGATTCAACAAACGAGACCTGGAATCCAAAATTTCAAAAACTGAACAAAACTATCGCAAATCTGGTGGACGATTTTGGAATGGTGCAGTTCTTGCCTCTGGAGGCTAAGAACCCAGACAGTGTATCTGCTATTTTGAGTTACGTCGATGATGTGACCCAATGGGCTGAGGGTCAGGAACCAAAGGAACCAAACGACCAGATTGAACTGGATGACATGTAAAAGCATACAAGACTCTCTGGGTGGTCCTCGTATTCCGTTTTGGGCTTGCATAAGTAGTATACAATAGTAGCATGGGATTAAGCAGATGCAAATGCATGATAATGCCAGTTTTATAGAAAAGCTCTCTTTTTTTTTTAAACCTATCCCAAGAGTTCTAGGATCCTCTGGCAATCACCTACAACAATCAAATCGATGCATTCAACAAAGTCCTCAATGGTCTTTGCGGGCAATTCCGTATTGATCCAAATCACAATACCCCGGGAGTTGTGCACACTACGAGCGAATTGCTTACACATAGATCGTACGCCTGGGATTTTGAGCGTGGTTCCAACTATTATCAAACAATCGGGTTTGTTTTTGAGATCATTCATCACCACGTTACTAATAGTCTCACCCTCGGGATGGATTTCGTTGTACAGGACGACCCGTGGCCGTAGTTTGCCAACGCCTTGAGAACGCAAGCCAGCAATGGCACGCACAGCTTCAAACTCAGAGCACTGAGGACAAAGCGGCACAACTTCACGATCAACGTGGTGTTCGTTCAACTTGAAAAGGCTTGGATCAAGTCCGTAAATTTTAGAGCATTTGTTGCAGGACATGTGTTTGATACTTCCATGCAGCTGGATTGTAGGAGGAAAGGGTTTTTCTAGCGGGATCTTTGAATGCAAATGTGTAGTTTGATCCTCGAGAGCGTCAATATTTTGAGTGTACAAACGACGCAATCGCCCTTCCCGTGCAATTGAACTTAGAAAATGGTGGAACCGGGTTGGCGTAACCTCAAGGCATTTCTCGTGCAGGTCTGTAATCAGACGGTTGAATCGAAGGCCCATTTCTGCATTAGAGTAAACAACGTTGTAATCGAAAAGGTCTTTGCCTGAACTAATTCCAGGGCCCTTTAGGGTGGAAAAGAGGCCTTTCGACGAACGGAAGTCAGGAATCCCAGCATCTGTAGATACTCCTGCGCCTGCTATTACCACTGTTCTTCTGCTATGTTGCAAAGCGTAGCGTAAAAATTGTGCATTAGGTTCGCTACACTGCGATGAGTGCCGTTCTCCAGAGATGTATAGAGACAAATCGAAAACAGAATTCGGCTGAGGCCGGTATTTCAAACGTGGTTTGCGTGTCTTTGAAGAGCACTTTCGCAGTGCCGGTAGCAGTTTTTTCGGTTGAGGAGCTTCCAGCACATCATCCTTATGTGTTGATTTTTTCACAGTAGAGGGAGGTGTAACCGGCTGGTATGAAGAAACAGTGGACAACGCAGGTTTGGAATGAAAATCGACCTTTTTGTCAATTAGGTTCTTCACGCTAGTGTATTGCACTCCTGTCTCTCTCGGCAGATTTTTAGGTGAGTTTTCCATCGCTGAAATGAGCACTATGTGATGGGTTCTGCGGTTTAATGAGTAAAGTTGGGTGAAGTAAATATGAATAGTAACAGATCTGTGGTTTTCTAATCAAATGCCCTTGATTATAACCTCGAAAGAAAAATTAAATGCAAAAAAGATAGAATCCTGATCAAAAGTTGGCTTATGTGAAGGCAATTGGATCACAAAATTTCAAGAATCAAGGACCATCCGAATCACAAATCTGAAGCGCAATGTTTCGTAACAGAAGCTTGCGGCTTGAATAGTTCAAGTTTTGCAAGCAAAATGAACTTCTTGTAGGTCGCAGTCAAGTGTGAAGAGCTGTTTTGTTTCTAAAGGATTCTATTCGATTTAATACTGTCTTCAAAGTTTCCGAAAGTTGGAAACTAAAATCCTTTAGTACAAAGTGACATCAACACTTTTTAAAATTTTATATTGGCAAGAGCTTCAGAACTAGACATGTTTTATAGATTTATAAAAACTAAAATCGATTATAAAAACTCGAATCTTTTAGAGCGAGGACAATCAACTCAATTGATTGTTGACTTGATCTCAAAAGCTTGATTTTTTCTCAACAAAACTCTTTTTTCCGCTTCCAAATTGAAGCTCTCAATCGTTAGCTATGGTCCAAGTAAGTGAGGTAAAAGAATCCGGCGCTGGAACTCAGGGCTCGACCCGCACTGCGGCACATACACACATCAAAGGGCTTGGTTTGGATGCCCAAGGTGTCGCAAAGGCTGTGGAAGGTGGATTTGTGGGACAAGTGGAAGCTCGGGAAGCTTGTGGGGTTGTTGTGGACCTGATCAAAGTCAAGAAAATGTCAGGAAAGGCCATTCTACTCGCGGGAGGTCCATCGACGGGTAAGACCGCATTGGCGTTGGCTATTTCTCAGGAATTGGGGCCAAAGGTTCCATTCTGCCCATTGGTGGGATCTGAACTGTATTCAGTTGAAGTCAAAAAAACAGAAGCTCTAATGGAAAACTTCAGAAGAGCTATTGGTTTGAGAATTAAAGAGACAAAGGAAGTGTATGAGGGTGAAGTGACAGAGCTGGCTCCTCAGGCCGCAGAAAATCCATTGGGAGGTTACGGTAAAACTATCGCACACGTAATTGTGGGTCTTAAGTCTGCCAAAGGTACCAAAACGCTGCGATTGGATCCTACAGTTTATGAAAGTATCGAGCGTGAAAACGTCAGCGTCGGTGACGTCGTGTACATCGAGGCTAATACAGGCGCTGTGAAGCGTGTGGGTCGTTCCGATGCTTATGCCACAGAATTCGACTTGGAAGCCGAAGAATATGTTCCATTGCCAAAAGGCGAAGTCCATAAGAAAAAAGAAATTGTGCAAGACGTAACGTTGCATGATCTGGATGTGGCAAACGCTCGTCCCCAAGGAGGCCAAGATGTGGTTTCGATGATGGGCCAACTATTGAAACCTAAAAAGACAGAAATTACTGAAAAATTGAGACATGAAGTTAACCGCGTGGTGGCAAAATACATAGATCAGGGAGTTGCAGAGCTCATTCCAGGTGTGTTGTTTATTGACGAAGTCAACATGCTAGACATCGAGATTTTCACATATCTAAACCGTGCATTGGAATCATCAATCGCACCAGTGGTAGTACTGGCATCTAATCGCGGTCTCACAACCGTACGTGGCACAGATGACGTTGTATCGCCTCATGGTATTCCTCCAGATTTGATTGATAGATTGCTCATTGTCAGGACGCTACCTTACTCTAGAGACGAAATTCGCACTATTATTGAAAGAAGAGCAGCAGTTGAAAATCTCAAAACAGACTCTGAAGCTTTGGATTTGCTTGCGACTATGGGGTCTCAAACCTCGCTTCGTTATGCATTGCAACTACTATCACCTTGCGGTATACTAGCAAAGACCTCCGGTCGGTCAGAAATTACACAAGCTGATGTTAACGAGGCCAAACTGTTATTCCTTGACGCCAAAAGGTCGACACAGATTTTGAAATCTAGTGACAGTTATTTGTAGTATGCAAAAATCTCGCGTCCTTCATTACTTAAGATATGTACATACGGGACACGCCCTCTATTCATTGCAAAGTCGCCATTTCATCCACGAAATTCGCTGGTGTGACAATTGCAGTACTGCCGTAGATCACATTTTTGGTGTTAGCCTGCTGGGAATGAGCCCATTCCTGTAAATTTTGGTATTCCAGATAATTTCCGCCCCCAACAACGAAGACAATCGATTTGGTATAAGATTGACGTTTTGGTTTCTTGCTATGAGAGCCACGAACCATTTTTGGATCAAAATAGAGGTAATTGTCGGTAGTTTCCAAATTTTTCTGAGAGCTGTTCAAAGGATCCATAACGGCCTCTACAACGTTAGTCACAGGTATCGTCTTTTTTTCAGGCAGGAAATTTTTGATACCCGAAATTAAGGAGCCCACTCCTCCTTGTATCTTTCCCTCTGTCAACCCGTACAGCTTGTTCGACAAGCCAGAAAGTAATACGGAAGAATTTGTACCAGATGACTTACTCTTACCAATTCCATCACTTTCTAAAGACTTATTTTGCAAAGACAATGCCGACATCTTCATCAGGCCTTTTGACTTGTAGATGTAGGTCAGAGCCCGAATATCAAAATCTTGACTTTTAAAATAGTCCTCGACCTCTTTGATAAAATTTTGAGGCAGGTCAGTGGTAGACGTCAAATATAGAAGAATGAATGTTCTGAGCTTGTCTTCGAGATTATTTGTCTTGCCGTCCTTCAAAATCTCCAAAAAGCGCTGACGAGATTTAGGGGAGTCCTGCCCTTGCTCTATTTCGAAAAATGCGTCTAACCCTCTGCTCTCTAATTGAGATAACAATGAGGCTAGCACGCTCATATGAGTGTCGATGACAATCTTCCTCGAGGTCAGTTCCGGTAATTTGTTGACGGCCTCTTGGATATTCAGCGTATCATTGTTGGCGCTTGGATCCAAATCACTTAATTCGTTAACACCTGTTTTCCTAGTAATCTCTTCTGCTTCGGCCTTGTATGCAGCCAATGCAGCCTCAACATTCTCGACTGCATCTGGGAAAGGAAGGTGTGCGTTTGCAGACCAGAAGAAATCTTTAGGATCCAAATCCATTTTCTTTTCGATCTCGAGACCTTCTTTTGTTTTAGTGGGAATAGTGATTGTGTTTCTAGCAAGTTTGAATACGTCGAAGACCAAACTCTGATAGATCCAAGAATGTGCAAACATCGATGCCAAATCGATGTTTCGATCGAGAATAACCAGCACAAATCTTTCTAATGAGTGCGAAACAGATTCTGAGTTAGCCCTGGTATTTATGACGTAGTCTCTGAGTTTTCCTTCGAGTATTCGAGCAACTATTTCAGCTGAACCACCCGTTGGTGCACGAATTATCGGTATCGAATTCACGGTCATGACGGCATCGTATAAGCCATTGGCAATGGTTTCGCATAAGTTATTAATCGAGTTTTCGGTGCTATTAGGATCGTTCAATTGGCGAAACACTAAGGGGAGTTCCAAAGAGAAAAGATCCGGTTCAGTGACAAAAAACTCCGCATATTGATCAAACACCTGCTTGATGCGATCAATCTTACCACACGCAGAGACCTGCTTGGCGAAATTTTCTAAAAGCTCCCGGTTCAACACTGAAGTAAAATTGACGTAAAACTCCGCATATTTATCCTCGATCAAGTCCTTTACGATAACGTCAATGTTTTCCTGTGTAGGTTGTACGAAATACACAACAGGAACGTCCGGTAGTGGCGATCTTTTCTGTTGAATGAGACTGTGAACAGTGACGCCCCCTTTTAACAGATCGTTTACCCTCAAAATAGACGATACAATGGCAGTCCCTTTGGTGTCCAGCACAAGCGCCTTCCAAACAACTTCCTGGAAGTCAGATCCCGACGTTAAATCGTAAGCTGACGTGTCCTGGTTGAACATTAACATCTTATTGATCAGGGCTTTTCCAATTGAATTAAATAGTTAGTAACAGCCGAATTTTTAGCCGAAAAAGGGCACAAAAAGCTCACATACCAATTTGCCTATCCCTCAGACTATTTTCATCTGAATTAGACATCTTTGAAGCTCAATTGACGGTGTTCTTTACTATCTACATGATTTGATTGTTGGTAGGTTACCATCTTCAAATATCAATATGCTAAATGAATACTACTAGCTGAATAACGTCGACAACGATGAGCTCGATGAGCTCGATGAGCTCGACCTTTAGAGAAATAAGAGAAAGTGCTTACACCAAGAGATGCTGGCCCACTTTGATATGTACAATTTATTTTATCCCATGCTAACGACAATCATTGCGGAGGTCCTTCTTTTAGAGTAGATCTTCCGGCTCTTAGTAACTCATCACACAACAACAAGTTGCTGGCAATTCCGGTGGAGCCGGAAATGGCATTTCTTATAACGCGGTAAGAATCCCAAATACCTTCGATGGTGGGATCGCAGGAGTCGCCGACGTTCAAATCAACGCCGACACTTCTTTCCGCGTTCTCATCGAGCTCGTCCTGGCACAGGGCGAGAACATCGAGTGCATCGTAACCAGAATTCTTCACCAAAGTCTTGGGAACAACCAGGAGGGCTTCGGCAAACGCTTGCACACCAGATTTGGCCTTGCCCTTGGCGCCCAGTTTGGCCGCGTTGGCGTTCCTGAGGTGGTTGGAAGCAGCTAGATAGAAGGCACCAGCACCAGGAACGACAGATTTGTCCTTGAGCACGTTGGCCACGGCTCTAAGACCGTCTCTGACGGCATCCTTTGTCTGGTTGAGAGCGTGGTAAGTTGCACCCTTGATCAATATCGTACATGACTTGGGGTCGCGGTTTTCCGTGACGTACGTGAACTTTTCCTCACCGATGGTTTGCTCGTAAACCAGACCTGAGAATCCCAATATAGATGGCGATAGATCGTCAACTGAGTTTTGAGCTTCACCGCCAGTAACCAGCTGAAGTCTTTCCATGTTACGTCTCTTGGCTCTTCTGAGTGCGAGCATGTTGTGCTTTGCAAGCACGTCTAGCGACAATGGGTCGATACCCTTCTGATTGATGATCACAAATCCAGTGTTGGAATCAAGCCCGCAAACCTCGTTCTTTAGGTCTATAATCTTTTTCAGCTTTTCATCCACAAACTTTCTTTCACTAGAAACAAGCTTGTCTCTCTGTTCTGCTGAGCTGTAGTAGAAGCCGGAATTGACCTCTGTTTTTTCGTATTCCAGTGACACGTTCAAGATCAAAATATGGGCATTTTCCACACGAGTAGGCATGTCTGGATGTCTGGCCCCATGGTCTAGCACCAAACCTTTGATAAAAGTCGTATCTTTAGCGGACAAATGCTGCATCTGCATAATTTCCACCATATGCAAGTCTAGCGAACGGCCGTCCGTGTTTTTCACGCTCAAAACAGCATCTGTCACTATAGGGGTCAAAACTTCGGTTAGTTCTGGTGTCACCTTGGTCGAAAGAGAGCTTCTGGCCACTTGTAGTAGGAACTCGCGGTCCATTTCCTCGTCTCCACTTTTATCGATTTTGAAGCCATTCAAAAACTCCATGGTCTCACGTCTTGCAATTTCAAACCCATCTGTGATCATTCTTGGATGCACACCTTCCTGGATGAATCTGTGCGCCTGCTTCAACAATTCTCCCACCAAACACACCACTGTCGTTGTGCCGTCTCCAGTGATCTCGTCCTGCGCAGCCGCAGCTCTCGCTATCATTACCGCAGTTGGCGACTGGATCTGCATCTCCGTCAGCAGCACTTTACCATCCTTTGTAAGCTTGATATTTCCCGCACTGTCCACCAACATCTTTAAAGTTCCCTTAGGTCCCAAATTGGTTTCCAGCACCGACTGGAGGCCTTCAGCGGACGTAACGTTGACCTTTAGAGCAGCATCTCTTCTGAGCGACTCTGCCTTTGGATTAAGCAGTTGTAGGGACATCGCAAACGGTCAAAACCAGTCAATTGAGGGCCGTTTTGGTCTTACAAGAAGCATTGAATCTGGTTTAAGTTTGATGAATTCCATTTACTATGTAAATTTTTCAGATTCGCCACTTCGTTACCCGGCTATGAGGAACACGAAAGGATAAAGTGATTAAAAGGTGGGAAAAAGATAGGAATAGACGTGTCGTGTGTGAAAGCATCAGACCTTAGAAGCGTTGATGATTTTAAGATAATCCCATTTACACCAGAAAATGTGTTTATTTTTTGTCATTGGTGTTGTTAACTCTATATAAATGATGATTATTCGTTCTGAATTAGATGACGAAGACGTACAAAGTGATGCATGTGGATGGTGGGTTTGGTTTCGTGGTTTGGTTTGGTTTGGTTCAGGATGAGGTCTTGTGAGTTCCTCAGAGTAGCGTTTGTTAATGAGGAATTTTTTGTGAGGCCTCTCATCGTCTACGTGCATGCCATGTTTTTTAGGTCCTTTCTTTTTTTTCTCTTTTCTATCTTTTCAATCTGGTTGTTCTTACTTTCTCCGGGGTCTGGGTCCACCTGGCGATTTTTTGTTTCTGGCAGTCAAGATCTCCACACCGTGCTCTGTCACAAGCAAAGTATGCTCGAATTGAGCGCTTAACTTACCGTCTTTGGTTGAAGAAGTCCAGTCGTCGGGCCACGTGACGTCCTGCCAAGAGCCTTCGTTAATCATAGGCTCAACGGTGAAGATCATACCGGGCTGCATAACGCCCGAAGTTCTGTTTCCCGCGTAATGTGGGATGTTTGGTGCACAGTGGAAAAAGCGGCCCACTCCGTGGCCGCAGTAGGTTCTGACCACAGAGCATTTGTTTTCCTTGGCGTGTTTTTCGATGTAATTGCCCAATTCTTGGAACGTAGCGCCAGGCTTGCACTGCTTGATGGCAGCCTTCAAACACTCTCTTGAAGTTTCAACGGTGTTGATCGCCTCTTTTGAGATGTTTTCACCGACGTAGTAGGTTTCGTTGAGATCTGCATGCACGCCGTTCCAAAACAACGACACATCCAGATTGATGATGTCACCGTCTTTCAACACAGTCTGGTCAGGAACACCGTGACACACGATCTCGTTAACCGAGGTGCACAAGGACTTAGGAAAGTTATAGTAGTTCAAAGGCGATGGGTAGGCCTGTCTTTTCACGGTTTCCTCGTGTGCGATGCGATCCAGCTCATCGGTCGTTACGCCAGGTTGTAGCGCTGCAGCGGTGATATCGAGGACTTCTCTGGCCAGCATGCAGGCTTTACGAATACGCTTGATCTCTTCTTTTGAGTAGACGATGATCGTGTTCTTGGTGTCGTTACGCTGTTCCAACTCAGGGAGTCCGTCTTCTGCCCATTCTGGTGCGGCAATATCCTTGGGAACCACTCTTTTCGGAGTCAAAGGGTAGGCAGCTTTCAGCTGTCCAGTGTACTTGAATTTAGGGAAGGGATCGTAAGGGCTAGGTTTGTCATCTTTCCAATGCAAAGCTTTGTGAGCTTTGTAGCTGTTTTTATAACAGCCCTCATCGCAGAATGGTTGATCGATTCCTTGCTTCAAGCAAATAGGGCATTTGAGTCCTGAGGTGGTTTCTGATCCACACTGCAAGTCTGAACAAACACGAACACCGGCAGACATCTCTAGTGTGACGATACAATCAGCTGTAATGGAGTTGTTCTTTGATCTCAACTGTCCGGAGTTGAAAAATTTGTTTAAATTCTGGTAATATATATAATTATTGGAAAAGCTTGTCGATGAGCATGGTCATCGGTCAAACAGTAACGGCTGTCATTTTAGTAACAAGACGATCTCGTTAAGCTCAATTTATGATAATCGGTAAGTTCATCACCTTCGCAAAAGTAACTCTTGGCTTTAGGTGAAGTCTAGTGGCTCTAAGTTTGCCTTCAGAGACTATTGTATCATTTGTAGTTGAAAAATGCAATTTCATACGGTCTGCCACATAATAGAAAGGACCTCAGCCTTTGGATGTGACAAGCGATGCCGCTGTATTTGAATTCTGCACTCGTTGTTCCTCCTAGTGGGTGTCGAGGTCTTCGGGTCCAAAGCTCATGGGCAACAGCTCTTGTAGCGTTTTGACAACGCACTTGGAGCCATCGCCATTGAGCATCACAATTGGCAGCTTCAAACTTGCAAACTCGCGAATCGCTTGTCTACAGATGCCACAGGGTGAAATGCAGGTCTCAAGCGCGTCACCGCTGATTGCCAGACATAGCCAATCGTTGGCATGGCCAGAGGTCACAGCCTTAACGATTGCCGTTCGCTCTGCACATATACCAGCACCGTAGCTCGCATTCTCAACGTTGGCACCAACAACGCACGTTTTGGACTCTGTCATTATGCTGCATCCCACCCTAAATTTGGAATACGGGCTGTAGGACAGCTCGCGAGCCCTTAACGCCTTGGTTTTCAGAGTTTGGAAATCCGAATCTGTCAAGCCGGGCGGAACCATGTTCGTTTGCATACTAATCTACACTTGCTTGAAGAAGGGATCTCACAGCTCTGTTGTGGTCTAGAGCTTTGTTGGGATGCACTTATGGATAGTCAAGTAGGGCTAATCGTGTATGTATAAGTAGTGATAAGTGATAGTGATAAGCACCCAGTGCAAGTTTCGTCACGTTATTTACTTTAAGATGTCGCCATTTTTGAAGAAAGAGTAGGCATTAGTACGCCAAAGGTAGGGTCCGAGCGATCACAAGAATATCATTCAACTCACATATGGAACAGGACCTTTAAATCCTGTTTTCGATGGTTTTCTTTTACTGACATCTTAAACAGGAATAAAGTTAGTCACTTTGCACTACTAAGACACTCAGTCACGTGACTAAAGCTTCATGCTCAAAACATCTCTGGTGGACATGACAAGTGTGTGTTAGGACTCGAAGTGAACTTTGATGTGTGTTTTAAACGACGTAATCATGGCTATAAAACATCAAACCTTTCTGATTTCGCACTTCTCTGTACTCAAAATGAACTTATTTGAATATTCGCTTTTCAAGTCGTTTCCCATATCACTTTATCGTAATTTGTCCTATCGCCTTACGACAGACATTTGAATGTCTGGAGTCATTAGAAAAGCCTATATCTAAGACAATTTAGATCTTCAGCTGTGAAAATGCTCCACTAATATTTTACCAACTGCTCTATACAGCTTTCTCAAGACATCCTGATACCCTTTTCACTTAGTTTTCCTCCAAAAAAAAAAAAAAACAAACAAAAAACGAGCCAAATAGCGGCACCATACCCAAAATCACTGGCCAGAATAAGAACTTTCAAAAATCAATCCTCTTTAAAAACTAAAACTTCAGTTACACAGTTTTCATTCCGTCACTTGCAAAAAAGCATCACTCATGAATTTAGAAAAATCCTGAAAATTGTATTTCACCAAGAAACCCAAATCTATGAAAGAAATGCAATACCATAGTTTAAATACCAGCAAATACCCACATTAAAAACATATTCAACACACATACACCCTTCCAAACCATGAAATCACACTAACTTTCTGTAGCGTTTCGTTCAAGGTGATACATCGCTTTTACGGCAGTTTTATACCAGAAGTCCCCACCGCAAGATTCAAACTTTAACAAAACGATATTCTCTTGAATTTTACTGAATTTAAAGCATTTTTTTTATGACGCTCCCGGATGTTCTCTCTGTCGCTGTCTTTTACTTTGTCCATTGTCGTTTACTACCTTATATTTCAAATTTTTACCCGTCAATTTTATTAATCAATCCTCAGATAGTCTTGATCCAGTAAGGTTCAAGAACCAACATATATATCTATCACTCTTAGGATCCAGCTTAGAGACCTGTCAAAGTGATCTTGGAATCAAGTGCTGTGTGATTCTAAGATCTGACGTTTTGTCCGAAAGCACTGCGCTTTCTCGCCACTTTTTCCGACTTATGACATTCAACAAATATCACGTACCATGAAGGAACCAAGTAATGGAAAAAGTCTGGCATCCAAGGTACTGATGGCCAAAGCGCTTGACCTCACACCGCAGGGATTGGAACTGCAACCGAAGGTGAAAGTGAACCGTGAAAACTCGCTTTTTCTAATTTCGTATACCGATGCCAACGTTTCAAGACTACCGATCATTCTGCCGTCATTTCAGAAATTCAATGTGTCACTGTATATTGACATACCAACAATAGACTACTACAATGACCAGCTAACACACAATCGGTTTTCCAAGATCAACAAGAAATTCAAAATCCATAAATTGAGAGAACGAATTTTCGCCAGTATCACGGATTTTGACGATTCTGTATGGGACTCATTGCTGCAAAGATCTTCGTCAAATTGGCCAGTGAGCTTTACGCTTTCTGTCTCGTCCAGCGGAGCTCTGCGCTACGTGGAGACCATCAAATTTCTGGTGGAATCGTGCTGGCATCGCATTCAGACACATAAGCAAAAATCTCGGTCTATTCATGCAGTGTTCAAACTTCAAGTCTCTCCAACGTCGCTTATCTGGTTCAAGACCTTTCTCAACAAGGATCTGCTGGCAGGTGCCACTGTTGAGTTTCAGGTCATCGGCAACTACAACATGATCACGTCGTCCACTACACCTTTCAAGGAATACTATACAAAACTTACCGAGAAATTTAGTCCGCAGAAACATTCAGCACCTGCCAAATCCGGAACGACGGAAAGCGGGAAAACGCTGGACTCTATAATCGTGGTGACCAATAGCACCGGGGTAAAGGCTCTGTTGACCATTTTATCGGATAAGCCTTTGACCAGCTATCTCTCGAACGATTCTTTGAAAACACTGCATAATAACGCTTTGCAGGAAAAACCATCGAAACCGCAAGAGGCAGAGCCCACTGACAGTGAAGACGAGGAAACGCCTTTGAAACGAGACTCGTCCTCAATTCTGAACTTCCAAAATTCTTTACTGACCTCAAACAAAGACAAGGCTGTGAAAATCAGAACCACACCATATAATTTGCCCAAGACCCGCTCTTCCAGGGCTCGCTCTGCCAATGTCTTTGAGCTAGGTAGAGATAGCATGAGTCCAGAAAAAAGCGGGGAAGAACTGGTGCCATTCGAGCCTGAAGATGAATCTGACGATGAAGATGACGACGATGAAGATGACGACGAGGAGGATGAAGAGGATGATGACGGGTTGAGCTTTTCTGTGCCTAACAGGCTATCGCGTTGCGGCTCGGAGGCAGATTTCGCCACTGCGCAATCCCCGGAAGCCGAGTCCACGGCTCGCAGGTTTAGATCTTTAAGTCTGATGGATCCAGCTTTACAAGCACCCTTCACACAAACGGAACCATCTCAGCAAGAGATTACTGGCCAACAAGGAACAAGAAGTTGTAACCCTCCAACCATGGAGATTGCTGAGGACGAAATGAGCTCACCTATCGCTAATCGGCTGAATCAAGGGTGCTCTAATATATACGTTCACGACGGCCATTTTGGAGAGGAGCCTGTTTCCACTATTCCAAAGCGGGGCCGACGTATACCCCGGCCCAAATCTGCAACTAACGTGAGTGTTGGTCTTATTCCGCCCGAATTTTTTTCAAGGATTTCGTCTCCGTCTTCTAGCAACAGCAGCTCTAACACGTCTTTGAGTAATCTCAATATTTTGCCTGGCACATTTTCGAAACTTTTGAGTACGCCCGGCGATACTAGTGGTGGTGAGGAAGAAGGACCCGTCTTGGGTAAAGGTGGCCTTTTAGAGTCTGTGTCTCAGCGCACAAACAAACCGACACCCCAGCATTTTACTGTTAGTCCCTTGGCGCCGCACGACATGAATCGATTCGCACTAAATTTCAGAGCGAATAAGCACATACCAGTCAACGCAAAGGCTTTGGACGACGAGGATCGCATGATGTTTGGCACTGCACAGACAAACGAACAAACCTCGGATGAAGATTCCAAATCAAACCCGGATTCCATATCGACCATTGTGGATCCAAATGGCGGTGGCAGTGTTGCTGCCTCAGAATCGCCTTCGCTCAAACCGCTTAATTTACAGATCTATGCTGACGAAGAGTCCACATCACGTCCGCAGTCGCATTCCAGCTCAGTGAAGCCACTGACACCTGCCAAAACGACATACAAGAAACCGAAATTCACGCTCGATCTTTACAACGATGATGAGATGCAATCTAACGGAGGCTGGCTTCTAGGTGGTTTTGCAAGGTGAATTGTGGTTGGGATATGTTTTCTTTGTCGCTTTTGCCGATGATTTTTTTCTTATTTTCGGGTTTCTGTTGACTTTCGCTCGTCCGCTCCGGTCGTTGACGGCTTACCGTTGACGGCAAGTTTACCTGAGGCGGAAAAGTTGTGGAATCCGTTGGCATATAAATGCATATTGTACACTAGCTTTGATATTTTTATACAATTTTTGTTCTGGAGTTGAACATCCGCTTCGAGCCCTTCAAGACAAAAAGTCTAGCGGGGAGCTGGCCCAGTGCTATCGCCACACGATAACTCACAAGACTAGGGCATCCTAGCCGTTACAGCCAGTGTTTCTCAGACTTAAAGTTTTCAACTTCACGTGGGACGATTCTCACAACTATATGTAAGGTGAATAAGCTAAATACAGCTGATGCTCTGCTGCACACTGTTGAGCCAAACAACTGGGTATAGTTAGACGTTCAGAAACTTGACCAAGTCATTGTGAATAGTTTCCAGTTTGATGCAGCATTTTTCGTGGTCCTGTTAGGTAGCGCTTTTCATGAAAGACCATGAATATCAACAGGCTCATCGCCAGTACAACAATCCCAGTAATAAAAGTCGTCAAAACAGCGAAATTGAAAAGAATGACCGTATTTCGTTCAAATACTTTCTGGAGTGGCTGGTAACGCTCGACACGGCTACTCCCGGCTCCAAAAACTATCGGGCATTGCCAAAAGTCACCAATTATGTGTTTTTTTTTGGCGGACGATTGCGTACCGTTTCCGACCTGTCAGCTCGATTTATCGTGGCATTGGTGGTTCAAATTGTGCCGGTGGTCTTATTTTCTGTCTTTGAGGCTGCACCAGTGTGGAGATTTGGTAAGGGACACGGAACGTTGGTGGTGCTTTTTTACTACTCGTGGGCCCTGTGTATGGCCTCTTTCATCAAAAGCGCGACTGGTGATCCCGGTGTGCTGCCCAGAAACCTACATGTGCCTACCCTGAGCAATGACTTTGAGCTCCCGCAGGAATATTACAATATCATCACTCTTCCCAGCGCACATCCTGAGGGCCGCACTTTGGACGTGAAATACTGTACCACCTGTCGGATCTGGCGCCCGCCACGCGCCTCACACTGTCCCAATTGCGATGCCTGCATTATGACGCACGACCACCATTGTATTTGGACCAACAATTGCATTGGACAGCGCAACTACCGCTTTTTCCTGACGTTTTTGGCCGCGAGTGTGGTCTGTGCCATATTATGCATTATAGTGTGTGCCATTCACGTATCCAGAGTTCAACACATCAGTTCTGCGGCTGCAGCCACTTTCTTAATCGTGTATTCAACCCTGGCACTAAGTTACCCACTGCTTTTACTGCTGTTCCACGTCATTGCCACAACTTCACAGCAGACTACTCGCGAATATCTCAAAAACCTACCATCCAAAAAAGCCATTTTCCACACTCTCACCTCTCCGGATACCAACCCTTTTGATCATGCTAGTCCCATAAAGAATATGATATCTTTGGCTTGTCAACCTCGAGGTCTCAGCGTCATGTCTGTTCGTGAAAAACATCAAACTGGTGATTGGCGATTTTTGAGTCTTCCTGAACCGCACAATTTTGAGAAGAACCTACCATAGTTTTGTTCGAATTTTTGAGCTATTAAGGAGTCAGTTTCCAGAGCTATTTGAGATCTTTGAGATCTTTGTTTGATTCTCAGGTTTTATCGGTTATTTCACTGACGCTCTATAAATTCCATTTTTTTCACCATTATTTCAACTTGAATAAAAGCTCGAGAACAGTTACTCATCCAAGCATCAACTCCGGTTCTCAAAAGCCATTCACAAGAGTCTAGAAAGCCATGAAACTATTCCAGAATGCTCAGGAATTCAACTATCCTTGGGATCAAGTAACAATAGCGAATTGGCGAAAGTATCCCAACGAGGTTTCCACGCATGTAGTTGCAGTGGATGTGCTAAGAAGAGAGTTGGATGTCACCGGAACTAGACTGACAAGCGAACGACTTATAACATGCGAACAGTCGATCCCCAAATGGCTTTCGATGCTGATAGGATGCTCCAACAAAAGCTACGTGCGGGAAGTCTCGGTGGTGGACTTGAATGCCAAAACACTGACGTTGAAAAGCTGCAATCTGACATGTGCGCATCTCCTCAAGGTGTATGAGACGGTGAAATACGTGCCCCATCGTTCGGACGCTGGTAAAACATGTTTTGAGCAAGAGGCCCAAATTACGGCCTACGCTACTATCAACACACTCTGCAATAAAATCGAGGATTGGTCTGTGAAAAGATTCGGGGAAAACGCCTCCAAGGGCCGTCAGGGGTTCGATACGGTACTGCAAGTGCTGAGCGAAAACTGGGAGCAAAGTGAAAGACTGGTGGACGAGCTCAGCACTAAAGTCGCCGGCACGGTGGACGAAATTCGCAATACCACCGACAGCATTATCAAGACTACGGAATTGAAATCAACATCGTTGATTTCGCGTTATTCCAAAGAAATCAAGCGTGCTTTCAGTCACGGAAATTGAATACGAAATCGAGGTCCTGGCAATCTTATTTTTCTTCCTTTTCCATTCAAGTCGAATTCGAAACCAAAAAGCATGGCTTCAGGAGCAACTGGGACTTGCAAAATCAGTCTCTTTTAAACAAAATTTGATCAGGACCATCTCATCTCACCAATAAGCTGACAGTCGGCCTGGGTCGGCTTCCATTCCACATACAAATGGCACATCGCAGGACGGAAAACATTCATCTGTATATATACATATCGCTGACATACTATTTAAACATTCATCATTGCAAAGGCACACTATCAACACTCGCTAGCTTTGAGTCCTGTTTGGCTGAGGTTGGCTACCAATCCACCGTCTCTTCTCAGACGACACGCTTATTTCTCTGTTCTAGCTAGATCGGCTTTCATATAGTGAAAAATTTTGGATATCGAGATGAGATGAGCTCGCGATGAGCTAACTTCAAAGACGAATCAACTTTAGCCATAAAGACTTGGACAGGTTACCATTTCATGGTTTACAACGATACGCTTGGCGGGAATCATGAGGATGTCGAACAGGACGATTTCACCGCTCCAGTCAAGAATGAGCCTCCCGGGAACACCGATGAACTAGAAATGACATTGCATGCACTTTTGACCGGGTCCAGTGAACACCATGAGGTTTCTGATCCCATACACAGCGCTATCGAGAAGAGCATCTCGGAAATGGAGCTTCCCGATATGATGATCGACACTCCAGATGGCTGGGACTCCCTGGGCCAGGAAGAAAGAAATTTTGAACATATTGGACACGCAGAGAACGATCATAACAGTAACCTAGCACAGCTCACCGTGGACAGAATCCTTGCTGAGCACACATTGCATGGCGTTGAAGTCGCAGACAAACTAAAAAGAGGAAGCGATGACGAATTGGAACAAGATTTGGGAATTAACTTACAAGATCAGCAAGCGGAACAAAACGCTCTTGCTGTTGAAAATTGTACTCAGGAAAACACACATAAGACATTGGGTGTGTACCAAACATTGTCTCCGGCAAGTCTATCGCCAACTTCGGACTCCGAGTCCCAATACAAGCATAAGAAGCATCAGCCCCACGCAGTGAAGGCTCCGACTACGAACAATACCAATACCAAACAGAAATCAACCCTAACTCAAAAAGTTCATAATCCCACGGACCAGCCCGCCAAGTTTTCCGAGGAGTTCACGATGGCCCAAGTTGCCGACGTGAAAAAGAGGATCATCAATACGCATAAGCTTTTTCTCAACTTCAACTTCTTGAAGGATGGATACGCTAGGACCAGCGTAGAATTAAAGAGAAGCTTGCTGAGATTAAAGCAGAGCGAAATCCATAGAGCTCACCTTATGCATGAAAACGAGCAGCTCAGGAAACTCGTCCTCGAACAGTGCGAAAAGCTCGACGTCGCAGACGTTAAAAGCTGAAAATCCAAGAATCCAAGAGAAGAGCGATTTTCGTATCGCATATCTTCGATTCAGCAGTTTAGATGAATCACTAGCATTAGCATAAAAGTAAACCTTGTAAATTATAAGATCAAGATAACTTGTTTTGACCAAAAGTCGTTTTACGCAGACATTCAAGTCCTGGGAAATCAATTCACCATGACGAGTTGAGCTTAGAAGTCACTGGTAAAAGGCCCGGTAACAATTAACAGAGAAGAAATACTGGCAAGGAGATTCAGTGGTCAATTACAACTATATTATTGTCCCTAGTTTCACTTGAAACACGGTAAAACTATATAAGATGCGCTTAGGCCTTGATTCTGAAAGTGGAGTGACACTTACCACAGTAGTGTCTGTCCTTGTGGTTGGCCAAGAAGGTACCAGCACCACAGTTTGGACACTCTCTTCTCAACTTGGTGACCTTACCCTCGGAGTCGACCTTGAAGTAGTTCAACACAGCAAGCTTGACCTTCTTGTGCTTGTGCTTGATCTTCTTTGGGGTGGTGTAGACCTTCTTCTTTCTCTTCTTACCACCACCTCTCAATCTTAGCACCAAATGCAGGGTGGATTCTTTCTGGATGTTGTAGTCAGACAAAGTTCTGCCGTCTTCCAACTGCTTACCAGCAAAGATCAATCTTTGTTGGTCAGGAGGAATACCTTCCTTGTCCTGAATCTTGGACTTGACATTGTCGATGGTGTCAGAAGACTCCACCTCAAGGGTGATCGTCTTACCGGTTAGGGTCTTGACGAAAATTTGCATCTTGGCTTGTCGGCAAACTAGTTATAGTGCTTCTTTCAGACCAAGTTGACTGATTTCTTTCAAAAAATGGGAAAAGTGATGAAGAGAAGGGAAGATTGAAGATTTGCCCATCGCTTTTTTATATCGAAATTTTTCAGCTGAGGAAAAAAAAAGAAATCAAAAAAAATCAAGCAGTTTTGCGTGGGTCCTGAAACGGGTGTCTGGGTGTACTTGTAAATTAAAGGTCATGTGACCGATATCAATACTATAGTCAATGAACAGTAACGCCTTTAAGCTCAACAAACAGTGTGTGTGTGTGTGTGTGTGTGTGTTTTTGGGTGGTGCATTTCTGTTGTTTCGAAATTGAACTTATTGGGTTGGTACAGGTCAATGAGATTTTTGATGTGTTGATTTCGTTTGATCTCTCTGTGATTATTTGAAAGAGAAAAATGAACTTGATCTTCACGAGAGGTTCTGAGGCGCCAGCAGCTTGGCCAAACTATATCTGAATTTGATGTAGAATACCACGCCATTGGTTTTTTGAACAAAATAGGAATAGTGAAATGCTCCCCCAGCACGCTAAAAGTATCCTTTGTCAAAAACCTTTTTTTTTTGCATTGTGAAGGTCACGTGCACGAAGAGCGATAACCCCACCATTTTTCCATCCTCCAACGCTCCAGCATTCATTCAAATGTCTAGATCCGATCCGTTGTCCTCAGTCTCGCCGAATCTCAGCTTGTGACTTCCAGCTCTATTGGCCAGCACACCGGCGCCAAAAAGCACGTTTTCCAGTACAGACACGTCGAAATCGTCCGGCTGATTGCCCAGCTGCGCAAACCCGACTATTCTCGTTCTCTCCACTCCGTTCTTGTACGCTACAACAAACGGCAGTACCTGCACTTGTAATTTGGAAACCAAAAATGGGCATTTGTCCACACTCACGCGCAAAAACTTTGTCAACAGATGTTTTGACGCAAGCTGCGATAATTTGGAGTCCATTACACGACATTTACGGAAGCTCTCGAGTCCAAAATGGATAACCACCTGGTCTGTATTCGTTGTAAGCCTCATGATCTCATTTTCGTTCTCCACCGTAGTCAACTGGCCGTAATTTTCAGACTCGACGTTTCCCTTTATCTTACGCATATCTGTGGCTATTTGTTGCAGTCTTTGCTCGCGATATTGCTGCAGAAACTCGTTGTCTTCGTTGTAGTCCAGTTCTTCCAGTATCTCATCAAGAGAAGCGTCACTATCGCTATGATCTTCGCTCAAGTCATCTTTTTTCTCAGAACTTGCACCACCGTTAACCGCTTTGTCCAGCAATCGATTTTCATACCGTTCCAGCGTGCTCATTGCGTCTTTCACGTCTTCTTGATCGTTTTTTGTTGTTTGTAGTGATAGAATCAAGAACTTTGACCTAATTTACAGTTTAAACTCATCTCTGATCAACGATGAACCTTAGTTCAAATCACCAAAGAGCCCTCAATTCGCCTCTGAATGAATTCACTTTATGAACTAGACGCTAAATGGAGGAAACTTCTGAACTTGGACAACTTTTTGAATGGTTTGACGGTGCATGAGTTTGTTGAAGAGATCAGTAACGAAAACTCGTTAAAGGATGGAGCTGCACACACTGGAACATGGGAACACTTGAATCCCAAACCCTACATAAGGACATTTGAATCAACTGTGAAAGAGCTGCAAAGATTGAACACAGATGCCGAAAGCAGAAGAGGTCAATTGGAACAAGGAGTCGCGAAATATGAACTATTGCATGCTCAAAGAGTTTTGCAACTGAAAGGTAATCTTGAGACTATAGTCAAGGACAGCAATGTTTTGGACAGCGAATTGACAAATGTAACACAGGTGGTTTCCCCGCTCGGTGAAAAACTCGAGAAATCTATCAAACGGAAAAACATGTATGCCAAGTCCGTTGAGCTAATTTCGTACTATGCAGCGTTCCATGCCGATGGACTTTCTTCACAGTTGGAAGCACTGAGAACATCTAAAAACTGGAAATCCAGGGCTAGAGCCTCTATCCTGGTGAAAAACTTGCTTATACTCACGCGAAAAGTGGAAACAAAGTCTGTGCCCAGAACAATCGGAACTACGGCACTGATAGAGGACTATGCTCAAAAGTTAGAGACAGAATTTCTTGCCGAATTCAACACCGCTTATCGTGAAAATGACTTTGACCAGTTGACAGAAATCGCTATCCTTCTCAACCGCTACAATAATGGTTTAAATGTTATCCAAAGTTTCATAAACCAGCACGAATACTTCATGGGCGTCGACAACGACGACTTTACTTTTGATGAAGCGTTCAAAACAAAGCTGACCGATCCGGACTATCATGCGATCTCCTACGATACACAAATGGTTCACATTCTGGATGAAATAGAAACTCTAGTCAAAAATGAGTCCAAAGTAGTCAAGCGGGTTTTTGAAAGCAGATGTGCATTTGTTTTACAGTTGCTTATCCAAAAGATCTTTTTGCAGAAAATCGAACCGCGTGTAGAAACACGCCTCAATGCTGCACTATCGCTTTCAGGCTTGGCGTACGTTAGAATGCTACATGGTTTATTTTCACTGCTCAACCAACTTGTCAAGGATCTAACGGAGTTTTTTCGGCTTGGCGACATTGAAGACAATGGAGATTTAACTTCTGCCCTCGAGCGCTCTTTCAATGATCTGTTTGCAAAGACAATATACGACAGAACCAAGTATTTCGATTTGGAAAAAAGAAGCTTGGAACTTGCTTTGGCTCATAAGACCTCAAAGTTCTGTTTGGGTCATGAGAAGGAGATTTATGCCAGAACCTTGAGTACAAAACTAATGAATGGTACTTCGTTCGCAAATGATTTGGCCTTCCAAGAATCAGGCCCCACTTCTAACGGCAAGCTATCCCAGATAAACAATTTCTTGAAAAATCAATTAGAGCGAGAAAAGAGGAGACTCAACAGCGCGGATAGCTCGATGAGCCCTCTCCCCGCCGGGAAAACGTCGAATGGCTTTGACGAAGCCTCAAAGGGTCAAGAATTCTCTCTACAAAGTATAGACGGTATGCTGAAATGCGCCATCGAGTCGGTCGCACGCATCTTGGAACTGGTCCCAAGTAAAGCGAATGAGTACACATTCGAGATAGTCGAAGTATTGCTGATGGGAACGGTGAACTCCTACGTTGAATGCGGGCTCGAGGTGTCGTTCTCGCAAATGACGGAGCAAGACCTTATCCGAAATTCAGAGTTAGACATGTCATATTTCCACTACATCTCCAGAGCCTCGGAAATGCTAAGTCTCATCTCTGCTTCGATAAAGACTGTGGTCTTGCCGCTTTTTGTAAATGCACCGGAGGTCAAGAAAGCGGTCATAATGATATCAAACCACCATCTCAAGAGGTGTGAACTGCTTATGAACATTATCGTAGACGAGACAATACTCGCGTTTACGCAAAGGTTCCTGGCTTCTTTAGCCAAACAGAAAAAACGAGATTTTTTACCGAAAACCCAGGACATACTCGATCACGATACGCTTCCTGCTTCTGAGATAGTAAGGGATCTCAACACACTTTATGCACAGGTACGTCGGTACTTGAAAAACGAAAACTTGCAGAGCTTCCTACTACAAATTGGTAGCACTCTCTCCCGTCTTTTATTCGAACACTACAAAAAGTTCCAGGTGAGTTCTGTGGGAGGTATCATTCTCACTAAAGACATCATCGGTATTCAAACAGCAGTAGAGGAGTGGTCCGTTGATGGACTTATTGATGATTTTGCGACATTGAGAGAACTGGCAAATCTTTTCACAGTGCAGCCCGAAGAATTGAATTCGTTGACGGATGAGGGTCATCTAGCAACGCTGGATCGAAGAATCATTTCTGCTTATGTGGATAAGCGTGACGATTTTAACCAAAACAGTTTTGTGAGCAAAATAGGCCTATCCTAGGTCTTTGTATATTGAAAAATAAACACTAGCGAAACCATTAGGCTCATTACCAAGCCATTTATGAGAAATTGTTTTGCTTTCCCAGCAGCGGTCAATGTCGTCATATCAATTAGGTCATTGATGGGAGCAGATGATTTTTTTGAAGCTAGAGGGAGCACCGACATGACGTCCTTCGTGTTCTTGCCAATACTTCGGCCTAGCACCTTTTGGAAAGATTTGGGAGTTATTGACATCCAACCGATGAACAGCAGTGTCAAAACGTAAGCGCAAATATACATTTGCAGCGATTTGAATGGGTCTGGTAAATAGCAAATGCTCGTTTGAAAGGTATCATCTGCGTAGGGCGACTGTTGGGGATTGTGTAATGACAATAACTGTATAGCAGGTCTTGAAATTCCCATGTTCATTGCGCATGACTTTACCGTGATTTCTTCCGCCGTTTCTGATTCTCCCTTGGATGAGTAAGTGTGTTTGACGTGGCAGTAATCATGGTCATCACCCGACAAAACTAAAGAAGGCCCAATTTTTTGTAGTACTTCTTGACTCAGGTCATTTTCTATAAGGGTCTGATATTGCACGCCCTTCTGGACGGGGAACGGTTTGGGCGACTCACGTTCACGGCCACAAGTCTGGACATTTGGATCTCTCCACAGGGGGACGTGCGTCAGTAAAATTCTTGGCTTTGATTTGGGGCTTTTAGCAAATGAGTCCAGAAAGTTGCGGGGCACTGCAGATACTTTCTCGCTTTGCGTGTCAGACAGTGAAATTGTGTCCAGTAGTACAATGGTATGGTTGCCGACATCCCACTTCGTCGAAGTTTCTCCAAAATAGACTTTGAACCGTGACAAACTTTCCTCGACAACTGTGTCTCCGAACCCGATATCGTGGTTCCCTGGAAGCGACATTACAGTGAGCCTGTTGGGCTTTTTGGGAAATATATTGTTGAATCGCGCATACTCTGCGATCCAGTCCGAGTCTTCCCAACGTCTACCACCGTCGAAAAGATCGCCTAAGAAAAAGGTGGAGTCGGGATCCAAAGTATAGTGCATATGTTTCCAATTGCGGGCGTGGTAGTTATCAACGATTTTCTGAGTGAAATAGTTGACGATCCATGGACGTCCCGGGTATGAATGTGCATCCATGATCTGTGGGTCGGCCAAAACGGCCATGTGGTGCGGTATGGCCGATTGTGGCCACGTTTCCCAGCTCGACCATTGGCATTTCCTCATCGCCCGTTTCACCACCGTGTTTTCGTAGTACTGCACGAGACACACCCAAAAACAAAGCCAGGACACCAAATACCGCCACGCTACCATCCGTCGTAGCGTATTCCACTGTAAACTAACTCCCCTGGTTGATATCTTTGTTGCTTTAGGCTTCAGACTATCATTTCTCTTGCTTTCAGATGAACTATTCAAGTGCCGCCTCTCCTCGGGCTCCCGTCTTCGATACGACATTTCTCACCTTTAATGCGGACCGTGTTGAACGGAGTAATGAGTCTTGGCCAACCTGAATTCGTCCTTGTCGTCTAGTTAAGCTTTTGTTATGGAAAAACGATGTTCAAGTCCAGTCTTTACCTTTGCAATATCTCAATTTATAACTTTTGTTCCCCATTTGTTTCCCGTTTGTTTCCAGTATCAATGTTTCCAATTCGTCCAACTTTTGTAGAATAAGTAAAGATTGGGTGAGAGGTTCTAGCCTAGCTAAAGCGAAGCGAACTCACCAACCAGACTAGAGCGAGTAGATAAAGCCCACAGACTCAGTCACGAACCTTAAGCGCAAACCAGCCAACGGCCAATGCCGCATTGAACTGATGGAACGCAGGCCTCAACGCAGGCTTAGATCAACACCACCGACGAACTCCAGCGGCGATGGACTCTTTGACTTTGACAACGACGAAAACGGCATTGCACCCGACGAGGAGCTGTCAATTGTATCGTGTGCGACCGCTGGAACGAAGATGTTACGCCAACTAGCAAATAGTGATGAAGTGCAACGCAAGAAGCAGGAATTGCAAAAAATGCGGGAGTTAGTGATGGAAAAGCGATCGTTGAAAAAGGAGGAGAACATTGACGGCAGCGAGAAAGCCTTGTCAGATCCACTCTCAGATGACCTCTACACCGCTTACCATCGGAAAATGCAGAAACAGGAATTGCGGATGGTTAAGCAGGACGAAGTCCAAAGCGAAGCAGAGGCGGAACGGTTGCGGGGTGTTTTGGAGAGCCTCGAGTCACAGTACTGGCTGAAAACGTTGTTGAAAACGACCAAGGTTTGCGATTCTGGCGACTTAGAGGAAATTTCCCGCAAACGAAGGCTGACCCAAGATGCAATAAACAACATGTTGGATAACTTTGACGAATTCAAAACTCGACTGGCATTTTTGAGCCGCCGTGGTAGACTAGGAAGCGCAAAACACTTATATGCCCGTTCTGGTGCCGCTTCAGAACTCCCAAACGCCCGCATCGACCATTATAGACGGCCACCGTTCGGGTATGGTGACATTGATCTCCACTCGGATGGCGAGGAAGAGTCAATGACTAATGCGCAGATAAAAGCTCATAGGAAACGCTTGAAAGAAGAGAAGTTTGGAGGGACAGTAATCATTCAACTGCGCAAGGATGCCGTCAGCAGTTATAGTTTTGCTATAATCGCTGAGCCTCTGCGATCGGCATCCATTGTTGAATGCACCAGAGCCGACAAAAAGGAGTGGTCGCGAAAGTCGGAAACGCTGCCCTCCCGCTTCGAATCCCACGAGCCGTTCCCTCCTCAGACGTACACTTCAAAGCCAATTTACAGTTCTGACCGAAAAGGTTGCAATAGTAACGGCACCTTCATAAGTCCAAAAAAAAGGACCCGCAATGAGACTAGCGAAACCGAACTTGCATCTCCCAATGCAACAAAGCAAATTAGAAAGACTCGCAAACAAAAAAGCAATCCTTAACGTTACATGTACCGAACCTTGTGATTAACTTACCTATCGTATGAATACGACTGGTTACGTACCTTGTTTTTGTCAAAGCCTGAAGGTGGAAACGCGAATTGAATATCTGGTTTCTTCGACTCCGCAGCTTTGGCTCTTAATTCTTCCTCCTCATATGTGCCCACCGCTGCAACATTTTCATCAGTGACGCCATATTTTTGACAGAGGTATGCCCGAAGATGCAAAATACATTCGCGGGCAAGTACCAAGTCAGAAATGAGAGCCTTAGACTTTAAGTTATCTCTACCTTGATGTCGTTCGACAATCCCAGACACCTCTTCGGTTTTGGCATCTAAAAATCTGACAAGTATTGACACGTCAAGTAAGCTTTCAAAAGTAAGTGCAGCCAAGTTGGAGCAAATGATCAATATGTGCTCTTTAGAAAAAGCTCCTTTTGATGTCATCAGATAAGAACTAAAGACCTTTTTGATTGAATTGAAAAATCTGGTTTGTTTCATGCCGGCGTTGAGCAGAGAGTTTTGGATCCCAGGCAAGAACAAAGACTGGGTCGACAGCCCTGTTTCTCGAAGCCATTTGCCATGATCTGTAGCACTTTTTATTCCACTACTCAGATTACTGAACAGCATACTAGTATTTTTTGCGAGCGCACTATCCATGATGGCCAAAGCCTGTCTTCTAGTATTTTCGTGAGGTGATCCTGAAAGTGCCATGATTGTGGGAATACATTTTGCAGGATTAGAATAGCCGAACTCGATGACGAGCTCAATATATTTCAAGCCAACGCAGGACCTGTATGTCTCTTCCAGCAGGGAGATTTCAAGGACGCTTCTCAGGTAACGGGTCGCTACAGCTGCGGATATGGCATCGCTGGACGTTTCAGCATCATGCGATCTATTTCTCTGATGCTTCAGAATTGAGTAGCGCTCGGGACGCGTGAGATTCAAGCTCTTTCGTTCTTCATTGATGAAAAAGTCACAAAAGCATTGAATAACCACCAAACTTGTCTCGAGGCTCTTAGAAGCAAGTTCCTCATCAAGGACGCCAAGTACTTTGGCAGAGTTGAATATTTTAGGGTGCGACGTACTCACTTTTAGAAGATTTCGAAGCGCAATTCTTCTCAGGTCTGGAGCGACCTCGCGCATGCTGAAAGCAAGCAAGCATTTGGTAACATACTCATAGACTGGCTCTCTAGTCTTCAGGTGTGGGAACTTATCGGGTGTATTTGTGAAGTGGCAAAATCTTGCAAAACCAGCTGCAAGATAAAGTAGTCGTTGTAGCTTGCCATCTGCTTTGACTGAAGCAGGGCTTCTACGCAAAGAATTAATATACGGAGACAGCAAAGCCAGGCACGATGAGCATGCCTGGCAAATCCTCGTATCATCTTTTCTATGACCAGCAATTGACCAGCATAAAGGAATTGCCTCCTCCATTTCTGTGACACTCATTTTCGGAAGACGCCCTAAAATGACAGTTTCTAGCTCTGCTAAAAATCCTGGCTTAAAGTATGAAAGCTTCGAGAAACCAATTCGGAAAACTTTCAGAATATAGAACTGAAGTTCAGATCTCTCAGAAGACAGCAGGTAGGGGTAAAGAGTTGTGACGTGATCTTTGGTAATAAATGGGTAATCACAAGCGGCAACGATTGAGAGTAAATGAAATATGTTTAGGGCTTGCGAATGCGATTTTTGATCGTTGCTGTAATGAGAATCTATGGCATCGTCAACGAGTCGGCATGTAATGAGCCGCGTTGAATGAAGTATTCTCTCAAATTCTTCCGTCTCGTGAAGCTCTTTGTTGAGAACGTAGTCATTTAGGAAGAAATCGAACGGCTGAGAGCCTTCTTCTGCGCCAACCAAAGTCGTTATTATTTGAACGACATCCTTTAAGTCTTTGCTTTCATTTTCCGTGATTGGCGCTTGCTGCGGTTGAGGTATGAACCAACGTTCCAAAAGAGCTGTTCGCGCTTTTTCAACGATTGAGTCTTCTTCATCTTCTGCTCTTCTCAAGATCTTGTTGGCAACGAATGCTTTGACGCCAACATCGTTTGCGGTGTCGTATATTTTCAAATTAAGGTTCAAGACTTGCTTGCGAACAAGTGTGCTTTCATCATTGAAGTTGAGATTTATCAAGCGATAGAACTTGGTATAATGTATTGAACCTATGAGATCCAAAATTGCGCTTTTCACTGATGCCGATGAACCTATCAGCTTTTGTTCAAGAACCTTGCCCACAGATGGAACTGCAAGTAGATCAGGATCTCTCGCTATCAGTGGGCTCAGACATTTGATTGCGCCTGACATCACTTTAGTCTTTTGTTTGTCCAAAAGAGACAAGATGAGCTTGATGTATGGATCGAACAAATTGGCCAGTTCAGACGCTTGAAGGATCCCAAAATAGTGAATCTCCGAGTCTTTTGTCTCTTGGAAACTTTGTTTGATTTGATTATCGTGGCCACAGTTTGTGTCGTCACGAAGAGCAGCGGCAATAGCCTCATTCGTCATTTTTACCAATAAAGATCCATCTTCTTCCGCCTCAGAAAGTGAGAGAAGGAAAGCCATCATCCTGTCCCAAAGGTTACCGGCCTCTTCTCCCTTCGACGAAAGCGAAGACATGCAATGTCTAAAATGCGAAAGAACTGTTTCTAGTAGCTCTGGGCTTTCATGAATTGCCGCTAGTGTAAGCTTGCCAGTTACTCTTCCTTTGAGCCTGATTTCCTGCATGGCGGTACCTATTCCAGTAACCACACTGAGTATACTGGCTTCTTTTATTGAGTGGTCTCGATTGGAAGGGCTAAATACTAAAAGCATCATTCTCAATAAAGAGGCCAACAGGTTTTCGGCCATGCTCCAACGCGGATGAAAAACCATTGAGATCAAATCTTGAACGTAATTATCCAAAATAAACTTTTTTGTAGTGTTCGCCGCAAAGCTTCTGTTGATTACAGAGCGATTTATATGATCGATCAGGGACGAGAGTTGTAACTGCTGCTCTTTGAAACTTTTAAGGAACTCAACGATTGCCTCTTCGGTTATGTTGTCCTCCTTAGGGCGGATATCTCTGGAGTCGATGGATTGAAGCATCTTTGTCAAGGTAGCGAACAGATGGGATGCGTAGACAGAGTCGTCAAGTTTTTGTAATTTTTTGTGAACCCTGTTTGTCGGAAGTGTATCGAGCCTGTAAAGCAGTTCATCTATAATGAAATGCCGCTGGGTGGGAAGCTTTTTGAATAAGGATATCAGGCCCGCTGAGCTTTCCCTCTTCAAGCTTTCCAGCCACGTAGAAAGCCTCGCCATACCTTGTATTTGAATCGGGCTGAAGGTTAGCAAGTCACAAAGAAGATAAACCAACTTGGTGATCAGATCTTCTTCTTGTAGCGACTTCTTTGCCACGTAAACCGAGAGCAGAGAAAGCGAAGACTTCAACAGCAGGCAGTTATCGGCTGTCGCAATAGAGCTCGTAGACCCTTCACTCAGTTCTTCATTAACTCTTTGCAGGAAGGTAATGGTCGACACGAGGTATCGCTCGAGATATAGACGCTTGTCTTCCAAGTCTAGAACAAAAATGCTCAAAATTATGGACACACATCTGAAGGCACCTTTTGTGAGAGAACTGAAGTCTTCAGTCTTCAGAATTGTTTCAATACTCTCTGAACATGCTTTGAGAAGTTTGCTCAAGCTCTGGGAGTCAAAATTGCGCTTCAACTCTTCTGTTTTCGAAAGTTGTTTCATGATGATCTCTATTCGCTCGAGAAGGACATCGGAAAGCGTTCGCCCCTGAACAAGTCGCGTCCAACAGATGAAATTGCCCGCATTGTCAGAATTTTCTGCAGTGTCCAATACGGTAACAATGTCGTTGAGCTCCTTGACGTAATGTCCGTGCAAAGCATTTTGATCGACGACAACAGTTTGAGATGGTATTTTACTTTTCTTTGCTGATGTTCTGAGCTCAACACTGGAAAGTCCAGCTCCAGAACCGCCTTCCTGGTTTTCCAGAAGCTTTTTCCCTTCTTCTTCGTCGCTTGAATGTGGCCTTTTGCCGCATTCTTCAAGACAAGCTGTGTTTAAGAATAGTCGTGCCTCATCGGAAAGACCTTCGAGAAGGTCTCCTGGCACGTTTTCCGCACCACTCTCAGTAATCTCGATGTCTTTGAAATGCAGTCTAATGCCCTGTTTGAGCTCAAATGGGCCATCGGGTCCCACCTTGGCCTTACGAGACACGTCACTAGTAGAATGCTCGCCAAACGCGATTTTATCGTAATGGGGTCTGATGTGTAGCGACGATCTCATGAGATCACAGAGCCCGCTTTTGGGAACTAAATAGTTCAGCGGTTGAAATTCCAGGCATTCACTCAGTCGTTTGGGAATATTTGTATTATCGCCAGGAAACGTAGTCATCAGTTAGCCGCCCTCAAAACAGTTTAGCCTTCAAAATCACTCGATTTTCCTCGTTTTTTGAGCTGCTTTCAAGCTTCAAGCACTTAAGTAGCACTTTTCAAAGCTCCAATTGGCTTGCGGTTCTCAGAATCAGCCTTTTTACAACGCTTAGGTTGTTTCGACAATGTTAGAAAGTGTTATTCATGATTAATGATTTAAGAACGCCTTTGAAATTTATCTTATAAGCTATTGACGACAAGATTCGAAAGAAGTACAAGTTTAGAACCATCGGCCGAACAAATGAACCAAAGGCCAACTTTGAAAATCTTGGACGTATGTAAAACTTATGTAGTTGTCAACAAGCCAGTTGGCGTTTTCTCACAGCCTCCAGACATGGTGAAATGGCGCCGAATTCATGGAGAAAGTCATCCGCCTCTGCTTCTGGATATGGTTCGTTCTTGCATGCAACAAAATGAGCTGGGATGTGATGAGCTGAAAACAGTTCATCGGCTAGATACAAATGTTACAGGAGGTGTGCTCATCGCAAGAGATAGGAATGCGGCAGCTCTATTTTCAAGAAATCTTAAAAAAGGCGGTAATAGTGGTCACAAGCTTGTAAGGAAGTACGTAGCGCTGGTAGAGGGAACAGCACAAGACGTGGCCAATGAGGGCGTGCTCGAGTTTGCTGGTATGAAGAGTTGGTTTCGAAAAATAGACTCTGGAGCATTAGTTTTGCAGCTTTGTACAGGCAGAAAACACCAGATTAGGAGACAATTAGCGGAAGGTTTGGGTCATCCGATTTTGAACGATGTCAAGTACGGGGCGCGGCCAATTGCGTCAGCCAAGCACCAAATCGGGTTGCATTCAGCCTTGATTCATACGCAAGTGGGATTAAAGAAGAAAAACCACCTGGTACCCGTGGATTCTGGGCGAGATTCTCTGTGGTCAGCTTATGTTGACGAGGCAGGCAATTTCAGCTATGCGGTGCAAAAAATGCTTATTGAAGATTGGGGAGTTGAATAGAGAAGCTGACAGTTCGGCATTTCACACGCTGTGTAAGAGCAGTTATGCAATATGCGCTATTGTACAAGTCAGCAGTCGTTCCAACAAGTTCGCGTTGGCATCATGATCTGCAATGACAACGTCGACAAAATTACTGGCATCAGTCGCAGTGAGACCCACTAAACCATCCAGCTTGTAGAGCAGCAGGAACTGTTGTATGTTTTGCTCGCATTCCTCGCGCAAAAGCTTTTTCTGATGGTCATCGAGAATCGGCCTTGGCGGGCCCATCACCGTATCGGAGGGGAAAATCAGGCGGCGCAGTGAGAGGAAAAGGCGGCCGATCTGTGGGCCAGAAGCTATCTTGTCGTGAACGCATTTTTGGAAAAGACAGTAAAGGATCTTATCTATCGCGGGTACTTTGGCAGCGGCTGCTTCGCCGTATTTAAACAGGCAGTACAGCAATGGCCTGCGTTGTTCGAATTTGGTGAGCCTTCTGAGACACGAGAACAAAAAGCGGTGTGCAAAAGTTTGTTGCAGTTGCGATGGTCTCCGCAATTGCGAATTCAGGGCTGAACGTACGACTCCGAGGATTGCACAAACTTTTCCCACCAATGAACTGGATTTAGAACCTGATTTTTGAAGTTTAAATTGTATAGCTTTGTTCAGGATCTCTAAAATCAGATATGGCTCTGCGATGCTGTGGAGTATTTTACCACACAACAGGTGCTCATATAATGACTTCACGAATGTGTGTTCCAGAGTCGAATCACTGTGCAGAAGGGAGCAGATATAGTTCGCCGTTGTGGAGGGACCAGTTTTCCGACTATACACCAGTCCGCTAGTCTTCAGCAATTGGTAGTGTTCGAACACGACCAAGGGTACGTCGTCAAGGATGAACTGTTCCCAGTGAACTTCATGACTTTCAATGTGCGTTATCAACCGTTGTACAAGTGCAAACACTTCGCACAGAAATTCTGGGTCCTCAGATGGAATTTTGGGACCAAACCAGGATTTGATGAAATTCTTAAAAACTAGCGCAACGAATGCGTGTACGGAAAGGGTCGAAAATGGCATTCTTTCGAAGCTTGCATGTAGACACGCTGGGTAAACGGATTTACACAATTCTTGAAGATATTCTGGTGAGTCTTTGGCGTACTGTGACTCAAAACTTGTCTCATCGTTATAATCCTGATTCAGCTCGTTTCTCAGCTTTACCTTACGCTGGAATCTCGAAACCAACGTGGAATTTGCATTGTACAAGATTGTAGACATTAGCAGCTCGATAAGTGGTTCATTACATCAACTAGAATGTCTCCTTAACGATCCAAAAGTGTCTGAGTAGTCCGATTATCTTCACTTCAAGTTTTGTCAAAATATATTAAAGATACTTTAGCTGTAAGTAAACTGACAGAAAGCAGTAGCGCGAATCAGTCAAGTTAAAAGATGTTTCGAGATCAATTGGTTCGAGCTCTTGAGGATGCTGGTACAATTCACTTCAAGCCGCTATGGATAGCCTCGAGTGACAAGCTAGAAGAGCTCATTTTGGAAATATTTAGTTTCGGTAAAGTGAAAGATGTGCCAGACGAACTACGGTGCGAAATTACGGTTCGAATGTGGACAAAATTGAGAGTTTTAACGCTTTTAGAGTTGTTATGCCGACATCGAAGTATCAGAATTGCCGAATTACGAGATGAATGCGAACTGAAATCGGATCTCGAAGTCGAAAACCTTGCAATGCGTCTTGGGAAATGGGTTGATTTCCAAATTGATCAAGTGAGTGGGGAAATACATGTTCTGCGATGCTACGAGGGACGAGACGTATACAACGGAGAGAAACAGTTGCGGCTGGTCCGCAACGCACACACTAGACTCGCTATCTTGGATGACCTCAATTCCTGGAAGAAACGTCTGGAAAATGACATGTAATATAGCATAATGTGATGAAGTGTCGCGGAAATGTGATGACTGATGTATTGAATAAATAATAAGAATAATAAGAATAAATAGGTTTCTTTGGGCCCCGTTTCTGAGATCTCAACCTAGCCAACGCGCATGGGAGCTCTGCAGTTCTGCAACAGGGTCGATAGCGCTCTTTGAGTTTCCTTGTGTTTCCCGAGGAAGAATTACTGTTTTCCCTCGGAGGTGCTTTTCGCAGACCACAGCTTCTTGACCACGCCGGTAAGTCCATTTTCTTCAGTCTCTAGCTTGTAGATACCCACACCGGCAAAAAGAGACCCCAAAGTAAGCAAGTACATGGCATAAGTGTGGTTTTTCCCGTACACTCTGCTAGGAATGTAGTCGACGATACACGACTGGTAGCCCACATAGATGTGGCCAAGCAGCACGGTGGCCAACACCGAATCGGCCACCACGCTGATGTCTCCACCAGCAGCCAGACTGCTGCCTACAAGAGGAAGCAAAGCGACCGAAGTGATACGTTGGAAGTCCCAGTGCAAGGATCCGTGGATTCTGTCGGGAGCTGGGGGGCGGTACGCCTCATTCACGTCACCCTTCACGCCACCAGGGTTCTGGGGCAAAGTTGACAAAAATGGGATCGTCAACGACTTCTTACCTGTCTGGTGAAGCGTTCTGAGAGCTTGTTTCTGCATCAAACCTTTGGAAAACATATCTTTAATATCTCGGAAAAAAAGAGAAGGAGGAATCGCCACGCAAAATTAACAAAACTGGCACACAAACTTGGCTCTCTGTACACAATACGCGCGCTGAAAGGGTTCTTGCACTTCGCGTTTCTGCTAGAGAAGCTGTTAGGAGAGTTGTAAGTTTTGATTTTGGCTTGTTCAATATGATTAAATTTGGTCATCGATATCGGATCCGAAATTTCAAGGCCATATTTCGGGTGTTCGTGTACAATGATATTGGTGTGAAAGTTAAGTAGAGTAAAATTCGGCCATCTTGAGGCAAAAGGATGGCGAAGTGTAGGAAAGAAGGTTGCGAGTATTCAAAGAAGAGTAATTTGAAGGTCTTATATATGGCAAATTTAACTACTTGAATGTGGCGTTAAATTCTATGACAGTAAAATGATATGGGCCACGTGATGTGCGACGGTGACATTATGTCACGTGGTAGAAAAGTGTATAGTGTTTTACCTGATGCCCAGAGACTCTATGAAAAGGATTTGACATCTGGCGTATTAATTCCTCTCAATCCTGAGTATCTCAAATTCAATTCCATTAGTTTTACGTTCTTGCCTCTCACGCGTACATCAAATGCTCTCTAAGGTGTCCAAAATTTGAAAAATCAACGCAACCGAAAAATTTTACATTTATCAAACTCAACACCAACAAACCCTCAAGTCTCAGCACCAAAACCCACATAGTCCCTCATATCTTATTTCTCAAACTTCTGTTTTACTTCTTGACTCTGTACATATCATGTGCTCGAGCGAACATTCAGTCGCTCCTCGACCCAACTCTCTACTCAACCGTCTACCCAACTCTCTACTCGCCTCAAATTCAATATCTTTAATTACCATGTTGAAATCTAGACACAACCTATTTGACAAATCTCATCGACGATATAAAAGACCAGATAAAGCTTCAAGTAAGGTCTTTTCTCACTGTTTCCTAATCCACAGCTTCCTCACACAACTGATAAACAATGCTTCGCAGTTTGGTCCCTCGCACTCGTGGTCTCAGACATTTGGCAACTAGTTTACCAACCACCAGAACTTCAGTGCTTTCCAATGGACTTACAGTAGCTACTGAAACGATACCGAACACCTCGAGTGCTACGGTGGGCATTTTTGTAGATGCCGGGTCCAGGGCCGAAAACATCAAAAATAATGGAACTGCACATTTTTTGGAGCATTTGGCTTTCAAAGGGACCAAGAATCGTACCCAGGTGGGCATCGAACTGGAAATTGAAAACATAGGATCCCATTTGAACGCCTATACTTCAAGAGAAAACACGGTGTATTACGCCAAAACGCTAAACCAAAACATTCCAAACGCAGTAGATGTACTTAGCGACATTTTGACCAAATCGGTTCTGGACAAAAGTGCAATTGAAAGAGAAAGAGACGTTATTATCCGGGAAAGCGAGGAGGTGGACAAAATGTACGACGAGGTGGTTTTTGATCATCTGCATGCAATCACTTACAAAGATCAGCCGTTGGGAAGAACCATTTTGGGCCCCATAGAAAACATCAAGACCATTCAGCAGCGCGATCTACAGGAATACATCTCGACCAACTACAAGGGCGACAGAATGGTGCTTGCTGGAGCTGGAGCTGTAGAACACGACGAATTGGTAAAAGCAGCTGAAAGATTTTTTGGTCATATCCCCAAATCATCATCACCAGTGCCTTTAGGCTCCCCACGCGGTCCTCTGCCTGTTTTCTACGGGAATGAGCTCAAAATTCAGGAAAATACTTTGCCCACGACCCATATTGCCCTATCAGTCGAGGGCGTCTCGTGGTCTGCTCCCGATTATTTCACAGCTCTTGCAACTCAGGCAATTGTCGGTAACTGGGATAGAGCCCTCGGATCAGGTACCAATTCTCCGTCGCCTTTAGCAGTGGCTGCATCTAACAATGGTACTCTGGCCAATTCTTATATGTCTTTTTCCACTTCGTACGCTGATTCAGGTCTATGGGGCATGTACATCGTTACAGATTCCAAGGAACACAATATCAAATTGATAATTGACGAGGTTCTCAAAGATTGGCAGAGGATTAAGACCGGAAATGTTACTGACGAGGAAGTCAAACGCGCCAAAGCGCAACTAAAGGCTTCTCTGCTTCTGTCTTTGGATGGCTCAACTGCAATCGTCGAAGACATTGGGCGTCAAATTGTTACTACGGGCAAAAGACTTTCGCCAGAGGAAGTATTCGAGCAGGTCGACCGGATTACAAAAGATGATATTATTACATGGGCCAACTATAGATTGAAGGGAAAGCCAATTTCCATAGTTGCACTTGGAAACACCGCCACGGTCCCCTCCCTGAAAGAGATTGAAAACGGACTGAACTTGTAGCACTTTTCATGCGATCTTCACCTCCGTTTAGCCAAAGGTCCTTTGCTTCATCTTGTAGATAACTTAATGCATCCATTCATTCGTCTTTATTTTGTAGACTATCAGTCAATTCATCATCTTTATTATTGCCATTACTCCCAAACACATCACCATCCTCATCCTCCTCTTCCTGATCAATGTCTCTGAAAACGCTTTCCTTTGGAAAACGCTTCATGATCTCCGGCCTATCGAAAAGAGGACCAATCTTTGTGACCCACCTTCGTCTCTTGTCTAAGAGTGATTTCAAGCTTGAGTTTGCCGCTTGTTGATGTGCTGCTTGAATTGCAGCTTGAGATGTGGAACCGGTTCCAGAGGTGACAGCCTGCTGTTTCTTCTTTTTGTTCTTTGGAGCTCGAATTCGTTTCACGTATGCCTGGTCGGTCTGTTTATCTAAGTCGTCGAGGATGGAAGCGTATTCCTGCCATGCTAATTGACGCTCTACCAAAGGAATCAATGTTGCTTTTCGTTTGATATTGACTTTAGTAACTTGTCTCAGCTCATCTTGTAGCTCTCGCAGTTCTGAACTAATTTCGTCATCCTCACGTCCCATGAGCCAGTCTGGATCCTCGCTGTAGCCGCTATCTTCACTCCTGGGAAGATTCATGTAAATACCAACATATTTTAGCTCCCGTTTGAGACGTTCTTCGAAAGTAGGGTAGTCAAGACTAACGCTGTTGAATTTTAAGCCTGTCTGCTGTGGAATATTGCTTGTAGATGGAAGCTTTGTGGATCGGTCTTCGTCCATTTCACTCGAGGGTGTAAGAGTGGCATTTCCGGCTGTTGGAGTCCCAGCTTTAACGTCTGCATCCGCGGCCGGGTCTGCAGATATCGTATCCTTTGTGTCATCTCGCAGAATTGCCGAGAGTAATCTAGAAACCAGAGGACCACACGAAATTTCTTCCGTTTCCAAAGTCTCATCACTTAATTCTCTGCTAGATTTTTTGGGTAGTATGCTTGTTGGGTCGTGCAGAGGCGGTGGCGAAAGATTAGCAATATTTTGGCTATTGTCTTCTTTCGCCCACACGTCCGCATAGAGTGGGCCTAGTTTTGGGATGATGTATGGCGTAACTTCTGGATCGTAGGACCTTTCCACTTTCACGTTAGGTGGAATGATATACTTGGTTTTCAAAAGCTTGATGTCATCATCCGTAAACTCACGGAAGAAGCTATCCACAGAGGTGAGAAAAGTAGTGAACTGAATTTGATTGGCGGGTTTGGGTCTAGAAAAGTCCATATCTGGAATCTCCCCAGGTAACAAATCTTTCAAATCGCTCGCTGGATAACTCGAAACCCCAAACTTTTTCTTAAGAAAATCTTCGCCTGTACTTTCCAAACCCTTATTAGTAAAAAGCCCCAGGCTCACAGCTGCTGCAGGAAGTGTTTGGGAGACGACAAACTCGGATTTTGGATTTTTCACGGATGGGTCACTTTCTATTCGATCGAGTTCGCTTTGAATTTTCTTTTCTGCCTCTGGCGAGGGCTCTAATGCTTTGTTAGCGGGTCTTTTACTGGGATGGATAAATCCCTCGTCTTCTTCATCTTCGACTTTTAGCGATCGTTTTCGACTGGCCTGCTTTATTGGTGCGACATCCACCTCGTCATCGCTTGCATGCACTTCACGCCCATTCTCCCGGGTCTCCAGAGTGTCCAATTTTTGATGGCTTTCCTCCTGCTCTGTAGGCTTTGGCGATGGCTCCACAGTCGTGTTATTTTCCAAAATTTCCCGGATCGTAGTGATAGTAGCTTTGTCGCTGACCGAAATACGCTCCAAAGATGATTCTAGTTTATCAAGAAGACCTTGGAAATTTTGGAGTGATTGGAATCCAGGCAAAGATCGAACATTTTTACCATTTAACATGCCAATGTCTCTTTCGAATGTAAGATCAAGTGTTTTCAAGACAGAGGTCAAAAGCCGCGAAGGCTCGTGGGCCAATTCATCGTCCTGATTCTCCTCCTTAATACCTTTCCCTCGGCGCGGTGGTCTTGACATATTTACGATCAACAGCGGCCCTGTCTCACGAAGGTTGAAGTAAACGTTTACTGGATTGCAGTTCACTCTGATTTGACTTTAAGATAATATCCAATTTAGTTTTAGAGTCGCTATGTACGAAAGAGAAAACTAAAGATATCGTCAATTAGTCCAATTAATTCGGCATTTGCTAAATGACGAGAGGCAACAAAGATCCGGATAAGAATGGGTTTCTCTGTGAGCACCAGCTTGGCTTTCTTCATTTCATAGATTTTGAAGTTTTTTGAAGTTTTAAAAAGTCACGTGATAATAACCTGTCACTCGCGTCACATATCTATTCACGCCTGTAACGTTGAAATATGCATCGCCGTTTTCTTATTATATCGTATCGTTTTGTTGAGTCTCAACCGTTTTTTATCACCATAGTTGACATCAATCCTAGCTCAATAAACGTCTTTCAAGATAAGCGGATCACTTGCCGAAGATTGCGCGTGGAACGAAAATTTCACAGGATGCCTCACTAATTCCGACATTTCAATACAATTTCTCACTTTCTGTTGGCTTGAAAGCACTGCTCGAAATATTGGCTCGAATACTCAAGACCAATTAGCTTTTTGTTTGTCAAGTGACGCGAAGTTTTACTGTCATTACAGATGAGAACGATGCACCTCATGCACCTTTTCTAAATAAAGACATTTGTTGTAAACAAAATAGAAATGACAGCTGTGCACTACACCAGATTTAAATAATGGACAGGAACATGCCTCGAACATGTCTCTCAACACCAATCTGGCGATAACATTAAATAAGGTATACCAAATCAATCAGTACTGCAAAAAAATAGCTTCTTCTAAGCATCACACTCAAAAAAAGTCTTAAATTACCGCCATCAATGTACAGTGATGATGGTCCTGATCTCCCGAACGATACTTGAATAACAGGCGAATTCTACTAGAAATGATGAGCAGCTAATATCACTATATACAAATTGTGACGTCACAGAGTCGAGTCACGTGCAATATGCTTTTCCACGGAAATTTGAGTTTATACATCTTTTAACAAGTTGAATCTGAATACTACCAAAATTATACACAAACAACCAGTGAGATTGAAGGTATTTTAGACTTTTGAAGCTATCATCCATCTTCGCAATCAAATTATCAGCATTCAAAAACTTCAACGTTGTTTTCGATGTCGTTAATTTAGGCTAATTAGTTTTATATCACGTGGTACGTCTTTGAAAACATAAGTGTCGATATTTTCCTAGTAAAACCTGATGAACATTTATTCAAGCTATGCCCAGAAACTGTGAAAAAGCTGCAAAACAAAGGCCTTTAGGAAGTTTCCGGTTTTGGAGAAGGTCTCATTCATAATTTTAAGAGCGAGAAGTCATGCGCGCGAATTTTCCGCTTTTAATTCGCTCCACTACAAGCTGCAAAAATGCAGCTATCGAAAAGATAAAAACTAGTGGTGGGATCGCTGCCGATCTGTACTTGGATCCATCAAAATGGCAGCGTTTGAAGCCCGACCAAATATTCGGTTTGTACAGGGAAAGAATGGTCAAATTGGGCTCTCAATATAAACCTTGTAAAGAGGAGCTCAACGCACTCTTGTCGACTTCAGAACACACGGGAGTTCCTGCCGCGTCTATCCGTTCCTTGTATTATGGCGGGGAAGAAGCTGCTCACAGTCTTGCAGGAAGCAACATGCAAAATGATTATCGTCCTACGCCGTTTATGTTCGACGATTTGCCCTCCCAGGCACAGACTTTGGTACAACAACATCGTGAGCAAAGATTTTACAACAGATTGGCAGCATACGAGCTTCCTTCTCTGGTACAGTACCGTCAGGAGTACAAGAGACCTTCGCAACGCACCAATCCAGTCACCTACCGCTACACCACTTACATTGGTGAAAACCATCCAAATTCGCGGAAAGTGGTTCTTAGCTTGAAAACCAAAGATCTGGAGCTCAACGACAAGGAAGTCCATAAGTTCCGTCTATTGGCCCGCACACGCTACGACCATCTCACAGATGTCTTCAAAATGTCTTCTGACAGATACCCAGAAGCAGCTCAGAATGCACGTTATTTGAGTGATACTTTACAGGCTCTCATCAAAGAGGCTAAGAATCTGGAGGATGATTTTTCAGATGTTCCTTTGGACACCAGACATACAACAGCCAAAAACCTGCGTAAAAACACGCGCAATTACAAGTTCCCTGAAGAGTGGAAAAGGCCACAAGATGCACCAAAGGAGCTGGTAAACCTCACTGGATTGTTACAGGAACAGCTTCAGAAATAATAGATTACCATTAGACTACAAACCTGTAAATACAAGACGTCACACCGTAAAGAGCTTATCCTAGATCATGTTGCAGGTGTTCCATGAACGGCGGATCGATTTTTCTTGATTAGGATTAAGTTACAGACATTTTCTTTCCAAACTTGTTGACGATTGAAAATCAAATATAGAGCCAGCTCTTGAAAGCAAATAGGAGTTTTAGTGCTCAAATGGAACTGCTACCGTGTTTGTCCTTCTTCTTATCCTTTCTTTTCTTCTTCTTCTTCTTTTCGGAGCTGCCACTGGTTCCATCCTCTTCATGTGGTCTCTTCTCCTTTGGAGGCTCGAATTCTTCTTCTAGACCGACCTGCAAGTAATCTGGGATAGGAATTGGAGCTGTGCTGGGAGCGTCCAAAGTTGGAGCAAGACCGTTTTTCTTGGCTTCCAAATATTTGAGTTTTTCTTGCTGGTAGTTTTCAAGCTCTGCGTTGTAAGCCTGTTTCCATTTGAACTTTTCGCTATCACTGAGCTCTTTCCACTTTTTGGAAATTTCCTGAGTGATCTCGGTCGAAGACAATGGAGGAAGACCTGCTTTTTGTCTATCTTCACGCAACGCTTGACGGACGTAAGCCGAGTAGGCGAAAAAAACCGTGAGTGGCTTTTTTGGAGCGTTGGGATCCCGTTCCTGTTTCTTTCTGGTGGCAGTGGCTTTCACTGGTGACACAATCGCTGGGATCACATCTTTGTCGTCTTCCAGAGGGTTAGTTAATTCAGAGCTGACTCCATGGATTTGGTTAGTGGCCGACGTCAATTTCTGTAAAGCTTCTGTGAGCGTTGTAAACGCTTCCAATTTGTCCTCTTCGTCTTCGCCGATGGCATTGTAGAAGTCAATGATGCATGATGCCGTTTGGTTAGCAGACTTTGAGAGTTCGAACAGCGACGACACCAACTAGTTAGAAATGTTTTTGTTAGTAGATGAAATTGATGAATTGGTCTTGATGCGCTGTCGCTGGCAGCGAAACAACAAATAACAGTAAACAAGAACCCGTAAACAGTCAACATACGGTGTCTTTAGCGGCCCTTAGCTTGATAGATGGCTCTGACATCACGTGGAGTCTTTAAGTTGTCGTTTCTAAAAGACTGTGACGCTTGCTGGTGATGTTTTGAGCTTAAAGGAAAGTTCTCCTTCTAGAGATCAAATAGTTTAGTGGGAAAGTTAGGCTGGTTCCTGCCTAGTTTGTTGGTGAACTCTCCGTCTGGAAAAAAAATTTTCTGCCTAGCTCAATAGACAGAAAGAAGACCAGATATCCACAGAGATCGTTTTTTACGTTGGTGTCGTAGCTGTTGCCCGCAAGACAGAAAAATAGAATTAAATTCAACCATATTTATCATAGGATTGTCGACAATTTGAACGAAATTTGCCAACTCTGCTTCAACTCTGCAATTTTCAGCTTCTACTCCGCTATTCGCAGTGTTATTCTCTTCTGTAGTGTATCTAATTGATTTAAATTTGGATGTCAGCGACATCCTAGTACATAGTGATCAGTGATGATCGACTTTGAAAGAAAGTGAATGTCTAGGGTGTCAAGTAGCCTGTACCATACATCATTTTGGGTTTTCTCCTATCCCATGAGTGGGGCCATTCTTTTCGTGACATTTGCTCAGAAATCCCGTTTCAGGTAGCCAATTCACTTTCTTCGATGTATCTTCATCTGGGTTCATCAGAAGGTATATCTGAAATTCTTGTTCTCGAAATCGGTCAAGTCCTTGAAACCATCGATAATACCTTGCTGTTCCGACTCCGGGGTCAACACGCCATATTTGCGGTCCCTAGACTTGTTTCTGTAAACCATCATGATGTAGTAGACCACGCACAGAAACATCATACAAGCATAGGACGAAATTAGCCCTTTCATACCTGTGATGTATCTGGGAGCTTCTTTTGCGTAGAAGATCTTAGAGCCGATAATGTTTCCGGCAGTGTACAGTACGAACCACATAATTTTGGCAGTGGAGATCTTGGAAGAGCCCGCAATCGTGACGTTCATCAAGATCCAGCACATGATAACGGGTCCTCCGATAATGTACATCAACCAGCAGCAGCCGACCAGCGCCCACTTGTGTGTCAAGGGAATCAAATGAATGCCAACTAGACCAGCCAGGGTTGGCACGCACAGAAGGAAGAGCAGTATAATTCTGATGTTCTTCTTGGTGTAAAGAGCTACGACGCCGGCAGCAAATACGCATACAAGTTCGATAGCACCGGTTGGGAGCTGAAGCAAAATCGCACTTAGTCCGGTAAACCCAAATCCCTTAATCAGAGTGGAAATGAAGTTGGAAACACCACCGTTGATGACACCGCAGCCAAGACCGATTAACGCCATAATCCAGCAGTTGAGATCCCTCAAAGCCTCGATGGCCTGCTTGGGTTTGAGCTCCGTGTCCTTTATACCCATTTTATTGGTGGAAACACGCTGAACAACCTTCAATTTTTCGTCGTGGGTCAAGAAGCGAGCATTTGATGGAGAATCAGGAGCCAAATACAAAAAGACCAAACTCCATGCTAGATTCATCACACCGACGACTAGGAAAATTAGCTTCCAAGGCTTGAGTGACGCATTGGTTGCGTGACCCAATCCGTAAGCCAAAAGAGCGCCCACCATGGTTGCGACACCGTTCATACTCAAGAAGGTACACATTCTGAAGGGCTGTTCTTGCTTACTGTAAAACATGGAACAGATAATCATACAGGAAGGTGAAATTGCAGCCTCCAAAAACCCCAATAGAAACCTCAATGCCATCATTGTATGGTAGTTAGTCGCGCCAACGTGAGCAATGAGCAAAATAGCCCAAAGCACAAGTGTGCATCCCGTGAATTTGGCCACCGGTAGCTTCTGAACCAGCCAGTTGCCCGGGATAGAACCAATGAGATACCCCACATTGAAAATTGCTGCAATGTTCGAGTAGTCGTTGCCCTTTAGGTGCAAATCTTTAGCTAGCGAATACGCAGACGCATAATTGAGCGACAATTTGTCAAGAAACTGCAGCATGTAGGTTACGCAAAGCAGCGGCAGCAGCCAACGATCGATTTTGCGTCTAATTGGTGCATAGTCCTTATCGTCAGCTTCAACTTCACCGTCAAGCACCTGACGGAAAAGATCAGCTCCAACAGCATGTTCATCGACAACGATGACTTCTCCTCTGTTTGAGCTGTCGGAGGAAAATGAATCCCGTACGTTTATCTCACCCGCCTTGACCTGGGTCAAATCTTTCTTATCCTTTTTCATTTCTGCACTGTCTGTTATACTCATCTTGGTCTGTCAGTGTGCAGTTGTTGAGAAATCCAAGTTTGAGAGGAAGACTTTATCCTAACAAGACGGCATGAAAGTAAGGCATTTATATAAGTTCAGGCAGGGTGTGCCATGGCAGCGGGTACAATATCGATTTGCATAAGATCCCAGCAGTTTAGACGCTTTTGTTTTCACGCTAACCTAGATAGTTATCTTTCACAATCAAGATTCCTCAGTAAACTTCGAGGCAGAACACAGGGGTGAAGCTTGAAATTGTCAATTTGAGTAGCAATCTCTGTTGTATAGCAGTAGGGTCTAGCAAGGACCCTGAACCATGGGATAGTAGTTTGATTCAGGGAGTGATTAGATTTGATTCAAACTTTATATTATCAGTTCCATTGTTATATTATCTACAATTTTAACTTTAAGATAAGACCGTTAAAGATACCCAAAAGGCTTGGCCTCTTGGTATTTGAATGATGATTGCTGACCGATTGGGAGTCGTTTTGATATCCGTTGGAAGTCTCACGGAAGAATCCGGCGATTAATTGACTGCTTCAAGGCGAGGGCGATCCGTTGACCGATTTAGGTTAATGATAAGTTTGATAAACGTGTGAGGAAACAACTGCCAGTACGAGCAAAGTGAAATACGAGAGAGAGGTATTCGGAGCAGGATCAGTGGGCTGTGGTGTGTGTATTTCAGGAAGGTTTCGCCGACAAGATCCTGACTTTCACAGGTTGGTGTGCATCATGATGTGATTCTCCATATATACGGAATCACAGAGGTTGATTTGAGATTAGAGCAGCAGAAGTTGAAAATAGTGAAGTCCATGAAGAGCTGATTGCCCGGTGGTCGGAGCGGAATTATTTGGATTGAAGTTCCTATACATGGTGCGGATATCAACGACAGATGACAGATGACAGATGACAGATGACAGATGAAATATATGTACAAAGTGACAAGAGAGTGGGTCTCCAGAGTTGAAAGAGTTAAAACCAAGCCTGTAAGTTAGGTCAAGCCGAGCTATGAATTTTGGTCTAAAATTACCAGCATTATAATTATTATGAGAGCGTTTTGCAGCCTCGAATGTCAAATTATTAAGTACAATGCTTGATTTTCTGCAAAAATCACCATGTAGCAGCAAATATCGCAGCGTATTCTGATTCAGAAAGTTCAACTTCACTTATTGAAATTGAAGCAGTCAACCCACCTCACAGCCTACAGATTCTTCTCCTTTTCCAAGTTTCTTAAACTGAAAGCTTGATTTTTTGAGAATCACGACTGCTATAAAAACTGTACATGGAAGGGAAATGAGTTACACTTTCTCTAAAAGTTGAGATTTCGAATAAATATCAATGATGTCTCAAATTCAGTAGCTTCAAAAGGCTTGCTTCTCAAAAGATGTTTTATTCTTGCTTTCTTTCAGACCTGGGTCTTTTCTTCATGCTCTTTATTGATTAGTTTAGTCAAAATTCGTTGTAACTTCAAATAGATGCCACCTACCGGGCATTTTGGCATCAACTTCACTCCAAACCTCCAGTTTCACTGCTTGAAATTATGGAATAAATGCAAGCCTCAAAAGCTAGCTCGAACCAGACCGAAATCGATCCATCTTCGTCCTAAGACGTGATAGATGATTATTTATTACTATCAGCTTCGTTATGGACGTTAACAGGTGAACTTCCATCGATTCTACAAGCAAGATGTCTAGTGGATACGTCAAGGCCAAACATCAAGCAGCCGGTCACGATGGGAACTTTACGGACGAGCAGCAGACGCTTTTCTTCAAACCGACCAATTCTGTCGAGGTTGAATTCTATCAAAGTTTAAGCCAAAAAAGTTCGAGGGCAGAAGACAATGATGATATGGACCTGAACTCTTGGACACCCACTTTTCTTGGAACTTTGCAACTGGGAGTCTCTGAGAACGTTACTGCGAATGCTAGCATACAAAACACTGATTTTGAACTGCCCAAAATTGATGCAACAATAAGCAATGAATCACCCATACCGATGAATCACAACAAACCCATAATCGTCCTAGAAAATTTACTGCAAAGATTCAAATCGCCTAATATTATGGACGTGAAACTAGGTAAAGTGCTATATGATGATTCCAGCTCGGAAGATAAAAAATTGAGGCTACAGAAAGTAAGCACTGACACTACATCTGGTACACTGGGTTTCCGTATTTGTGGTCTGAAAATCCAGCAAAACAAGCGATCGATTGAGCTAGACACCGATTATTGTGAATTAGACAATGAAGGCTACGTTGGTGTCAACAAATTTTATGGAAGATCATTAACTGCAGACAATGTCAAAGAAGCGTTCGAATTATACTTCGCACACGATGCTCTAAACCAGCCGCGAAAAGACACACTTTGGGACGTTTTCCACAAACGACTGATGCTACTTTACAACACACTGCTTGATGAGGACGTACGACTTATCTCTTCAAGTTTACTTTTCATCTACGAAGGCGATCCATCAAGTTGGGACGAACTTGACGACCACCACGAGCTGTTGACTAATGATTACGAGCCTGAAATGAGTGATAGCGAGGATGAGGGAAAAAACGGCAATGTTTTAAGTTCTCTCTCGCTCATTGATTTTGCACATTCCAAACATGTTCCAGGGCAGGGATACGACGAGAACGTTATAATGGGAGTAGAGTCCCTGCTAGGTATATTTTCGGCCACATCGTCGTAGTCCGCCCAGAATAAGCACAGATACAATGTACTCATTTTTAATTTGCCTTGTAAGCTATATTACCTGCCAATGCATTTACACGTCTAATTACTCCGCTAGTTTTACGATCTTACCAATAGCGATGGTAGTACCTTGATCTCTCAGCGTGAAACGACCCAATTGTGGATAGTCCTGGTAGGTTTCCACGCAAACTGGTTCTTCGGTCTCCAAAACAGCGATGATCTTCATACCCTTCTTGGCAAAAGCAGGTGGCTTCTTGGACTTACGATTAGAGCCCTTTTCTAGTTTGTGCAGTAGTTTAGTGATGGTGACTTCTTCAATAGCAGTGTGGATGTGCATGACACATGAGAAACCGGCAGAAATGATCGATTTCAACTCGACTATGGCGATCTGTGCCACGAACTTGGTACCGTTCTTGACGGGGTTCTTGGGAGATGTTAGGACGAAACCTGGGGAGATGTCCTCTTCTTCAACACCCTTGAGCTTTAGTCTGACCTGTTCACCGCATACAGCCATGTCAACTTCAGCTTCTGTTTCATTGTAAATGTTGACGATTTCAACAGGAGTTCTGTTGGGCATCAGTAGCGTGCTGCCGTTCTTCTTGATATGACCGGATTCAATCTTACCTTCAACAATGGTACCTAGATCCCTCATCTTAGATGCTATAGGCAACATGAATGGAGAGTTCACACGGCGGTCCACATGGGACATGCCATCCAGATACTCAAGTAGAGAAGGTCCATCGTACCATGGGCAATCCTTTGGATCCACGCGGGCCTTCAAGCCTGCACCGGTGTAACCAGAAACTGGCATGAAAATAACCTCTTGCTTGATGTTGTATCCAATGGCTTTCAAAAATACAGAAATATTCTTGACACAAAGGTCGTAACGTTCCTTTTCCCAGCCGACAGTTGGGTCGTCCATCTTGTTAACAACAACAATCATCTTGTTGACACCCTGAGTCTTAGCCAACAAGGCGTGCTCTCTTGTTTGACCACCCTTTTCGAAACCTGTTTCGTATTCACCTTTTCTAGCGGAAATGACAAGAATACCAACATCTGCCTGAGAAGCACCACCAATCATTTCAGAAACGTACATTTTGTGACCAGGAGCATCTAGAATGGTGTAACGTCTCTTTTCGGTCTCGAAATATGCTCTTCCGACCTCGATGGTCTTACCGTCGCTTCTTTCTTCCTTGTTGGTGTCCATGACCCAGGACAAATACCACCCTTGTCTACCGGCATCCTTGGCTTCTCTTTCGTATTTTTCAACTGTTCTCTTGTCAACGGAGCCAGTCAAGAACAGCAGATTACCGCCCATGGTGGACTTACCTGCGTCGACATGGCCCATGAAAATGATAGACATATGGTCTTTACCTCCGAACATGTCATTTACGATTTCTTCATCCACTTCGTCTTCTTGTTCCTTGATGAGTGCCTCGGCTGAGTTAGCTGCGGCTGCCGCTGCTGCTGCTGTAGTATCAGCTGCCTTCTTTACAGGCTTTTCCTCGCCAATCTTTAGTTTGTCGATTTTAGGCAGAGAGTCTTCAGTTGGCTTATCGTCGGTCTGTGGAGTTCCGTCCGCCTTGGTTTCTTCGGGCGCTGCTTCATCTTTAGGATCTTCTTCTTTTGTTGGTTCCTCCTTTTTCATCACCTCTGGTTTTTTGGTGGCACCCACCAGCTTGATGCCCGATCCAGATGCCAGTTTCAAAGTCTTTTTAGGCTTTGGAGCTGTTGCTGCAGCAGGCGCTGAAGAGTCAGTTCCCGGCGTCTTTTTGTTCTGGAAATCCTGCAAAGTCATGCCCTGAGACCCGGATTGCTGGTCGTACGCCTGGAAGGACTGAGCCTGAGTATTGAAACCTTGGTTGTTGTAGTTTTTGTAGCCACCACGGTTGTTCTTAAACCCACCACGACCGCCTTGACTGTTGAAGCTGTTGTTCTGGTAGCCCTGGTTGTATGACTGGTAGCCCTGGTAGCCCTGGTTGTAACCCTGGTAGCCCTGGTTATATTGGTTGTATCCCTGGTTGTATCCCTGGTTCGATTGGGCGTTAGGATCATAGTTCTGGTAGTATTGCGAATACTCGTTGTTTTGAGGCTGGTACCCAGACTGTTGGCTCATGTTCTGGTAGTACTGATTATAATGGTTTTGTTGCTGATTCTGCGACTGATCCTGATTCTGTTCAGACATCTTGAACTGTTGAAAGGAGGGATCAGAGGGCTGTGTTGTTGGTCGGTGAGATGGTTTATACATGTGTAGCTGAGATGACTTTGATTTAATTTTCACCAAAAATTTTTCAGCTTGCTGAGAAAAGCCAAGTCGCGAGTAGATAAGTGGGTAGATTATCAGCTAGTTGATATGAGCGACAGTAAAAACCATTGTGATAAGTTGAATGAGATAAGTATAAGGCCGCTACGCTATGCTATGATGGGCCTTGAAATAGTATGGAGTAGTAGTTCAATATTTTATTTCGTCATTGTAGTTAATCGTTATCTGCGTTCATAGTAGTATTTATAATTATACCAAGACTTGCGGAAGTTTCTTTCTTTCGTGAGCGTCCTGGCTTTGGCTTGATTTACAACGCGGTTGGAGGGTTTGGGTTCTTTTCGAATTCCAACTCTTCGTCAGGAACGTCCTCTATTACGATGTGTCTTCTTGGTGGAGGCTGAAGGGCGTCATCGAGAATTTTGGGAGTCTTGATCACCAACAGCCCGTTGCAGTAAGTGGCCTTGATTTCCTCGTCCTTGATTCTGGGGATCACGGGGAACTTGACGGATCTTTCGAACTTGCCCGTATGCAACTCAGAAACACGCACATTTTTGTCGTCAAAACCGAATTTTTTGTCCAGACTGCCCTTGATGAGCAATTCGTGCGACGAAGGATGGTAATCGATCTTGAAAGACTTGGAACTTGCACCTGGAAGAGCCATGACCACGGCGTAGGCGTCGGCTTCGTCGTAGACGTTGACCTGAGGCGAGAATGGCGCATTGCGGCGTACTTGAGGCTTGGACACCTGAAGAGGTTCCGGAACAGGGCTGGGGGCCTCAGAACGGGCGGTGTCTTTTACTTCTTCTTCAGCCGGCACAGAAAGGTTGTCTTGGGCTTCCGCGTTGCTTTGAGAAGCGGTGGGTGCAGCGTTGTCTTCACCGCTGTTCTTTTCAATGGCACGTCTCACTTCTTCTTCGGCGGCACTGGCTTGGTCTGCAGCTGTTGGTGCTGTCCCTTCGCTAGGTTCTTCCGCGCCACTTGCACCGGCAAATGCCCTCAAAATTTCGGGCAGGAAACCAAAAGGTGGCTGCTGAGCGTCTAGTTGGGCTTGCTGCTGTGCTTCTTGCTGGGCGTTCAGTCCGTTCCAGTAGTAAGGAGCCTCACTTTCGTCTTCTTCGTAATAGCTGGGCCGGTAGTAAGACGTTTGAGGACTTTCCACGTAATAATACGGCGATTGGCCATATGTTTGACCGTATGTTTGGCCGTAAGGGCTTGCCATAGCTGCTCTGTGTCTTCCACTCCCATGATGACCATGATGGCTTCTTGGATGGGTACCTCTTCTCACGTCTGGCCTTTCACGTTGGTTTCTTACTGCTGCCTGGTTAGCCAAAGCGTCCAGGATGTCGTAAAGTGACAGGGAAGGTTGGTAAAAACTCATTATGGGATAATTTGAAGTTTGGTGGGATTTTAAGAACTGCTCTAGCGAATTGACAATTCAATGGTTCATAAGAAGGCTCCTAAAAGTACCAAATGGATATGGATATCTGGATACCTTTGCCCTTTATATACACTTTCCCTTTAAATTTGGAACTCCGTAGAACCTTCTATGATGACTGTTAAGTACATAGTGATATGGATGGAAACTGGTTTGGAAAGATGTGAACAACATCGAAACAGACAGAAAGATAGCGATGGAAAGAGTTTTCTCGATGAATCAGGAGCTGTCTCGAATTTTCGGGGTTATTTTCCAGAAGAGATACTCATTTGGCAACTTTCTAGCTAGAGTAGGTTGTCAAGTAACGTCCGCTGCCGTTGACTGATGTTTTGAAGAGGCATCCCAGGGTGAACCTCATCTATGGTAGTAAAAACATATGTAAAATGGCTTCGTTTTACCTTATATCAATTGTTTCTTGTCTCTTGGGTTAATTCTGACGCTGAAAACCCATTCAATCTATAATGTCACTAATTAATTAAATTGTTAAACTTGCCGATAGTGCAGTTTGGAAGTGAATAAAGCATTATTTAACCAATTGAGACAGCTTTTTGGCCATTATTATTTGCCACACGTATCATAAAATACTTCGAATTGCAGCATGGAACTTATTCTCGAGATACTCGAGTTATGACAAACAAGACAGCGTTCCACGAATGCGAATGTGGTGCCCAATTCTTTTTTTTTCAGCAAGCCACGTCATTGTTTAGAAACCTTGATGAAATTTTAAAACAGCCGCTGGTTTGAAAACAGTCTAAACACCGTTGTTGTTCTTGTGTCAGTCTCTGCATTGTGTTCAGGTCTCATATACAATTTTTGGACTTCATTATCATAGATCACTTTCTACTAGTGTGACATTATTTCTATTCTTCGCCAATAAGGACTAATCCACCTACAGTTCCATGCAACATGCTCTCCATTTCCAGCTTTTCACTCTCAAAATTTGTCATATTAAAGGCATTTAACCTCAATTCTGTGTCTCTCTATCTAAATTACAATAATCTTACACCAAAAACGCTTCCCGCCTTGTGGCGACCAGCACCGGAAACGCTGTTACCGCGACTCCTTTTTTCAGACAACATCATCCCAAGTTCTACCTTGAACAGATTTTAGTTCGTCTTGAGTCATAACTTTGCCGTTAGTGAAATATCCAGCATTGATTTTAGCATCAATTTCGACACGGGAATCGGGGGGAACCAACTCGTCTGGGATGGGAACTCTCTCTAGAATAGGAATTCCTTGCTCGACAATAGCGTCATGCTTCATATTGGACATGGATAGCATGCGGTCAATTTTGGAAATTCCGAGCCATTTGAGAATATCTGGCATCAGCTGTTGGAAACGCATGTCGCGTACACCGGCAATACACTCTGTTCTGTGGAAATACTCGTCTGCAGTGTCACCACCTCTTTTGCGTGCGTTGTAAACCAGATACTTGGTGACTTCGCCAAGAGCTCTGCCCTCCTTACGGAAGTAAATGACAACACCGGAACCTCCGTTTTGAGCTTGTTTCACGGCTTCTTCAATGCCAAAGATCAGGTATGGACGACAAGTACAAATGTCAGATCCAAACACGTCCGAGCCGTTACACTCGTCGTGGACCCGGAGGGCAACTTTCTTGTTGGGATCCGACACGAACGCTGGGTCGCCAAAAATGTATACCGTTAATCCCCCCACTGGTGGCACAAACACTTTGATATCGGGTCTGGTGATGAGTTCTGGATACATTCCATTGGTGTCTTGGAATAAAGCCTTTCTGAGCTCTTGCTCAGTCACACCAAACCGTTCCGCTACGCCGGGCAAATACCAAACGGGTTCGACGGCAACTTTGGATACTGCCACATCGCCGTTTTGGTTAAGAACAATGGTGCCATCTACTTGGAGCCGTTTGTTGGCCACCGCTTCTTTGAGCTCAAATAATTGCATGGTTGCTTTGGTAACCGAAATTGAGGGCCTGATTTCCACGTTTTCAGACTTGGCGGTTTCATCGAACAGAAAAGGCGTGAGATGGCCCAATGGGTCCATTGCCACGATATCCTTGTTGTTGTACCAAGACTTCTGCTCGGGAATAGAGAACGCGGGCTGGGAATTCGTGTAGTCGGCAACGTGGTTGGGGTCTAGCTGCTTAGATGCTACAGCAAGTGCGTGGTACACGCAGTAGGGACCTGAATGCGCACCAATTGCATTGTGTTTGGCCAGTCCGTCGTGGTAGCGCGAGCAAACGACTGGACCACGAACATCCGGCGCTGCAGCTCCCCATTCAAGACCTAAAAGTTTGGAATCTTCAGGATACGTAGTTAACGCAATCTCGTCGTCCAAAACGATCACCACATCGGTGGTCACGTGTGGCAATTTCTTAGGGTCGCTTTTGACGGAGGGGGTTTCCGGTTGAGTGACTGGGAGTAGCGAGACTGGTGCCATCTTTAATTCTCTTCGATTTTGTTTTAGTCTAGGTAATCACTTCTGTGCTCAGACAAAATGGGAATTCAGGGCTGAAATGGATGAGAATTCTCGGATTGGCCTTTACCTTTGATTTTGTTGGTAATTTAAGCGCGCGCGTTTGTGTATTAACAAATGTGAGTTAGGAACTTGTTGTTTTAACACCTGTGTAATACGTTACAATGGATACTTTGTGATTAAAATGATATGGAAACGGACCAGTCTTATGTTGTTGAAGTTCATCTTATCCCTTATATATAGTGTTCTGGCAGTGTATGTGTTCGAGAGATGACCCCTCGTGGTGTTTACCTTTTTGCAACTCTTGAATATCTCCGGCGGTGTTATTTTTAGGGGAGTCAACGTGGGAGGAAATAAACGCCAAGGCAGTATCAAACCAAAGTTAAAGGAGGATATCTCCAGTACAAAGCCGTCGGAAAGACAGATGTTGAATCTGGTCGCTCTATACGGTCGCTCTGCACGGAAGGGAGTTTGTTAAAAGATGAGATTCGATAAAATAACTCCGTCGGCTTTGGCGGAAATATGGGCAGGCATGATTTCGATAGCTATTTGATTAACTTATGTATTGTTAGATGCGTAAGATATGTCCAAACCACAGCTCGAACTAAAACAGGTTGTTAAGATAGGATACGGAAAACAAGAAGGTAGCTAGAACACCTTTTTGAGAGAGTTGGTCGAAGTGGAACAAGACAGTTTTGGAGAAGTGATTCATGGAGGCTGGTACACGAATATTTGATCAAAGGGAAAGAATTCTGGTCACGTGACTGGAAAAGCACGTGATGAGATAAATTAGTTTTTGTGGAAAAGTAAACAGAAGCTCACATACGTGGGGGTGTGCTTGTGATTATATGGACGGGTTGTCATCGAGTTTGTGTGAATTTCAGTTTTATATTTTGAGGAACGTAAGCTTCGTTTTTTTGGAGGTTTTGATGTTTTGGTTTAGACCGGGGCCTGTAGGTAAGTTAGTGTTAAAGATGTTTAATGAGGCAGGCGTAATTAATTACTGAGAAAAGTGGTAAATGTCGCTTCACCCGTAAAAAACTTGAAATTCAATATTCCTTGAAATATTGTCAGAAATGCAACGACACGAAAATAAGAATGGAGCAGTGTAAAGCCTGGTAGGACCTGACGAAAGTAGTGCCCGTTACCGATTGGCATAATACTAAGGCCAAATGCTGCCAAGGCCATTTGGCGTTGCGCGGCTCCTTAGACCGACCTGCCACTATCACATAAAGAAACCCAATTTTATCATTTAATATTGACACGGCGCAAACAGAGCACTCACAGAGGAAAGGCATTTCATGGCTGATCTGTGCGTGTATGATATATCTCTGGACGGCGTCTCCTGCGTACTCAATCCATCTGGCCTAGAACTAGGTGGTCAATTTTTTTTCCTGGGCAGAAATGAACGAGTGGCAAACAGCCATGAATCCATACAAAAAAACTCTCCACGCCATAGCCCAATCATCTTCCGCCGCTTCGTCCACCAACCACTACAGTTTCCCATTCATCGGCAAGAATAATCATTCTAATCACTTTGTACTAATGTGTCGTGGGATCTATGTCGAGACAGTATCGTCAAGTCTTCACGTCTTCACGCATTGGACGCTACAAACAGAAGCCTAAGAACATTCCCGACCATTATAAAAAACGCCCCAATCACTCTCATTTCTTGACATTACAATGAATTACGAAACCAAGACATTATGACACGAAAATATCCCCAAACTTCTTCAATTTTACTCGTTGATCGAAAAAAAAGCGTCACCCATGGGCTTTTAAACTACATGAACAACGTGCATTCTTCCAAATCTCCTGTGTCGTGCTATCGATCTGATCTTAGAACCCGTCACATGATCAAGATCAGGGCTTGCATAGTGAAAAGGCCTCTTTTATATACAGGATTAAAGAAATACATATATATATATATTATATTTTTCAAGTCAACTATCAAGTTCTCGGATTTCCCCTATGTTCACCAAGCAAGCTGCACTCCTGCAATCCAGCAAAACGTCGAAAGACCGGCTTTTTTGCTTGAGTACTACTTAAACTTCGCTACTAATGCCTCAAAGCGAATCTAGCCAAATTCCAGCGGAGTCAGCGGGCGAAGAAACGGCCTCTGTGGCCTCATTATCTTTCCAGCAGACCACATCGGCCACGCCAGAAAGTCCAACCAGAAACAACGGTGGTGCAAATGGAACACATGCCAGAAAACTGTCAACAACATCGTCGGTGGGCCAGAACAATCTGCGGTCCACTGTCGGGCTCGTAAAGTCCACTTTCGAGACTATATTGCAACAGAAAGACATGAAAAAACGCGGGGATGTGCAAAAGTCGATTGAACGAAGCCTCAAAGCGCTTGACGAAAGCATGGCAAGCACCAACAACGACCCAAAGTTTCTCAACTCAATCGTGATTTTCGAGCCACTCAGGCTGTGCTGCAGGACCAAATCGACACACATCATGCTCAGCGCACTCGACTGTCTCTCCAAGCTTTTCTCATTCCAGGCACTGGATGGCAACACTATGGTGAATCCACCAAACTCAATGGCTGCTAACGATCAAAGTGACGCTGTGAACTCCGGTATTACTCCACCTCCCAAACAGCGCCTCATAGACGCAGCCATCGACACTGTTACGGACTGCTTTGAAGGTGAAGGCACAGACCCTAGAGTAGAGCTCCAAGTTTTGCGAGCACTTGCTAGCTGCATTTTGACAGACGCGTCTGTCACGATATGCCATGGTCAGCCTCTGCTCAAAGCTATTCGCCAGATATACAACATTTTCATCTACTCGCTAAACTCTTCGAATCAAGGCATTGCACAGGCCACTCTGACTCAAATAGTCAACTTAGTTTTCGACAAAGTAGGCCGTGGTTTGACCTCTAGGCCTTCTCTCGACAATTCAGCTTCTCGAGCCACTCTACCTGCTGTCGCTTCCGAAACGTCCATCCGGCCTTTGACGTTGCAAAACCTTGAAAATTTGAATGCGGAGCAAGAGAGAATTGTCGACGAAGAATCAGATGAGCTTGAGGACGAGAGGGCATTGCTCATCAAAGATGCTTTCTTGGTGTTCAGGGCAATGACCAAAATATCTGCAAAACCACTAGAGGATAATACTGACATGAGGTCCCACGCCGTGAGGTCCAAATTACTATCGTTGCATATTATTCACTCGATTATACGAGACCACATTGATGTTTTTCTATCCCAAGATATCATTTTACCAGGCAAAGACCAAACATCCTTGGTTAATTCCATCAAGCAATATTTATGCCTTTTGCTTTCACGTAACGCCGCATCGCCCGTTGCCCCAGTCTTTGAAGTGACATTGGAAATTATGTGGTTAATGATTTCAAACTTGAGGTCAGAGTTCAAAAGGGAAATACCTGTATTTTTAACTGAGATCTATTTTCCCATTTCAGACCTCAAGTCTTCTACTCCCCATCAGAAAAGGTATTTTCTAAGTGTTATCCAGCGCATTTGTAATGACCCGAGAACACTGATTGAATTCTACCTCAATTACGACTGCGATACCCATCTACCCAACGTTGTTGAGATAATAGTTGACTATCTTACGAGAATGGCTTTAACGAGAATAGAGATTACTCCTTCGCAAAGAGCGTATTACGACGAACAGCGTTCGAAGCCTTTAGCTACTTACAACCTGGCTCAACTGCCGCTACTATCAACTTCGAATTTATCTTCCTCGAATGCTTCAGACAACCTGAACTTTCCCGTTGAGTTTGCGCTTAAAATGAAATCGCTGAGTTGCATGGTTGCTGTGCTGAGATCTTTGAGCTCTTGGGCCCACAAGGCTTTGAAACCAAGCGGCTCAGGCGCGAACTTCGCACATGCGAGGACTAGGTCCACGTCTACTTTCGCAGCAGCAAACGGAAAGAAAACTTTATCTGCTGATAGTTCGTCTACCGACGTTAACGGCGAGGCAAACGGGAACTCAAGATCTGATTCGATTGATCAGTATAAAACGGACGCTGCTCAAGATGGTGATGATCCCGCGCAATTTGAAAACTTGAAACTTCGCAAAACAGAACTACAAGATTGCATCAACGTTTTCAACTATAAACCGAAAAGGGGCCTCAAAGAACTAATAGAGCGGGGTTTCATTTCCGATGACAGTCCTTCATCCATTGCCGAGTGGCTGCTAGACACTGAAGGGCTCGACTTGGCTGCTGTTGGGGATTACCTTGGCGAGGGTGACGATAAAAATATTGCTGTCATGCACTCCTTCGTTGACAAATTTGACTTTAAGTCTTTATCGCTTGTGGATGCCTTACGAATTTTCCTCCAGAAGTTTAGGCTTCCTGGAGAAGGTCAGAAAATTGATCGTTTCATGCTAAAATTTGCCGAGAGGTTCGTGGAACAGAATCCGGGACAGTTTGCAAAAGCAGACACCGCATACGTCTTATCATATTCTATCATAATGTTGAACACGGATTTGCATTCCTCTCAAATCAAAAACAAAATGACTCTACAGGAGTTTATAGAGAATAACGCCGGGATTGATAATGGAAACGATATTGCAGAAGATTACATGGTCAAGCTTTTCCATGAAATTGCAGAGAACGAAATCAAATTGCAATCAGAGCAGCACCAGGCCATGCTCTCGAGTGATGTGAGCACGACTCAGCAGCAACCATCCGCATTTAGCTTTTTCAGTAGTCGCGACCTGAACCGAGAAACATACATGCAAGTTTCCAAGGAGATCTCGTCGAAGACAGAGTTGGTCTTCCGGAACTTACCCAAAACCAAAGGTAACGAAAGCGTTGTTTATCACGCCGCCTCTCACATAGAACATGTGAAATCAGTTTTTGACACTTTATGGATGTCTTTCTTAGCTGCATTAACACCTCCTTTCAAGGAATATGATGATCAAGCATCAACAGATATGTGTCTGGACGGCATCAAGCTATCAATCAAGATATCCGCGACATTCGGAAACGACTATGCCAGAGCTTCGTTTGTGGGAGCGCTTGTTCAATTTGCCAATCTTCAAAATTTGCAGGAACTCAAGATCAAAAATATTAACGCCATCATCGTTCTTCTTGAGCTTTCGTTGACAGAGGGAAATTTCCTCAAGGATTCTTGGAAAGACGTTTTATTTCTTGTTTCGCAGGTGGAGAGGTTACAGCTTATTTCAAAGGGTATCGATGGCCAATTCCTTCCCGACGTGAAACAAGCGAGGTTGGCAAATAACCGGAGTTCATTCGACTCCAATAGATCAGCATCGATGGGGTTCTTCGAGCGATGGACTAAGAAATATACGCCCATTGAACTTGCGCAAGAAAAACATCATAATCAGATTTTGTCTCCCGAAATCTCGAAGCATATATCCTCAAGTCAGCTTGTTCTTCTAATTGACCGAATCTTTACCAATAGCTCGAGCTTAACGGGCAGTGCTATTGTCGATTTCATCAAGGCCCTTACGCAGGTTTCATTTGAGGAAATAGACTCCTCTCACAACGCAGCTAGCCCTAGAATGTTTTCTCTACAAAAAATGGTGGACGTTTCATACTACAATATGGGCCGTATTAGAGTAGAGTGGACACCAATTTGGGCTGTAATGGGAGATGCTTTCAACAAGATCGTGACGAATTCTAATCTGGCCGTAGTATTTTTTGCGATAGATTCTCTGCGCCAGTTGTCAATGAGGTTTCTGGATATCGAAGAATTGTCGGGCTTTGAATTTCAATTGGATTTTCTAAAGCCTTTCAAATACGCGACTTACAATACTTTGAACCCGGAGGTTCAAGAAATGTGCATCGAGTGCTTCAAAAACTTCATTCTCACGAAGTCATCCAAAATTAAGTCTGGATGGAAGCCTATTCTCGAGTCTCTACAATTTACCGCCAAATCATCTCACGAAACGATCGTTGTTAAAACGTATCAATTGGTGTCGAATGATATTGTCAAATACCATTTCGAAAGTGTTTTTGCACAAGATAACGCTTTTACCGACTTGGTCGATGTACTCAGAGAGATCACTAAAAGTCAAAAATTCCAGAAGTTGTCCTTACATTCTTTGGAAGTTTTGAAGGGTATTAATGAAAAGGTCGCTGATCTTTGTTTCACGGAAGAGGCGTCAAAAAATTTACTGCACGGGAAGGACCTTTTCCACGACGTTTGGTTTCCTGTCTTGTTTTGTTTCAACGACACCATAATGACTGCAGAAGATTTGGAAGTACGGTCGAGAGCGTTGAACTATATGTTTGATGCTTTAGTGGCCTATGGTGGTAAATTTAGCGACGAGTTCTGGACAAGCATTTGTACTAAGCTTCTGTTTCCCATATTCGGCGCATTGTCCAAACATTGGGAGATCAATCAGTTCAATAGCCATGATGACTTATCGGTCTGGTTTTCAACGACTCTGATTCAGGCATTGAGAAATATGGTAGCTCTATTCACGCACTACTTTGACAGTTTGAATGATATGCTGGATGGCTTTTTGGGGCTTCTAGTTTCCTGTATCTGTCAAGAAAACGATACAATTGCGAGAATAGGAAGGTCATGTCTACAACACCTCATCATCCAGAATTCGAGCAAATTTAGCGACGTGCACTGGGACCAAATAACTGCTGCTTTTGGAAGCCTTTTTGAGTTGACTACAGCTAATGAATTGTTTGACCTAGATCCTTTGCATCAAGGTAGAAGACCCTCGCATAGCAACACACAAGCAGATGGCGAGATATCTGTTGAGGAAGAAATTGCAAGAGCGCACCAAGAAGAGCATGGGGAAGATGTGGGTAATGCAGACACAGAGGTTGAAAAGCCCACAAAGCGTTTGGTTCAGACCAAAAGCAGCGAGAATTTGAAACGAACCATTTCCACAAAAAATGCTATCGTTGTTAAGTGTGTTCTACAGCTTCTGATGATCGAATCTCTAAGCGAACTATTCGAGGACGAGGGTTTTTCCAGTAACATTCCTTATAAAGAGGCCATCAAAATGACAACAATGCTTGAAAAGACTTATGCCTTTGCGCGCGATTTTAACGATGACTTTGGCTTGAGATCGCGTATTTTAAGTGCTCGTCTTGTTGACAGAATTCCTAACCTTGTGAGGCAAGAAACCAGTGCGTCTGCAGTGCTGATAAACATCATGTTCAAGCTTCTCTTGAACAGCGATAGACAGTCAGAGAGCGAGAGAAAGCAACTGTCCGAAAGGCTGGTCTCCATCTCGGTGGGCATTATCCAAAAGTACGTGAAGCTTGATGACAGGACTATGGAACATATAATAGTGTCGTGGCGTCCTGTCGTGGTCGAGATTCTTCAGGGATATGTGGAGTTTGATGATAAAGACTTTAAGGAAAACTCTGCCGTTATGTTCGACCTTGCACTTCAAATCCTCGACAAGAGTTTATCGGCCGATCTAAGACTTGCTCTCAAGGATTTTTTGACCAGGTTCGGTCAAACATACCTCTAGAGTGGTCGTTGATGTAAAGATGTAGAAAAGATTGTTATAGATTTAATTTAGTTTGGTGAGGTGTGCCATTTAGAAAGACTAAATTGTCGTGGTAATTGTGGTGATGGTGACAGTGACAGTGACGGTGTTGGCATTTTTTTCTACTTCGTAGCGCGTGAAAAAAATGTAGCATCGGGCTCTGCCAAGCGTGCAATCTTTTGGAGATGCCCAGCAGGCCTCATGCCTCTTTCAAGTGTAAATGTGAGCTTTTGTCAATTAGAAAGCTCGAGCACGATGGAGAATTTCCAAGTCTTGAGTGAACTTGTTCAAACGATTTGGCAATGCAACTTGCATCGTTGATGACATCTGGTTTTGTAAATGTAGTTTTCTACTTCTTTAAACATTAGCTAACGTCTGTGTACACTACATCATCTAGTCAGAATCCCTCCAAAGATTGTTTTCGGATTCGGGGAAGCCTGAGAGTCCGAATAAGAGAAGTTTACATTCCTATTAAGTTTGGTTCGACATTTTGGTTATTGTCGAACGTAAAGATACCATTCCACACAGAAGTTCCACTTTTTGATACATTAGTGAGTTAACTTTATTTGGTTTAGTATGTCTTGTATAAAACAAGCACAAGATATTAACTATTCGCTTTTACTGACATTTCTTAGTTCTACAAGCACATTGAAAATTGAGCTACGGTGAGAATCCAAAGGCCAGTTAGTTACACGGTTGGTGGCAATTTGGACAATCGCTAAAACCAAACACTCTCGAGAAGCCAAAAACTGACCAGATTGAACAGCCGCCCTTACCAAAAACTATGATAATAAGAGAAAACATCTAGCTTTACTGCCTCGAACATGTTTTGAGAGAGTGGCTTGAAACATTCCGTGTTGCAACGGTTTCTAATGACTGCTTTTAAGCTAACAAGTTTGTGTGAGCGTCATATCCAGATATATTTTGATGATGCGTTCGTAATTGAAACCGCTACCGAAATCGAAATTGAGGTTTTGAATAGCTAAACGTGTTGCCATGGACTTTGCCGCCGTATAACTATTCGATCAATGTTCCGCGGCTATCGACGTGACTTTCGCGTCAATTTTCCAAAAGGTCCTACCAAATGCTAAAAACAAACCAAGCAACATAAGACAAGTCGAATACGAACAAATTCAAAAATCTACTTACCATGGAATAACCTACAATATCCCAGAATTCTACACTACTATTCTAGCCACTGGGCTACAATTCACTGTCACCAGCGTTTTTCCTCAAAAAGACAAACTGGACAGTAGAAAATCTGGTAATAGAGAAAACAAAACACGCCGTGATGGTTTCTCACCAAAAAAATTCACAAGATGGAAAACACTGGAGACCAGCTGGCTTTCTCAACTTTACAAATCTTTCAAATTGTTTCACCAGAGCTGTCGCTCTGGCTTGACGAAACTTCTACGCCAGTACGAAAAACATCATCAAATTTTTATGACTATTAAGAATTTTGACGATGACCTGAGATGAGCTGAAAGAAGTGAAATTAGAAAGATACTTTTCTTCTAGTTGAATCAGTATAAAGCGCACTGCTTTGATTGCAAAGAGAACTCTTTCGAGACATTGCTTCAAGCTTATCTACTCGAGCTTTGTGTCCGTGAAACAAACTCTTAGACCGTCAGTGAAATAGCTTTTGACAAAAAATGTCGTCTTTCGGTCGTTTCTTCACCGTTACCACTTACGGTGAGTCGCACTGCAAGTCTGTGGGGTGCATTGTGGATGGTGTTCCTCCAGGAATGAGCCTCACAGAGGACGATATCCAGCCGCAATTGAGCAGAAGAAGACCAGGCCAGTCCAAGCTGTCAACGCCTAGAAACGAAAAAGACAAAGTCATGATCCAGTCCGGAACGGAGTTCGGCAAAACGCTGGGAACCCCCATTGGTATGGTTGTGTTGAACGAGGACCAAAGACCTCACGACTACAACGAAATGGACTTGTACCCAAGACCATCGCACGCGGATTTCACCTACCTGGAAAAGTACGGCGTGAAGTCATCTTCCGGTGGTGGCCGCTCTTCTGCTAGAGAAACCATCGGCCGTGTTGCTGCCGGTGCCATTGCTGAGAAATTTTTGAAACAGGTGTCGAATGTTGAAATTGTTGCGTTCGTGACTCAAATCGGCGCCATTAAGATGAACCGCGACCCCTTGGATAGCAAATTTCAGCACATTTTGAACACCATCACCAGAGAAAAAGTCGACAGCATGGGTCCGGTGAGGTGTCCTGACAACACTGTCGCTGAAGACATGGTCCACGAGATCGAAAAATACAGAGGCAACAAAGACTCTATTGGCGGTGTGGTGACTTGTGTTATAAGAAATCTACCAGTGGGATTGGGAGAGCCATGTTTCGACAAATTGGAGGCTTTGCTCGCCCATGCCATGCTTTCTATTCCAGCCTCAAAGGGTTTCGAGATCGGTTCTGGTTTCGAGGGTGTGCAACTGCCCGGCTCCAAACATAACGACCCATTCTACTTCGACGAAGACACCAAGAAATTGCGTACCAAAACCAACAATTCTGGTGGTACCCAAGGTGGGATTTCCAACGGTGAGAACATCTACTTCTCGGTACCTTTCAAGTCTGCTGCTACAATTTCCCAAGAGCAAAGCACAGCAACCTACAACGGTGAAGACGGTGTGCTGGCCGCTAAGGGTAGACACGACCCCTCTGTTACGCCCAGAGCCGTCCCCATTGTCGAGGCTATGGCTGCTCTAGTGCTCGCTGATGCGTTGTTGCTCCAGAAGGCTAGAGAGTTTGGAATGAAGATTGTGAAATGATCGGACCCAAGAGAGAGAGAGAAAGTGAGTGAGAGAGTGAGAATGAGAAGGAGAGAGAGCGTTTATCCAGCAATACAATGGGTGCTCGACCAATTCGCGAGTTCGAGAATTCCTTGACGTCTTGTTCTTGATGCTCACCATAAAGACCTGCTTATATAATTCGAATTTCAAAAGTCACGAGATAGATCATTATTAACGCGACGAAAATTACTGTTTACATCACATGATTAATGTTTTGATCTCTTTAAAGAAAAAAGAGCTGGACTATAAAATGAAAGATATCGCTTGAATTGCTCAGACTTAGCGCGCTCCTACTCCTTTCGAAGAGGTCCATGCATCAACCAAGGACGTTTGAGCTCTCACCTAATTGCATTTCGACCAGAAAGCTCTTTCCTTTCGCTTCACGGTCCTTTTTTTCCCGCATATAACGGCCAAATATTGGTCGAATAGATCTGATACACATTTTTAATACCTAATCTTCATTCGCATTCCTTCCCACTGGTTTTGTGGTTGTAACGTCTCGACTAAGAATTTGAGACCGATCGACATCTTCCAATTGACTGCCGCGCAATCGTTGGGTTGGATTTTCAACTGTTTCCTTCCTCATAAATCTGCATGTCATTGCCTGCCGCACTCCATCCGCCATTTAAGGTCAAAGCGCACTATTCGTGGTCTGGAGAGGCTCGTGGTGACTTAGGATTCCTCGAAAATGATATCATACAGGTAACAAAAATAAAGGGCGACTGGTTTTTCGGTACATTGCTAAGAAACTCTAGAAAATACGGCTATTTTCCGAATAATTTCGTCACCGTCATTGAAGAAAAGTACAACGAGTTCAAGTCTTCACCGACTCCACCACAAAGTACAGATTCCTCATCGTCTTCGTTGAATCAGCTGCGTCAAACCCTGCAAACTCCAAGTCGACATTCAGAGACAACGCCTTCTACTTCCGTACGCAGGGAAAAAAAAAGTTCCCCCACGTCTTACGCACATTCTAAAAGCCGTTCATACAGACATTCACATACAGATCGTTTGCCGCAATCGTATTCCACTTCACATTTGGTGTCAAAACATCATGCCACTCCACCTACAGATCATATTAGAAGCCGCACGGATTACAGTAAGCGAGACTCAAATGCACAATTGTCTGCGAGAAGAAGTCATGATTTACCACCGTTACCGCCTGTCCCAAGGCTTAAAGAAAAATTGAGTTCGAAAACTTCGGTGCCGAAATCATTTTCTTCCAACGATCTGCCGGACACGGCTGCAGATGTAGGATTGGCCACAAGATTGTCCAATTACCGGGCTAGCGCAGACTTTTACGATGGACTAAGCCCCAGGGAGTCTCTAAGTGGCTCGTCGTCGAATGTATTCTCCCATTCTCAGTACATGGCCGATTCGACCGCTAGCAGTGCAGACAGTTTTGCTTTGATGAGTGATTTCAGTGCAACAAGTGCAGGAAGTTTCGCAAGACATAGATTCGCAAAGTCGTTTAGTGATTCGGTGCAACGGTCGCATTTAGTCGCTGAAGAAGGACTAACCAGATCCAAGAATGCTTCCACTAGCCCGAGAAAGCTTAATAACATTCTCAAAAAGTTCGTTTCCAAAGGTGGAGAGGGTTCTTCACCAAGCTCGCCGACGGAGGCATTTCCAAAACTGCCAGATCTTGCTTCCTTACAACTTGACACATCACATAACGATGCACACGGCTGGGTTGAAGCAAAAGCTCATCTTCACAGAGCGCAGACTCTTAATTCGAAAGAACGTCACGAAAGGCAGATGCTTGCTCTTGAAGAGAATCGAGATCTCGTGCTGCACCCTCAAGAATACATTTTAGATGAGATCACTACTAATGAAGTCAGACACAGAAGACAGCCTGGTCTTGTTGATATAGAGTTGAACTGTATCGACAAGGAGTTCATTGCCGAGGCTATTAAAAACAAAGCTAAAAAAGGAGGTTCGTCATCGATTGAAAGTTTTGCTCGCCAGATCTTTACATCATCATACAAAAGTCAGATCGAAATGCTGTTCGCCATCTTTATCTTCTGCACCGAAACATTTGCTTTAATAGACGACCACGGTCAAACTGATTTTGGAAAGGAGCCCGTACACCTGAGTAAAGCGCTTCACAAAGCGTATTGTACTCCATATGAACTTACTTGGATTTTCAAACGAATGGCGAATGCGCTTGGCGTGGTCTGCGAAATCGTTATTGGTTTTTTGAAAACTCCAGGATCTGAAAATACACACTTCAAATACAATCATTGCTGGCTCCGCGTTTTGGCCGATGAAGAATGGAGAATGGTAGATGTTATTCTAGGAAATATGACGAACCCCATTTACGAATACATCAATAACTGTAAAGCTGATCACGCAGAAGCTTTTTATTTCATGATGCAACCGCTCCAAAGCATATACACACACGTTCCTAGACTGTACCAAGAACAGCATATCATTCCTATTGTAGATCAAACAATCGCATTAAGTCTGCCCGTGGTGTTTCCATCATTTTTCCACAACGAGCTTAAGCTTTACAAATTTAGCAATGGCCTAACCAATTTACAGGATAGTCAAATTTACGAGTGCACCGTTTCCATACCAAATGATGTCGAGCTGTTTTCGTCTGTTGTCGTCGAAGATTCATCCAAGCAGCAACATTACGAGAACATGAATCTTTCGCTTGTACAAATCAAGCATCGCAAAAAGGAAAGACTTGCAGTGGTCAAAGCCATTTTACCACCGGGGACGTCGCGGGGGGTGCTTCATATCCATTCTGGCATAAAAGGCACGCAGACCACTCTAGTAAACATTCATCCGCTCTCATTTATTATTCCGCTCGAGCATACGGGTACTTGCAAGCCCTATGAGTTTTTGACCCGTATTCCTGCCAAAGGTTTGCAGAAAGTTGACACGTACGTTAAAGTGCCGCAGAACAAGTATCTATTCGCTAAAAACGAATACAATTTCGAAGTCATACAGCACCCTTGCGATGGTGTAATATATGGCTCGCCAGGTTTCAGCAAATTGTCTAAACATGCGCTAGCAGTGCAAGCTCCATCAGGAAGAGTTCACTTGATGCGCAAGAGCGATCCTAATTTTGATTACGGGACTTGGGAAATATCGGTAGACGCGAAAGACATGGAACCTGGGACATGGACTGGTCTGGCCACATCAGATGCAGGTGCAGGTTGGTGTTGTTTTGCGGAGTGGAAATGCTTATAGAAAAAAAGCGTTCAGCAAAACAGAACAAACATTGAGACAGAAATGAATGGACACGTATCGACGCAGAACAGGCACACACAGGCCTGACCACATGAATTTTTGACGTCTGCATTGTCTTCGCAGTCATGTCGGTGTCTTTTGGTGTCTTTTGCTTCCTTTTTTTTGAGTGGGATTCTAATCCTTAAGAAATAAATTTGATCGCTGAATTTGTTCCAGACAGCTCGATGTCACCTATTCTAGAAGACCAAGCTAGGAAAGCCATAGAAGGTTGGCTGAACTCAGATGTCAGTTTTGTCGATGCTGTCGTCGAGTTTGAAAAGCTCATCACAATATACGAACTACATAATATTATGTTATTAGAATGGAGGTTACGTCGGAAATGATATCAGCTGCATTTATTGATTTTTGTCTAAACTTAGTTACACCATCGGCAAACTCAGCGTCAAACAGGAGCCTCCAATCGTCCATTGAAGAGCATTGAGGTCATAGTGGAGGCTTGCCAACGTTTGAATTCTATTTCTTAGTATTACAATCATGGAAATTGACGAAAGACGGGACTTCACAGAGCTCACAGAGCTTGCTACTGTCCTTAAAGATTTTAAGATCAGCGAATTGAACGACCCAGGCTCCAGGGATATATTCGATGTGGTTAAGGAATTCAGAGCTGTGGCAGGCGACAAAGCGCTACAGCTTGCTTTGGACGACATCGAGGAACAAAGTAGCACTTTTGTTAACTGGAATTTAGAGGCCAAATTATGGCATCTCATCGAGCTTTTGGTAAACTACAGAACTGCAGATTTAGACCTGGAAAAGGAAGATTCAGCTGCTACGATTTACCATAGAAGATGCATGGAAGATAACAGGTCTCTTTACGAGATATGGCTCATTATTGTTTGGATTCAAGCAAATGTCAAAGTTCCAGATCGACCAGACGATTTAGGATCCAGCAAATGGTCAAACTCCTTCATAGCGGGCGATCTTAAGAGCTGTGATTCAGATTTTCCTCTCAGGGACACAAACTGTATGCTAGACTCCCGGGATAAGCAGTCAGATCATAGCTTTTTCAGATATGCGTACGAATTGATAGTGGCAGGGAAAATGGATGAGGCTAGGAAAGAATGCGAATACACCGACAATTTTACGCTAGCATTGATATTATGTGGTGTAGACAATGAAGCTGAATCAGATGTCGATAACCCAGAGACTGCTGAGCTTTATCGACAGAAAACCTTGTGGCGTAGAACCGTTTACTCTTTGTCACTGAATGAGGATTTGGACGTCTACGAAAGAGCCATCTATTCTTACCTATGTGGTGAAGCTGGTCAGACGGCAGAAAATCTCAAAATGACATGGGACACAGAACTACTCCTTTACTTGAACCACTCATGGCAAACGGCTCTTGAGAATCAGTTGGTTAACGAAAATCTGGTCGACACAAAGGAAATGATACTTCCAATGGACGATCAGTACTTATCTTTACAATCCACACTGGATGTTGTATCCAAGAGGCATCCCAGTGATAGCGAGCATCCGCTCAGAGTGCTGATGGGGGCTGTAATGCTGGATAGAGTCCCCTCAGTAATCAAGTCTTCAGTTACAATGCTGATAGATGCCATTAAAGGCTTGGACCCGGTTAATGATATGGTAGAGGAACCTTATCTACTTCGTGTCGTAACGCACCTTGCGATTGTGATGGATGCGATTTATCCAGGCTCTATCGAAGAACAAGATAAATCCAGGTTGATAACCGCATATGTGACCGTTCTTTCATTCCATGAGCTTAACGAAAGTATACCAATCTACATCAGCTTCTTGAAGGAGCCCGAGGCTCTCGAGGCGTACTCATTCTTCTTGTCCAACCTGACAGAGGCTAACGCTCGTAAGAAGCAGCTGGAACTGTGCCGTTTATTGCATTTGCCTGTCGGTAATATATTGAGGCGTACGGCCCAAAGAGTATTTGAAGATACAGAGAACTCTTACGGCCCTGGTGCAAGAGTAGACGTATACTTACCTATCGATGCGACCGATAAAAGACTGATAGCCGCCGCGGAATGGCTTATCGAGGGTCACATTTCGGTGGATGCCCTAGACTCGTTAGTCGTTATTTCAAGAAGGTTCCTTCTAAACGGTAGGATCAACTCGTTGAAGTATCTCTACGAAAGACATGATTTGGACAATCTGATGAAAAACTACGAAATAGATACGATTAAGGACTCAGATAATGCAAACACCGCAATTATAGAGATCGAGCATTATCGCTGTTTGATTCAAGTTTTCAAGCGCTTCGAGCACTGGCAGAAAGTTTCTCAAGAGAAACAATCAAACACGAACCTAGCGAATCTCCTGACTTCGTTTCGCGATATCTCTAGCTATGTTCACAAAATCATCAAAACCTTTCTGGTGGACCTTTCAGAGACATCAGATTCTCAAGATCTAGAAACGTTTTTCGAAATACGAGCGTTATACACACCTTACATGGTCATCGAGCTTCATCGAGCTTTCGTTACTGCCTCCGAGTCTTTGAAGGTCGCCAGCTTCGTCACAGAGGCTCTCGCGTTGGCAAATGTTGTGGCAAATGAGACTGATCGCATCTACCTACTCTTCCAATCGTCTGGAAGACTGGAAGAATATTTACAGCTTATTGCCAAAACAGCGACAATGGTAAAACCATAGACAGTAAGTACATACCAGAAAAGGAGCATTTTCATTTCACAATGAATTCAAACTTGTTCAAGAGCATTAAATTACACACGATTTCTATTCTTAGTGTCCCAAGATCAAAGCCGCAGTGGTGGTTTAAGCATCCACTTCAACGAAGCCCTTTTCAGAAACGTAGATACCATCCAAAAATTTACGGATATCCTTGTTTCTGACACGGCAGATTTGCTGAATGTCAGCGGCGTTCTGAGAAACGTTCTCGATAGAGTTACCGGACAAAACGATCTCGTCCTTTTGAGTGGTAGAGAAGTCAATGCTGACACCTTCTCTGACTGGAACCAATCTCACTTGCTTGTCACCCAAGAAGTTTCTGATTTCAACGAATTTGGAACCGTCCTTGTCAACAACGTTGACGTTGATGGGAAAATGGGCATAGACGTATCTCATCTTGTACTTGAAACCCTTGGTGACACCAGTGACCATGTTGGCAACCAACGACTTGACAGTTCTCAAAGCAGCAACGTGCTTTCTGTCACCGTTGTGGACGGTGATCTTGACCTGTCTGTTGCTGACCTTGTCAAAAGTGACATCGATGTGCTTCAAGTTCTTGGTCAATTCACCTCTTGGACCAGCGACCTTGATCACTCTGGACTTGATGTTCACGGTGACACCCTCTGGGATGTCTAGAATCTGGTCAGTTTGGATGTACTTCATTTCTCAAAAGGCAGGTAACGGCTGGTGACTGAAAAAGTACCAAAGATCAAATGGGCTTAAGATGAAGGTTCAACTGAAATATTGTATAACCAGAACCCGTCAGTCTCCTGGTTGTGAGAGTTCGGTTACGGCAGCGCGGTCAGAGGGCATCGCCAGACGCCGTCGTCGATGCTCCAGCACGCTTGCTGGTTAGCTGGTAATTTTTCACTCACGTTTTGTTGCGTGGGTATATCCGAGTCACATGTCATATATGCACGTGATATAAAGGATATTCATTTTTTTGACTAATGCTGTAATATTCTTCTTTTCAGAATTTTTCCAGCAGGCGTTCGAATCTCGTTTTTAAAATCAAAACGTTTTAAAAACCCACACATCCCCTAAAGACAGTCACAACTCATGAAATTGGACTCTTCGTCCTGAGACTGTCAGTTTAGATAGAAGTGACTGAACCAAGCCTGAGGGAAAGAGGAAGAGAAAGAAAGATGTGCCAAATCTTTGTCCGATTGTGAGTGTAATAGGTATACTCTCTAGCCCTGATAACTGCATTTGTAGTTCGTATTAGACCAGTCTAAAATTTTTCTGACGAACCATGTCGACCTTATCGATAATGACACACACACACACCTTAATTTTTCAGAAACTGTCACTTCACTTTCGCGCAATCATATTTTCAAGTTTGCCAAATATCTGGTCCCGATGAATGGCCAGTGGGTCATCTACGTCGGTCGGAAAGAAATTGTGTCTTTTGAAATCGGTTTCGCGGTCGTCATTATCATTACTATTAACATTGTCATCATTTCCGGATTCTTCATCGTCCAGATCGAAGAAATTGGAGTCTTTCACTTGCAGCAATTGGGGGGTCTGCGAGTATCGTTCAAATAAGGCATCGGTCTCTTCATTCCCCAGGCTGGTCACCATATGATCGCGGACGGTTTCAGCTTTAAGCTCATCATCGGAGTCCTCCTCTCCGTTTGAATGTAAGCCTAATTCGACCTCACTCCCAAACAGCACAGATCTGTCGTCGTCTTCGTCTTCTGGGTAGTCGTTTTGATAAAACGCCTCCTCGTTGGAGTCCTGGTCATCTGAAAAAACATCTCGCTTGTCATCTTCGTCTTCCTCCGGCAAAAGGTCGCCAGAATCCTCCACAATCTTGATGTAACCCACCGTGCTTGGGTCAAACACGAATTCATCTTCGGGAGCCGCTTCTTTGTAATAGATATCGTAAACATATGAAAGTGACGGCAGAGTCTCTGGTTTTGGCTGGTGAACGGATCTTCTGCGATTCGATCTCTTCAGTTTACCAGGTTCCGCATTCTGCGTGGGTGCCAGACTCAAATAGTCATTGAGCATCTCAGAGATCTCCGCAGGCAATTGAGGTTCTTCCCGTTTGCGTTTCCTCTGTTCCAAGATAAAGTGTCTTGCATCTCCGCCCTCTGAAAGCTTCAGTAAAGGTGTGTCCAACTCTTCAATCTGTCCATCCGCGTCAGACTCTACAGTCTTGGCCAATCTGAACACAAATTTCCCTCGTTTGACAGTGCCACTCTCTTGAAGTACTACCGTGTATCAAATGTTAGTTCACTATGGCTTGCAATGACTTACATGCTAACTATCATTTAACAAAAACAACAACAAAAACATACGCAACGCTTGCACTGAATCATCTTCCCTCTTCCGTTTGACTCTTATGATGCCAGGAGCATCAGATATACCCATCCCAGTGAAATGCCTATTTCTTTGTGAGCTTGTAGATGTCAAGTCTTCTTTCAAGATGAGCAAATGCTAGAAATTAAACATCATTATTCAGTTTAAGACATGAATAACCGTCGTTACCTCAAGGAATCCAAAGAATAAAACAATTCTAATGAAAATATCTACTAACTCCTGAGATGGTAACCATGCACCGTATGAGTAACTTTTTGCCCGGCCGTGGCTTAAAGTTTCTAGTTTATCGCTCCCATCGCCCTATATATATATATCTTTTCCTTGTCAGAGTAAACAATCGAAGGTAAGGAGCCACAAGACTTAAAACCAGTTCTCTGTTTGTCCAACAAATGACTTGTGATTCCCTTAAAACAACAGCAGTTGTCTCAGCCGTGTGAAACGTTTCCTTGTTGCTCCTTGACATCTTTCCAGATTTTAAGGTTCTTTTCGGCATGCGCTTTCAAATACCGGGAATAGTTTTTCAATATCTCTGACACCTCGCTGTTTCGACTTGTACAGAACTTCGGAAGCTCGAAGTTCCTTATCGTCGTAGAAATAGTCTCGAGATCCCGCTCGCTTACTTCTAGTGACTCCGAAAGTTGAGCAATATCTTTCTCTAAATTTTCGATGGCCGTTGCAGGGTCACTTTCCTGATAGTTCACCGTGTCTTTGACCATGGTGGCCAACTTGTTGATTTTATTCATAAATTTACCGCTGTAGGAGCGGGCTTCTGGATGCTTCAGGTTAACGTGACCGCTGCCTGCCATTTGTTGTTCCACAAGAGCATCGATCTTCTTAGCTTCGGTTTCTTTCTCTTGCAGCTTTTTCAATTGTGCCTTCCTATACAGCAACGTTCTGCTCACAATGCTTTTTTGCATACTCTTTAGTTTGCGATACCGCAGTAGCTCCTGTGCTGCCCCAGCCATGTGCACGGCTTCGCTTAGTGGCTCGTTGATGTTATAATAGAGTTTTCCAACAATTGATTCTAGCTCTAATGAGGACTCGTCAAAAGCGTTGCTCAGATGTGAAAGCTGCTCCACCAGCTCGGCTCCACGCTTCTGATCGTTGGAAAAGGCAGCGAAGGCTTCGCTTAGCTCTTTCATATCTTGACGCATAGCGTACAAATTTTTTGTGATTCTCTTGTTGTATTTGTAAAATCCATTTTCCATAATGTGTTCATAGCGGCGATATTCTTGTTCTATCTTTGTAAACCCATCCTCGGTCTCGTCGGGTGTCGAATTGGCAAGAATTTCTTTGTTCAACAACAGCTGCGTTGAAGACGAAGGAATCGGTAAAAATGCACGTGCCCTTGTGGTGTTCGTTGGGTCTAGCGGGTTACAGAGAAGAACGCTTTTAGGTAGCGACGATATTGTTGCAGAGCTGGTAATGACATCGTTCCAATTAGAATTATTGGGATCCAAGAAGTCTGAAACTATCGAGGTTTTCGTAATCTCTTCATTTCTCAGGAGCCGATTCAAAAAACTGGTCAGCATTCTTATGCGATGTCTTATGAGCTTTTCGTCGTTTGTGTTTACTGCGCCGTTAATGACTGAAAGGGACAGATCAACCGAGCCTGCGGTTTCAGAGGGCAACAAGTAGCTGGATTTAGACCCTGCCATGGCCCGCCCAAAACTGGTAATTGACTGTTTCTCTGGAATAGGTGGGATCAAGGTCATGGGAAAAAGCTTAATAAGAATCTTGCGTAGACTCTCAAAATCGCTGTACCGCCGACGGACCATGGACTCACCATGCTTGATCGTATACGCGATGTACGTGCGTCCTTGGCCTTCCGAAGCCTTGGATGCCTCCAAAATGTACACTTCGTCCCCATGGCGACGTGGATCGCGTTGGTCGTTATCCGATGCTGCAGGGCTCATATCAATGCTTCCGGAGCTACTGCTGCGAGTCCCACGTCCCAAAACCATTGGTGGGCCATCGTCATCGTCTTCGAATGCTTTGTTAGGGTTCTGCAAGACCCGTTTTGGATCCCTAAAACCCTTTCCGTTTGTCTCAATTCTGCGCGTTTCTTGGCCCGAGAACGGATTGTCTTGCTCAAAGATCTCCGTGTGAACCATGCTGGCTGTTTGTGCATCGTTTTCTAGCTGTTTAGGCCCTTCAATAACCGCAGTTTCGCTGTTTTCCGTCTCAGTCTCTCCCAAAACGCGTTTCACGTCTACTAAAACGCTCGACTCATTTGCCCCATTTTCAAACTCGTTTTGATCGCGGGAATCCTCAATAGACCCCATCTTATCCATAGCTACACTTTAGACCACCCGTGTGGTCTTAGTATGCGACGCTTGGTAACAGATGCTGTTGATGGTGTCTTTTACTTGTCTAGGGGATTGTAGATATATATACTCAAGTTTGAGGAAATGGTTTCTTAGTATAAAGTGACCTGTTTTATTGGAAGTATTCAATTACCAACATGATTATCATGTTGATGCGATGAGCTAGAAAGAGATCACGAAAAAACGAGGAACTTGACGACCAGGAAGCTTTTTGCATGCAATAAGAAGGCAATTTTTGAAAATGGGCATATCAGATTCGGTGGGTGCCTTTTTCCCGGCTTCAAAACAGCTAGAAATGCTGGAAAACATGCTTGAAATGAATCAGTTTGATGAACTGCACGATGTGCTTGGTCAAATTGAGTTTGAGACCGAAGTTATCGCAAGAATCGAGGAATTGGCAACCTCCAAGGTTCTTGGGAGCCTTGAATCTTTTTTAGAGAGCGAAAACAGCTCTATCAAGGTCCATGACTTCGTACCGTTGCTGGCTACGCTCGATCAAACGTTTGCAGAGGTTCAGAAATGGGTGGCACAAGCGCTTGTGGATGCGCCCACAGGAACTTTGGAAATTTTGGCACTTCTAGAGGCCACTTTCACAGAACGAAGTGGTCAAAACACATTACACGATCCACTTTTGTATCGGACTTTGGTGGCCCTTTTAGCTAATGACGAGCGTAAGATCTCAAATGCAAGCTCTCAAGTGCTGAGGTGGCAAGCTACAGAAGTGGGTCGTCTTTCATTGGAAGACGCAAATTTCGATACTTTTGTTTGGACCAAAATTCCACAGCTGCTTGACGTTAATGGCTCACCGGCCAAGTTTAAAAACGGGCTGTTACTCGTTTTGAGAATTCTGTGCGCACCCTCATCATATAGTCCTGGTCAATTGACGGTTTTGAGGAGCGGCGCATTCTGGAAGGCACTGAAGGCCGGCTTGGCTCATGAATCGCACGAGATTCGGAAATACTCTCTATCGATATTACGACTTGTTTTACAAAATTTCCCCAAGGAGGAGTCTATCTCGAATGAGCTTATGATATGGGACTCCAGTTCATCGTATTATGCAGATACGCTGGCCTCTTGGGCGAAATTTATCACTCTTTATGAGATCGTAGCTCTAGACACGGCACTCAATCAGCTCGAGGCTGCAAGTGGAGACATTTTGGATATACTCGAGAGCACGTTCATCAATTCCCAATGGGGACTTGTGCTATTTTCTACTGGTCTAAAAGCTGCCATGGAAAGTGTCAGGCGGCATACCGTTAAGCTCATGTTCAAAGTGAAAGACAAGTCGATTTTTCACTCAAGCACACACGAGCTGGCCGCTTATTACCTACCGGTTTGCATGTTTGCGCCATACTTTATGGTCGAGGACGACCAGTGTCCTTATGGCGAGGCCCTGAGCACCTTTGTGCGGGACTTGGTTGTCCACACGAAAGAAAGTCAGCACGCTCACAAGGTGCCAGATATGATATCATCGATTCTGAACTGCTTGTATGAAAATAGGACGGCTTTTGATCCTCCCAGAATATACATCTGTCTTGGATTATACCAGGCATTGAAATCTCTCAAGTTACAAGTGTTGAACGAGGACAACATAGCCACTATTTCGAAGCTTTTCGAAGTGTCGTCAGAAGAAGGTATTTTCGAATGTACAATCCAGACCTTATACTTGAAAATGATGATGAACATCAAACTCGACACATCGCCAAAAGTTTGGATACAAGCACTGGCAAGACACGTACGAGCTAACAAAGGAAGCTATCAATATATTTCTCCTATTTTGGACGATTTTGTGGATGTCTCCCTGAAGTGTTTTGGTAAGGTTCAGATCGAGGACTCTTGCTCCCAGCTAACTAGAGATGATCAAACCTTACAGGTACTAGCCTACGCGATTTTTGGAGCAAAGCCAGAGGTTGTTGATATCGATTTTTTGAAGGAGCTAGGGAAGTTGAATGTAGGTCTGGATGAATTCAAGACTGACTACGCCAACGAATTCCAAAAGCTTGTTGATTCGAAGGCGAATGATGCGGACTATCAAGACTCACATGAATTAGTTGAGCTGCAGGTGTTCAGTCAAAGCACTTGGAATATTGTCAATCTCGAGACGCTTTATTCTGATGTTCAAAAGAACTTTAATGCTGACAAGTTCGGCTTTTTTACCGCCTGCTACATACAAACGGTGAAATACAGTATGAATTTGGTGCCTCTGGATCTTCAAAGCTTAACGGATCTTTATGAAATTTTGCAAGTGCACACCAAAGAAACGATGATGGGAACTTTCAAATACAAGGACTACATTCATGGGGATTACTTCTCGCTGCTTCTTTCATTCCTCAAAACACATGCCCTTCAAATCAGTTCTCATTCGAATGAAGATGAACTGGACAAAGTACTCGCTCTTTTGACAAGAAATGTCAATGATGACAACGGAAATTACGAGGGAAATCTTCGAATTGCCGAGCTGTGCGAGTATCTTCTAGACACCTATGTTCTTCCCAAGATGCAAGACTTCGAAGGAAAAGACAGCAATGATCTTGTTGTAATAAAGCAGATTGTTGATACTCTTTGCACCATCTGGGATTTTATGGCCAAAGATAGATTGGTGCTGAATCAGAGAAAACTTCATTTGAAATTCATTGAGACACTTTTCCACCCCACTATTGTTTTCTTCGCAGTAAGCCGTAATACCGGCTATGAACTCGGCACGATTCTTTTCAGATACGGTAGCGAAGTAATCGCACAGGCAGTTTCAAGACGTACTTTCCTCCCTACCCTTGGCCGGAGAGTTAACCAGTTCATGGAGACTTTCGGAAAACAATTACAGAGCAATAAACATGATTACTACTGGTTGATAGATCTCACTTTCAAAGCGTTCGTCCAAAGTCAAGATAGCGTAAACGCATTTAAGCTCAAACCAATTGTTGCAGACATGTATGATAAACAAGTCGACAGTTTGCGTGGCAGATTCGGTAAGCTTTATGAAAAAGTGTACCAAATTCCAGAAATTTCATACCGTGTTTATCTCATCAGCTCTGTGCTAAATTCGAGTGATGAGTTTCTTCAGGATCTTTTTATCAGGGCGATCGAAACCGACGATAATTTGCTAAGACCTGCGAAGAGCACCAATGGGGCGGAAGAGCTCGAGAGACTACTTAAATGGCAGCTACTGATGTTAAGCATCAAATCCGTGGATCCAAAGATTCTAAGATGGCACGTCTCCAAAGATATTTTACGGAGCGTCGCGACGGAAACTTCACCTCTTGTGCGAGTTTATTCTGAGTGGATTGTTGCATTCGACATTGCGCAAACATGCTTTGATAAAGATACCAATGAAACTGAAGCTGCACTATTCGAAATGTTAGAAGACCAGTCAAAGCCACTCCTGGCAGTGACTGCTACAAGAATTCTTTTCGTTACTCTGAAAAGCGTTCTCGGCAAGAAGGACTGCGACAGACTTTTGAACAAATTCATTTCCAAAGTAATTCCCAATTGTGCTTCTAACAAGCCGTTGGTAAGACATTTTTCGAACTCTCTGATGCTTACATTGTGGCCCCTGGTGAAAGGGTTCGTGGCGGACAAAACACTCGCGAGTGTTATCCAAAATCTTTGTTGCAATGCTGAAAGGTTGCAAGTTCATGGCCAATTCAGGCTGGGTGACGCAGTTATATGGGACCTCGAAAATGATTTGAATCTCACAAGCATTTTTGGAGGCGTTCTAATGAAGTTGAACGATCACAGTGTTCCATATATCAATGAAAACACGTTTAGCAGATATTTGACCTCGAGAGATAGATTCCCTGTCGGCAGAGATGAGTCTGACTTGTGGTTGAATAAAAGACCAGGTTTGAAACAGTCCACGGCAGCATTATCCCAGAAGGGCTCACCGCTCCAGACGAAAAGCGGGGCATGGGAGGCTGTTATGAATTTAGCCGAGAAGAAATCCGGAGGCGCCGTTAAGCGTACTCCACTGGTGGTAGTCGCATCTCTAGTAGACAAAGCACCAAATCTGGGGGGTATCTGTAGACTGTGTGATGTCTTGGGTGCTGGACTTTTGACTGTTCATGACATTAGGGTCAAGGATAATTCTCAATTCAAAAGCGTGGCTGTCACCGCAGACCGTTGGATGCCAATGGAAGCCGTGGCTGTCGATGAGATAAGTCAATTCATGAGAGCGAAGAAGAAAGAAGGATATACATTGATAGGGCTGGAGCAAACAGATAAATCGTTGCAACTGGACAATAAGTTTTCGTTTCCGGCCAAAAGTTTAATTCTGTTAGGAACAGAGGCTGAAGGTATTCCAGGTCATTTGCTCGGTGAACTAGATTTGTGTTTGGAGATAAAACAATCGGGCGTAATTCGCTCAATGAATATTCAGACAGCTACTGCCGTGATTGTGCACTCATACTCCGCACAGCACACTTGATGACTGCTGCTATATCATCAATTTCTTGTACATAATATCGATTTAGAAAAATAGCTTAAAGCTCAAGCATCTAAAGCCTGAAGGACCTTTGGAGCCAGGGTTTCGATCATTCGGATGCTGTCTGCCAACCTGTCTGGATGTATACCTCGCGTGTATTCTTCGTTCAAACCCAACGTTCTTATAGGCGCGCCCACTTTACCTTTGCACCATGTCACAAGAATACCATTACTTGCCACATCGCTTTCGCTTGAAGCTGGGTCGACTATAACATTCTGACCACATACAGCGAGCGTGAACATGATGGGGATATCGATACTCAACTTACTCATATCGTAGTCATGAAAAGTGGGTAGTTCTGCAACTTCCAAGTCATCTTCACTAGAGATGAGGGTGGGAAGCTGGGTCGAGTTGAGTGCAGAGTAAATGGCAAACGATATTAGTGTCAGAGGATGAGAATAGCTTGACAATACCAGCACGTCTATGTACAGTTTGAAACTGTATTTTTGGGTAAGTCGCAGTTGCTCTTGGTCTATTTGTAGAAGAAGTACTCTGTTCAATATTGACGCTATCTCTTGTACTAGTGGAGAGTCATCTCGACGTCCTGTGATATCCACGTCCACCACGATTAATTCGTCTTCTAGTGAACGATCCACTACTTTACTTTTGACACTCACCACACACTCTGTACCATCACTGGCCACAATCTTGGAAGAGCCGTTAGACGTCGGTAGGAAATCGGTGAATACTTCGATAGGTCTGAATTGGTCCTCGTTTCTTCCGTCCGGGCGCAATGGTGGCTTGGAGATTAAACTATCTTGCAAATAGCGTTTTTCTGTTAAAGACATGACCATTTTAGAACTGGGTTGAAGCCTAGGACTGGATGGGATGAAAAGCTTGGTTCAGCTCATCGGTTGAAGGATTTGCCAGATTAGCTATGAATTCCAGGTATTCAGCTTAATTTAATAATTTTCATGACCGAGTCCAAATGTACTCATGACGAAATGTTAGCGAGTCCGCGAGCAAAAGAAGCGAGTAGAAGTTTAGCTAGACTTTTGGATAGAGGACGTCGTCACCGACCATTGGTAGGAAACCAGTGCATGAGCACTCAGTAAGGTAGCAATCACGGCTACCAATGGTAGTAAAACTTGTGCTTTCAGTAGCCATGAAAATGTGTTTTCATTGAAATCTCGACGTTGACCTTCCAATCTTCCAAGCTCTTGTCCACTTTCTTCGTTGACCAGAGAAAACAAAATGTTTGCCGAGCTTTTCAGGGCGTCAATCGCTTCTTCGCACATACGATCAGAGAGATGAGGCTTCACGGTTTCTTTGTTGATCACTGACAGGGTGATACCTTTTTGCATGTCGATAGACCTCCAAGAACTGTCGTACACGACGTTCAAAAAACAAAACTCGAAGTGAGAGCCTCGGACTGACCGGTGTAATTGGATTACAGTGCGTCCAGACTTCAAGTTGCGATGCGACCTAACCAGCCCCCCATCCGAAGCCATCACCGTGAAATCCAGGTGCTGTCTACCGAGCTCGCAACTGGTGGGTCCTAGACGACTCACATCCGTTGAGGAGTCCAAAAAATCGGTCACAGTGATGGAGAAAAGAACGGTGGACGTAGAAGACTCCTGCACGTCGAAATTTACGCAAGTGTGATTTGCTTGCGATTTTTGACTTTTCAATTGTGACGCTTTGATGGGAGGACATACAAACGACAGCTGTGGTTGTGGCAGGGATTCCTGGTAAATTCGTGACAGAACCAAACCAACAACGCATAGTACGTTTATGAGTTTGCGTGTCTGCATTATTCGTGGGACCGATATTTGGGTCGGTTCGATTGAGCCACGACGTTTCTTGAGCGACACAAAAAAAATGCAGAATCTGAATGGACGGGAAACTTTGACAAAAGTAGCCCATTGAAACAACATAAAGTGCACTGGGACATATCAAACTGATACTTCTGAAGCTCTTAGTAGCGTGGTTCCCTTTCTGTTACCTTTCCGTTTAAACAACAACGGAGCCACGGCCTCTATTCTTCAAACGACATGCGCTCGAAGGTTGCAATTAATCAAGCGTTAGAGTGTATAGTTTCTACACAGTCATCGTGTACTTTCCAAGTACGTCTCATTTCATAAATATACACTATTCGCGGCATTGGCATCACCGTTGGTGTTGTCGGTGTCGAACGATGCAGCTCTGATTTTGGCCTTTTGTTGAGCCTCTGCAGTTGGGGGTTCTTTCGAGCCACTGGCACGGTACGATTCCTCTTGGTTCAGCGCCTCAATCCTTTCGTAGTGGTTTTTCAGCACTATTTCGTTTTCGTGAAACGAGTCTTCGAACAATTGTAGATCGTTGGCGTCGATCTTGTCGAGCTCTTCCTCGTCTACACCATCGGGAGTGTCCTCCCGTTTGCCCTCGATTTTCGCTATATATTTTTTGAGACGCAGATTAGAGCGATCCAAATGTCTCACACTGTTTTCCAGTTCGGCCCGAATTTTGGTCAATTGCTGGTCTGAGAGATCGCTGATGACCTCTTTGAATTCAGGAATTTCCACTGGTCTTCTAATACTAGTGGCGTCGCTCATATTTATTAAGTTTTTGTGGTGGCAGTTTCTATACGCGGATAAAAGTCTATTCAAACCTAGCAACCAGGGTTCAAAGGGTTAGTTTTTATAGAAGATAATGGAGAAGACAACGTTGTATCTTCGTTTGTTTGCGTAAAGGAGTCTTAAAACAACAACAATCAAAACTTACAGACTCGAGAACAGATCTGTCTTCACTCGAAAGAGAGATGCGATACAGATGAGAGTCTGAAGATCTGCTGGAGTAAAAGAGCCCTTTATATAGTCCCCAGAAAATAAATTAGGGGTGGTTTACCACTGTTGCTATTCCGTTCACAGTGACATCATCGCCAATTTCGAATATTGTTGAACTACATGGAGATACAATTCTAAAATTCAACAGGCTACTAGAATGAAAGCATCGCAACAATGAAGGACTTGGGGGCTTTAACGTCGATCGATGAGTTTCCGAAGGTCAAGGCACTTGCAGACATCATCGAGAAAGAAAGAGAGGGCCTGGCGCTTCAATTGCAGACCAGAACGGGACAAAACGAAGCAGTTTTGCATGAGTTAGACCAGGTAGACCAAAAGCTGCTTGAATTGGCCAAAGAGATCAGTTCTGTGCGTTCCAACGCTGATGTTGCACAAATAAGAACGCGGTACGGCTCCCTCGCGATCCTGGATCAAATTGATGCCCTTTTCGCCCAAAAAGCCGCCAAAACCGCTGAGCTTTCTGCTCTAAAACGGTTGGACGAGATTTCGAGTGGTATCAAAGCCGTAGCAACAGAATCCAAGGTTGAAGAAGCACAATTACAACAATGGCATGATAACTTGGACGGCTTGAAAAATCAGGTGCGAAACTCAGACTTGGAACCTGTTTTCCAGAGTTTTAATCAGCTCTTGTTAGAGCAAGCACTTCCCTTACGTGAGGAACTGAAATCCAGGCTTTTGGACTCTGGCTGGGATTTAGCGGATAAGGATATTAATGCAGTTGTTTCGGAGTCGTCTGCGTCGTCTTTGAAGGAACTATCGTCGCGGATTTACCGCTTGAACAAGATGTGGCAGCCGCAGCAAGATTCCGATGAAATTTGGAATTTTGAGTGTATTGCAAATAACTTCAGGATCAAATTCGTCTATCATTTTGTGAATGAGTCCATACAAAAACCGCATTCCGTTGAGATGTACTTCAAATTTCTGGAGAAATATCTAGATCTCAATCTTTACAAATGTGTCTATTTGTTCCGCGATCCGAACGTGCCGAATCTAGATGAAGCTTATGTGCATCAGCAATTCATAAATCATGTTTTGGCCCCTATACGAGAAAAGGTGAACACGACGTTGGTAAATATAGCTAATAGCGCTTCGAGTGATCACCTCAAAACCTTGGTGGTACTTATTTCCCAGATTTTCATAATCGACAATGCATTAGTGAAGAAGCATTTTTACGATGGTTTGGGTTTGATTGCGATGATACCCGAGGAGGTACTGACCACATGGCTCTCCTTCGAAATCGATTCTTCACTTAACCAATTCCAAAAAATAATCAAGACAACGAACGTTGCCAAGAGTGGTTCCGATTTTGCAAAATTGCTGGAAAATCTTTATCTGTATTTTGAGCCATTCTTCAATCTTGAACATGGTAATTTGATGGAATACAAACTAAGAACCACCAAGACAATCTTCATGGATTTGACTCAAAAATACCGCGACATACTTTTGAACTCTAAGGATGAAACTTCTGGGGCCATTTCGGAGCAGGCACAGTTTGAGAAAACTTTATGGAAAACTCGTAATTTGCAGCTCATAAGAGCTACACTGGAGAGTTTCGCGGACAAGCTGAACTTCATTCTTCTCACTGAATATTTGAATGCAGCCACGTCCTCTTCATATGACACAATTTTCGACGACATTCTGAATCTCTATGAAAATGCTATTTCGGCAGCGAAGGAATCTATCATTCACAGATACAAAAAACTCATGAACGTTGCCTTCCGTAACTATTTTAAGGTCAGCGACTGGAACCAAATTACCTCTGTACCACAGCAGTGTAGTGCCGAGCTAGTTTCACCATTAAATTTATCGAACAAGTTGATTACTATGATGGAAACTGTGGATTTGACTCCCGATATGCTTTTGGATATTAAAGGCGAGATACTGAATATACTGATACATTACATGGTTGACTATGTGATAAATCTTAACAGATTCAACAAATTCGGATTGGACCAGCTTCACCTAGATTTTGGTATGCTGAAGGAAAGCTTGCGTTTTTCACAAAAATGCGATCCACAAAGCGCAGAAGAAGGCTCATTTCTTGAAACTTTAAAAGTTCTGGCTCTAAAGTATGAAGTAGATGACAGCTGCCAACACTTTTTGGCCAAGTCTTTTATCGATCGCCGGCAGTTCTCGGACCTGCGAGAGAGACTCTCGATCAAATACGCAACCGATAGTGAGTTAGCAAATGCATTGTATAGAAATTTATAAAGGAACACCGCCAAGCTCATTTTCTTCGAGCTCATACCTAAACAACTGATCTTGACTGAAATTATTCTCTCGCCTGCGAGATGAGTTCACATTACGATCCAGTAGCGGTCTGTTTTTGCCCAATGAATCCAACATTTCAGTCACGGTTGATATCATCCCCGTTGGCCCCACGTCAAAAATACTCTTTTTATCTGCAGAGTTCACCCAATTGCCGTCACTGTTCGACGAAACACTTTCTGCTGGTTGAGACTCAACAGTGGGCACAGGCTCTTCATTATCTACGCCATTGAAGTGGTTTTGAATCAAATGGTCTATTATGGGCCACCCATACGCGTTAGAAAACCGTCTCCGCACAATGATGTTATTGTGAGCGTCGGGCTTGAGGCTTACTATGACCTTACGCCAGCTTAGACCCTCGTGCCAACGTCTCGCAATTTCTTCCTCCAGTTTCTGGTGAGATTTCTCCGAATTCGCAACAAAGGTGCGTAAAAGTACGTTATTGCTACCTAGCAGTTCCTCTTCCGAATTGGAGTTGCGGTCCGGAATATCAGATTCCGTGTATATCTTGTCATGAATAATAACATTTGCTCGGGTTGCGGGGTCCATGATATATGCTTTATCTGGAATTGGTGGAATCAAGATGGACGTGGCAGATTCTATCACAGAGACTTTAGGAATTTTAGAAATGCCGTCATCTGGGAACTTTTGAGGAGCCCACAAACTGATTGCCTTGGAGATTGGAGAGATGAAATTCTTCATGAAAAATTCACCTGGCGTGGTGGTCACTAGCTTTTGACCAACATCTGGTGTTTTTTGCAGTTGACTCAGAATTTCTTTGTATTCCAAGAAGAGCAATGAAGCTGAGTAAAGCGGAACAATACCATCATTTACTGCATTAGCGTAAATGGTACGGCGCTTGAACTTCTTCAAGATTGTTTTGGTGGGCTCTCCCGGAAGAAAAAAAAGCAGCGGCTTTTCACTCTCCGACTGTTCTTTGAGACCCAAATCCTGTCCTGTCTTTCCGACAATGCCAAAAGACAGCAAAATGTTTACATATGCCGGATTATCAGTCACAATACCAAGCAGTGGAGATGCCAAGGTAATAAAATTCGTGGGCTGCACTTGTTCGAAGAACCAGGGGAAGTTCACTTTGATGTATGCAATTGCAAATGTCTGAACAAGACCTCCCAACGAATGGCCAATAAACGATATTTTGGTCACTCGCTCGTTGTATAATTCGCGGACCACGTACTCGGCTAGCCTCGTGCCCAGATACTTAATGCCTTTCTCAGTTTTGCATACGTTGCCAGTAAAGCCCTTGACGACGATTTGCTCGTCTCCGTAGTACTTTTGGCATTTTTCAATCTGTTCTTTGACATAAAGAAGGTCGGCTGGGACGTTCGAATGCAACCCATGAGTCAAGACCACTAGATGTTGCTTCTGATTAGCTTGAGAAGACACATGGTCACCGAGATTCCATTGATCCAAAGTGTCCAGTCGTGTTACACTTAGTTTAGAACTAGCTGAACTTGTCGACAGATGACCACCAAACTCTGCATTTTCGAGACTTTTCCTGGTTGACCCAATAGAGATCTCAAATCCGATTTGGCTCGTGTTTGTGAAGATAATCTGACTTGCTATATCCAGAATCCACACATATTTTTTCTTGAGATTATGCAAAGATAGTTCAACGTAGAAGTCTTGTTGAGGTTGCAGTGCTGGCTCGAACTTTGGCTGGTCTGCAGAAACAAAAAGATGTTGCGAATGATGATATTCTTCAGTTCGGAGATCGCAGTAGAGCAGATAGGGTCCCATCAGATACGCTGCTCGAAATGTCAGATTTTCAATGTTTTTAACCCTCAGCCAAAGCGAATTTAGGGATAAATCTGCTGGGAGCCCTTCTTCATCGTCATAGAGTTGATACGTGATGATATATCGTTCAATTTCACCTATTTTAACGCAAGACTTGTGATGCCAAAAGATTTCATCGTTACAAGAGCTTGCCATTACGCTGGCATTCAATTCGAGCGCTGAGAGGCTTGAATCGGTGCGTTCGAGTCGAGCGAAGAGTAGGGCATCGCTAAAATGCTTGATTGTAGATTTAAACGATTCTAATATATATCTAGTGAGCCCTAATGACAGATAGTCACGTGATTATTACGCGTCACGAGCTAAAGATAACGACGGGAATTTCATTGAATAAGATGATGCATTAAGGGCTTCAATTATTTGCCTAATTAACATGCGTCTGTATTGAAAGACGCCCAGTATTGATTTAGTGGCTATTCCAATGTTTTACTGTTAAATTTTGGTTGAAATGAGGTGTTTCTTTTTTTTTTTTTTTTTTTTTTTTGGCCCCGAAAACAGCTGAGATCTTTAATCAGTAACCAAAAAGGGTGCTTAAAATAATACTACATGCTGCAATTTGTGATGCTTGAATTAGCTCTCCTTTCGGGTTTTGATCGTTACATTTACCGCTTATACAACTTTAATGACGATTTAGTACGAAGTGACAAAGTCAGTGTCAGGAAAATAATCAGTGGGTACTTGGAGGCACCATACGTAGCGGTGAGGAATCAAATTCGCCAGAATCCAGTATACTCCCAGAGCATAAGACTCCTTTCGAGTTCACATTCAGACAATCACATGTATGCGAATTATTTACTTGTATCGTCTTCGACGTCTTTCAAAAGTTCCTTTGCTCGCGTGTCGCTATCAAAAGCACGCATTGCATCCACTATATCATCCAAGCGTTCTCCAGCCAGAAGGCCCTCCATGTCGTGAAGATTGAACCCACAGCGATGGTCAGTGATACGATTCTGGGGAAAATTGTACGTTCTTACTTTATCAGAGCGGTCCGTGGTGCTGACTTGGCCCTTTCTAGCAGCTCTAGCTTTCTCTTCCTTTTCTTTCTGTTCCATCTCTGCCAAACGAGCCCGTAAGATCGCGAACGCCTTTGCCTTATTCTTATGCTGCGATCTCTCATTCTGCATGCTGATCACGATGCCAGATGGATAGTGGGTGAGCCGCACGGCGGAATCTGTTGTGTTCACATGCTGTCCGCCTTTCCCACTAGCTCTCATAACGTCTATTCTGATTTCGTCAGGTTTGAAAGATCTTTCGTACGATTGTGCTTCCTTTTCCGTATCCTCAGCCATTTGGGGTAGTACTATTACTGCTGCTGTGGAGGTATGAGTCCGGCCTTTGGTTTCAGTAGCTGGAATTCGCTGAACCCGGTGCACCCCAGCTTCGAATCTGAGCCTCTCGTAGGCCCCGGGCTCGTCGATGCTGAGTATTGCATCTACGATTCCAGATCCGCTCTCGTTTTCGTTGTGAGAAATGATGTGATGCTTCCATCTCTTGTTGTGGGCATAGTTAGTGTACATGTTAAGCAGGTCCTGTGCGAAGATCATGGCCTCTATTCCTCCAACGCCAGGTCGGATTTCTATAATGCAAGGTCTGTCTGAGAACGGATGTGGCGGCAGAAGTTGTCCCAAAAGGGATCCCGAAGTTTTGATAAGCGCCGGAATGATATCCTGTATTTCTTCTTGAGCTTCTTCTCGCAGACTCGGATCATTTTCCACCATTACTTGTAGTTCACGGACAGTAGAGATTTCACTACAATATTTTCTGTAAGAGTCCACGATTGCGGAAAGTCTCGAGAAATGTTTTTCCCGCTCAACATCAAAGTTCAAAGAGCCCTGTGCCATCTTCTGCTCCATCAATTGCAGCTCGTTTGCATATTTCTTCGCCCTTTCAAGCAGTAATGGATGCAACTCTTTAAACTCACCAATGCTGGTCGTTGTTTGAAATCTTAAACCATTTCTCGGTAGCGGTAGTCTCTTAAAGTGAAATCTGTTTAAAAAACTTGTTCGAAGCCTCGAATGGAGCATGTTCAAGCTTCTTTTGGCTACTTTCTTGAATCGATGAGATGAGATGAGATGAGATGATTTGAGATTCTTTCATATAAGTTCTTGAAATCCAAGCTCATCTCGCTATAACAAGACTTTAAAGATCATACAAATCAAGCTATGATAGCTCCTACAGAGTACTCGAAAGGTATGTTGAACGCGGAATCAAGTGCTACGAGTGCGAACTGTATACTAACAATCTTTTGGTGCAGAGAAAAAGGTTGGTGAAGGTACCTATGCTGTGGTCTACGTTGGAACGAAACAATCGGATGAGCGCAGGATCGCCATAAAAGAGATCAAAACTTCAGGCTTCAAAGATGGGTTGGATATGTCTGCTATACGGGAAGTGAAATACCTACAAGAAATGCAACATGTGAACGTTATCGAACTGATTGACGTCTTCATGGCCCAGAACAATCTGAATCTGGTTCTGGAGTTTCTGCCGGCAGACTTGGAAATGATTATAAAAGATACGTCGATTTTGTTCACACAGGCTGACATAAAATCATGGCTGTTGATGACTCTGAGAGGTGTTCATCACTGCCATCGAAATTTCATTCTACATCGAGATCTGAAGCCCAATAATTTGCTGCTGGCACTAGACGGACAGCTCAAATTGGCGGATTTTGGGCTGGCGCGGAACATGGGATCTCCACAAGAATCCTTGACCAGTAATGTGGTCACTAGATGGTACCGGGCTCCAGAACTTTTGTTTGGTGCACGGCACTATACTGGCGCCGTCGACATCTGGTCTGTGGGTATAATTTTTGCTGAGCTCATGCTGCGGATACCGTACTTGCCTGGCAAAGATGACATAGACCAAATAGATGTCACATTCCGTGCTCTGGGGACTCCCACCGATAGAGACTGGCCTGAAATTTCGACTTTTGGTGCTTACAACAAAATTCAGGTTTATCCTCCGCCTTCTCGTGAAGAGCTGAGGAGGAGGTTCATAGCAGCCACCGAAAATGCTTTAGATCTCATGTCTGGAATGCTCACAATGAACCCACACAAGCGCCTGAGCCCTATACAGTGTCTCACTAGCGAGTACTTTGTCGAGCTTCCTGAGCCAACGGCCCCATCTGAACTGCCGAAACTTGAGGCCAAATGAAAGCCCAGAGAGGCTTTACGACACTCAATGCTATTATCCATGGTATAGTTTACAAACGTAACGTCCGATGGCAAGACTTGCGGTCAGCCCCGGACTTTCAATTCCCAGCAAGTTCACAAAGCCTGGAAATCCCTCTTCTTCGCGTATGTAAAAATCTTTTAAAGCGGTTTCACCTGGCCCTCCCAGTTTAGGTCTTATGCCGCTGTATGCAGGTTGGAGATCCTGCGTTTTAATGTGAGGGTAGTACTTTTTGATGGCACGAGCGGCCTTCTCTAAATTGTTGACATTGACTTTGTATTCCGTGGGCGATGCGACAAATTCAAGGTCGGGCCCAAACCTGATCTGTCCGTCTAGGTCAATTGTCAAATGAGTTCCTAGCGACTGTTTACTTTTGGGAGGGACGGGGTAAACCAGCCTATTGACCGGAAAAGACGCTTGACCAGATAACGAAAAATAGTTTCCTTTACCCAGATACTGATGCTTGTAGCGATGCTTTGGTAGGAGCATGTTTGCGATTGTGTGTGCATGAAGGCCAGCAGCATTGACCACATTTTCCACGGAAATCTCGACGCTTTCTTCAGCAGAATCAACCACCGATTTGCATAGCAGATTATAGCCTTTGTTGCGATCATAGCTCATATCCATGAGCTGTGTACCTATCGCTACTTCACCACCGTTAATATCCAGATGCGTGGTTAGATACTGTATGAGTGAATGCGAAGAAATGATGCCTGAAGTTGGGGAAATCAATGCAGCCTTTCCGACCTGGATGTTTGGCTCCTCCCGTTCAGCTCTGCTGCTTGATATCATTTGTACAGGCAGACCAAATTGTCTTGAAGCTTTTTCGTGGAGAGTATTCAGATAGGCCAATTCCTCGTCATTTTGGGCCACAATCCATTTCCCACACTTCTTCCACTGCACTCCTGTTTTGGGAAACGTCAATTCGTTGTATATAATGTTGTTTCCCTCGATGCACAGTTGCGTCTTCAAAGAATCTGGAGGGTAGTATAATCCAGCGTGGATTACCTCACTGTTACGACTCGAAGTCTCCGTCCCCAAAGCAGTATGTTTTTCTATCAAAAGAACATGGTTGCTCGGTACTTTACTGAGTTCTAATGCTATTGACAAACCAACAACTCCTCCTCCTATGATCGCATGCGAGAAATCAACCGAATTGTTGGTGGATGTGGCAAAACTACGCCAAAAGGTGCGCTTCGAACTGCTTTTGAATGAATGAAGAGATGTTACAGCTTTGAGCATCTGAAAGATGTCAAGTCATGAGTAAGGTGAAGTACTTATAGGTGTTTATGTTTAAAAAGCTTCGAGTTGTAGATGGATTAAGATTGAATTAAAGATCAAGATTAACATTATCAACATATCTTATAAAAACAGCGAATAAAGTTATCGAAAACGACTCCAAAGCTCGGGTATCAGCTTGGAAGCATTCAAGTGTAAACCTGTCCTTGATCTAATAGCGATTTAAGAAGCAAAGGATTCTCAGGCTGGTTTTGTTAGTTTCTTGCAAGGCATTTTACTATTGGCTAGTATATTGAGATAGATAGAGAACTATCTTAAAGAACATCAGTTTTCCACAGAAATGAGGCCCCGAGCCTTTACAATCTACCGGCACACCAGTTCACTTTGTGCTGGGTTTTCAAGAGGTTACTCTACAAAAAGACCGCATTTTCAGGATGTGTTCCCGAATAAAAAGCTCGTAAATCGGCTGCTCTTTGAAATGGATAGTAAGCTAACGTTTTCGAGATTGTATCCGGTTTACGAAGCCGTTTACAACTCCTTGGAGGCCCCAGAAGTGCCTGGGAAGTGCATTCCCTCTTCTTTCAAAGGCGAAGATGTCCTGATGATGAAAAAAGTACTCGAAAAACTGCGACACCGAACCAAAACGCTCAACAGGAATCTGGTTGCTTTGGAAAGCGAACTGCTTGAAAAAGCAGCCGAATTAGGTGACAACGACGCAATTGCGGCCCTTGCTTTCCAAGTGTTGGAAAAAGCAGAGAAAAATACACCGGAGGACGTCACACACGCTAAAAAACTTATCAAGACCCTCTACAAGATGCCACATCCGCTCACGATCAAGCTAACAGCAGATCTTGCCTTCACGAAGAATGATTTTGTCAGTGCTGAGAAATTCTATAGGAAATATTTGGAATTGGAAAATGACACCTACAGAGCAGGCGAAGTCAGTGGGAAACTGGGAATCATTAATTTCAAAAAGCCAGACCTGAAAGCAGCCGAAGAATACTTTCTGAGAAGCATTCGTATCTGTCCATTGGAACAGGTCGTTCAATCGTACTATTACCTTGCACAACTTTACATGGACTCGGAGCCTCTGAAGGCAAGATGTCTGATGGAAAGCGCAGCTAGTGAGGGCTTCAAAGAGAGTTTCCAGTCGTTGGGATTTCTGGAAATGAATTATTTCCAAAACTATGCGAAAGCACTTGAGTGGTTTAAATTGGGCATGGAGTTGTTTGACTTTCAATGCTTCATAGGCTATTTTGACTGCAGTATCAAACTTGAATCGTATCAAAAGGCCAAAAAGTGTCTCGAAAGCATGCAAACTATATCGAAAAACAATGAAATGACGCAAAAGTCCTTCGACCTCTTTTTAAGCTCCCGCGCAAAACAAATACAAGCGCTGGAATCTCGTACAACCAATGTTGTGACTGCTACAAACTTGTACATACAGAGTGATGACCTAAAAAGTAACTCACCTCCAGAAAAGAATGATAGGTGGGGGCTGTAAAGTAAAATTCAGAACCATGGTGGCTTGTAATAAACAATTACATCGCCAGACCTTCTAGAGTCCCAATGACTCAACGTGTTGAAGAACCTAGCGTCCACTCTGTAGCCGCTATCTGTAAGAAGCTTGTTCAAGTACAGATCGTCGAGATGCTCGAATATCACCAGATACTGTGGCCATTCATAATTCCATTCTTTATCGGGTGATCTGAGGTTTTTGCGAAATATCGGCGGGAAGTTTTGGTATATAAACTTAGAGGCGTCTTCGTAGAGCCGATCGCTCTCATCCATGTAATATGGAAGTTTTTCCCTGGCGGATGGATCCTGAAGCAAGTGCAAAGGTGGCTCGCACGAAATAGACCAAATGTCTTGCGTGTTGTTCCTGTGAATATGAGATTGCCAAGGAGTAGAGTGACAGGGCATTACAAACCCTATGCTGTGTACCTCGGGGATATTATGCAGATATTTGGTGACTTCGATAACACCTGTTTCGTGGAAAGAGGAAAGAACCATGGCTGCGACAACAGAAATGAACGGCGGTATCCAAAAGTACCATTTGAGTAGTTCTGGCTCTCCGTTTTGAGCCTCGGGCAGGACTTTCATCAGAAAGATACTAGATATTACAAGGAAAAATGGCTGCAGGTTGTAAACAAAACGGAACTCTTTATGGCGAATAGCAGAGAAAATCACAATCTGAAGAATGATGACAAGCTTAACTTGCTTCAGCGGATCGCTTAAAAGACTTCGTTTGGTCGTCGATTTCAACGAGTACATGCCGAGGATCACTAAAGGTAGCGAATAACCAGCTATGAGTGGCACACTTTGCAATAGGTGAAAGTGCCAGGGAGCGGTGCCGTAAAATTCTGATAATGCACTTGTATAGTTGAACTTCACGAATCTCAATGCCGGAAACACTATCCTTCCGTAGAAATAGTAATCAACTGCTAAATTTACGGCTGTCACGAAAGTTAATGCAAAGACCACTCTGTAGAACAAACGGACTAGTGTCTTGAAGCGGCGGGTCCTCAATAGGTTGAAAGTCAAGAAAAGACCCAAGGGCAACCAAACAAATGCGTTTGTTGGTCTTTGAAGACACAGAAAGAGGCCCAAAATCAGACTGACGGCAAATTTGGTTGATGCCACATGGTTGCCACCAGACCAGTCCCAATTATACAGAGCTATGCTGGTTAGATCGGTTTCAAAAGTGTTGCTGAAAGTCCTTGTAATGAAAAAGCAGTTGAAAAAGTTGGTCATCGATAGAATCAGGGCATTTCTTCTTACAAGCGCGACGTTACGGCTCTTATCCTTCGTATTGTGCTCGAAACATGAAGTGTAGACTTTTTCTGCAAAACGTATGGCATACCATTCCCCGACTCCTGCCAAGACTGCCATTATGATCTTTGGGCCATAAATGACACCTTGATATTCGATAGATTCTCGTACTTCTTGAGGAAACTTCTGCATTTCTAAAACCATCTCTAGCGCTATTGCACAATTGGGTATCAGATTTCTGACTAGCACTGTAAAAACGCTAGTGCAGTAAGCCACAATGGCTGCCAAAATCATTGATATAAGCGATACCGCACGGTAAACTAATTCGAACAAAAACGAAAAAGCGTAGCTTCTCAATCCAAATTTCCATTCCCAAGTCAATTCTCCATATCCAAATGCTTTAAAATGTGCCGGTTCGAGGGATTGCCAGAACTCATCGGGTTGAAAGAATGATTTAACAAAAAAGCTGTTGATGATTCGAAACACAATTAGAAGTCGCAAAACCGAGCTTTTTGAAACCCGCTTTGTTCCTGCTTTACTAACATCATGCTCTGGCTGTGTTGGACGTTCCTTGGTCTCGGATTCAGGCTCCTGTGGTCCCATTTACTCAAAAACTATTGTCAACCTTAAATATATACCAGTCAGAAATATCAATTGGTATTTAATTGATCTTATAAACCTTACTTACCAGGCTACATCGAAGATGCTGAACTTTTCTGGACAGACGAAGCGCCGAAATGTCAACTTAGGCAGCAAAACGAGTAGAACAAAACAAGACCTTTTGAATGATGCCAAAAAAGAGCGGGAAAAGAGGGCCTTGAACCGCAGAAATGAGGAAAACGCTATTATGATTCAGCGATGCTTTCGGAGATATCTCAGTAATGAAACGTTGATACAGGCTCTTTCGCAAGATGTGACTCCCGAAAAAGCAGCGCAGCTGCTCGCGGCCTTCCCAAAGGCACTGTTGCAGTTTCTACCAGAACCTGAGCTAATAAAAATCTTGGATAGTGTGGTGAACGATGGGAGTCACCCTGCGATCAATCGAGGCCTGATCAAGATGGTCTCAAACTTGGCAACAAAACCTCGAAGCCAAGATTTGTTTTTAACAATCTGGAACAAATACGCTGGTGAATTCCCACCAGATCCTAACTTCGTGGTAGCGCTATTAAAAATGCTCTCTGAGGCATCGTACATCATACCCGATATGGCGCTACAGAAACTGGTAGAGCTCATTGGTGGCTCGGGGCTTCCTCAAACAAGTTTGATATCAAGCATTTTTGGAATCTCTATGAGTGATGCGCAAAAACCACACAATGTTGAGAAATTCCTATATTACTTGGGCTCTTTATGTTCTCCAAGAAATATTTCACCCATGGAAGCCACGCCCGATCTGATTGAAAACCTTTCCTATTTGTTTGTGTCTCTGAACAACAATAATCGCGGCCTGTACGGCCAGATCGTTTTGCGTTGTTTGAAAAACGTTGACTTGAACAGTATGAAAGAGAAACCTTTTTTCAAGCAGCTCTACACAAAGGACTTTGTGGGCACGATAATGCAAAATGGTTTTGATGATCTTTTTGAAGCTTTGTCTGTGTTCATAAGCCAAGCTCCCAACGCGGAATGCAAAACAAATGTTCTGATCAATTTAGTCGCTAGGCCCGAATTCATGGTCCAAGCGCATAAGAAATTTTTTGGCAATTCTCCTCACCAGGTGCCACCAAGAGCCGAAGGCCTTTTACTCATGGAAGTTCTCAATATTTACCTTTCGATAGCCAGTGATCATGAACTTGTGCATAATCAAACGACTTATCCACTTCATTTTCTGAAAGAAACAACTGACTATTTGAGGAAACTATGCTTTCACAGCCTATGGAACTCGAATGATCAAAATTGGACGCTGTCGGGGTCATTTTTGAACACGCTTAAAAAGATACATCTCCGCGATTCCAGACTTCATCTTTTCTCTAGAAACAAGAATCCAGATTACTGGAGTATGGCGGACTCGGAGTTTTCGAACGTCAACATCACGAAATACATTGAAGAATACGAGCAGTTTTATCGAGACCATGTAACTAGTTTGCAAACTGAAGATGAGGATCTGGATGACGCAGAGGTCTTCAAGAAGAAAAGAGATCTTCGCTTCGAGTTTCTTGCCGGAGTTGAAAAGTCGTTTGCAAATCGAGCAACTACGCGGCAGTTTAAGAAGCTCAACATTCTTTTCCGGGTGCCCTTTTTCATACCTTTCCAACAAAGAGTTGACTGGTTATATTTTCTCATTTCTCTGGATCGCAAAAGACTTGACATTGACGCTAACAGCCTTTCGCCCATGATATCTTTCTGGAGTGCAAATCCTATGGCTGCGAAACAAACTGCTACAATCTCCAGAGAAAACGTTCTGGAAGACGCCTTCAATGCTTTCAATCCAATTGGTGAGAGCTTCAAATCAAAGCTCTCTGTCACCTTTGTAAATGAGTTTGGACCCGAAGCTGGGATTGATGGTGGCGGTATAACCAAAGAGTTTCTCACTAGTGTTTCCGACGAAGGCTTCAAGACCGACAAACACAGGCTGTTCGAGCACAATGACAGCCATGAAATTTATCCCTCGGGAAAACTGAAGTCCGCGCAGAGCCTTCGATACCTTTGGTTTTTGGGCAAAGTACTGGGGAAATGCCTGTATGACCACGTTCTTGTGGATGTGACGTTTGCCGATTTTTTCCTGAAGAAAGTGCTGAATGTGAACAATTTTAACTCTTCTTTTGATGATCTTTCCAGCTTTGATTCTTCCTTGTATACAAACGTTGCAAAGCTTCTCAACATGAGCTCCTCTGAATTACAGGCTTTGGGATTGCGATTCGAGACTACCGACGAAGAAACCCTCCAAACCGTGGAACTTGTGCCCAATGGGTCTCACAAGGTTGTGGACAAAACCAACACCCTTCAGTATCTTCTGGCGCTAGCGGACTACAAACTCAACTGGAAACTACGCTCCGGAACTAGGTCCTTCACTGGCGGTCTATACACTATGATTGCACCCCATTGGCTCGAAATGTTCAATTCCATCGAGCTTCAAATGCTAATCTCCGGTGGCGGAAAGGACATAGATCTCTCAGATCTGCGTAAGCATACAGAGTACGGTGAATTCTCGGATCAAGACCAGACGATTCAAGACTTTTGGTCTATTATGGCTGAGTTCGAGCCCAAAGATCGACTAAATCTCGTCAAATTTGTCACTTCTGTACCCAGAGCACCATTACAAGGGTTTAGCTCGCTCAACCCATTATTTGGGATACGCAATGCAGGCCCAGACGTTTCCAGACTTCCCACTGCGTCCACTTGCGTAAATCTGCTTAAGTTGCCGAATTATCAAAATCGTCAAATCCTGAAAAGTAAGCTACTTTACGCCATAAACGCCGAGGCCCGCTTTGATCTTTCGTGAGACAGAAAGTACTTGATAAGAGCGATCTGAAGCTGGTGAACTGGTTCGGTTCCTGTGTTTCCTGGAGTAAGGCTGAACCCAACATCGATTATCACATACCACGTGACGGGAGCCAGGATGAGGTCTAAATTATAATATCTTTACAAATGGAAGCTCTCAACTATCCTTTCACATTTAAACACGGCTAAAAAGCTCATAAGGGACGCCTATTTCAGCTTTCATCGATCATGGGTGGTACCGGTCTCGTTCCACTGGGGCTTGCAGCCTTTTTTGCGGTCTTTTTCTGGGCAAAACGAGCCAACGGAAGCGTTTTACCTATCAGCTCCACTGATCAGACATATGTGCCACCGGACCCGTATGGAAACGGTGATAGCGAGGACTTGGACATAGATTTGATGCTTTTCAGTCTGGCGTTCATGTTTGTGTGCTACTTGATGCTGACTGTGATATATTTCGGAGTGAGGTTCGTTTTGAGACGTTATTTCAGTGCAGGTATTATATTGGGAAATGACAGCGAAGCTGACGTTTCTGGGACTTTGGAAAACCCGAGATGGACTAGCTCGCTGGACGACGCTGAAATGGTTAAAGATAAACTAGCCAAATTGTCCCCGGAGGAGCAATTTTATTACAAACAGGGCGAGGAGTTTATCCGCCAAAATCCGCCTTTGCTGTTGCCAGATCAATCTTCTGGCACTGCTAGTTCGAACCTTTCAGATCCAATAATAAACGAACAGACTTTGCAGTTTATCAACGAGGAAGGTGCCTATGCGTGGGAATTCCAACCTGATCCGAAGCTCCCGAATGATAGCATTCTGGTAGAAAACAAATCCGAGCTTACTTTCCTGAACTTCAACTATGATGTGTCTGTGACAACCAATTTGCCTATTCCACGCTTGAATCGGGTGTATTATTGTGAATTCAAGATTTTTGAGCTAAACACTGCAGGCAGTACCGACAATCACCTCTCAAGAAATGAAGTCATATCGTTTGGGCTGTCAACATCTCCATACCCGTATTTCAGACTTCCTGGAAGACATCATCATTCTGTGGCATATGACTCTAGCGGGGCGCGTAGATTAAACGATTCCTTTGAACTCTCGTCTGAGCTTGCTTCCATATTTCCACGTTGCGAAAAGGGCGATGTCATTGGAATCGGCTATCGTACCAACAGTGGCACGGTATTTTTCACACGGAACGGCAAAAAGTTAAGTGAAAAATCAATCGGTGGTCATATCAAAGGATGGAAGTTCCAATATCTTTACCCAGTTGTGGGTACTAACGTACCGTGTAAAATTCACGTCAATTTCGGTACTTATGGATTTGTCTTCATCGAAGCTAACGTTAAAAAATGGGGCTACGCGAAGTCCGAAGGTGTGAAATTGCCACCACCATCTTACGACAATTACGACCACGATGTTTTGTTAGAAAGCAGCTATGAAGACGATGCTACCGATGATGAAAGTATATCAACCACAGATGGTGATATCATAGATCAGGACGGTCATTTATTACCCCCACCCCCAGGTTTCGAATTTAGCGTCTCTCCGCAACCTTCTAATGCTTGTCAGTATACTCTCAATTCTCTTCCTGCGGAACCTCCAATCTATAATTCGGACGAGCAAGAGGAACTTGTTGAAGAAGATACCTCTCGAGAGCTTGAAGCTCTTGCTGGCGAAGATCAAGAGCCTAACGACTCTTGCGGTGGGAATGATCTGGGCAAAAATACTATGGCCAACCAATTTTTATAGAGCCTATCGAACTATCAACTATTTTTATTTTGTATGTGGTTCAGAAAATGTATAGCTGTTGTAGTGTAAGAATCCAAGCTGGACGAATTCGAAAGTAATTTTATGCTTGCTTAATCAATAATACAATGCTGCTGAAATGTGTTCACTACTCAAAGTTAAAAAAAGATAACCTCGTAGACCTTATGCCAAAGCGCAAAAGGTTTCAGTAGTAGTTTGGAACATTTTTGGTGTTTGAGTTGTTTTGATCCTCGAAAATCAAGAGATTATTAAGGCCTCCTTGTTCTTCATTTCCAACGTCTGATTTTAAAAAATCTGGGGTTCGTGGTACATTAGGGTCGGTGTAGTTGGACGGTACATGTTCATTTTCGGTAGATGATTGGGGCTGTTGCGTGTAGGACTGAGCCTGTGCAGTTGAAGAGGGAGCAAACTGACCATTGTTTTGTTCATTCATTCCATACATGCCATCCTGATCGTTGAAACTATCAAAAAAAGGCTGCTGGTGCTGACCCATGGAGTGAGGTTCAGGATGGAGTATGAGAGGTTGCGCGTCGGAAACATTCAGGGGGTCTCGAGATCTGCCACCGTAATCCTGTATCGTTTCATTCATAAAATCCAAGTGCTCCTTTGTACCCACTATGACGTGGGGGAAATTGGTTCCTCCAACAAAAGCTTCGCTCACTTGTCTTCCTTCTGAAAAATCTTCACAGATGGACCATTGGTTTGAGGAATACTGATCTACGCCGTCAGAGAAATATACTGCGAAGGTTGGGGATTTGGTGACGTTGAGTCGAAGCTCAAAGAGCTGATCTTTGCTTCGTACCTCATCGGTGGAGTGAGAGTCCTCGTCGTCTTCTTGTCCAGGGTGGGGCGATTCTTCTGAGGCGACCGCAACAGAGCAATTCACAGCAGTGTTCATTGGGAAGAAAATGCGGAACAATATTTTGGTGTTGTTTGCGATAGCACTGAAAAAATAGTTTATTTCATGATTCTTCTTGGATATCAAGACCATAAGATCTGTGGCATTGGCCATAATCTCGTTGATTGAGAACGGCGACAAATTTGAGAGACTTTGAAGAGTTGGAAGTTCTTCTTTTTTCAAATTTCCACTTTTCAGACGTTTCCAAGTACCCACAGTGAGAGATTTGACGTCCAAAAAGCAGTAGTTTGGATTTGTGTCCAGCGGGATGCGATCAAAGTCTGCTGCTGGATATGCAGCATTGGTAGCAGCACTTACATCTGTAGTGGTCGTGACTGAACTCCCGTTTCTTCCGGGTCCTCGACTGTGGGAGTTGCCACCAGCGCCACCCATACCTCCACCAGGTGCGGTTCCCGACTTGCGGTGCTTGGCACGTCTATTTTGGAACCAAATACGAACATTTTTCTCAGGAAGTCCTGTCAGTTCCGAAATACGTTTACGATTTTGAGCGTTTGGATTTGGGTTATCATCGAATTCCCGCTTCAAAACGTTCAACGCTTCGCCTGTTGCCCTTGTCCTCTTGGTTCTTGGTCTATCTCCTGTGTCGCCCTGTGCACTACCCGAGCGCGAGATGTTTTGCGCTTCGTTGCTGCTTTGGTTGTCCCCTCCTATGTGATTGTTGTTGTTATTGCTATTCTGAGCGTCTCCGTTATTCAAATTTGGCGCCACGTCGTATGCGTCCTGATACTGGGTCTGGTATTCCATTCCACTGCCGCCGTAGTCTTCCATTATCTGTGTTTACTGTGGGAAGGGAGCGACAAGTTTGTTTCTTGACAGTTATAAACACAACTTCACCAATAATGATGCTATTTCAACGCTGAAAAAACGGACGCAAACGTCTTTATCGGTAGAATCTCTGGGTCTTTATTTCGATGCACAGGAACAAGCCTAAATTCTATGGCTTCAAGAGCTGCAATTCCTGCTCAAAAATCCCGATTTTTCGCGATTACAGTTGCTTTATTTCGGTGAGTAGTAGTTGTTATATTACATTGAAGTTTATGATCGTTAAAGATTTTGGAAAAATAGGACATGTACTTTTGTACGAAGGGTCATGCCGATTTTAAACGTTATTATGATTATTATTCAAAAAACGACAGTTTGGGGGAAAGTGATATGGAAGAGACTAAGTGAGTGAACCGTGAATGGGAAAGAAGTGTGCATGCGGTGAGCAAGCGATGCATAAAGCGTGGATTAAATTTGCGAGTTTTGTTTTATACGGTGTCTTTTGTGTGTGGTTCGAAATGCTCAAAAAGGTGATTGTTGAAGACAATGGTATGGATTGAGGAAAAAAAATTGGAAGAGAATTTGAAACGACGAGCAGGCCCAGTCTTTGGGAATTTAGCTAATCGGTTTGGCTTTTACTGTGCGAAGCACCTAGGCAGAAATTATTTGATATTCCAGAATTTCAAATATATTGAACTTCGATATTTGTAAAAAGGCGAAATCTGCTAAAGTCATGGTTTCTAGTCACAAAATTATTGAGAATCAGTCTAGCAGTGAAATTAACAGATCAAGCATACCTATCGGATCAAATCGACGTCTATTGCATGGATAACGTTTCTCGGTTGCTTATATCACGTGACCTTCGAGATGACAGCGACGTTCTAGGTGGAAAGTGATCTCGAGCCTATTTGAATTTGAATGAGATTGAGAAGAGAAGTTCATGGTCGCTCACCACAAGGTTCAATTGAATCGTAAAAATGCCAATGTATGCACTTTACAAAATTATGGAAAACAGATTTGGTGTTGTTAATTTTGCCCTGGAACGGTAGTTTGATTTTTTTTTTGTATATCAAAAACTAAACTTTCCCGGACACTTGCCTTTCACAGCGGCTTGGTGAGAGAATGATGTACGGATAAAATCACTTTTTGCAATGCCTGAAACTATGATATCAGTCTTCAGTCATGTCCCTTGTTGCAAAACGTATTGAAGTGAATAGACACTGTCCGGTCACGTGACCGGCGTCAGCATACGGCCCTGGTGACGAAGTGACTTCTCAGACCAACAGTAAGGCGCCCTTCCTGTACAGAGGAAGCACTCAGAACCATCAAGCATTGTCTATAGCTTCCAAACTATGCTGCTAATTCTTTTCCGGCTGGTCTTTTGAATCTTTTTCCCTATGTGCGGCGTAATAGTGACAAAGTGCCAAAACCTGTGGACCACCTTTAAACATTCAGGTATAGTTCAAGTTCTATTCATCTCTACATTACCTTGTTTGAGCAGCTTTGAACAATTTTAAAGTCAATTGTTTTTGAACTTCTATAATTTTGACGACAGATATCAAGAATTGTCACATCAACCTTTGATAAAATAAAACTCACCTTACAACTACCTTGAAATAATCTAAACCTTCCTATATATTTTGTACAGGTGCAATCTGCACATTTTTGAACTCTATGAAAATTCACAACAAAGTCAGAACATCTTAGTCCGCATCTCTGCTTTGTATCCTAAAAAACTGAAATTTACGCAATCAACTCTCATGGCCATCAAACCAAAATTCAATTGCATATTTTACTATATTTCTTGTTCTCACTATCACCCACTCACTTCTGAACCAATCCAGTGGATACTTTACTTGCCTAAATGAAGGACAATTATCGCAATAGGTCTCACAGTTATGAGATTCGCATATAATTCTGTTATTTTCCCCTCTGTAACATATTCCTTGTTGCCTCAACAAACGCACCCGACTAAAAATCAAAACTTTACTATGTTGGTCTATACACATTTTATAAGAGATCGAAGGAAATGCAGGTAGAGTTTATGACCGATTCTTGACAAAATTTTATAGACTCCGTTTTACCTGGGGTTTAGTCACCCAAGTTCACGTAAACGGCCTTCACATTTGTGAAGTTTGAGAGTCCATATTCTCCTAGCTCACGACCGTGACCGCTCATTTTCACACCGCCAAAAGGCAAGGCAAAGTCCACAATGTTTGACGAGTTAATGTAGCAAATACCTGCCTCCACCTGGGAGGCAAATTTGTGGGCTTTGGTGATATCGCGAGTGAAGACAGCAGACCCCAAACCGTAGCTGGAATCGTTAGCAATAAGAAGAGCTTCTTCGTAAGTGGAGAACTTACCCACCACTATTACGGGCCCGAAAATTTCTTCGCGAGCTACAGTGTGGTCTGGAGTGATATCCGCCAAAATGGTAGGCTTGACATAAAATCCGCTCTTGTATTTGTCGGATTGGGCAATTACATCGGGCAATCCAGGACCCCCAAGTGCCACACGGCAGCCTTCGTCAATACCCTTTTGGATATAGTATTGGATGCGTTCCTGTTGTTTTTTGGAGATTTGAGGACCAACTTTCACGTTAGGGTCTGTGGGTGGACCAACAATAAACTTTTCCTCCACATGCTTAGCCAAAGCGTCCACAAACTTTTCATAGATGGATTCTTGAACAAAACAACGAGAAGTTCCCGAGCATATCTGACCCATGTTGTTAAAAATTCCGTCTGCGGTCCATCTGATGGCCTTTTCCAAATCGGTGTCTTCAAACACCACGTTGGGCGATTTCCCACCGCATTCCAAAGTGACAGGTTTCAAGTTGACGGCAGCAGACTGCTGGATGAGCTGACCTACGGGTGTGGAGCCGGTGAATGCGATTTTGTCGATGCCCAAATGCTTAGCCATGGCGTCGCCGACTTTTGCGCCTGTGCCGGAAACAACGTTGAAAACGCCCGGTGGGAAACCGGCCTCTTTGGCGAGATTGGCAAAATATAGAATTGAGAGCGGGGTTTGTTCGGCGCTCTTGAAAACGGTAGTGTTTCCGGTTGCTATGGCGGTCCATTTCCACGCCATCATTGCGAGTGGATAGTTGAAGGGGATGATGCACCCAACAACGCCCAGAGGCTGGTGGATGGTGTATGTCAGCAAATTTGGGTTGGGACTGAACGATTGGCCCTGAGCTTTGTCGGCCCAGCCGGCGTAGTACTTGAGTGCCGCGGCAAGGCCCATGATGTCGCCCTTGGCGTTGGCCTCCAGTGGTTTGCCGCTATCGAGGGATTCTACTTTGGCGAGCTGTTCGGCGTCGCGTTCCACGAGAAACGCCAATTTCAGCAGCAGGTCACGTTTCTGCGTGGCGGGCGTGTCTCTCCACACGGGGAACGCCTTGCGAGCCGCTTCAACGGCTTTGTCAACGTCGATTTTGGCGTCTGCGGCCTGGACCGCGACGATCACCTCACCTGTGGATGCGTCGATTGATTCGATAGTTTCGTCTCCAGAGGACTCCACCCATTCATTGTTTATGAACAGCCCTAGTGGTTGTTTGTAGGAGCCGCCGGACGGCAGCGAGATTTCTTGGAACAGGTCTTTCATAGCGTGTGTGTGTGTGTGTGTGTGTGTGCGTGTGTGTGTAGCGATTTTATGTACAGTTGGCAGCCTTAGGAGCTCTTGGCAGCCTTTGGTAGTCTTTTTTTTGGTATTGGCGGTTAAAATAACTGAAAGAGTGAACCCCAGTATGGATCCCCAGATCTCAAATCTTGTCTCGCCTTTTATACCTGGAATTTTTCATTTTCCCGCCAGCAACCACAAACAATGATTAGGGGTACCCGCCCGATAAGGAAAAAAACTGACAATTTACCAGAGATAAGCAGCATTTGCGGTCACGTGTATACGATTAATTTTAAGCGCCATTTCGGCAAGTAGAAGACTGACTGGATAAATGACTGGAGACTTGTCCACAGGACCGACTCGATAAATAGATAAACCCAGACAAGCTGATAAACTAGATAAAGTATATAAACTAGATAAGATAGATAGATAGATAGATAGATATAACATAGATTCAAGAAACATACGTGTAAGTTCACTCAATCGCTCGGGAATCCACATCCACAGAACCCATTCTGACTTCACTAATAATTTGGTGGCGGAAAAGGGTCTTTCTGGTTCTATCTAATGCGAAATCCCGAGTCCAAACTTAGCTTTGTTGCGCGTATCGTCGTGGGCGTCCTACTTGTTCTTAATGAAATCTCAATCGCAGTTTGACTTACGAGTGACAGTTTTCGCTACATTTTGCCAAATTGAACGCGATTTTAAGACAATTCCAGCTCGTAATTTCGCCTTGCAGAACTCTCTCTTGGTTTAGCTCGACGTCTCTGCCGGGTTTCTACAACTACAATCGACAAATCTAACATGACGGTCAATAATTACAACATGTATATACATACTCTTTAGACAAGACAAAACTGATAACAACCAAACAAGCATGAAGAACTAAGAGCTTTCGAGTCAATTCACTCAGCATCGTAAACTGCTTGTCCACTTTCTCAGACTGTCTTTTCGGCTTCGCTTACAGGCGGGAATCTGTCTTATCTTTTGTCTATGGAAATTCCTGTAGGCTAGTTAGTGGAAATTAGTATATAAATAATAGTCCAGGTCAAAAACCTTGACAAATCCTAATGCGAAAAGTTGGAATATCAGAAGAATCTGACCAGTTCTGAGCTTCTGCTATCGACACAGCAGTTCTTTCAGATCTAAATACCAAATTTCTCGCTGCCTTATACAGTTTTCTATAGCTATGTCTACTCTATCCACCGATATCTCGATCCCGCAACTAAACATCACCTACAAGCAGCCATTGGGCTTGTACATCAACAACGAGTATGTGGCGTCCAGTGACGGTAAACAGATCGAAACGGTCAATCCGGCCACCAACACGACCATCACCTCGTTTTACGCGGCTTCGGAAGCAGACGTCAACACTGCCGTGGTAGCAGCCCGTCAAGCGTACGAACAAGTTTGGAGCAAGACCTCTCCAGAACAAAGGGGCCGTCTGTTGCACAATCTGTGCCAGCTGATCACAGAAAACAAGGAATTGCTTGCAGCCATCGAAACGCTCGATTCGGGCAAACCATACTACTCCAACGCCCTCGCAGATATGGACCAAATCACGCAGCTCACCAACTACTACGCAGGCGCTGCTGATAAGCTCGTTAAGGGCCAAATGATCCCCATCAGTCAGGATAAATACGCCTACACCGTTCAGGCGCCCTACGGAGTCGTTGCCCAAATCGTACCTTGGAATTACCCTTTGGCAATGGCCAGCTGGAAAATCCAAGGTGCCCTGGCTGCTGGTAACACCATTGTGATCAAGCCTGCAGAAAACACGTCTTTGTCGCTCCTGTATTTCGCCCAGCTATTCGAAAAAGCCGGTTTCCCACCAGGCGTGGTAAACGTGTTGCCAGGTCTGGGCGCTGTCACGGGCTCCAGCTTGGCTTCCCACAAAGACGTCGACAAAATAGCCTTTACCGGTAGTACTGCCGTGGGCCAAAAAGTCATGGCGCTTGCTGCCACGTCCAACTTGAAAGCAGTGACGCTAGAATGCGGTGGCAAATCTCCCGCCGTGGTTTTCGAAGACGCAAACCTCGACGAAGCCGTCAAATGGACTACCGCTGGTATCTACTACAACTCGGGCCAAAACTGCACCGCAAACTCGCGTTTGCTCGTGCAGGAATCCATCTACGACAAGTTTATGGAAAAATTCACCAAATTCGCCCAAGAAGAATGGAAATTCGGCTCCAGTCTCGACCCTTACGACGAGTCCTGCACCGTGGGACCTGTCATTTCCAAAGCACAATACGAAAGAGTCCAGGGCTACATTGAACATGGCAAAACCCAAGAGAAACTCAGTGTAAAGCAACTCGGCTCACCAGGAGAGACTAACGGTTTCTTTATTCCCCCCACCGTCTTCACCGATGTCACTGCAGAGTCCAAACTTGCCCAGGAGGAGATTTTTGGGCCTGTCGCGGTGGTTCTCAAGTTTAAGGACTACGATGAAGCTATTGCACTAGCCAACAACACCACTTACGGATTGGCATCGGCCGTTTTCACGGAAGATATTCGCAAGGCCAATCATTTCGCCAGAGACATTAAAGCTGGAACTGTGTGGGTCAATTCCTCCAACGACGAGGAGATCTCCGTTCCCTTTGGTGGTTTCAAAATGAGCGGGATTGGCCGTGAACTAGGTGAAAGCGGTATGGAAGCTTACACTCAAACAAAATCGGTTCATGTCAACATTTCCAAACTCTGAATCAAACGTTAACAAGAACCTTCACAAGAAGAATCCTGTGAAGTAAAAGCGATGTCGTATCATCCAGCTTATGGGGACCAGCCAAGGCTACAGTTCCGCCCATCGCGCCGTCTACAATCTCGTTCAAAGTGAATGATCTAGCTCATCATCACACTAAATAAATAGTTATGTCCAAGACTCTTGTAGAAAACATGGACTATTACCGCTCAATGCCACTTTTACGACCATGATTCCTCGATCTAAGCCTGCTCAATCGAAAGGACCCTGCTCAATATGTATCAAGCGTAAGGTCAAGTGTGATCGAGAAGTACCCTGTGTCAACTGTGTTAAGAGAGGTGAACAGGACAAATGTATATCTTCTCATAACAGTTCACTAAACAAGGCAGGAACAAGTGATAGCGATAGCAAGCGAGAATACCTGGTTCTCTGGCAAGCTTACAATACCTGGGTTTTCGATTATGGTTTATGGGAACAGAATAGCCAAAGCTGGATTACGAAACGTCAAGACAGGAAAAGATGGGACTGGAGGCTGAGAACGGAGACCTCGGAAGCTTGGATTGATTTGCTGAATTCAGAAATGTCCTTCAAACTGCTTGATTACTCGGTGCAAAAGCTGGGGGCGTTATTTTTTGGCATTTTGAGCGATGTGGGAGAATTGTATACAGAACTGGAAGAATACTGGACCCGATTAAAAGCTTCAGCAAACGATTTTACGCCGGAAAACCACTTATGGAATGCCCTTCTTTGGTCGGTTTTGACCTTGGCGGTGTATCATATACCTCTGGGTACTCTGGAGACAATAATGTTGGAATCGCAGTTAGCTTCGATGCAACAAGAATTACAAGTCAATGGGCTTACTGAACAGGTTCGATCGGAAATCGCTAGTGATTACGCTGGTGTTTCTTTACAAATGCTTAACAGGGCCAATTTCATGGCGTTTCCAGACGTGAAAATAATACAAACGTATCTAGTACTTGCCTCGACTTCATTTCCGATGGATGAGCCAGCACTCTTCAACAGTCTCCTTACGCATTGTCTGCATCTTGCAAAGCTTTTGGAGCTGGATCTGTTCAGGCCCTCTGTGGCTGATGCGACTGACTTGAGACTGACAAAGCTGGCATGCGAAAAGATATGGTATCGCTTGTGCGTCCACGATTACTGGCAGTCTGGAGTCAACAAACCATTGTCCATTCACGAGACTAACAACTCATTGCTCAGTCATGCTGCTTTCTTGATGGACAAACCGAACATCGATGTCTACCAAAGTGAAGATACCTTTGAGGCTCTTCTATGGAAAGTCGTTTCCTTAGATCGGGATATCAACAAGTATGTCAGCACACAGGCAAAACCTCCGCTCAAGACATTGGATGCTGTACAGAGACAAGTGGACATCTTCATACGCAAGGCGCAGGCGCTCGACGTTAAAAGCTTCATTAGTGTCAAAGGTGAAAGTTTCATCATCGGCTTCTTACTCAACGCTGTCAATTGGAAGATCGCTAACCTTACTTACACTCACTATGACTCGAAGTCGGGCCATGTTAAGCTGTATCAATATTCAACAATGATGGTCGCTCAAATTCTTCAGAATACCAAGACCGAAATGGCATTTTTGAACAAATTGCCATTTGTGATAAAGAATATAATGACGACGCTGGGTTTTCACTCCCTGTGTTTCGTATTTGATCGTTCAGCGTTAAATGAGCAACTGGCTTTTGACCTAGCGGAAGTATGCGACATTCCAGAATTGAAGAGCAACAAAACTTTGAAAGCTGCCTGTGCTTTGGCAGGAAGACTCAGAGAATTGAAGACAGTTTGGCGTAAAGTTCGCGTAGTCGATGACGGGGAGTCTCTCAGTCATCCGGTTTACAAGGTTTTAGAAAACGACATTTTGGCGCTGAAGGAAATAAGTAGGAGACAGAACCGTCTGTTTCTTAAGTGGGATAGACGCAATGACAGTGTTTCACCCGACGACGATGACGAAAAACGAGGTCGTGAATTCATGCTGATTGTCAGAAATTTCGAAAAGACGTTCAACTTACGCAAAATTCTTGACCAAGATCAGTACAATTAGCAACGTTCGAAGACTTTGTACAACCCGGGCAAATTTGCCACTTCAACAACACTTTTTTTCAAGTGATTGGGCACTAAGAGCCTCTTTTTGATGCAGGGAAAGATTGTCTGTTCTAGAGTAGTGGTCATCAGATCTAATTTCGTAACGTATGCGACCCGCGCATCGTTCTCTACCGTGTCATCAGCAAGATTTACTCGTTCTATAATTTCCGGAACGTACAAAAGAGCAATCTGTATCAAGATGCCCTTCAAACATAACATCTCTTCAGACCAGTCGATTTTGGTGCCCAGTCTGTAAAGAAAATACGGCAGTTTCGATAAAGGAGGCATGTAGCCTTTCAATAATAATGGCAAGCTTGTGATCTTGATGGAATCCAGATTACCTTCATCACCACTAAGCTCTATCGAAAAATATTCGTCCAGCATATCTTTCATGTCCCATAATTTCTGCAATAACGACGGTAGGAAGTTTTCGTTAGCACTTAGCGTATCGCATAGAGTCTTCTTGATCGAGATTCCTTCACCATCTTCGGAACCTAGATAGATTTTGCCAAAGTTGGCGAAATCCATGAGTCCGATCTGGTAAAACAGATTATAACAGATTGAACCATAGTCAACCAGATATAACCTTAGGTCATGTTGAATTGTGGCCAGTCTTCGCTGTTCGTCCACTATTCCCACGTAAGTCAAATTAGCAAAAGCATTCGTGAGGTCAGTATTAGTGTCATCGTCAACCATTCTTCTTAAAGTTTTGATACTCGCCAGATTGACCTCCGTCCGCTCTTTTCTCAGTACCGAGTACGAAAGATTTCGGCTGTTCGACACAGGATCGTTGCTTTCGTTTTCGTGAGCAGCTGAATGCGGTGGTTTCTTGACAGAGTCATTCTGTGAAGCTTGTGTATCGCCAGCATTCCGCACAAAATCTGGATTGTGATCAAAAGTCTTCAGATAGTTGGTGATTTTATCCTGCGAAGAATCTATCCGCACCATTTTGTTTTCTTGACGCTTGATCTTGCTCACGCTAGTAGCAATAGGCATATTGTTGATCAAATGAGAATGCGGCTGCCCTAGGCCTTCTCTAACGGATACTGGATTGGGTGTGAATATTGATGTAGTTTTAAAAGAGCGTGAAGTGTCCACGCTTGCCAAAGCGTCTTCTAATTGATTCGCCACCAGCCCAATGATCTCTTCATCATGCAAAAAGCGAACCTCTTGCTTTGTTGGGTGGACATTAACGTCAACTAGGTCCGGACGTACACTGAGACTGAGAAAGATATACGGCTTATTGCCCTTAGCCAGGTAGGAGCCATATACCTGATTCATGGCACGTCGCAATGGATCGCAAGTGACCAGCCGGTTATTTATGAACAGTACCGGAGAAACGGCTTTCTTGCTCACAAAATTCAGGTTGCTAACCTGACCTCGTCCAGATACGCCAATTTCTGCATTTTCAGCTATGTTCAGCTCTACCAAGTTCTCAGCTACCGCGCGACCAAAAACAGCTCGTATTCTTTCTCTTGTTGTAGCGCTTGCCTTGATGGACAAAGCAAACTGTGCCTCACCGAACTTCTTGCATGAGAAACCGATATGAGAAGCGTTGATGGCGTAACGACCCACGCAGTCTATGATTTTGGCAAATTCCTCGTTTGAAGATCTCAGAGAACGCAATCTCGAGTGTACGTTATAGAACAGATCCTCTACGAGAATAACCGTGCCATCACGTCCTCCTGTGGGTTTGGGGGTCCCCAACATCTTGCCCGCCGCGTACGACACTTTCCATGCACAAGCTTCGTCTCGCGTTTTGGTTGTAACAGTGACCCGAGCAATGTGGGATATGCTGGCCAGTGCTTCGCCTCGAAATCCGTAGGTCTGGAGCGAATGCAAGTCTTCGAAAGCAGCAAGTTTAGATGTTGTGAAACGCTCACATAAAATTGGTAAGTCATTTTTGTTGATTCCAGATCCATTATCGGTCAACTGTAGTACTTTGAGACCTCCATCGCGAACCAGAACCTCAATAGACGTTGCACCGGCATCAATTGAGTTTTCCATCATCTCCTTCAAAGCATTTACGGGTCGCACAATGATCTCGCCAGCTGCGATTTTGTTGACTACCAATTCATCCAATGCCTGACGTTCAAACGCAGTAAAGTTAGTCAAAAGTATATTCAAAAGAATCCTGAAGCCAGTATCAACAATTTCTCACTTACTCTGATGGCCGAAGGCATCTTTGACAGCTACTATTTGTTGTGAACGTTGTACTTGACTATAATGATGAAATGAAATTAACATCTCATCTCATCTCATCTCATCTCACTTGGATACTCAACACATAACATTTGGCACAAATGGCGAAGAGGAGCGCCTCTGAAGCCGCTGAGCAGGTAGAGAAACATTTCAAAGTTGAGGAAAGCGATGCTACTGCCTCGCCGACGCCTGTGCCACAACCCCCGGACGCTGGCGACGACATTAGACCATCTGAACATGACTTAGAAGCCAGCTCCGGCAACAACATTGAATTGTCTGAACAGGAGTTACAAGCCATGTACAGAGACTTGGACCGCAACATAGGGCAAGATAGAGTTGAGGCAACAAGAAATGGGGACATCCAGATTGCGCTGAAACGGTTGGAAGCTGCTGATGAGCTGTTCGAAAAAGTGAAAGCGTCAAATTCTCATAAAAATTCGTTGTTCGAGCAGGATTCGCGGACTGTGCTGGGGGTAAGTGAACTTGCAGAGCTCAGTGTTCGTAACATGAAGTTGGAAAACTCGCAATTAGCTGTTAACAGAGGTGATATAGTGGGATACGCGAAACAGTACATGTTACATGAGTATTTCGAACGAAACAACATCCAAGAAGGTCGTCGAGCTACAGGGGTGGCGGTTGGCAGTGAAGAGAGTGAAGTCAGTGGGTTAAGGCAGCATGGACGAGAGCAAGAAAACTTCCAGCGTTTCGAGCAATACGATAGCTTTGCACAGTTTAATTGGTTTAAACTAGGAATGTTGTACCAGACCACGTCTAGGGCGCCGGCCGTCTTGGACCATCTGTTGGGACCCTTCGGGGCAGAGAAGAAAACTCGCACCTTTACGCAAGGTACGAGAGCAGCTGCTGATCCCGTGGGGGTTTCGGTAACGGCTCAAAGAGTCGGGAAGGACGGGCTGGGAGCCACGCAAGAGAAAACAACACCAGGACAGGTAAAAAGGTGTTTCAAGACATTGATTAACAAAAGGGGCTACAAGCAAATCGGACTTTATCAATTTGCCATCGATTCACGGTCCTTCGCGAGATCTGTTGAAAACCTTTTCTACACCAGTTTTCTCATAAAGGAGGGCAAAGTTGTTTTAGAAGAGGACGAGAATGGATTTCCAGCTATTCGCGCGGCAAACACCAAGTCTGGCGACGCAAATGATTCGAGTCATGCAAACATTGATGCTCGACAGAATCATCTCATCTTCCAAATGGACATGGCAACTTGGAGAAAACTAATACGTCACTTTGATATACAAGGTTCTTTCATTCCCTAAGATGGGACATTTACATGAGAAATCAGAAGAAGAGGGGGGTGATTCAAGTCGGAGGCTGGAGCAATTTGTTAATGGGCCATTTTTTTATCGGGCTTGTTTCAAGTTCTGTCGTAAGGCCTAGAGTTTCGTGGAGTTCGATTCCAGCCCATCCGATCATTACTGCATTGTCGGTACATAATAGGGGATCGGGATAGTAGACTTCATCGAAATGGTCTGCTAATTCAATTTGAAGTTTCTGCTGAAGTCTTTTATTGGCTCCCACACCACCAGAGCATACCAGTTGCCGGATATCCTTGAAAATGTCCGGTCTCATACGGATAACAAGCTTGAGTTTCGTTACTAAATGATCAAACAATGACTCCTGAATTTGGTACGCCATGGATCTCCTTTCCCGGTCGGTATACAATTGAATGTCCTTTTGAAGATTTTGACGAACGGCCGTGAGAAATGGAGCAAAAGAGAATTTCTGCACATTCATGCGTCCGTTTTGGTTACGAAGGGGCGAAGGGAGGATCATTGGAAAAGCACCACTACAAGCATCCCCTAGGTCTTCATTTATGAAGGATTCCATGCATTTGGCAATCATAATGCCTCGAATACCGATTTCTCGCGCACATTTATCCAAGGAATCGCCAATAGCGATATCTATAGTATCGCAGAGGATTTCGTGCTCGTCCAAAGATCTCGAGAGAACCACAAGAGTGTGACCACCGCTGACAAGAAGGCTCACAAACGGGAAATGCGGTTTAGCGCCATTATGTCGCATACGGGGGACCAGCAGATGGCCCAGCATGTGATGCACGCCGATCATAGGTTTATTCCATGCTACGGCAAGGCCCTTGGCGAAATCAAGACCTCCTGAAAGAGACCCAGGCATCCCGGGGCCTCTCGTAACGCATACCAGGTCAATTCCACCGAGTGATCCTGTTGTGGCGAGTGCTTTTTGCACCAAAGGGCCTATTTTTCGTTGGTGGTGCAAATGCGCTCGTGTGGGTATTATTCCCCCGTCTTGTCCGCTGTCAAGAGTATCTTTTAGATGTGTCAGCAATTGAGGTGCTTCTCCGCTACTTTTACGATCCAAAATCGCCACACAGGTGTCATCACAGCTGGTTTCGATGGCTAAAACCTTGTAAGCTCTTGAGAGTTTTTGGAAGGTAGATACACCGCCGAGAAGGCTATTTCTGGCGCCAGAATTAGCACAGTAGCGACCTGCTGCGCATATCAGCATGTGGAGAGTATCAAAGACTTAAGAAGTGAGATTTGAAGGTCTGATTTGCGGGTTTCTGGAACGGTTTTGGTTTAGCGATGAGCTACGATGCGATCACTTTGAAGCTGTGATTAAATCTGACTGTGCTCATTTTTCACGAAGTGCTTCGACAATAGAGCTTTTCCATTTTTACTATGGCCATTGGGATCCATTGGGATCCATTGGATACCTGGTTTTTCTGTATGGAGTGTCAGTGTTGGTACTGTCACCACTTGAGATTCTGGTGCGTTTTCTGGGGTTCATTTTGCATGTTTGAAGACTAATTTTGAGTAGAATCCAAACAAAGCGCAGGAGGAAAAATCAAAAAGGAAGGCTAGGCTTTATGCCAATTTCACGATGTGGTGCGGAACGGCGTGTCGAGCTTTTGTCTTGAACTGGCAGGAACAATTGGGACGCATTTTCAATTTTCTATCCGTGGCCCACGATCCATGAATTATCTTCCAATTTTCAATCCTCTTTGAATCACAATAAGGACAACGTCTCGTTCGGAGGCAATTTGCTCGTTTCGGTGGCCTCATGTCTCTGTCTAAAATTTTCTTTCGTTTTGAACTGGAAAAACACTGACGACAGCGCCCAAAAAATAGGAACAATAACGTTGCATCAGCTGCAATTACATACACAATACATGCCACTAATCAATATCGTCAAACTTATAGAGCCTGTTTATCGCTATACAACATCCAAAGTCTCAGTTCCTTTCTCTGGGCCTAACCATCTAACCGATCCTCTTGTCAATTACCGACCCAAACCTCTACTCGTATGTCGAAAATTGATTCGTCTCGAGATATGAAAACATATTTCTAAACCTGTTCTCGCAACTCAACTGTGCTTTCATCACTCTAGGAAAACACCCTTGGAAGTGACCCATCGGGGCGAACTTCTCTTTATCGAGACTCTGGATCGACCAACCTGTGGCAGCCTGTGGGCAGATGTTCTCGTTCACCTCGTCAATACCTGTAATACGACCCCATGAACAGCCGTCTCGGAGCCCTGGCAGCTGGTCGAGTGACGATGCAAGAGCTGATAGAGCTTCAGAGTCCGGTGGGAAAGATACAGAATACAGTCCTATTGTGCATTGCATCTTGGCGGGAGGCATAGGCGGCGCCATCGGTGATTCTGTAATGCACTCGCTCGACACAGTTAAAACACGACAGCAAGGCGCTCCCAACGCTGTGAAATACAGACACATGCTTTCAGCCTACAAAACGATTTTCATGGAAGAAGGGCTGCGCAAGGGCCTTTACGGAGGATACAGTGCGGCAATGATAGGCTCTATGCCCAGCGCAGCCATTTTTTTCGGCACGTACGAGATACTCAAACGCACCATGATCGACGACTGGGCCGTCAACGAGACCGTTACGCACCTCACAGCAGGCCTGGGCGGTGATCTGGTTTCCAGCGTGGTTTATGTGCCCAGTGAAGTGCTCAAAACGCGGCTACAACTGCAGGGCCGTTACGGAAATCCGCATTTCCACTCGGGCTACAACTATGTCAACCTCAGACACGCAGCAGCTACCATCGTGAAGGTTGCGGGCTGGCAGACGCTGTTTTTTGGATACAAGGCAACGCTCAGCAGAGACCTGCCATTCAGCGCGTTCCAATTTGCATTTTACGAAAAATTCCGGCAATGGGCCTTCGGGCTCGAACGGAAGTCACAAAACCAAGACCTTTCGGTCGTAAGCGAGCTAGTGACTGGTGCTGCTGCTGGTGGTCTTGCGGGCATTTTGACCACTCCGATGGACGTGATCAAGACCCGTATTCAAACTCAAATGCCGTCGGGCCAATCAGCCAAAGACCAGCAACTGGTTCGGATTGAAAACTCGCTGTTGAAAGGTCTTGCGGCCGTCTACAGATCTGAAGGTGCCTTGGGCTTTTTCAGTGGCGTGGGGCCCCGATTTATATGGACAAGCGTCCAGAGCAGTATTATGCTGCTATTGTACCAAATCACACTTAAGTCGCTCGATCGCTCCCCATAGAAAACGAGCTCATCACTGTCTCAAAACTCCACCCTCTGCATCTCCCATCGCTACCCTTACAATGCCCCTTCCTGAACCCTTTCTTGTACATACTGCAATTACATGGGCATGGTTTTCGAGAGCTTTGGAAGTCGAAAATATACCAATTAGCAATGCCTAGTTTCGCTGCATTATTTACATATTCGAACACTATTCATGCACTCCAAGTCACAAAAATTGCACTGCTACCAAAATCTGTAGTCTCTTAAAGATTGGTGCTGTTGAATCTGTAGGTTGATCGTGAATTAATGTGTACAGTATTATAATCATAACCTCTATAATAAACGTAAAATGCTTCCACCGGGATTCGAACTAAGGCTTTTTTCGAATGATTATCACTTTTTACTTTCGAGTCGCAAAATGTTGAAATATTGAAATATCGTTTAATATATATATAAAGTATCTCATCCAAGTAACTACCCTTTAACTCAACACCTCGTCCCATCTCTCGTTGTTTAAGCATCTCACTATCACTGGTCTTGACGATGCAGTTCGTTGAACGTGCAATAGGCTCAGTCTCGAAGACCTGGTCTTCGATCAACCCTGCAACGCTATCTGGAGCTATTGACGTTGTGGTTGTGGAACACCCGGATGGCAGACTGGCATGTTCTCCGTTCCACGTAAGGTTCGGTAAATTTCAGATATTAAAACCATCACAGAAGAAAGTTCTGGTTTCTGTGAATGGACAGCCCACAAACATCCCCATGAAGTTGGGGGACTCAGGAGAAGCCTATTTTGTGTTCGAAACGGAAGCAGACGTTGAAAGTATTCCTAACGAGCTCATCTCCTCGCCTGTAGTAAGTGCGGCCAGCAGCCCATCTTCAGTTCCAGACGATACACAAACTACAAGCACGACCTTGGAAGAACCGGATTTTTTGGACATAGGTAAGCCCGTGCAGGTTGATTCGCTGATCCCATCTACACCTCCACCATCTAGAAGACACTCAGTTTTCGAGGAACGGGCACGAAGACTGAACCAAAAATTGCAGGAGAAGCAAATACCGAGCAAATTCGATAATAATGGCGATTTGCTGCTAGATATTGAGGGTTACAAACCCAGTAAGGATAAGGTGCAAAATACGGACGCCATGTTGAAACAGCTGCTGCAAGACGAACTAGGGACGGAGTTTGACATCTCGTCCTTTGTCAAGGAAGATCGCAGTGGAAACATGCGAATCGTGAATCCGGGAGACGACGGAGCTCTTTTGTCACCTCCTGGCTCTCCCACACCCTTAGCAAGTGAGGACTTGGACATCCCCAGCTCATCGCTATCGGGGACATCTACGCAGACCTCTATAACCACCTCGACAGAGTACACGCCACAGTCATCTGCTACAATTCCCAAAAATTTCATCAAAACTATTCGGCTGACATCCGAGCAATTACAGTGTCTGGACCTGAAATACGGTGAAAACGACCTTTCGTTTTCTGTTGACAACAGCAGAGCTGTTGTAGGTGCCAAGCTGTTTTTATGGCGGTGGGACGTTCCGCTTGTCATATCAGACATTGATGGAACGATAACAAAGTCAGACGCATTGGGCCACGTCTTGACAATGATCGGTAGAGATTGGACGCACCTGGGAGTTGCAGAGCTGTTTACAGAGATCAAAAGAAATGGCTACAACGTGGTCTACTTGACGGCGAGAAGTGCAGGACAGGCCGATTCTACAAGAAGCTACTTAAACAGCATCGTCCAGGCTGGCTTCAAGCTGCCGCGTGGCCCAGTGATATTATCACCCGATAGGACGATGGCTGCTTTAAGAAGGGAAGTCATATTAAAAAAACCCGAGGTTTTCAAAATCGCGTGTTTGAACGATCTTCGAAGACTGTACGTTGGAGAATGTGACTTGGTGAAGCTAGATGATGAGAAAAAAAATGATGACTGCCCCACACCCTTTGTGGCCGGGTTTGGAAACCGAATTACGGATGCTCTTGCATATCGTACTGTTGGTATACCCAGCTCGAGGATTTTTACTATTAACCCTGATGGCGAAGTACACATGGAGCTTTTGGAACTTGCGGGCTACAGGAGTTCCTATATTCACATCAATGAATTAGTGGATCATTTTTTCCCGCCGGTGAATTTCAACTACGCAAGTCGCGGGGACGACCGTAGAAGCATCTCTCCCACCCCAGGGTCTCCAACGGGCACACTAATGGAGGAAAGGTCATTCCACCGTCCGCGCGAGGTACAATTTACGGATGTTAATTTCTGGAGAGAGCCAGTTCTCGATTTGGACGATCTTTCGGATCTAGACAGTGTCGATCCAAGGGAACAAAACGCAAGCGATGGACCTGCTCATTCTTTAGAGGCGCTTTCAGATACGAAAAGCTCAAAGAGCACAAGCTACGACACAAACTCTCCTTCAACGCCCAACAGTGCATACCAAGGCTATCGTCACCCTGAGGACCCCAAGACTACAGGGAAGCAATTCTACCTTGAACTTGGGTCGCCGCTGGCCTCGCCCAAACTCAAGTACATGGACAATGCTCAGGGTGTGGAACAACAGCTGAAAAATCTCAATTTGTCAAAACCCACGCAGCCTAGTACTCATGTTTCTGCGCTGCATGTCCTTGACGAGTCTCATGCATCGGGTGCTGATTCTAAAGAGTTGCATAAGGCCTTTGCGTCCAAGAGTCATTTGGACACTACTGATGACGAATTCGACGAGGACGAATTCGACGAAGATGAGGAAGACGATGAGGACTATGAGCAATACAGAATTGACGAAGAAAGCGACAGTGAGGGCGGAGAAGAGGTAGACGAAGAAGAAGACGGAGACGAAGACGACGAAGATGAAGACGAAGACGAAGACCTGGGCGACCAGGACGGTGATGCAGACGGAAATGAGGACATTAGACAAGGACAAAAAGAACAGGACCAAGATTCCCACGGTATGCGAGAACCAACGTTGGAAGGAACGGGGACCGAGGAAGTCCGTTAAGAGATACAAGTGATTTTTTTCGTCGACTGCGAGGCCAAATAAGAACCCGAAAAGGAGCATAAACCTTGTACTTATCATCCCACACACACAAACACACACATGCTATTTGAGCTTACCCGCTGGACACTGACGCTGGCATCTTCCTGGATTCTCAAGCTCACAAACTCCGCGTCACGCCTATATCACATGTTAGAGACAAATCGAAATCCTCTCGTACACAGTGACCGTGGACGATTTTTTTAGAGGGATACATGCTTTAAAGGCATATAGAATATAAATATATATATCCGTGAAAATGTATCTTCAATTTGATATTCATAGCGCTAAAACCAAATTTTCGAAAATACAAGCAACCGGAACCAAAAAATAGCGAGATCGAAGTCTAAAGGCGTCTCTTCTGCTATCAAAACCAGCTCCACATTTTACGGAACCCGTCTCAAGTCGTTATAGGGAAAAACGCCGAAAATTTGCTAGTTTTTTGGGCCTTTTAGCCCTTGTTAAAGAGAAGTTAGGTGAGTTTCAGAAAAGAACGGCGTTGACACCATTGAAGGGCAGAAAACCGTGAAGTTCCTCGATTTAAGGATAGGGGATCATTTACACGCAGACAGAAAAGCTTTGTCACCGGGTTCGGAGTGCATAAACGGTATAGTGACCATATAATGGTCGATTCTGGAACCAACGATGTTGTAGGGGAAAGCGCAAACAACAACGTCAAAACCGGGAACTGGAGCCCCACAGCGGACATGCTGCAAGCAGCGGGATCCCCAAATGGCGCGTCGTCGAACGGAGGGTTCCAAAGCAAAAAAAATCGAGCGAAGATCAGGATCGACCAAGTTTTAATCGTGAGATTCTCGTTTCCGACGCAATGGCTAAAAACTCACGGCAGCTGCTGTACGCGCATATCTACAACTATCTGATTGAGCATAAGTTCTACCAGACGGCTCGGCGTCTACTGGACGAAGCAGACGTGCCACTCTCCAAAACCGTGTCGGACGATAGGCCCAAGGATGATGAACTTCTGCATGTTAAAATGCTCATGAACTCCAAGGATACATTCTTGTGCGAGTGGTGGGAATCTTTGTGGACCTTGCATCATTTCGTCGAAACGCAACCCGTAGAAAATATCTCCGGGGACCGCCTTTTTCACGATTCAGTAACGCCCATTTTGCCGCAACGCACGCCTATGATACAAGACATGACCACGTCCAATCCCAAGTGGGCACAGCAACAGCAACAACAGTATCACCACCTTTATGCGCAACATCAGCAGCAGCAACAACAACATCAACAGCCACAACAACAACAACAACAACAACAACAACAACAACAACAACAACAACAACAACAATCACAACCACAGCAACCACAGCAACCACAACCACAACCACAACCACGACAACCACAGCAGCAGCAGCAGCAGCATCTGCAACAATCATCGCCGTTTGTAGCACCGGATGGAGCAGTATATGTACCGCCATCGGCAGCATCGCAATCTCTGATGGCCCCACCACGAGTGAACGATGTTAAAGTCGGTAGCTCGGCTGCTACGCCGTCCTCGTCTTTGCGGAAACCCGTACCAACCTTCTCCCACGTCCAAAGCGCACCAGGCGGTATGCCATCATCAATGACGCCAACAGGACCTTCCATGGCCAGTTACCAGTTTGGTGTACCGAATGGACAAGTTGCGGCTACTTCTAACCCCACATTCACGAGTTTTTCGCCGGCCGCAAATTCTCATCCAACTTCTGCAAGTGAACAGCTGCCAAATGTGAACAAGAACGGGCTAGAAACACCTTATAAGGAGTATCAGCATAGTAGTATGGGCCAGCCTCCAATTGGAAACACTCCCGACATGCCCGAAACTGTGATAATGTACATGCAGAAACGGCGGGAATTGATGGCCTCGAGAAACAGCGGCGAGGACGATGCCCTAAAGGACGGTGCTCAGTGGAGCGCCAAACAACAGCAGACTCACGATCAGTACCAGAAGTCCATGTATATGATGCGACAGCAACAACAGCAACAACATCAGTATCAGCAGGCACAGCACCTGCAGTACCAGCAGTACTCTCAGTACCCTCAATATCTTTCGCAGAACATTCCTCAAAGAAAGCAGCAACCACCACAACCACAACAACCACAACAACCACAACAACAGCATCAACAACAACAGCATCAACAGCATCAACAAGCCGCTGCTAGTAGGCCTCAAACACACAGGTCCTATTCAAATCCTCCATTGACGGATAAAAATCAAATTGAGGGCTCAATCAACCAGAGCAGATTTCCTGTCTCACAAGCGACGCGGCAAGTTACAGGAACTTCGCAAATGGATACAGTTTTGCAGCAGCAGCAGCAGCAGCGTCGTGCCTTACAGCGCCATAATTCTGCCACACAGATTAGTGGACCTGGGTACCAGGGCTCTCCCGATCTGGCTTCTGACCAAATTTCTGCGGCCATGCCAGGAGGTGCTAATGCGCTGGGCCCAACCAATCACATGGGCATGATGATGATGCATCAGTCACCAAGTGCTCTCTCGCCGGGAATCTTGCCTGCTACTTCTGGTGGTACGCCGATGATGAACTTGCAAGACGTTCCTTCTAGTAATAATTATGGGGACAATGCAAACGGTGATATAATGGGTTTCGGCGGTTCATTGCGGCCGTCGTCGTCGCACCGCAGCTAGCCGAAGTCTCGGATTGTGATGCGTCAAGTAAAAAATTTGTATTATATGAGCTGGCAGAGGCTCTTCACGGGTTTAATAGATGGTCAATGAACGTTTACGGGATAGTTACATTGCAGAGGTGGCAAGCAGTTATTTTTTGAGCATGTGGCTATTTTCGAGAACTCAAAGTCCCAAGACAGTACCAAAATGTTAAAGTCGTCCATGTGGAATTAGAGAAACGGGACGAAGCATTTTTGCAATGACGCATACAAGCGAGAGGCCTAATGAAAACCGTCCAGACTTGCGCAGTGGTTTTTAAACCGTTTTTCGAAGGCTCCGGCCAAATGAAATTTTGTTGCGTGGGTGTAAAAATCCCACAAACTCCAAGCGAAAGATATTTTCAAACCTTTCGTGGTTGCCGCGCTTTTCACATCTCAAAGTTGAGTTGAGAATCTCCCATATGAAGACCTGGTTGTCTTAATGATTATCGCGACACAATTGACGAGTTCTTTACTTGATCAGTGACAGATATAAAAAAAAATCCGTTACCATAGTCAAGAATTGAAAAAACTCAGACACTTCATTTTGAAAGTTCCAACTACTGAATCAATCTTCATTTATCTTGGTTTAGTTGACAGGAGGATATTCACGACGTTTTGGTGCTAACATCGATTTCCAGAAAGCCATAAATCGAACCGTAAGAAAATATCAAAATGAAAAAAAATCCGCAGAAGCTTGATTCGAATCATCATTTGAAATGCAAAACCATCAACCAAGAATCCTTTATTCAAGCAGGAGTTCAGTTTTATTTCAACCCGCAATGACAACTAAACGTTTAACCACTAGATCGAATCACGTGAGATCTCTCAAATAGCTTCCAGGCATCGTTTCAACTTAGAAAAAAAAGCTTTCAGCAACTAACAAACTATGAAGAAGCTCTTAAAATATCAAAAAGGTCAACAACTGCTTAAACTGATTGTTGGAACAATCGGATATTTGTTTCTGAACGATGTCAGCTTCAGTTCAAAGTCATCACTACACACGATTTTGTCGCTGATCCAATTATAAACAAACAGTCGAATTATCTTCTAATTACACAAGAAGCATCCCATCGCACCTACCAAAGACGTCAAAACCTTGACCGGCAGGCCCCGTTTTGATGCACTGCGATAGGAATGAGCACAGGCCCAGAATTTATGATCTGTCAGCTTTCCAAAACGCCTCTTTCCACCGATCCAACTCGACTTTGTACTCGTCAAAAACTTGTACGAATCAATCCACAGGCTCGATGTATTTATCGAATGCCAAACCTATCAATGCATATGACCACCAATGCAAAAAGCTTGCTGAATGGGGAATTGATGCACTGAATGACAGTTCTCCGACGATTGCGGGTACCTCGGAGTTTGACAGTAGCGAGCAGGACGTTTTCGCGGAAAATGATCTGGGTGGTGAGTTGAGCGAGCATCTGGAAGATGATTATAGTCATGATCATGGCCATGGCCATACAGGCCTTTCAAGATTTGAGAGAATTGTCTATGAGATTTTTGCACAAAACCCGTCATATGGCCAAAAATTCATGGATGAATTTCAATATACGATAATAGCATCTCAATTACTCACAGATGCCATAAGACCTCTTTGGGCTGCAAGACCGAGGACCCGAATCTCAAGCAAAGGTTTGAATACTCATCGTGATAAAGTTTCATTTAACACATCGCAATGCCAATCAGAAGCGCCCACAAAGTTTGGGAAATTGCTGGTCAAGAATCAACAGCAAATTCTACGTCGAACTATGCCCTTTTTCCCTACTCTAACAATTGTTCGGCGCTGTCTTAAGGCACTTAAAGGATGCACTAGTGTAGCCCATAGCAGAAATCGGGTTTTTGGCGCACTTTGCATAGCAGTATACTTGACGCTTCAGCAGGAGGTGTTCCACACGCATTACGCTAAATTCTCCGCTCTAATTATCCTACAAAATGCGGTCGAAAAACTGCAAGCGCTGGACAAGCTGCTGCATCGCTCACATATCCGTTACAAAGAGCTCACGGTTTACAAGCCCATTTCATTGGTACAGGCTGGTCAACCTTCTGGATCAAACTTGTCCGTTCTCGAGGATGTTCTTTCGGTATCTCTTGATTTGATGTTCTACGAATTACAATCCATTACCAGAGAAACTCTTCCTCTCGTCAGCAATCACGAACTATTTCGTTATTGTGAATTGTATGATGTGAATCTAGTGGATCTTTATTTTGCCGTCAATGGCGAAGCCATGGGTGTGAGCGACAAAGCCAGCAGAACACATTTATTGAAAAAATTTCTGCTTTGCGGCTTACTATCAGTTGGCCAAAAATGCAGAGATGAGTCTCGCGAAAAGGAGTTGGAGTACCAAGTTACACTGGAAAAGATATTTGGAATTTGTCCTGCTGCCGGTCAGCGCTCAGAGTTCAAGAGTCTTAGTGTGCTACTCGAACAGCTTAATAGACTCTCAAACGTACTGAATACCGTATATGCATTTTTGGTACAGTACAAGCATCACTTAAACGATAGCACAACCCTACTAAGCAACATACAGAATCCTCAAGACCACAGCCAACATGATTACCGAACTGCGACCACATTGAATCTGATGCAAAATTTGCAGAAATTCCTAATAAGAAATAATACCAAGACTGACGAGGAATTGATCGATCGAGTAAATCGGCACTTGGATGAAATTTCCAAACTTTGGCATCAGAACACGCCCGCAAAAATAAGGCGCAGTCATAATCACACTAAAGAGCGACATTTCAGCGGACTTAACCTGAATGTTATACAATCTCCTACTTTGGGTGGCAGTGAAAACGAGTCTGACCAAAGGGGGCACTATGAAGAAAAGCCCGTTCTAGCCTCGGCTGTTGACTTCACAGAGGTAGGGGGTTCAGGAATGGATACAGAATCTGAACAAGAAGGTGATGACACAATCACTGAACAAGTGTTTGCGAACGAAAATATCGAGCACAAGGATGAGTTTCGTAAGCTAACTGATGAAGAACTTCGTATCAAACTTAATGAAAGAATAATGAGCTTAGCCATTGAGAACAAACAAGGCAAGCAAAAGCTGCGTACAAAAAAGAGCTTTGGACTACTGGATAGCAACAGGGCTGAAAACATAAAGGAATTGACTGCCGAGGGCCGGCCCTCGAAATGGAACAAGTTCACCTCCGAAGAGAGCATACCTGTTCTCTACGAATTGAGACAGATGTTGGAAAAAAGGTAACCTCTTTATTTGAACTCTAAGTACATAAGTACATTACTTTCAAAAAGACGTTTAATGCAAAAGGGAAATGGGCTCATCGAACGCTTGGCCCTTGTATTTTTCCAGGTTTTCGCCTGCATAAGTGATCGTACCCGGGATTTCAACAAGTGATCGAGCGCCGACATGTGCACCTGCAGCTTTCAGCCATTTGGTACCCAACTCCAAGTATGCTGCGCGACTAGTTTCAGGGTTATCATTGGCAGTGCCGGGAGCATTTTTCAAGGGCGAAAACTCGCTGGTTCTATCCACTTCTAAACATCCAAATTTCTCCATGGGCACATACGGAAAGACATCAAAGATGAATTGCTCCAACTTGATACCGTTTGGCTGCGTAGGCTTCAAAATTGATTTAGTGTTGTTGTCGTAGACAGGAATCTTTTTCTTTGCGATATGGTAGGGCATTGAGCTGCACCATTTGTCTAACTCACGCTTCAAAATGTCCACCGAGTAATAATGGTTGACAATATTGGCTGCTCTCAGGCTTAGAAGCCCATCTTCGTCTGTAGCCTCTGCCTTTTCTTTCGAAATTTCAGAGTATTCGGCAACACAAGGCGCTCCACCTTTGCTTGCTATCAAACCCACGGATTCAGAGGCGTCCCTCTTGCGAACCGATTTTGTGGCAACATCAAATTCTCGGTTGAGCGCAAAACCAACAAATACTGGATCAGCCGGTTTCACCAGCACGTTGTCAACGCAGTACATGTGCACATGCTTGATTTTCTTTTCCACAAGGTCTTGAAGAATGCCATTATCCTTGATTGCACGGTACAAACCACCGTTTCCGTCTGGAGATTCGACCAGTTGTGTGGGGGATTCCAGCAACAAGTGCTTACCCTCTAAATCAAAGGCTGGCAGAGTTCCCTGATTGAAAAAGGTGATTTGATCTTCGGAAAGTCCGAAATAATTGTTCTTGCGGAAAAACTGTTCTGTAGCGTTTCTCGTTGGTTTGGAAGTCATGATGTACCACGGAATAGGACGGGGACTATTTGAAATTCTTTGCAAACTCAATAACTTCTCAGCCTGAATTTGAAAAAGAGATTTCTTTGAAGGCAGACCTATGTCATAGCATCCCTTAGGTTGTGAAGAGCCCAGTCTTGTTCCTTGGCCCCCAGCCATCAAAATGACTGCCACACTGCCGTCAGCCAATTCCTTGAGACCAATGTCGCGATATTTTTGCTCCAGTTCAGGTTGTCCCACACAGGACTCGTAAGAAGTACTTGGTAGCGGTACAATCGGCTCCGTTTCATTCGAGTTTTCAGAGCTCAACTCGATTGCTTCTTGACAGTCTTTCAAGAGCGTTTGCGGGTCGTTTTTGGTCGCAATTTCGTCCAGATTTCTCTCAAATTGCTGTTTTTCAGCGTCAATTAAATCATTCCAGTGCTTGAACAGATCAGACTGTCCATTGGCCTTGTAAAGGTCCAAAATACTCATTTTTCTGTTTGATTCTGGTATGAAGTTGGTAGATCAAGAATGATGTAGAGTGCTATTTTTGTATTTTCTAGGGTAATTTATGGGTCTCGAGGTCACATGAGCAATGGGGGTGTCAGTATACCTAAGAAGTGATCATAATTTGGGAAAAACATGGTAGTAATGAAAAGAGCGCTGGTGAAAGAAGCGTTGCAGTTGTTTAATGTGCTACAAGAAGTCTTGATCACGATTGGGAGGTCCAGTGAATGTTTGGGTTTTGTCCTTTACTGGCTTTATACGCAGCGAGATGAAATATTAACTATGTGAAGAGCTGTGGAAGTGCGTACCATTAATGAGTATTGAACGGGCTAAAATCAGGATTGCCGCTATCGTCATAGTTGAAATCGTAGTTCATAGACTCTACGTCTCTAAACAAAAAAAACTTGAGTTTTTTTACTGACATCTAGTCACGTGACCATGGTCCTTTGAAGTATATGTTCTGGTGGTAAAAGAATGGTCCTGAAAGTGTGTCGGAGAAGGATCTAAATACGAACTGACACGGCATAACTTTTCCTCTCCCTGCCTATATCTCCTTCTCTTTTTTTATCTGCGATTTTTAACTCGAGAAGAGCCCTGTTGCCAATATTCGAGCACTATCAACCTTTGAAAATTCGAAAAAAGATCACAAATTTTACCAGTAAAAGAAAGCCAGTGTTTTGAGCAAGACCTCTTGCTGCTAGTCCAAACTTCCATAGTCCGAAGTCCTTTTAAAGCAAGTTTTTAAGTTTTGTATAAAAGTGTTCTTTTCTGCAATTTCGACGACACGATATTAATTCATTTCATACAGATATTAAGCAAGGTAAGCCTATTGCCGATTTTCCATGAATATCACAAATCGAAAACCGGGACGATCAAAATGCGACTGAAACCTAGATTTTGATAAAGGAAATTCAACAGAATCATAGCCAGCTTGCAAATTATCCTATCACTTTTGGTTCTTCGACGAGAATGTTCGTCGTGTGAAATGCCACGAATTTTTTCAACCAGCCCGGTTATCCCAGCTACAACGATACCGAGTGTAAACGGCATGCCCCAGATTCTCATACTTCGGGAACTATTTGATGTCTTTGGATCAGATAAGTGGTCAAAAGGTGTGATAAATATTAATCTTCACTAGTTTATTAGTAAAGGCTAGAACCGGGGAAAACCAGTATTGCTAACATTGTTGTTTTGCAAATACTGGTGGCAAAACACGATGCGTGCTGGATAGAACTTACAAAGCTCATCGGAAACGCCATTTTGCGTTGAATCTAGCCATAAGTCAACAATTGTCACTATTTACCCGTGTGTCGCTCGGACATTTCAATTAATACTTAAATTGATCATCTCGAGAGCTTATAAAAGCCTTTAGCGGGTAAAACTCTTCAAACAGACCCACTGAAGTTTCACATAACAGCAGCTTTCTTGTCTTTGACTAGCAGTTATCGACAAAAGCTTAGTTGATTACCGACTACAGTGTTTTTCATGCTTCTCCCCCACGGTCCTCCTTTATAGCCCAAAAACAAGGTTACCAGATATGTCAATATATGGCCCCCTGCCATCTTTTTTTGACTGAAATAATGCTAACGAGGGTAGCCGCAGCTAGCTCAAAATACTGATATGAGGACCGTCTCAACAAATCTGCCTGGTGTCAAAGCGGCGAAAACGAATCCATCACCGCGAAACCATTCGATGGACGAATACATTGAACGCCTCCAAGTCAATTTCAAGAACCCCCAATTAACTTGGAATACATCCCAATATAGCTATGAAAGTAATAGCTCGCATACCAAAGGCTTTTTTCAATTAAAAAGTCGGATCGATGATTTTTTTTTTTTACAACAAAACCGCCGTTTTCTCTTCTAAAAAAACCCGCTTTTCAAAAACCCACGGCCACCAAGGATCTAACAGGCTTCTCAAAAACATCGAAGACAGTCTGCCCAAGCTAGAATGACATTATTTCAGCTTCCAACCCATCGCATGCTCTACGTACAAGGTCAACCATTTGGAATGACCAAGAAGCGAGAAAAGCATCTCAAAAAAGACCCAAAAAGCACCGAATAAACAATTCATCTGATCAGAGGTAATCCCATTCTCTGGTCTCACGCAAGACCATTGTTGAGCTTGTTTTTTTAAGCTGAGTGCTTCGACGTCACGTGCGATCTTTTTCAATATCGATATCTTCATTCACGGATCGGCTTATATCACAGAACCTCTCTCCACATGGAACCAAACAAGGTTTGTGAAAGATCAGGTTCAACTCAGCCTGTACCATGGGCCGAATGAAACGTCAAAGAGCCTTTTCGCTGCGTACTCAGCTCTTCAATAAGCAGCTGCACGATAAGTTTCAGCAGGATTACGAGGTTGAAGAAGGACAAGACGAATTTGGTCAGGATTTTGAGGAAGTCCCTCGCAGCGCCTTGATGGTTGAAATGGCAAGCCGATTCGTAGATTGGGTTTTACGAAGAAACAGAAACCAACATACAAAAGCTGGGCGACTGATACCGGTTAGTTTGGACCATTCAGATGCAGTATTTCACGAGTTCACCGGGGACTACGGAGATAAACTAATTGACGAAAGAAGTCAAAGACCGTACCGCAATAACATCATCACATCGTCGCGTTATACAATATACACCTTCCTGCCGCGACAACTGTATGCTCAATTTTCAAGATTGGCAAACTCATATTTTCTTTTGGTCGCAATTCTACAAATGATCCCAGGCTGGTCCACAACGGGAACTTACACAACTATCATTCCTCTCTTAATTTTCATGAGCATTTCTATGTGTCGAGAAGCTTGGGACGATTTTCGTAGACACAAGCTCGATCGCGAAGAAAACAACAAGCCTGTGAAAGTTCTGGTTAAGGATCATGATTTCAATGGGCAATCGACTGGGTCTAATCGCGATCTGGCCAGTACCGGAAGTATTTACTCTCTCCCACAATGGGAGCAGAGTGCCACTTCGACGAGCGCGCTCAACGCTGTGCCGTCAAGCTCCCCAGAGAGCGAAAGCTTCAGATCCTCCACTACCATGCCATTCACAAACTGGGATGCTTTGAAGCGAGCCTTTGGCGTTTCGGTTGTTGAAAAGCAGTGGAAGCAGCTTCGGGTGGGGGACTTTGTGCTTCTGAATCAGGATGATTGGGTGCCGGCGGATCTGTTACTTCTGACTTGTGATGGAGAAAATAGCGACTGTTTTGTAGAAACAATGGCACTTGACGGGGAAACGAATCTGAAAAACAAACAGCCTTTGAGGGAAGTTAGCGATCAGATGGATACGGTCGCTGGTTTGGCTGAGTTCAAGGCCAGGATCAATGTAGAGGATCCTAACCTTGACTTGCATAATTTCGAGGGTAACTTGGAGTTGCTCGATCAGCAAAGAAAAATCACCATTGGTCCTGACAATATTATTTATCGGGGAAGCATCATAAGAAATACCCAAAATGCCGTCGGAATGGTAATTTTCACAGGGGAGGAAACCAAAATACGCATGAATGCCATAAAAAACCCAAGAATTAAGGCTCCGAAACTTCAAAAGGCCATCAACCTTATTGTTTTGTTCATGGTCCTTGTGGTTGCTTTGATGGCACTACTTTCATTCTTGGCCCAAAGAATTTTGAAAAAGAAGTGGATTGACAACAACGATGCTTGGTATTTGCTGCAGCAAGATGCGGGCGTTGCTCCCACTGTAATGTCATTCATTATCATGTACAATACGTTGATTCCACTATCTCTGTATGTCACGATGGAAATTATTAAAGCTATGCAGAGCAAGCTAATGGAGTGGGACATAGACATGTATCATGCTCCTTCCAATACTCCATGCGAGTCTCGTACCGCAACAATTCTTGAAGAACTGGGTCAAGTCTCGTACATTTTCAGTGACAAAACAGGAACGCTCACCGACAACAAGATGGTCTTTAGGGCACTTTCAATCTGTGGCACCTCTTGGGTTCATGACATAGATCAAACTACAAATGCAATGGGCGTCACAGAATCAAATGAAAGCGGAAATATTGACGTCGTGTCTGTTGACGATAAAAGCTTTCTCAAAAACTTCACAAATACAGCTTTTGATCTTTCTAGGAAAACCTCAGTTGAATACAAAGGCAACAGCTCAGCTACTTATACGGGTAGACCGAGCATGGCATCTCGTATTCGAATCAGTGAAGATAGGCGTAATAGCGCCTCTGGCGAGGGCAAATCAAACAGGATGAAAAAGCCTATAGCAAATGATGAACTCAGGTCTTCTCATGAGCTCATTGAATACATTCAGCGACAGCCTCACACATACTACAGCAAAAAAGCTAAATTTTTTATCATGGCACTAGCTCTTTGTCATTCGTGTTTACCTCGAAAGGCGTCTAACGTGGATGAGGAGGATGCCGTTGAATATCAGGCGTCTTCTCCAGACGAGCTAGCATTGGTCACTGCTGCCAGGGATATGGGCTACGCGGTCTTGAATCGAAACGGCACAGTCCTGACAATAAAGTCATATCCCTCTGGATTTGAAGGCAACCCATTGATAGAAGATTATGAGATCTTGCACTACATCGACTTTACTTCTGATCGCAAAAGAATGTCAGTTTTGGTTCGTATGCCGCAAGAGCCGGAGCGAGTACTTTTGATCTGTAAGGGTGCTGACAATGTGATTCTCGAGCGCCTCCACAATAGCAATCTTGCTAGTCAGAAAATAATGGAGTTACAGGAATCTACCAATGAGCGGAAGACTGCAGAAGCAGACATCATATTAAAACAAAGACAATCGCTGGAGTCAGCAGTTCGTGTAAGACCCAAAACATCTTTGAGGCGGAAGTCTTCTCAAAGAACAAGCGTAAGATTATCTTTACAAGCGGCAAGAAAGAGTCTCTCCAGAAAGAGCTTATCCAGAAAAAGCATGGGAAGCGGTGATCCAGAGGTTCAAATCAATTCCATCGATGACTTCTTAAACGATGTCGAACGAGCCGATAATGAGGTGCATGATGTATATTTCAAAAGTCGCAAGTCAATTCAGAAGCAGCAGAAAGAGCGCTACAAGTCAAATGTTCAAAACTCAGCTGGATCTGGGTCCACTGACCTCTCTTCTGACTTCCTAGCCACGACTCCGCCTGACATTACTCAAGACTTGAGCAATAATGATCTTGAGTCTTATATTGGTGACCAAACACTACTCGAAAATGAGGGATATGTTTTGGAGCGATCTTTACAAGCAATAGATGAGTTTTCTACCAACGGGCTTCGGACACTTCTTTACAGTTACAAATGGATAGATGCTCAAACTTACGAAACTTGGTCAAATGAGTACAATGCTGCCAAAACATCTTTGGAGCGAAGAAAGGAAAAAATGCAATCTGTCGGTGAAATGATAGAAACTTCGATGAATTTATTGGGTGTAACTGCAATCGAAGACAAACTGCAAGAAGGTGTTGCCGACGCCATCAACAAAATCAGAAGGGCAGGAATAAAAATGTGGATGTTGACTGGTGATAAACGCGAAACAGCAATCAACATTGGATATTCCTGCAATTTGATTCACGATTATTCGACGGTGGTGATTCTGTCGGCTGAGGACGAAAATATGTCCTCCAAACTGACCGCTTTAACTCAAGAAATTGAAAGAGGGAATGTTGCGCACTGTGTTGTAGTAATCGATGGCTCAACATTGGCCACATTTGAAGCAAACCCCACTTTGATGTCCGTGTTTGTAGAGCTTTGCACCAAGACCGATTCTGTCATTTGTTGTAGAGCTTCGCCTTCACAGAAAGCTTTGATGGTGTCCAATATAAGGAAGACCGATAAGAATTTAGTGACCTTAGCAATCGGTGATGGGGCTAATGATATTGCCATGATTCAGTCTGCTGACATTGGTGTTGGTATTGCTGGGAAAGAAGGACTTCAGGCATCTAGGTCATCGGATTACTCGATCGGCCAGTTTAGATTTCTTCTCAAACTACTGTTGGTACACGGACGTTACAACTATGTTCGCACATCCAAATTTGTTCTTTGTACCTTTTACAAGGAACTTCTCTTTTACATTACTCAAATGATCTACCAAAGACATACACTGTTTTCTGGAACATCACTGTATGAGCCCTGGTCTCTCTCGATGTTCAACACACTTTTTACATCCCTCCCTGTTTTATGCATCGGGATGTTCGAAAAAGACTTGAAGCCAATGACACTGTTGGCTATTCCAGAGCTGTACTCTTCGGGTCGTTTGTCTGAGAGTTTCAACCTTAGAGTCTTTCTGTTTTGGATGTTTGAGGCAGCGTTGAACTCGGTGGTGATATCTTTCCTGAATTGGAAGATCTGGGCAGTATCCTCGCTTTCAGACAATACAATTTACCCTATTGGTGTCATCAACTTCACCGCAATTGTGACGCTGGTAAACATGAAATGTCAATTATTGGAAACTCACAATCGGAACTTTTTGGCGTTCGGCTCTTTGATAATTTCTGTGGGCGGATGGCTGGTGTGGTGCTGTTTGCTTCCAGGCATTTACTCGCAAGATGGACCTTATGATGTTTTGGTTGGCCTATACCACCAGTTTGGCGACGACGTAACTTTCTGGTGCTCTTGCCTCGTCTTGATTTTGCTGCCTCTCATTATTGATATTGTTATCAAAGCTCTAAAGATCATGTTAAAGCCATCGAACTCTGATGTCTTCATGGAGCTCGAGCAAAAAGATGAGGTGCGTAAGAAATTGGAGATGAAAGCTTATAACGAGCTTAAACAAGGCTGGACTTGGGACAGGGACCCCAGCTCTTTTTCAAGATACACGGATAAAGTTTTGAATCGACATGAAGAAGTTAGTAATTCCGATGCCGGTGTCAAAACGAGATCGAGAACAAAGACTTTACCTGGTGCTACTGAAACGCTCACAGGTCCACCAAACAAAGCTGGGATAAGAAACGCGGCAACATTCAATACTGAGGAATACGAAATGCTCCCAAGCGGTAAGCTAATAAAGCGGCATAAAGCTGGCACAAACCAAGATAGTGGTTCTGGGGCTTTGAGCCAAAAAATCAGCAAGAAGCTGAGATTCAAAATCAAAAGGCAAGATGATGAAGACGTGGACGCGATCATTGCAGAGCGTTTGAGAGATTTAGAATAAGCATATGAATGTGGGGAAGTGAAGGGATTGCGGCTCTGCATTCAGCCAATTTGTTTGGCGAAAAAGCCTTTGGCACAAAAGTCATAGCTACTGTATCAAACTACATACACATTAGTTTATCAAACAGGATGCATTTATTATCATTAAACATTTATTGTACAGGTACGAGAGAAAGATCTGTGAGAAAAAGAAGATTGTCTTTTGGACTTTGCAATGGGACTTTAAAGTAAGCTGCTTATTTTCATGAGATTCTCAAAGAGCAGCTCTAGCTTAAGTATTGCTAAGCACCAAAGAGCAATCTCTCCAACATGGGCAAAAACAGAATCACCAAGATCGGTATTAGTATTCTCATGATTTGCTGCGCCTCGCGTTGTTCCTCCTGTTGCTGCTGCTGGGCATCCTGAGCGCTCCTAGGCGACGCACGAGTTCTTGGCCCACCATTTGTATAGACTCTGAACCCATTGGGTCCGCCAAAAGTGAATGTAGTTCCACCATTCCCACCAAAAGGTCCACCGAAAGGTCCATCAAAGGGTCCACCACCACCACCAAATGGACCTCCTCCGAAGGCACTATTGAAAGGATGTCCGCCGCCTGCGGCTCGCGAGTTGAACAGAAAATCAAAAATATCGGGAGGAGGACCAGTTTGGTGTGGTCTTCGGAAGAACATACCATCTGGTGAAAACGCAGAGGAAGATCCGCTGCTCGACGGATCGCGTGAACCTCTTTCGTCTGGGTCCCTGCCTATCTGATCGAAAATACGCCTTTTTGAAGTATCACTCAAAACTTCAAAAGCCCGGTTTATGCGTTTGAACGCTTCACTTGCTCGTGGATGCTTATTCTTATCTGGATGCAATTTTACTGCGAGTTTTCGATACGCTTTCTTAATTTCGATATCGGACGCTGTGCGTTCAATGGAAAGAAGTTCGTAGAATGCATGGTTGTTTTTACCCACAATCGTTTGCGTAAGAACCTCTTGCTCTTTCGTATACCCCACGTCACTCATTACTAAATTTCACTTTCTTGCAATTGTAGAATCGATTTGGGATGTAAATTTTCGAGATAATCAGCGTGGATGTGCCCGTTTCTCAAGGAGCAGCTTGGTTCGGGTTCTTTTTGTCTTATTTTGACCTTCCTGAACCAAGTGAAATATACTGAACGACTTGACTATTCTTGTTGGAAAAACTCGACTTTTAGAAGGTGTTTTCGAAAGATTGGAAAAATCCCAAAAACCATGCAATAGCACACTTTTGAAAGAGTCGGAGTCTTGGATAAAATCAAATGATTATGGGTTGAAAGGCTCTTGATCTTTGACTTGGAAAAAGCGTACTGTGGTGGTTTCTTGATTTGTTAAACTAATTTGAACACCTGCTGGGCTGAATAAAATGCGTCGCTATGTACGAAAGAGAAATTGGACAGATCTTTGAAGCCTGACATGTATGTTTTAGAAACGTTGGAATTCGAATTCCAGGTGTGAGGTATATATATGGAAGTGAATAGAGTCTGTCGGATATCTCTGTATCAATTTGTCAAATTTTTCTGGCTTTCTTTTGATTAAAATGGCTTGTTTTCATATATGTTGTGAAACAATGAGCCGGGGACGTATTTTACGGAATGCGGCTGAGCAGATGAGAGAAGTGGGTAAATTGGACTAAAAGAACACCCTGGATTTTGGGTTTTGTTTTTAAATCGTGGTTTTCATGTCACACGTCAGCTTTATTGTAAAGTGTTCACGAGCACGTGATACGACGACAGCGTCAGGAAAAGAACGGCTAATAGTAGTCGTTAGAGCCCAAACGAATCGAAAACGCCCAACCAATTGGCTCTATTTAAGGTGCACCAACTTTTCAATTTATTAGTTATTTGAATTCGAAATGTGTGAGTGTTACAAAATTTATAAAAAGACGCGCTTCTATTATCAGTCTTGCAAGATTAGGTCCGTTTTTTGATAGATGCATCACCAAGAAATATCTCTTGAATTCGGTTCACCAGACTCATATGCTAATTAACAAAGAGATTTATTACAAAAGACGGTGTGTCCGAAACTCTGTTAAAGATTTTGAGAGAAAATGTCCGGCAAAACTGCGTTTTGAGCGCAGAATTGATAATAGAAGCGCCAGAACTCGTTATTTTAAGCCGAAAGCTTATGGAACACATGTTTCTCTGACTTTCATACCTCGATGCAGTACTAGCACGCAAAATTCCTGGTTTGGTTAGGCTCGAGACGTAAAGAAGCCAGCAAGTCACGTGATCTGTGTCAGCGACAAATAACTCCGCTAATGATCAGTGAGGTTTAGTAGTAAGCACCATGTTTTGTCATGCTTACTCTGGAAGAACGTTGGACTCTTTTTGAACTGTTTGATGCCTCGAAGCTTCCAAGGCCCAACAGCTTTTTACCACTTTTTTTTTTTCATTTGCTTACTCGAAATAGGTGCACGTCCCAAAGCTGCTGAACCAAGAATCTTATGTTCATGAGCGACGACCATGAATCACGACAGGTATACAGCCGAAAGAACACCTAGTGAGCTTAGTGACCCTATTAATGCTTTGCCAACAATTAGTGCAGCTTTTCGAACATCATCACTTTGTACTATTCTGTCGCTTTTTGGTGAAGTTCATACACTGGTCTGACGCTTGCCTTTTAGACCCTAGTGCAAATGCCAACGAAGTAGTGGAAGTTGTCAGATTTTGCCCTCAAACTTGCAAGCCGTTTTCTGGCTTTTTTTTACAAAGGTACGCCTCATAACACCAAACTTGCAAGAAATCAACCAAATTCAGTGAGTTAGAGTACAAGATCTCACGCAGCACTATGTTGAATCAATAACAAACTAGAGAAAAGTATGAAAATCTCATAATATTGCGATAATTCGAGTTTTTATCATACAAAATCCCTTTTCATTGCAAACTTGGCGAAAAATCCGCAAAATACGAAAACCACATCAATGAATTCCGAATATTGAAAACTCTCAGTTTGCCCCAGCTATAACTCACACGCTTCACGCTGAGCTCAATCAAGAACTCAATTAAACGCATTCTCGCTTGACCCACCTTTTTTTACAAACAGTCTCATCTTACATGTATTTATACTCGTTTAAATCCCATTCAAATTCTCTCTCAAGGCCATGAACTATTTGCCAAAATTATTCCCACCACCACGAGCAATCAGAGTTTGAAGAATCTAGTTTCCACTTTTTCATCAACTATTCACTGTCGTTGTATCTTCGGACGCGTCTTGATCTTATAAAAACGCGAATATTGAAAATAAGTATAGCTTAGAAGTCATCTCATCAACTCTTTATTAAAAGACGTAAAGAAACCACCAAGAAGCAGCTTAAAATGAGTGGTAATGGGCTCAAAAGACCAGGCGAGTCTGAATCGCGCGATTCAGAAACCTTGGAGAAGCGTCTTAAGCCGCAATCCTTCGATCACAGTGCTTTAAGTGAACCTGTCTCGGGCATCGAAATAATTCCAACAGACAAGTTTAGCAAGCAACAAACGCAAGGATTCATCCCAAAAGGTGCAGTGAATGGATCGCAGCCTGTTAATCCATCTGCTTTCGAGCAGGAATTGTTGCATATGGATCATGAAGCCGTAGTGGCTCAAGAACACGGCAAAAATTCAGCATGGGCACGTAAACCACTTCCCGAGGACTTTTCGCCAGAAACGCATTCTATTTCTTTCCAACAACTTGATGCCGAGCAGTGTCTTCTGCCTGGTGTGAGAGTCAACAACACTTCTCATGCAGTTCGATTTTTCGGAGTGACTGATGAAGGCCACTCGGTGCTCTGTAGTGTCACTGGATTCAGACATTACCTGTACGTTCCAGCACCTGCTGGCTTTACAAAACAAGATATCGACACTTTCCAGGACTATTTGAATAATTCATACGATAACGTAGTGGATGAAATAGAGATTACAATGCGCCAGTCTATTTGGGGGTACTCAGGAACAGCTAAGCTGCCGTTTCTAAAAATTTATGCCACAAATCCTGCTGGTATCAATAAGATAAGAACCGGGTTCGAACGTGGCCATATCGCATACAATGATACTTGGTTTACAGGTGGCACATCGACCTACGATAACATTGCATTCCCATTGAGGGTCATGATAGATTGCGGAATCACAGGTATGTCTTGGATAACTCTGCCAAAGGGCAAATACAGCCTGCTTGCAGAGAAAGAAAAAGTGAGTACGTGTCAACTGGAAGTGATGGTAAATTTTAAAGATTTGATTGCACGTCCTGCTGATGGCGAATGGTCACATTCTGCCCCACTTAGAATCCTTTCTTTCGATATTGAATGTTCTGGTAGAGTGGGTGTTTTTCCAGAGGCTGAAATTGATCCCGTTATCCAGATTGCAAACGTGGTAAGTATTGCTGGTGCATCGAAATCATTTATTCGAAACGTCTTTACCGTGAATACCTGTTCACCCATCACAGGTTCTCAAATTTTCGATCACAGAACTGAAAATGATATGCTCAAGCAATGGCGGAAATTTGTAGTCGAAGTTGACCCAGACGTCTTCGTTGGATACAATACTACAAACTTCGATTTACCTTACTTGTTAGGTCGCGGTAAGGCGCTGAAAATCGAGGAATTTCCATATTTTGGTAGGTTGAAAACTGTAAAACAAGAAGTTAAAGAAGCAGTGTTTTCTTCAAAGGCATACGGAACTCGTGAGTCAAAAATCATCAATATAGATGGTCGCTTGCAACTTGATCTACTGCAATTCGTGCAGCGTGAATACAAGTTGAGATCCTACACTTTGAACGCAGTTTCTGCTCATTTTCTTGGCGAGCAAAAGGAAGATGTTCATCACAGTATTATCAGCTCCCTTCAAAATGGAGATTCAGAAACTAGACGACGTTTAGCAGTTTACTGCCTGAAGGATGCATTCTTACCATTACGACTATTGGAAAAGCTCATGGCTTTAGTTAACTACACCGAAATGGCTCGTGTGACGGGTGTACCGTTCTCATACTTACTGGCTCGTGGTCAACAAATCAAGGTTGTGTCTCAATTGTTTCGCAAGTGCCTGCAAATTGACACGGTAATTCCAAATATGCAGTCACAAGGTTCCGATGAACAATACGAGGGCGCTACAGTTATCGAACCCATTAGAGGCTACTACGATGTACCAGTTGCAACTTTGGATTTCAATTCTCTTTACCCAAGTATCATGATGGCCCACAATCTTTGCTACACAACATTGTGCGACAAAGCTACGGTCGAAAAGTTGAATTTGGTGAAAGATGAAGACTATGTCCTAACTCCTAATAATGACTATTTTGTCACTGCTAAACTACGCCGAGGCATCCTGCCAGAAATTCTGCATGAACTGATCACAGCTAGAAAAAGGGCGAAGAAGGACTTAGGTGCAGAGAAAGATCCATTTAAACGTGACGTTTTGAATGGTAGACAGCTGGCATTGAAGATATCTGCCAATTCGGTGTATGGTTTTACTGGTGCTACGGTTGGAAAGTTGCCGTGTCTCGCCATTTCATCCTCCGTAACGTCATTCGGAAGAACGATGATTGAGAAGACAAAGCAAGCCGTGGAGGAAAAGTACTGCATGAAAAATGGCTACGAACATGACGCAGTGGTGGTTTATGGTGATACTGATTCCGTCATGGTCAAATTCGGTACTAATGATTTGAAAACTGCAATGGACCTCGGCGCGGAGGCGGCAGAATACGTATCAGGACTTTTCAAAAACCCCATAAACCTAGAGTTCGAAAAGGCTTATTTTCCATATTTGCTCATCAACAAGAAGCGATACGCGGGTCTGTATTGGACAAAACCAGAGAAATATGATAAGCTAGACCAAAAAGGTCTTGCCTCGGTCCGTCGTGACTCTTGTCCCTTGGTTTCCATAGTCATGAACAAGGTGTTAAAAAAGATTTTGATTGACCGTAACGTTGACGACGCGCTGAACTTTGTCAAAGAGACTATCGGTGACATTCTCCATAACAGGGCAGACATTTCAAAGTTGATCATTTCCAAAACACTGGCTCCCAATTACACTAATCCACAACCGCACGCTGTACTAACGGAGCGTATGATAAAAAGAGACGGTGTTGGTCCAAACGTTGGTGACCGTGTCGATTACGTTGTCATCGGAGGAAACGATAAGCTCTATAACAGAGCGGAGGATCCGCTTTATGTTTTGGAGCACAATATTCAGATTGATTCCAAATACTATTTGACAAACCAATTGCAAAACCCGATTATCAGCATTATTGCTCCGATCATTGGTGAGAAGCAAGCGAACTCTATGTTCGTCGTGAAATCGATCAAGATCAGTGCAGGAAGCACGAAATCAGGTTTAATGGGCTTTGTAAAAAAGGTTCAAACTTGCAAAGGTTGCAAGCGGCCACTGAGTAAAACTGAAGGTCCCCTGTGTCACAACTGTGTTAGCAGGTCGGGTGAATTTTATGTTCGTGCTCTATTCGACGTACGAGAGCTTCAACAAAAGTTCGCACGACTATGGACACAATGTCAACGGTGCTCTGGTAGTTTGCACAATGAGGTTTTATGTTCGAACAAAAACTGCGACATATTTTACATGAGGGTCAAGGCAAAGAAGGAAGTACAGGAAAAGGTCATTGAATTGAGCAAGTGGTAAGATGTAGAGGTGTTATTTAGTTTTTAATGCACTTATAATGATAGACTTTGTTTCATTGAAGGCTCGACAATTCTGAATACGTTTTTGGGATTTTGTCGACGGCAACGGCCTGCCGCTGAAGAGGTGCCGGCGTCCCCCTTTCTGAGTATACCTTCGAAAACCAAGGATGATCTATCGTTTGCTGTACATCGAATCGAAATGCGGGGTTTACTAATAGTAAGTTCGATATCAAATGAAGGCAATTATCGTCTATATCATCCCAATATGGTGAATAGAAGGCGACCTTTCCTTGCAAGATTTGTTCTTTCATTGAAGGGGGACTTAGCTGCTCACTGAAGGGCGGGAAGCCACATAAACACACATATAAGAGGACTCCCGCACTCCAAAGGTCAACTTTTGAAGTGTAGCCGGTCTTTTTGAGCACCTCAGGAGCCACATAAGAAGGCGTTCCGCATAAAGTGTTTGTAAATTGCATCTCACCAATAAATTTTGCTAGGCCAAAATCGGCAATCTTGATAGTTATGTCAATTTCGTCTTTGTCCCAGGGCCCACGCTGCTTTTCCTCTGAATGCCTCCTCTTCTGGATGTTCAAAAGTATGTTTTCGGGTTTTATATCTCGATGAATGATATTTTTGGTGTGAAGATACCTCAAACCGTGGAGAATCTGTCTAAAGATAGCATTAGTTTCTTCTTGCCCCAATTTCGTTTTCCTCACAATTCTGTCGAACAGCTCTCCATCATTTACCTTTTCCAAGACCAAATACGTCTGCATCTGGGACTTGCTGATAGGCTCAACGAACCTGTCGATGAGCTTGACGATGTTTTTGTGTTGTATGCTCATTAAAATCTTGGTCTCTTCTCTAAACTGAGTTGTCTTTTTTTGGTCGTCATTCTGTTGTGGATGGAAGATCTTGACTGCAACCACATCTCCGCTATCCTTGTCTGTTGCTTGCTTCACAATGGCGTAGTGACCTGTTCCCAATTCTCTCCCTAAAACAAACCTGTCGTAAAATGTGGGTCGTCTGAGCGGCGCGCTACTTCTAATGATGAAATCTTGACTACTCAACGATGGTTTTTTGAATTGTCCTTTGGCCGAACCGCTCCCTTCAAAAGTCACATCTGATTCAGACGCATCTTTCAGTCCAGCTTCCTGCTCGACCACTAGGTATTTGAACAAGAACGAGCAGCTTTTACCAAAGACTATCCTGTCACCATTTCGCAGAATATAATCCTTTTTTACCAGCCTGTTGCCGTTCACAAAAGTCCCGTTCCGGCTTCGATCAACGATATTCACAATTTGTCGGCTACCACCGTCTATTTCGACGCTGAGAACGCAAAGTTCACAGTGTGTCGTGGAAATATCAGGTTCGGTAAGGGCAATATCGCAATTTCGACTACGACCGATAGTGGTCACTGGTTTGGCCTGAATGGTGTATTTGCCTTCCCTTCCCGGAATAAGACTTACCAAGACTGCAACAGGTGTCGAGCCACTGTAGTCCACTTGGAATCGCTTCTTATCTGCATTGCAGTCTGCACCATCATTCGAGGTTAGCTGTATTTTGACTTGAATTTAGTAATCAATGGCCAGTTGAGGGTGCAAATTTTGACTGATTTCATCCGATAAGGTTGTTTGCTAGTCACATACCCGCTTTAAAGAGCTAGTCATGGCCTAATAGGCTGGTTTTGGCTTATTTCTCTGTTCAAGATGTTGTTCTTGAACTTGAAGAACTCTTGAGCATCTTAGATGCGTCATTGTATACGCCTCAAGTCAACTTGAAGATGACGGCCAGACGAGTAGAGCGAAAGGAAACTCAGGATGCGGTGTAGTTGTTTGAGACCCTTGGTGGGTGGTTTCCATTCCTGGTAAAACTCCCAGAACTTTTCAATTCTTCTCGAAGCCTCATCCTTACCTCGACGAAATTTCACGGAATGTGGTTCGACTGAGGATATGGTGGACGAGTCGTGCGCTAGAGAGAAGAGCAATTGTGGTTCCGGAAAGAGAGGCAGGTTTTTTATTTTTGCAAAATAGGAAAGAAAGTCGTGGATTTGCCACACCAAATCGTATTGATTTTGACTGTTCAAAATGCTGACAGGAGTGACAGATTTATAATACAATTCGACTGCTCGAGGCTCCAAAAGTGCAGTTGTTAGCACTGTATCATGGAGAAAAGTGTGCAGTACTTGAGTGTCGTCAAAAAGATCCTCTTTAATTTTGAAGCGGTCTGGAGCCGGTTTATTGGCCTTGTAGAAAACGTAGGTCAAGAGATCGTCCGCGTTGTCAATTTCGGCAGGCAAAGTCCCATTTTTGGCCAAAAGAGTATTTTTCCATCTCTGGTCCATCTCTTGCAACCATGCCTTCAATTCATATTGCTGCTGTTTTTTTACTGTCGCGGGCACAGTATGTTTGTTGAAAGAGCGCGAAATGAAAAACGGACTTATCATCTTTAACATTGGTATTAGCTGTGTGTGTCCTAAGTTGATAGCCATTAGAAGGTCTTCGATCAACGAGACTTCAAAAGCTCTTTCTTGTGGAACTTTCAGCACTCCTCGATAATATATCGGTCCTTTACCGATTTTTTCTCCCGCTGGGACAAAGCTGGGAGTCTTTTTAAAGTCAAGACCCAGACTTGATCCTTCACACCACACATGCCTTAAAATATTTGGGTGGTGAAGGTTGATGGCAAGCTTTTCGGAGATTGTCATGAAATTGTCATAAAGCTTTCCAAATAGTACCAGTTTCGTATTGGGTTGATGACGAAACATCCAATCTAAAGCGCATTGAACTTGCCTAGATTCTATGGAGCTGGGATCTCGATACCGTGCTATCTGAGATAGGTTGTCTTGTTCAACTCGCGTGCATCCTTGTAGCATGAACTTTTCTCGATTAGCCTGATAATTCGCAGAGTTTGCATCACCAGTCGAGTCTGAACTGTGGTCCCAAAAGTGATAGCCACCAAGGCATGATTCGATTCCAAGTAGTCCAACAACGGCGCTGTCTAGAAGCCCGAATTTATCTCGTTGCTCTAGAATTCGCTTCGAAACTTGCAGTTGTAGTGGCACACTGTGATAAACACCGGCAAAAATAATCAAGTCAGCACCGTTGAAATACCGCTTCCAATTGCAGAGAAGCTTTGTACATTCGTCAATACATTCCTCTAGTGGTTTTTGATCTAATGGTGCCTCAAGAGAGAAAGTGACAATTTTATCCGTATGATATCCTTTTAAACTTGCAGCAATCTTACTTGTGAGCTGTTTTGCGGAAACCTGCTTTCCTAAGGTCGCTTTTTCGTATTTTTCTGGCAGGCCGCCCACAAAGGATACGACAATTGTTCTTTTGCCCTCAAGCTTGTCAGAAACACTTCCGTGGCTCAAATAAGTGTGCTTCTCACCCTCAAAGTTATAATAGTTCTTCAATGCCGCTGACACTTTGTTTAGAGTAGTCCTCCCGTGGAACAGTTCACTTGGCAGAACATTAGGCAGAATTAGGGAGTTTTGGACGTAAAATCGCTCAGACGAGTTCCTGGAGACTGGAAACTTGACGAGTGGTAACGGACACACCGCTGAGCCCGTATTAGCTACACTCAGTTCTCCTGGATTTGGCAAAGTCAAGTCCTCTGGCGATGTTGTAGTGACATCTTCAAACCAGCACCATGTATCAGCTTTTTTGCGAATGCCTTGTTGAGCCTCTAGTTCCAGTAATTTAATCTGTTTATCACTGAGACGCCCGTAATCCTCCAGGTTATTCATATCTACAGGTTCTTGAGAACGCCCATATAAGAATGACGGTAGGTTTTTACCTATATTATCAAACCACGAATAAGTTGCTCCTGCTTGTTTTGCTCCTTCCTCAGTTTCTGAAATTGATGGTCCCAAACCAGTGCCATTATTTGATCCTAGCATACCATTGATAGGTGACGAAATCCATGTTGACCATCGCTGTTCCTTATGTTCTGCCATAGAGCTACCGCCAGCAACCGCTCCTTCGTTCATCTGTAGTTAATGTCAACTGTAAAAGAGATGATCCAAAAGCTTAAGAATGCATCGATCAACAGCTTTGGAATATCAACAGACTCCTTTAAGGAAATTGTCTATTGTGTTGTGTCAATGTTATATATACTGGTGTGTATAAGTGTATTTATTGAATTAAGGATTATAGATACAAACCTTGACTCAAACTTGGATATAAAAGGGACAGAATAATGGTCAAGACTACGTTTTAGAAGCTGTTCAGTACTTAGTTTCTAGCTATTTTGATGGAGGACATACTGCTACAAAAACTGACCGAAAGAGACGCTATTGAGAAGAACTTCTCTGAATTATTCGAAAAGGCATCCGCATCACTAGATAAACCTGAGACTCAAGGGTCGCACGATCCACTCACAGCGTTGAGAAAAGAGCTGGAAAATTGCGAAAGAAGTATTGCTGACCTAGTGGCTACGTTGAAACTGAAAAATAAGGACTCGGAACGGTTGAACGACGAGATTATTACATTGAACATCGAAAACAACTTGTTGCAAGAACGCTACGAAAAAGTGAGACGCGAGAGAGATGAAATTGTTACGAGATGGCTGAAGAAAGCGCAGCTAGAAGCTGACACCATGAATGAGACCTTGGAGTGATATACTAGAACGTGGAGAAGTCAAAGACACGGCAGTTGAAAGTGACAATTAACATTCTGGCGAGACTCGGCTGTGTTTACAGTAGGGACTAAAACTCTAGTGATATCTGAAGCGTGTAATGAGTTCAGGACAGAATAGCCTCAAAGTCGGCAAAGAATAGACTTGGAATTCGAGATGTCTTACATTGTATATAACTGTCTCTCATGCTTATGTTTCTAATACTTACATAAAGCAAATGATGATCAATCCCATTATATTGCTTCAGTAGCTCAGTCGGAAGAGCGTCAGTCTCATAATCTGAAGGTCGAGAGTTCGAACCTCCCCTGGAGCATGATATTTAATTTTTTGTCTCATCAAGTCCTGGCGGGCATTTGTACGAACTCCCGTTGACTGGGAGGTCCTTTCCACAACTTCAACACTGAAAACTCCACCCTCTCTTAACTTTCTTATACTTTCTATTTATTTCTGCTCTTCCAACTCGTAGATAATTTTCCCGTCGGTCTTTGGCTCGTAAGCGGTGGCCAAGAACTGCGAGAACATTTTGAGATTGTTCAACCCTCTAATTTCACCTGCACACAACGGCATTTTCACAACGTGGAAATCTTCGTAAAGCTCGTCGATTTGGTCCAGGTACTTCTTCTGCATTTTCCAACGCGCTTGACAACGTCTACAATTGTGTTCGCTGTCATCATCTGCGAATAGTAACTGGTTGACAATAATGGAGTTGACATCCATGTCGTAAGACATCAATTCTTGAATGAGACGCTCGGTTTCGTAGAGCGACAAAAACTCGCTGATACATACACACACAAAGGTGGTCAATTCCGGATCCGTGAACTGTTGTCTGATTTTCTCCACATTTGCCTTGAGCTCGTTCATTTTGCCCATTATATCCATGTTTTGGGCTCCACCAGTGAAGGAATTGAGCATAGGGCCAAACTTACCAGCAATTTCTCCAAACTTTTCCAACAGCTGCGAGAGCGTTTGAGGCAATTGCAAAAATCTCAAAGTGTGGCCCGTAGGTGCTGTGTCGAAAATGACAGTATCGTATTTCTCACCTTCGCCTTCTTCCTGTCTCTTGATGTGCTTCATGACTTCCATAAACGACAGAGCCTCATCGATACCAGGAATGGAACCGGTGATATCAGCAAGAGCGCCGCCTTGTAGCAAGTCACCGAGACCGTCTCCTCCGCTACCATTTTGCGCCACTGCCATGTCGTTCATGTCTTTAAGCGCAGCAGAAGGGTCAATTTCCATGCACGACAAGTTATCCATACCAGTGACTTTTCTTGCGTCTTTGCCGAACTTCTCTCCGAAAGCGTCACTCAAGTTGTGAGCTGGATCCGTAGAGATCAACAAGAACTGCTTGTTGGGTTGAGCTAGTGCCATCTGAATGGAGATGGAACACGAAGACGTGGTTTTACCAACACCACCTTTACCACCAACAAAGATCCATTTGTGGGTAGATGAATTGATCAATTCGTGCAAGTTAGACTCGACTGAGTAGTCCATAATAACAGTATGAGAGGAGTTCTGTCTCGGACTGACCTTTGACAACTTGAAAGTGCTGTACTTACTTCAACGTTTTTCTATATGGAAGGTTTAGAATATTAATGTGATAGCCACGGACGTCAGTAATGATGAAAAGAGCCAGGCTTGAGCAGTCAGGAATCGAAAGTGTGGGAAAACACTCCAGATAATGAGCTAGAACGGTTTTCCAGCTAAAAGATTATTTGGTCATTGCTTGAGCTTAAAAACTGCCTTTTGAATAGAAGCTTTGAGCTGAAGAGACCAGTTGAGATTTCTATGTGGTGATAAGTAGAGTCACGTGACAGTATAAAACATAACAAAAGTTAAGTTGCAAGAGACTCAAAGAGACCTAGTTGTGATGCTTTCCGCTAGTGGTATGTGCGATGACTAGACTTGCAACAATTCTCATTTTCCCTCGTACCCTAGATGTCAAATTCACCCAGATGTTTTGTCTTGTGAAAAACCCATTCAAGGCAGAGTCAGCATGGGTTGAAATTAATTGAAATAAAGCTTAAGATCATTTCTTTCTCGTCAGAACAAAGACTTCAGGTCTCAATGTTTTTTTTCATGGTTGTCACTTTTTTACAGGCTTTTAAAGTCGCTTTTCTCAAAAGTTGTAGCACTGGAATCATTTGACTCAAATAATTGCGACTAATGCACAGCTGAAATACCAGCTACATCATTTTCATGCTCTTGTTCGATTCAAAACCACGACCGTCAAGTTCGTTTTCTTTACCAGCCAACTTGACTATTTTCAACGCCAATTGTATAATAATTAGGTGCTGAACTAATTATCAACAATAACGTGACCTTAAATTCAAGTCTAGCCATACCCTAAGAAATAGGCTTTCAGTAGAAACAAAGAACTGAACATATCAACAACAAAAGCAGCTGGTAAGCTTTGAAATCTATCACTTACAAGAAACAGCATCTTTATTTGAATATCACAAGATGTCCGAGGACGACGAAAAACGCACGAAACAGCTGGAAGAAGCCAGGAAACGGGTCGAAGAGTTGAAAAATAAGAGAAAGAAGAAAGACCAGAAGAAGAAGAAAGTAGAATCGACCGAGAGTGGTAACGAAAATGAGGAAAAAGCTTCTGAAGCTGCAGAGTCGGGAAATAACGACAATGAGTCTCCTTTGAAGCATCAAAATGGTCCAATTGAGAAAGAAACAAGTGCTAAACAACAAGAATCAGAAAAACAGAACGATGTGAATACAGAAAAGAAGAATGATGAGGTTTCAGAAAACAAGGATAATGTGGATGCAGAGAATAAGAGTGATTTGGGAACAGAGAGCAAGGATGACGAAATTCCTGTGAAAAGTCGTGATTCCACTGATGAAAAGACAGACGAGGAAACGATGAGCGATGAAGAAAATGCAGGCTCCAGCGAGGAAAATAAGATGCTCAAAGAACTTCAGCAGGAAGAACCAGTTGCGAAGACGGACCAGGTGACTACAGATGATCCAGTGCCAGAAAATGAGCCCCCCAATGAAACTTCTTCGTTGTTTCCAGAGGAAGCACCTTCATTTCTTTCAGAATTGCAACGCGAAAATGACCGTATTGCACTAATAGATCTTCAGAAACAGGTGACTGATCTGACGTCGGAGGTTCGCAATCTCAAATTTGTTAATATGGAACAGGAAACCACAATAGAAGAGCTGCAAGAGCATGTGCACGACCTACAGGCCCAGTTAAACGCATCACAGCAGGAACTAGCCAGGGAAAGGGAGAATTTTTCAACGCAGCAAGCTGCAGGCAACCCCTCTACGTATTCAGAGCATCCAAAACCGCAAAACTTCTCCCCTACAGTCGACAGATCCGTGCTTGACAAGTGGAAGGGCTGGAACGTGGACATGACACAATGGAGAAGCATCGGATCTGGTCCTGTCGTGAATCTATAAAACTCGGAAGTCAAACCAGCAATGGCTTTTTGCTCAAATCAACTTAGTACTATAAAGAATGACGGAAATGCAGTCACCTTCCCTGAGGCGTCGTTAAACAATATTTACAATGCTACTTTGTACACTATTATGTCGAAGCTTGATCACTTCCAAGTCTTTCAACTCGCTCCTTTTTCACGGCTTCTTCACTTGACGCGACACAACACCTCGCCCCCAATTTTACGTGCGATTGCATCGTTGATATCGAGAAGCTCGTTCCCGCTGCGCACCAAAATCAGTTCACCCGGTTGCAGTGGCTTGATCAGACGAACCGTTTTCCCCGTGCACAATTGCTTAAGATCCTCGTATTTAAGATCTATCCGCAAGTTGGGCTTGGAAATAAGTCTGCAAGTGCTTATCACAGGTTTATTTTCTCTATATTTCAGTCCCAGCCATAGTCTCCGCGTAGAAATGTTGTCCGGAGTCACCTCAACTGCTGCGACGTCTGGGCCCTTGGTCGAGCCCCGTTGCAGTGTCGATAGAAAACCATGTTTGTAAAGATTATAAGCAAAGTTTAAATGCAATTTCGTGTAAGGAATTGAGGTCAGCGATGTTCTAACTCTGGAACAATTCTGCAGATGCGCACACGCATTGGCCAAATGCACTAAAGACATGATTTTTTGGAGAGAAAGAAAGCGGCTTGAGCTGCTTGCGCTAGAAGACAAAGGAAGCTTTGTAATGAGCCAATTGCCAACTCAGCTATAATGGGCAGCTTGTCCAACTCTTATTTTCTGAAAGCTTCTGCCATCTGAATATCTATCAAATTTTCTAATTTCAACGGTGTGTTGACGAAAAAAAGTGTTGATAGCACTATGTACGAGATCGCTTGGAATATTAAATAGCTTTTCAGTCAAAAAAGAAGCTTAGAATCTGGAACTTTAAAGGTAGGGGATCACTAGTAAGAAAGCCTGAGTTTCAGATAAACAGCCTTTTTTCTTTGGTTTTTCAAGGCTATTTTATACTGTTTTTGCTGAACGATGTTTTTGAGACGATTTGTCAACGATAGAGGTTTGCTTCGAGGACTACGTCCAGCAAGCAATTTGCTCGCAAGAACTGGTGCAGTAAGAACATATTCTGCTGGGCAGAAAAGAGCGCCAAAGAAGGATGATTTGCCGAGTTTTACAAAAATAGCCTTGGTAGGTGTTGTTGGTACCATCATTTTTGTGGAAGCAGTGAAATCACTCGACAAAAACAAGCCCAAAAACTCATATTCGGAATCGGAGTTTGAAAGTGCGATGCAGGGCACAAAGCGCCGGAAACTGATGTTTGAGCCTGGCCAGCTGCACATTGTGTTGGCAACACCAGACTTGCCAGAAACTGCGGTACAGAAACATACACCAAAGGCCAAAATAGTGGACGTCCGGGAGGTAGTGGAACACTACAGACATCAGCCAAACGATAAGTATTACGCGCTTTTGAATGATATTCAAGATTCCCACGGCAGTAGCTATCAAGAATATCTGCCGCGTGGTTTGTTGGTAATGCTTGTCGGGCGCTATTTGCAAGAAACTTGTAAAGAGGGCGACAGTGTTGCGGTGACCAATTTCCCACTCAATATGCAAGATGCTATCAAATTTGAGAACGAAGTTGGCATAGTCGACAAAGCCCTTTTCACAAGCCCACACGCGGATTCTGAATTGAGCAAATACTACCAGACAGTGAATAAAGTAGAGGTCTTGGAATGATTCCGCATGCTCGAAAGTAAACCTTGTAAATAACTAGAAATCATTTTTTCGTGCTTCCAAATCCGCCGAATCCCATCACACTATTGAGAGCAGGATTCTCATCTGTATCTAGCGTAGAGCGGCCTTCTGGTTTTGGATTGCGGTCCAAACGGCCCGAACGGTCAATTTTCTTGGTTTTGGCACTAGCGGAAGATCCACGATTTTTCAAGAATGCTCTGATTTCAGCTGAATACTGTTCTTCAAACTCTTGAGACGGGATATCATCGTTGTCGCGAAGATCAGAAATCAAAGGTTCGCCAAAGATGGTTTCGAACTTGATTTGATGTAATTTATGGTTTAGATGGTCCACGAATTGCAAGGTATCTTTGAAAGTCAAATCACACAACTCGCAATAAAACCCAAACTGTTTTCCCTTTTTGTAAGAAGTCAAGGACCCTGTAAGCACTCTCTGATTTGCACTTTGAGTAGCATCTGCCAACAATTTTCGATGTTGTGTATACCTTGATTTCAATAGTTGTAGTTGCTCATCGCTTAATTCACCCAAGTGAGAGCTCGAAGAGGCCTTTGCGTTTCGTCCAAGTTCGGCGTATTCTTCCCGATCCCAAGTCCTTCGACCAAAATTCAACTTCTCAACAGGTTTGGAGTCATTCATCGCCCTTCAAGGACACGTTTGGATGAATTTCAGGCTTGATGCCTTTTTTCCAGACATTAAATTCGAAATAAAGTCCACTGGACAAGATATTCAGCAAGATGAGCAGCAATGAGCAACATCAGAAAGGCCTCACACTCTACTCATAAGGCTGTAGTACTACCACATTTGATCAAGTACGTACCCAAGAATTATAGTTCGAAGTCTACGGTTGTCGAACCCAAGATATATGCGTTCGACTTGGATCATACTGTAATAAAGCCCAAGTTTGAAGGCAGATTCAGCAAGAGCGAAAATGACTGGAAGTTTATGACATTCACTAGCGGACCAGAAAAGAAGTCGGTCGAGACAATAGATGTTCTGAGTGACCTTTTAACTGCTAATAAAGACTCGCATGTTGTTATATTTTCGAACCAGGGCGGGACGGTAACAGTACCACCAAATTCAAAAAGTTGTACAAAGTTTACAGGAAAAATAGACCTGATACTGCGAGCAATTGCTGATCGTGGTCTCCAACTGGAGGAAAGAATTTGGCTCTACGCATCACCCAAGAAACCTGCTTCTTTGTCCTCTACCAGAAAACAGAAGGGCAGCAACGGTGAAAACAAAGTAATGAAAAATAGCCCCTTTTCCATGCTGAAAGCACCACAACCTATGGCAAAAAGTCTTATTTTTGAGTCTATGCGAAAGCCTAACGGTGGAATGTTTGAAGAGTTTACTAAAGATTTTGGTCAAAAATTCAAACTGGAGTATTACTGTGGGGACGCAGCAGGACGCTCAACGGATTTCAGCGACTCAGATAAGCAATTTGCTTTGACTATCGGGGCCGAATTTTTAACACCAGAAGAGGTCTTCCATTGATAAGCAAGCCTCGCAGGTTTCTTCACAAAAATGCATTTTTCTTTGTCTTCCGACTAAACTAGTATACTTAAACCGAAATTAATTAAGAACACTAGCTTTCTCGAAAAGCTGTTCCACTACCTTGTTCAGCTGGCCAATCAGCTCCAAGGAAGAATCGTAGGTTGCATCCTGATGTGGAGTTTCATATATGTACAACCATCCATTGCCCTGATCCAATACACCGTAGAAGACTTTGTCAAGAATCATCTGGGAAAGTTTACCTTCCACCTGGCGAATGTCCAGCTCTATCATCTTGCTGATGTGGCGCAATTCCACGCAATCGAAGGGCTCGATAATCTTGCACAGATTTGACTCCAATAAAGTGTCGTAAAGCGCGTTGAAATGGGATCTGATCAAGGAATCACCCATAAGCTCTTTTTCGTACTTTTTTAAAGCAGCATTAAATTCCAGCAGCGATCTATGCGAGTATGCTTCGGCAACTGCTTTCATGGCCTCAATACCACGCGACTGGTAACTTTCCTTGGTATATTTTGCGTTTAGAATGGAGTTGACCTCATCAATCAGGTTCAACATAATTTTAGAAAGCAACATGTAGTTCAACACTTGAGCTGCCTTCTCTTGTAGATTTGTTGACTGATTATGATAGCCCTCAAAGGACTCGTAGAAATACGAAAAAGCGGTCTTGTAGTCTTTGTCTTCACAATGCAAAATGCCGCTCATCAGATCTAAGTCAGCAACGGTGAGGGTAGGGCAGTATATGGAGTTAGCAGCAGTACGGGCGCTGGTCAAAGCGGCTTTGGCCTTTGCCATGTTTCTGAGTTTGTGGTACACTTTGGCTTCCAGCAAATGGACATCCACCAAGGACGACTTATCGTCCAGTCTTTTGAATTCTCGGAGCAAATCATTAATTAGTTGCAAAGAGTCGTTGTACCGTCCCTTTAGCAGGTACAACGTTGCAAGTCTAATAGACAGAGCATGCTTTAAAAAAGCCCTTTTTTCACGAGTTGCAAACTCGATACTATCTATACACACTGCAATTTGTGTGTCTAGAGAGTCTGGAATTTGTTCGAACTGATCAATAAGGGTCTTTAGAACCTTGGCTGTCTTGGATTTCGCATACTGCATCATAATGTCTCTCGCCTCAGGTATAAAGCCAGCCAGTTTGTCAGTCTGTTTGGAAAGACCATACAACGTTCCCAATTCGACTATGCAGCGTTCTTGAAGCTGTGTCTGGGCTTGAGTTATCTTACCCGAATTACCAGGCACTCGGGTTTCTTGCAGCACTTTTTGGTACGCTTCTTCCGCATTAGAATAGTCTTTCTTTTCTACAAAGAGTCTGGCATCGTCAATGGTGGTCATCGTGGAAACAATGCTCTGTGCAAAGCGGGAAAGTTGTTGTAGTTGAGCTGTTTGCCACCTATTAGAAGGTAATTTTTATGAACTTGACCTTATAATGTGGGTTTTCGTCGATAGTGATGTAGAGATCTAAAATCACTGGACGTAAAGCAATGTGAATTCCTTTAGAGTGGCTCTACGCTTTATGATTAGACCAGATTGGATTTATTGTTAATAAATTATACTTTTCAACTACATATTTTCTTTCTAAAGTTGTCCAGAATTGTAGTTGATTTTCAAATTTGAAAATAAGAGGAATTCTCATTTTGGAGCCCTGTAACAACGATCTGGACTGTCTGAGAGTGATTATTAATTTGTGTAGTGATTTCTTTTAATTATTTGTATCTTTGATCAAGATATACAAAGTCAGAAGGAATTCATGAATAGTAAGTTTTGAAGTCAGAATGGTTATTGAACTTTCTTTGAGAAACCCGAGGGTTTGTATCAGAGTAAGTACCAGTAGTACTAATTTTTGGGATCGCAGAATCACGAAATTTGTGCTTCAATTGACAGGGACTGATAGGGTTGACATTTCAATCTCTTACAAATTCTGTCGCTGTCATTATAGATAGGTCACGTGCCTCGAGACTACAAGCTTGAATCCTTTTAGAATTCTTCTACAAGTCCCGATGTGTTTCTGGAAGCTACAAAATGTCTAGTTCCAAGCGCCTTATACACTTGATCAAGTTCCCAGTCGAGTTTCGACTTATTAAATGAGATCATTTGTGCGTACTTAAACTCGTCTTCTAGACGCTCCATAAAGTTTTGGAACAGATCCATTTTACCAGGAAAATCCTACAAGACTTTCCAGATAATCCACCAACAGCCTTCAAAATCAGAGCTACTTTCGCATTGAAAAGGTGCCGTCACTGACTATTTTTATTGTCATATCATTGTGTACTATCGTGTCGCGAGTATAGCGGCTAAAAAAATAAGACCTCCCTTCCCCTCAACTTAATCTTCCACCAACCACAAATAAAAACAATAAACATACCACAAGAAAACAAAGATGGGCCGCTATTGCTGTTTTAGCAGCTGTACCGTATAAATAGGGAGCTGATATTCACTTTGCACTTGGCGCAAGTGCCAATAACACCATCTTTACAAGAAAACTCGCACAAACGCCATGAAGCGCTCAGTTCAACGACACCAAATGCGCTTTCGAACATGTGGAGTCAAGTCAAGACATACCATTTTTGCGCACAGCAGCTCATACTATCCAATCAACAGGCTATGAGCGAGTTCCGCGTCGAGAAAACCCGGCTTTGTCAAACACAAAAGGTGCCAGGATTGAAAATGGTTCTGAAAGAGTTTTCCATCCCGAGAAATCATAATACAGCTCTTTATGACCTCGAATTCATCACAGCACTTCATAAACCACAGAAATTACTCCAGTTCCTCTGTCTTTCCATCTTTCAGTGGGAATTCAACTGTTCAAAACATTCAATTGAGCTTGTAACTGGAAAACACTGCAACTGGAAACCAAATTTTGGGACTCCACATCCCCCTGGCTCTACAGTTCAACTCCGGTGACCGAAGGAATTATCTGGCGTCCCTTTCCGTGGCCATTCACATGACCGAAAAACATAAACACGAATAGATCCTTCAAAATTTTCGAATTTAGCAAGTACAACTTACGTGTACACTTTGAAAAGTGAATTCATCACATACCTCGAAAGTCACCAAACCGCGTCATGCCTTCTAAAACGAATGGCGGACATCCGGGGAGCAATCCTCAGGATCCAGTACCGGATTTGCAGATCGGAAAGGGTCCCACAAGACCTTATATTGTTACAGAGCCTCCAAAGTCACTTAGCGAGTCGCGTACTCCCTCGAGTTCTAAAGAGAAACTTGTCATTGCGGCTCTTGCTTTGATTGCAGCTAGTGTGAGACTCTATGGTCTCTCCCGTCCAGATTCAGTGGTCTTTGATGAGGTTCACTTTGGTGGATTTGCGTCAAAATACATAAAGGGAATTTTCTTTATGGACGTGCATCCTCCACTAGCCAAGATGCTTTTCGCCGCAGTGGGTTTTATTGCCGGCTTCAAAGGGGACTTCGATTTCGAAGCCATTGGAGACAAGTATCCAGAATCTACGCCATATTTCTTTATGAGACTTTTCCCAAGTATTTTGGGTATCGTTACCGTGTTGTTGATGTACTTAACTCTGCGTTCCTCGGGTGTGAGAATTCCAATCGCATTTGCCGCATCGCTATGCTTCGCAGTCGAAAACAGTTTCGTAACGATCTCGAGATACATCCTACTTGACTCTCCTCTACTATTCTTCATCGCCTCCGCCGCTTATGCTTTCAAAAAATACGAACTTTATCCACAAGGCTCGTGGTCTTCTCAAAAAGCGCTGTTGGGGGCTGGTATCGCTCTGGGAATGGCAGTCTCTTCCAAATGGGTGGGTCTTTTCACTGTTGCTTGGATTGGTCTGCTATGTGTGTGGAGACTCTGGTTTATGGTCGGTGATCTATCCAAACCTGTCAGTAAAACCTTTGTCGAAGCTGTTAGAAAAATCGTGTTCCTGTTGGGAATTCCACTTGTTTTGTACATGGCTTTCTTTTACATTCACTTTGATACCTTGAAGGTGTATTCAGATGGCGCTGGCTTCTTTTCGTCCGCCTTCAGAACGAGCTTGGAAGGGAACAACATCCCAAAAGATATCTTGGCAGATGTTGGTATTGGATCGGTGGTTTCGATCCGTCACATTGCCACAATGGGTGGTTACTTGCACTCTCATGACCACATGCTAGAGAAAGGATCTCAACAACAGCAGATCACCTTATACCCTCACCTGGATGGAAATAACGATTGGCTCATTGAGCTGAGGGATGCGCCTAACACAGCTGTGACCTCGTTCGAGGGGTTGACCGATGGAACCGCTATTAGGTTGAAACATGTATCGACACAGCGCAGACTGCATTCTCATGACCACAAGGCACCAGTCTCGGAAAGTGCCGATTGGCAAAAAGAAGTGTCCGGTTATGGTTTCGAAGGATTTGAAGGCGATGCAAACGACGACTGGATTGTGGAAATCGACCAAGCAGCCTCTGCTCCGGGCGAAGCGAGAACTCGCGTCAAAGCTTTGGAAACGAAATTCAGACTCAAACATCCATTGATGAACTGCCATTTGTTCTCGCATGAGGTCAAACTTCCAAAGTGGGGTTTCGAGCAGCAAGAGGTCACTTGTGCGAGCCAAGGTAAGGAACATTTGACATTGTGGTACATCGAAGGAAACAGCCATCCTTACCTACCAGAAGATGCCGAGCGTGTTTCTTACAAGACGCCTGGGTTTTTTGCAAAACTGATCGAGTCTCATCAAAAGATGTGGCACATTAACAAGAACTTGGTGGAACCACACATCTATGAATCCAAGCCTCATTCTTGGCCATTTTTGCTCCGCGGTATCAACTACTGGGGTCATGATCACAGAACTGTTTACCTACTAGGAAACGCTATTGTATGGTGGTTAGTCACCGCATTCATCGGTCTTTTCGCTTTGATTGTCGCTTACGAGTTGATTTCCTGGCAACTGGGGTACAAGATTCTCCAGGACCCCAAGGTTATCAATTTTCACGTGCAAACCATTCACTATCTTCTCGGCTTTGCGTTGCATTTTGCTCCATCATTTTTGATGGGCCGTCAACTGTTTTTGCACCATTACTTGGCAGCATACTATTTCGGAATTTTAGCTCTTGCTCATGCCTTGGAAGTTGGTGTGACTTATACTCTTCGTAAAAGAGAGATTTACGGATATGCGATTGTGAGCGCAATTGTTGGTGCGACGGTTTTCTTCTTCTTTTCTTACCGGCCATTGATTTACGGAACTCCATGGACTAAGGACTTATGTGAAAAGTCTCAATGGTTGTCTGGATGGGACTACCCATGTGGCAATTACTTATCCTCCTACGAGGATTATAAGAAATATGACAGCGAACAAGCTGAAGAAGCGCTCAAATTATCGAACGCCGCAGCCAGTTCTGCTGTTCAAAATGTCCCTGAACATCAGTCAAACCCCAACAATGAAGAGAACTTCGATGTTGACGCTATCATGGCTTCCCCAGGTCTCAAAAAATTTGTGGATCAAAATGGTAATGAAATTCCCTCTGACGTGGTAAGGGACGTCTTGGGTAACGGTGGATCGGTCATAAGTGTTGAACATCGTTCCCATTCAGACATATTATAATTGTCAGCTATTATCTATCCATAGTCACAAGATTCTTTTTACATTTCTGCTAGAGGTTGAACTGAGCGGCAATACTTTTTTTTAAAACTATCTCTATGACCATTCGTCCAGTGAATCTTCGTCAGTCAAAATAAAAATGCCATTGTGCTCTTGCAGTTTGGCCTTTCTATTCCTTATGTATTTGATACCAATGAGAGCCAAAACCATCAGGCTTACACCAATGGCAAAAACGCTATCAACGCGGAAGGCGTGTGAGTAGCACAATGATCCTTTATCACACACCGTGTCGCCAGCGCTGGTGTTGCGCGATAGGTCATTGGCAAAAACAGCTGAAAAATACTTCACACTTAAGATTCCGCCAGTGGTGGAAAGGCCCCAAATGGTACTGAAACCCTCAGTTCCAAAATGATCCGCTATAATTGCTGGAAAAGTGCCAAAAGTAATGCCAAATGAAAGGCCAAAGATTAACGATGAAAGCGACAGGTTTTGAATGAAGTCAGCACTTTGTAAACCATCGCTAGTTTTAATTGATACAACATCAGCCAGGATCTGCTTAGAGCCATATATCATAAGCCCAGCAGCAACAACGATGCACCAATCTCTTTGTGCTTTGACCCGTTTTATAAGCAAGTCCGATATGGGACCTGAGCAAATTCTTCCCACAAATGACAAGATCGATATGATGGACACCTGTATGGATTGTGTCGCTTTTGTGTTTACATTTGAGTCTGGGTATGAGTGGGCTAAGGTCTCAACAACAAACCCAACACAATAAATGTAAGTTTGGCCAATTCCTTGAAGAATGGCCAATATAATGTAGTAAGCAATGAACTTAGGCTGTGTGACAGTCTGGTAAAGGTGATTATCTCTGAAGCTAATCCTTGGTTCAGGTTCGAGCTCTAACGCCATTGGATCTAAATCCTCTTGAATCGCAGAAGTATGCGGCGACAAGTTCAAAAAGGAATCACGTCTTGCGCCAACGTTTGGTGAAAGTGTAGTTTCAGAGGCAGCTGCAGTATTTGTTCCCAAATTCTTGTGACGGCCAGGATCTTTTATAGGTGAATTAGTGGCTAGTCCAGAAACGGTTCCAGTGGCATGGTTCGCAACTGATCTATTGAAGGGATTTGCGGCAGCAGAATCCGATGGCCGAGCTCTGCCCCATCCCCAAAATGACAATGAGCCGGGAAGTTCATCAGCCCATACTGAAGAGTCCGATCTCTTACGGCCTGACCCCCAAGATAGTAGTAAGTCGGAGGACGATGATATTTTTGAAGCAGACCTCCTCATGAAATTGCTAAATGAGCCGCGGGAGTCGCGATGAGATGGAAGGTCTTTGATGTTTATCGGTTCTGTAGTTGGTTGCGTTACGGCTGAGTTTTTCCGCGCGAGAGTCGAAGACGTTCTTCTATTTTTCGCGGTAGACGAATAGTTGCGCCATTCTACAACATGTGGTTGATAAATTCTTACCGTGAAGCAGCCGCTCATAATCATAGCGGAACATGCATACATCAAAAAGGTGAAGACGGCGTCCATACGATCTTTGAACAACCACGCACACAATGAGGAATATAACAATCCTGCCAGGGCATAAAGTGCCACAGGAAAAGCTGCTGCGGTTCCTCGGTGACGCGGAAAGTTTGTGGTGCAGCACTTGACCGAAGCGTAGTAGCCAGAAACGGACCCGAACCCAATCAAGCTCATAGCCACGGAAATGAGTGCAAGATTGGAGATCTGTCGTATATAGCATGTTCTCAAAATCCAATATGCGATAAATGTGCAAACAGCACCAATGGCACAGGAAAGCTGAGGGGATTTCTTATCGATCACTACGCCTGCGATAAAACCCAAAGCGCCAGATCCAATGGTTAGCGCAAGAGAAAGAGTGCTTGATTCCGTTATTGGAATTTTGCATCTTTCCAGCAGCTCGGGAGCATAGAAACTGAACAAATAAGGCGTGCCTCCTCCCAGTGCAACGATGTTGCTGCCAATGAAACAAGTCAGCAGTTGAATTGTCGAAGGCGGTGCAACAGCCGGCGGTGCCATTACAGCCCCAGTTCTTGTTATTTAACTTCCAGGTACCTGAAACGAACGGCCTGGGGATTTAATGAAGATCCTAGTAGGTTGTCAAATCGCAACTTACTGGAAAATGCCCCCGAATAGCATTGTCAACATGAGTGGGTCTGTAAAATGCCACCATTTGCGCGTTATCTTTCGTGGTCTTCACCAAATAAAGGCGATTAGATAATCTCCTTTAGTGTAAAGCGATGCAACAATGTGAAGCCCGGAGAAAAGCGACAGGAATGGTGTCAAAACAAGCAGTCTCGACAATAATATAAGGTGTGCCAACCAGATTTGAGAAATTTTTGTTCTTCTGCCTGTTGATGTCAGATGCATGGCAATTTAGCGAAGAGCATGGATTTTCGACATAATGGAGGCTTTTCAGGCTGTTATAGATTTCGAGAATGAGAATAAGGCACCAAAATCGGGTATCTTAGTGTTCACTACCAACGCGACATTTTTAGGGCGTCTCCTTTTTGGTTTCTTTTCAACTTGTTCATGTTTTACCACCGCAAGAGACGGGCTAAAATTGTCACTGTAGCCTGGTATTTTCTTAACAGTTTTTCTGCGCTTGAAACTTGATTCCCCGTACTCAGTAAGTACCATCAAATCTTCAGTCATTTCATGCTCTCAAGTAGTTCATCCTTTATTATAAAGACTGTTTCTCTGTTTGTACTTTTTGTGTAGCATCACATTTCTTCAAGTTGGAAGAGGCATTATAGCTCAATTTGATCATCTTTCTCTCGATTGACATCTCTCCCGACTTATCCTAGTCTTTGTTTAGCACTTTCAGGGCGGAAAACGGCTAAAAAGCTTCGATTTGAGTCATATTATGTTTGCCGCTGAACTTTTTTCACTTGGTGTTCAAAAGAAGCTTAAAAGTAGCGAAAAAAGAGAACTCAAATGGAATTGCCTAATTCCGAACACGCTTTGACTCACTGGAGACCCTTTAGGCTCCTAAAACGCGTCTTTTCGCTGGTATTCTCACAATTTGATGTTCTTGCAAAGGTTTAGTAAAGGTGAAGGAATTTGGATTTTTGATCATTATATTATATATATATATATATATATATGTATATATGTGTATGTGTTTCTCAAGGTGAGGATAAAGCGAGCAGATAAACAGAGCTGGAGCGTCAAATAAGACTTTATAAAGCTTTTGTTTGTTTGAGTCTTGAAGCAGACTCGAAAAACTCCTTTTTGTGGTGTTTTGGGCGCTTCTTGAGGCTTTTTTGGATGTAAACCGAAGACTTGACAAAATTGAAGAGACGACCTATAATACACACAGAGCCCACAATTCAAACCTCGGAGAAAAGTTTTGTAACACATTTCATTCAATACAGGGTTCGTTTTGACTCCAAATTTACTTGGTTTTCTTTCCCAGATGAGCCAAACACTCCGATGACAGCGTTTTGACATAAAGAGTGATGCAGTGCTTCAAAACTGGAAGTGAGAAGACGGTAAGCATCAAGTAAAGAGGCGACCCTGGATAAAATGGACATTCCGGTCTCATTCTTGACATGATCCAACTCGAAAGAAAATGCCATCCTTTGCCTAACATACCCATGATCTCTTTTCACTGTCGCTGTTCAAATAGGATCTTCGTCACTGTGTACTATTCTGTCTCATTTCAGAATTTGAGCCAAAATTCAGACAACAGCAAGAGAGAAGGAAGTCTAAAGCCAAGATTGCTTAAGGATATTCAAATCAATTATCTGCAGATTCGATTTCCCGGGTGGAGACTGGATAGAATCCAGTCGACCTTGAGAAACAATGTTACCGTCCAAAGTGTCAGAAACTAACAGTGTTCAAGCTTTCTAGATAAAAGGTGTCCCGCCAGGATGACCAGCACATCAAGTCAATGGTATTTATGGTAGTCTGGCATGCTACAAATTGACCATATTGTTCAAGTTTTTGGAAACCCGCTTGAGAATCCTGTTTCGTGCCATGTGCCTTATATTTCTTAGGCATCACGACTAAGATATACACATTTCAGAGCGGACAACTTCAACAACTAAAACTCAATACGTTCTCAGTCCTAGCACTCCTAATGAACCAATCGAACCATCTCACTCTCGAGGAGTTTCTCAAGACAGTACCCTCGGTATTCGAAGAGGCCAATGCGGCCAAAAAATCCGTGAATCTATCAGTAAAAAGATTGGTGGAAAGAAATGTGGTGGAGGGAAACGATGAGTTCAACGCTTCAGAACTACCGCTTGCAGACGTTTCCAGAAAGTCCAAGTTCACAAGCATTCCTCAAGAAGCACGCAAGAAACAGTACGACGTTTTGGTGCGTATAAAAAAAGGTCATGGTGATACTGCAGTAAAGCATTCTACAGTGGTAAAGGCAGAAAACCTGGATAAATTTTGGCAGGAATACTCTTCTGCTATCAAAAGTGGTATGACAGGGCTGGTGAAGAAAAAGAAGACTAAAAAGACCAAAAAGTCGTTGCGGAACTAAACGCACCGAGGAAAACCCTGGAAATTTTTAGATATGGTGCTTCGAAATATAGTTCAGTACACCTGTATGTAAATAACTCAATCCCCATTAGTGAACTCCATGACAATATTTCCTGATGGATATATTGCATTGACATCCTTGATTATGGCGTGTGGGTCGAGATCTGCTCTCGGTACTGGAGTGATAAGTTTAAACGGATATTTGTACTCGTAATCGGGCTTTCTGACAACCGCCCGGTCTGTGTTTGAGCGTTCATTTAGCAACTCCAAACGGGATAATTCGACAAAGGCGTATATTTCTTCAATGGGTAAGTTGGCATCGAAATGGCGCACAACACGACCTTGATCTGCGATCCGGATGGCCACTCTGCAAGAGCCTTCCGGATTGGATGGTTCCTGATTCAGAGCTTGCTTTCGCCAGGAAAGCCACTGTTGCTTGAGTTCTGTCTCGCGTTCGTGCCTTCTCTGGGTTGCTTCTTCAGCTTGTCTAACGCGGCTGCGTTCCTGGTCCTGCCGGAGCGACGCTTGATACCGCGAGTCCTGTTGCTCGCGCATAAGTCTCTGGAGCTCTATGTTTTGCTGTTGCTGACGCAATTCGATGAGTCTTGGGTAAAACTTCGCCATCTTCGCCTCGAATGCGCCCAACGACCGATCCGGACGCTCTCCTTCGAGGGCTTCAATGACCTGAATCTTGTGTCCAGGTTTGGGAGCCAATAGTCCTAGAAAAGGAAGCTTTCTGACTTTAAGGCCGTTTGCGACTTGCAGCCCTTCAGAAGTGGTCACATCTCCCATCCAGATGAGTGCCTCGTATCTGCGGGTCATGTTTACAAATGTTTCGGAACAGAGAGCTCCCAGATACTCACCACAATTGTCCAGCAACTGATCATGAAGGTACACAATTCCAAATTTGACCTGAGCGGAGCTTGATTGCAGCAAATTCGCATATGCTGGAAGCAGGTGGGACGTCAAAGTTCCGTCCTCCGCGCTGTAGATAGAAGCAAAGCTGAAGGAATTTTCCAGCCGAGTTTCGTCCATGGACGTCTTGGCCACTAGTGAGTTGTGTTCCAACGTAAGGGTATCCAGAAGGGAAGACCACGCATCTTCACGACCGAGAGGTTTCTTTTTACGGTCGTAGAACGACCAGACTTTGTGAAGAGGTCGGAGTACGTTCAGAAGAAGTACTAGCGTGGCCATAGCATAGTAGATCAGCAAGAGTGGAAATTGGAGACAAACTCTCGTTATTTTCTCTAACGGTGACCTATTTTCAAGGGTATTTGCTGAGGGTGATTGTTCATCTTCGGTGGTCGGAAAAGCCCCCGGAATGCGCTGAAATTCCTGATTTCCACCGGGCCTAAGCAGCCGTTGGATATAGTCCATCGATTAAAGCGGCTGTAGCAGCAATCACGGCTTATTTGTACCTGCTTTTGAGCTCAGTTTGTTGAGTTCAATGAATGATCCAGTCATCATCTGAACTATCTCTATCTTTGAAGGTCGTAATTTACAGCATTGAAATTGAACAATTCCTTCGAGTCACGTGCTTATCACGTTTGTGGTGATAATTGCGTCAAATTGATCGATTTAAGGCCTCAGGTCTTGAAGCTAGCTAACTTGACGAACTCGACTCATGTCACTGATTTTTGGATGTTCAAGAGTGAAAGACGTAGGTTTCAAATTCGCTCTCTAAAGATGGTCTTCTGGTAATTCTGTCTTTTCTCTCCTCTCGTAATCCGTTTCTCATATATAAGCATGTACACTTGTGAGTAAGGACTGTAGACTGCCCAGTGATGACATCGACATTGGCGCAAGCCCTAGAAGCCACTTTTCATCGCAACTGGTCTTTTCCCATGGTGGTGGCTGTCGCGAAAACGCGGTGAACCTTCAGCTGTCTTGAAAATTTGGAAATCTCTAGTGCACAGAGGGTAGCTTCGAGCAGAAATTGATGAAGTTCGTCAAATCATCGATGGGAAGCCCGAATATGGGATCGACAGGTTGCAATTGCGGTTTGGAGCTGGTCGGTACAGCAGTAATGCTTTTTTCTGTATTGGCAGCTGCATATGTGTATTCTGTGAGCGAGAAGCCCATCAAAACGTATGCTGTGTGGTAATAGTCCGGGGACTTGCCCGGTTTGTCTCGCAGCCCAGGTTTTTCGGGCGACTGACAGCATTTGAGTATGTAGTCTTGCAACGCAATCTTGTCAATGAAGGATCCAAAACCCTCTGCCTCCAACAGGGAATTCACGGCTCCCACCCAATAGCTGTAACAGCCGTCGACCAGCTTGTTGCTCCGTCCTGAAAATCCCTTCTCCTCTGCCGTTTGGCGGGCACTACACCACTCCGCAAGCTTTGTGGTGTCGCTTTTGGGTAGGCTTCCGAGAATCGCTAAACCTGCTGAGGCACAAAATGTGTATCCACCGTGTGCTTCGTCATCCTGAGGACAGGCACCAAATCCTCCCTCGTACGTTTGGCATTTTAGAAGAAACTCCGCAACTCCCTCACACAGCTCTGGCGTGAGTATATTTAGCATTTTAGCGACGCTGAGCGCGCAATATGTCGATCTGGAGTCGCATTCGCCCACAGTGATGCCTGTTTTGAAGCCATTATTGCTGCATTTCAGTGATAGAAGCCATTGGTAAATCGCCGGACGATTTATTTGACTCCAGCAATCATCAACGTTATCGCAAAGAGCCAAAGCGTTGATTGCTGCGTAAGTGCAGATCAAATGCGGATCTTGGCCAAAACCACCGCAGAAAGGGCCTTTGCTGACGGATGCACCGAAGAGCTTAACGTAAATTTGACGCTGAACACTTTTTCCTAGCCACTCCTTGTTCATAATACGTAAAGAGCATGCAATCCAATACAAGATCCAGGGTTGAGATGCATCCAATGCTTTCATTTGTCTGGGGAGTGCGTTGCTGAACGAAAAGTCAAGATAGACCCGATGGAAATCCTTCATCAAAGCAACTTTAGTGTGCTCAAGACTTTGGAATAGTTCCTGGCATTCTATCATAACATGTTCGCGATCCTCTGTAGTCTCGGTAGTCAAAGAAGTCATGCTAATGGGCATATTTTCCATTGTCTCTATTTCATCACCTACTACTTCAATTGTGGGCCTTTTGCGACCCAAAAACTGGGTATTTATATATTTGGCAGTCCTCAAGGTCTGATTGTTCATTTGTGGCACGGTTCGACCCTTGATTGTCGTGTTTTGAGGGCTGTTAATGTTGGATAGGGTTGGCTTTCCAATTGTCACTCGCAAATTAGGAATAAAACATCATAGCTTGACGGTGCTGAACAAGACGGACAACCCATACAAGGTTATAGTGAAAATGAAAGAAGCTTTTTGAGGTGCGAAATGGCAGTTAAAATGTTATGTACAATTCGTTACAGGCAGTTTTTCCTTCGCGTTCCTGAATAGACAACGAGGGTTGAAAAGAGCCGATTGCAATGATGTATGTTGCAGTAATAATTCATTATTTGACGTTTGAGGCAACTTTTTTTTGTTGATTGGGATGTTTCGAAAGGGTTAAAGCTGCTTAGGCCGTGGTCGACTCAGAAACGGGTTCCTGAATCTCGCTAGCGTTGTTCTGTGGGGCAGGTTCTTCGTTAGCAGGTTTCAAAGCAGCAACGTCGACTGCCAACTCACGATCATTGAAGGACTTGCCCTGGAATTCGGTGACCTTTTGGGCAATGTCGCTGCAGTTTTTGAAAGTGACAAAAGCGATTCCTCTGTTCATCTTCTTGGAGTAAAAGTACTGCTTTGTTTTCACGTTGCGCATTCTTCTGAGTGGCATCACCACGAGGTCGGGATCGGTGCCGAAAAACTCCGCCACTTGTTCTCTGGTTGCCATGTAGGGCACATTGTTAACGTAGAGCGTGTCTGTGGTTCTCTCCATGGACTCCAATGGCGCTCTAGGCTTCTCCTGTCTCTTTGGAGGAGCTGGAATCGCCGATCTGGCCGGTTTTCTGTCTGATTTCGCAGCACCGTCTTCAGACAGCTCGTTTTCTCCGTCCACGGCGGTTTTGGAGGCCGCTGTTGCCTCTTTTTCGTGGTTCTTAGGAGCTTGCTGTTTTCTGGGTCTGTTGATCCGTGCTTGACGCTTGGCGTCGCGTTCTTCTTCAGTTTGAGCGCGTCTGATGTAGATGCCTCTGTCCTTTACTACGGTTTTGTCATACTGCGCCTTAATTGCGTCGAAATCGATTTTGGAAGGAAACTTGACAAATGCGTAACGTTGCTTGAACGATTTTCCGTTCTTTGCCGATGGGATTTCCACTTCCACCTTGTCTCCGAACACTGCTTGCAAGTCCGATTCTTCGCATTCACGCGCCACGTTTCCGACAAAAATCGTCGTTTCAGGATCCACAATCGTTCTGGAAAATTCCACGGACTGCGCACCGGTGCTTTGAGTTTGTTCTTCACTTGGGACGGCCGACATCTTGAATTTGAGAGTACTAGCTACGTTCTTTTGTGTTTTCTTCGCGGATTTCAATACCCTTGCTGTTTTTCAATGTTGTTTTTCCTGCTAAAACCGCTGGTATCGGTGAGGAAAAAGTACGAGCTTTTGTAGTCAAAAAGTCCTAAACAGGGGGGCTGCTAGCTTTACTAAATGACACTCAATTGATGCTTGAGGGATCAGTTACAAACGCTTTTTGGCAGATGTTTCTTGCTGAGATGGTTTGGTAAAACAGTGTTAAAACATGGCGTCCTTTATATATAGTCCCAATTTCGTGATTTTTATAGTGCCCCTTTTATAGTTTGGCGATTTGCGCCTACGTGGAAAAAGATAAGGGAAAAAATTAATAATGAAGGGAATCCTAGAGAAGAAGCTGGCACACAGGAGTTGGAAGAACAGCGAGGAAGAGAGGCTGACTGGAATGACAATACTGTGACGGCTTGCTAGGCGTTCAAGCATATGTGAGAAGTTCTTTACAAATAAAAAACAAAACCATAAAGTTAAAAAATGAAGTGAAACGGTTGCGAAATGTTGTCGCTTTGTACGGATGATGTTTTTCTTTGATTTTAGTATAGTTGTCAAGCTTTGGGAAGACTGGTGGATCGACTATCTTTTGAAGCGCTCGTCTTAATTTGTAGTAGAAATTGCTGAGCTCGTCGTACTTCTTTCCGTGTCTTGTTCTCTTTGACAATTTATGCAGAGTGTGTTGTACATACGGAGCGAGGTTCGGAACTGGTTAAATACGGCAAGAGATTGTTAGTCTACTTGATGCGAATCCTGTAAAGAAAGCAACACAGCAAGCTATGGAATTAATTTTCGAGCTGCGCTTGACTGCTTGTTCAAAACGGATTAGATCATGGAATTCAGTGGCACGTGACTTCAATGTGTCATTTGAAGCAGTCTATTAACATTGCTATTCTGCTTGTCTTCTACACTGCGAATTTGAATCTGTATCTCTTCCCTTCCGGCAATTGCCAGGTGCTACTTTGTAAAGAACGTTGGGCGGGTCTGAACATTCGGTCCCTGCTGCCATGCACATATCTCGCTTGAAACACTGTGTCATTCATCACGAAGACAAACTTCAAATAAATAGTATGGTCACATGAGTTCGCGGATTCAGTGACAGATTCAGTGACAGATTCAGCACCCAGTGACATAAAAACCACATGTATGATTTGTTTAGGTCTGAAGCCGACTTTCAGAAGTCGTGAATACATAGCTCACGTTCCTTCTTGGGATTGAGTCTCGTCCTTATGGAAAAGACTGTTGGGAAATTCTACAATACACTACCGAAAGACGCTTACTATGGGCACGTGCTACGCATGAACGACTTTCTGATGTCACGATAACAGTCTCATCGTACATCTGAGATAAGTGTTACAGACTCAAGGTAAAAACTCGCGGAGTAGATGCCCTCAGCGACTGGCTTATGTCGTGAATTTTACAACGAGTGCGGCATGTACTAAGATTCGTTCGTGGACGATGATAAGCTCCCACATCATTCAATTTCACGTATTCTCTACGCGAAGACAAATCTAATCGGGTTGACTAAAACGGGACAGCTTATTGTTTTGAAGTGAGTTGAGTAGCTCTCTTTCTTCCCCCATTATCAATTTAGCCATGAGTATCACTTTACGTATATCGTGATGGTGACACCCTATCACTATTCATATCAGTTTGCATAGCTGTCATATTGCTATCAATCCAAACATTCAGACGCATAGGTGAGCCTGAAGCCAAATGCTCATAATACCCGAAGATAAAAACATGTACAAACTTCTTTAGTCTATAGTGATATCTTTACTTCAGAATTCCTCGACCATTTTGAAGCGTAAGCTTACTGAGTTGAAGCTATATTGTAGAGGGCAAAAACATCTCTCGATCGACCATACGTTTGCTTTCTCAAAAACCAAGTATATGGGAGATCTTCACATTCTTAGTTGAAAAAATATCACTGTCACGTGATCTGGCTTTAATTATGTCAGTTTATACGGGGCTGTAACTGTGCAGATATCTTTCCTTGACATCCAAACCTTTTACCACTTACAAAACCTCACTATTCAAATGACCATCGAAAATCTGCACCTCAATGATACACCATCCGATGACCAACAGTACCATCACGATGCTGCAATTTCAAGCTCCAACCTCAAACTTCAAGCTGGAAAAATAGTGTACCTGAGCGGTGGGCGGCTAATTTAAGGTGCAGGAGGCAAAATTACCTTAAAAACTCGAACCGGATTTTGTTCAGATTATAAAAACCTGTGGTATCAATGACCAACCTCAGGCAATCCCCCAAGTGCCAGTTTTACACAAAATTCTCGCCAGTTCGTCGTCTTTTGTCCACAAAATCCATCCTGGTTTTCAAGGCTTCCTTTCTAGCACCAATTGAAGCAATTGAGGCGTAAAGTCGAATTTACAGCGGAACAACATCTTTGGCAAACCCTCGGCATCAACAACTTATGACTCTACGGCTTGTGACGAATCCGATTGAGTCACGTTGTGCCACACATTAACACGCCGTTAACGTTTTTCCGCTGGCTTTTTCCACCGGAATTGTTTCGAAATGGGAAAAACCTGTGAGCCCGCCCATATGGAAAAATGAGACTTAAAAAGGGTTACATTTCCAGCACCCTGAGGATTGTCTAGCGTTTAAATTTCCAACTAATACGCTTAACTCTATCTCAACACCATTTCCAAACCAATTATCTGGCGTGCAAAATGTCTGATTTGGAATTGTGGGCTCAGGAGCTTGAAAACCCGACTCTCAGCGTCCTACCGCATGACTTCTTACGTCCCCACAGCGATCCGCTAGTCGAAAGGCGTGAAAAAAGCCTTCATTTGCCTCAGCTGGAATTGCCTCACAGTCACGACAACTACACCATCGTGCTAGCAGTTTGGGCTTCTTTTCTGTTCCGGCTCACAGGTGATGATGACATTGTGTTGTTGATCAGAGATAATAGAGTCCTCAGATTCACTATACAGCCTACATGGACATTTGCAGCGCTTTACGAAGCTGTCTCACAAGAATTGGAACGCGTCGAAAAGCTTCCTGCCGCCAGTTTCGATAAACTGTCGCTTCACGTTCAAAAATCCCAAGACAAAGATCAGCCACCTCATTTCTTCCGCTTAGGATGCCTGCAAAACCAACCTGATATTGCGCTTGAAGGGCAATACAAGACGCAACTATTAGATCTGGCGTGGAATTTTCAGGGATCTTCTACTTTGACAGTGGTTTACAACGGACTACTCTTTTCAGACATCAGGATCGACATTTTGATGTCTCAATTTGCACAATGCACTTCCGCAGCTTTGAATGATACCTCCCAACAGTTCACCAAGGTTTCCTTGGTAACTTCTTCAAGCCAAGCAGCATTACCAGACCCCACGCAAAATCTGGGCTGGTGTGATTTTGCAGGATGCATTCACGACATTTTCCAAGACAATGCTATCAAATTTCCAGAAAGGACATGCGTAGTGGAGACCCCGGAACTGAATTCCGATGCCCACTCTCGTATTTTCACGTATCAAGACATTAACAGAGCTTCTAACGTAGTTGCTCACTACTTGATCGATACCGGCATAAAGGTAGGCGACGTAGTCATGATCTACTCATCAAGAGGCGTTGATCTTATGGTCTGTGTTATGGGTGTATTGAAGGCAGGAGCCACATTTTCTGTTATTGACCCTGCTTACCCACCCGCTAGACAGACCATCTACCTAGGTGTTGCCAAACCCAAGGGGCTGATAGTCATCCGTGCTGCAGGTACGCTGGATCAACTAGTTGAGGATTATATTTCCAGTGAATTGGATGTAATTTCGAGAATACCGTCAATCGCAATTCAAAGCGAGGGCGTGGTAGAGGGTGGTATTTTGCCAGGTTCGTCTGAAGACTGCTTGAACCGTTTCGACACCTTAAAGGACACCCGTTCTGGTGTCATCGTGGGACCCGACAGCAACCCTACACTTTCATTCACTTCTGGTTCTGAAGGCATTCCCAAAGGTGTCCTGGGAAGACACTTCTCTCTCGCATACTACTTCAACTGGATGGCTCAACAGTTCAACCTATCTGCATCTGACAAGTTCACCATGCTTTCGGGTATTGCACACGACCCTATACAAAGAGATATGTTTACTCCCTTGTTTTTGGGTGCCCAGCTGCTGGTGCCAACTGAAAATGATATAGGGACACCCGGTCAGCTAGCCGATTGGATGGGCAGATATGGTGCGACAGTGACACATTTGACCCCCGCCATGGGCCAGCTGCTTACTGCCCAAGCCACCACTCCATTCCCGTCGCTGCACCATGCCTTCTTTGTTGGTGATATTCTGACCAAGAGAGACTGTTTAAGACTACAGACCTTGGCTGAAAATGTCTGTGTTGTCAACATGTATGGTACTACAGAGACCCAAAGAGCTGTTTCATTTTTCGAGGTGAAGTCGAGATCGGACGATCCCTCATTTTTGAAGTCTTTGAAAGATGTGATGCCTGCTGGAAAGGGTATGCTCAATGTTCAATTACTTGTGGTGAACCGTAATGATAGGTCACAGATATGTGGTGTTGGAGAGATCGGTGAGATATATGTGAGAGCTGGTGGTCTAGCCGAGGGGTACCGTGGCCTACCGGACCTCAACAAGGAAAAATTTGTCCAGAACTGGTTTGTGGAACCGGAACACTGGAACTACCTGGATACAGATAATGGCGAGCCATGGCGTAAGTTTTGGTACGGGCCTCGTGATCGCTTATACAGAACTGGTGATCTAGGTAGGTACACACCGGATGGCAATTGTGAGTGCTGTGGGCGCGCAGACGATCAGGTCAAGATTCGTGGCTTTAGAATAGAGCTTGGTGAGATTGATACACACATTTCTCAGCACCCTCTTGTGCGTGAAAACATCACCCTAGTTCGTCGCAATAGCGACAACGAGCCCACTCTTATAACTTTCATGGTCCCAAGATTCGACAAAGCTGACGAGCTGTCTAATTTTGAATCTGAAATCACCGACACTGTATCTAATGATGCTGTTGTTAATGGTCTCGTCAAGTACAGACTTTTGACCCAGGATATCAAGGCTAGTTTGAAAAAGCGCTTGGCAAGCTACGCCATCCCTACAATCATTGTTGTTCTAGCAAAATTACCCTTGAACCCAAATGGTAAAGTAGACAAACCAAAGTTGCAATTTCCAACTTCTAAGCAACTAGCGGCAGTCGCTGAGAATTCGTCGGTTGAAATTGATGATTCAGGGTTCTCCGACACGGAACAGGAAGTTCGTGATCTATGGCTGGAAGTGTTGCCCACCAGACCTGCTACCATCACCCCAGATGATTCCTTTTTTGACCTGGGTGGGCACTCCATTTTAGCGACGAAAATGATATTCACCTTGAAAACAAAGTTGCATGTTGAATTACCTCTAGGGACTGTTTTCAAATACCCAACAATCAAACTTTTTGCCAACGAGGTAGCAAGGACGAGAAAGTCTGACGAGAACTCGAAACCTGAGGATGTTGTAACAGCAGACTACTACGGAGACGCAAAAGAACTTGTGAAAACAAGGTTGCCAAAAAGCTACCCTTCACGTAAGGGCCTTGACTCCGACTCCGATACCATCAACGTGTTTGTGACAGGTGTGACGGGATTTCTGGGCTCATACATCGTCGCGGATCTCCTAAGTAGACCGGGCTCTCGGAAGGTTAAGGTATTTGCACACGTCCGTGCCAAGGATACCGCTGCAGGATTGGATCGTGTGATCAATGCTGGTGTTGTTTACGGCACTTGGTCAGAGGCTTTCCGCTCTCGTATAGAGGTTGTTTTGGGAGATTTGTCCAAATCACAATTTGGTCTTGAAGACAAAGCATGGAATAGGCTCGCAAATGAGGTAGATGTTATCATCCACAATGGTGCTATGGTTCATTGGGTTTATCCCTATGCAAAATTGAGAGATGCTAATGTGATTTCCACTATCAATGTCATGAACCTCGCATCTACTGGAATGAAGGCCAAATATTTCACTTTCGTTTCGTCCACGTCCACGATAGACACTGCTCACTACTTCGAGCTCTCTGATAAATTGGCTGCAGAAGGGAAGGGATTGCCCGAGGAGGATGATTTAATGGGTTCTTCAACTGGATTAAGTGGCGGTTACGGCCAGTCCAAATGGGCTGCAGAGTATATCATTAGACGCGCCGGTGAACGTGGCTTACGTGGGTGCATAGTGAGACCAGGCTATGTGACTGGTGCATCTCGCAACGGCTCATCGAACACCGATGACTTTTTACTCAGAAGTTTGAAAGGTGTTGTCCAGTTGGGTAAGGTTCCAGATATAAGAAACACTGTAAACATGGTCCCAGTCGATCAAGTGGCCCGTGTAGTCACTGCAGCCGCATTATATCCACCTTCCAGTAATTCTTTGGAGGTGGCACACGTTACAGCTCACCCACGTTGTTTGTTCAGAGATTACTTGTTAGAGTTGGCGAAGTACGGCTATCCTGTTGAGGTCGAGAGTTATGATTCGTGGAAGAAGTCTTTAGAGGATTCGGTCATTGGGCGTCAGGAGGAAAACGCCCTCTATCCGCTGCTGCACATGGTTCTGGATAACTTGCCCGAAAACACCAAGGCACCTGAGTTGGACGACTCCAATGCCGTAATTTCTTTGAAAAAAGATTCACAGTGGACTGGCGAGGATTGTTCAAGTGGCAAGGGTGGCACCCCTGAACAGATTGGAATATATATTGCTTTCTTGATCAAGGTGGGATTCTTGCCTTCTCCTCCACAGACAGGTATCTGTTCCATTCCTGAGATTGAGTTGTCTGAGCAACAGATTGAGCTTGTATCTGCCGGTGCTGGCGCTCGAGGCAGTTCCGCAGGGTCTAAATGATGATGATGTAAAAAAATTAGTAAATGAAATCCCTCTATTCTGTTTTGACTCATCCAATCTTATATACACGGTTGTGACGTTCCTTCTAATGGTCCTAGTTGTTGAATAAAAATTGCAAGTCCCCAGGCGTTAACCTGTTGATGGCCGCGTCGTCTTGACTGATCGTAGCGTGAATCATGTTGGCCTTTTTCTCCTGCAGTTCTATGATTCTCGACTCAATACTGTCTTCGATGCAAAATCTTGTTATCTTCACCGGTCTAAATTGGCCGATTCTATGCACTCTGTCTCCACTCTGCCATTCTACACTTGGGTTCCACCAGGGATCCAGGATGAAAACTTGAGAAGCTTCACACAAGTTGAGAGCAACACCACCGGCTTTCAGACTTACCAGAAACACTTCGCAATGGATGTCTTCCATAAAGTATTTGATCGTCTGGTCTCGCTGCGTGGGAGTCATGCTACCTTGTAGTTTCACGGTTTTGAATCCAGCTCTTTTCAGTCTCCACTCAACCAGATCTAGCATACTTGTGAACTGTGAGAAAACAATGGACTTGATCGTTCTTCGATCGCTTCGCAGATTGTAAAGTTCCTCGACCAGTGCTTCAATTTTGGTCGAAGATCGCCAGTTTCCTTTGACGTTCAGTCGATCTACAATACTATGCCTGGAATGAGACCTGGGAGTGTACTCCAGGGCTGGTTGGGATAGATCAATACTCAGTGCAATGTGGCATACAGGACATGTCAGTTTTTCGCTATTTTCCATGAAAGACTCGATGTATTCTTTTATGCATAGCCGACAAAACCTGTGGTGACATTTTGATTCAATCGGCTCATACGCTTCGTCGTCGCAAAGTTCACAAACTATGACGCTATCGTCATATCCCTGTCCATTTTTCATTCTTTTCAGAACTAGATCAGGATGGTCAGCTAATTGCCTCATCCTAGTGATCAGAGTGAAAATATTGGCATAATTGTTCAGCACAACACCCTCTTCCACATATGAATTGAACTTTCTTTTGATGTCTGTATAAAGACTTTGATAAAGATCTTTTTCCTCTTCGTTGAAGAAGTCGCGCCGTACAGTAACGATCCGTGGAGGAAGACCCAAGTCATCCGCCCTTTCCACCTTTGTTCTTCTCAACATGACATTTTTGAGCAGAAGTTGAATGTTGTTGAACGATTCGCGTCCCGGGCCCTCCATTCCGTGTTTTTGAATGTTCTTCAGAGCAAAGTGATTGAAGAAGTTTGTATGTTGCATTACCACATGCGCACATTTGTCGCAATGCATATTGTCGCTGAACTTCCATTCTTTTGATGCACAGTCGCATTTGGTGCAGTAATACATCGAGAACGGATTAATGTTCAAAAATCGAATCAGAGAGTACATTTCACCAATTCTATTTTGTAGAGGTGTACCTGTCAAACACCATCGTTTTTCAGTGAGTAAATTGTTGACAGCTTTCGCTGTGTTGCTTTGTCTATCTTTGATGTTGTGAGCCTCGTCAAGGATAACGCGGTAGAAGTTCATGTTGTGGAGAACTGACTTCTCCTTGTAGACACCATTTTTCCTTTTGAAACCATAATTTTGCTTGCGGAAAACAGACTCCAAAACTGAATAAGTTGTCAAAAGAACGTCTACGTCTTTGAACTCACCCACGTTAGCGGTCCGATTAGCGCCGTGGAAAATGTGCGTCTTGAGCTTTCCTCCGGTGTGTTGCTCGATTTCATTCCGCCACTGTACCAGCGCAACAGTGGGTGCCACGACCAAAGAGGGCTTTTTGGAAACATCATTCATCAACAGAGCGATGGTTTGAATGGTTTTTCCCATACCCATTTCGTCGGCCAGTACACCACCGCCGTACATACTACCTTCCTGAGTGATGAGCCAATGCAAGCCCTCAAGTTGGAAAGGTAGCAATTTGATTGTCATTCCTGTGGGCTGTGGTGCTCGATTTGCCTTGTATGCTGGGGCATCTGCCAGATCTGTGAACACAGTTTTCAGCTCAGGATGGTTATCGAAAAGCTTAGCGGTGTTTCTTTCGTACGGTGTCGTTTTGGGTTTTTTGGGTTTAGGCTCTTTTTTGGGCTTCTTCTTGGCACCATCGGCTTTTGCCCTGGTTGCTCGTTTTCTTTTAGGTTTGGTTTCCACCTCTGGAACTTCTGAGCTCTTGGGTGTACGTCTTTTCGACAAGGGCAAATCTTCATCATCGTCCTCTTCGCTTTTTATTTCCATCAACTCTTCTAGCACAGGTTTCTCATCCTCTGATGACTCTATCAGTAAAGGAGTACCGTCCATGCTAATCTCTTTGACGGCATCTTCGTAATCGTCATCGTCTTGTTCACCGCCTTTTGCTTTATCAACTGGAGTGCTCTCGCCATCACTGATTTCAACATAGTCCACTTGACGTTTCCGTCTGGTTTTTGGCTTTCTTATAAACCCTCCTTCTTCAAGCATGTTTCGAGTCTTTTAGAATTCAGCTGAAGGCCTGGAGTGTGGTCTTTCAGGGTAGTTTTGTTGTAAGAGTTGCTGAGTTGAATAGGATTTTAAATAAATTGAATGATCTCTTCTAGTCTTGTAGCTATTGCGATTATGTGAAGAAAATCTAAAGGTCTATATAAAGGACTAGAAGAGGTTTATTTGGACTTAAAATGAAGATTCAATTGACGGGTATCTAGTGATGGTCTTAGAATTACAGGATGACTACTCTGTGATGCCCGCGCCAGGGTCGGAAAATATGAGCTTTACAATATTTCTTGAACCGATTTGTTGAAATATTGTCTCTTATGCGATGAAAGATGCTGTTAATGGAGGGGAACCTTGAGAACTTAGCACATGAGAAGTCTCGAAAAGTACACTTGTCTAAACTTTTAGACATTTCAATGACATTTTTCTGATATTGCATCAGTGGAGGACAATTTGATTTATTTGTAGGCAGAGAAGAAAGCGTTGCGTATATCATGAATTGTTATCCCAAAACCTTTCAAGAATCGCATATTCAACATGTGCTGCAAAAGCTTTGTGAATCGAGAAGTTACCAATGAGGGAACTGAATAACTCCAAAGACTGTGTAGTGTGTATGGAATTTTCGGATACTAGGGAAGCCCTATGTTGTAATAGACACCCACAGTAATTATTTTCGTCATCTAAGTGGTATGAACATCTGTGAGAAACTGTAGATAAATCCTACACTGGTTATTCCTGGACTAGGCCCGGAAACCCCAGAACAAAAAATTAGAACAAAATGTGTTATAAATCGTGGGAAAAGTCATAGAACATGTTACGGGCAGGTCACATTGGTATAGACAATCGGCTAATGGCAAGCGATGCTCTCCTGTGCATACACTAAAGCTTGACAGCCATTATGTTTCGTATCATTTTTGACCACTCTGTCGTCTGTCGTCGTAGTCACGTGCTTTCTCTTCTGTTTTTGCCATTTGAAACAAGTGAGGGCTATAAGGGGTAGATGCGGTTGCCCATGAGTTTCGTTTCGTGTTTAATCTAATCTCGGTGAATATTTGCGGCACCATTGCTACATCCACAGTTCAAAGTCATCGCCAGCTTCATTTATCACTTTGTACTATTTCGTCGTTAAAACCACCTTTCAAGACTAAAAAGTAACCCTTTGTATTCCCGAGAAATCAACCACGATAATTACAACTTAACTTACTTGTCCCCTCTTAAAAAGATACAGATCTCATTGTCACCTTCATCTGAAACTTTTTAGTCCTCCCAAAATAGCTATCTCCTTTAAAAACATAAAATTTTCAGCACTGACGTCTCGAACCCGCTATAACTTCCCAAAAATCAGTCCAATTTCCTCTAACCCTAACTTTGACTTCATCATCCCCATACTCTCACTTCCCTGCTATACCTTTTTCTAACTGTAGTCATTTTTCCTTTGCTACACCTTTTTCTTTTCGATCTTTTCGATCTGGTTTCGGTGCCTGATTTCAGAATCACTAACAGATTCACCGCATGATGCGGTGCAGTTCTGGCCGAAATAAGACTTACGAATAAAGGACCGTTGATCATTCTGCCGATTTCCTGACGTCTCGGCATTCGCGAAACATTCAGTGACACCGCATTTTTCTCGCCAAGAAAATGCGAAACGAATGTTCTGAAAAATTATATAAAATAGACTCAATTCTCAGCTTTCTTGAGGAAGAATACACAAAACCACAATCGTTCCTTTATACTCTCAAAGTGTCTGTTATTCTGCTGTTCTCGGTGTTTAAATCTTGTCAATTATCGAAATTATTGAGGTCTAATATCGCGAAATGTTACCCGGATATGACTCTACTAAATTTATTTAGACAAATTGACCTTTAGCGTTCATCAAAACAACATCTACAAGCGCACAAAACGCAGTGAAAACAGGTCTAAAAGCGACTCTACAGACAGTCAAACCGTTTTCCCAAGTGGTTTTACGGAGCCTAGGGCATACAAAGGTGGATAAGCGTCGAAGAAACGGCGAAAACGCGCTATTTTTGAGCACTTTGAGCGGCAAAAAATAGAGGAGAAACCTGCCGACGTTTTACCCAATTCAAAGCGTTCTCGGGCCAACAGAAACATTTGTTCTTTAACCAGTGGCGTATCTGAGTACCACAGCTCCATCCTTGAACAAAATCCAGACCCGAAAAAAAATTTGGAGTCGAACGACACATTTTTTTCCCCCGGTATTTTTGTCGATTGGTTTTTCTGTTTCGTTGGTTTCGATCTGGTTGTCGTGAACGCTAGCCATGAACATTCTGCCTTCTCAACATAGCACGTTGGGGCCCGTAGGGCCTCCCGTTGGATTGCAATCACAACCTACACCACAGCAGCAACAACAACAACCTCAGGGTTCGCCAGCAACACTAGCGGCCACGGTCGCAGCTGCAGCGGCTGCCACTCCTGGACAACCTATAGTGCAGGTACAAGTACAACCACAGATTCCAGCGGATCCTGTAACACAGTCAATGGCCGAAACATGGCTGTCGATCGCATCTTTGGCCGAAACATTGGGTGATGCAGATCGGGCAGCCATGGCGTACGATGCAACGCTACAGTACAATCCCTCGTCTACAAAGGCACTCACATCTCTGGCACATTTGTACAGATCGCGTGATATGTTCCAGCGGGCCGCAGAGCTGTACCAACGCGCCCTGTCAGTAAACCCAGAGCTAGGCGACATTTGGGCAACATTGGGTCACTGTTATTTGATGCTAGACGATTTGCAGCGTGCATATGCTGCTTACCAACAAGCGCTGTATCATTTGAGTAATCCCAACGTGCCAAAACTATGGCACGGTATCGGGATTCTGTACGACCGGTACGGGTCTCTGGACTATGCAGAAGAGGCCTTTGCCAAAGTATTGGAGCTCGATCCGCAATTCGAAAAAGCAAACGAAATTTATTTCCGATTGGGCATCATCTACAAACACCAAGGCAAGTGGAATCAAGCTCTTGAATGTTTTAGATACATTCTTACACAACCACCTGCCCCACTGCAAGAGTGGGATGTGTGGTTCCAACTGGGGAGCGTTTTGGAGAGCATGAGTGAGTGGCAAGGCGCCCGAGAGGCATATGAGCACGTACTTTTGCAAAACGAACGACATGCGAAGGTACTACAGCAATTGGGGTGTCTGTATGGAATGCAAAATGTCCAGTTTTACGATACTCAGACTGCTCTCAATCTTTTGCTTAAATCTTTGGAAACCGACTCAACGGACGCTACCACTTGGTACCATTTGGGCCGTATACATATGGTCAGAAATGACTACACGGCCGCATATGATGCGTTCCAACATGCTGTGAACCGGGATTCCAGAAATCCAATTTTCTGGTGTTCGATTGGTGTACTATATTATCAAATCTCTCAGTATCGAGACGCTCTCGATGCTTACACAAGAGCTATCAGATTGAACCCATATATCAGTGAAGTTTGGTACGATTTGGGGACGCTGTATGAGACCTGTAATAATCAGCTCACGGATGCTTTGGATGCGTATAAGCAGGCTGCTAGGCTCGATACAAATAACGTGCATATTCGAGAAAGACTAGAGGCGCTGACCGAACAATTGGCCAATCAATCTAATGGCGGTAATGCTTTGCCTCCCCAACCTAAGCCACAAACTGTTGCGAATCCTCCACCCGTGATGTTGCAACCAACCTTGCAATCTACCGACGATGGCAATCCTCTGAATAAATCTTCAGTCTATGTTCAGCCTCAGGTAGCAGGGCAAATGCAAGCTGCATTACCAGCCCATTTGCAAACTCATGTGCAAGCACATGCACCTCCTCAACAGTTAGCTCCTCAGCAGCAGCCCACCCAGCCTCAGCCTTTGCCGCAGCCCCAGCTTCACCCACAACCGCCGCAATTAGCCGTGCAATCGCATCCACAAGCCCATTTGCAACATCAGTACCAACAAGTTCCCCAACCGCCAGGTATGTCCTCTGTCGGTAGCACGTTGAGCCCATTTCGTGATGTTAAAGGCTCTTCCAACTCTCATTCATTACCTCAGATTATGAATCCGGCCGTTCATACAGTTGCTGCGGCTCCTAATCTGCCTCAAAAAAGGCCTATGGAGGCAGGGATGGACACACTTGTGAATGCGGCCGTTTCGAACGCGGCGACGCCCTCTGCGGCTACACCAACCACCACCAGAAGTCGTAAAACCTCCAATGCTTCAGAGAGCTCACAACCGAAAAAACATAAGCGCAATGCATCAACTTCTAAGCAGCAACGCAATCAATCACCGCAAACATCTACAAAACCTAAAACGGTGTCCGTTGCCTCTGTTTTAGAGCAAGACTCTACACCGACACCTACACAGGCTTCCTTACAAACTACGGCACCTAATCAAGCCGCTGCACAAACACCAGCACAAACACCAGTGCCAAACCCCGCCTCCGCTGTTGCTGCCAACGAGCAGGCCGCCCCAAAGCAAGAACAGCCTATTGCGCCTTCACCCACAAACGCCTCACCACCCCAGTCAGTGGAAGTTCCAGCGCAGCCAGCGTCTTCTTCAAAACCAGAGGGTGATGCACCACCGGCTGCTGAACCTCCGGTGCAGGAAAACTCTCAAACTCAAATCCCTGATAGAGCTACTGAGTCCGAGCAAGCACAGCCTGCTGCGTTGCAAGCAGAGGCCAACCCTGCTCCTTCGCAAGAGGATGAGACCGTTATCAAGGCGAGTCCCGATGCAATTGAAAAACTTCGCGAAGAAGCCGAACTACGAAAAGAGGAAGAGCAAGAATCATTACTCAACGAGCCTGAATCTGCTCAGAACGGCGACACCAAGCCTACAGTCAACGAAAGAGCTGTACGTGAGGTCGAAGAAGATGAAAATTATGACGATTGAGATGTAGTGTGGATGTAACTATAAAAAAAAATGAAATATTGAACCAACAACGGGGAAATCGACGACGCTTTTGGATCACATTCTTGTTGCAATGATTATTCAGTGTCGACGATTTCTGCCAGAAACCCTTCTATTTTTGCGAGGATCTCTTGTTTCGTGGATTCAGAGACAAGTTCTGAGTTTATCGACGTTATGTTAGTATTTGATATGCAGAGAAGTCTACCACGTCTCGTATTAAAACTGTAGAAACATACCGCTTGCTTTGGGCTCGACTTTCGACAAAATCTGAGTAAACGTAGCTTTTGAATCATTGTTGATTTCCTCTTGGGCCAGCCTTTTGACCTGGTCGGTCCAGCCTTCCTGCAAGAGTCTTTGGCTCAAATTGTTTGAGATTCTAGTTGGTGAAACCAAGTCTTGTTAGTAAAATCCGGAACAGACCTGAAACGGCGGCGAAAATCGCCTCTAATGCATGTATATAAGCACTTGTGCGTGTTGGAAAACTACTTACAATTCATAGTTACCAGATTCAACCAAATGTTGCTGAATTTGAGCCTTTACTTGAATTGAGCTTAAGTCTCCAGAAGTCATCATCGAACGGGCTTTTTTCTTGTGGCTCTTCGAGTGATTACAACTCTTGACACTGGTTGATACTTTGATCGATTCCAGACGGTTATATAGCGTATATATGTGGTTAGTTGTTGTAGCTGTTGTGAACTGGTTTGGTTTGGTATAAGTAGATGTCAATCTCATATTAACCTAACACTATCTGCAAACAAGTTTACATGTCAAGATCAGTATTTAAAGGCAGTTTAGGCTTGTATAGATCGGCAGCACGACTAGGAGGAATACGTGAGTTTTGTTGTACAATGAGTGTCAAAGGAAAACCTGAAGATGCCAAGTTTTTGAAGTCGTATCCGGTGTCGAACGCTGCAGAATGTAAGTGGATAGGACTAGAGAGACTAGAGTACATAGACCCTGCTGGAAACAAAAGACAATGGGATAGTGCGGTGAGATTGACCAGAAACAGTGGTGGAATCGACGGGGTAGGAATTCTGGCAATTTTGAAGGCTCCAGGCAAAGAACCGGAGATTTTGCTTCAAAAACAGTTTAGACCACCTGTTGAAGGGGTTTGCATCGAGATGCCAGCAGGGCTAATCGATAAAGGCGAGTCGGTGGATGTAGCAGCATTGCGTGAATTGAAAGAAGAAACTGGCTACTCTGGTAAAATTGTCAGTAAAACACCCACAATCTTCAATGACCCTGGCTTCACCAATACCAATCTGTCGCTGGTAACAGTAGAAGTGGACGTTACAGCTCCTGAAAACCAAAATGTACAAACGGAGCTCGAGGAAAACGAATTTATAGAGTGCTTCACGGTGCCATTGAAGTCGTTTGCTGTGGAAATGGAAAAACTTGCGCAACAGGGCTACAAACTCGATGCTCGTGTGCAAAATGTAGCACAGGGTATCAAACTCGCTCAACAGTACCAGCTCTGAAGCCTGAAAGCCTGAATGAAAATGCTATGAACTAACAACACTATTACCCTTTTTTATTTATATATATGCAAGGAAGGCGTTTAATAAGATATTGTCGTCGTCGTAATCGTCGTGGTCGTAAGCTCTTTAATGGTCCCTCGGCCCACTGCTGCTATATGGCGACTTGTGAAAATTTATCCATGAACGCCTTCCACTCTGGCAACCCCATTGTGCTATCACAACGGTCGCTACCAAAAGTTACCGAGTCCTCATCCAAGATAAGGTCGATTTTCTCAGCAGGCTCCTCATCCTCGATCACAGCTTGGTTCATAACTTCGTTCAGAGTAAACTGCTGCAAACCGCCGTCCTTCATCATACTGGATTCATTCAGGCTAGGCCGGTGACCCTTTTGAGAAGATCTACGGCGCCGCGTGGTGCTTGCACGTCTTCGCGATGCCATCAAAGTAGAATTCGAAGATGAGCGTCTTTTTGGCTCGAATGACGGCTGGGGACATTTCAGGTTCTGAAGCACTTTGGAAAGCACATTTTGCCACCAACAAACCCATCTGAGAAGTTCTGCTAAAAGCTCGATATTTTCATTGCCGATATTGAATTTTGATACCGGTATGAGAGAAGTGGTAGTCTCGTTATGCAGTTGAATTGTTTTTTGATGGTTAACCACGCAAAAGGAGTTCTGGTACTCAGCATCCAGCACCAAGTCCCCGGAAATGAGCTCTTGAGGAAAGTATAAATCAGAGTCACACATTTGCAAAGTCAGACTCACTCCGGATGCTACGCTATCCAGATTCTTGCAGCTCCACTTTCCATCAGCAAAATGGTAGTCGTACAATTGACTGGTGGTCGAAACGGTGTTCTCCTCAATTGTGATCTTGGCAATTTGCCTTCCTTCCATCAAGATATATATCCCGAATCGATTATCGACATTGGTGCGTATTTCTGCATTGATGGATGTATATTCAAAGTATGACCGCAGCTGTTCTGGAAGTTCAGTGAAGTACTTGAAAAGATCCAATTTCCCACCTTTGGAAGAGCCAGAGGCTTCTGTTTCAACGCTAGAGTGTGCGTCCAGCACGGACAGAAATTTGAGGTTATAACAAAACGTCTGTAGATCGGGAAAGTACTTCAATGCATTGAATAAAATGTTCCCATTGTCACCATCGTTGAAATAGTTGAAATTGTCAAAATTGCTTGCAAGCACCAGTTTAACATCCTTGACCTGTTTCTCATTTTTCAAGAAGTCCATGTCTATCACAATGATATTAGAGGCTGCCGAAAGACGGACCGTGTTGCTGTCAATGTTGTCTGTGAAAGATTCCAACCGTAGTGTCTTGCATAAGCGTGTGACATTATCCATGGTGACTAAGCCGGGCTTGTATTCCTGAAGAATGGAGACCATCTGCCCAAGGGTCTCGACGTATGCATCGCTCATAGCAGGAAAGCCGAGCTGGTTTGGTGAGTTCTTGAGATGGTGGTATTTGACTAAGGCTAGTGGTAATAATTTCGATAATTTAATGGACTTATAACGTCAACGGTGATGAGTAAAGAGTATATGAATAAAAGGAAGGTCTAAACAGTTAGTTAAGATCTCAAAACGCCTAGGAAAATTGAGATTAGCGGTTTCTGTTTTGTAAGCTTTTTTTGGGAGTTTTTTCCGACGATTTTTGACCAGTTTTGCTCAATATGGCTCTTTTACTGTAAGTTCTCAAAATATCGACAACAAGTTGTGAAACGAGGAATTGAAATGTACTAGGGACGAGGGAGATGATTTTAGTAGTTTTGGAAGGAGCTTTGGATTGATTTTTAGATGTTCAAACAGGTAAAATGGTGGTGTAAATAGAAGCCGTGGGTGCATCGCGTCACATTTATGAATGTGGCATGTTGGATGAGCTGTGATGATTTTTACACCGCATTGTGAGCAGAAATTATTTCTACGGGATTGTAAGGCTACCAGGTATTTGTGAAAGAGATCGCCAATCGACTCATTCTTATTTGAAATTTACCGAGTGATTTGCACCTTAGATTATGCTAAAACCATCAATTTCAATCCGTCAGATCGCAAAAATAAAGTTTATTGCATAATCAATTGTAAATTACACAGTGCTGATAGTCTCGACGCTATTGTGCCATGCAAAGACGAGCTATAATCGATAATCGGCTCCTTTGCGCTTCTTGTCACTTTTTCCGTAATCTGTCGCCATTTCGTGATGATATAGATTTCGACGATAAAAAAAAACGTCCAATTCGAAAGGGGATCAACGAACGCGATAAAAAATCACTCAATAAAATTCTAGAGTTTTGCCAGACGTACGTAGACTCTGAAACTTTAAAAAATAGGTGACACTGGCCGATCTAGATCGCTATGAACGAATTTATTTTCAAGTCCTGTCATCGTTCTTTAAATGTCTGTAGATCATGATGTGCATGCTACCATAGATCCCAAATCTTTCAATTCAAATACTGGGATATCCAGTTATTTTTCAAAACTATTCCGACGAGATAGATATCAGGAGTTTTCGAGTTTTTAAGTGAATTCGACGTAACCGTCTCAAACTTGGCCAAAATTCTTCAAACTTGGACCAAAAATTAGCCCGCATTTTGCACCTAATTTTCCACCAGTTGGGTGCTGCTTTTACCCTGGACGCTTTTCACTATCTGCTTATCATGTTTCCATAAATCTTCAGTATCCAATTCAATCTATAAAAGACGTTGGAAAATTTTAGATTATCTCTTCCTGAACTAGACAATGGCATTACAACAAAGCACGGAATCGTCCAAATATACCACCTCTTGCAACTCAATTGAAATGTCTGCTGAATTGTCGCACCCAACCATCAAGGATGGATGGTTTAGAGAAATCTCTGACACTATGTGGCCAGGTCAAGCCATTACTTTGAAAGTTGAAAAAATCCTACACCACGAGAAGTCCAAGTACCAGGACGTTTTGATATTCAAATCGACCAACTACGGCAATGTCTTGGTGTTGGACAACGTCATTCAGGCTACTGAAAGAGACGAATTTTCTTACCAGGAAATGATCACTCATTTGGCCATGAACTCGCACCCCAATCCAAAGAGAGTTTTGGTTATCGGTGGAGGTGACGGTGGTGTTCTAAGAGAAGTTGTCAAGCACGAATCTGTGGAAGAAGCGTGGTTGTGCGACATTGACGAGGCTGTCATCAGACTCTCCAAGGAATTTCTACCTGGTATGGCCGCGTCTTACTCTCATCCTAAGGTCAAGACCCACATAGGTGACGGATTTCAATTTTTGAGAGACTACCAAAACTCTTTTGATGTTATTATCACCGATTCTTCGGATCCTGAGGGTCCTGCCGAGACTCTGTTCCAGAAAGCCTACTTCGAGCTCTTGAACAGTGCGTTGACCAGTAACGGTGTCATCACTACTCAGGCCGAAAACATCTGGTTGCATTTGCCAATCATCAAGGATCTAAAGAAGGCCTGCTCCGAAGTCTTCCCAGTTGCCGAATACGCTTACACCACCATTCCTACTTATCCATCTGGTCAAATTGGGTTCATGGTGTGCTCTAAAGACGCTAAAGTCGATGTCAAGAAACCTTTGCGTGAAGTTTCCGACGAAAAAGAAGCCCAATTGTACAGATACTACAACAAGAGAATCCACGAGGCGTCCTTCGTTCTGCCAACTTGGGCCGCCAAGGAATTGGAGCTGTGACGTGCAAATCAGAGCCCAGTTCAAACTTGAATATTCATAAATGTAGCTATTAGTTTAATTCTTCATCTTCAATACTGTAACACACATTTTATGAACTTCGATCTCAACTTTGATAGACGTACTCTTGAGAGATTGCTGCTATAGGAATCTGGTTATGGATTAAATGGCGCGCTTCGTCATCTCCGCATCGCCTTTCCAGTCTCAGGTATCGGATCTTCTGCCATGTTACAATAATGGCAGATCGTCTCTGCTTTATGGTATGCTCAAAGCTTATGGGCTTCTAGGATATTTTGACGAGGTGATCGTATCGCCCAACTGCTCAATTGCAGATCTACGGCAATTCCATTCCAAGGAATACCTGGAAGTACTGTTCGACTCATGCTCTGAAGAAGAACCAAAAATTCATGCAGCAGACAATGAGGCCATTCGAAAGGTCGCTTTACCAGCAACGAACTGGCTTGAGTTGAATGCTGGGCTGGTTGAAGGGAAATCGCCCTGGTCTGATCCTGGAAGTTCACTTTACAAAAACTATCTGGATTACAACTTTGATGGATCAGAATCGGTACAATCCAATTCAACTTTACAACACCGGCTACATGGCGATGAAAGTCTTTGTTTGAAAAAATCTCAAAACCTTATGAGATATGGTCTCTCACACGATTGCCATATTTTTGAATACTTACCCATGTACTGCAAAGTTCTTGCAGGTGCGACACTAGCCTTGGCAAAACATGCTGTTCACCGAGGCCAACGCACTATTTCAATAAATTGGGATGGTGGTAGACACCATGCCTTGCGATCAAAGGCCAGTGGATTTTGTTACATAAACGACATTGCACTGTTAGTTCTCAGGTTGAGAAAATTGGGGATCAAAGCATTAAGCTATGTAGATTTTGATTTGCACCACGGAGACGGCGTTGAGCGAGCCTTTCAATACTCTGCCAACGTTCAAACCATATCTGTGCACTTGCTTGAGCCTGGTTTTTTCCCAGGTTCGGGCACATTGAAGGATGCACGTCAAGGGAAAAATGTTGTAAACCTTCCCGTCTTACATGGCCTTGATGACAACGCTCTGAATATGCTGGTCAACAGAGCTATTGTTCCAGCTATGAAGCGTCATAAACCACAGGCTATAATTATTCAATGCGGCGCAGATGGATTGATGGGTGACAAATATGGAGAGTGGCAGCTGACCATCGCGGGCCTTGCTGAGAACATCTTGACAGTCATGCGAAGCTTTCCTGATGCCAACATAGTGCTTCTAGGCGGCGGTGGCTACAATGAAAAACTGACCAGTAGGTTTTATACGTTTTTAACGTGGAAAGTTCTATCTGAATTTTCAGAGACGTATGAGGGCTCCAATCCCTTTGAGAAAGAAGAGGACGTTATTCCTGACCACGAGTTTCTCGATTCCTACAAGGACGAGTTTTACAAGTTCTGGTATTACGACAGCAAAGGCTGCCGCACATCATTTCTGAAGAACGACAACACAAGAGCCAATCTCGAGAAGCTTGTGCAATTTTATAGCACGGCTTGAAATTCCATTAACATTACTTCAGCGTCTTATCAGCGAAAGCTTTTCCATGGCTTTTTCCCACGAAGCTTGCCACCTATTCCTGGATTCAGTAAGTGCACCGGCTTTGAGTTTATCGCTTACATGTTTATCTTTAGTGACAAAAATGAGGGCTTCGTGTAGCTCTCTTCTGTCCAAAAATTTCAGGCCGTTGACATTGTGCTGGAGCAGTTCGTCTAGAACGGGGTAGTTATAGGCGATGACCGGCAGACCCGAGCCAAACATGTCCAGAATTTTCATGGGTAGATCAAGACCCGAGCTTGATGTATGCAAAGAGACGCCAAAATCGCACAGTTGCAAAAGTTTTGGGTAGTCTTCTGAAGTAAGCCATAAAAACTCAATGTGTACGCGGTCCCATTTTTCAGCCTTAACTTGTTCAACAAGCTGTTGCTTTAGAGGACCCTTGCCGGTAATGAAACAGAGAAGTCTCGGCAGTGCCTGGTCGAACTTCGCATGCGAATTTTCGTAGATCTTGAGAGCGCCAATCAAAATCCCCAGGTCCTCGTCTGGTGTAAAAGACGTGGATGTAACTAAAATGCGATCATTTTGCGTAACATCAAATTCGGCAGGCACGAACCGGCGTATAAAGTCCTGTTTCAATGCTTCACTACGATTTTCCTTCAAAGGCCTGAACTGAGCCGCAGGACGGTCATAAAGGACCTCAATGCGACCGGGTGAAAGTCCAAATGTTTCTGACAAGTACTCTTTCATAGCTTTAGTGACGGTGAGATGGTAGGTTGCAAATTTGGAAAACGCATATTCTATGAGAAACGAAACAAGCACCAGTGGGTTCCAAAAAGAGCCCAATTTGAGCTGCAGTATCGAAAAGCCAAGATTGTGCCAGTCTATGATGAGTTTGCAACGGCACAAAACGCAGTAGACGCTTGCAATTGGCAGAATTGGGATGCTGGGAGGATTCTGCAAAAGAAAGTAGTCACTTCCCCTCAATTGCCACAAAACTTTGGCAATTGATACCATCTGAATGGCCACTTTCCAAAACGCAGTGACCACAAAGGGTTGACCCTTGCGTGCCTTGTAACTTGCCAAACCGTGGATCGTAATATTTGGATCGCTTTCGATCTCTGCGGGTGCTTTTTCCTCCGAAACATACCCGCAAAACTCAACCTGCCATCCTAGATTGCTGAAGCTTTGAGCATGGTAGCACATGCGCGGAGAATGGCCTATATCTCCCAAAACGCAGATTATGATGCGTTTTTTAGTCGCGCGGTTTCCATAGAAGAAAAAGGGCACCACCACGTAAAAAACCACCGGGACAAGAACGTACAGCGCAAGTCCCCACCACAAGTACGGTAAATAAGGCTCCAGAACCATTGCAAAGCGCACTGGGGTCGTTATATCCACCAACAACTTCTGGTTTTTTGTTTAAAGATCTCTTTAAACCTTATATAGGTTCGAAATTGAAATATCGAAAGTTGATCAACGAGTACAAAGGTATCCGAGTACAGAAGTACTTGTGATCATTTCTTACAGCACTATATACGAGAATCCAGTTTAATAATATTCTATATATTTATATATATATATATATATATAAACTGTCTCTGACAGCTGTTCAAAACTCAACCCAATCCACCCAACAAATCAAGACTTCAACACTTGGATCCTCCCAGATCGCCGGAACAGGTCATTTTGAAGCTAATTGAACTGCACCACGCGACTCAGCATGTCTGGAAACCTTACAGAAGAACAAATTGCCGAATTTAAGGAAGCCTTTGCGCTGTTTGACAAGGATAACAATGGATCGATCTCTTCGTCGGAGTTGGCGACAGTGATGAGATCTTTGGGGCTATCTCCCAGCGAAGCGGAGGTTTCGGACCTGATGAACGAAATCGACGTGAACGGAAACCACAAGATCGAGTTCAGCGAGTTCTTAGCGTTGATGTCGCGCCAGTTGAAATCGAACGATTCGGAACAGGAATTGCTCGAAGCGTTCAAAGTTTTCGACAAAAACGGGGACGGACTTATTTCTGCTGCAGAGCTCAAGCATGTGCTCACGTCGATCGGTGAGAAGCTCACGGACGCGGAAGTGGATGAAATGCTGCGGGAAGTAAGCGATGGTAGTGGTGAAATTAATATCAAGCAATTTGCTGCTCTTTTATCGAAATGAAGGGTGAGCAATGCTCTCCTGCTCATAACATGAGCTGCAATGGCGGTGGTCTGAGCCGATTTCTGTTATTTCGGGATTTTGATAAAAAAAAATATTGCGTCGAGTTTCGGAATTTTCCTTCATTCATCATCTCCTATGACTATCCGGGCCCTCCAAACTGGTTGACAAGTGTCACTTCATTCTCGCATTCTAATTAAAAGGGTGCTTTGCAGCGTCAATTGCTCTCCAGAATGGTCTTTATCCTCTATTGTCCTTTCCATGTCTTTTATCTCTTTAATGTGTGTCATCTTATAAATGCTATTCCATCGTAATGCTAAGTTTTGTGTAGTCTATCATCATCCATTGGAACCGCGTTCTTCAAATACCGCTGGAACGGATTTTCGTTGCCGTCGTCAAGGTTCGGAGCTGGTTTTACAGCCGCTTCCATTCGAAGTGGTGGGGCCGCTGGTTGTATGTTGCTGGAGGCTATGAAAGACGATGTTGAATCTTGCGTTAGCTCCGGCCTTTCAATTGATTGCCTCGAATTGAACTTCGCCATGAGTTCCGCATTGAGCCCTTTTGGACCGCTAGATGGCTCTTCGTGGTTATTCGTTGAGGGCAAGTGTGGTTTTCTCGTTGGTTTGGGAGGAGGCATAGCTGCAATATTCTTGCGAGCGGGTTTCGGCGGCGGAACTTTGGCCAGCCTTTGCTCGTTGTCGCCAGTCGCCGCTGGGCTAATTGTCTCGTTATTCAGACTCTGCAGGTGTTGAGGAAGGGATTTTTTGGGAGGTGGTGCCTTCTTGGGTTTTGGAGACGCCCTGGCAATAGTATCAGGAGCATTCCGTGGAGGCAGTGCGACCTCTGAGTATGGCGGAGGAATAGACTTCGTATCATCTGAATTAGAGTTAATCGAAGATGTACTGCGGCGAGGCGGTGCTGGAGGTGGCTGAGGTGTGGTTCTCTGATCCTTTCTGAATGGCTTGGGTGGGGGCTGGAACGCTGCCTGAGCTTCTTGTGGTTCCAACTTTGTGGGCATAGGTGCCAGATTTTCCAGGGTCACTGAACTTGACGCGTTTGATCTTGGGGGTAAACCGACCGCTTTTCTTGGCTGTTGTTGAGCTCCACTCGTTTGTGGGGTAACCGGCTTACTAGAAGCGGAAGGGCGGGGCTGGTTGCCCAATCTCGAAGCCTTTGGTGGCGGTGGAAAGTTTACTACACCCGTGTTGGTGTAAGTTCCAGCAATGCCTCGCTCAAGTGGCTTTTCTTCACTTTTTTTATTTTGAGTCGCACTCTTCGCCGATGTGCCGGAGTTTTGAGTTGTGAGGCCTGAGTTTCTAGCTTTCGTCACAACAGGACTAGCGAGTTTTTCTCTAGGAGAAGAAGAGCCAGTTGTATCCGGCGAGCGATCTTGATGTGTTGGTGGTGGGGTAAAAGTCGAGATATCTTTTTGCGGAATCTTTTTCTTGAGTGCCTCTTCCCGCTTCTTTTCAGGATCTTTCCACTCATATGGATGCACCTCTACGGATGTGGCATTCGCTTCTGGACCCCTGTCTGAGGTTGCGGAGTATGATCCAGGGTGTAAACCAACGGGCTCGGCAGCTGGCGGTTGAGGAGAACCCACTGATAATGCGACTGGTGGTTGGGGAGAAGCCACTGGTAATGCGGCTGGTGCTCTAAAATAAGTTCTTTCTGGAATAACAGGGGCTTCTACAGGTTGCGGTTGGTCAATTGCAGAGTGCACGCTTTGTTCTACATTTGGCGCGGGCGTGGTGATGGGGGGCGTAGAACGGGTAAAAACTGGCGGTGGTATCGATACTTGAGCAGGTACAGAAGCCATTGGAATTCCCGTGGAACTGGCGTTTGGCACATTATTCGTGACAGACGCCGTATCAAGATGTAAGGCTTTAGCACTGCTGGTAGCCGTTGAAGCGCGCGTTGGGAGTCCAGGTCGACTATTTGCTGTTGCAGGAGTCGCCACATTATGATTTGTCGACAAACTTTGACCCAATTGACTAGTGGGAGGAATTGCAGCGTTCGAACTGACGGTAATAGGCGATTGAAGCGCGATTGGGGTTTGCACAGGCTGAACTGGATCCACAGGCACGTTGCTATTATCCCGCATTTGAATGGGCTCTGGGTATATGCTCTGTGATTGAGGAACCACAGCTCGTGGAGGCATTATCGGAGGTGGTCTCACCGTCGTTGTAGTTGTAGGGCCTCTAGTGTCTGTTTTTCCATGGTATGATACTTGGCCCGGTTTTAAAGGTGGAGGAGGCAGTCCTGATACATCCGGTAAAGCGGAGACAGGGGTAGCAGTCTTTGGTAAACTGGTACTGCTTTCGGATCGTTCATCAGTGGTGATCCCTCGACTATTGTTGTATTGCTGTTTTCCAGCCTTGTAGCCGGTCTTGGCCACGAACTTGGTACCTTGGTAACCATATTTACCAGCCGTCGCTAATCCTGACTTGATTGAGCCCTTATTTTGATCCCAGAAGTCACTCATCCCAAGAAGTTTGGACTTTTGAATGTGGAATGTGTTGAGTAAGAGGTTAAATTCAAGAACCTTATTCTCAGTAAATATATAAACTACTGGAACTAACAGAACTTGAGAAGGCAAAAGTAGAGCGCGGAAGGCCAAAAGATAAGCCAAAAGAATCTCAATTGAATAACCCAATGTTTCTGATTCTTTTGGTACCAAAATTGTAGCTACTCGGTGCTTGGAAGGTTGTTTTCGGTTGGAGGTTAGAAGTTTTGAAAAAATCACCGGCCACTGACACTGACGATTGCAAACGGTGGGACAGAGATACGGGATTAGTTTAAGGCGCATTTGAGTTGAAAAATTGGGCTTCAATTTCTGTTAGTCTTGTGGAAGATAAGGAAAACGGATCTATTTGAAAGGATTAAACTTTTATAGTGTGCATGGTCATTGATGTTAGTTACCTTCGAGAACTCGATGAGCAATCTCGATAAAGTTGGACTCTTGAAGTACAGATATAAATAGGATACAAGTGGAAACAGGGTTTTGATTGGCGTTCCGTAGTTTTCGTAGTGTTCAGACGGCAGATGATAGTTTGGCAAAATGACATCGACCTTAGTCACCAAGTGTTAGTTCCATCACTTCGGGGATAACAAATCGAGATTAAAAGAGTCCTGTTAATAGCTAGCAGAAGCATCCGGATGAGATGTTTTCGATAGAATTGCGAGGTAGCGGAGTTACTCGAATTTGATGGCCCATGGGAATGTCCTAAAATTGAGAAAAAAAGACCCCATAACCATTGCTGGCCACTCACATTCAATTAGAAAAAAAAAAGGCATCTGTTTTCCATGAAGCCTGGTGTATGGTGTACCTCAGCTACCCACGGTTCGACCAGTTGATGTTGAGATCGATACGACACCTTAGTATAAAGTGATAGCCGAAAAAGACGCTGTCAGTGGTCAACAGGCGAAGACTTCAGGACTCTGAATATTGTCCGTGGTCGAAATTCGACTCCCAGGTCCAAGAAATCATTTTCTTTCTTCAAAGTCGATGTAAATATCGACGCTGTGGTAGCCCCCAAAAAATCAAGTCTTTTAATACTCAGGATTTTGAATTAAATTGTAATTCCTGGCACCTTTCTTGCAGCAATTGAGAACAAGACTGTGTGTTTGCCATGATTCTTTCCCAGCTGAATGCATCGTCCAGGAAAATGTCGTGGTTCCTGCTTTCAAATGTGGTTATGGATTCAATGACACACGTTCAAGCTCGAAAAATCATATAGATTAGGCTCTATCGATTACGAGTAGCCATAACGAATCCCATTTACCGGTATTCCACTTGTACAGATCTCTAACGCTTCATTTCTGACAACTGGCATCGCTACCAACTATTCCCAAATGGGTTGTCACTGTAACTCGATATCTCAAGTTCAACATTATAGTGACATGATGTGAGTATCGACAACGACAGGCGACATCGAGTGAAGGATCGAGTCTAGCAAGTTTGATAAGCTAGGATATGCGGTATTCTCTTGAATCTTGAACAGTATGGAAAATAATCACGTGGAGTGTTATGCAATTGAAGATCAGGATACAGTTTTTACTCTTCTCGATGCTATTGCATTATAGGTTGACTTCTGTCTAGTTGTAAGTATTCCTTGGAAAAAGGAACAGAGACTCCGGGACTATCATGGCAAGACGGCAAGACTGGAAATGCTGGCTTATCACTCGTTCGATATCTGAACCGGAGGTGCTGATTCTTGTTGACGAACTTGACAGAAGAGGTTTGACACCGAGTTCTACTAAATCGGATGAATTTCCTGAGCTGCAATGCTGGCAAATTAAAGTTGCGTCAAGTATCTCGGGTGAAGCAATCATATATACAAGAAGCGCTGGCAATGACGACAACAATAGCCCGAAAAACCGATTTGAAGCATGTCTTTTTTCCGATAATGAAAAGCTCGGGTTACTGATGAGAAACTGGATCGCTCAGCACACTGAATCTTTCGTGGAAAAAATGGAGTTTCAAAACCCATTGATGATAGCAATTGCTGACTGTATCCTCCAACAGGGTTTGAGGGGAGTCCGTATCCTGTATGAGCCCGAAACGCAGAATAGGCATCTCAAAAAAATGGAATTTGACTTTGCAGAGCCCGATGTGCGTGCTCTGGTGCAAAGTCACGGAAACCAGGAAAATGCGCTGTCAAAATGTATCTTACCTTATTTGCAATCCCAGACAGGCATACGGTGCCACATTCTGCCCCTGTCGGAGGTTAGGATCCAAGATCGAGTGATTGTGACTCCGGAAGCGCTCGGCACTCTCAACGGCGACGGCAGCGTCCTGAAAGCGCTTGCCAGTCCATTGCTCGGTCTGTTCAATGCTTTTTACCGAGAAGCAATTGCAAAGAACCAGTGAAAATGCCCATTGCATTCGAAATTCGTTTCTTGTTTTTTTTCAGCGGGCCTCGTCTTAAAGTTCTACGTCAAAGCTGCTCCCGCATCCACAGCTGTTCTTCATATTACCACCCATGATTTTGAAAGTCGATCCAATGAGCTCAGTGGTATATGTAAGTGTTGTGTTATTGAGGATTTTGAGTGATTTCTCGTCAAGTACAACTTGGCCTCCATTGCTAGAAAGCTCGAAAACCGTATCCTGATTAGATTCAAAATCTGCATCATCGTCATTTTCTTCGAAATCTTGGTCAAACTCGTCTGCTTCACTGGCCTTTGCAGGTTGTTCTTGTAAAGAAGAAGACTCTTTCAGCTTGATCTCATCTTTTTTGATAAGTTTTAGATTGTACTGGAACCCATGGCAACCACCACTTTCCACACAAATGCGGAGTGCTTCATTGGATTCTTTGGCTATTTCTGCAAGCCTTTTGGCTGCCCGTTGGGTAATGTTGATGTTCAAATTGTTCTGAGCGTTGATAACTCTGGAAGGTGATGCAAAGCTGTCGAGGGAAGCAGAGGAGTTGAATCGAGGCCTAGCAAAGCCATGCCAAAGCTTGGGACTTCTTGTAAGCGAGCCAGTGTACCTTACCAATGGTTTAGCGTACATCATTGCGACAAACGGTCTACATTGACCGTGATGGATTGATACTGGCATGATGAGTTGATATTTCTATATAGCCTTACTAAAGCTTAAATAGCACGTCATTTACCACGTCCGATGAGGACAACGACGTTTTAACAACTTGAGTACTGTGAATGATCCAGTATCGGGGAATAGAATCTTGCAAAGCTTGACTCTGCTTTTCAGGTTTATTCTGGTTATCTTCCGACGAAGCTTACTGCTTGTCTTTCATCATAAATTTTATGTTGACGAACTCGGATCACCAAACCAATGACATCTGCTAAAAGTTCTGCCCTGTTTGGCAAACACGTCCACAGGTAGAGGAGAATAAGGGCTCTTGTACTAATTTTGGAGGCCATTTTTGGAGAATTTGCTCTCGGTAAAATGTATGCAATTTAGCAGTTTCGATTTGACTAGCCTTCTGAATTAGCTGCTGCTCTAGATCACAGAGGTGCGGATATCTCAGGACTCATCTTCAAGTTCGCTCGAAAATCCTAGATACCACCGCTTTATCAAGTCAATTCGCCGCACACTAGACAATCGGGCAGTCGTTCGTGCTTGAAGGCGTAAGTGAAGCATCCGTTTTGCCCGTTGTAGACCATGAAATTGTTCGAGGTCTCTATGTCGTATTCATTGTACAGCAGTTTGGACACCTCGTTGCAGCACTGAGCGGCGATGATAGCGTTGGTGCTCGCGACACTGGGAACAATGTTTTTCACAACGCCCAGCACAAACGACGCAGTCAGCTTGGAACTGTCGATTTTGAAAAGAGCGGCCCGTTCAAGAGACCGTTTCAGCAACCATTCGAAATCCTCGTTGCGGGTGTAGTCAAAACTCCGATCTGGCTGCTCCAGGGCCCATTGTACGGTGAGAAGGTACTCGATCACGTGCTCGGGTAACCTGGGGTTGTTGGCCACAGTGCACAACGGATAAGACTCATTTTCTGCGGGTAAAGTGGCCAAAGAGCATTCGTAGCATGCTGCAAATCCGGGAATGATCACTTTGCAATGGCCCTGCAGCCCGTCACTGCCACCGTCGATCAGCGGGATACATTTCTCGTAGCCCGAATCGAGCGTGATGCGTACCAGACGGGCATTGATCGCTCTGCGGGCCTCAACGGAGTCGAGCCCGGAAATTACCACAGTAAATTCGGACAGAAACGAATCGCTCAGAACGTTTAGATCTTTGAAATGCGCCGTTACACGCACAGGACGGTTTCCGAGACCCACGAGACGTTTCTCGTTGATGTTTCGTGCCGCCACCACTGCCTTGGGAAGTCCTATATCTTTCTCTTCGAACAGAAACTGGCGATTCAGGTTCGATAGTTCGATGGTATCCATGTCGACGACATGGATCGTTGGAACGCCCTGAAGCGCCAAATTCTTCAAAATTTCGCACCCTAGTCCGCCAGCGCCCAGCACCAGCACCGACGTAGCGGGATCCGCCATCAATCCAGTGGAAAAGCACTCAAAAGACGAACCATATATAGCTATAATAGCTAGACTTTACAGAGGTGAAAGAAGGTAAAGACGATGATGTTATATTTATATATAAGATGAGTTCAAAATAAGATATTGATACCCAATTCCGTAGCTAGTGAGAGCTGGCTCTCATGTCACTGTGAACGGACTTGACGTCTTCATCACGTGCCTTTTTTTGGTAAATTTGTTGGGTGTGTGGGTGTAATGTGTGGGTGTTTTCCTCTCATCTATTCAGCTTTAACACCACCTTGGCCAGCGGTCTCTGCCTCTTCGATAGACTTCTTGTCAGTTTTGGCGTCTGGGCCAGCACCGAAGCCGCCAAAGAGCGAGGGAGCCTTGAAAGGTCTCTTGAGGTCGCCCGAGGCTGGTTTACCAAAAAGATGGATTTTGACCTCGTTGTGCTCAAGAGCAGACTTGACTGGAGAGATCGATTGCATCAACAATGGGTTAGTATATTTCATGTACAGATGCATGAAGCCCATCATGGCCAACCCGGTGTAGATGGATTTGATGGCGGAATCGAGTTCTTTCAAGTCGTAGTCTCTGACGGTTGTGACCTGCAGCTTGCCCTCAGTTTCGCCAGCCATGGCGTTGGCTGGAGCCACGTATTTCAGCGTAGTGAGGTCGTTTTTCTGGACGATACGGGATCTGGCCAGCTGGTAGACGATCCACGCCACGGCCACACTGGTGCAGTACGCAATACGAACGTACAGCAAGATGCTGGGGTTTTCCAAGTCGAGACGACGCGACACTTGCATCATGACAAGCATGATGGCTAGGTTGCTGATTTGCGGATTCATGGTCGTTGTTGGGTGTATGTGTGTGTGTGTGTGTGTGTGTGTGTTTGCGTGTGGAAACTTGAACTGGAAGTAAGTCAGTGTAGGTCAAGAGATCGTTCTTGAACCAAGATGGCAGTGGTGTTTTAAAGGCCAGGTAGGTCGATCAACCAAGTTTTACGAAGCTGGGTTTTTCTTTCTAAGAGAGGTCTGGAAAAAAATGTTGATGTGTGGCGGTGAGGGAAGATAGTGGCGAGTACACAGAGGCGGCGAAGACGAGTACTGGTGACGGACGACAGTGGGAAACGATAGAGGAAGAACGTGGCGTGTGGTGTAAGAGATTGAATAAAACGGTGTGTGTGGTTTAGGTTCATTTTGCTTTATAATGCTATGCTGTTGTCGAGATGACGGTGCGAGATGTGACGACGATGACAGCGTGAACAGATCAATTTTTTCACATGGCGGGTGGGAAATGGAGAGAATTTGATGATTGGAACATGCAAGAGGCTTTCAGCATTGGTGTGTTGTTTGAGTGAGAGTTTCTACCATCAATCATGGTGACATGCGCTCGTTGAGACGAGATCTGATAATATCATTTTGCGTTGACACTGACACCCGTTTTTATTTTTCGTGTTTAGTGACTTTGATCAGATGACTGATCAATTTTTAAAGAAAAATAGAAGCGGCAAGAGATAGAAAAGACCACTTGAAGTAGAAGTACTTTCTGCGTGGAACACAGTACGAGCCAAATGGGGAACACACCCTTACATGTGTCTCGCCAATACAGCATGAGATTTTTGGGTTTCGTATCACATGATCCAAACAACTTATCTTCATATCATTTCAATGGCCCGAGAATTCAGCATTCTAGAGTCTCAGAGTTCTTGTTGAAATTGCTTTGTCTTGTTACAGCTACTTAAAAGGCTTCTGTTTCTTTTTTAAAGACCATCCACGACTTTGTCGTAACCTAAACAATTACTAGTCGGACGCTATCACTGATATACAGCAACAGCTTCTTCCTGTTATGACTGCTTTTTCATGGTGTACGGGTTCTTTTTGAAAAAAATACTTGAATCACCATCCCAGGAAAAATCTGAAAAAATTAAAGAGCCCGTAAATATGGTCCAGATAAAATAAATTGGACCGGTTCTTTTTTAGATCAGCTGACTAAGAAACATGGGTTGAAACCACGTGGTTTGGCTTCATTCAACGTCACCTTCGTGCCCAAATGATATGATAAAATGTCATATTTATTCTACTTGACCAAAAGTCGCAACAGATACCAATACCTACACAACGTAGGCTAGTCACCCTTAACATCTAACGTGTGTTTCAACCTGCTACTCTATATTCCGTTTTCCACCTCGACACAGTACAATCATCTAAGTCAACCCAACTACTTCTCAAAAAAATTCAACCAGCATTCCGTAAACACAAATACCAACAAACCTCTTCTTGCCTACCTGTAAATTCCAATAACAATCCTACCACAAACGTTTGCCCTCCCAAAAGCACTATTTCCTTGTCGTTATTACCTTTATCTGACACACAATACTCCATCACTCCTCACGACCTGGCGCAACCCACGCAAACTTTTTTTTCCCACACCTCTCTGAAAAATTATTGACGCAGTCCCAATGCCAGCTGCGATGGACCAACTTGGCCTAGAAACTAACTCTTTAAAGTGATTTAGACATTTGATCACTCAGTTCTGATACTTCTTTGTCCCCAAGAACCCCGATAACCGCTGCCAAAGATGTCTGCTAAAACCCAGAACCCTATGCGTGATTTGAAGATCGAGAAGTTGGTGTTGAACATCTCGGTCGGTGAGTCTGGTGACAGATTGACCAGAGCTTCCAAGGTCTTGGAACAATTGTCCGGTCAAACCCCAGTCCACTCCAAGGCTCGTTACACCGTCAGAACTTTCGGTATCAGAAGAAACGAAAAGATCGCCGTCCACGTCACCGTCAGAGGTCCAAAGGCCGAAGAAATCTTGGAAAGAGGTCTAAAGGTCAAGGAATACCAATTGAGAGACAGAAACTTCTCTGAGACCGGTAACTTCGGTTTCGGTATCCAAGAACACATTGACTTGGGTATCAAGTACGACCCAAATATCGGTATTTACGGTATGGACTTCTACATCGTCATGGGCAGACCAGGTAACAGAATCACCAGAAGAAAGAGATGCAGAGCCGTCGTTGGTAACAACCACAAGACCTCCAAGGAGGACACCGTCGCCTGGTTCAAGCAGAGATACGACGCCGAGGTTGTCGACAAATAATCGCGTTTTCCGTCTATCAAGAAAGAAAACCCAGTTATATTTGTTTTGAGTGTATAAAAAAACAATTTTGTATGCTATTAATTCCAAACTTGCACTGTTAAAAAACTAAGAAACAAGAGATTAATCAGAATGGGGTTTAATGCGCGTTGCTAAGCGCGCGTTCCACATTCCGCAAGAGCGCTTCTTTCCATCGCTCGTCCATGTACGCCAGATCCCGCTGAGCCTCTGATTGTATCAATTTTCTATGACTTTCAAGATCCTGTAGATTTCGATCTTGAGATTCTAATATTTCTTTCAGGGCGTCCTGCACGCCCTCCATGTATTCGTTGTTCGCTACCCATTGTCTCGCCAAAGTTCGCTGTAGTATCTCGCTCAAAACGCTCTCTTCGTGGCTCAAATACGACTCTAACACAGCTCGTTTGTCTGCTGTATTGCAATGCTGAACATCGAACCGCGTTTTGTCGATTCCCAAACACGGTTTTTTGGCAGTTTCTATCCGTGACTGCTCTAGTTCTAGACCTCTTTTCGTACCTGTAGAATTGGCTGGTTCAGCAAATCTGGATACCGGTAAGCTACCAAGTAGTGTTTCCACCCCAGGATGCACAACGTTCAAATTAGCATCTAAAAGTTCCCTTTCAACAAGCTGTTCGACCTGTTGAAGTGCACTTGGAGCCGCATTATCTACATAAGGAAGCCAGTCGACTATTCCTTCCATCTCAAGCCGCAAAAGTTGTTCGATTTGCAATCGATGCAAATACCGAAGCGCTTCTTAAGCTGTGGTTTGTAGCTGTGCCAATGGCTTTCTTGAGCGATGAGCTAGCTATTTATGAATTTAGCTAAATATTCGGACTCGAGTACAATATTGAATTTTGAAATATTCAAAGTGAATTTTCAGTTGTCAACCAACGTCAACGATTCAAGAAACAAAGCGGTTAAAAGGTCGTCAGCCAACGTTGATTGGTTCCAGGATTTGGCTTATTCTTGTTGACCAAGTGGTTATTGAACTTAAAACTTTTTGGATAGGGACAAATACTGCTTTTGGTCCCCTCACTTTGCAGCATTTAGAGACTAGATTCGACATTTTCCAGAACACTGCATTGTAACTGAATTGAGAAGAAAAAATAGAGAAGGACTCCTACTACAATGCTCAAATTCGGTTCCAGAAGGTGTGCGTCCACTTTCCAAAAAGCAGACGCCAAACTCGAGCAGTTTTACAAGTATCATGCTACTCAGGCATCGTTGAGACCGTGGATTTACAGACCACGTAATGGTAACATGCTTCTGACCATGGACCTGAAAGACCCAGAGTCGGATGCTCCGCTGAAGCCAAGAGCACCCGTGAAGCCCCTGAGTCGCAAAACCCTCAATACTTACATATGGTCGGCACAAGAGGCGTCGCAATTGCTCGATCTCTTGCACAAATGGACGTCGTTGACGACCAGAAAAGTCGGGATCTGGCACTATTTCACCGCCAGTCATCTTCAGAACATTCTGTTTGCCTCCACGTTCAAGCTCGGTAAGCTTTCGTCGTTCCTAAAGCATCTGTATCTGTGGCGTCCTCGTTTCGTGGAAGCCCACAACGGCGCTATTTTCGACGTGGAGCACTTTTTCAACTCTGTCGTGACCTGTCAACTGCATAGAAACAGCTCAAGGAACCTGTGCGACGCAGAAACAGCTCAAAACAAGCTTCTCACCGCATGGAGCCAAGTCAATGACAAGAAAAATGAAAGCGGGCTCACCTCTCACCTGGTCGCCGCTCTCGCCAAGCAACAGGGCTTTTCTGCAGATCTGCCGCTCGCAGGACTAACCCAAGCACCTCTTGTTCTTCCAACTGCAGATTTCGAGCATTTATCGAATGGCAAACTCGCCGCTTTTTTAAGCGAGAACAAATTCAAATATATCATGGCTCGCAGTCTGTTGGAGTATGGTAACTCTGTTCCAACTGCTCTCGAATTTGTCGAGAATTACAAAGCCATTTTGGAAAAGCTGAAGCGTCCCGATATTTACCACGAATACGTTGCCAACGCTAAAACTTTGGCTACGGTACCGACGCCTTCGACTAATGCAGCCCCTCATCCAGCTGCTGAACAATGAAAAGGACAAAGAACCCTGTAAATATATATAAATCTTAGGCATAGGATGAATCATTTTTTAACAGTGAGCGTTGTCGGACATCTTGACTGAAAATCAGAAAATGAGTCTAAAATATTAAAACGAATAAGTTGCCCAAGTACTACCGATATAACTACAACGAACTGGCAAGGAATCATTGCTAAACGTATCTTTCTTGACCAAGCAGCCAACATTTAACGTTCTGAACTGTGTCATAAGCCATTTCGGTAGTCCAAAAAGTGTATTCCCGCTTTTTCATGCTAGATGCATCAAAAGATCTAACCTGATAGCATCTTTGACATAATAAAGCAGCCTTTTCTGCACTTTCAGCCATGGCCCCAGTGCTTGAATTGCACTTGGATCCACCAGTAAATGGTGAGTTTTATACGCTCGAAGATGCCATGACTGGCGAAGTCGTTTTGGATTTGGATAAGCCTCTGTCCATTCGAGAAATTGTAGTTCGACTGGTGGGGAACTCAGAAACACTGGTGAGGCCTGGGGAACACTCAAAAAATGGAACAAGAACAAGTTTACAAGTACCCTTGGAGGACGAACAGTCCTCGCACAAAGTTGTGGACTTCGAAGTGTCTGTATTCCCACCGCAAAATGTTAAATCTGCGATCAGTGGTTCAAAAAAAGCTTTCAAAGTTGAAAGTGGAAGTTACAGCTTCAGTTTCGAGTTTAAACTCCCAGTGAAGCCCCAATGCATCGCCACACATCCCAAAAAGGTGTACACATACTCGAAAGACGAGTCTACAAATGTACTGCCGCCTAGCTTCAACAGCGCTCTCAAGACGCAACAAGTCCAGAATCTTGATCTGTATTTCTACTCTTTGGGAAAAGTAGAGTACTGCATCGAGGCAGTGGTTTTGACAGGCAACGACGACTCCTGGTTTAGAGCATTTCGAGTGTCAAATCCCACAATTAGGAAGTCCTTCGAGTTGATCCCGTCATATTCCGCACAGAAACAGTTGCAAACCATCATGCGAAACCAAAACAGCGCTCCTGTTATGACGTTTATCTCGAAATTTGACGTGACGTTTGATGACGACGATTTGAGGCTTTGGACAGAAGTGAGATCCCGACAACTACGCTCCGTGTACAGATTGGACGATTTGTTTGTTAGTGGGTGTCATAAGTTTGACCAAGTTTTCTTACTCATGTCCTCGCCGCTTCCTGAAGGGTCCGATCTCCGCTTGGTGCGAGCCGAGCTCAATCTCATAGAATTCGTTACCTATCTTGCTGGCGGCAGGTCGAATGCCAACCTAAACAGCCTGCGGCTGGCGAAGGGCGTGGGGAACCTTCAAATTGATCTTTCCAAAAGTTATACTAATTCAGATGGACATCAGGAATGTCCTATCAACATTGCAGAGCTTGCAGAGCTGGGTAGCTGCTGTTTTAATGAAGAGGATTTCAGATACAGAGGCAATCGTCTTTACAGCTTTATTTCCTGTAATATTCGACGCCTGTTCAAGTTCCAATTATTCCTGACGATGACTCTCGACGGGGCGGACACTTTCCAGTTCGAAGTGCTGACAGACTTTGTTAACGTCTTCTGCGAATCTGTCACTATGGAGACTCAACCTCCAGCTTATGCTGAAGATGAACCACTACCAAGCTACAAGTGAAAAGGCTAGAATAAAGAGAGTTGTTGAAAACCCAAAAATTGTCATAAAGAGAGGGGGAAAAAGGCTACTGGTACAGAATCAGCCACTGAAGCTTGTCCTGAAACCGGTGATATTACTCACCAAGTGGAACTTCTCAAATGGTTTCGATGTGTCACTGGCCAAAGTGTTGATGTCATTTGGTACTAATGGTAATAACCAAAAATTTTTCAATTTCACAGTTCTTAAAGGTCCTTCCAGACAACTCATCTCGATTGATCTACACTGACAATCGAGTCTGTTCTCCTTTGAAAGGGGCCTTTTTCACTTGTGCTTCGGGGATCCCAACAATTGAAGATTAAAATGAGTGAAGAAAGCGCTGTCAAGCCTGGTTCCGGAGCGAAAAATGATGAAAAATCCACCACTAGTAGTGCCTCATCGCAGACCGCTCCGTCTACTTCCAGCAGTGCAGAGACCAAATTGTCCAACAAGGAGTTGAAGGAGTTGAAGAAGAGGGAAAAAGCGGCCAAAAGAACGGCTCAAAAGGAAGCAAGTGGGATTTCGATAGAAAAACAGCAGCAACAGGCACAGCAGAAAAGAGAAAAAAAACAGGTCCAGAGAGACCAATTGCAGTCTGGAGCTGGTAGTCAGAAGGGGAAGCTGGTAACAGCGGCGCCGCCAGTCAAGGAATCGACACTTTATGGTCATTTGGAAACCACAGAGGAAAGACGTGCGTATCTTCTGGCTGTGACAAGTGCGATTAGCTCTAGTCAAGCTTCCAAAATCACGGCTGCTGGGTTGATGCTCCCTCATGTGGCTAGTTCGTTGAGCGGAGGCCATGTACCTACGTCCTCTGGTCTTTCTTCTGCTGCTCCTACGACTAACACGCAGTCTCACAGTGTGACCACTGCAGCAGAGGCCTCCACTGCGGACCTTGCACAAATGTTGGCAACCATGGCAGTAGAAGACCAGTCTTCCATGGTTGCTGGAACATCCACAGTGATCCCGCAAACGTTGCTCAAGTCCTTGAGCAGTCCTCACCTCAACTCCTCTATCAAGGAACTGATCACAAACAGAGCTTTGCTCCATCCCGCCATAGCTCAACTAACGTCCGATATTGCAGGCTACAAGATTATCGGGTCTATACCTCGTTGTTTGATGATGTTAGAGGCGTTTCAAATTGCTATTAAGGACTACAAGACACCTGAAGGAACAACCTTGAGTCGTAATCTCACAAGTTATCTATCTCATCAGATTGACTTTTTGAAAAAAGCCAGACCCTTGAGCGTAACAATGGGTAATGCAATTCGTTGGTTGAAACAAGAAATTTCCCTTATCGATATCAACACCCCGGACATCGAAGCCAAAGAAGGCTTATGTGAGCAAATTACTCAGTTTGCAAAGGAGAAGATCGAGCTTGCAGACCAGTTAATTATTGAAAATGCATCTCAGCACATTTCGAATGGATCAACAATTCTAACATACGGGTGCTCGAAAGTCCTTTGCGACTTATTCATTCATAACGCCACAAAGCTCAACAAAAGCTTTCAGGTCATCATTGTGGATTCAAGGCCATTGTTTGAAGGTCGGAAAATGACAGAGAAATTGAGAAATCATGGGCTCAATGTAATGTACGTTCTTACAACGAGTTTGGGAACCGTTTTCAACATGCACATCAACTATGTCTTCTTGGGCGCACACTCTATTTTATCCAATGGCTTCTTGTATTCCAGGGTCGGTACTGCCATGCTGGCCATGAGTGCTAAGAGAAGAAATATACCCGTCCTGGTGTGTTGCGAGAGTTTGAAGTTTTCACAAAGGGTCCAACTGGATAGTGTGACGTCCAATGAATTAGCGGATCCAAATGACTTGGTGGTTATAGATTCGAAAAATCCGGTGGAGAGGCGCGGGAACAAAGGTTTTTTGCTTCAGCAATTCATCAAGGAAAGGGAGCTGGACATTGCCGCTCAAGCCCAGGATCAAAAGAAGACCGGGAAAGGTGTTACTCAGAACGAGGCCTCGAGTAAAAAGCAGGATCAAAAGCCTATACTTGCCGACTGGCAAACATCGCCAAAGCTTAATATTTTCAACATCATGTACGACCTGACGCCGCCGGAGTACATCAAAAAGATCATCACAGAATTTGGTGCCCTGCCACCTTCTTCAGTTCCGGTGATTCTACGAGAATACAAAGGTTCAGCGTAGAGAACGCAGCCGTTAAATTCCCTGTTGTAATTTATATTTACACGCCTCCTATATACAAAATAATGCATTTCTAAATACCAAAAAGATGGCTCGCGCTCCGGTGGTCTACACCTTGTGTCTAACAGAGGGATCAACATGCATTGGCGACCATACACCTCTGACGCTCGAATTGAGGGAGTCCACGTAATCGTTGGAAACACGATGATGCAGAATTTCACCCGAGGAGTCCTTGAGCGATTTTAGCTTGTTTTCCACGTTGTCGATGTTCAAATTCCTCACGCAAATTACCTTCTCCCTGCCGTTGGTGTAATGAGCCCTTACCAATGGATGACCGGATTGTTTGATTACGTTGAATTCGATGTCTGGGTATTTGCGTGCCAGAAGGTTCAATCGTTTGCTGTTCAAAAAGTTACGCATTCCCTGCGATGAGCCACCCCAATTGCAATACTGCAACACAATTTTTTTGCATGGAAAGATGTATGCACCAACACCATTTCTGGCGATGGAGGATTGTTTGAGTGCTTTGACGACCATTTTTTGAAAAAAGCTTATCCTTGGAGGGTTTTCTTCCGTTTTTTTGGGAGCTTAACTTCTTAGATACTTTCTCAGGCACAAGAAACGACTAGTGAGGTGTTAAAACGTCGTATGAGGGGGACTCTTAGCTTCAAAGCTGCCGAGATTGATGGTTCATGGTGAATTGAGTTAAAATTTAACTTCAATATAGGTTTTCCGTTCATACCTTTATACGAAAGGGCTTAAGTTCCAAAAGTTCAATGACACAGTGGCTATTCGAAAGGCAAAGTACACATTTTTGAACGTCAATTATTGAAATTTCTGAACATAAGGGTTGCTCTATTTAGTCGAAATTTTCTTTTCTGGAAACGGGTGCGTTATACGTTTCAGAATTCTTCTTTAGATGTAGGGTCGATTAGATCACTTTGTACTAATCTGTCTTTGATCTGATCAATACATGAAAGAGGTATGAAAAGACAGCAGAAGAAGCTGTTGAGCATTTCAGAAGCGTTTCACAAGATATTCTTATTTTCTGATTTGATTGAAATTAATCTTCCAAGTCGAAATAGCCCAAGATAGCGAGGGCAAAAATGTGTGATTTCCCGAACCCAAAAAAAAATCGAAATAGAGTTTAGGAGTGGCAGCACAGTAATAACAATATTGCATTCCAGGAATTCATAGCCTTTTTTCAAGCTAAAAGACGTCTGATTCAGGAACGCTCTCAACGATATATAAAAAAAGGATCCGAATTTTTTTGAGCCTCAAACGCAAGGAAAAAAAAAGCCGAAATTAAGCCGTTCTTCTTTTACATAAAAAACAAGGCTAAATCTGCTTTTTCAAACCTTCAGAATCGATATTTTCCTGCGAAAAACGTACACTGTCGTCTTGTTTTTTGGTCCGTCCGTCTATGGTGATATGAATCTTGAAATATTCACCTTATATAGGATATATATTAACTCGATTCTATCGGATCTGGATAAAGGATGAGCTCATCGCACACTTCTACTTCCCATCAATCAAGCCAAAAATGTACTACTTGAAGCCTACTTTCAACCTGATTGTCTACTCATTCGCGTAAGTTAAGTTTGTGTGAAGTTTGCGTTAAAATCGCTCTACTGTAGTTTATCAACTAACTAGAAATATCCTCCAGCTTCGGTGGAACAACTTTCTACTCGTATGTAGCCTCTCCGCTTGCTTTCAAGCATCTGCCAAGAGAGAGTTTTTCTGAATTGCAAAACAAGGTTTTCCCCATTTTTTTCCAATTGCAAGCGTTTTCCCCATTGCTCTTGGGCTTGACTGCACCTATGCCTTTGCAAGCGGGTTCCTTGGTAGCACTAGCGTCAGCATCTCTAAGTGGATGCTTGAATTTGTTCTGGCTTTTGCCCTGGACTCGCCGCGTTAAGGAGGCTAGACACCGTCTAGCCGATACACTTCAAGGCGAAGAACTGGAAGCTCAAGACCAGCCATTGCGGAAAGAGTTCGGCAAGTCTCACGGCTTGAGTCTCTTTTTCCACACGACGAATGTCGTTGCGATGCTCGCCTATGGGGTTTTGTTGACTAGAGGGCTGATTAGGTATGTCCCAAAATAGAGTAATACTATTGCCATTTTAAAGACTCAGCTAGCGTCGATGTCGAATGGGAAACTCAAGCAGTAACAGCTTCTCGAAGTTTACACCGCTATATATATATACAGTTAAAAAGAATTATGAACACATGAAGACGAATAATGATGGTGAAGACAGGCCCTATTGGTCATGACAGAGCTGTGTTGCCATGAAAAAGAGAGAAAGAGAAAGAGAGAGTACGGAAATAATCATAAAACTGGCAGCGAGGCACGAAGTCGTATGCATGTCGAGCTAATGGCGACCACACTATTCATCAATCTCACCCACCTTACCTTCTGCGTCGCCCGAGACGGCCTGGGCCATTGCAGCAGGACCTCCCTGGGCGCTACCGCTTAGAAAAGTCGACACATTCACTGGTGGCATGATAGCGATCATCAACACGATGTACTCATACACCGCTTCTGGAACGCTTCTTTGGTAGATCCCCAGCAAGTCTGCAGGGTTGGGGTACACACTCAAAGCCTTGTAGAACTTGGAAGCGGCCTCCAGCTCGTTTCCTGGCACGCTGGCCAGTTTCTCACCCATTTCCACATTTGACGTGAAAACGGTCTCTCTCTGCGCTGGGTCCGTGGATACCGGGTCTTTGGCCAATTCTGCGCTCAGATATTCCCCGACTTGTGCTAGTTTCTGCTGTTTGGCTCTTTCCTTCTCTTGCTTTTCTTCTTCCGCATGTTTCTTGAGCTTGCGCTTCAAACTCTTGCGAAAGCCTGGGTTGTTTCTTCTTTGATGGTCAAAGTAAACAGCGTAACCGGCCAATGCCGCGACGGCTGTAACACTGGTGATGGCCAAAACTTTTTGCAAGGTTCCAGATTGCTGAGACATCGCTATGAAATGCTTACAGTTGTGATCTCAAGGGCTATATTCGTTTTGAAATGTGTAAGTGATTGAAGGACTTTAGTTTTCTATATATCTTTATATCTAAAATTTTTCAGTATATAAGGTGATGAGCTGACACCGGTGTCAGTTTGAAGACAAATGGTCTGGAAGTTGAGGAATTGGAGGCATAAGAGATGGATTGAGGTAAGGGAACGATCCGGAAATGGAAGTGGAATTGTGTCAGTTTTTTCGGCGAGAAAATCGGATGAGTTTTGATGAAATTAGTGATTGTTAAAGGAAGAATGTAAAATGGGTCGAGGAAGCAAAATTATGGAAATTGAAAGGTAGGGATGGCTTGGAAAATGCCATTTTAAATACAACGGAGGCTTCGTTTGGTTTTGGGGCAAAGCTTGTTTCTCTTTGATTTGAACACTTTTGATCACTTTTTATAATTCAGTCGCGCGACGCGGATTTGGTTTTTTGAGATTTTCTTATGAGAAGAGCGACCTAAATCGTGTTTCTGGGTCCACCATTCCACGAAATGCTCATTTTGGCTCGACAAGACCGCCAAAATTGATGCTTTTATGCTTTCATCATACAATATTCATATCGCTGTCGCGCATCACGTGATTTGAGGTGTCAGCTTAAAAGAAAACTGGTATAGACAATCTCAAGAGCTAGGGAAGTTGTGATTCCATCTCAAGATGAGGACCAAATCCATTGCTCGCGAAAACCGGTTTTTGTTTTGATTTCACACCGATGCCCTGTATTTGTTACACTTTTTACTCGAAAAACCGGTTTCAATAACGAATTTGCCAAAAAACAGCAGAAAACAGAAAATGCAAAAGACATTTTGACCATATCTACTCACGCTAAAGTTTCAAATTGATACAAGTGCTTCACTCCCAGCTTCAAATTCAAGGAAATATATCCAAATCAAAGCTTTAGGCCGTGATCTCAATTTCCAAAACAAAGTCATTTTTTTACCAGAAAATGTCCAAAAAAATGGAGCTTTTTTTACACCAAAAGATTCGCAATTTCTCAATCTATTTAATCTAGTTTTTACTTCCATATCAAGTCCTATCTCTACTCCAAAAACTCAAGTGTCATTGCTTCATTCTCTTCAATTGATATTTTGACGATTTGAAATTTTTCAGTCTGTATTAAATATCAAATTACAGCTCATCTCATCTCATCTCATCTCATCTCATCGCATCTCATAGCATCTCGAAAGAACCAGAAGCCAATCCATCGACCAATCTTCATCGCTTTGGAAGCTCACATAGAATTCTGTGATTTTAACAAAAATGGTGGCAAAAAAGAGAAGCCAGCTACGAACCAAAGCCGCTCTGCGGCTTGGCCAAGGCAAGTCTGCAGATGAAAAGAACGAAACTGTTGAACAACTGAATCTTCCTGAAGACCCAAAAGCTTTCCTGCATCAAGCTCGCGAATCCAAAAAGGACAAAATTCTCAATAAATCTCAATCCTTTTTGTCGAAATTACATGAGGATACGTCCCTAAGTGGCTCGATATCCAAATCAGCTTTAAGACGTCGAAAACGTAAAACGAGAGATCAGCTCAAACCAAGAATGGAGGATCTCCTGGTCTCTTTACAACAAGACGGTGTGGAAGATGCAACTTCTGATTTGACCAACGATGCCACACTGCAAGATTCTGGAGACAAACCTACAAGAAACGTTACCAGAGTATCAAGGACCACCCCACACTTAGAGACCGGATCTGTTTTGATAAGAAAAAACGAACCAAGTATTCGCAACCAGCGTGGTGCCAAGCAATTAACCGGTAAAGAGATTGACAGGTTCCAGAATGTTTTACAAAACAAACAATTCCAGCAGAGCCCTTTTGCAGCTCTAAAGGAGGTGATTCAAGCTCAAAAACATTGAACAAATGAAGGGGGCCTCAGCCATATAACATTGTGTACTATAGACTCAACAAATCTACTAATTTGTTTTTGAAAGCAACCTCAGTCATTTTGGAAATCTCGCTAACATCAATTGCCTTTTCGAGAACATCCTGATACTCCCGCTGCAATGCATCCTCTTCATCATCTTGCAAAAACGTGAAATCACCAACATCCAGATCCAGATCAACCAAATCGCCATCTTGAAGCCCGACTTCGCTTATAGCATTAGGCATGGCGGCATCATTTGACTCTTGCCATTTCTGGTCCATAATTTCCCTGAGATTCAGTGCCTTCTTGGTTTTTTTGGAAACTCGACTGGCAACAATCTTTTGATATAGTCTGCGTGAGACTTTCTTGCTTTCGACCAATTCCTCTAGTTGCTCTTTAAGCTTTACGCTATCTACACCATTTTCAGCACTTGTTTCGACGAGTTGAACCAGATCAAGTCGTTCTTTCTCGTCACCAAACTTACTTTTCTGCAAAAAGCTGACAATGGTGGTTAGGTACGTTATCATATTCTCGAATGTATTTTCTTCGTCATGAACGCAAATATCGTGAATGAACTGAAATAAGGAATCCTCGTGTTTCTCAACCAATTTGTTTATGTCGTCCACAATATTGGAACTAGTCGTCATTGTTCCCTGCCCATTGATGACATTATCCAGAAGGGACACCAAATCGTCCATAAACCTCTCAAAATTGCGAAATGCTACGTCCACTCTCGCGACGCGAAAGATTCGAACTAATGGTTCATAAAAAAGTGCAACCATAGATTTAAGAAGTCGGGATAACTCTGGATCTTGCCACACCTGCTTCATTAGCTTTTTATCGCGCTCCCGGATGTATATTTGAAATAAACCCTTCAAATGAGAGAAATATAGTCCAGGAACGTCAGCAATGGAAATTGACGAGTCTACTCGGGTCAACTCACGTTCTTCAGTGTCGTTTCGATTTTTCCACAGGGCGTACGATTCCAGAACTTCAGCGAGAGCGTCTTGAGATAAATAACCCTTCTCGCCGCACTTCATGATGAGAACAAGAACCAGAGGCATAGACATGTTCAAGGCTTCATCGTGAACTTCTTCCAGATTGATGAAGGTACTAGCTTCGTTCTCAAAAATTGACTTAGAGAGCACCTGAGTAATTTCGATTCCAAATTTGCTTTCACTGCCGATTAATTCCTCAAGTTCCTTTGCCAATTTTAGTTGCGACTTCAAGTCGTCAGTAAGAACGGATGAGAACATGGTCTGAAGTAGAGAGTTGCCTCCAAATGGCCGAGCCATGAACAAGTCCATCATCCCTTTCATCATAGCCATCGGGTTGGCTATTTTCAATATTTGAACCATAACGGTATAAGGTAATAGCTTATGCAACCTTTTGACCTGTGTGAAGATTTCGTAGCCCCCATCACTGCCGAGAAAAGTAGTATAGATGGTGGCAGACAAATTTATTCTGCACCATCCCATAAAACTTCTTAGCGTTGGTGACAGCTCTGCAACCGACTCTTTTTCCTTGATTTCCCTGAACAATTTGATAAGGTACTGATCGTCCTTCAAAATCAGTGTTTTGAACTCTTTCATAGCAGTTTGCAGCTCTAAGGTCTGTTCAAAAGCCAGCTTCTGAAAAGCGACCTCATTCTGTAAGTTGGCAAGATCCACAGCTTCTCTGTTTTGAATATCTTGAGCAACAATTAACGGAAGCTGCTCTTTCCCCCACCTACCTGTGTTGATGAATTTCAAAAGAGAGACGCTTTTGGCGGTTTCCTTGTCTTCGGCAATGGATCGTAAAAATTTCCGTAGCGAAGTTCTCATTTTTTCCCTTGGGAGGTGCTTGGTAATGGTTTCGGTTGCGTCTTCAAACTCTTCAAAGTCGTCATGTTCATCAGTCTTTTCAGGTTCAGAAGCAACAGCTTCAGGAGCAGGTGAACTACTATCAAAACTGGCAATGATTTTTTCTCTCGGAGTTACAGGGTTGCTGCCGTCATCCGTTGTATTAAGGGATTTAGCTGTGCTGGTGGTGGAAATACCGACTTTGCTACGATTGGGTAATTTAGGAAGCTCTTTACCAGGAAACTCTTTGTTCAGATCGGCCACTAGCCGCTTGAAATCTGCGTAATTTTTGATAACGTACCAAGACTCATTCGTGCTCTCCTGTCTTCCTCTAATAACGAAATGGTAGCGCTTTTCATTGGAGTCGCCTGAAAGTGACATCTTGGCTAATAGCTTTGTAGGCGACGAGAAAGCCGTGGGCGCAAAAGCGAGCGCGGACTTCATCCAGCTCGACGAAGTCGTGGTCGGTTTGGTCTTTGTCTGGACTTCTGGATAAAGCGTGGAATACGGAGCCACTGATATGACATTGAAGTCCCAACCGTTGATAAAATAGGGCTCTTGTGTGAGAAGAAATTTTAGGGTCTCCTTGCTGGGCATGACAAATTGGTCAAGATTGCTATGGTGGCGAAAGTTCGTTTCTTCCCCGTCGCTGAGCTTAAATTCGTCTTGCTGGAAGTATTGTGGTTCTTGTGCACTACCAATTCCTGAATTGTACATCAAAAGGACTATTTTTGAAAGTTTGATTCCGAGTTTCCGCCGTTTTGTGAGCTCCTCGCGGTCGAAACTGGAGCTGAAGTTCAGCTGCATGAAGTGTTCAAAAAAGACTTGTACTTTCTGCTGCCAAAACTCCTCCTTTTCGATCATTTCCTTGGAAAACAACGGCAATTTCATCACAAAGTGCTGTAAGAAATGGCTCAACAGAGGGTATTCTGTACTCGAAAGGCTTGTCTCTGAAGAAGTTTCAGAGGGACTAGAGTTCGGAGAGGACTTGGACCGGCGACTTTTCTTTCTAGACACATTAGGATCTCCGCTCGTGAAGGGAAACCCAAACTTGCGGAGTGCCTCTGGGTCATTCAAACATTGAATTTCTCGTGTTAGCTCTTGTTTCAAAAGCTCTCTCTTGAGATAATGCTCTTCCGTGGGATTGAGAGCAAGTCGCATGACTAAACTCAGACCATACAGCCTAAAACCAACCTATTAGACTAGGTGTTTTGATGTGTTGACGGAAAGGTGTAGGCTGAACATATCAAAACATTACCTTAGACCTGCAGTCGTTAGACAAATTACTATTGTATCGTGACCTTTTGTCTTGTATATATTCATCTATATCGTTTACCATTTCAACAATTGGTTTCGTGGTCTAGTCGGTTATGGCATCTGCTTAACACGCAGAACGTCCCCAGTTCGATCCTGGGCGAAATCAATTATTTTTTTGAATTTCTTCAGAAGAGTTCTATTTTTTTGGCTTCTCAAGCTTAGCCTGATGGAAAGGTCAGCGAAAAGCTGCGATGAGAATTTTGGCTTATTCGAAGAAATATTCAATCCCGACAGTATAGTGGTGTTGTGTCTAGTAGACGCGAGACTGTCTTTGCATGGTCTAGAAAAGAGTTTTTCACTCAACAATCGCGAAAACAACGATTAGCTCCGGGGAGCTCACAAGACATTTATATCAATCTTTTCTGAGAAAATTGCTGGTATATCAACATATTACTACCTTACTTGATAGGTCTTGTTGTAACCATATCGTAACAATCGCGCAAATTACATGAAACTGCTGAAAATTAGTTCAAATTAGACCCCAGAAAAAGCTCAAGAGCACTAAGATTATCCCAAATAAAATAGAAAAGCCCATCGATCTTTCTCTGATGATATTCTGTCTTCTATGGCTACGTTTAATTTTCGTGTCGCTGGTTCTCATCAAGTCACGTGAGTTGAATTATTAGAGAATAGATACCCATATAAATAATAATTCAGGCTAATGTAGTAGTGATCAGAGAACTAGAAATTCATCTAGTTAACAGGGTTTTCGTCTTCTTTTCTCTACCTTAACGCGCTTTACTGCTACTTCATTGAAGCTTTTAATTACTGTCGCTGGCGATTTTTGAGAAAGTTATCCATTGGGCGTATCCCGGTTGAAAAATCAAGTGATTTCAGCTGAACAAAGCTGAACAAAGCTGAACTGAGCTGAACTGAACTATCATTATAAAACCCTGTGAGACCCCAAGGCGTAAAAGCTTTGCAAAAACCTGATAAGAATGGGATATGCTATCAGAGGTCTTTTTAAATCTGGGCTTTTCCATTCCGGACCTTCAAAGCAAGCCGATCCGAGTGCAACAGTGTCTGAAATTGAAAATGAAAGCCAGAAACCAGTTTCCAAAAAAGAGCCTGCTAGCTCAAGTACACTCAATTCGATTAGGGAAGAAGAACGGTGTGTGTCAGAGTCTTTTGCGGGCACATGCACCTCGAGGGAGAGCTCAGAGGGTCCTTCGAAAAGCGCAAAAGGCGTGACATTGCGCGGGCTTAAAAAACGAATTGCCAGCTTCCCCGATTTGAAGTTCCGCTCTTCGTCCAGCGTTTCAAGCGCAGGAACTGATCAACAGGAACCTAACCCTTTGTCAAATGAAAACCTGGAGCGGCCACAAATGATGTCGAAAAATTCGAACATCAGCATAGCTCAGTCTCCTCACGCAAGCACCCGGTCCTTGGAGAAGTCTCCTATTATCAATGTCACGTACGACAGTTTCACGAGCCCCGAGCTGGGATCACCAAGAAAGCAGCGAGAAAGCTACTTCAGTGAGCGTCGACATTCAGGAAGTCTCACAAAGATAAACACAGCGTCTTCCGCTACGTCATCGTTGCGCGGAGGGATGCAGACAAGAGTAAGGAAAATGATGATGCGATCCAACTCGGACGACTGCCATTCAACTCTTTTTGCGAGTCAAAATAGCTCGAGTTCAAGAGTCAATGACGTCCAGGAGGCGGAAACGGCGGTGAGAGGACCTTCTTTTTCTCGTCAACGCAGCCGTACTGTTGGGGCCTCTGATTACGAAGATAAAGGTGTTCCTTTGAGAGTGAGCCTTGGAAAACAGAGAATCAGGTCCAATAGTGCGTCGAAAGATAATATAGTCACAGACGTAACGACAAGAAGTTCAAAGACCTACTTGGCACCTCCGGTGGCGTCTAGTAACTTGAAACAGCAGAATGGTCTTAAGCAGTCGTTTTCGAGCTCAAGGAGAGGAAGTCTTTTGGTGACAGCGTTGAGCAGTTTTGTGACACTGAGGTCGGCAAGCATGTCAAGTAAATGCTCGTCACAAAAGGTACACAAGACTCTCGAGAATTATCCAAAACCACCAGAGCCGGCGGACGGTGATTCTGAAGAAAAGTATCTTGAAACGATTTCTTTTTACGACAAATTCATTGGTGCCATACTCGCAGCAGAGGACGACGATTTCAAAAGGTCCTGTCTGCATAAATTTATGAAAACCGAGTTTGATTTTAGCATGGAGCCGCTCGACATTTCTCTTCGAAAACTAGTGATGTTTCTAGAGCTTCCAAAGGAAAGTCAGCAAATCGATAGATTTCTTGATGAGTTCAGTAAAGTCTACTACGAACAGAATCAGGATAGCTGTTACTGGAAAAGTGCGGAAGAAGTGTTTTTCCTTACCTTCTCATTACTTATGTTGCATACAGACGCTTTCAATCCTAACAATAAAATTAAAATGACGAAGCAGGACTTTGTCAAACTAATGAGGGATGATTCGACATCAGGCCGATCCCTCGTACCGAAAGAAATTCTCGAGTATTACTTTGACAATATAACCGCGAGAGAATTTTCACAGTGCAACACTACTTGCCTTTCAGAATCGAAGAATCTGTCTCCCGATGGTTCGAACAGCCAAGACCATGCGGAAGTTATTTACTCACCAAAAAAAATCATTCACGATGGTAGCCTTCGAAAGGATGAAATAACGAGCTCTTCAATTGCCAATTCTGACAATGTTTTGACACCGCTGATGCATTCTAGGCCCAATAGCGTATCAACAGTGAATACGTCAACCACGAGAGGGGACGCCATTGATGTTTATCATCACATCATTAGTAACAGTCTGTCTTCTGTTAGGCTTGAAAGTCCAACGGGAGATCACTCAAGTGAGGATGGAGAACCTGTCGAGGAAAAAACGCGAAACTTACAGCATTCGAAGTACATTTCCATTATACAAGAGCTTAAAGGCGGATACTTACGTCTTCTAAAATTTTCGGTCGAAAACGTTTTGGGTCCAAACATTATAAACGTAGCTCCCAGCGATAAGGAAGACAATTTCAGGCATCTCAAAATTGTCCAGATGGGATATATCGAGGAAGTGCTGATCAATCGTAAATTCTCAATTGTGGGCAACGTCAACAGACTCGTATGCAAGCGTTTTTTCGGCATTCTAACATCCTCGTGTTTTCTTCTATTCAACGATGCAGACTGGATAGAGCCCAAGCTAGTGATTGATCAAACAACAAACATCTCCAACTACATCATCGACTGGCCCGGAACCGTCCAGGCTGTTCATAATTATCAATGCGCGAATCTATTCGCAGCCGAGAAGAATGAGCCAGATAAAAACTCCAAAGCCGAAAGCAAGTTTGATGAGTCTAGTGGTAATGGCTACATCATGAATCTTCACAGTAGCAACAAAAAAATGATGTTTGCATGTCCTAGCCAGCAAGACCGCTACAACTGGATTGATGCGATCAACAGCGCTGCAGCTCTTGACGGCTGCTCCATACCGTTAGGGACCATTCCCGACACGATGACGACCGTACGAAAGCTCAGTACGGCTGAGAAGCTGGAGAAGTTTCGAAACAATCGCTTGGCTCGCGAAAAAAAATTCAAAGATGTGAAGGCCCTGATTCATCTTGTAAGCCACACGGTGCCGGTAAACCCTAGAATAAGGTCTCACATGTCGGAATACCTGACGCAGCTGGAAAAACGTTTTGGCTGGCTGAAGTATGAAGCACTCAGAAGCGACGTGCTTTCGGAGATTTTGCAGCTAGCTGAGGCCCATACAAAGGAAGGCACTACAGAGAGCAACCACAACGACTCAGTGGACTCTACGTTCATTTTCAGCGAGTCATTAGAGCCCTGCGACAGCTCCGTCGGTTCCGCTCTAGATACCACTTTCGAAGCTGAGAAATTTTGGCCAAATTGAAAGAAAACAAAGAAAGACACCGTTGTTGTGAGCTGCCCATCTTTCCTGCACACACATGCATTTGATCTCAGTCATGGTCCTTACGCTCGAAATGCTTGTCAGTTCTGTTACTTCCCACGTTCAGGATTTTCGGACAGCCATCTTTATTTTTCTCCAGTTTGCAACATTCCCAGCAGTAGTAGGCATCAGAGGTGCCAAGCTGCCCACAAATGATGCATTTTTTGTGGTTCGCACCAAATGCACACTGATCGCAGATCCGTACTTTACTTTTGGGTCTAACATAGGAATCGCATACAGGACAACGTCCATCGCATTTTTCACACAATCGACCAATATGAGTCCCAGGCTGTTTGAAGCACATAACAAGATCGAATTGGTGGCGAGACATCTTTTCGATCCGAATTGAGAATCCCTCTGAAAAGCCTAAGTTCGCTGTTCAAAGGCGTTCTGTTTCCTCTAGTTCAGCTTAAAGCTAGCTCATCTCATCGTCGATGCCCATCAAATTAGTACAAGATGATCAAAGAGCTCATCTATCTTTAACAATTTGAAATATTCCAAGATTGACAGAAAACGCTCAAATACTACAGGAATACCAGCTTTCCTGGGAGTGGTCTAATGAGTTGCGACGAGTGTCCGATCTGTCTGGAACAGCTGGACGAAAGTAGAAGTCGTTTGGTTGAATGTGGCCATGTCTATCACTTCGAATGCATCAGAAGATGGCATCAGCAATCTCAAGACTTAAAATGCCCAACATGCCGCAGACAGTCGCGACATTTGGAGCAGATAATCTCAAATGTGAAAGTGGACATCCAGGAGTACTCTGCAGCAAATCGGGTGATTTCTGAAGTTTCGCATGGTTTTAGCAACTTGGCACTGGAATCGGAAGACCGTAGACGAAGCTGGACTTTGAGGTCATTGGAATGCGGAATTTGTGGGATTCTAAACTCAGAAATTGGTCATTATTGTACTGCTTGCTATACGGCATACCATGGGCGATGTTTGCGGACGTTGCAGGCGGAGGTAGGCGAAATCTTCACTAATCTCTTTTGTTGCAATTGCCATGAGGCTTTTGCAAACTCCAACCATGACGACAGCGCGAGAAGTAGAACTATCCAGCCTTTCCTTCTGCCGCACGCACGAAGTCGGCCGTCTTCAGAAGCCACACGGCCGAACGGCGATAGATCGGAAGTCGACGAGTCATGGATGTTGCTGTCACGATTGCGAGCGCAAGCACGAATTCAGGCCATTTCTAGCCACAAGCAAAGCATACAGCAACACGTTCGAAGTGCTCTACATTCTCATTATGACGGAGTTTCTTCCGGCTGCAAGGTCATTGATAAGAAACAATTTACGGACATCAACAAATTAGTGTCACGGAGGCTTTACCGAATGTCTGGTTACATATATTGCCCCCAAACTATCAACTACGATAACGAAGCACAACGTTTGATCCGAGAGGAACTGTCTAGGCTGTGTACAGAAACATAAGGGTCCTGTATACGTATCTTTTCAATGAAATGAAGTTTATGAAATAAGAAGAAGAGAAATGTCCTCATGCTCTTCTACCGGGTCTCTTGGGTCTATTGAATTTGAGTTGCCCCGGTGCTGCGTTTGTAGTGTCCTGCACTGTTGATCCGGCGTATCCCAGTTTTGAGAGATCCAACTCAGAGGCATCCCCGATCTCTGAGACAGATTCAAGTATCAATGAGTCCACTTCGGAAAGATGTTTGATAAACCCGGTCTTGTTGGAAGCGTACAGCATGCGTTCTTTCACTTTGCTGCCGGAGGGACAGCTATAGATAAAGTACGTCTTTCCCTGGTGTGTGTAAAGGTTGTACGTTGGGTGATCGCTTTTGAGTAAGAATACGATTTCTGAAGGCTGTGACACTTGTTTGGTTTCCAGTACCTCTACCTGCTCTTTGGTGAGATCAATTCTGAAGATAATAAGGTTATTCTTTTCTAGTAGCGTTGAAATAGGTTCTTCGCTTGAAATTTTGAAAGAAAGGGTATGGGAAGTGCCGCCTGTTTGTGAGACAAGTTGTTGACCACCTCTGGCGTGTTCCATTCGTTGTTGTCTTGAAATGCTATCACTGATTTGTTCCGAAGCAGTCAGAGGCGCATCTTCTCTAGAAGCATTTTCCCAAGTTTTCGCAACCAATTCCTCCGGAAGTGACAGCAACAGTTGTTGCGAGACGTGATTTGAACCGATTTGTCTCAACACAGTGTTTTTAGTCGAAGCGTATAGCATTTTGGAACGCACTGGGGATGATTCTGGAACGTACGAAACAAAAACGATGCCCGAGCCCTGGCGAATGAAGAAATACTGCGGATAGTTGTTACGAGAGGCATACTCTGGCAATTCTTCCAAGTTGGATAAAACAGAGTGCAAGTCAACAGTAGTGTTGTCAGCTGAGATTTCTGCAACAACAACAGCGCCGCTGGAGCTGTCATTGACCAGAGAGCCGATTTGAGACAGCAATGCCTCGTTGGCGGTTATTCCAGACTGATTGGACATCTGGTAGAGCGACTAGACGACGATGACTTTCTTGGTTAGCATTTGTCTAGTCGCTATAGGGTCTAAGAGCTTGATATATATATATATACATCTAAGATATTTAGAGACGGAGCCGTGAAAGATGACTAGTGATCAATGTCAAAATATTACATTATTCACATCGACCAGTGATTTCAGATGCTGTAGAGTTCAGGAACATGGCTTTCAACACCGACAACTTTCACCCATTCGCTTTCGATCGAAAAATGGATATCTTAAAACGTTGAAAAATGGAGCTTCCGTTCAAAATGATATTTTGTTTTTCATCTTTTGGTGAAGGATTGTACTCTTTGCAGGTGTCTCCAGACACTTTGAAATGATGTTAGAATACGTTCCGAAACCAGAAGCCACGGTTGTAAGCTTTAAATAGATGATTGTTTCGAAGAAAAATCCATCACGTGACATATATCATCAATTTTTATTAATGTGACAGTAATATAACAGGTGTGTGTATGTCGTATCTACCATCAACGACAGCGAAGTGTGACGAAGCCCAAAGCTTGAACCGACGCTAGCAAGCTCTGTTTTGTCTCCAGCTGTTCACCATATCCAAGGAACAGTAGCTAGTGTATGAATGTATTCTTTAGAAATTTAGACAAATACGATATATGTTAGATGTACACGGACTCACGCTCACACACACACACACCTGGTGGTTGTGTTGGTAAGTCCAAAGATCAAAAAATAAGTTAGTTTGGGATGGGGTAGTAAGTTAGAATTGAAGTATCCGGGGTCCTTTAAAATGTCTGGTTATGATTGCCAAATGCGAAGTGAAGTAACCAAAATAAAACCAAAATAAAAATAAAATGGGAATGAACATGAGAGGGAGGGAGGGAGGGAGAGGGAAAGAGAGACAGGTTGAGAGTTTCTCATTTATAGCAGCATGAATTCTGCCACGGCGAATTTGGGGCTTGCCATTTCCCAGAGCCCACTCTTGCGACGAAGCGCCCGTTTCAGCAGTTTTCTGCTGGTTTTGTAGGACTTGCCTCTGGCATGCGACGGTTTATGCACAGAGGCACGGGAGTGGTCGGTGAGTGCGAGTTTACCGTCTGCATCCCGGAAGCACAGTCTTTTGATTTGAAAATCGGGTTGGTACTGGCTTTGCAGCATTGTGGGGCCGGTGGCGGAGGGTCCCATATCGCGAATGTAGTCTTCCAGACACGTTTCCGACACGGGCGATTGAGGTGATTGTGGCGATTCCAGGGGAGAAGAAGAAGAAGAAGAAGAGGAAGAAGAGTGTGGGATGGCGGTGGAGAGTGGGAATGACAGATTTGGGTCGTTCTGGGAGCTGCTGGGGTCTGTAGTGGTAGCAGCAGAAGAAGAAGAAGACGACTCGGTGGTGGCGGGCACTTCGCGCCAGAAATCCTCGTTAGAGTTTAGAGACTCGTCTCGATCCAATAGCGATTCTATATCGGAGCGAACGGACGAGGAAGACGACGGGGAAGTTGGAGGAGCGTTGGAGCCGACATCGCAGCCGGCATCTGAAGCCCGATGGAAACGTCTTGGGTATGAAGGAAACGTCAATTCTTCGTCTTCCAGCCATACACTGGCGTGAGCGTGTGTTTCGAGAGGCATACTCAAATATTGGGTCATGGTGTTGATGATAGTGGTTGTGATAGTGGTAATATCGCTAATGATCCGAATCTGAAGCTGAATAACAACGAAAACAAAGACAAAAACGGGTCGACACTTGGCACGATACAAGAATCAAAATCGGTCAAGTAATGGATATCAATCTAGGTAAACTGATAATATCAGAAATATCAGAAATATCTGGAAAACTTGGAAAACTTGGAAAACCTGGAAAACCTGGTAAACCTGAAAAACTGAAATTATCTGAACAAACAGAACAAACCGAACAACTTGAACAAAGTAAACAACTTGAAGGATCTAATCAACCTTAAAAATCCAAACTTTCCGTCAAATTTGGATTTTCTTAAAACCTTCAAATGATTCTTTTTCTAATGTATTCGCAGCTCCTATTGGTTCCTTCAGAATACTTTGTTATAGTTAAACCCAGTAAAATAGCCTAGCAGGCTACTCATCGCTACAGGTGATGACGACGACGTCGACTAACGCTCGGATATGCGCGATGAGCTGAGGGACTCTTTCTTAGAAAAGAAACGGGGAAGAAAAAAGGAAGAAAAAAGGAAGAAAAAGGAAGAAAAAAGGAAGAAAAAAGAAACGGGGGAAAAGAAAAGAGAAAGAAAGGAGAAAAAGAAAAGAGAAAAGAAAAAGGATCACGGGACAGATGGCTGGTTACGTAAGCGTGAATTAGGGGACAGGTGAAAGGGAGTGTCAGAAGGGGAAGAAGTGATATGGCGAGTGGAGGAGTGGGTGGAGGAGTGGGTGGAGAAGTGGGTGGAGAAGTGGGTGGAGAAAAAGAAATTAGAAAAGAATGGCCCAGGCCGAACATTATCCATGGCGTTTTGGAAACACCGGGAATTGGAAACAAACGGGAAACGAATGGGAAATAGGGGGGGGGTGAGAGAGGGTTAGTAACAGAAAGGGAGAGGGCTAGTAACACTAAGTGGAAAAGGGTATTTCATTCTGGTGTTGGGATTTGAATGCAACCCGTTTTGGATCCGTTTGGCGACCCGTTTGGGACAGCGTTTGAGGACCCCTTTGGACCCGCTTGGACCCACGGACCCGCTTGGACCCGTTTGGACCCGTTTGTAACAACGCTTTTCACGAAGCCTATTTAACACATCGTCATGTCATCGCGCTACATGCACCATGCTTTCTCAAAAAAACCCCGGATCAAAAGGTTTCCACCCACTATTAACCGCCGAAATGGTTCAAGAATGACACATGAGATCTCAGTCCAGTGGGCTAAGGCCGTCTATTGACTACACCATGGAATTAAGATCTCTAGTTTTAGTGCGCTATCACAATCAATAATACCACGACCATTGGGGTGGTAACTGAGACATCTAAAAGTGTCGGAAACCCCCGAGGACCAGAAAGTTGTACCAATAAAGATCAAAGAGAGTCACGTAGTCACAATCGAAATTGTGGAACATGAAGTGGATCTCAAAAAACAAGGTTTTGTCTCTACCCAGGGCACAAAATGAAGCCCCAGCTCAAAAATTGGCTCATGCGCTATTAGAAAAAGGGTTCTTTTACCCACTTTCAGTCGTCTTGTTGCGCGTGATTGCAGCTAGAAGCAGGATTTATCTTCACACCGACAGGCATGTTCTAGTTCAGAGTTAGCTCTCTGCAATAGTGAATGCTTCTACTACAGAAACGGTCATGGAATTCCAGTATTCTGAAAAAAGGGTCTCTAATAGCCAAAATGCGGAAACTTCACTTTGGCCCCACCCATGTCGAATTCTTGGGCTATGCAATTGGGCGCAAGGTCATTTAACCCATCAATGAAAATTGCGTGAAACCATAGCAGATATTTCCCAGCCAAGAGCGGTAACGAACGCTCAGCGGTTTTTAGAAACCAGAAAGCCACTATCGTAAGATTATTCCGCAATGCTCACAAAATAGCCGACCCATTATAACGTTCATTCTGGAAGGATGTCTTTAGGACCAAGAGCAAGAAGAAGCTTTAGCAAGTATTGAACAGTGCTTGATGAAGGAACTCCTAAGGAACCTACAGATTAACGACAGATGCCCTCAAGACAGGCGCGGGAGCGGTCTTAGAGGAGACTAAAGGCCAAAATCAATGGTGCAGTGGACTAATTTTGTAAGTCATTACAAGACGCTCAAGGGAATTGGAATTGCTGGGGAACTCATGAAGCCGTGAGGCACTCTTTGATGGCGAAGAATTCGTATCGCAAACAAACCATCGAATTCGTATCGCAAACAAACCATATCAGTTTGTGATCTTTCCAGAACCAAAAGGAGCCTGGTAGACGCATTGCTACGTGGCTGGAAGAAATGAGCGAGTATGGCTCTAAAATTGAGTATCTGGCAGGAAAAATCAGCTGCAATATCGAGAGCGGATTGTAAAGAGGTCATTTTGCTTGACAATGCCACCTTGACAGATCCAATAACCTGGAAAGAATCAACAAAAGCGAACTCACCAGCAGCTAAAGCCCTAGTCTTTCTGGCGTTCATAGACGCTGCTTGCGTCGCAAATGCAGATCTTAGTGCACACAAGAATTATCGCATGAAGTTCAGGTTTTGTTAAGACAAACTATGCTAATGATGATCGGGCAGTACACCAAAGACGAGACAAAAGGAAGTTTTACGAACTAATCACGATCGCCTGTTGTTCAGAGGACATTTCGGTTCAAACGTCGCGTCTGCAATGGTGGCAGAGAAGTGTTGTTGGCGGATACTCGCTCACAATGCCAAGAGTTCAGAGATTGTTACTGGCATTACCTGTAGAAGGAGGACAATGGAGAAGCCTTTTAATGGACTTTGTTAAACAACCATCAAATACCGAGAGTGGTCGCGGCAGATCATTTGCCAAAGCGAGCGCATTTAATTCCATGTATCAAAGACGTAACGGGTCTTGAGGTTGCCATTTTTCCTGGCGGAACATCCGTTTGCAACCAGAAAAAGACCCACATTTCAAACGTTTGATAGAGCCTCGAAAAAGCATAAAAGGTTTGCATTACGAACTACACTTCAAAATCCAGAACTCGAGATCGCTACATGGTTATCTCCCAAAACAAGTCCGCGACGCCAGTCTTCTACCTAAGATGTTTGCATATACTCAATCAGTCTTGAACACGTCCCATACAGCTTTTTCCACGCTTCAACGTTAGTCTTGTCTACCTCTATTCATCGCTCAAGAACCTATAGACATCAACAACCGGGACCCAAAACAACCCGTCCGTACATAATGACTACCCGTTTGAGTATCCGAACATTTTCAAGCCCTAATCCTCCACTGCTAAAATTTTTTCCACCTCTCGCCAAAATAGTGAACTATATAAAGAGAGACTGAAATTTCAAGTCAAGTCTCATCTCTCATCACCACTCGAAAAACAACACAATTCAAACAAAAAGACAAGAAACAGCCTTTATTCTACCTCCAGTAGTCTAAAAACCATAGTTCCACGCATTCTTCAAAACAACCACCAGTTGGTGGTGTTTTTTTTTCGCTCCTTTGGTGAAAAGCCCCACGGTGATTAAACATTTTATCAACCAATTGTTCCGACTGAATAGTTGTCATTTACTATGTGTCGACAACCTCGCATATCGTTAAGTTTCAGCCTTGTATGAGTTGGGCGAAGAAAGCGTGGAGCGCTGCTACTTTAGCTCTCTGAGTGATGACCATTTCCGACCGGGCGGACATAGTTTAGTATTGCACAGCCGCATGGTGCTCCCTGTGTACAAATTTTTGGGGGTGCTGGCTGTGCGAGAATTGATGAGTGGTCGTGAGACAGCTGACGAGAGCTAGAGCCAGTGCTGGAGGTATGAAGCAGGCTGTTTTTTGGTGGTTCTTTCAAACAAGACTCTACGCGCATCAGACGATGCGGACTCTCTTGACTTCTTAATTTGCACCAGACAAACATGATGATCTTTTTATATTCACACTGTGTGACTCCCGGTTTAATTACCGATTTCATGATCACAAAACAAAAATAACTGATTTAATGACTCTGATGTTGGTGCTTTGTAGCGATGTTATGGGAAGGTAGTAAAAGGACTAGAACAGAGTGAAGACAGTCGAGTTCACGAAAAAACGGTCAGCTAGTGAACGGGTGTGAACTTGCAGAGTTCACGAGAAAACGTAGACCAAAAGAAGTTGAACTCACACTGGGCGCGTGGATAGTGAAAAGCGAATAGTGCAGGATGAAAGTTACTTAAAACCTTACTGTCATCGGCCTCTCATTCTTTCTTTCTCTCTTCGATCACGTGATGTGATGACAGCTAGGAACCATTCATTACGCTCGTGTTGACATCTTGTATCTCTGGAGTTTTCCGCCCAGTAAAGATCCCCCGTAATTTGCAGTGGTATTCATCGCTTTCTGGCGATATCGGAGCTATCTCTCTGTGAAGCAGTGCATAAAAAGTATGATCTTGCACGTAAACAAAAAACCATTGAAACTTGGAGGACTTTCGGAAAATACGCTTGCTAACATCGTCTATGTCTAAGACCGGCGCAGTTTGTGAACATGACTATTTACCATAGTACTTCACCGTGGTGCAAATAGTAAAAGCTGCCTTAGTTGTCATATTTCTTTAATTCTGACGCTGTCGTTGTGTCACGTGCTCATGTAGATGATCATCATGAATCGATGTGACACCAACTGTGAGTAGACTCAAACGCTTTTAGCGGCGTGGAAAAGACCTCCAAGTACGGAAAATATCTCCACAGCCCGAATATCTACTTTCTGTGGCGTAAAGACCGGACAGGACAATAGAAATATTAGAAAATTCAAAAAATAGACATTTGGTCACTCATTCATAACCCAAAGTCTTTTCCAGAGGTTAGACGCTTCGAAGTATGAGGCTCAAGTCCTGGGGGAGAGCAAAGAGAAACTATCCCGCATCATTACCCACTTGCTAGACCTATATCTTTCTTCTAAAGACATGATCACGTGAAACTCATCTCACCTCACCATTTTGGTCATTTGGTCCCGGTTTCAAGCGCTTTCAAAGAATGGTTGCCCAAAGATCGGCAACCGCTCGCTCACGCCATCGATGATTGAGCTCTCGAACCCAACTTTCCTATCAAACTCCTTCTCTTGCTTTACGTTTATCACTATTTCCTACACTGCCATCCTCAATAATATAACATAAATAATAACCTTGACGCATCCCATCGATTCCCTTAAACACTACTTTTAATCGTCAACATAAGCCATTGGCCATACTTCAATGACCAATTTGACTACATTTCTATATGTGTACTTGTTTGGCGGAGTCACATTTCCTCTGATAGTCGCTTATCTGTTGTTTTGGGCTGCTCCGGAGGCCGGAAAACCTGGAACTTCAAGTGAACCGGAGCTTCTTGTTTCAAATGTCGATCCGGAACTCAAACTAGGTGAGTTTGAGGAGAAGAAGGGTGTTGAAGTGCTCAAAAAGGGCTGGATAACGGTTACCATAAAGTATTACTATCATTTCTCCGAACTTTTGCAAACCGAAGATGGAGGCGAAAATATGCCCACAAGGGACAAGCTGAAAAGGAAACACAAATTCTACGCCGTTCTTAAGCATGGGAATCTGTTCCTTTACCGAGAGGATTCGCCAGATGCCAGTGTTGCTCATGTGATAGTGTTGAAGGATAGTTTTGTTTCGCTGTGGCCTCGAACTGTTCACAACGAAGCTCCAGACGCCTCTCTGTTCTCGAAAAAAATGTGTATAGCGATCTTCAGACACGGAGCAGCATACACTGACGAATCGGGAAGACTTCAAATATCCACGCAACTTCATAGTTCCGAGAAGCTGGACCATTTTTTTGTATATGTTGCCAACAACGTCGAAAAGGAGGATTGGTATTTTGCGCTTTTAAACGCGTCCAAGGTTTCGGAGCCTCAAGCTGATGTCAAGCTTGCAGATCAGCAATTGAATCCAAATATCACGGCAAAAACGGCCCATTTGCCCACCCGCGATATGTTGTACTTAATTCAAAATCTCAACTCCACTGAGGGCCAACTTTCAACAAAATGGCTGAATGCTCTGATAGGAAGACTGTTTTTGGGCCTTGAGCAGACTGAAACACTTTCGGAATATTTGCGGGAAAAGGTGTACAAGAAGCTTACAAAAATCAATAAACCAGGGTTTCTGGACGATTTTGTAATCGATCGTGTGGACGTTGGACATGCAGCGCCTTTGTTCACTCATCCAACTTTGAAGGAACTCACGCCGGAGGGTCTCACCAAAATAGGTTTTCAAATGTTTTACAAAGGCGGTCTATCCTTGATTGTCTCCACCAAAGCCAACATAAATCTGGGATCTCGATTCAAGCCCAGAGAGGTCACTCTCAATCTTTCAATCACAATTAAGGAGATTAGCGGACCAATGTTGGTCCTCATAAAACCACCTCCTTCGAATCGAATATGGTATAGCTTCGAGACTGAACCTTTCATGGACATGGACGTTGAACCCATCGTCAGCACGAAACAGTTATCATACAACATGGTCACTAATGCTATCAAAAGCAAGTTTCGTGAAGCCATAAGAGAGTCCCTTGTCATGCCCTACATGGACGACATTACTTATCATAAGACGACCGCTGATTTTTACAGGGGAGGAATTTGGGAACATGTAAAAGATCAAAATGTGACTGCTAACGAAAGCGTCCGTGAATTGGACCCATCTTCAGATACTGAGAGTGGTGGTGCTTTTATGGAGGATGAAGAAGCAGGCAACCAAAAAAAAGTTCCGGAAGACGCTGAAGCACGTTCACATACTTCGGTAGAATTGTCTGACGGCACCGAAGCAGCACCCGCTTCTCAGGATGACCCAGCGGAGCACACTTCGGTTCGTCAGAAAGCGCTGCAAAAAGTTAGCACTTTCAGGTCAATCTTGAAGTCTCGAACTGACTCAACCGACGATGACGAGGAAGAAGTTGGTCAGGAACCACATGAAGACGACATAGTCAAACCTCGGACTTCATCTGATTCTCATTATTCTGCTCTGAAAGAAGAAGCAAAAGCATCAAAAAAGTACATCAACGCTGGTTTCAAGAAGGTTGGAAAATGGTATAAAGAAAGTATATCACAGTCTACCGACAACCAAGATCAGCAGTATGAGGAAAGAACATCTTCTTCGGAAAAGAGCCTGACAATGATCAGTAACCGCAGGACTCTTCCAAGGACAAGGGAGAAGGAGACCGTCAATCTGTATGATTTTAACAATCGACGAGCATCGGATGCGGCGGAAATGTTTGCCAAGACCAAAAACAGGTCTGCCTCCAGTACTTCTGCGAAAGGTTCTCCGATTAACACTACACACGCTTTTACCCATACTCCTCCGCTTTCACCCCGTGTTTCTTCACGCTGGCCCAGTCAGGACGCAACTGCTGAAAATCCGTCGAAAGTCGGACATCAGAGCGTTGAAGAATCTGAGGACGGACCCTCGACTACCGCGATTTCGCCAAACTCTGTGAGCACAGCCTCACAGGCCACAGAAGCGGAATCATCGAACAATGAAGGAGATGAGGCACGGAACTATGAGTCAAGCACTACAGATCAATTTCACGTCTCGCTACAAGAACTAAATAAACGTAGGCCTGTTCCCCCACCTCCGGGTCCTGTAAATGTCGCAGCTGAGGAGATCTGAGTACTAAAATTATTGATGAGCTCGCATGACTTCAGTCTTCGACATAGTATGAATATTATAGCATTGCATGAATAAAGATCGTAATTATGCGTAGCGTTTATGGTTACCAGAAGGGTAGCCACCCGATATACATTCTACTCAAATTTTCTTCCGATGTTGATTCTTGAGTAACAGTTTCCACTTGACCAGCCACACTCAAAATCAGACCATCGCGAGAGTCGACTCCTCTTATTTTGTTGCGAACCACCTTAAGAGCCTTGTGTAGCGAATGATCCATATTTCGATCATACAAAATGGTTTCGATGACATTTACCAGAGCCACCTCATTTTCCCTCATCAGCTGCAGCGTTACCTGGCTTGATTTTTTGAAAGTACCCTCGGTTCCGGCGATTCCCAAAGCATCCTCTAGGTTATGCGTGAGCCTGAATGGCACGATTTCGGGAATAGGAAGCCTTTTCCCTTTCTCGAAGAGGCAGTCGAAGTCTACGTGAAGAACTTTCCCTGTTTCCACATCTAGAAGAATATTTTCACAATGGCGATCACCTAACCCAAGAATATGACCGACCATGGCCATCACGGCATATGACCTAGAAAATGTATTTCGCGAGTTGTACCATACAATAGCGTCAGGAAATGTCTCCAAGAACCATTCAAACAAAACTGGAGGGAACTTTGATAACAAATCTTTAAAAAAGCCCGACTTCTGATCACTTGGTAGAGTCTGCCATTTCTCGTGCATTGATTTCAGACTATATTTGATCTTCATTCCATCATATTTGGTCACAAAGATGGATCGCAAAGTCACAACGTTTGGAACAATCTCAATCAGACCGCAATCTTCGCGCAAAGAGACCACCGCATAAGTGGTGATCCCTAGTTTTCTCTTTCTCGAAGACAAGTCTCTGCTCAGAAGAAAGTCCATCGCGGTGGAAAATTGCATATATTGATTATCCTGTCGAACGTCCTCTTTCTTGCACATAATGCCATAGATCTTTCCATCAGTGCCAACGAAGTTCAATTTCTTTGGCCTTTTCAAAGAGGAAAATACCTTGTATGAGGAGCCTATTTTAGCGATTGAAATCAAACTTCGAAAAGGCTGGAACTTTGCTAAGTTTTGAGCCGCCGTCGGATTCAAAACCTCCAAGTTTGCATTTACGGGTACAGCCATATTGCAGGGAGCCAAGCTAAGGTCAAACCCAAAGTCTCTGTCAAGCAGTTTTCCAGATCTGCTCGTCGAGCTTTTGACGTCTTTGGTGCAAACATTGGTCAAATTTCTAACGAGTTCATCCGAAAAGTTGGCTAATTCCTCCGGGTGACGATGCTTTTCCCGGAACTGACTAGAGAGTTGCCTCCCAATTGCAGTTCTGCTGGAAGAAGACGAATTTTGCAGTACAGATATGTACCACAGTACATGCGATGGGTACTCCAGAGACAGATTCAGTAGAATACTCATCATAAGTTGAACTGATAGTTTATGACCATGAAGCAGTCGTGACAATATTTGGGTTAAAACAGAGTACCATATGAAAATAGGGCAATTGTTGATGGCAGTTTCGACTTTTCTGCAAATGTCTTCAATCGATCTCTTAATTGCTTCTTTTTTGGTGGTATTGCTTTCGGAGACATACGCATTTGCAGTATTCAGCCAAAAGGTGACAACCTTGGGCAGGGCTTCTCTTGTTCTCGAAACATCTTTTTCGAACGACAAAAGGAAAAAGGAGATCGACTTACTCTCGAAGCGCCCGTTTGAGGTATAGCCCTCAGCCCTACGCTTCTCCAGAAGTCTGCTAAAATACAGGCCAAGTGAATAATAAGGATCACTCCAGCTAGGATCCATGCGAATGACATCATTATATTGCTTGATGATCTGCTCCGAGATAGAGTTATTAGAAATCACCATCCACTCTGTATATTTCAAGAGGACCTTGGCTCGTTCACGAGGGAGATGACTTTCGCTGCCCATCATTTTTCGATGTATCTCAGCCACAAGCTTGATGGCCTTGTCATGTTCGCCTTCAAACCAAAGAATTTCGGCGTACTCTAAATCAGCAGACGGATGGTCAGAAATGAGTGCATGAACTAAGGCGCGACTAGCCAGATCAGGCCGCGCGTTTATCCTGGCGTTTTGTGCAATTTTGAAATAATTATCGGCCAACTGTGAACTGCTCTGCCCATCGTCTTTGAGGACGTTGTATGATCGCTGAATTGATAGTAAAAAATTACGGGGCTCGAAGTCAGCACCGATTTTTTCTAAGCGCTTGTCCAGTACTTCATCATCTGTTTTAGAACGATTGAGAACTCCTGTGTCAGAAATAAGCCATAAATCTCGGAGGGCATGCAATCTTAGGATTATGTCGCGGATCTTAACGAGCGTGGTATTGGTAGATAGCGGTAAGAAGTTTGATCCGATCAGTCTGTGACACTTCTGGGTATAATCAAGCGCCTTGTTCTTATCTCGCTTGGCGAGAGATGTTAAGACTTTAGCGAAATTGTAATGTAGCAGTATCATTGGGTCACTAGCGCCCTCCGATCTCTCGATTCTCTCCATCCACGTTTGAAGATCTTTCGATTGTGCGCTCAGGTAGGCGCTCTCCAAACCCACACTCACCCATTCTAAAGGCAGAGAGCTCATTGGGTAATCCTGATCAGTCGAGAGAACGTTCAGTTTATTAACGACCTGCTCATATTGCTGATGATCAAACATGGACTTGAGCATCTTTGTGTTACCGGAATTGCACAGATCTTCATATTTTTCGACTGGTTTCGTAATTTGCCCCAAAGCCTCAAAACATTGCTGGGCCATGTTCCAGTTATGGGAGTACTGTAGCTCGTCGATTTTAGAGGTGACACTTTCCGTGGAAAACACTTTGAGCACACCTTCTACAGCATCAATATCACCGATTTCCGCATAAGTTGTTTGCAAATGGGCAAGAAGGCCTTCGTCCTCGGCATATATTTTGTCCTTTGCTCTGTAAGATTGCTCAAGATATAGAGCGGATCTTTCGAATGAGTTAGTCTCCAGTGACCTTCGTGCCATTAAACCAAAGGAGTTAATTTCCAAGAACTCTTCAACCCTCTCCAACATCGAAATATACTTTTGCTCATGAATCGTGAAGGTGCCATACTTCCGGCTGTAAGACTGTTTGAATTGAGTGATCCATTTTTTACAGTATTCCAGTATTTTGAAAATAATCTCGTAGCAGCGCTTGATTGCATCGATTTGGTAGTGATTCAAGGAGGAAAGGCTGTATTCAAAGATGTATCTGAACTCTAGTTTGAGGTTTTCTGCATAACTGCAAAACGCCTTGTCCTTGTCAGCCTTTATCAAAATGTCAATCACAACGTAAGGAAGAAGGTTCTCAGACAGAAATCCGTCATCTTCCCTTATCAGCGATGCAAAAACGTGCAGCGGATGAGATTCATCTGTACCGGTTTTCAAAAGGTCAAGCGTGAGGTTTTTCAGCCATGTTTTGTATCCTTGTTTAGGGTTGAAAGATGGATATTCAATTGGTGCGTACTCTTTCCATGACTGGGCCATGTACAAGGAGGATCGGAGAGGATAGAGAGTCGTTTTGGCAACATCGTCGAATTTGTTCCAAAGTCGCGTTTCATTGGGATAGAGCTCGGGCTTTAGGATGTCCCATGATGATGAACTGAGACCACAGAACTTCAAAGATTCTTGCATCACCAATGCGACGAATAGCTGTTTGGTGGGGTTCTCGCTTTCCCAAAAAGCAGGGACTAGTATCTCATTCATGATGTTGATCAAGAACTTGACCGTTTGAGCGTGATCAACAAAGTCATAAACTTCGTGCATATGAGCAGATGATCTTGGAAGCTGATGTTTCGTAGTGTCTAAGACTCCAATTATTCCGATTATCGCTGTGCATTGTTCACACAACTCGATATCCTCACTTCGAAATCGGTAAGAAGCATCAAGGAGACTACCCAACAGGATCGAGATATCTGTCTGTGCAGTATTATGGTAGGTGGCTCTTAAAAGGCCTTCTAGCTCTTTGGTTTGCAAGAGTGCTTTCATGTCACTTAAGGTTTGGCGAATAAGGTATTTGTTCTTGCTTTTCAAGTTGTTGGAGTACTCTAAAAACCAGTCAGTAGTGTAGAGAACTCTATTAACAGACCTTGCGAAAAATCTGTTCTTTTCTAGAACCTTGAGGTCCGTCGCATTTACCAAAGCAAGCGTAATGTATGGTCGAAAATTCAACACCAGGCCCCCTTTCTCATTTACGAGTACCTGAATGATGTTTTCCGTGATCTTTTTGGCTTTGTTATTGAAAGATGAATGCCTTTGAAGGAGGAAAGGAGCAAAATTATCAACCACTGTCAATAGCTGCTCTTCCGTCAGTCTATTGATCAGGTTCAGCCAACAATTCAAAACACTTTCACGGACCTCTGAGACCTCTTGTCCGCTTTGCAGACATATGCTAATTTGCGCCAGCGCAGAAATTATGCATTCCAAGGATGCGTTTATAATAAGAAAGCGTATCCCGTTGATAACGCGCAGCTTTTCAAAGTATGTCGTGCGCCCTTCAACGTCATGCATATCACCTGAGAAAACTTGGAATATTCCTAACACATTTTCCTGTAGTTTTTTCTGAAAATGTGCCTCCTGATCATCTGTCCATTCATTCAATAGTTTTGCCTTCGAGGCGCGCCGAACTTTTGGGCCTATTGTCGTGAGCAAGAATCTCAAAGCACACAACACCATCTTTTCGTTCTCGCCTTTAGTGTTACTGGCATCATCATGATTTTTGAAAAGCTTCAAAACTTCAGCAAGGGTCTTGTAGTCAGGTAGGTAGGCGGAGACGTAAGATCTTTCAAAAGTAGGCAAGCAGTTGGTAAAAAGAGACTCAATTGTGTCGATAGAGTAGAAACAATGTTTTACCAAGGCAACGGCAAAGATTGCACGGCTGTTTTTCCTGAGGAGCCTATCTTTTTGTGCAGGTAGCTCTTCAGGATCATGGTCACACATTATATTCGAGATCACAGATATAACATCATCTTTGTATTGCGTTATTGCGTATGGTACGACGTACCTTTGGAAGTTTTCAAGAATTGTCTTGCTGGGATATTCAACGAAATCAGTCAGTCTTTGAAATGATGACATTTTCTCTTGAATATTCTTGCCAATTTGCTTCAGAAGCAGAGGTAGTACTGGGGATAAAAGTCGATACGGCGTCTTCTTTTTCAGCCAAGAGACATAGCGAAGTTGATGCTTCATCATACGACGCTCGGCAATGCTTGCAGAATTGAAAATATCAATTAGTTTCACGAGCAATGGATCAAAACTTTCTCCAGATGATGCTAGAGTCAGACGAACCCACGACATAAGAACTGTTTCAGTGGCAGATTGAAGTGTAATGCTTTGAAGAAAGCTTACAAGGTAAGTGAAATCTTCATCTCCAGCGTCATCAGGAGAAGGGTTGGACCAACTGGTTATCAGAGGGACAGCTAAGAGTCTCAAGTATCTATTCGGTATTGAAGAAACTCGACTGAAAAAAGAAAAGGGACTTGTGGAATATGATTTTGTGCTGCTATCACGAAGCACAGGGGGGGCATGGAAATGTGTAAATATTCGTCGCAGCGCGATGACGATAGCAGCCAAAAGAGCTTCACTGAACTCCTCAAGCTTTTGATGACTCAACAACTGATCCTGTAGCACTCTGTATGCCCCACTAGCTCTGGCAACGTCCAACTTAGCATGACTTCCATTATCGACAACTTTGCTGGCTAGTGTACTATCACAAAGTTTGCAGGGTTTTCCTATTTTCATAGGGCCTTTCGAATGTGCGCCCTCGTAACAAGAAATTTTTCCTAACACATGCACTGCGTACACTACGTTTCTGATGTTGTTTTGCTGCATGCTTTGTGTAATACTCGTCTGAACTTCTTTTAGCAAAGGCTCGACTTGGACGTTACTCTCCTTCAGGCCGGCAAATAGTGAATTCCTCTTATCGACGCCATAATCAAATGAATTAGACTTATGCACCTCCTTTCTTAATGCTTCTAGCTGTCGATTTTGAGCGAAAGGTTGGTTAGCAAAACTCTGAAGTTCATCCAAATGCTCATTGTCAACTATTGAAGCTCCCATAGCCATTTTAGGCTCATTTTGAGTGAACTCCTTTCTTTTCATGTCAGAAAGAGTGATAAGGAGAGCCTTTCTAGTCAATGGTCCCATAAGTGAAGGGGTTTCAGCGCTACTATTGCATTTTTCAAACGGTATCGACTCCGAAAACATTTTGAAAGTGGAGGGCTCCTCTCTAATAGCCAGGTAAAGACGCAGAACTGACTTTGCCACTAGGACGTCGTCCTCGGGTCTCAAACAGGAAACATTGACGAAAATGCAATTAACACAAGTTTCAGTTGCAAATTTGAATGCTGTATCTGAGAAGACTCTTAGTTGTGTCTTGCTAAATCTGGATCCCCGCTTAACTGCAAAGTTTATTGTAAGTGCCAAAAACTTTGACTTCAATGCACTTAGTGCTGCCACATCGATATCAACGCAGTCCAAAATATAAAAAGTTATTCTCATGAGCCTTTGAAAAACGTTATCCCAACGGTTTGTCTCTAAAGAAGAGTTGATAGATGATATGCCCAGTTGAAATGAGTGCTGATTGGTCCAGTCACAAATGATATAGAGCTGCTTGCATGTGCCAATGAAAGAGGGCAAATCTAGCGAAGAGCTAAAAACGCTGGTTATTTGAGCTTCAAATGTCGCTATTTTACTCAAAATATAGCGTGCCAATAACGGTCCGGCATTTAGACCCGCCAAAGAGGAATATAGATGACACCAATTTTCAGTCTTTCTTTTGATTAACCATTGATACGCAGGTTGCTCCCAATGAGTGCAAGCAATATTGACGAAATTGTTAAGAAGCCATAAGATGCCAGCGTTATGGCTTCCACCATCTGAATCCAAAGAACAGATGAGTAAGTGTGGTTTTTTTCGCAGCAGAAGATCGAGGGCTTGTAGAGACTTAGAAAAGACGTCTGTAGGTACTGAACTCGAAGACAAGTTTTGCAAAAGAATGCTTATGATCTTCAAGGCTTTGGGATCGCTTGTCATGAGTGCGTCTCTCGCAAACAAGTCAACCTTTGTGCTGTCATCAGTAAGGCCCCTAATCGCTAACATCAGCTCATTCAGATATTTAACACGAGATTCCATGATCGGAAATGAGTCAGTCGGACCCACTAGTCCGCAGCATCCACTATGACGCGAGGCATTTGTCTCTTTCAGAGTGGTGATGTGACGCGTCAAGTTGGAAATTCAACTTTATTGTACTATTTACCAGTGTCATCATATACGCGCGCTGCTCATCCACAGCGTTCGCTATTCCAGACAACAAACTTGAAGCGAATACGTTTGGAAGTGTGAGAGCTAGTGATCAGTTATGTGATGAATGTGAAATCCGAATATTCTTATTTCGAAAGTAATATTTTGGTGACTTGGTTTGTCAAAGTCATCATTCGTTGTTACATGCGGCCTACATAGATCTATTAAGTAGACACGATTTGGCCTTGAGAAATTATTTGGGACGTATGTTTGGTTACTCATCCATATGGGAATTGGAGGCACTGCCGAAGTAGCGGAAATACATTTTGGGTGAAAGAAAAACTCGGACGCATTGTCGCGGATCTTCAATTTTAGTCCACTAAGCCAAGTTTGACACATAACGACTTGAGCCACATCCACACGATTAGCATAAAAGGAAATCTGTCTCGAAACTATACAGCTACTGGGTATGCAGTTTAACAACAATCATTTTTTTTTTTTAAGTTTCGAGTCATTACGTAGGTTTTGAACAATGCATCGCTGGTGTTCGAAATTCCGAGTTGTATTTATGCAAAAAGAAAATGCGTCACACATTTTCAGTCTATAATTGAAATCCAGTGGACGAATGTACAGCTTTAGGGCGTGTGATAGGTAAATTCACACATCTCGTTATCACACAACATGCAAGATTGTTGAGCTATACTGATGCATTACTTTTGTATGCTTTTTGTTGTAAGCCCAGAAATGTCTCCGCTCATCATTAGCATCTTCTGGTGTTTCCTTCTTGGTTCGAAGACTTACATGCTTACCCTTTTTTATTCACAACGTACGTTTGAATAATAAAATATGAGGTTCTGGTGCATGGCATTCGTAATGCTCCCAACCTAATGACTGCGTGATGCCAAGTCCACGCCACTCATCTTCCGTCAATATACGCAAAGTCCCAGTTTCGGAATTGAAGTAGTCGGAAGGTATCACTTTAAGCATGGCCTTGGGTAGCATTACATGACGATATTCACACGCATCATCGGAATATCTCGGCGAATAGTGAATTGAGTCCTGAAACTCCAAAACTCGAGCTCTTTCTTGGTCATTCAACTTTCGGCCCTGGAACGCATGACTATGCTGGTACATGTTCGATCAATACAACGGTTAGAGCCGAGATTTGTTGATTGTCTGGATGATTGAATATGGCCTAGTTATATACCGTTTTAAGATCGTTAATTACTTATTTGAATGGAAAGTTGAGAAAATTGAGGACTCGAGAAAATTGAGGACTCGAGAAAATTGAGGACTCGAGAAAATCAGCGACTGGTGGATCGAATAGAGAATTGAGTGAAGGCATCAACTCGATGACGCTGCTAAGCGGTTTTCAAAAGTCAAATCTACATACGTCTAAGAGACAGTTCCAGCGTTAACGTATTATACAAGTGGATAAAATATGGCAGTAGCTCCCGGCGTTCTATGGTAAGAAAAGTAGACAAGATAAGGCGTGGATAATAATATTAATATATTTTATATGCCCGGAAATGCGAGGCAAGCTGCAGATTTATGCTTCTATGCAGTGCTTGGGATTTTTTTTAAACTAATTTCCAATTTGTTCATTAAAATAGGTACACATTGACTTCGACTAGCGTCTCGGCAAGGAAGTTTTACAGGGAAATGATTATACCATTGGGTAAATTTTAGGAAAAGAAATATTCCTAGAATAATCGCAAAACTGGAAATTTTCTCACAAAATCTCAAAATCTATATGAACTCTGCTCCCAATACGCAACGCTCGCTTTGCACAGTACCCATTCACTTCCACTGTGCTCAAGATCATCTTATTTTAACGTGTCTTAAAGGGTTTGACGTCACGTGATTCCTCAAAAAATCAAATAAAGAGTCGATTTTTTTAAAAAAGTTTTGAGCCGTTTGCGAACTAAGACTGAGATTGCCCCGCTTCATCCCTTCAACCTATGCAAACTACAACTTGATCATTCGTTCTTCACTGCTATTACTAACTTCTACTTCTTTTTTTAATGTTTACACGTGACTGGTGATAACACTTCATACGAGCGGCTCTGATCCAAAAGTAAACAAATTATAAGTGAAAATTCCACATTCTATTTAAAAGATGCTACACAACTTGAAATTCATCAAGAGAGGCAAGATCACCGGCTGGGTTACCGACTAAAGGCATGAAAAGTAATGTTTATGTAGGCCTAAAACCTGTTTTAGGGTCAGCAACATTAGGAGGCGAGGTGAGCCAAGACCGGTACGACTACGTGCTGCATCCCATCAGCAATAGTAGATATCGCGATCGTGTCAAAGTAGCGGTTCACCAGCATTACCAGCAACCGCTGAATGGACGAAGAGAAGCACTCGAGGTACCGCAATTGCAATTGCAGGATTTGTCTGTTCCGCCTAAATCCCCAGAGAGTGCTACACCGGGCTGCATAGGTTTGCTGGCTTCGTGGGTGGACATGGAGAGTGCAGATGTCGATGTGCAAGAACTGAGCTTCCAAGTGCTGGCTAATGAGCATAATTACGCGGCTTTCGTGGGGATCAAACAACTCATTCTCGCACCGCCCAAAAATCTGGCTAGTATCAACCGATATGCTCTCATGGTCGCACGTCTTCTTTCTGTCAGGGACAACAACAATTGCATTGATGGCGAAGATCCAGTTTTGTCAATCTCGTTGCCATTTTTCGAGGATTCAGACCCGCTTTCCACTTGGGAACTATGGTGTACCGTACGCAAAATCTGTGGCTATCATTCAAATTTGACCGTGTCGTTGGCTCTGCCGCGAGATAAAGTGCCCTCCTACGTGTTACAAAGGTGGCTAGCAGAACCTGTCACTTGTCTCTTGGTTTCCTCTTCGATATTTGCAACAAACCAGCACAACTACCCTGTTCTCAACAAATTCAACCAGCAGATCATTTTCGAATTTCAAAAAATTAACGGTAACTCCCAAACTAAGCTGTCGGAGCTATGCGTTATCCTTCATGGTGTTGAAAAATACGGATTTCAAGTCAAAGGCGGTGAAGTTGCGTACCTGGAGTACATCAACTATCTTCTCAAGCGAGGTGACAAGCTCATATTAACAAACCCCAGCATGCATAAATTTGCCGAACCACGACTAATGCCACCGCTGGACCCATTCTCTACTGAAATATCAAACGCTGTTTACCATACTTTCGAACAAGACAAAACCAAATACCAAATGTACGGCAAAGCCATCAGAAAAGCGTTAAAAAAATTGATAGCGGATGGTATAATGGGTAGCCGGAGCTCTTCTAGATTGATTATTTTAATTGCTGGAGCAGGAAGGGGACCTCTGGTAGATGAGGCTTACATGGCTATTAAGGAGTTGAGAGTTCAATATTATAGCATAATTGCTTTGGAAAAGAGTTCGCGGGCGGCACTTTACTTGCAGAAAAGAAAGCATGAATACTGGAAGGACTCTGTAGAAATTGTCAAAGATGACGCCTGCTCGTGGAGAAGCGAAATCAAGATTGATTTGTGCATAAGTGAGCTCCTCGGTTCATTCGGTTGTAACGAGCTAGCTCCAGAGTCTCTGCTAAACGTGGAGAAATACAGCTGCAAGGATACGACGGTTTTCATACCGCAAAGCTACTCCTCTTTTGTGGCACCGATTTCAGCACCATTGCTGTTTCAAACTCTGAGTAAAATAAACATGCCCGATGCCTTCGAAAAGCCATGGATTATTCACAACATCCCCCATTGCATTACTTCCACCAAGTTAAACGAGATTTGGTCGTTTCATCATCCACTGGCAGACTCAAAGTTGACCAAATCGGCTGTGACTGATTTCAAAATTAAAAATAAATGTGAAGTACATGGTTTACTAGGACTTTTCAAGGCTACTCTCTTTGATGACATCTGCTTGTCTATTTTACCAGACGGCTCCACTCTTAAAATGGCGGGACCCCTTCATGATGCAAATGACAATGCAGGTTTATATGCCAAAGGTGAGCATACCCCGGATATGATGTCGTGGTCACCTATTGTTTTCCCTCTCAAGCAGCCGTTCTTCATATCTGATGACAGTGAGCTTGAGCTTTTCATGACGAGGAATCATGATCGAGTAAGTCACAAGTTCTGGTATGAATGGTCTGTGAGCTCGTTCGTCTATTTAGTTATGGCCGAAAACAAAGCGCGATCTCTGCAATCTGCAAAGCATGGCGCTGCTAATACAGCATTGCAGACAAGTCAACCTAACAATCGTTTTGCATCGCCCCCTGCTGTAGACATTCATAAAGCATTCGATCAATTCCAATCGACTTCCGGCACCCTGCCGGACGAAAATCAACAAACAGTAAGCGAAGATTATGATATGTTTGAAAACTCAGGTAGTGAAAGTGGTTTTATGGACGGTCATCATGGTGGATGGAAGAGTGTGCACGATATTCACGGTCTAGGTTCTAAGAACCCACCGGTCTTTGATTTGCAACAGTCATCCCAGAATTCGATAGATCAGAGTCCAACTTTTGAGGAGTTACATGTTAGAGTGAGGACAGGCTCGACAGAAATGCAAAATGTTGCTGGCAGATTTTCTTGGATAAACTTGAGGTAGCCCTTTTGGTCCGCAGGAAAGGACGTAATGAAACCCACATTATTATTCAGATAGAGAGAAGATAAGGATGTGCCTAGACAACTTACGTATTATTTAGGTTCTTGAAGATGCCTTTACCATGGGTTCTGCTCTATATCGTCAGTAATTGCCCAAAGAGGACGCTGTGCAGCAGACGAGGGCGCATCCAGCTTTTTGAATAGCTGATCGCCATTCGCGTTTTCGATCTGAGACCCATCATCTTCTTCAGCGCTTGACAGATCGTCGTCCAACCGGCTTTGGTTGGACTTTTCCGTCTCTTGATCTCTCAACTTCACATTCTGCTCGTGTATTTCATCGACGTCGTCTTGAACATCTAAAGGCAAGAGTGGCAAGAGCTCATCGCTATCATCATTTTGCGTGAATGACTCAATGAGCTCTGTTATTGTGGGCAACGCAAGAGAGCACAAGGCTTTCTCCGGGAGGTAAGGTTCCACCTCATCTCTCTGTTTGCACGTCATGGATAACTTCTTCCGCAGACTGGATGCAAATTTGTTTTCTTCCACTTCGTACCTATATTTGCTCATTGACTTGTACAGCTGCAGTGGTGTGAGTTTGTTAAGAAGCTTTACGGTAGAATCAAAACTTTCTTCGTCTTCCAAAGACGTAGCTACCTGAAGCCATTGCAAAAGCTGCATGCAGGGTTCCAAATGAATCCGGGAAATTTGATAGAAGGATTGGTAGAAGAATAGTGAGTTGTTCATGTCATTTGTGATATCGCCCTCAATGGGTCTGTAGAATGTAACGTTGCGAAGTTCAAAAGGTTTTGACGTGCTGCCAATGTCACCTAGGTTGAAAATGAGAGTGTATGGAAACTTCTGGAACATGAAATCGTCCATCAAAGAGGGAAACGATGGTTTGAAGTCGTGATTCTTTATCCAGTCTTGTATAACGGACAGGTTGAGTTTTATCTGGATAGCGTGGGCTCTTGATAATGACTTCTTCTTGTTTTCCATTATCTTGTTAAACAGCGTAACAGAAAACCAATTGATGGCAAGGGATAAACACTGCTGAGCGATTAAAGGATGGACTTGATGAAGATCCAGCACATAGAGAAGAGCGCCAAATATCTGAACGACCTTTATAGGTGATAGCCTTCTCTGCTCGTCGAGTGAAGGAGGATAGAGCATAGCCATGATCTGATCATAGGAATCGCGGGTACCATTCTTTCTCTTGCGCAGCTTTCTTTTCTTCAACAAATTCCAATCTTTTTTGTACAGCGTCTCCTTTACCTCAGCAATTGTTGTGTGCTCTAGAATTGTTGAGTCTATCAGAGGCTCTATCCTGGAATGGATCGATGAGTTCATCTCTATGACCAAGGATCGCATTGCATCTATCATCTCCTGTAGGATCGAGGGGTATCTTTTGAAAAATCCATCTTGTCGATAAAGGTAGTAGAACAAGAAGGTGAGACTCGATAGCCAATAAGACTGTGATATGATATCCCCACTTTGACTCGCCAGGAGAGCGCCCCCGGATGTTGATGATAATGACGTGAGAATCTTGGTCAATGACAGGTGGGCCATGCTGTTTACAAGTGAGGGACTTTCTTTCACACAGTCCGCGTACCGCAAGCTTTGGAAAATAATGGCAGCGGGGACACAAGGTTTGTGAGGGAGCCTTGCCGGGATCGAGATTATAAGGTCTAATAGCCGTGGGATGTCGTAATCGGCAAATTCGATGTATTGTTTAGGTAATACATGGTCGAAATCGAAGTGACGGAAAAGCGGCTCTTCACCACCAATGGGAGATGTATCGCTACTTTGAGTGTACTCTTTCCCAGTATCTAAGGAAACCGATACGCTGTCGTCATTCAGACCCAGTCCAGCCGTTTGAAGGTTGATCTGGTCCAGAGTGTTATCAACATCAGTGTTTGTATACCCCGAAGTTGGGGCTCCATAAAGATCATTGGACGCTTTGAAATCGTCCCTAACAAGCCTAAATAGACCGCGGTCTTTGGCAAATTCATACATGGCGCTTCCCGGTACCAAGAGCTGAAGCGCAGTGGATCCACCTGGATTTTTGTAGCTGAAGTCCAATTCGTCGGAAAAGTTGAGAAGCTCTAGTAAGCAGTTCTTTCTTTCTAGATCGAAGCACCATGTAAGGGGTGAGTTTTCATAAATTCGATCTGGGACGTTAGGGTCAAGTCCATCGATTTCATGCAACAGCTCTATGTAACTTGATTTATCGAAGACAACGCAGTAAATTAGCAAAGTGATCCCTGTAATACTAGCGTCATTGATTTTTTTCACTTGACAACTCAATTCCTCGAAAAGAGCTTCATTACTGTCTTCTTCACTGGTCAACAGTGCCATTCTGGTCCACGGATCCGGGCTGGTTTCCTCTAGACTTTTCAAGGTTTCCTGAACTTTTCGAAGTTTCGTATCGATACCGTTAGAGTTGTTGATGTTGGAATTCTCGGCTGAAGACCATGGGTCATTGAGAAGGTTCATAATGCGGACAAGACGGTTAGTTTGAGTGGTTAGAATACGATGTTGGGACGGTTTAAGTCATCTTGTCAGTTAATCTGGACAATAATTACCTTGAAGAGACGAGGCACATGATCGATGTCAGTTTGAAATGGTGACTAGTAACAGGCGTAAAAACACGCAAAAGTTGAGTAGAGAGGAATAAATTAGACGTATTATAGTTGGTAAAGCACTCCTTAATTTTGAGGGGCTTCTTGTTTTAGCTTTTTACGTCTGTTCAAGTTCTAATTAACGTTTTTCTATAGACTTTTTGGTCAAATTTGTGTAGTTATTGAGCGTAGTTTCGGGATGCAAGAAGATAAACTTAATATTCGCGCGCCTGTACTGTTTTGATCACATTTTGACTGCTTTTAACAACGTTTTTTGGATAAACAAAGGAGATTTGGGCCGATGACACATTTGGGATTCGAGTTCTATCACTCTGTACTAATCTGTCGATGTCGTCGAGATGGCCAATAATTAAATTCAAAATCTGGCATCAAGCATGAAACGCAACAATTGTGCCATATCTGTCCACCTTGTACACTAATTAATGTACTTTTCATTGGCCTTAAAGGCTTTCATTTATATCGCTATAAATTCAATAATGCTACAGAACTGTCAGTTTTTTAAAAAATGAGAAATCGCTGCCGAAACTCGCGTAAAGCTCTATTAACCTAAAACTTTATTTTGAAATTACCATGCTCCAAGTAATACGCTCCACAACAAACAACAAGAGACTTCTTGTAGATTTGAGAAATCTCGACAGCCATTGTCCATGTTAACTCATAAATTAAAGAGCACGTGACCTTGATTTCTGTTAATTTATAGTCTAGTCATATTTATCCAATCCCATTGAATAAAGGGTTCAACTAAACACATCTTCTCCATCCCATTACATCTGTCCATCGTCTTTGTATACATCGTTCTCGAGCCCAATCTCTCGTCTCTTATAGACCGCCCAAGATAAACTTCATTGCGAGATTGAGTCCTTATTTAAGAGTGTGTAACTTTTGATCACCAAAAAAACGTCGTCCCAAAGACACCAATTACAGCATCACCATCAATTGCCAGTTCCTGGTGGTAAGAAGGCTCGAAATTTTCTGTTATCATTGTTCTCCCAAATTTGTATGGTGAATGCAAATCTGGGAGCGAATTATGAGCGATTGAGATCAGCTTCAATGTCAAAACCTGGTGCTTTCAACGAGCCCGATATCGTGGATCTGGAAACGCTAAGTACCTCTCAAGATGAACTTAAAGACAACAACGTTACTTTCAATGCAACACATCGAAAGCTCCACCACAGACACGTCTTACTCATAGGTATCTCTGGGGTCATCGGAACGGCCCTGTTTGTAAGTATCGGAAAAGCGCTGTACCATGGAGGGTCTGTTTTCCTTCTATTGGGAATGGCGCTGTGGTGTATCCCGATTCTCTGCATTACCGTTTCGACAGCGGAAATGGTATGTTTTCTACCGCTCGACTCACCTTTTTTGAGAATAGCGTCGCGATGCGTGGATGATGCTATGGCCAACACAGCAGGCTGGAATTTTTGGTTTTTAGAATGCGTTCAAATCCCGTTCGAAATAGTGGCTGTGAATACTATCATACATTACTGGCGAGATGATTATTCCGCGGCAATACCGCTCGTTGTCCAGGTTTTGCTTTACCTGGCCATCAGCTTGTTTGCCGTACGTTACTATGGTGAAATGGAATTCTGGCTTGCCAGCTTTAAGCTGTTTCTTGCCGCGGGACTCTTTCTTTTCACTTTCATCGCCATGCTTGGCGGAAATCCAAAAAAGGACAGGTTCGGGTTCAGGTACTTTTCTGAAGCCCCATTCAAGCAATACTTCCCTACAGACCATAAAGGTACTGCTTCTTCCGGCTATTTCCAAGCATTTCTTGCTTGCCTCATTCAGGCTTCTTTCACAATAGCAGGACCAGACTACGTTTCCATGATTGCTGGAGAGACCAAGCTACCGCGAAAAGTTTTACCTGTTGCCTTCAAACATGTTTTCAATCGACTTACAGTCCTATTTTTGGGTAGCAGTTTATGTGTCGGGATTTTATGCAGTGCAAACAATCCCGATTTAACAGCTGCCATCAACGAAGCACGTCCGGGCGCTGGCGCCTCTCCATATGTTATTGCAATGAAAAATTTGGGAATAAGAGCTTTACCAGACTTGGTTAACGCGACTCTCATCACAGCTGCATTCTCAGCGGGAAATGCATACACATTTTGCTCTTCCCGAATATTACATGGAATGGCTCTGGATGGTAGCGCACCTGCCGCTTTCAAAAAGTGTAACAAGCATGGAGTACCCATCAATGCAGTGATCGTATCCCTGTTGTGGGGCCTTTTGAGCCTTTTGCAACTCAATTCTAACAGTGCTGTGGTATTGAACTGGCTCATAAACTTGATAACAACTTCACAGTTGATTAATTTCGCCTTCTTATGCATAACCTACCTCTATTTTCGGCGGTCTTACAACGCACAAAAGAAGAATCTGCCACCGCTGCCCTTCCAATCCTGGTGGCAGCCTTACACTGCAATTGTTGGTCTCGTGTCAGTCGTAACCATGGCTCTCGTTCAGGGCTACTCCGTTTTCTACCCATCTTTATGGAACGTACAGGATTTTCTGTTTTGTTATTTGATGATATTCCTGAACCTAGCCGTTTACTTCTTCTACAAATTCATTGTGGGAAAGGGTCGCTTGGGGCCTCGAAACCCAAGTGCGGTAGATCTCACCACCGGCCTGCTTGATATCGAGCAGCATGAGTTGGAACATGGGTTTACCAAATATGCTTTTTTCACAATTGGGCGTTCCCCAACGTTGGCAACGAACGATGTTGAAAACCATTTGAGCTCGGACCTATTTGAAAGCCTGAGCACATCGGCACCCAACACAAAACGCCTCGCCACAAATAAAATGTAGAGATCCCAAAATGATGCCATTGCTCTGCAACGCCTCGTTGTTGCTCGCACTTAGTTGGAAGATTAATCACTCATCAAAGAGAAAAACAGGCCGGTTGTACATTTTGTTCGACTTCATGTTGATTGAAGTGAACAAAGTTGCACACACGATTATTGGGGTTTAAGATACTTCCGACTATGTGAATGTGAATCAAGGCGTTCGACATAGTCAACTCATTCCTGTACCCGCAGGAACGAAAGAAGATACACTTGGTCAGCAGGGAACGACTCATTAGTTGCTCAAAATGCGGGTAGGTGCTTGATTGAAGCCTTCTTGCATCCATTTTTCTTTACCAATTCTACCTGTCTCTACAGACACCGCATTAGTCGATCCAGCACTCGCCAAAGTTGTCACTAGTTGTCATCGCGGGCAAATTGAAAGAAGGACACATTCATCTTTATCTGGCGTTGTGGCACCAAGGGTAGATAGTCCCAGACCAAATCACCAAAGTAATCTTTTCAAATAGAATATCAAGATCATAACTTAATCCACAAGAGCCATTAGTTTTTTACGCCCGCGTATTATTCCGCCACCAGTGGAAAGCTTCAGACCCCATATGTTGCACCAGCGCGCTGTTGCCCTTTGACAGGTGCTTTGTCTTTGAGAGTTTTTTATCAAACCAGTTTTCAACCAAGACAACGATTTCTTCACTGTTTTCGCTTAAAAAGCAGAGCACGCCATTGTTGAGCTTTATTAACTTCTCTTCTTTGAGATCAGAAGCTCTTCTAGAAGTACTCAGGGTGTTGACAAATTTGTTGATGTCTAGATGTAAGAGACGTAGTTTCTCCTCGGGAACCCCATCAAGAAATGTGGCAGGCTGTGCTGCGAGACTGCTGTCAGCTTGACTCTTTTTGAAAATACCGCCCATCAAACTGAGCCCCCAAGACTGCTTTCCAGCATCTTCATCAAAATTGGCCTGGTTTTGAGACGGGTTCAGCGTGGCCACCGAGGTTTTCCGATTGGGACCAAGTGCCAAAAATTCATCCAGTCCATTCACGACAAGTTCCAGTGCGGAGGTGCTTTCTGGGTCTTTCAAAATTTTGTTGAGCGGAAACGAAGATCTCAGCCGGCGAGTTTTTTTCGTTACTACGGCGTAGCAGAAACTGTCTGGTCCGTTTTTAGCAGTTTCGTTCAAATTGGACGAGTACAATTTGGCAATTGATTGGGATAGCTTGAAATGTATGTCATGCAGGTATTCGTGGTCCCATATCTTGTCGAAGTTCTCTTTATAAATAAGCACAACAAGAGTCTCATTGTAGAACCAGAAGAGGCAATTGAACCTCTGTACAACTCCGCCGTACGATAAATGCATTTTCTTCACTTTGTAGCTCTCGGGGAGAAAAGAAGCAGACAATGGAGAGACCAAGAAATCGCTTCTTGCTGCTTTCGTTTTGCTGTCTTCAGGCCCCGGCCACATCTTCCAACTGGGAACTTTGGGCATAAAATCGCTGAGTAGCGACATGCTGCTGGAAATACCCGTCATATTTCCGACTTCTTGAACCGCGTCGTGAGCGAAAGTCAAAGGGTATGTAAAGTTGTTGAAAATCTTTCGACTCTGGGCCAATAAAGACTGGCTTGTCGTTACTTCCTGGTTGTTGATGTTCGGTTCCTCCATGGACTCTTCGTCAACAGCCTCTTTGAACTTGACGTTACCAGCTAGCACGTGACTCGATAGGACAGTGTAGACGGTGTCAAGATGCTCTATCCAGTTCGAAATCTGTGGCAGCCAGTCAAAATCTGGCGCAAAGTTGTGCACAAGTCCATATTCCTTGTTGCTCTTACCTGAAGTGGTTTTGGGTAAATGGTAGACGAGTATATCTTGCAGTCCCAAAAAGGTAGAATCATCTACCAAAATTTGCTGCTTTAGATCTGCCTCCCATGAAGTGGACGATGTATCTCCATCCTTTATATCGTCTTTGATTTCTGCCACTTTGTAGCATTCGGGCCAGCTACTCAAAAAGCCCTTGTGCCACAGATGGTATGGCATGAGGTTCAATTCCGCCCAAAACGGCACCAGAAACTCGTTGAGACGGTCCGTCAGCTGCGTATGGTTTTCGAAAGTGCCCCATAGTCCAAAATGGAGCGTCGAAAAATCGTAGCAATGACGCAAATTGGCCAGAATATAGCTGGCCGGTATGTCCAGCAATTCATTTGGTGCAAAGCACAATGTTAAGAAAAAGCTATTTTCAACCAGAATCGTGCACAGAACCGTGTCTTCGAGTTCTACGACACTTTGGCTTATGCCCTGGGACTCGTTGAACGTTTTTGAAAATTGCCACATTGCCTGAATTACACCCAATTGCGCAATTTTGTCGTTCAAGGAGAAGGCATGGCCTTCCTGGAAGGACTGGAACGAGTGGAACAGTAAAAGCTGTCTTTCAGCATCCTCCTCATTTTTGCTGAATGATGGATTGAAGACAGTGATGAATTTTAACATTTCCCAACGCCTGGACCAGCAGTCAAAAGCCCAAAATCGCTACCGAAAGCTGCCAGAAGTGGGGAAGCAGCAATTGTTAGTCCCGATAAGAAATCAGTCGATAGGAAATAGGCCAGTCCGGTATCAAGGACGCATCTGTTCAAAGCTCGTTCTTAACTTTCCATATGCTTATGATGATGATGATGATCTTAAATTTATAAAATGATCTCAAATCACGTGCCTATTTATTTGGAAGTAATGTCACTTTTAACGGCTCGTCAAGAAAATTCAATTCAAGATATAATATTGAATTGGAAGATCGATCTATCCATAATGAACAGAGCTATTCAATTCAGTTCAAAGGACTTCATAAAGAGTCTGGGATCGCCAAATTCAGCTGCTACAGCCAGAGGTTTTGAATCTGTTTAAAGCTCTTTGAAACTAGAGCTTTTGTTTCCGACTTTTGCTGGCCTTTTACGACCTTTTTCTGAGAAGTAATGGTTTTAGCAGACTTAGGGAAGCGCATCAACAATGCGGTCAACAGTGCGCTTTCAAACTCGCAGGATGACTACACCACAACGGTGGACGTCATGTTGAAAAACATCGTGACTGCTTTACTGGAAAGCGACGTGAACATCAAATTGGTGTTCTCTCTCAGAAATAACATTCGAGCAACTCTGCTGGAATCTAAGAGCCGATCTGTGAACAGCGCTCAAACCAAGAAACTTATACAGAAGACCGTGTTCGATGAACTGTGCAACCTTGTAGATGGCGAGACACAACCGTACGTGCCCAAGAAACGTAAGCAAAATGTGATTATGTTTGTGGGTCTGCAAGGTGCTGGTAAAACGACGTCGTGCACGAAATTGGCAGTGTACTACTCCAAGCGAGGTTTTAAAACGGGTCTGGTCTGTGCGGATACTTTCCGTGCTGGTGCGTTTGATCAACTCAAACAAAACGCCATAAAAGCTCGAATCCCATTCTACGGGTCCTACACTGAAACCAACCCGGTTAAAGTCGCTCAAGAAGGTGTTGCGAAGTTCAAAAAAGAGAAATTCGAGGTCATTATAGTGGACACATCAGGTAGACATCGTCAGGAAGAAGAGCTGTTCCAGGAAATGGTCGAAATCTCACAGGTCGTCAAGCCCAACCAGACGATCATGGTGCTAGATGCATCGATCGGGCAGGCCGCAGAGCAGCAATCAAATGCTTTCAAGGAGAGCTCAGATTTCGGTGCCATCATTCTAACAAAAATGGACGGCCACGCCAAGGGTGGTGGTGCTATTTCTGCCGTGGCTGCCACCAAGACTCCAATTATCTTCATCGGTACCGGTGAACACGTTCACGACTTTGAGAAATTCTCTCCCAAGTCGTTTGTGTCCAAACTTCTGGGCATAGGCGATATCGAAAGTTTGCTCGAACATTTCCAAACGGTTTCCAATAAGGAAGACACGAAGGCCACAATGGAGAACATACAACAGGGTAAATTCACACTTTTGGATTTTCAGAAACAAATGCAGACCATTATGAAGATGGGACCACTGTCAAATATAGCTAATATGATTCCTGGAATGGGCAATATGCTGAATCAAGTGAGCGAAGAAGAGACCACTCAAAGGATGAAAAAAATGGTTTTCGTGATGGATTCCATGACCAAACAGGAACTGGAATCGGACGGCCGCATCTTTATCGATCAACCTGGCCGCATTGTCCGTGTCGCTAGAGGTTCTGGTACCTCTGCCCTTGAGGTCGAAATGATTCTGATGCAGCAGCAGATGATGGCACGCATGGCACAGTCGACCAAGGGCGGCCAAAGAGGCCCCGGCGGGATGCCAGGCATGCCCGGCATGTCTGGTATGCCTGGAATGCCCCAAATGCCAGGAATGCCTCAGATTTCTCCCGCGATGATGCAACAAGCACAACAGAAGCTAAGACAGAATCCTGGAATGATGAAGAATATGATGAACATGTTCAATGGTGCTGGTGGACCTGGTGGCGGCATGCCAAACATGGATGAAATGATGAAAATGATGCAAGACCCACAGATGCAGCAGATGGCCCAGCAGTTTGGTATGGGGATGTAGATAAGAAAAAAGTGTAGGCATAGTTCAATAATATAATCTTGGACTCTCAGTGCTCTTGAAGCCCGACGAGGCTGACCACTGGTTCGATTGTCACTTTGTCACTTTGTACTATAACAACGAAACTGTCAGAATCAAAATGTAACCGTCAAATCAATCACAGATATGCTTTTTGATACTCAAGATACCATACCTGACACCACATCCTTGTATTGCCAATGGGAAGTACGAATGATGTGCTACACGGCGACCGACTGAGTTCACCGGTCAAGCTTTCGCCATCGAAATTGAGTATGAATCATGGTGCATTTATGGCGAACATTCAAAACGGTCATAGTCCTGTAAGAGACGCCAGTCCTGGAGCTTCGTCGAGTTCCAGAGTTATAGAAGTACTACATAATCAGATTGACAATTTGACGAGAACAAATCTGGAATTGATGGTCCAATCGAACAATTTGCTGTCCCGTTTGGAAACTGCGAACTCCACACACGGGAAGCAATTGGAATCTTATTCGACGCTTAAATACGAGAACGACAATCTGAACCTAATGCTGAGTCGGAAAGAAAGAAGGGTCCGAGAGCTGGAGGAACAATCGTCTCGTCTTAAAAATTCCTACGAAGAAGCAACCGTCAATAACAAAACCATGCACAGTCGGTTGCAAAAATTCACACAGCGAGAATCAGAGCGTGAGGAGCAGTTTCAGATGGTTCAGGCTCAGTACGATGCACTGCTAGATGCCCAAGGTAGATATCGGGAGCAGTACTCTCGAGAAGTTCAAGAATTACGCTCTCAATTGCAAGACTACAAAGCAGAACAGGAAAAACAGGTTTCTGGCTCATTGAAGGCTCTACTCGATAACAACGCTGCTTTGCAAGGAAAAGTAGATGAGTATGCTGAAAAATTTCAAAAACTGGCAGCAGCGCAAGAGGGTCATGCAGAAGTTGTAGACCGTGAATGCAATTCCTTGCGATCACAACTGGATTCAGCCAAGTGGGAAAATCTATATCAAGAATCGTGCAATGCGGTTCTTGATTTTGCTTCACACACAGGTAGAGAGCTTTCAGCATCATTTTTAAGCCAGCACGGACGCGGCAGCATAAAATCAGAGGTCAAGTCCCCGCAAACATTCCAAGAAGGCCAAAGAGCTTCTTTAAGTCCTAACTTAGGCTCATCGTCCGGTTTTGTCAATCCACAGCAAATTCGGGTTCCCAAAACACGCAATTCATCTTCTGCTAAAAGAAGCAGTTTCTATGGAACTAACGTTTCCATACCAGCATCCCCGGTGCCAGGGGTCAGACAGGCCTCATCCTCACCGGCCACAGCCCCGTCTGGAACGCTTCCAGGCGTTAGGCGCTCGTCATCTATCAGAAGCTCAACACCGAACTCTAGAAGCTCATCTGGTGAACATCCAAGCTCCGAAAACAACACACATGCTACGAAAACCCACACCAGATCTCTGTCGAGTCAAGTAAGAAGAAAGAACTCTACAAGGTCCAGAGCTAATGAGAATGGTCCAAATGGGGAGTAGTAATCTTTTACTGGTTTGCAACATACGTCGGTTGGCGAGGTTAGACAGTGATGCCAGATAGTCATCGTGAGATACCCCAATGTAAAGCGCAATGCGAGGTCTACGACCGAATTATTTGCACCTAAATACGATATAGCAAGGTTAATCCCAACCAAAATCACCACGAACTTGCGGTAGGGCAGGCAATGACACTTGTCAGCAAAAATTTGTACAGACAGCAAGGAGTGTTTTTGAATAACATGAAAGAAGGAAGAAGAAGCTTGTATGAAGAGCGCTTCAGCTTTTCGGCAAAGGCATGGCGCTGTCTGAAGAGTACATTGTTCCACTGTTTCCATTGAAGTATAGCTTGAAAGACACATTAGTACGAAGTGATCTTCAAAATGTTAAAATCAAATTGTAGCAAGATTACTCACCTCTAGGCTGATATAAGCATTTGCAAGCTTCGAGCATAATATCAAGAAGATATAACTGAACAGAAATTGTATTCTGGAGCCTTTTGGTTTACTTCTACAAGAGAAAACGATACCACAATATATGGTCACGTGGGAATGGACTAGCGATTGTTTTATGGATCTTGTCTCAATTGACCATTCGAAGGGATTAAGCTTTCATGTTCAAGGCTGCTATTGGTATTCTAGTTTTACTATTTCACTCGCAATTGTACAATATGGCATCCTTGATGTCATTTTTTCTTGTTCAAATCTTCAAGCCCCCACAGCTTGACTTCGAGCCAGAAAAAGAAGAAAACGGCACATTATTCCTTATTTGAAAAATTCCACTTGTTCGATGCTCTTCTATACCGTCGAACATCGTCTTGGCAAACGAAATATGTCTGTCGAACAATTTACTGACACTTGTCGCTTGTCAGATGACCTTCTAAAAGTACCAGATTCTTGTGAGATTCCGAACTCCAAAGCCACATATCACCTACTGGAAAGCTCGATAGCTTATTTTCACATCTGTTGTCGGAACAGTACCTTCACAGGTATACTTTACGCATAGAAGAATTGTCCTGTCATCACAGTGTCATGCCCGTTTAAAGTGATATGTGTAAACTCGACATTTTTCCTACAGATTTCAACCAAAATTCCTAGTTTATTCAGGTCGAAGTGTCATAGCTCATGAATTTAATCCCCACATACTTATGAACATTCAAAAAATGATGCCAAAACCTACCTCTTAATATCAATTTCTAACCCAAAATTTTTCCCACGAAAAACAGTTCTCTTCCGCTTCCCAAGATTCTCTCCTAATGTGGGACTACACATTCCAAATCCAGACATCATTGCTGGAATTTCCCCCATCTTATATCGTCGAACGAAGCTCTGTATATAATGGTTTCTTGGCATTTCTCTAGCCAACTCTCCAGTCGATCTACGTATAACGCGATATCTAACGGTTTTATATATGTCGTATTATTGATATTCTTGGGCATCGCTAAGACATCCAGCATCGACTCCAGATTTGAAGCTCCAGAGCATGGTCCATGGCAGATCTCGATACTAAACTTCTCTTCACGGCTACCCAGCATCTCAACGATGTTCTGGTATCTTCTTTTCTTTACAAGAAATCTTACGGCACGTCTGGTAAGATCACAGTTCAAGAACCAGTGAAAACAGTGAACCCTGGCTCTGAAACCAATGGCCAGCATGGAAAAGCCGTAATAACCACTCAACACAAATTCAGCAAGGGCAAATACCATGAGTGCTGGTGTGTGCTGAGAAGAGGCCAATTCAGCTACTATAAAGACAGAAGTGAACGGAAAGCCATTGATGTTATCCCGGCAGAAGAAATCCTGGGTTTCAGAGCTAGCCAAATAGAGTTGCTTATGGAACTGTACACTATTCGAAAGACTTACTATTTGAGGGCGGAATCGCTGAAACTCTTCAAAGAATGGAATTATGCACTCAAGGAGTTTTTCGCCGACAAAGGTCTACATGCTGCGTCCAAGATGGAATCTTTGATGAGGCACACGTTCAAAGAGGAAAGCGAATCTGGAGTTCCAGATACTGCTAATGAAGACGACGACGATGACGATGACGACGATTACAATGACGAAAACGATGAAAATGATGACAATGACAATGACGAAAACGACGAAAACGACGAAAACGACGAAAATGACGACGATTTCCAAATCGCTTGCGAAGCTCGTCAGGCTAGTCCCACCTATGTGCAACGGTCACCGTCGCAGACCGTACCAGTCCCAGATGAAGATCGTGAGTTTTACGCCATTTTCAGCCCCACGCAAAACCCTCCACGCTTAATTCAAAAGGGAACTCTATACTGTAGAGTGAAAAAACGGCTGGGTCGCAGAGCGTGGAAAAAAGTATCTGCTACTCTTGATAGCACGTATCTTTGCATCAATTCTCTATCTTCTGGGAAACTGTATTGGCGCATCAATCTCGATAAAATCGTTGATGCTATTGAGGACGAGAAGAATCGTCGCTGCTTCACAGGATTCGCCATTATAACTTACGATGAGAGACTCAAATTTCGCGCCATGAGCGAACAAGAACCCATTGATTGGATCATGAATTTGAAAAGTTGTGTTGTTGCTAGAAGAAAGCTAGAACAACTGGAGCCACTTGCTTCTTCTTGAAAAACACCCCATCTCCATTAAAATATTGAACTTGCTTCTTAAACTTTCTTTCTGGGCGAACCGGGAGACCCTGTTCTATATCTTCGTTCTAGCTCGTTGTATCTATAAAAAATGTAACTGCTTATTCAACTTTTGTTCTGAGAAGCCATCTGCGACTTTCAAGACATGTCTAACAGCCGTCCGCTAGCCTACACCCTGAGGAGACATGAACACGATGTCACCGCTTTGAAAATCGTTAGTCAAGACCCATTTCCGGTGCTGATATCGGGAGATCGTAGTGGTCTTCTACTGGTATGGGATCTCATCACTCGCCGACCTGTTGCAACCCACAAACTGGAATCAAAAGCTCAAATTATCCACATCGATTGGGTCGAGAAATATGTTACTGTGCTATCCAAGGATCGTTGTCTTCGATTCTTTACCTTACATGATGAGTGCGATGCTGCACTGACCACCGAGGCTAAAAGAGGTTCAATAGCGAACCAAAAATTCAGCTTTGAAGAAGTGTATTCTATACCTGTGAATACCTTGAATTTTGCCAACGTTGCTATTCAAACGCTATCCAATGGGCTCTTCAGACTGTGGTGTTGCAATACGCAAGACCCGGAGAGTTTTGACGTCTATACCTTTGACGTCAAAGACCAACAATCTCTCAAACGTGAATTCAAAGCCGTTAATCTGTACAGCATCCTGATTGGAGCGACCAATTGGGACCGCACTGCGTCTTTGGAGAAAAGTGGTCTTGTAATGTCGTTTTTAGACGTTGACGGTGTGGTTTACGTTGGTTTCGAGAGCGGGTTCGTGGTTGGCATACGTTATATCGAGCGTAACACAGCGGGGCCTTTACTTGCAATGCTTCATGCTTCTTCTGTGCATTATCCGGAACCTGTTCTGTCGCTCTGTAGCAGCGGTGACGGTCAGCGAGTCTACAGTTCGTCGACAACCAGATTTGTGGGAGAGCATGGCGTCGATTATAACTACAAGCCAGAAAGCGAGAGTAACGTTTATTCTAACGGTATAAGCTACAGCAGGGGCTATTCACTGTGCAATTCCAGTATCGAGCTTGGAACCGCTGAAATCGCACATTTGGAGAGCATCCAGAACTCATTGGTGGCATTGAATTGGAGGGGACAAACTGTAGTTGCAAACAAACAAGAATCTCGCGTTGTTGGCACAAAACTGCGAAGCAACCTTGTGGTGGAAGCGTCCAATGTGGGAAGCTTTTCTGCAGACAAGAAAGCAAAGATTTGGGTCAAAGCTAGTAGCATTGTTTGTCTGGGTGCGAATACCATTTCCACAGACAAACCATTGAACACCGGCTGCCGAAAACGGGTATCTCAAGCAGCTACGAGAAACTGGACATTCACAGGGTATGAAGACGGCTCTATAGTTATGCAGAGTTTTGAGTTGTAAACTATAACTAATATTTACGGCACCAGGCCATGCATGCAAACACTACAGATAAAATCACTTCCCCATTTTGTGTTTATATTTTGAAGCAGCTTTGACAATCTTCTTTCGCTCGACATTCTCTCTCAGAAGCATTCCAAACGCAAGCTCAACATTACAATCATCCATCGTGTCCACACCCACAAATCCACATCGCCATTCCATGGCCAGTTCCTTACCGCGTTCTATTAGTACAGGGCTCGCTAGTGGGTCATCCACATGCGTGCATATGATGATACAAGGCGGTGGAGATTCTGGAGAGGTGGGATCCCAATCTAGAGCGTTTGGTTTGGAGTCAAAGGAACGCAAATATTTGAGCTTTTCGTTTCTCTGCTTCTGGGATTTCCACATCTGTTTGAAGTTGTAAATCAGAGAATAGACGTCGCCTTCTTTGCCCTCAGACCATCTATGTTGATAATCACGGTACTCACTCCATGCTTCGAGCATGCAGTTCCTTATTGTTGTTAATAGAGACAATCCACCGTCGCACTCCTTCTCAACCGCGATTGTCGTACTTGACACTGGAGATAAAGTATTGCTCGGCGACGTGCTGCGAGTAGGTTCGGCAAGAGTGTCATTTTCGATAGTGTCGTCATAACCAGGTGGACCAGCACCACGTCCAAACTCCGGTACTGCGCTGTAGGCAAATATATAGCCGTTAATACGCCCATTGAGTTCTGAGGCTCCAGATGCGACCAAAAGACTGGTTGTGGAGATGGGTTTCCGGGGTTCATTGGCAAGACCTTTCAGAACGTCATTGTCTAGGTTACGGAACAGTGAGACTTCTAGAAAAGGAACAACCATATCTGGTTTGAACCCTGGAGTGTCCACTATGTCAATGGGCAAAGCGGAAAAACAAGGTGGTTCGTAGTCTTCGGGGAGACACGAGGCACCAGAGGCGGGCAAAGCATTTGCTTCACTCGACAGCTGGGTTCTGAGAATATTTGCGTCGGAATTGGTCAACAATGTCCTTGATTGTTCGATTCGGTCGTGATTTTTCCCCGAGTATTCTTCATAGTTATAAACCTCGTTTTTAGGGTCAGTGCATCGAATGTCCGTTCGGGTGGAATGACTTTGAACCAAAGTTTTCGTTTCTTTCCATTCGTTGGCAAACGCTTGGAATACCACTGGCGACAACAATACCAATGGTGTCACTTGAGGTGTCTCGAAGAACGAACGATCTGCCTTCCCACTTTGGACCAATCTCCGACGATGAGGTCGTTCATCCATAAGGGTTCGTGTCAAATTTTCCCAGGGTTCGAATGTGAACAGCCAATTACTCTGTTTCCTCGTAGGGTAGTGCACTTCATGAGCCATTCCAACTGTCATTTTCGACACCAACGCTGATTTTCCCGTTCCAGTTCTTCCCAGAACTGCCACCCTGAAGGGTTCTTGTCTAACATCTTCCATTAAAACTGATGATCAGCACTGTAAATCGGATACAATGGGGTTTTCAACCAAGAGATGTGGTTGCTGGCAGGCAGCGTTAACTTGACAGTTCTTGCTGAGATGAGATGCGATGAGCTGAGCTGAGCTTATTATCAGGTCATTTGATTTCGTATCATTGTGGACGAGGTAGTGAAGGATAGTGAAAAATGTCCACCTCGTGTGAAGTGAGCTATCTCATCAAGCTTCTTGTTTGCTCGAGAAGGGAGACTACATGGGATATTTATTCTCTTGTTTTGGTCGTGAAGCGCCAATTTCAGCGTCCTTATTTTTTCAAGCTTTGAATTTAACCGGAGAGAGAATATGCGTGAAAATTTAATATTAGATTTCAACTCTGACGATGCGATGCGATGTTCCGAGCTACGGAATTAATGAAAGTAATCTTATTTAATGAATTCGGGATATTTGGATTGCGTCGGAAACATATTCTATCGTCGTGAACTGAAAATGACACCTTGTGTGTCCGTGTATAGTGATCTTACGAGTGATCACTTTTATCCAATTAGTCGTTCTGATATAGTTGAAAGGCTCTGAGCAAACATCTATTTCATCTCAGTTTCATACAGTACAAGGGCAATTTTAATTTGTGTGTTGACTTTCTACTCGTCGACGGCTTCGTCCATTTTCGAAGCTTTTCCTTTTTATATCTTATCTCGTTGTCCTTGAATAATTGGAAGGGGCAACGGGCCGGGAAGACCACATGAAAAAAATACATAATTTCAATCATCTCTAAAACTCCCTATTACTTGTCGTCCGCTTCGTTTTGTCCCGAGGTTCCAGTGTGTTTACGTTGTTTGTCGAGTTATTATCACTATGTACTAATGCGTCAAATATTCGTAATTTATACACATCCTTCTATACTAAAAGGATCGTCATCGACAAGCTGCCAACACGCTCATTTGACAGCTCTATTTAGGTCTTTCCGGACCTAAAAGCTTCGCACACCGCTGTTCTAGAATTTTGCTTTCTTGAGACTGGGGGTTTTGCGAACTATGAACCATTTTAAGGCTGGGAAACAAAGCTGAAGTCATTGAACACTACCATGGTTCTAGGGAAGTGCTACGTCTGCCACGAACAAGTCAAGGAGCTCTATTGCGGACACTGCATCAACACAAGTCCACATTTAGTTTTGAAGCACAAGATCGAACTTTACCAAATACGTGCCTTGAATAATGATTTAAGGTCCCAGGTCGATAGAATTCTGCAAAGGGCCATGAATGAACACTCAGAGCCTCAAGATGTTTTGGAGCGCAATCTAGCAATGCTCAAGACAGCTCATTTGAAAAGAAAAACAAATAAGTATCGACGCAAGGTGGAACAAGCCCGCGATTCCATTGAAATTAAGGCCCATCGAGCAAAACAACTACGGGAACTGATAGAAAAAGATGACGACGCTTTCCGAGTTTCTCAGAAGCAGAGCGGCACACAAAGGTCACAATTTGATATACTGCAGCCGGACCTGCGTCAATTGCAAAAAGTCCTGGCCAATTCAAAAGCTCTCAAATTTCAAGAATTGGTGCGTCTTTTCCTTGTCCGCCAGAGGGAACATCCAGAGTTTCCGTACACGATAAGCTTTCAGCCCGTGATAAACATACAGCACATGTACCGGCTACCGCAAAATGTCATAGAGTGTTCGCTGCGAAGCATGTGGGATTTTCTCATTTTGGCCAGTAAAGTACTTTCGGTGGAGCTCCCGTCCAAGGAGGCTGGAAAGGATGTTCTGAACAGTCTGACCGGGATTGTTTTGAATATCTTGGTGTTTTTGCGGAACCTGGAACTAGTCCCTCGCGATTGTAGCGACAAAAGAGCACTGTTGCGGAGCCTGCTGAGAAACTACGATATCGACAAGTTATTCTACTTTATGGTGATGAACAGAGACGTTGAAGCGGACATCAAGAGTAAAGCAGAGACCCCCATCAACTTTGAGGTTTGCCATTACGAGTTGCAAACGTTGTTGCGAGGGTCATCGGAGCTGAGCGTTCTGGAACAGTCTGTGGATGATAAATGGTTTCTCGTTGGATGAAAGCGGACATCTAAGTCACTCACATGTGCCAGAACAACGCGAATGTTCCACAATAGTCGCTTTCTGGTTAATGAGTTTCTTCAGCACGATTCTCATTGAAATCTGCTTGTCTGAGGTTTTTTTTTTGACATCTAAGAAAAATAAAGACAGAAGCATTAGCCCAGTCAACCGATAACACAAGCACGACGTCGTCGATCGATGCAAATTGTCCCGATCTGATCCTCTCGATCCAATTCTTTCAAAAGTCCATTTACAAGGTCCGGAATATCATTTCCCGACCCCAGAGTTTCAAATGAAAACTACATAAATCCCACTGAATCAAACACATTTCTTCAGCGCATTGGACTGGTTTCCAGCGCTAAATGCTTCTCTTTCTCTTCGCTTTAATCAACTTGGCTAAAAGACTCTCTTTTTCGCTCTCTTTTTCCCGTCGTCGTTTTTACTACTGGTCGCGTTACGACACCATGTTACCCGGCCCCCAAAATTTTCATCCCTCTAATCTGTATATTTCACGATATTAATCTGAACTCTGAACAGTCAGTCGACACATACCCCTTTAAAAAAACACCGAAACAGGTTATAGACGACTCTCAATACACGGTTCTGAGTATCAAACTATTGAGCTTTGCTATTCTTTGGTTCGTGCTGAAATTTTGGTGAATTTTGGTCAAGAATTGGTCGCTTTAGCTGCGATTTAACATACAACAACCCTTTATTAGTTTTCGAGCTTTAAAGGTTTACAACCGGACAAAAACCATCCGAAATCGCTTTGAAAAGGTTTTCTTAGGTCAAGTTCTCATAGCTTTTCCACAAGTTTACCAACTTCAGCTCTCAAATTTCAAGTTTTTTCAGTCAAAATGCTCTCCGATAAAGAACTATACGACTTGAACAAAAAGGCTGTAAGCCAGGGCTTCAACATCAAACCTAGACTCAACTACAACACTGTTGGCGGTGTCAACGGTCCACTGGTGATTCTAGAAAAGGTGAAGTTTCCCCGCTACAACGAAATTGTCAACTTGACTCTGCCAGATGGCTCGACGAGACAAGGTCAGGTCTTGGAAGTCAGAGGTGACCGGGCAATCGTTCAAGTGTTTGAAGGTACTTCGGGTATTGATGTGAAGAAGACCACTGTGGAATTCACCGGAGAAAACTTGCGTATCCCGGTTTCTGAAGACACCTTGGGTCGTATCTTCGACGGGTCCGGAAGACCGATCGACAACGGTCCAAAAGTATTTGCTGAGGACTACTTGGACATCAATGGTTCGCCCATCAATCCCTACGCTCGTATTTACCCTGAGGAAATGATCTCGACCGGTGTTTCCGCTATCGATACCATGAACTCCATTGCACGTGGTCAGAAGATTCCCATCTTTTCGGCATCGGGTCTCCCCCACAACGAGATTGCCGCTCAAATTTGTAGACAAGCCGGTCTTGTTAGACCCACTAAGGATGTTCACGATGGTCACGAGGACAATTTCTCTATTGTCTTCGCCGCTATGGGTGTTAACTTGGAAACCGCAAGATTCTTCAAACAGGATTTCGAAGAAAATGGGTCTCTAGAAAGAACTTCTTTGTTTTTGAACTTGGCTAATGATCCAACCATTGAGAGAATCATTACTCCTAGATTGGCTTTAACTACTGCTGAATACTTGGCTTACCAGACCGAGCGTCACGTTTTGACCATCTTGACCGATATGTCTTCGTATGCCGATGCTCTGAGAGAAGTGTCTGCCGCCAGAGAAGAAGTGCCAGGTAGAAGAGGTTACCCCGGTTACATGTACACCGATTTGTCCACGATCTATGAAAGAGCAGGTAGAGTTGAGGGCCGTAATGGTTCGATCACTCAAATTCCTATCTTGACCATGCCTAACGATGATATTACGCATCCAATTCCCGATTTGACTGGTTATATTACCGAAGGTCAAATTTCTGTTGATCGCCAATTGCACAACAAGGGTATTTACCCTCCTATCAATGTCCTACCATCGCTTTCCAGATTAATGAAGTCCGCCATTGGTGAAGGTATGACGAGAAAGGATCACGGTGACGTGTCCAACCAACTTTACGCAAAATACGCTATTGGTAGAGATGCCGCTGCCATGAAGGCTGTCGTTGGTGAAGAAGCTTTGTCGATCGAGGACAAACTGTCCCTAGAGTTTTTGGAGAAGTTCGAGAAAACCTTCATCGCGCAAGGCGCTTATGACAACAGAACAATCTTCGATAGTTTGGACCAAGCCTGGTCTTTGCTAAGAATTTATCCAAAAGAAATGTTGAACAGAATTTCGCCAAAAATTTTGGACGAATTTTATGATAGATCTAGAGACGAAGAGGAGGAAGCTGAAGAAAATGAAGATCCAGACAAAAAGCCTCAGGAAGACTCTTTGATTTGATCTTATCTGCTTCAAGTCTGCAAAAACACTACCACGTATACAGAAACTAAACCAAAATCTTATAAAACTTTGCAAAAATCAAGAACTCTCACGAGCAGGCTAGAATTGTTTTTGTGCGCAGCCAATACTACTGTAGGTAGCAACTGAATGCTTGGAATATAATTATCTCATAATATTTAAATGCATATGCTAGTTCGAACCACCTTGCGAGTGTTTACCACTTAATCCGTAAAGGTTGTTCAGAACGTTACTACTGAAACCCGGAGCACCACGAGTGTGTCGGAGAGACGATGAGGGTTGTGGTATCGAATGCCAGATGCTTTGGTTGTCTCTGTGCAGCGAATTGGGAAACCCATCTGCAGGAAATAAGCTTACAGGCATGTTTTTGTTTTTTTGCAGCGACCAGTCAGCCGCTTTAGATTCATCTTCTGATTCTGCCGAACTACTTGTTGAGAAAACAGAATTGTTCAGATCGTGGCTCAATCTCGAGGTTGATCCCATTAGTAAACTGGATGAAGGGGACCACATGGAAGAGGACATTGAAGCTGTGTTTGTGTTTAAAGACGAAGTGGACGACGCAAGCCCCGAGTGACCATTTTTAGCAGCTCGCGCATTTTCCAGCTCTTGCTCTAATCTTTTCGCATCATCAAATGCTTGCAGAAGTTTTGGCAGTTCTCGCTTTAGAGACGTTTTTTCCATCATCAGAGAAACTGATAAATTAGAGGTTTCGGACATTCTACGATCCGGTAATGTACTGGCGGGTTGAGAGAAAAGGTGTGCAAATTCGTTTTCATCATTGGATGAAACCGAAGATTCTATGCCATCATCGGCGAATTGTGACATGTCCCGCAGTTCAGTTGCCTCCTGAACAATGTTAGATTTTGAGCTTGGCGTCATTTGAGATTCCGACGCCGTTTGCTGTGTTTCGTAAAGTAAGTAGCTGAAGTTCATGGCGTTGAACATGGATTCGACATCGAGGAAAACTTGGAGACATTCCTCGAAGGATGCTTGGTCATTATTGACAGCTGCGTCTTGCACTTGTTGTAATAGAACCTTGATGAACGACCTGTAAGATACAACGGTTTCTTGTAAAGTGCCGTATCCGTCTTCGCTAGCCAAAGACTTCATGCCCTCAAGTTCGCAGTCGATGAGAAGCAATTTCGCCATGATGAACAATTCTGCTATATTTCGCTTGAGAGACCGCATATTTTTGCCGCAAAGAAACCAAATTTCGAGCAGCAGACAAGTACAGTCCTCCATACAAGCAGATGGATCTGTGGAAGTCTGAGCGTCGAGATATTCGCGAATACGCTGGGAATCTGAAGCTAGATTTTCAATAGCTTCCGACAATTTCCCACAACGTGTGATGGTTTTGAGCGCCAATTCTCGATAAAACTGCTCTGCATGGTCCATTTTCGGGTCCTGTGTCGGAATGGAACCTGTTTGAATGCCAAATCTCAGTAGAACGCTTTTGGAAAGTGCCTGCAGATCCCATGATTTGTGTACTAGAAATTGGAGCTTGATAAGGTCGTTGAAAATGGAAAGAGCGGATTCGCAGCGTCGCAGACTCTTTTCCTCGTGTCCAGAGCCTCGGTGTCTCCCAGTTTTGCGAGGAGACGACGAAACTTTACGTTTCTGTTGCTCGACAAGCTCTGATAATTGTTCTTTACTGACCGGATTTTCACCTCTGAAATGACTTATTATGGGGTCATTATAGTCCATAGCTGGTAAAACTACCAGGTAGCCAACATGCAAGAGTTTACTGACAAGTTTTGAGCCCTCAGAGAGTGGTTGCGGTGTGTTGTGTGTTGATCAAAACGAGTGTTCTTCGAGGTTAAAGTCAAGAGTATGGGTAGTTGAAGATGAGATGAGGTCTTTAATTGAATATATAATTTGGCCGGAGTCGCGTGATTGTGGCGTGAATGTCACGTGTCTTCATTTTCTTCTCTTAAAGATGGACTTTTTTTGATGCTTTCAAGTCAAGAGCGATTGGACTCCGTAGTTTTTATGTGACGAAGGGTTTGGTCTCCTTTGATAGAGATTTTTAAATCTTTTGGCCAGACATTTTCATTTTTCAGAAGTTCATAACAAACACTTTTTTTTTTGGTTGCTCTTCTTCAGTATATTTGCACACACTCAAGGAATCAGAATTGTTGTATGGTCTTAAAAGTATGGTCGACTTCTCGATGGGCGATTAAGCTTTAACTGTCGCTTTTTTTTACTGTTTATTGTCTACTGACACATTGGGTCTCGATGTCAGCGGGTGACAAAGTGATATGTTCATTTTTCCCACCAGTCTCTGATCAAAATATCAGAAATAGTCAAATTTACAATTCCCATCGTCTCTCTTGAATGGACCTATTCTTCGGGAAACATCCAAAATCAAACCGCTTTCCAAACCTCTCTCTTGGTGTCATTTTTGGGAACAAAAATATCAAAAAAATTACACAACATCAACAGAATAGTAGCAAAAACTCCGCATTATTAAACCCCCTCAATAAGCAAAAATAATAACCATCAAACATGCATTTATCAGCGACCATCACCACCACCATCCTGCAACACTGACACATTCGCCATTTTGTGTCACTTTGTACGACCATGTCACTCATCCTCACCCTCACCATGTGCTCCGGCTCGTATATAAGCACCTCCTTCCAGGCATAATAATATCAAAATAAGAAAGGGGTTCTTAAACTTGGAACTACCACTCCCTCTCCTCCATCAAACAGCAAGCCCCGATCCACCATCCACTACACAATCTAGCAAGGCATGGCAGAAACGGTAGTTGACAAGCTTAAAAGCACCCTGACTTCTGGGACAGAAGACGCTGCTGACATCAAGGACCATCCGGGAAATGTCATTGTTGTCTCGAACAGACTCCCAGTGACGATCAAAAAAAACAACTCAACGGGTGAATACGAGTATTCTATGTCTTCCGGAGGTCTTGTGACGGCTCTGCAAGGTTTGAAGAAAGCTACGACTTTCCAGTGGTACGGCTGGCCCGGTTTGGAGATCCCAGATGAGGAGAAAGAAACAGTGAAAAAAGATTTGTTGGAGAAATTCAATGCGATCCCGATCTTTCTGAGCGACGAGATCGCAGAACTGCACTACAACGGGTTCAGCAATTCGATTCTGTGGCCCCTGTTCCACTACCATCCCGGTGAGATCAATTTCGATGAAAACGCTTGGCTGGCATATAACGAAGCAAACATGGCATTTGCCAAGGAAATTGAGAAAAATGTGGCCGACAACGACATTGTTTGGGTCCACGATTACCATCTGATGCTTTTGCCCGAGTTGCTGAGATCAGGTATGAAGAGCAAGAATTTGCAAAACGTGAAACTGGGATGGTTCTTGCATACACCATTTCCTTCGTCAGAGATCTACAGAATTTTGCCCGTGAGACAGGAGATTCTGAGAGGTGTGCTGAGCTGTGATCTGGTAGGTTTCCACACTTACGATTACGCCCGGCATTTCCTCAGTTCCGTGCAAAGAGTGCTGGACGTGAATACGTTGCCCAACGGTGTGGAATACGAGGGCAGATTCGTCAACGTGGGAGCATTCCCCATCGGAATCGACGTGGACACTTTCACAGACGGCCTCAAAGAGGAAAGTGTGATAGAGCGGATCACTAAACTCAAACAGACGTTCAAAGACGTGAAAATCATCGTTGGTGTCGACAGATTGGACTACATCAAGGGCGTGCCCCAAAAATTGCACGCTATGGAGGTTTTCCTAAATGAGCACCCGGAATGGATTGGGAAAGTCGTCCTGGTTCAAGTTGCCGTGCCCAGTCGTGGCGACGTGGAGGAATACCAGTATCTGAGGTCTGTGGTGAACGAACTTGTCGGAAGAATCAACGGCCAATTTGGTACCGTGGAGTTTGTCCCAATCCACTTTATGCACCGCAGCATCCCGTTCCAGGAGCTGATCTCGCTGTATGCGGTGAGCGACGTGTGTCTGGTGTCGTCCACACGCGACGGTATGAACCTGGTGTGCTACGAGTACATTGCGTGTCAAGAAGAGAAGAAAGGTTCTTTGATCCTAAGTGAGTTTACAGGTGCAGCGCAGTCCTTGAACGGTGCTCTTATTGTCAATCCCTGGAACACAGACGAGCTTGCCGAGTCCATTCAGGAATCGCTGACCCTTCCCGAAGAGAAGAAAGACGCCAACTGGGAAAAGCTCAACAAATACATCTCAAAGTACACCTCTGCGTTTTGGGGTGAGAATTTTGTCAACGAGCTTTACAGGATAAAGCCAGCTGGCAGCGAGAACACCACAGAATCCCACTAATAGATGGCTGCCACAACGTCTCCGTTCGCTCACTAACGTGGCTCGAAACGCATTGTTAGATATATCCACATATATATATATCCACCCTCATCTACACCAAGACCAAGACCATGATTTACGTATATGATATTTCTTGTTTCGATTCGACTTTAAAATACTCGCTACTAGTTCGATCTGGAAGTTGACGATCTCTCGTCGCTGTTGTTGTTCTGTTTCCAGGTTGTTCTCGCTCAGGCTTGTTGGATCACGGTAGGCGAGGTCCTGTATATAAATTACAGTGAAATCTTGAAATTTTTAGCATTTTACCCAACCCAAAAAGAAGGGAAAATAGCCCTGTTTGTAGTGTTTTGAGCCCAACAACGAGTCCTGACGCTGTTTCATGCGGTACTGAAAGACTCTCAGCGATACCAGACAGCTTTGGGCGTTTTTCCAGCGTTGAAATAGACCCATTTTAGGGTAAAATAGAGGCATAATAGCATGGGGCAGCTTTTATCGCATCCATTGACGGAAAAGACGATTATCTACAATGAATACGAGAATTTCCCTCACTATCTGCAGAGACATCGTCTAGTGCACAGATCCAAGCCGAATTCGGGCCAAGAAACCAGGAAAACCCCGCAATTTTTCAACTGTGTGGGCTCAATGCAGGGATATCGACTCACACAGGAAGATGCACATCTGGTGGCGAACTGTGACAGTGTTTTGAGCGTGGGATTCTACGATCCGTTCAAGAACGCGGAAGAAAAACTGCAAATTTCGTTTTTTGGGGTCTTTGACGGACATGGTGGGAGTGAATGCTCGCAATTTGTGAGCTCTGAAGAAGACCGGGAAGAAGGCATAAGCAAGTGGATCAAATTCGCGTTTGAAACTCACGAGTATGGAGCCCGTGACGTTGTGCCCAAATCAGACAGAAAGTTTGCTCGTTTATTTAACACCATTGAAGGGCTAATTTCCCAAATCTTGAAGGATGCGTTTTTGCTGCAAGATCGGGAATTGTATTGTCATTTTGCCAAAGAATCGTGCGGCACAACGGCTATTGTGGCACTGGTCATCAATGGGGAAATGATCTATGTTGCCAACGCAGGAGATTCACGATGTGTGCTTTCCACCAAGGGCGGAGGTGTCAAGACGTTTTCCTTCGACCACAAACCTCAGCACATAGGAGAGCTGGTCAGAATAAACGATGACGGCGGCACTGTGTCTTTGGGCAGAGTCGGTGGAGTTCTGGCACTAAGCCGGGCTTTTGGCGACTTTCAATTCAAGACCAGTGTTTCGTACAAGAATAATAATTCTGGGCTGTCTGCTGCTCAGAAATACGTGGCACCGGCTCAAGAATCACAAGTTACTGCAGAACCAGACGTCTTACCACATCGTATAAGCTACGACCGCGATGAGTTCCTGATTCTGGCTTGTGATGGGATTTGGGACCTTTACAGTAACAAGAATCTCATTCAATTCATAAAGTATCATCTAGCACTTGGACAAAAGCTGGACGACATTGTTACTAAACTGCTCGATCACGGTATAAACTCTGCAGACAGCAACACCGGAGTGGGGTTCGATAATATGACTATAATAATTGTTGTTCTTAATCGACCGGGTGAAACGCTCGCCGATTGGTATAACAAAATGAAAACCCGGTTGGAACGGGAAAAGGGTTTAATTGCATGAAGTGAAAGAGGACTTGAAGACAGGGCAGGACAATCAACTGACCGATCGAGTTGGGAATTGTGAGTTCATCATCTGTTCTTAGTACGAACAACAGGATAAAAAACCATACAACACAAGCAGCAGGACTGGGGGAGGGTAGCCACGGTTGGACATATTCAGTTTTTGCCCTTACTATGGCAGAGCGTTGGGCTGTTATGCTGCACTCAAATCGAAACTTTTTACAAAAATTGTGTATTCTGTCTAGTCTATACTACCGTTTGAATGGCCAGTGGAATATGCTCACTCACTGAATTTGCTTTCTTCGTCAAGAAAGCCGGCAGCTCTTCTTCTGTCCGGTCGTTCTCCTTGATCGACGTTCCGCGCTTGAGCTTTTCAAGAACCTAAAACTTTTCAAGTGGCTTCTTAATACTTGACGTTCGAGCTAGATGGGAGCAAATGACCTTTGATAGCGCTTAGACTCATCAAAAAACATCGACCCAGGCCAATCATGACCTATCTGGTATAGTGAAAAGAAAATCCCGGGGAAGACAATCGTGAAAATTTGCCTCTGTGACAATCCAGTACTGAATGAATTTCAAACGAGAATCAATAGGGTCAGTACTGTGACACTTCCAGTCGGGCAAATTCTCGCTCTCAAGCGATATTTATTTGAGCCTTCCACCAAATCTGTCGTCTCTGTCAGTTCATGAAGTTTTCCTGTCACAGTATGTGTATCCTGTTGACACGCCGGAGTTATGGCACTCAAGAGATCAATTGAATAAGCTCGCTAGTTTGCTGCTACGAGCGCTTCTGCCTCTGTGTCAAGCATTTAGGATATTAATCGGATTCCATTCCTGGCCTCGAAATGTGAGCAAGCCAGTACCTTCTCCGTGCACTCGCAATTTCGTGAACTTTTTGAACAGGCAACTCGACTCAATTATGCCAAACAGAATTTCTGATTTGAACTCTTCTTCCACTTCGCCAAAATGACTGAGCTCGATGCCCACAATCGCCAGATTGTCGTGTAAAAAATTGTCAGTCGATATTTGAGAACATCCTTCGAGAAAACCGTGAATCAAGGTGCAAAGTTGATTGTCATCAGGTCATTTATTCAAGGCTTCATCTTGCATTTCTTTTGTTAACTCGGAGTACAAGTTGTTGTGCCTTGGAAATAGTCCTTACGGAAAACCTCTTACGGTTGACATAGGAAGAGTCTGCTGTCTGAAATATTCTGTAGGTACGACTTCTAAGGTAAAACTGCTTGACACATCCAGGAGGTTTCAAAAAGAGAACAACTGCCCGTGGCAGGACACCATCTCGTGCTTGTTTGGGTATTGCAACCTCAATTCGCTTCTAATCTGTCGAATGGAAAGTTGTTGCAAGGTTTGGGAGCGCAAACACTAATAAATGACTGTGGGGAGTTTACTTACAGTCACTTTCTGGCGTTTCCTGTCATCAGCGGTTAAAACCATACTTGTGAAATCTGCATACCGCGGTCGGTTGTGAAGGGTTCAAACCTATTCAATATTGCATATAAATTCGACCCTTTTACCTCTGACAATGCTACTCAAACTCCGGCCGTGCATTCTTTCCCTCTTAACAACTTTATGGAGCATTTGAGGACGACGGCATTGAAAAGACAAGACCTTTCAACCATATGTGCTGCGCAAATCACGTACCACTAACAACCTGTTCCATGATAGCGTGAAGAAGGTGAGAGAAGAGGTCTGAAAAAGGCTTGAGAATTGTCTGAGCGGTCGTCAATATTATTGGAATGTGATTCGTTTTGAGATCTGGTCTTTCAGATGATGGTTTGCCCTTGATACCGTCAGTACCGAAAACACGGTGTTTTCCGTTTGGAAAAAGTTGCAACAAATCTAAGGCACCATGACGGATAATGATGGGGGGTCAAAACCTCGAAAGCATGTTCAGAATTTCAGTACCTGCTTTCAGATATGTGACAAAGAGCTGAGCTTCCAGATGACACAGGGCAACCCTTGGAGTATCTCAGGATATGTTGCACAATCTATCAAGCTTTGATTGATAACCTGCAAAACAATGCTGTGAACAGAACTGATAGTGCTGACACTTTCTACTCCATAATTTTATGACTTATGCAGTGTTGGCGGAACGGGTCTCGTACCAGCACTTTCACAGCGTTCTTTTCATTTCAAATTCATCAATGGAAAATCCGGCATCTCTGAAGACATTAAGAGCTTTGTTTTGAAAGTTACCAATTCGACCAGGGCCTTCTTAGATGAGCACTTTGGGACATGCAGAAAGAACGACATATACATTGATGTCGCGTTCTTGAAATCTAGTATGAGAGACGACAGCTTAAATGAGCTTCAAGCCTGGAAGGTAGGAGAGGAGCATTTTCAAAGGGTGGAAGCGAATGTCAAGGGCTACCTCAAGCAGTGCAAACTCAAAAAAACACCCTTGTATTGACGATAGGCTTAAACCAGTGAACACAAATCCCATAACCAAATTCACAAGGCCAATACTGCGTCACAAGCGGCCACGAGAGAGAAAGGTCCTAAAGTTTTGGGAAAATGGCAGAATCATAAGAATAAAGAGCCAGTCATCTTCGGACTCCGTGACAGTTGCCGTGAAGTACTCAGATTCCCAGCGCATGGTCTAGCCTTGCTTAATCCCGATGGCTATGTACCTGATGTTCAAAAAGTTAGGCATTTGCGACATCGAAAGAATTCTCTCCATTGGTGGAAAATCAATGAGAAGCGACCGTGGATGTCTCGAAAGCGCTTATGCGATGAGAAGAGCAACGAGAAGAGGAAAAAAAAGAGAGCACTGACGATGATGATGACAGTTTCGACAGCCGCTCGACAATAGAGTCAGCGTGTTGGCCTGTACATAGCCGGATTATTAGTTCATGCATTCATATCAAGCTCACGCCTTTCATGGCACCTCAGAATCAAAGAATAGACGATGAGTTTTATTTACTTGTTCAATGTCTTTTGGATCTGGTTGGTGTCAACACAGCTTCAAATGGTCAGAACTCATCAATGATGTCAAAAACATTAAATTTCCATGACCCAATGATACCCGTTTTTGAATTATACCAACAACCCACTTGCAACCTGAACTTTTAGAAACGGGTTGACCCGTTTCCACAAAGAGCACATGACTTTTATCATCACTCCACACGTATACTCTTTCAAGATCTATCCTGTACTCGTATTGCAAGTCCCGAGTACAGCCCATTAGATATGCTGTTTAGAAGTAAGCCATATGAATCATGTCCTAGATGCCATCCGACACCTACAAGAACAAGAAGACCGCGGTTTGAGTCTATCCCAACCATGGGCGAATCAATGGCTTTTGATCTCAGCAGAGAACTTTCTGCTCCTGCTGACACTCCCGGTGTTTTGGCGAAAGAATACACTTTGGATATTCCAAGAATACCAAGCGTCGAACTTCCTCTGAAGGTTTCAGGGTCGCAAGCGAGTGTGGTGAGGGCAATAGAGATGTGTGGAGGGCTGCATGAAGTGAAAAAGGCCTTGAATGCTCACAAAGATACCCACGAGGGCTTAGAGCTTTTTTTGAATCGCGAACCTAAAAGCGATGAGCCATGTACGTTTTTCAATGAGCATCCGATTGTTGGAAGACTTGTTCCGCAGCGCAATGAGTCCATTGTAATGAAGGTGTCACTTCCAAGAGGTACACTTAAGGCGTGTGGTGGTGATCTTCGTAAGGCATTAGCTTCACTACCGTCAAATAAACAGAAAATCGTGCCCGTTGGGATCATCAACAACACCATCAGATTTCGCGAAATGTCAGATTTTCAGGTAAGACTCGATAACGTGCCTTCAGCTTGCGAGTTCAACGAAAGCATTGCATTGCAAGACTGGGAAAGCATTCAGCAGTACGTCAACAGCATTCCCGATCAGGATACCAGGCCATTCGAAAACATCAACAATCTAGTGGTGAACCGGAACACTCAAACCCCAAGCACAGATTTCCAGCTACCGCCACCACCAAGACTTTCCATGGTCAACATTCCGTTTATTTATAAATTCCGAGGCAACCCCTACGCTACGAAATCGTCAAGCGGAGAGTCAACCGTTCGAGGCACTTATCTAAAGAATTACCAACAGCTTGTACACAGCTTTGGCGAAAGCGCTGAAGTTCCCACAGCTGCACATCCGTCTCTACAAAAAGATTACCAAAAGGCCAAAGAAACAGGCGTGTACCCAGGGAGCAACAAAGATTCGAAGTTCTATGAGAAATTAGAACAATGCATAGCAATTCTAGATGAAGCCTTCAAAACGCGACCCATATGGGTAAAACGTCACATCGATGGTCTGATACCGCAGGACCTCCACGGGACGCTGAAAATCGCCTTGTCGCTAGTATCTTATCGGTTCACGAAGGGCCCCTGGAGGAACACTTACATTAGGTTTGGTATTGATCCGCGCAGCTCTTCGCAGTTTGCTAAGTTCCAAACAGAATATTTCAAGGTAGAAAGTCGGCTTCAAAAATGGCCACTCGCGGCCAAGAACATTCCACAACCACCATCAAAGTACTACGTCAGCAACAAAGCGGGAGGAATTGACACTCGGTTTTATTTCGATGGCACAAATGTGCCGTGGTATCTCATGCTTCAAATCGATCTACTTTTAGAAGAACAAAATATTGCAGATGTTGTTGCTGGCGCTACCTATCTGGACAAACCAACAGAATTAACGGGATGGTTTCAGGAATTGGACTTGACCAAAATCAGAAAAATTGTCAAATACGAACTGGGCTGTCTTGTCCAGGGCAACTCACAGTTTAGCGAACACAAGCTCAAATTTTTCAAAAACATGCTTTACACGAAGGAGTCTATGATGAATACTAAGGACAAAAGCCCTGACGCTGACGGCGACATTCAAATGACGAATTCCAACAGCACATCTGAAGAAAATGACGAGATCATGGCTAAAGACCAAGCAAATGAAGAGGACGAGGACGATGACAATGGCGTCGAAGCCGGAGAGCTTGATGACGCAGTCTTGGAACAGGAAGAAGAAGAAGCAGAAGAGCAAGAAGATATAGACTTTGAAAATCTCCAGTTTCAGCCCCCAAAATCCAAATCCACCGGTACTGAAGCAGACGGCGACTCACTAAATCCCAATTTTGACGTCACAACTGCTAGCTTCAAGGAAATAATATCTCAAATAAGCCAAAGAGATCCTGACGCAGCTGCAAATCTTGCAAAAAACTTTGATGGGTTTGTTTTTGAATCAGAGTTGGAATCTTGAAAGATGTGGGCACTCAATTGAGAACACTCCAGCGGGTATTGGTGCTTTCCATCTTCACAATCTCTTCTGTTCTCTAATCGATCTTCGTCTCGACGTTACACCCGTTCAGAATTATCTTTAAAATTTTTTGAATACCACTTGGAAATAACGATGGATTAAAGCATCGCCGACTCAATACTCAAGGTCAAGCTGAGTAATTGTGAGCCAGCTTTCGGTCTACTATTCAATTTCAACAATAAGCGATGCTCAAGTCTCTAATAAGCAAGAGATTTGCCTCTGGAGCGTACCACGGAGCGCCCCAAGTGTCGATTCCTAAGAGACCGTTGAAAAAAATCAAACTAGGGAAAGCCAGGCCAGCTATCTACCATAAATTTGATGTGCAAGTCGAGCTTAGCGATGGAAGTGTGATTACAAGAAGGTCTCAATTTCCCAAATCTCAAATTCGGTTGATTCAAGATCAGAGAAACAATCCATTGTGGAATGAGAGCAGAGACGATCTGGTCGTGGTGGACGCCAATGCTGGTGGAAGACTCGATAAGTTCAAACAGAAGTATGACCAGGTGTTCAATTTCGAGAGCACGTCCTCTAAGCAGCCGGCTGCTGAGGCTAGGAAACCTGAGGAAGGAAAAACGGAAACGAAAACCAAAGAAGATCAAGACGAGGACGAATTCGGTATGGACGACTACATGTCTCTACTTGATGACAGCGCTCAACAAGTCCAGAGTGGTGGTAAACTAGCCACTAAGAAGAGGGACAAGAAATAGATCGATCTAGTGGATCAAGAAGCATTTTTACGTTTGCATGTAAATAGCGGGTTTGGCATATAATATATATATATATATATATATATATTATGTATAATAATTAAAGAATATGTCAAATCTAGTACAACGAAGAAGAACCAAAGTAAAGATCTGGGTAGTTGCAAGCCCGTGAAGCGTGTGATGGGAAGCGTTTTCTTACCGCATTTACATTCTGGCTGGCATGTGGATCAGGCAATTGTCACAGAACAAGAACGGCTTGTTGTGGTGCGATTTGGGAGAGATTGGGACAAAGACTGCATGTTGATGGATGAGGTGTTGTTCTCGATCGCTGAAAAGGTTAGAAGGTTTGCGGTGATCTACTTGTGTGATATTGATGAAGTGAAAGACTTTAACGACATGTACGAGTTGTATGATCCGATGACAGTGATGTTTTTCTATAAAAACAAGCATATGATGTGCGATTTCGGTACGGGGAATAATAACAAGATGAACTTCGTGGTGGATAACAAACAGGAGATGATTGACATACTAGAAACTGTATTTCGTGGAGCCCGTAAAAATAAGGGTTTAGTGGTCTCGCCGTATGACTATAACAGCAAACGGGTATGATCGATAATTCGCCTGAATTAGAGGGCGTCTACGCGAAAAAAAGAAAAGAATGGGCCTATCGGGTTCCCGAAAGTTTTCTGGTCGAAAAAAGATTGATTTGAAATTGAAACAAAGAGCTAAAGTCCTATTACTGTAAGTCAAAATCGCAGTGATTGACAGTTAAGAGTTCCCTGGCTTTTGCAAAAAAGAAAAAAAATTCAAAAGCAGATCGTCGAGGAAAATGCAATGGATTCTTCATACGCTAAATCCCAAAGCTGAGCTCCATTGAGATCCTTGGGAGACCAGATACTATCGCTAACATGTTGATCCTGTTGGTAGTTCGGAACACGTATCACTTTAGACGAAGATACCATGGCTCGAGTAAAAATTGAAAAATTTGACCAGTTCCCAGAACGAATACCTGACTCTCTCGAAGATTAGCACTACAAGTATCTCGAACTAAGACCATCCAAGTCTTTGCTTGATCGCGGTAGACAAATTTCAAAAGTGAGTTTTTTCAAATTAGCGAAAAACTCGTTTGCGAACCGATTTTATAGGCAATTTTCGAAGAAATCGGTCAAGATCAAGAAAATGAGCGTCGAAGATATACAGAAGGCCAGAGAGGCAGTGCCTTTCAACAGAGAGAATCTAGAAAGTGTTTTGAAGAGACGGTTTTTCTTCGCACCTTCGTTTGAATTGTATGGTGGTGTTTCCGGTCTTTATGACTATGGTCCTCCAGGTTGTGGATTCCAGGCCAACGTTGTTGATGCCTGGAGAAAGCACTTCATTTTGGAAGAAGACATGCTAGAAGTCGACTGTACCATGCTAACACCTCACGATGTTCTTAAGACTTCCGGCCATGTTGACAAGTTTTCCGACTGGATGTGCAGAGACATGAAAACCGGTGAAATTTTCAGAGCTGACCATCTTGTGGAAGAAGTTCTTGAGTCCCGTTTGAAAGGTGACCAGGAAGCTCGTGGATTGGTGAAAGATGCTAACGCCAACGCACAGGACGATGCCGACAAGAAAAAGAGAAAGAAGAAGGTTAAGGAAATCAAGGCCGTCAAACTGGACGACAACGTTGTCAAAGAATACGAAGCTGTGTTGGCCAAAATCGATGGTTATTCCGGAGAAGAATTGGGAGAACTCATGGTCAAGTACAACATTGGGAACCCCGTCACTGGAGAAACCCTCGAGCCTCCAAGAGCGTTCAACTTGATGTTTGAAACCGCTATCGGTCCTTCTGGTCAACTCAAGGGCTACTTGAGACCAGAAACCGCACAAGGTCAGTTTTTGAACTTCAACAAGCTATTGGAGTTCAACAACAACAAGGCTCCATTTGCCTCTGCTTCTATCGGAAAGTCATTCAGAAACGAAATTTCACCAAGATCCGGTCTTTTGAGAGTTCGTGAGTTTTTGATGGCCGAAATTGAGCATTTCGTGGACCCTCTCGACAAGTCTCATCCTCGTTTCCCAGAAATCAAGGACATTAAATTGAGATTCCTACCCCGCGAAGTTCAGCAGGCGGGTTCGACTGAACCTGTGGAGTCCACCGTTGGCGACGCTGTCAACTCCAAAATGGTCGACAACGAAACCTTGGGTTATTTCATTGCTAGAATTTACTTATTTTTGGTCACGATCGGTGTTGATCCAACGAAGCTAAGATTCCGTCAACACATGGCCAACGAAATGGCCCACTACGCTGCTGACTGTTGGGACGCCGAATTGAAGACTTCTTACGGATGGATAGAATGTGTTGGCTGCGCTGATAGATCTGCATACGACTTGACTGTCCATGCGAACAAGACCAAGGAGAAAATGGTGGTAAGACAAAAGTTGGAAGAACCAATTCAAGTCACCAAATGGGAGATCGAATTGACTAAGAAATTGTTCGGGCCTAAATTCAGGAAAGACGCACCAAAGGTTGAAAGCTACTTGTTGGGCTTGACACAAGAGGAACTAGAGTCCAAGGCCAAAGACCTCAAAGAGGCTGGTAAAATCGTGTTTTCAATCGACGGAATTGAAGGCCAAATCGAGTTAGATGACAAATTTGTGGCCATTGAGCAGAAGACCAGAACCGAGCACGTTCGTGAGTTTGTTCCTAACGTCATCGAACCATCGTTCGGTATCGGTCGTATCATCTATTCCATTTTTGAACATTCGTTCTGGTCAAGACCTGAAGATACCGCGAGAGCCGTTCTTTCTTTCCCTCCACTAGTTGCCCCCACCAAGGTTCTTTTGGTTCCACTATCCAACCACCCCGACTTATCGGCGGTCGCCCAAGAGGTGGCTAAGGTCTTCAGAAAGGAAAAGATCCCATTCAAGATCGACGATTCCGGTGTGTCTATTGGTAAGAGATACGCTCGTAACGACGAGCTAGGTACTCCATTCGGTGTGACCATTGATTTTGACTCGGTCAAGGACAACACCGTGACTCTAAGAGAAAGAGACTCCACCAAGCAGGTGAGAGGTTCTGTCCAAGACGTTGTCAAAGCCATCCGCGACATCACTTACAACGGCACCACATGGAGCGAAGGTACCAAGTCTCTGAAGCCATTTGTTGGTCAGACGGAGTAAGTAATTATACTCTTTCATAAGGCATGTATGTATAGAAAGTAGTCATGCATTATATCAGGCGATTAAACCAGATCAAAGTAGATCCTCACGTGACTACAATTCTCGAGCCAAAAACTTCACCAAAAAATGACAATTAAGTACAAAGTGATATGAAGTCTGGTTAATCAACGACACGAATATGAGTCCGGGCATTTTCACTCGAACATCGAATTGTACATTTATGAAATGTCCATATCCATAGTTCGTAAATTTCACTACAAAAGGTACGGAATTTTGTTCTTCTGACGAACTTTCTACACAATAATATATTTTACTGACACCACGCCATAAGTGCGAGCAACAAGTCAAAAGTGGACCAAAATCATCTACGGCAAATACGCAACGCATTTTCAAAATTCATGGAAAATAAGAACATTGAAGCCAGATTCAATAAGCTCAAAATCTTCGTGCTGATCGCTTGTTGAAGGATACTGACATCAACTTTGACCGAATCTCCTACATCGCATGTCTCACGAACTTTTGAAAATTAATTGAAATTAATCTAGACCGATACTCATCGAAATCAAAGTCAAATCTCGAAAGTAAACAGTGTTTAGTAGGGTCTTCAACACCACCACACGATGTCTGCTATCATTAGAGAGGCCGCAAGCCAACTGGTCAAGAGCTTAGAAAAGCTGCCCCAAGAAAGAGTAAAGCATATCGTGTCGTTGAAGGAATCGCAACTGGAAAGGTTTAGACCGGTTGCAGGAATGGAAAGTACTACGCAGGAAGCCAAACAAAAGCCCTCGTTACAAGATATAAAAGACATCATCAATAGAACATCGGGCCCTCTAGGAATGCAAAAGGACGTTTTGGAAAAAGTCAACAAAATGCTTCCTCAGGAGCATTACAACGTGGAAACACTGCAGGAACAAACGCATGCAGTGAACAATCTTCTGAACAACAAATACAAAAACTACTATGCTGTTGGTGACAAACTGATGAAACCGCAGGGCAATGCTAACTACTACCAGCGTTTGATGGATGAAATTGAGGGTAAGCAAAAGGAAACGTTCTGGTCAGCGATGAGAACGGTAGTGTTCGGAAAATAGAACACAAGATTAATGTGCCCCGGTTTATGATATTCGTCACACCATTCTAATTTATAAGAGCGTTTCGAATCGGTAAAACTGCTCCATGCCTTGTATATAATTATGTGTAATTTTGCCAAAAAGCTTTATTACGGTAAAAGGATGTCAAGTGAATTTTGATTCGTGTTTCGGTCCTACTTTGCGAATCCAATGGAGATTTTGGAACCGCCCCACTCGTACAATGGGCCGAGCTTACTTACCACGTTGGAAGCATGCGATATAGTTGCGTACTCGACAAATGCCAAGTTTCGCACGCTGACAAGTCTTACCTCTATAAAACCGTCAGCGGCGAAGATGGAGGAGATGTCGTCTGATTGAACGCCCGAGGGAAGGTTTTGTACCAGAAGAACTTTATTCGGTGGGTTCATTGAAACTTCTGTGGCAGTTTTCTTGTTTTTATTATCGTGTGGTTCTGGTGACTTGGTCTTCGTTTTAGACTGTTTTGACGTTGAAATTGTAGAGGACGCTATGCGATCCTGAACAGCTTTGTGAACGATGTCGTGAATGGCAGATTCTTCCAGGCCCTTGTGCTTCAGTTTGTGTCTCAGTCTTCTCATTTGGCGTTTCAATCGTTTGTCTGCGTCAGCTTCCGGATTTGGTCCTGACTTCTTTTGGATCTTTTTTGACAAAAGCGCATCAACACCTCGCTTGCCGCTATGCAAATACCCGCCAACCAACGACTCCTGAGCAGCAAAGGAAATCTTTATCTTACGGCCACCCATGACCAACTTTCGATCGAAACAGCTCACAAATTCTCTAGCAGCTTCATGATTCAAAAATGTAAGGAATGCCATAGAGGTGTGATTATCACACGTTGCTCTGGACAAACATACTATCTTGAACCGTTCGTCTAGAAGCGATAAGTGTGTTTTACTCTTCATACAAATCCGGGGTTCCACATGTCGAAGCCTTCGCCTTACAACGTTCAATTCTTGAGGAGTTAAACTCGAGCTCATTTCCTGATTATGCTCTATTTCGCGACACATCTTTCGCAACTTGCCAATGGTAAATTCCTGTGCACTTTCTGCGTGATATACATGGTCCAGTTGCTTAAAAAGTGCTTCAAACACAAGTTGGACGCCAGAGCTATCTTTTGAAGTTTTGTTCAAAACCTCTGCCTTGGCTGCAGAATAGATTTGTAGAGCATCCTGTGATTGACAGTCTGCATCAGAGACTCTGCGGTTGTCCTTCGGTAACAAAGCTAGTTCTAAGTGCGGTAGTTTAAGATCTCGATCTTTTGCGTAAGGATTGTTGGGATGTATTGCACTAAGAAGATCTCTGGTGAAAGTGTCTTCGCTAGCGGGTCTTCGAGGAAGCTGAGCCAAATGAAGACTGACGAGAAGTTAGTAATTTGTAGCTATAAAAGTCTCAAGAAAGGTTTCAATTATCATACGTTAGGTCTGCCATGTTTGTCGATTTAACACTTTGTTTGATGTTTTGACAAGTTCATAACTGCTAAGTTGTTATATTCAGGTTTAAATCTAAAGGCATCGGCAATTAACAATTAAAAACAAAGAAACAATCGAAATAATAATCGATAGAGAAATATTCTTTAAAAACTTTACAAAATTATATTGGATTGAATGAAAAATGATGTTATAACAAGTTTTCAAGTTTATTTCTTGACAGCCTTCTGGGCAGCCTTGGTGACCTTACCAGCCTTCTCGGTCTTGTCAACAGACTTGATGACACCGACAGCAACGGTCTGTCTCATGTCTCTGACAGCGAATCTACCCAAAGGTGGGTAGTCGGAGTAGGCTTCAACACACATAGGCTTGGATGGGACGAACTTGACCAAAGCAGCGTCACCGGACTTTAGGAACTTTGGAGAGTCTTCCAACTTCTTACCGGATCTTCTGTCGTTCTTTTCCAACAATTCGTCGAATCTGCAAGCAATGTGGGCAGTGTGACAGTCCAAGACTGGCGAGTAACCAGCAGAGATTTGACCAGGGTGGTTCAAAACAATGACGGTGGCGTTGAAAGAAGCGCAAGCCTTTGGAGGGTCGTTCTTAGAGTCACCGCACACGTTACCTCTTCTGATTTCCTTAACGGAAACGTTCTTGACGTTGAAACCAACGTTGTCACCTGGCAAACCAGCTTCCAACTGTTCGTGGTGCATTTCCACGGACTTGACTTCAGTGGTGACACCGGCTGGGGCGAAGGTGACAACCATACCTGGCTTGATGACACCGGTTTCGACTCTACCGACTGGCACCGTTCCGATACCACCGATCTTGTAGACATCCTGCAATGGCAATCTCAATGGCTTGTCAGTTGGTCTGCTTGGTGGGTCAATGGCGTCAATGGCTTCCAACAAGGTCTTACCCTTGGAGACACCAGCCTTGGTCTCCTTTTCCCAACCCTTGTACCAAGAGGCGTTGGTGGTGGCTTCAATCATGTTGTCACCGTTCCAGCCCGAGATAGGAACGAAAGGAACAGTCTTTGGGTTGTAACCGACCTTCTTGATGAAGTTGGAGGTTTCCTTGACAATTTCCTGGTAACGAGATTCGTCCCACTTGACGGAGTCCATCTTGTTGATAGCAACAATCAACTGTCTGACACCCAAGGTGAAAGCCAACAAAGCGTGCTCTCTGGTCTGACCGTCCTTGGAGATACCAGCTTCGAACTCACCGACACCACCAGCGATAATCAAGATGGCGCAGTCAGCCTGGGAAGTACCAGTAATCATGTTCTTGATGAAATCTCTGTGACCTGGAGCGTCAATGACGGTAACCATGTACTTAGGAGTTTCGAACTTCCACAAGGCAATGTCGATGGTGATACCTCTTTCTCTTTCAGCCTTCAACTTGTCCAAAACCCAAGCGTACTTGAAAGAACCCTTACCCAATTCGGCGGCTTCCTTCTCGAACTTTTCGATAGTTCTCTTGTCAATACCACCACACTTGTAGATCAAGTGACCGGTGGTAGTCGACTTACCGGAGTCGACGTGACCAATAACAACAACGTTAACGTGAGACTTTTCCTTACCCATTGTGTATAGTTTTAGTTGAGGATTCTAAGGATCAAACAAAAGGCTATTACAAGAGTGTTTTAAAGTTTTGGAATGACCGTTCTTGAGACCTTCGCTTTTATATCCAAAGCTGATCCGCAATATTGGGGGCTACAAATTTTTGCCACCGTGGGCAGGGCCTTTAAGATGCGAGGAAAAAATTTTTTCAGGCGGGGACCTTAGACTAACCGCAGAGAGACGCTGGCTCTGCGCAGAGACTCCCGCACGGATGCCCTTGGTGGAAAGCCCGTTTAAGGTTTTTTGCCTGGTAGAAGCTACACAGAGGGTGAGCCTAAGCTCTAGGCTGCGACCCACTTCGGCTAGGCTACGACCCACTTGGGTCTAGGCAGCGACCCATTTGAGTTAGGCAGACTTTGGTAGGGCGCTGGGTACTGGAAGGGCCATTAGAGTCATCGAAAAAGCAACTAGGACGCACCATATATCGAGAGCCTTGCGTGTGAGTCTATCCGAGACGGCCCAGAGCACAGCGCAGAACAGCCGCTATTCCTTTTTTGGGATAGCAAGTTGCTAATGCGTGAGGGATACGGAGATAAGGAAGACCAAAAGGGAAAGACTCTTTTTTGAAAATGGGAAATATTTCAAAGCGTATGAGAAATTGAGCAGAAAAATTGAAAGATGTTCGGGTGTTGAGATGGGTGTACGGGTGACAGTCAAATGTAAATGACTGAACGGAATTGAGTGTCAGTCTCTAGATGAAAGTGTCCTTCCATCACGAGTAGAGAACACTGGCTGAAGGACGGCGTGTGAAGGATGGTAAAGAGAGAGAGAGAGAGAGACAAGTGGAAATGTAGCTTTCAGGACATATTTGCACAATATATCAGAAAGTATAGCAAAATAGCAGAATTCGCTTTTCATTACTTTACTTTCCCCCCCAACATCTCCTCAGCTTGAGCAAGAGCTTGAAATTTAAATTTGCGTCAAATTAGCGACTACTTGTTGTATGTACGTCCAGATTGTCCAAAAGATTATTTTGGACCTCGATATCGCGCGCCAATGAATCGGTGCTGGCAGCATTGCGGTACAGCGGCGAGGTACTCAATTTGATGCCCTGTGTTCTCTTTGGGACCGAAAATCGGAAAACCTGCTTTAAAAACTGACGTATCCTGGACGGTCTTTCAATGGAGTCCCAATGCGGTCTGTTGTCCAAGGAAGCAGGATCCCCACCATACCGTAACCTAGCCCTGACGCGACCATAAAACCAACGTCGGCCCCACTCCACCACGAAAAACACCAGAAATATCCCAAAAAAATACCCAGGACGTTCACATCGTTGCTCTTATGAGACGTGGGACATGCATACACGCTGCGGACCTCGAAGAAATACGAGCAATTGTGCAACGACCCGACATAATTGACCTGAGCCTTGGATTGGATCTCTTTGTCGCACACGAAATTCAGCAGCGTGGACCGTCTGTCGATCCCGTTGGGACACAGATCGCCGTTTTCGTACGCCATGGTCAATTTTTTGCCCACAAATCGCGGCTGTGTGATATAGTCACCAATCGACACCTCCTGGTGCGATTGAGGGTCCACGAAAAACGCTCCCGTGGAATTCGCCAGCGAGTCCACTCCTTCGCGCGTGGCGCTCGAGCAGATCCCTAAAGTGTAGTTACGCTGAGTGTCGGGATCCCTCACGAGCCACCGAGTTTTCTGCCAATCCTGTTGTTTTTTTCGGTGGTCCCTATTGGAGTCTCCCAGCAGACTATTAGGCGTAGCTGATAGCTGTGACAGATCGATATAGTTGCCCGTGAGTGGGTTCATTACTGCGCAAAAAAGTTCGTTGTCACCATCCTCTTCTTCTTTTTCACGTTTCGTCGCATACTTCTGCTCTTGGTGTGAGTTCATTTCGTTCCTGCGTGCAATGCTATTGAGCTGCATGTGTTGTTGATGACTCCAATTAGCCAAACATAACAAGAACCCGATACAGAAAAATGCTATCACTATCCTCTTATAAGGTATTGATATCATATATTCACTAATCCCATAAAATTGAATCCAACAAGAATCCAGTCCAAAACTCTAATTTTGCACTTGGTTCAACCCTTTATGCAATTTTCAAGATTCAAGACAAAGTCGAGGGATTTCAGTTCCAGGTTTTATATAGTCAATTCTGATTATTTCAAGATGTTTATGGTTCAAGCACTTGAAATTCCATGTATTTAATCAGATATATTATTCATTAAATCTGAATTTATTAAAATCATCAAATTGACAAAGCATAATCATATACAATCGAACAAGTTTTGAGAAAGTCCTTGGATCTATTGACTTCAAAGAAGAGAACTTGAAGACCAGGTTTGTTTATATTTGAGACTCTTAAACTTTACAATTTTCTAGATAGTCTGACATTTCCGAGATGTGCTGTTGTTGTTCATGTTGCACAGTTTCGGACCTTATCCTCTATGTTGTAGCGTTTTTCATTCCACCTGTCGGTGTGCTACTGAGAAGCGGATGCTGTTCATCCGACCTACTTCTCAACGTGTTGCTGACGATGCTGGGTGTGGTCCCGGGAATGATTCACGCTTTTTACTACATTACCGTGACAAGTCCGTTGAGAAGGGAGGAATCACGGTATTACTACCAAAGTGGCTGGGAAGATGGCCGTCGCACAAATCAAAGAAATTTTGGATCGCAGCAAACGCAGCAAACGCAGCAAACGCAGCAACCACATGATGGCATTGTGAGGTCCGAACCGTCTGCGGAAACGCCGCTGATAGCTCACACAGGTAAGAAAGGTGGCCCCCCTGACGATAGCTCGCCACCACCATACACGGAATCGGAATCGGTATGAAAGCAGAGTAGTGGTTGTTTTGGAGGTGTTTGCGTTTCCGGTTTTTGTTTTGAGTTTTTTATATGCCAATAAAGAGTTTGTTTGAACTGGTCTGTGGTCTTTTAGATATGCTCTAGGGTTGCATTTGTGTGGGTGAGTGTTTTTGTGTGCCATGGTCCTTGGACCTTGCCACGATTAGAAGTCTTGCACTCGAACGAAATTGGCTGTTTGTCACATTGCAGTAAAATTACCGTATTGGTAGTCCACTATGTCTGTGGGTGAAGATTGAGGTGCGACGTCTTTCAAATGATTCAATATAAAACGGCAGTGGCTTCGAGTGTGGACGGGGCAACCCAAGAAACCTCCAGATCTTTATCATCCAATGCAAGTGCAAGAACATGAACGGCTTTTGGTCGACTGCTACGATCCCATCCACTGCGATGTGCCGAACAAATTTGAAATTTCAATTCTGGAGGATGTAGCAGACCCAGTCACAATGTTGGATGCGACAGATCTCGACCCTCTTCGCCGGTTTGAAACCTCAGCTACGTTTTATAACCGCGTCTCGGAAAGCTACAAGTTCACGGGCTTCGGCAGCGAGGACGTCAGAACTTTGAAAGACAGTCAACAGTCTATCAAAAATGCATCTGAAAGGTCCTTTCTGAAGGTTTGAATTGGGATTGTTATGAGCTGTGCTCACATCTTTAACATCACTGCATAGTTGTATGTATAGCGATCTTCTAATCGAAACAAATGTGATCTTAACGTCGAGCTGCATGCGTAATTGACGATCCAATAACTATACATTATCCGATATAGTGTAACGGCTATCACATCACGCTTTCACCGTGGAGACCGGGGTTCGACTCCCCGTATCGGAGTCGTTTTTTTGTTATTTTTTGTTAGAATTGTAATTAGCAGTAGCTATATTATTTGTTGTCGCTGTCGTGCCCGTTCCCGAGCCATTCGAACATGAAGCTCACGTCTTTGACCACCGTTTTCGCAATCATTGCGTTCTGAATCCATTTCGGCACGTTTCCACCAGCATCGCTTGTGGTCGCCATTTTCCACACTAGTTTTTGAGTGTCGTAGTTGTAGTCTAGCGATTCCACACTAACGTAAATTGCGGGTGTGTGCGCAACAGGGTCTTTCATGGATGCATCGGCCACAACGCTTACCACCATACAGGTTTCCGCGCTGGCGTCCGCAGTAGAAAATGGAGGCACCACGTAAACCCATTCGTGGAACTCACGAGTTGTCAAGGGCTTCCCCAGCTCGTATTCAAGGTAAACACCCACCCAGCCAGAAGTTGTGGTCTCCAAGATTTCCACATGGCTGAGTGTCTCTATGTATTCCTTTTCGGCACGGGAACGTGCCGTTCTGTCCGGTAGGACCCATTGTGTGTCCCTTTTTTCGCTTCCGTTTAGCACTTTTACCAAACGCTCATAAGTTGAAGTATCCAACCGGTGCTCACTGACACGGCTTAGCCAGAATTCTTTGCCGCGGTTGGTGTGGTATGTCTGCACCTCTACTCTGTCGGAGTCCAAAGTCGGGTTGACGCTGAGGGTATGATGAAAAGCCTTTCCCTTTTTCCAGCTGGTGCAGACCTCATCGATGAGCTCTTTAGCCACGCTTACGATCTCGTCTTTCGAGGTGGGGAGGTCCTGTTTTTTGTGGGGCGTAGTAACAAGCTTGAAAGGCATAAGTGATCTTTTGGGAGTGGAATTAGTGGCTTTGTTTAGTGTTCTATACGCTTGCCAGCTGGTCTTTCTTTCTCGAGAGCTGTAAATTTCATTATTGATATAAATATGTATATTATGTATAATTGAAGATAGATCATCAACGATGAGCCAGCTCAAGTTGATGCAATAAGAGCCATGTTTGGCGGTATTTGATGCATTTCAATGTGGATAAGTCGGTGGTTTAAGAACAGGGATTTTGTGTGGCCTTTTTCCCCGCTTCATTTGAGCTATTCTATGGATTAAGCGCGGCAGTTTGTCAAGTGAAGTTATAGACGTCAAATGGGAAAGCAGAAATAGGTTGAAAAGCGGAGAACTCGAGGAAACTGCTCAAAAATGAGAGTGCAAACTACGCAAACTACGAACTCTTTTAGCCGGGGAAACAATGACTTGTAAGGGCGATTTAGAAGAAGTAAATTAATTGAAGGGTCCAGAGACATGCAAATTTGAATGGGATACGTTCGAAATTCATTTGTTCAACGTCATTGTGAACAACACAGTACGCAAAGGAAAGCGAATAACCGTCTCATTGCATTGTAGTTGAGGCCTCAATCCTGACTGACTGACTGACTGGACTGGACTGTAAACACGAACTTACTGACTACACGAGCACGAAGTTTTCAGCTGGAAAAAAAACCCGATCCAATTGCTACTTTGCAAAACGTACCGAACCAAGCATTCTTCCGCCAGACGCTCCGTGATCGAACGGATCGGTAACCGATAGAAAAACTTGGGAAAAGACAAGTCGGTCACGTGACTCAAAAAAGAACCCTACTCTCACAAGTTGACGGCCAATATTTCCACACTTTTCCAACTATTTTTTCTAAATTGCAATCGAGAGAGATACAGTTCAGCTTTAAAAGTTTCTATTTTTTCAAACCGTTTCGTGTTCCACGCCTTTGTTCAATTTTCATCACCGTTTCTTCAAACTAGCCTCTTTCAGCTACATTCTTTACCAAGAATTCACGAGACCACGAGATCTGACCTAAAAAAATGAATCTCGAAATTTGACGATCTCTCCCATAAGATGAATCGAAAAAAACCAGACAGGAAGCCGATTTACTAGCGTTTTATCTCATTTGGAGGCATTTGAACATTGCTAGACCGGGTTCATATCGATAAGACAGCTCGAAGCGGTTTCTTTGAGACTCTTAGGGCAGATCTGGCTCAAAAACTCGCATCGCTTTTCGAAACAGTATGTCATTGGACTTTAGCACCACGTTGAGACCCACCAAGACACTCGGGCTGGGTATTTGGGATGTACAGCTAGACAGACGAGACGAGTCCAGCTCGCAAAGTCAAAGTTTTAGGACTTCCACAGCGTCATCTACAGGCTCAGGTTGCGTTACCTGCTCAGGAACACCGGCATGTCCTGTGTGTGCTGAAGACGAACAATGTGCGCTTTCGCTGCAGCGATGCGACCAGTGTGCTCAAACGTACTGTGCAAAGAAAAACGGAGCGCTGGGGTCTGGTTCTAGTTCGTCGCCTTCGTCAAGTGCGGCAGTTGCAGGTGGATCCAGTTCCAAATCCTCTAATTCTGGGAAAGTCGGTGGAATCGTGGGTGGTGTGGTTGGTGGTGTAGGTCTGATCGTGGTGTTGTTATTGCTTTACCTGTACCTCAAGTTCTGGCGTAAAAATCGTACGCGCAACAAGGAGGTTCTGGTGGCCCACGAACATTACGGCGATGATTTCGAGGATGGCAGAGGCCCGTCTGGCAACTCTCGGTCCAACTCATACATTCAGGAGCGTGACTCTTTGTATCAGCCCCGAAACCGAAGTTCTGCTGCCACTCAAATCACTAAGGCCTCCAACATATTGCCTATTGCATACATCCCGGGTGTCACCGCTGGCGGTCGCAGCCAAAGTAAGCTACCGCCTTTACCACGCCATCTACTGCGTAACGGCGATACCAGGTCGCACATCACATTGGGCTCTTCTATATTAGGCGGTGACGATGACAACGATATCGAAGCAGACGGCTTAGCGAGCTCTCAAAGAGAACATGCCAATGAAAGCACCCCTGAAGGCTCAAGAGACGCCTTGACTACGGCAATTCGGGCCCGTCCAAAACTAGTGCAGATCAACGAGGAAGAGGACGAGGAGCCCGTTGAAAAGGAGACCGATTTTGGAGATCAAGAACATGTCTACAGAACGTCTGAAACACATCGCGAAAACGAAAAAGAACCTTGGATAACCACTGCAGTGGTCCCATCAAGCTGTGAAAGCTCTCGCCAAGAAGACACACATGGCGATGAGCATCGCGTCTCGAGCGAAGTTGGCGACGATGATGATGATGATGACGACGGAGACGATAGCGGTAGCTTCATTCTAGACGTGGGGATGGAATAGGCACCAGGAAAGGTAAAAGAAACATGAGCTCTGGTAGTTAGTATGTTTAAAGTTAAGTTTGGCAAAGAAACTAAAGCGACCGATCTAATCCGCACTTAGGGGTAACGCGCATTCATTTCGGACTGTACGCGTATGCGAGGATATATGGAGAAGTATAGCTTTTGGGAGCTTATGTGAATGAATCGTGCAGGCTGCTGAATTCCACAGTTATTGCTGTGTCTTTTGAATTGTGGTTAAATACTTGGTCGGACGTCCAATTTTGCAAATTCAAGTTTTCTCGAGCCGGTGATAGATAATGCAGTGGCGATAGCGGGAAGGAAGAGGTGCGACTGCAGGGGTAAGCTCTTAAAATACATTGAATATTAGGTCCGAGTAGATAATAAAAAAGTCTTTATTCCATCAACAATTAGACGCTTACAAGTAAATTTACAGACACAATGGTTATAGCGTGTCTCGATTACACTTCGACCTTGAGGTTTGAGAAAAGGTTGATACAAGTTTAAGTAGGATCGAGGAAAAACACTCGGTGATTACTCTTGTGATTTGTTGGTAAATAAAATATCAAGCAGTGACCAAAGTTTTTGGTGTGAATGCATAGGAACTATAATAAGGACTGCGTTTATATATAAAAGTGGTAAAGCGAGAACACGTACCTGACGTGGAGAATTGAAAGTTTAAGAAATATAAAGCTTGAGAGCATTAGTCCAAGTCAAGAGAAAAAGACGAGGGCCGGGAGATACTCACAGAACGGTTGATAGTGAAATGTCATCACTTTTAACTATACGTGTCGCGAGCATTCATCATCATGGTCACGTGCTATTATGCGCGGAAAATGTCATGATGACGTCATACGGATTCTCGAGGCAATGCAGAAAATCATACATCACTTTACACGTATGAGTCGTCTAGGGTCAGTTATAAAAATCATGTGATCTGTGATTTTTTACCACTTCCGTTTATTCTTTCTAGGGAATCTCGAACAATGCTGATGATTAATTTATCTCATGCTGAAATGGCTGAACACGGAAGCGCTGTCAAGAATTTGTGGAACGCGTGATTTCCTCAAACATTTAGATCACTAAGCTAGCGGTTCGCGTTCTGGACCCCGCTATAGAAGCTGAACTTGGTGCTAGATTTGTAACGAGATCAGTCATTATACACGAACAAAGTTCCAGATTATTAGCGAAGCCTATGGACGTGATGTGTCAAAGTCCCGGTAGCTTTCAAGTGCATTGGTAATAGAGCACTAATCCATGGGTCTCTAGAGCTTCTAGAATTACATGAATTTGAAGTAAAATACAGGTATAAACTCATGCGCCCTTACACCCCGACGCCCTTACACCCAAAAACCCACACATTCATACAGCTTTACACCCAGCCACCCACACATCCACACCGCTGTACATCTCTCCACCCTTACACCCACACGACTCTACACCTCTCCACCCACACACCCACACGACTCTACACCTCTCCACCCACACACCCACACAATCCTCGCCCCTCTTCCCAACAGACAGAGAAAAGCAATAATCCCACCAACAACCCATCTGCCACCCGTCAACAACGCCTGACCCACCACCTCTCACCGTAAAGAAAGGAAAGGAAAGAAAGAAGGAAAAAGAAAGTTAAAAAAAGGGCGGCGAAATTGCGTAGCGATTTGCAAAAACTCGAGCACGCCCAATCGTCCTTATCACGACTATAAAAGGCAGCACAAGAAAACGTTCGTTCCCAAATTGGAACACCCACATACTCTGATTAGATTTTAGATTTCCAACTTGATCTCAACTAAAGTCGAGACTTCTTTCCTGGTTTTTGTCATCTTCTCGAGAGATTGCAATCACATCAAAGAAGATACAAGTCATTCCCATATACACAAACACACACAACTCCCACATAGAAATGTCTCAGTTCACAGATATCGACAGACTTGCTATTTCCACAATTAGACTACTTTCGGTCGACCAAGTGGCCAAGGCCAACTCTGGTCACCCAGGTGCTCCATTGGGCTTGGCTCCTGCCGCTCACGTCATCTGGAAACAGATGAAGTTGAACCCAGAGCACCCTGAGTGGATCAACCGCGACCGTTTCGTGCTTTCCAACGGACACGCGTGTGCATTGTTGTACTCGATGTTGCATCTGTCCGGTTTCGACTTCAAGATCGAGGACCTCAAACAGTTCCGTCAATTGGGCTCCAAGTGTCCAGGTCACCCAGAATATGAGCTTCCAGGTGTCGAAGTTACCACGGGTCCTCTAGGCCAAGGTATCTCTAACGCTGTGGGTCTAGCTATTGCTCAGGCCAACTTTGCTGCTACTTACAACAAACCTGAATACGTCCTCAGCGACTCGTACACTTTCGCCTTTGTCGGTGACGGGTGTCTGCAAGAAGGTGTTGCCAGCGAAGCCAGCTCTTTGGCCGGTCACCTAAAACTAGGTAACTTGATTGCCATCTACGACGACAACCAGATCACCATCGACGGTAACACCAACGTCTCCTTCACTGAAGACGTTCCAAAGCGTTACGAAGCTTACGGATGGGAAGTTCTATATGTCGAGAACGGTAACGACGATCTAGACAGCATTGCCGCCTGCATCGCCCAGGCCAAGCAATCCAAGGACAAGCCAACCTTGATCAAGATGACCACCACCATCGGTTTCGGCTCCCTACAAGCTGGTAGCCACTCCGTCCACGGCTCTCCATTGAAGCCAGACGATGTCAAACAGCTAAAGACCAACATGGGCTTCGACCCTGAACAATCGTTCGTCGTTCCTCAAGAGGTTTACGACTTTTACAACAGCGACATCATCCAGCCAGGTATCAAACAGTTCAACGAATGGAACAAACTGCTAGAGAACTACGGCACCAAATACCCAGAACTTGCATCTGAAATCTCCAGAAGAATCGCCGGTGAATTGCCTCAGGACTGGGAAAAGGCTTTGCCTCTTTTCACTCCAAAGGACTCTCCAGTGGCCACCAGAAAGTTGTCCGAAATTGTTTTGCAGAACATTCAAGGCACTTTGCCAGAAATGATCGGTGGTTCTGCCGATTTGACCGGATCCAACTTGACCAGATGGAAGGAGGCCGTCGACTTCCAGCACCCATCTACCGGTTTGGGTGACTACGCCGGAAGATACATCAGATACGGTGTTAGAGAACACGGTATGTCTGCCATCATGAACGGTATCTCCGCATTTGGCGCCAACTACAAGGCCTACGGTGGTACTTTCCTAAACTTCGTTTCTTACGCCGCTGGTGCCGTTAGACTTTCCGCCTTGTCCGGCCACCCTGTCATTTGGGTCGCCACTCACGACTCCATCGGTCTAGGTGAAGACGGTCCAACCCATCAACCTATCGAGACTTTGGCTCACTTCAGAGCTTTGCCAAACATGCAAGTCTGGAGACCAGCTGACGGTAACGAAGTGTCTGCTGCCTACAAGGTTTCCCTAACCTCCAAGCACACTCCTTCCATCATTGCCTTGTCCAGACAGAACTTGCCTCATTTGGAAGGTTCCAGTCTAGAAAAGGCCTCCAAGGGTGGTTACGTTTTGCAAGATGTTGAAAACGCCGACATCACTTTGGTCTCGACTGGTTCTGAAGTTTCCATCACCGTCGATGCTGCTAAGAAATTGGCTGAGAAGAACATCAAGGCTCGTATTGTTTCCTTGCCTGACTTTTACACCTTTGACCAACAATCCGAGGAATACCAATTGTCTGTCTTCCCAGACGACATCCCTATCCTATCTATCGAAGTCTTGTCTACTTCTGGCTGGTCCAAGTATGCCCACGAATCCTTCGGTCTAGACAGATTCGGTGCCTCCGGTCCCGCTCCTGAGATTTACAAGACCTTTGAGTTCACCCCAGAAGGAATTTCTACTAGAGCCGAAAAGACTATTGCTTTCTACAAGAACAAGCAAGTCATCTCTCCCTTGCACAAGCCTTTCTAAATTATCTCACTGGTGATTTAGAACTCGTTTCCCGAGTAATGACGGCTGTATGCTGAAATGAGTAACGAGATAAACAATGACAAAGATTCACAATAAGAATGAGGATCAAGATTATACAATTGGGAAATCCAACTTAGTTTATAATATTATGTATAGATTTTAAATTTCTTATATTCCGATTAAAAGGTATTTGAAGTTTGCTTGTGACTTGATTTTTGGGTTAGTGCTGGCTGTATCGGTGGTGCAGTCAACTCAAGAAGATACCTGTAGAGCTCTATCAAACGCACTTTTTTGCATCTAAAACGTCAAGTTGATAAACTAAGTATCAAACGAAAACCACTACATCTAAAGTCATGACTCAAGATTCCATCTCGGTGGCTTTTGTTTGTCTAGGAAATATCTGTCGCTCTCCTATGGCTGAAGCTGTTTTTGCACACACTGTCAAACAGAGCGGTTTACAGGACAGATTGTCAAAGATTGATTCTTTCGGAACCGGTGGATGGCATAAGGGAGAATCTCCAGATCCGCGCTCAGCAGCTACATGTCGCAAACATGGTGTCCCTGTGAATCATCGTGCTCAACAGATTCGGGGCCACCATTTTGATGACTTTGACTACATCATTTGCATGGACGAAATGAACCTAAGAAACCTGAAAAGAATGAAACCCAGCGACTCTAAAGCCAAACTTTACATGTTTGGGCACTGGAATACCGATGGAAAGTATAGAGATATTGTCGACGATCCCTACTACGGTGGAGACGACGGTTTTGAGTACAACTTCCAGCAAATTCAGTATTTTAGTGAACAGTTTTTGAAGCAAGAATTGTGAACCAGTGATGAAGTGTCAGCTACTTTTCTCTAACAATATAGATATACAAGAGGAATTGGTCTTTAGAAGTTCAACTCAGTAAGATCAACTACCATTATTTTAAGCGATTTAGATAATCCTCTGAAAGTAATGCAACTTTAAAATGCTATGAATTAAATTACAAGAATCCTATATCCTTTCAAATTCTTCTTCTCGATAAACGAAATCAGCACCACAGCGTCTTGCGAGCCAAGATTTTTGATAGTCGAAATATCTCCAAGAAATCTCCTCGGACTGCTCCATGCCCGGTGGAAGTTTCTCCACCTCTTTGTAAAACCAGCAACGATTGAGCTTGTTGAATTGCCATCCTCTTATGGTGAGTTCGCGAGCAGCCAAGAACTGTTCGTAGGTTCCCTGATAATGGTAGAATATGAAGAATAAGGTATCCAAGTCGAACTTCGACATGATGCGTCCCATCGAAGTTCGCGAATAAATGTCGTTGTGTTTCTGATGATTTTTCGAGGGGTCTACCGGATCATTAGAGACCAATCGAATGGTTTCATTAGGAAAAAATATGGAGGTCGGGTGAGGCAACGATAATGGAGTCTGATAGAGTTTAGGAGTATCAGCGTCGAGCGAATCGGGACAGTTCAAAAGTGAGGATTCCAATTGAGCGGCCATTTCTGCAGGCATTGTATCATGGGGTTGCAGAAGCGTACGCTTGGTTTCAAGCCAGTAATCCAGACCGGGACGAAATAGTGGATTCTGCAAAGCCGAGTATTCGGCTCTATCTTGAGCCAAAATGTCTTCAATTTCCTTGGAAATGTCTTTCGACGGCCGAGGCATAGGCGTTCCAGCTTCTTGTCGACGAAGTTGATCCTGTCCTTGTTTTTGGTCTGAGAAAAGTGCAGAATCAGTTTGTTGAACCGGGGTCTCTATGCGCTCTTGATGCTGCCGTTGATCTTTTTTAACAGGCGAAAACGCCAAATTCGTTGAGGAAATGCTTGGCGAGGCAGCCACAATGCCCGATTTTTCATTAACTGATTCGGTTGTCGAAAGCAGTGCAGCAGGCGCAGACGATTCTTTTTTCTTTGGCGATCTTTCGGCTCTAGGGACTCTTGCTGCTTTTGACGGGGTCTCCGCATCTTTAGTCTCTTCACCAGGCTGAATTTCACACCCGATATCCTCATATATCGTATCGTATTCTATGAAATCAGGATCATCATTATTTTCCACGTAGTATTGAATGTCATCCTGATATTCTTCAACGGTGTCTGGTTCCAATTCATTATTCTGCAACTGCTTCAAAATGTTTTCCAGGTTAGATACGTGAAAGATATGACGCTCACACTGATGTTCATTGTCTTGTGCTTCAAACTGCTCCAATTGTTTTTGCAGTTCTTCGAGACAATCCTGAATGAATAAAAATTGGTCCCGTTTTTTGAGTTCGCGAGGCTCCTTGATGATGTCGGGATTTGTGAGTGCTTCAGTGGAGAATTGTTTGGTCTTCATAAGCTTTTCCACCTGTTTAAACCTTTCCATGCCCGATTCTATCAAACGTCGGTTTTCCATTAGCACTTGTTGCTTATCTTTGACGTCTTCTTTGCTCAACCAAGTCTTAATCTGATCCCGATGCTTTTGTAGCTTCTTAGTCTCCCGTTTCAGATCGCTTTCCAGCTTTTCCCGGTAAGACGTATTGGAAGGGTCTGTACTTTGGAACTTATCGTATACATCTTCAAAATCTTGCAATCCTTCTTTCACTTTTTTCAGAAGTTTGTCGATATCCTGTTGTAGCTTTCGCTGTGACATTCTCTAATCCTTACAGCCCGATAAGAGCCTTCAAATGTGGATAAAGTTTCGAATGTTTAACCAGGTTTGTTATTTCAAGTTCATCGAATAAGTTCAATTTAGCTTGATGCTATTATGCTTTTAGTACAAAGTGATGAGGGTATAGCTAGACCGTCAAAGTTCTTCGATCTTGGCCATCAGAATCGTCTAATGATGCGAATTGTGCCCAGCGGCTCAATTGATTCCAAGTTCTGATATCAGGATTCTTCAACTTGACTTTAAGCAAACCATCGTTTCTGAAAGACGTCTGTTGGTCGAAATACAATCTAATGACGCAAGACGGTCAATTAAAGACAGATTGGACATCTTGGCTCCGAAATTAAGCGACGAGAGTCGAGGATCAGTAGCGCTGGACATTATACATTGTCTGCTGATGTCCACTTTGTCTCTGTCCTATCGAAAACTCGTGAATCTGGAAGGAAATGGTTTTTTGCCGGCACCGGTCGCGATCACAGACCGTTCTTTAACGTACACCGCTGTTTTGAGCTTGATCTCCGAACCCCAGTTGCATATGTCGCAGGGTCCATTCGTAGACTCCAATGCTGACAACCGTGCTGGGCACGCTTTTCATGAGACCCAAGGTGAATCCTCGGTATAGGGCTTGGAAACCTTCTCTTTCAATCACTTTCCGCGCCAATTGAGTGAAACTCTTACCCTTATATTCGTTGTAGGCGTGGTTGTGTTGACTAAGGTATTCGAGATGCTTGGCATTTACAACCTGAATTCTTTTCCTCACCGTATCGATAGGGAAAACCAGCGTTTTTGACACCAGGCCCGCCATAACGCTTGCAGATGACTCCAGAAGCTTGACAGGACCAGAATCTCTATATGGGCTCTGCTCACAGAATATCTTGATCGTTTCGTAAGTTGCAAAAATGGACGAAGAGGCAATGCTTATTGACACTACGGAAGACGAAACACCTTTGAAAAACCCACCCACGCCCTCGTGGTACCAGATTTCGCTGGCGGTGCCAAGCATTGTGGCTAAAGCCTTCTCATGGTTGGCAACAAAACGGGTTCGCAGGACATCGAACGGATATGACATTACCGCGCTGCAGCTGCCAGCTAGAGCACCAACAACACAGCTATGGAATTGAGCAGGCCAGTGGTTACCTGCCAGGGCCTTATTGAGAGTTGAAAAAGCGCTAAATTGCGTCGAACCGTACAGCAGATACATTGCAGCAGCTGGCACATTTCCTTTCCACAGAGCACGGGTTCCTTCTTCACGAATGATTGATCGTACCACAGATATAATACCTCTCTGTGACGAATTGTCGATCAAATGCAGTTGAAGCCTTATTTTAACCGTATCTAGTGGTGCTGTGATAAATCTTGCACTTAGCCCAGAGACACATCCAGCTAGTAAAGACCACTGGAAAGGAACTTCCTGGCCTTTTCGCAGATAGTCTTCTTTCATAGATCAAACAACTGGAGCTGTAGAAGTTCAAAGCGGTGTTTCCAGAGCATCAAAGAGCCTCTTGTTGATACATGTAGAGCTGTGGTTTTTCATTCGATGAGATCAGTAATTTAAATCAATAAACCAGTTCACTCTGATAGTTGCCAAATTGTTAAAAGAACAGCAAGCCTGTAGCGGAAGGTTGGTTGTAGACTTGTTCAAGCACTGCTAAACACTTCTTGAGGTGTTTGGAAATGGGCGGGTCTTTTTTTGGATACCTGGGAGCTTCCATAGATCAAAAATTTTGGGATGACACACTAGCAGAAACCTACAGAAATTGATTTTAAAACGGGTCGCTTTAATGTGCTCTAAACAGCTTAGACAACTCATCATTGACCTCAAACGATTTCAAAAGCTTGTGTCTGTTAGATGGGGCTTGAAGTCAACTACAATGAATGCTCTAAATTTTGGCGGGCTGGTGGACTACTATTTTTTCGACGGATGCAAGAAATGGTGAGTTGAAAGTACACTGAAGCCCTTGGTTTTCGATGAACCTATTTTTGATTCAAAATCTAATCTACAACTCATGTCCACTAGGTAAAGAGACTTGTCTACAAAATGCCGGAATATCGAAAATTGCATGGTTTTGTCGAGATCATTTCGCGAACAAAGGCTACTTTCGAGATCGACGCTAAAGCAAAAGCCAACACACGATCTCTCAGTTACTAATATGTTTCTTTTATTCGGAACTGGAGTGAATTTTCATAATGAGATTTTGGAAAGGACTGACGTTATATTCAATATTTGAAAGTTATGTCGCTGAAACCCTTAAAAAAGGCATAAAAACCTCCTTATTGCAGTGCGGTCCTTGCTACTCCCTTTCGCCTACATTTGCTGCTTGTCGTTGCCCAAACGTGAGGAATGTCCTACTATCTGGTAGCGCGATCTTCATCCGCCTCTCTATTCGTTTCTCTACTCGAACGACTAGACAGTTATAAACAAATTTAACTTGAGATGCAATGGAAGGACAACTTTAACATACTCCAGACAGATCTACAAGGCATGCTTTCAGCTCAAACAGGTGTTCTGGAGCAAGTTGATGGCTCGTGCAAGCTCAAATGCGGTGAAACTACCGTTTTATGCTCTGTCACGGGGCCCATAGAGCCCAAGGCCCGACAAGAATTGCCAGCGCAACTGGCATTGGAAGTAATCGTTCGACCTTGTCGAGGCGTTCCAACCACTAGAGAAAAGTTGATAGAGGACCAAATTCGTGGCGTTGTAACTCCCGTATTGGCGAGATACTTATATCCAAGACAGCTAGCTCAGGTGTGTTTCCAGATTTTAGAAAGTGGAGAGCCTGAAGAAAGTTTCAGTGTTAAAGAGTTGAGTGCCTGTATAAACGCTGTTTTCCTAGCCATAGTGGATGCAGGAATCGGCCTGCAATATTCTTTCGCCAGCGTGGTTTTGTCCGCCGACAAGAGTGGTAAAATTCACACAAACCCAGCACAAGCAGATTTGACCAAATCCCAATCGACACATATCCTAGCATTATTACTCGGGGAAGGTGCCAAGAAAGTGGAAAATGTGCTTTTATTTGAAAGCTACGGCGATTTCACAGAGGATACTATGCTTCAAGTACTGCAATCTGGAGAAAAAAGCTGTGTCGAGACTGCCCAAGAGTTGCGCAAAGTTGTCTACCATAAGGTTCAGCAAGATTTTGTCTGGCGATAGATACGTGAAACGGACACGAATACAACTGCATAAAACAAAAACGATGTACATTAGTAACTACAAGTATTTGACCTACATTCAAGTCATGGTATCAAAACATCTTCTATAATTTCAAACGCTCGAGGTTGGCAATAGTGGCTTCGAAACCTTCAATTTCAGCTAGAGTGTTCTGAAGTCTCGTGTTGTTGGTGGCCTTTGCTTGTTCATTGGCCTTTGCTTCGTAATCAGAGCTGTTTATGGTCTTGTTGATGTTTTCCTTAGCCTTCTGAGCTTTTTCAAGCTTGCCTTGGGTCTTCAGAATCTCGGCATCGATGTCTACATGACCTTTTACCAGGACATGGACATTGATCTCAGGAGTAACAGCTTGCAAAACAGCACCCTCAGGGATTTCAGAAGAAGTCTTGACAACATTGACTTCATCAATAGCCTTAATCAGAGAAACGATAGAATCCTTTTGCTGAAGAGCTGTTTCCAAAAACTCGACATTGGAAGATTCGATGAATACCTTACCGTTCTTCAAGATTCCGTACTGGGCTAGGAGCGAACGCGCTTCTTTGATTGCATCCAAAATCAGCTCGTATTCTCTACCAGCTTTCTCGTTGTCGTAGTCCTTTCTGTAAACTGGGTAGGACGCCTTCACGATGGTAGGAGAAGTCTCAGAAGCACGTTTTGGTAGACGCTGCCACATTTCCTCGGAGATGAAAGGCATGAATGGGTGGATTAGCTTCAAAGCATTGTCGATCAAAGTGTAAAGTGTATCCTTGGCAGATTTCTGTTCCAATTCGGTACCTTCAGTTATCAGGTATTTGGAGTTTTCAATGTAAACATCACAAATCAAATACCAGAATTCGTAGATACCACTTGTAGAATTGAGGAAATCGCGCTTCTCAAGAGCCTCGTTCACAGATTTAGCGTAGTGAGTCATCTTGTTGAGAATCCATTTCTCAACCAAGGATTCCTGTCCGGAAAGTTTCTCCTCAGCTGGTGGTTGATAGTCATCACCTAGACGAATTAAAGCAAATTTAGTAGCTTGGTATATCTTGTTGCAGAACTTTCTGTAGCCTTCAACACGCATGATGTCGAGGTTAATATCACGACCACCAGTGGTGTAAGCACAGAGGGCAAATCTGAGCGCATCAGTACCACACTGAGGAATACCATTTGGATAAGACTCCCTTTGACCATTCTTTGCCTTTTCGATCTCTCTTGGATCTAGGTTACCGGAGAGTAGCTTAGCGTGCAAGTCCTCCAATTTGATACCTGTGACAACGTCAAGAGGATCAATAACGTTACCCAGAGATTTCGACATTTTACGACCTTGAGCGTCGCGGACCAGAGAATGACAGAAAACTTCTTTGAATGGGATTTCGCCCGTCAATTTCAAGCCTAGCAAAATCATTCTAGAAACCCAGAAAAAGAGGATGTCCCAACCAGTTTCTAGCATAGAGAAAGGGTAAAACTTCGATAGGTCAGCGGTCTTATCTGGCCAGCCTAGAGTGGAAAATGGCCATAGACCAGACGAAAACCATGTGTCTAGAACGTCTTCATCCTGCTTCAAAGTGTATTTCACGTTAGGGAACTTCTTAGCAGCCTTTTCTTCAGCCTCTTCAAGAGTTCTACCCGAGATCCAATACTCATCGTCCAGACCATCATGTTCTTCACCTTCAATCTCAACGAAGTAAACAGGACAACGGTGACCCCACCAAAGCTGTCTCGAAATACACCAATCCTGGATGTTCTCGAGCCAGTGAAAGTATTCGGACTCCGAGGACTTGGGAGTGATTGTAATTCTGCCGTCTTTGACAGCCTTGATGGCTTCCTTTGCCATGTCGCTTTGAGAAACCCACCATTGTGGTTTCAACAAGGGCTCAATAACATCACCAGATCTAGAACATGTTGGAATAGTCATTTCATTGTCTTCTTGTCCAATGTATAGACCTTTTGCTTTCAAAGATTCAATGACCTTCGATCTGGCATCAAATCTCTTCATTCCGGTCCATTCCGAACCACACTCTTCGTTCAATAAACCTGAATCAGTCAAAATATTGATGAACTCCAGGTTGTGACGCTTACCAGTGTTGTAATCATTCTGGTCATGAGCTGGTGTGATCTTAACAGCACCGGTACCGAAAGTCATGTCTACAGCTTCGCTGTCACACACAATTGGAATCTTTCTGTCAACAAAAGGATGCTGAACGAACTTTCCGTGCAGATGCTTGTAGCGAGGATCTTCTGGGTGAACCGCGACACCAGTGTCACCAAAGATTGTCTCGGGTCTGGTAGTGGCAACGATCAATTTTTCTTCTGAGTCCACGACAGGGTATGCAAACGACGTCAAAACACCGAATTCAACTTTTTCGTCATAGCCGGGAACTGACAGCATGGTCTTTGCTTTGATGTCCTTATTCTCCACTTCCAAGTTTGAAATAGCAGTATTCAGCTTGACGGACCAGTTGACCAATCTTGAAGCACGGTAAATGACACCTTCTTCATGCAGTTTGACGAAAGCCTCTGTTACCGACTTGGTCAATTCGGGACTCAAGGTGAAAGCTTCACGCGACCAGTCATAGGATGATCCCAATTTGTTGATCTGGTTCTTGATTTTTTTGTGGTATTCCTCTTTCCACTCCCAAATTTTGCCGACAAAGGCCTCTCTGCCGTAATCGTGCCTGGTTTTCTGTTCCTTGGCCCACACCTGCTTTTCGACAACTGATTGTGTTGCGATACCTGCGTGGTCAAAACCTGGCAAGAACAACACGGTTTTGCCCTTCATTCTGTTGTATCTGATCAAAGAGTCTTGAATTGCGATGGTGAGACCGTGTCCAATGTGGAGAGCACCGGTGACATTAGGTGGAGGAGCTGGAATGCTAAAAACGCCCTCTGGCTTGATTTGACCATCTTTGGTGAACTCAGGCTCGAAGAACCCGGACTTGACCCACCAGTCGTACCAAGAGCTTTCGACGTTAATGGGGTTGTATGCCTTCAAAGCTGGGTCGTCAAGCGACACCAGAATCTTTTTTTCGCCTGGAACGGTTTTGTCAACGAAGTCTGGAATGACTTCCACTTCCTTCTTTTTCTTTTCCTTCTTGGGCGCACTGCTCTGCTTGCTGGCTGCCTCGGTTTTCTTGGCTTGTTTCGCGGCAAATTTTAGCAATTTCTCCGCTTTCTTGCGCTCCTTTTCGATCTCTTTGGCGCTCTTCTCGCTACCATCTTCCTTCAAAGGATTGATGATGATTTCCCCCGTCTTGGGGTCAACCAAAGGCAGTTGTTGGTCGGTACTCATAGCTCTAATTTTTGAACTGTACAGGCGTTGACCTAGCGTATTTCTAGCTCTGAAAGTATGTCCTGGGTAAAATGAACGTGCTGGAAACGAAAACAGTGGTCTTGGGATCTGAATCAGGCTCCTTAGCATGTACCTGTGGCACACTTGTACTAAATGTTTGAGCTGATAAGTAGGATCTGTCGAAGCAGCATGACTATAGGTTGTGGGAAATGACTGAAAGAAAGTTTGGTTTCGTCTTTGATGATCATCAAATTTTTTTTGATTGAGTCTTCTCAAAACGGAATATAATTTACCGATTAGGATATGATACTTCCAAAAAAGGAAGCCACTCGAGGAACTACCCTTTGTGGCGTCTTTTACCTCCATACGGCAAGAGAAAAATGAGTAGAGTTATGGGTAGACTTTTTCGACTCGAAAAGATCACGTGCTTAAATAACTGAAAAATTTATTACAGTAAGATGCTCATCGCATCTCATCTCATCTCATCTCATCTCATCTCATCTCATCGCATTACAGGATACATTCGATTCAGCTACAAAGCTTAACCATACAATTGTTGAGCCGATTAGCTCGATTGCTGTGCACACCCTTTCGAGCTCTTATCCTTCACCAATGTCAAGAACTATTGTCAAAGGGCTTCCGAAGTATCTGGATGAAGAAAATCTAAAGAAACACTTCTTCAAGCGTTTGAAGCAAATTCACCCAAATGAAGATGTATCAGAGTTCATCACGGACGTCAAAATCATGAAGAATAGGGCCGGCGAGTCACGTAGGTTTGCTTTTGTTGGGTACCGTCACGAAGCAGACGCGTTTGACGCTGTGCAGTACTTCGACGGGTCATTCATCGACACTTCAAAGATCGAGATTACAATGGCCAAGAGTTTTGCTGATCCTAGAGTACCACAGCCGATGCGAGAAAAAAGGCGAGAAGCTTTGAAAAGAGTGCGCGAGCATGAAGATCAGCTCATTGAAGAACAAAACAGCAAGAAACAGACGAAACCACAAGCCCGTTCTGGAGCCACAGCGAACATCGATGCAGAAATTCATAGAAACAAACAGTTGCAAGAGTTCATGGATACGATGAAGCCCAGCTCCCAGGTTGCTTCCTGGGATAATCTGGGGGGCGCAGCGGCGTCCAATGAAGCACAGCAGAATCAGCAAGAAGTCGGGTCTGGGGCCCCTCAAGGAAACTCCCTGCTGGCTCAGGCTCTAGCTCTGAAGTCAGAAGATGTGAATGATGCAGATGACGCAGGATTTTGGGATAAGCAGAAACCCTCTTCAATCTCTAAAAACGAAAGTGACGATGAATACGTTGATCTCGGCAACACCGGAGCCGACCAGAATGAGGAGACTGAGGAATCTGAACAGATGATGAAGTTAGACGACTTAAAAGAAGCCCCAGACTCTACCTTTGCCCAAGATCAGGAAGTTTCGGACCTCGACTGGCTCAAGCAACGCCGTATCAGGATCAAAGAACGTACGGAAGAAGACAATACCGATCTTCGACGCACACCGGAGCATCAAGAAAGCGAACCCGCAGTTTCGGAGGCCCCGGAAATAGAACAACAAGAAGAGCCCGTGGATGACACAACGGAAGAAGAGAAAATTATTGGAAAAATCAAGAGAACCGGTCGTTTGTTTCTGCGAAACATTCTCTACACAGCCAAAGAATCAGAGTTCAGAGAACTTTTCTCTCCATTTGGCGAGTTGGAAGAAGTGCATGTTGCGTTGGATACAAGAACTGGTAAGTCTAAAGGGTTTGCCTACGTGAAGTTTCAAAACCCAGATGATGCCGTCACAGCATATGTTGAACTAGATAAAAATATCTTCCAGGGACGACTTCTGCATATTCTGCCAGCAGATGAGAAAAAGTCTCATAGGTTGGACGAGTTCGATCTCAAGAATCTTCCTCTGAAAAAACAAAGAGCCCTTAAACGTAAAGCCAATGCCTCTCAAGATGCTTTCTCGTGGAACTCACTTTTCATGAGCCAGGATGCTGTATTGAGCAGTGTCGCGTCTAAGCTAGGAGTTCAAAAATCGGAACTCATTGACGCAACAGAATCTGGTGCTGCTGTCAAACAAGCACTCGCCGAAGCGCATGTCATTGGCGATGTTAGAAAATACTTTGAGTCCAAGGGTATGGATCTTGCTAACTTCGCACAGTTCAAGTCACCAGCAGATCGTGATGATAGAATACTCTTAGTGAAGAATTTCCCATTTGGTACCACCAAGGCTGAATTGGCCGACTTATTCCTACCGTTTGGCAAACTTGAAAGACTTCTGATGCCACCGGCCCAAACGATTGCTGTTGTGCAGTACAGAGACGCCACTGCTGCTAGAAGCGCATTTGGCAAGCTATCGTTCAAGCGGTTCAAGGATGGAATTTTGTACTTGGAAAAGGGTCCAAAGAACTGCTTCAACAGAAAACCAGTTGGCGATGAGATAGTAGACGAAGCTGATGTAGACCAAGATGCCAATGCTAAGGAAGCAAAGGCCACTGCAGAAGATGTGATGAATGTCGGTACTAAGGCCGCAGTTGAAGAAGACGCGGCCGATGACGTGTTCGATGGTCCCACAGTCTCTATTTTTGTCAAGAACTTGAACTTCTCTACCACTAGCGCTCAATTGACAGAGAAATTCAACACCTTTGGTGGTTTTATTCTTGCTCAAGTGAAAACTAAGCCTGATACCAGAAATAGCGGAAAAACACTATCCATGGGGTTTGGCTTTGTCGAGTTCAAGACAAAAGAACAAGCTATAGCTGTTATCAACGCCTTAGATGGATCGGTTTTGGATGGCCACAGGATTCAGTTGAAGCTATCTCATCGCCAAGGTACCGCCGCATCCGGAGCAACGAAGTCGAAGAAGAAGGCAAGTGGTAAGATTATTGTTAAAAACTTGCCATTCGAAGCTGAGCGTAAGCAGATTTTCGAGCTGTTCAGCTCTTTTGGCCAACTAAAGTCGGTCAGAGTGCCCAAGAAATTCGACAAGTCTGCAAGAGGTTTTGCCTTTGTTGAGTTCCTTTTGCCTAAAGAAGCTGAGAATGCAATGGAGCAATTGCAAGGTGTGCATTTGTTGGGACGCCGTCTAGTTATGCAACCTGCTGAAGAAGAACCACAGGACGCAGAGGAGCAAATAGCGAGAATGACCAGAAAGGTGAAGTCGCAAGTCATGACGCAGGAAAATGCTGCGCTGAGAAATGGTGGCCGCAGAAAATTGGATCTGGGCGAAGACGAAGAGGATGCCAACGACGGGTTGAACGGAGTGTAAATTTAGATAATTTAAGGAAACTTTGTTACAATGGAAAACATCTGAGTCATGTTAAGGCTCGAAACTTTTAAAGTGTGTCTGGAATGCTTTAACCTCACTATCCTCCTCTTCGATAGATTGGTGACAAGCAGGCGAGTCCCACTTCGCTCTTTTTGGTAGGTTCAGAACAAATGCAAGTACACGTCTGCCGAACTGTAGATCAATTCTTTCTTCTGGCTTGAAGGTTGCGACAAACGTTTTAGACGACTCTGGTCCTTTCTCGAAAATCGTAAACTGGATATAGTTGTTATTCGAATCGTTCACAATTGATTTATAGTCTAGATCGTTCAAGTCAGTGAAGGTCTGAAATTTCAACTTGGCGTTATGATCGTATTTTGTATTGTTGAAGTGGACTTGTCTGTCGAGAGCCGATTCAAATTTCGCTATCAGGTATGACGGAATGGGGAACAGCTGAATGTGGTAGTGAATTGATCTTTGGGAATTGATCTCAAAGGCGACTGTAGACATCGAAAACTTTTCGTAGTTCATAGCACTGACACTAGCTTCATACCTTTCGATCTCTTTGAATAGTGGAGTCTCGAAAACGTCACTTTGTAAGTCTTCTTGTGGTTTCAACTTTGGGATATGCTTTATGGCAATGAGCAAACAATGCCCCGAGAAGTTCATCTGAGCAGTGGGAACGGTCAATGGGCCCTTAGCTATGGTCAAATAAGCATGATCGCTTATATGAATTATCAAATGATCTTGGACTGTGGGGTTGCTCAGGCAAAACCTGCAATCTTGTGGTAAGATCTGCTTCGGCTTCTTTGTCAATGCATAATCTGATGTACCTTCGGACTCAAATTCACGCTTGGAGGATGTGCTTTTTTCATATGGATTAGCGGCAAATGATTTTGTTGCAGAATCGTTACGGGCTGATGTGGAATCAACACTGAATGCATAAGCCCATTTAGCACCAGAGTTGTATTCAGCGAGATTGAGGCATCTGGTGGTTTTTTCGGAATCCCCCCATTTGAATGGGCTTGCTTCCTGGAACTTGTTTTTGGCTAGAGTCGCAAAATGATATTTGGGTTTTAGCAGTTTGACAGCCTCATCTTCCAACGTATCTTCTCCCAAGCTTTCGTCTTTACTTAGATAATGACCTCTGCTCCAGCCATCAGTGATCAGGATATCCACATCTTTCGCCGCTGCATTCTTGAAAAGTGTACGAATCTCTTCTTGATTTTTGAGAAGATAGTCCTTGTCACCGCTCAGATATGCAATTCTCAGATCATTGGTAGTTTGAAGTACGCCGTATCCATTCAGAAGCGTTAGATTATGATTCATCGAACTGGTGCCATGCTTCTCAACCAACAAATTCGACCCATTGGTGAAAAACACTGGAAGTTGTGGGCAAGGAGCATCTTGAATAGATTCAAATATGTGGCCAAGAATGATGGCACAGTCAAAAGGACCTGACTTTGTATTTAAAGCTTCAGCTTTAGTCAAGACCTCAGTCACAGTTTGAACATTGGCACGAAGCACCAAGCTGAGTAAGGTTAGTATAACGCTGTGCTACCCGCTAATCTATAAAACACACAACCTTGACATACATTTTAGACATTCTGAAAACTCAAGTTTAATTCTAGCAACTCAACCTTTAAGAGATCTTCGAAACTTGGCCAACTTTAGTATTCATCAGTGAAATCCTGATCAGACTGAACAAGCTGGTCGCTTGTAACGTATGAACATTTGAATAGACATGGCATACGCACTTCAAGCCAATCCTTCCCGAGCTTGTAACCTAACATATCTTTTACTATCAAAAACTATAATCCGACCCATGATGGCCTTTCTTTCCCTCCATGAATGTCATCTGGCTCCCTTCCTGCGCGCGCGAAACTCGCAATTAGTAAAAAGTGGCAAAGGGATCAGCCTGCTCAGAACCACCATATATAATGCCCGTAGAGCCGTTTTTACTCTTCTTATGCCTGTACGTGAACCCGACCAGTTTCGAAACCACATCTGAATCATCCATCATGGCAGTCAATTTATCTTGGCGCTTGAAGACGTCTGCGTATTTGGCCATGTCGGCCTCACTGCTGAAATCGTCAAAATAACCAGCATCTGTTTCGTTGTCGAGCTGAGGAATAAACGGTGGACTGATGTTTCTGAGATTCTCAAAACTCATTTCGGCGAAATACTTCATTCTCTTCACATGCTCGAAAGACCGGAGCCTACTGATCGGGTCTGCAATGAGTCTGATGATTAGATCCCACGTCCTATCTGAAAAAGCGTAGCGGCCGTTGTCGCATCTGGGTCTTTTCAATACCTGTTTCCAGCATCTCAAGTTTTCGTAAGTTTGGTTGGATGACGAACCGCTGAAAGGAGTGTAACCAACCAGACTTTCAAATAAAATGCAACCAAGAGACCAATAATCAACCGTAAAGTCATAGTTTTTGGCCTCAAGAACCTCCAATGCCATGTAGTCCGGTGAGCCGACCGTCGACGAGGCATAGTTGACGTCCTCTGCTCTCAATTTCTTGTACATTTGCCTCCGATCATTCATGGACTTTTCCTCAAACTTTGGGAAGTCTAGGGTCTTGACCTCTTCTAACCTGATTTTCATACTCTCGATCCTCTCCATTGACACAGTTCCTGCGGCTAAACCGAAATCCGTCAGTTTGATGTGCCCTCGAGAGTCAATCAAAAAGTTTTCTGGTTTTAGATCCCTATGAGTGTAGCCCAGCTGATGCAAAGCATCTACAGCGCAAAACATCTCGCTGATATAGAACCTGGCGTGGGGCGCTTGCAAAAACCTTGTGTTTATTAGCAAAGTCCGGTAATCTCCTCCAGGAACAAATTCCATTGCCAAATAAAGGCTTGCTGGATCTTGAAAAGCATACAGTAGCTTAACAAGCCATTCAGATCTAGTTGTGGTCAAAATATCTCTCTCGGTCAAGACATGATTTGTTTCGTTGAGCTTAACAAGCAATTTTTTATTCAGAATCTTCAAGGCACAGATCTCCCGGGTATCACGCTTTCTGGCCAAGTACACCTGGCCATACCCACCCTGGCCAACTTGTGTTATCATCTCAAAATCCTTATTCTTGGGCTTCAATCTTCTATTTCTTAAAATTCCTGTCTCTTTTTGCACATAAGAATACCATTCCTTGGTCAATTCCCCACCATCTGTGCCCTGGACTCTTTGCTGCTCCAGATATTTCATAACCTGTCTAGCACGCTCTCTTCTGCTGATCACGTAGTCGAACATGTCACAATAGTAATCCAAGAAATACATCTGACAGACGTTTACCAATCGTTTAGTATTATTGGACGAAGCCTTGCGATGGAAGTCCAAGGGTAATTTTTTGGGAGATTGCGTGTAATCAACCTGAGCACTCGAAACTCCTTCGTCTACATCCATCATCGATACTCGAGAGGTGTTTGCTCCGTTCACAGATTTCGTGGGCGAAGGAGTTCCATATTCGCCACGATGTCTAGACGGTGTGCTTGGTTCGAAGTCAAACTTGGAGGGCGTTTCTAGAGAAGCATCAAAACTCAGATGTCCTATATTATCCGTAAGTGCTTCGATATCACGATGCCGTCCGTATCCGGTCCCTGCTCTGGAATACATTGAATTCAATGAGAAGGTGAAAGTTTGCGTGCTGAAAGAGAATCACACAAGTAAAGGGCAAGCGTTCTCAGCGTCTCAGTCCTGAAAATGTTTAAGCTTGTACCGAGAATCCTTGAAACTGGAAGCGCAAGCTTGCTAGCTATCCTGGATCACCAATTTATTCATTCTGCGTGTTTATCTTTTACCGTTATGGGCCGACTTGATCACGAGACTGTACTCGGGTGTACTCTTGGTCGTTATGTGGAAACCGGAAACTGACGCCTGGCGACTGACCTGAGCTGTCTATGAGCGTCAGTATTAACTCGTTTGATCCTTGGAATTATGCATAAACTTAGAGTACCATTCATTGGTGCTTTTTTGACTTTTTTGGTGCTGCGTTTCCCCATTGACCTGAGGTTCGTTTCTTGTTATTTTCAAGACATCAGCCTGCTCATCATTTGTTGAGAGAAAGTTGTTCGTTTCAGTTTCTGCTGCGGCAAGTCTTTTCTGCATAGGCGCTCTGAGTTTTGCAGTTCTTTTCGTTGCCACGGATCTCGAAGCACGCAGTGAGCCCGCCATCCCCATTCCAATTTCCTCGCCATAAACATCGACCACCGTAGATTCTTGCTTACCAAACTCCATTCGGTTTTGTAGCTGTCTAGCATGAGAGAGTTGAAACTGCTCCTTGTATTTGCGAAACCTGCGACCAGCACGCTTTTTTTAGGTTTGTCTTCTGGAATGGGCAAAGCCTTAACGTTACTGATATTTGGAGGCTCCTGAATATTCTGTAGCTTGTGTAAAATGTCTTTTCGAAATTTCAATCCGAGGCTAGCGTCGGGAGTCGATTTGGACAAGTCTACACGCGCGGCAAGCGAAACTTTGGCACACGTCATCTTGAGAGCTTGATTTCTCACCGCAACCGGTTGTTCTGACACCAACGCACAGTGGTACACAAATCCTTTTTGCCTTACCCCACTCTGGTCAACTATTTGTTCGTGACTGGAGTATTTACTCTTACCCATGGATGGAATATTGCAACTAGGAATGATGCTCAATTCTTGAATACCCCCGGCTGCAGCTATCAGTGCTGCAGCTGTTTCTGATCCCACAAGCGCTGATAGATTTGGAGCAACTTGGGAAATCAGGGAGGTTACAAAAGTTTTCATTTTCCGCTTCAGATCGCAAAGCGCTAATATGAGTTCAATGCAAAGTGTGAGCATGCGCAACTTCTCGCCAGTTGGTGATTTCTCTTTGTTGTAACCCGTTTGTATTGCCATCGATAAAACCAAAGTCTGTTCGCGATCCACCACGTCTTGGAAAATCGAAATGTCAGGAGAGCCCTTTGATTGCTGTAACAGCTGGACGACACGAGCATACTGTTCGCCAGTTGTGACAATCGACTGCAATTCGGGGAAAGCCTCCTCATAGACCCCCTTTAAGTACATATGCAAGAAATCAATTTCTTCTTGCATCAAAGGTTGCATTTTGCTGAACAGTAAGGCAGATGAACTGTCTGGGCGATCCTGTATAATTTCTAAGATTAATTCGCGGCGGTCAAACAGCCAAGAAACATTGAGAGTATTTCCGTTTACCCCTTTGTGCAGCCTGGGTGGCCTATAATCCGTAGCAAAGCGCTCCAACTTGGAGAAAGCATCTTCGTCGTCATTTACCTCCACCTCGCTTTCGGAACCAGAGCCAAAATCGTTGTCTAAATCATCCAAAAGATCAGCATTACTCATACTTATTACTTGAATCAACTGAGTTTAGATCCAAACGGCCATCTATTGTCTTTCAGAACAGGATTTTTAGCCGCCTAACCCGGCATTGAGTCAAGTTGGTCAAGTTCCCAAAAGTTCTTAGTTTTTAAAGGACTCTGGAAATATAGTTCGTGATTAGTGCTATCAACACTTTTTTCTACAATATAGTAGAAAAAGTTTTCCATGCGATGAGATGAGCAGAGAATGACTTTTTGAACTGTGTGGTCAACTTACTTTGTTTGAGAGACTATTAGCAGGCATTCACTGCCAAAAGATTGTACCCTGATCTGGAAAGTCCGAAAGCTCGAAAGTTTGGAAAAATTTGCTCAGGTTTCGACCCAGTTAGCTCAAGTTCATTATAATTCACCATATTTCACTTGAGTCTACCTTTTGACTTGATTTCCATCCTTTTATCAACTAATATCGATCCCAGTCATGTCCAAAATAGTCGGAGTTGAATACAACCGCGTTACAAATACTACGTCCACCGATTTTCCAGGTTTCCAGAAGGACCAGGACGCTGCATGGAACGTGGAGACTTTCAAAAACACATTTGACGTGAAGATCAACTCATTGGATGAACGCGAGGCTAACTTTGATCTGGTGCACATTGACACCTCGGTGACTAATGCTTTCCGCCGTATCATGATCTCTGAAGTTCCTTCAGTTGCCCCAGAATATGTTTACTTTTTCAACAACACATCAGTGATACAAGACGAAGTGCTGGCCCATAGAATTGGACTCACACCACTCAAAGTGGATCCCGACATGCTCTCTTGGGTGGACACCAATTTGCCAGAGGCTGAGAAATTCACGGATGAGAACACCATAGTTCTCACGCTGAATGTGAAATGCACGAGAAACCCAGATGCTCCAAAAAATTGTACGGATTCCAAGATACTGTACCGCAATGCGCACATTTATGCGCGTGACTTAAAGTTCGAACCACAAGGCAAGCAGCTCACAACTTTTGCTAAATGCCCTGTTGTGCCTGCTGATCCGGATATTCTACTTGCCAAGTTAAGACCCGGTCAGGAAATTTCCTTGCGGGCCCATTGTGTTCTGGGTATTGGTAGCGACCATGCCAAATTTTCTCCTGTTTCAACTGCCTCCTACAGACTCATGCCTCATATCAACATTACACAACCAATATCTGGTGAATCAGCGAAAAAGTTTGCCAAATGTTTCTCGCCTGGTGTCATTGGCATCGACGACTCGGGCAACGCGTTTGTTCAGGACGCAAGAAATGATACTGTATCAAGAGAGGTTTTGAGACACGAAGAATTTGAAGATAAGGTCAAGCTTGGAAGAGTGAGAGACCATTTCATTTTCAACGTCGAAAGCACTGGAGCTATGACCCCAGAGGAAATTTTCTTCAAGAGTGTCAGAATTCTAAAAAACAAAGCCGAATATCTAAAAAACTGCCCGATTTCTCAGTGATCCCAGTTACTGATGCATTAAGTGTATTTATAGAGAAAAGGTTGTGGAGCATGTACAGTATTTTTTAAAAGTCAAAAACGATTTTATACAAGGTCGGCCCCAGCTATTGGGCTGGTAGTTGTTGTGGACTCGTATCTCTTCTCCAGTAGATCGTTCAAAACTTCCACGGGCCTGATGGTCGTGACCAGCACGATTCCGTTAGATGTGTCGTCCTCCTCAGCACCAGTGTTGGGAGAATTTGCGTCATGGGCCCCAGCAGTGGGTAACACTATGGGTGGCTCTGCAAAATTATATGCTGTTAGAATGTATTGACCAAACTGCAGCGAGAGTATCAAAAATTCCAACAGAACAATACTCACGTTGCTCCAGAAGTTGCTGTTTGGCAATTGCTCTCCCACGAGCTGCACAAAGAGACCACTTCGAAGCTCTCCGCCGATTAGGCCATTTTGGTTCGCAAAGGGAGATGGAGTATTACCAAAGCTGGCACTACGCAAACGATACGGTTCCGCCTTGGAAATGAAGTCAACTGGCCATATAAGAGCCAAGATGATGGAAATGCAGTTAAACGTGAAAGCGCAGTGGAAAAGGACCCATCTCACCTTCCGTTGGGTTTCATTTACCGACGCCTCTATTTCTGCTTCTGAGAGTTCTTCTATTGTGTTGTTGGGAACTGTAAAAGTCCCGGGCATCAGTGGATTGGAATTGGAATTGGCATTGGCATCATTATTGTTCTCAGTCCCATTAATGGTTGATGGCAGCCCTGGAATCCGGCGCACGTTATGGACCCGTAGAGAAACCCTTCTGAGCTGATTTGAGACGACTTGCGATTTAGAGAGGAGTGAGTGCACGAATAACCTAAATAAAAACGCCGCTGTCGAGGACCCAAACTTCAAGTAATATACGACAATGACGCTAATTGAAAGAAGACGAACTTTCTCAACCAAATCTTCTTGGAAATTAATGGTTTGAAGTTTGAGAGCTTGTGAATGCGTCGGGTCCTGCATTTCTCTAGTTTCAAAAGGCGGCTAGTTCCCAGTAGACAACTTCACTACAAGAGATGTTGACATTGGTTTAAGCTAGTGGAAATCGGTTAGTTCACTTTTGAAGATCAATGCCATTATTCTACATTGGCCATCCCTCACGTGACTCAAATTATTGATTCCGTGTAAAGTGCTAATGGAAACTTTGATGACAGTCTCGAGTCCGATGACAGTATAAGTTTGACGATCAAAAAAACGACTGGGGCGTTTTTGAGCCTCTTAAGCCTATCAACACATTTAACATACATGATTTTAATGTTATATAGCAAATGAGCAACTATATGGATTGGTTCGATGCGAGACTTTAATTCTGTTCTGTTGTTTTGATTACTTGAGCTCGAAAGCGGTTATGAGATCACTGCCAAAAACGGCTATCTCGTTGAAAATGGCTTCTTTGTTGAGAAGCGTCAATTCATTGTTGACGGGCCTGACGTTGGCATCCATGTTTGCCCTGAATTTGACAGGCGACTTGAAGAGTGGTTTCACCAACCCGGTGATGACGTTACGATCGCCGGCTTCACCGCCATTGATGCCCGGATAACGATGACTTGAAAAAATTATGCTGTTCTTGTATTTCATGTTCAGGTACTTGACCAGTTGGAAAGAAGGATCCATTTTCTCGCTCATTTGTGCAAGATCCGATGGGAAGCCTTTGGGCTGATCTTCGAGGTTTTTGAACCCACTGTGATCCAGCACGCCGCTCGGAAGCTTGAGAGAAACAGGCATTTTGAGCTTCACGACAAAATCGTAATCCTTCAAAGCCGGCGTGAACAGTAGACCCACGGTTTGTTTATTGAGGCCGTGCGCCTGAATCAGGTTGAAGGCTACTTTGGCCAAAGCTGTCAGTCTGGTTGCGATTGGGAGCGGGACACCGCTTGAATACAAGATCCCGCTGGGATCGTTCCTAGAGGCAACGAAAAACTGGATATTCAACCCCTGTGGATCGCTCTTACGCAGGGTGGAAAAATTACTTTGTATGGCCTTAATTTGTGACACCGTAAGGTTTTCTCTAAGATCAGTGGAGCCTTTAGAGCTGAGGTCTAGCCCATTGGCAGAACTGGGGTCAGAGCCTAAGTCGACTTCCTCGGGCTTGACCAAATCCAAAATGAGTGGATCTTCTCTCCAGTTCCACTGGCTTAGAAATTCGATGATTTTCAAAAACCCATTTTCGACAGAAGCTGGGACAAAGTAAGGTGCGCAATCTACAAATGGCTTGATTGCAATCAGCTCCACCAGTTCTTCCGATAGATGCGATAGGAGAAGGTGAGAATCTAGCCATTTTTTGAAAAGTCTTACAACGGGTGGGTACAGTGGGAAACTGTGTGCAAGGTTCTCAAGCGTTCTAGTGTGTCTTGCCGATGCCAAATATTTGGCAGTAAATTTCAAGAAAACATTTTCCAACTCTGGTTTGGCTTCCATGCGTGCATTGCTGATAGCTCTCAGGTAAAGCACCTCGTCACGTTCAGTCAAAACCCTGAACTTGAATCCGTAGCCTTCCGGAGTTAGAATGTTGAGTGTAACAATCTCGAGGTTGTATGGGATTGATTCATCTCTCGAAAAAAATGTTTTGTATTGGCCATGATTAGCATTCAAGGCTTCTTGAATTTTGAGAAGGAATGCTGTCTTTGCCTTCTCTAAAGATGTCATCTCATCTGGCCACTTCTGTGAAGACTCGAATTCCAGAAGCACGTCTTGCAAGAAATCTGGATTCGAAAAGGCGTAAGGTACGGGTTGGCATGTAGTCGCGTACCTGAATGCAGAGCCGACTGGCAGAACGGATTTGATACCGAGGGGTAAGTCGAGTTTGAAAAGTAGCGTAGAGAGATTGTCAAACGACTTGCGTAGATTGTAAAACGTGTTTAGGTTCAAAACAGACATGCTGGAACTCGCTGGTAAATTTGGTAGAGGAAGAAGCTCCAGGAATTGTCCAGAAGCGAGGTTAGAGAGTTTGACGTTTTCGGCCAGATGCAACTTGAAGATATAGTTCAGAATTTGAGAGACGACCGATTCAGTGGCAGAAGTGGCCCAAACGCAAGAGTTCGTTATTGAACCATCTTTGAAACGACGCAAAGATGCTTTCTTTCCCCAGAAATTTTTAAAAATGAGGGCTTCACTGGTAAATTCCTCCGAGTTGAGTGGGCCTTTTGTGACTAGCTTTTCGGATTCCGCTGGATTCACCAAAATTCGGATGCGAGCACTAGAAATGTTTGTGTTATTATAAGGTTTCCGTTTACTAATCGGGAACCAACTCTTGTGATTCGGCAATTCGACCTGCAGCGACTTGATTCTATCGCCCAAAGCAATCTTTGCCACATTGCAGATTTTATTGACGACGAAGTTCTCTAAACTGATGAATTTGATCTTTTCAGTGGGTCCAAATTTCTCCACGAGCACCGATTGAGTCGGTATTTCTAGATCAAAGATCATATCGTATTTGATTTCCTGAAACTTATTCAAGTTGGTCAGGAAAATGTTAGCAAACTGATCTTTAACCACGTCACTCAGCAGAACGAACGTCTCACGCGCATAGAGTTGCAGTGCCTGATACGAAGAAACGGACATCTTTGTAAGAATGTTGACTTTAGTAGTTTTGTCGAATATTGTGGGAGTCTGGAAACCCTCTTCAATGTACTTGGCGGTTGATGACTTTGACGACGCGTCAAGGTCCGAATAAATCTGCAGATGACCATTAGCACAGAGGTCCATAGTTGCCAGATATTTCATAACACCTTTGAATAACTGGTAAGAGGAGAAACCATGAAGAAGGATTTTACCACCATTTACACCACCACCACAGAGAAGAGCGCTCATAAGAGCTGCAAATTCGAAAGATCCAAATCCGCCTAGCCCACCAGAATGTGCAGACTTTGAGGTGAATCCCCTCTGCTTGAGCCATAATTTTCCTAGCATGCACGCATCCTTGAAGGCCTCGGTTTGCTTTTTGGTTTTGTAAAGGAACTTCAAGTAGTGCTCATGAGTCGAAGACGAAAGAATAGAATAATTGTACAACGGGGTCATCGTGTCTTTATCTTCTTGGACACGGATGCAATTCTTGTTAGGAAGCAGTTTCTTGGCATCGAAATACCCGTATGGGAATCCGACAATTATGTTGATCGAAAAGTTGGTCTTGAAGAAATTATACTCAGAAGAGCCACCAGGCTTGCACTGAAGTCGCAGAATTGGACACAGCGGATCATCATTCAAATATTCGTAGCTGAACTGCAGAAAATCGGAAAGTTGCTCTTTTTCGAACAGCACGAAAAGATGGTGCGTAAAATACGCCAAATATACGCTTCTCTTGTGAATACATCTGAAGTTCAAAAAATCTTTTTTCTCGAACAAGTCCGCGGGCATTGTGAGGAGAACGTCGACCGAGGACCCTTTGGGGTCGTACGTGGCGCTTTTTAAAGCAAATGAACCGATCAAAGACACGTCTGGGGCCTTGTAGTTGAATTTATATTGCACAGATGGGGCAGGTTTGGGGTCCGCAAAGGGAATGGCGACGATTTTGCCCTTGAAATAAGACTCGACATCGGCCAGCGCGGTCGGCTCCCAATCGGGCACCATTTGGATTGTGTCATAGAGCTTGTGCAAAAATTTCTCCACTTTCAAGATGCGCGAGTCCTTGAGTTTGATCTGCTGCAAGAGCTCATCGATTTGCAACTTGAAAATGTTCGATTTGAAAAGCTCAGCGGTGGCACGCGCCGTTTGTACGTCTTGGGCGCTCAACTGGCTCGTTTTGTGCTGTCTATCATGATTCCCGTTTTGTTCCTCTTCCTCTTCCTCATCGTCGTTTTCGTCTCCATCTCTGGCATCTTCATCGCGCTCTTCCTCTTCAGACGCACTGGCATCTCCCAGCTGGTCTTCTGCAGCTTCTCTCTTGCCATTTGTCCCACTGTCTGCTAGCCCTTGTGCTAGCTCCTTGTCTCCATTTGCAAGTGCTGCAATGAGCGCTTTCTTCTGCAGTGGACCTTCTCCGTTGTGCAATGATGACGGGTTTCCAGACGAAACGGTTTCAGACGCCGCTCTTTTCAACGGAGCCATCGCCACAAAACTATGAACTATACGTTTTTTAGCAGAATTGTACGTTTGACTCTCTCCTCAGACTTTCAACTTAGTTATTCAAGCTGAAAGCACTAAAACTTGACGAAATTCAAAGCTGAAACCAGGCCTAAAAAGCTCTCGCTTCCCGTAATCTACTGGCCACGATTAGCGTTCCTCTAATACGCTACAATCGCTTGAAATAAAGAGGTTAGCGTTTCCGATTGTACTCGAACGCACAGCGCGCTTCTTCAGTTGTCGACTCATTTCACATAATTTTTCACCTTTACGTACAGAGCGACACAGCCGCCTTGTAAGCATCGCAGCTCATCGCCAATTTCCACATAGTTAGTGATGCTTATGGACTGTAAATCCCAAAAAAAAAAAAATTTTTTTTCAGTGAGTCTGTCTTTTCGTACGGGATAAACTCATTAGTCGATTTTTCGTTCAAAGTGTTGAACTCAAAAAATTATAAATGCCACCTGCCAGAATTGAACTAGCGACCTTTGCATTACAAGTGCAACGCTCTACCACTAAGCTAAGGAGGCACCAATGAGAAATTGAAAGGAACCAATGAATATATGTGGGCTCAACAGATTCAGCAGATTGTCTCTGTCGTTATACTAGAAGCTACACAGATCAGCGTTGAGAACTGAAGGAAGCCCTGTGGCCATGGCTATCATTTCCTAGCATTAGCATTGGTCAAATTGTATTGAAAAGTAAACAGATATTTTGATTTCTGACTACATAATGAACACCACCACCTTTAGTCTGTGGATATACGTCAAAAACTACGTAGCATGTTGTTCATGGCCTCGTTTTCACCCTCGAGCCTGCTAATGTCCTGCTCCAGTCCCTTGATTGATAGCTCGCTCTCGTTGGCCTCGATGTTGCGAAGTTCTTCGCGACGACGACGCTCGGCTTGGCGCTGCGACAAAAATTGGGCTCTGAAATTGTCAATGTCCTCGGCATATTGCGTAACCTCTTTTTTAAGCTTTTCTTGTTTCACGTTCACTTTTTCGCGCTTGCTTCTCAACTGGCATAATTCCTGCTCCAGCTTGGCGAGCTTTGTGGAAAGCTCGTCTCTCTCTTTCGTGAGAGCTGACTGTAACTTGCCGAATTCCATTTGTGTTTGCAGATGTTGGTCTTTCCGCTGTAAATGCACCTGCTCTATCTCGAGCTCCTGGGTCGAAACTTGCTTCAAATTGTCTTCCAGAACTGAAAGCTGGGACTCGCTTTGTTGCAACAAAGTCTTCAAGTTATCCATCTTGAAAGCGCTTTTTTCATCCTGACTAGCATTCTGGGCGATCTTGGATTTCAAATGGTCGCTTTCCTGTCTGAGGGAGCTCAATTTCTTAGAAATCTCTTTCTTCGTCTTCCGTAATTTGGCCCGCTCTTCGGCAAGGTTAGTATTGGTCGTCAAGACGGAGTGCTTGAGAGTGAGCAAAGGAGAGAGAAACTTCCGATGATAGTAGGAAGGAAAACTGAAATCCAGCAACTCTTTGGTTTCTCCTTCCTTCGCACTAGTGCGAACCATTAAATCAGCAACCAAGTAATCCTCTCCTTCGTTGAAGCGGTTGACAAACTGGATGTCGTAAGAGCACGATGGAACCAATCCACTAACAACGGTGTACTCCTCGCCCAACTTTTCAGAGATGATAGCCGACAGAACTTGAGACCATATAACGCCATTGACCAGAACAATAAGCTCACCTTCAAACAAATTGGTGATACGGAAGGTAATCTGAGTGGGACCTGTGTCGCTGATGCAAACCTTATAAGCAGTGGCTTGATTGTGTGGAACAAGATGCAACTGATTGTAATCGTCTGCAGCTGGAGCTATCAGTGTCATACATTCGCTTGCGCCAGGGCCTGTGAAAACGCTTCCCTTGATAAGAGGATTGGAAATGGTTGGTTTGATTGTTTGAGAGTCTTCAGCGTCTTCAGCGTCTTCTGTGTGCGATGGGGAAGACCCGGGATCAAAGTTTCGTACGTTTCTCTTCTCCAAAGTCATAGTCTTGATGGTAGTAAATATCGACCATAAAGGCGGAATCAAATGGTGGTTCTTCCATCTGAACAATTGCTGAATAAAGTTCTCTAAATTAGATGAAGTAATGAAGTAATCATCGAGATTTTCCTCACTTGGCGTCTTGCTACCAAGTTTCATGTCAATTGTGAAAAACTGATTCGTGTAGGTAGTCTTGTTTTGGGTGGAGCTTGGTTGAGACGTCGTAACATTCGTCGCAATGGTCTGTTTATTACTTTCAGATGGCGAGTTCATTGGCAGCTCGGAGATGTTGTACTCCGATACCACATCACTGAACGCAGCCTTTTGAGCAACGGGATTTGGTACGGACAGAAGTGGAGGGCCACTAGGATGTGACGCACTAATGCCCGATCCGTTAGTTGAGGTCATGTTGGAAAGAGGCACTGATACATTGGAAGAGTTATTTGGGCTCAACGAGACCGTTGCAGGTGTTTCTGAAGCAGAAGATTGTTTAACATTTTTTCGAAAGTAATAAGGATCCGTCATATTTTGATAGAATTGTGCAAGTACGATGTGGAAGGAAGCCAGGTAGCGGCACAGCCCCGAATATTTGCTGAAACAGCTTACTATTCTCCACAAATGCGGCATTGTATTAACAAAGACTGGTATAGTCAAGGCTTTATGATACCATTGATGCAGGGGAAAAGTCGAGTTCGCATAAAAAGGTAGAACCTCAAAGTCCATGAACAATGTGGCTCTGTGCCAAAGGCTAACCAATAGTCCGTAGAGGATGGAACATGAGGTGGCGTAGCTAAGGCAATCTCTTGGGTCGTTGATCAACGACGATGCAATTATAGACATTGCCAAATTTTCGATTGGGCGGGTGAAATACTGCTTGGCGTATGTTCTCAGAAGTCCCGCAACAATCAGTTCGATCACCAACAGTGGTGATATTTTGAAAAATGCACATTTCCGCTTGATAAATCTTGTAGCAGACTCATCGGCGGACGGTAGTAGAGTATCTTGGCCCACTTCTTGGTCTGTGACCAGCAGAGACGAATCTCCGTTTGCATTTGCAGACTTGCCGGCTAGCGTTGTACGGCAGTCAACACGCTCCTTATACTGTTGTTTTGAGAGAAATAGCCGAATAAAACAGCTGGCCAAAAAGTTCCGCGATCTGGTTGTGACGATGAAAAGCGCCAAAAGACATAAGGACGCAAAATGGTTGAAGCTCAAAAACACCACTAGCAATGCAAAGGTATCCTTGAAATGGTGCTCTTTTATAAAATTAAGCGAGCTATTCACTTGTGATTTGGGACCTGATCCATTCATGGCCAGAAAATAACTGCCAAATAGCACACCAAACAATTCACGCAGTTCCACAAGGTTTAGAGTTTCCTGGGTAAGCAGATTGCGCTGATTCGATTTCTGGTGTCGAAATTGGCTTTACTGCAGCACAAATGTCGCTTTCCCGTGAAATTTATCTAGTCGATGAGGTCTATTTCATTGTGTTTGGATTTTTTTTCAGAAAAATGCTGTAATTAATACAGATAGTACAGGGCGACAGACGACAATATTTTAAACGGCGGTGGAAAAACTGCCAAGAAGTGAGAAAGCTAGAAAAGCTAGAAAAGCGATCAGAAGTCGAAGGAGTTTCTGATATATTTTGGTTGGCAAGTTTTGACCTTTAAAATCTAAACAAACTTGCGAAAACTTGATCCGTTGACAGGAAGTAATTTTGTTCAGGGTGTCACGAAAATAAAAAACGAGCAACGATAGCAAACGGAATGGATCTTGTATTGTACTTGTTTAGTCTTGAGCTGCTCTGAGTTTTGTGCTTGACTTTACTCTCTCGATAGATTATTGAAGTTTTTCTGCAAAAAAAATTATCTCCCGGGGGCGATTCGAACGCCCGATATCCAGATTACAGTTAATTACATTACAGTCTGGCGCCTTAAACCAACTTGGCCACCGAGAGTTGGTCTCGAATCGAGCTAACAAGCAAGATTCGAACCCGTGTCTAAGATGTGCAGAACAACCGTTAAGCTATACGGCACTCTTGAAGACGGAGGGACAAATACAGAGTTTTTATAGGAGATGAGTCATCACACGGCATGAATTTTTTTCGAATTTGGAAATTTACAGCATTCATTGTATGCAAATTCATTTTCATTTCAGCTTTCGAAGTGTCTCCGTATGGCCTACTGCACCGATCATCAGATTTATCCCTATGTCAGTTTGGTCGAGATGCATCGTTCGGTACGAAACTAGCAAACACATGCACTCAGACACGAATATCAGACATGTTTACCAAACACGTTTACCATACCAATTATCAATCTGGAAATATTGTAAAGTTGCCACAGGTCAAAATCTCCGAACCATACACATCGCGGCCTTCTAAATTGCCATTCCTTATGTATTTCGTCCGAAGCGATATGTTTTTTTGCCGCATGCAAAAACCTTGTGGGGGCCCCAAATCTAGTGTCAAGCAATTCCATTTCCACCAATGTGATATTATAATCGTATCTTGTAACATTGTTCCGCCTCAGCCATAGAAACCAGCTCATTCACGCGACCTTGAATGACATTGATCACGTGATCGACTGCTCATCTCAATTTAGAAATCAGTTTGTGTGAGAGCCATATTAACAAATCAGTTTTAAAGCTCGAGCGAGTACAACTAAAACATCAACAGCGACAACAAGTTCCCAGCTTGAAGAGATCACTCTAACTTCCAAGACTTTGATTCATAGTTATCAGCCTTTTTCCCCATTTTGAGTCACTTCACCAATGGCCTTTTGGTGGAAGAAAACTCCCAAGACTCCGTCTGATTATGCTCGACTTCTGTCGGAACATTTGAACAAGTTTGAAAACGCTTCGACTGTTGACAGCAGACGAAAGACACAGGATGAATGCAGCAAGTATTTGGCTGGTACCAAACATTTTCTGCTAGGAGAAGTGGAACCGGAACCATCGTTGGAGGCTTTTGACGAACTCTACAACGCGATCTACCAGTTGGACTTACTTTACGATTTGCTGGCGAATTTGGCAGAACTGGAGTTTGAAGCTCGAAAAGACGTGGCATTGCTGTTTGCCACTTGTTTGCGGCATTCCCGTGATAACAAGCTTGTCACCGTGGACTATCTGGTAACAAGACCCAAGACCATCTCTTTGATGCTGCGAGCACCGCAAATGGCACTTTCCAAGCCAAATTCCAGCGATTTGTTCTTGAAAACCGGGTCAATAATTCTGGAAAGCTTGAAATACGAGCAATTGTGTCGTATAATGCTTCGAGATCCACAAATCTGGCTGTTTTTCGACTTTGCCAAAAGTGGGTCATTTGAAGTCAGTACTGAAAGTCTTCAAATCCTCACAAACTTACTCACAATCCATCAAAAACCTGTGGCGACAGAATTCTTTAGTCAGCCAGCCAACCTTCATAAATTCATTGAGAAAATCAATAACGTCATGGCGCATGGTAGCTACGTTACCAAACGCCAAAGTGTAAAGCTTTTGCAACATTTGATAATGATCAGAGCTTACAACAATCTACTCACAGCTTACATCAATTCTCCCGATAACTTGAAATTGATCATGATTTTGTTAAGCGATCGATCCAAGAATTTACAACTTGCCTCGTTCAATATTTTCAAAGTCTTTGTTGCAAATCCACGGAAGTCTAAACCAGTATTGGATATTATGGTTAAGAACAGGGACAAACTTCTGCATTATCTACAGTCCTTCAACACCGACAGTAAGGATGTAACGTTCTTAGACGAGAAAGAATATGTCGTCCAAGAAATTGAATCACTACCAAGGCTGGTTTCCCCCAATAGTGATTTTTCTTTGGGAACGTCTCCTCAGCATTAACAATCCAATTTTTGCACATATCTTAGCATTTTATATCCTCCAATCAAAGTTCGCATAGTAATGAACTCCTGTTATTTGTTCATCTATGAGTAATTGGCCTTCATCCACGCAATTGTTGAGTGCTTCCATAATAATCCCAGGAGTCCAAGAGCTCGCGTTTTCCTTATTCAGCTGTCGGCTAAACTCCAAAAGATCCGCACCAGGAAATGTGGTCGTTATGTCCCAGATTTTTCTCTTCAAAAACCCAAATGCGTCTCCTGATGATATACAGAGTATGCGTTCGTTGATCGTGGTAAGACGCAGGTCGCTGAGTCCCAACTCTTCGAGTTTTCCACACGCCTCCCATAGTTCTTGAGGCGAAACTAGTCCTGATCCAATCCGCATTGCTTTGTTATACAACGCGTAGGTATCAACCAATGAAATCAATAATACACCCTCTGCTTCTTTTTGTTCTCGAAATTCGGACAAGATAAAACTATGCAACTCTCTTGATATCTCGTTGATGAATAAATCCTTGGTAAGAAACTTTTCTCTATCAATTGTCAGCACCGGAGTGTTCTTTTGTGATTGTGAACGCCCTGTTCTGTCGTAGAGCTTCTCTATATCAGAAGCTAAAGCCATCAGACTTTTGAGATCACTCAAAGCGTTGCCAAGCATAATATCATTATTGATCAATCGATCTTCTTGCGATTTCTCAAGGCTAGCAATTCCAACACGACCCAAATCTGACTTGACCTCTAAGAACACATTATTTGACGTTGTTTGGACCCCTTTATTGTAAACAGTCTGTGATTTTACTCGGCGCCGATCTTCTATTAGTTCCGAAATCGTCTGCGAGAGGAGTAGGCCATCAGAAAGTCGAAAACTTAGCTGTACATAAGCCGGTTCCCCTTTGGTAAGTCCATCTTTAGCCTCAAGTTCGATTTTAACTCGATGATCAATGCTTGAATCGGATAAGATTTCAAGAGGAAGTCTTGTACCGCATATTTCACAGTTTCTCAAGGAAGGCCTATTCAAAAATGTGCATGCCGGACATGCAGTTTCTGCAAGCGTTTCAGAACCTGAAGATGTGGCACTTTGAAAAGTCAGTGAATCAGTAATCATTTCGAAATCAGGGACAACCCCACAGCTTGCGCAAGGAAATAACTTTATGCTATCTTTTGTCAAATGACCCAGTTTCTCATTTTCATCGGCACAAATTGGACATATCCATTTAGATTTCCCATCTGAAGTTTTCGTGCTAGCCGTTACGTCTTGATCATCGGTCTTAGAATCTCGCAAAAAGATGCTCAACCTAGCAGATTTCCTTAGAAACTTGGAAGAATAGTTAACCTCCAGTACATCGTCTAATTCCAATGAGACCGAGTTTAGTGTGGGTTTTTCATCGTCAATGTAGATTATTCTTTGTGAAGTAAGATATATCCTTCCCTTTTGCCTGCCCAAGATTTTGGATTTACCTTGGTAACATCCGACTTGATGCTCCACATAAATATCCTTCTCATTCTCTCTCAATACCGGTTGGCCAGAGGAAGAAGTTTCAACGAAATGCCATTGTCTTAACTGCATCCAGGGTGGGCAATGTCTCTCTGTTCAGATTATGGATGTGGTATTCTCAAATAATCACATCAAGACTAAATGATATCATTAAATGGATATGCATTTGAGATGATCATCTAAATAAACAGAATAGATATAAAGGTATAGTTGAAGGTTTGTTGGACACATAGGAAGCCAGTCCATGCCAGCATGGGGTTTGCTTCTCTCACGTATCGACTACTTTTGGTGAAAGAAGTAGGTCGCGCTTGGATTTGAGCGAGACCAAGTTCGTCTGAGATTTCCGCGAAATGCTCGATTTTCTAGCAATTAGAAGTTCGTGAAGTCTCTTTGTCCACAGCGGGACATCTTTCTCGAGCCGAGCATTCAGCTCGATCAATTTCTCTTCGTCTTCGAGTCTTTGTTGTGGATCAAAACGGCCAAACATGGCCGAGCCTTTCCCATCAAATTTGAGCAGACAATTGTGGAAATGCCACAGCGTCGTTCTATGACAAACAGATATGAGAGAAATGTTCAGCTCCTGCGCGTGCGTATACATTTTCTGCTCCATTTGGGGGGATGCTGCAGAGGTGCACTCATCAAGAACAGCGAATTTGGGCTTGTGATAATACATTCTGGCCATCGCAAGCCTTTGTTGAACGCCAATGGAGAGCTCTTCGGCCCAGTTTCTAACAACATCAAACGCATCTTGTGTTGATACTTCAGCGTCGTTGTGGTTCGTGTCCACGGACGACGACGCCATAACGAGGGACATATTCTCCGTCAGTAGATCGTCCAACTCCAGAACATGCAGGATTTCAGTCAGTTCATTGTCACCTTTCTCATAATCTCCTTCGTATTTGGCATCAAATTTGTCCATGGTATCTGGATATATGATCTGCTCGCGGAAGGTGAACTTGTTGCCCATGAATGGTTTCTGGGGGAGATAGAAAATGGGTTTCTCGCCGTTGGGACCGACTCGAGGTGGCATTATGAGCTTGGACTCTTTCTCCGGGTGTGTGAAAGATTTCATCACCGGCCATAACCCTCCTAGCACTCTAAATAGTGACGACTTACCACAACCATTTGGTCCAATGATCAGTAGATGGTCGCCGTGACGCAGTTCGAAGTTGAGTTCAGGAACTAGGATCTGGAAAGTCGGAGTTACAAGAGGAATGTTGATGAACTGAATCTTTGAGTCATCGTACTCGATTAAAGAATCGTTGCTCTCTGCACCTAGTGAGTCGCCTGGTACCTCCAGTCGATTATCAAACTGCCTCAATCTCAAAGACACACCCCTCAACTGTTGAACGCTTTTCTTCAATTGAACAAATCTACCAACAGACGAAGACGCCGTTAGTAGCAGCCTACGGTTTGTTATGAAATCGGCTGTTATGTCGCTGCTATGCTGCTTTTGGAAAAAAATGGGGATGGAGCAAAGTGCCAGACCAGCTGCTCCCCAGGTATACTTGATCACAAAAGTAGTAGCAAAGTCGTAAATGGAATGCAGTTTGAGCTCTCGATTGAGGAAAATGGCGAGTTGGTAGAATTTGTAATCCAGATTCCAAAGCTCCGTAGACTGACCTTTCATGAGTGCAATCTCCTCATTACTGGTGTGGATTTTGGAATGTAAGCTCCGGAAAATGCCTTCCAAGTGAGTTCTTTGAATTGCGAGTTTGGTAAAATTGGGCTGAATCATTTTGAGCAGCAAATTGCTGATGTGAACTATAATGCCAAGCACCAGAGTTCCTTCGCCCATCATTCCGTTGCTGGTGCTGGAGACCAACTTGAAGGAACAGAGCAGCAGATCCAGAGTGGGCTTCAAAAGCTGGTTCAGAAGCACAGACAGATTGTAGGAGAAAGCGCCCACGTCCCGGGTCAAGTACTCTACAGACAAATCTGACCGTGCCAATTCCTCCGTGTCTTCGCTTACGCCTGTGGACGCCTTATATGCTGCAACCTTCGAGAGGCTCCCTTGTGGAATGTTGTTGACCGTGTAGAATGTGTGGTGGGACGACATATAGCGATCAAGTAGGTGCTTGGAAACAATTCGGTTCACAGTGACTGCGCATAAGCGTGTATTATAGTGGATCAAAGAGTTGATCAGACTGGCAGGAATTCCCAAAACCATCCATTGCCCAAGCAACACTTGGAGAAACTTGCGGTATTCTGCTTTAACGAGTCTCGAAACCAGCAGCCCGTCCAATGTGGCCACACGCAATGATAAAATGGTACGCACGACCAAAAGAGCCGCCTGGAAGAGAAAGAGAGCCACGCATTTGCGATCTCTGATCAGAATTCGGAACAAAAAATTGGCAGAAGACGCCGATGAGCGTGCTGATGATACCGGTCTAGATTTGCCGCTAGCACTGTCGCTGCTGCTGCTGCTGCTGTTGCTATTTTCTTCCTCGAGTCTCAAAGCCTCACTGGAATCCGATTGCGGTCGTGCTTGCATTTGCGCTGACGCCACTTCGAGCTCCATTTCTGCTGTATTTGCAGAATTCACAGATGAACCAGTTTTGGCCCTAATACGTTTTAGCGGCGATTGTTCGTACTGCTCCTGATCATGCGAATTTTTGGGGCGCGGTTGCAAACTTTTGAACATCGCCAGTATGAGCAAAACATATGTGGTTTTCAAAATCCTTAGACGGTATTTTTGATAAAAACTGAACATCGTGAAACTGATTTGATAATACAAAGTAAGAATCCCAGTTTCGCACGGAAATCGTTACTTCAAATTCGGGCTTAGCAAAACACGTTTTTCCGAGTTCAATAAAATGGAGAGCAGGTGGATCAGATCAGTAAAAATTGGTCAAAAACGGGTCGATGTTTTGTTGTAGATGAATAAAGTGGTCGAGATTTGAAATGTCCCGGAGTGATGAAGCTTGATCCTTATATAGTCCGAGGACCGTTATGGTCATTTAGTTTTTTTTTAATTTCAAGGTCATTCACATCGCTGACATAATTTTTGATATTTTTAGGGGAAATTGCGGGGTTTGAGTCACGTGCATTTGTGTCATGTGAGAGAAGTTTGAAGAAGAAGAAGAAGAAGAAGAAGGAGAGGAGTCTGAAAGAGCGGATAGATGTACTAGGTCGAGTGTTGTGGCTTGGATCTTGTCCAATGTAACACATTTTCTTCTTCTGTTGGCTAATATGAATAGAAAACAAAAAATGGTGTCAATTTCGTATGTAGCGATGTGTCGGATAGTGTCAGAATGGTATATAATGATAGTATATGACGAATCAGTGCTGTCCAACGGGTTGACCCGGATCAAAAATTTGCAACCCGGGTTGCAAAATTCGGGTACTTAACGGGTTGCTGTTTTTTTTCAATCAGGTCTTTGAGTATTAATAATTTAATATTTACGGATCCTTCAGTGAGTTTCAATCACATTCAATAGCGTCGCTAACGGGTTGGGAACACCTCACATCGCCTCGGTGACAAAGAGGAGCAGCTCATGTTTGTTCGCGATGCTAAAAAACGTTTAGACTTGATATGAATTGTATAATGCTACCTGGGCTAAATACTGGTCAAAATACTAATTACGCCGCCCAGCGACCGTCGAGATGGTCATCATCATCATAGGCATCATCATCATCAACACCGTAATCATCATCCTGACAATCATCCTCAAGGGGTTCTTCATCAGATGATATATTTATAAAATCATCGGCATCGCCCGGTTTCGTGAGTAGAAGTTCCTTGTCGTACAGGCCGAAGTTAAAAAAGCGGTCTCTTAAAAGCATGATTCTCCTCGCATTAGCGCTCCCGAGACTTCTGCGGTCGCTTCTCATTAGTTTTCCACTGATAGAGAATGTTCTCTCAATACCGCATGTGCTGAACTTTGTGTACAACATGGATAAAGCCAACGGAAACAAATGAGGGTAGGTCAAACGCCGCGAGTACCACCACTTCACGGCATCTGTCAAAGAATCTGAAGTTAAATGAGAATCAGCCTTATAGTTCTCCCATTCTTCCAGAGCTTTAGAGGTTCTTTCTGGAGGCTGCTTGAAATGCAATTTTAGCCTTTTGAACTTGGTGACGCGATTCGTGTTCACTGGCTTGAGCATATTGTCAATGTACGGATGGTTTTCGGATTGGCACTGCTTGAGGTAGCCCTTGACATATGCCTCTACCCTTCGAAAGTGCTCTGATCCCTCATTATCACCAAAAAATTCTTTAAAATAATCGCCTTTGATACTAGGATCCAAGAACGCCGCAACAAAGTAGATGTCGTTCTTTTCATACAACTCGAAGTATTCGTCGAATTTTGACCTGGAAGAGATGATGGCTTTCAAAACAGTACTCTTTATCTCTTCAGAGAGTTCGAACTTTCCATTAATGAAGGTGAAATCAAAAAACCCCTCTGGAGAAGCTGGAATGGTTTCCGTTTCACCCCTGCTGCATAAGTCATAAAATTCCTTCATCGTGGAATAGAAAGTGACTGCATTAGCTATGTTGCTTGCATTGTTGTCTTGCAAAGTATCGTTCATTAGCTGGAAGATCGAGCAACAGCTCGTAAAATACTCTAAGAGTTGTACTGTTTCGTCCGTGAGCTGCAGCCGCATTTCTATCTTCGGAAGGACATTGTGATATTGTTCATTTGACTTCAAACTCTGAGCCCACCCTAAATATCCTTTGTGATGCTTTAGAAATGTAGTGACCTGTTTCCAAATGAAAATCCACCGCGTTTCGGGAGCCGAAGGCACCAAGGGTAATCTAGCATCCGCTATAGCAGACCTTAAAAGAGATGACCTCTTGATTATTTTGGCGAACGCACTAACATCTCTCAAGCCTTTTTCAAACCTCTCATCTTCCCTCAGCTTTCTCACGATCTCCTGAAACAGAAGGTTCAAAATGTGACTTGCGCAGCGAACATGATGAAAGTTTTTTGTCTTCTTGAATGCCGTCGTCCTCGAAGGTTTTATGAGATTGTGAAGAAGGAAAGAATGCATGGCCGTATTATTAGTAGCATTGTCAGAGGTAAAGGAGAGGACTTTATTTGTTATTCTAAATCGGTTCAAAACCTCCACGACCGTGGTATGCAGACTTTCACCTGTATGGCGTGAGCCGCTGATATCAACAAAATCCAAAAGGTGACTGTTATTGGTCTCTTCACAGTTATTGAGTAATGCCTTTACTCCAACGCCTTGTAACATCTTTTCATTCAGCAAGTTCGGAGCGAATGAAGCTGCAATACCCAAATAAGAGTGACCGTTGCCTCCAGTCCACACATCTAGCTCTAAGTTTATGAAATCGGTTTGTTCTAGAGCCGCAACGAGTGCCTTATCAAACCATTGGGAGTAGGTTTCGAGTTTTGTATTTATCGTGGTGCGAGATTGAATGAATGACATTTCTGGACATGCCTTACATATCCATTTCCACGTTCTAGAGCTGACAAACGAAAACGGCAACAGTCTTTCCGTCAAAAAGCCAATTGTCCCGATGGAGCCAGGACTGTGCTTACACTCGCGAGCAATTTCTCCCGGCAGCGGAAGCGAGCGAGATTTCATGATCAAAGAGTCTAGTGAACGCTCCTTTATAGTTGCAGCCTTTTGGGATCTGTACTGGCAGGGGTGAATGTTCTTGACGTGCTTGGAGAGATTACCCGTAGAATTGCTTTCGTAGAAGGTTCTTCCGCAATGTATACAGCTAGCTGTGGTCAAACCATCTGTTTGAGAAAGTCGAAAGTGCTTGCGAAGTGCGGACCTTTGCATCCATTGTGATTTTCCACGCGCTAGAGCCTTTTTGTATTGTGGTGGGGCAAGTCACCTAGGTGGTTCTCAGGATCACTTAGAACCGTATCCCCTTCAAGATCAGTACTGGGACTCGGCGCTAGTTCATGTGGTGCAATCATAAGAGGGGCTTCCATTGTTGGTAGAAACTGTGGCCTGAGCCATGTTCCTGAATGTGAAGTAATGAATTCTGAATTTTGTCACCTTTTATATCTTCAAAAGTTTACGCGTTGCATTTTAAAAAAGACGCGTTACATTTTAGAAAAAACGCGTCCAGGTTCCTCTCAGGTTGCAGTTCAATTCTAAGCGGGTTGTACGACAGGTTATGATTTGCCCGAAGCGGGTTCTTTCAGGTACCTAGCTATTTAGCAGATGGGTCCTCAAATTTTATGAATTTTTTTTACCCGGCCAGTTTTGCAACCCGTTGGACAGCACTGTGACGAATTGAAGAACTACACTTTAAAAGAAGCGATAAGAATCTGGGAAAAGAGACCCAACAGCTGACAGACGTTGTTCTTGACTAGGTGTGCTGTTGAATGCTGCCAAAGAGCCAGTTATTTGTGAGCACGTGATGCAAAGAAAAATACAAACAGCTGTTGATTGTCTAACGGCGATTGATATGAGAACAAGGCTTGTAGAATATTGTTCATACTGATGTTATCGAATGGCGTGTGTGTGTAAATACATGGTATATAAGCCAGGACTGGGGACGAATCACGAATCCAGTGCACGAGCCCACTCGTTCAAAGTGCTTGATAATTCGAATCATTTAGTATGAAATGACAAGACGCCTAAAGAATCCGTCACGAGTCCAATTGATTTTATTTACGCGTGGGCTTTGATATATGTTCGGAAATGCCAGTCGTTGAAAGCATTCCCATAGGTTGGACAAGTGAAGATACTGATTTGAGCTCATCTCACACTGTATAATCGTCTGCAATCAACGATGATAACGTCCAGATCTTAGAAGATAAATCCAGTGAAGAAAGTGGTAGTGAATACGAGTTCTAGCCCAAGGAAAGAGAGTGTAGCATTTTCTTAGAGTGATATGCATACTGAATACGTGAATGAGGTCTCAAATGATACAATTCTCGGCCATTGGCGGTTCCTGTTGCAACTGAGCTCGTTGACTCCAAGAGATGACTACGTTTACAGTGATTGATTCTTGTTCACTCGCGAATCCATCTTCGTATTTAACGACTTGATTCGCGAATCCCTGGGTTCGTCCCAGGGTCCTGATTAAAGCTCAAAAGTGGCAGGGCAAAAGGCCGACATTTTGGAAAGCACATCAAGTGATGTCTTTTAAACCAGTGAGCCTAAGGCTGGGGCATATTGATCAATTTTGCTGAGCTGTTTTTACAATATTTGGACAACACATTTGACGAATACAGACCGTTGAAGACTTTTCAATACAACGAATGATCTTGTCTTGAATCAAAGCTATTTTGCAAACCACCCTTCGTCGCCACGCCACGCCACGCCTCGCCTCGTCTCCTCTCCCCAGTTGCCATGGACTTTACATTCGATCACGTGACACCGCTTCTTTCCAGTTCCTGTCTGGTAAAACTCCAAAGCGACCGCTAACTAAGCCGTGCTCCTTCTTCGCAGCGATACACTCTTCTATCCACATAGCATCAAAGGCAATCACCCTTTTTCCCCCTCAGATCATCGTTTTATCCGAGCCAACGTCTTTTTCTGTAGCGTCTCATGACCTCATCTGAAAATAACCAAGAGGCTGGTTTAACTACTATCTAATATGGCAACTGGGTTCCAAAAATATCAATAGCAGGAATTATCGCGAGGCTGGTCGATTTGTCGCGATAAAATTATCGGAATGACGCTATAATTGACTGCCTCAACCAACATAGAGGAATCTATGATGAGATGCCTTCGGTATTTTGCAGTAATACTGACAGCCTATTTTTGGGCTCAAAATTGTCCCAAAAACGAGAAAAAAAGTAGGAATGTGATTGCTATAATCAGTGCAAGTAGCTACTGCTACAAGATCAATTATCCGAGGCTTTTCTTAATGGCTAATTCATTTATTTCATCTCTTGGTGTGATCTCAGCTTTAAGCCTGTCTTTATCGTCCAAGCCTATATGGAAGAATTAATTACTTATTATTCAGTAGATCAGCTTACAACCTAGAATGTAAGCCTACGTCAGTAATAGAAGAAAGAACATAAAAGCATATATATATATATATACCAGCGTTGAAATCAGTTCTTGATCTTGATTCTTGATCTCAGTTCTTGATCCTCAGTTTTTGACTTCAAACTTCTAGTCTAACTTTACCTTTAGTTAACAAGAATCTTAACATAGTCTTTTGATTTAGAGTCACATTAACAAACCGCTCATTCTTTGGAAAGAAAAGTGCGAAAAAACAAAAATGGTCAACTGTATATCGCTTTTTTGTGCAGCGTTTTTGTCGTTCGCGGCTTTGATCCTGGCGTGTGTGGCATGTGCAGGATCAACGAAAAACTACTACCCGATTAACAACATTTTCGAAGCTCAGCTAGATCTCAGCAACCTGGACGTGACACAGGTACTTCCTCAGCTACCATCTTCATTTTCGTCGTTCGACGCATTGGGATTGCCCTCCTACATCAACGTAGGTCTGTGGTCCTACTGTGTGGCAGATACGGCTAAAAAAATCACAAGCTGCACTTCTCCGTCCGGAATTCAGCAATTCAACCTGCAACAAGTCATTCGGGACAACATCAGCAGCAACCAGGTCTCCCAATTGATCTCAAGTCTCTCCCAGATTTTACTGCCGGAAAAACTGCAACAAAACATGACCTACTACAACAACCTTGTGAAATGCAGCTTTATTACGCTCCTCATCGGCATCGCCGCCAGCGGTCTGAATTTCGTCGCAAATCTGCTTCGCTGGATCCTGCATTTTGCGTTCGTCACTTGGGTCTGTCGTTTCCTCTCCGTTATCGCTTTTCTCAGCCTCATCATTTCCGCAGGAACCAGTACCGGAACCTACGTGTACATCAGAAAGGCGTTGCAATCCAATTACGATACTTATGGGGTCAAGATGAGCTTGGGCCTCAACTTTTACGCCCTTATATGGGCGAGTGTCGCTGCAGCTCTTTTGAATCTGATTTTCTTGTCAGCGGTGAAATCAAGACGCTACACTTACGTGCGTCCTATCGAGGAAAAGCCTCTCGTTTGAAAAACGGATGCCTCTCTTCTTTTGCATTTATAGCTAGCACACTCGGCGCTTTGATTCCTCTCGCGGGGCTTGAATTAAAACATCTTCAAACCAAGAACACCACTAAACCAGGTATTCGGGTTCAAAGGTCGGTGTGAGTACCAACCGAGCTAGCTAGACATCACAGTCTCATAATTAAGCATATATTTCGATTACACAGAGATTCCACTTCCAGACTGTTAGTTTAAGTGGGAATCTAAACAACAAAGATAGTAAAATTAATACTATTCTCAAAAGAACTTTTTAAGCAACCTGAGCGATAACCTCGTCGTGACTCTGCTGAGGTATCGTACCATTTCGCTTCTCATCGGAAGAGGTTGTAGCTGGTGCTGAGAGCATGTCCTCTGATGCTGGCGACCCATTTCTTCTTGGCGCCTTCACTAAGAAGAGCAAGATGAAAGTTATGAATGTCAGGGCGAAGGCTGTCCAAATTAAGCCAGCATATGCAGAACCGGTTGCAAAGGTTACATTGTAATTGTCGTCATAGGTGTCATGTTTGATGATCGAAACCAATGCTGCAACAATGGCGGCCGATATTAAAGCGAACAAAAAGGCCAAAAACGCAAGCGTCTTGGCACCAACAAGTACCCAGAACTTGGACTTGTCGCCGAGGATGAAAAGGCACACTATCAATACCAATAGGAAAAATGACAGAATGATAGTCAACAGATTGAAAGCCAAGACTGCTCTCAAAGCTGGCGTGTAGGAAGGTTCCTTACTTTGCAGCTTACCATTCAGATACAAATCACTCTTCTGTAAGTTGAGTGCCTGCACGTAAGGCTTGAAATCAGAGTTTTCGAGTTGATCATAAAGGATGTCGCGGAGATAAAACGATTGTACAGCGTGTGATTTCGTACATTGCTGTACCTTCCCATTGCTAAGGCCACTGCACAAAGTAAATATAGCCAAGCGGTAAGTAGAATCAACTCCTAAATTGTCCAAAACAACTGGCATCACTCTGGTCAAGGTGTCTTTTGTGATGGCGGTGTCACCTAACTGGGTTCCACTCAAGACTTTGAGCAAAGGCTCGAAAGCTGTACTGTTTGCTTGGAAAGCTTGCATTAATCCCATCACCGATTCGATAGTTTCAGTTGAGTTTTTCGAGTTGGAAAATAAGCTGAAAATAGGCGCCGCATTCTGAGAGCCCGACGTAGAGTTTGATGATTGAATTTGTTGCAAGACACTTAAAGCTTTTGAGGAGTTCTTGGAGGAGTCCAAAATATCTTGAAGACCGATAAGCTGAGCAGTGCTCGAATTGCTTGAAGAGTTTGCCAAGACAGCGACAGAGTTTAGAACCAGGCTCTGATTATGCGAGTTTGACACTAACGTGGTGAGCGCATTGAAAGAACTGTGCGCAGAGGACGAAGTGGTGACATTTTGTTGCAGTAAACCCTCGAGCGTGGTTAGTGTTGAAGATGAATCACGCGTATTATTTAGCAATGTGCCAACAGCCAAAACAGCCGGCCGCGCCGAATCAGGCACAGAGTTTAAGACCTGATTGAGGGCAGCTTGTGGATTCGAGCTACCGGCGCGAAGGGCAGCGAGAAGAGAAGCTGACATATCATTAGAAACATTCGCTGTCATAAGTGTGTTCAGGGCACCTAGAGTGGCGGTTTCATTAGAAGATTGCTGGAAGAGAGACAAAACGGGAGCGATTTTAGCACGATCGCTAGACGATTGGTTTTGCAAAGTGACCAAAGAGTCCACAGAGGCCGTGGCATTTCTTGAGTCGGATAAAAGCCCAAAAACGGCACGCTGAGTGGTAGGATTGGTCTCGTTTGAAGATTGAATTAGTAAACCCAAACCCTGCACGGTTTCGGACGAGTTGCTAGAATCCTGGACTAGTTGGCTGACAGCACTCAAAAGCTGAGAGGAGCCTTGAGACGCATTGTTTGAAGCGAGCAAGGGCGCAGCGTGTGCGATGTTCGAGACCGTACTCGACACATTCTTGGAGCTATCCAAAAGCCCAAGTAGTGGTCTGAGAGCGGCGGTATGGGACACAGATCTGAGCGCATCGAAGATCTCGGAGTAGTTGCCCCCATTTGACGAAGCCATAGAGGGGCTGTTGAACAATCCAATGACGACAGAAAGCAAGGGAGCGGTCTCTGGGATAACTTTCGTCACGTTAATGTGGGAAATGTCTGCTTCGCCCAGGTAGACATTGTTGATGGGCGAGTAGTTAGACGATGACCCTGCGGTTGCCACGATGGCCAGGATGAACGCAGTAAAAACAAACAGTGCTGCTATTGCCAGCACTGGAAGCTGTTTAGAGCCTGTGAGCATTTTTGAAATGGACTTCGGAGAACGATATACCACTTCTTCAAATTTAAACGTGTGCAACCGTTTCTGCGGCTGCTCAATATTGAAACACAGCAGCAACGTCGTCCTTTTTATACCATTTTCTGACAAACTGACTCTTGCATTTGAGCTACAGACGCTTCTTGAGCCTCCCCCTCTCCCTCCAAAGTTTCATCGGTTTCTCTGTTGTGACTAGTTTCGCCTGATCTCGAAAGTTTCTCCAACAAAATGGCTTCGGCCGTGTAATGGAACGAACAAAACTTTGAGGCCCGTCTTCTAATATTACTAACGTCTGTTGAAGACGTCGCGGCCCAATATGCGTCTCATAGCCTCGGGGTTTCACTCATCTTACTGCCATGCCATTTCTGGTCTAAGGGTCCCGGTATCTGTTTCCTGCAAGAGCGGTAAATATCGAACGGCAACCGAAGTCGAGTTTTAGGCTGCTGCAGGGGAAACAGAGGGTACACACACACAGATACAGGTGTACTTTGGCAAATGTATTTGGAAAAGTACTCGTCTTCTGTACTCGCGGACGTGTACTCGCTTCTCAGAAAGGTAAAAGGACAACAGCTTTGTATGCTAAACGAAGTCTCGAACGGTTCGAGACCGCTGTTGAGCATGAGTTTCGCGTGCCTGGATAAAACGTCCGAGAAACTTTTCATACAGGAACTGCCGTCCGTGGCCAAGCTTCGCATTGTGGGTCTCAGCAGAGTTTTTTTTTCTGAGCGGCAGGAAGACTTTTGAAAAACTTGTTGGACAGTTTTTTCGACAGAGCTTGGTGAGTTCCTGAGTGGTATAATCTCGTAGCGTAGAGACCGGTTGCCTATTGATTAGCTTTGCATTGTGGTTGTGGTGTGATCCCCTGTGTGCCTTGGGTACTTTTTGTCTTGATGCAGAATTGATGCGTTTAATGCGATGTCGGTTTAGAAGCATTTTTCACCATTTCGGAGCTTCCTTTTGCTTGAACTATCTGTAGTTGAGCTTCTTGCGGTAACGTGGGACCAATGCCTTCTGGTAAGTCACTTGCTGCATTTAGCAAGTGAAATGGTCATAATTGTTGCATCGTATCAAATTTTGCAGCTTTAAAACTAGGTCTCCGGTCAAAAGTCGTTTAGTAAGGCCTGAGGAGTGGCAGAAACATGCTTTTCTCCTCCTCCCCATCAAATTGGTTTCAATAATCCTTTACGTCCGAGATCTAACACCAAGCGTCTTATTCATCACTCCTTTTCCTAGCTATTTCCATCTAATGGCGGCTAATCATGATGAAAATGTCTCGATTCGTAATCCCTAATGAATGGCAAATCATGTCCCTCTTCCTGTACTCTTATCTTCAGATCCATGTGGTTTTAGTTGTTTCTTGCAAAGCATTCGAGTGTGTGAACCTCAGCGGCAATGATGGAGTTCTTACCATTTTTCATTGATCTTTGTCTGCTTTAATAGTCCGAGCGTTAGCGCATTTTTTTCAGTACAAACACCTCAAAACTCCTGGCCCTTTCTATGAGATAGTTATCCTGTGAGACATCGAACTTTCAGCACATTTTCAAGTAGAGAAACCTAGACCTCCTTGGTGGTGGAGTTAGGGTTGTTCAATTACTAGTTCGATCGTTTTAATAGAACGCCCTATATGTAACGACACACTAGATTATTTATGATATCAAAGAAAAGCATTTTCGTACAACAAGATAAACTTTTGACGTCGTTAAAATAACGTTTCCATGCAGGCCATCGTCGGGTTTCTCCACTTTTGGTCACTGACTGAGGTTTGAGTCTGCCACCCTGCATGTTCGACTAGTGCGATTGTGTTTCTCTAGAAACCGTCTATCCTGTTTGAAGGTGCAAAATTCATACTCCGGTATGTATGCCCGTAGGGTTAATTTCGACATCCTAATGTCTTTTGTTTCATAGCCTCATCTTTTCCTCTTTCCTACACCGACATCAAAGAGTCGTCCGGTTTGTACACCGTTGTGTAGTTGAAGCTGTGTATTACGCAGTTATGGTCGCCGTTGAACACTCTGTCGTCTAGAACGATCTGTAAGGATATCCCGAAGTATGGACCCCACAAGGGCCGTGGTTTGGCGGCAGGGGCTCGGGGACCGACCCCGGCATTTCCAGCGCCTGTTATTTCGGTAATGGCCGAGTCTTGGCCCTCTTTGTCCCGTCCACTCTCGTCAAATCGTACTTTTCCGTTCACGCTGCATATCGTGGTCCCTGTGCCAGGAATAACATGGTAATCCAGACCGGTCAAGACGTGTTGTGTCTGCACCACAGCGCGCTGCCATGTCTCGAGAAATACCGCTGGTTGAGCAAATGGATTGGCATTCACAATAATCTTACTGTTCGCAGGATCGAAGCATTGTAGAAAAGGTGCCAATTGTTGCGAGTTTTTCTCGTCCAAGAAAGCAAACACTTTCTTGATGAATCCATCTACCGCCTGTGACTGGTTATTCATATTGGGAGGCCTTTTACACTGAATATCGACCGGAGTGTGTCTACTGAACTCCAGAAAGTGTCTAAGAAAGCCATCGCGGCCAACTTTTTTTCAATATTCAAATTCATATATATGTTAATTAATCACTACAGATCTGAAAAAGCTGTCGTCGAAGAATAGAAACTCATTACAACAAAACTGTAAAGAGAAGATCTTAAAAATGATCGCTTGGATCAATGTTGTGGACTCTAGTAAATCACCGAGTAAAAGTTCTTCTCGTCAGTCTTCTGATGTCGGAGTTTTCACTTTCGAGTCAAGCCTTTGATGTGTCACTGTGTACGTCGGGTGTTTAAGATATTGGCGCCAGCCTTCTCAATATATATAAATACATATGCAGATCTAAATGAAAATACCGACCCGTCTTTTGAATAAACAAGAAGGAATTCGAGCATTATTCCGAACCCGCCGACCTAATTACACTTTTGTTCTGCACGTACGCTTGTTTCTAGCCTGGAACTACACTTTCCAGCAAACATGTTTGGTAAACTTTCTTTCCTACGTCTTTGAAAGTGTTTCTGTAGCCTTCTTTTCTCAGCGCATTCTTCTTTTAGACGTTTTTATCAGTAGCCCGCAGTTGTGAGGACCATTTCCGGCCATCAGGCTGGGCTGGGGAAGAGTGTTGTGTAAATTGAAATCTGGGTAGCTCCTTGAATCGATCGCAGCATTCTGCAGCCCCCCCAAGTCAGTGGCCTGTCCTTCGATCTCGCCGTCGATATAAAATATAAACGGTTCTCGAACGAGAGTGCGTGGTGGAGCTAGCTTGAAGTCGAGATAGCTCACCTCAACTTTCCAACCAGAAACTATACCGTCACTCATTCAGGCCATTCATTAGCGTCGTCACGTCCAAACACACATACACACACACACTCGCTGTCCTTCCATTGTCCCAACCTGCTCGCATTAGGCGCTATCACTTCTAGTCCTATTCCAGCCTTCATTTCCCAGGAAACAGACAAACCTTACACTCATTTATGATGTCGACGTACCTCACAGCACCCACCCTCGCTCCAATGACCTCTGCTGGTCCAGAAACCCGTCATTCTTCAGCAATCCGTCGCAAACGTTCATTCGATGACCTGCTTTTACCATCACTACCCCTCGAGCCCGCACAGTACTGCTATCATGACTCCACCTACCTAGCGGGAAATCCTTCTTTTGAAGCCCGCGCTGATCACAAAAGGGCTCGTACCGCGCCTGCTTCGCCCGTTGGAGTCTTCACCAATCTGACCCCCAAGGCATCGCCTCTCTCAGCCAAAGCCACCATCAATTGTGCTCCTCTAGCCGCTCCACCCTCGAAATTCAGCGCTGGTGACAATTCTGCATCGCAATCGCAGCAAGTCTCTAATAGCCAGCGCTATGGTCCATCAACCTCGGCGTCTATCTCGAAAGAATCGTTCTATACATCGTCCTTGAGCCTGGCCTCTATCACTCATAGGAACAACGAAGATTCAGAAAGCGATGAGAACCCAAATATTACTCAAACAAACAACTGCGCTCCCCTCCCATCATTGAAACACCTGCAATTGTTACCGAATCCCAAAATTCAAGAAAACGCTTATCGATACCCAGACACATCTGAGAAAACTCCACTCTGGAGAGAAAGTCTAGTGAGTTGGTGTAAAAGTGAAAAGTACAACGATTATCTCCAGATTAACAAAGAGCTTCACGAAGTTTCGTCCTATCCGGCTACAGGACTGAACATTCTAGCAAGCGTTGCATTCATGTCTCAAAAAATACCCTCCCTTCTCAATGCCCGCGACGAATTTTCCGGATTATCGAACTGTGCATCGCTGCATGGTGTCGTAACACCACCTATGAGCCCTCGTAGCGCGAATTCGACGACAAGAAGCTCACCAGTGTTCACACCAGCTATCAGCGACAAATTGGTACAAACCGTTAAGGAAAAGCGCACCAAGGCTCACAAGAAAACCAACAGCTTCAAGGCACGGGAAATGAAAAAGTTGCTGAATGACAGAGATATCTTGTCCTTGGACTCGAAGGGGAAAGTCTCCAAAGTTAGACAGAGTAGAGCGCGCAGCGCGCCTTCCTCGCCACAGCAATTCGTGATTAAGTTAGACGCCTTGACGTCTCCGAAAAGTATCACGAAAAGCTCGCCCAAAGAAGTCTCTGGTGGCCAGAAAATTCTGGGCACAGATTCGTCACCTCCACGCAGCAGAACTCCGCCAAGAACTCATGTATTCATGCTCAACGAACCACGGACCCCAAATACAAGCTCATCGCTCAACAGCGTTCATGCCGATTCCGCCACGACGTACAGTTCTTCCTCCGACACACCCGTCGTTGCGAACAGGAAACTGTCATCACCGAAGCGTTCAGCGGTACGGACCTGCATTTCATGCCACGCAACAGACTCGCCTTGCTGGAGGCCCTCTTGGACAAACAGGAAGCAAGACCAATTGTGCAACTCTTGTGGTCTTCGCTACAAAAAGACACAGACAAGATGCCTCAATGACAGTTGTCGAAAGATACCTTCCAAGGGCGAACTTGCAATCATGAAGGCAAATGGCAGCCTGACCCGAATCAGTCCGGACGGCTCGATAACAAGAGGTCTAGGCTGCCTATTTTGCAATAGCATAGTTGAGATCAAGGAATGACTGGGAATGGCACTACCACCAATAACTTGCTCAGGTAGCTAGAAAGGTCGGTATCTAAAAGGTAGCATATAGCTTTAAATAATTATATCAGGTAATATAAAGAAGGAAGAAAGCACTGAAATGTATAGAACTGTTGACCAATGTTCGGCCATGTTTGTTGGGCGATTGCCAAATTTTAAGACTGGTGGTTAGGTGTGTGAATGTTTGTTAATGTTGATGTATAATTCCCAATTATAAAAATATTATATAAGATAACCGGTCTCGAGGAAATAATAGAGAACGTGATTAAGCTTCCAGAGAGATAAGTAATTTGGTCAGAACACTGTTAACCAGGTCAAATACACACTCTGGCTTTTAAACTGTGAAGTCCTGTGAATTCCTGCTACAGTGTATCTTCCAGGAGAGAAAGAGTGTGAGTGAGTGAGTGTATATGACACACTAGTACAAAGTGACAAGAACCTGTTCGATTTAGAAGATGCGTGCACGACCATTGATAATCTTCTATAAAAAGCTAGACTCGGGAAATTAGTACCACTCTCATGTTTGTGGGTGGAAAGATGATTTCTGACATTCCTCAGTTTCAGTCTCGTTGTGTAATTACATTCGTGACAAATTATAGTCGATTTTAGAAATGAAAAAAAACGGGGTAGAATAATCAAATCAATACCCTCTTTCTACACACGTTCAAGTTCAAATCAATTGCCTAAAACTAAGACTTTGCTGATCGTAAGGTCGCCAGTTCTGAGAAGAAATCCGGGATCACGTGACACATCACTTCATCTCATCACTAATTTGACGCATACGAAGTCTCAAACTCTAATAATCAACCTACAAGATGTAATCAAATTTGTCTCCAAGTACTGCCCTAAGTCCAAGACGTTCCAATTGCCTTCCAAGTGTTCTTTTATCCTGATTTTATCTAACAATGCGTTTCTCAGAGCCTCTGTCGCTTTTCTCCTAGGTAACTCTTTTTCTCATGGCTGCTACCTATAGTGATGAAAAAAATTGATGAGCACGCCGTTGTAGATCATCGCAAAGCGTTGAACACAAGATATAAAACGTTCAATTCTCCTGTATTCTGACCAGCTTGCTGATACTTCTTGACTCACAGGTCCTCTAAGATCCGGCCAGCAAGCTAAACCAAGCTTTTCAGGAGTCGAAGGGTTTGAAATGGCCACAGTTCAGGATGTCAGAACCGTGACGAGCACCGTTGAAAGTCGCGAATTGCAGCTCAAGAATGTCGATGTTACGCCAAGAACAGGTCTTGGCTTGTCATTGAACGGTACGGAGGTGGCCACGGCAGCCAGAGCATCGAGTCTTGGAGGCCAAAAAGCACACTCCATGGTTTTCCAGGCTCTAAAGGACCGTGTCAACAGTGTTAATCAAGAGGTGTGCGAAGCAGGCGAGGAAAATTCGTTTTTCGTTTGCGATTTGGGCGAAGTAGAACGGCTGTACGCCCATTGGCATGCGAAAATTCCCCGGGTGCATCCATTCTACGCGGTGAAGTCCAATCCGAACCCCAAGGTGCTCGAATTGCTCGCCCAGATGGGTGCGAATTTCGATTGCGCTTCCAAATCTGAAATCGAAATGGTGTTAAACTTGGGCGTGAATGCGTCACGGATCATCTACGCCAACCCGTGTAAGGCTTCGTCGTTCATTCGTTTTGCGAAGAACAAAGACGTGCGGAAATCGACGTTCGACAACGTCGAGGAGTTGGCCAAAATCAAGAAATACCATCCTGAATCAGAACTGCTGCTCCGTATAGCAACCGACGACTCCACTGCCAAATGTAGGCTGTCTACGAAATACGGATGCGAAATGGAGAACGTGGATCGGCTTTTGGCCAGGGTCAAGGAAATGGGGCTCAACTTGGTCGGTGTATCTTTCCACATAGGATCCGGTGCTTCGGACTTCAGCACTTTCTATAAGGCCGTTCGTGATGCCCGCGAAGTGTTTGATCGTGCCAAAAGCTCGTTTGGGTTTCCAAACGTCCATGTGTTGGATGTAGGTGGAGGATTCCATCTCGATACTTTTGACGAGTCCAGCCGCGCCTTGAACATGGCGCTTGACGAGTTTTTCCCTCCCACGGACGACGTCACCTTGATTGCCGAGCCTGGTAGATTTTTCGCCGCTTCGCCCTTCACACTGGCGTGTCACGTCATTGCCAAGCGCGCCCACAACGATAAGGAATCCATGTTGTACATCAATGATGGCGTGTACGGCAACATGAATTGTATTTTGTTTGACCACCAGGAACCTATGCCCAAGGTGCTTTACCATGATCAACAGTTCCACTACTGGGAAGAAAAGCCGTCAACCTCATCCGTGAGCTCCCTACACTGTCCGCTGAAAGTCTCGATTTGGGGACCCACCTGCGATGGACTGGACTGTGTCACCAAGGAGTATTATTTCAAACATGACATGGTCGTGGGCGATTGGTTATATTTCACAGCTCTGGGCGCCTACACTTCTTCTGCAGCGACACAGTTCAACGGTTTCGAGCAAGCAGTTGATGTTTTATACATAAACTCTGCGAATGAGCTGTGACATTGTCCGTAGGAAAGTCCCGAATTGCGTAAGAAACCACAATGGTAATGATGACGAGGAGAAGGAGGAGGAGAAACAGGAGGAGAAGCAGGATTAGGAGAAGCAAGATGAATGAGAGCGTTGCACACAATTCACGGAAAGTGTGTTGTGAATTGGAAATCTCGTGAAGATTTTCGCTGCAGCCTCAAAAAAGTATGAATATTCCGTACCCGAGGGTCTACAATTTTAGGCAGCAGCTCGGCCAGAAGATCTGGTCAACTCTGGCTAACATCAATCGCTATGTAGGTATTAAGACTCTGTTATACTGGGTATATAGGCAGCGTCAGATAATAACGTTTATTACTTGGTGGAAAAAAATTGGACGACGACTGACAATAAATTCAAAGTTTGACCAGCTCATCGGCTAACAAAAAGAACAAAGAATCAAGCTCAGAGTAATGCTACACAGCGATGAACACACTTTGACCTGTCAGCTGGAAAGGACAAAGCCCACGGTTGAAAATGTGACGCCATTGGCGCTCCACCAACAGACACAGCCGAGAATCAAAGGAGTAGCACTGGATCGACAAAATGAGCTGCCAATTCTGTATGGGGGTGGCAGAGAACTGCTGGTTGGGCTGATACCGCCTCCAGGAGAGCCTTTGCTGCTGGGACGCGTGGAAGTGGCGGATTTCTTCGTTTTGAGTACGTGTATGGTGGTTTGGATTAATGCTCAGGAAATCGGGTTGCAGATCCCGTACCAAAAGGTGGTCTACCATGGAACACGACTAATTGAGGACCAGAGACCTAATGCGGCAGGCTCCAGCATGGAGATAGTCTTGACCGTGCAACGAGACGCCACGCTGGACCAGCTATTCCCGCGAAGTGTTGATTCTACAGAGTGGTCGGCGGAATATCCGCTGGAGACGGTTGAGTTGGTGCTGCGGCCGCAATACGGGGAGTTCGAGCGTGTGTACAACGAGGAGCGCGAGGCGCTGTTTACGTTTCGAGAGTTTGGGCTGAACCGGGGCGATCGGATGGTGTCCAACTGCAATGCTGCGATTTCTCGATGCATGGACCTTTTCTGCACGGACGAGGACCAGGGAGATGACCCGGACGAGCCTGTTGGAGGAGGAGGAGGAGGAGGAGGAGGAGGCCTGCTGCAGAGCGATGCAGCGGCTGTGTACGCCAACTTTGGCGCGGCGGACGACCTGGACGTCGATAGCGATATTGGGGCGTTGAAGGACGACGGTGTGGACGCCGGAATGGCGTTGGAATTCTACGACGACGTGCCGCTGGCCGGACGGCGCCACATGTGGGACTCCGGCTTGCACGAGGAGGTCAAGAAACCCAGGAGTTGTATGTGATGTGAAGTGGTAGCGAAAGCCGGTAGCGAAACCCACACACCACATACATTATGCATTCGAGCACGCTTATACACACTTATACACGCTTATACACACTAATACACACTAATACACACTTATACCCTAGACACACTCCACGCCCTCTTTCTATCTTTCTCTCCCACGAGTACCCATCACGAGTACCCATCAACATTCTTTACGGCCATCTCCCCTTCGCCCTCCTTCCCTTCCCTCATCACTACACACGGCCCAACCTAATCCATCCAAATCCAACATTTCCAACAACAACAACAACTATCGCCCTTAAACCCAAACCAACAAACAACCCAAAACCCACCGCGCGCGTCGTAGTCTTCCAGCCCTTCAGCCTACACAGTCGCAGTGCTAGTGCTAGACCTTGTATATTTTTTACCCAACGCCCTCAACAAGCAACCGCACCACAACAGACCTTTGTGGCAAGCGTTCAGGGAGACAACTGCGAGCTTTGAACCGTGCTCCGATACAAGATATACGCGTGTGAGTGGATATTGGTAAATAAATAAATATATATATATATATATAGAGGAAGTTCACTTTGACGTTATAGAAGTGCTTCCGTTGTAGAATTCCAGGTTCCCGTCAACAAGCTAGACAGAACTCGTGTGTGATAGCGACAGAGACAACGACAGAGACAACGACAGTTCCCGTTTCCCAGAGCTTTTTGCCCTTATTTACAGAGAAAGGTATGTGTTTTAGCGTGAAGAGGAGTGAAGAGGAGTGGAGTAAGAATGAAGAAGAGGAGTAAAGTAAGAGTGAAGTAAGAGTGAGAAAGAGTGGTGTAGGAATGTGAGAATCAGTACAAAGGTTGTGTGTGAGATGATGATTCTCCCGTCTTTTGTGTTTAGCCGCCAACATCAAGGAGGAAGAAGAAGAAGGGGTATCACACCATACGGAAGACGTACACAACGACAACAATATCAAAAGATAATTTGGGTTTTAATGTGGCGGGCTTAGTGGTGGTGGTGGTGATAATAATGAGAAGTACTATTATCATTACCGGTGTCGCTGTAGAGACAGAGTGATGAAAAATGGAAAAATCCAACAAAAACATGCAGAAACGCGGTAGGATAACGAGCCGTGGTGGTGGTCAAGGGAGAGAGGAAAGGCAGGGGAAAGGGAGAGGAGAGTAAGAGAAAAGAGGCCCATCAATAATTGTAATGATGCGTCAAATTTGAATTTTATTGTCAAAAGCTGACAGAAAGAATTGCCCAGAATTTGAGTTTCTGATACCCTCCCCCCCTCCCCTTTCTTTCCCTTCTCCCCTTCTCGATCGATGATCACATGGACTCTATTCTCCTAACCTCGTTTACACCGCGCCAGCCGGCTTCTTTACCGAGACCAATTCTCAAAAATTCAATTTTCGCCTTCAACCTTTACTTTTTTTTTTATTTTATTTGGCGTGTTTCCAGTACAACTTTTTTTTTCGCGGGTCCAGAGACTTGTCTGAGTGTCCCAAATTGTTGGGTTTTCTCTCCCTCATTCAGCGGCTGCCAACTTGCTAAGGAACCGTACCACAGCCAACCCATTGGCACTCGACTCCCTCTTTCCTTCCCTCGACGGCACCAATAAAGTGTGAACATCCAAAGACACCAGAAGCTGTTGTCGTTCTTCTTTCTTTCTGCCGTCTGTTCCCAAAAAAAAAAAAAAAAAAGAATTCAAAAGCTCAATACCTTTTTTCCTAGTGATTTTCGCTTTTTCTTCTTCTTCTTCCTGCCCTTGTCACTCAATTCTTCGTCTATCCAATCCGTTGACTTTTTGAGCTGGGGTGTTCTCTTTTACTAACCACAATTATTCAATTGCAGCAGTTATACCCAGCAGCTTTCCCCTGAATTTCACCGAATCTTGTTATTCTCCCATCTACTGAGAATCGCACGCTGCTTCATTCCCAACAAGCAGCCATAGTTCCCCTTTGGTGAAGCTTTAAAAACTACAAGTCTTTTATTGTTTGTTTGGTATCAAAAGAATTTCCCAATCTTTTTCCATCCAAGCCATTTAGAAGCGCCATCCTATTATTCCCCCCTCCCCTTCCCACCTAAGTTATACACAATGAGCAGTGCCTCTAGCAGCACCAGAGCGCTCACTTTGGCCCACGGCTCTATCGAGCACGTTCTGCCAGTTCCAACAGCGTCTTTTTTCCAAGGCTCCCAGCTGCAAGACCAATTCTCCAAGCAGCTTCCAGCTGCCACTGAAGGGTTCATCTCTGACGACGAGCCATCGTCTCCCGCAGAGCTTTTGGGTCAATTCCTCGGTTACGTGGCGACTTTGGTCGACCCCTCTACCAAGGGCCAATTTGACGACGTCTTAGCCTTTGCTTTGACCGAATTCGAATCCAGCTATCTGCAAGGTAACGATATACATGCATTGGCTGCCAAACTGTTGGCCGACGAAGATGTTTACCCAACCACTTTGGACAAGGTCAAGACCCTAATCAAGAACTACTTTGATGCTCGTATCGCAGCTCAAAGACCTTTCTCAAAGTCTGACTCTGCCTTGTTCAAGAGTGCGTCCGCCAAAGAATCACAACTGGTGGCCATTTTCGGTGGCCAAGGTAACACCGATGACTACTTTGAAGAACTACGCGAGCTATATCACACTTACCATAGTATCATCTCAGATGTCATTGAGTCTGCTGCTTCTAAATTGGCAGAACTTGTCAGATCCACTGACGACACAGAGAAAGTATACACTCAAGGTTTCGACGTTTTGCAATGGCTGCAAAACCCAGAAACCACCCCCGACAACGCTTACCTACTATCTATCCCCATTTCATGTCCATTGATTGGTGTTATTCAATTGGTTCACTACGCTGTCACTGCCCGTGTTCTAGGTTTCACCCCAGGTGAGTTGAGATCACACCTGGTCGGTGGTACCGGTCACTCTCAGGGTCTCGCAACCGCTGTGGCCATTGCAGAAGCCGACTCTTGGGACTCTTTCTTCAAGTCCTTGAACAAGACCATCACACTTTTGTTCTCCATTGGTGTGCGTTGTTACCAGGCGTATCCAAACACTTCCATGTCTCCCTCAATGCTTGAAGACTCCGCCGAAAACGGTGAAGGTACCCCATCCCCAATGTTGTCCATCTCCAACTTGACAAAAGATCAAGTACAGAAGTATGTTGATCAGACCAATGCTCACTTGCCATCGGAAAAGCATATTGTCATCTCCTTGGTCAACGGTGCCAGAAATTTGGTTGTGACCGGTCCCCCACAGTCATTGTACGGTTTAAATTTGACCTTGAGAAAGGCTAAAGCTCCAGCGGGTTTGGATCAAGCCAGAATTCCACACAGTGAAAGAAAGCTCAAGTTCTTTAACAGATTTTTACCTATCGCGTCACCATTCCACTCTCACTTACTGGAACCTGCCAATGCCTTCATTAAGCAAGATTTGGAAGATGCCGGATTGGAGTACAATGCGGCTGACCTCAAAATTCCAGTTTACGATACTTTCGATGGTAAGGATTTGAGAGATTTCAGTGGTTCCATCGCTGAAAGAATCACTCTATGCATTACCAAGTTACCAGTCAACTGGGAACTCACCACGCAGTTCAAAGCTTCTCACATTTTGGACTTTGGTCCTGGTGGATCGTCTGGCCTCGGTGTTCTCACGCAACGTAACAAAGATGGTACTGGTGTCCGCGTCATCGTTGCTGGTGCATTGGATGTCAACCCTGAAGACGAGTATGGTTTCAAGCAAGAAATCTTTGATGTGTCTCCTGTTGGCCTCAAGTTTTCGCCCAACTGGCTCGAGGAATTTCACCCCAAGCTGGTCAAGACTAAGGCCGGTAAAGTTTACGTCGATACTAAGTTTTCGAAGCTTCTAGGTCGCGCACCTTTGCTTGTGCCTGGTATGACTCCTTGCACCGTCTCCCCAGACTTTGTCGCTGCCACCATCAATGCCGGCTACAGCATCGAATTAGCTGGTGGCGGTTACTTTTCACCTGCCCACATGACTGCTGCGATCGACTCTGTGGTTTCTCAGATCAAGAAAGGTTATGGGTTTGGTATCAACTTAATTTATGTCAACCCCAGAATGTTGCAGTGGGGTATTCCAATGATCAAAGAGTTGAGAGAAAAGGGGTACCCTATTCAGTCTATGACCATTGGTGCTGGTGTTCCTTCCCTAGAAGTAGCCTCAGAGTACATTGAGACCTTAGGCCTCACTTACTTGGGCTTGAAGCCTGGCTCAGTGGACGCTATCTCTCAAGTCATTGCCATTGCAAAGGCTCACCCAACTTTCCCAATTGTCTTGCAATGGACAGGTGGTAGAGGTGGTGGCCATCATTCTTTTGAAGACATGCATTCCCCAATCTTCCAAATGTACTCCAAAATCAGAAGATCATCTAACATCATCTTGGTGGCGGGTTCTGGGTTTGGTTCAGCTGATGATACTTACCCTTACCTAACTGGTGAATGGTCTACCAAGTTCAACTACCCACCTATGCCTTTTGATGGTTTCCTTTTCGGTTCAAGGGTTATGGTCGCTAAAGAAGCTAAGACCTCACCTGACGCCAAGAAAGCTATCGCAGCGTGTAGTGGTGTTCCTGATGATAAATGGGAGCAAACCTACAAGAAGCCTACAGGTGGTATCGTCACTGTTCGCTCTGAAATGGGTGAGCCTATTCACAAAATTGCCACAAGAGGTGTCTTGCTGTGGAAAGAATTGGATGAGACTATCTTCAATCTGCCAAAGAACAAACTCCAGCCTGCTTTGGACGCCAAGAGGGACTACATTATCGGCAAACTGAACGCTGACTTCCAAAAACCTTGGTTTGCTACTGTTGACGGACAGGTCCGTGACATAACCGACATGAACTATGAAGAAGTTGCTCAAAGATTGGTTGAATTAATGTACCTGAAATCCGCTGATAAGTGGATCGACATCACCTGGAGAAATTTCACCGGTGACTTTTTGCGTCGTGTCGAAGAACGTTTCACCAAGAAGAAGACAGCCTCTTTGCTACAGTCTTACTCGATTTTGGACGATCCTTTCAAGGTTTTGACCACTATCTTTGAGGCTTATCCTGCTGCCAGGACCCAGTACCTCAACGCCCAAGATGTTGACTACTTCTTGAGTTTATGCCAAAATCCAATTCAAAAGCCAGTTCCTTTCGTGCCTGTTTTGGATCAAAGATTTGAGTTCTTTTTCAAGAAGGACTCCTTATGGCAATCCGAATATCTTGAGGCTGTTGTCGACCAGGATGTTCAAAGAACATGTATTCTACATGGTCCTGTCGCTGCTCAATTCACCAACGAAGTGGATGAACCCATTGAAAGCATCATGGATGGCATTCACAACGGCCATATTGAGAAGCTCCTAAGAGATTACTACAATGGCAATAGCGCTAGCATCCCTGTTGTCGAATACTTTGGTGGCGAAGATCCCGAAACCGTCAAATTCGATTCGGTTGAAACGGATGGTAAAATCATTTACCGCGCCCCTGCATCCGCCAATGAACAAGAGTGGTTCAAGTTATTGGCAGGTTCTGAAAAGAACTGGAGACATGCTTTCTTCTCTACACCAAGGGTTGTTCAAGGCTCCATGTATGCGCAGAACCCTGTTCACAAAGTATTCAAGCCTATCCCACAATCCGTCGTTCAAATTTCCAGTCCTGAGGACCCTAAGAAATGCATTATCACTTTACTAGAACTAGTTCAAGGAGACTTGAAACCCACTGTCTCGCTGCGCTTGATCAAAGACGGCGTGATGGAGTTGAAGCTGATTGAGAACAGAACTATGGATGGCAACCCCGTTAATCTGCCACTACTTTACAAGTACCAGCCAGAGGACGGCTTTGCTCCAATTTCGGAAGTGATGGACGGCCGTAACGACCGTATCAAGGAGCTCTACTGGAAGCTATGGGTGGACGAACCATTTGACTTAGATTTCGATGCAAAGAAACCTATCAAAGGCGCTGACATTACCATCACTGCGAAAGACATCGCTGAATTCACCCACGCTATTGGGAACAAATGTGAGGACTTTGTCTCGAGACCAGGTAAAAAACTTTTGGCGCCAATGGACTTCGCTATTGTCGTCGGCTGGAGAGTTATTATCAAGGCTATTTTCCCTAAGACTGTGGACGGTGATCTTTTGAAACTTGTTCACATGTCGAATGGTTACAGAATGATTCCTGGCGCCAAACCTTTGCAGGAGGGCGATGTGATTTCTTCGACTGCTGTCATCAAAAGTGTAGTTAATCAGCCTAACGGAAAGATCGTTGAGGTTGTTGGTACTTTGAGCAGAAAAGGCTCTCCTGTCATGGAGGTCACGTCCTCGTTCTTCTACCGTGGTAAGTACACTGACTTCGAAAACACATTTGAGAAGATTACCGAGCCTGTGTATCAAGTCAAGATTAACAGCGCAAGAGACGTCGCAGTTCTGCGCTCTAAAGAATGGTTCCAGCTGGACAATGAAGAAATTGATTTGCTTGGCAAGACCTTGACATTCGAAACCGAGACTGCTGTCACATTTAAAGACGAAACTGTTTTCAACACTGTGAAGTGCGAAGGTAAAATCAAGGTGGAACTGCCAACCAAAGAAAAGGTTGAAATCGGCGTTGTCGAGTATGAAGCCGGAGAGTCTCACGGTAACCCAGTTATTGACTACCTGAGCAGGAATGGCTCCACTTTGGAGCAAAAAGTCAATCTTGAAAATGCTATTCCGATTGCTGTCAAGGAGACACAGGCTCCTGGTACAAATGAACCTTACGCTAGGGTTTCGGGCGATTTGAATCCAATTCACGTTTCCCGCCATTTCGCTGACTACGCCAATTTGCCTGGAACTATCACACACGGCATGTACTCGTCCGCTGCTGTTCGTGCTTTGGTTGAAACTTGGGCTGCCGACAATGTCTCCGCGAGAGTTCGTGCCTACAGCTGTCAATTCGTCGGCATGGTTTTGCCTAACACTCCTTTGAAGACTACTATTCAGCACATCGGCATGATTAACGGTCGTAAGTTGATCAAATTCGAGACCCAAAACGACAATGACGAAACTGTCATGTCCGGTGAAGCCGAGGTCGAACAGCCTGTGTCCACCTTCGTCTTCACTGGTCAAGGTTCTCAGGAACAAGGTATGGGTATGGACTTGTACGAGAAATCCGAGGTTGCCAAAACTGTTTGGGACAGAGCAGATGCTCATTTCAAGAAGACTTACGGTTTCTCTATTTTGGACATTGTAAAGAAAAACCCTACTGAAATGACCATTTACTTTGGCGGTGAGAAAGGTAGGAAGATTAAGGCCAACTACACTCAGATGATCTTCGAAACTATTGTGGACGGTGAGCTAAAGACTGAAAGGATCTTCAAAGACATTACTGAGGAAACTACCTCTTATACATTCAAGTCCCCAACCGGTTTGTTATCTGCTACGCAATTCACACAACCAGCCTTAACCTTGATGGAAAAAGCTTCTTTTGAAGACTTGAGATCGAAAGGATTGATTCCAACGGATGCGGCCTTTGCTGGTCATTCGCTAGGTGAGTATGCTGCTCTAGCATCTTTGGCTGATGTGATGTCCATCGAATCATTGGTTGAAGTTGTCTTCTACAGAGGTATGACTATGCAGGTAGCAGTTCCAAGAGACGAGGACGGAAGATCGAACTATGGTATGGTAGCCGTGAACCCAGGTCGTGTTTCACCAACATTCAACCAGGACGCGTTGAAGTTCGTTGTTGAGTGTGTTGACAAGAGAACTGGATGGTTAGTGGAAATTGTTAACTACAATGTCGAGAACCAACAATATGTTGCCGCTGGTGACTTGAGAGCTCTGGACACTTTGACCAACGTTTTGAACTTTGTCAAGATTCAGAAAATCGACATCGTTAAGCTCCAGGCTACCATGTCTCTAGAAGATGTTGAGAGCCACTTGAACGAAATCATCGACGAAGTCTCGAAGAAATCTGAAGCGAAGCCACAGCCAATTGATTTGGAGAGAGGTTTTGCTTGTATTCCATTGCGTGGAATCTCGGTGCCTTTCCACTCTTCGTACCTAAGAAACGGTGTGAAGCCTTTCAAGAACTTTTTGAAAAAGAACATTGTCAAGGAGAACGTCAATGCCGACAGATTGATTGGCAAGTACATTCCAAACTTGACTGCCAAGCCTTTCCAGATTACGAAAGAATACTTCCAAGATGTTTATGAATTAACTGGTTCCGAGAAAGTGAAGGAAATCCTAGACAACTGGGAAAAATACCAAAACTAAAGTTCATGAAATCAAATAAAAAACATTGTTGGAATTCTTTTACAATGTTCTACTTACGAAAACTACTTCACTGACCGATAAAGAGGCCGATGGAGGTGCTGGGAAACACCATCATTGCGCGCCCATAAGGTGAAGGAAGAATACGCAAGCTAGGTTCTCTTGTGAGACTGGGAAATCTTACAAGTAGGGTTAATCTTAGAACATGGTAATCTATTAGACCGCGGATACTTTGATATTTGCGTTAGCTGTCGCCGGGAACAAAGACAGTCTTGCTCTCTAACAAATGTATAATATAACACCTATAATAAGTACACTATCAGATAAATTATTCTTTGAGAATTACTCAATACCTGGCATCTTATAAAGTTCTAGAAGCTGATTGATAGGTGTTCTTGATGTGAGGCGTTAGAGGTAAAGATTGTAATTGTAGTTTGAACGAATTAGAGTCACAGGTAGGTATTTTATAGTATTCTATGTAATGCCAAATCGGAGAACGAGTTTAGCCAGGGTTCATTTGCCAGTATAGTACCTCCGTCAAAGTCAGTGAGAATGCTTATTTGTCCGAAATATGTTTCAACGGCGCTATAATCTGCGGGGTCTTGCGACGGTATGTTCTTGCGCTTCCGACGAGCGCGCCTAGAAACAAAAGTTTGGAAATCTGAAGAAGGAACTAGAACATCCGACTCTGTGGGGCCTAACAAATGATTTAATTTTGCCAGTTTTGGATATTTTTTGAACAGTTGTGACTTTGTATATCGATCAACGTGTTTGGCAACATGATTCGCTAACATGAGTTTTGGTTTTTCAAGAGTCAAAATGTCTTCCGTCAAGTCCAGCGGTGCATGAGGTAAAAAGAAGAGCACATCCTCTGTTTTCGTTGTATCGTCTTCGAGCTTTTCGTCAATTGACCATTCTGGTCCCTGTTTACTGATGAACTCTTTGTCGGCTTTTGTAAAGACTGGATCGTAAATGGACACTTCAAGCGGTTTTTCGCTTTCAGCGTTGAAATGTTCTGTTAGCTCAAGAAGAAGTGCTAGTTGGTACAACGCCGCGAATTCCTCGAAAAAACTGCCAATTGCCAAACATCGTATCTGTCGAACGTTTCCCACAAAAGGTTCCAATTGACGCTGTAAAGTTTGAAACATCCGTGATTTTCTGATAATGCATCGTCTTTCTCGAAGAGAATCGTCGAAAGCCGTGGCATTCAACTTGGAACTGGTCCTACTAACTTTCTTAAATTTATCGCCATCACTGCCACTATTCTCGGATGTCATATATGGTCATGAATAGATGCTAAAGCAACTCGACTTGTAGCGAGATTTGATGGGTTGGGTAGTTGGCGATGAGCTGCTCGTTGAACGTCTTTAATCTTTACATAAATATTGAAGGTCACGTGACATAAAGTTTCGAAAGATACAGGACGAAATTGACGATTAGTTGATTTATAGGTCTACAAGCTTGTCACTTTTCAGGATGATGCGAACCATTTTTCAATTGTTTGTTGAGATAGTCTCCTATTTTCAAACCGCAGGTTGAATTCCCGATTTTCCCGGATTTGAGATAACGTCTTAGCCAAAAAAAACCAGAATTTGGAAAAAGCGTCAATGTAACGGCTGCGAAAAAAATGAAGAATGATTGTTGTAATTGTCCAGAATATTCAGGGTTCTTGAGACTCAACTATGGTTGAACCGAATGGAGGGATAAGAAACTTTAAACAAGAGCTATACGTATAAAACGACATGAATACTGACATAGGCATGATGACGGGTGTGGAGGAAGTGATCTGGTCAATTTTAACAGTTGTTTGGATTAATCCTTGTTTTAAACAAACCGTGGCACTATGCCATATGGATCTAGCAATTGAAAAATGATCATAATGAGATGATTTATATGACAAGTCCGTATAGAATGTTGTTCTCACTTTTGTCAGACCGCGTCGCTGACACGCGTCACGTGATCAATCCATTTTTTTTCAATTAGATATCAATTTTTGGCGTTGCAAGTGCTGAGATACGTATAGTTTATACAAACTCACCGGTTTACGTGCTCCCAGCTCTATTTCCCTCGCGATATGTGAGGCTTTCGAATGACAAAGATTTTAGACCTGAAGCTCCAAGTCACCTCATACGAAAACATCTATTAAAATAATACTCATTTCATAATGAACACTCATATAGATATGAAATGAATCTAGATAAAATTCTTAGGACTCTTGGCTGCTATTCAAATTATTAACCACCATAAAGCGTCACTACTCGCTTTCAAAACCAATACTCTGTCACATCTCAAATCACATGACCAATCTCCAGCCTTAATCTAATATCAACACAATCACCTTGAACGAAACTCTCACACTTTTACTTTTTTTTCGCCTATATATATATTCTGAAAAAAAATTCCAAATCCTAGCTCATCAACTAACCTTAACCTACATTTCAACGCTTTATGAACCGTAACAGGTTCTAAGTTGAATGCTTCAACAGATTCTCACAATAGTGTCACTCTAGCCTTTAGATCTAGAGCGCAGCATCTCGAACCTTTTCTCAGGATTCAAAACGGTCCATTTTAGACGGAGTTAGACCTCGAATTCTATCGAATTTCGTATTCAATAGACATACACACAATTTCAGGTTTGTCCAAAAGTTGACTTCTCAAAGCTTTAAGTGAACGCTTTATATCGCGCTGGAAAAGTCAGGTTTCAATTGCTAAGAAGCTTTTTGGAGAGATTCAACGGCGATTTTTTGGGACATTGTACAGTTCATTCACATCCAACGGTGAACTATATAAGAACCATCCAACTTGCTTACTCTGGTTAACACAGGGCAGCCCAAAGTGAGCGTACTCGAAGCTGAGGAGCCGCTTGACGGGCAAAATAAGGAAATGCGGAAGTGTAAGGTTTTTGTGGGCAATTCACATCCCGAACTCGGGAATTTGGTATGCCATAGATTGGGCATTGAACCTGCACCATGTACGCTAAAAAAATTCGCCAATGGCGAAACTTCCGTGCAAATCGGAGTTTCTGTGCGTGACGAAGACGTGTATGTGATCCAGTCTGGGTCTCCAGCTATCAATGACCATATCATGGAACTTTTGATTTTGGTATCTGCTTGCAGAGGCGGATCTGCCAAGAAAATCACAGCTGTGGTACCACAATTCCCTTACTCCAAACAGTGTAAGATGAAAAAGCATAGAGGCGCTATTACGGCTAGAATGCTTGCAAACTTGCTCATTATGGCTGGAGCAGACCACGTTGTGTCTATGGATCTCCACGCCTCTCAAATGCAAGGTTTTTTCAGTAAGCCGGTTGACAACCTATATGGAGGACCTAGTTTGGCCAAATGGATCAGGGAAAACGTCGAGGAGTTTGCTGATGCGGTCGTAGTGTCCAAAAACCCAGGCGGTACCAAGAGAGTGACTGCGTTGGCAGATTCACTAAAGATAAATTTTGCTATGATACACACCGATCGTCGTCGCTCTAAAGACTTGTATTCGCAAAACAGAAACAAAACTCAACTTTTGCAAAGAAAGCAGTCCATGCTGAGGAAAAATAAGCCCATCGTCAGGCCAGGAGAGGCTCCAGGTGAGGAGGAAAATATTATTCTCACTAACGGCATTCAAACCGCAAGAGTTGTCAAGGGACACGTTGTCGATGACGACGATTACGCAGATGATGCTTGTATTTCAGAGTCGGAAAATGACTCGGATGCACTATCGTCAGTCAGTGATTCCTATGCGCTTGGTTCGTATGATGCCGTTGACTCCGAAGACGAAGAGGGCCCTGACTTTGTGGATCAAGAAAAGTTGATCACTTTGGTCGGTAACGTCAACGGACGTTCTGCCATCATATTAGATGACATGATAGACAGACCTGGATCCTTCATTAGCGCAGCAGAGCATATGATGAAGAACTGTGGTGCCAAGAGAGTTTATGTGATCGCAACTCACGGTGTATTCACCGGTGATTGTCTGGAACAGCTGGAAAACTCAACATCGATCCACCAGATAGTCGTTACCAACACATACCCAATTTCTCAGCAGAAACTGGCAAGTTCAAAAAAATTGGTGGTCATTGATGTATCTTCGATTTTTGCGGAATGCATTCGCCGTGACCACTACGGAGAGAGTATCTCCGTTCTGTTCGACTCTTTGGCTTCATTGTGAAGTCTATCACTGATCGTGTTGAACTCCACTGTATTTTATATCGGAATCTAGCATCAAGAAACGTTGGCAATTGCTATCTTGAGAAGTAATCAACAATCAGAGTGCAGAAAACCAGTGTTGCAATCACAGGATTGCAGTACGTGTCTCACAAATTTTTTTTGATCAGAGACATTGTACTAACGGAGCATTGGGATAATGAGACTGTCGCATAGGATCCAGGTGCAAGCGGTATTCGCTTGTGCGCTGAAATGATGTGACTTCAGCTTTTTGGCTGGTTCACACCACATTATTTCTCTGGACCATTAAAGTCGACTACATCTTAGCAGTAAAAGCATAAATCGTAGCTCATCTCTAAAATATTTCTTGACCATCATAACGACAAAGACTTTCCAGTTGACAATTTTGTTAAGACTCGTAGTTTTTAACTCCAGAAAGCTCGACAAAACTTGACAAAACTTGACAAAACTTGACAAAACTTGATCCTTCTTTCATGGTCGAATATGAATTAATACCAACATAATAGTCTACATAAAATTGATGCTCCTTGTATTACATGCAGCACTTCCGGTCGTTCTCCTCTTTGTCGTGGGCGACAGAGCTCAATGTAGTGGCGCCACCACAGGTCACCAAGGGTTCGAAGTTGAAGAATAGTCTGCCAAACAGAGCACCCAACAAGCAGCTGATAATGATGTAGCCGTTATAGTACATGAACAGCAGCATGATGATATAAGACAATCCCCACTGTAAAGTAAAAATTCCGGCGCGCAAGATGTGTTCTACAACAGTAGGATAAACTTTGACCGAAATAGAACATCCAACCAGTGGCTCTAAAGCGTCGAATTCATCATTGGCTTTATAAGAAACATACCACGAATGCGATAAAGTTGCACCGAGGGCCCTCAAAGTGGTCTTCCAGTCTGGTTCACTGGCAAGCTGCTGCAGAGTTTTGTTTGCTGAATCAGAAAGGGACGAAGAAGAGCCATCGTCAATTCCAAAATTGCCCTGGTGTTTGCTCAATACCTTGAACTTTCGTCTTTTCGCCAGTTCAATGTCAAATTGTCTGGAAATCCGGTTCAACCACTGTGCAATGAACACCAATAGAAAACAACCAATGCAAGAGCCTGCAAACTTTCCTCGAGTATCGTTTCTCCAGGTCCTAGAAATGAAGCAAGTGTCAATCGTGTACCAATTCCACAGCATCGAGATCTTACATGTTTTCTTCATCGACCCTCCTCCCATCGACATCTTCAAATTTGGATAACTCACAATTTCACTGGCCATTGCGCAAGTGAAAATTTAGAGATATTGGTGAAGGTCCTGATTGTTACGTTGGTCCGTCAAAGTGTTTTTGAAAAACCTGACGCTATCTCACTAACCAATGATAGCTCTCAAACCTCTATTCGGAATGGTAATATAAGTCCGGAGCAGGAGATGCAAACGTAGAAGGTGGAAATATCGTAGGAAGCAGGAACACACTCGACCCTTTTTATATGTTTTTGACCATACATCACCATGCGCATTTTGAACATCGTGAAATTTGCTCAAAGTGCTCGTTCGACCTAAAGTGACATGCGCAGTAAGTTGTAATCTCGAGGCCAAAGTTAAACTATCTTTGAGCTGATTTTCAAAATCCACCCTTTTCTTCTTCAATTTCTGGATATCGCCCGTAGCCCGCTAAATTGGACCTCTTGATATGCATCAACTCAAGAATCGTGGTGCCCGGAAATATACTTGTGGAAGGATAGATTTGGGCTTGTTATATTAACAGGCGTAAACTTCTGAGGCAAGATTACTCGTGAAAATTTGTTCCTCAGTTTTTGGGAGACGTAGTCGAGATCCAAGTGCTTGGTCAAAGATAACTTCGGAATACAGCTGATGTAATGTTTTTCGTCGAGCTGAACTTCAAGGGGATCTTGGGTGTGGCAGCCAGGAGACATTTTGAGTCTGATCGCATGCGATTTTTGACCGCAAGTGTCGGTGCTTTCGTATAGTTCAAAATTGATCTGTGACAGATAGTCCAATTCCGGCAGCGCATTGCGAGCTATTCTCATGGGAAGCCCGCTCTCGTAAATGATGTTGAGCAAAGTGTAAATATGGGATTCTTTCGTGAAATAAGCAACGCACGCTGGCTCGTCTTTGCTCTTCATATCGTCGATATCAGTTAGGATCTGTTTCGCCAAAGGAAGCGAAGTCAGAAGGCCGATGTCGAGTTTTTCTCCATCCTCAATTCCGTATTCCTGCGGACAAATAAAGTCAAACAAGACCTTGGACAGTTTGTAGAGTTCTCGCAATTGCATGAATTTTGGATCGTCAAACACTGACGACGATTCTGCCGAATTTGAGTTGCTCTCTAGGACCCAACCCAGCGACCCAACACTGCTGGATTTACTGGAGCCACCGCCGCTGTGTGAGGAAGAGTCTGGAATTTTGAAGTTGTTCATCGCCAAAATGTTGATTGGATAACGGTCAACAAGAGAGTCCTTGCACAGGTTCAAATTGGCCCTCGCCCTAGCGTCATTCAGTGCAAAAATGTGTTCCAAAAATTGACGGTTGTGAAGAGCATCATATTTCATAGTATCGTAAAGCTCTGAAATCTTAGCAGGATCGACTTTCTCCACTGTGACAAATTCCTTGAAAAGCTTGTCCCAGCGCTCCTTGAAAAGCGTCGGATCCTCTGCACAACACCATCTGCGCTGCATTTCATTGACATCCTTGGTTCTGAAATTGTAATCCATGACGCGCTTGTGAAAGTTCATCAGCTCCACGACCCGCTTAATTACCAAATATGGTTCAGGCATTTTGGCGGGCCATGCAAATTGAGGGGGAGCCTCCTTACCTTCTCTCAGCAAAGGCTTTAGTTGTTTTTTCACCTTATCCATAAGATCCTTGGCTGCATTGCTATCGTCTAGCAAATCTTTCCTTATACAAATTTCGTCGCTCCCAAGTTCGTCAGCACCAAAAAGCGCCATTGCCCATAGCTGCGCCGAAGCCAATACTCGCCTTTCGGATGAGGAATAAATTTTGATGTTAGGAAGGATCTTTTTATTGAGAAGGTCAAAGTCTTGTCTCATTTGCTCTCCTAACTCGGTTGCTTGATAACGTGCAGAATGGGTAGGCTCACCTCCCCATTTCAATATGAATTGAACCTTTTCGACCTCCTTCTCGGAATTGAGAACAGGTTTCAATTGAATTTTGGTGCCGGGAAATTCCATCTTTTTCTCCAGAGCACTAGCTAGGACATTCAATTTTTGAGGATCCTCAGTGTTTTCTTCCTTGGCAATCATCAAAGCCTGTAGCACTACCTTCAGATCTGATGAGTTTCTGATCACCACTTCTTCTTTGTGCCCTTTCAACAAAGAGATGAAGATCGGAGAAGTGAACGAATGCTTGAACTTTTGTTTGGGGGTCCGGTCTGCATGGCGGATGACAGTCACCAGTCCTTTGAAAACCCACTTTTGAGTTTTTTCTTCTTTGATAACGGGCAAGTTGCGTTTTTCAAGGTCCATTCTTTTCTTGGCCTGTAAAAAAGTGTCTCTTAGAATCTTGGCACACGCATCATAGTAGGCAGAGTTATCCTTCACGAATGAAAACCCATTCACGTCGATGACATAGCTTTTCCCATTCACACGCAGCAAGTCAAAACCGCAAATCATCTGAGAGAATACATTGGTGATGCGCTTGGCCATCTCCTTCTCCTCAACGGAAAGCTCAGTTATATATCTGATTTCTTTACCATGTGTGTTTCTTCTGACAATTCCGTCAACAACAGGCGACTTTCTGGTCTCTGCATGGCAGAACCCTTCACCAACAGTGTAAGCCTTGACATCCTCAAAGTTGTCTGTGTCCATAAATTCTTCGTAGAGGTAAGAGCCCTCCGTACGTGGGTTAACCAGAGCAGGATCGAATTCTGAGCTTTTATTTCTCACTTTACGGAACAAACGTCTACCACCGCCCCCATTTTTGGAGTGGTAATATATGTAGACATTGTGGTCTTCGCCGTCTACCGGTTTCTCCACAAAGGGCTTTGACATTCTGACTCCATTTACTTCGAGTGTATCTTCGTCCACCATTCTCCACTCTGGCTCCTTACAAGGCTTGACGTCAATACCCTTTTCAAGCAGTTTAGCCTTCAACGCAGCATCCACCCGAGGTCCTCCGTCTCGACTAATCTCTAGTCTTGGAGGCGTGGGCACTCTGGACACGTCCAAAAGCTTGAGACAAAGTCTTCTATCCCACAAAGCCTTTTGCATCACCAAATCATTGATAGTGAAAGGTTTGCGTAGATTCACGTAATCGATGGCCTTATTTAGCGGGAAGCCGGAGGAAAAGAAACTGATGAGGAAATCACAAGTTGGCCAACTTTCCTTGTTTTCATCCAAAATAACCTTGTCACCAAAAATGATGGTTTCAAACTCGCCGTTTTCGATCAGCCTGTTCAAAATGTGTCTACAAGGCTTGGACAGAACTTTAGCATCCATGGCACACACCCCGATTTTCCCGATTTTTGGCAATTGTGGCTTGGAAGCGCTCGAGGATGGTTTACGGGAGGAGCCTGCAGAGCTTGTGGCAGAGCTTGTACCCGTTTCTGGGTGAGCATCGTTTCCGTTATGGTCGCTTGTCGCTTGTCCCTGCTCAGACGTGGCCTGGCTTGAAACTGAAGTGGAACTGCCCGGAACGGCAGTATTGTTAGGGTTTAGATTCGAGTTGCTCTTTAGTCTTTGCAAAACAAGTCCCGACGGAGCATTATCGTACGAATTGGATGGAGACAAACCGGGTCTTGACGAACAAGACGAATGTTGAGAACTCATGCTCAATGTCCTATCTAAGCCCAAATCACATCCTATATCGTCATCGACATGTGATTGGTGTGGGCTTCCAGGGGGTGGCAGTTTAAAAGACGTATTTTCGCTTGCAGAAGTCTTTGGACTGAATCCTTCCAAGATTGGTGCGATTGATTCCATTGCTTTCTTGGTTTTATTATTTAGCAACAAAGGGGACACAGGGCCCTGGGAAGCATCTTTTTTGTTGCTTCCGCACATTTAATAGGGTACGCAAAAGTATTTGATGCCTTGAAACGCTCTATTGGGCGCTCTTGTTATACTTTTATCGACGGATTTGTGTGCTCTTTTTATATGTTCACTCGAGATTTCCAAATTGAATCTTAATTTAAAGATAATTAAGACTAATATCAACAGTAATCGGCCAGAAACACGTTGTTTAACATGAAAGAGACATTCATGATGAACTGATTGTGTTTATAACGTCTATATCGCTATATAAATCGAGGAAACTCTCAACTGTCTTTTGTTGTCTCTCTTTTGAATATAGTTAAGTATACTTCTTGGTGGACGACAGTTTATATACAGCTCAGTAAAGTATTGATGAGATGACTGTAAAACAGTGGAAAAGAGGCTGGGATTTTATTTGAGAGTCGAAAAGTTGGTAATTTCGATTTGGACGGTGGTTGTTCAGCTGTTGTGAGATTTGTCGACATTACGGGCCAGGAATGAGTCGTTTAAAAATCAGGTCTTGGACACGAGAGAATTACAGGATTTTACTTTGTGAGTTACTTCTTTTTGAAGCCCTGGTCTTCAATTGAGGTTCATTGTAGTGCTGTCGCATAGAAAAATCGTTTGTCGCTGATCTCGGGCGCCGGAACTGATTGACATTGTGCAAAATGTTAAAGCTCGATATAACCTCAAATCAAGGTCTCTCGGGAAAAGATTTTTGACGTGCAGAGCACCACAGTTGCAACTAAAAGCAAGAATGCAAAGTCTTGTGGACTCGAGACATTTCGGTAAGCTTGCGATCGAAATGACAGGTGCAGCATTAATCTGTTTCGTGGAATTTATTAGACCCTACAATTGTCAAGCAGCCGCGTGAGTGAGGTTTTTTTATGGTATCAGTGGATTGCAGCTCAATAAGGTGGCCCTTTTAGCATAACTTCCTCTTTTTGTTGTGCTGCTGGGGTAGTCCTCGACAGAACACTGGATGCATAGGTGTCACTATAGTACAGAGTGATTTGCGCTTGGTTAGAATAGCGAATGAACTGAAGCTGGGCAGAAGAGAAACACGGGACAGTACGGTACAGGGTTACGAATTTGAAGTCTTGTCGAGCACACCACGACAATGGTCTCTGCGAGAGAAACTATCCCGTAATTAGCTTCAAAAATCCGATGACAAGTAGTCATGGAAGTGCTTGAGTTTGAAAACCATTGACTTTGCATATTAATGACGGTGGCATACCAGAGGTTTGGGTCAGCTTTGCTGTCCTACTGGTTGAAAAACCTTGATTTGAAGCATACGTGGGCTATAAACAAAACACGAATCTTTCATGCCTCTACTTTACATTCTTTGCGCATTAAAAACAATGTGCATTCCACAAGTTGAAATGCTGTCTGGCTGGGTCGCAGGCCTGCTCAGTGGCCTTTTAGATCAGTGATCACTGTTTATCCAGCACGACAGTGGAACCCAGTCACGTGATATGGACATTTTTCCTAGTTAAGAAGACACTCGTATCTCACTAATTTACCACATTGCAGAGGTAGCTGGTCGACTATTATCTTCTCACTTCTCCTCTCTTTTGAGCCAATCTAAAGCTCAAACTAATCGAACGTCCTTCACAACCGTTATTATTTCGCTGTTTTCATCATCTGATGTTCATTAAATTGAAGGTCACGTTTTACATATTTGCGTATATAACGATCTAGCATTTTTCACGGCTCATCGGAAAATATCCAAGTATAATCGCGATGAGCAAGCGCACTCGAAGATCTAAACTTTTGATTCAAAGAAAGAACCCAAAGCCTACCTTTTAGTTGATGACCGAGACTTCCAAAAAGCGCAAGATCACTGCCAGTGGCAGTGGCGTTCAAAAACTTGCGACATCCAAGGTTTTGTCACCATTTCGTATCGTTGGAAACGTCTCCAATGCGGTTCCTTTTGCAGTGGGAACTTTAGGAAGCACCTTCTATATTGTCACCAGTGTGGGCAAAAGCTTTCAAATCTATGATGCTAACAGCCTTCACCTGCTCTTTGTGAGCGAAAAGCAGACCGATGCGTCAATTACATGTTTGGCAACTCACTTCCACTTCGTTTTTGCCGGTTTTGGCAACAAAGTTGGTGTCTACAGAAGGGGTCGTCTAGAGCATTTGCTCGAAATGCCAGATTCTGATGCAACGGTAACTGACATTTGTGCTTTTGGCGACTTCATGTGTGTCTCGTCAGAAAAAAATGCGGTGTATGTTTTCAAGCGTAACGGCCAGGATAAATTCGCTACCGCTTTTTACACCAAGTTTGAGATCTCAAAACTTCAGGGATCTGATATCGTTTCCATTGTTCATTTGCCAACTTACCTGAATAAAATCGTTGTTGTGACAAAGTCGAATTTGCTAGTTTACAATGTGAAATCTGGTAAACTTCTTTTCACAGCCGATGAGTTTCCTTACACGATAACCACTGCTGAATGTGCCCCTGCTCTTGATATGATTGCTTTGGGCTCAACCACTGGAGAGGTTATCTTGTACAATGTGAAAAAGGGCCGCAAGGTGCGGACTATAAAAACTCCTGTTCCCATCTCTAGTCTTTCTTTTAGAACTGATGGAGCAGCACATTTGGCTGTCGGGTCTACCAACGGGGATTTGATCTTTTACGATCTGGACCGTCGTTCGCGTATACACATCTTGAAAAATGTGCATCGGGAACAGTACGGCGGTATCTCAAAGGCAACCTTTTTGAACGGCCAGCCTATAGTGGTAACCTCCGGTGACGACAATCAACTGAAGGAATACGTGTTTGACCCATCTTTGTCGCAAGGGGACGCAGAAGTTGTGGTCCAGCCACCTCGTTTCTTAAGATCTAGAGGCGGGCATTCTCAGCCTCCAACTTCCATACTTTTTGCCGACCACGAGTCTCATTTTCTTCTCTCTGCCTCTACAGACAGGTCGATATGGGGGTTTTCGTTACGGAAAGATGCGCAGTCTCAAGAGCTCTCTCAAAGGCTCCACAAGAAAAAAGATGGGGGAAAACTTGCTGGCAACGTCCTAAAGGAAAAGTTCCCAGAAGTACTATCAATGGCTATTGAGAATGCTAGACAGGGCGAGTGGGAAAATCTTTTGACTGCTCACAAGGATGAAAACTTTGCTAGGACCTGGAATCTTGCGACGAAAAGAGTCGGTAGATGGACTCTAGAAACCATCGACGGCGGATTGGCGAAATGTGTGGCTATATCTGCATGTGGGAATTTCGGTTTCGTTGGGTCATCCAGCGGAGGTATTGGTGTTTACAACCTACAGAGTGGACAACCTCGTAAGAAGTACAGACTACACAAGAAGGCCGTAAGTGGCATCGCTGTTGATGGGATGAATAGAAAAATGGTCTCCTGTGGTTTAGATGGAATCGTTGGGTTCTACGATTTCAGCAAATCCGCTTACCTGGGAAAGCTGCAACTGGATGTTCCAATCACTTCCCTTGTCTATCACAAATCGTCCGATCTCTTTGCGTTGGCCCTCGATGACTTTTCGATTGTAGTCATCGACGCCGTCACTCAAAAAGTTGTAAGACAGCTTTGGGGTCATTCCAACAGGATCAGCTCTCTGGATTTCTCTCCTGATGGACGGTGGGTCGTTTCAGCTTCTCTGGACTCTTCTGTCAGAACATGGGATTTACCAACGGGTACTTGTATAGACGGTATCCGACTCGACAGCGTCGCAACAAACATCAAATTCTCGCCTAATGGCGACTATGTGGCGACCACTCATGTGCATGGAAATTGTATCTCAATTTGGACTAATCGTGCCCAGTTCAAGCCGCTCCCAGCTCGTCAAATCGAAGAACAAGATTTCGCGCATGTCTCGTTATATTCGTCATTTGGATACGCCGACGCCTCAATGCTAGAGGGTGCATTCGAGAACTCGTCATCAAGTGAGATGTCTGAGGAAGATTTTGGGCAATACCAATCAGTAGATCAGATCAATACTGACTTGATAACGCTTTCGTTGGGACCCAGAAACAGATTAAAAACTCTTTTGAACTTAGATGTCATAAGACAACGTTCCAAGCCTATTGAACCACCTAAAAAGCCCGAGAAGGCTCCCTTCTTTTTACAATTCTCTGGTGAAAAAGTCGGTGACGATGCTATCGCGAGAGAGAAAGATGACTACGAGCAATCGCTTGCAAATGTGAGAGTTGAGCAAGAAAGAGAAAAGTTGTCGTCTGAAATGGAAGAGAAATTGCAGAAGCACAAACCTAGTACAGCCACATTCGAATCCAAATTCACCAAGTTGCTTCGGGAAGGGCATTCGATTTCAAACTATGAATTGTTTCTGAACGATCTCGTGAATCTATCACCGGCGTCTTTAGATATGGAAATCAGGTCATTGAAGTCGTTCGAGCCATTTGATGAACTTGTTTGGTTCATGGAAGCGCTCGCCCAAGGTTTGAGTTCAAATGCTAACTTCGAGCTGTATGAGGCCTTCATCAGTTTGCTGTTCAAGGCACACAGGGGATGTTCTTCATGCGAACGGCAATAACGCAGACTTGAGTAAGGCTTTGAACCATCTCGGTCAAGCACAGTCACAAAGTAAGAGGCTTGATTCCATAGTGAAGTACTGCTCGAGTGTCGCAAACTTTGTTTCCACAGCCTGATGCACCACAAATGATCTAATTGCTTGTATATTTTCTTGAAAGCCAAACGTACTTACTTTTGTATGCAATATCAGCTACTTTCTACAACTTTCCGGCAGTTATAGTGGGTGAGGACTCGGTCTGTAGCATTAGGAAACCACATAATCATTGTTTCACGGCTGCTTTTCAGGCGTTTGTGACAGACGTAGCACTTTTGATCTTCGTTAATGATACAGTATTTGGAAAGCTCTTTGTTGAGCTCGTAAGTCTTGTCTACAAGCTCCACTTGTAAAAGGTTCTTTTCCATCCTCACCCTATTTTTCCTCAATGACGAAGTTTCGATTTCCTTAGCAAGAACTTGCTGAACATCCTTTAGAGATATGTCAGCGGGCGTTTTTGCTAATGTTTCTGCACTATCAAGTCTGAACCCAAACTCTTCGAGAAATCGGAGAATCGTGCGAGATCCCGCATCGTCCTTCTTGCTCTTTTTGACAACCATGTCGAAAAAAGTACTGAACACCTTCACGCCTGCGCGAGAATCTTGATGATAAACATCAGAACAGTAGGCAGCGCTGAGTGTGTAGCTAGATAACTCTTCAAAGATAATGTGGAGAGCCTCATGATGTTCACCTAGCCTTTTTAAAGGGTATGTTTTTAGTCTTTTAATCAAAGTGATAGACTCGTTTGATCGGGAGCTTTCAGTAAGAGCATTATCAAGTATCCGTATAACACCGCGGGGCTCGTACGAATCCTCAGATCTCAAGATGGCCTCCAATTTACGAGCAACTTTTGGCTCGTGAGATTTTTGCATGTACCTCTCAATTAGTTTCATGTAGACGGTTTTTTCTGAAGAATCGAAAGCGTCAACGATGAACTCTAAATACTTGAGAGACAACTCAGTATCGATGTTATCAATATACTCATAGACTCTGGAAGTGTTCAAAGTGGCACAATTCGGGCTAAAGTTCATGAAAATGCTTGTAATGATTATCCCAGAATCCTGTGGAAACTTTTTGATCAGCCAATTGGTGTATTCGAAAATAGTCGATAACGCAGATTGGGGCAGTTTCTTGAGGTAATCGACGACTAGCATTTTGATGTCCGCTGCGATTGTTTCAGGGTGCGCCAGTCTTAGATCATTCTCTAGCTCGGTCAAGAGCTTCAAAGCTAGGTCGTGTTTGCCTCGCATAAAATAGAAATCTACCAGCTCCTGAACTCTCATAGTCTTGGATAGTTCTTCCACCACTGTCTCAAAATCACAGGAATTTGGCACCCTTGTGAAGGGCCCCAACATGGCAGGGTTGAAGTCGAGGTATATTTTGAAAATTGAGGTGTCAACCAGTTTTAGGAGAGCATCAATGCTTCGCTCTCTATGATGATCTAGCAAGAAAAACTGGATGTCCACTTTAATTGATCTCTTCTCATATTCCCATATAATCGTGCCATTTTTAGCGAGATTGTGAAGGTTTCGTCTAATGTCTGTAAGGTAAGGTAGACACCATTTATTCATGATATGAGCGGGAAAGTTACTCGCGTGAATGCCTTTGTGATGGATCAACTCTTCTGTGATTTCTTGATTTAATAATCTCGCCATCGACCCTGAAAAACAGTGGCCGATTACTAGTTCCGGCGGCGCCAAGAATTTTATGAGATTATCGAATATCCCTTTGATAATCAGCTCTTGCAAGCCTAGCAGCCTTGCTTGAACTTTTGCTGCATGGTGAGGCCTTTCGAGCAACCTCTGGCACCTGTCAAAGCTCGAAAAGCTCCACAAGACAACTAAATCTCGCAGTTTTAAAGCGTAAAAGTCAAGAGTCTCTTCGACGTCGTCGCACTTGGAGCTGTCACACAGCGAAAATGGGCCTTTGTGATCGAGCAGAGCCTGGTAAAATGTAATTGCCTTGAGCATCCGTCGTGAGCCGCCTTCCTCCACCGCAATGAAATCATCCTCGCTATCAGAAACGCTCGTGGGCTCATCACTTACCGTCAGCTCGTACAGTGTTAGATTGTCGGTTTCCGTCCACACCAGAAGAATTGAATCCTGTGTGGTGAAGACCTTCCTGATACCTTCCCTGACGTTGATCTCTAAAAAGCTGAAGCCATAATGGGAATCGACTATTCGTATTGTCTCCCTGTTACTTAGTATTAGGAAGTTTGACGAAAAGTATTGGATATCATCAAACTGTCTATTGGCTTCGATAAAATGGCCCCACTCAGATGTTGCCGCCAAATAAGGCTCGTGTGATGAGCTCGCTGTGACTTCTAGCCTCTTTCGGGATGCACCATCGAGTATAGTCATTCGCGGATGGGACGATGAATGGAAAATGAACTGTGCCTTGTCTAACCCGCTACGAACATCTTTGCGCTGAAAAAAATTGCCCATACTTATTTTCCGTGAAACGAGTGACCTGCTTGATACGGAAGCCATATCGTGGTGGTACCCATTTTTATCGGAGACTGCGATTTTTTCCAGTTCTTCCAGCGCTTCATGAATGCCCTTGGGCCAGGTTGGGGCGACAGTTTTCGTGAGTTTTTGTAAAGAAAGATCTTTTATTCTCCAGTAATAGTAACCCATGTTAGTTGCCAGCACAAACCCGTTGCGGTCCATTTCCATTGAAACTATTTGTTCGCCCTTGTGGCCAAGACTTATTTCAGAAACGTTCTTGAAGGTGCGGTCATTCCAAAGAAAAATCTTCAACGTTCCAGTCTTGTGGGGTTGCAAGAGCAGTGCAGTAGTAGTTTCATGTTTAGCAGAAGGTTGTTCAAACACCCATGCTTGTTTGATTCCCCTTTTTTCCACAATTCTATCGAATTGGTTCAAATTCGTGCTGTTCAACAGCACAATGCTTTTTGCGCATACCGCGAACACTGTACTCAATTGATTGGAGTACAGTAGGTTGAAGATCGTGGTATCTAATCCGTTGTTTTTCATTAGATGGTTGTACGTTTGCGTAAGACGCAACGAGTGGCCTTCGTAAGAGTACACTAGCACATGCCCATCTCGGTTGGAGGCCAAGATTTTGGACGTTTCGGTAATCGGCAGAATCGAGGTAATATCATCGCGACCAGTAGATGACAGGTGTTTGGCCTTAAGCATATGAAGGTTGGCCGGTTTGAAACACGTACGGTGTTCTGGAGATGAAGTGTAAGTTGTGATTCTTTCTATACCTTCCCGGAGCATTAAATGTCGTTGAAAGATGATGTACTCGGAGTCCCGTGACGAGTACACGAATTAGTCGAAATCCACATTGATCCCAAGCCAAAACAGCCAGCCATTGGATACAGCGCCTTCATCGGTTTCCATCGGTTTCCATTGGTTTACTGAGCTTTTCCAGAGATTCCGGCCTAGTTTTTGGATGCCTCTATGAGATCAATTTCACGAAATCCCACGAAATCCCATCTGATCTTCACACACCATTGTAAGTGCTCAAACGCTTTTGAGCCACAAATCTACCTCTGGAATATGAAACTGAGCCTTGAATTGATCGTTCTTTGCTTCCTTGAGATCTATTACAGCCATTCTGACTATTTCAGCTCGCAAATAATGAAAGTTTCCTCATTTGTCTAATCAAGAGCGTTGGTATCGCTAATGGCATCGCTAGACGCTCAAAAAAAGAGCTTTCTGGCCCTCCAATAACACTGAAAACGATTGTACCTAGTAAATCTAAGCATTGGCGATATTACACCAGGTTTAATCCATTTTTCGATCTCAGGATAGCTTATTTTGTTGATGCATTAGGAACCCCAGATATATATAAATTGAACCTGAAAACTCATCTCTTGAGATGAAAGTGAAAAATCGACGATTTTAAAGGAAGAGCCGGGTTTGTACATGTCTGTGTCGTCACGGCAGGCTCAATTGGATCGTGAGATTGACAGAATCACCAAAGCTACAACCAATACAGCCGTTTCGGAAGCCCAACGGGAAATTGAAGCCAATCATGCATCAATCAACGAAACACAACTCAAAAAGTTGATAGACTTGCATGACAACGTTCTTCAAAATCGAGGTTCTATACCGTTGCGAAAACTGTATCATAAGTATAGCCAGCTCCATCTTCAGGAAGGAGATCTTCAGAACTGGGCAGAGCTGGTGGATCGTGATTTAAGAGTTTTAGAAGCCACTATCGAAAAAGCTAAGATCAATCAACAAGAAGAATAAAGGCTCCTAAGTTTGGTAACAATAAGAATAAAGCCTTCTAAGTTTGCTGTGGGCCCCCATTTAGATCGTTCCATTTGTTATTGTTTTTTGTTTTTTTTATAAAAGAGGTTTAATAACTTATCGCTCAACAGGCCGTTGTTGTTGTCGTTCCTGTTGTTGTTGTCATTGTTCGTCGTGTGATGAGTCTTTGACACTGTCCCTTTCGGCCTCTTTCATGCCAACCCTTTCGCAGCCCTTTCCCATTTTTGAGTTTCTACCCAGCCGGCATTAATGACCCGCACGGCGTCCTGCAAATTCAAGGCCCGTTTGAGAGGTACTCCGTCAACCACCAACTTCCGGTACACGCGAACGTAATGGCGCGGAGCTATCTCTTCGAAGCGTTCGCGATTCCTAGCAGCCACTGCGAGCTGTGCGTTATCAGTGGGTTTGCACCATAGCTCGCGACGTCTGCGCCAGATCCGGTCTGCCTGCACAAACGGCTCTCCAAACTTCGATCGCAGTTTGACACATTCCTCCACTGCGTTGTATGTTGCAAAAGTTTGCTGGTCTTTCCGCCCAGCATCGCCGGAGCCCTCTTCGCCGTTAGAGTCCCGCTCTAATTCGTCGTCGTCTTCATCCTCGTCCGTGAGAGCAATCTCCCGGTTCAGCGTTACGGATGTGCTGCTATTTCTTTCTTCACTTCGACGCTGTTCCTGTTGCACCGCTCCGCTTTTCCCTCTGTTGTTCCCGCTATCAAATAACTCGTTAACGGATCCAACTTCTTCCACAGAGTCACTTTCCAGAGCCTCTCTCGAAAACTGGTGCAACCCTACCCTAAACTTGTTAAATAGTTGTTTGAGCGGATTCTTTTTGGTTGACCCACTAGATATCTTTGGACCCTCGGAACTCATTGTTTTCCGCACAAATGAACCCTCTATAAAACCCTAACTTTCTGAACTCTTCGACAACTCCTTCTTTTAACACGTCCCGATGCGATACAGGTCACTTGTCTCTGGATTTATCGAATTCAAAAGCATTCTGGCTCAACATGGAATACCGTTATGTCTATTACAGCCTGACATTTTCCAAAATAGCGGTTTCGTGGGGTGTGATCAAAGTGGTGATGTCATTAAAGACGACGGGTTGGCTACCATAACCACCATCACCAGTTGACAGCTTTGATCTCGTCTTTGGGTTCAACACCCTGCAGAGACTGGTCTCTTGGGTTCACTTCTATGGCGTAGATGCCGTAACTTATTCCGTCGTGGGACGTATTCCAAGATCGAGACCTGATATTGCCGTTAACCGTGGAACCGTAGTATTGCAGAGGCGGGAGCAGCAATAGGTCAATTTTCACATCGTATGGTGTGTTAGCAGGAGGAATCTCGCCTTTGACGTTCTGAGGATTCTCGAGATTTGCTGGGGTTCGCAGTTCTTGAAGAATGTTTTGGCCATCGACGTCAGAACTAGTGAAAACGGCGCTGTGAAGCAGCGCCAGTATAGGGTCGGAGTCATCTGTGTACAGTTGGGACCCCCACAACTCGTTGTTGTTAATCCGTAGGTTGGTGGACGACAGCTGTGATTTTTGGGCATTGACGAGATCTTCGAAACGCACGTCCACGGTCACGAGCGCGTTGATGTTTGCGAAACCAAACGCGGGCAAGAATGGCGGCGGGGATAACAACTCAGTGTTTATGACAGCTGAGGGAAAATTCGAATCTTGGGGGTTTTCAGGCGTTGTAGACTCCAATCGGCCAACTTTCCACGGGTCGTAGCGGAGCCTACCCAAATGTCTGTGTGGCTTGCCCAATTTGCGCCTCACGAGGTCCAATACGGGCTGAGAATTGACTTTTGTGGTTGTGTGAGCCGCAGCAGTAATTCCAATGTTTTCTCCATGGTTTGGATACGGTGCTAGTTTGCCTGCTTCATAGGCATTTGTCTCAAGAAGCTGTTGTTGAACATTTACCTTATTTTCCGCCGCTTTGGATGAATTCAGCAGCGTTTGTTGCAGATTATATATCTGGAATTGAGTTTGCCGGTAGGCCTCATTCGGATCGCTTGACAATGCCATAGAATGATCAACCGTTGAGACGGTCTGACACACGAAAAGTGAGTTGATGTTTCCCCGAGAGCTGTCAAAAGTCATTGATTTGTTAATTGCTTCCCTGATGACTTTTACGTGTGTAGTGATGACCGGCATCGAAGTTGAAAATGCGCGTAACTGTTCATGAAGGCGTGAAGTATGCAATTTTGACAACCATTTCGTGAACTGTAGCACTATTTGTGTGTTTTTGGAAGCAACAATAGTTTTTTTATCGCCGGCGCCAGACGAATTTTATACGCACCTTTTTCACAGTTCTCAGAGATCACTTTTTACTAATTTGACACTCAAAATTTCGTTTCAACAAGAAATACAAATTACTCACTATCGGGAAGAATACGAATTAATGAGCACCTCCATCGAGTCGGCAAACTTTTTTTATGTAGAGAAGTTTGATGTTCCTGACGCTCATTGACTAGCTAGCCATTTCTCTTTTCATAGTACACGTCTTTATCGAGAGTATCTGCCAAAAAAGTGTCCATCTCTTTTGACTGCTAAAACACCCATACATTTTGACATTTTTCAGGAAAAATGAAATATTGGATTTTTCAAGAATTTGATTTTTTGCGTGGGTTGAAAATACCTTTCTGCATTGCGTCGTTTCTCACAGAGCCCGGTTGGGCTCACCTCCTACCGCTCGAGGCCATGCTCGGCGTGCGACGAACTCCTGCTAGGCGGGGTCTGCAAGCTGGTTCTCTGCCTAGCCCCAATAGTCTCTCTGTCTAGCGGCACCTCGACGTGAGCCTAGCTCCTGCTGGAGCTGTCCCAGACCTCTGTCTGGCTCTCTTTCCAATCTTTGGTCCCATGGCATGGAATCCACCAGCGGGTCTGTATGCTAGTAACAAATTGAAATTTGACAAAATTGAAGAATCGAGCACAGTGCTAGGGCGTAAGTCACAGTAAAGAAGCAACTCAAGTGTACGAAAAATGGCCGGTTTGAAAGACGTTGTTACTCGTGAATACACCATCAACATGCACAAGAGGGTATGTGGGCTAAGTTGCGCTTTTCAAGCGCGTTTTTAAGAGGTTTTGGTGGAATTTGAAGACGAAGTTATAGTGGGAGACCAGAAATATGGAGTCAGGGCAGAACAGGACATATCAGGCCGAAATTAAGCATACCGGGGGCGATGTTCTGACAATCGCAGACGTGGGTGACCAACATTGCAATAGCGAAATCATCAGTGGGCCTTCTCTTGTTTTTTTTCCTTTGGTTCCTTTCAAAGCTTTTCAAAGCCTGGCCTGCGAAGATAGCCATGTTCGATTCTACGCTCGCTAATCCTCCGGAATTAGCACCATCGTTCTATGTCTCCAACTATTGTCCTACAAGTTTTCCTCTTAATCTTCTCAATTCTAGCAAAATCTAGATCATTTGGAACCACTTTTACTAACCTAATTCGCGATTTCTACAGTTGCATGGTGTTTCCTTCAAGAAGAGAGCTCCAAGAGCCGTGAAGGAGATCAAGAAGTTCGCCAAGTTGCACATGGGTACCGAAGATGTGCGTTTGGACCCAAGATTGAACCAGGAAATCTGGAAGAGAGGTGTCCAGGGTGTCCAGTTCAGACTAAGATTGAGAATCTCCAGAAAGAGAAACGAGGAAGAGAACGCTAAGTTCCCTCTATTCTCCTACGTCGAGCCAGTCGTCGTTGCCTCTGCCAAGGGCTTGCACACCGTTGTTGTTGAAGAAGAGGAAGCTTAGGCTCTACAGCATTGCATGCTCCATCCGGTCGAATAGATCTCCAAACCAGAGAATCCAACTGTAGTTTAAGTTTTATGTAAAGCACAAAAACGTTTCAATAATAAAAATCAAGACGGTCAATTTTTGAAGAAGATGTCAATTCGCTATGATGGTGGTGGGAGAGCACTACCAATAAGCACTACTACCATGTAGAGCTGTGCCAAGTATTCCAATAAACAGAATTAACGATTATTATACAAGTTATATTATATTCCAGAACTTCATGACAGGTTCAGTTCTTTAACAACGCTGTTAGTAATGGACGAATTTGTCGACTAAAAGTAAGGCTGTTGTCTCTTCCCGCTAGATTTTCTCCGTATCCTCAGTGTAACTATGACATAAAAACGCCAACCACTCATTACATTAAAAAACGCCCAATTCTCGCACCATTTGGATCAAAATGAATCAATTCTCAAAACGAGAACCAATTCAGACCTAATGAAGGAGACGCACAAGCAAGAGTGCAAGCACGGGATGGTTTTAAAAAACGTTTCTTGCGGAAACGCTCTGTTCTCACTAGACTGGCAAAAAATTGAAATCATCATCATAGGATACAAATTATTTCGAAATCGAGGAAAAAGACCAGCAAAATAAAGCTCAAGGCTTGTAGTTCATTGTACATACCCTCGAAGATCTTGAAACCGGACATCATCCGGCTCCAGAAGCACTCGAAAGCGCTTGCCCTTCAAAAAGCGTAAAGTTGTGTTCATCAACTAAGATTTGACGGTGATTTTTCAATTTTTCAATACTTTCGAAGGCATAGTGTTACCCTGCGTCTTCCGGTAAAGAAGCTGCGTGTAGTGTTCATCGAGGGCATCGATACTGTCATCAGACATCAAAGCTTGTGCTTGATCCTGATTGAATCCAACGTGAATTCTGCTTTGACTTGTCAGAAGTGTTTTCTTGTTTCCTTTGCCTCTTTATACTTTTGATTGATTCTTGTATGGTATATCGACAGCTTCAGCAAACCCGGACTCACCGATCCTTTTCAGCACGAAATTTCGGTCAAACCAGTCTATCAGTTGTGTCGTAGTCTTGATTTCCATAAGTTCGTTGTGGAGACGTTTCTCGAGTTTCATGCTCTCGAACATGCAATGCAAATGGTGCAAAAGTAATTGATGTGGCAGCCCTCCAAACTCCATGGCATAATGCCAGAAAAGTTCCAAGGCCCCCCAGGGACAGGTATCGTAGCCAGCAAATAAAGCAGGATTGTCCAGAAGCCCCCTCACAGCCATGACGCCGTCCACGCCCGTGAAATCTATGATTTCTTGGAAATCCTTCATTGTGAAACAATCTCCGTTTGCAATAACCGGTACGCCCCTGGGTTTGATCTTCTCGGTGATATATTTGATAGCCTCCAGGTTCACTGGTACTGACGAGCGTGTGGTTCGGGTTCTGCCGTGAATTGTAATCCAATCGACGCCTGCATCGCAAAGTCGATGACAAAGGTCTACGGTCTGGTCCCAATTATCATGAATTCTTATCTTGGTCTCTAGTCTCAATTTGTCGCCATATTTGGTCTTGACTGCTGAGACCATGCTTGCAAGAAGGTCAGGATTGTAGATAAGTGCCGATCCTATACCTTCTCGAATCTGTTCCTTGATGGGACACCCACAGTTGATTCCAATACCATCGCAATAAGGACCCACCATTTCAGCAAACCTGAGCAGGTCAGTGGTGTTGTTTACACCCACCTGTACGATCAACGGCGTATCGCTTTCGTTCGAGCTGAAGTCAGCAATTCTGGCGTGGCGATTCCGCACAAACTCTCTGGCTAAAATCATTGGCGTGTAAATAATGTCTGCATCATAGTGTCGACAAACTTGGCGGAATGGAAGCTTGGAATACCGAACCATTGGACCTGCAATAGTCACTGATCTATTATGAGTCAACTTTCGAGATTTGATGATGTACAAGGGATCATTCTTGTGAGTTAGAGCCCTGACTTGTGGCCGTACGTTACTCATGAGCGGCAAATCACAGGTAGAGCTTTGACCCGTGGGTTGTTGAAAGATGTGCTTTGCTTAGCGATGAGATAGATCCAAAAGCTTCGATTTCTACAATTATTATGACATATTTAAATATCACTTTTTCCCATTCTGAAATCAGCCATGATAAAAGCTCTGAACAACTTTCAATACCGGTCGTCATCTTCATATTACTAGCTGGATGACTCTTCAGTGGCTCCACCAAGGGTCCGATAGGTACAACTTACTGTGTACTTCATTCAGTTAAAATTTCATACACTTACCAGTATATACATATGCTCAAACTGTTACAATCGGGAAATGAAATGCCATGCTAGAAAATTCAATCATTTTCTTGAGGCTACCCATGGGTCATTCCCGATGAAGACCCACACCCAGTATACCACCAAACGTGGCGGATAGTACAATGCGCGGTCAATGGCCCTCGTTGATATTATCATAAATTTCTTCAACATGACCAGTTTTCGTCAACCGCGAACAAATCTTAGCATGTCACATATGAAGATCCAACAGATCACGAGATCCAAACTGTGTGCGGCAGATAGGACACTTGCGCATTCTAGCAGCAAGTCTTTCCTTACAACACTGGTCGCAAAAAACATGACCGCATGTTTTTATGGCTGTGTTTTTCCAGTTTTTCGAACACAGAGAACAGTATACAATAGTTCTGAAATTCTCTAATTCTTCGGCAATGACAGACGTATCATTGGTACCATTGGATGTCAGAACTTTATGCAATTTATTGGCTTTGGACACTTCTTGAGAAAGCCGCAGTTTCAATGCGTTCGCTTCAGTCTCCGCGGAATAAACCTTGAGCTCAAAGTTCGTTATTTTTTCAACATAGCCAGCCTTTTCCTGACTAAGTGATTCTATGGTCTTTTTCGATTTGCTCAAGGCAGACGTAACATCCATGAGCTTAATGGACGCGCTCTTGTTAGTGTCGACTAAACGCTTTTCGTTTCCCTCGTGAATATGAATCTGTTTGATTAAACTTTCGATCTTCCCTTGCAAACTGCGCTCAATTTCTTTCAGCTGCATTATTAGCTCGGTGGATTTGGTGAGATTTTTAGTTAAATTCTTGTTTTCGATCAAAATCGAATCTTTGGACCTCATTGCCGCAAAGTATTTCTGGTCCGCTTTTGTTTTTTCAACCGTTAGTTTTGCCAAGACAGATTCTTGAGCCAATTGGTCCGAATATTTCTTGTGCGCCAGTTTCGAAAGCTCTCTATAGGCGCGTTCGAGATCTTGAAGCTCTTTCGTTAGCGCATCCTTGGAAGGCTCGACTACCTTGTTTTCCAGCTTATCTATTCTGTCCGTCTGTAAATCCATCATCTTTTGTAAGTCATCGAGAAGCTCGGACTTACCTTTCTGCTTATCTAGAATCGCCATTTTACCTGTCATTTCATCTCTTGCATTCCTTATTCTAACAAGGTCTTTTTCTAGCATGGCATTATGCTTCTTCAAAGCATCTTGCGCGGTTTGAAATTCAACTGTCAGCTTATTGGTGAAAATCTCCTTGTCCTGAACCAGCTGCTGAAATTTACTTAAAAATGACCCATTGGTTTGCATTAACGAAGCGTTCTCTTCACGCAGCGTTTCTAGGCGACGCATGAGGTAGTCTCTATCCAGATTTCCCTCAGGGTGTTGTTCTGCATTATTTGTGGTGGCATTGGCCAGTTCTGTCCGCAACTGCAGAATCTCATTCTCCCGCTTTGATTTCCAGTTCTCCAAGTCATCGATCGTAGCTCTCAGTGCTGCAACTTGGTTACTCAAATCTTGAACTTTCAATTCATGTTCGATGGTAGAGAGCTGATTCTCGTTTTCTTCCGTTGAGGCGACCACCTTTGAGTCTGCATCCTCTTTAATGCTGTTAGGTTCTGGAGCCATCGATGACGGCCCGGTCTCGTCTGACTCGCTTTCGTTCTCGCTCTTCATTTTCAGCACTCGTCTCACGGTCTCGCTATCCTCGCGATCGTATCGCCGTATGAGAGTTTGATAATGGTCTCTTACTGCATTAAGCTCTTCCTGGAGCTGTTGGTTGTGAGCGGAAAGTGCTTGTTTGGATTTCTCGAGCGCATGGAAATGGGATGTCATACTCGAATCTTCGCTAGCACCACCAGCATATTTTTCGAAGAGCACGGCCAGCTGTTCGGCAACATCTGAAACATTAGTCTCGACGCCTTTTACAATGCTTTCACATAGTTTTTGAGCGTCCAAATCGTCTTTACAGAGACCGCTTAATTTCGCGGCCAAAACACTCAAAGTCGCGCAAACGCGGGCATATTGCTCGCGAAGTTGAGCCAAATTATCGTGGCCCTTTCCCAGCTGCGTTTCAAGACTTTCTGCCCGCGTACGGTGCTTGTTGAGTGCTCTAAAAAGCGCTTCCTTCTGAAATGCGATAACATCCTTTCGAGTCAAAGGTTCCGCGGGATCGGTCAGGCCCCAGTCGAGTTTGGCCTTCTTGACAGCTGGCTCCCCCGACATAGCGTGTAAAGCAGCTCCAAACAGTTGTTGAAAGGTTCTCTTTGGTCGTTGTTACGGTGTGTTTTGTATTCGTCAAACCGATTTTTGTTCAAGTTGTAGTTGACTTGATTTTTTTATGGTAATATAAAGGCTCATTGAATGTTGCCGTGTACGGTGATGTATCTCGCCAATGCGTAAAGGGCGATGAGATAAACAGTGTCGGGTGGTGTTAGAATTGGTGGGTGTGAAAGCCACTCATGGCTATTCCTGTCAAATTGAATTAGTGCGCGAGTTCTGAACGGACCTTTTCTTGGCCAAAACTCAAAAAAAAACGATTTAGCTCGATATGACAAGGTGTATTCGAACATTCTCAATAAGGAGGGAGGTTATAGCCCTGAATGAGCGCGCAATCATTGAAATCCGTATAGCTCTTATTGCGCATATAATTGGAGACCAAATTGAGCTCCAGAACCCCTAAAGAAGAAAAAGGGACGATGTGTGTGTGTGTGTGTGTGTGAGAAAGTGACCATAAGCACACTGAAACGCTCTTCTCCTTACCAATCAACGTCCAATCCAACAAGATCTCAATAAAAACTTTATCCTCGCTTGACACAAAAGCTCAATCGTGAACTTCAGAGTCCCCATCGCACCCCACCCCCAACAACATCTTTCAGTGCAATTCAATGCTTCCCAAAGCCCACAAAACGTCGTGAATGTCATCATTCTTACCAATACCACTGTAAAATCTCGTTTCAAGTCCATACAGCCCCCTCCATATTGCCAAACTTCCCCGTTTTCATCGAATTGATCCCTATTCTATTGCAGATCACGGTCAAGATATTTCGCTGAAAAAAAGCTCAAAAAACAAGCAATCAAAGCCGTTCGACTTTCTATCCAAAGTACATTCACATAGTTCAATCAAACATCGATCTCTAAAACATCATTCAGTGTACCGGTCTCTCCATCTTTCCCGTTAGTTCAACGTTGTCATTGTTCCTGTTTAAACAATCAAACCGTTTCCATATGTTATTTAAATACAAATTAGCCATATGTCACGCTAGTACAAAGTGACACATATTCCCTTCAATAAGTTTCAAAATTTGGCAAATCCTGAAGAAGCTACACAGAATACAAGAGCTGAACCGTTCGAAAGTCAGGGATATTCACATTATTTTCCAGCCGCTCTGCTTTTTAAAACTGGGGCAATAGGTGGAGCGTCAAGAAGCTGTCTGCAGGCCCAATTGAAATAGCGCGGCCCTCGAATGTTCTGTTGAGATGGACTATTGTAAATCCAAGACTGAGACCCGACTACTTCAGTCGCTAAACAAGTTCATAGCACTACTGGCGCATTTGGGTACGCAGCCGCAAAACACGTCCAGCTCTAATGCCAAAGTGCTGGCCAACTACTTGCGGTTGAATCTTCTGTCACGACTCAGACACCTGCAGACTGTGTCCGAGGCAGAAAGACCGCTAGACTCGAAGGAAAGAGACCTGCTGGTACAGTGGTGGATCACATTGCTCAATTTCCTCAACAGTGACGGCCGAAGCCAGGAGCACGACGAAATTCCGCCATTGTTGACGATTGAAGTGTGTTCTGTGGCTCTCGAAAGCGTCAGCCGAATTATGACACTCACAGGGCTTGCAGCCTCGAACCAGCGCGAGCTTGACATCTGCGCATACCACACTCTCTTAACAGTTCATTACGTCACAAACAGACTTATCTTCAACACCAAGAAACGCAAATTTCTGATGTCCACCAAGCAGCTGCCCCTAGCACATACAAAACAACAGCTGAGATATTACAATCAATACAATCAGCTTCTGAACTCTTTTATGGGCAAATTGATGGCATATGCGTTTTTCTTTTTGGACAAGTCGTTCGAGTATGACTCGTTATTGCTGCGGTTTCTGGAGCCCAATGTGTGTGCCATAGACCGTTCCTTTCCTGCATTTCCTTGGAAAACCAAGAACTATAAAATCGGTGGCCAAGGCTCCCGTACGCGGCCCTCGACCACTTTGGCCGACCAAGACAAGAAAATGTTTCAAGTCGTTATCTCATATCTGAGAAACGACACCATTTTCATGGCTTTTTACTGGCATTATTGGCATATAGCACTGTCTATCATGGCAGCGCGCAACATAGAAAAAGTTGATAAAGTCTCAATTCCTGGGTGTCAGATCTTGATTCGCTATGTTACCAAAAACCTCGATAGCGATTTTGCAGCGTTCTCCCGGTTTCTGAAGTCTCAGGAAAACGATTGCTTCCAGCATACGCGACCAACGGGACACATTTCCCTTGTAACAAGTGAGCAGACCGATAATTTCGTGTTTGTCAACTTCAAAACAGTAAAATTGTGGGAATGTATCCGCTCATTAACTGGCTGTCTTCACCCAAACATGCCTGATTTACTCTGCGATTTCATCAAAATTCATGATGATATACTACTGAAAAAACTCGCCAAGATTCCAGCTTACGACTATCAACTGGGGAATCTGATCTACAACCGGCTGTTGCAATTTATTTTATTCCAGTTTTACTCTCTGGAGCCTTACTTGTCGGCTTTTAACTGGGCAAAATGGTGTCAGGGTCTAACTAGCATGCTTCAAACCCTGAATGTGAATTGTCAATGTGTCGCATTAGTCTCGCTTTTCAATATTTGGGACTACATTCCAACCGATCAACAAGTGCGAAGCGACGTAATATCAACTTTGGTAGCTGAATGGTGGGAAAGCCTGGCTCAAGACACCATCTTTGATGTTATTCGCATTCTTTTCTTCAAGATAGTTGTTTTCCGAGTACTAAACTCGACTAATCCTGCACTAGACGTTGTGAAATCTCGCGTGGTAGAAAATCTCCAAGCAGCACATCAACGAGCAGTTTCGTTAGCGGGCGAAGTTCCGACAGACTTATACCCCAGCTCTTCGACGGATGCTCTACTTTTTCATATAAACCGGAAGCTAATACTATCAAAGTATGATTCGGCCACCGAGGACACTTTGCTCACAGAACATGAACTGAATAATAACAGCGCTAAAGAGAAAGAAAGGAGTCTTCTGCTCCCCTCTGTCATTATGACCGCCAGTGTGAGACCTCTGTTCATTTTATCCCAGGGTCGATATCCTTTTGATGTTCTGGATGAAATGGTTATAAAGGCCTCCAAGAAAGCAGCTAAACAACGCAATCAGAACTCTAAATCTGACAACAAAACTTCCAGGACGCTCTTAAGAAGAGAATCTGGTAATAGCAGCAGTAAGAGTAGTGTTGAGATCACCGTCGAAGAAGAAGCAGATAGTTCTGTTGTTAGCGCTTTTGGTTCCTTCCTTTCGAAATTTGGAAATTCTAGCATGAAGAGTTCTAAGAAAACAAAAGGGTCACTCGCGGAACGTTTCACAAGAAGCACGAGCTCCGGCAGTTCGAGATTAGCAAGTGAACCTCCGATAGCTTTGGATGGTAAGCAAGATAGTGAGTCAGTGGAAATGATCTCGATGTTCTCTTCGCTTTCCGGTGCATCTTCATTGTCTGCCAATAAAAGCGGCTCGTCATTGGAGCTGCGAACTCATCAGTCAATATCAAAAGAATCATCAACATCACGAAGATCATCCATCAAGGAAGGACAAGAAGATGCAGCACAACCTCAAAAAAAGAAAAAGCTTTTGGCCCCACCAGAATTGAAGTTCTCTGGAGAGATTGTGAAGGCTGAACCCGTAAAGTGGATGTTCCGCACTTTGATAGTGCCTATGTCTGGTTCGGTGCCCTCAGCTGTGTTGAGAGTACAGAAAGCCAATGACAAATGGGGAATAGTTACAGCCAGAAACTACGATAAACCACTTCCCTCAACAAATGATACTTCTGCTGAAGGATCGGTCGCTCGCGCTGATCTTTCGGTTTTGACAGGAGAGATCAACAATATGAGTGTATCAGAGAGTCTTTCCATGGGGTCGTCAAACGACATTAACCAAAGCATTATACCATCGCGGCAGGTAGTACCACAGCCGTACTTGTTGGACCTTGGAATTAATCAATCGCCCTCATCATATTCCCATGACGCTGATCAATTCACACTTACTTCCGCAAAAAGCGAGAATACAACAGAGAAGAGACATGATAGCCATCATATTTCAAAGACACCATCCGCCTCTAAAACACCCCTCACCATGAGGCAGGGAACGGAACTTGGTCAGCTCGTCAAAATGATAACGGTTTTCAACGACACTGTCTCCGAACGACTCCACTTCATGGATATGGTGCAATATTCTGGTCAACGACTCATGTTGGATCCCGAACTGAGTACTTTCCGCAACTCTCAAAATAGTCACAGAAACCTGGACAATGCTCGAATAGAGTACATGTAGCATTACTATACATTTTTTTAAAACAAAGTCATTCATAATCAGCTCACTAGAGAGTTAGTTCAGGCATAGGATAGGGCGTTGTGGGTTTTCTGACCAATTTCCCATGGATTTTCACTCCACTTTGACGCTCTTGGCGTGGCCAGCACGGAAGAAGCTTATGGCAAAGGCTATCAAGAAAAAAAAGGAAATGATGGCATTGAAGATGAGAGTTCCGAGAACGTAAGCGAGTGTCCTCCATCTGATCATCAAATTTCTCAGGCTGTGGTCAAAGTTCATGGAGAACGTGAGGTAAGAACGATTTGGGTCGATGATAACGTTAGCATTTCCTGCCAGTTTAAGCGTAATATCCAGGCTTTTCACATTGTGTTCAATTGAAATCGGATTATCAAAGTGGAAAGAGTTGACTAGCTCTTTTTGAACTTTCTGAGCAAACGTTAATGATAGTCTGCCACTTCCGCCCATATTTGGAATATCTCTTGTATTCGCGCAGCTAAGTAGCAAAGTTTTACGAAACAAAGTCTTGTCTACGCTCTCTCCAGCTCTATTCACTGAGATAGTCACTTCCCCATCCTTCAAGCATAGATCGGTCACCTTGTTGAGACAAAAAATGTCGAGGTCAAGGTTCATGTTATAAGGAATATCAGCTCTGAGAGGCACATTTTGCGCAAAACCGTTTATTTCAATTTGTGGGAGCATCACAGTATTTGTAGAGTGCCGTTGGAATACAAAATTGAACGTAGATTTGCCAGACCAGCTGCCCAATTCTCTTCTGCTTTCCGAGAAGAGCACTGTTCGAGTTGAGTCAGAAGGGATCATTCGGGAGTAAAAATCATGGAAAAGAAATCCTGACAATGGAAAAATCATCAAAACATTCACCAAAATCACGATCATTATGTAGCCTCCACATTGAGCCCACTTGAGCGGCAGTGTCACATTTATCTGCATTGTTGTTCAAAGATAGACCAAACCCTTGAAATTTTGACTATTTTGACCGCTGTAAAAGACAGGAAGCTCGATACAGCTCTTGGCAATGGATAAAGCACCTCTGAACTGCCTGAAAAGTCAGTATTGGTATCTTTTTCCGTTGTTTTTGGCAAGTTTAAGGAACTTCTGTCAACTTACTTACTATCATGTTGTGATTCAACTCAATATAGTATAATAGAATTATCATATACTTAAGTCAAAATCACATCCTGACAACCGGTTCGACGAAGATCCTAGCTACTTACTTGCTGAAAAACATAATAGTGGAGAGCTCAAGCTCAGAGCACTCTTTATTTCATTTTGTCCTTCTCTGGAACTCTCTATCGTTGTGGAGCGCGGGGAGAAACCAAAAAAATCAAAGCTTGATAAAAACATGTGGGCGACGGACAAGCTGGCTTTACTGGCAGAGTTCAAAAATATTAATACAATTGTCGCATGCGCAACTCTCAATGTGTGGAATGTCCCCTGTGATACTTCAGACCATTCAAGTTCTTGTACCTTTTGCCGCACACCTCGCAGCGGTAAGGCTTGTCTTTTTCGAGCCCCAGGCCGTCCGGGTATGGCTCGTTACTCTCAGGGTCGATGATGCTGAAAGTGCCATCTGGGTTTTCGTGGAGCTTCTGGTTCTGGTGGCCGTGGAGCTTGTGGTATTTGAGGCCATTCTGGTTTTTGTAAGTCTTATCGCATCCAATAACCGGGCATTTGAAAGGCTTGTGTTCCTCATGGTCCATGACGTAGAGCCTGCGCGCCGGATCGTCTATAAACCCGGGTTGCTGTTTGCGTTTGTTTACAGCGGTGGTGGGCATGGTGGCCACTGCTACACCCTCTTCTTCATCGTCGTCGCTCATGCTACTGTCTTCGGAATCCGCACCATTGCCAATCTTCGGAGACATCTTGGATGCTGCGTTGCCGGTGTCAACCTGCTTCCACGCCTTCGCTAAGTCTGCGGGTAAGGGCGGAGCCGAGCCCATGATGGCAGAACCATCGTGCAGGTCATCGACAATATCTGCGTCCATGAAATCCAGATCGATGCCGGCGCCTACGCTGCCCACCTGCGATGGGAATCGCTGTCTATTCAGAGCAGCATTAGAAGCGTTACCCATAACTCGTTGCTGGTGCTGTTGTTGCTGGTGAAGCATTTGCTGCTGTTGATGCTGTTGCTGCTGTTGGAGAAGAGCGTGTTGCCGCTGCTGTAGCTGTTGCTGTTGCAGTCCTGCCTGTTGAGAATGCTGTTGGCCCTGGGCTTGCTGCTGTTGTTGCTGCTGTTGCTGCTGGGGTTGAAATTGCTGCATTACTGAAGCTTCCAAACCCTGCTTCGCGAGCGGTTGCATATTCAACGAGTAGTTGTTAAACCCAGCCTGCATCTTATTATTGTTGTTGCTGTTGCCTGTGGCACCATTAAACCCGGTGCCGGAAACCGCTGCATGAGCCATGGGCCCTGCTCTTTTCCCGCTTTGCCCAGCGCCGGTCTGCAAGAAAACATCGTTGGTGGATACAGCGTCCACTAAGTTGCCATTTAGATGCAGCTGCTGAATGTTGCTGGTCGTGTTCGAATTCGAGTTGTGCGGTCCGCCGTGCAGTTGTTGTTGCATGGCATGATTGAAGATCTGATTTTGCATTTGCTGTTGTAAATGACTGTTGTGTTGTTGCTGCGGCTGTTGCTGCTGCTGCGGTTGTTGTTGGTGCGCTTGCTGCTGTTGTTGTTGCTTCGCAAACTGCTGGTATTGGATGCTCTGATGCTGTTGTTGATGCGGAAGTCCTTGCTGATTTCCAGCTTGCTGTTGTCGTTGACTTTGGGACGACTGATGAAGGTTTTGTTGCTGCTGCTGTTGTTGTTGCTGATGATGACCGTGAGGCACCTGAGATTCTTGCAGAGACTGTCGCTGATGGTACTGTTGTTGCTGTGGATATTGGCGCTGCTGCTGTTGCTGCTGTTGGAGCTGTTGTTGGTACATGGCAGTCATTCGCTGCTTTTTCAAAGCGTTGTTGTTGGCCATTTGCGCGGAGTTGATACCAGTTGCGCCTGGCATCGCACCTGAAAGTCCTGCATTAGTCGGAATATTAGCCACTGCCGATGCGTGCGTGTTGATGGTCCCTGGCGAGGTAGAGATGTGGGCCTCCTCGTAGTGTCTTAACAGGTCGTGGAGACCCGGTAGTAGTAGACCACAGCACGAATAGTCCTTGCAGTACTGTTTTTCGAGGTTTGGCAGATACGCCGACGCTGCACCCGGTGGCGAGAGGGAGGCCCCACCAGCCAGGTTTCCTGCTGCGGAAGACCCACTAGCGTTCCCGCTGTAGGTATGCTGCGGTATTCCGGTCGACCCTGAAAGAGCTGCTTGCGACATATGTGCGTGGATCATCACTTCATCGCGCAACCAGGACCCGATGGTGAGCGACCCCCACGAGACTCCTCCCATTCCTTGCGAGTGTGCAATCGATTCTCGTCTAAGTTTTGCCATGTTGGATGCACTCGCCGAATTGGCCACCTGCTGCGACGACGACGATGCTGACATTTCGTTATTGATAAGGATCCCCGGCGTCGAACCAGCTGCGTTCGATGCGGTTGCCGACGAAACGTCCATGTTTGTGCGTATGCGTGAGAAAATGAGCTACCCTCCTGTATGAAACACTTGTTCTAGTAGCGCACTCGCTGTATGTTCTTCTCACTGAGCAAGCCCTAGATCTCTTGAGAAATTTCCCACTTTCTGATCCAAAATCTCCAGCTGTTCTCACTGGCTGTTTTCCCAAGCTTTTCAAACTCTTCTTGCTCTCTTCTTTTGTCTCTACAGTTCCCCTGCTGTCCCTGGTCTCTATTTAGGTGGAACCCTGGGCGAGCGGTACTTTACAAAGCTGTTTCCTCTGCGACTAGTTCGATTTAGCAAGCTGGGCGATGCTGAGCGAAGCTGAGCGAAGCTGAGATGGCCAATATTTCTTTAAAAGGAGACGGAGACAGATTTACCACCATCGCCGTGCTGAAGCACTACCCGTTTCTACCGTATTTCCAAGATGTGATTTCCAGGTGACCATCTTTTGGGTAGTCACCAGACCACCGCAGAGAGAGACAGAGATAGAGACAGAGACAGGGACAGAGACCGGGACTAAGACTGAGACTGAGTCAAGCTTCAAGGTGAGTAGCGCGGTGCGGTGACGACAATAGTGACAATGGCATTCTCTCCGCTATGGTATGGCGTGTGCGCTGCTGCTGGACTTGTAACTCTCTTTTGTTCCTCTCAGTAAACCCGTGCCTCAATGAGTTGCGCGGGTACTCAGCATATGCTGCCTTGCGCTACGAGGTTTTCTGGTGCCAGCGTAGCAGGAATGGGCAAAAGACAAGAGACCACTGTTCTGGCGAATCAAATACTAACTCTGGGAAGCTGCTGCAGGCGTTCCACCCACGTACAACAGCAATTATCAGTTAGTGTGCCATTTGCTTGTGGCGAGGTTGAAAGTCACCACTTTCCTCACAGGCCGGGCGCCAAGCTCAGACGATGATACTTCTTGTCTCTTAAGCGCATGTCGTATGTCACGAGACGGATGAAATGGTCAAGACAAGTCCCCATACCACTGCCACTACCACCATTATCGCAGCACACAGCGCCGCATCGAGCGTGATGATACGAGCACGTAATCACTGGGCGGTTCAGCCGTTGCTGTTTGTTGCGCGTCGGAACTCTGCCAGCTCTAAGAACTTGCATATGCACTGCGTCCATGGCCAGTGGACAATGCCAATGCACACATTCGCCACACACAAGCTCGCAACGCATCATCTCAGATCCTGAAGCCAGCGCGTTGGGAATTTCTGCAATATTTGTGGATAGTGAGTAGGTGAGTGTTTTGCATCATTCTTCTGTCCCTACGGATGCCCACTAATAGACCCACTGGGTCTATTAGTGGGCCAAGACGGGCGCTGACCCAGACACCCACACAAGGACGCTAATCGTGGGTGTGTTTACAGCGGGCAGTCAATGCAACGGTTCGGATGGATGTTCCGGGACAGTTTGCAAATGTGTAGCCAAACGTGTGTTAAGTCTGCGCTCACTGAGGGTGCACCAATGGTGCAGCCATGATGAGAGCAGCTTATGGGGTTTTAGCGGTTCCAATTGCCAGCCTGAACGGTTCTCAATACAAGAAACACGGTGGGTCCTAGACATAACAAGAGTGACGTTGAATTGTGGGTCTTTCTGGAGTGGAGAACTACGCAGGTAGCGCTCATCTGGTGTGTTCATTGCCCATCATAGTGTGACCATGAGTTTTGCCCATGTTAATAGGCAAAATGGACCCTCTAGGTCCGATTGCCATCACTTTTACCGCTCCCAAAAAGGCCTTCTTTAGCCGCCGAATAAAGAGCCTTCATTCGAGAGGTATAGTTGAGAGACTAGGAAGTACCGTCAAGCAGTAAAACTTAATTTTGCCTCTGTAATTGGAAAGTATGAGTGCCTCCAAACCTTGATAAAATAGTTTTGTGGCGATGATCTTCGCGTGAGTGAAGAACGCTAGGAAGCACGTTCGGAGTAGCGCCCGAAGATACCACACTCTCGCGGTCCAATTCACAGTTCTTGGGATCCTCCGCTGTAACCTTCTTGAAAGTCTTGGGTCTCCATGTTTCATGAAGCAAATGGTCTTTGTTTCATTGTTTTTCGTCGGCGGCTAATATCAAAACGTACCAATTTTGACCGTTTTGAGTCGTTTTCCCTTCTATTCCGGTGAAACTAGACACGTAGATTTCAATTCCAACGCGTCGAAGTGGCCTATTCTTGTCTTTCCATGGTTAATTTGTCTTTTTAGAGTTCTGGGAAGTGGTATATCGAGGAAAGAAGGCTGTTTTGGTTTAAAGGCTTTATTTACGTAGTTTCTGCCGCCACCCCTTGATTACATAAAAAAATCTGCCCTATCACGTTTTTAATAATCACATGACTTTAAACGTGATCAAATATTTTTGATTACATAATTTGACTTCAATTCGTCAGTCTCAAATTTTCTATAGCATCTCTTCAATAGCAGAGCGATGAGCTCTTCAACAGCGATATTGACAAACAAAGACGCCTCAAACTCACCATTTCGGTTCCTTTCTAGATGTCAACAAAGCACGCATTGGATTCGGTGACTGTTGAGGATCAAGATCGTTTTTCCAAGCGGCCAAATACGTCAGGTATAGCTCACATTAAGCCCGAGTTTGTAGTCATCGCCGATGAGGCCGCCAAAAACACTTCGTCAACGGCAAATGATGAGGAAGAACCCGTTTCTGACCGTATAGCCACCGGCAACACTGCGGGCAAGAAGGGCAAATCGAAAAAGCGCGGTCAGAACAAGAATCGTAATATAACTCAGGTCAAGGAACAGTACCAGCTGTGTTCAAAACTCGTGCTAGGACAGACCCAGGACGAAGGTTGTCCGTTCGGTGAAAACTGCCGTTACGTGCACGACATAGATCAGTACTTGGCACACAAGAAACCGGAAATACAAAGTGAGCAGTTCCAGGTATGTCCTGTGTTCGAGACCCTAGGTCGATGCCCGATGGGTTTCAAGTGCAGGTTTTTAAGCTCTCATTACAACCCAGAAACTAAGCAATTGCAGTTTAAGCCAGAAGAGGAGACCAAGCTGCTCTACGACGCCAACCACGAGGTCAATGTCATTGCCGCCGACAAAAAACTCGACTTGATCAAAAAAAGATTCGCTTTTGAAAAAAGCGACTTCGTGCTGGAGATAATAGATGCCATCCAGCAGGAGTTCAGAGACGGGCTGAACGAGGAGAAACAAGCAGCAGCAAAGGCCCAAAAGGAGTCTTCCAACTCTGACGAGGCCAAGAAACCCGACCAGGACCAGGAACAGGTCAAGGCGCCGCAAGTATTGCAGAGAGAGCAGGAGCAGAAAGACAAGCGTAACCGTCAGAAGGAGCTGTATGCAGAGTACAAGGACACTCGCTTCTTCGCTCAAGAGAAGAAACGGCTGAATCTGAAGAACAAGAAAATCGTATCGCCGTTAACCACGGTCGGGAACTTGCCATACCGTCGTTTGATGCGCAAATTGGGTGCCGATGTAACTTATTCTGAAATGGCTCTTTCTGTACCATTGATCCAGGGAACCAACTCTGAATGGGCGCTTCCAAAGGCTCATATTTCTGAAGTTCCAGGTTTCGGAGTGCAAATTGCTGCCGCTAAGGCATGGCAAGCAGCCAAAGCAGCTGAAGCATTGGCCAACTTTGCGCCTGACGTCAGTGAAATCAACTTGAATTCGGGGTGTCCGATTGATCTATTGTACAGACAAGGTTCCGGAAGTGCTCTATTGGACAATCCAGCAAGAATGATTAGATGTCTGAACAGTATGAACTACGTTACGGGAGACATTCCAGTCAGTGTGAAAATCCGTACCGGAACAAAAGACGGACATCCAATGGCGCAAGGATTGGTGCGCCGTCTGGTCAGTGAGACGGATGTTGCTGCTATCACTTTGCATGGGCGTACGAGGCAACAGCGCTACACTAGAAACGCAGATTGGGACTACGTCAAACAAGTTTCTGCAACGCTGAGAGAGGCAGAGGCAGAATCACAGGAGAAGCATAAGGATAAAAGAGAATCACAGCAGCGAATTCAATTTGTAGGGAACGGTGATATCAACAACTTTGAGGACTGGTACAAGCATATGGAAGATGGAAACATGGACAGTGTAATGGTCGCTAGAGGAGCGTTGGTGAAGCCTTGGATTTTTGAAGAAGTGGAAGCTCAACAACATTTGGATAAGAGTAGTCAGGAACGTTTAGAGATCTTGAAAGATTATGCTCGTTTTGCCATGGACCATTGGGGAACAGATGAGTACGGTATTTCTCAGGGTCGTCGGTACTTCTGCGAGTTTATGTCATTCTTCCATCGCTACGTTCCGATGGGAATCTGTGAAAGATATCCCGTTTTACTCAATGAAAGGCCTCCGAACTGGAAAGGTAGAAATGAATTAGAGACCTTGATGGGTAGCACCGATATGAAAGACTGGATCAAGTTGAGTGAGATGTTTTTCGGTAAGACCGATGAGAGTTTCGTGTATTTACCCAAACACAAGAGTAATTCCTATTGAATAATGTACGCTTTATTAGAGGTGGATGAGACGAGTTTGTGACACAGGATGTAAAGTTTATAAATTCTGGCTGCCTAAAGAAAAAACTTGTACAGGTTCAATTCTTTTACTAACAGCCAATTGTTTTGGCCATCATGCTGTGACTGTTGGAATTGCCGTCATCTTGTGGCTCCGGGAGTATTCAATCTCAATTTTTTTTAAAATTGTTCTTGACTAGTGATCTGAGAATACTGATGGATTGTTACTGCTCTGAACTCACATCTCCGCTTGCAAGCTTTCGGCACGCTCCTTGAGCGACTTAATTTCCTTGTCTGCGTCCGCGATCTGTTTTTTCAAGTCGTCAACATCCATGTTGTCAGGCTCTTTTCTGTATTTTTCTTTCAACTCTAGCAATTCCCATACCAAGCCATAAGTTCTGAACACGGTAAAGGTCAAAAACAACGTAATACCGGTCAGGTACATGTTTCTTTGCGCGTAAAACTTGCGACTTTGGACCTCGTTGCGATCGCTGACGCCCACGCCTGCAGCCAACGATGTTTGCGATAGTTCGCTGTTGATCGTGTATACACGGTTGATAGTGTCCACAAATAGTAGCAGAATGAACCCCAAGATGCATTTTATGGCCACCTGGACCTGTGTTAATCGAAACGGTCTGATCAAGGCCATGGTTACAGGTTTGCGATATTTCGACGGGATAGGAAGGGCCAGTAGCAGAAACATGACCATTTCGAACGCTAAAATCCCGAAAACAAAAGTGTAGTAAAGTGTCATCGTGCGGTAGTAACAAACAGTACAGATATGACGGTATAGTGAAGACCGATACGTCTGCTGGAACTGTTGTGGTTGGCTTTGAGCAAGAAGTCTGTATTATAGGACAGCAGTTTTATAATATAAGGGAAAAGAGAGAAGTGTCGCTGTATACGACAGCATTATCGCTGAAAGAACAAATTCCGGAAGCGACAGACAGCAGGCATGGAGCGAACATTACTCTTGAAGTAGTAATTCCGGTGCAATTACTGAAAGATAGATGGTGGATTTAGAAGAAACTGGGCTTCTGCTTGTTCCTTTCGCTTCGTTTTGAGAAAAATGTTATGAAAAGGTTGTTAAAGTCACGTGTGCAGGCTTCAACTACCATAAAGAGAATGTTCAATGTTTTTGGCTTAAAAAAATGACGACCCGAATAGTGGGAATCTCTTGGGCGGCTTTTGGGATCGGGTTTACTTGTTCTGTGCGTTTATGCGCGTTGTCTGGCTTTTCTGACATTTGTTTGTAGCATTTTAATTACGTGTCACCGATGATGGCTAGAAGAGAGGCGTCACGAAAATAAGGAGACGTCGAAAATGAGGAATGACAAAGGATCACTGGATGTATCAAACTCGCGATTAAAGAACGGATTTTTAACGCGTTACTGGCACACGACAGTAAGAAATTAACGTAAAGATGCTGTCTTGAGACCAAAAAAAAAGCTCGATTTTTGACGAAGAATGATTGTCACGTGATAAGACGATTTTAGAGGACAATGACGATAACAACGAAGGACAACTCTTCTTCTTGTTCTTCCCCTCGCATATTTTGAGAAAAATGCCAGACAAAAAGAAGAATTTGAGTTTTATTCAAGCGGTGACTGATTGAAATAGATCGTTTTACACGGTTCCCGAGTACCTGGGTACTCGCGGAAACTAAAATAATTCATATAACATTAAGAGAAAGAGAAAGAGACAGAGAGAAAGATAGGAACCTCCGATAGGAAGAGACCTCGCTTCAAGGTTCAGTAGTAAAACAATCACAATGAGGTAACCATAGTATCAAGGCCACGAAAATGTTGATTGGAAAGTGACTCAAGCTTGCTAGCTTGCACGCTAAAGTTGAAATGAGCTCTTCAAGAGCGTTCACGTTTGCACTCAGAGCTGTGGAGCACGATTTGCGGGGCCAGAGTCGTGAGAGGGTTATTCCCACGAATTTCAAATTTGAGAGGCTATAGAAGAAGACTTCAGGCGTTCGACAATAGATGCTACTGCTAATGCGTCTGCTACTGCGTCTGCCACTACAACGACTACACCCATACACCACGCACACGTGACATATGTTCATTCCACTTCTTTTCCTTACTCTATCTTCATATGAAGATTGACTGCTATTTCTACCAATGGTTCCTTTGTCTGTCTGTCTGTCTCTCCTCTCTCTTCTCTCCCTCCTTCCATGGCACAGCTACACTACTAACACTACCAACAACACTTGACCACCACTATCACTACCAACGGTGTACTCCTCTTCCTTCTCTCTCCGTACTCGCCCGAGTGATCCGCGCGGTACTCGTCTTTACCACCCAGTCACCCAGCCATCTGTGCACCCCCGTAACCCGTGCACCCCCTGCACCCAGTCACCGCGCTCGTGATCCCTATCTCTCTCTTGTCTTCTACGCGCGTTTCTATGGCTAACGCGTAACGTGTTGTTGTTTTTTTTATCCCTCCTCCTTCGCCGCTCTCTGCAAAAACAATTCTTCGTCCAGCATCACCAGCGGATTTTTTTTCTCGCCCCCCTCCCCTCCGAAGCTCAGGTCGTGGGTATTTAAACACGGGGCCTTTTTCGTCTTCTGGCCGGTTCCCCCGGGGAAAAAAACAACACAGGAGGGTAACCTTTGAATTTTTTAATTTTCTTTTTTTTTCTTTTTTTTGCGTGTGGAAGAGGAAAAAAGAAAAAGAAAAAAAAAGAGAGGAAAAACTTAATTTTTTTAGGGGACGGAGCACGTGAAGATATTGTTTTTCTGTACGAAAAAAGAGAGCTTATTTCTTTTTTGTTTCGTGTATCGTGATTGGATAGTTACCCGGACTCGGCCCCTTTTTTGTCGAAAACACATGACCGCGGCAGAGCCAGTCGGAACGGCCGCCGCGAGTGTGGACCACGTGATACCTAGCGGCGGCTCGGAGAAGCCCGCGTTTCAAACCAAACATGAAGACAAAGTCAACGCAGAAGTTCCACCTCCATCGCCTCCTCCAGAGGACAGGGACGAAACGCCCAAGCAAAGCGCACCAACTAGTGCGCCAACCAGTGCGCCAACCAGTGCGCCAACTAGTGCGCCAACCAGTGCGCCAACTAGCGCGCCAACTGGCGCGCCAGAAGGCTTGCCACAGACTCCGGCTCCCGCTCCTCCTCCAGAACCAGACCTCAACAATCTCCCGCAAAACCCGCTGCCCAAGCACCAGAACAAACATGCCACTACTGCGATCAAGGCCGTCAAGCGGCTGAAAGATGCCCGGCCTTTTCTACAACCGGTAGACCCCGTTGCCCTCAACGTCCCGCTCTACTACAACTATGTCAAAAGACCCATGGATCTCGGTACCATCGAGCGGAAATTACAGCACAACGCCTACGAAACTCCAGAACAAGTATCTGCAGATTTCAAACTCATGGTTGACAACTGTGTGCGTTTCAACGGAGAGTCCGCAGCCATCTCGCAAATGGGTCGCAACATCGAAGCCAGCTTCGAAAAGCACATGCTTGGAATGCCCGCACGCGATGCTCCTCCAAGACCACGCGTCAAAAGACGGCGCTCAGAGCTCGAAACGCCTGTGGTGATTCGTCGCGCTGAATCGCATAACGGAAGACCCAAACGTGAAATCCATCCTCCCAAATCTAAGGACATCTACCCTTACGAGTCTGCTAAACCTCGCTCCAAGAAACACCAAACCGAACTACGGTTTGCACAACAAGTGGTCAAAGAACTCATGTCGAAAAAATACAGCTCTTTCAATTACCCTTTTCTGGAACCCGTGGACCCTGTGGCTCTCAATTGTCCCACTTACTTCGACTACGTGAAACAACCCATGGATTTGGGATCAGTAAGCCGTAAGCTCAGTAATTGGGAGTACGAAAATGTGGAACAAGTCGAAGCCGATGTACGTCTCGTTTTCAAAAACTGCTATGCGTTCAATCCCGATGGCACTATTGTCAATATGATGGGACATCGCTTGGAAGAAGTTTTCAACACTCGCTGGGTCGATCGCCCTATCGTTCCGGAAGACGAATCTGATGAAGACGAAGATGGCGAGTCGGACTATTCAAGTGACGAAAACGAGCTGGATATCAATGGCGGCTCCGGCACAGGTGCCGGCGGTGCTGGAGGACACCTCGACAATGACGTGGACGAAAGCTTAATCACTAACCCGGCAATTCAGTACCTGGAGGAACAGTTGGAACGTATGAAAGTGGAACTGCAAAACCTGAAAAAACAGGAATTGGAACGCATTCGTAAGGAGCGTCGTTTGGCAAGAGGTACGCGCAAAAGACGCACAGGCCGCAAGAAATCCAAAGTCGATTCTAACGGCCATGGTAGACGTAAAAAGAGCAAATTGAAAACGGTGGTGACATACGACATGAAGAAGATCATCTCTGAACGAATCAATGACCTGCCGGCATCCAAGCTGGAAAAAGCCGTGGAATTGATCAGGAAATCGATGCCGGACATTGGTAAAGAAGATGAGGTCGAGTTGGATATCGACATGCTTGACAACACCACCATTTTAACTCTTTTCAACACGTTTTTCCGGTCCTATGCTGAATCAAGTAACGGGAACGGTGCAGGTGTGGATGACAGCTCTAACAACCGAAGCTCTTTGTCTCCAAACTCGGCGGGGTCTAAAAGGGCCAGGCGTAGAAGCAAGACCTTGAGTGAACTGGAGCAAAATAAACAGATCGAGAAGATCAAAAACAAACTGGCTATACTAGACGGTGCTTCACCCACGTCTGCAAGTGCATTCAGCAATCTTGCTGCTGGTGGTGAATCCTCCGATGACGATGATGATGACGACTTAAGCAGCGAGAGCGAAGAAGAGTAAATGTTCGAAGGAAAAAAAAATAATCGGAACAACACAGAACTATTTTGCGTGCTGTTTAGCGCGCTTGGCATCAATGGGTATTATGAAGTTGCGGCTGTGAACACAAGTCTGCAGTATCACAAACACCACGCATCGACTGTATGATGTTTCATTCCCAAATGCATACTTTTTGACACCGCTCGTTTCCCAAACTATTTTCTCGCGTTATTTCATTTCGACTCCGGTTTTGCCAACGCGATGATCTGGTAACCAGGGGTGTCCCCATTTCCATTTTACAGTATCATATATAGCATGGAGGTCGTTGCAGACGCTACTGCACTCCTCGTGTATTCTAGCAAATAAAGTTGAAAAAGATTGAGTTGTAGATGAGGATGGTGAACATCACGTATGTACAGACCCTGTGGGTTGGTAAATAGCAGTTTATTCAATAGTTGGTCCTTGTCACTGTTTATTTGAGTAGTGTGTCGAAATTTCGTTGTATCACGCTAAGAAGTCAGTAGCCCATGTTTAATTTCAGACATGGAGACATAAACAAAAAAAATGGTGTTCTGTCAGTACGAACCTAAAAAATGGTCAAGAATTAGCGTTGATCTCTGACTCCCCTACCACGCGGGAATCAAAGTTTTGGACAGTTTTCTCAATAATCCATTGACATTGTAACAACTCTTTTTTCTCCCTGCAAAACGCTGTCACTGCCATTACGGAGCTTTTATCAGGCCAGCGTTTATCAATTACACTACCCAGAGCAATTGGGAGCAGTCAAAGAATCCATCCCATTGAACTTAGTATCTTCAAGAGGTTTTCTAGTCCAGATGAGGTTTTTTAATACCATAAAATTCGATGAACTCAACTACATATATAGAATCCATAGTCCTGAAGGCAATAAGACTTGATTTTATAAAGAATAAGCTTTCTAAATCTCCCAGAGTTCATCAGATCTGCCAATCTCTCGAAATACCCTTACTGCCGGGGAAGAAGCACCAAATCTCCTGCATTTTCAACTCAGAAATTTACGGAATTTTATCTCCACACATAGTGGACCAAAAATCCTGGAAAAAGCCTCCAAGTAATCCTGAAATTTTCTTCTAAATATCCAAAACACCAAATAGTCAGATGGAGCTTCTTGTCGAAAGCTATTCCATGACTATCTTCGTTGACCATCTTTAATGTAAAGTACCGTTTAACGAAGCCATCGAATAATTTAAGCACATCTAATAACCAGAATTGAACTGAACTTGACCAAGCTATACATTACAATTCACTCGCCCAAGCAAAGATGGCAGGCTCAGATCAGTCAATTGAGGAGCTTTTCCAACGTCTCAAAGTACTTGATCACAATGGGCCTGAGAATTTCGAAGATCTGAGATCGACAACTGAGCCAAATGCCGATTCCGAAGACAAAAGTCGGAATGAAATACTAGACAGATTTCTCCAGCCTTCCAACGTGTTGTCGTGGAACTTACTAGATCTGTTTCAAGAGGTTCCCGAAATGAACTTCATGGATGAAAACAAGGGTTCAGGAAGTGCAGATTATGACTATCATCAGTTTTTGCAAATTCCAGATTTCATTAAAAGAACAGCATATCATTTCAAGAGAAGAGGAATTGAGGGTAAAATAGACGGCTACCAAGAATCGGTCAAGTTAGAAGAAATTGCAAACGCGAATGCGTCCAATTCTCTCTCGCTTTCACGAAAAATCAACACCGAGGGTAGTTCAGTGAGGGGTTCCAGCGCTCAATTGCCGTTTGCGCCAGGTGGATTGGCAATGTCCGCTTTGGCACAAGATGGTGAGGTGTCAAATATGGCCAATGCCACTAAGTTGCTGCACCGAGATGATCAAGGGCTTTTTGATATTCCACCAGGTCTGGAGCGAGGAATTGTCCCGCAGGAGTTGGCTAAAATCGATGATGCTCAAGTAGAAGGAATGGATACTCTTAACAGTATTGACAACGAACTAGAAAATCTACAGGAAATAACGGAAAACCGTCAAAAAGAAGAAGATAACTTGGAAAAAGAAGTTTCTCAGCTTATCCTTTCCACGAAGCAACACGACAATGAGACAGAGGTCGGGGTAGATGATCTGCTTCCAGTTGGAATTGACTTTGGCCGAACCATCCGTCAAACTAAGAATGACTTGGGACGCAAAAACTGGGCTCACGTTGTGGACCTAAATCACAGGATAGATAATTTCGAAGAGCTGGTCCCTAATCCTGCAAGAACATGGCCTTTTGAGCTCGATGTCTTTCAAAAAGAGGCAGTATATCATCTGGAGCAAGGTGACTCTGTTTTTGTAGCCGCCCATACTTCAGCGGGGAAAACTGTGGTGGCCGAGTATGCTATTGCCATGGCTAAGAGAAACATGACAAAAACGATTTACACGTCGCCTATCAAAGCTTTGTCCAATCAAAAGTTCAGGGATTTCAAAGAAGATTTGACCGATGTCGATGTTGGCCTAATTACCGGGGATGTTCAGATAAACCCAGAAGCCAACTGCCTTATCATGACCACCGAGATTCTGAGATCAATGCTTTATCGCGGTGCGGATTTGATCAGAGATGTTGAGTTTGTCATTTTTGATGAAGTGCACTACGTGAACGATCAGGATCGTGGTGTGGTCTGGGAAGAAGTGATCATCATGCTTCCGCAGCATGTCAAATTTATTTTGCTCTCTGCTACTGTTCCTAACACCTTTGAATTCGCCAATTGGATCGGTAGAACAAAGCAGAAGAATATTTACGTTATCTCGACTCCCAAGAGACCTGTACCGCTGGAAATCAACGTATGGGCCAAAGAAAAAATGATACCGGTGATCAACGAGAAAAGAGAGTTTCTGGAGTCGAATTTTAAACAGCATAAAGAACTTATTGCTGGCAAAAGCGACAAAGGCCCTTCGCCAGCAAGCCGAGGTCGGGGCGGACCAGCCCGTGGGGGTGGAGCAGGTCGTGGAGGTGGACCTGGTCGTGGCGGTCCAGCACGCGGCGCTATGCGTGGGGGCTCTCGTGGCGCCGGCGCAGTGGGTTCAAACAGAAGTGACTTTTTCAAAAGAAGTGGGCCAAATAAGAAGACGTGGTCTAATTTGGTAAATTACCTCAAGGCGAATGAATTGCTACCAGCCGTAATCTTCGTTTTCAGTAAAAAGAGATGTGAGGATTATGCGGATTGGCTAGATGGCGTGAATTTTTGCGCTAGCAAGGAACGATCGCAGATTCGCATGTTTATCGACAAGTCAATAACCAGGCTCAAGAAGGAAGATAGAGAGCTTCCCCAAATAACCAAGATCAAATCCTTGCTGGAGCGTGGTATTGCTGTACATCATGGTGGTCTGCTGCCTATCGTCAAGGAGCTCATTGAGCTACTATTTGCGAAAGGACTTATAAGGATATTGTTCGCCACAGAAACATTTGCAATGGGTCTGAACTTGCCTACTAGAACTGTGGTCTTTAGCGAGATCCAAAAACATGACGGTAATAGTTTGAGAAACCTGAACCCGGGTGAGTTCACGCAAATGGCAGGGAGAGCGGGGCGGAGAGGGCTGGACAAAACCGGAACGGTCGTGGTGATGTCTTACACGTCTCCTTTGGAGCAAGCTTCTTTCAAGGAAGTTGCTCTAGGTGTTCCTACGAGGCTGCAATCTCAATTCAGGCTCACCTATAACATGATATTGAACCTGTTGAGAATCGAAGCGCTTCGCGTCGAAGAGATGATAAAATATTCTTTCAGTGAAAACAGCAAACAGACGCTACTTCCCGAACACGAGAACAAAATCAAGAGCCTACAAAGTCAGCTAGATAGTATTCAATACTATGATGGTGTTGAAGAAGAGGAGTTAAACAAAGCATTGGACGCAATAATCAAATACAAAGAATGCACTAAAGATATGATGAAGGAACTTGCAAGCGGAAATAGCGTTTTCCGCGTGTTGAATGTGGGTCGTTTGATACTTTTCAGGGACGAAAACGACAATGCCAAACTAGGCTTTGTGTTCAAAAATCTTCCCAAGGAGGGCCAGGTAATTGTCATGACCGTAACAAAACCCAGTACACTTGAGAGCGGTGAGCCTAACCACTTGCCGTATTTCTCAGGAATTCCAGACTTTATCAAACACAATTTCAAAAGATTTGAGCAAACCGATTTCTACATGGAACCCATTGCCATAGAGGATATAGAAATTGTCAGCGCTTTTACCCTAGACGTCTCCATGAGCGATGTCATGAAACAGGACCCTGAAGTGTTAGAGAAGTTTTACGGTGAAGTGTCGCTGATTTTGAGAATCTCTAAAAAGCTCAAGGAGACGAAATACGAAAAGAAGGGAAGTCTGAAAACTCATCAGGCCGTTTTAGACCGAGAGAGGATAAGAGCGGAAATCGCATCCCTTGACTGCTTGAAAGCGCCAAATTTTACCATGCAGTTTTTGCCGAAGTATAAGGAATATGAGATTCAGAAACAGATTAAAGACCTTTACCACTTAATGTCGGAACAAAATCTCAGTCTGCTTCCCGACTACGAGCAGCGCCTCTCGGTTTTGAAAGACGTGGGATTCATAGATCAGAGTCACAATGTTTTGCTCAAGGGACGTGTTGCTTGTGAGATTAACTCAGGTTATGAACTTGTTTTAACAGAGTTGATTCTCGATAACTTTTTAGGAGACTTCGAGCCCGAGGAGATCGTCGCGCTATTGTCCGTTTTTGTTTATGAGGGTAGAACAAGAGAGGAAGAGCCTCCGGTTGTCACCCCTCGTCTGGCTAAGGGTAAAAGTAAAATCCAGGAGATTTATCAGACCATGCTCGACGTGTATGAAAAACATCAGATTCCATTAACTAAAGATGAGGCGGAGTTTTTGGATAAGAAGCGTTTCGCACTTATGAACGTGGTGTACGAATGGGCAAGAGGTCTGTCATTCAAAGAAATTATGGAGATGAGCGTTGAATCGGAGGGTACCATTGTCAGAGTCATCACTCGTCTGGATGAAATTTGCAGAGAAGTGAAAACGGCTTCGATCATCATTGGTAACTCAACGTTGCATATGAAGATGTCTCAGGCCCAGGAGTCCATTAAAAGAGATATTGTATTTGCTGCAAGTTTGTATCTATGATGAGTTTTACTATCAAAAAAGTTAAATACTATGTTATAGACTGGCACCATTGGTTTATTCAGGCTTCCTACATGCCGAAAGCCTTCTTGAGTATAGGTTTCGCTACGCGTTCTCGCAGCAAAGCTGTGATTTTGTTGTGATCGTTGATGACGCTGACATACCCAATGATAGCGAATAGACATCTTTGATCAAAAACCCTGTGAATCCTCAAAGGAACCTTTTTCTCTGGCATTGGGACGCGTGCTAACCTGTCGAATCTGTGCGTTATAAACCGTCGTAGAAGAATCTCCGGCGAACGTCTAGAGGTGCTCATATGTGTCATTTTCTCCTCGTAATTGAAATCCAGCCCGTTGATATCGTGTCGGCTTCTCTTGAAAACATTCATAAAGCTACCCATTATACTCAATCGCAGAAGTGTCCTGCCCAATCGTTGCAAGTTTCCGACCTGGAATTCCTTCCCGTCAGGAAAGTTCACCACACCGTTCCTGACGGGGTACAGACACTTTCTCAACTGCTCTAATTCGCCACACTCAATACCAAAGTCATTGAAGCGTAAGGACTCGCTAACTAATCGCAGTTTCTCTTCATCCTTGGTTTGGAATTTCATTTGCTTATAAGTTCTCCGCGAAAGCCGTATTTTAACCGTTTTGAAAGCGGAAAACTCCCTGAAAATCGGTATTTCACGTTTGAAAGCCCACATGAAGAACTAGCGCCAAATATCTGGGTCTAAAAGACTTCTAATGGCCTTATTTTCGAAGTTTTTATACTGTTCTTGCAAGAGTGAATAATTTAATGAATCTCATCTCATCTCATCTCATCTCATCTCATCTTGAAGCTCACCCAACAGCGTCAAATACACGCAGAATCTGCTCGAAAGATGGCTCCCAAGGCTTCCAGCTCCACTGGTAAGAAAAAGAGCAGTTCCAGTACCTCTGAGGAACTGAAAACGCCGAAATTCAAGCTTCCGACCTCTTTTATAGCCAGACCTTCGCTAAAAAATGATGAACGTTCCATTTGCAACGTATACATGAGCAAGCAGGTGATGAAAGCTCTTGAAATCGATGCTGGAGGTCTATGTTTAGTTGCTAAATTGAACGAAAACGGTGTGGTTGCTATGGCTCAGCCCGGTGATGATTCCTTGCCAAACAACGTGGTACAGCTTTCAGGCTCGCTCAGATCGGTGGGAAACGTTTTGCTGGGAGATCGATTGGAAGTGAAGAGGGCGACGTTACAACCGGAATATGCATCTACTGTCACATTGGGATCAAGACAGAACATGCAAATACCAGAACCTGCTGAGAAGCACATTTCCAAGTTGTTGGACGAATGCGGTCTGATAATGCCAGGATTGGTGTTCCCGGGACGTGAAGTAAGCGAGGATCTCAATTTGGACCTGGTTATCACTGCTGTCAATGACGAAAACGCTGAAGAACTTCCCAACATCGCAAACTTAAGCATAAGCGGCTCGGACGTGGAGCAAAGTCAAGTTTTTTACTTGTCACCACCTGCGATTTTCCGTAAGGGCCATACCAAAATCATTCTTGGCGCCGATGTTGCGCCTTCCATCAAGTATGGCCTTCCCCAGCCTATCAGCTACGGAAGCGTCGGGGGACTGAAAAGAGAAGTGGATCTGCTTAAAAGAACCATAGAACTTCCGCTACACGAGCCAACGCTGTTCGCTGAATTTGGGGTGACTCCACCACGCGGAATCCTACTTCACGGTCCACCAGGAACAGGTAAAACCATGCTGTTGAGATGCGTTGCTAGCGAGGCCAACGCACACATACTCACCATAAATGGGCCATCAATCGTTTCCAAATATTTGGGAGAGACCGAGGCTGCTTTACGTGATCTTTTCAACGAAGCGAAACTGTACCAGCCATCGATCATTTTCATTGACGAAATCGATTCATTAGCCCCGAGCAGATCCAGCGATGATTCGGGTGAAGTAGAAAGCAGGGTTGTTGCCACATTGCTCACCTTAATGGATGGCATGGGCAGTTCCGGCCGCGTTGTGGTCGTCGCAGCTACAAACAGGCCCAACTCTGTGGACTCAGCTTTGAGAAGACCCGGCAGATTGGATCAGGAAGTCGAGATCGGGATTCCCGATGCCAATGCCAGACACGACATTCTCGTCAAGCAATTTGAAAAAGTTTCAGTGAAGCGTCATGAGCTCACATCGAATGATATCTTGCACGTTGCCTCCCGCACGCACGGTTATGTTGGTGCAGACCTTGTAGCATTGTGTCGTGAGTCTGTGATGAAAACTGTACAAAGAGGCATGATTCAAGGTCTGGACAGGGGAAGCCTGAAAATAACCCCCAAGGATGTCGAAGATGCTATGGCAGAAATTCGTCCCAGCGCCATGAGGGAGATCTTCTTGGAGATGCCCAAAGTATTTTGGTCAGATATCGGAGGCCAAGAAGATCTCAAACTGAAATTGAGGGAGATGATTCAATTACCGCTAGAGGCCTCGGAATCGTTTGAAAGACTAGGTGTTTCAGCCCCCAAGGGTGTCTTATTATATGGACCCCCGGGCTGCTCCAAGACTTTGACTGCCAAGGCCTTAGCCACGGAATCCGGTGTCAATTTCTTGGCGGTGAAGGGACCCGAAATTTTTAACAAATACGTTGGTGAGTCCGAGAGAGCGATCAGAGAAGTCTTCAGAAAGGCTAGAGCCGCTTCCCCCAGTATTATTTTCTTTGATGAAATCGATGCTTTGTCTCCAGATCGTGACTCCGGTGGTTCTACCTCGGCTGCTAACCATGTGCTTACGTCTTTGCTGAACGAAATTGATGGTGTCGAGGAATTGAACGGAGTGGTGATCGTGGCTGCAACCAACAGACCTGACGAGATTGATCAAGCCCTGTTGAGACCAGGAAGACTAGACCGTCATATTTACGTGGGTCCGCCGGATTACGATGCCAGGATCCAGATTATAAAGAAAAACACACAAAATTTCAAGCTCGAGAACCCTATAGAACTTCTCACAGAAATGGCAAATAAAACTGATGGATGTTCAGGTGCAGAGGTTGTTCTGTTATGTCAGGAAGCGGGACTTGCAGCAATCATGGAGAATCTGGATGCTGACCGAGTGGAAAGAAGACATTTTGAAAAAGCCCTGAAGGGCATTGCACGAGGAATTGATCAAGACATGCTGGATTACTATCGTAGCTTTCAAAATCGTAGTGGCATCTCAGCTTGAAAGTTGGCCAGTGTCAGTTCTGGCGCAGGCCAAGAAAGTGTTGATGTCATTATTGACGTGAGCTATAGATTGGTAAATTAGAGGGTCTTAAGTTAGAGAACTTTGACCTTTAACCAAGTTTCTGGCGAAAAAGCGCGATGGTTTACTCAGTCAACACGCGGAAATTTGTTCGGACCGTTCGAGATGGGTTGATTAAAACATTGAATGAAATTTCAGACGGCAAATCGCCACAAATACTGGTCCTGGAGGCCACTTTGGTGTCATTTGTGAACAAACTTTGCACTTATAGCACGCTCAGAGAAGCCACACCAATTGCCAAAGTGGTAACTGCAGATAAGGACTGCTTTGAAGTTTTGGAATCTCTTTTGAAAGAGACGCAATATCAGCTAGTTTTTGTGGTCGATATTCGATCGGATCTTCGAGTACCCACTGAGCTCGGAAAGCTCATTAAAGCTTGGGAGTCCAACGTGCCACATGTTGTATATGTGACGTGGCAGACGAACCCGTCAAATTTTCCCAGCAAATTGCCACATTTTCTGAAGTGCCAGCTGGCAGAAAATGTGCGTCTTCATCCCTGGTTCGTGTTGCCTCTTCACGAGCTGGACGATAATCTGTTGAACACTAGGGTCTTGTACAATAGTGCGGGGCAGAATCTATACTTGCCGCCATCTGAGTCGATGCAGAAATCGTCGCGAAGCATTTTGATTCAAAACTTGTCGAGCTGCGTTCAAGCAATTCTAAAAGATTCTGGGCTTGCCATTACACATACGGCGTCATTTGGACAAAACGCTCATAATTTGGTGGACCATCTTCGTCGCGAAATTGAAAGCCGAAAGGATGAAGACGACGTGTTTGTCGACGATACGTTATACGGCAACCGCCATTCAGGACTGCAGTGCAACCTCATTGTGTTAGAAAGAGATATAGATCCACTAACACCTCTCTGCTCGCAACTGACGTATGCAGGGATTTTGGATGACCTTTACGAGATGAATGATAAAAATTTGATACACGAACCACCCTTGACAGACGTTGAAGTGGTTACTCTCGATAACGACAAAGACGAAGTTTGGAACGAGCTGAAATTTAAGAATTTCGGTGCTTTGGGACCGCGGCTCAACGAACTGGCCCGTGAGCTACAGGCTGGTTACGACGCTCGGCACCAAGCCGAGAGCGTGAGCGAAATCAAGCAGTTCGTAGACAATTTGGGTGGTTTGCAAGAGCGACAAAAGCTTTTGAAGCTTCATACTGGGTTGTCTTCTACGGTATTAAAAGAAGTGGCGGATAAAGAGGAAGGAGAGGACGAATCATTGTTCAATCGTGTGCTCGAGATCGAACAAGACTCGATTGCAGGGAACCTAGGACAGCGCTCAAATTGTGAAAAGATTTTGGAGCTTCTATATGAAGGTGTTCCCACTTATACCGGGGCGCTTAGATTATGCTGCATTTTCTCACTGGCTCGAAATGGGATTCGGGATCGCGAATATAATTTGCTTCGCACCGAGATTATTGATAGGTGGGGGGTAGAGGCGATGTTTGATTTGCAGAGGCTGGCTAGAGCAGGGTGGTTTTTGAGCAAATCTACTTTTTCGAAATATTCACCCTGGACGGATTTCGATACTTTTGCCGCGTACTTGGAGCTGATACCACAGTCTGACAGGGACGGTGACCCTGGGGAGCCAATGGATAGCTCATTTGCTTACTGTGGGACTGTACCGATCATGACACGGGCCATCCAGCTTTTGTTCGACCGTTCGGTGGTGAGCAAGACATTTTCCGCGCAACAGCCCTTCATAATATCGCGTACGCCGTCTTGGCGAGGGCTTGAAGACCTTTTTGCACAGCACTACGGGCCCGGTATTGTGCGGGAACAAGTGTGGGACGAGTCTGCGAATCCACGAACCAAAGTGATTGGCAAAACACCCAAAAACAGTGCAGACCCGGTTCTGGTGGTGATGCTTGGTGGAATCACGATTGGCGAGATGGCTACGTTGCAGTTTTTGGCACGTCAGCTACGACAGAAGGGTGTCAATAAGAGGTTCATTGTTGTGACAGACGGGATTACTGGAGCTGCACATTTGACCAGTGTTTTGCCGGGAAAAGTATAGCGGTAGAGAGAGAAAGAGAGAAGTGGGACGGGAGGTAAAAAAAAAAAGAAGGGGACAACATGTATGCGTGTATGCGTGCGTGTATACATATAAATAAAAAATTGAATTGAATGTTTTCAACGAGAGCCTTCCATATAAATGAGGGAGTGCTTCGAGTCCTTGCTGTGGTGATTTTGCTTCGCTTTTTCAGATTTCACTTGCCTGGCCAAAGAAGAAGAGGGAAAAAGGAAAAAGGTAAAATAGGCGTGAGAGCGGTTTTTTTCGTATCCTGTAATTAGTAAAGTCGAGTCCAAGTTCTTTGGGGTTTTTTCTCAGTTCACTTCAGTTCAGTTCAGTAAAATGGTTTCACCGTCTAGTTTTCAGCCGCCTTTTCGGCCGCCAGTTTCTCGTAATGCGCCTCTCTTTTGCCCACGAGTTTCTTGTGGAACCCCCACCAGTACGCGCTGCCCATAACACCGCCAATGGCAAATCCAATGGTGATATCGGCGATGATTCTTTTTCTGAGAGTTCCGGTGATTGGTGTTAGAGCAGACATTTTTATGCAGTATAATGACACAAAAAGCTAATGGCTAGAGATTAAAGACTAAATTCAAGACTATGCACCCAGTGACAACGAATTCCAAAGCTTTGTTGTTGATGTTGTTGATGTTAAAAATCAACTCAAAAGTTCCAGTTTTTAAAGATCTCGATAGGTCAAAAGTTCATCAATTTCTAAAAAAGTCTTTTTTCCACTATAAATCGGTACCAAATCCAATTTCACGAGACATGTGACCGCGGACCAATCAAATCATAGTTCAAAATATTGGTCTTAAATTTCCAATTCTTAAAGCGATATAGCCTATTATTTTAGAAAATATCGATAATTTTCAAGAACTTAACCTCATCGAAACCACTTTTCAGGCGAAATTCAGCGAATTTCAGTGAGTTTGGTGATTGTTTACTAGCGATCTACACTATTTAAAGCGATGCTATTTCCACAGTTGACTAGAGTGGCCGCAAGAGTGGCGTCCAGAAGAGCGTTTTCCGCGTCTTCCAAGCAGTGCGGTGCTCATTTCAAAGAAGGTGTGTACACGAACATTCCAGTGAAAGTACACAACCGTAAGATTCCTTTTGCTCTGATTCATTTCGGGTGGTTCACGCTGGGGTTTTTGGTTCCTTTCATCTCGTCGTATGTGCAGTTGAAGAAGTCCGGTGTGTTGTAAAAAAAGTGATATTCTCGCTTTTTTGGACGGCAGGGTCCGTGGACACAATAATGGAGGCGGTTTGGCCATCACACGCTACTTAATCACATACACACAGGCAAGCAAACAGACACAACACACACAAACATAGCATGTACGGAACGTACGCAATAAAATGAAAATATAGTAAAATTTGGGTTTTAGAAAAAATGGATATTGGCGTGGCGTGGGAGAGAGCAGAGTAAGTCAGGGCAAGCGAAGCGAAGGGCGTCGTCGTCGTCGTCGATGGGATACACGTACTTTCATGCCACAGGGATGTCAGCTTGGTCTTGATTTTTACGAAAAAAACGAGTCGCTTCCGACGGCAGAGTCACGTGCCTTTAATATTTATCTTGTCTTTTGAAGTACAAGCTCTTGGAAGGTTTCATGCATCCATCAGCCATTGTTCTGACCCTCTCTGTCCATGTTTTTTTTCGATCGTAACTCGGGCTGACTGTTCTCTTTCACGAGCAGTATCGCCCCATGGCGTATTGTTTTCTAACCTTCAGGAAGCGAATCCTGCATGGAGGACCCCCGGTCAGAATCTCTGGAATTCTCACATTCAACTGCCGAATACCTAGGCGCCTCAAACGTGTTTACGCTGTGGCAATAGACCCTGCAAATTCAATGTTTGAAATAATGTGATGCTACGTACAAAGTGATACTACCAATATGACACCTGGTTTGTAAAAGCGGCCTCTCTGAATTGCCCAGCGTACTTTGCGAACTTCAATCACGCGGGTGAAGATGTTTCAGAACTGAAGTGAGCAGTAGCCCAATTATTTGGAAATTACGCTTTTTGGCCTCTGGTCGTTTCAGACGGTGGAAGTATTTTGATTAGCCCAAATTTCGATCAAAGCACTACCCGAAATGATCTCTCTTTACGTATTGGTACAGCAACAAACCCCTGGGATACTAGAACCATTTCGAAATTGGCTTCTTTGTGTTCCATTGTACATCATTGTCGAATAAACAAACGTCACTTATAGTGTCACGTGATAGGGTGCCAGCGTCAGAATGGGAGCCAAATTTCAACTTCCATGGTAAAATATCTCACTATTTAATGGCGTGAGAGACTCTAGTTTTGCACTCGATGATTGAAGCAACCCCAAATCCTAGTTCAAAGATAAATAGCTAAATAAGCAAGGGCTTAATTCCGGTATTAATGTGCTAGAGTCACAACTCGTCAAAAATGATATACAGTCCATCAATGTACAGAATAAAACCTTAGAGGTGCACCTAGCAGCAACCAATCATACGCCGTTCTGATATGCGATCCACTCCTGGCCTATCCTTGCGCTCAAATTGTTCATTCACGAACGCATGGTGTTCTTTTCAAATTTCTTTTTAATCACTATCTGTCTTGGCTGTCACCTCTGGTAATAAAGTCGATTTTATGTGAGCCGAAATGTGGAAAACCACGCCGAGATCAATTTTAGTTTACTGACTCCTGATCCAGGTCGGTTTGACCGCACACAGCTGAACCATTCTGGTAGCTCGCACTGTGTATATTTGCAACTGAAATCCTAGATCACGTGGTAGAACCAAGTAGCTCCCAAGTCAAAACTGCCTTTTTCAACTCGAGAATTGTCTCGACGGCCACGACAAGCAATACCAGAGTCCACTTGACCTCGAACTTGTTGTTTTACGCAACAACATCACAAAATTTTACAGCCATTCCAGACTAATCCAATTTAGCAAACTCTTACACTCATGGACTTCAAAATGACACCAAAAAAAGGCTTCAAAACCGAAAAAAAGGACATTACAATTGAAGCAACAGCTCACAACTCGGAAACACCAGCAAAACCGGCTCGAGCCCTTGGCAGTAATCAATACCCAACCCGTTTCGTACGAAGAGATATCAAACTTACCATATCACTTCAAACGAATCAGTCGCACTCTTCTATGAGTCGCATTTCCAGTAAATCATCAATTTCTTCAACACTATCCCCATCCAACATACGATAATCACTCATTTATGCCACTCATGGTCCATTTATTCCAGTTCTCCCTCCTCGGTTTCCTGTGACTCACTCAATCCCCGCAACTTTATCACTTTGACCCAATAAGTCATTTCACCCACATAATTCTCAAAATGACCCATAACTCAACAACCAGACATGGAAAATTTAAGCCAAAAGGCTTGCTGAAAATGCCAAATTTTACTGTATCTGTGACAATTTTCCTGACTCTTCAGTTCCCAATTCTTTCCCCTCTTTAACTATCTCCTTTCTTTCCGTGATGACAATGGCTTATTTTAGCGGACAAACAATTGGTCAGAAGATAAACCCCCCCACACTATTCACGACGAGCTCGCAGACGATATAAGAATACAGCATCGACAAGAACCAGGATCTTTGCGCTATAGACGAGTTTTTAAAGAATTATATAAATATATATATATATCTCTCTCTCTGAATCTATAAAGATACCGGAACACCACTTTCAATATTCTTTTGAACTTTTAGACAAGTTTCTGAAGTTCATAGCCTCGAAGAATTTCAACTTAACCTTTCCCTTGGCATCTTTAAAATAAAGATGTTTTTCAAAAGATGCCTGGCATCATCGGTTCAAAAGATAAAGGTCAAGACCCCATTAGTGGAACTGGATGGCGATGAAATGACCCGTATTATCTGGGATCGTATCAAGTCGAAGTTGGTTCTGCCGTATGTGGACGTCGATTTGAAATACTATGACCTTTCCATCACCAATAGAGACAAAACGGACGATCAGATTACTCACGATGCAGCTCACGCAATTTTGAAATATGGCGTGGGCGTCAAGTGCGCCACTATCACACCCGATGAGCAGCGCGTGGAAGAGTTCAAATTGAAAAAAATGTGGAGATCGCCAAACGGAACAATCCGCAACATTTTGGGTGGCACTGTGTTCCGCGAACCCATTGTAATCCCACGCATCCCTCGTCTGGTGCCAGGATGGGAAAAACCCATCATTATCGGCCGTCATGCACATGGCGACCAATACAAGTCCACCGATGTCGTAATTCGCAAACCGGGCACTTTAGAACTCGTGCACAAGCCAGCAGACGGGTCGGATCCCGTGGTCATGCAAGTGTACGACTACAAGGCCCCGGGTGTGGCATTGGCTATGTACAACACCGATGAGTCCATCCGTGGATTTGCACACGCCTCGTTCAAGCTGGCCCTTTCCAAGCAGCTCAATCTGTTCCTCTCAACCAAGAACACAATTTTGAAGCAGTACGATGGCCGTTTTAGAGACATTTTCCAGGAGCTGTACGATTCCACCTACAAAACTGAGTTCGAGAAGTCTGGCATTTGGTACGAGCACCGTTTGATTGACGACATGGTAGCTCAAATGATCAAATCCAAAGGTGGGTTCATCATGGCACTCAAGAACTACGACGGAGATGTGCAATCTGATATCGTGGCTCAAGGTTTTGGCTCTTTAGGTTTGATGACATCGGTTCTCATCACTCCGGACGGCAAAACTTTTGAGAGTGAAGCTGCTCATGGAACGGTCACCAGGCATTTTAGACAACACCAGCAGGGCAAGGAAACGTCCACGAACTCCATTGCGTCCATTTTTGCCTGGTCCAGAGGTCTAGCCAAGCGTGGAGAGCTCGACAACACCCCAGAGGTGATTAAATTTGCCCACAAACTAGAAGATGCCACATTGAAGACCGTGCAGGAGGATGGGATCATGACAAAGGATTTGGCTTTGGCTTGTGGAAACAGCGACCGCTCAGCTTACGTTACCACGGAAGAGTTTTTGAGTGCTGTGGAAAAGAGACTAGAGAAAGAGCTCGTCTAAGAGACCCATATGTGGCAAGATGCACTAGACATGCAGCATATCCACGAACATAAGCACTTCAACGATCGATATGTAATCGATCCCCAGCGGAATGCCAAACCCTTTTATTCTCGGTTCCGTAGCGTCTATAATCAACTACATTCCCTTTCAAATTTCGTATTTTCCACCAAATTTTCGGACGGATTCCGGTAACATCCTCTAAGGTCCCTTGGAGCTTTGCTTCTGACGCAATTCGTATTCTTTTTCGCCCTTTTCAAGCCATTCCCAGGTCCAATAAAGACCGTAGTAACTGGCCAAAAGTAAAGACAAGGATTTGCCCACGGGCTTCGCCCAAAGCCTGTACATCATTGCATGAGGCGATGGATTAGGCTTAGAATGCTTAACGGCTGCTGTCGGTTTCATTGAGGTGGTTTTGCTTGGGATTCTGTTGTTGGCTCATCGTTGACCAGATAGAGCTCTAAGTTCACAGGGCTAATTTATGATCTAGTCGAGTGACAAACACCCGGACACCGCAGTCAGGAAAAGGAATATGTACAATGTAGGTTTTGGCATTAAGATGAAGCGAGCTGTGGATTCAGCTCCTTCTTGAGAGCCCTAACGCATCTCCACAGGAGGTTGAAGTCCTTTTTGTCGGCTCCCCCGCTAGCCATCCACCGGATCTTCAGCTGAGGGTCCACCAGAAAAATGTAGCTGGTGTAGAGATTGTTGATCTGAAGCTCTTCGCGAATGCCGAAGGATAATTGGTTTCTATCGCCGAGGAAATAGCGCGAATGGCGCTCTTTGGGAACATCAGCGCGTACCTTACCCAGTGCGAGTCTTGCAAAAAGAGCTTTGAGCTTATTTTCAGTCAGATTGATTTCCACAATCTGCGTTTGCACGTCCTGCGTATTTGGATTTAGCAGAGATTCTTGTTTAAGGTAATCTACGCCATCGTCTCCACGGAAATAGGATTTTCCTAGTTGGTCCCCCGCAGCGCTGGTGAAAATTCGCACAACAGAGAGCTTGCCCTGTAAAAAAGTCTCCACGTCTTGATTTTGCGAATCGGAAAGGCTTCGTGCTTGTATGTGCGGGAAATAGAGGGCCTTGTCCTGCCTCCAGATAGACGGCGGCGACAAAAACAGTTTGCCGCCTGTTTTACGAAACGTATGAACGTCGTAGAGCCCGCCTTTGCTAAACTGCATTTCCAATTCCATCGTTCTTTGGCTGGTTTTGGCCTCGTCAAAAAGCTCTCGAACGCTGTTTCCTTCCTTGTACTTCATATTGGATCTGGGCAGCTCAGGAAGTCCCACTGGGCGCACCAGTTCCTTCACCACATGTTCTTTGGGCGCTGTGTTGACCAGATGTTTTTGGAAGCGGCCCAAAAATTGCACATTGCTAGAGCTGGAGAAAAGGCGTCTGTAGAGAAGGGCTACCATGGTACAGCAGCGGCGTGAGGAAAGCAGTTGATCGGTGGATTGATTTTGATTTGATGTTTGGATATCGAATGTGTAAATCGCTGTAATTGGAATGGGCCATCTACTATGGAAATTATCAAATTTAGATCACGTGAGAAAACTTTATTAGAAAATTACCTTTGAGCACTGAGCGCACGCCATTGAGATTATAAGCTTCAAGTGCATGAGAGTGTTCAGTTTCATCACATCCGTAGTTTGGGTTCGAATGCTTAGGCTTGGTCTTTCTCTATGCTCTTTAGGACAGATATCATTATATACGACACTGTCATTTGGCTAACCTGGTTAACGTTTCGAGGAGTTGAGTATTCAGTGAATACTAATGCTAGATGTTTTAAGATATTTCTGAAGTGTGCAAATGTGTATCCAATGAGGGCTTGTTCTCCCGCGGTTCAATGTGGAAGAAAACAAATTTAAATCGTGCTTTGTCGTTTTCATCAATCACCTGAAGTTTATATACCAAGATCGTTGTCTGCTTCTCAGAAGTGAATTGTGGCTGTCCATATTTCTCTAAGGAGCAGGCTGGCCAATGAATGTTTTATCCTGTATCGTAAAATGTGCGATTGAAAAACGCTGGTAGCTCAGTTAGTCAATGCCACCAGTTATGTGACTTTGCCCCAATAACTAACGCCCCTAAATAAAAGAATCAAGATTATCTACACTGCTTATAACATTTCAACATAGTCCCATACGTTTGAGCTATGTCGAAACTAAGTAGAACTTTCTTTCTAACGCTGTCGTCGTATCACGTGCTCGTAGTCATTTAGCTATGTATCTGGCGCCAGCTTCAAAGAAGGAAGTTCTGTTCGTTTTTCCAGCGACAGTCCCATCAAACTGAGTTGTATTGACCTCCTCATTTGATCTCTCGACTTTTTCTTATCATTTTTAAACCTTAAAACAATCCATAATTTTCCTTACTCTCTCCACTACTCACTACGATCTCAACTTAAATGCCAGCCAGTCACGGATCTCCACAAGTAAAATTCCGTATCACACCAAAACCTCCATCTTACCGCTCTCTCTGTCGTCTGAACAACTTCTGCATCCTCCACTTACTCTTAGCCCATCCTTTTACTGACACTGCTCCTAACTCGCTCAAAAATTGTCTTTTTTGAGCCCAAAAAAATCGGCCAGAATCCGCTCCCAGCGCTGAGTGATAAATTATATTTCTCCATCCACCAATATGCCTATCTCTCTCTGTTTCCATTGATTTATCTTTCCAACTGTGTTCAACACCTCATCTCATCACCAAGAGATCTGACACACTTATTTAAAGTCACTTTTGACACACTCTTCCATCTTGACTGTTGTCTTCAACAAGCAAAAGAATCGAAAGGGAACCCAAGAGTATGGCTCCGAAGCTCAATGTTTCCCTAAATAAACCGTTGAATAATGAATTCTATGTTTCCAACGAGCCCATCATCGGCTCTGTAGAGTTGGAACTGTCAAAACCAGCATCTGTAATCTCATTGTCTATTGCACTCCGGGGTACATCTCAAACGTATGTTCAAATGAGCAATTCAGACTACCTTACGAGCGGAGCATTTGGAACTCGGTCAAGTCATACCCTGGTGCATCAAATCCAGACGTTGTTCCCGCCGGAAAACATAAGAGAGGCAACTAATGGATCGAAAAAAGGGTTTCAGTTATCGAAAGGTCGTTACAGCTACGCATTCGAATTTTTGATGCCCAACTGGCTCAAATGTGTTGGAGATCATGGTAGGGAAAGCTCGGGATTTAATAGAACGCTATCAGATCCAAGGTTGCCTCCTAGCTTCAACAGTGACGTAATTGGCGAAGGCATGGTGGACTGCGAAAATACTTACTACAAAACGGGGTCTGTTACCTACTATATGAAAGCAGTTCTTGTTTTAGGTAAAATGGGATTTCGTTTGACTCCTGGAAATACTATTGTTGAAGAGTATCGAGCTCTAGAGTTTATGCCTTCGCCTCACAACGATAGCGACCATCCGTTAATTGCACATTCTGACGCTGGTCCATTACAAAAATTCTTGTCCAAAAAGCATTTCAAAGTTGGCTCAAAACGTACTGCCAAAATCGAAGTCAAGTCGCCTTCGCTTACAAGAGTCTTCAGATTAGACTACTTGTTCCAACCCGGGTGTAACAAATTTGATCAAATTTCACTTATGGTCAATAGGAAGCCCACCGAAAAACTGGATATCAAGCTCTTGCACCTGAAGTTGAATCTAATTGAAATTGTCAATTATCTTTCGCAGGGACAGGTCAACGCGATGATCGGCACGATTCCGCTGATTGAGATGAACCTAAATCTCAAGCTAGAGACTTGTAGAGTCAGGAACACCGGAGATGGGTCGGTAGAATGGCCCTTAGACGTAGCACAAATACCAGAGCTCGTGCTTTATCGATTTAACGAATCCGATATGCTTTACCGTGGCAATCGACTCTTCAGCTTCACTTCATGCAATATAAAGCGGGCCTTTAAGTTTTGTCTGGGGTTAACGCTCGACATCAACGGGTTACTTTTCGAGACGGAAGTCTTGACCACAATTTGTGACATCGGATACTTTTCATTAGAAGACCATGAAGAGCTTCCAACGTACGAGGTATCGGATTTCCCGCCTTTTTATTCAGACCAAAACGAAGTGGTAGTCTGAAAACACGATCTCCGAGCCACCGGAGGAGGAAAGCAGGCTTTTCTCTTGCTCAATCACAATAGGCTAACATGATCAGGGTATCGACAGTGGTGCTCGATAATAGGGAAGTTGCTTGTTATTTTAAAATTGTATTTAAAGTAAAATCAGTGGAGGACTAGAAATGCACATTGGTTTTTCGCAAGTCGTGCTTGTCCATTAGAAGCTCTATTTTGGAGCCTAGTTGAGAAGAAGTGTAAATTAGACCATGTAAAGATTCTATGCTTTTGAATTGAAGGTTCTGCGGTTGGTTGAAAGGGTATCATAAACGTATTTTTTCTGGTTATTGGCCGACAACTTCTTACAAAAGCATACCAGCGATGACCAAGCCACCAGCTAGACCAGAGCCAACTTCCAACATATTGGCACCCCCGGTTTGAACTGAAATGGAGTAGGAGGAAGAAGAAGAAGTTTGGATGGAGATGGAGGCGGAAGATGGAGCAGCAGAGGAAGAAGATGGAGCAGCAGAAGAGGCGGAAGAAGCAGCGGAAGAGCTGGCAGCAGAGCTGGAAGATGGAGCAGCAGAGCTGGAGGATGGAGCAGCAGAGCTGGAGGATAGAGCAGCAGAGCTGGAGGATGGAGCAGCAGAGCTGGAGGAGGAAGATTGAGCAGAAGAGCTGGCAGCAGAGCTGGAAGATGGGGAAGCAGAAGTGGAAGCAGACTTTGAGGCAGAGCTAGAAGCGGAGCTAGAAGCAGAGCTAGAAGCAGAGCTAGAAGCAGAACTGGAAGCAGAGCTAGAAGCAGAACTGGAAGCAGAGCTAGAAGCGGAACTAGAAGCAGAGCCAATCGAGGCGTTTTGTTCGGAACAAGACCCCTTGAAGGCGGAATAAGCCGAGTCGGCGTCTCCGTCGGGACAGACAGAACTCAAACAGCTCTTCAAGCTGCCGTTGTCGTTTTCACACAAACAGCTCACGTTGTTTAGTCCGTCACATTTGGATTTTTTCGAAACCTGTGCGACACACGCCAACAAACAAGCTGGAGGAGCAGCAGCCAAAACACCACTGGACAAGCTCACAACAGATGCAACTGTAGAAACGGCAATTGAGAAACGCATTGTATGTATGGAAAAATGCTCGAGGAAAAGCTAATGGAACCGTAGAAACTTCAAAAAAGTCGGAAAAAAGAGATAGAAGGCTCTTTTAAAACAGAAATCAAACGATATTGAACGATTGATCGGCTTTCTATGTGAAAATCGGAGTGTATTTCCAGCGATTGTTGTTGTTCTAAGTTTCGAACCAATGTGACCGATCTCGAGAAAACGCTCGAGGATATTCTATGGTTCCAGATTTGAGATCTAATATTTATATAGTGACGGGGTTTCGAAAACTTTTTTTGGATTCTTTGTTTATGTACTCGCGGCAGGTGGAGTGAGTACTAATTGCTAAATATATCACTAGCCGTTTTCGTTAAAGATGATGAGAAATTCGAATAAAGGTGCACGTGATTGAAGTGAGGTATGCAAATATTCTCGTTTATAATGACGCACAGTAGCAATATTCAAGTGCTTCGAACTCTCCAAAAATTGGATTCCGGGTAGTATATTTGATTTCTCGTTAGAAGCAGCTACATTCCAGATATACAGGGCGCTGCCAATTTGGTAATCATTTTGATGATTATTTTCGAAATGAAGATCGCGAGATATCACTTCTCACGAAAACAAAAAATGTACATCATTGAACCTGCTCATTGAACCGGGAAAATGCTCCAAAAAAAGAGCCTTGACTCTTGTTTTCAGCTTGCGAAGTTGTGACAATATAATTGTAGTCCACATCGAGTCTGCTAGTCCACACCGAGTCACTCAAACTTTGAAGGATGAATACTACTCATAAACAGCTGACGGTTTGCGAAAAACCAGCTTCGCCAATTTACTCTTGCATAGCCCAATTGTTCAAGCATGCTCAAAACTATCTTGTCCAGTACTGGCTATCCAACGGGCTGATTCGGAACGAGAAGCCTTTAACGTTTCCGTATATGGTGATATGAGGACAAAACACAGCGTGTAGTGACAGCGTTCTCGCGTTTAATGTCCACGCATATGGTTTCGTTGGTCCAGGATGATAGTTCAATTGCATATGCTCCTTGATCGCCACGCCGTTCTACTGCTGCTTGCATGTATCCTCCAGTTCCTTATTCAAGTTTTCCGGCAATTCGTCTCCATCAGCTTCCAAAAGTTTGCTAAAGTCGGGCGCATTGTTCGGACTATTGAAACCTTTACTCACAGGCGAGTCTCCCAGCTGTTCTAGACGGTCCAGCAACTCGCCGATCTCGGCCCGCGCCGCGGAGTCTTCGTAGCCCTCTTTTTCGTAGATGCCGACTATCTGGTTTACGAGTGCGAATTGCTCCCGATACGTAACGATCTTGCTGCTGTGCTCTGCACTGGCTTCGTTCGCGGCCATCCAGGTCCCGAATTCGGTCTGCATGTCCTTCATCGGTTGGTAAAGCACTTCTTTCGAAGACATCTGGTTCAGCATGCTCTGGATCGCGTTTTCCATGCCCTCTTCATCTTCTCCACCAGCACCGTCTACCAGCTGGTCCAACAGCTGCGACAAAATGTCATCGGAATTGCCCTTTTTCTTCTCTTCCATCAAATTTGAGTCCACTTTCGTGCCACCTTCCTTGAGCCTGTCCAACGTGTTGGACACAATGTCCTTGAATCCATTTTTTGGTCCCGAGCGTGAGGCATCGTCAACGCCATTATCATCATCCTTAGTCGTTGCAGCGTTGTGTTTCGTTTCAGAGCTCGATCCGGCGTCTCGAAGCGCCGTGAGCAGCTCTTTAAAATCTTCGGATGTTTTGGCACCCTCTGCAGAGTCTACCGAGCCAGTTTCGCGCATCAGTTTGACAAATTCACCCTGTAAATCATCGATAGTTCCATTCATCTCCAAATCGTTTTTACTAACTGGTTTCTTGACCGTTTCGGCTCGTTGGACGTTCCCAGAACGCTCCTCTTCATCCAATTTCGTGACATCTTCCAGGAGATCGTCCAAGTCCTCGTATTCGTCGAGATTTGAGCTCATTGTATCACTTTTCCTTTCACTTTGACAATCTCATCGAAGTTGGTCTGTAAATAAACTAAATATTTAAATGTAATTTAAGTCAAAGTTTACCAACTAGTTGATGCTTGAAAGAACACATATAAATCCAGTCCCAAAAGAAGACACAAGGTGCTTTTAAGATGTCTAGCTTGGAGAAATTGCGAGAGCATTTGCTGAAGAATGAACCAATAACTTTTTTAAGCTCTGAAAACGGTAGGACGGATGATATATCGCAGGCGAACGAAGTGTTGCTGGGCTCAGAAGACCGGGACCAAAATGTGGTGCTGAACCTGAATGAAAAGACAGATTTTCAAGTGGATGGGGACAACGTACCGCTTAGAGTGGTCCTACATTGCTGGCAGCATCGAGACTCCAGCGCTGCAGATTATCTGGCCGATTGCCAGTCGAAAAACCTGCTCAACATTTCATTTCTACAAAGAATGGACTTAATAGCGTGGCTATCGGGCGATGCAGCAAGCTCTAAGTTTGTCAATGCGGAAGAATCACACGGAGCCTCAAAGATTGCAGCGGCCACGGCTGGTCCCGCTCTCCAAAGCGATCCAATATTGGAGGAAGCCTTGGCACACGAAAAAGTGTTGCTAGACCATAACTCGTCATTGAGGGGCTCAAAACCCACAAATTTCGGATATCTGATAAAAGAGGCAGAACTCAAGCTGGTGCATTCGCTCAAAAGTGCAAGCAAACGTAGAGCAGGGGATCGTGGCTCTGGAGGAGTCTCTAAAGCTGACCATGCAGCTAGCGGTGGCAGTGGTGGGAGAAATGTGCCGAGAAAAGAACCGATTATTCTGATTCCATCAGCGGCGTCGTCCATCTTCACAATGGCTAACATCCAGCAGTTTTTGGAGGGCTCGAAATACGTGCATCCGCGTGACCTACCGGGCCCACAATCTGATGTCACAACGGTGACAAAGAAGCTAGATCGTTTTAACAGGCCTATCAAGTTCTTAATTGCCAGCAACACGCGGCTATTCACGAAGCCAGAGTACTGGGACCGTGTGGTTGCCGTTTTCACAACCGGCCATGCATGGCAATTCAACAACTACCAATGGTCTAATCCATCCGAATTGTTTCAACGGTGCAAGGGCTATTATTTCTATTTTGCAGGTGACGTGGTGCCCAAGCATGTAGAGCAATGGAACGTTCAGCGTGTGGAACTTGACAAAAATAAACGTTTTCGCGATGTGGAAGTTTTGAGATATTTCTGGAACACAATGGAAAAGGAACTCGCAAGCCGTGGCTACCAGTGAGTGAGCTCGATCCGCAAAGAATAGAGCGAAACAAGCGGTACACCGCCAACCATGGACCATTAACTCCATAAAAGGTATTCGAAACTCAAAGATCATCGGCTCTACCTGAGAAATTGGAATAAACATCATGATCTTTGCAAACATCAGCTTCTCAGGCGCCCAAGCCAGCCTTGGCTTCATAATAAATGATCTACTGCTAATTGAAAAGTACCATGTTTTTAACACCGCGAAGACGCATCATATTGCCCGTTGAAAGCTGAAAATTCTCACACCAAGACGACTTGTTCAACGACACAAATAAAACTACCGTCAATTGGGACTGATGACTTGCACGGTGCCAAGACAGCTAGCGTTCTTTCTCTCTGATGACGTTTAAAGAACATCAAAGGCAAAAAAATGAAGTGTAGGGCCCTTCAAGTTCAACATCTTTCGGCTAGTTACAGTTTAAATCGTCAAAAACATATCGTTCTAGGAGACGCCATAGTTGCACTACATCCGTGAAGATGTTTTAATAGACGCGATAGAGCTGTCATAGGTTTTGTTGAGATGGAAAAATGGCTGTTCACCTGCCATCTTCGATTCCCAAACCTTGAAGATGGGCTAATAATACATGAAAAGGATAGCATAGCGCGATTTCAAATACATAGTTGTTGCCAAGTATTGCCTGAGGTGTGTTTTTGGACATTTCTTAGATCGTTATAAGAGAGCTTTGGGCTAGAGCTTTTTCGATCTCAACTTGAAGGCTAAGCTTGTAATCAGCATGGGCCCTCAAGTGACTTTTGGCATAAGCTTAACAGCAGGAAAAGACTGTTTTTTATGTGATACTGTTCTTTCAGCGTTTTCACGGATGTGGTAACGCTACTAAGCTTATAAACAAAGGCTCGAACGGTCACGACGAGCCACGGGATGGTACGAGTTCGTGAAAACATGAAAGTCAGTACTTGTGGGTGGGTTCGCTTTTTACTTCTCTAACCTCCTTCCCAGCAAAGCGTCGCTCCAGTTTGTCTTCCGAGATCCATTAAGTGCGTCTAAACGCTAGTCGTGTGTATCAGCACTGCTGCGTCTTTCTAGCGTTGTACACAGCCCGAGATTCCGACGTTATGCTGCTGTGGTGCTCAGTGGGCACCATTTTGGTATAAGCAAAGTGCTTTAATCATTAGGGCACCTCATCTTAGAAGATCGAAAGACCATTCTTGCGGGTCGCCATCCATTTTCACATGACAGATGGCTTGTTCAGCGATCAATTGGTATCAGACGCCAAGTCTCACTGCCATCAAGGGAGCCAGGGAATCGTTTTAAAAATCTCGGAGCTCGCCCATTATGAAAAGCTTCCCGTCCCTCAAGCATATCAGAGATATCAGAACGAAGCTGCGAATTTTTTCGACTTGGTTTAACAAACTTGATAGTGTGCTATCACCATTTTTTAGGCCTTGTCAAAAATGTATTTGGTTGCACCTACTATCAAGCTCTGCTCACGGCACTACCCACACATGGCGATAAGCAAGTGGCAGCATGTCATATTGTTGGAGTGCTCATAATGCTATGTGCCAAAAATAAGATCCACTTCTGCGATACAAAATGGCTCGGGATCTCCTAACGGCCGGCTGTACATTGTTATTTGCCACTACTTCTCCCATGATCAAAACTGTAAATGTTTACTAGTCATTTGTTGCTGCAAGCTCGCTCATCTGTATCTCTTTCAGCGTTACTTCTAATTCTCTCGGATCTGGTAAAATTAAAAATGTCCTCCCGTTCACTGGGTGTAATGAGCGGCCTCGAAATAGACTGGGCCACAAGCACCCCAGTCATTTCGGGTTACGCAGGAGCAGATAATTCACGACCATGCAGCCATTGCGGTCATTCTATCTTAGTTGTTGAATTAACTTCCATGAACTAATGGAAAAAATGAGTCGCATATTGAGAAGGATGAGGCTCACACAATTGTGGTTCAGATAGTGAAATCTGACTGCTCGAACCTTCAACTAAAACACGCTTTTTTGGTCCCTGTCTGTGACAGAAAAATGGCGATTACTTCACGCGAACCCGAAAGCTGTGGATTCTTCTAGTTCCCAAAACGCAGAAGTGACATTTTTGGCCATTTCTTCTCAGCCCAGTGAGCTTCTAAAGATATGTGTCGTTCACAAATTCATATATCGCATCTCAGCGTCAAAGAATTGGCAACTTCTGTGGTTTCAACTGCGCTTTTGAATTCTTCAAAACTCAATTTCCCATCGGCATCTTTGTCGCTTTCCAAGATCGTCCTATCAACGATTTGTTGCAATTGTTCGTCTTCCAGATTATTGCCCACCATGATTTTCAGCACGATGAAGAGTTCACCGTTCGAGATGTAGCCGTCCTTGTCGATATCGTAAATTTTGAAAGCAAATTGAAGCTTTTCGTCTTTACTTCCGCGTCCGCTAAAGATCGACAAGCCCGTTATAAACTCTTGAAAGTCCACATCTCCACTATTATCCGCGTCGAATACCTCCATGATTCTTCCCGCTAACGGATTGGAAGAAACACCAGGTATCGACATGAATTCCACTCTATCAATAGACCCAGAGCTATCTCTGTCCAGCTTCAAAAACCGTTTTCTTAGCCTTTCAATCTCGTCTCTGTCAACTGCATGAATATCGGTTAGTACATGTGTATCTTGAAATGTTTGTTGTGCAGAAAAGAACAGTCTTGTCCCTATATAATTTACCTACAATTAGTGTCCTCTAGAAGATCATCCATGACCTTCGAGACCCCGGAACCCATCTTGAAAGCTTGGCTGGCTCGAAGTTGATAGTCCTTGACTGATAGTTGTTCAAGTTCAAGAATTCGATGAACCTTAGCTTTCTTAATTTCATCTCAGTTTAGCGGCTTCGTTAAGAGCGATTCTAGAGATGTTAGTATGGGATATCGATCCAGAAGCCTAGAAGTAAGGTCAAAGTCACTGATGAGATGGCCGTCGATACCGTTTCGTCCGCTTTATTATGAGATTGTATGTTTGACGAATCGGTGAATTTTGTGGGCCTTTTGGTAGTGTTCTTTTCACTTAAATTTGAAATTCTTGAAAATTTCCGAGGAATGACTGTCTGCCTGTCATCTTAGCGTTTCACTTTGTTTTGCTTGTCGAAAGCATATTGACTGGCTATACCGCTGCCACCTTCTTCAAGAGTTGCACCGTCTTCTTCGAAATTTTCAGGCGTGAAATCGCTCCCCAGACCAGACCATTGACGATTTTGAAGATGAATGGCAGAAGTGGAAAGTGTATTGCCAATTGTGACAGCGCCCGAAAACTTCTCCACCAGTTGTGTAGAGTGCTGCTTGCTGTGACTGTCGTCGCGCGGATCGCTGATTTCCAAGTGGGAAATATTTCTCAGTGGTCTTGAAGTGCTGACGTATTGTCCTGTTACAGCGTTAAATTCTGGCGCATCGCTTTCACCATCCTCCGTTGAGGTGGTCGTTGCTACTCCATTGTTTCCAGCGACATCTGCGTCGTCAGCATCTTCCTCCAAACCTTCCAGAACTTGCTTGAAATCAACAACCCATTGACCTGTCCATGTAACTTCCGGGTTCAAAGCCATAGACAGCTCATAAGGAGTGACTATGGGTTTGTAAAACTCGTTGTATTGGTCAACAATAATCCCACCTTGGCCGCAACCCAAGATGCACCATACGTCCACGGGCTCGAAATTGGCCAGTTTGGCAACATTTGGCTTCCCGACAACAAACATGTAGTGTTTTTTCCCGTTGTCTCTGATAAGCTTCGCAAGACGCCGCAGGGTCTCTTTGGTGTTCCTCAGAGATAAAGTGTTGACCAGAATTCCTATTGTGCCAGCCGTTCTGGCCACATGCATGAATTTGTAGCGTCGCATTAGCGATGGGAATGGACCTTGCGACACGGACTTGTCGGTGGGGTCGTATATGCTCAGTGACTTGAACTTGGTAGTCAAGAAGAGTAGTCTGGGGTCCGCAGGCATGGTAACATGGAACAGATCATACTCGTTTTGAAGCTCTTCCTCACTCACGTTGAAGGTCTCATCGTCACTAAGAATGACTCTGTTGTCCAATGTGAAAACAGTGTGGAGTCCACTGTTGTCTTGGCGCCCGACGAACGATGCCGTGGGGCCTGCATAGCTCTCATTCAAGCCGCTACAAAGCAAATTGTGGTACCCAAGCGCTCGCAGCTTGCAGTACAGCGATTTAAGGTGACACGTGTAGGGAGCATTGGCCATCAACGCTACTTTTTCGTCGTGATCGGTGTATCTCTCTTGGAATTGCGCAACGGTGTTGTCTAAATCGAGGAATGGTTCGCCAAAACAGTAGAGAACCGGCAATTTCTGCACAGCGTTCAGACAGGCGTCTCCGAAATGGATGACCAAATCGCCGTTCACATGCTCGGACGCCACTTCGTCCACACAGCACGCGCTGTAGGCAGTATCTGCTAGGATCCAAATTCTTCTCTCTTCATGCTTCAAATCCTGGTCAACCGGCTTTTTCTGGCAGGAACCTGAATCAGAACCTGAACAACAATTCTCGTTAGAAGCTGTTTGCACATTGGTTTCTTTGCTGTCAGTGCTACAGCCACCACAAGAGTAGTCCTGAGAAATCCGGTTTTGGAGTAGTTGGGCCACTAAAGCCGAGTCCTGAACCAACGAATCTGGGAATTGTAAAGTGACTTTACGAAACTCAACCTTATTATCCAAAAACCGCACTATTTCGTCCACCAAGTAGTGTTTTGAAATCAGCTGCAACAGCTCTGTTCGATTTTCTGGTGTTCGACCCAGATATCCAGACCGATCTTTCGCAACATCCGTAAACTTACCCAAATCGAATATATCTTCGCCTTGCGTTGTTGAAAGCGCTGGCGCAACCGCTGAATCTCCAGACATCCCGTAAACTCGACAGGTTCAATAAATAATCAGCAAACTCACTAAATCTGCTGTCAAAGACTATAAAAGGTCAGTTAAAGGCTCTTGTCAGAAACATTTCATGTTTTAACATAGTTGTTCATCAAGCGATGAGATGCGATGAGCTTGAAAAATTACTTGCATATTTGAAAAATTGTTTGAATTTGAACATTGTCTATGGAAATACAATTCAAAGAGGTTCAGAAAGCCATTGAAAGTATTGTTATCATCCTCAAAACCCTCTTTAATCGATTCAGCGGTGTTTAAAACCATGGAAGAGATCAATCTTGGTGTTACTTGCGACATGCATGTCCATGTCAGAGACGGTAAGATGTGTGAGTTGGTGACGCCCTCAATTCGCGAAGGTGGTGTTTCGGTGGTGTATGTGATGCCCAACTTGCAGCCACCAGTGACTACGTTGGATCGGGTCGTGGAATACAAAAAAAAGCTGGAAAAACTGGCACCAGAGACAACGTTTTTGATGAGTTTTTATCTCTGCAAGGATTTGAGTCCCGAACTTATCCACCAGGCCGCCGCTCAAAAGGCGATTCAGGGTGTCAAGTGCTATCCGGCCGGAGTGACGACCAATTCGTCGGCCGGCGTGGACCCCAACGATTTCAGCGATTTCTATCCAGTCTTCAAGGCAATGGAGCAGGAAAACCTGGTCTTGAACCTACATGGGGAAAAACCATCTGTAGGTGAAGAGGGCAACGACATTCACGTCTTGAATGCCGAGGAATCGTTCTTGCCCGCACTTCGTAAGCTGCACCAAGATTTCCCCAATTTGAAAATCGTCCTGGAGCACTGCACTACAGCTGCGGCCATCAATACGATCAGAGATATTAACAAAAACGTTGTGGACGCTTCGCAGGTTAAGGTCGCAGCAACCATCACAGCACATCACTTGTTTTTGACTATCGATGACTGGGCCGGTAATCCTATCAACTTTTGCAAGCCGGTGGCCAAGTTGCCTAGCGATAAGAGAGCCCTTATTGCAGCAGCCACCTCCAACGAACCCTACTTCTTTTTCGGGTCAGATTCGGCTCCCCACCCTCAAGAGAGCAAGGCGAAACACGCAGGCGTCTGTGCTGGTGTCTTCACGCAATCGCTAGCGATTCCTTACGTCGCCGAGGTTTTTGATGCCCAAAATGCGCTTGACAAACTCAAAGCCTTCGTTTCCGACTTTGGTTTGTCCTTCTACGGTATCAAGCAAGAGGATCTTAAGTGTCGTGAAGAGGTCATTCTATACCGGAAGGAACAACCGGTACCTGACGCTCTTTCCAATAGTCAGGATTTGGTCGTTCTGCTATTCAAGCCTTGTGACAAATTGAAGTGGTCTACCAAGTGGTCCGAGGCAAAATGAAGGTTCACTTTGCACTAAACCGACTATGGTCAAACCCGAAATAGTCATTATTTAGTAGGAGTAGCGATTAGCAGGTCGATTAATATGTGCATTTGACGTGCAGGATATCTAGAGAGTATGTATTTAAAGCTTGTGATGATTGGAAGCACGTCACTTTTTCCCCTCGTCAGGTTTAGGTTGATCGCGTTGCTCTTCCTTAGCCTTCGCCCTAACACCTTTAAGAAATCCTAAAATTCCGTCGCCTGAATACTGGTACCCAAAGCCATTCGAAATCGCGAGAGAAGCCTCAAAACCCTCCAACAATGTTCTTGAGAGCGAGTCAGTTGCTTGGTAAAAAAAGGGACCGCGAAGACACTCAATCAAAGCTGCTTTGTCACGATGTTGATCTGGAGGCAAATGTTCCAATAAGCTGTGTAGTTGAGAAGAATTGGGATCGAGAGACTCCACATAGTCAATAAGTAGCTGTTTGGGCAGAAAGTCTGAAATATGAGCAATTGGTCTGCGTGTATTAGTAAAAGCTGAGCTTAGTTTCTCTAACGAGAAATGAAAAGTGAGAAAAGCACGCATACGTACTTACTGGTTTGAGGGCTGATCAAGATCCATGTCAACATCTTGGTCATGGCTTTGTTCTTTTGTTTCGGCCGTTTCTTGATTTTGTTCGTTTACTAATTCTTCTTCATCCTCAGAACTCAAAAGTTCCGTGAATTTCTGTACCATTGCTTTATCGGCTTCTGAGAGCTCATTGAGCTTTTCAGAGTCCTGGTTTTTGTCTTGGAGCCAAAAAAAGTGCTGTTCGTCTGATGAAAAGATCAAGCAAAACACTCTTCCACTTTTGCAAGATTTGATGTGTAACCACTTCGTAGAACCTGGAATCAGAATAAACTCGAGTGGTTCCACATTGCCTGATGCAACTTTCTCAAGAGGGTTCCATTGGAAATCATAGAATCCCTCAGCTTCTTCTGAAGGTTTTATAACAATTTCTCCCTTGATAGGGGTCGGAGAACAGATTTTGGAAGTTTCATCAAAAGTGGCTACACCCGCCTTGAATTTGAGAATATCAGTCATGAGTTCAGAGCTTATGGATTGGTTAAGAATGGCGCGAGATGTGCTGAACTGACGTTTCTACATCTAAAGTTGAATTTTGGTAAAGGTATTCATTAAATGATGTATTTTCGAATAGAATTTGGTGATACGAAGGGTAAAAGTGATATGAAATCACGAGAAACATAATGGTGTTGCCAGTGGAAATAGAGACGCCGGTTGAGCCGCTGAGTATGGAGAATTAGACTTATGCGTTTTCGAAGTGAGTTATATTATCGTCCGGCTGTTAAGGAATCAGCAGTCTTGAAAAGACAGGGAAGCGAAATTTGTGGAATTCGAGAATAATTGAAGGTTAGCCAAGGGTTAGCCCAAGATTTGTGATTTCGATAAGCAGTAAGTGGCTGATGTATTGATAAACTGTCGATGTAGAGGGGATGAGAGTATGTGTGGGGAGAATAAGTTGTACATCACAGCTTACGAAGGATTCACTAAATTTACAATTATAGGTCGATGTGCGATCTATTTGCGTTTGGTTTTTCAGAGAATAGGATGTAGCTTTTTTGGGCTGTCCACAACTGGCTCACCCTGCAAGTATCGATCCCGACTAGTATACGTCTTAAAACTCTAGGTTCATGTTATAAGCCACGTGACAAAACGACAGCGTGGGTAGATAGTGACTTTGAAAAGCTATCTTGTTGACACGGAAATTGACGTATAAGCGATCTCTGCATTTTGGCTGCTGCTTTATGTGGTTACCATGAAAGAAAAGAGAGGGAAATTCAAAAGCATGCATGGTTTACAATATGCCATGAAATTGGCTGACTATCACTCAATTTTAGCGTCAAAATCAGAAGAACGTCGTGTAAAGCATGTGATACGGCGACAGCGTCAGAATGAAACAAAATAGTCAAAAGAAGCCTGAAAAGCCCCCGATACCGCTCATAGCGCTAGAGCCAGCGAATATCGATTCCAGTACTGACTAGTGGAAAAAATAAATGCCACGTTATCACTTTCACCTCAATCAGTCGCAGACATCGGTCATGTGATCACGTTTTGACATTGATCAAAACACGTCACTCGCCAGTTTATCATTTCCCAGAGGCTTCAACGAGCGTGAAATAACATTAAGTTATCAAAATTGACACTTCAAATGGCTCTTTTCGATTATCATCTTCTCTGGAATAAAGATCAACGATTTGTGAGTAAAACGCTAAATTGAGAACGAACAAACCAAGTTGTTTCTTTAAAATCTGACAATTCGAAAAAAATGGCTCTCGACTTGAACAAACTTCGCTAAATAATTAGCGTCAAAAGATCTTGGCAAACTCGAAGTTCAACTTTCTTCACATGTCACATGACCACTTTTGTCATGATATATAAAGATTGCTCAACTTATTAATTTCCAAGAGCAAGACACTTTCTTTCCCTCTGTTCTGATATCCACACCTTCAAACAGCACGAAAGCATCATTAGGAGACGTCTAGCACCATGTTTCGCCCCGGATTCGTAACCCTACGTCGTGGTTTCCCTAGTAAAGTTCTTTTGAACTCTTCAAGACACTTCTTCACCGTTAACAATGGTGCCAAAATATCTTCCAGAACTCATGTGAAAACAGCTGCCAAAGCTTTGACAGCGGGTGCTCTGTTAGGCTTTTTGATATCCGGGTCGCTCATTGGCTTGGAGGAACCCAAAAAAAATGTTGAGAGCGGAAAAATCGGTTCTTCGTCAGCTCCTGAAGTCAAATCCGCTCAAGATGCAGTGGAAAGCAAAACTTCAGCACCAGAAACCAAAGAGGCTAAGGAGAATAAAACCGATTCCGACGATAAGACTAAACCACAATCGGCATACGATCCAGAAACCGGAGTGATCAACTGGGATTGCCCTTGTTTGGGTGGAATGGCCCAGGGACCTTGTGGTGAAGAGTTCAAAGCCGCTTTCTCGTGCTTCGTTTACTCTGAAGAAGATCCAAAGGGTGTTGATTGCATAGAGAAATTCAAGGGCATGCAAGAATGCTTCAGGAAGTACCCTGACTACTATGCCGAGCAGATCAAGGACGAGGAAGACGCTGCGCATGCTGCTCAAAAGCTCGAGTCTCGTAATGACCAAGATGAGATGGTTGAAGATGCTCACAACGTGCATCCAGAAGAATCAGCTCCGGTCTTGCAACAGCAGTCTGAGTTCGAGCCCGCTCTGAGCGCCGAAACACCTCAACAAGAGGCTGAGCCTGAAGCCAAAAAATAAATCACATCATGACATTCAATCCTGTCCTTCCCATTTGCAGTTCCAATTCTTAAACTTGTAAATATTATTAAATACAGTCAAAAAGTGACATCAAGCCATAATATCACCTATTTGCCATAAGAAGGCTGGCCTGCAGCCTCCTTGCGCATCCATTAGCCAAAGTATGTCTTCATGGATGGCAACAGTGAGTGCGGATTTGTCCGATAGCAACTCGAATACTGGAACTGCTACCATCCTTTTGCCGTTAAGCGACAGCTTTGTGGTTTTGTTTTGGCATTTGCGTAAAATAAGGCCATGCTCGTCGCAGTAATCTTGAACAACTTCTCTGAAAGTGACTGTTAATTTCGACAATGGAATAGACTTGAAGTTATATTCCCCAGTTTCTTCATTCCCGAGACCCAAAATCTCCTCAATGGTTTGTGATTCGTCATGGATAGGACTTTCAGAGGGTGATTCTAAGAAGTGGAGACTTCTTTCGATTTCGGAAAACTCGATAGAAGTTGCGTCAACATAAAACTGGTTTATGAAGTTAGAAAACCAGGATTTGGCCTCTTTTTTGAATGAGGCTCGAGAAAAGCAGAACCATTGGTAGAGAAGACAATTTATCTCATTGAAAATCGCCTTGGCAAAACCGTTCAAATGATCTTCAGACAGAAGAGCCTTACAATCATTGAACTTTGACATGAAATACAATAAGGACTCGTCAGATGGATCTTCTATACTTAGAAGAGGGTCAAAATACCGATTCCATACCTGTTCCACAAAATTTGGCAAGAATTTCTCTGCAACAATTGCATTGTAAACCGATGATGATAAAGCTTCTTTCAAAAATCGAATATCGTAAGCTCTTACGGGGCTCTCTCTGTGATACCAGTTTTCACAGTAGCTGACAAACCTCGTGGTTATATGGCTTTCAAGAGCCTTGCAGGCATTTTGCGGGAGAAAAACACTGAAGTCGAGATACCACGCGCTAGGCGGGCTCGCCGTGTCTTCGCAAACAGTCCAGAGACTTATTGCGTGGTCCAAACCTGGTATGATATAAGTTTCCAAAACAAAAGAAGTACAATTTGTAAATTCTAGTATCTTTTCATAGTGAAGAAGAAGCTGCAGAATTATCTTGACCTGTTCTGTCGTTGGCTGGAATTTTTCCCAAAGCGGTCGAAGCGCTGGGAAAACCCTCTTGTAGACAACAGTTTGAGTTTTATTCAACTTTCTGGACGCAGTCTCCATGCTATAAGAAAGCATATCTATAATTTGGTTGCAGACCACTAAATGCTCATTATCAAAATCGAGCAAGTCCCAAGGATTTTTTTTGAAATATTCGTCCAGCAAAAAGGCTACAGATGTGTCCACAAGCTCAGGGTTTTCTAGCGCTAATGCCGAATCGATTTTATTTGTTATGGCCTGGGACTCGTCGTCGAGAACTCTGTGCATGCCAATAAGTTCTTGTTCTTCCTCAGAACATGTTTGTATTTCCAGGTCGAGAGCCGAAATCTGAAGCTGAATCTTTTCAAGTCGGTCACTAACTTCTGCGAGTTTTTTTACAATTCTTCCGACCTCATTTTTTTTAGCAAAAGAGCCTGCATTTACTTCAAGCTGGTCGGCAAGCTCCACATGTCCAATTGCCCGTAATTGATCTAGTCTATCAAGTGTAGTTTCTTGGTCTCTGCCAGAAGTGAATTGAACTCCTTTTGAAGCTGCCGTAGTCCCACTCATTATTAACTCGTCACCAGAGCTCTCTGCGTCAGAATAATCATCGAGACTTCTTCTCGCACTCATCGAACCAGGCATACCCAAACCGACTCCCTGAGGCCTTTCCTTCACCTCAATCGGTGTAGTTATACCCTCGTTATTCTTCCCCAGTCCTGTGCCCTGCTGGTACCCCATTTTTGACATTAACTTTGCCCCGATGCCGTACCTGCTCATCGCAGGATTGGTAGACCGTTCATCGCTGCTGGAGTCATTGTTTGAGGACTTTTTGGCCTCTTTGATTTCCTTTTCCTTGTCAGACCTATTTCTAGCAGTCAAGAAGTCCATTGGCAATCCTTTATAGGCTATTTCTTGGTGATTTACATGTCAAAGTTCAATTGGTATCGATCTTTAACATTTCATAAATATTAATGATGAGATTAGATTCTTTAAGAACAGAATACAGCGAGGTAAAGTATGGATTTCAAATGAGAAAGTAAGTTCAAATACAGCTTATTGAAGCAAATAAATTCCACCGATGATCTCCAAAATTCTGGCTTTCAAAACTGTATTTCTAGCCGTTCTCAGCTCACTTTTTCGAGCAAAATACGTGAAAACAAACTTCGGGTATAAAATATCATGAGTAAATGCACAACTTGAACTTAGAAAAACAAGCCGAAATATATATAAATATCTAAACCCGCATAGATGAGAGTCAGGACTTCCAAACTACAACTCGGGTGTTCTCAAAAATAGTGCCATGCCATGTTTTCTTTAAGACATCTATTACTTACTAGACGTATATTTCGACGACACGAAATTTCCGAGAAGAATAATGTTGTAATAAGCTGCGGGGGGTAAATAAATACCATCAAAACTCACCACCTACTAATACCTATTATCGAGCTGGACCCTGCTTTGTTGTCGTTGCCCAAGAATAAGTATCTCAGAGTGATGCATGTCAGAGTAGTACGAAATGATATACAAATCAAAGTCCGAAATGAAGATCTAATCAATCATCATCTTGATTTTCCCTCTAGAATGCTCAAAAACAAGGTTTATAACGGGCGTCCACCGTTCTTGAAAGGACTTCCTGATGCTTTCATAATGATCAATCGCCGCATAGAAGTGGTGTCTGAAAAATCGCGGCGTTTTTTGGAGCAGGCTCAGTTACTTTGTCATGAATCTAATAATCAGTTGTCCTTGGTGAAGACGAGAATACGGGATTGGCACAAATACAGATCGAAACTGCTTTTTCTGTTGGACTGCATCACGGAGCAATGTACTTATTTGACCAATGTGCTGTTGAAGAACGGTATCGGGAAAAAACTCATCGAAAAACAGTGGCGCCAGACGATTCTTGTTGATTTGGCAGATGAAATGGAACGCTGGCAGAATGACATCCAAAGCACGATTAAAAAACTGGACAGTGTGGAAAATTCATTAGAAAAAGAGCAGAACTCTAGTCTGGGCGATTTTATCTCTAGGGAGAACTCTCATGTTCTTGACGATAAAATTAACGAACTCCCAGTCATAAGAAAACAGGTCGAAAACATCTCACGACAATACCAGCAAACGTTAAATAAGGTTCAGGCTCAACTGGTCGAGACCAGACTAAAAAAAGTGGAAAAAGAATTCGATGTTCAATTAGGGGATCACAATGAAATGAATCTAAAATTAGACGAGCAGTTTACCATGGAAGCAGAACAACGGGTTCACGAACTTGCTGATTTCCTCAAGGCGTTCACTGACCATTTTGATAAATGTAGTATCTTGATGTCAGGATCGCTCACGCCAACTGAAAGCAAATCGCTTTACGAGATAGTCGAGCGCGACGACAAGGAACTTCCTGCGATCGACACGGCTTTGCAGGAAGCTGCCAGGGAGGCACACAGTTTTGCCGAAGAGGTCAATGCGATTTTGGATACAAAAGAGTCGGAAAAGGCCCAACTCGAGACTTCGGTGATGAAAATTCTCACAGAGTTGCAGAAACACGAGGATTATATATCCGTGTTCGAAGGAATTTCTAAACTAATAGACAGGTTCAAAATCTCGTGTCTGGATAGCGTGCGTCAAACCAAGGAATTACTAGGTTTTTACGTTAACTTCGAAAACAGCTATTACAAGCTGCTATCAGAGGTAAAGAGACGACAAGGAACAGCAGAAAAAATGGCAGAAATTTTAAAAAACTGTGAGGATCAACTGAAGAAACTGGACGCGGCTGACATACGAGAGCGTCAAATGTTTTTACTTGAGAATGGTGATTATCTCCCCGAGACCATTTGGCCCAACGAAATCGGTAATCTTTCATCTCTGTACACCCTTGATTATGAGGTAAGAGAAGTTTGAATATGTACATGACTATTTTTCCGCCCTTCGCCCTGCACAGCTGAAAGAAATCAAAGATAGTTTTCCTCGAGTTCCCGAAATTTGTTAGCAATTTGATCGATTGTCAAATGACTCAACTCTCTGGACTCCCTGGATCTTATGGCGAATTTACCGCTTTCTATCTCTTTTGCGCCAACCATTACCAAGTAGGAGTAATTCTTCATGATGGCATCTTTGATTCTGTACCCAGCCGGCTCGGCACGATCGTCGATATCCACATTGAAGTGAAGCGAGTTGAGCTTCACTGGTTCGTCTACTGGTACGTTTTCCCCTCTTAAAATGTTGGTGATTTCCTTAGCCTTTTCAACCATGGCTTCGTCTTTCGTATTCAATGGAATAACCATGCACTGGTGGGGGTTTAGCCAGAAAGGCCATTTTCCGTTATTAGAATCAATCAGCATTGCCATGAATCTTTCCAGTGACCCAAACACAGCTCTGTGAATCATGATTGGCCTTTTATAAGTGTTATCTTTATCTTTGAATTTGAGATCAAACCTTTCTGGTAGATTGAAATCCAACTGTATAGTAGCCACTTGATGAGTCTTACCGCGGTGATCATTGAGTATAACATCGATTTTGGGACCATAAAATGCGCCGTCTCCTTCATTGACTGACCATTCTTTACCTGAACTTTCAAGAATATCTCTCAGAACAGTTTCTGCCTTATCCCATACTTCCAAACTCCCAATGTAATTGTCAGGTCTTGTAGAAAGGCGAAGAGAATAAGTGGTCGGACCTCCGTTAGGACCCAAGCGGAAGATCTTGGAGTAACATAGATCTACCAGTTCTAATGAACTCTTGATTTCCGATTCTACCTGGGAAGGTGTACAAAAAATATGGCCATCATCTTGATGGAACTTCCGTACACGAGTCAGGCCCGAAAGTGCACCAGATGCCTCGTTGCGGTGCAATGGTGAAAAGTCCGAAAATCTCAGCGGGAGTTCGCTGTACGACCTGGAGGAGCTCTTGAAAATCACACAATGACCGGGACAGTTCATGGGTTTTAATCCGTACTCTTCCTTGTCAATATCCTGGCCTTCTACTCGAAACATATCCTCTTTATAATTCTCCCAATGGCCAGATCTTTCCCAAAGCGATTTCCGGTAGATCAGAGGCGACATGACTTCTTGGAATCCGAATTTATGTTGCTGTTGTAGCTTCATAAAGCCAACCAACTTGTTAAAAATCTTGGTACCATTCGGCAGAAAGAATATGGAGCCTGGTGAGATGGGATCCGTAATGTAGAGCTGCTGTTTTGCAGATACGTTATGCGAAACGTTTGCAACTGTATCTCCACAGCCAGAAGAGCAGTAAAATCGCGGCAAGCGAGAATAAAGTGATCTCAAGAACCGAGCTTGTTTCAGCATGTCCAATTGGCTAGAAAAAGCTGGAGTTTTGGATATTCAAAGTCCTAAAGTTTGATTATTGTAGATGAGTTATGATGTTGATCATTGAATGAGATGAGTATCCATAGTACATAGTGATGGCACTTCTACATAATAGAGCTACCCTATGACAGTTTAGTTTGAGGACGTAGGCTTTGAGATTAATTGAAAGTCGTTATCCTTGTTTCGATTTTCGTTTCCACCAAGTCTTTCACCTAGCCTTTCAACGAGCCTTTCAACGAGCCCTTCAACAAGCCTTTCAACAAGCCTTTTCCCACGAATTATACATAGCAACGTTTTTCTGTCACCGGTGTGTATCGTTTGTCGGTGCGCTCTGTAAGCTACGGTGAGCTGAACACATATCCCTTCTTTTGATTCATGATTTTTTAGGTTCTGCCCTCTTCTCTCTACGTGGAGGAAGAAAAGTATTCACCGTCTCAGCTCTCCCAAGTTGACAAGACTTCTCGTCCAAAAAAGCCTCAATGTTTCTTTCGAAAGGGAAGCTTCTGTTTAAAGAAAGAAGACAGTGACATGCTTGTTTATTCGTGTGAATTATCATGGTTAGCGAATCAGTTTCGAATGTAGTCTCATCCGCGAATATACGTGGCATCAATCTTTTGCAGACTAGGTCCCAAGTTGAGAACAAGTTTACGTCTGTAAACGGTTCCAGAGTTTTTCTCAATTGGATTTCCCTCGAGATAAATGGTCTCAAACTCCGGCAAGTCTCGCAATTCGTCGCCGACGGATTCAATGGTCTGGTCGATCTGGTTAAACGACAGCCATAGATCGGTGAGTTTGGTGAGATGACTCAAATTTTCGATTTTGGTGATCTTATTAGATGTGATGTCTAAAGTGTTCAGCCGAGGATTGTGTTCGAGGCCCTCTATTTTTGAAATGAAATTGTGCGACAAATACAGTTCTTCCAGATTGGGCAGCTGCTCGAGACCCTCAATTTTGGTGAGCTTGTTAGACTGGATGGACAAGATGCGCAAGTTACGCAGATGATCCAGGTGCATCAAGCGTGGGATGCTGTTTTTACCCAGCCATAGCTGCTGCAGATTTTCGAGTCCCAGGAAGGATTCGGGCTCGATGCGGGAAATCTGATTACCACCCAATTCTAGATTTTTCAATGCTTTGAGTGTGCTCAAGTTTTCGATCGTGGAGATCTTGTTCTGCACGAAATACAGATGTTCGAGCTTTGTGAGCTGGTCGACGTTTTTGATGTGCTTGATCTTGTTGAAAGACAAGTCCAGACTCTTGAGTTCTGTGAGTCGGTTTACACTGCTGGAAATGTGTTTGATTTTGTTGTCATACAAGTCGATCTCCTCCATGGTAGCTGCAGGAAGCACTTCGACCTCACTCATACTTTCAATCAGGTTTTGTCTCAAACACAGCGTTTTTAAGTGTTGAAACCGATGCAGTTCGAGATCCTCTATCGATTGGATTCGCAAATGTACCAATTCAACGGCTTCGGTATCTTCTGGCAAGTCCCTGGTCAAATCTGCGTCGGCACTGATGTATTCTTGATTCATGTCCTGATACACAGTCCGGCCTTCAAGATCCGTGGTTTTTTCGAGCGATGGTGAAGCACCACTGTCATCTTCAAGGGCAACACTCATTTTAACGTGCTGGTGTTCTTATATAGCTTTAGTTTCTGATCGAAATGTGGTGTAAAAGCTTTAACTTTTGGAATTTCCCTTTAACAACCCAGTGCGTTATTATACTAAAACTCAAGATGTAGAAGTAATTTATCAAGATGACATGGAAAAGAACGCCTTGGACGAGCTTTGAAAAGACAGAGAGATAGCCAGATGCTTTCGCCGGAGAATTGCGATCAAAACGAGACCAAAAACTTTAACTTTGGCCACAAACTACGTTGAATTTTGGCATAGCGGGTCTGAAATGGTAGAAATGGCTAGAAACAGGCTAGGGAAACATATACAGGAAAATAGGGTAAGAATGAATAGGATGCGGGGCGGCCAGAGAGTTTTGGCTTGCACCTATTGGCTGGGTTGCTGGGTTGCTGGGTTGCTGGTTTGCTTATTTGCTAATTTGGGCTTAGATTTGTCTTGTAAGTCTTGTCGAATTCAGTTGGCCTCTGGGTTGGAGGCGATGTATTCAACTGCTTGCGAAACACTCTTGATCTCGTCGGCAACTTTGTCTGGAATTTCCACGTCGAATTCCTCTTCGATGGCCACCAGAAGCTCCACCGTGTCTAGCGAGTCCAGACCAAGGTCCTTAGCGAAATGCGTGTCTGCATTCACCTGTGCACTTGCAGTGGTCTTGTCGAACGCCTTGACCACGTCGATAACACGGGTGCTGATATCGTCTTTGTTCAAACCGGAAGAGTACATACGCAGAGGCGACAAAAACGCAGGACTTGCACCGGCAGGACGTAGTGCGGTCCGCATCGTTGTGGTTCTTAGCGCCATTGCGGTTCCGCGAAGCATATTAGAAAACATTTTTGTGGCTGAAAAGATGGGGTGGGCGGCTAAAGTTGATTTGAACCGTGAAGAAACTTGAATTTAAGGCTGTGGAAGTCAAGTTTACTGGTGTTGAAGTATTGAATGATAGATATATATCAAATCATCCTTGTCAAATTTCAAATCTTGAATTTGGCTAAATGAGAAAGGGTAATCTTTAAAAAATTTGAAAAGAGAAAAAAAAAAAATTGATGACTATAAATATGAACACGTGATATATGTGTGATTATCACGTGTAAAGAGAAAGAAACGTGACCAGCTTCCCATGGCGTGACTGTCACGTGATCGAATGTTATTTTTTGAAATTATGTGTATGAGGTGTATGGGTGTTTGGGTGTAAGTGGTTATAACAGTTCATTCATGGCTTAAAGATTTGAACTAAAGAACCTTCATTTCTTGTTCTCTTTTTTTAGTCGCGCACCGGAGCTTCCAATAAGGCCTGTAGATGACTTGCTTGATTTACGTTCAATCTCAAAAACTTCTGTCAAGCTTGAAACCATTTCCGTATTTAGGCACCAAACCCATCACCGAAGCTTCGTCACCGTTACTTGTCTCTCTACCAAAATGATGCTTTAAACTCATTGATACTAATATACATTAAATTTCCTTCTATGTTGCAATTATCATAATGCACAATGTGTAGAAATTTCGACTTCAAGCCTTATTTTTGGGCTTTGCGCTTTTACCAAATTTCTTGTTCATGCCGGTCCGGAACAAACTTAATTTCGACGACTGCGCTGAGGTTCTGGAGTTCTGCTTCGTACCATTAGTAGCCACAGAAGCAGTCTCGGGGTTCGCGGTCGCCACGCCGTTCAAGCCAGTGCCATTAGAGTTTGAATCCGACGATTTGATAGAATGGGAGCCCGACGCTACGGACTTTGCTAACGAGACGGCTTCTAGAGAGGGCTCAACCACAGGTCCACTGCTTAAATTCGTATCGGTGGTCCTGGATGTGATGCGACTAACAAGATCCAAATCGGCCTCGTTCACAACAAGGCTGTTCTTCGCGACCTCGTCTGCGAAATTCCGGTAGAATAGGCCCAACAACATTTCGTGAGACTTCTTCATGTACCCATGGCACAGGTGACCATGGAGTGCCAGACATCTACACAATATGGTCGCGAGCTCGTCAAATGTAGACCTCAGTAAACTCAATTGACTTTCATCACCCAGTTTGCTGTCGTCACTTTTAAAAAAATCACGATATTGAGAGACACCACCATTAACTGGTGCGTCAATCGTGCCGCTGATGTTTCTGGATAGCTCCGGGAAAACGGCAGTGTAGTCCCCATTTTCCTTCAACATCTTGTAGCACGTATCTTCCAACCCGGCCAGATCTTGGATCTTCAGCTGCATGGAACGGATAGCATTTTCGATCGGCGATAAGGTCTTGCTGCTAGTTGAGGTGATTTCTGCTCTGTTCATGAGAGTTGGGAACGTGGAAGCGGTTTCGTAAGTCAGCTCTTTGACCCAGAGATCCGTAGCTGAAGTTGCACCTGGTAAGACTCTGTAGGTACAGAACGTGTTCAGATCTCTGTTTTCAACATACAGTCTGATTTTGTTATTGGCGTTCTCCTTGTTGCTCTTGTTCGTGAAGGCATCAGAAATTTCCACTCTAGGCTCAACCGTAATTACATGAATGAACTTCCCGATTGGTGAATTTACCAACAGATTGTCAGCTTCATCCTGAGTGCCGACTATTTTTGAACCAGGATGGGAAACCAAGAGTCTCGTTTGCATGGACGTAATGTGTTCGAAGGGAAGACCTTCATAAATAAATGTCTTGTTTCTTGTCGAACTTGGGAAACCGAATCCAGCAAAAGTTACTTTGAAGTAGGTTGGCACCAATCTGTCCACTACCTGTAAGTCTTCGTAAAGTTTTGAAATGTTTCCATGGGCGTGCGACAAACCGCCTAGATCGTAATTGATTTTCTCGTACGCTTGAGCCAACTCCTTGTAGATTGACAAAGCCTTTTCGAGTTTTAGACCTTTATGGAAATGCTTTGCCACTTCCCTGTACAGAAACTCTCTCCGCTGAAATGAAGATTGCTCTGGGAGTGCCGGAAATGCAACAGGCGGTAGAAGGTCATTAGGGTCCCACTTATACGTTCTCGCCAACAGCTCTAAACTCAAAGCTGCCTGAACGTTGTCCTTCTTCTTGATGTTGTAAATATACAAGTCATTGACGAGCTTGTGAAGCTCCTCAGGTTTTTTCACTTCCAAGAGGTACCCAAAGATTGTTATTTGGTGAGCAGTTCTATCATCGTCAAACTCTTTGTCGTCGGGAATTTCACTAAACTCAATCAAGACGGTAAGCAGGTCGCGTACCAGCTTCATGACTTTTAGAATGGGAGAAAACATGGCATCATCTTTTGCCAAACGAATGGTGAATAGTAATGCCTTCACATAGTTTTCAGATTCGTGTAGGGTTGGGATGAATCTACCTGACTGATGGGCAGCACAAAGTTCGGAGGTTGTTTGCATCATGACAGGCTCCAAGTTGCCATAAGTGAGCCAGCAATTCGCAGATGTACCCCAAATAATCTTTGCACCAACTCGTCTTGCTTCTGTGTGCCTCTGAAACGTAAATTCCATGATTTCTCGGACAAAAGTTTTGTCAGCGCGAACTAGATAGTTCTGGAACCCGTTGGCTCTCGTTATACCATACTTTTCCCAGATCTCGGTACCAGACGTATCTTGGCCCAATGCATCCCAGCAATGTTCCAACATTAGTGCCACTTCCGTTCTGTAGTCTCCGCCAATCAAATACAAAGCTTTTCGGGGGATTTCAGCTAATAGTGTCGGGTTGGAAGGGATATGATTACCCAAAGCGATAAGCATTTTCACCCATTCGTTCCATAACTTGATATCTAGTGTATCTTCCGAACCTATAACAGGAATTTTGTGTTTCACCAAAATTTCTTCGCTGAGCTTGAATAAGCAGACAGCGCTTCTGTTATATAGCTCACTCAATGAAAGCCATTTTTTACTAGGGAAAAATCTCCCTTTCATAAATAGCCTGACAGTATGGACTACAGTAAGAAGATCTTCTCTTGCAAACTGTGTCACATAAAAGACTGAATTGAAAGCTTTATCTTCAGAGCACATTTCAGTTATTTTCATGAAAGACAACGAATCTTTGAAATTTTCCTCCGCCATTTGTGTTATAGTTGCTAGTATGGTAGCAAGCTCAACTAAAACCTCAACGACCATATCTTCTTGAACAATCGAATCAACAGTAATTTCGTCAAACGGGTAAGTAATTGGGAACAGCTTTGTGAATGTTCTCCTAAATTTGAAAAGCTCCCTCTCCTTGCAGTACTTCCTGACCAGGATAAAAAATCGACACACTGTTGGTATTAGTCTGACAAGGTTACGCTTCACGATATCCGAGGCACGTCTGATAACGCTAACCAGGACACCGTTCGCTAGCCTGATGGTAGTCAAATGCAGATGTTCGCCATTATAATTGAGGAAAGGCTCGAAAGACCATTCAATCAACTTAGCAATGAACTTCTGTTCGTAGTATTCGACTGTGTCAGGGGTCAACAGAACATTTCTTACTGAGTCGACGTCAATCAGGCGACGCATGACGAGATATTTCGTGGCCACAAACTTTTGTTCCTTGACTGAGAGAGCTCTTCTATAAATCCCACATGTGCGCTCCTTATCGTGGCAAGCCTGGAATAAGCCAGTTGAAGCGTCGACAAGAATTTTAGAATCACAATGAGTTGAGAGAACTAAGATCCACGCATCAAACGCTTCCAAAATCAGCACTTGGTCTACCAATGATGATTCTTTTCTCAACCGGAAAAATGTTGATATGCCTTCGAAAAACTCAACCAGCGACTTTTGTAGGCCGTCATCATGAGGGCTGGAAAGTAACACCGCAAGTTTGAAAAGATAAACCGAAACTCGACAAAGAGCTCTTCCATCGTAATTCCATACTTCGTGAGAAAAACGGTAAAATTTCGAAGCAAAGTGGACAAGCTTAGCCCCGACCTCTGGCAGTTCCGATTTTCTCGTTGCATATGTTAGCAGGAAGTCATTAAACAAGTGTCTGTAGTTATCTTGACGAGCGACAACCATATCCAAGAAAAACATCAAAGACATAAAAGAAGCTTTTTTAAATTCGTCAGAAGACCTCTGCTCTTCAAGAATATTGGCAACGTAAAACACGTCGAGGAATTTGGTCAACAAGGCATCAAACGTCTTGATGAGCTCCTTTACTGGTGTTGCTTTTACTTCAGCCAGCAACTGGAGGCAATCTTTCTCAAAATCGTAGAATGATCTTTTAAAATCATAAGAAAACTGAAGAAAACTGCGAATTGACGACTCGACATTGAAGCTTTTTCCCACATAGTCAGTGGTAATCTCCAAATCAACGAGAGGCTCGCTAGTTGTGGACATAAGCTGGAAAACAGATTTTTTAGCATATTCAATGATCTTTTCATTTCTCTTGATGTAAAACTTGGACTTGGCCATGAGAAATCCATTGATGTAAGCCGATATTCTGAGAGTCTCATCGTTTTTCATTTCCTCCAATCCATCAATTCGTATTGTTTCGCCAATCACTTCGTCTGGTTTTACAGATACGAACATCCAGTATCTACGTGAAACGTCATTGACACCATTTCTGAACGTGACAAGTGGGTTGCTGGATGAGATTTGAATCGATACGCTCGATATGTTAGTGTCGTATGCCTTAAATCCACATAAAGAGGTCTTGCCCAAAGTCAAATAAATCCTGTCCTCAGGGTTGGATAGAGTGTCATAAGAGCAAGTAGGTATGCTCTGAATAGCAGACATGTTGTTTTTTAAAACGCTGGAGAGACCAAAGTCGCCTGTAATTTCTCTGACAGTCACTGAGAGCGAAAGGATTCTTGGATTAACAGCAATACCTTTATTGGCGTCAGCGATAATTCTGTCTACCAGTTCACCCCATCCGTTGTTTTCTTCGATTTTAGCGGCAGCCCTGGTCAAAGCGGCGGCACTTGGAGCATTGCCAACATTAACCATTGACTGTGGCGAGGGAGCATCCTTTCGCTTACTGGGCATGTAAGATCCAAACAGCTCGACATTAAACTGATGTGAGTTACCCGGTAACTTATGCTTTTTCTTACGAGTAATCAGTCTAGAGATATCGATAACTCCAGCCGCCAAACCCTTTTTCATGTGTGACAATCTGTTGTCACTACCTGTTAGAAAAGGTACAAACGGTTTCCTGAACCCTTTACCTGATTCTGGTGACATGAGTTGAATCTTGACTGTTTCAGTCAGCACCACAACCAAGTACACCTTGTTGTTATCCACTTCGCTGGGAGGAATATTGTTGAACAACGCTGCCGATATATTGTCCATCGAAACTACATCATCGCGTTCCATGTTTAAAATAAATGGCTCCGAGAGCGTCGTTTTCCCTGCTCGCAAGTACATTATAGCGGAGAGGTTTTGAAAGTTAGGATTAACGGTGGGATCGCTCAAAGCATCCTTGAAATCCACTAGAATGCTCGTCGATTCGACCGAATCGAAAGTCTTGTTCTCCAGGGGAAGAAGCTTCAGCTGATAAACATTCGCACTCGGGAAATTGTTACTCAAACCGCAGAGCATTGACATGCTTGCCAGGATCTGAGGTGTCACCTCGTTGTATTTGTACAGTTTACCCGAGTACATTTCCCTGGATAAAATACTACCATATCCTGAAGCATGAACAAGGCTGGAAGTTTCTGTATGAGCACTGGCTGGAGTTAAATCTTTAGAAGAGATGAATTTGGCGATCTTGTACGACATTGAGCACATGTCTTTGATGAGCTGTTCGTGTTCGACACTTGTGGTGAGCTTATGCAAAAGTCTTAGGCGAATGTCGTCGAGCTTGTAATACAGCTCTGTCATGTTTTCCGCGACCTCGAACTCTCCGAAAGAATACATGGAGTAAACATGCGTTACGAGCTGCGACAGCATTGGAGTCAGTTCCTGAACGATGTCATAGTCCTGTAAACGAAAGTAAGGGAAAGGAGGACGACTGGCCTTTGTGACGGATGAGCCACCTAGTTCCATTATGTCATCTTTTGACCAATCGCCAGTCAGGTCGAACATCGTTGATAGCTGCGTATTGGTGGTAGATGATGAAAATTGAGATTTTTCAGGTGCGGCTAAAAAGGGCAAATCAGTAACTTGCTCTTCGTAGTCAAGATGTGCAAACCTCTGAGGAAACACCACGACTTTGAACTTCTGTTCAGGCAACTGCTCACTGAACGAGCTCAGCCGACCGATAAAATCCTCCGGTAATGGCTGCCAACACGTATAGCCTCGAAACCACCGCCCGTCGGTGGTCTCTTCAAAAACATATACCTCATCACCAGGATACAAGTTTGAGTAGTTGGGATTTTCAAGTCCCAGACCTGGATGTCTCATCAATGGCAGAAACTTCGTAACGATCCGTCCGTGGACCAGACGATTTGTCGGAACCCATTTGAAAGTTGGAGAAGAGGTGCCAGACATTGTGTAGGTATCTTTAGTGTCAACGTTCTTCTACCCTTTAGAGCCATACACAACAGCAGCTCAAAAAAGGTGAAGTTAAGCTGGAGGTCTTGAAGTCTTATTCAAATTCATTATATCCATCGAGAATGACGGTTAAAGACAATTTCGAGAACCGTCCAGTCACTTTTAACGAAAATGAATAGAGTACTTGTAAACGACTTTGGGTTTATAATGTGAAACGACTTGTGGATCGTTTTTTTCTTTTTTTTGTCCACAAGTTGAAACGCAAGGTACATTTTTCGAGTACCTTGGGAAATATTTCCACAAGTTGATTTCGAGCTGATTTCGTTCCCAGTGACTTGTGGATTAAAGAATTGTTATTGAAATAACAACAATAGCGCGTATCAGGTCGATCAGAAGATGATCACCAGTGGGTCTGACCATTGAGAAACAAGTTCAAGAGGGCAATGGAAGCAGCTTCTTGTACAAGTGACAACCAGTCAACGGGTCAACATCATTCTGACGCTTCATCAAGTGACTCGCTCGCTGATGAGGGTTTACAAGCCAACCCAGCAACAACTGGTGCTGGCCTTGATGAGTACAGAACATCAGCCACCGCTGAATACGTCGCGAGCTCAACGAATCATGCCGCAATGGAACAATCGGAGCTTTATCTTGAGTACTTTCATTCATCAATCATAAGGGAGGATTTAGCTACTATAAAGAATCCTCGCCTTTCACTGGATAAAATGGCAAATGCTATCAGAGAATTGATAAGAAGTGAAAGGCTACAGATCATCAGATCATGGGAAAGAGTTTAAGTTCAGGTGGACTGACAACTCGACGTACTACCTGGTCAAGTATTGCAACGAAATCGGTCCATTTTACGGCTTCGAACGTCTGAATTCACCTAGAGTTGAGAAGCTAGAACGAAGCAGCTTCATATCTCTTAAATGGAGTTGTATTTTGTATGATCTTCTGTTGTCATTACAATTCGAAAACAATATCATACCAACAGAGGGTCAAATTAAACAGAGGTGCAGATATCTAACAGACATGGCACATCCCAAATTATTTGCCGTCACTACAGGAGATGAGAGAAATCCTTTCTCGATTACTGGAGTTGACAAAATAGATGACGTTTTGGAACAGCTCTGTAGGCTGAAAAATGATTCGGAACTGAGTAAAGCAGAATACCATAAACGTGTTACCGACCAACGACATAATAAGAGGTCTGTGGGCCAGATGCTATGCTCAAATAGTATTCCGAGTGTCATTGAGAGCCTTGTCCCTTTAGACTCTGATGAGCAGTCTTCCATAGATGACGTGAACCAACCTAATACTATCACGGTCGAAAAGAGGAACAGATCAGGCAAGTCGCTGAACTCAAGAGATGTCGCGTCATTTGCCCATTATTTCTCTGAACTCTCAGCACCAACGAGAGAACTGCAAGATTCTGCGCTACGAACTATTGAAGCAACACTTTCGGAAGAAAGGAAACGCGAAGCAAAAGCTCAACAGCAGATTATAGAATTTCAACAACAACAAATGGAATACAGCGCTCAAAAAGAAAAGCGTGAACAATTCGATCATGAAGCCAAAAAGATTAAGACTGTAATGGAAATGACGCTCATGGCCCAAAGCCTAGAAAAGGGGAATTCTTCATCGACTAATGCTGTAAAGAAGATGCTTCAAGACTTTTTAGCACACTATGCGTGAACTAATTATCACAAATGTTAGAGTGTCAGTGTTAGCTAAATTTTGTCCGCATGGCTGATTTACAAAGTTTTCATTGCAAAGCTGGCTCAAGCAAGGTTTTCCAGTTGATCAAAGCTTAAGTGCTCATACTGTCTAGAGTAGTAAGTGCCCTCTCCTTGATTATCGATAATAAAATTGTCAAAATATTTTGGAAATTTGAGCCTACTCGTGAATTCCTCGAAGGATGGTGGGTCAATACCAAAGTACTTGGATCCTTGCGATCCTTCTAGACAATGTTTGAGGTTTGTCAGAAAGACAGCGATGGTAAAGTACGCACCGCAAAATCTCACTCTACCTACTTTCAGTTTTCCCAGGGCATTGAAAATCTGGAAGTTGTTCATTACCGCACCAAAAAACCACTCTATCGAAACACGGGATTTCGCCAGGGTTTTGTTGTAGTTTTTTTCGGCAGCTGTCAGATTCTGTCCTTTAAACCCCACCGTGAGCACGTCAGAACTCCGATACGCAGGATCCCCGTATATTCTGTATTGAACGCTACTGATCTTTAGAGCTGGCTTCAATCTTCCGTATAAGCCGCTATTTGCTAAAAGAAAGGAGTCGTGCTGACTACCAGCGAAGGGTCCTGCTAAATCTATGCAAATACCATCAGGCGTTGTCACCGCTTGATACTTCAAGATATGAGTTTTTTTATGCCCGCTATACGCTGAATTTTGCAATTCAGAACTTCCATGCGGCCTCGCAATCTTGACGTGCGTGCCATCGATAAAGCCCACAATTCTGCTGTTAGGGACTGATTTGTTGGATCTCAGAAGGCTTTGGTCGATGAGCGATAAGCGGCTCGCAAGCCACGGCGCATTTGCAACTGACAGAGATGGGCTTACAATGTGGAACAAGTAGCATGTCATAAATGTGATAATCTTGGATATTGTAGTGGGTTCTCTGCCGCAAATGCTGGTCAGTACTGTGTAAGTACAGCCACTCCTCATTCTAACGATGAAGATGAAGAAACATTCGAAAGCGTCAAGTGAGTAAGAGCCAATGTTAGAAGGTATCTTCAGTGCCTTGACTATGCGATCGAGATCGAACTTACTAAATCCGGTCAACTTGCGGAAGTCAGCGTCCGTATAAGTAAGTCGAAACCTCCCACCGCTATGATATCTGCTATTATACCGGAAATTTTTGCCCCGAGCTCTGGTCCTTCTTATAGATTCAAAATTGATTTCATCTACAAGCAGCTTCTCGAGGTATTTTTCCAATGCTTTGTGCTCTCCATTGGAGAAAACTCCCCTATCCTCTAAGTTCTCGAGAGCCATTTGCGGTGCGCGCCGTGTGGTTGCGTTCGTTAGTTGACGAATATAAGCATTGCCATATTGGTACCTCAGAAAATACTGGCCTGAATCATAGTTTCGTAGGAACTCTTGGCGCCCGTCAATCTTTGAATGCCGGGCCAGATACTGCAAGTATCCCGTTAAGCTGTGAACACCGCAGATCTCTCGATGTAACTTAACGAGTAACTCTACCTTAGGGCTCGTCATGTTGAGTAGTTATCAAGAGCAGACGAAATTCGAGTAGGCTCGAGACTAGGCTTGCTATGGGTTACATTTGATTTTTCTAGCGCTTCATGTATACTGCAGTCGCGTAAATAAAAGCCTTTTCACGCCAAATGCCATTTTTTACGCGTTTTTTCCACACTCAATACTCAATGTAAACCCCAACCTGTTTACAAGGGACACCGACCACCTTGGGTTTTTAACCTTCCACAAGTCGTTTCACATTATAAACCCAAAGTCGTTTACAAGTACTCTAATTTCTCTTGACGAAGACTCTCCGTAAGCCAGCAGATTAATGTCAGTAAAGGAAAAAATGATGAGTCAAGCACAAAGCGCAGCCGCATGCATCAGACTTTGTCAATCTTGGGTTTTTTACAATCTGGTTCCTCCGCATCATTATCCGACTCTGTTTCTGGAGCATGACATTTTTTTTCTAGCTGTTCAAGCAAAAACTCAAGTCCATGAATGGCAAATTGTTGCATGTTGTGACACCTGTCTTCACTTTCAGTGCTGTAAGTCGAAGAAACGTCTTCATCGGGTCCTGAAGCCCCGTAGTACACTGTTCCTACAGATTGTTCGCTTTCAGTAGGCTTCAGCATGGGAGAACGTGACGCGTACCCGGTTTCTGACAATGTGTAAGTGGCGCCAAGCTCAAACTTGAGATTACGAGCCAAACGCAGGGCTACATCCACACTTGGGCCAGTGTAATCGTGTATTTCTTGCTCGTTCCAGCCGCTAAGTTTGAGTCGACTTTTCAAACTGTAAACCATGATTCCACCATGAAACCATTTAGACGCGCCTGGAACAGAAACTAAGTAGCTCGAAATTAGTCCACCGCAAGCCGCTTCACTTACCGCCAGAGTTTCATCGCGTTCTATCAGTATCTCTGAGATGCGTTTGACGACGCGAGATGCCTCAGAAGGCGGGAATTCAGCCGTCATAGCTCTTGTTAGATGGAAATTGCGATATGGATCGACTAAAGGTATTCATACATCTATATATATTTAAATCAATCTTCATTGTTCTAAGTTACCGTGCTCGTGTGTAGTGACTAATTTAGAGAAAACGGCTGATGCGACAGCTTTGATTCCTATTTTTACGCGTGCACCTGGTAGGTTTGGTGACATTGAGGATCTTTGAGCTTATTGTGCGCTCAAATAACTATGGCTCGCTATATATGGATTAAAGACTAATTTTAGAGCTTTCCTTTTTTTATAGATTGTTTCAGTGAGCTATGCAGGGAGATTCGATACTCTGAGCAGCACTTGATATTTTCGATAGTAACTGTGCAAAATTGTACTGAGTCTTTGCTCTTGCTTCGGTACAGAAGTAATTCTATACATTGAGCAATGTGTTTCGTTATGACCTTTTATATAACTTCAGCAGTCGAATCCAGATTTAGTGACATCTTTTCAGGCATGGACATGGTATGGTGACTGAAAACGCCATTTTAATATTGGTGTGTTTGAAAATAGTGCTATACACTGCTTTCATTCGATTCGTGACACTAGCAAGGCAGTGATCAAGCGTTTCAAGCTTAATTCTACCAATTCTGACGCTGTCTTCTCGTAGTCACGTGAGTTTAATCACTTTGTAGTGTCTTTGACAGCAGGTCTGAATAACGCATCAAGCACCGTTATAAGATCCAAAGAGCTCAATCGGAAAACTCATCGAGCTGGATGTGACCCATGATCATATGGCATCCACTGACGGTGTTAATTATTGAAATGAAGTAACACAGACCATATCGTGCTTGATTTTTGAATCAGATCCGGGGTAACTATATTGATGTTTCCAAATGTCGTTGCTACTTTATGGGAATAATGCGATTACGTAACACTAAGTTTCTAATCGCTGAAATTGATATAACTACATTCCCGGTGATATTAGATGTGAAGTGCTACTACAAGACCAAACGAATTTTCTATTACTCGCTGGACCACACTACGTTGAGCTGTACCGTAAATCAAAAGATGTTCTTATTATCACGTGACAGCACAACATATTTTTGTTGTTTTTAAAATATGAGCTACTAAATTGATACTTTACGACAGCAAGGACTAATGCCAACTGTCTGCTACTAAATCACGCACTTGAATATCATTAAAGAGCGATTGAAGCTTACTGTGATCGATCCAATGCAAAAATTTGGGTATGTTTTCCTCATTTGCACGTGACCTCATGAATTCCAGCTCCTCCGTATTTCGTTACTGGAACCTGACATTTATAACAAATTGCAAAACCCTTCTCTATATCCACAACTCATCGGGATGAAAGATTTGTTTTGTGCTCCATCGTAAAAGGTACCATTGAGCTTATAAACCAGCTTAAAACTCTCTGTACCAAACTTCAAACGTTTAAATGAAAATCTATTACATTGGTGTCCTAAGAAATACCACGGAAAAGGCTCTTGAGCTTACGTCCGTCAAGGACTTGTCACAATTTGGCTTTTTTGAAAGAAGCGGAGTGGCCCAGTTCATGACCTTTTTCTCGGAAACCGTGGCAGCCCGGACCTCCGCTGGCCAGAGGCAAAGTATCGAAGAGGGCAACTACATAGGCCACGTATACAGCAGATCAGAAGGATGCTGTGGCGTGCTCATCACCGACAAAGAATACCCTGTGAGACCTGCCTACACATTGCTCAATAAAATCCTTGATGAGTACCTGGTGGCTCATCCTCCCGTGGAATGGAAAGACATAGCTGCTGCCAACGATAGCCTGGGTTTGAAAGAATTGGACACTTACATTGCTAAGTACCAGGACCCATCACAAGCCGATTCCATTATGCGGGTGCAACAGGAATTGGACGAAACTAAGATCGTGCTGCATAAGACAATTGAGTCCGTTTTGCAAAGAGGTGAAAAACTAGACAATCTTGTCGATAAGTCTGAGAGCCTGTCAGCCAGTTCACGCATGTTTTACAAGCAAGCCAAAAGGACTAATTCGTGCTGTTTAATAATGTAAGCTTTTAACTAGAAGAATGGATTCTGGACTTTAGATTTGCAGTTCTATCTGCCCACTTTTAGCTTCGTTTGAAAACTAGAAGCCCGGTCCATGAATATCGTGTAGTTACTAAATAATAAAAAATCGACCTCGGTGAGGATTGAACTCACGATCTTGCGATTAACAGTCGCACGCCTTAACCAGCTTGGCCACGAAGTCATTTCTTGAGAAAGAAAAGGCTAATGGCATTTATATAGCTTAAAGACAAGAACCAGACTTGCGAAACTTGGTGTCAGATTTATGCCATAAGCAGATACTGTTCCTGAAAAATCGCATGGATTGTGTCAAAATTGGAAAAGACAAAAGTCTTTGATTAGTTTGAAATATACTTGAGGACCATAGGTGCTCAAATCTTTAATTTGTCATGTTTCCTCTTCGGTTTTCTTAGATTCGACCACTGTATGGTGAATGTTGCAATATTCTGTTATATAGTGATATAAGATCATTATGGAGTTTAAAATTCAGCAAATTGAATACACACCGATAGCAAATCTTTGAGCAAAGAGACTCCGCCTTCGGATGAATCACTCTGCAATAACTAAAGATATCTCTAAATTGCTAAGTGTTCTCCATCCCATGTCTCAATCGTGAGAAGGTTGTCTTCTTATGCTGGTCTGGTCACGTGACCGATCCTCCTTTCTTATTGCTTATCATTAATAAAGACCCAGACGTGAAGATTGAGTTATAAGGAATGTTTATTCATATCAGTTCTCTCTCTCTCTTACACTTTCACCCTTGCTTTGACCAAGGCCTTGTCACAATTCTAAACGCACTTTGAACGACATCAACTCTCTTTCCAGCATTTAGAAGTCACGCGACTCGATATCAACAGGGCCTAATATATCACCCAGGTAACATTAAAATCGAAGAGTTCATCGCACTCTCAATGCAATGAGCACATCTATTATCGATACGGCGATAAAAGCGTCGATTTCGGGCACTCAATGCCATCGCCAAGTAAACGGGAAAATAGGTTAGCAAACGGTTTGAGCCCTAAGTTGCCGGTGCTGCCGCCGCTAACGACCGGTCGGAATTCAACTCCAGAAAAAACAGTGGGAACTCCAGTTTCGATTGGCTGGTCGCAAATCAATGCGGGCTCTTCATTGTCCAATGTAACGCCTTCGGGTCCATCACTATCCAGTCTGGGCTCTCCGAGCTCACAGTCGCCTTCCAGTGGTCGGAGCGGGAAAAGGCGCCCTCCACCGCCAACCTTCTTTGAGTCAGGCCATCCTTCGGCTTCAACTTACCCCGGAAGCGATGTCACTAGTCCGAGGACTCCGGCACTGTACAAGTCTCCCTTTGTAGGTGAGGATACAATCGTTATTTCCAGACCTCCCAATGATCGAACACCATCAAAGAAATCCTATAAATCACCATTTATCGGTGACAGCAGCGTCTTAATTCCCACAATGCCTGGTTCAGACAAATCTCGATGGATTGCAGCGGGAAACAATAACCACAATACTGAAAACAGCATTGACATGACTAAAAGCCTCAAAGCGCTGCCGCCTTTGCCCTCGAAAAAAGTCGGCAGCAAGCAACAAATTACAGGTGATCCTAATGGAGCGGGTACTCCATGGCCGCAACATGGAAGCATAGGTGACCAATCTGATAGATTAGACCAGCCATTCCGTCCATTCGCAGGCGCACCGACGGAGTCCACCAGCACCAGGGCCGTCTCCGACAGCATTAGCAGTTACTATTCAAACTCCAAGTATGCTTTCAATGATGAAATCACGCAAGAAAGGAGCTTCGACTCTGTGGCCGGTAACAGGCCGCTTCAACAAATTCCTAGTATCACCGTACCGATGCAACCGTTTACGATCGACTATTTGGATGAAAACAAACTATTTCAATGCTATAACGTTTCGTTGTTATCGGACATATATGAGTGGCTTTTGAAGGTTTATTTTGAGTGGTTCAACGAATATGTGTTCCGCAAAATTGAATTCTACCAAATGGTTCAACTATTACTTGAGTTTCAATTACCGGCCTCTTGTAATCAAGATATTGTGGATTCCAATGTGGACAAAATAATAGAATCTTTGATTTTACAGGGTGCCGTGCGTTTTGAGACCGATACTGAAGAGTCCTTCAACGATGAAATCACCTTCATTGTGGCCGGCCTACCGATTCAAGGTGTGTTTACGAGCTTACTGCCATGTTATTCACATGATTTCAAGCAATCTTCGGATAAACAGCACGACCATTGCTATAGTTCAAGGTGTCCCTCGAAATATTTGAAACAGTCTCGGCCGGCTCTTAAATTGTCGGAAATTATTAACAAGTCAGTTGGTCTATGGAGCGATTACTGGAAGTTGTCTTCAGAGGAGCTTGCAGAGCTAAATCCCCGTGAGGTGAGCCGCCAAAGCTTCATTTTTGATTTAATCATTTTGGAGCAGAGATCACTGAATCTGGCTCACGCAGCAGTCGAAATATACGGTAAAAGGTTCAATAAGTCATTGTTACAACAAGAACCTAATTTTAGTAAACTGGCGTTTGATTGTTTTGAACCTATGATAGAACTCCACAAGGAGTACTTGCTGTCGCCAATTTTTTGGAAACTTAAATCGCAAGGAAAATTCATTGACGGGGTAGGAAAGATATATCTGCAGTGGTGCAATGCTGCATGGGACTTGTACGTGAAATATGCTGAGTCCATGGCCATAGTTCACGATGTCATCAAATGGGAAAAGAGCCATGACACAGCGTTCTCTCTGTGGCTTAAAAAGGTTGATGAATCTTCAGAGATTTCAAGATCTAAGTTGTACCATGATGTAGTCTTTTTTGGAGGCTTTTTCAAATCGCTGCAGAATATCCCAATCACTCTTAACTCCATTCTTAAATGCACGGACAAATCAATGGAGGATTACGAATATTTGGTTTTAGCTATCAAAGAGATTGTACGGTTGAACGCTACTGTTGATAAAATTCACGGCATTGCAGTCGACCAAAGAAAACTTGTTAGGCTTTCAAAACAGCTCGCTGTGGGCACGGGAAGGAACAGTAGCACAATCGGTTACATCAATATCAATAATGATGTATCAATTCCATCAACAGGCCAGGAAAAACTGAATTTACGTCTCAGCGACAAATCCAGAAAGGTCATCAAAACTGGCACCCTTCACAAGAAAAGAGAATTGTGGCTGGAGAACTCTCCGGTGTATCTTATTCTTCTGGACAACTACCTCCTCATCACTGAGATTATAACAAAAGCCTCCGATACAAAATATCGGCTATGTGAAAGACCTATTCCAATCGACTACCTCAGCTTAGAAGCTAAGGAAGACGCGTCTTTGACCAAGTACAACTCTAATAAACCCGGTTCGTCAGGGCGTCCTACATCTGCACAAACCAGCGTTCCGGAAGAAGAGTCTACGCTGAAGAATCTGAGGCCTTCTTTCATTAGCTCCAAAAGCTCCTCTCCACATAGACCGATGTCGGCCTATCTTTCGAGTCCTGTAGGCCAAGGAAGAAATGATTTTTTCGACCATCAGGAAGCGCCTGCGTCGTTCAAGATTCGAAACACTGCCACGAATGAATCTTTTACTTTTTACGCTTCCAATATTGAGGACAAAGATGCGTGGGTCAGTGCCTTGGTTTCATCGTTCAGTTCACACCACGCTACTAACAGCTCGAGGATTTATGACCTTGCGTGTGTCACTGACATGTTTAGTTATGAGGATGGACAAGCGCCGACCAATTTGCCTATTGTGCATGAAGGAAGTGCAATTGCTGAAGCTTTACAAAACTTCTATGGAGAAGAACATAAAGTTAAAGCTATTATTCAGGCCGATGTAAAGTGCACCGCACAGATGCACTTTGAGGGTGAGAGCTTTCTTCTGTGTGCTGCCAATTATGGTATATATATGACGATTATCGGCACTGGCGAAGGATGGAAAAAAGTCATGGTCCTTCCAAAGATTACTCGTATGGAAGTGAACGCGCGCTTGGATTTGCTATTTGTTTTGGCAGACCGCAGGCTGTGCTATTTTAACATTCCCAGTATTATCTGTGCATACTACGGTGCCCTCGACTACTTACCCGAGAATCAGATAACGGGTGTCTTGCTGCAGGAAAAAGTGGGATTTTTCAAATCTGCGGACGACTTCGGTAACTTGCGGCAAATATTCTATGAAAGGAAGGGCAAAATAGTTGTACTGACGCCAGAGTTCGACAGGCTAACAAAGAAACTCAAATTTTTCAAGGTCTACAAAGAGTACAGACTGCCGGGCGTGACAAATGGACTACTGTCTGCAGAAATTCGAGACATTGTAATTTTTGCCAAAAGCTTTATTGTTTGCTCTTCTCGAGGTGCACTTCTGTTCAACGAATCTTTCAACGACGAAGGATTGACTTTGCCAAGCTTCAACAACGACAAGAGGGCACTGGGGCAAAAGCATCATTTTCCGCATCATCCATTCAAGTCCAATAGAGAAGCTCTCTCGAAGACTGATTCTTCCAAACAAAAGATGGCGGAGTACGTCAAGACAGATATTGTCAATCGAAAGACCTCATCTCTGGGTTGTTTTCGGCTCAACGAGGACAATTTTGTGATCATCTACGATGAGGCTGTTGTGCGGATCAACAAGAACGGCCAAATACCTGATTGGACGTCCGACGTTTTGGTCCTGGACTTTTATTGCATGGCTGCCACTTTTTCAAATGGGTTTTTGACATTATTTGGTGAAAACCTTATACAGATTTACGATTTGAATTACGCAGGAACGGTCCTCCAAGAGAAGCTCAGTGGCCTCACGCCTGTTCAGATCATAAAGGGTAAGAAGATTAAGCTTCTCAATTCCGATCTGACAGCAAGTCCAATAATAACTTTGAGTCATCCGTCAATACCTGGAAGGCAGTTGGTACTCAAGTTCCAGAGAAACGTTTAGTTTACTAGACATACGACTGTATTGGTTGTTTATCACCTTCGCAAAACAACAAGAAATGCCATGTCTTGAGGCTGGTCCTGGATATGGCACCTGGACGTTTTTTAAGATTCTTACCTTTTATATTATTATATCAACTGTAATCTTGATCACTGAACTCTAATAAGAATTGACACAACAAAAAGAGCACAGCATAAGAACTTCGAGGAGTTGAACAGTAGAATTAACCGCTCTATCATCTAGCTGGACTCTACCTGACTCTTGTAGACTCTTCAAAATCCAAACTTGAACTGGACAACCGTATCGGACGACGGCTCTTGATATAAACACTCAATATTACCGCCGACCAGCTAGCTCTATCATTGTTACTAACTGATCTTTACTTTAGAGAAAACAGCGTCATCGGCATCGCTGAAATCGGTGCGATTGTCTGCAATCTTTGAACATGGATATAGATTTGATTTTTTGGAGCTTCGTGATTCCTGTGCTGCGATTTCCCGTCTTCTTAGCAGTGATCACTAGTACGTATGTAAAAGGACAAAGATACCTTACATGACAAGTTATGTGCAGCAGTTACTAAATGAAATTCTCTATTTCTCAAGATTTACAAGGCTAAATCTCGAAAAGATGTACCTTCCCTTGATAGGGTACTCAGCAATTGTGAGTTTCGCAGTATGGTTGAACGAATTTACAAAAACTAGAGGAAACTGGGTTTCTCTCGATAGAATTGACAATGCTACCTGTGTTGTAACTGGTGGAAGCAACGGGCTGGGTTTAGCACTCGTGGAAACTTTTTTGGCTAGATTCGATAAGATTAAGGTGATAGTGGTAGATGTCAACACACCGAAACAAATAGATCCACGCCTGACTTTCTATGAATGCGACCTCAACGATCGTCTGAGCGTGGAGAGAGTACTTGCTTCAATCAACGAGAACCACGAAAGAATCGATGTTTTGATCAACAATGCAGGCGTGAGGTCCAAATACCAAAACTATCTAGATCTGCAAAGACAGGATGTCGATCGGGTCTTCCAAATTAATGTTTTTGCCCCGATGCGCTTCGCGCAAGCTTTAAGCTCGAAGATCTCTGGAAAGTCCCAATTCTACTGCGTCACCATTGCTAGTGCTTTGGGCGTCTGTCCCCCTGCTCGTGCGTCATCCTACGGCGCTTCTAAAGCTGCTTCAATTGCGTTCCATGAGGCATGGACACAAGAACTTAGCCCAAATGGTAAAATCCGGACTTTGCTTGTGACACCTGGACAGCTCCGTACGCAGATGTTTGGAGGTTTCGAGCCTCCAAGACAATTTTTCGCTCCACTCGTAGACCCTCACACGCTGGCGCAACGTATAGTGGAGTGCTGCAGGTTGGGAGTGCGAGGGGAAATCAGTGCACCATTGTATGCCAACTTCATGGGATTGATGAGAATACTACCCTATACGCTGAATTACTATGCCCGCAAGATCTCAGGAATTGATAGCAGCTTACCTGCGCACGAGGCAAATTGATGGCCTGAGAATGTGAAGCGAGACGCCCAAAACATCGCCTTGGCAAAATGGCTACATAAACATAAACCGATGATCATTATTTGGCTTTTTTGGCTAGCGAATCAAGTTGCTGCTCGAACCACGCGAAAAGTTTGTCCGATTGCAAATATCCTGCTTCATTGAACACAGTGTTTGCGAGCAAAACACTTTCGACTGATCGGTTATGATTGTCCCGTATCACAACCTGGTAATTGACATCATACTTGGCCATTTTCGTTTCCACCAGGACTTTACGGTCTTTAGAGATACCCGAATATTTGATGCCCTTTTCCACATATTTGCAAAACCACCAGAACGCTCCGGACAAAATGGCATAGCTTGCGACCAGTATTTTTTGGTACATCAGGCTTTCTTCAAATTTGAGTTTCTTATCCAAAAGAAACGAAATACCTGCCACGACTGCTATAGAATAGCCCAAAATCAACTTGGTGTCGATCAGGCCGAAAGATTGCGTGAATCCAAGTCTTTGGAACACCGCAGGAAGAGCCTCATCTAGCGTTTGGCGTAAATCGGGCGTGCTATAAACGTTGATTGGCTTGCTCATCTTACTTAAGGCTGATAATAGTCCGGTTTTCACAAAATTTCAACTGTTTTCAAAGTTTGAGAGGTTCTCGGAATTAAGCAAGTCAAACCTTAGTTCCTTGATGTAATCTGATTACTTCAATTGACAGTGTCCCAAGCTAGGTCTCTAACTGATTCACTCACCACGTTGGATTATATTCACGAATGTGTGTGTGAATGTGTGTGCTATATTTTCCAGGATATTAATTGAAAAATAAGACCAGCTCTCGTACCTTGATGCTTTACACTTCGCGATTCAAGAAAAAGCAGAGGGTTTCCTCTCTTCAGATGATAATATAGACCAATGTCACAGGAAGCTAATGGGGCTGAAGCCCCCAAACCGAATGATAGTCATTCAAGAGCGCCGAAGGAGAAGTCCCGGCGTGGAAACCTGGAACCTCAAAGCCGCCGCAGCAATAAGGTGAGAACGCCAAAAAATGTCAAGAGCAGGGTTAGAGAGCCGAAAACGACTCCAGCGAATGATCTGGAGTTCAATTTACAGGATGAACTTGTTCAAGGTAATTTCAAAGCAAGGGGCCGTAAAACACAAATTTCTATCAATCATTTGCTGGACTTTCAACTTCCGGAAAGGAGCACTGAAGTTGCACCTGCAAGTGGTGTGGCAAAACGCAGGGCCAGACGTTCAGAGGAAGAACATGTTTACCTACACGGAGAGTCGTTCATTAACGCAAATTTTAAGTTTTTGGTGGATGATCGGTTTACGTACCAAGAGCAGACTTTGGACCCTAACATTCCCATACCGCGAGAAAAAATAGTACGCGTCGAAGTTGCAAAGGACCAGAGCTGTCCCATATGTTTGACTGAAGATATCGTGGCCCCCAGAATGATAAGCTGCGGACATTTATTCTGCTACACTTGTATGCTGAGTTTTTTCGCAAATGATGATGGTGATGAGTCTTCAAATAAAGACAGAGCAGTTTTTATGCGTAAAAAGTCGAAACGTAAGGAATGTCCCCTATGCAGCACGTTTGTTCGTGAAGAGACAGCTGTGCCAGTAAAATTTGCTGAGGCCCACGAGCCTGTGAAGTTGCCTCAGGCGGGGCAAGTTGTCCGATTCGAGCTCATGTGCAAGCCCCACGGATCAATGCTAGCTCTTCCGGTGCAGCTGGACATTGATCCAATGTCATTGAACCACTTTCCCTCTGTGGAGCTCTCCGAATTAGCACCCTACACACGCATAATGAAATGCAGCTATAAACATGCCATTGATCTTTTCCAGAAGGATCTCAATGATATACAGACACAAGCTGATCTCGATCGTGCCATTTACAATGATGACGGTAAGTTTGCTACTTTAGCCATGAACAACATAAGTTTGCGAATCAAGGCGTACAAAGAAACGCCGTCAGAGCTTCAAGGTGATGGACAGCTTCATTTTCTACCGGTTGACCTATCTAAACTTTCAATTCAGCCCTTGCATGAACAATATGATGATCAAAATGCGTTTTTCTTTTTCCAGACTGGTTTCGAGGCTAATACGCGCTACTACTTGTCTCCACTCGACGTGAAAGTTCTGATCACCGCATTTGGGCAGTATTCTAAGTTTCCCTCCGTCCTCTTTGCGCAAGTTGAGGATGTTCATTATGGAGCCATTGTGACTGAGTCGCTTTTGCAAAAATACAAGTATTTCGGACACCTGCCATTTGGCAGTGAAATTACTTTTGTTGATGTGGACTGGCGCAGCGTTCCCGATCTACCTTCCGATGTTTACCATAGGTTTGCGCCAGAATTAAACTCCAGGCGTCGAAAATCAGCCTCTAAGAAACAGCGCGAAGACAAAGAAAAGCGCCGTCATGAAAAACGTCTGGAAAGGCAGCAGGAAGAATTTTACATGCGTGAAAACGGTGAAGCTCCCAGCTTCGTTGCTGCACCTTCGATGCCGATACCAATGCAGCACGGACGCGTCCAACAGCCCGCAGGGCAGCTAGTCGCTCAAGTTTCGGGCGGTTCAGACTCACACGACCCGAAGGACTCACAAGAGGGGAATTCCTCATCTCAGGTCTCTCGAAAAGTAGAGAAAACTATCTGGGGCACGTCTATTCCAAGATCAGAGCAGAAATCGGATGAGGATCTTGAGTTTGAAAAAATGCTCCAAAACATAAATGAGCACAAACGATCCCAAACCAGCGGCAAAAAGAAGAAAAGAGGGGTGACGTTGATGAGTTCTGGCAATTCTAGAGGGACACTATGAAGAACTGACAGCGGACAAGTTAGGTATCCCGAAAAATCTTTTATATCTCAGCACGCCTCAACAATTTCATGAGAAACCAATAGTTGAAGCTCTAAACAAAAGCGAGTGCATCAAAAAGATAGTCACCAATAATCATTGAACTGGCAGTTCAGTTCACCAACTTTAACCGGTCAAAACAAGCATCGCCTCACGCCTTTTCGGATGAGATCACTTCATTACATTCTGACGCAATTAACATTACTATTTTCGTAGGTATTTGGAAAAACAAGTGATGATGACAACAACAGGGAATTGAACTAGTCAACACACTGCTCGACGAGTCGGATCCAAATACGATTGAAAATGAGGTATGCACTATTCTTTTGTTCTTCATTATCTCATTGAGAGTACAATTGACAGATCAGAATTTAGCTAACGAGTAAGAAATTCCATGAAGTGGGAAATTTGTGAGAGCTTCGAAATATAGACATGTCTACGGCCAAGTAGCCAAAAAGGAGCGTCACTACGAAAATATTCGGGTGACCAATAATGCCTGGGATTCCAACTTAATCAAAGCCAACAGCAAGTTTTTGACGGTAAACTGGAACTCTTCCGGAGGTGGTGCATTTGCAGTCATTCCTTTGGCGGAAGTTGGAAAAGCACCAGACCAAGTACCTTTGTACAGGGGCCACACGGCACCGGTTCTCGATACCGATTTCAATCCTTTTGATGATTACTGCGTCGCCTCTGGATCCGATGACGGGAAGATCGGGATCTGGGAAATTCCTCAAGATTACTCATTTCATAACTACTGCAACTCGGACGGCGATCCTAAAGATATTCCACCTAAAAAGCTTTTGGCTGGCCATGGTCGCAAGGTGGGTCATGTTCTGTTCCACCCTACCGTCAAGAATGTGCTAGCATCCTCCTCTCTAGACCACACGGTCAAGATCTGGGATATCGACACTGGCAAAGAGCTATTCACCTTAAGGCATCCGGAAATGGTCACGTCTATGTCATTCAGCTACGACGGCAATCATTTGGTAACAGTCAGTCGTGATAAAAAATTGAGAACTTGGGACATCAGAGCCGAAAAAGTGGTGAGTGAGACACCAGCTCATTCTGGAGCCAAGAACCAAAGGGTTGTGTGGCTTGGAGACTCTTCAAGAGTGGCCACCACGGGATTTTCAAAGCTAAGCGATCGTCAAATCGGTGTCTGGGACGCTTTTGATCTGGAAAAGGGTGATTTGGGAGGATTTTATACGGTCGATCAATCTTCCGGTATTATGATGCCCTTTTTCGACGCTTCAAACAAGATTTTGTATTTGGTTGGCAAGGGAGACGGTAACATCCGTTATTTCGAATTCCAAAATGACGAACTTTTCGAACTTTCTGAATTTCAGTCCATCGATCCTCAGAGAGGGTTTGCAGCTGCTCCAAGAAGAGCTGTGAACGTCAAAGAAAATGAGATTTTGAAAGCATTTAAGACCGTTAATGACCATTGTATCGAACCCATCTCATTCCACGTTCCCAGAAAGTCCGACAGCTTTCAAGATGACATTTACCCCGATGCCCCATCGGGTGTGGCTGCGCTTACTTCTGACGAGTGGGTAGCAGGAAAATCTGTTGAGGGACCTCTTCTTTTCAATTTGAGTTCGTTGTATGATGGATCAGAACCCATTTTGAAGCCCTCTGCAGGAGGCAACGAAGCTCCAGTAACGCGAGGTGTATCTGCGGAGCCTTCGAAAAAGCCGGCGGCTGACGAACCAAAGAAGGAAACACCTTCTCCGAAGCCATCCTCGTCCGCTTCTGAGAAAGATGCTGCTTCATCAATTGCGAAAAACACTGAAAATGCGCTTGACAAAGTTTCCAATTCGCGGGATGGAAAGGAAAAATCGGTCGAGCCGTTGGATAGATCTGTCAAGAAAGAAGTGGACTCTAAGCTCAAAAACGATAAATCTGTTGACACTCTTTTGCAAAAGGCTAGCGACTTAGACGATGTCAACGACGCAGAGGACCCATCCAATCGAGTTTCAACTTGGGATGAGGATGATGAACAGCAAATTCCGCGTCAACAAACTCCGGTCGGCCGGAAAGAAGTTTCGGTGAATCAAAACAAGGAAACCTCGAACGACAAACCTTCCACCGTTGAACAAGTTGAACCTGTTGTAAAAACGACGCCGCGCAAAGAGCCAGCTTCAAGCTCTTCGAGCTCCAAGACCGAGGCAGAACCTCAGACCAAGCAGACAACAAGCGCTCCAAGTGCTGAGATCAAGACCAACGGCTCGGAACCTTCGTCTACGAGCAAACCTGCCGCTACCAAGTCATTGGGGCTTTTGCAGTCTGCAGAAAAGCTCTCGTCCCTGGTTCTGCACCTTGAGGGGATCGTTAGCGATCTGAAGAAGGCGAATCTCGACAAGGATGAACGTCTGCTGGCTTTAGAAACTAAGGTGGAAGAACTACTTAAAGCTAAATGAAAGTGAACCTGAACCAATCCTACCGAAAGTAAAAACAAATTTCAAAGAAAGTCCATGAAATAAATGTATAGATATATAAAGATCGTTGGAATCATAATCCTGCTTCCAGGGTTTGAGTTGGTGGTTCAGTCAAAATGTTATATTATTTAAGAATACTAACAAAAATTTTAATTTCATTCAAATCATAAACCTTACAAGACTGAAAAACACACACTTTAAGAAAGCACCAACCTTTCGGGTGTTCCGGTTCCTCATTGTTAGAACCAGCCTCGATCTAGACCTGTTCGACTCGGTTCGATTCGGGGTGACGTATTGTATATAGAATCATAGTCTCGCCTTACTTTGAGCGCTATTGCAAGAATCGTAGATCAAGAAGATATTTTAGTGACCTTCGATGAGTGTTGACGCTAGTAGAAATGAATATCAAGCAACAGCTGCGAAATATGCTTCGCAGATCGAGCAAGTTTACGAGAACTCAAATCAAGGCATCGACGAGTCCAAGCTACTTGGAGAATTGCTAAAGTTCATCGACAGAATTCCGGACGAAGAACACCTCTTCTGTGACGCAAACTACAGATCAGTCGCGGTTTTTTGTCTAACTCTTTTCTCGTTCAGCAATCAGGGAACAATCGCGTGGCTCAAGGGCCGGTTTGACCCAGTACTGGCGAGATGCAAGGACTGCGTGCGCCACTTCACACAGGGAAAATGCAAAATGCTGCAACACTTTTCGGTACTACGAAAAGTGCCATACGAGCATGTCACCAAATTCAACAACATCGTTTCTCTTTGGAGATCTCAAGCGTTGATAATTGTGATCCAAAGCATCTCTGCGAACAACAACACGGAGATCAATCTAACCAAGGAGATTGAAGTGGCCATATATGAGTGCTTTTGCAATCCACAGGTTTTGAGGGTGAATGAGACCTTAAAAAGTGCATTTGACGCCGTTTTCAGGTTCTTTCATCGATCGCAGCATCATATGCTGAAACAAGTGATTGAGGAGCCCATTGAGAATCACATTACTGCAGGAGTGATATACTGTTGGTTCGAGGGCACAAAGGAAGAATCTGAGTGGTCTCGAAACTTTCTCGAGAGACTGGCGGAAAAGAACTTCGTTTTCACAGAGGCAAATTTCACGCAGGATCTTCTTGAAGAAATCAACGTGCACTTCCTGTATTTGCAGAACACCAGTAATTTTCATGAGGCCCTGGTCTCTCACTTTTGGCTGAAATTCGATCCCATTTATTTTCTATTAAGCCCGTCTTTGATTCAGAAATACCTTGTTGTACCTCCCAATTTAGACTCGCTGGTTCAGTCCATTCGGCACCCAATCGTGTCAGTTTACAAACTTTGGTACAATCACTTAGCACACAACTTCCGGGAGAAACCAATAGCGGTACTTCTTAGAACACTGAGAGTTTTTCTAGAGAAAGAGGGGCACTCATTATGGAATTTGATCGAGCCTTTCACTTTTCACAGTATCCTCGATTTGATACTCGAAAAAAATATGCTGTCCATTGCAATCATCAAAATCCAGAACAATCCCCTAGCCTCTCAAAAGTTCGATGCTCTTCTTCTTGAGGTACCCTCGCTGACTGACCTGGTTTCATGGACTTTGCCCTTTTTCCATTCGTTGTCTGCCCCAAAAAGAATTCAGATGGTGAAGAAAGTTTCAACAGCTTTCATTCGTATCATCTCAAATCATCCCAGTTTGCAAGCTATTCCCAAAGCATGCCTTATCAACTCGTCCACAGCCTTACTGAGTGCGGTTTTAGCAGTGACGGACGAGGAAAGATCGATGTTATATTCAGATGAACGTTTTGAAACTACACTTTTCACAAAGCTCGATTCTCGCGCTTTGCTGAACAACGAGATGGTTCTTACCATAGTGTTACAATCTGCCACTAATGTGCAGGCTTTTCTGGGTTCAGATCAGCCGATTAATTCAGTATCATACTCAGCTACAAAAGTTTTGGCTCACTGTATTGATTACGATATCCTGCTACTATGCCAAGCTTCTTATCGCATATATCGTGGAGAAAAGGCTAACGATGTTAAGGTCAGCACAACGCTTCTCTCGAAAATTGTTCAGCATCTTAACTTGGGGAGAAGTAAAGAGCCCGCACAGCTAGCTGCATTTTTGCTTTCTTCCATGCGCAACGTGAATGGCCTGCTGAGGCCGAAAACTTCAGATCCTTCAGCAACGCAGCATAACGTTTGTGTCAGGCTGTACTTCGACTTGCTTAAGGGTCTTTTGGTGAAATTAACAGACATTTCGCCTTCACAATTGATCAAAGTTCTCACAGACGAAGGTGGCTCCAGGGGCTTCTGGTCTTGTGTCTTCACATCGGACATGGAGATCTATCAGACAGCAACTAACACACTTTATGAAGCATTCGATGTTGAAGGCCGCTTGGAGGGGATACAAGAAATGCTGAAACGCAGTCTTGACTATAGTTTAGAATCAATCATACTGGTTTTGGCACAGTTAACCAAGCACCAATTTTTTGAGCCCTGCCCTAGAGCCATAAGAGTTCTGATGGATATCATAAACGTTTTCACGGATCCACTCAATGGAACATTAGCTAATTACGGGGCCATTAAGAATGAGAAGACAGGAAAGATTCTGGAAAAGTTCTGGTGCTTGTCCTGGGACTTTTTGAATATGATCTACTGCGCAACTCTGAAGTGGGCATCCAAATATCCCTATTCAGAGCTCGAAAATTTTACGAAAGATACCCTCGATACAAGTCTTTCCTTGTTGGAAGCATATCGAGATTTTTCAGGAGCGCTCGCTTTAAACAATGATGAAAAGCAGTCCGAAGTACTTCTCAACCACGTTTTGAAGACATTCCAGGATATGCTATATTGGCTGCGCCTTAGTGACGAATACCTTTTGGCATCTTGTGTCAAACTCATTGTGAAGGCAGCGGACCTAGCCATCGAAAAAGGATTGAAGTTTGATGATGTACTGGTTACGTCTATGATAAAGTATGCATTGAAGGCTCGTAAGTTTTCAAATAAGCTGACCCCACAGCAGTCCTCTGAGCTAATTTCAAGAGCCAAAGAGTTTAACGAGCGGCTAGTCGATGAGGTCAGTGCAGAAGTCGAATCATACCAGAAAGAGAAGGAAAGAGCGAAGTTGAACGCTAGCAATGCCACTGCGGGAGGCGTTCCCATCCCGTCGGGCAACAAGCCCCAGACCTCTTATCAACCACCCACGGAATCCAAGGTCGATTTTTTGCAGAGAAAGGCTATGTCATCGTCTTTGATGGGCAGGCCCAAAAATCAAGCAAAAATCACATCGTTTGGTACTCTCAAGCCAGGGGTTGTTCCTAAAGCTCAGGAACAGGTGAAAGGACCGCCTTCTAAGCTAGAACTAGCCAGGAGACAGCTTTTGGCCGGTCGAAAAGTCCACCCTCCGAGCTCAAGTGTCTTTAATTCTAGGAAGCCTCAGCCTCAACATGCTGCTAAAGACGAAAGTAGCGACGAAAGCGATAATGATCTGGAAGATGCCAAAGAGCTGTTTTCTTTGTCCAAAGGTAAGGAGCGCCGTACCCCAATTGTACTGGATATAAATGGTCAGCCAATCAAAAAAGTGGACGGTGCTAAGCAAAAGAAACAGGAAGAAGAGAACATGAGGAAGCGGCTGAATGTTGACCTAAATCCATTTTACGAGAAAATTCTAAAATGGGATTATACTCGTTCGGGTGAATACCCGTCTGGATCGCAAGCTGACACCTATAAGGATGTCAAAGACACCTTCAGCTCTTCGGAAGAGTATCAAAAAATCATGCAACCTCTTTTACTGCTTGAATGCTGGCAAGGGCTCTGTGCAGCGAGAGACCGCGAGGAAAATAAACCTTTCAGCCTTGTTATTGGAAACCGTACTGCTGTGTCAAGCTTTTATGAAGTTTATGCTTCGGTCAGTAAAAAGATGATTGTGGACGCAGGTATCACTGAATCAGATTTGTTGGTATTATCTCACTTTTCTAACGTCAGGAATCTGAGCGAAGTTCGATCTGAAGATTTCAAAAAGTCAGAAAACACTTGCCTTGCCAAAGTATGGGGTATGAAAAACAACAAGGGCGACAGTATGGATATCACCATGAGAATTGACAGAAGTACTCACTTCAGCAGATTTCTCACGTTGCGTACTGAGATTTTTGCCACTAAGGTGATGCAAATGACTACTGTCGAGAGAGAATACACCTCTTTGGTTGGATTACCATTTTACGATCTGGCCCGACAAATCACAACTGGAAATTCGACTGTTAATCCTCGCGTAGAAAAAGCAGAAATCGAGGAAGTTAAATCAAGGTACAGTCTGAATAACTCACAAGCAGAGGCTATAGTGGGAACTGTCTCTTGTGAAGGGTTCTCTTTAATTCAGGGTCCCCCGGGCACAGGTAAAACCAAAACAATTTTGGGCATTATTGGATTCTTTTTGAGTACTCAAAGAAGCTTACCCGCGGGTGTCATTAAACAGCCGGTGGACACTGTGGGAGCTGGAACTTCGACCGAACAGCTTCTGCAGAAACAGAAGGTGCTGATATGTGCTCCTAGTAATGCAGCTGTGGATGAACTCGTTTTAAGACTGAAAGGCGGTGTCTATGATAAAAGTGGCAAACTATTCAATCCTAAGCTAGTCCGTATTGGAAGGCCCGACGCAGTAAATGCAGTGATAAGGGAGCTGACTTTGGAGGAACAGGTTGACAAAAAACTTGGTAATAAGAGCTATGAGTTTTCGCATGACCCCACTCTAGAACAAAATTTACAAAAAGCACTCGGCGAGCGCCGCCAACTGCGCCAGAAGTTAGATCCAGAAGACAAATCAGTAACGAGTGATTTGTCAACAGACGACATCACAAAGATACAATTAAGAATTCGAGAGCTGAGTCGAAAGGTCAATGAGCTCGGAAAGCAAAAGGACGATATTAGAGAACGAAACTCAGTCAATTATAGAAACAAGGAGGTGGACAGACGAAAAGCGCAGTCTCGAATTTTGGCAGAAAGTGACATCATCTGTTCGACCTTATCTGGTTCGGCACACGACATCTTGGCTTCTCTCGGCGTGAAGTTCGACACGGTTATCATTGACGAAGCTTGCCAGTGTACTGAACTTTCAACCATTACACCTTTACGTTATGGAGCAAGAAGGTGTATCATGGTAGGTGATCCCAATCAATTACCGCCTACCGTCTTATCTGGAGCCGCTAGCAACTTCAAGTACAATCAGTCTCTTTTTGTTCGAATGGAGAAAAAATGCTCTCCCTATTTGCTGAACGTACAGTACAGAATGCATCCGGCCATTAGCAAGTTTCCATCATCAGAATTCTATAACGGGAAGCTCAGCGACGGGCCGGGGATGGACACGATAAACCTGCGTCCATGGCATCAACGTAGTCCTTTAGGACCGTACAAATTTTTCGATATTGCTACAGGAAAACAAGAACAAAACAAGAAGTCCATGTCTTTCGTAAACCCAGAGGAATGCAGGGTCGCCGTGGAACTTGTTGAAAACCTTTTGAATCATTTTGAGAACTCATACAATTTTACGGGTAAGATCGGTATTATATCACCCTATCGCGAACAAATGCTTATGCTCAGGAGGGAGTTCAGACGATACTTTGGCGCTCCAGTCTCAAATTATGTTGATTTCAATACAATCGACGGGTTTCAAGGGCAAGAAAAAGAGATCATCATCATTTCCTGCGTTAGAGCTGACGATACGAAGTCTGGTGTTGGTTTTTTGAAAGACTTTCGACGCATGAACGTTGCTTTAACAAGAGCGAAGACTACAATGTGGATTTTAGGTCATCACAGCTCACTTTTCAAAAACCAGCTTTGGAGAAATTTGATTACGGATGCTAAAGACAGAAACTGCTTAGAGTTAGCGTGCTCGGGGTTTTTAAACCCTAAGAACGTGCGCGCTGCATCAGTTCTCAAACAGTTTGCAACTTCTCATGACCACATATCCGGAGATGACTATGATCCATCCACAGCTGTAGTCAAACAGAAAAACCCGGTTCAAAAGTACCGCCATGAAATCGGAGAACCAAATTCAGAACGTGAAAAGTCTCGTGTTGATCCAAGGTCGAAAGGCTATCCTCAAGATGCCAGCAAAATAAAAAAAGCAGGCAAAGAGCATGCTCCCAATCCGCCGCGGCAGGAGAAAAGTAAGAAAGACCGTCTCGGTACTAAGGAAGTTACCAATCACGGCCTCAGTGGTAAGAAAAAGAAGTCATCTATATTTGGCGGACCATCGCTTGGCTCTGAAATTCCCGTAAAGGTCAGCACCACATCACTAATCCATAACAAACAGGCGCCCAGATCGGAGGAAATCAAATCAGAAGGCGCCAAGCTCAAGTCAAATGCTTTACCCAAAGGCTTGAAGCGTGTACGTTTTGATGATTCGCCAACGGTGATCGGTGATAAAAAAATGAAAGTGGATGATTCCACACCACCAGTTGTTGGCGATGGTCATGAAATCTCTTCCGCTAATAAAAAATCGACAGTTAATGTCGAAGGGGGATTTAAGAGTAAGGCCATCGAAGGCATTTCAAAAGCTAAGATGGCAAAAACCAGTTCGGAACCGGACAATGATAGCGATCAGGACGGCTACGATCCTTCAGTTTCGCCATCCCTGGACCTTCCACGCAGCGCGCCTGCTGTCGATCCGAAGCAAGAACATGCTAAGGCTAGAAAAGATGGAGGACCCGTACGGATGCCTAGCGGCAGTAATCCATTCATTCCCAAACGTAAAAAACATTTCCCCATGGGAAGATAGACAAGTCAATATATCGGACTTTTAGTCAGGAGACACAACCGAAAAATAATAGACCTCACTCTTTTTTCTGTGCCTTTACAGCACTAACATTCGCTTTATTTGATGAGAGAAGAGATCTGGAAGAAAAGGTAACGTTCTCTTTGTTAATTCCGAGTTTAGGTGGAGACGCTCCACCAAGAATAATACCACCATTTGGCTCTCTATGTTTCTTGGAATTTTCATTTCCTGCGCTGGACATTAGCTCTTCGTTGGCGCGTTTTAGAACTTCGATCTCATCTCCTAAACATACCTTTAGGATCTCGGAACTCGCTGAGACGTTCGTGTCTTGTAATTGACTGATAACGGTAGATATTTCGGTTGATAATGCTAGCGGAGACGTATCAGGATGTTCTGCCAGCATAGTCCTGAGTAGCTGTTCCAAAGAGCGTATTCTATTCAGGGACTCATCCCATAAATTTCGAGTAGACTCAGCGTGCCGTAGGTCCTCTTTGTACGTTTTAGAATTGGCGGTCAAAATCTCTTGTCGAGCTTTCACATAATCTTTGGCATACGCGAGTCTTTTTGTTAAGTCGTTGCCGTTGTTCTCTTGTCTAGTTTTACTGAATCGTGCGAAGAGGGCAATATCGACAGGTTGTCTATTGGTATCGTCAACGATATTCAACTTGTTCAGCACTTTTTCTTGTGAGCGGTGGATGCTTTCTAAATTACTTTTCAAAGCAGCTTTCACGCTCTGCACCTCGTTCTGTTGATTCTGCAATTCTTGTTGTATGAACGCTTGATCTTTTTTTAGGCTTGCGAGGACAGACTCCAGCTGTTGTATTTCCTGCTGTGCCTGTGCATTTCCTGATTGAAGCAATGAAATGTTCAGCAATAGGGGTTCTTTACTAGCGCTTCTTTCGTATTCATGATTTAACGCTTCTCGAGATTCGATGGAAAGATCAGCGACAGAAGTATTCGATATTCCCACGTTGTCGAGATAGCGGTTCAAAAATTGTCGGTAATGCGTAGAAAATGTAAAGGTTTCACCAGATTTCGAATCCTCGAGTAGAACCTGGGGGGTCGTTTCTGAATCTTCGTTCCATTGCTGTAAGAGATCGCTTGCGACGCCTGACTGTTGGTCCAGTTTCTCGATTTTACGAGAATATTTTGCAAGGCGATCCAATTCTTGTTTTACGCTACCTTCACCATCGCTAGATACTAGCATCGTATTCAAAATACACAAGTCGTTGAGACATATGTGAATGTCTTTACGCAATTTGTCTAACGTTTCTGAGTTTTGAACATCGAACAGGTATCTTCGGTGAGCGTTGGCTAATGTGTTAAGATACTCTGAGATCTCTGCTTTTTTGGTGAGAATTTCATCCATAAGCATTGAAACGAGAAGATAACTGTAGTGTTATGTCATTCCAAGTTCTTGCTGGAGCTCATCGAGATCTATCAATGTCAGATAGATGGGTTGACCTTAATTAACATATTCTTGATAAAATGACCATTCGTTCATAATGACTGTGTGTCACGCGACGATGCCAGTGAAGTAAGAAGGTGACAGATAGTGAGGATAGAAGTTCAAACTACCTGCTAGGATAGGTTTAATTCGACTTTTTCAAATACTGTGAATTTAATCTTTATTTTGAGTCTTTTTTTCTGAGTATTGTAGCGACTATTCCGTTTAAAAACTAGGAGCATAGTTTATTCGAATAGTTGAGCAATTTATCGGTGAGATTGAGGCTCTTGTATATTCTATATACTTGAATTTAATTAATCGCGTCTCTAGAAATATATCCCGATCAAATCAAGCTTCGGGATCCAGTGAGGGTTCTGCATTATTATTCGTACGAATAAAATGTGAAACGCAAAAGAATGATTAGAGGGAAGTTGAAGTACAACCCAGGACTTAAATTTAGATGCGGTGAGATGGCAAATGTAGCGTGCAGCTTTTGTTAGTGTATAGTTAGTGAGCGCGCAGGGATGTGGAAGATCACTTTTACCCGATGTGACATGAACTACATATCACTTTGTCCTCAGTTGTCATTACACGACTTATGAAGTGCTTACTGCTGAAAAACTTCGGCAAAAACTTGGCATGGAAAAATGAAAGTTGCTAGTTTCATGGGGTTGAGAACCCTGTTTTATTGGTGATAAAGAGTTCTGGAACTTTAAGTGTAGACGTTCGCGTCGTTTTCGTATGTTGTGACGTAGACTGGCGATCAATGGAAGATCGAGGTTTTTCGAGTTGCTAACACCTAATTCCACAACACAGTGCAGTATAGTCTCTCGATTAAGTTCAGTAGGCTGGGAGGGACTGATAGTGGCCTGTCTCTTGCGCGTTCCTTGACTGAGTACATGTGAAGCACGTGACACGATGACAGTGTCAGAATAGATAAATTGATTATTGTCGATACCGTTCATGAACTGATGGTAAATTTAATATTTATTAAATCCTAAATACTTGCACGGCACAAGCTTGGACCACCCGTGTCATTTGGCATTGTCTCTGGGTGCAACGATTCTCAAAAGTGTACAAAAGAACAATTTAAGCTGCGAAACCATCCTTTACAGATTAAAAAGTGTCCAAAAAACAATCTTTTTGACTGACAGAACTTCATTACCTCACAGAAATCGGGCCCTGAGGCTTACGACAGGAATAAATACATCTCTGGAAAGGTTTTGTACATCGCTTCCTACGGTGTAGACCCAATCTACCCACCCTAAAGTCCTATAAGGCGAAACAGCTGTGTCAGCTCAAGAGTACATCAGCAGCAGCTTCTCTGCAAAGAAACAGTCGGTTCTGCTTATAAAACTCGGCAGAGTTGTCCTTGTCTTATGGTCTCTCTCTCTCTCTCTCTCGTCACGTGATCTGCGTCGCTACGCCTACAAAGTGATCTGGAAAAGCTCATCGATTATGTTTTGGTACTTTTCGTAACAGGCAAAGCAGTTTTTCCATTTGATCACCCCTCCCACCCAAAGGAACTCAAACTTTCACCAAAATTCTCACCAAAATCTTTCCAAAACTTCCCAAAACTTCCCAAAACCTCCCAAAACCTCCCAAACCTCCCAAAGTATTCAATTTTTCTCGTTTTTTCAAATATCGTCGCATCTAGAAACAAATTTTATCCGCCCAATTCTCTTCGCCATTGCTTGACTCCATAGAACCCGCAAGAGAAACGGCCAAAAAAAATCATCTTCTCGAAGCTCATCGCTCATCGCCAAAATGAAAAAAAACGTTCTCATTATCCACGAGGTGGGAGGGAAAAAAAAAGAAAAAAGCTCATCCATCGTCTGAAAAATTACTATAAATTCAAAGGATTTTATCCAAACTTTTAGTCTTCCATTTACCACTTTCTCTTACGTTTTGTTCGTTGGGCTTCGTTTCGCTGGAATTTGGGATACTGGAATTTTAATTTTTGAAATGATTCCTTTCATCTTCTTCTTCTTGTCTGTAAGTTCGACTTTACCGTAGTTCAATAGCTCATCGCTAGCCTAGTTGATACCCGTTATAACTCGACGTATAATAATGTCTGCCACTACCTTGAAGGACTGTTCCAAAGCGTTTGCGTACTTGAAAGAGTATGCTGAAAAAGACGGGTTGTCTGCGGACCAACTTATGGACTCGAAAACCAGAGGTGGATTGACCTACAACGATTTTTTGATCTTGCCTGGCAAAATCGATTTCCCATCGTCAGTGGTGAATTTGCAGACGAAAATCACCAAAAACATAACGCTTAACACGCCTTTTGTTTCGTCCCCAATGGACACTGTCACTGAGTCCGAAATGGCTATCCAAATGGCTTTGCTAGGTGGTATTGGTATTATTCACCACAACTGTTCTGGAGAACAGCAAGCTGAAATGGTGAGAAAGGTGAAAAAATTCGAAAACGGATTTATCAACTCCCCTATTGTGGTGAGCCCACAAACCACGGTTGGTGAGGTCAAAGCCATGCGTGGGAAATTTGGATTCTGCGGTTTCCCAGTCACTGGTATGTTCTCCATGTTTTTTTTTCTGGAAAGTTTCCAAACACCGCCGAAAAGATATCCAAAATATATCCAAAACGATGAGAGATGTTCAGGCTTCTCACACACATGCACCCACAGATGATGATCGACTTAAAATATATTAACTTTCGTTCTACTGACTGTCGATCAAACGATCTTGTAGAAAACTTTTTGATCTGATAATAATGATTTCAACCGTGTGTGTGTGTGTTTGCCCCATTTCCAATGGTTTTTATTGGCGTGCTGCTTGAATTGCCATCTCGTTACTAACTCTTTTGAAATTTTAGAATCCGGCTCTCTTCCAAGCAAATTGGTCGGCATTGTCACTTCTCGTGACGTCCAGTTCATCGAAGACAACTCTTTGAGCATCTCCTCTGTGATGACCAAGGAATTGGTCACCGCTAAGGTGGGTGTGACTTTGGTCGAAGGTAACAACATTTTGAAATCCACCAAGAAGGGCAAGCTCCCAATCGTGGACGAAAACTACAATTTGGTTTCGATGTTGTCGAGAACCGACTTGATGAAAAACCAAAGTTATCCATTGGCCTCCAAGTCCGCCAGCACCAAGCAATTGCTCTGTGGTGCAGCCATCGGAACCCTCGAAGCCGACAGAAAAAGACTAGAACAGTTGGTAAAGGCTGGTCTAGACGTTGTTGTAATTGACTCTTCCCAAGGTAACTCTGTTTTCCAGTTGGATATGATCAAATGGATCAAAGAAACTTACCCAGAGTTGGAAGTCATCGCTGGTAACGTGGTCACTAGAGAACAGGCTGCCTCTCTAATTCAAGCCGGTGCCGATGGTTTGAGAATCGGTATGGGCTCTGGTTCTATTTGCATTACTCAAGAAGTCATGGCCTGTGGAAGACCTCAAGGTTCTGCTGTCTACAATGTCACCCAGTTTGCAAACCAATTCGGTGTTCCATGTATGGCCGATGGTGGTATTGCCAACATTGGTCACATTGTCAAGGCTTTGGCATTGGGTGCCTCTTGTGTCATGATGGGAGGTATGCTCGCTGGTACCACTGAGTCTCCAGGTGAATACTTTTTCCAGGACGGTAAGCGTTTGAAAACCTACCGTGGTATGGGTTCCGTTGATGCTATGCAGAAGACTGACACTAAAGGGAATGCTTCCGCCTCGCGTTACTTCTCCGAGTCCGACAAGGTTTTCGTGGCTCAAGGTGTTTCGGGTGCCGTTATCGACAAGGGCTCTATCAACAAGTTTGTTCCATACTTGTACGGTGGTTTGCAGCACTCGTGCCAAGATATTGGTGTGCGTTCTTTGGCCTCATTAAGAGAGCAAGTCGACAACTCCGAAATCAGATTCGAGTTCAGAACCGCATCTGCCCAATTGGAGGGTGGTATCAACAACTTGCACTCCTACGAGAAACGTCTGCACAACTAAGACTTGCCAATAGTTCTAGCACTTTCCACTGATTCAGATCGAAGTCCATTTAAGTCAGTTTCTCCTTATGTATAATTTAACTGGAAGTCATTTGCCAACATTCTACTAATCTATGAAGTCTGGTCAAGAAATATCATCATCCTTGCAGCACTTGCACGCTACTACTTGTGTTTGCCACTTTCTTTCGCAACCCTGTTATAATAATAACCTTCCCGTCTTTTCCCAACTTCTTCTAGCTTTGGCGGTAGTCTTTCGTTTATTAAGTCATCTCGACGAGCTTTTTCGAATGTGCTTAGCGCTTCCTTTAAACCTTCTGGGCCATGAGCCAGGGCACCACGGGGCAGCGTGCCTGCGTTGATGGTCTTGAGATATTCAACCTTTTCACTCTCTTCTCGCAAAATCGAGTACATTCGGGAAACTTTTGCGATGGCCATGATCTTGCTGCGAAGAGCCCTTCTTTTTGCTTCATCATTAAGAATTGAGCTAGTTGGTTGTTTCGTGCTTTGAGCGTTACTTTCGCCTGCATTTGTTGTTGGAGCAGACTGTGTGTTTGGCTGTTCAAGAGCCTCACTTGCCAAAACAACTTCTTCTTCAAGTTCCTCTTCTGTGCAGATGTTCAGAATCGACACTAACATTTCTGTTACTTTTTCACCAACAAAGGGCAGCGACCATGTGAATACGTCCATGAAGTTTGGTAGCCAATATGGGTGAGGAGACATATTGAACTGTCTGATGTTCATGACATTGTTGGAATATTTCAGAACCGCTGCTTTGTTTTTGTAAGTGTCAAGGTAGTTGGGAGCACTAAAGAGAGTGAGAAGACTTGGAAAACCTAACGCTTCGGTGTTCTTGTACATTCTGTATCCCGCGTCTTGAGCTTCGTGCGCTCTGATAATGGATAAGAGACCTGTTCTTTGCAGAAATTCACACGCCGCGTGATAGGAAAACGCGTACGAACAACCTCTGACTGAATTGGGTGTGAATGTGCCCACGGATGGATCTTCTGCGTCTTCGTCGTATGTCTCGGTCGGATCTGCCCACATAAGATCGCACATGAGACCTCGCGATGGAATCTCGCGAAATCTGTTCATCCTGTTTATGTCATCGAGAGTCTTCAACTCTGGTGAAATACCTCCGTGCACACAGAAATACTGTCCATTCATTACAGCAGCCACGGGAAGAGCATTGAAAGAACGACAGCACGCTTCGTAGATTTTTAGATTGTATTTGTGAAGACACTCACTCTTAAAAGTGAAGTATGATGTTAAATGCTTGCACTCGTGATTTCCCCTCAAAAGCCAAAAGTGATCGTTGTAGTTGAGCTTCAAACTGTAAAGATATAGCAAGCACTCGATTGAGAAAGAACCGCGGTCAACGTAGTCACCTAGGAAAAGATATGGCGTTTTTTCCGGGTCACCGCCAACTTCGAAGAGTTTCAACAAGTCATAAAACTGACCATGGATATCACCACAAACTGTCACAGGCGCAGGCACTCGCAAAAGGTTGGGTTCTTTGGATAAACACGATGTTCCGGCTTCCAAGATGCTCAGAACTTGAGATTCCGTCAGCCTACCTTCGCGGCGGAAATGCTCTTTCAAGAATTCTGGATCTGGAAGCCCATTTTCCAAAAACAGTTCCTCATCGCTAGGTGTGCCCAATTTTACTGGTCTTACCGAACTGCATACTCGTTCTTTAGTGGAAACTCTCGCTCCGTTTTCCATCGTGTACACCGACAAATCCGGTCTAATCAAGCCTGTTTTTGCATCTTTATCGGGCTCCCCGGGCTTGTTTTCGATGATTTTGAGAGCTGCGTTCATTTTCTTCAAGTTCTCTTGAGCTTTGCGGTCATTCTGTGACATTCTGGGGAGAATTGGTACCTGCTCGGTCTTAGGTATAAATTCTGTTCACAACACAACGGCCAGGGCACTAAAAAACACACTGAAAAAACCAAAATAAATGCAATCGCAGTGGCACAGTGTTCAAAAGGTGTAAAAGTCTTGATTGTCCTTTTAAGATCTTTTAATTGACGACTTTGACGGGGCGAGATGTTCGTAGTTCAGGTTTAAGATTTAACGGTGGGATATAAAATCAATATAATTGAGTATAGCCCACCTCGTATTAAATGCCTGAAACTTTTCTATAAGCACTATAGTATTTTGAAAAATGAAGCTCATCTCATCGCATCGCATGAGTAAGGATGAGCTCGACTTTGAAGTAAAGATTTCGAAGGATTGCTTGGATTACTGAGACATAAGACAAAGTTCATCGGCTTTTTCAACTGATTTCGTTCATACTGCTTTTTTTTCGGGGAAAAAAGAGCTATTTTCGGCACAGTTAGCGTTTGAAGCAGAATGTCCACCAACATCGATGAAACGGCCTTTGTAGAAGCTGAGAAGGGAAAAGCCAGCTTGGCATTCGAGGATGAGAGACAAATGGCCCGCTTGGAGTTGGGAATCTCCATGGCAGTTCACAAATGGGAAGCGCTGGAATTGGCAGTTCAGAATGGCTGGGGTGGACCAGAGTCAGCTGAAAAGCGAGATTGGGTTTCCGCTATCATCGTGGATCTTTTCAAGGACGGTAAGGTCGTGGATGTCGTTCTGATCGAAGAAACACTGCTGTACGCATTGATGGACGAATTCGAAACCAACGTGGATGACGACTCAGCACTGCCGATCGCAGCATTGATCATCGACCTGTACAAACAGTGTCAACAAGAGGACTACTCGACCGTGGAGAGCCTTTATGCTCAATGGAAGGAAAGGCAAGAGGCCAGACAGGTCAGGAAAGACATTCAGATTGGCGAAGATCCTTGGAATCCAGACGTTTCCGAAGGTGAGGACGAAAGTGATGCGGAAGATGGTGACGAGCCTCCAGCAATGGTCCAAGATAGCGACGTGGACATGGAGTCTGATAGACCAGAACCAGTGGTAGATGAAGATGGCTTTGAACTTGTGCAGAAGAAGGGTAGAAAACCCAGACACTGATGCAAAAATAAGGTTTTTTGTTACCAACTTGTACGTAGTAAATAAGCGTTCAACTACCCACATACTTGTATATTAATTGACTATTTCTAACCGCGATTCTTCTATTTTGTAGCTCTAGAGCCCGCAGGAAGTGCCGTGCCTGTCAAAGAGCCCCGTGGAGTCCAAGGACGTGAAGTCCCTGGGGTCAGTGTACCTGAAGTCACCATTATCCCTTCTGGAGCGCTTGCCTGCGAGGATCCTCCAAATCTCAGCTTCCGCAAAAAGTTCGATGTCATGTCAACCAGACTATAGTTTTCTCTTTCATCCACTGTTACCTTGAATAATGAAATTCTTGTGCCGACCCAAACGTTTGGTTTTAAAAGTCCGGGGTCGAGCACGAAAGATCCACCCTGTGGACTACTCGTGTCACTGTTTTCGCTTTCTGATTCTTCGTCAATCTTCGCTGTCTGAGGCTTGTGAAATCCTGCCCATGAAAACCCGAAAATGGAGGATCTTTCGCTGGTCTGACTGCCTGTATGAGATTTACCACTCACCCAAGAAGAGAATCCTGAGCCGACAACCGGGCTATTGGGCGCGCTGTTCGGCATTGAGTTTGATTCTTGATGTAATAGGTAATTGGTGCTCAGGCTGTTATTACTGTTTGTCCGGGATAGTGATGAGCCTTGAGAATTCCACCTTTCCAGTTTGGGCGTCTGAGGCTGCGAGGGATTTTGCGAGTAGGATTGTGGCCCTGCATCTTGTTGGGTACCTTCTTTGCTGAAGGTGCTAATGAAAGGGACGCTGTTGAAGTCGAAAATATCTTTCCATACTGTGGAACGATACCATAAAGATGCCAAATTATTTGACGTCCAATTCAGTTTTAAGGTTTTACAATCGCTTCCAAGTAGATCCACCTGTGTCGGTACCATTAATTGCAATTGTTGCTTCAAAACATCTTCAAATTTGAGAATCGACCGCAACTGCAGCAAGTACTTGTCTCCGGAGACTTCAAAAATTGTCGGGAACTCTTTTGTCACCACGCGAATAATAGTTGTCATCAAACAAAGAGGTTCTGCGCCTAACCAAGAATTTACGAGGCTCTCGTCTTTTCTTAGTTTAAGTTTCCTCCGAAATGTCAGTCCAAAAGGTCTATGAGGTCTTAAAGCCAACAAAAGTGCCGTTGACTCCATTATACTGTCTTGTTCATTATCTGCATGTTCATAAAGCTCGATTGTCTTATTAGGTGATCCTTGAGCCACTCGTTCGGCTGCACGTTCCACTTCCTCCACTTCTTGTCGATGCGGCTCAAAGATCATTAGTGATTGAAGTTGAGCTTTTTCTATCAAGTCATAGTCGTCATGGTCAGAGTTAAGTCTGTCATTTTGCCAATTGTATCTAATGTCCCCTGGTAGAGAATCATCAAAATAGTCATCAATGTGTAGGGCCATCGTCCTACCTGCATTTCTGGTATGTTCCATGTAATCATAATTGAGTTCCGAAGAAATCTCTGCCAGATTACTTTGAAGCTGTTTTATAACATTCTGTTGTCTGCAGAATACGAATAGAAGATGCTTGCTGTCCTTGAAGTGGTTGATCACACAGCTGTTGAACGCCTGAATCAATAGAGCAAGCAGATCTAATTTAAATCCTGGTGATGTCCCATAGCCTCTTTTCGTTACTTTCTTGTTCCCCGAATTTTCTAATTCTTCATTAGAAGATCCAGAACTAGCATCGCTATCGTCATCTGTAAAAGATTTAAGAAATTCTCTTGTAGTCATTCTAGCCACTAGTCTCAACAATGCAACAGATGCATTATATCCTATCCCAGTGGTCTTGCCCGTTTTGTCGGACGAAAGCTGTACAAGATCCTCGTCCAAGATCTCAACAGGAACACATAGCAAATTGAAAATGATTTCAAATAACGATGCATTTAGGACAGTGTTATTTTTCACCTGCGTGCCAGCCATATTAGATAGGTGCATTATAGCGAAGTCTCTGAAGGTAAGTCGACCGGCGTCACCCACTGAAATTTTGAAAGAATCCGGAATCTTATTGGCGTAATAGTTTACATTGAAACAATACTGCATCTTTGATAAGACCAACTTTTTGGAGGACAAGTACGTTGCGAAGCCTGAGATCAGCGGAATGAAATCCGGATGCCGCTCAGAAGCTTCTGAAAAGTTCTTGATGTAGTAAATGCACACCACAATCAACTTATTCGCATACTTGTCGGCCACATAGTTTTCGAACGACTTGTTGCACTTCATGAGTTCCCACAACAAAATAACGACTTGCAAAGTGACTCGGGGTAGATGAGGCAAAGGGCGAGATTGTGTGATGCCTTTGGAGATGCTAGCTCTGCCCTGAGTGGTCCTTTTTCCATTAGTAGATCCGCCCGCGGAATTACCTAATAAGTAAAAGGGATTGGATTCCATTTCGATGGCTTGTTCCATCGGCCTCTTGAGAAGAGTTGCCAAGTTTACCAAGATGAACTTGAGGTCAAACTCTCTTGTCAAAGTACTCAGGTAGGTTAGAACCAGATTGTTGATTTTGTAATTGGTCGAGTATAGGTTGAGACCATACAGAAACAATTGAGTCTTATTTTCGTGCTCCCTATCAAGTGGGCACAACATTGATATATTGAGCAATTGAAGCCCTGTCATGGTCAGGGCCTTTCTCATAGACGTCAGCTGGCTACTTTTTGAGGAAGAATGATAAGAGTTTGATGGGTATTGCAGGCCGTTGTTATCATCATTACTGCGGCAAGATCGGCACGCAAGGTTTATCAGCGAAGAAGTAAGGCAAATACTGTGAAATTCAGGTATCGAGGTGGTCAGTACAGCCAGGAACTTGGGTATAGCTTGAGAATACAGCTGTTTGGATGACAACGTCAGCAAGAGGCGTAAAATTTCTAGTCGATTCGCGTCCAAGGTTGGATTGGGCTGGGTATAATTTGTCTCTGGTGTATTTATGCCATTTTCCCATAGAAGAAAAGAGGTCTTGCCGAACTCTTTGGGTGCTTGTCTTGTGAGAGAAGCGGTGAAACCTTTGATGAACAGTAGTTTCACGCAGGCCTGTACGATCAGAACGCCCAGGGGCACCACATCCTGGGGCTCGAAAGAAACATGGTTGACGTTGAGTCGAGCGTTTTCCTCCGAGATCAGACCATCGCACTGCAAGACACGGGAGCTGTTTTGGTTCCAGAATATGGAGTCTTCCTCTTTTTGGTCCACATCCATTTCGAAAAAAATTGGCATCACTTTCGTCAACAACCGCGTGCACGTAAGCAACTGGCTTTCGCGTAATTTGAAAGTCACTGCAGAATCGCAATTTTGAAGCAGGCAAGACAAGACGTGAATTTTGAACGCAACAAAGCGCACAAAATTGGTGAAATTCGTCATGTTAGAGTCGCAGATGAATTGCAGTTCTTGCGACGATACCATTGAGTAAATGTCGCGGGCTTCAGCCGTGGGTACCACGAATGCATTGAAATACGCGGAAAACGGGTCTGGGAAGTCTTTACGCGACCACGAATTGGGATCATTGTAGTATCGAATAATCTCTTGATAGCTTACTGACGGCGAATACAACGGTGTTGGAACCAAATCGGCAAGCCTGAATACATGTTCTCGGTACTGAGCAAGCTTGGAGTCTGTTTGGCCCATGCTTGGGCTGTGTGAAGTGTCAACACGGTAGGTAGGTTGCTCTGCTTTTTGGATGTTGTTGAGAGCTTGAATGGTTTAGTTTAACCTTGCTCTTTTCCTGAGATATCAGGCAATCTGACATTTCCGGTGCACGTGATATATTTTTTGAATGTCACTTTTAACAAGGTGGGCATCTCAAAAGTCTTGTCAACTGCAAGAGACTTCTGGATAACCCGACTTACTTTGAGGACTGTGATTTATCAACAGATTCCATTGGTCTCGGCTAGAATTGTTTTACGGTTCAAAGACTTTGCTCTGTTCTGAAACGATCATTTTCGTCAATTGACACTTATAGATATACTGACTTCAATGTCGATGATGACAGACTTTAGGTGACCGATTGTGAAGTTTTGAACATCTTTTAGCCGTTCCTGAACCCAGGGATACTGCTACTAGATCTGCGTGTGAATCGTCTTCGTTTTAACGTTTAAATATCAAATAAAAAATAGACAAAAGTAAAAAAACCTATGTTATAAGGGACAGAGAACCAGGTCCATCGCTGTGTTATGAAAGGCAAAATGCATGGGAGAATTGAAGGGTGTGGTAGTTTTCCAAAAAAGAGAGAAGAAAAATAAGAAAAGGAGGAGGTATCGAAATAATGCAGAGGTCGTCCGGGTCCGCTGTGTGTTACCAGTCTTCGACTTGGTCAAACGCCCGCTTGTTGCGCATGATGTCGTTGTCAATCAGCTCGAGTCTTTCGTCCAGCTGGTTCTCCCATATCTCTAGGGAGCTGGAACTCGAGATTGTGCGTGCGTTGACCAGCATTGGGGGCTGTTTGGCGTTTGGCAAGGGGACTCTTTTGTACATGGGGATCGTCATTTCAGAGTTGTCTTGCACGGGACACGCATCGCGTGGGACCGTGGGCTGTTGTGAGCTTACCTGGTAGCCACGGTCTACGGATTGACGGATACGCATTCCGATAGTCGAGAGCGCATTTTGGCCCTGGTAAAGTTCATTTTGTTTTTGGATTCCTTGACCCAGGTGTTTTTTCTGAGGAGAGCCGTTCATTTGTGGAGGAGAGATGAGATGAGGAGGAGGAGATTTTGAGTTTCCCAGTCTGTTTTATTCTGTGTGTGAGTGTGGGGTTTGGGTTTGAGTTTCCCAGTGTTTTTTCTCTTGTCGCTTTTACAACTAGCTGTCGCTATCGCATCCTGAGCCGTCGCAATTCTTGAAAAAATAGTTTGTCCTTATATAGTCGTAAAATTGAATCAGGCTAGATTAATGAAAATGACTATAAAGACCGGGAAAAAGGGGGGCGTCAACGGTGCATTACGTAAGATTAGGACAGGGTAACCCTGCGCGGGGTAGAAAATGGTCACGTGCACAGAAAACGTACGTTTTAGCACCCAGACACCCATTGTTTACAAAACAATGGGTGTCTGGGTTTGTAAACAAAGGGTGTACGGGTGGTGGCTGGGTGACTGGGTGGCTATGATGGTACTCGATGAGTGTCAGTGTGGAAAAAAGTGATAGGACAAGTGATGCGACAAGTGGTGTCAGACATGCGCAAACAATACAGGGTGGATTCTAATGGATAGTGGCTTCTAATGGACGGTTGAAAAAATAGTGAGCTTATTATCCTAGGAACTATCTAGATGGCCGAGAAGTATCCAATTTTCACGACTCGGGGTCCATTCTTTTGAGTAAGACACACCAAAAATGGTGAAAATGAAATTAGTAACAATCTAAATGATAACAAAACTATTGTCTTCGACGAAGGTAACAAAATCGGAAAGTACTCTTCCTTGTTGATTTAGAGGTATCCGTCAAACCTCTTCGTTTCTCCGCAATCTTATATAATTCACTGGATGTTTGATGTGGGGAGCGGATCTGGAAAAACGCGTTCCGTATATAGTTACGATCCGTTTGGGATGCACTTTTGAGTGTCAGAGAATTATGAACTGACAATGGTATCCACGCTCCCCGACATGTACAAATGGATCCCAACTTACGTCCGGGTAAGCAAATTCTGAAAGAAAAGTTGAGATCCATATGGTCACGAGCTAAGTATCCGAAAAGTACCCGGTTTCCATCATTCGGGATCCGTTCTAAGACCCATTCCAATACTTTCCCAAAAAACGCCTAAAGTATCCACACATGCACGTGATGCATATGACGCGTAAACTTGTGACGCGTAAACATTAATTATTATATGAATAAAAACAAGAGACGCCAAGTCCTAGTTGAAGCTTCAAAAAATTCCCACTCCACGATCCCGGGGTATTGATTTTGATGAGTGAACCACTTGAACTTGATCCAAGTAGCACAGTCATCGATGGCGCCTACAATTTCGATGGTGATACACTACTGGTCGACACAGAAAATGAAGTTTATGTGAAGACCAGTTGATCAACAAAACGATTCCTCAATCGGAAAAGACACGCCAAATTGAAAGATCTAGCGTCCGTGATCACTTCGAGATGTTTGAACAGGATGGTGAGAAATTGGCTTCCTGCAAACAATGTGGGATAACTTTCAGGCGAGAAGATCTACAAGTAACCTTTCAAAGCACATTAGAAATTTGCACCCCGCCCAATACCGGTCTTATAAGGCCGATAAATCTAAGCAGCGTTCGATTGAAGCGTCAGGTCTAAAATCCCGCTCACTGCCCTGGCCTAAAAATTTCACTCGCGAGTGTCAACATAGTCCTGGCTCTGTCTGGACCATTGGCCTTTTGACAGTTAATTTGCTGCTTTTGAGCCTCCTTGAAGATCCAGTTTGGAGACGGATGAAAGATGTAGGTTCGAATACGACCTTAATTCATTCTCGTAACACGGTGAACTCTAAACTTGAACTGTATACAGAATGGTTTGACGAGGCGCTGAAGACCGCTATGGAGCATACAGACTTCATTAACATAGAGCTTGATGTTTGCTCTGGTGCAAACGGTCGATCTTATCTTGGTATAGCTGCCTCATTTGTCCCGAACTCCTAAAACCAAAAGGTGCTAAACGGCCAGGGAGAGAATGCCCTCCTCAACAACTGTCAAATGCCTTTTAACAGCCATCTTTTGGAAATTGTCGACTTGAGTGATTCACGTCATACCGGTAAACACATGTTTGAAACTGTGGCCGATGTATTGAAGGAATACAACATTATGCACAAAGTTAACACCATCACCTCTGAAGATGTTCCTAACAACATATCCGCACATTCTCATCTCATTTACGATTTCTTGAAGTCTGGAAATCTTGAAGCATTTAGCAAGACAAAAAATCTTCAACACATTCGCTGCGCCAGTCATATATTGAATGTTCTATTTCAAAGCGTTGTTGAAATGTTGCAGAAGGACGAGACCTTCGAAACGGGGTTACAAAATATACACATGCTTGCAACAACGCTCGAGGGTAGCTCAATTTTGAGGTCTTCACTAGCAAATGCTGGCTTACCTTTGATTCCTTTAGCTCCCGAAACACGCTGGTTTTTCATCTGGAGACAGGTTTCCGCATACTTGAATAACTTTGACAAATACTCAGCTTGGTGTAGTAAGTTGCAGGCGTCTCCAGCACACCAGCATCTCAACCAAAAAATCAAAAAATTAATCGATCTTCCCGACGCAACAATGCACTTGCTGAGATATTTTGTCAGTTGTTGTTCCATTTTCAAGATTCTCAACGATTATCTGCAAGACGACGCCTTGAATAACCTTCCCAATGCGGTGACGTTCTATTACACAATAAAGGAGTACTTCGATCTTTGCAGCGTTGCCGAAGTAGAGGTAGTTGAGAAACCACCAGAAGGTTCTTTTGACTTCACTTTAATCAATGGGGAGGAGGAAGTGCCCTCAGACATCAAAGCATTGGTCCTCAAAGCCGTCCTCTCAGCAAGGCCCAAATTCGAGGAATATTTCCAGATGTTCTTGAGGAACGACATCTACTTTGTTGCTGCATTTTTAGATCCCAATTCCAAGTTTGATTGTTTCAATGAGCTTTTAAGCGAGAAGGAAGGACAATATCACCTTTTGAGGGTAGAGGTTTACGTCAGGCACTACCTTGCACATTGTGAATACAAAAGCCCTAAGCCTGTTCCGCCCACTGATAAGCTAAGGAAGCCTGCGAAGAGCTATCAAATCAACAAACTTCCAAGGCTTGATAGACGTCAAAAGCAGTCCACCCCAACGTATGCAATTCAAGGACTCAAGGTGCTTCAAGAGTGGGACAGGTACAAAGCCTAAAGTTCGCTCTCATCTGCTTTCGCAACTGACGCTGTAAGTTGGTGGTATTCTAGGCGTTTGAGCTACCCTAATCTTTTTCCTTTGGCCTTGTCCATGATGTACACGAAGCTCAGCAGTTGCGGTATTGAAAAGACCTTTTCCATGAGTGGAAAGCTCATACGAAAAGAACGCAGCCAACTGGGCAGTAGTAACGCTAGGCTCATTATGCTCCTAAGAGATCGTTTTACCAAATACCGCGTTTTCAACAGTGAACAACCATTGCCCAAACCGGAGGAAGTTGATGACAACTCTCGGGCTCTTTCTGATTCTTGCGACTGCTCATCGGAAGATGAAAACGCTTCGTCCACGGGCAGATACTAGCATTACTTTAAGCATATCATATGTTTAGGACAAGATTAGGATGATATGAGTTGTTATTCGACTTGTTTCACTACGGTCTGATCATCCATCTCTGAGAAGCCATTGGCGGACTCAAGAAGTAAGGTTCTGAAATCCACTTGAGAATTCAAGACAAGAATCTGAAGGAGCCGATTGATGACCCGTTCGTTGGGTAGACGTTTTTAGTTCCTGTAAGGTGCACTCGGTAAAAACTCGTGCTGGGCTGCACATTGCGTCTAGTATTGGCTACTATCTGAATAGTTGATATGATGTGCTCAATCACTGCAAGAATTCTGATCAATAGAAGTATCTTCGTCAAGAGAGGCATCTGACGTTTCGTCTTGCGCCCAGCTGACCTCTTCGGTCGATAAAATATCTTCGAGGTGCTCAGCAAATGCAAAACATTTTGGGCGGCTCCTCAAACCCATTGTGCGCTTTAAATTCGCGCTGGATAGCGAGAATTGCCCTTCGACAGCCTTACTACTGATGAAAGGGCACCTGTCGACATCAGCCGTGAACAATTTGCTATAGCAGAAAGGCAACGGCAGGGAGAACAGTCGTGGAAGATTCTTTCGATGCTTTGCTGACTATGAGCTCTAATGCCTCCGTATTGAGATTTTGGTTATTGATTGACCCTTCATGTCTGGCCTCAATAGGAGAGCAACCCAGCCTCCGTTGGCAAAACTATAGTACTTTTCAAAAAGGAACTTTGACTTAACAATGGTTGACAAATACTCGACATTTAAACTCCCTCCACTGCCGCTGGGTGCTTAAGCTGAATGCCTGGAATTTTCGAATTCTCGTCACATCACCATTTGAAATTAGAGAGCATGCACCGAAGTACTTGTGAAGTAAAGTGTAATGCCATTGGAGAGGTTGTTCAGCGCGTCATCTTGCATATCCATCGTTGAATGGGAAAATACACGCGTACGTTTGAGAAATAGTTCCAAGGGATGAATCTCTGCTGTTGCGTAAAGGAAAGGTTTACTGACATCTCTCTTGAGCTGAAACCTTTTATACGTGTAACTCTTGAGGTAGAATTCTTTGAGAGTCTGTAAGATTCGAAAAGGACGACAATTGCTTATGGCGAAATACAAAGCGCGTTTCATTGTGTTTCGGAGTCGCTTTCTCAGCGTTGTATTTGATCTTTGAAGTTGGTTCATCAATCCTTTGAAGGAGCTCTGCTTCTCAACCATATGCTCGAATTTTATGTTGAGCACAAGGTTCAAGCAACGAATTCTTATGAATCCTCCTTCCGCATTAACTCCACCCCCAATTAGCTCGGGCTAATTTTTATCAAGCATTACCAGCTTGTTTTTAGCATTGTCTGTTGTAAGACTCGCGACTTTATGTTTAGGTAAGTATTGGTCCAGTGTATCACCTCGATATGGACCCAAATAGTGTCCAGTGTGACGGAAAGCGCTTGGATTTTGAAAACCGATGATGTGGGTATTGGGAAAACCTCGGCATATGACGTTCTCTCTTCGGGGGTCTTGATCAAGACGATCCAAGTTCGGGCATAATAAGACCTAAATGGCGAGATTGCTCCCGTTAACAGCAGAGGTCCAAACATCCAGCAGGATATTTATTTTCGAGGTCTTTTCAGAGTAAGCCTTGGCTATTTTTCGAAATGGCCCTCATTTTTCCCAGCGGCAACACCAATCATTTTACGAAAGGAGTGACTTTCTACTCGAACGAAGGGTAGCAAATTGTCAACAAAAAATTCAGTTCCTCGATCATCGTCGGATTTTTTTGGTACAAGTCAATGAGGCTTGCGCATAATCGAGAGGGTTTTCGAGCTTCAAAAACAGCGTTCTTCATGCTTGTAAGTTCGTTCTGCCTGGGATGTTTTTTTGAGTAAAAATTGATATATTCAAATCTGTGATCTGTTCTGAGGTGCTTTAGCATGGGTTCTGGTGAAGCTCAACAGTTTAGGTGCTGACAATCGCTGTCAGATTCCTCAGATGTGGAATGATGATGTAAAACCTCTGGCTGTAGAGTCGAGTAGTGATGCGCTTGGTCAGCTCGGCAACCGCAAATCTTTCGTAAAGTAGAAGATGAAGGCTTGCTGGGGAAGGTTCTCATTTGAGTGAGAACTCGAATTTGTTTTGGAAGCAATTCGACAGAATCCGTTTGGTTTTCATCGATGTGCGTCTTCATAAATTCATCGCTAACCGAGCTATCCCCTTCATCCTCTCCAGAAAAGGCCTCTTTTCCAGCTTCACCCTTGGACTTGAGAAGAAAGTTTTGTATCGCGAAACAAGTGCTGTTTATTTGGGCATTGTGGTTCAGATTGGAATCATTGTTGGCTAACGTGTCACGATTACTTGGAAGAGGCCTTGGTAGAGGGGTCTCTGGTAAAGGGATCTTCTCTATCTGAGAGTCGAAGGGTAAACTAATAATAATCATGATATCTTGTTTACTATCAAAACGAATTTTACCCGCGGAGCCTACCCGCGGAGACTATCTGCAAGTCCAGAAATTCGCGAGTCACGTGGTCGAGTACGAGTACGAAAAATATAATCAATCATTGTAAACGTAGTCATCGCTTTTTGAGGTCAACGGGGGAACCGCCAATGGCCGAGAATTGAGGCATTTGAAGTCTCATTGACGTATTTTGTATGCAATACTCGCTTCTCCTCGAGCTAGAGCTCGTATTCACTGTACTCGTCTTCTAATATCTGTAGGTCATGTGCAAAAAGAGCTCAGATCAGTTTCTTCAATTGTCTACTCTAAGGGAATGCCTTTAACAGTTGGCATTTCCAAACATATGTCCAAGCACTTTGCACTTCTTTTGGATTCGTGAATGTATATAATGAATTCCAAATTTACGTCCGGGTAAGTGACTTTTGGGAAAATGAATTTTTTTTGGGATCCGTTTGGTCACGAGCTAAATATCCGAAAAGTACCTGATTTTCAAAATTTGGGAATCCACTTCGAGACCCGTTCCGTATATAGTTAGGACCCAATTGGAATCCAACTTAGGGTATCCGGATCTGCTCATCATTATCTACGTCATCCCCCGCGATGGTCCATCACTTATAACGGGTCATCGGCTAATGGGATATGGAAAAGGTGGTTCAAGAGCAGGTTTATATATACATATATACATACATACATCTTACTCAAGTTGAGTAAAGTCGAGACAAGTCTGAATTAGAATTGTTTAGACTATCAAGTTTTGATTCTAGGAACTCATGGTAAGAGCAACACGCTTCTGGCATGTTTATTCTCACCTCTAACTTCTCACCTCTCACCTCTCACTTCTCATAGCACCTTCCATCTTGTTATTTCAATTCCTCGACCATTAAATACAAAACGTCTTGTTCTTCTCTCCCTCTCCCTCTCCTCTTCCGGACCACCCCCAAACCTCTTTCGGGCCTCTTTGGAAACCCACAATTCCGCACTTTCTACCAAATCCTCCCAACCATCTCTCCCAGACTCCCAAACTTTGCGTAACTTCTCTTCTTTATCGTGGTTTCCCTGTGCTCTGTCTCTAATGATAACAGCCTTTTTCAACTACCATTGACATCGTTGAGTTCCTCTAAGTACTAATAAAAGCGAACTTTTACCCTATAGGCTAAGAAAAGCGACTCACAACGCCAGCGGGCAAAACAGAGTTCACGGCATCAATGGGATTTGGACCACAGACGGGGAGTGGGATAAAAGTATAAAAGGACCATAAGATTTGAAGTTTGACATGTAAATTTGAAGTTTAGATTACTTGTTTCTTGAGAGTTTCTGAGACTCTGAGACTCTGAAACTTTGAAACTTTGAGACTCTCAAACTCTGAAACTTTGGAACTCTGAAACTCTGAAACTCTATCAAGAGTTTATTCAAACACCCCATCGAAACCTCTATTCACACTCACCCTCCCTCTCACCCTCCCTCTCACCCTCATGTCTGTCAACTTATCGTCTAGTGAAACTGTGCGTTTGGAACAGCAATACTCCGCCCACAACTACCACCCGCTTCCAGTGGTGTTCCAGCGTGCGTCGGGCGCGCATGTTTGGGACCCAGAGGGCAAAGAATACCTGGATTTTTTGTCGGCCTATTCTGCCGTCAACCAAGGCCATTGCCATCCAGAAATCATCGCCGCTCTGGTCGATCAGGCCTCCAAGCTCACTCTTTCCTCGCGAGCCTTTTCCAACGACGTTTTCGCCGCTTTCGCCAAATACGTCACAGATTATTTCAACTACGAAATGGTCTTGCCCATGAACACCGGCGCAGAAGCCGTTGAAACCGCCCTGAAACTCGCCAGACGCTGGGGTTACACCAAAAAAAACATCCCCGCAAACCAGGCCATTGTTCTAGGCGCCCACAGCAACTTCCACGGCCGCACCTTTGGAGCCATCTCCCTCTCGACCGATGACGACTCGCGCAACAACTTTGGCCCCTTCTTGGAGAACACCACTGCTAAGATCCCCAATGGTAACGGGGACTACATTCGCTACGGAGTCGTGGAAGACGTCGAACGCGCCTTCAAGAACGCCGGTGACCGTATCGCTGCTTTGATCTTGGAACCCATCCAAGGTGAGGCCGGTATTGTTGTTCCAGACAAGACTTATTTGACAGAGGTTCAAAAACTGTGTCGCCAATACAACGTTTTGCTGATCTGCGATGAAATTCAGACTGGTATTGCCCGCACCGGCAAAATGTTGTGCTACGAGCACTCTCCAGATGTTAAGCCCGATATGGTCCTTCTGGGTAAAGCCATTTCCGGTGGTGTCTTACCAGTCTCCTGCGTTCTCTCCTCCAGAGAAATCATGCTATGTCTTGAGCCCGGTTCTCACGGCTCTACTTACGGAGGTAACCCATTGTCCTCCCGCGTGGCCATTGCTGCCTTGGAAGTGGTTAGAAAGGAAAACCTGGTTCAAAGAGCACAAGATTTGGGTGAATACTTGCAGAAAGAACTGCTGGATTTGAAAGCATCTGCTGGCGGTATCATATCTGAAGTTCGTGGTAAAGGCTTGCTCACAGCTATTGTTATCGACCCTGAGCAGGCCAACGGCAGAACCGCTTGGGACTTGTGTCTGCTCATGAAAGATCAAGGTGTTCTAGCGAAGCCTACACATGAGCACATAATCAGATTGGCCCCACCTTTGGTCATCGCCAAGGAAGACTTGGACAAAGGTGTTGACGCCATCAGAAAATCTTTGCAGCTACTCCCAACTGTCGAAAAGGCCGCTCACTGAGTAATACCAAAATCTGGCAGAATAGTAAGGTTGCCTGCCAGCATTCTGTCATAATGCATTTCTATTCATTTCTCACTAACTAAAGTATTCAAAGTCGTGTATGTATCATAAAGGCGTACGTTCGCAGTTTAAGCTTTGGCCACACGCTCGACCAAGTCAATGACTCTGTTAGAGTATCCGAATTCGTTGTCATACCAAGACACCAACTTAACAAACTTTGGTGACAGCATAATACCTGCGCTAGCGTCAAAGATGGAAGAATGAGTGTCGCCCAAGAAATCGGTGGAAACCACAGAGTCCTCAGTGTAGCCCATAACGCCTTTGTACTTGCCTTCAGAAGCCTTCTTCAGGGCGGCTTTAATTTCATCGTAAGTAGTGGGCTTGGCCAACTTGACAGTCAAGTCGACGACCGAAACGTCCACGGTTGGAACTCTGATGGACATACCAGTCAGTTTTCCTTGCAATTCAGGCAACACTTTACCTACGGCCTTTGCGGCACCTGTAGACGATGGAATGATGTTACCAGAAGCAGTTCTACCGCCTCTCCAGTCCTTGTGAGAAGGACCGTCCACAGTTTTCTGCGTGGCCGTTAGAGAGTGCACGGTGGTCATGAGACCCTCTTCTAAACCAAACTCATCGTTGATGATCTTAGCCAAAGGAGCCAAAGCGTTGGTAGTGCACGAAGCGTTCGAGACAATCTTTTCACCCTTGTAGTTCTTGTCGTTGACGCCAATAACGTACATTGGGGCAGTACTAGAAGGAGCCGTGATAACGACTTTCTTGGCACCAGCGTCGATGTGCTTTTGCGCAGAGTCCAATTCCTTGAAAACACCAGTGGAGTCGATCACGATGTCAATGCCCAGTTTACCCCATGGGAGTTGCGAAGGGTCTCTTTCCTGGTAAACGGCAATCTTATGGCCGTCAACCACCAAGGTCTTGCCCTCGCTTGACACTTTGCCTGGGTAGCGTCCATGGGTCGAATCGTACTTCAGCATGTACGCGGCGTAGTCCGGGCCGATGAAAGGGTCGTTAATGGCCACAACCTCGAGTGAGGATCTTTGGAGAGCGATTCTCAAGACAAGTCTTCCGATTCTTCCGAATCCGTTGATTGCAATTTTGGTCATGGTTGTGATGATTATTGGCTGTGAGTATTGGCGATGAAGTGCAGTACTGTTCTTGATGAAGAAAAGTGTTGCTGGCCTGTTTGGAGAGCAGCCGGAAATTTATTTGACAGGTCTATTCGTTGCCCTTTTATACAACAACATGGCCAGTAAGGAGCCAGTATGGACACACAACCGGGATACACAACCGGGACTCACAAAGGTCGGACCATTTACAAGTCTTGTGCGCCATTTTTTTGGTTACATCACACGGACACGGATGGGATTCGGGAACCTTGAAGGCCTCGATTTCTAGGTCTGGACTAAAGAAAGCTGCCCAAAAATGCTATTTTAGCTCTGGTGATGCTAACGGATACGGTTCAGCCGTTTAACCATCTTCACGAGACAGGAAGAGACATTAGTCAAATCGGTTGTGCGCAGTTTTTTGGAATGCCGGGCAAACACGGGAAGCGCTAAAGGGCCTTGCCGTATTGTTGTCATGGGGATTGGAAACCGGCTTTGTTCGAAACGAACTCGACAAAAGATGAACTCCGGTTGTGTGCCGGACTTTGCCCTCTGGGCCAGGTTTCTGGCTTCCTGAGAACCATAGGTACATCAAAGGTACTCAGCGCATGTCGATGCACGCACACGTGTGTGTAGTATCCTAAGGCCCTGTCATTAGTAAGGCCAAGGCTTGTTGTAACAGGAGCACAGAAAACTAAGGGTCATTCATGGGTTTCTTCTGATTTCTGAGGAATCCGTTGTGACAGCGCATGGTGTGAACAATAAGAGCACTATTTGATTACCAATAAGTCTGGAGAGCCACGACTCATGTGAGATATGATGAGGATTTCCGGAGTTTCACAGCATCTCGTGGTGTAAAATCATGTCATTTTGGTGAGTCATGATCTAGATCTGTTCTTCTGTAGCCTTGTATTCTTCGGAAACTGACGCTATCCAATAGAGCGAACGGTAAACTAAAAAAAAGTATATCATTTTGTACTAAATTGTAAAAATGATTAGATTTTCGAAAAAAGATGATTTCGCCCAGGATCGAACTGGGGACGTTCTGCGTGTTAAGCAGATGCCATAACCGACTAGACCACGAAACCGTCTTATGATGGAAGTGAATGTTGGTTGAAGTTACTGTAGCTAGAGTCAAGTCAGCTGCAAGAGAGAATTGAATAGTGGATACAAGCTCAAACGTCTAAGAAAATACTGTTTTATCTTCACTATAGAAAAGGAAGCCCTTTGTACAATTCGACAAGTCCCGTCAAACAATAATTCTTATCGTGTCGTCGTCTATAACACGTGATCACTCATTTCAACGGATAAAATTCCCAACTTGCAAGTGTCAATCAGCGTTGTGCCAAATTAACATTTTTGTTTCTAATTTCCGTTATTTTCTCTATTGTTTATCTAGCTGTGTTTCAGCTTTATCGGCTCGTTGCTGATTTTTCGAGGTTTGTTCTTACCAGCATTTGATTTCATCATTGCTCTTAATCCCAAGTACATTATTTAATATTAATGACATTTAAATCAACTTTAACAACACACATTCAAAACAACCTATTTAGCGAACTATCGCAGCTTTTGAAACGCTACTATCAACTCAATGGCCTATTAACACATCCAATACTTTCATTTACAGCTCTCAAAACCTTAAAATCTCAAAACTATGCGTTTTAGTTGTTCTTTCCACGAAACACCGTTTTCTTCTATTTGACCTCTAAAAAACCCGAAATTGTCGCTGAAACCCAAAATGCTAGGAAAAATAAAAACATCCACACTATATCGCATTCAGATTCGTTAACTCCTCAAGTACAACATCGACTTCCCAGCTTTCAGCGCAACAGTGACACTTTCACAACCCCGCACGTGAGCCCTGATCTGCATTATAATTACAGCAACAAAAGACTACTGTGATCTTCAGCAACTAACTACCTTCAACGTCTCTCTTAGCGCACACTTGGAAAAGCAGACCCGAAGAACCATCCAGCGATGGTAAATGGGAGTGTCGCACAGAACCTTTTGGCCAATGACTCTATTTTGAGCTCGACTGGCCTCACTGTGGCCAGCGACAATGCCTTGGTGGCTTTGTCTACGGCAATATCGTTACTGCCGCAGGCGTCTAATGCTATTTTCACAATTAGTGCAAGCATTATCTCCGGAATTTTCTGGCAAACACTGCGGTTCTTTCTGCTTCGAATCCCATCCTGGCTCATGCTTTCATCAAGCATCAACATCACAGTCTCTTTCTCTACTTTAATCCTGCTGTTCCTGGCATCGATGTTGACAACTTATTACATGCTCAGAAGCAGATTCCTCAATGCTTACAAGCGTTTGCAGCCCGATGACAATGAAGAAAAGTTGATCAAAGACGAAAAATCTCGCGATGAGGCAGAAGCCCTTTTCATGAGTAGGAACGAAAGCGCTCCAAAAATTGGCTACACCTCATACCTTGACGAGTTTCTGAGTGCCATCAAAATCTTTGGGTATCTGGAAAAGCCGGTTTTCCACGAACTGACTAAAAACATGAAAACCCGTCGTTTAGAAAAAGGCGAGGTTCTTCTAGTGGATGACACACTCGGTTTCGCCATTGTGGTCGAGGGCAGCTTGCAGACGTTCCACAAAGTCCACCGCTCGCCACAAGACGCTCAACCGGACTTTTTCGATCGCGAGCACCCAAGTGATAGCACCAGCGATGACGGAATGCCACCTGGCTGCGACGCGTACACTTTGAACGGAGAGAAATACCAGCTTTTAAACACTATCAGGGCAGGTAACCCTGTCTCCTCTTTGGTAAGCATATTGAAACTATTCACGGGTAGCGACGCTCATTCAACTCTGAAGAGCAGGCTCACAAATCAGCAGTTGCGTAGCGATTCTCATCGCAATTTGATGTCACCTTTTTTGGACGCCACACTCGAGCGTCACAGATCGGAGCTTTTGAGTGCCAATGGGACTTCCAAACCATCGTTTGAAACAGGAGCCGACGATCTTGAGCCAGAAATGGACCCTCTCAATACAGGTGAAAATCTTCAACACGACGTGCCTATTGAAGCCGATGATTCTACCCCTCTGGAAGGTGCTTTACCGGATATCATCGCCTCTGCGTCCGATGATTGCACTATCGCAATCATCCCGGCCTCCGCCTTTCGCAAATTGACTTCGAGGTATCCGCGTTCAGCATCTCATATTATTCAAATGGTTCTCACAAAACTCTACAGAGTAACTTTCCAGACCGCTCATAGCTACATGGGGCTGACCAAAGAAATCATGAGCACTGAAATTGTTTTGAATCGGTCCAATCAGTATGAGCTACCTTTTTACCTCAAAGAAGCAGCGGTGCGTAAGATCAAGCTTCAGGAAAGCTCGAAGGCCGAACCCGGTGAAAAACAGGCACCATCAAGTGCATCGAGGGGTAACATTGGTACTAATGGAATGAAAGGTCGAAAGAGACCTACTCCCCATAGCTTTCTGCAAAATCGAAGCTCCCGCCATGTTGTCCTGGACTCCAGGGACCATTTTAACCCTGGTGATCTTCTTTCAAACGTTCCTCTCTCTCGTAAAGAACAACCTGTGGCTCGCGGCACATCCAGCGGGTCCTTCTATCCATCGGATGGCACCAGCACTACCAAGAGTACTAAGAACTCGATGGGACCTATTGATGCTTCTCTTTCTGCACTACCATCCCTAACAGATCACGCCATGCAAAAGAACAAGAGTAGTCATAGCGCGACTGTGAACTCATCTAAAGCAGACGATGACATTAGAGCAAGAACGTTTTCTGCGGTCCAGGAAGAAACTGAAGAGTCATCTTGGAGAATTGCCGTAGTGGAGTGCGTTTTTTCATACCTCGGTATCACCAAAGAAAACATTTTACCCGATTCCCTGGATGACGACGCATCATCAGTGGCTTTCCGAAAGTCCTCAGACGCGTCAATTACGCCATCTTCACAGGTAGCTACTCTTCCTGCTTTGCGGATCTTATCCCCGGAACAACTAAACACGAGTAAGAAGCTCAGGGCCAAGCAAAAATCTGAATATAGAGAGGATATTCCACACAATATTGATTTCGACACGGTTAAAGATGAATTTGCCCAGGGCCTAAAAATGATGTTCATCAGTCAAGGGTCCACCATTGTCTCGCAAAATGCCCACAATCGAGGACTTTTCTATGTCATCTCCGGTGCCATTGAAGTTGTTTGGACCAATGAAGAGGATAACAAGGAACACATACTTAATACCGTCAAACCTGGTGGAATTGCTGGATACTTAGCGTCGCTTGTTGGGAGCAAATCATTTGTTACACTCAGAGCCAAATCAGATCTGTATGTGGGATTTCTTCCCGCGTCAATGCTTGAAAGGCTATGCGACAAGTACTTCCTCATATATTTGAGGGTAGCAGAAACTCTGACGAATTTTCTAAACCCAAAGATTCTAAAGCTTGACTATGCGTTGGAGTGGATACATTTGGATGCCTCTGAAGTTTTATATCATCAAAATGATCCTGCAAACGCTATTTATGTCGTATTGAGCGGAAGGTTGCGACAGTTACATCAATTGGAAGATAAGAGTCAAGATTCTGCTGGAAAGAAACCCAAGCAGCAGGAGGCTCGAGATGGTCGCAAAGTTAGAGCGATTAGAGAGTATGCACAGGGTGAAAGTTTAGGCGAGGTTGATGTCTTGACGGCGATAAACAGGCTTTCTACCGTTGTGGCATTGAGGGACTCAGAATTGGCTCGCATACCTAGAGCACTGTTCGAACTACTGGCCGTAGAGCACCCATCAATAATGATTCGCGTAAGTCGACTGGTAGCGAGGAAAGTATTACAGCAACAGCGTGGAATTCAATCTTCCGAGACAGTAAAAGATGGCCAAAATTTCAAATATGACTTCAACCTGCTCATACCTCCAACTCAGACTACGAATGGGTCAGTAATCAACTCAAATCATGAAGAAGAAGCTAATTACGAAGGAGGGGGGAGACACAGTTACAGAACTATCTCTGTGCTGCCCATCACCCGTGATCTATCTGTCGAAGGGTTCGCATCTAAACTAGTTAACGCTTTGAAGCAGGTCGGGATGTCTACAATTGGCCTTAATCAATCGGCCACTCTATCCCACCTGGGCAGACATGCCTTTGATGGTTTATCGAAGCTCAAACAATCTGGCTACTTTGCGGAACTGGAAGAACTATATGATACTGTGGTCTATATAGCCGATACGCCTCCAAACTCTACCTGGACGACCACTTGCATCAATCAGGGTGACTGTATCTTGCTTCTCGCAGATTCGGCTATGTCACCTGCTGTTGGCGAGTTCGAGCGACTTTTGATGAAAATGAAGCCAAACGCCAGAATTGAACTGATATTGTTACATCCAGAGAGATACGTGGAACCAGGTCTCACTCACAGATGGCTAAAAAACCGTGTGTGGATCCATTCACACCATCATGTGCAGTTCTCAAACTCGACGTACATGCGTGATTCAAAATCTTCCGCCGAGAGCATGCCCTTCTCTATGAATTTTATCGAAAGCCTCAAAACAAGGGAAAGATTCAATACGATAACCAAGCAGACCCAGGAAAACATATCGCGATTGTTACCCGATTCCTTGAAATCGACAGTAGAAAACTTATCCTCAAGATACATGAGCAGAAAGCAACGCTATTACACTCCAGTTCAACCCCACAAAGATGATTTTCTGCGGCTTGCACGGGTTTTATCTGGCAAAGCGATCGGATTGGTACTAGGCGGTGGTGGAGCACGAGGAATAAGTCATTTGGGCGTCTTGCGCGCTATAGAAGAAAATGGCATACCAATCGACATGATTGGAGGAACCTCCATAGGAGCTTTTGTGGGTGGACTATACGCCAAAGAATGTGACATTGTTCCAATTTACGGACGGATGAAAAAATTCGCAGGCCGCATAGGTTCTTTCTGGCGGTTGCTCACAGATCTGACATGGCCGGTCACTTCTTATACTACTGGTCACGAATTCAATCGCGGTATTTGGAAAACATTCGGTGACGTCCGCATCGAAGATTTTTGGATTCAATACTATTGCAACTCAACAAACATAACAGAGTCTATTCAAGAAATCCATTCAACTGGGTACGCTTGGAGATATATTAGAGCATCTATGTCTTTGGCTGGACTTCTACCTCCTATAGAAGACAATGGCTCTATGCTCTTGGACGGTGGATATGTGGACAATCTGCCCGTATGGGAGATGAAGGCTCGCGGATGTAACACTATTTTCGCGGTGGACGTTGGATCCGTGGATGACCGCACGCCGATGAGATATGGTGATTCCCTCAATGGATTTTGGATCGTGTTTAATCGCTGGAATCCTTTTTCCGAGTATCCAAACATTCCCAACATGGCAGAAATACAGATGCGGCTTGGTTATGTAGCGTCAGTGAACGCTTTGGAAAAAGCCAAAAACACTCCTGGTGTTATTTATGCAAGACCTCCAATAGAGGGCTATGCTACGCTTGATTTTGCCAAGTTCGAAGAGATCTATCAGCTGGGAACCGCTTATGGACATGATTTTTTCCAGGAGCTCCAAAAGCAGAACAAGATGCCCAAGATACCAGGTTCTGAAGCCTTGCCTGAGGACGGAGACGCCAGAGACGGGTTGCTACATAGGCGAAACAGCATTTAAAAACGCATAGCGGGGAGTTGCTTACAGAAAGACAGAGGCATCGTGTATCGCAACAGAAGGAGACGAATCTGTGATGCCCTGTGGGAAGAAACCTTCCAAAAAAAAAAAAAAAATACTCTAAAAAGACATTTTCATTAATTTACACACCCTACACCCTTGCGAGTGAAATCTTGTGGTCCCGTATCCTTTTCGTTACTGAATTTTTCACGCTATTGCTGCTGCTGCTACTACTGCTGCTGCTCAAATTTTTGGTTTTTCTTCTTTTGACAGCGCTGCTTCGTTAGTCCTCCGATGGAGTTGTGATCAGCGTTACTGAATCACCTCTAACAAATACCATGTCCGAAGATTTTGTGCTCGACTTCAACTCTCCCTCCAAAAGTTCATAAATTGTCTCTGTGGCATTCGAAAGAACAATGTTGCAGTGAGTGTCGAACGCTTGTAAAGTTCCGGTCATTTCGCGAGCACCGCGTAGTTTGACAAACACTTTTTCGTCTAGATTAAGTTTCAAGAGGTCCAACGGAGTTTCCAGAGACATGAGTGGTTCAATTGGGTGAGATTTCAGGCGTCTAAAACCTTAATGTTTGTTGAGATGAGTTGAAGTTGTGATTCATCTTGCAAGAGTTGATATGGTCGATCATATTCATTTTACATTACCTGGGTTGTAATTTTTCAAAAAAGAAGAACACGTGATTAAGTCACGTGCTACGTTGGGAAATAGTGATCAGATATTTTCCCGTTGAATTCTCGTGAAGTGCTCTCAGCGTGTTTTGCGGAATGGTGACAGATGATAAGACCTCGAACAAAGTCTGGGGTATTCATTATATCGTCTCATCACATTTTCCGGCAACTATTTTGGGTCGACCAAAGTTCGTGATCTCTAATCCACGAACAGGTATTTCTACCCCGAGAAGAAAATTAGCTTTGAGTGCTGGAATAGAAAAGAATCGACTCAGTAAAGCAGTGGTGGCTCAGAAGCTGGGTTGACTTAAACTGCAACAAACATACGAAATGTGTTGTCAAACAATTTCGTACAAAACGACTAAAACGACCAAAACGTGACCCGTTTTGAAATGTCACTTCTTTTTCAGTTCAGATTTACCAAAAAAGAAAAGCAAAGGAACAAGAGCTTGCGCCTGTGGCTACATTTTCATCTGGAAATAAAAACCCAGCAATTGGCTCCTGCATACCCACGATATATTTTCCAACTTTGATTGAAAAATGACCCAAATTCCTCTTGAATACTCGATTTCACGTGACGTACCTTTACACGAAGACGAATTCACTGAAAAATTTCAGAAATTAAAGTGCTATGCATGTCATTTGACTATTGAGATGTTTAAGCATCGACTAGCCAGTGGGAATTGTAAGGATTCTAGTTACTCCCAGAGAGGCTCTTGACGGCTGGAATTAGGTCAAGAACTGTTACAAGCGGCTTCGAGAATGCTATCCTTCAAACGCGGGCTTCATAGCACGGCTGTGTCGATGGCACGAACCAAATACACGAAACCCAAACCCAAACCCAAATCTAGGCCTCATGTGAGACCATCAACACAGCTAACGCACCACAACAAGCATTTGGACGTAACTGCGCCCATTCCACCCGCGGCTGCTAACATTGTGACCCCAGAGGATCATCCACTGTGGCAGTTTTTCGCAGATAAAAAGTACATGCGTAAATTTGACGAGCTGGACAACGATTCCAGGGCATGGAGCATTCCTGAACTTAGAAGAAAATCTTTTGACGACCTGCACTCGCTGTGGTACACTAGTCTGCGGGAAAGAAACATCCTTGCGCGCGAAAATCATCTGCTGAAAAACGACATGGGTTCGAATCAGGATTCGTTTGAGGCCGTGGCCGAAAAGATCAGAACGACTATGTGGAGAATAAGGCACGTTCTCAGCGAGCGCGATTGGGCCTTCAAAGGGGCTAGCCAGCAGTTTGACTCTTACAAGGACAAATTTCTGCAAGAGTTCGAAAATGACTTTCTCGAGGCCCCCGCTGCGGAAGATGAAGAGTCTTTCGACAAGCTGGCACGTCTACAGAGCAGTATTTTTGGCATAAGTGAGTTTATCGACGAAAATGTCGTGAACAGGGCTTTTGTCGACGGAATGAAATACGTTGCAACGCTAAAACTTAAAAAGTTCTCGTCCAGAGACGCCTCTATTCAAGAGCTTCTGGAGCAATCAAACCACAGCATAACGGACGCAGGCGAAGCTTTTGTTGTATTTACCGCGGAAAACACCGAAGCTGCGGTCAAAGAAGCTAGCGATGTCGTAAAGGAACTTAGATTGAAGGGCAATTCTGTTTCCCGTTACGATGAACTGGATACGGTCAACGACTACGTTAAGCAACTTGCTGCCGCGCAAATGGAAAAAAACGTTTCTAGCAGCGTGTGAGGAAGATTTTTATTTGTTTTCAGTACCACCGCGCAATAACTCAGGAAACTAGGAGCCTCAAATATAACTTTCCGTTACCATGTACATAGCATTACATCTAAGACACGTATTCTACATTTTTAGTGGTCCTCCTTTTCGGCCTGCCTGTGACCGAATATTCTATCTCTGTCTTGAGTGTTTTATCTTCTTGCGTTACCTCCATATCTTCCGTTTGGGAAAAACGTCTTTTGAGCGACGTCGTTTCCTCCTTAATCTTCACCACATAATCCAGCTTTGTCTTTCGAGTGAGTGTGGTGCCGTCACTTGAAGCGCCTGTACTTTTGCCAATTTCTGCCGCGAACAGAACTCCTTGAGCCCAACCGGCAAATTCGCCCCATTTTTGCTTGAACATGGCACGAGTTAAATCGAGCTCATAGTTTACCTTTTTCCGTGTTATAGGTAGATTTTTGTATTCCTTTTGTAGCTCTTCTATGTCTTGCTTTCTAGCGCTGAACTTGTAGTCCCGTTGAGCAATTCTCGCAATGTGCACGTCCACAGGGACCACATCATCCATTCTCAGGCCAGACAAACACACACAGTCTGCTACTTTGGGACCCACACCGTTGAAACTCATGATTTTTTCGCGGACCTGTTCGTACTGCAGATGATCTTTCCAAGATTCCAGATACTCGCTGTCAGACATACTGAGACGGTCGATTTCCATTTTCTGAGCCGTTGCCACTATGAACTTTGCACGATAGCCAAACCCGAGCTTTCGCAACACGTCTTCTGATGCTCTTTGAGTAATTTCTCGACTGGTTGGAAACGAATAGTGGTCGACACCGTCGTAATGACCCACTGGGTTTCCAAAATGTGTACATAGTGCATGACACATTTTCGTAATGCGCGAAATGTTGTTGTTGCTCGAGCATATGTAGGACACCAATGTCTCCCAAGGATCCTGGCTCATGATTCGCACTCCATTGGGCTTTTTACGCTCAAATCGATGATCCTGCGATAGCCATTGTTCCGTGTATAACTTGGTCAAATCCACTTCCAGCCGGAAGTACCGCCGCAAAAACTCCCGCACAGCAGGCTCCTCGACTTTTCCCACTGTCGCATACTCGATAAAGTCCTCAGATTTCTGTCGAAGCACAACAATTCTGTAATGACCACCAATTCTCAGCGTCGAAGAGTACTCGCCCAGTTTTTCGTGAAAAATCCATCTGAAAGCTTGCCCACAATGCAAAACGTTATTCAAGTTCAGTTCTCCACGCTTGAAAAAGAGTTTCTCGAAGCCTAGCATGACAGAACACGACCTGTTCAGCTTGCTTTGGGTTGATCGTTGATCTGATGTATCTCATCTCATCTCATCTCATCTCATCTCATCTCATCTCATCTCATCTCATCTCATCTCATCTCGAGTCATGTGATCTATGAAAAATCATAAATTTGACGTACATAAAGACATCACGATTTTTTGATATTGATTTATAGAATCTGTCAAAACGCGAAACTATTTAACAACCATCCCATCACACCAACAACAGTCAAAAGAGAGGGCGAAGCGTACTTGAATCAGTCAATTGTTCGAGTTCAGATCACACGTCCTTCTCAAATGCTCAATTAGGCGTCAAATTTGAGTAAATTTGGAGGTTTGCACGAGTTCGAGCGACCAAAATTGACCTTATATGCATCGCACAGCGCTGCAACGATTGTGCACATTGAATATACAGCGGAAGATCTCGACCAGCTTTACCACAGGTAGAGCGAAACTCATGGAATCGAACGTACCCAAATTGCACAATTTTGTGAAACGAACCCCAACATGGGATTCAAGTGAGCTATGCCAGCTTTTATCAGATTCCGACGGCTGGGACGATTTGGTGAAAGAAGAAGCAGTTGAGTCTCACTACGGAACAGTATCCAAAGTACCCAAAAGACCACGAGAAGATGACGATGTGCAGATTGTGGCAATCAAAACGGACAACAAACGACAGCTGGACCAGTTTCTGCAACGGGTTTCGTCAAGAACAGGTACGGCAACAACGAATGGTAAAAGTGGCGCATTACAACGCTCCAAAACTGTCGGAACAGTACTCTCCGGTCTTCAAACATCGGTGAATCGTGAGAAAACTGTTCAGAAAGGTGTCAGGAGCTTTACAACCAGCGCTGTGACTCAAACCCGAAGTACAGACAAAGTTAATCTGGCATCGTATACTAAGGACCTTCAAGAGTTACCGCCAGCTCCAAAACTGCGTCGCTCACCGTCGTTCGAAGACCCGCAATGTTCTTCTCCACCTGTTACCACTGATGAGGACGTTGACAAGATTGAACCCCAGCAAAGAAGATCTTCCAAACGGTCCAAAAATCACGAATTGGTATTTCTGACGCAAAAGGAAGAACGAGAGGGTTCCGAGGAAGTTGCATCCAGAACAAACAGCAATATCACCAAAAAGCTTGTACAGGGCCTTGTTTTAAGTGAGGAACAGGAGTATGTTATAGAACTAGCGAAGAAAGGACACAATCTGTTTTACACAGGTAGTGCAGGAACCGGAAAGTCAGTGCTTTTGAGAGTTTTAATCAAGACGTTGAGGAGGAAATATGGACATGAAAACGTCGCTGTTACCGCATCTACAGGGTTGGCTGCTTGCAATATCGGAGGTATAACCGTACACTCCTTTGCAGGAGTTGGTTTGGGACATGGCGACAAGAGGGCTGTACTCAAAAAGGTACGAAGATCTAAAAAACATTGCGTCCGCTGGGCCAACATAAATGCCCTGGTCATTGACGAAGTGTCCATGATCGATGGCGATCTTTTGGATAAATTAGACCACATCGCAAAATCCCTGCGAAAGAACTCGGCACCATTTGGTGGCATTCAGATCATCCTTTGCGGTGATTTTTTCCAGCTACCTCCTGTCAATAAGGACAACAGTAGCGCCACGAAATTTGCATTTCACGCTGCAGCGTGGAAAGATGCCATTGATGCAACGATCATGTTACAGAAAGTGTTCAGACAACAAAGCGATGCCGAATTTGTCAAAATGCTGAATGAGATGAGAATGGGAAACATCTCCCCGGAAACCGAAATGGATTTTAAAAGGCTCAGTCGAGCTTTGCCAGAGGATGATATTATACCTGCCGAGCTGTATAGTACGCGAAATGAAGTTGACAGAGCAAATATGTCTCGTCTCAATGGCCTTCCGGGCATATGCCACACGTACAATGCCATAGATGGTGGTATCATGAAAGATGAAATACAAAAAGAGAAGCTACTCTCCAATTTTTTGGCACCCAAAGAACTGAAACTAAAAGTGGGAGCGCAAGTAATGATGATCAAAAACATGGACGAGACTTTAGTAAATGGTTCTCTAGGTAAAATCATTGATTTTATTGACCAAAGAACCTACATGTTTTACGACACTGTGAGACTGAATCCAGAGATAGAAAACTCACGGCTGGAATCGATGTTAGAGGGGAAAATTCCTGTAAATGAAAACAGCGAAGAAGACGACAGCAATCAAAAAGTGATTAGGAAAAAAAGCGTCAAAGACTCTTTCTGCAGAGTAGGAAGTCAATTACCCCATGATAAACTAGGCGAAAGCATTTTTGATTTCCTATTGACAGACACCGATAATCTCACCGGCGATCAAAAAAGCAACATATTGAGAAAGAAAGAGCTACTCGAGCAGATAAGGGCAAGTTCGACAGGACGTAAACTCCCATTCGTGAGATTTCTTACTCCTGACGGTTCTTCGCGATTGGTCTTAGTACAGCCCGAAGACTGGGCGGTGGAGGACGAGCACCAAAAGCCTCTCGTTAGCAGAATACAGCTGCCTTTGATGCTTGCTTGGGCCCTCTCTATCCATAAGTCTCAGGGTCAGACACTTCCAAAGGTTAAGGTGGATTTGAGACGAATTTTTGAGAAGGGACAAGCCTATGTAGCATTATCGCGCGCTACATGCAGAGAGGGCTTGCAGGTACTGAACTTCAACAAAACGAAAGTACAAGCACATGAAAGTGTCGTAGAATTTTATCGCACACTCATTTCGGCTCATGAGGCCAAAAAGCGGGTTTCTGATAATACTACGAGGAAACAGACAGGCTCTTATGCGCCCAGAGTAGCAGCAAAACCTATGCACAGGCAAGAGGAGCGGCAGGACCGGATAACCTCACTTCTTCAACGCAAAAACAGAAAAAACTTGTATGATTTGGAGCCCGAAATCATAGATGCGGTTGCTGGAGAGTACATAGATGCCGATGCGAGTAACTAAATTGGCTCTTATATAGAATTTTGGGTTGAGCTTAGGTAGGAGATTCTTTCACTTTGTGCCATCAGGGTAGGAAGAACGGGTAGACATCAGTCGATATTACGCATTACGATCAATAGCCCACTTGAATCCTGTGGATAAAAAGTTGGAGGCACTGGCCGATACTTCCTCGACAATTTTGGTTTTAAAGTCACCAGAATTGGTATGTGAAAGCGAATAAGAGTCGTTAATCAGGTCTCTGGTAGAAAGTTCTGATTCCAGTCCACTCCACTGAGATATGACTGCCTCCACTTCCTCAACAGGACATACGTGCAGCAATTTTCCGAGGATTTCCAGCTGCAGGTAGATGATCTCCGTTGGTATCTCACTGTCAGGCCAGGCAGGATCAAAAAATTTCCCCACTTGAAGGACTGTTGACCAAAACTCCTCGCATTTGGGCCGCTGGAGTAAATTCGTTGCCTCATGATAGGCGAACTCGAAGTCGGAATTTGCGAGAGCAAAGTCAATATGTATTGCGCAGGTCTTGGTATACTCATCATCGAAATTAGTTGAGCGCTCTAACTGAAGCGCCGAATATAGAAGTTTGACAATTTCAAATGTCTCCTCCAATCGCTTGTATAGGCCTCTATTCAGTTCTAGAAGTTTTGAAATGATCTCGTAGGGCCGGTGCTTGTATTCAATTAATGCAGAGGGTCTGAGTGGAACACCTTTCGAAACAGTCAAGGAATAATTCGAAAGTTTCTCAGCAACATTGAGAAGGGCTAAAAGATCTCGATGTTGGCCTTTCGGTAAAAGTTCTAAAATTCTTCTTGCATTTAGCATGTTAGGTCCGTTCGCGCGTCCGCTTGTTGCCGAGTTGAAAAAACTCCAAAAAAACTTGAGCAACACATTATCTTCAAGGTCGAATTCAGAGTTTTGTGCGAATTTTTGTAACATGTCAAAATGACCCTTGCCCAACAGGGATTCCACGACGATGAGTTTCTTGGTCACAACATCAAGTTTTTGAAAGATGGGATCGCCTTGCATGAATGATCCTAATGTTTCTAGTGTCTCGTATGATTCCGTGGATTCGAGCTGCTGTATGCACATTGTGGAGAAACAGGATTTTTGAATCAGCAATGAGCTTTGTGATAGCTTATAAATATCTTTAAGACCATAAAGCTGTAACACATCCATTTTTTGCGCGAACACTTGAAGCGTTTTTACATCGAGATAGTCTAGAATCTTGATATTGTCAATTACGGAGCTCAAGATTAAGCTTTGTTCAGCGCGTAAGTCAAGTCCGTCGATTTTTTGGAGAGCGCTTCCATTATCGAAAAGAATTGTGATGGCGCGTTTTTGGAACAATTCTTGAAACTCAGAAGGAATTTGATTTAGCAATTCCAATGCCAGCATCTTGTATCGCTTAAAATTAGAGATTGCATCGAGAGGAAAGTTTTCCTCGTTAAAGATGGTTTCCAAGAACTCGTTGTAGCCTGCGACGTACTTCAGGTATGGCAAAAGCTCGTAGGTGAGCGCACCACGGAATGTGGGCTCTTCCACGTTCTCGACCGAGTGCCAGAGCAAATCCAATGTTTTAGAAGTGGAAAAAGATTGAAACTCAGCTATTGGATATCGTATTCCTGTTCGATTACTGTAATGTGACAAAGGTTTCACGATTCCCGATATCCAGCCCATATACTCGGGATTATGGGCTGCGCTCAATTGTGACCACAGAGGTTTGTAAAAAAGCGGATCTTCTACTACCGCGTTACACACCAGAACTCGCGCCTGAAAGAACGCAGATTTCCAATTGTGACTTTCAATGGAAATTCCAGTTTTTTTCTTCAGCTCAGAGTCCACATATTGTTGCAATGCAACTTTTCGTTGCAGTAAAGTCTTAGGACTTGCCTCCACTGCAGCTATTAACTCTTGATTCCCATCGATCACAGACTCTAGAGTTCCCAAATGGGACTCCGACTGAGATTCCGAATCAGTTTTCTCAAGTGCCTCAACACTGTCAAATATCCTGCGCAATCGAAGCGGATCATCTAGCTCTGGCCACAAAACACATACAATTTTCAAGATTTCTACCCAGTTCAGTTGATTCTGCTCCAAAATCAACCGTGAGACCCGCAAAACATCAGATTTTGCCGCCAGAAAACAACACAGCACGTATAGTTGATCATTAAGCATCTTAACAGTCCATATCGGTGCGAAAGTATGTAAATTTGTGAACTTTTTGTAGATGAAAGTTTCCAAGTTTAAAGGTCAATTTGATGATTTAAATATTGAATATATATACTTGAAGATTCATCGACATCTTTAGACGAAAGATCACACAAATATGAGCCATCAAACCAGTGAGAGAGCTGTCGAAAAGCGACTGGCGGTTTACAATCCAGATAACTCGATCAATGGCTATTTGAATGCAGTTTCAGAGCTTTCAACGGTGTCATTTGCAGCTATACTTGGAAAACTGGAAGATAAACATGAACTGAGCTTAGAAAAGATCAAAGAATGGAGGAATTCTTTTGGATTAAAGAGGGAAGATGCAGAAGTATATGTGGAGACGGAGAAGTTGAGAGTTGGCGCCGAAAATTCGAGCGCAGCGGCAAATATCGCCAATATCAAGCAAACTCTAACAGAAGATCTGTCGACCACCAAGGCTAGAAACAAGATTTTGAGAGAAAGAAACGCCAGACTGCGAGATATGAACTCACATATCGATCTGGTGAACGAGCAGATCGAAGATATGCAAAAAACGAAGTCAAGGTTGAGTGCCCCGCAGGAGGAATGGGAAAAACGTCTAGGTGCTCGGGCAGTGGCCCAAATGCTACGTGCAAGAGTCTTTAGACGACAGATGGTGAAAGTGCGAGAAGACGACGCAGACGTGGAGTACGAGGAATTGTCGGTGCAGGCGAATTTCTCCAAGAGCGCACCAGAATTGGAGCGTACAAACGAGTCCATGAAACAGAGTATTCGCAGATTACAACAAGAATTGCACGATTACCAGGATAAATGGAGCCACAACGCCCAGCTTTTCGATAGAATAGCCGACGTGCTTCAGGATGAGCTTGCTATTAGAAATGTGGTCACATCTGCGGAAAAGAACTTTCAAATCGACGAGCACCGGGATAAACTTATTGAAGAACAAGACCAAGAACCAGAACCAGAAGCATATGAAGAAGACGACGGCGACGAAGAAGACGAAGAAGAAGACGACGACGTTGAGACTAGTGGTTCAGAACCTGATAAAGATGATGACGACGACGATGACGACGACGACAACAACAACGCTGATGAGAACGACTAGCAATGGTCCGCGTTACATACATAACGACCCTGTATACCTACGAAAACTCAAGTGCATCATCCCTAGAAAAAATGCCAGAAATTGATTATAACTCTTGTCGATTTTGTTATGTGATAATTGCAGATAAAGTTTACACATTTTCCAAGATTTCGTCCTTGAAACCCGAGGTGGCAACCTTCTTACCCTTCTCTTCACCGGCGCTTTCACCGTGCAAGGCCAACAAGGAACCCAAGTCGAATTTTGGTTGTTTCAACAACTTCACCTTTCTGATGTGGACGTTTTGTAGAGGGAAAATGTCCTTGGTGGCGTTCTCGATCTCCTTGTTGATGACTTCTGGGATCAACTTGGAGGTCAACTGAGCCAAAGTGGCGTTCTGGACCTCTCTAGTCAAGATCTCGGAAATCACCTTTCTGATGGCTCTGATGTGAGAAGACTGGGCGTAACAGGCCTTCTTGACCTGGTTTGGCTGTCTTCTGGTGAAGGCAATAGCAAACACTCTCAAGACGTAGTCGTCAGCAGTCTTGACAGTGACGTTAGCCTCGATCAAAGTTTGCCATTTTCTGACCATAGATCTGTACTTGTCGGCGGTGAAGTCTAGACCGTGGAAGTTGGTCAACAAGTTCTTGCCTTGCACTTCGTCCACTCTCAATTTAACCTTTCTGAAAGAGTGGTCTTCGGAGCCCTGTAGGTCGGCTAGACATACTTCCACCACTCTGCCCTTCAAGTAGTCAGAAGCGTTCTTCAAACCGGTAGACTTGTTAACCAAAGTCTTACCAACGTTTCTGTTCTCGAAGGTCGAAGGGGCCTTGATGTCGTACCATTCCTTTCTGGTGAATGGGTCGACGACCTTCTTCTTCAAACCCTTCTTACCCTTGGATAGTCTCTTGTTCTTACCAACAGCCATATTGCTTGGGGATGATGTATAGTTGGGTTCTGTAGCACACTAACAGGAAATGGTGTAGTATACCTTATGAACTTGAAGATGAACTTTTGATGAAATTGTTCACTGCTGCCCACTGGCGCCAGTGCGCACAGAGTGTTAGAGTCCCTGGGCAGACATCCCAGCCTGGGTTCAACCTGGGAGCTGGGCCCAGGCCGTGAACGCTAGGCAGACCGCTCACCAACCCAGCCTGGGTTTGGGCTCAGCAAGCCCCGCTAGCCTCCAGGCTGATGAGCTGGTGCGATGAGATCGTTTCCCCCCACGCAACAAAATTGTTACAGTCCTGATTTTTCTTTCCACCGGAAATTTTGGAAAAAGAGAAAAATGTACGGAAGTCAAAATGTATGGGTGGAGATAAAACAGTCCCAACCAGGACAAAACAAATCGTCAGAAGTGACTCATTAATAATGTATCACGTGATCCAACCAATGGACTTTAAGCGCGAATTCAAGCATCCACATCCATCCTATTGTAGTGCATTTTGACAGTTTTCCTAGTTTGCGTGCTTTTGCGTGTCAAAAGTGACTATAATGGATCACCACGGTCGTTAGATGGTGCAAAACCCTCGAGATTTGTCCAAAAAGCTTGAAAATGGTCAGAAATTGATCGCGTTTTTTGGAGGAATCATGTTTCCAACAAGACTACACGTTTACTGATATCTTCTTATCGAATTGAGCGGCTGTTTTAGTTGCCTTTCACCTTTTATTGTCTTGATCTAACCCGGTATACCAATTACTCTATATCTATAATAACAAATTTATGTCTCCATTGTAGTTGAAATTTGAAGGTTTCGGTACAACTCCACACCCGATTTTACCCATTCGAAGCACAAAGCTGGCGCGGTACAAGGGCACACAATATGGATCAAGATGCACCGTCTCTTCCGCCTCCTAAAAACACTTTCACCATCAAAATCGGGCTTATAGGAGACGCTCAAGTGGGCAAAACATCTCTGATGGTCAAATACGTCGAAAATGTGTTCGATGAAGAATATACACAGACTTTGGGAGTGAATTGTCTCAGCAAAAAGATTACATTAGGATCGGCCGATATTCTTTTCTATATAATGGATCTTGGTGGACAGCGAGAGTTTATAAATATGTTGCCATTGGCCTCTGAAGGTGCCAAAGCAATCGTGTTTCTTTTCGACCTCACACGACCAGAAACGCTCAAATCGATTCAGGAATGGCATCGACAAGCCACGGGATTCAACGAGCGGGCCGTGCCCTTATTGGTGGGAACAAAATACGATCTGTTCGTTAATCTAGATCCAGATTTGCAAGCACAAATCTCCAAGCAAAGCATGCGATATGCACAGGCAATGGACGCCCCACTCGTATTTTGCTCCACTTCGCATTCCATAAATGTTCAAAAAATCTTCAAAATCATCATTGCCAAGCTTTACAACTTGACCATGCGTGCTTCAGAAATCAAACAAATTGGCGACCCGTTGCTCATATACAAGCATCTGGGCGGTACGCGCAGGTCCGCTTCCGCGTCGTCAAACTCACCGGGTCCGTCAACATGAAAAAAATGGTTGACCTTGTGGGATTAGGTGTGTAAGACCATCACTGAAGCGTCTCACCTCGATTTACTCATTCTAATTTAGCATTATTTACTTATTACCTCCCACGCAAATGATACAGCGTTCACCTTCGGTCAATTCAGACCACCAAGGTTCACAGACACCTTTCCTCAGCATTCAATTTTTCAATTTATCTCTTAGCAAACACGCAGTGATTTAAAGCGTTTTCATGACCTTATCCTGGTCAAGAGCATATTTGACGTCTTCGGTCGACACATTCAGTTTGACTGCACTCAAACGCTCGTTTTTGAGATTCTGCCGAATGACGATGCCGGCTTCGATGAGCTGATTGACCAAAAACTCCCAAGATATAATTCGCAGCTGTTCTAATGACAGTTCTTCGTCTTGATTGAAAAGAACTCTTTGCATTTCCACAATAAACTTGTTCTTACCATTCGCATCAATCGAGGATTTGATCTCATCAATGATGTCGCCTAACGGCTGCTCCTGACATCCTGTTTTCCTAATTAGATTGATCATAGCATATAGGAACAGTTTAGTGGTAAACGGGAGGCTTGCCATAAATGACACCACTGGAGAGTTTACCGTTTCGTTGAGCGCCTTCATGATATGATTAATCTGAACACTTTGAACTTCATCATCTTCGGTCAAGATGGAACCAGCGCCGTTGGGTTTGCTATTATTGCTGTGTGTAACGCCATCGTACCCATATCCATGGCGCTCCATGTATTCATGTTCTGCGATCTCAACCGCTCTTTTGCACGCTTTGAGTGCTCTCCGAGCATCTCCGCTTACACTAGCTATCTTCCTAGATGCAATTTCGACGGCGTCCGGCGCTATCTTCAGCTTTACCTTGCGCATACCACTTGTTACGAGACTTGGGTTATCGTCTTCATTGGAAACTATTCGTGCGCTCCCATTTGCCACGTCGACGTAGAAATAACTTCCATTTAGCCCCTTGAGTCTCAAATTGATAATTGTCTTGAGTTCTTCATGGGTGTAACCAGTGAACATAATTCTTGTGAAGCCAATTCTGGAGGAAACCTTATTGCCCAACTGCTTTTCTGGTAAATCCATCGTATTGGCTACCGCAATAACTATCAATTTGGCATTGGCATATGTAGTCCAATTGAAGAAGTTGTACATTACGTCCTGACTCTTAGTGACCAAGGCATCTAGCTCATCGAGTAGGACCAATATAGGTCTCTTCTTATTTTTTGGCACTTTGTTGAAATAAAACTCCAGAGATTCCATGGCAGCACCGGACGTCAGCCTCTCACCTGAAATCTTGTTCCACAAAACCTCGTAGCTGTCTGTGGGTTTGATCATTTTCAAGCCATTCACCTCCGCATATTGGAAATTTGGAAGCTCATTTTGTTCAACCGATTTCAAGAGTTCTTTAACAACTTCTCTGACAGTCAAAGTCTTCCCCACACCCGGAGTTCCTGCCACATAAACCGTCGTGCCTGTCCCGGCCTCAATGGCACTGTACAGACTCAAATAGATAGAAGCGAACTCATTTTCACGGGCTGGCAAATAGTCATCGAAATTTCCAGCTTTCATGATTTCATCTTTGCCATGAGAAGTGTAAAGTTGTTTTTTCACTTTAGAAAAGATGGTTTCCGTAGTGTGCTGCTTTTTAGGACTACGCAGTCTGTTTTCGATAGCAGCAACATCCATGTCAATCTGGTCTTGATTGAACTCTGCAATTTCCGTTAGGTCTGGAATATCTTGAGTCTTTTTGAATCTCTTCGAAAAGGGAGTATATGCCTTTTTGGCCCTCGACACATTTTTCTTCGAATACTTCTTGATACCACCGAGACCTGAAGTGCTACTTTTAGGAGACTTCTTGGTAGAGGAAGACGGGGCTGCTGGTTTTTTTAGGTCTTTGCGCTTTTGAGGGCCACGAGACGCGCTCCTGTAAAGCGGCCTTGGTCGTTTTCCTGGAATTTCGTCGGAACTTGAATCTCCTTCCTCTTTCTGACTGGAATTACTATTATCATTGTCGGAGTCCATCTCGAGCTCTTCGTCGCTATCTAGCGATTCTGAATCTGCATCTACTTCCTTGTCATCGCTAGCCAAGAACTCCTCGTCGTCTTCATCATCATCATCTTCTTCTTCTTCATCGGAAAGACTTTCAGAGCTTCTTTCGCCTTGAGCGGAATCGTCTTTATCGGAGCCATCTGAACCGAGACGAGCCTTTTCGGTTGAAACCTCCTGGCGTGCGTGTTTTTTGGAAATATCAAGATCTTCTGAGGCATCCTGAAAGCCCTCAGAGCCCTCAGAGCTTGAAGAATCTTTGGCTTCGTCGACATCCCCAGCATCTTTGGATCGTTTAGTATTTTTAGCATTTTTAGTACCTCCGGCATCTTTGACAGATTTGGCACCTTTAGCATCTTTAGCACTTCCGGTACCAATGGCATCGTTGGTGTTTTTTTTTGCTGCTGTGTCGAGATTCGCACTTTTATTATCTTCAGGCGATTTAAGTGTGTGGGTGAGCCTTTTCTTTCCCTTGTCCTGAACAGGCTCGATCGTCAGTTCTTTGAGGAATGTGTGCGACTCTCTTGAATCCCAACGAGCCACTTTTTGCTCCACGTCATGAATTTCGATCTTTCTGAAAGACATCCCTGTTGGCTCGCAAGCAAAACGAACGAGGAAAGGATTAATCGTATCGTCATCGTTTGCGGTACTCAATTTTTGGGCTGGGAATTCTTCAGTATCACAAACTTTGGCTTTACACACAAAATCGACCAGAAGAAGCTCGGTGAGCTCTGCTGTCAAGAAAAGCTCGTTAGAATTGCAGATCTTTTCGAAAGACGCTGCCACCTGAGCATCTGGCATTTTTTGCAATTTGGATGCCGGAATTTCTTCACACGCTTCGAGATACTCTCTTTCATCCAGTTCGAACTTTTGTAGGTATCCGAATGCCCAGATCTCAACCCAATGGTTCAACGTGTTCAGTCTAATCTCATGAACCATATAGGCGGAATATGAATTTGTTTCCGCGTCCTGCATGACAATTGAGTCACCACAACCAAACTCCATATTGTCTTTCACACGCTTTATCGACACGTATTCCTTTCCGGAACTTCTGTCATTTCTTCTGCGAACTCTTCTTACTCCAAACTCATCATCCAGAATACTTCCATTTTCGTCCCTCTTTACAATCTCCCAACCCTCGAAATCTTGTAGAGTACTAGCCATCGAGCAAAATAGTAGCTTACTTACTATATGAGGTTGATCACAAAGGCTTTTTAACCTCAAGCTACCGTTCTTTTGTTTGAACTAAGTTGGGTAAAGTTTGGATCGATGCCCTCTGATTTCAACATTTTGACCTTTAATTTGTTTATACTTATTATTTCGTGAAAAGCGTCGACGACAGCGGAACATCAACAACGCTGTTTAAACAGTCTAAGAAGAGAGGTCTCCGGAGATCTGAAACCTGTAGAACGAAAGAATGAGCTATTCAGATTAAGCTATCAAATTTTTTTTTGCGAAATTCGCCACGAAACCGCTCTTTAAGGTGAACGACGCGATTTGAAATGTCTCAAACTATATTCGAAAAGTTCATCTAAGTTGTAAAACTTCACAGGAAAATGATCTTCACAAGTATACAGACTATTTTGAGCTTGCTTAGATATTTTTGAGTCTTATTACGCGCGCGCCATGGGGGTTTCTTTTGTAGTTGGTTTATTGATTTGACGCACCTAAGGTATATATGGGTTTCAAAAGTCCCCAAATGAAGACAAGACAAGGGAAACTGTGATAATCACGAAAACAATAAATCGAGACTACAGTGTGCGAACGTATGGTTCTAAAGCTGGCACAGCTACTTCAGTTTTATTCTTATAACATTTTCGTGACATTCGTCACTTGACCTATTTGGTCACGTGAGTAGATACATTGCTACTGTCTCTAAACTCTCTGATGGCTTCTACCGTTTACTTCGGAAGCCCAAAGAGATTTATAGGAAAGAGTGCTATTTTTCCTTCTTTTTGGATTTTTTAAAAGTGTCAGAGTCATGAAGTACGCGCACTTTCTTATTTCTTTGGCCAGAAACATCGCGAAAGTAATCTTTGAGCCAAAAAACACTGTTCAAGTAGCGACTAATTTATTGTAATGTCTCTGCTCTCTCAAGGCTATAATTTTGGGGGTCAAATTGCAACCTTTTTTGCAAGCAGTCAGAATGGGAAAAAGTGATCAAAATAACAAAGCAAATGATGCGGAAAATATAAGGCCCCGAATTTGAAGTCATTGGAAGAGTCACGATATCCAAAAAGTGGACAGACGCATTTCCTCAATAAGAACTCCCCTCTGCCGCTTGATGGGTCCTGGTCACGTGACTTTTATTGTTTCATCCTCAGAACTAAACAACCATCATTGTACTCTCCGCAAAGAAGTGAATAGTCGCGTAGAAAGCCTGTCCATTCACTCAATTGTGCTATTCAGCATCTTTGGAACACTCTAATTAGTAGTCCCTCTGTGACGTTTTAATCTTCTCACGTGACTCTTTCGTATCCTGTCAAACAATAACGTCTACAATTATAAAGGCGAAGTCCAATAAATCAAAGCTTCTTGACAATGCTCATCGCGCGCTCGAGAGAAACAATAAGGACTTGCGAACAGCTGGGCTGCTTCCAAGAGCCTGAGTTCCCGTTTATGAGCCCAAGATTATAAATACAGAAAGTTTCAAATGCTAGGACGTCGCCTCCAAAAAGCTGCATCGAAGCCTTTTGACAATCTCAGTGCTTCGAGCCGTCTTACTCAGTTCTGTAGACTGGGATCGTCAATTTTAATCATTGTGTTCACAATGGTAGTGACAGTTGGAGCATTAACGCTTCCGGATAGACTATTCATGGGCCAGATGAAAACCTCATCAATTGACATTGCCAATGGCCTGTTCCAGTTCCTTCAATCGTCCGTGGAATCGTCTACGGCCAACTACATTAGCAATGGAGTTGGACTCACAACTTCTGAGATTTTAATTCTGACAGATTACACGGCAATGCAGTCTAAAGCAGCACCTCAATATGTGGTTTCCTCCGTTTACGGCTGGTGCCGTGTTGAAAACAGAACTACGATCACCACAGGCCCCAGAGCTCACAATTATACAACCTGCATACGAGAAGGCTCGGATTACATTTTCGACTACCGAAGCTTGATGAAAGACGTGGGTCTCGAGGTGATTCTGGATTATGCTTACGGGTCTCCCGATGGCAGCACTTACGAAACAAGTCCATCGTACACACATTATATGAATACCAGGAGAAATACAAAGGAAAGAATGGTGGTTTTGCTGTATTTCGTGGCAGTTTGTCAGGCAGTTGTTCTAGTCCTCACACTGTGGTATTACTCAATTAAAGGACGAAACCTCAACCAATTTAGAGAGTTCATGCTCGAGCATACAATTTCGGTGCTCTCACTGGTAGTATGCATATGCGCATTGGTGAGCGCAATATCCTTGTTGTCACTGAACATGCAGCTGCGATCAAAGGTAAACAGTGAGCTTGGTGTAATGGGGATTTCATACCACCTGGGACGGGAATGGTTTGCTGCGCTTTGGCTGGCGGCCATCTTTTCTTGCGTATCTTGCGCTAATTGGTCTGGTTTAGTGTGGTGCATCACCAATAATAACGTGGAGCGAGAAGAATCCTACGAGCTGGGTATACTTGCATCAGCCGGCGAAAGCGTGCATGACCGCTCTTTGGAGCAAGCAAACGCAGAGGTCGATAGGCTCGAGAAACCATTTTTTCCAAGAGGAGACCTTTCTCAGGCAGGAATCTTGGAAAACAATTCGATGGAGTCCTTGAATCTACTGGCCACAACCGAAACAGAGCACTCCAGCATCGTACGACAAAAACCGGTCGTGCCGACATCTGCATTTAGCTTATGACGTTGCTGACGTATAGTGTCAAAAAATCATTTCTCGACGTCAAAAGGATCTTGAGACCTATTCAATCTCTTGCATGTGTCTCATACCTTCGAGTGACCACAACCTGGTGCATTGACATTGTAACTCCAATCACAATGAAGCTAGACTTCAAATCAAACAAGTTGCGGCCCTCATTTCTCGCTCTAGCTACGGCAGCATGTCTTTGGTTTTCTATTCTGACATCACTCTTAGCTATTATTCTACTGCACGTTCCAAGCGTGTCGTGTAACTCGTTGGCTGGTCCACGATTCTGCATTCCACAGTACACAGTCCGTTTTTTGGAGGTCCCGAACCCCGATCAGAATATATTCGTTGGAGCCAAGAGTCTTTTGACTTTACTCTCTTACGTTGCATTGGATTTAAACGCAAAGGGCAAAGCTGCTAACTTGGAAGATTACGATGACGTGAACCTGGTGAACACGTTCAATTCTCCTAACCGCTATAAAGTGAACCATTTGGGATACTGTAAAGAGCAGCCGTCAGTAACAAAGATTCCTCGCTATTGCATCAACAACCGCAACGGGTTGGAGCCTGTTTCCACCCTCATCCGAGACGTGGGTGTACAATTTGGAATCACCTCATCAAAAAACCCATACATGATGGGCAATTCCTTCGTGTACGCTTTCAAACTAGGACTTAGCACTCTGCTTGAAGCAGGTAAAAACGGGACAACGCATCCGGACGACAACGTTTTCGCCAAATACGTGACCAATGATCCCAGCTCCGATAGCGATGCTCCAGTTCGCGATCTCAGTCGATGGCAAAGCGTGGCAGAGCTATTGGTAGTGCTTCAACATCTATGCTGGTCGATAAGCTTCATTAACCTGGTCGAATTTCTGTTGTGCGTTCTTGTCGTAATATCGACTATCATCACAGCACCAACTGCATTTACGGGCAAACAAAGAGACAAGAAGTTTAGGAAAATATGGCGGATTGTCGATATCTGGGGACATTTTGCTCTCAAGATTCTTCCCATCGTGGTCGCTATTGTGAGTTTTTTCGGTGTTTTCATTTCGACCGTACTGTATATGTCGTTGAGCAGAGCCTCTTCGACCCAAGGGCTTTCCAGAAGATACTACGATCTTCAAGTAGGTGGTGCATTCTACGTCAACGTTGCGAGATTGGTTTTGGAATGCGTTTTGATCTGGCAAACCGTGAAATTCAACCAACACAGGAACAACGCCGAAAATGAGCTACAGTTAAGCCCAGCGCCTCTAGAAAGCTGGCAAAAAGACATAGAAATGGACTCGATACTCTCCTCAAGTACAACAGTCTGAAAGGACTTCAATTGGTCGACTTCAGGTCCCTGATCAACCAAACTTTGTCATTGTAGTTATGTATGGGTTATTTTCTTTAAACAAAGCGAGCATTAAGTAGAACATGAACAAACTTTGAAGAAAAGCTCGACATAAAAGATCACAAACAACCGCTGTTTTATAGATCAAACGAGCCACCTCATGTCCGGTTTGAGAACTTTTGATGCGTTTCGTAAGTTTTGGATCCTAGCTGCGTGAAATGGTGTTAGACTGACAGTTTACGAAGTCAGTTTAAACAATTCACCTAAAATAGTGAAAAGACAGTATACTAACTACAATGAGCTTTTAAACAGCCAAAACGGAGGATCAGCATGTCAAAAAGTCTTCAAAAGGTGGTGTTTCATCCATTTTGACCTATCTTTTTCTAGCATTCATCGCCTGGAGCGAGTTTGGCAGCTTTTTTGGAGGATACGTTGACCAACAATACGGGGTTGCTAGTGATGTTCGAGAGACCGCACAGATCAATATGGACCTATTTGTTCACACGCAGTGCAAGTGGCTAAGTTGTTTCGCTTCTGATATCACCGGAGACCGGAAATTAGTGCAAAAGGAACTATCCTTTGAGGACATGCCATTTTACTTTCCCTATGGAACCAACGTTAACGATAGAAACGAAATCAGAACTGCTGGTTTGGATGAGATTCTTTCAGAAGCCATTCCGGCTCAGTTTCGTGAAAAACTGGACCTTTCAGCCCTGGCCGAGAACCAGGAATTTGACGGGTGTCATATTTTCGGCTCGATCCCGGTGAATATGGTACGAGGAGATCTCATCATTACAGTACGTGGTTTCAGTCTTTCCGATTTCCAAAGAACACCGGTTGAAGCCATCAACTTTTCCCATGTGTTCAATGAGCTTTCTTTCGGCGACTTTTATCCGTACATTGACAATCCGCTCGACAAAACAGGACGTCTCACCAATGAACCTGGTACTAGCTATCGCTACCACACTTCAGTAGTTCCTACCACTTATAGAAAACTGGGTGCCGAAGTTTACACCAATCAGTACTCTTTGGGCGAAAAAGAGTCTACAGTTCCTATTCACAATGCCAGAAGAGGGCCCGTGGTTGGTATTACTCTTTCATACAATTTTGAAGCACTGTCGATAACCATAAGTGACGAACGTATTTCATTTTGGCAGTTTATCGTGCGCTTGGTGGCTATACTATCGTTCATTGTCTACATCGTATCCTGGACGTTTAGGCTCACCGACAAGCTATTGGTGGTCACTTTGGGTCCCAAGTGGTCGCTCCGCTACCAGAACGACACTCGTCAAAATCCTGGAATCTTACAATAGTGATCATCTTTCGTTATAACAACAACTTCTTGTCAAAATATCACCAACTTGTACAATAATACCAACTACATAAAAACAACACTTTGTGGATAGCATCTATATATACATATATAAGCGTATAGAACTGAATATCTTGCCATGTCTGCCGATCTCAAGTCTGTTGTGGACGATTGTCACAGCAAGAGACATCTCAGTTTGGAAACTTTAGCCGCGGAGTGGCAGACAAAGGAGCTCGACAGACACGCAATTCGCGCTGAGATGATGAAACAAGAGGTTCTGCAAAAACTGAGCCAGGCAACCGGGCTCATGGACTCAGAATGCAAGGAAACTTCCACGGCCGCCGACCATGCGCCCATAAACCGGTTGGACTGGGACGAACTGTACGAAACCTCCGCAAATTTGATGGATTTGTACACTAAAGAAGTAGATATCTGTTTGACAGAGCTTGACAGCTACTATAGGGTAAGTGAAATGTTGTTGTGGATCCATGAGGAACGCGCTTACATCAAGGATGCATACTAACCAAACCACCAAAAACTGCAGAAACAATATTTATGGCAAGAGGCAGCTTTTACAATCGACTCACACCGTGGTGCCACCCGAATCGGTTTTGCGGAGAGCTGGATAGCTAGCAAGGAGACCCATTTGGAATATACGCGCCAAGAGCTCTCTTCATCAGCCCGCGTAATCAAGCGGACGCTGGAAGATCTGTCACGCAAATAACGTGGTTTTGAGATTGCTCTTCAACTAATTCAGTATTATAAGCCCTCTGCGTTATTATTTACCTCATCAATAGCTCATATTTTTCATTCAAGTTTTGATTTCTTGGCCGGTCTACTGTCATCGTCGCCTTCGACTTCGCTATCACTAGCAGGTGCATCAGAATCGTACTCTTCTGCGACATCCTCGTCCTCCGAACCGGCGTCAAAGTCCTCGTCCACAGACTCGTCGTCTTCGCCCGCAGACCCCATATTTACATCTTCGTCGCCACTGTCAGATCCCAGCGCATTTTCCAATCTTTGTTGTGCATCTTTTTCTTCGTTCTTGACCCTCAGATTTTTGGATTTCAAAAAGTTCTCCAGCAGCTGTTGTTCCTCTTTAGAGATGTTTGCAAAAGTTGTGGACCCGCCGTTAGCACGCAGAACAATCTCCAAATCGAAGGTTCTTGCCGATGTGGTAGATTTTCCAGCTCTGGAGATGTTAACAATACTGACGTCGCTGAAAGGCATGTACAGTGTAGGCTTGGTGAGGAAAAGGAATGCACTATCTAGTGGATACAAGTGACCCTCGTTTGCTTTGAAAGAACACGACACGGCGCATTGATCGTATTTCGACTTGTATTGACCAGGAACAATAACTCTGCGACCCGTTAGACCTTTCAAAACATGGCTCAGGACAACGTGTGTTTGTGCATCGTACTGTTTCATGAGCTTGTCCTTGTAAAGCTCCTCGAATTCGTCATCTTCGACATTAAGCTGCACTTCGGTTTCCTCCGTTCTTTGGAACTGCATTACCAGGAATGGGTACGAAGTCTGACCTTGGCGTAGAGGTGGCTCGATCGACAGTACCATTAGGTGATGAATGTCATCAGCCTTGGGCAAAGAGAAAATCCGTTGGATTTGGCGATGCTGCAATTTGTACTCGTAAGTTTTACCTCTGAGCCTGATAGAATTCTTGTAAATGTCAATATCGTAACGTCCTCTTGGAGTAGTGAAGAATACGTCTTGGAATGAAACAATGGCGTCTCCTGAAACCTCGCCGATATCGGCTTTTTCTTTGAGCTCCTCGTAAAATGACTCTGCAACAGGTTTTTGCTCCTTTTGTACTTCCACACCTTCTTGTTCGCCATCGGTTTTTGGCTTTTCCATTTGTTCGTCATCCTGATCTTCCTCAATGGTGCCTGGAACGTGAAACCTCATTTCCACGAGCTCGTCGCCCGCTGGGTTGTAGTCTTCCTTTGTGAGATCGAATTCGACGGCCACCTCAGTCTTCGCTGTCAAGTTTGTATTACTGATGTGAGCGTATGGGATTTCAAAGGTTGGCTTTCCATTGTACGAAAAGACCATCTCGTTCCGAGCCATATCGGCTTTCCCCCAGTTCCAGCCACGCAGGGAATGATCACGACTCTCAACTTGGACGTTGAATCTTCTTTTGAAGTCATTTTTCACCAGGTTGAAATCTTCTTGTGAGAACCCATCTAGCTGTACAACACCCTGATTTTTTGTATTTATCTTCAATTCGTAGCCTCTGCACCCTCTGCTCCATTGCACAGACGCCAGCTCCGTTGCTGGCAAAAGTAATGGTGCTTTTTGCTGTCCTGCGGCCGAACCACCGCTGCTAGAGATCTTCCATCCTAAACCGGAATCTGCTATCCGGAACCTTCCACTGGACTTGGACTGGTTCAAAAAGATACGTTCGAAGTCTGTGCTCATCGGATCAATCGATTAAAACGTTAAATGCTCGTTGATAAGGTCGTTGGAATGTTCAAAGACCAGATGGTCAAGTTTAGGATATGTCAGGCTGGGTTGACGAGTTGTCTTGAATTATTGATAAATTTCAGTTTGGTGATTCGTGTAAAGTGATGTATATTTCGAGAAGAGCTAGAGAATTAATTAGTCACGTTATACTGTCGTGTCAGTATCTCTGGCGTGAATCAAGATTTTGAGTTTTAGAAGAACTTTTCGGTGTGTATTTATTTCTTTGATAGCTTGAAACGTGAGGATAGACGCCTTTTTATTGTTTGTTTATAATGATTAATTCGCAAATTTGGTTTAATTCGGACCACAGCTCAATAAATTGTAATTACCGAAACAACGGAAACGAAAAAAGGTCACGGGCTCACCTAAAGTGGGGCTGCTACTGAGTTATCATTAACGTTGAATATACGTTGAAGCAAGTTACTTTCTCATTTCAATTCAAAATCTATACTTCTTGCTCGCTTCTATGTTGTCGCTATTGTTTTTTAAAAGTCACGTGCAATGGCTGACACCAAATAAGACAACCATCAGTACTTTTACCTTACCTTACCTTCCTCTCTTCATTTGGTATATGCTTTCTTATTCTGGATCAGCTTTCTGTACTAAGTTGTCATTGTAAGTCATTCAGATACATTTATCAATCATATATATTTGCGTGTTTGCGTGTTTCGGCTCTCAAAAGCCTACTGTCATTCGTCTCTTTCCATGTCATTAAGGCCCCGACAAATTTATCTACAACCCATTTTTGACACCTTGCAAGAACTCAACAAACCCAATAGCACCAGGGTCAGGAATCTCACTTGAATCACTCACATACGAGGCTCTGCCAAATTTGGCTTCAATTGAACCTGTGGATTTAGCACCTTTATCAGCGGCCTCGATAGCCTTGGCAAAATCACCCGAGGACGCAAACTCTTTCACAAAAGGTTCGAGGGCATCCACAAGTGTAGAAGCGCCTGGTCTGGCCTTGGTGTACTTGTACAAAGTGTCCAACGCGATCTCCATTGCCTTGCCGAGTCTTTCAGGATTGACAGGCTCTTCAGGTTTGTCGCAAACCTGGATCAAACCGTGCGACAAGCCCGAAATCATAATCGAGTACAAGCCTCCCGAAGTACCACCCATTGAGCTTTCGATGTGGTCCGAGATTTGGGCCAAAGCTTGCGATAGATATGTTCTGTCGAGACCATCCAAATTATCAGTGATGCCCTTCGCACCGGCGACCAAGGTGTAACCACAGTCACCATCACCAACCTTGGTGTCCAGTTTAGTGATGTGGGGCTCACTCTTGATCAGTTGATCCGCACCGGATTTCATCATCTTGGCAAAATGGTCAAAATCGAATTTCCCGGCGGGCTTCACTTTAATTTCCTCCTTTAGCAACGAATGGTCTATCTTGGGTGCCTTTTCGTCGTCGTGGGAAATGTTGGGCCAGCCTGGGGCATCAGTAGGGGCTCTCAAAAGCTCCAAAATACACTTTACCTCGGGAAACTCCTTGTGCACAGCCTTGGAGGCCTTCGAAACGTTTAGCAGTGTGATGCTAAAGCCTTCCATGTCAAAAGACGTCATCAAAGTGCCCGTAATGGTTTGAACAGGCTTGATACCGTAGTCCTTCTCCAAGAATTCTGCAGTTTTCGCTGCAATGGCAGAAATCACGAAGTTCGAGATAGCACCGAGGTTGTTTATCAACAAGACAACTTTGTCATCCTTGTTGAACTCCACAAAATGTCTGTCCTTGTCGTGTGGGTCAAGAAGCTTTGGCAACATGTCTTTGCGGATCAGGTCGTCCGTGCTAGGGACCGGTTCGAGAACCTTGACACCGGGCTCGTTGTGAATACCCATACCCAGCTCCATTTTGTTTTCGTTGAGCTCGGTTTCGAACTTACGTCCGGGCACTTTGCAGTGATCCAATGACGCTCCAATGGTCACCAAGCTTTCAGTGACCACCTCGGCCACACGGGCAGTGCCTTCGAGACCATGCTTGTCCGAAAAGGATTCGGCAAACGCGCCAGCAATCTTGTGGACCAAAACGGTTCCTGCTAGTGCTCTGCGACCAACCAATCCACCTTTAGCTCTGCCAACGGCTACGTCATCTCCGACGACAACTACTTTGCAGTTGATTCCCAATGCTCTGGCGCGCTCTGCGGCTAATCCAAAATGTAGCACATCGCCGGTGTAGTTCTTAACTACCAACAGCACACCACTGGATTGTTTGCTCAACAATTTGATCCCGTTCAAAATTTGCTTAGTAGAGGGACTCGCAAATATATCACCACATACGGCCGCTCCCAGCATACCGTGTCCCACATATCCGGCGTGAGTAGGTTCGTGGCCACAGCCACCACCTGCAATCAGACTGATTTTCTTGGCATCTGTTTCACGAATAAACACGTTTTCGTGTTCTACATAAGCCAATTGAGGGTTGGCCAGAGAAAACCCTTTTAGGGCTGCCTTGAGTGGTTCCGAAACTTCGAAAGACTTGACTGCTGGCATTGTTGTTCCTTGTTTGAAGTATTCAGCTGATGTTATTTTGATCTTCCTCTTCAATTGTTGAGCAATTCTTATTCCGTTTTTTGGTCTTGATCTCACCGCTTTTATACCTATGGCTCCCCTAATTTTTCGCGGGGAATTGTATCCGATTGTTGCTATTACCGCACAGACTTAAGGATGAAAGATATGAGCGAATTAATGCGTCACTTTCTGTGGTCAAAATGGTATGATAATGGTAATCGTATATGTATGCGGATAGTTACTTTAGGATATGAGTTTGACATAATTGCATAAATATATATAAATTTTAATATCGCGGAACCTGCCGTGGAAGGTGATGAGAGAGTTTGTAAATCGTATCATGTGATTGAAATACTGCACGTGTATATCATGTGATGGTGTATGGGTGGTCAACTTCTGTAAATCACGTGGCATATGGACTAGAGACTTGATAGCTACCACTTACTACGCACACATACACTTAAACACACTTACGATAGAGGAGGCTGGTAGCTATGATAAGCACTAGAAGATCTTCATGTGTGTATACCTGTATTTTGTACTTTTGCCCGATCTTTTTGTGGATTTTTTTCGCCCAAATATATCGCAATTGTCTCTGACAACCGCATATCTTGAGCCTTGCACGCCAGCGAACTAATACTATCATTTGTCGCTCAGCTGCTCTCTTCTCCCTGCTCTCTGCTCTCTGATTTCTGCTCTCTGCTGCTAAACCATCTTGACATAGTTGGCAGGGAAAACACCTCTCTCTTTCGTAGTGCAATGCACGCCGTACCACCATCCCGAATCGTCTTTCAGTATAACTTTGATCAGATCTCCGGAGCTAAATGGTAAATCGCCAATATTGAAACCCGGATCGGCTTGTGTGTAGTCGTACATCGCAGTGACATGCAGCATGTACGACTTTTCGGGAGCAGCGTAGCTCGAAGCCTCAAACTTGATAAGTTCAAGTTTCGCTAACTGTTCCTCCACCACGCCAAACTCCGATTGGAACTGCGTCACGATTCTGTTTATGCTTTCTGAGGTGTCCGCGACAAACTCGGCACCTTCACTGGATTTCTTAGGCTCGTCAAAATGCAAGGAAACAGCCTGATCCAATGATACACAATATCGGACACTTTCAAGCGGCCCTTTGACAGTCAATTCTGCTCTTGGTGACCGTTCAGCACCACATGCCAGCTCGTCGCACAAAATTTGAGCCACGGAGCAGGTCGTCAATAGGTAATTGGCCGTCCAGTTTTCGAAAAAGGTCCTGAACAAAGTGAACAGCACTCGCGACTCGACCTTGATAGCGGTGGTGAGTGAATCGTATTTCAATTTCTCTAACTCAAGGTCACGCTCGTACCGCATCTTTTTACGCAGTTGCCGCGGCTTCAAAGGCCTGCGTAATTTGCTGCTGAGATACCTGTATTTGGAGGTACACGTTGCCAGGTCTATCATGCAAAGTCTACGCTCCTTGAGCACACGCCCTATCTGAGTGAACAACTTGTGTAGTAGCACTAAAGGTCCCGTAAGATTCTGATTGAACATTTCCAACTCTGCTTTTATTTGTCCACGAATGGAATTTTCACGGCTTCGTGCTTTTCTCGAGAGATTCCTGCCTCCCGCAGTGGATTTATTAGCACCGAAATTCCCACGCTTCGATATCGGCTCCAGAGGGGAGCCTTGCGGTTGCATCAAGTCGACACTCGAATCTTTAAAACTCCACGTCGGTGACATAGCGAGTTGAGTGCGGTCCCATTGAGGGGAACAGTTAAGAACAGATCCAAATACTTTCGACAAAGCAAGCGAGCTGTCCACAAAGCTATAGGTACTGATCGAGTAACATTCACACGACTTCAATAAACAAGCGACTAATCGTTTGAGACGCTTAAACTCTAAGTTGAGCATGTCAAACTGGGGGTCAACCACTCGGATATCTGGTGTGTTTGTAGTGAACCTTCGTTTGACCACTTTCGGGATACGGTAAACTTTCTTTCTGAATTGCACGAAGTCGCGGTCCTTGTGAAGCTTTTGGACTTTACATTGAAGTTTCTTCTCGACAACCATAGCTACAATGTAGCAGCTACTGTTGAATGGCTAGTATCCTTCCGCCGCAACAAGTACTAATTTCAGTCCGCTATCGCTTTACAACTGAAGCAAGCTATTGTATTCTGGTATGTTTTTGTGACGTTTTCAGTCTAACGGGGATCGTCTTCAATTTTACTGTACCGCACCAACGCAGCTTTTCATGGATGACCTGGATTGGTTCCCGGCCATGCTATAATCGTTCGTGGGCCCTTGTCATCTTGAACTATGTTATCCTCTTCGATAATTTCTTGACATCTTACGCGCTGATGATCTTGTGCGCTAGCTGTTTTTGCAGCAAAACATTTTGCGGCAAACCTGTCCAGAAGTTGGTTCAGAGATTCTAACGTCTTGGATCGAAACGTTGGATCAGATGAGGGGGTCTTTTCAACAAGATTTCGCAACTTGTTGACGGTTTTATACCGAGCTACAAGAACTTTGCGACTCGGCCTTGGACGGGTGTCGCAAAACTCAATATCTGTAGGATCTAGGAGAACCAAAGAGGCGTAATATAGCATGGCCTGAACATGCATGGGAAGAAATTGGAAAATACTAGTGATATCACTGTCGTCTGTGGCCAATTTGATAAGTGACTGAGCAGCAGAGAAGGAAATGTCATGCGAAGCATCCTTGGCCTTTGTTGAATCAGGAAAATACATTGGATCCGATGTTTGCCATAGTTTACTTAGATCGCTGGTGCCATTGTCAAAAACGGAGGACCTGCCGCCCGTTAATGATGGCTTCATATTGATGTGCATCCGGGCAAAATTATAGTACAAAAGCGTAGACTTCAGACACCAGGGGTCACTTTGGAAGTCAATGTTCTGCAATGTTATCGTCCAAGATATCATCCACTTGTCAAGTTCCAAATTGCTTGCCCACGGGATTCCGAAGTTTGTAGGATCAAGCAAAGATGCTGTTGCCTGCATGGAGCGCTTAAAATCCGGCATATAGCTACTGTTGCTCGAAAAAACGGACTCCATGGCCATATGGTACTCGAGCTGACCTAGAAGCCGTAGCTCGCGTAGTGAAGTCCCTGAGATAGAAATTTTGCGACATTCTACCTCATTCAAAAGTTCTAACTGCCGATTGTTGACAACTTTGCCCTGAGCATGGTAATTGGCACTTAAGACTTCGCGAACTTGTGGACTTGCAAGACTTGCAATGACATCCCTTCGTGAATTTCGTATCAATGGCTCGCTTGCTTGATTGATGGAAGGACTCTTGTGAAGGATGAGGTTTTGATTTCCATCAACGATGTACAGCAGATACCAAAGTCTGTGCAGGGGTGAAGGTCCGAGTGAAGAGGGAAATGTGTTGGGTTGGTCCAGCCTGTGGATTCTAGCTAGCTGTATAGCAACAGATACAAGCATTTGAGCAGACTCTAGCCATAGTGCGCCAACAACAAGGGCCAAGATTGTATGTTCCACTTGGGTAGCTGGCACTGCCTGCATCAAACACTGGGAAGCACCGACCTCAAAACTCCGTTTTAGCATGCTGAATTTTGGCGCCACCGAGGGATGGTGAAGGCAAGTCACTGTGCAGATCGAGAGTAATAAAAAAGGCGACGTCTTCCATAAAGAATGCACATCGAGAGTTCCTATCTCGTAACCGAAAAGTTGTGGTGCAAAACGGTCATCAAAAAGTTTGCCAAGCTCCTTGACTTCTGCTTCAGATAGAATATTTGAAAGACGGAAGTTCGGGGCACCCTCATGGAAGGCAGCTGCGTCCTGAGATGTGACGGCTGCTAGTGAGGGATGAAGATCGAGAGATCGCCATTTATCTCCAGGGGGTTGTGCAATTATCTGTTGTTGAATAAGATCCATTTGTTGTTGCTGCTGCGACTGGTTAGTCTGGAGAATTGACAGTACTGATTCGAGTGCACTCTCAAGTGTGTTGAGGCGTGCATTGACAGCCTTGGGGTCGTTTGGCGCCGCAGAACAAGCTGGCTCTAATGCTTGACTCTCTTCTGATTCCAATGGATGTGACTGTGTCAAAGAAGGTAGAGCTGCAAGCTCTGCCAAAGATGCAGCAACGCTCTGTTGCTCAAATTGGCATCGCAGACCGTACTTGGCGCATCGTTCGCACGGCAACGAAGTCACGTAATGGCATTTGACCTTGTTCCTTTTGCACAGGACACATGGCCTAGTACGCTTCCGGCTTTCATTGTGAGCCATCAGCTATACATGAGCTTTTCAGGGACGATGAAAGTTCTGAGATGAGAGAGATGACTTCAACATTTAATATCGTTATAAGGTAAAAGATAGGCCATCTTCGTATGGAGTGTCTCTACGACTCAGTTGTTACTTTGAGATGCCCAGGACTATGGCAGAAGTGTCAATAACGCCATCAGTCAAGAGCTTTACCTTTACAAGATTGATGGAAGTGAAGCTTTCGACGATTGGGCTTCACAATACGAAAAGAAGCAGTCGATGAAAAGCACTTCTTCATCAGCCCTCTCCGCAGCGAAGTTTACGATGTTTTTGGTAAGGGAAAAGAACAAGAGCTTGAGTCTCATTGCGCTCTGAAAGATGCCAGTTTTTTTGGATCCCAGCGCTGAGTTTTCAATCATACCGATTGGGACGAGAGTTTTCAATCATACCGATTGGGATGAGAGTTTTGCCATTACGGTAGACACAGTGAGAAGCGTGAACTGTCTGAAAAAAGGTCCATATATGTTTTTCTGACGAGTAAGATGATACATTCAAGGATGTAACTAAGTTTGGGTCAGTGAGGGTGTTATGGGATATCTTCATGTTTGGAAACAAGTCCTCATCTCTGAATTGGTGTGAGAAATGATGGCTGTTATATACTAATTTGTCAAAAGACACATCCGTCCGTAGTGACTATCAAGAGCTTTTTGACCTTTTACCAAGAAAAAACAATAGGGGACAAAACACTTTATCTCTGAAGAGCATTGCTTTGATTAGCGCTTGTGAACATTAGTATTGCTTATGGTGCAGTGGTTAAAAAATGGTATTCCTATCCGTAAATATCGGAATTCTTACACGGACTGGGTTAGGTCACGTGATTGTTGGTGACAGCGCAAATGACAGTAGAAAACCCATATCTAATAGTCATAGATCACAATATCGCTTCTGGTAGGAGAGTCGAGAAGATGACTTATTCAATTGCCGTTAATGCTTCTAGATTCTTTCTAAATTCTAATCAGAAGCCACGAGCACAAATATTCAACGACCTGTGTTGTAATTTTCATTGCATACAGGTGTGAAGTTGATCATTGAAATTTAAATAGATAGCATCAGCGCTCCATTGATAACTTGCTCGTGTTTTTCAAATAGGAAGCCAATCGAAAACCTCGGTGAACCTGAATGTTATTTCGAAATGTTTATTTGTTTTGCTATAGCATTACAGAATATACTTGACCAAAGGAAATGACTGAATATCATCGAAACAGAGCAAAACTACAAATTGACGGAGCCGAAAAATCATATAATCTATTGATATTTTCAAAAGTACTCGGGCACAAGCTTGAAAAGCATCTTCGTTGCCGAATTGATGTTCCTGTGTGTTACATGGGTGTTCTTCCTTCTCAAAGATTCTGGAAAATGACCACATAGTACTGCTATATATTCTTTTGTATGTTCCATATCTCAACAAGGCTTGCGTGGCGTAATGGCAACGCGTCTGACTTCTAATCAGAAGATTGTGGGTTCGACCCCCACCGCGAGTGCTTTAATTTTTTGCCGAAATTAATTACTGCTTAACACGAATACATGGCTAAAGCTCACATTAGTGATGATGAAGTTGTTCAACTAAAGTTCTTACAATAAGATTCCGTAACATTCATAAAAGTCATTCAATCAACTCCCCTACCGTCCGATTTGTAGCAGAAAATGGTGAAGCAGCAGCTGAGCGCCTTCTTTGGCCCCCATCGTCTATACTTCGTATGTGGTAAAGTTTACCAGGATCTTTCATATGCCAACAGAGTGGTGCATTGGTTTGTGCAGCACGAGCTGCCAGTCTTCCCGATCACTCCCTCAGGCGGTGCGGTAGATCTGACTACTGATTCCACAACTCAAAACAGAACAAAGTTGCAGAAATTGTCTGTTTTTAAATCTATCGTGGCAGGATTGTCGCAATATCCTGCTCAGCAGGACATTGATGGCGCTAGCGTGTGTTTCGTGACCCCTCCTCCCATCACACTGTCCATTTTACAACAGTTGGAGAAAGAGCCTTTCACCGTGCAAAGCGTCTGGTTCCAACCAGGATCTTGGGACAACAAATGTGTCGAGTGGGCGCAACAGAGGCTTCATATCGATGCATCAAAAGTCATCAACGACTGCGTTCTGGTAAATGGTTTTTCTCATTACACCAAAAGCGAGCTTCCGCTGAATGAAAAATAGGGAAATATCCTTTAGTGTGCCATTAACTGACCCTAGCTTTTCAAACGACCCCACTGTCTTGTCCAGACCCAGCTTGGAGCACTTTTTTGATAAAACGCTTCCAGCGGTCAAATTCGCTCCCCGTCTCGCTTTGATCGGGGTTCCCGACATACATGTCTATATGCGGTGGTCCGAGCTGTTGTGGCGGGTGCTGGATGCCCACTTCGTAACAGAAAGCTGCGAGACTTATGAGGAAACGCTCGAAGTGGTTTGACCGACCAAATTCTAAGCCTGACGACCCGCTGTTTTCGATGGCTATCCTATAGCTGCTGGTCATCTGCGAGGCGATAGTCCATGTTTCCCAGGGCTCAGAGCATTCGCTACCGCTTTGCGTAAGTTTTAAAGTTATCGAAGATGCGGGTTTCGGGTTGAACGAAGTAGGGATGCCCTCTGATGGTGTATTTTCCCTGGATGGCGATGGCGACAACTTATTCAGCCGACTTTCATCAAACTGTGCAAACCACATGCTCAACTCCTTGATGCATTCGTCAATTTTCTGATTCATGGTGTCTGAGGTGTCTTGCCCATCGCTGTTGTCTACGCTCTTAAATACCGGGAACCGGCAATGTGCATCTTCACAATCCATAGCTGGCACTATTGAACCGCTCGTCCTGTGGAAAAGTATGGTTGAAAGCACTCCCTTCAGATGCATTACATGCTTCAAGGGTGAAATGCCATGACGCATCTCTTCCACCGCCATTTTCGACACAGGACATTCTATATAAAACTGCATACCTCCCTAAATACTTTGATCTTATTCACTAATAAACGTCTTTTTCGCGGCCCTTTTGGATTAGAACTTCGCTCAGGTTTGATGACAAGAGCTCTCTTATGGCCAGGTAAGGATATAACTGGTTGTTGTCTCTGACCTTTACTGGAGTTCCTACATTTCAATAGCTTCTTTATATATCTTGAATAATTAATGTCAGTTTCTAGCTCATCGCATATCATCAACAACAAATAAAACCGGGGAAATAAGATATACAAAACAAGCATCAATGACTGTTGAGAATGAATTGTTGGAATGTCTGAAAGATGCTCTGACTCCTGACTTGACTATGGAAGAGCTGGTTGAAAACGGGTGTTTAGAACTCGAGAAAAGACTACAAGAAAGCGACACATCGATGCTTAGCGGAGGATCATCAATTCTGCCCTGTGCTCCACGCGGTGAAAAAATGGGCTTTTTACATATAGCCCTTGATCTTGGCGGAAGTTTTGTAAAATTGGGATTCGTTAATGCCGCTAATTTGAAAGTTTCGAATTGCGCTAGCATGGCTATTCATGCAGTCTCCGTAAACGTCCAGTTTTTCAGGTCAATTGTTGAATGGATATGCGAACAAGCCGCCAAATTTCTTTGTGAACGTGAAATAAACCCTTCCACAGTGATTTTCGAGCTGGGCCTCACATTTGGGTTTCCTTTGACTCCTCACGGGCAAATCACAACTATGGGCAAGGGTTTCCAGTTAAGCGATGAGGTTAAGGCCATGAAAATGACCGTGCTTCTGCAACGGCTGTTTCTCGAAACACAGATGAAAGGAGCTTACGGGTATGAAGTTAGAGTCGGTGGCATTGTCAACGATAGTGTTGCCGTCTTCTTGGCAAACGCTGCAACGGAAAAAGACAATGACGTCTCGCTGATCTTGGGAACAGGTATCAATGCATGTTTCTCGCTGCCCAGTGAGAGGATCCCCTCTCGAAAGACGCCGGGAGAAAGTGGAGACGGAGCTGTGGCGCAGTTGATCAATTCAGAGATAGGGTTTTTGGGGCAGGATTTCATCAAACTTTCCGAGTTTGACCCCAAGGACGAAACCCTATTCATGCCTCTTGAGTATGTCACGGCAGGTAAATGGATTCCTCTCACGCTGAAAAATATCATTTTCAGACACAACCTAAGTTCTGGTGCTGCCGAGCACTTAAATTTTGATGGGAAGCTTATATGCGACATATTAAATGGCTCTTCTATTGCAGCGTTTGGCAGAGATCAACCGGTCATCAAAGCTTTGACGTACGCGCTGATTGAAAGAGCCGCTTTTTATGCTACAGGCGCTCTTTTAAGCATGTTGAAATTCACAGGAGACGACCGGCCTCATGCGGTACGCGTTGGGTACGCTGGATCCTTTCTGAGAAACTGCACGGCTTATCGAGACCTGATCTATCAGTTCAGCGCCGGAAAAATTGAGCTCGAGTTCTTGGAACACAGCAATTTGATTGGCGCTCATGTAAACTCATTGCGCTGCCATGATGTGGGATCGTAATTTGAATAGCTCGAAGTTCAATAGATGATGAAATGCTTCAAAACACTTTTGGAAGGCCTACAGAGGTGAGGTCGAACGTGAGTGAGCCAGGTAATATGTGGCAAATTGAAGCATATGACCTTTTCGCTGAGCGCAAGATGTCTCGATTTAATACAGTATTACACTACCGGTACCTGATGAAATTGTGTTAAATAGTGAATCAAGACTCCACCTGTCAAGTCACTGAGCTTAGAAATAAGAGCTCAAAGCTGGCGGCTTAGCCAGTTGCGCGGTATGCTTTTGGCAGTTTGCTTTAAACTTATCTTCTGATGTTTTAAATGCAAGCTGAAATGTCTCATGACAGCAACAGAGCCAGTATGCGTTTATGCCGTCACTAATCTGCGTACGCAATCAAAATGACATTCCAAATTGACAGCAATGTCGCTCATAATGGACCACACGGCGCGGTGTGCTGCTCATATCCCATGATGGTCGAGTCATTGCTCTTTCCTCTGAATTTATGAGTGGAAAAATGGAGGCCAACATGATGCAGGGTGGTTCTTTTGCCGCTGAAACTGGTTGCAGAAAGTCTGACGTTAATTGCGAAGCTCTACGATTGAAGTTGATGCAGGCATACCAAATGGAAGAGAAATGAGGCTCTCTCAAAAAACACACTGTTCTTCATTTCAGGCCATTCATGATGCCAAAAGATCTGAATGAAGTCGTCCGTTCTCAAAGAAGCCACCGCCTCGGTCAATTAAAAATGTGGGTGCCTGTAGATTTTCTAGGCTTCACTCCGAGACTGTGGGAACCTCGAGTCAATAACGTACCCTATGTGTGGATACCGATCTTGAAAGAACTTTACCCAGTCGAAAACCCGCTGAAGCGCTTCGTCTGAAAGCCCCGAGAGATCATCACTGCAAGGTTTTCGAAAGCCTTGCATGCTCCACATGCCATAACTAAACGCTTTGGAGCAATCTGTCCCCACCAGTCGATTATATGGACCCCTTGGGCCGTACATGCCGCTTTTTCGACTCACGTCGAACACTTGACCTTGTATGGCCAACAGCAGTGGAAGGTCGGCCCTTGAACCATTGAATTCTTGCAATTGATCCATGGAGAATGCACGAGGAAGGTCTTGGCCCGTCCAGTATACAGAGGGCTCCGTCAGATTTGCTGGAGAAATCGATCCTCGCCACAAGTTCCACGTCACCGATCCTGTTATCAATCGTCCTGTCAAGAGTCCCAACAGTAGAATTCCGCCAATGATTCTCAATACGTCACCGTATGTAAATTGGGTTCTAGCGCTGGCATCGTCCTCATTCAATGTATTCTGGCCTTCACCAGCTTCCAAGCTGCCTTTGGCTTTTCTGCGGTCTCGAAGCATTATCGAAATGAGTCGTTAAATTCTCTGAGTGTGAAATCTCAAAATAGAATCCCAAAACTGAGCTCTGGAAGGAGTTCCTGGACTGGGAGTATACAGCTGTACAGATCTAAAATAAAAATGAGTTGCAGTCGCCAGTCAGTTGATCTCTCTAATCAAGATATATGGGGAACAATGAGCTTAAAAAAATCAGCTAGGGTCTTGGAACCGCTTGCAACAACTAAATGCTAGCTACAAAGTATAAAGGTTGAGCTCCTTTGAACGCCGTGAGTTACTTCTCTGTTGATTTCACGATTGGAAGTTGAACTGCAATCAATATATACCAACCGCTGTTGACTCTATATTATTCGAAGACCGAAGCGTCGCTTTAGTACAAAGTGATAAAACAGAATTCTGATCTAGATGACACTCCGAAGCGCTTATGAGAGGGTAGAGCTTGATCACAGGCAAGAATTGACGATGCTTTTCAACTTTTTTGCTTCGTCGAAAAACTGTCAAATCAAATCTCTTCCTGGTCTGGGACACCATATTTTGCCGGAAATAAGAATTGAGAAGACTTTATTACCACAACACAATTTGCGTTCCTCGAATTTGGATCCAAAATGGTTCGAGAAGGTTCAAGAAAGATAAAGAATCAGTATTCTTGACGGAGATCTTTTCTTCTCAGGTTGTCCCATCTTCTTCAACGAAGGTATATATTAATGGCTCCCACCCTTGCCAGCCACTGGTTCTTCTACCCGTTTCTCTAGTCCACTTGCTTCTTCCCCCCAGCTCCGTGCATAGCGATCCCTCGAGGGCCTTGCCGTTTTGGATATAAAGTCTCAACGGCTTTCCACTTCACTTGCCGTTGGCAACCATCGCTTCCGTTACAAGACATACTCGCTCTGTTTCTTAAAAACGCTCGAGACCGCCGCTACACACGTACTCGGAGACGTGTGTAGTAGTTACTCGGGTCTTTTCGAATATTCACGAGAAGTTTTGCGGTTCATCCTGCGCTGACGGACTCCAGCGGAAGTTTTCTTGTTTAGCAACCAGAATTCATTCACTAGTCGTTTTTGTGTCTTTTTAAGCGTCGTTCTGGTGTCTCCATTAGGTGGAAAATGAGGGCTTTTAAGACCAGGCGTCGCAGTGCAAGACGGAGATCAAACTTGTCGAGAGAGATTTCGCCCGAAGATGAGGACCCCAGAGTGGTAAAATACAGTGAGATTGCTAGCACCAAAGGTGCTAAGATTTTGACAAGCAATCCGGATTCTTGCGCTACTGCTCAAGCAAAACCCTGCCACGACAGCAGCTTAAAAGAACTAGTAGATTTTCCGGACGCTTCCGGCTTGGAATTCGCATTGGATTCAGATAAATTGGCAAACTCGATTCCAAAACGAGTGCTGGAAAAGTTGATGGATTTCACACTGTTCAGAAATGCACCACATACGTTTTTTGTTGAAATCGCTCGTAAGCTCACACTCATGACATATCATGCTCAAGATCATATCGTAAAGGCTGGCGAGCCAGCTAAAGCGATGTATTGGATCCTGAGAGGTTGCGTCAACGTCACCTCGCCAGATGGCGAGACTGTACATGCTCAGTTACTTGAGGGAAGCTATTTCGGGGAAATCGGTATACTTTTTAACCGATCCAGAACAGCGACTATAGTCGCCAAGACCAAAGTGCTGCTGGGAGTGCTAACTGCTGATAATTTCAATCAAATTTTGCCCGATTTTCCTCAAGTGGAACGGCAGATTCGCGATGAAGCTCAAGAAAGGCTCGCTATGCAAGACAAAAAGAAACGTTCCGGGGTACCAAGCCTTCTTACTGCTAATATCGCTTGGAACAATAGCAGTCCTATTGCCTGGAATAATAACAGTCTTCCGAGCAGCACTTCCACTGCACACGAGATAGCGCGTTCTCCTACGCCAGAATCTTCCTTGCAATTTTCCTCTCATTTGATATCCACAGAAGTTGTTGACGATTCCATATCCATTCGTCAATTCTTGAAGAGTCTCCCTCTTTTCACAACATTGCCGGCGGAAATTGCTCATAGGATTGCCTTGTGCGTTGAACTGAAACAGGCAGAACCATATGAATACATTTTTCACGCTGGAGATCGCGGCACGAATATCTACTTCATAGTAAGCGGAGAAGTTGAAGTTTTAACCCGGGATCCATCGAGTCCCGAGTCAGACTCTACTAAATGCATAAAGCGTTGCGAAAAGTTAATCGCAAGGTTAGGCCCTGGTCAGTACTTTGGAGAAATGGGATTTTTAGGTTCCATTAGTGACGACAGGGCAAAATCGATAAGGTCGGCAGATGTCAGGTCGGTATCCTCGAGCACTTTGCTCGTGTTGACTGGAGAGACTCTCAAGCATTTCTGTGAAAGCTATCCGATAGTAAAGCGAGAAATCACTAAAACTGCAGATGATCGCGCAAGTCGGAATTTGACATCAACTTGCGAGGAAGACAATAGCGACTCAGATTCTGGACTTGACTCAATAAGTAGTTCAGAACGGGTTTTGAAAAAGCCAAGGCAAGATTTCACTAAAAAGACATACGTTGTGGCTGATGTCAGCACCATAGCTTCCTCAAGGGATATCGAAAGATCTTCAAGCCCTTCCCAATCATTATTTCCTATTAATCCTAAATTTACGTTCGGGTCCGAGAAAGAAGCCGCGAAGAGTAATTTGTCGATGTCAATTCCTGATTCCTTGGCAAAATTGCCAGCGAACGACACTTCTATGCAAACAAGCAATTCGAAAAAGTCAAGCTTCAGCCCCGTCCCCCCTAGGCCTATATCCCCAGCTACTGGGCCCGTGCAGCTACTACAATTAGATTCACCACTCATGAATGCAGTAGAAGGTCCAAGTCATTCCTTCAAAGTTCAACAACCTCCTCCTTTGAACTATATGTCTCACAGAAAGCGCACAAAACTGCTCAGTCTTGGAGGAGGACGAGAACGACGCAGGAATTCTGTTTTGAGTGTCGGACCTTTACCGGACCGGCTGTTACTAAGATGCTTCCACTTTCTCAATCTGCCCGACCTCATGAAGCTTCGATTAGTCTGTCGCAGATGGAGGCAACTGCTTTATGTTGCTCCTGGTCTATTCGACACTTTGGATTTGAAGCCGTGGAACAATTCCATAGACGATAATGCTCTGACAGAAATCACCAACTTCGTGGGTTCCCGACCAAAGTTAATAGACCTTTCGAACTGCTTTCATGTAACTGATGCAGGATTTTCGTACATGATCAATGAAGTTGGAATTGAGGGCCAGATAAAGGTGATTCGGATGAGGAGCTGCTGGGAATTCAGTGCGATGGCGATTATGGATATTGGAGCGCCGCACATAGGTAAATGCATCGAAGAAATCGATCTAACGAACTGTAGAAAAGTCAAAGATGACGTGGTTCAGAGACTCATGGGAACTAACGATTCAAGGCGAATTGGTACAGCTGGACTGTCGACCTCCATGACTGACCAAAGTAATTGGATATACCCGCTAGACGAGCCCATTCATGGGATGGAGATGTTTGACGCTAATGAAAAGACCTCGCTCAATGTTGGCTGCCCAAACCTCAAAGTGTTAATTCTCAGACACTGTAAATCCATAACTGACTCGACATTACGGCATATTGCCTTGTATGGGCGGCACAACTTGAGGGAGCTTGATCTTACTCGTTGCACAGGAATCACAGATGTGGGTTTCTTGTATTGGGGGTATCATACATTTCCGAATCTTGAGAAGCTCGTTCTCAGTGAATGTATTTTTCTAACCGATGATTCGATCAGGTCAATAGCCAGCTGTGCGAGTGGTCTGCGGATACTTCAATTGTCGTTTTGCTGCTCGTTGACTGATGCCTCCTTAGAGACGTTATGCTTAGGTTGCCCAAATCTAGAGGTTTTAGATCTAAGCTTTTGCGGCAGAGCAGTAAGCGATATTTCATTGCTTGCTCTTTCGATGCATTTAAGGAAGTTGCGAAGGATTACGATAAAGGGCTGCTTGAGAGTAACAAGATCCGGCTTGGATTCTCTACTTGGAGGCTTCACGTCTCTCACTTACATCGATATCTCGCAATGCAAGAATGCTCATATGTACCAAGGGGGCATTCAAGCCACAAGATTTGAACCAGTAGGCAATTCCAAGAGTGTTTTTCTAAAAATGGAGGACAATAAGGAACGTTGTGTCGAGGTCGTGATCTAACGAGATAGTTTTTCAAGGTATGTCTTGATAACGGGGCCAAGAGGTCAGTATTGCGGTCAGTGCGATTCGCATGTCAAAAGCTCCAAAAGTTGTATTAGTATTTTCTTAAAAGTTTAAACAATGATGTTCAATGTGAGTTGTATATTTAATCTGCGCTGAAGCTCACATCAATACACCGAGATATAATTGGTAATCTTTTCTCTCTGGCTCTGCGCAATACACTCTGCAATCCAGGTAATGTTTCTGATTTCCTGCTCCTTCGATTTCATCCAGGCCCAGATGGTACTGACAGTGAATTGTTGAGTAAAAGCGTCGAGGCATAGGTCCATCTCCATCCTGTAGAAATGATCTTCCAGATTTCCGGATTCGAAAATTCCGCGGTACTCATAAACGCTGTCCACAATTGCCCTGACGGACTCGAAGTCAGAACCAGTGGTTGCTAGCTGCTGAGAGCCAATAGGGTACAGTTTACCGAAGTCTGGTAATAAATCGCGTTTCACATCAGCGGTGATCAAATCGCCGCTCTGCAAGGAGTTCAAGGAAATGTTGATAGCTCTTCTATCAGCTTCAAAGCTCAACAAAGCTTGCATGACCTCACGAGCGGGCTGGTCAATTTCAGTGGACACAAATTCGTAGAAATCCGAAAGGTAAGCCTTGTACAGCTTATTTCTAACGATTTCGATGTTGAGGTCGTCCAGTTCATCGGCTGCGTCAAAACAGTCTCTGAAGTATGGTGCTAGCGGTGTGTCAATGAGCACAGTTTCGTAAAGCGATTCTAGATCCGTGGCTACGGTCAACGTGGGCAAAGTATCAAACCAACCCAGTGGATGACAACGGGGCAAAATTTCCGCCTTGTCACGGTCATGGATGGTACCAGTGATCATAAGTGCGACGTTGTCGATCATATAGCCATAGGTAATATAGTCGAGAAATTTTCTTGTCTTGGAGCTGGTCTGGTCCCGTATATACTGGAACTCCTGGTACAGCTTAGAGGACGCCTTTTCTTGAATTATGGACGTTGTAAGAGCATCCGACGCAACCGAAGACAAGAAATTGCCGTAGTCGGTCGCAGAAAGTTGCAACTTGAGATCTTCCAAGGTATCACACTGCGTTAAATTGATGTACTGGTTGCCCGTTAGCAGTCCGTTTCTGTAGCCTCTAACGACACCCTCGATGAAACCGTTGTCGACGTTGAAGAACACACCCTCCATGATAGCTTTTTATGTCTTAGGAGAAGGAAACTAATCGAAGATTGTATTGCAAGTTCGTGAAGTCAAGATTTACCAAAAGTTGACGTAGATGAACTAAAACTTGATCAAATTTAGGCGTAAGGGTCGGAAAAGAATCGCAATCAAAAGGATAGCTTGTGAGTGGTACACCAGGTTGCACTATTGGAAGTATTATCCTATAGTTTGCCGAGAACTAAATGAATTTCCGCTTGGGTTTTCAGAATGTATCCGTTAGAGTTAGAGTTATAGCTTAAGACTGTCGCTATTAGACCACCCTATTAAAGAAGATATGTCCATCGTATATAGTGCTTTTTAATTCTAAACGCTAAGTTTACGAGCGTACCAAGCGATACGACCAAGGTCACATGATAATATTAAAAAGAAAAGTGAAAAATAATAGTCACGTGAATTGTCTTTGGAAAAGTCCGAGTTGATTAGGTAATATTGAGAACGTGATTTGATTTAAGGGAGAGCACGTGATTTGATGCATCACACCCATCATGCCACTTACACGTGATGCTCAATCATTATGCACGTCAAACCATAATTTCAATGTGTAGTTCTACATAACATAGAATCACGATGGACAGAAATCCTTAAACCTTTCAATATTTCAACATCTGTTTCCCCATCCCGCCAAGATCGCTCCCACTTTTTCTCAACTGGAATAACCTTATAGCTCTTCCGACACATATGGATATTTCAAGTGTGCTTTTGAGCGATTTCAACGCTACCAAATATGACCCCGTCGTTGCAGAATCGTTTCTGACAGAACAATTGAAAGCTAGAGACTCATACGATGCGTATTTCTCTTCCATGCCGCTGCCGGGCAGTGTTGTAGAAGACATAGCCGAAATAGAGGCGCAAATTTCAGCACAGGAGCGTAAACTGCGAAATCTGCTTGTTGAAAACAAACAAGCGCTCTGCGACAGCTTATGCAACGAGCAAATCGAGCCTCAATTATCAGCTATGCTAACTCAGATCGACGAATTGTGGGAAGTAGAAAAAACTGAAGCAGTGAAAGAACGGCCCTCAGAGGCACAAGGGCCTCACGGAGACTTTTGGGCCCTACTGAACGAGCCAATGGAGGAAGATCAGCAACCTAAAGACGGATCTGACGAGTTAAACGCCGCCTTGCGAAAACTTCAACTCCGTGCTGTAAACAGCACGGATGGAGATTTGAACAATGCGCGCGACAACCTGGCGCTCGTTTTGACACATTGGAATTCCGTCAGCGAGCTTCTGGAGCTACCAACGCTGACCAGTACCTGTATAAAGACAGGCCATTATCAAGAAGCCTTAATGTGCCACACGCATGCCCGAGGATTAGTGGAGAAATTCCCGCAGATAACCATAATACGCCATATGGCTGACTCGATTTCGCGCGAAATCACTACCACCATGCTTCAGGGTCTCGTGAAGATGTTGCAACAAAATCTGAGTGCGAACCCAATAAAAAAAATTCTTTCATATCTTTCATCTATCCCTCCATTCGATGAGAATCCACAGGCGCTAGTTCAAGTCTTTTTAGCCATGCGCCACAAATTTGTGTGCTCGGAGATGAATTCGTTTGAGATCACGGAGCTGACCAATGATACCATGCGGGAGCTTCTCGTGAAGCGCAAAATCGAAGCATTTCGAGAACATGTATACAATGCACTAGCGATCCTTCAATCACAGCCGGAGCTTTTCAACAACGACAATCATCATCACCACAAATTCAAGATTTCAATGCCTCTATTGGATGAACCCAAGAAGCCCATTACGACGAACCCGCTCATGCTTCTATTTGTGGAACAATGCTGTGACGCACTGATACGCTCACTTGCTCCCCAGAAGGATTCGCTTTCCGTGTCCGTGTGTCTGCAGCTGGTATACTGCTCATTTCGATTGGCGGATTGCAATCCAAATTACCATCATCTGTTTATCCGAAAAATTCAAGAAGCTAATTTGGTCTCTGCGACGGATCTATCAACCGCGATGGACAAACGCCGAGAACTAGCTAACAAGTACTACTAGTATGCCGTGAGTTTGATTCTCTACCCATTTCCTTTGTGGACGAAAGCGCAGGACTTCTGAGGCCGAGTGAAGCATAGTCATTGGTCTGCGATGATCTTGGTCCAGATTTGTCACTGGCAGCCAGTGCATCTTCGTCATCCAGGTAGCTTGGAGAACCGAAGTAGAGGGAGTCGGAGGTCTTCAAAGAGAAGAGCCTCGGGGAAGGGTTTCAACAAAGGCTCATTATTAGAAAAGACTCTAGAGACTTGAAGCTTTAAAGTGTCCATTCAAAATTTCGAAGACAAACTACTTCACTACGATTGATTGGCGCTGATAATTGAATGTTGTCCGGAGACGAATTCCCAATGGAACTAAAAAGACCAGGAAAACGATCTTAGTATTTTGACGGCCGTAGAGGGCAATGGAAATCAATTTGAGGCCTATAGGCCCAACAAAGAATGAGAATTCATCAAAACGCTAATCACATCGGAACTGAGAGAATTGGAAACCAATAAAAATTACCGGCTCAGCGATGCACATAAGGGTAATGCCGTTGCACTTGTTATAACTTCACTCTAATGCCATGACCCAATGAATGCTCAGCAAGCACAACTTACATGGCACCGCCCAACGAGGTTTCTAAAAGAACACTAATTGTGAAGAGCTTTCGGACAAGTAGTTGTCAAAGCTGCTGCCAACAGCCGTCCGTTCCAACTCTTGAGTTGCAAGGTTTTTTCTTGCCAATGTCATTAAAAAGTCTGAGCCCATTCAAGCTCTTCTACTGACATCGTGCATGGACAAAACCGCTCTGCCAGAAAAGTCTGCCAGAAAAGTCAAGCGTTTCTGCTCATCGCTAACACTGACACACATTCTTTCCCAACGTGACTTCGGCGTGATCAACAATATCATATCACACGGGACATTTTTAGACGTATTTCCGTTTTCGCTGCATAAAAAACTCCAGGGCAAGAATTTAACTTAACCAACCCTTTCCCACTATTTTAAAACTCCAAACACTGAGCAAAACGGACCATAAGAAGCCAATTGGAACGCCAAACATGCCTAAGAACGTGGCCACATTGCCCGTGGACTCCAATGTGAAGTCCAAAGAGGCAGAGGTCGGTGGAAACCTGGCTCAGAAGACATATTCGGAGATGGCGGGATCCGACTACAAAAAGAGACACTCGATGTCGTCGCAGGCTGGATCAAACAAGGAAGTTTTGGTGGCCTCAAACGCTCAGGGACTCATGAAACTACCTGTGCCCAATGACTTTGGTACTGTGGGGCCAGCACCGCTGGAGATTACGGACCCTAAACAGTTTCGGACAGCACCATCTAGGGACATCAATCTGCACGACACGAGTATTGACAGAGACGCTTACGAGGCAAGGGAGCGGTCCATCAAAAAGATGGAAGAAGCTTTAGGAAGTGGCAAGTCTGATAATACGTATCCGTGGAAATCCATCGGTGGGTTCTACGGTAGCGATCGAGCACCATCAAGCGTTGATGGCGCCGCTGTAAAGGCTTACATCACCGAAAAGTTCTACAACGACTTGTACTACAACATGGCAGGAATTCTGGGAACGTGCTATTTCTCGTGGCTTTTGGCGTACTGGAGATTTTCGTGGTTGTCATTGTTTTTTGTCTTTTTCTGTGCTGGGTCAGTGTATCGCACAGAGTTCCGTCGTTTCAATCGGAACATTCGCGACGATCTTACCCGAATTGTGGTGGAGGAGACTCTTTCCGACAGAAAGGAATCGACGCTGTGGTTGAACTCATTTTTGTCGAAATTTTGGGTCATCTACATGCCTGTTCTATCGCAGCAAGTCAAGGACATCGCCAACCCTCAATTGGCTGATGTGGCCCCCGGATATGGTATCGATGCACTTTCTTTGGACGAGTTTACCCTGGGCACGAAGTCGCCCACCATTGATGGTATAACCTCATACACCAAGAGAGGCAAAGATATTGTGGAAATGGACTGGGAATTTTCTTTCACGCCAAATGACGTGTCGAACATGACGGCTAAAGAAGCCAAGGAGAAAATCAACCCGAAAATTGCACTGGGTGTGACTGTCGGCAAAGGCTTCGTTTCCAAATCTTTGCCTGTCCTTGTTGAAGACATCAACTGTAAGGGAAGAATGCGTATCACGATCAAGTTGGGGCCATCTTTTCCAAACATCAAGATTGTTTCCTTGTCTCTGATGGAACCACCATATATCGACTTTGCTTTGAAACCTGTTGGTGGGGACACTTTGGGTCTTGACATCATGTCTTTCTTGCCGGGCTTGAAGACGTTCGTGAAGACTATGATCAACTCGAATGTGGGCCCAATGCTATACAACCCTCATAAACTGGATATCGACGTGGAGGAAATAGTGGCTGCGCAAGCTCAAGATGCAATCGGGGTTGTGGCAGTGACTGTTCACTCTGCTGATGATTTGAAGGGCTCTGATTTTCTTGGCAACACTATCGATCCTTATGTTACTCTTACAGCGGAAAACGGAAATATTGGCGAGACGACAATCAGAACCTCAGTCAAATCCGACATCAAATCACCTCGCTGGAACGAGACAAAATACGTTTTGGTTAACAGTCTCGATCAAAAATTATTTCTTAAATGCTACGATTTCAACGACGTTCGCAGAGATACTTTGATCGGAAAGACTGAATACAACTTGAGTCAGCTGTTCCAAACAGCGGCCGTGACAGGACAGAAAGCAAAATTGATCTCGGGCGGTCGCACAAGGGGTACCCTTCATTACGATCTCCACTGGCTACCTGTTGTACAGCAGGACACCACCGCGACTAAAGAAGCAGGTCCTGGCCAGGTTAATAAAGCAAAACAAGACGCTAAAAGAGAAGCGGACTCGAAGCAGGGAGAACAGGAGTATGAAGAAGAGGACGAAGATCAGGATGATCAGTCGGCTTCAGATGTTGGTATTTTGAAAGTCACTTTCCATAAAGCCAGATTCCTCAAAGCTCCGGGATCTTCTTCAGGCGCTCTAAGTCCTTGTGCAGAGTTGTCGATTGATGGTAAGATTGTGAAGAAGTACAGAACTTTGCATCGCATCAATGAACCTTCTTGGGAAGAGGGCATTGAAGTACTTGTTCCTTCCAAAAGAAATTCTACCTTATCTGTTAAAATTTTCGACGTTAGTATGACAGGAAAGGACCTTCTCTGTGAGTACTCTTCATCAATGGCCGATATTTTAAATCTTGCCGAAATTGGACAGAAATCTCTGGAAGCGACACCCCAGGGTGAGTTATTCTTCTCGGCTGTTTGGAAACCTATTGCCATGTCTGGATCGTTCGCGCCAGTGAATGCTGTTCGGGACCCGCTCGGAGTAGTTAGAGTGCACATCAAGGATGCAATGGTTGATGAAAATTTATCTGGCGTGGGCGATATTGATCCATACGTCACTGTATCCTTGAATAATGAAGTGAAGTACGAGACACAGTACTTCTCTGATAATCGTGAACCTAATTTCAACAGCGTGGTTTATGTGCCAATCACGTCAGAAAACCAGTCCATTGTATTGAGTGTTGTAGATTATCAGAAGGTTGGAAAGGACCGGCCTATTGGCTCGTACAAAATACCTGCTAATAAGGTCATGCAAAAGGACCCCGAAACTAATCGCTACGTTCCTATCAAGAAGCCGGAAACAACTCAGTGTAGGCTCATGGGTAAGAACATGAACTTAACGAAGAGTTTCATAAATGTAGAATTGTCCTTTGTCCCTGTGGTCAAGGTGTACAGTCCAGATGAGCTTGTTAAGGTAGAGCAGCTTGAGGCCAAGATCAGGGAGCGCAAAGCCAAATTCATCAAAGAGCAAGAGAACCTAAAGAAGGAAATGAAGGCTCACCCTGATCAGTATGAAATCGTTAAGATGGATGTGGAAGACGAGAGTAGCGTCCAGCTAAATGGAAAAGAAAAATGGCCAGTTGAAAAACTTCTAAGCGTCAATTCAGGCGTTCTAAACTATCAAATCTTAAGGGGCAAACTGTCAAAACAGTCAGCTCACCTGCAAGTTTTATTTGACGATATAGCCACACCCGCTTCAACGTCGATGAAGTCTAGAGGAGGGGAAGTTGTGCCAGATAGTGGATCCTGTTTCATTCGCGATTTGAATCATAGCCGAATTACTTTGAGGCTCTCGAAAAACCACAAACCCAAAGACTTAGATGATGTTTTCGCTGAGCAATCATTTCCGGTCAAGGAACTATTGGAAAAGGGAATCAAAGGTCCTACTGTTGTTAAGGCTCAGGGCTCCGAAGTCGAGATGCGCTTTTTGTACTCACCTGCCGAAGCTCCTCTGTCGCCCAATGAGTCCATTGAAGATACCGGCATTTTGAAGCTGAACATTATATCTGCCAGTGACTTGCCTTCTCATGACAGAAACAATAAATCTGATCCTTTTGTGGAAATAAAGGTGGACGGAAAGAGAGTAGAAAAGACGGAGGTTATAAAGAAGAACTTGTCTCCCGTGTGGAACGCCAGAGTAGAGATTCCTGTGCCTTCAAGGGCTAGATGTGATGTTCAAATAGAGGTCTACGATTGGGACAGAGCAGGGTCCAATGACCTACTCTGTTCCACTTCTCTAGACGCCAAAATGTTCGTTCCGGGCAAGACGCATGACCTCGAACTGAATCTGGAACCTCAAGGTGCGATCAAGCTGAAGGCCACTTTCATGCCCGAATATCTTTTCCCCCCATTGGATCCCGCGAAGGGTGGCCTAGCCATCAAGCCGTTCAAAGCGCTTGGCGGTGTTGCGAGCATGGGTGTAGGTGTGGCAGGAGCTGGTTTTGGAACAGCACAAGGGGTAGCGAGTGCGGGTCTCGGTGGCGTGCAAAAAGGAGGAAAATTTTTGAAAGGCTTTGGAAGCAAAAAGTCCAAGAAAGAGCTCGAGGCTCGGAAAGCCTCACATGATGGTGGTGAGCGTCAAGACCCTAACGTGCGGAAAGCTCCTAAGCTATCAAATGATTTTGACGTAACAAGACCCAACACAAGTTACGCGGAAGTGCCTAGTGGGGCAAATGCTGGGCACGATTCTGCGTCCAGCACACCAAAAAACGGCGAAGGGTCGAGCGTCGTTGGCGCACCCGGCCCGATACACCAGCGCTCCTCTTCAACGGCCAGCAGCTTTGCACGTACCCTGGCTCCCAACGGTACTTACAGAGGTAAAGTCATTGTTGTAGGAGCTCAAAACATGGGGAAAGCTTCCTTGCAATTGCGTATTTCGCTGGCACAAGGTGGGCGTATAAAGCACATGTATCGAACGGAAAGCCGGAAGACCAACTCGGAAGGGCGTGTGGAGTACAATGAATCTTGCGAGTTCAAGGCTTCTCCAGACGCTAATTTAGTGTTTGGTGGGGTATCCACGCATCGCTTTGGCAAAGATACAGAGTTGGGTGTGGCCCAAGTCAATCTAGGCGATGCTAGGATACAGCAAGAGGGAATATTGTCGTTGAAGCTCGGTAAAGGGAGCTTACTACTGAGAATAGAATACGGTGACGACGAAGCTCCGCCGGTGCCAGCGATTCCATCCGAATACAGAAGTCAAGATTAAAGTGTACAATAGTTTCATTTTTCGGACAAGAGGCCTAAAATATGCGTTTATGTATTAGCCGTGTATTTCAAGTTACCAATCTTAATGTGAACCAAAAGGTAAGGTATGTGACGGGATGGCCGCTGGGGTGGTGAGTTCGGGATAATTATGTCCTGTGCTATTGATATAAATGTTTCTTCCCAATGATTTCCTGACACCTCAAAAATACCCACTTTTACAAGCGAAAATGGCCTGCCAACTTGACACCCATAAGTTCGTTGGTGGAACTCATTTTTTCTGTGACACAACTCGTTGATTTCCTCTCGATTTTGGTGGACAGAGAAACAAAACTGCTTTTCACTCTTCTTTCACTGTGTCGCTGGCACTCACCACGAGATTGTCAACCTAGATGTCTTCAAAATTAGCGGTCATATTCGGTTGCATTTCAAGTCACTGAGGTATGATAAAGATTCTACATGAACTTGCTTTACGGATTTTCCAATTTTGGTTTGGATGACCTGTATTTTGGCGGTGCGTGAGGTAAAAATTATCAATTGAAGATTTTACTCGGATTACCTTGCAGATGGCACCTATGCAAGTTCGTAACCATCCTAACAGCACACAAGCCTGGCGAGGGTGGTGTGGTATGTGAAGGGCGGGCCAGCTTGCTTAAGCTCTTCGAGAACATGTGGGTTGTAGCCTGAGCGTTCAGGTTCTGCTATCACTTTGGGTACTTTCTGTCACACAAATTGTATCACGTGATATAGTAATCTTCTAATTGACATTAAGGTTGGAACTTCAGCGAAAACTACTCAAATTATGTCCCGAGCATGGTTTTAATGGAATTTGTTCACTCGCCAGACTAATTCTATGAATTCGTTGATCTCGGTTAAAAACTTCATTTTGATTCGAGCTTTTTCGTACTCTGTGACGGAATTTCACCGCGGTTGGGCAGTGTCCTCTAATATCACCATAAGAGACTACTATTGGTTGTTAATTTTGGTGTGTACAAGAGGCCATTGATACTTCTAAAAAAACGAACCCAGTACCTTCTTTTTAATCTCTTGTATCACAGCACGTGACCTCGTGTTGGTTTTTCAAAAACAAATCGGGTTCCAAACGGGTACATACGTTTGTACGAAACGAGTTACTCAAATCATCCGTTTCTTACATTGGACTGTTTTTACAACACCCATACATTTTTATTATAAATATTTTTTCAAAGAAACGATAACAAGAAAAAAAGTTGCGTGGTCTCGAACTTCTCAAACAGAGTCTGTCTCTGCACCAGGCGTAACTCTCTTTCAACTCCCCGTACTACCATCCGAGCCTACGTACTGGCCAGGCAGTCGCGATCCCGTCTGTCTGGCTCTAGGCTGGAAAGGCTCTCCTCTACTGGGCCCTCGCCGCCTAGGCTCAGCGCTAGGCTCAGCCCCGTCTGGAGAACCAGGCAGAACCTCTCGGTGTGTCCCTTCCAGGACCACTCAGTCCCACGGCACTGGACTGCCTAGCCCAGACCAGCTCCACTCACCATCACCGGCGCGATCGAAGGTAGCATGGCCAATCTAGTAGTAATCTTGAAAAAAGTTGAAATTTGCCAATTATTGGATACTGGGTATACCTGGAAGACGAAGTAATAAGCGAAACATCCAAGCGAAATGAGTGCCCAAAAAGTATGTTTAGGAGCATTATAATACTGGAGATGAAGTGTACGACACTGGTTTAGTCGGGGGGCCCGAAGAGTCGAAGAAATTGTGACAAGAAATGACCAAGTTTTCGTGAATGCAAAACTATCAACGACGACAAATGACAAAAGATATAGAGCGAGATGGGGCAGTTTCGAAGCTGCTAGATTCACTTTCTGGATACGTGGGAAACCCCATGATTCAACAAATTACGGGTTGCTCTTATTGGAACTGTCCCCTCAATCCCCCGGTCAAAACCCATAATGTCAAGCTTTCGAAATAGTGATTCTCCTTTGTTGACCAACAGCAGTACTAACTATCTTTTCAGGTTCCAAAGTGGTATCCAGCCGAAGACGTTCCAGTCGCCAAGCAGACCAGAAAGGCCAACCGCCCACAGAAGTTGCGTGCCTCGCTCGTTCCAGGTACCGTCTTGATCTTGTTGGCCGGCCGCTTCAGAGGTAAGAGAGTCGTGTACTTGAAGAACTTGGAAGACAACACCTTGTTGGTCTCCGGTCCTTTCAAGGTCAACGGTGTCCCATTGAGAAGAGTCAACTCTCGTTACGTCATCGCCACCTCTACCAAGGTCGGTTTGGAAGGTGTCAACGTTGAAAAGTTCAACGTTGAGTACTTTGCCAGAGAGAAGGTCACCAGAAAGCAAAAGGCCGAAGCTGGTTTCTTTGGTGAGGACCAGGCCAAGAAGGAGGTCTCTGCCAACCGTGTTGAAGACCAGAAGGTCGTCGACAAGGCTCTTTTGGCCCAGATCAAGCAAACCCCATTGTTGAAGCAATACTTGGCCTCTTCTTTCTCCTTGAAGAGCGGTGACAAGCCTCACTTGTTGAAATTCTAAATCAGGAAAACCTAAGACAAATCCCACATCGAATCAGCACAGTTGTTTTTGCCCTACATATTTCTTCTATTTAGGGTTTCCACCTAAAGTGTATACAATCTAATCAACCATCAAGTTTATCACGACGACGGTTCGCAAAAATGCGGCAGGCGCTTCACGGCCTGTCCACATGGAATTTGTATTAACGGTGTTCATTTCTATCTGACGTACTTAGTATACCCAGAAATTTCGGACTTCAATGACATCCAGCTTCAATCTGAAGCTTCCTTGCTCGCACCCTCCTCATTGTAATTCTTGATGCGGTCCTTATTTTGGGTCGCCGCTTTCACAATTTGAGCGAAAGCATCCTGAGTTAAGGAAGATTTTAGAAGCCGCGAATCCTCGTTGTCTCGATCAGAACCGCGACCGTCAAGAGCCAATTTGGCCATAGAGGCTTGTAAAGAATTAGAAAGAGAGTTTTCCTCAAAATCAGTATCCTCTTCATCAGTGGAGTACAATTGCTTGAGCTTTTTGATTCTATTGTTCAATTTAACAATCTCAACAGCTTCACGGAATTTCCTGCGAGCATCGAACTCTTTCTTGATAACAGGCAACAAGTTGTCAGTCTTTGAAGTCTTACCAGCGATCCATGGATGCTGTAGCAGTTGCACCGCGGTGGGTCTTTGGAATGGGTCTACAGTAAGCGCCTGAAGGATGAAATCCTGAGCCTCTTCAGATATGCTTGACCAGTATGGCTTATGGAAAGTGACCGGATATCTTCCACTTGTGCACTCTTCCAAAAACCCTTCAGCACTTTCAGCCACGAAGGGTGAATATCCACACAAAAGAGTATACGTGACGACCCCTAACGACCAAACATCACAGGGCTTCCCGTGGCCCTCCGTGGTGAGCACTTCTGGAGCCACATATCCCATAGATCCTGCTGCTTTGCGTATGAGTTCCTCATCACTGTTAAGTTCTCTTGCAATGCCAAAATCACTCAGAACCAGCGGTGAGTCTGCTTCCTTTGTGAGGTAAAGCAGGTTTTCAGGCTTCAAATCGCGATGTACAATGTTGCGAGAATGCAGGTATTCGACGGCTTTCAAAATTTGGTAGACAATAGTTGTAGCATCGCCTTCTGTGAATTTACCCTTCTCCAAGATCCGGTCAAATAGTTCACCACCGGTGGCTAGTTGAATCACAATATAGAATTTGTCTTTAGACTCGAACCAATCTCTGAATTTGACGATATTTGGATGGTCCAGTTTTTGCAGAATCGAAAGTTCATCGTAGAGCATTTGCATCTGGACGTCATTACCTGTGAGTGCTTTCTTCAACAGAATCTTAACCGCTACATTTTCACCCGTGGAAACCTTTCTGGCTTGTCTGACCACTCCAAAAGCACCTGCGCCTAAGGTACGTCCAAACACGTAATCGACTTTGTTGACGTACGAATTGGGATTTCCGCTGATCTTGTTGAAGAACTTCTTGAACGCGTGTCCCTCAACTTGCTCTGGTTCCTGCGGTTTTCCTGGCGTTCCAGCAGCTCCAGTTCCCATAATGCTTCTTAGTTCTCTGTAAAGGGCTTTTTATGTCAAAATAACAGTTCTTGACCCGATTTTCGAGAAAAAAGTGTCTAACAAACGAGTATATTGTTTGTAAAGCTGCTGAATCTTGTTATTTCAGTAGCTGATGATCAGAAGAAGACGATTTTGGGAGTCAAGTTTACCTTTTTTTGTTGATATCGGGGCTTTTTAACGAATTAATTCTTGATGTCAGTATTTAGATATTTAAAGTAATAATACCGGTGTATTTTATATGTTGAAGTAGATCTAAGAGAATAAGAACCAAAGTAATCAATGGAAAAATAAAGAAAGTAGTCAAAACAGGTCTGGAAAGGTGAGAAATACCCAGAAGAAGATGAATCTCCATGAATTTTGATGTTAATCGCTGTCTTTTTCTTCATATCACCTTGTACGACAGTGACACTGGGAAACCGTCATTGCCGTTAACGTCACTCAATGTTCAACAACAACTGTTCTACGTAGATCTTTACATCCCATAGTCTAAATATATTGTATTATATACTTTAACAGTTCTATATCAGCATTCCATTCCATACTTTTTTGTTCTGTTCTGCTATGTTGACTGACGCTCACACCTTTGATCGAAAAATTAACTTCTAGTCAATACAGTAAAAAACTACTACTAAGCTACTACGACAGACTTCCATTTGGTAAGTGTGTCGTTGACGAAACGATAAAATAAATTTCAAGTTTTAATACACTGGTATTACATTAATAAAGGTGCAGTAGGTCTTTTTGTTTTTTAAATTCGAGTGAGTGTCCGAGCTTATTGCGCTGCAGCCATATAATTAACCTCTTCCTCTTCCTCATCCTCTACACCCATGCTGAGATAGAAATAGTCGTCGGCATTGTTGGCGTCTTGCAGTGTGCCCAGATCACCGGGCGTCATGAGAACCGTGCTGCCAATGCTTTCGGCACGCGGGTCGCGGGGAGACCCTGGAACGCTGAGAGGACGCGAGACTTTGATTTTCTTACCTCCGGCCAGCGAGTTCATGCTCGCGTCACTAATCTCCTCACCTACGGCAGCTTTGAAAAGATCTGGGTACGCCCTGCGTAGCGCCAACTGCCGGGCTTTGCCGTATTCCAAGCCCATACGCTTCCAATCCAGCAAATCGCACAATCTCTCAGTTCTGTTTCTTTGATTGATTCTCTGTCTGCGGGTCTTTTGCGTGAACGACTCCATATAGTCAACAAGCTGCTCGACAGATTCGTCGGCGCTCTTGAACCGGCGATCCACGATGTAGATACCGTAATCCTTGGCTTGGTCCTGCTCGATTAAATCTTCCATGTATGCACCAAATCCAGAAAGGTTGGTGGTCACAGAAGGAATCCCCATCACTGTGCATTCTGCTGGGGTGTAACCCCATGGTTCATAGTAGGAAGGGAAAACGCCCAAATGGCAACCCCGCACGAACTCGTCGTAGTCGAGAGATAAAATTGGATTATTGGCATTCAAAAATTCAGGATGGAATATAACTTTCACACGATCATTAGCGTGGTTGAACAATTGTACTCTTCTGACTTGGTTAAGCACTGGGTCGTTGGAATCATCAACCATGTTGTGTGTCACAACAGGTGGCAACGATCCCTCTGGCCGTCTGAGCGCAAGAACTCTCCTTTTCAGAAGAACTTTGTCTGATGGTTTCAACAATTGATCCAATTCTGTTGGTATTTCGGTTCCAACGCCATTGGGGTTACGCATGGCGTACTCAAACAATCGTTTCCCAATCAAGTTTGTAACATCGTGAACTGTATTCTCCAAAGATTTTACAACCGCCTGTCCTTTTAAAGCATCCACCGTGTACGATTTGTTTTTGGCAGGCATTATAATGAAGGCAACTACAGTCATTTTGGAATTTGCCATTTTGAGACGATAATTCAAGCGAGCAAGCGCTTCGATAAACATGTCAGCACCCTTGTTTCTATACTCGTATCTTCCAGCAATAAAGAAATAAAGTGTGTTGTCAAGATTGAAGTCGTAATGGCCATGAAAGTGTCCCCTGACGAAATCGTCTATCTTTTCCTTTTTCAAAGCATGCAAGTTCTGGAATTCGTGAACCGCTTGGAACTTGACCACGTTGATTCCGTTGGGCAAGATTCCGTCTGGCTTCCGTTTTAACAAGAACTCCGATTCATACGCAGTGATCTGCGACACGGTGGTGAAAACATCAGCAGTGTGAGCCGCTGCACGTTCTACACAGTACCGGTGGTAAATGCCTCTTTTGCCAGCCTCTGCATCAACGTCAAACTTGTCAAGATTATTGTAAAAATCCACATTTCCGGCACATAAATACCGGCCCAAAAGCGTAGCATGTGTGGTGAAAATCGTGACAACGTCGATGCGACGCTTGCGACACAAGGGCAGGGCTACGCCCGCAAGCCATTCGTGGAAATGGGCGACGATAGCATGGCGCTGGTCTAAGTGCGCTAGCTCCCCAAGAAACCAAGCTACCGAATAGCCGAGCAAAATAGCGTCGTTGGTCTCTGCATCACTTTCGGTAGATGGAATTCCGGCGATATCCCACAGATCCGCTTTCCATTCGTTCAAGTAGCACCGCACAGACTCCAAATCGAACAGAATCACCCGGGGCGCTCCCTCAATTAGCCAACGTCCATACACGAAAAAAACGCCCCTTTTATGCATGTTTTCTAACGCGATACGTACTTCGGGCGTGTGCACGCCACGTGACTCGAACGTGTTTGGGTCTGTCCAATCCAATGGTTCCACTTCCGTTTGGTAAGTTGCACGGTTTAGAGGTCCCAACAACGTATAATTGTCGCGATATCTCGAGCATGTGATGGGAGCTTTGGATTTCAAAACCGAGTAAATACCCCCCACACGGTTGGCCACTTCCGTGGCAATTTCGAACAAGAGATGGTTCTGTATATCTCTTGGCATGGCTTGAAAAGGTAGGTTGTCGTACGAGATGAAAAAAAGGCGAAAGTATCAGTAGTAGTAGTAGTAGTACGAATAGTCAAAAAGGCCACCCGTGAAACAATTTTAACGCAGCAGTCTAGTCTACTCTACTGTACGTCTATCACCACAAAACCTATACACACAGTTCAAGATAATTTTATTCCTTGTAATCTCGAGAAAAGTGGTCCTTGCTCGACTAGATCTTACCGCCCATGCCGAGACAACCCCTGTCCTTTATATACCCCGAATTTTTTTAAGGGGGAACATGGCGGGGAATTGATTGATGGGGTTGTTCCCGTGTATCATGACTCCGTTTACCGACCCGGCGGACCGCTCGCCCCTTTTTCGTAGAAAGGCATATGTTACCCTTGTTACGTAAGCCAGGGCCGTTATGGCCAGCTCGAGCGTGTCCAATGCGTATGAAGTGATTTCGAGTTTTTTTCATTGTCTAGCAACCAGGAACCAGCATAACAAACAGTCTGGTTTGGGCAAGAGCTCTCTTTGAAAGTAAAGAGATCGCTAGTGAGGCTCAAGACAACAGAGTTGTTGAAATAATTTGCTGGTTTGCCAGGTGACCTTTTGCTTCTTCAACTTTCCATTGTGTTTACTCAGCAAATTTCTACGGGGAGATTTGGGATGTTCAAGGTATATAATTGGTAAAAGCATCTTTGAAGAATGCTGTGATTCACTGTACGAAATAGCAGCACGGGAAGTTTCTCGCAGACCAAATGTTATAGGTAACGTAAACTCTCAGATTTTTCAATTTGAAAATGACACAGGTGACATCATAGTACAAAGTGATTTGGCGCCTGCAGGCTAAAGCTAAAAGGTTCAGCCATCTCCAGATGGGTGTCAAGCCTTCTTACAAAAACTTTCACGGCAGTCACCAAGAAGTGATGGAAGCGGGTTTGATCCATTTGGGCTATCCAATTTGGAAAAACTCTTGTTACTTGTTGAGTAGAGCAAGCCCCTCCCAGCGCCTTAAAGTTCAGAGTCCAGGGAATTTATCGTTGTATAGCTCTTACAACTAACTAGCTAGGAACTTAAAGGTCCATATCGGATTGAAAGAACTTTTTGTACTATTCTTGCTAACAATTAGCATTTCTGTTAGGCCACAGCGCGGGTCCACTCTATCAAGCAACTGAGTAGTTGCAATTGTGGACCCTGCCATCCAGCGCCGCTCTATACACTATCTATCAAAATTTGTAAAATATCCAAGACATAAAAAAGACAAAAGACAAAAAACCAAACCATCGTTAAGCTGAGATCATTCATTAATTTTTGTTCATTAAGTCTGCTTACATGAGTCGCTAAGCCCTTTGATCTACATTTCAAGTAAATGCAGGCTGTATCCAAATGTGACGAAAGTTTAGTATTAAAATGTGAGTGGAGGTTCGATGAATTTTTGGACACAAGGGCGCATTATTAGCGGTCAGTGAAATATTTCCACCAGGGAAACGTTTTTTTTGTGATTTTCGTGAAGCCATGATGTGGAACATCTGTATGGTGTGTATGTGGAAGTGTATGATTGTGCTCCAAGTATGCGCTTGGCCTCGCCTGGAAGTTAAAGAATAGTTGAATAAAAAAACACAGTGCGCCGCAAATCACCAAGGTCCATTCGAAAACTCGCCGCTAAGGCGCACAACTAGAAGTTGTGTGGCGTTGCATCATTGCCAGACGACATCAACGCCTCGATGGATGGACCAGTAAAATCAGAGTTTAGGTTACCATTGAAGACAGGTAATCCCATGTCTAATGCAGTGGGAGAAGAACCAGGACTTAAGGCATCAAACCCCAAATTTGTGAAAGCTGCCAAGGATCCCTTGGCATCGAAGTCTCTAGTTGAAGCATTTGTCTCAGCTGTGAGGATTGTGTCCGGTGTGACAGTTGAACCCATGGTGTTGTCCCTAGTAGAAGGTTGTGAGACAATAGGAGCAGAAACAATTTGCTCCGTGGGATTACCGCTCTGTGATTCGAGTGGCTCGGCAGCGTGAGGGGTTTCGCCAGAATATCCCGATAGAAACATTCGATTAACGTCATCCATTGGAGCGACGGCAGAGTTGAGCCTATTCCTAGAATAGCTCGAGGGATTATTATAGTTCAGGGACGATGTTAGCGAATCGTCCTGCAATCTGCCGTGGTGTGGCTGGTCTTGTCCTAGGGGTTTCATCATGGAAGCATTAAGATGACTTTGTCCTGTAGACATCTGTTCGTGCTGAACATATGAGTCCCCAAGTTCCGGTAGCTTTGTAAAACTTCCTCCACCTCCAATGTCCGGGCCGTTAGCAAAGATACCAAACGGCTGGTTCATATTTCCATCGTCTGGCAGAGCGTTCAAGTCCATAAGTAGCTGAGAGCTGTCATCCAGGTCTGCTGGATGAAAATCTCCCAAGAAAGTGCTGTTAGATTCCCGCGGCAATGTTTCGATAGATTTGGAGTTGCCTCGCACAGAGGTTGTTGCGGTATTATTGTCACTGTGGGGCTGATGATTTTCAGCAAGGTAAAAGCCATTGTCAGAGGGATTCAATACATTATTGGCCACATCATCGTTGAAATCTAGCTGAAAGCTACCGTTGCTGGAAGCTGTAGTAAAGTTGGAGACGGCTCGAGGGTTTAGTTCGTCCAAACCGTAGTTGAAATCGCCATTACTACTGCTAACTGGCAATTGAGAATGATGAGAATCAACTGAACGCTGAGCTGCGTTGCCTTCACCACCAAAAATGTCAAACTTGAAGTCCACTTTTGGGGATGTCACTGTATTTTGAACAGCACCGACGTTGGGTACAGCCTTGTTATTGGCAGCTGCGGCTGCCAATTTAGATAGTTCCTTAGCGTCCAAACCTGTAGAGGAGTCACTCAGGTGACGAAGATGGCCGACGTTACTGCTACTAGACACAGGTTTGGGTTTCCCAATTTTGCCGGAGGCAGATGGCAAGTGAGTTGCTGATGATCCGGCCACCAAGCTATTTTTCCTCGAGTTTGCAAGTGTTGACTTTAGAACCGTAGAGTCGAGGGTACTTAAACCGGCGGCACCATGTAGAACGGGTGACGCTGATAGCGAAGCTCTGACATCGGAAGGGCTCATTTGCGGAGTGCTAGGGAAAGCCGGTTCCACCTGAAGCACGTCCTGGATCGATGAGTTGGAAGTCACGCTCGATTGCGAAGCCGCCCTAATACGACCTGACATGATGGAGCCCCTGCGTTTGCGAGCCTCCACACGTTGTGTGCATTTGCCATCAAAGGCCTTGTTCTCCTTTTGCATTTTCTTGTGTTCTTTTGATTTATTAGGATCGATGAAGTACTGGGGCAGTAAAACCACGTTTCTAGTAGGCTCGTACTTTAGCGAGCCCTCCTTGAGGAAATCTGGATCTGAGAAACACTGGTAGACGTGGCCTTGGCTCTTGAGCTCTTGCACACGTTTATTGCAAGCGTTCATGATATCGCGGTTTTTCTTGGCAAACTCGGTGCACAATTGGCCATATTCGCGGATGGTGAGCCCCGTGATGACTTTGAAAACACGGTGGAAATGCCAGGGCGTGATATTGACGAGATAGCCCAATTCACGGAAGCCAATGAGTCCGCCTCGCTTGAGGGCTTGGGCGGTGGCCTCCGCAGGCGATATTTTGAGGTCTGAGGGAGACGGATTCGAGCCGTCCCGCGATTCTTCGCGGCCGCTCAAATCCGAAAACGAATTTGACGATTCGCGGCGTTCCATGGCGCTTGCCAGGGCGCCGCTCAGACGGTCTGTGTTGTTATTGTTGTTGTTGCTGCTGCTTCCGGGTTCCACCTCGACGCCTGCGGCTTTGTTGATGATCGCGTACGCAATGTAGGCGCACGCCAGCTCCACACGTTTCACGTTTTCATAGTCCAGCTCCGTGATAAGCCTGTTTTTGTAGTAAACGTGGCCGTCGCGCGGCACGTGCTTCGCCGAGTCCGGCACCGATGGATTAAGCTGTTGCAGTTCGTCAGAGATGTTTGTCGGCAGAAAGTACAGCCGGGATTTGTTTTTGCGCATGGATGTGCCGGTAAATGCGATGTACCGTTCTCGCAGTTCGCCATAGTCCTGGGCGGGCACTTCGTAGCATAGTTGCGGCTTGAAGGAGATTGCATCGTTAACGTTTGACAGCACAAAGTTGGTGAGATCCAGTGCCACTTCCTTGATGGGCATGGTGTGTGGATGGTGTGTGTATGCGTGGGTGGGTGTGTGGGTGTTACTTTTTTCTGGTTGTTCCAGCAAAGTCAACGACCGAGAGAGTGTGTGCGAACGGGGGGGGGGATCAAAGAAGAGAGGTAATGATTCTTGGCCCGACCTCTGTAGACGTTTTCTCTATCTGTTTTTTATCCGTCTTTGCTTGCGGGTTTACTCAAATTGAACTCAGAGTGAACTCAAAGTGGCCAGTGTAAAAAGGTCAGGGGTGTTTATCGTTTTTGACGACGACAACGACAATCAAATTACCACTGTTTTTTTCGTTAATTAGCCTTTCTCGCTTCCTGTTTCCGTTTTCGGACTTCTTCTTTTTCTTCTTCTCGTTCTTTTCCGGGTTCCGCGCGTGTAATTTGGACGTTCAAAGTGATGTCTTTTTATTACCTTTTATTATTAATAAAGACCTCTCTCTCTCTCTCCTCTGTAATGAGTACACGCGAGTATAGAATTCAGTAGTAGTAAGTGGCGTTCAACGTATCTATCTCCCTTACTCTTCTCGCTTTACTCTATAGCTGGTTACTTTTCCTCGGAAATTAGTTCCCGGCACTCTGACAAAACACGAGTGGATTAAGTTCCGGGGAGGGAAAAACAGCTTTCCTTTTATTGTTGACGACAATGTGGTTAGTTCCAATCTAACGTCGTGTACTTGTGAAGGGGTATGTATTTTCAATAGCGCTATGTTTTGTCTCACCGATTATGCCTCTTTCTTCTTGGCTAAAATCCTCGCTCCCTTTATTTCAAAACCATGCGATGGGATGTGCAACCTTCCTTGCGGAACGTTCGCTACGTCTTCCAACCAGTCAAAATGTGTCTTGCTTTTATATGAAGACAAGGTTTCGGCCGGGTAACGCCTGTGGGTGAAAAACTTATTAGGTGCGCTACATTGAGGGGGAGGTCCACACAGACGGCAAATACGAAAGCGGAGACAGCGGAAGCCGCCGTAGGGGAAAGGACCGGGCACGAAGAGAGAAGAAGAGAGAGGAAGAAAGAGAAGAGAAAAAGAGAAAAAGAACTATTAAGCACGATACTGATCTATCTGTAGATGTGAAGTTAGATCTTTGGTTCGGGTGTGTGTATCTGTGCTGTTGTTGATGTTATATTTTTTTTTCTCTGAAGTTGTGGGTTGGGTCACGTGTTTCGGGGTACCCATTAAATACCTGAAAAACATCTACAGCGAGTATAATGGTGTACCTGAATTTTATAGAGATATGTGGAAAAAAGATTTAGATTTGGAAGAAGAAATTTACACGGTGGATAACGCTCAGAGGGCCTTGAAGAAGTACGGTTGAGAGGCTTGGAGTAAAGTCATCAGATGAACGTTAAGGAGCGTTAACGATGGCAATATTGGGTTTTCAGACCATTTTCGGAAAGGGCGCGCGTCAGCGATCGATGTTTAAAAAAAATGGTGTCACATTGGTGTCATAGTGTACGAACATGATCAATTAATTCACGACTACTTACTACTCACTACTCACTACTCACTACTCACTACTACTTGAGAACCCACTCAATCTCTTCGATACCGCTACAGCAGCCGCAGCCGCCACTCAAACTTGCCCCTCTGTAAACCCACTGCGAAACGAGTCGCACTCGTGTGAAATCTTACACGGCATCCTTCCTAACATAACCCGTCCATTATTTTCTTGTCTCGATTCTTTCTTTGTTCTACGTTCTACATGAAAAGAGAGCTATGCCTTGAGATGATAAAGCTAGTTTCCAGCCCTACGATTTCTCTGGAAAGAACGCCAGCGTGTCCAAAATACAAGATCTCTGCACTTTTCTTCCTTAGAAAAAGCCGGAAGGACCGGCTAGAGACGTCTTTGTTAACGCAAATCTCCAGCGGGCTCTATACTGCACATATCCGGGCCGTTACATCACTCCATCGATCTGCAAAAAAGTCGTAGCCTTCACTGAAATTATAAAAATTGTCAAAAGTCCGAAACTGCATGTGCCTCCATCCCATCTGTGTATCTCACTTGTTCGGCTTGAAATTTCAATAAGAGCCTTGTTGGCGCAATCGGTAGCGCGTATGACTCTTAATCATAAGGTTAGGGGTTCGAGCCCCCTACAGGGCTTCTTTTTTGACTAATAGAGTTTTTTGCCTGGTCACGTGACTCTTGCGCTTAGAACCCAAGCGATCCCGTCCATCAAATCAGTATATATTAAAAATCCGCAAACGATTCAAATAATGTGCTCCTGGTTGCCCCAGTTGTGCGAAATTTCACACCGAGGGCTCAACCTTAGGAATTTTCCTGCGCTCTTCTTTTTTCAAGCCTCGAGGCCCCGCATCATGTGTGATTACATAATCGTGCGTCAGATGCGTTTAAGACATCATCGACCACATTTGGATACATAAACTTTCAATAGCATACACGCATCACCGTACGCAGCTGAGCAAATGCAGAAGCGAAATGCAGAAGCGAAATGCGTAAGCAAGTGTGGCCACATGCCACATGTAGGCAAGTGCTCTTCGTTGTCGAACCGTCAGGATGATACAGTAACCGAAGGTACCGGGTCAGGATTCAGCAAACATTCAGTGGAGAAGAGCAAGTGACAATTATTCGGCACCTAATGCTACGGTCAACGGTCAGGCTGTTCCTATGAAGAGCACCCCCCACCCTTGTGCCATTGTGCGTTCGGCTTCCGACATTTCTGTGCATCATAACAGGAAAAACGTGCATCACCATGGTGAACCGGAAATTCTCGTCAGTTCCTGTTCATTGTGCGGCGAAAAAAGTGTGTCAGGCCCCATTGTTGATTCTATTTTCAACATGACGCCCGCTCATCAAAGATTAACAACGGTTTTTCGCACGGAAAAGACAGTCGCACCTTCTATCAATCGGCATTCTCCGCCCGTCCAGGAACAGATCAGGCACAGCTGTTGTCGAAATTTTCATAGGGTCTCATAGATGAGCTCACGCACACGGTACTCTTCGTTGGCATCATCCATCTCTTCCCAGTTCCCGACAATATCATCTCTTCCGCGTACCACAGCGGGAAGGCTACGTCCACGGCCATGCCGCTTCCACACTTGACGAGCTTCGTCGTCAGTGCCCAAATCACGGTATGTGAACGTAACCTGGTTAGCGGTCAAGATCTGAGCCAGGCGGTTGGTGCGAGAGGGCATGAGGTAACCACCGCCAGCCAACGACGTATATACGTAGACAGGCTCGTCTTTGAGTAGCTCGCGAATCTCCTTTGTTGTCGTTGACTCTTGAGCTGTTGGGATGAACGACGTAGTCTGAGGAAGTTTAGACGGTTCCTCTTCTTGCATTTCCCGGAGCAGATCCTCGATTTCTGCCGCCACTGCAGCTACAGTGGAACTGGCAGCGGCAGGTGTATCATCGGAGTGGTCGGTGTCATTTGGCAGTAAATCGAGTGGGGCATCCTTCGGCGATCCTGCAGTGAGATCTGACCTCTTTTCAGTAAGATCTTTTAGTGTCACAATCGCTTTGTCCTCATATGAAGAAAGAGTATCCTTGAAACCAGGATCTATTAGAGATTTTTCCTGAGTGTTTGGATGCAGATCATTTAAAGTAAAAAGAGAACCGTGATTTTCGGGAGCCTTTTCCAAACTCTTCTCATCGTCGTCTCCGATTAATGAATTCATTTCTTGGGGAGTCGTCTGTGCCAATTCTTGTAAAGTTTTGGGCGAACATTGTGCGTCACCGCTCACGTTTTGTTCAGGCACAGTGAACTTTTTTTCTGTAGCTGGCTCTTCTGCATTTTGGTTTGGTTTGGAGAGTTCTTCTAGAGTAAAAAGACCTTGTTTTTCAGCTCTCAAGCTAGCCTCCTTTTCTGGTATAGTGGAATTTTCAGCCAGATTCTTTAAAGTGACAAGACCGGACTTGGGTGGAGATTGCTGGGCGGAGGTTTCTTCATCTTGGGGCTCACTTGACAAGGGCTGCGATGTAACGTCTTTAGGCGGCGTTTCGATCTTCTCATCAGAGCTCACTTTAATGGGGATGACTATAGATTTGTCCTGAACAGGTTTTGCTGCCTTGGAAGATTCGATCGGAGAGTTTTGTAACGGATCATTTTCATCAGTAGGCGAAGCGGAAACGTTATGTGACGGCTCTAGATCATGATCATTTACTGTATTGTGTTTGATATCAGCCGAATTCCTCGTAACCTTTGGTTCGATTGCGGTTTCGCTATCAAAACCATCAGGTTGATTAGTAACTGAAGCAGTTTCAGTAATCAATGGCTCAGCTGATGCATTGTCGATAATTTTATCAAAGATTTTTGGGTGGACTTCGTCAGTGGAAGCGTCTCGATGGACGGTAACTGGATGTTCTGTATCGTTTTGGCCCTCTTTGACGATAATTCTGATCTTGTTAGTTTCGGCAATTGAATTCTTTTCGCCTTCAAAGGCCGCATCCTCATTGGCCTCTGAGACCGGACTACTTTCAGTCCCAGAAGCCGCATTCTCATTGGCCTCGGAGATCAGGCTCTTTTTGGCCTCAGATTCTATGAACTCCCCAGCTTCATCTACCGGCTTCTCATTGGCCTCAGAAACAGGACTCTTTCTAGCCTCCATAGCAGGTTTCTCACTGGCTTCAGAAACAGGGCCTTTTCTAGCCTCCGTAGCAAGATTCTCATTGGCCTCATCAACCAAACTCCCACTGCCCTCAGCAACAGCGGCCTTATTGACCTTAGAGATCGGACTCTTTTTGGCCTCAGAAACCGAGTTCTCATTAATTTCAGTCGCCTCACTCTCCTTAGCCTCAGAAACAGGACTCTTATCGTCATCTTGTAATTCATCACTCTCGGAGTGCTCGATATCTTTCTGATCCTTGCTAACGGCCCCTGAATCTACAATTGATACACTCTCATTCACGAGGTCTCCGTCCGCGTTAGGTTCGCTATCGTTCTCGTCGATTGCTGTATTTGACACTAGATTCTTGTTGTTTGATTCGCTATACAAAACAGTGTTACCAAAAGCATCTTCGCTTGTTTCAGCCTCGAGATCGCTCAAGGTGCCGCTGTTCCCGATAAACGCTTCAATACCATCCATAAGGTTATCGAGCTCGTTGAAAGCCGGTCTCTTTGATTTTGCAGGCATTGTGTGCATCAACTACAAATTCACAGGTTGCTTAGTCTCCTCCCTGCTGGCAGCTTGTTGAAGCTCAGGTGTGTATTGTTCATCACCTTCATCATTCAATAGGGCTCCTTGATCTTGTTCATCTTCAATTTCTTCCGTAATCACGTGAGGGCCACTGCCTTCGAAATCCGGTCTCTGAACCACACGTGAGTTTAGCTCATGATCGGCTACAGATCTCTTTGGATCACGACTTAAAGAACGGGATAACGATCTTAGAAAGTCTCTGGAGGCTTCTTCCTTACGAGCGGAGCGTCCGGAACGCTCACGCGGAGTTTCTTCGCTTTCGTAGCTGTTGGTGCTTTGATACGACGCGCCTCCGGCCAGATGTGGACGATGAGACCGATTCGTGATGAACTCGCCGTATGAATTGCGGATTTGATCGTCGTCATCGTTGCCGTTGCCATTCCCATTTTTGTGAGCAAAGTTGCTGGTCGAACGCGGGTTGACGTGGACTTGAGAGTTGGAATTGCGAAGCGGATCCCTGGATGTCACGAGCGACGAGCTGCGTGTTTGGGACGGCGAGTGGGAAGGCGACGTAAACGACCCCGACGACGACGACTGAGTCGCACCAAATTGGGCACCAGAGCTTTCGCCTTTACCAGTATTCTGGTATTCTTGCTGTCTCTTCTTCTTTTTCTTGAGCACTGACTTTTTGAGATTGTCGTCATCGCCCAGCTTCCCGTGCACCACGCTATCGAGATCAACACTGTTGTCGTCTGTCAGCAACGCACCCTCGCGGTTCAGCTCATCCACGGTCGTGTAGGAGCCTTGCAGTTTGTTCAGCTGCGTGGAAGAATGGATTTTTTCTAGTAATTGCGACGAAGACCGAACTTCTGACACGCTGCGGGACCTGTCATCGCAGAAATCCGGGTTGTTGGAGTCATTGATGCTCCTGACCGACACCCCTACAAGCGATGGAGTGCTAGACTCTCTCTTCATGCTCATTTTGACCTTAAGCAGTTCCAAACTCAGCTTATCACAATGATCGAGAAACCCTTTTTTTTGAGCCTTCCAGTCAACGCCAAACGTCAAGCGATTCGATCAACAACACGTTGAGCCGAGGACAATAAATAAAACACTAAACCAGCAAGCTTTACGCTGTGGAAATCCTTGTGATCCTGTCACTTGTGCGTGGTTTTTTCTAAAAACACTTGATATGATTTTATTAGGGTCAAAAGTTGTTATCAGTCGTTTGACATCAACAGGACTTAAAGGTATACAGTTAAAGGCCAAACAGAAGAGAGCGAATAAGAGCAACTTGCGAAGGAATAAGTAGGCTAGAGAACTTGTGTAGATTGGCTTGAGAAATTTGAAAATAATAGCTTTTGTAGCTTCAAAAAAGATGGCGGAAGTCCCTAATAGTCGTACATATTCAATTAGTTAATATCATTTTTCACTTTGAAAGTGCATAAAAATATATGCGCAAGCCCGGAATCGAACCGGGGGCCCAACGATGGCAACGTTGGATTTTACCACTAAACCACTTGCGCCGCTGTTGAGATTCTGTAAAAATTGAAAAATATAAGATGTATATGTGTTATCACGTGCTCAATGCTTTGAAACCTACATACACATTATACCACAACAAGGCCCGGCGTTGTTTGTGAGACACTCTCAATGCGTGTGATCCATTGTATCTCATAGTATTTCCTCTACTACTTTTCCTCAGCCTCGTGTTTTGTTCGTCTCTTTTTAGTTTGTATTGGCTATGTAAGCAATTTAATATTTTGGTCCTTTAACTATAAATTCAGCACTCCAAACAAACTTCCTCTAAAACCAACACTTGACAAGCCAACACAAGCAATCATCTTTCACACGTTCAAACATGTCCACCAGTCTATTATTCAACTCACTGCTTTACTCCAAATGTATGCTTAACACGGCTTTGAGACCATCCATGCTAAAAATGGCCGCCACAACTTCCATCACCAGGAATTCCAGCTGGTTTTCCAAAATCATCTATCCGTTCTCGAAGCCCGACCAATCGATTACCGACTCTTACAAACCGTCCAGTGCCAACGGAAATCAATGCTTTCTTCCAATCCGCAGCGACGCAGAGCTCGAAGACACTTTGAGGGCCAACAATAGAGCGCCCTTGATTTTGAACTTTACGGTGAGGGGAAACGCTCAATGCAATCAGCTCACCGGTGCCTTGAACAGGATAGTGCTTCTCGAAACCGACAAAAAAGTGAACATTGCCGATGTGGAAACTGACTATATGGAGGTTCGAGACTCCATGCTTAGATACGGCGTGAAACACGTACCGACTTTAGTCGCAGTACGCAAGACTTTTTTGGTCGACTCGTACGTTGAGAACAGTGGGAAATCGGTGAACTGGCTAGACCTAAAGAGATGGATTGAAAAAAACGCTGATTAGAAAACACCTCTTTCACGATCGAGGGTTTTCGAGAGACAAACTTTTAAATACATCTTCCTCACCGTTTCCAGACCTTCGATATTATTGGAAACTTACACACAATGCCTTCAAGTGGCTCTCAAGTTATCGAGACGTCGTCCAAATTCGCGCTTTCTTAACAAAAATGTTGCCATCTTGTCAATCCTCTAGTCGAACATCTAGTTGGTTTTTCCATCAATATTTCAAATATTATAATATAACATGGAAAGATCGGTCGCTCGAAGACTTGACCAACAAACAACTACCTCAATTCAACTGGAAGCGTCGCAAATTCAAAGTCTTCAGGCATTCAGCAACATGTCCGAAATAATACCGCGGCATGGAAGTACACATTTCGCTAATATCCCGTACGGCTACTATGCGCTTTGGGTGAGTGTTGCTTTCATTTTGTTCACAATCGCGGGCAGATTTGTTCTTGGAAGTCGCTCCAAGTCGAATAGCTACTACAGAAGTCTACTGGGTAGAAAATGGTACAACGCATCGCCCGCCCTGGGACTCCCAGTTCTGTATATCGCATTGGTCATTCCGTTTGTGAGACATTACAGCATCGCGGATCACGTGACTCTGTACTTGAAGCGTTTAGGAAGACTAAGCTACGTGTTAGCGACGTTGAATCTATTCATTACGCTTCGACCCAACCTACTTCTACCCAGATTTGTCTATTTGGATCTCATTCCACTCCACAAATGGATTTCGAGATCAATTTTTCTTCTGGCCCTTTTACACGGGATCGGCTTTTTGATTTGGTGGGCCAAAGCTCCGGGAGTTTCCATCGTTGACAAGAGTTTTAAGAATGTTTGGAATTTGCTGGGCGTAATAGTTTTGGGACAGTTCTCTTTGTTGGTGTTGGTTTCCGTGAAAGGTATGCGCAAGTTGAGCTACCGCACCTTCTACCTTGTGCATTCGCTTGCCTCTTGGTCGTTTGTTTTCATGATTGGACTGCATGCAAGACCTGGAGTTTTCTTGCCCTACACATTGATTAATACCGGGCTTTTTGTACTGCACATCTTATCCAAGACGGTTTTTGCGCGGGCAGTCGAGATCTTACATCCAGGCGATGAGAATAATGAAAGTTTTTCGAGGCTCACTCAAATTTCGCTCCCTCGAAATGCCATGCCAGAGTCTTTTACGCCCGGTTCCCATCTGCGAATCTCGCCTTACGGTCGCTTGAATCCTCTTTATTATCTGCTTCCATCACACCCATATACGGTCTCTTCTCTTCCAAATGACACTAATGTGGATCTCATTATAAGAGAACACCCTAATGGGTTCCGCCTGCAAACTGGGCTAAGATACACAGTTCAGAATCATTTCGATTCCCTCTCGTCTAGCTGTCTGAACAAAGCGACACGAGTAGTTCTGGTTTGCGGTGGAAGTGGTATTTCTTATGGTCTTCCAATCTTTCGCTCTTTTGCTTCTTTAGAGAAAAGAGACCAGATTCAATACTTGAAACTTATTTGGCTCGTTAGAGACAAGGAAGACCTTTCAGCACTCAAACATTTGAATTTCGATGACCACTTTGCTGAGGTTCATGTATATATTACTTCATCTGTGCCCAAGGATGATACAGATAACAACAGCACAGCAGAAGATGCACATCAAACAAGTCCTGTTGTTGCGGGCACCGACGATTTGGAGTTTGAGTTAGAAAGTATGACCGATGAGGTCAACCAAAATGGGGGTTTAAACCACATGTCGGACGTGGAATCAACCATAACTGGCCTCGCAGCTAATGTACATCTCGGGAAAAGACTGGATTGGGCGACGGATCTGGCTCAACTTGTGGAAGGAGACTCTCTAGACACTACGTGGCTTGTTACTTGTGGGCCAAAAGGGCTCAATGACGCGGGAAAAGAATACGCCAACCAAAACAAAATAAATTTGGCATGCGAGACTTATGCACTCTAAATCACACAAGCGGGCAACCTGTTGAGTCTGGGATTTATGACGCTAAATGCATCGCTACAGAAACAGCTTATCGTTTACTGCAGTGGAACATAGCTGGTGAACAGATAACGTGCTAGTGTGTACTGCCAGTTGGTGGGCACCAGGAGCCGCTTGGATTCGAATTTTGAGCGTGAGCCTATAAAAAGGCTCGCCATGACGTGTAAAGTCCTCAACAAATAAGATCGAGAAATCATCAGAGGGCGGAAGTTTAAATTGAAAATAGCAGTTTTATTTATAAAGTGCCATTGCACTCTACCTCAATATCTCCAACATCGCTTCAGAACTATATTTCAAGAAGTCGTAAAATGATTTCAGCTTTGGCCGATAGCTTTTGTCATTTTATAGTACCTTTATAAGCTAACTAAATGCTGAAAGTTGTATGCGAAACGGCGCGGAAACCGTGATCGTCGAGTATGAAGTAACTCAATGATGTATTTGTATGTTGATGTTAAAAACTAGCACATCAGGTAAATTTAACTCACGAGTGGCCTTGCGAACATTTGCACTGTTTGCTTTTCAGTTATTCCCAGGCAGGAAAGCCGGCGTTTGTTGGCTGTAGGTCCACAAGTCCATCGATTTCAGAGGTGTCAATGGGCAGAAAGTCAACAGGGACACCAAGACTGCCGGTACTTCCTGCGTTGCTGTGCGTGTCAAAGCCCACAGCTTCAACTATGGATGAAGGGTTTATCATCAAGCCGTTGAAGTTGGAATTCTGCATCAAAAAGTCTTCAAATTCTGGAGCATAGTCAGCAGAGGATGAGTTTTCTGATAGAGCCGCAGGTGAAAAATTTATCAAAGATCCCGATGGTAGAGGATATCCTTGCTTTTCTTGATTACTCGCGGCGACAGCATTGAGCGGGTTTTGCGCCAGAGGCGACTGCTCGCTAGTGAATGGGAATGGTGTCGGTGATCCAACACGCGAAGCATTGAGGCTCCCTAGCGATGGTGATAAAAAATTAGAGCTCTCATTCTTCAAAGGTGCTGCTGCGGGTGAGCCCACCCGACTGTTTCCCATAGAAAGCTTTCTTCTTTTCGTATCTGAATCTCGGACATCAGACGTACGCCGTAAGTCATTGCTTGTGTATGTAATCGGCTGATAGGCCGGGAAAAGGGGTGGTAGCTGTTGCCCCGGACTTTCATGTGGATTCCGTACTGCCGACGTTGTTGCATTAGTGGTGGGTAGAAACCCTATTGCATCCTGGTAAACCGGACACCTTTTGATTTGATCACCACCGGCTGACATGACAAGTGAGGGTACATTTCTGAAAAATCTCGACATTTTAGATACGCTTGGAGGCCCCTGAGTAGCCTTGGAGTCCCTTTCGTTGGCAGCTGATTTTCCTGACGGCGTTTTCAGCAGACTAATGAAGAAGCCAGTCGACTTCATCATACGTTTAGCGTAGTAAAACTTCGCGGATAACTGCTTCGTCAGTTTGTGGAATAAGGTCATTCGCATCATCAAAATCTCGGCTAGGTCGTCCCCCGCATCCAGATCAATTTGCCTTGTCAAGTCACCACTATCCGCAACATCCCCTTTCCTTTGCACAATCGTCTGCTTTACGTCCGTTTCGTCTTCGCTGCTGGTAGAAGCCCCACTAGTCAAAATGGAGCTTTCATTCATACCGGTCAGGGGGCCACATCGAGCACGTAGAATCAAGCAAACCATGAATTGAAGAGCTCTATGGCCAACATCTAAGCAGTGGGGAGCCAATACTACCTCCATATGGTTGAAAATTGAACCGCTCCCGTTCTCCCCTGCTTTCACATTTGTGAAGAACAAGAGACAGTTTCTGAAACCGTCCATCGCGTAATTGAGAGCTTCTTGAGCGTACATTTTCGCCAAAGGTCGTGCTCCAGGATCAGCAGCTACCTTAGGCTCATAGTAAGTGAACAAAATATAATTGAGCAAATAAAGTAGCATCCGTAAAACAATATGCTTCGAGAAGAATAATGCGCGAGTCGTCCTCTCGTGTGATAGGGTTCCCTTTTTATCCTTTTCAGTGTCGGACGAAGGAATTGGTGATAGTAATTCCTCCAATGGAGGGAGAGGATAAAACTCATCCGACGATTGATCAACACTGCCCTCTGTGGTGAATAGGAGACCCTTATTGACGAGCTTTGTTAGTGCTTCATTGACATTTCCATCACCAAAGCAAACATCTTTTATTATCCCGATCAGGGAGTCTAATTCGAACTTCCTCACGGTTTTTGCCATGGAGACATTTAGAATATGGTTGAGCACGGCTGATATGCATAAGTCAATCTGAAAGAATAGGGTATAATTTTTGACAACAACGAGCTCCTTTATGTCACGAACGTAGTCTATCTTGGACGAACATGGAAGCTTTGTATCGCTGAAATCCCGTAAGTTACGCAGTAGACGTGGGGATCCTAAAGACATTGATTGCTGAACGTCAAGAGACACTATCACGTACCAGGTCTTGCGCCACGTATGCTTGAGTCTTTCAGCATTGAAGACAGCTTCTTTGTTTAGTTTTCCACTCGTGGGAGCGGCGAGCTGGGGGAAGTTGTCGGGATCTCTGTGGAGTCCACAGCTAAAGGCCATCTGAACTATGCTTGATAACAGCATTTGGTGAGCTTCATTATCCTGACTTGTGGAGGTGAAAGTGTTGAGTTGGGTGTCAACAGGTTTCTCGGTGCAGCACATCAAGTAGAGCTTGTAGAAGATGGCAAACTGTACCGTGGTCAGATTAACATTGCTGTTAGAGAAGCTCGTAAGCTCATCTAGCCGGATTAAGTACTTTCGCACAAGTCGGATTGCCTCGGCTGGCGTTTCATATTTCATCAAAAACTCTTCTTCTCTTGACTGCGCTACGGTCGACGTCGATACTCTTGGTACAAACAGTGCACCAGAGTGTGGACCAAGGTTGACGTCACAGGCATTTTGTGGTAGTGACAGCCATGTCAGTCTGAGTATGATTATCAGGATACCAAGACTGCAACAGTCGGAAGGCTTGGTCAACTGCAAAAATAGATTCTCATCTTTTATCTGTATGATTTGATTTGTTTGATGCTTGAAGCTCCGCTCGTCTAAGATAGGGATGACAGGGTATATATGCTTGAAGAATTTATCAAGCATTGATGCAATGACCCTCTTCGGTGGGAGCAGCTTACAGATTTCCGCGATTGCCTGCTCCTGTGTCTTGTTGTCGGGATTTGTTCCTAATCCGGCAGCCGGCGGTGGGGAGCTGTCGTGAATCACTGGGCATTTTGATGCCAGTTTATCAAACGAGGGTAGCGTTATAGGTTGTTGGTTTGTTGCCGGAGAATCAGGTCTCGTCAGTCGATTTGACTGCATAGACTTGTGCGCTACGGGACAGCCCGTCATCTGGGTGCGAGCAGCCGATTTAGGAGGTAAAACGCTATTAGAAGAGACCTCAGAACCTCGAGCTCCTGCGGTCAACGCAGCACTCTCAAAAGTGTCTTTGGTGTTGTCCCTCTGGCCAGAGGCCAAAAGGGTTTGATGGTCCACTGGACACTTGTCATCACGACGTAGCGCAGACGCCGACATACCAGATACAGGACAGATCGAAGAGGGACGCTGGTGTATGACTGGGCATTTGCTCCTGCCATTTGAAGGCCCACTACCGTCTATGGAGCCTGTATTTCTGCCATTTTTCCTGCTCATGACCCACTCCGACATTTTTTCGCGCATCATAAAGATATGGCCCCACAAAAGCTTGAGATAGGGGTCTCCCTTCATGATTGCCAGCCAGTGCGTGGCGCCCAGATGGACAGTACCGTTATTTTTCAGGTGTAACATATCGAACTGCCTTGTTAGATCCAGTTCGTCGCTGTCATATTTAGTGCTGTCAACAAGCTTTGGCTCCTGACTGAACGATTGCAGGGGATCTTGAGGGCCTGTCAGCTCTTCTACGCCTGCTGTAGTGCTTTCCGGTGTCTCGCTACTGGCTGCGTGCATTTTGGAGAGCATTTTTTCCAGCGCTTTGATCCTTTCTCGCAGCTGCTTGAGCTCTGCCTCTTTGGACAGTTCTTTTTCGGCTTCTTCAGCCCATGTCTGCTCCATGTAGTGACACAGATGTGCCACACCAGTCTTGACGCATTGCGTGCAATGTGGCCTACTCTTGTCGCATTTTACCTTCCGTTTTCTGCATATCGTGCAGCTCAGCGGAACTCTATTGCGGTTTCTCTTATTTCCTTCTCCCATGATGGGCTGCTTATGTGGACTGACGGCAGATACAAAACCTCAGCTTTCCTGTTCTCTATCCACCAAACAAAATGATGGTAACCTTCTTTCCGATGAAAGGAAGCTGCTCTCTGTGCGATAAACTTGACAAAGACTCCAAAGTCAAAACAATTAAGAATTTATGTTCAGCTCTTTAGTTCTTGTCCTTGCACCCAGATAAAAGTCGGTTGGGTTGAGGTGAAGTGCAACTTTCCAGGTAAAGAGATGCCGGAAAATAAAGCCCGTTTCCTCGGCAGCTAGATTAAAAGGGAAAAAGCTGGCGTATTCTTATAGAACCTCGGTTTCTCGAATAACTCAGATTGAGACAGGAGCATAAACGCTGGACCGTGTCGTTTAGTATTCTCAGTCGTCGTTTGTTGGGTGAATTTATTATCGTCACCCGATCAAGCCATCGCTAATCTGGAAGACAGACAGAAATTCAAAGTTGAAATCGTTTTCCACGAGAAATGCTTTGCCGCGACTGAAGTTCAGAAACGCGTAGTATTGGGCGGGTATTTCTAGATGTCAGTTCAGCTTCGTTTTTTGGTCAACACCGACGTGTCTGATTTTGAAAGGTGTGGGACTTTTCTTAGTTGAGCGATCAATCCCATGAACCTATGCGGGGGACTTAGGTAGATCGAAATGTGTTGTTTTAAGCGCATATAATATGAAAGACTCGCCAATCTTGCCCTAAACGAGGAAGTAAGGGGAGTTGACAAAAAATTGTTGACAGAGGATCTTCAAATGCCATTCATTACGCGTTTTAAGCCACAATCTGTAGCTTTCTGCAGGGTGGCAAAAACCGGGAAGGACTCGTCCACCAATAATTTCTTTGTAATTGGGATGATTTAGAATGGTCTAAGTCTGGAGAACATACAATTGGAAGCGTTAAGAGCAGATTGGGCTTCTTAAAGGATCGGGAGAGACTCAAAACTAGCGTTTTTTGTATGTGATTGGTTTATCGATTGATACATTGCAAGTCCGAAGTTCGCCTGATGAGCTCAATTAGCTTGAAATCGTAATTTAAAATGTCAAAAAAGGTCAGGTAAAGAAAACGTGACATTTAGAGCAAGATGTCGCCAGAGGTCTCTCTCAGTTCCAACAATTGCAGCTAGACCGCTGGGGATTCGTGATTCTCAAAATTTTGGTTTTGCTTCAAGGCTTTTCCAGCTGCTTCAGATAATATTTGCTCTTGCAATTCCATCATTTACACTTTCCATTTGGAAAATGGAAAGTGCTTCATTACAACGACGCCGAGTTCCTAGTTAAGGCTTGTTTCTCCTGTAAAATTGTATTGATAAAATAGGTTTTAAATGGCGATGGTGCCCATGGTGCAAGTTGCGATGTCATCCGGGATTATATATTGACGTTCGAACGGCATTTGTATTATATATTAGCAGATTGACTTACTTTGGCATATATCAAAGCAGGCTCCAATCCAGAAAGACACAGTTCCTCTCTTTCATGCATTGAATGTTATAAAAAGCTCACACTTTCTAAGCTCTTCTTACTGCTTCAGCATTCCAATGTCTATATTCTTATCCTTCTCATTCGAGTGCTCGAGGAATCGACAAATGTTGTTGAAATGTTACTATACTTATAAGTAAAGAAAAAGGTTGATTCTTCGAGAACGACACTCGAAAGACCGGCAAATAGCTGGGAAACCGAACGATGGTGGAGCGGGCGCTTACTCTAGACCAGGCCCACGACCTTATTGCCAGTCTTGAGAAACAGCTCGAGGAACTTGAGTCCACCAGTCATGATTATGAACAGGAGCTTGAAAGATATATACAAAAGTTGCAGACCGATCTCAAGGAAAAAGACGAAAGCATAGTGCTTCTGAAACAGGGTGAGGAGAATAGGGAGACACGGGAACGCATCACCGTTTTGGAGATACAGACCGATGAACTAGAACAAGAAAATCGAGTGTTGCGAAGCCAATTGAGAGAGTCCAAGAGCGAAAATGATAGATTGATGGAACTCAATGTTCTGTTAGAACATGAATTAACGGATCTTCGAAGCATGAAATCAACGGACAAGCACCGAACTTCCAGTCACCATTCATGCGAAACTGCTCTTGAAGTACCGAAATTTTTGTCCCCGAAAAAAAGACATAGCAACCCCATCGACTTTCTCAAAGTCAGCACAGACCAATCGTCGCTACGTTTGTCTTCTCATAGTACTACAGGAGACGTTCGAGCTACGCATGTAAGTAGCACGAAAGTTGTGGCAACTACACGCCATAAATAGAATATGAATGCCTTCGTGTGTACTATACAATAATAGCGTAACTACTAATGCCTAATGAGAGCTCAGGAATTGGTTTCTGAACCAAAAGCCAAAGTCGTAAATTACCAATTGGTTTCTCCTCTTTTCGTATTCCCACCATGCTTTTATTTCTCTTAGTATCCATGTAATCGACCAGCGGTGGCAGGTGAGATTTATGTTTTGGCGCATCTCGTCGTATACTGTCCGTGCGCAGTACTGGGTCATGATTAAAAACGTCCGCTCGACACTCAAGGGATTTTCCAAGCACTCGTCCAGGTGTCGTGTCAAGTCGTTTGTTTTCAAAATGAGTAGCACAACTTTTGGAATACGACAAAGAATCGTCATCAAATCACCCAAAAGTGAGCCCTCGGTTATTGCCTTGGCCATTACTTTGATCTCCTCATCAGACCTGGGCTTGAAGAGATCAGAGCTCTGCGCAGCATCGATGCTCCTGCCGGTGATTGCAGCCGCAAAAAGTGGGAACTGTTCTTCTTCGATTTTGGCAAATTTCTTGGCGTACTTTTTCATGTTAGGTTCGTCCTTGTCCAAAAGTGCGAGCCAAAACTTGGCATAATCTCGTCTCATTTCCGTGGTTGGATGTCTGTACAGGCCGTGATCATACAATATAATTTCGAAGTTGTGGTGGCCCCGGGTCCGGTCGATGTGTCTAATAGCCAAGTTGCCGCCATGTGGATCACAATGGATACCCACGTTTGGAGTGAAGATCATGTTGTTAAAAATGTGAGACAAACACGATGAAACTTCAGCGCGAGAAATGCGGTTGTCGTCGATGTAGGCCAGATCGTCCAGCCTGTGCCCGCCAATGTACTCCATTATCAGGACTCGCTTGTTAGCGCTGACCACTTTTGGGATTCGCAGCGCAGTCTCCGGAATATAGTCCGCGAAGTACTCTGCCGTTCGGCGCGCATTGGCAGCCTCTTTGGTAAAATCCAGCTCCACGTAAATGGAATTTTGGAGTTCGTCCGCCAACCAGCCCAGTGGGTACTCTGGAAAAACGACGTCGACGATGTTGAACACTGTTTGAGTTAAAAGTACGTCTATGGGCACGAACTCCTTGAGAGAAGGATGCTGGACTTTCACTGCGACTTTTTGACCGTTTTCCCTGAGCTTTGCGATGTGCACCTGTGCCAAAGATGCAACGCCGATAGGTTGGGGGTCAAACTCAATGAAAATCTCATCCATGCCCTGCTTCAGATCCTGTCTGAACAAACCAGCGATTTCAGCTTGCGTTGACTGTGGACATTTGTCCTGCAATGGTACCATGGTCTCTGTCCACTCTGAGGGCAACAGATAGGTCATTGCAGCGATGTGTTGGCCAAGTTTGATGAAGACACCACCGTTTGCTTCCAAAGCGCGAAGAGTGATATCAGCACAGAGTCGATGGCATTGACTCAGAGCGACGCGACGATCTTCGTCCGTGAGGAAATCGCGCTTCAGCACCCGCTGATAGTTGTAGAGACACCGGATCGTAGCTTGTGTGACTACTCCCACTCGTCTGGATGTCATGCCCACATGCTTCACTACATCCCGAGACGTTTCGTTGGTCCCTACGAAGGCTGCCGTGAAGATTCCCGCAGCCAACAACACTCTTTTTCTGGTGACAAGCTTTGAATTGGGCTGTACTGGGGATCCGGATTTAGCGGAAAGCCGTCGTATGGTGGTGCGGAAAGCTCCGCCTGACAAGCCTGGATACATGATTCTGTTGAGAAAGCGGCAAGGGCCAAGAAGAGCACTGTAAATGGGTCGTGTAAGCTTGCAGTACAGCGTTATCTTGAAGAGCTCTTGCTAAATGCTTGATGTGTAGATAAATTGGTAAAGCGTACTGGAAAGATACGCCAATTTAAACTTTGGGAGTCACGTGACCCAAAAAACTGACGGGTGATTTAGTTTTATATGAACAGTTTGATGATAGTTGGCGGATTTTGGGGGTATGAACTCAGCTGCTATGTTGCGGAAGAAAAGAATAGCACACGACATTTAGTTTTTGCGACTTTGAGAGGAATGTCTTTTTTTAAGTGAAGGAATCACGTGACCCTCATGGTCAGCTTGCTCTATAACTGATCCGCTTTTTTCTTGAGTGCGAGAACCGGATTCTATATTCCCAGTGTCATCGTATTTTTGGTCGCTTATATCTTGGTAGATTTCAAGGGCTCATTGTGGTCCCATGCCATGACAAGGTAAGACTTATCATGATATACGGGAGAAGGAGGCGGCCATGTTTGGTCACGGTTAAACTCACCATGTACGAACTCACGTGAGCAGCCAGTACAGTAACGACGTACGAACAACCACGTGCGATTTCTTATTAATAAAAAATTGAATTGACCGGACTTAAAATCGGTGTTATAAAACAATCACTCCACACGTATAAAGAGTATCACATGTAATGTTCCCGGCGTCGAATTGTCAATCACTACATACGAAACTCGGCTAATAATTCATTTTGAAAATACAGGGATGGTATAATCGCCTCCGAGCATCAAAAGTTTCTATTAATGATACCGACATATCGCCTAGTCCTTCAGAAAGACTTCACCGTAAAATGTGTTCCTTCCCTGTGGCTACGACCATCACCTGAAATCACTTGTTTGGTCACTTCACAGGTTTATCGCTCTTCAGTCTTTTTAGTTACTCTCACAACATAATGCCAAGATTATTATTACCTTGGATATATTGTCAATATAACGCGACAGCTGCTACAATGCAAGAAAGAAAGAACAACAGCAACGATAGCACGCTGCAAATGGCATTGTCAAACGCCAAAGAAAACTTCTTCAAAATCAACACAACGTTATGAGCGTATCAAGTTCAATTGGAGTAAGTCTTATCTTGTAACGGTTTTTATCCCAATGCCTTGGAAGCTGTTGATAATTTCAGCTTCATTCTTCCACATTTTTCTAATAACCGAACGCATCCGCGGCTTTCACGTTGGCCAGCCCCGATTACTCGATTGTATTTCGGTTTCAGTACATAAAGGTCATTTTAACCTTATCCGTCAACGAATTGACCTTCTAAGATCCGTTGTTTGACCCTTCCATATTATTAATTCCGTCAAAGGCCGTCTCAGCTCAAACTGAAGACAATACACACTTTTTACTTTACCAAACTTGACTCTCACACAGCTGTAGAGACTCACCAAAACAATAGCTTAAACACTCGGCCGTTACATACAATTGATCCGTCTTGGAACACCTTGCAAGTCATTTGCCAGTCTGGTAATAAATTTTAAGGAAGAACATGTATATAAAGAAGACCTGAAAAACATTTCGTTCCATTCTTTACCATTCCAATTGTGTAAAGGATCAAGAGACTTGAGTTCGCTTTAAACTCTGCAACTAATATACTCTCCACCTTCGTAACAACAATGGCTGTTAAATTGATTTCTGGCGCTTACCAGCTGTCATTAGTATCCGATGACGAACTTTCCAAATATATCGATGTTTTGAAAAAGTACGGGATCAAGGAATTGGACACTGCCCGGGTCTACCCAGATAACGAGGAATTCTTGGGCTCCCATGGTATTCCCAAAAGCTTCTTAATCGACACCAAGGCACGCGGGTTTGTCAACGGCTCACTCTCGAAAGAGGGTATAATCGGGTCGATCAAAGAATCGTTTGAGCTCTTGAAAGTGGAAAGCGTTGAAACTTTCTTTCTCCACTCTCCAGACCCAGACACACCCTTGGAGGAAACCTTGGACACCATCGGAGCACTTTACAAGGAGGGCAAGTTCAAAAAATTTGGCATTTCCAACTACAGCCCAGAAGACGTGCGTAAAATCTACAACTACAACAAGGAAAAGGGCTACGTTCTTCCCACGGTGTACCAGGGCAATTACAATGCGTTTGCGAGAAAAATCGAGCAGACGCTATTTCCCGTTCTCGCAGAGTTGAAGATGTCCTTTTATGCCTACTCACCCATTGCCGGTGGATTTTTGGCCAAGACCCCACAGCAAATCACGGACGGCGCTGGTCGTTTTGCGCCCAACAATTTTGCCGGAGTTCTTTACAACAGTCTGTACAACAAACCATCTCTAATCAAGGGATTGGAACAGTGGAATAAAATTGCAGAAAAGGCTGGGATCACCGCTGGAGCCTTGGCCTACCGTTGGGTAGCCCACAACTCGCAACTCAAGGGCGAATCCGGAGATGGTGTGATCATTGGAGCCAGAAACGCTGAATCCATGGCCCAAAACATAGAGGCGATCCAAAAGGGTCCTTTGGATGCAGAGATCGTGAAGGAAATTGATCAAATATGGGAGTATATCGCCGCAGAAGCACCGCTCGACAACTACGTTGCGTTGAATAGCCTTTCTGCTTGAATTAAGCTGGACTTTACTGAGGGCCAGCAGCACCATCGTTCGACGACGCAACTCGGAACGTTTCCGTTATCTTGATATGTATGAGACATGATATGTACTGAAAGCTGTCACTATTACAGGATATTCTTGAAAAAAGTAGACCGATCGAGGACGGGTTCAGCACCCTTTTCACCATTCAAAGAAAGAAACGTTCCGCGCTCAAGAAATAATCGACGAAGTCTCAGGAACTATTTGGTTCTCGAGCGATGGTGAACCAAGGTGCTTGCCGGAATATGTATAAACCAGCACGTGACCTCCGAAGTCGTAGTTCTTGTAGAAATTGAGTTAAATAACGTAAAGCACTATGGGTTCAACTTTAACCTACTAAACCAAACACTATTTGAGTTGGTCTTTCCGCCTGGTAACAAGATCTCTAGTAGCAGCAACTCTCACAATCGCAATTCAGACCGTAAATAGATGTCGATCACGAACTTTTCATTAAGCTAGCCTTCACAGGGAAGTCTTGGTATGCCCAAGACACTCTATTCGGGAACCGGTGGATACTCAACAGGCAGTTGATTGTCCTTGTGGCTGGCTTCGGAGTTTCTGTAAGACAGGAATGTGTTCCAAAATATAGCGAGAACGTTCACTGCTAATAAGCGGTGCTGCACTGGAACTAGCGAAAAGTTGACTAGCTGAAACGCTGGCCACACCATCCAATTTGTTTTTAGAATATCCCACCAAACTGCACGAATTTTCTGATCAGCGTGCTGTAGCGATTGGCCCTCCATAAGCGTCAGCACGCCAAAATAGAAGGGAATGCACGATGGCGCAAATAGTAGCTGGTCCACTCCTACACGCAGAGCGAGGTTGGACCAGTGGTTGGCCGGTTTGTTTGCAAACTTGACTTTACCATTGAGAGTTCTAAACCATTTGTCGCCAATGAATGAGAAAATGAGTGATCCGTATGTTACTGCGCGTACGGTTCTCGCAATATCGTAGCCTGCGGGCGAATTTTCGCCATTTACACTGGTAGCTTTAGCCTGGGGATTAGGGAAGCAAATTTGCGCCAGAGCGTCCCCCAGGCCAAAGAGAGAGCCCGTCATGATAGCATTGGTGGTCTTGGGGTTTTTTTTGAGCGAAGCGGCATAAAAGTTGAGGAACGAAGACATTTTTTGCTTATGCAGAAAGCGTTTTGGCAAGGATCACGATGAGCTTTAAACTACGAAATGAAAAGCTCTGGCGTTGAATCAACGGGAAAGTCTCGTAGGAGGAAAGAAAAATCAGAATCTAGAGTTTGTCAGATCTCCTTTATACTACAGAAAAACTCTCATTCGATTCAGCCGTTCATTTCAGTTCAACATCGATCTTCCTTTATCATCGAGCGTACCCTACAACAGGCGCAATAGACCATTGATTCCGTAATTGATGACAGACATGACTCGGAGTGAATCATCATGCTCATAAAGGCTACTCTTGGATCTCGAAGACAGGAAAGCATAGAAATTATAAAAGGCCGAGTGTCACATTTACAGATTCCAGATCTGCATGCTATTCGGTGATGCTTGAAGAAGATCAACACCTAACGAATTGGTTACGAAGCGTCCTTCACCGCAGAACCGAGCGGCTTTTATCGAGGTTGCGTTTTGCGCATCCAAGAATTGGCCAAATCGTCTGGCTCTCAATGGCTGGATCTTGCGAGAAGGGCATCTAGCTGAAAGTTTCTTTGGCTGGACGACGTTTTGTGTCAAGATCAAATGCTCTTTGTGCCATCGCCAGAGAACCCTATAAAAAGAGTATTGCTAGTGTGATGTGTGCTCTGTGTTCGTTGCTTGCTCACATTCACTTTTTCTATCTTTTCTCCTCCTCCACCACCACAAGAATTTACAAGTTTAAAGCTATCAGTTGTGCATTCCGACTATCTGCTTTACCTATCGAATTCTACAAAAACCAGCGTTCCATCCAAAACTATTAGCTTCGAGCTAACAGATCAACTTTCCTCTCTGCAAGGCTCCGAAGTTACAAAGAGAACAAAATTTGTTTTCCAATCATCGCAAATACGAAAGCACGAACTAGTGCCCCAAGCATCTTCTAGTTCAGTCTCGTTTTTGAGATTACATTCGCAGCTCACCTTCTGCTATTTGATTTTTGTGCTCCTTTGTGTTTCCAGGATCCAAAAACAAAAGTTTCGAAGAGCGTTAACACAACGCGACACTCCTAAAGACAATCAGACAATCAGACAATCAGACAATCAGACAATCCGAAAAATCTTTGCTACACTTTACTGTAACTTTATTGAGGAACCTTCTAATAAAGTTATCAGAGCATCGAAAGGACAATTTCGCATAGTACTCTGCCTTCAGAGTAACGAAACGGCGCAGCTTAAAAGAAGAAACCTTCAAAGGCAAAGAGAAAGTCAAATCTTCCACAGGTCTTTTACTTATTTGAGTCGTTGCCCAGACTAATTGGCATAGACCATTTTTCTCTCTTTCCTTTAGTGTCGTCCCCAGACTTCCTCAGAAAACTTTCCCAAAGTTTTACTTCACAAGCTTACACTCCAGTACACCGCCGTCTCGTAAAGTAGCTCTCAGAGCTCTTCCAAGAGATCTTAGGCTACACACAACCTTCAAAAACAAAAAAGCCAAAAAACACACGAAAAACACAAAATCTTCAAAAAAGACATCTACAAGTCCGAAATAGTTTCACCTTCGACAAACGTCAATCCACAAAGTTTTTATAATCGAGGATTTTGACGTAAAACGACTGACGCGATCACAGTCAGAAGAAGCAAAGGTAAAGTCACAAAAACCTTTTCCCCTTACAAAAGAATACAAGCCCTACTAGAGATCTAAGGCTTTCACATCGTGACAACTCGTGTGCTACTGGCTAGATCAGTGAAGCCATTCTTATCACTCCTGAAGATTTAAGCATTTGAATCACGGTCAATTATTGATTAAAGCTAGTTGTCAGTCTCGTTTGATCATCTCGCGAAATGTATTTGGACTACTCAAGTCGCGACGAGTACGCTGACATTAACGCTAGTTTTGCCGAAAAGTACATTGAGATACTGTACATTGAGCGATTAGAAGAGCCTCAGTTCCGTCTGGACTATATCAAGTCTCGCGCCCAACATGTTAAGCAGCTTCAAGAACTGCAATTGAAAGATCTTGAGGGAAACTTGGGCTGGCTCAGTTACCTCCACGGGATCATTCTATCGCGAGAGCAAATGGAGGAGCGGATGCAGTCGCTACTCAAATGCTCGACCCTTTACATGGTGGAGTTCGACCTCGAAGGTTGCTCGCCAGAAGATGCCTTTTCTGAAGAAGGGGACGAAGAGGGCATGAAGCAGGGTCCCTTGCGGGAAGCAATTAGACATACTTATATGGATTTCTTGCTTCCTTGCGAGAGAGTGATTGAATCGTTGCAGAATCATTTTGTTCGTTCGAGACCTTCTAAGATTTGCTCATTTAGTCAGTTTGACTATGTGCAAAAGCTTCTCTATCAAGAGCTCTACCCTACGTCCAAGGGTCCGTTCAAAACCCACGCCGGGCTTGTCATGATGCCAATAAAGTTTCCGCGGTCTTTCAAGCATGCCATTGGCGATAACTGCTATCCGACAACCGATATTAAACTTCGCTTCCACAAATGGACAGGACTCAAGACAGGTGGAAGCCTTTTCAAGCTTAAGGGAGAAGAAATTCGCCCATCCTTGGTCCCGAATAGAATAGTATCGGTTTGGAGTGTAGGAAAACCGGAACAATTGTTCAAGCATTATTCAAAGCTGTTCGCATTGGGAACACTCAGCTTTACCAAAAAGGATGGAGATGAGACCACCATTATCATGAAAGAGCTCGAATACAGAGCAGAGAAACGTAATGAAAAAGTCAGCCAGATAGGAACAACATTACCGCCTCGCTCTTTAGCCGCAGTCGGCTCTGATAAGGAGGATAAGCGATTGAACTGCCAAAATAATGATGAGTCTCATTCAATTGTCAAAAGCAGGAAAGTTTCTTTCGCGGTGGAGGACCCGCGCTCTGACATCAAGGAGAATGGTGCAAATTGCTCGAGAAGTTTGCATCCTGCTCCCAATGTTAAAGACGTAGTCCACCGCACTGACTCTTCTCGCGATTCAGACGTTGATCCTTTGAATTCTGCCAAGAATAAAACCAAACCCTCTGAAGCTGCGAAAACTAGTCAGCCATCTGTTTCGAATGAAGCCGACACTCTGTCTCCTAGCTCTTGCGTTGAATTTACGCCAGAAGATGCTTCCAGTAGCAGGGCCGAGACCGCATCGCGTCGGTCCTCTCGGACTGCTAGCCTGACTGCTCCAAAAGTGTCAAGGGTTCAAAAGACTTTTGATGCCAGCTTAGACTTGAATGTTAAGCCAGACGCAAATGCTGGGAACAGAGTTAAGAAGCCGTCAGGGCCACGTCAGGATTCCAAACATGTCTCTCCTCTACCATCCAACGACCGTAAGAGTTTGAATGACAATTCCTCTGCGTGCCATGAAACAGAACCCAGCCCTGGCCAAGAACGCGCTGAGATATCGAGCTCAAGAACCGATCCTCTGAACTGTGCCGGGACTTCATTTTCCGATGTCCATGCCAGTTTCGCGCCAGACCTTCGTCCCAAAGTCTCGAAGCCATGCCCGCGTTCCCACGAAATCAATGCATCGCAGTCTGCGAAACAAGTATACGCTACTTCCAAGGGATATGATGAGCATTCCATCACTGGCAGAAGTAGTTCTGCTCAAGGTCTCGGTGTAAGTTCCTCCGCCAGCACAAGAAAGCTTAGTGACAGATCTTACCGCACCTTACAGGCGAACAAGCAGGCCATGTTGATTGATGGGGTGGAACTTGAGCTCAGTGAGATTGAGAGAGACATTCTTTCGCTTTTGGAACAGCAAAATTCCGAGAAGAAGGCGGCCGAGAAACTCAATCCCCCTGTTGAGCGCTCGTCCGAAAAACAGGCGGCAAAAATCGATCATTTCAATAGAATGAGAGATGAGTTCATGGAACATGAGGAGGATGTTTTATTTTCTAGCAACAGTATGGAGCCACCAAATTCACGCGACGGAGTCGTTGATGGACAGTTAAAAATGGCAGTTGCTCAGAGTGCAGATATGGACTCAAAGAAAGCGGGCGCAAGCCGGAGAGTGCGACCTGTCGAAGCCCTCATCGAACTAATCATGCGCTCCGAGCAGCTGGCGACTGCTCAATCAGTGGAACATGGCGAAATAGAAGTTGCGCAACCTTTGGGAATTGGGCAAAAGCCACAACTGACTACAACTTCTGATGATCACTGCGCGACAGGTGCCAATGAGGCAGCAGTATTTATCAAAGATGATGCACCAAAGCCAAAGTGTTTGCTCAAAATCGAAGCTTCGCGGGTACCAGATCTATCGCCCGGTATGGACAAATCTAATACAGTGACGAAAGCGGCATCAGGTGGCCTTGAAGTTCAGAAGGACTCAATAGATAGGTCGCGGAATGGCCGGCTGCAAGACCTTCCCCAAAGCCGTATCCCACGAAGCTACGCCAGCTCTCAGAGTTTCCATTCCCCACCTTCCTCCTTTTCGACGCAGCAGAAAAGTGATGAGCGCAAATACTACGATCAAAAAATGAGCTGCGATGATCTTTCTCCTGCGGAAATCACTCCAAAATGCTCTTTGAGCTCAACCAAATCTTCAAGTATGACCAACAAGCATCAAAAAGGTGTTACTATGGTCAAGTCTGGCACTGGGGACGGTGGAGTGACAGAATTGGGAGAAGGATCAAGGGCAGAAGCTGCAACAACTTCATCATCGCAACGGGGAAGGCGAACTAACCGAAAGAAAGAGCGAAAGGGAGATACGGAAGCGCAAAGGGTCAAAGATTACGTTGAATCGGACACATTGCCTCTCAACATCCGTGACGGCCACAATGATCGCTCTTTGGCATATAAGTCTAGTTTTCGAGGGACTTCAATCGATGCCCAAGTTGAAGGCATAAAGTGTGATAGCAAGATGAACGAGCTCCAAACCGGGGAGTGTTTAGCCCTCCCCAATAAAGCTGATGATTCGCAGATAGGTGATTCGCAGCCCGTTGGGGATATCAGGAGCTCAGACGCTATCAAGGCGCGGTCGTGTCATTGTCACTTGAAAGAAAACTGTCGGAATCCTTTTCATGAAAAGCTGCCAGAGGCGTCACCGGGAGGCTCAATCTCTACTCAACAGCGAGACGGATGTCAAGTTGAAGCCATTAACGACCAGGCAGGGCGCAGGAACGGCCACCAAAGCCTTGAAGCCAGTAGAAGCTCAGCGAATGACAGGATTGAGCTCAGCAATTCGGCATTGCGCCAAGAACCAATCTTGTCACCCAGCGATGAGTACGAGCAACACCGGTCTCACCTCTACCCAGGCGGATCAACTCACAGTTACACCATGAATGGATGCGAGAATGAGTGCTCGTCGAAATATTCCAAAAGAGCTGAAAGTCAAATGAAAACCCCACTGGTGTCTAACAGCTTCGGCATAATGGCAAGTGAGAGCTCGATCCGTAATTTCATCTATGGAGCTGGGCATGCGACTTCAGTCTTTCATGATGCAGAGGATGGAGACCAAGAGTCTGTGATAGTGTCGAGTCACCTTTTCCCACCAATCGGTACAAGTCAGGCTCCATGCAACGACAGTGTGAAGAGCTCTAAGAGAGGAATTAAGAGCATTGATCCCAGCGGAACAACGGGCAAGTCTCTACCGGAAGCATTATCAATTTTGAAAAGAGGAAGAGATGATTGCGCTGAAGAGGAAGGAGACGGATTTTGCTATGACAGTCGCGACGCAATCAAATCGTGTGAGCTCTCTACAATTGACCAAATATTTGGTAAACATGGTTTTCATCAAATTTTCGAACGAGAAGCGAATGTCAAATCTCTTGACCAACCAGAGAGTATGTTTTCATTCTGCTCGGGGCCCACAGTGGGCTCCCCAATTTCATCTCAAATCGATGCCGCGGTTAATGAGCACTTGAGCAATTGCGCAAAAGGGCTTTACAAGGGAGGAGCAGGAGTTCGTCAAATTCCTTCGAGTCCCTTTGCTGAAAGCAATGAGAAAAACCTCGGAAAATCAGGCATGGAACCTCGCGTTCATGGGTCGCAGGCCCAGAAGAATTCTTCGCACTTGCCTGACATATTTGGAAAACAAGGACCAGATTCAAAAAGATCGAGTAAAAACAGAAGTTTACGTTTTGCCAACAAGGTCAAAAGTGTGGTTTCGCCTCACTCTGGTTACATTCCGAACCCCTCGAGACCTATCAAAAAAGAGAAGCGTAAACTCACGTATGATGAACTGTACCCCGCGCTTTCAGACGTAAGATTTCGGGATTTTGTGAAGTTCAAAGCTCACAAATTCAAGGAAGATCTGAAGTACTACTCTGACATGGTGAAGCTACATGTAGTTGACACTTAAGAGAAACTCGAGATCCTTGAACCTGCTACTGAAGAGGCTGGGCTAATCTGGTAAGGCAGTGATAGGGTTTTAATGGTTTTTCCTTCTTTGCATCGTTGGGTAAAACCCAGCCTCTCAAGGCGTTCATTGGCTCCCAACATCATACTTCGCATTTGACTTATTGTGGAGGTTGATCCCTTACATGATAATCGATGCGACAAAAAAAGCAAGATTTTACAGAAAGGGTCTGAACATAGCGGATGTATCATCGCCCATCTTTGTGCCATTGTTCCAATAACAAAATTCTTTTGACCTTCTTCAAGTTTGGATAACGCATCCAGAACATTACTATAAAAAACATGCAACTGGCGTTGCTATCAACCAAAAAGAGCTGTGCTTCTTATTGGTTTTGTTCCGAGCTTGAACATACCTTTATCAGGGTAGGAGCTAGGGAGTGCCTCCATGCCCATGATGCTTAGGTTTTTCATAGACTTTTGAGACAAGAAATCTAGAGGTATACTCTTCAAGACGAGAGTGCATTGACTGTTACGACATAAGAACATTTTTTTCTATTGGCAGCCTGAACTTTGCCATTTCATGGACAATCGAGATTGGGGAACTCTTGACCTTGTCCTACAGTACTTTTAAGCAGAACATTGCGCCTTTTTCAATGTGAAAGACATTCTCAACACCTCTTCACATAATTATTATTATGAATACATAACCTAAATGCATGCTATCAGGACAGTCGGCTTGTTTATGAGCAACTACCACCAGATAATTATGACGAGCAGCAGGAAAATGATTCAACGAGTGTAGCCATGTAGTGCGTCTAATAGTAGATCCAGAAACGCTGTGAAGAGTTAATGAGTTAACAATGTAGGGCAAAAAGCAGCAACGAGGTGCAAATTAATATGTCTTGCCAAGACCGCGCTCAATTGATAAGAGCACATTCAGATCGAACTTAGGCCTCAATGCGAGGCCCGCCTCGCATTTGCCCCATTGTGCTATTTGATACCTGATCCATTCCTTTTTGGCTCACTTTTTGATGATAGTAGTACCATCGCCTTCCAATCCAAGCAAGACAAAAGAACCCAGCCTTGTTTCCATCATTAAATCCAATTGCCCCTCGACATAAACTGTTGCTTGGCCTCTCACTAGGATTTCATTTAAACATCTTGTGAGTTCAAGTCTGTCTACAACCACAACATCCTGCCCTGAAATATCAAAAGATACCTGCAACTGAATGTAAGCCGGATCCGCAGATCTTAAAATCTCCGACTTCGCGTTGAGCCAAACATCCATGGGAACAGACACGAAATGGATATCATTATGGAATAGCTTGGTGAGGCCCTTGATCTTTTTAATAGACACTGTTTCTTCTTCCTTTGAAAGCGTCGCATTGTAAAAAGGGAGATTCACCAAAGTGTTGACTTTCCCCATAACTTCCAGCCTTTTGTCGTCCCAGCCTCTTTGTGACCATTTTAACTTCAAGCCATCTACAGTGACCTGCTCTACCAACTGATCAGAGTCTATTGTTAAATTTGCTTTTACTTCTTGTACAATTGATGGCAGGATTTGGTCTAAAAGGCACTTCGGGATAAAGCTTGTACTGGTTTCTCCTGAGTGAAGCCCGCATATTTGGAAGTCAACACTTTCAGTGGCGCTGAAGACCTTTTTCAAAAACAGGTTGATTGGCGTAACTACATTCTTTTCGTCTGAGTCACATACCTGGTAAAGTAGCTCATCGGGAAGTGGTCCATAAATTTGGCCTGTTATGTTAATGTTAGGAGAGGTTTTTGCCAACAGAAGATCTACTGGCACTGAAGGTGTCTCGAAAACGGCGTTTTGCAGAGCTACTGGCTCATTTGCGCGACAGCCCGGCATTCGAACCGTCCACGATGTGGGAGGAATTGAAAAACCCTTCTGGGACTCTAAAAATCCTTTTAAAAAGCCGGGACAATCATACGAAATACCAACCTGGACTTTCACAGCCTCATCGGAGTCATTTATCTGCAAATCGTTGACTTTTATAGGATCTCTTAAAACCTGATGCATTTGATCAATGTAGGATTGAACATGGTTCCAGTCTAAAAAATCATTCCACTCCAATTTGGGTATTTGAACACTTCCTAAGGACAAGCCCCACTTGGATAAAGAAACATCCAAGCTGGACCAAAGATTGAGCTCGTGAAATTTACGCTTCCAAATTTTGATAATCACGGAGGCGATATTTTGAGCATTGGGATGAATCACAATTGGGATATCCAATTCTGTTGTTGTATTCGCTCTCAAATCGACACATACCGCTTGTGGAATGTGAACGGATCCCAAGCTTTGAGTGCCAGTTGCGTTATCGTTATAGGCCTGCATGTCATTGAGGTCAAAACAAAGCGTTTTCACGACAGACTGGCTAAAAAACCTAATAAGTGAGTTTTCCTGCCGAGCTGAGGTTGAGTTGGAAGTCGAAGGGAGAGCTTGGTCGTGATCGAAACTTACGCTCATTTTGGCCCGCAATTTGAGATATTTGTAGGTATTTTCGTCACCATGAGACACTGAAGAGAAACTTGGTTCAATATTTGGATTCCCAGGCTTGGAATCCCATCCTTCATAGGAGATGCCATGGATTTGTATTTTCGTCACATTTTCATAATACGTCTGAATAGCTCCTGGAGAGGGCACAAATCTTGATGCATATATTCCAATAGCACCAAGACATGCCAAAGCTATCGAGATAGCTAATATATAGTTCCATATTGGTTTGGAAGGACGTTTTGATGCGGCGCTCCGCGGACGGGCTACTGTTGCCCCATAATTTTCTGTCACTCTTGAATGCAAAGGTTGCTGTTCAAAGTCGTCAGATTCTGGGTGTTCTGACATGTTGAAAGAAGGTCAGTTTCAGCTTGAAACGAGAGTGCCGAAGGGCTTAAAGAGACTGTCTTTCGAGGGCAAGACTGCTTTGCTGTGAATTCGATAGTTTTTGATGCCCATGGATGGGTTGAGAACTAAGCTCATCGCTTGTATCATCATCAGCTGATCAGACCTTATTTCCTTAAATTGATTCCGTGCAGAATTATAAAGAGTCACGTGACCCGGACAGAAGTATGTTTAGCGACGGTGAATGTCAGTGTTTTTCGCAGGTTTAGCGAGCTTGAAAATATGGAAGACATTCTTTTTCTTCAATAAATACGGCTAGCAGCATTTTGCTAGTCATTTTGCCCGCATTTTCTTCAAGATCGCTATAATCTCGAAGTTTAAAAAAAATGTTGTAGAATAGCGCAGAAAAGAATAAGGAAGCCTGATACATAAAATCGGGGACGTGGGAATTGATCAGGACAAAGATTCTATTGCTAGTAGGTCACCAGGATAGAGTACTTCCCAAATATTATTTTCGGTCACGTGACGTGACACTGATGATTTGAGTGACAGCGTCAGTTGTAGTGAAAAGTGACAAGAAATCACCTCACTCGAGAAGGAACTCATTTTCTATATTCAGCCAATAGCAATTTGGATCCTTTACATACAAAGACGACGAGCTCAACCTTGTGGTACTTCACACGACTCTTCTTCGCTGAATACGCAGTTTCTCAACTATATCATTAAATTTTGAAAAAAAAAAGATAAGGCTGCTTCTAAAGTGAACATTGGAAAATAAATGCAACCATTTTATCAACTTTTAAAGATTCAGCTGTACTTGAATATGAAGATCTAGTTCATGTTTCTTGCGACAGTTTTATCTTCCAAAGATTCAGTATTAAGTCAATGTCATTATGGACGACAGTCACACATCAGCGACTCAATAAAAAATCACGATGCTCATCGAGCCATCTTGAACTTGGAAAACCATCTAAACCAGGTCTAAAAACAATCTCAAAAGTACACCATTTTAGCCGCTCAAGATCCCCATTTTAAACTCCATTAACGTCTTGCAATGCTCTATTTGATTGGATTAGGTCTTTCTTATACCTCCGATATCACAGTTCGCGGATTGGAAGCCATCAAAAATTGTGACCGTGTGTACCTGGAACACTACACCAGCATCTTGATGGCTGCATCTTTGGAAGAGCTAGAGACCTTCTATGGTAAGCCAGTCTCTCTTGCGGATCGTGAAATGGTGGAAAGCGGATGTGAAGAAATCTTGCGTGACGCAGACAAACAAAACGTTGCATTTTTGGTGGTCGGAGATCCATTTGGAGCTACCACTCACACAGATCTCGTTTTGAGAGCGAAAAAACAAAAATTGCCAGTCGAGGTGATCCACAACGCTTCCGTGATGAACGCCGTTGGCTCTTGTGGACTGCAGCTTTACAACTTCGGGCAAACGGTGTCAATGGTTTTTTTCACAGACAGCTGGAGACCAGACTCGTGGTATGATAAAATCTGGGAAAACCGTAAGATTGGTCTTCACACACTGGTTTTGCTAGATATTAAGGTTAAAGAGCAAAGTATCGAAAACATGGCCCGTGGTAGACTAATTTACGAACCTCCTCGTTACATGTCGATTTCGCAATGCTGTGAGCAGCTGCTGGAAATTGAGGAAAGCAGAGGTACCAAGGCTTACACCCCAGACACTCCAGCTGTAGCGATCAGCAGACTTGGCTCGGCTAACCAAACGTTCAAATCTGGTACAATTGAGGAGCTTTCTCAATACGATTCCGGCGAACCTCTCCACTCGCTTGTTATCTTGGGCAGACAGCGCCATGAGCTAGAGATCGAATACTTGCTAGAATTCGCCGACAACAAAAGCAAGTTCCAACAGTCGGTTACCCAGGACCAAGAATACTTCAAGCCGGCGCCATGGGTCCCACCTGTCGAGGATGAAGACTAGTCAGTCAACTTCAGCATCTACCTTGGGCTCAAATCCACATCACGTGCCACTTCTAGGTTTCTTATTCTATCACTTTTTGACCCTTCTGTCTTCTATTTCCAGCAAAAGGTCCCAGGAAGTAGCAGTATAGTGGGCGGTCTGCTAGTGTTAGATGGTAATCATGCTCACCTTGACCAAAAGGGTCATTTGGATATATTGTAATAAAATTTGAGATTTGAGATTTCTGAGGTCAGAAGAAGCACGGAAAACCCGGAATTCGAAGGTTTGACAGTTCCAATAAAAGATCCACAAGTGTGATACGCAGGTCTGATCAGCTTTTCCTCAAAAAGTATAGCGAGTTGTCGAAAATCCGAGTGTTTTCGTAGAAAATTACGGTACTATGTGTTAATATAATAGAGATACTTCAACATCGTGAATTCTGAACAAGTCGAAGACGACAACGACGACGACGACGACGACGCTTCAAAGCAAAGCAGCGGCGTGGTTAATAAATTCCTACTTCTGCTCTTGCGTAACAATTGCCATCCGGCTGAAAAAATCAACTTTCCTCTCCCCTCGGCATACTCAAAAATGGCCCAGATTAAATATATGCTTCTGATCTCAAGACAGGGAAAAATACGATTGATGCGATGGTTTAGTGCTTATACCGCTAGCGAGAAAAATAAGATCTGTCGAGAACTTAGTACAACGGTTCTGGCTCGCAAGCTCAAAATGTGCAACATCTTGGAGTATCAGGATCATAAAGTCGTTTATAGAAGATATGCGAGCCTTTATTTCGTGTGTGGCATCAGTCCTGACACCAGCAACGAGCTGCTGACGTTGGAGATCATACATCGCTATGTGGAGGCAATGGACAGTTATTTCGACAACGTTTGCGAGCTGGACATCATTTTCAATTTTACAAAGGCATATGATATACTAAATGAAGTTCTGATATGCGATGGGGCCATGACTGAAACCAGCAAAACTAGCATTCTCAAAACCGTTGCATCCATGGACGCTCTCGAGACCAGCGATAACCTGGACCAGGTGTTGAGTTGAGAAAAAAAGACCGAAAAGCAAGGTCTCCGCTCATTGATCATGCCAAACTGTACCTATAAGTATCGGTAACACTAACGAATATAAACTCTCACCTCTCTCTCTTTTTTTTCCTTGGTCATCATATATCAAGTTTAGTCGAGCAATAGTTTCTGAAATTCAGGATCTCCAAGCACTCCACTTCCTTCCACGTTGTGCACCGATTCACCTTGTGCTAGCGATCTGATCTCATTATAAACTATACCGAAAACGTACGGAGCGTCCTCGTATTCTTCCATTTCGCTCACCAGGTTCCGATGCATGGTATTGCTGGGACTGCAGGGGTGTTTTTCCTTGTAAAGTTCGATATATTTGTTAATAAAAGTCTGTTTATCCTTGATGCCAAGGTCTGCCCATTTCTTGTAACCCAGAGCAGATGCAGAATGATGAAAGCTTCTCTTGGCGCAATTGCCAACAAGAGCAGAATTAAATCTCGTGAGCGAGGTTCTTGTCAGATCTGTGAGTGTGCGCGTCAACATTATAGTGCTATCCCTGCTGCTCGCTTGAATTTCAGCTAGGGTGAAGCAAGCTGGATGAAGAAGACCCTTTGCTGTGAAGGTTGACGATCATTTTAAAGATCGACGTCCTGACAGACGATCTAATACAGTGGTCATATAAAATTTCAAACTTGCAGATAATATAATAAGCCATTTTAGTATAGTGGTTAGTACACATCGTTGTGGCCGATGAAACCCTGGTTCGATTCTAGGAAATGGCATTTATTTTTGTTTTTTTTGACATTTTTAATATGACTTACATGGCTAGCGTCACTGAAATTCGTTTTAAATGTGGTGATAGTTATTGTAGTTGTGGGATTAAAAGACAGACAACAGCATCGATTGCAATGCGTAGGTTCTAATTGTAATATTGCCTTTTTTATAAAGCCCTAGTGATATTCTACTACAAAATTAATTCCCTTCTCTTAGAAGCTCCAGAGTCTATTAATGCGGGTGTACTCCGCGAGTAGTCTCATGGATGGAAGAAGCAGTTCCAGATGTGCTTTCCTGATACACTTTCATCTCCATTCACGTTGAAAGAGTACTCCTCATCGTCATCATCCTCCAATAAACTTTCGTTGTCGGTCGTGTCCTCTGACTTTAATTCTTTCTCGTCCGCGTGCAACGAGCGCACCTTTTTCACAGATGCCTTCTTTTCCTCCAGGACAGATTTGTACTTTACGATGTTCTGCTCAACGGTGTTTCTCACCAAAAAATTCCACACGTAAGTCTCTCGTGTTTGCCCTATTCTATGGGTGCGGTTGATTGCTTGAATTTCAGCGCTATCGTTTATAATGGGTTCCATAATGAAGACATGTGTGGCATTTACTAGTGTAAGCCCGGTCGCTTGTTTTTTGACGTCCAAAAGTAAACAGGTATTAGCTGGTTCTCTCTTGAACTTCTCGATGCTCTTCGAAAATCTGGAAGATCCGGAGGTATTCAGGTGTTTGACCGCATGTCGCGTAAGTACGCTAGACAAAATATCGAGAAAATCAGAATATTGCGAATATATGATAATCTGAGGAGGTTTCGCACTCGGATTACGGTCCACGTCTTCCCTATAGCATATCTGCAAATAAAGGACAAGTTTTACGGCAAAGTCGACTTTGCAGCCGTATGTCTCTTTGAGCGTGAGCTGATGTACTTTTTCCATGTTCTCAAAATTTTGATACTTCTGTGAAAACTGCGTTTCCCCCAGTAGATTTTGTTCAGATGAGTCATTTGAATTTTTAGCACTTTTGTTGTTGTTGGGCTCACCTTCAGAGTTATGCTCGTCAACATCATCTTTGACCTGAGCTTCTTGAAACTTGAATGTGTAAACCTCTGACAAGGATGTTGCCATTTTGCACAAAGGGCATGCACTCTTATTCTTTAGCCAACTGTGTATGCAGCTCTTACAAAAGAAATGTCCGCATTTTATCATGGATCCCACGAAAATCTCACTCAAACAAATTGCGCAGTTGAACTTTTTTTTAAGATTTAGATTCTCTCGTAAGGTTGTCAACGTCTCCAGATACTTTAGTCTCGATCGTAAATTATTGATCTTACGGAGATTCTCATTGAGTTGCACATTATTCTTGGTGTTTTTCAGAATCAACCCCACAGCTGGGGGTTCTAATTGAATGAGAGACACCAAAGAGTCAGAGATTCTCTGCAAATTACTGAAATAATTTGTCTTGGCGTTATAAATCTCGTTCAGCTTTTTGATGTTCTCGCGTAAGGTCTTGATCTCCTTCTTAATCCTAGGAATTTCCGACTCAAACGCTAACAGATATGCGTCGAAGCTTTCCCTATGCCCAGCGCTTGAACTCAACGGACCGTTCACAATTGTAACGTTTTTCAATTCTGTGAAAATCATTTTGAGCGTCGGCCCTTCATAAAGATTCAATTGAGATATCAGACCAACATGATAATTTGATATAGTGTCGGTGTTTCTGAACAAATTCGGAGAAAGCTTGATGTCCTCGTCAGATGACACAGCTTCTTCGCGATTGACTAGTGATCTTTCAAGGCAATCCAAAAGAGCAAACACTTTATCTTGATTTTCTATCGTATTTTCATAATCTTTCGCCTTTTCATCTTGATTCTGCTCGTCATATTCAATGATGAGAGGTTTGTAAGATAAAGCTTTTAATTCGTTCACGAATGAGTTGAATTGGGTGGCTTGATTATTCAGATTTTGGAATGCAGCTTTTAGTCGTTTATAACAGAGCGCTGTATTCATATTCGAGGACTGATCATTTTCGTCGAACGAAATACTATCCAAATAGCACTTCGAGCTAGCTTTCTTGAGTTCGAAAAAATGTCTTACACTTTCAATTTCTTTATCGACTTTTCTTATTCTATCTGCAAGTATTACTTTACGCAATGTTTCGGCGTACCCGTAGTTCTCTTGCTCGTGTTGCTGAAAAGAGTTAATTCTGTCCAACTCTTCTCTTGAAAAAACGTCAGAGTATTTTTTCGGTGTGGTGTCATGCGAAGCAGATTTGTTCTTCGCTGGCCCAGAAGTCACAAGTCTCTCGTTTTCATCGTCAATTGCTTCCAATTTTTTGGAGCCCAAGAAGTAATAAGCTGTCGCGATGAAAAAAAAGCATTGGTGAAGTAGGTCCATGTATGGCTTGGCTCTCGATTCTCTGCTTTCGCCATCGGAATCACCTATCAAAAGGTCTTCTAATTTGTCAATGTTTTCTAACAAAATATTGATGCCAAATCGATCCTTGATCTCCAAAATTAGCTCGTCACATACACTTTGAAGCAAGGTTACTGCCCTTTGAGGTTCATTTTTCAATTCCATGTAAACCTGAGCGTGCTGAATCTTCAAAGTGAAGTTTTCTCTATGCAAGCTCTCGATCTTGTCTTGAACATCGTCCATCATGTTTTTCAGTATAACGTCCATTGTTTGTATTGTCCCCAAATCCTGTTCATTCTCTTGACGTAGCATTGCCTTTGGCATGAGGGCATGACAACAGGTTTTCCGCAGGACACCTAGCCAATAATTAAGGTCCTTGGCGGAAAGGAAAGTCTTGCCGCGACCATCACTTCTGTAACCTGAGGCATCCAAGAAGCTATTCCATAAATTCATATAATTGTCTTGCTCTACTGGTAAAAATTCCAATGGAATGATGTAATTGTGCTGCTCCGGAATCCGGATTTGATCAGCAACATCAGCCTTAGAATGTCTCATGGCCAAATCAAATCTGGGGAAAATGTTCATCAAATCATTTGCATCAAACTTAATACCTTTCACCAAAAGATCTTCGGAACTACTCAAGGTATCGTCTTGAATTTGGGCTTTCACTCTTCGCGCAAGGTTTTTTCTTACAGCGTCAACAATTTTAGGACTGTCTTGAAATGGATGGAATTGTAAGTATGACAGAACCGTTTTGAAATCAGTTATGCTATTCACAGGTGTGCCCGAAACGCCCCAAGTGTGTATACGATGCAGAAGCGCTGTGCACCTTGCAGCATTGGTACTTTCACCTCTCAACATCTGGACCTCATCAAGAATGATTCGGTAGAACTGTAGAAGAGATAGTGGTGAGGAATAGTCGTACTTGGGAGCATTCCCACGCCTATATCTTATCGCTGCGCTGAATTCAGCGTAATGGACCTCTGCTGATACTGTAGTGTAAGAACATATTATGATGTCGTATTTTGCAAGTTGCCTGACTATTTGGTCAACGTCGTCAGTCTCAAAACGTGCTTTGACCTCTTGAAACCCCTTGTAGTGGAAAACCCCTAAATGTGTGCTATTTTCGAACTCGGACTTACCATTCAGAGTAGTTCCATCAACGACATGAGTATCAATTTCGTCAATCCACTGTCCCAGTATACTTTCAGGACAGACAATTAGGTTAGTGTGAGCCTTACGTATCACTTTACCTGCGGCAGTGGTGAAAGTTGTGTCTTCTGGTACCTGTCGTTTGTTGATCAGTAAAAGGGCCAGAATTTCCAAGGTTTTGCCTAAGCCCATTTCTTCTGATAGCACGCCATGGGCACAAGGAGCGTTATGGAAGTTTGAAACTTCAAGTGCAGAAATCGCATCATGTGAAGACAATATGTAACCGGTAAATTTGTTCCAATATAGTAGGTCTTCGCCTGTGTTCATGATCTCGTAACCAAAAGACACATGCGCATTAAGTAACTCGCATAGTTGATTGGGATTTAGCGAGCTGATGATTGGTATGGAACGAGAGGGGAAATAACCTTCTTTACCAAGCATCCAATGAACTGAATCCTTCTGAAAAGGAAGAAGGTGCACATTCAGTTGTGGAGTATCTGGCAAATTCGAGTTCGACCCGATCGTATGCTCTTTGGTGTATTTCGCGGTTTGATGATTGAACTGCTTTTGAACGTAATAATGGGTCAGCTCATGCTTCACAAAGTGCTCACGTTTGAAGTCACTGAAAAGCGTGTCGAGAAAACGATTGGTCTCGGTAGAAAAATTGTTCGGACTATCTTTCTTGTATCGAAGGGAAATGCTGAATTCAAGGTTCCACAGTGCACAATCATTTGTCACGCTGAGCAGAGCGGGCGAGCAGTCGAGTTCTCGGTATTTCATCTGGATCTTGGCAATTGAAGCATTGGGTGTTGAAGTCGATACTTTGCGCCTTTTCCGAGTGTCAGTGTTCTCAGCGTTTCGTTGACATTTGAGCGCCTGTGACCTAGCTTTCAGTTCTTGTTCCAAGCCTTTGTGCGCCAGTATTTGTAGCGGCAGCTCTAAAACTTCACAGAAATCCGTTACATCACATTTTAAGATGGGCTTTGACGCACTGGTGACGATGAAGAAACGTTTATTATCTACGGTGTGATATTCCACTCTAACGGTTGCCGTGTCGACTTTTGAAGCGCCAGTTTCTGGTAGGATTCGACCAAAACCTATTCTGCAGTGGAAGACTTGTAAAGAGCTTTCAAGAGCTTTTTTGACCCTTCTTGCAGCTGTCTCCGCAGTAGGTGGCGATGAGGTACTAGCGGATCTTGCTATCTCGAGTTGGGACGCTAAAAAGTCCGCTTTAAGTGACAATACCTCTTTCAGAGCCATTTTTTTGTGACCTGGTCATCTGAAAGAAGTAGCTCGATCCCTGATGGTGGGGAGGAATGCTGCTTGATTGTTGATGTGTGTAAGGCCAAGGTTTTCTTAGTTCATTGTCATTAATGAAATTGGCATCGCATCACATGACGCGCTCATGAATGTAAAGGACCAAGATCGATGTAGAGATTTGAGATTATGACGTGACGGTGGCTTTCGATGTAGAGACTTGGAATTCCGATGTGACGTTAGCTTTCGAGGCAGAAGGTGGTGTGCTTCGTTCAAAGATCTTCACGGGCTTGTTGTGGTGGTGATGAAGGTGCTACTTCCACAGTCGTCAGAAACGTGACGTCTGTCACTTGTGAGTATGGAAGGGAAACGGGTGGGTAATACGCACACGCTGGGGACAAGCACAGCATAGGGTGAGGCTACGAGTGGACGAATGAGTTGCACTACGTACAGAGTGATGTCACTTTTTCTCTCTCCTCTCACTCTCTCTTGCAGTAGGTAAGAAATTACTCAGTAAGTGTCTGCAATGCTGTGTTTGACAATGGAAGAAGTATGCTGCGGCAGCTTGACGAATATCTTAAAACTAGCGCGCAATGGGGATCGTAGTGTGAGAAGGCCAGTTTCCTAGGAGCGCAAGCACGTGACTCTCACCTCAAGATGTAATATGACGTGTGTATGCAGCGTTAACGGTTTCGCATATAATTATGACACGATTCATTCAAAAATGACAATGGAGAAGAAAATGAATATTACGGTGAGACCTGTCACGATGGAGAAGCTTATAAAAAACTGGCTAAATGAGAATGGCAATTACTTCGGAGGTCCCCTTTCGCAAACACAACGTGCTGTGTAAAATAATCATACATCAAAGGTATCTTTGTACGGATATAAGCGGTTAAGTTTCTATCACTTTGTACGTTGGACTACTTAAGGACTACTGGCGATCCAAACGATCAGTATCCGTTGGCCTTTTTTAATGGGTCGCTTACTTACTGAGTCGCCAGAAGACCAATAAAAACGATAATGGAATTTAGGCGTGGCCATCCCAGACAAGGCTTCCAATGGCAAACGTTCCACCATCGGCCTTTCGGAAAGATTTCACTGGCATTACACAATGTCTAGAGAGCGTTCTAGAAGTGGACTACCATTCTACAGTGATTGTGCCCTCACTACAATTGTTTGAAATCGCCAAAAGGTGATACGCTGATTCCAACAGAATACCTAGAGTTTCCCTTCCTTGCCTTATTCTTCTTTTCGGCAAAAGTCAAGACTCTCTTCCAAGGCTTTCAGGCTGCGATAGGCTTAATTTCGAGTGGCCAAAGCCCTACGTGACAGTGACATTGAACACTATATTGAAACGAATATCGCTTCATCCGTTCGTAACGGAATTTGGCTATAAAGACTTTCCAGCATACGTAAAGCAGCAGTTTGCCCCCAATCTGGAATGCCCTAATGTCGAACTTATCTGGAGCTTTCTACCTGATGTGACCACAACAGCTAGCCCGCGAGTGAAGCAAACGGTTGCATTCAGATATGGAGACCCAAACACCCTCTTGAGCGACGTCACTAACTTCATCGACACTTTGAAAGACCTGGATAAATTGAAGACTCTGTACAAGCACCACACGAAGCTTGACATGACTTTATTGACATTAGGCTGGCTACGCCAAGAGACGACGCGTTTGAGAGAGTTTGGTAATGACATTAGGGAAGTTTGGCTTCTCGAAACAATCATTTCAAAAGCAGAACAAATCTCAAAGAGGCGGGCTGCAAACCTGAGCGAGGAAAATCCTCCAGCGGAAGCTCCCGTACTAACAGAAGGGGTCACCTTTACGCCCTCGAATCAGAAGAGCCTGTGTCTACTGAGACGGCTGCTGATAAAAGAAAAGCAGCAGCTATGGAATGTTTGGATTCATTAAAAGCGCGCTTTGTACCAGGAGCTGGGGAGCAGGTAAAGATCACCCAGCTTTCCGACTTTGCAGCAGAAGATGAGAGCTTTCTGAAAGAACTCAAAGCAAGAAGAGTGAAGACCAAAAAAGACGTTTATGACTTCATTGGACAGGAAGTATACACGCGGCCTTCGGCAAAGATCTACAGAGGGTTAAGATGTAAGCCGAAGGGGGTGATAAAGGTAAGGTCTGTATTACCCAGACTTGAAATGGATTACAGCGCTGTGGGTCACACTGATTTCTCAGGTGACGAGCAATAACAAGCTGGTGGATATAGATTACAAGCTCACTTGTTTGCTGAGTTTNTCGGGGGGGGGGGTAGTTCAAGGTTATGGGGGTTAGAATGAGGTTAAAAGAGGTCACTTACTAGTTTATTGTAGAGTTGTTTTTTTGGAATGCGCACTGGCGGTTCAAGAACATTAAACAACGGATAATTAGTAGGAATCCGAATGAAAAGCACTGGGTATATGATTGGAAATGCCAATTGTTGAAAGAGGAACCCGTAGAGTAGACAATTGAAGATACTGATCTGAGCTCATCTTGCACATGACGTGTAGATGTGTGTGTGTGTGGAAGACGAGTCTAGTGAATACGAGCCCTAGCCCAAGGAAAAGCGAGTTTTGCACGATATTCGAGTAAAATGCATTTTAAATACTTCAATCTCGGTTATTGGTCGTTCTTTGTTGCAATTCCATGCGATGACTACGTTTCCAGTGATTGATTCTTGCTAATAAGCCAGCATTGTTCACGACTCCTGTGAGTCCGGGGAGTCACGATTCCAGTACCTTTATACGACAAAGGAGTTGTCAACTTCGCGACTCCGGTAACTGTATACGATAATACCACTTGACTCGTAAGTGCTGGCCATAGCGCGTTTGTTTCTGAGAATCACCCAGGTCTACGAAACAAGTAAGAGGTATACCATGCACTCTCTAATATTTAAGCCTCTTCCATGACATTCATCAATGTCAACGAATATCAGATGTAATTCAATAAATTGCCGGGCTCACAACCGGAATCATATGAACGTCACTTTATACGTCGGACTCGATTCCGAAAATCACTACAGACGGAGGTGGACTCTAGGTGGAGTCATGGACTCATTAACAGTCCTGCTAAAAAGCGAATCCATTTCGTACTTGACGACTTGATCCACGAATTTTCGAATTCGTTCCCAGTTCTTCACTCCCCTCACACCCGCACTCACAAAAATTGCGCCAAGAGATTGCTTACACTTACCACCGACAACTCACAACCCATTCTAGCCATTCATTCTTGCCATCCAATCTTGCCATCCAATCCCATTTATTGCTGCCTAGCATTCTCGACGTCTCCCGATACAAAAAAGCTCATGTCATATTGGGTCTTTAGCGCTGTACACACTTTCTCTTTCAATCTCTCTCAATCTCTCTCAATCTCTCTCTCTCTCTGTCTCTTTCACTGTATCTCTTCGTCCCCCACGTGAACAGTCTGCTTTCATTGCAAAAAAAAAATAAGATTACACTCATTGTCGTGTGTTGATCATAGTGACGTAACGCTTAAGGTGGGCCACACTTATTATACACGCCAGTATGAATTGCATATCACTATCTATCATCATTACCATCTTCTTACGTCTTCTTCACCATACTCTTCACCATGTTCCTCCTCTAAAACACTTCTGTCTATGTATCTTGAATCTTCAACGGTCGTCTCCAGTAGTCACATACAATACACACACCACTCACATTCTCGATGATCGATCCGACCGAGAGTACACACGAGTACCGGGTAGCCAAACGGGTAGCACACCCACACACCACCAGCCCGTTTTCCAACCGCCAAAATCCGGTTAACTGTAAATGAGTCGATGGCAAAGTAGGCATTGGTCCTCATCGCCCCTGTCTTCCTTTTTCCGTCAAGTTTTGCTGCGAAAACCCGAAAATCTCATCGTGCTACTTAGCTAAGCATAATATTGGTATTTACTATAACTACTACAACTGACGTTAGTACCGTAGGTACCGGGCCACTTGTAGCGTAGCACTCCTCAAAACGAAAAGCGAAAAGCGAAAAGTGAAAAGTGAAAAGCGAAATTTAAGCTGTTGAAAGACGGAAAATTTGAACACGGACTAGACTACAAGCTACACTGCGTTAGATTGTGTTAGATTGTGTTATATTGCGCTAAATTTGCTACTTTTTCTATCTTTTGTGGAACAGTTTTGTATTACAAGTTTCAACAGGTTTGTTAACTTACAAATAACAGAACAGAATAAAAACGGGTTGAAAGAGCGATATTTCAAGAGAAAACGTTTCAAGTTGGAACCAGAGACGAGGAAAGACGAGGAAAGACAACGAAAGACAAGGAAAGACGTTGTTGAAAGCTTAGTTTTGGGTAAAAGCTGCTTTTTTCGCACCTATTGGAAAAGCTCAGGATAGAAATCGATAATTTTTAGCTACAATGCTCAAGGTATGTGGAAAACAGAGAGAGAGAGAGAGAGGAGAGAAGAAGGAGGGTAGAGAGAGAGAGAGAGAGAGAGAGAGAGAGAGAGAGAGAGAAGAAGAAGAAAGTTAATGGGGATTTCCGGATTTGCTTGCTAGTTTCCCGGATTTTCAATTTCCCGGATTTTCAATTTCCCGGATTTTCAATTTCCCTCCTCTCTTCTTCCCTCTCCTTCCCTCCTCTCCTTCCCTCCTCTCCTTCCCTCTTCTCCACCCCGTTTCCAACACTTTTACTAACTCAAACACCACCCATCGTTACAGATAAAAAACCTATTCAAGAAAAAACATTCGCTGCCCGCTGAAAACGGTGCGTTTGCAGCCACGGCAATGCAACAACAACAACAACAGCCAGAGAAACATCTGCAACTTCCGCAAACCGTGGACGGAGACGTCACCCCCGTCATGGACCCTCTGGACACCATCAAGGGCGGCGACTCAGACGTTATAGAGTCCTCCCAGCTCTCAAACTCGGACGCCACCACCAACGGCTTCGTGTACGACCAGTCCGCCCTGAACGACCGCAGCGACACTCGTGTCCCGGGCCTCGTCTCCTCAGACACCACTTCGGCCACGGCCACTGCTAAGGCTCTGGCTGCTACAAATACAGCTTCAGTTTCAGAACCAGCACCAGCCTCAGCCTCAGCACCAGCACCAGCACCAGCTTCCACAGACCCTGTTTTCGACACCACCGCTGCCGCAGACATCATCTCGCTCGACGCCGAGAGCTCTGCGGGCTCTAGCTACGACGAGGACCCAGAAGAAATCTTCCCAGAGCAAACAGAGCTGCAAGATTTCAAACTCATCGCCAAGATCGGCGAGGGCGCTTTTTCCAAAGTCTATCGCGCCATACCGGAGCCTCACGCGGCCAAAAGCTTTTTGTTCCGCTCTTTCCACTACGTGGCTGTCAAAGTGATCAGCAAGCGGGATCTCAACTCCTCGCACAAGGACTCTAAAAGTAAAGCTACCTCCAAAGAACAAGTACTCAAAGAAGTGGCTATTCACAGAACCGTTTCCGCCAGCGAAAACGTGGTGGTTTTTGTGGACTTCCACGAATCCGAGCACTACTACTTCATCGTCCAAGAGCTGTTGGCTGGTGGTGAAATTTTCGGCGAAATTGTCCGTCTCACGTATTTCAGCGAAGACTTGTCGCGCCACGTCATCCGCCAGCTGGCCTTGGCCGTCAAGCACATGCACTCTTTGGGTATAGTGCATCGAGACATCAAGCCCGAAAACCTACTGTTTGAGCCCGTTGATTTCGAGCCATCGCCGAGTCCCGTGCTGCGCAAATCCGATGATCCAAGAACCAAACAAGACGAAGGTGTGTTCAGACCGGGTATCGGAGGTGGTGGCATCGGCGTTGTGAAATTGGCCGACTTTGGCTTGTCCAAACAAATTTATTCTACAAATACCAAGACTCCCTGCGGGACAGTGGGATACACCGCTCCGGAAGTGGTGAAAGACGAACGTTACTCGATGAAGGTCGACATGTGGGGGATTGGATGTGTTCTATATACCGTATTATGTGGGTTCCCACCATTTTACGATGAAAAGGTGGACGTTTTGACAGAAAAGATTTCCAAAGGTGAGTACACGTTTCTACGGCCTTGGTGGGACGAAATAAGTGATGGTGCCAAGAATGCAGTACAAAAACTTTTGGAAGTGGACCCTTCAAAGCGCTACGATATCGATCAATTTTTGGCAGACCCCTGGCTCAACCAGTACGACTGCATTAGACATCAAGCTTTGAAAAAGCATAAAAACGAATCTGCGGAAACCGTGTATACGATGTCGTCCAAGAAGAAACGTCATCATCGCATCAACACTTTCCAACGCGATTCATCACTGCTGTACTCCCCAGCTGCAAATGCTCTACGAGACGCCTTTGAGGTTACCAATGCCTTCAAGCGTGATGAAGAGGCCAAGAGAAGTGGTCCTGCCGGTGGTGTAAATTTGGGGTTGGTGGAAGAAGACGAGGAAATGGGACTGGAGGACGATATGTTCCAACTGCGTCTGAACTCTTCCACGATTATCAAGAGGCGGCAGAATAAGGAGGAAGGTGTCCAAGTCCCTGCTACTGTCAGAGAGTAGCGAAATTTTTTTGCTTTTCAAGAACCCAACTCGTTGGTGCATAGTCGAGACTCAAGTAATCCATTCGCTGGTTGTCCTGTGGGCAACCCACATTTTTTGTTCTTTTGAGACGACTATGCCCTTCTCTTTTGATGTTTGATTTTTTTGTCACCAGGTATTGTTTGCGTGTAATTCACGGTAGTCATGGCACATACCGATAAAGGAACGCGCGTGTTTACTAGAATCATATAATTATACAAAGTTTGCTCTACGGAGTGTTTAACTATCTTTTAGGTTTGATGATAAAGATACAGAGGCGGCGAAGAGTTTAGTTCAACATAAACGAGTAGGAATTAAAAAACGCTGTCCAAGAAGAGGTTCATATCGCAGATTGAAATTGTATTCCCAAATGGAAAAAAGACTTTCAAGCCACGTATAAGTTTTGGTTCATGTCAGTAAGATACCGCCAATGATCTAGCCCATAAATTCCAAGACGTGGAAAAGTTACGTATAGGTTGATAAATTGGATGACGGAGGTGTTGGGAAGTGACCCAAGCTCAACATATCTAGCACCGGTCGATGGCACTTAAGCCCAGTTCTTATTTTGTAGATAACGGGCGTAATACTTCGGATACTATGGGCTCTTAAGCTGGCTCGCTTGTTGGCGTGCTATGGAAGATGGTAAAATTGGATAAACGAGAGTTCTGGACTCTAAACTTTCTTGCCTAGCGTTGAGCTTTACAGCCCTGCGATTCTTGGAAGGCAATGAGAAGCACCTTCAAAACCTTCAGGCATCTCTACAATAGTTTCTTTGGGCCGATTTTTGGACAAGATTTTTCTAAAATGATCTAAGTCTATGTTAGTGTACTCGAAATGACACTTTTTCAGTGAAACTTCCAACGCTTCATAACTTGTGTATCGCCTCTTAATGCTAGTGGATGTATATCGATGCTCAATACAGGCTAGCCGTTATTCCACGAGCTGTAATTAGACCAAATTTTGAGAATTTTTTTTGAAAGTTCCATCATCTATTCCAGCTGGTGTGCTTAAGAGATGTAAGTTTCGCCGAAGCTTCCAAAGCCACCAAAGTTCAAAACTCCCAAGTCAAATGCATAACAATCGAAGCTGGTCTTCACAGGTGTCACTTGCTGAAATGATCAGCTTGAGCGCTGTCGTCAGGGCACGTGAAATATGTTTCCCCACAACATATTGTTTGATGCCAGACAAACGAAAGTCCTTTCTACCGCACAGGCAGACCATGAAGTCAGCCACGAGAGCTTAAAAGCCTTCTGCAATGACTATCAATGATCACAAATCGACTTTCCTCAATAAAAGTGCTCATTGAGTTAAGGTAAGTATCCAGACAAGATCCCGTTTTGAGTGACATGGCAGACGTCAGTGCAAGGTGTTCGCACAAACTGGGCAGGATATCCAATGTGTAGAGTAGAATATTGTGCGAGTACCGAGACCAAATAATGCTACGTGAAACTTTCGACGCAACGGGCCGTTTCAAAAAATGTCAAAAGTGGCCGTGGGCCTGGAAATTGAATAAGTGTATTTCGTTGATATGAGCTTTTCGTCGAGGACCCACTGGGTGAAATTCGAAGACCCAGAGATGCTTTTTGCTGCGATTTTCAAAAATTCAGAGACGGTTTTTTTTGCAGCGCTTTCTCCTTAACAACCGAATTCACAAACCTATTCATGTTCGCGATCCTGGGTTTCGCAAGACGAACAAGTAGTCAACTAATAAACTTGTCACTTTAAACTGCTTAATGTATAGCCATACATAGCTAGATCGCCTAATGCAATAAATAAGCAGTACAGTGGCCTCGAAGCATGAGCTCGTTCATAATGATCACAGTCTAAATCAAGTTATTTAAATCTGTGTTTGTGACACTTTACTCTGCAATGTTCACTCCGAATGCGTTCTCTTTTGCTGATATTACGACCTCTACCGACACTTATCTGATCAATGTCTGACGGCTGTGTTGTGCTTCTTGAGTGTTTCTCACCTTGATATCTGATGAAGGGGAAACCGAATGCTCTGAGTAGAGAGGCGGGTTTCCCTACTCCAGAAGCAAATCGTGAACAGTGTTTTACCTTTTGATACTAGCGTTCGTTCAAGAATGAAGAGATCTCTTCACAATGCAAAGAATCAGATTGGTTCCCTGAGCCGCCCTCCCGTTCGCAAATGCCCCAACTTTGCAATATATGAAAAGTGGCCATTATGGAAACTGGAGGTCCGTGTCGTCGTGGAATGCCGCTTTCTCTTCTTGACACCAAGATGTTCAATTCACACAGCTGAAACCATCCCAACACGCATGCGTAACGCTAAGACCCTGGGCGGCTAAAGAACCCCGAGTACTCCGGGACTCGAATGTCACGGTGACACCAAAAAAACCACACACCCACACACCCTCAAATGCATTAACTATTCAACACCCAGTCACCCGTGGTTAAAATCTTACACCCACACACCCTCACATGAAATACCTTTCCACGAAACCCAAAAAGAAGCGTTTCTTTCTTTTTCTTTCTTTTTTTCTTTCTTTCTTTCTCCCTCTGCCTTTTCTTCAATGTCAAAACACTAACAAAAAATTTCATACCCGATGAGATGAGATGAGCTGAAAAAAATTTTTTTCCTTCTCTTCCAGGATTTCCTGATTTTATATAAGAAACAGAGATTTGGAAGTCAACGGAATCTGAGAGTGGATACGTTTTAGTCACTTTCACGTATAGTTTTCCTCTTTGTTAAGAAGAAGACTAAGCATCAAGATGTCTGACTCCGAACAGTCTATCAAAGTTCTTAACGAGCTTTTCGAGAAGCTTAAGGTTGCTACTCCTGAAAGCAGAGAGGCTACCGCTTCTGAAATCTCCTCGTTCGTGAACGGTAACATCATCGAGCATGACGTGCCAGAACAATTCTTCGAATCGATCGCCAAGGCATTGAAGGACAAGAAACAGGCTGCCAACGCTTTGGAAGCCGTTTTGCGTGTCGCCAGCGAGTCGAACTTGTCGCCAGCTATCGAGGCCAGCGTGGTCCGTTTGGTGCCTGAAGTCAGCATCAAGGCTGCCGACAAGGACAAGGACGTGCAAGACCAGGCCACCAAAGCTTTGGTTGCCATCGTCAAGGCCGTTAACCCTGTTGCCGTCAAGATCTTGCTACCTCACTTGACCACCCGTCTAGCTGAGACCAACAAATGGCAAGAAAAAGTGGCTGTTTTGGCCGCTGTCACCGCTTTGGTCGACGCTGCCAAGGTCCAGGTTGCTCTAAGAATGCCTGAATTGATCCCAGTGTTGTCCGAGGCTATGTGGGACACCAAGAGAGAAGTCAAGGATGCCGCCACTGCCACTATCAGCAAGGCTACCGAAACCGTCCAGAACAAGGATATCGACCGTTTCATTCCTAAGTTGATCGAGTGTATTGCCAACCCTAACGAGGTTCCAGAAACCGTCCACTTGTTGGGTGCCACCACCTTTGTTGCTGAAGTCACTCCAGCCACTTTGTCCATCATGGTTCCATTGTTGGCCAGAGGTCTTGCTGAAAGAGAAACCTCTATCAAGCGTAAGGCTGCTGTCATCATCGACAACATGTGTAAGTTGGTCGAAGACCCACAGGTTGTTGCTCCTTTCTTGAGCAAGCTGCTACCTGGCTTGAAGAACAACTTCGCCACCATTGCCGACCCTGAAGCTCGTGAGGTTACTTTGAGAGCCTTGAAGACTTTGAGAAGAGTTGGTAACGTTGGTGAAGACGATGCTTTGCCAGAAGTCTCCCACGCTGGTGACATTTCTACCACCAGAGGTGTTTTGGACAACTTGCTAAAGGACCAAAAGCCAGCTGCCAGATTCGAACACGTTGTTTATTACGTTGCCGGTGTTGCCGCTGACTTGATTGACGAAAGAATCATCGATCAGCAGGCCTGGTTCACTCACGTCTTGCCTTACGCCACCGTCTTTTTGCACGAAAGACAGGCCAAGGAAATCATTGACGACTTCAGAAAGTTGGCTGTCGACAACATCCCAGTCGGTCCAAACTTCGACGATGAAGAAGACGAAGGTGAAGACCTATGTAACTGTGAGTTCTCTTTGGCTTACGGTGCTAAGATCTTGCTAAACAAGACTCAATTGAGATTGAAGAGAGCCAGAAGATATGGTTTGTGTGGTCCTAACGGTGCTGGTAAGTCCACCTTGATGAGAGCCATTGCTAACGGTCAAGTCGACGGTTTCCCAACTCAAGACGAATGTAGAACTGTCTACGTCGAGCACGACATTGACGGTACTCACGCTGACACCTCCGTTTTGGACTTCGTCTTCCAGGGTGACGTCGGTACCAAGGAAGTCATTACCGCCAAACTAATCGAGTTCGGTTTCTCTGACGAGATGATCAACATGCCAATCTCCTCCTTGTCTGGTGGTTGGAAGATGAAGTTGGCTTTGGCCAGAGCTGTGTTGAAGAACGCCGATATTCTATTGTTGGATGAGCCAACCAACCATTTGGACACTGTTAACGTCGCCTGGTTGGTTAACTACTTGAACACTTGTGGTATCACTTCTATCATTGTTTCTCACGACTCCGGTTTCTTGGACAATGTTACTCAATACATTATCCATTACGAAGGTTTGAAGCTAAGAAAGTACAAGGGTAACATGTCTGAATTCGTCAAGAAGTGCCCAACTGCTCAATCTTACTACGAATTGGGAGCCTCCGACTTGGAGTTCAGATTCCCAGAGCCAGGTTTCTTGGAAGGTGTCAAGACCAAGCAAAAGGCTATTGTCAAGGTTTCTAACATGACTTTCCAATACCCCGGTACCGCCAAGCCTCAAATTCAGGACATTTCTTTCCAATGTTCTTTGTCTTCGAGAATTGCTGTCATTGGTCCTAACGGTGCCGGTAAGTCCACTTTGATCAACGTGTTGACCGGTGAACTATTGCCAACTATTGGTGAGGTCTACACTCACGAAAACTGTCGTATCGCTTACATTAAGCAGCATGCTTTCGCTCACATTGAATCTCACTTGGACAAGACCCCATCTGAGTACATCCAGTGGAGATTCCAAACTGGTGAAGACAGAGAAACCATGGACAGAGCCAACAGACAGATTAACGAAGATGACACTGAAGCCATGAACAAGATCTTCAAGATCGAAGGTACCCCAAGAAGAATTGCTGGTATCCACGCTAGAAGAAAGTTCAAGAACACCTACGAGTACGAGTGTTCTTTCACCTTGGGTGAGAACATCGGTATGAAGTCTGAGAGATGGGTTCCAATGATGTCCGTCGACAACGCTTGGATTCCAAGAGGTGAATTGGTCGAATCTCACTCTAAGATGGTTGCTGAAGTTGACATGAAGGAAGCTTTGGCCTCCGGTCAATTCCGTCCATTGACCAGAAAGGAAATCGAAGAGCACTGTTCCATGTTGGGTCTAGACGCCGAATTGGTTTCTCACTCCAGAATCAGAGGTTTGTCTGGTGGTCAAAAGGTTAAGTTGGTCTTGGCTGCCTGTTCGTGGCAGAGACCTCACTTGATCGTCTTGGATGAGCCTACTAACTACTTGGACAGAGACTCTTTGGGTGCTCTATCCAAGGCCTTGAAGGCCTTCGAAGGTGGTGTTATCATCATTACTCACTCTGCTGAGTTCACCAAGAACTTGACTGAAGAAGTGTGGGCTGTCAACAACGGTGTCATGGTTCCATCCGGTCACAACTGGGTTGCTGGCCAAGGTTCTGGTCCAAGACTAGAGAAGAAGGAAGACGAAGGTGACAAATTCGACGCCATGGGTAACAAGATCAGCTCTGGTACCAAGAAGAAGAAGTTGTCTTCCGCCGAGCTAAGAAAGAAGAAGAAGGAAAGAATGAAGAAGAAGAAGGAGTTGGGTGACGCTTACGTCTCCTCCGATGATGAATTTTAAAGAATGATAAACTGTATTTAATTTTTCTTTTTCATCTCTTCTTCATCGTCTCAACGCGGAAGTCAAGAAGAAACGTCCCTTTCATATTAGACTGCTGGGTGCTCAACAGTACCTAGCATTTCTTCCGCTACATGTATTCTAGTTTGGTTTACACTTAAGTAATAGAGATTGTAAACTCTCAAGCTGTTCTATTTTTTTACGTTCCTTAAGTGAAAGAAAAAAGGTCTGCGTCTAATCTATTTGATCCATCAGTACATGTTTTAACTGTGACAAACAAAGTTGGTATAGTTCAACTCAAAGATGAGATCAATTGTTTCCAGAACTCTTTATATATGTTTGCAAGCTTTTAGTTGTTTTACTCTAGTCACTTGCTCTTCACACCTCAAATTTGCGTTCCAGGCGGTGGATTGCCCTGACACACAACTCATCAGGGAAGCAAAAGTACGATACAACAACAATCACAATACCCTTACAAACAATAATTATTCTCTTTTAGCCTTTTGAGCACTAACTGTAACGTCTGTATAGTCCACACTATGTGCAGATGAAGATAATTATATAGCTAGCCGCCAACTTCTGATGAAGGGTCGTCTCAAAGATTTTATAGAGACTACCGGTTTAAGAGCTTCAGATGTCACCAGCTTGTCTTTGTTGGCACAGGACCCAATCAATGTGGGACTTGCAATATCTGGCGGGGGTCTTCGTTCAATGTTGACAGGCTCTGGATTCATGTTAAAGATGGAGGAATATGGTTTACTGGATTGTGTCAACTACGTGAGCGGAACATCAGGAGGAAGCTGGATTCTGGCAAAACTCGCGCTCAATGACTTTAAAATCGACTCCTTAGCTGATTGGGATATTACGGAGAGCATTTTGAGAGGTGTACCTGACACAAACGTGTCAGAAAGTGGTGTGGTCACCATGTTGGATGTTGCGGATCTGAAAGAGATCTTCACCGCCGACGAGTGGTTTTTTGAAAAACTGTCACACGTCCCGAAGCTTTTGTCAAGAAGTACAAAGCTTATGCAAAGACAAGTTAGTCCATTTGACGATTTCTTTTCGCGGCTGGAAGAGCATTACACCGCACAGATTAGCAAATTGAGTAAGAGGGGCCCTGAGGTTTTCAGCAAGATCAAGCACATTATCCAAAAGCTTTTTGTTGTGACTAAAGAAGCTGATTCCAATGTTGAAAAAATGGTAGATTCGTCGCATAACTTTGCGGAGCTTCTTGAATTTTATGTTGATCTGCACCGTACTGTAAGAGCCAAAAAGCTGAGCGGTTTTCCGCTTTCCTTCACAGACTACTGGGGACATGCTTTGATTAATGGAATAGCTCCTCAAGCTGGTCAAACTTCGCTATCGACGCTTGTCGAGGACAGCAAGCGATTTCGGGAATACAAGACACCATTTCCCATTATCGTAGCCAATTGCAAGAACAATAACATGCGACATGCTGTGTTTGAATTCACACCTTTCGAATTTGGTTCGTGGACAAATCTGAGACTGTTCATGAGGTTGAAATATCTGGGATCAACTATGAAAGCCGGTGAAGCCAAAAATTGCTATACGGGGTTTGATGAGATCAGCTTCATTACCGCTACATCTTCTTCAATCTTCAATAATGTATTGATGTGCATATGGCAGGTTATAGCTCCTTCCATACAAACGCGAAAGGCTATCGGGGCCATCCTCAGCGCTTTTAGCATAGCATTTGAAAATTCAGGAAACAAGACTTCTGCTGAAGCAGCAATTGCACCACGTCCCGAATATGCAATATATCATCCCAATCCTTTTTATCAATACCCTGGTAGTGCAGACGATCTCAAAAAGGAGAGCCGTCTTTACCTTGTTGATGGTGGGGAAGACGGGCAAAATATCCCAATTGGACCATTGCTAATTCCTGAGAGGAAGCTTGATGTAATCTTGGCATTGGATTCTAGCTCCGACATAGACGGGTATCCCAACGGGTCTATGTTGCATAACTTTTACCGTGACAATTACATCGCTACGCATGAAAACATGCTAGAAGGGAAGAGTTCGCCTTATCAACTACTACCATATATTCCAACAAGCGAAGAGTTTGTCGAGAAGCGTTTGTTGTCCCATCCAATTGCTTTTGGGTGCCATCTTTCCAGCTATCCCGATATCAAAATTGACCTTAACTCCAATCTGACGTCTATGGTTCTTCCCCCCATTATACTGTACCATGCTAATGCCGAGCATTCTTTCAAGGCGAACGTGTCGACCTTTAAGCTTCGATTTACCCACACTGAGGTTGCTCAGATGCTGAACAATGGTCGAGACATTTTCAGCTTCGATTCTAGTCCCAAATACAAAAGGTGTTTGGCATGCCTATTGGTCAAAAGAGCTCACGATAGGCATCAATTGAAGTCAGAACCGACCACATTACCATTTTTCTGCGAAGTCTGTTTCAGTGACTACTGCTTCAATTGAGCTTCTGCCAGAAACTTGTAGTCGCATTTGTTACGATCGACATCTTATATTCAAATTGGTCAATTTCGCTGTCAACTAAGGTTTGCATAACTTGAATCCGCAACGCTGAAACTAGCCGACGATGCTTGTAAACGTACTCATTAGTGGATTATTGGCAACTGCTTGGGCTCTTCCAGCTCGTAAGGATGGATCGGAGGTGAACCATGAGGTTGAAAAAGCTCCTCCTGGATTATCATGGGAAGAATGGCATATGCAACACGAGCATCAAACTGAGAAGTATGATCCTGAAACGTTCTTTGGGCTTCACGATATTGGTCAGAAAGGGTATTTCGACAAAGACGACATATTGAGCATGTACGGGCTTAGCCGTTCGGAAATTGTCGGTAGCGGTGATGGAATGGGGAAGCACGATAATTCTGAACAAGTCGATGAGGAAATGTCAGAGAGAGTTTTCAATCTGATCATGCGCCTCCTGGATGTAGACGATGACAGCAAGATTGATAAGAAGGAGTATTTGAAGTTCGCAAAGAAAGGAAACAAATTGCCAGATCTAGGAGTTGGTGTTGGCCATCATTCAGATTTCGAACTGGAATATGAACTTCATCATTGGAACAAATTTCACAGAGATCAGGATCCATCTGTGAGAAATGTGCATCGCGAAGATATTGAACACGATTTGCTACATCATGAGCATGAAATTGAGCACGAAGATCAGGCCCAAAGGGGTGCGTCAAGAGTTACCGTCAAGACCGATGATGAGCTGGAAGCCATGATCAAGCTTGAAAAGATTCCAACCAAATTCAGGAAAACCTTTTAGGGTTAAACATGTGTAAGTGGGGAGTGATCAATCTCTAGATTTGCGTGGCATGATTCTTTTACTTGCAAAGTCAGGGTTGCAAAGATTGCAATGTTGTGACCAACGAGTCCACCTGGAATGTGTCGGAATCAATGGCGAAAGTCCGGATACCCAATTGCTCCAAAGACTTGACATCAACAGGTATTTCGCCATACTTTAAGTAAACTAAGTCTGTAACGAAATTAGTCCAGGGTAGCGGCGCTACTGCTCCTGCACTCTCTGATTTGTGGCCTTTTCTTCTGCGTTTCTGGTTGTTCAAAGCCCTGTTCATTGACTCGGCAATCAGTTGCACAAACTGGGCGCCGTCCATACCAAAAGTTTCCCTATCGTATTTGTTATTGACAAGAAGCACTTTTCTGGCGTGTTCATTCTCGAGCATGGTTTCTGCGATGTTTCCAAGAATAATGATTGGAAGCAAACTAGTCATCAGGGATCCAACAGAATATACGACCATATCGCTATTTTTCAGTTTAGTTACGGCTCGATTATTGCCTTGTGGAAGCACTTCTTCCCCATAGGGATTAATGTAGAAGATTCGTTTTATCGCGGCGGGTAGTAAGTGGTCCACCTCAATGTCCAGCTTATCAAAATGTAATTGTGATAGCTTGAGTTCAGGATGAATGTATCCAGGGTATGCATATTCTTCGTTATCTTCAAATTCTTCAAATGGCTCGTCCGAAGGATACTGACTTTTCAAAAGAACTGATGAATCGGGACCTACGAGTGATTCAGTGCTCATATTTTGGGTTTTCATCATTTGCAACTGGTCGCAACCACCATTTTTCTTAACTTGCTGCCGCGAAGGATGTGAGATTTGGGATTGACCAGTTATCACATCACCGTTTTGCAAAAGCGCAGATATATGGTGAGTATGGTTTGTGTTGATGCATGGAATGATACTTGTGCGTTCATCACAGCGGCAAACGCGAAGAGCAAGCTCGATCGATGCATCCAATGATCCCAAAAATAGCCGGACACCTGTGAGGAAGAGATTACCAACGCTAGCTTTCTCGAACTGGAAGGGAGCAGACGATTTATGTTTTTTCAAGATTTCCGCTTGAGTGTGGATCAAGAAAGATCTGCATATATCTTTCACTTCACTGGCAAGACCATCCCAAATGGCGTGGGTTCCCTCGACTATAGAGTTCCATTCTTGTTTTGCACCAGTAGTTTCTGTGGAAAGCCGATATCCCAGTAAAGACCTTAGCTTTTCGTCTTTGATCAAGTGAACGATGCGGGAACGAATGTCTCCGATTGCTGGACCACCCAAAACTCGTAGAATCTCGCTTGTGGATCCACCGTTATCAGAAATCGGAAGTATGAAGGAAAGTTCGTTGGAAACTGCCTCGAAAGCGGGCAGTAGTGCATTGGCTGCGGTTCCACCGGATAACACAACTATGTTCATAGATGTGAGTAACAGTAAGATCGGGAGACCAAAGTATCAGGACTGCCCTTATTCTGTGTCTTTTCTATCGAAGGGTTCGAGCCCTTTTCAAATTCGATATATATATATATATATACAGATATATCTATAGTCTTGTTCGTTCGACCTAGCAAAGCTTAAGTACAAAACAACTTCCCTGACTTGAATTGTAGAAAACACTTGATGCTCACCAAATGATTTTATTTAGCTGAAGTTCTATTTCTACAAACACTGGTGTCTGTCTTTCCTGTTTTATACCTTGAAAGGATTTCTGGTGATGTGTTCTTTACGGACAAGGATACCTTGAAATTACCGCTGGTTGCGGAAAGAAAAGAGTTGTGGAATGTGCTGATTGATGCTTTTTGAATCCTCAAGAGCCGATCTCTGAGCGAAACGATTGAGATCTCACTTGTTTCAGCTTCAAAAAGCTGTCATTTTATATCAGAGATGAACAGAATATATAGATTTTGTCAAAGCGTCAACTTGTTTCAGAAGAAAAGTGAGGCACTTAAGTGAAGCATTTTGGCCGCTTTGCAGACGGGCAGTTTGGGAAGTGAATCAAGTGAGATTTGTGATTGTGAATCAAGCGTGAGGACTTCCCGGATATCCGACCATTGCGTCTAAGAGAGGGAAGAAACAGGTAAATTGAGCATGTTGTAGCAGGGAGCAACAAGAGCGAGGGAATTGGAAAGAGGGATGGAATGGAGTGTGGTGGCAGGGGCCTGTTGAGATTAAAATAAAGTGGTAGTAACACTACTTCCAGTGAAGTTTGGGAACTTGCCCTGTGAGATGAGATTGGGTCACGTGATCGGGCACTTACAGACGAATCAGCAAAGAAGTTTGCATTCAAGTTTGGGGGTTTTGGTCAATCAGGGAATTATGAATTGGTGGTCGTGGAATTTGTCTTTATTTAGACCCTTTATGAAAGCTGTTTTTTTGGTAAAGGACTCTCTTCTCAATCTCCAGCGTCAGACTCAATACTTAGTGATCTGCGGCGACAGCGTCGGAATTGACCAAAAGCATCAACTTAGATTTTACTGAAGTTCCTGACTTCTCAACTCAAGTTGGTAGCCTTTCTTATCATCACCTATCTCTGAGGATTTGACACCGTATGGGGAAAAGACAGCTATCGAGTTTAAAAGTCGAAAAAAAAAATGTTTTCCATTGCGATTAATAAGAAGCACAATGTCGAGTCATGAAGCTCACAACGAATGCCATATTTTTGGTAGACTCAAAGCTGATGAAAAAAAAATGCATTGGTGTCAGTCAGTTTTACAAATTAAAAAAATTGCCTGCTGGATGTAATTGACACGAGAGTTTAAACAAATTGAAGACGTACACAATGGTGCATACGACTTCAAAGCTAATACAACAAACCATGTCAAGATCTGAAAGCTGCAAGTAAACCTAGATAACTCATATGCGTCACGTGATCTAGTACCTCAATCATACCAGATTTTCACCAATCATTCGAGAAGCCTAGTTATACGCCCCAAACAAGCCGAAATTGAAAATAAAATACGTCTCTGGTGTTGCCAAAAGCTTTACCAAGCCTTTCCCCATCCATACAAATACCCTTCTTGACTTATTTCATTCTGGATATTTAAAACTTCGAATCACGTGCCCCAGCAACCCCGTGATTTTCTGTCATCTGATGAAAGAAATCGAGAGAAAAAAGGCTAAAGTTGCTAATTTCACGCACAACGAGAACAATATTGCACGTTTAGAGAAAGAATCAGTATAAAAGGGTTCATCACAACTCTCAGAAATTCTGTTTATTTGATCAAGTTTGCCCTTTTCTCATAGAAAACAGCTAATTCCAGCTAAAAACTCAACATAAACTTTCAACACCATGGTGAAAGCAGTTATTTTCACAGACTTTGACGGCACGGTTACGTGGCAAGACTCCAACGATTTCCTCACTGACACCAAGGGATTCGGTAAGGAGGAAAGAACCAAAGTGTTTGAAGGCGTTCTATATGGCACCAAGACCTTTAGAGATGGATTCTGGGCCATGTTGGAATCGGTCAAGACTCCATTCCCCGAATGTGTTGAGCTGGTCGAGAAAAACATTCAGCTGGACCCGGGTTTCAAAGACACTTTTGAGTGGGCCCAGGAAAACAATGTTCCTATTGTGGTTATTTCCAGTGGTATGCGTCCGCTAATTAAGGGTCTTTTGAAAAAACTCGTTGGTCCTGAAGCTATCGAAAAAATCGAGATTGTCTCGAACGAGGTCGAAATCGATGCCGATGAGCAATGGAGAATCGTTTACAAGGACGACTCGCCCTTTGGTCATGACAAGTCCAAGAGTATCACCCAGTACAAGAAGAAATTCGAAGCCAGCGGTGAAAAACCCACCTACTTTTACTGCGGTGACGGTGTTTCCGACCTGAGCGCCGCAAAGGAGTGCGATCTTCTTTTCGCCAAGAGAGGCAAGGATCTCGTTACTTACTGTAAACGCCAAAACGTTCCTTTCCGTGAGTTCGACACCTTCGAGGACATCTTAGCCAGCATGAAGGAGGTTTTGGCCGGCAAAAAGACTGTTGGTGAGTTGATGCAAAATTGAACTTTTCAACTTTCATATGTAACGTTTACGCAAGATAATAGAACGCTCGGATACTAGAGTCGAATTCGATGTGCTTTTGTCAAAACATCAAACCAAATGCCGTGAGAAAAAGCTTTTGAAGAACGATTTGGGATCATGAAAGAAAACGCTATTAAGTGTGTATAAACAGAGACGATATCCACTTCCGGTTGGTATGCACTTTTCGGATACTTAGCGTGTTGACGAGCAAATTTCCCAGCCTTGGCGTTTAACCGCTTCTCGGTATCACTTATTCATATCCCGTCGTTTCTTCGTAATATCTCCAAATTAGGGAAACCTTCCCTTTAATCCATCCATCCTCCAGTCCGAGCACAGTATAGGTCAGCAACTAATCATCCAAATCCCAACAAGAACAAGCATATATAAAGGGCAACAAGATCGAAAAGGGAGGGTATAAAAGATCATCATGTCTTAGCACTCCAGGGCAGTAGTTTATTGGTGATCTCTTCTTTCAGGACGAGTAACTGCAGAAAATAGCCGTTGTGATTCGTGAACCCCCCAGCAAACGGCATGACAAAAATCACAGTAAAAACTCCAGTCGTGGAGATGGATGGTGACGAACAAACGCGAATTATCTGGCAATTGATTCGGGAAAAACTGATAGCTCCATTCTTGAACGTCGATCTCAAGTACTACGACCTTTCGATCGAAAATCGAGACGCTACAAACGACCAAGTTACCACAGATTCGGCACTCGCCACTCAAAAATACGGGGTGGCAGTCAAATGTGCTACCATCACGCCCGATGAAGCCCGGGTAGAAGAGTTCAAGCTGAAAAAAATGTGGAAATCGCCTAACGGCACGATCCGGAACATCCTGGGAGGAACGGTGTTTAGAGAGCCAATTGTGATCCCAAAAATACCACGTCTTGTATCGAAATGGGAAAAACCGATTGTGATCGGTCGACACGCTTTTGGAGACCAGTACAAGGCAACAGACGTGGTGATCCCCGGTGAGGGCGAATTAAAACTGGTTTTCAAATCCAAAAACGGTGACCAGGACATGGATTTGAGCGTTTTCCGCTATCCCGAGACCGGTGGAGTGGCAATGGCTATGTACAACACCACAGAATCCATCGAAGGCTTTGCACGGGCCAGCTTCGAGCTAGCTTTGCAACGCAAAATGCCACTTTACTCTACCACGAAAAACACGATTTTGAAAAGCTACGACGGCAAATTTAAGGACATCTTTGAAGGTATGTACGCCAGGGATTACGAATCTAAATTTGAAAAATTGGGCATATGGTATGAGCATCGGCTTATTGATGACATGGTGGCGCAGATGCTCAAATCTTCGGGCGGCTTCATCATCGCTATGAAAAACTACGATGGGGATGTCCAGTCCGATATTGTAGCCCAGGGATTCGGTTCTTTGGGTCTAATGACCTCCGTGCTTGTTTCACCCGATGGAAAGACATTTGAAAGTGAAGCCGCCCACGGCACCGTCACAAGACACTACCGGTTACACCAACAAGGTAAAGAAACCTCAACAAACTCAATAGCTTCAATATTCGCATGGACAAGAGGCCTCATCCAGAGGGGCAGACTAGATGGCACCCCCGAAGTTGTCAAGTTTGCAGAAACATTGGAGAAAGCTACCATAGACACCGTGCAGGAAGACAACATCATGACAAAGGATTTGGCCTTGATGCTTGGAAAAACTGACCGCTCGAGCTACGTCACAACTGAACAGTTTATCGACGCAGTCGAGCGGCGGCTTAGTGGTGACTTTCGCACGCTCCCATAAACTATGACTGTCAGCACCCGATCCCTATTCAACTATCTGAGGCAAACCAATATAGCATGACGCGGCAAGCTGAGACCAGGACAACTGCCGCTGAGACGAATGTCGTTGAGTATTGATGCCTTGTCACTGCTTAAAGCTTCATCGAAATCCGCGATAGTTTAGTGGCTAGAATTCGGGCTTGTCGCGCCCGGGACCGGGGTTCAATTCCCCGTCGCGGAGTTGTTTTTTTCTTTTTTTGCCTTTTTGGTAGGGGCAGATTTGAGTTGTGCTTGTCGGTGCATCACCTGTCTGCCCTTGCATTGAAACTCATGAACGCTGTATGTGACTTACTTGACCGTCAGTGAGTGGCCTTTGAACATTATTTTCCCAGACAATGTCACTTTCTTTTGAACACGAACTCTTACGCAGCCCATGGTTTCCCACCAGCGAACATCTAAACATCATGTAACGACCAACCAAAACCATATTTATGAATCATACCAGGTTCTTTATAACATAGCCTTTATTCTTTAGTTTTAAAATTTTTATCTTACACACGTACAAGTTTGTTCAAATAGCCTGTATTTCAGCTTGTTAACGTATCTCTCGCCGTCAGGTTCCACGTTTTTTACTCGGCAAACTCTGGTCTTAAGTCTGAACGCCGAGGGGCAACCAAAGGATGTAATTGAGCGAGATACGTGAAGGCCCACATTAGGAACATCATGGCCAAAGATAAAATAACGGTACTTCTCCATACCCTGAAAACAAAACAGTTAGTATTTTACCGACAGAGTCAAGGGAAACAATGATCAAAAGACCATCACAATGACACATACGTCCGGTTCTCCTTAGGGGCTAAAAACCAGAAAACAACGCTGACCAAGGAAACAGCCAAAAACGCTGCTACAACAGTAAAACTGGAAGGCTATCAGTTAGTATAAAGTTCGAAGCAGACAAATTCACTTGTTCTCGAATCGAGACCGCTACATACAAACTCATTGGATTGGTATAATCGTGTCCTTTCTTGTAGTTATTCAAGTTGTACAGTTAAGAATTGGATAGTAGTCTGATCATTAAGGAAACGATTGAATTATTGAGAATTATGCGAGCTGAGAATCTTAAATTCCGAGTCACGTGCGTGTAAATAATACATCTTAAATCTTAATGATAAAACATGAGAGACTGAACGTTGTTCGGTTTGGATTTAATATACAGCATATGAGGGTGTACGTTTTTCGATTTCAGCTACAGCACAGAAACCTTTCTTCTAGCACAAGTATTTAGATTTATGTATTTTATTGAACTATGCAAATGAATAATTTTGAGATGAAAACTTTCGGTCAAAATGAGAGGAGTTTTGTAACCGAGCAATGCAGCTTGGGCAGTTTCTATGGCATGTAATCAATGATGGGAAACGGGGTCAATGAACTGGGTACTTCCCTTCTCATCGAAGGAACATGAATCATATCACTTTGTACTAATCTGACCTTTTCGAAAGAGGCGCATCATCGGAGTTATCGAGCAACAGAAAATGAAGGATAGTACGTCAGAATATCAAAGAATGTTCTCCGGATTCAAGCCCAACGCAGAAATTCGGAGAGAAAGTTCACTCCGTTCTGTTCTCAAGGTGTTGACTTTGGTCAGCGTAGTCACGTGACATGCACCAATAAACTTTTCAGCATACGCGTCTATTGCAAATTGAAATTCAGTGGGTCTACATTTGAGGGCGCTGATTTCGAAAGGTTACATCTACTTGTAAATACTGGAATTTGAATCACTAGTTGACCTGCTATCCAACCAGATCATATATATATTATCTCGTACATAGTGACCTGGAATCTAAGATGTTCAAGATATTCCATACTTAAGCAGGGACGTCTGCCTCTCTGACCAAAACCTATCTCTAACGAAAAGACTATTGAAAATCCGCTATGGAGGCGCTCAATATACCGCCGCCCGTGGCTGATTGGCTATTCAAAGTAACGCAACCGGTATGAATCAATTCTGCAAAATGCATTTTCCCCATGTCTTTGCGTTGACATCGGCGCTATACTAACCTCACGATAACAGTACTACGATGCCAGGACAACGTTTAGGGACGTGATGTATACGTTGAGTGAATTCCGCAACGTAAGACCTCGCACAAAAGTCTTCACAGACTCCCAGGGTAAAGCTCAGCTGCTGCTTTGTCTGTATGGACGATTTCAGAGCGATCGGGTCTCCGTGCCAGTGCTAATATGGATTCCAAAAGAGTACCCGATTTTGGCGCCTTACATATTCGTGGACTTCGATGCACTGCAAGACGAAACAATAATTCCAGGGGGCATTGTGAACTCTAGTGGACGGTTCCAATTGCCCCTACTGGACAGCTGGAGTCCGGACTCTTGCTGTTTGCGAGATCTGGCCTTTTTGCTCGCGTCGATGATCCTCGAAAATCCGCCTCTTGTCAATCTAGAGCCAGAGTTTGCACAGAGTCCTCCCTTGCCAGAACGCATTGGCTTGCCGAAGTTGCCTAATACCGTAAATTCATCAGGTTCAGAGGAGATTGATCAAGTTAGCCGAACCATGGAACACGTCAAACTTGAAGATGCGGCACCGATGCTGCCTCCAAAACCACCTTCTGCAGTTCCTTCTTCGGTGCCATCAGCACTGGACTCCGCAAATCAGTCTGGCGTGCAATCCGCCGCGCAATCTGTATCTCCTGTCCGGCCACCTCAACCTGCATTGGAACTTCCAAACATTATGGATCTTGACGCTGGTAGTCAACACATCTCAAGCTATGACAATGCATTGAGCCACTTACGTCGTCTTGTGGTGGCTCTTGCCAAAGAAGATCGGCAAAATGTCGAAGAAACACTGCGCACCCGAATGTTCGCTGTTCAGAACGCTACAGCCCAGTTCGAAAACATATGTGACCAAGAAAAGACTGCATTGGATCAGAAAGAGGCATTTGTGCTCGAGAGACATGCGTCAGTCTCGGCTGGTTTGGAAACAGTTCGTAAACAGCTCGATAAGGCGCAATACTACATGCAAAACTATGGGCCTGCGTGTGACTTGGGCTCGATGCTGGCGCCAGAGGCTGCTGGCGTCAAGCAGCTGCGACACCTAGTGGCCCAGGATCATGCCGTCACGGACACTATCAACGCCTTGGGTAGAATGGTTAACCAAAACATCCTGGCTCCGGATGTATTTTTGCGAAAAGTCCGGTCCCTGGCGCGCGACCAGTTTCTCTTACGCTTACACATGAACAAAATAACGACAAGAGTCTACAGTTAAATGTACTCAAACCGTGCTGCATTCTTACAACAAACCAAAGACGAACAATAACAAGATCGGAACCAAAGTCACAAGAGCGATTGAAAAGTCCGTGGCAACTTCAGAAGCAGGCTCTTTAGATGCTCTCATTTAAGATGCTTTCTCTTGCCAATCTTTCAGTCCTTAGTTATTTGCGCGGAGCGTTTAGCCGCCGAGCTATCCTTCTTCCCCTGACATCAAAAGGTCACGAGACTTGTTATTACGTCATCAAAGTCACGAGGCTGACCTTTCATCGTCTTAGCGCACGCTTTTCTCACGTGACTGTATTGAGATTTTCTTCCCCCAGGGCCTAGTGAAAAAAACAAAAAATTTTCCGATGAGATGGATTCTTTGAATGTCTATTCTTTTCAAGATTTAGAACATATCCATAGATCATATTTGAAGGTTCGAAACCAGAGGTTGACTCGAACTTGAACACTTGATCTTCACTTGAGAAATGTCGGACGAATACATGATCAAGCCCGAGAACGTTGCGCCCACCACGGACGCCAGCGAGTGGCCTCTTCTACTGAAAAACTACGACAAACTTCTAGTCAGAAGTGGTCACTACACGCCTATTCCTCACGGATCTTCGCCCCACAAGAGAGACTTAAAGTCTTACATCAGCTCTGGTGTGATCAACCTGGATAAGCCATCGAACCCATCGTCCCACGAAGTCGTTGCTTGGGTTAAGCGTATTCTGCGCAGTGAAAAAACTGGTCATTCCGGTACTTTGGATCCAAAGGTTACCGGGTGTTTGATTGTATGTGTGGACAGAGCCACGAGATTGGTAAAATCGCAACAAGGTGCCGGTAAAGAGTACGTGTGTATTGTCAGACTGCACGATGCCTTGAAAGACGACAAAGAGCTAGCCAGAGGTCTTGAAAACCTCACAGGTGCATTGTTCCAAAGACCACCATTGATTTCTGCCGTCAAGCGTCAACTACGTGTGCGTACCATCTACGATTCCAACCTAATCGAATTTGACTCGAGCAGAAACTTGGGTGTATTCTGGGCTTCTTGTGAAGCCGGTACTTACATGCGTACACTTTGTGTACATTTGGGTATGTTGCTCGGTGTAGGAGGCCACATGCAAGAACTTCGTCGTGTCAGATCTGGTGCTATGTCCGAAAACGATGATCTAGTCACATTGCATGACGTTATGGATGCACAATGGGTTTACGACAACACCAGAGACGAAAGCTACTTGAGAAGAATCATTAAGCCTTTGGAAACTTTGTTGGTGGGTTACAAGAGAATCGTTGTCAAGGACTCGGCTGTCAACGCTGTCTGCTACGGTGCCAAGCTAATGATTCCTGGTCTTCTTCGTTACGAAGAGGGCATCGAACTATACGATGAAGTTGTGCTGATGACAACTAAGGGTGAGGCTATAGCTATCGCCATCGCGCAAATGTCCACTGTTGATTTGGCTACTTGCGATCATGGTGTTGTTGCAAAGGTTAAGCGTTGTATCATGGAAAGAGACTTGTACCCAAGAAGATGGGGTCTAGGACCAGTCGCTCAGAAGAAGAAACAGATGAAGGCCGATGGTAAGCTTGACAAATACGGAAGAGCTAACGAGCAAACCCCAGAGGAGTGGAAGAAATCCTACGTTACTCTAGAGGGCGAACAGACCACATCTGTACCAGCCCCTTCCAAGACACCTGAAGTTCCTGTCGAAGAAGTTAAGGAAGTAAAGACTGAAGCTTTGGTGGAGGAAGTGAAGAGCGACAACGAAGTCTCTGACAAAAAGGACAAGAAGGATAAGAAAGAGAAGAAGGACAAAAAAGACAAGAAGGAAAAGAAGGAAAAGAAGGAAAAGAAGAGAAAGGCTGAAGATGAGGAAACTTCCGAAAAGAAGAAAAAGAAGTCCAAGAAATAAGGTTACATTCAATACCAGTTGCATTTATCCAAGCCTTTTTTATATTTTAAATATATACATATTGTCACCTGTATTTCTTAATGTTAAATAGTATCATTGTGATAAGACCAAAATTTCACAGACGTTGATATCGGTGCCCTGAAGTGAGCATTAGCATACCAAATGAATCGGGCCTTTCTCATCCAATGTTGAAGAGTTTCGCTTACAGAATATATGCAGTAGTTGTAAATGAAATGCAGAAGTCATGCTAATTCGTTATAATGACATGTATATGATACAACGTTGTTGATTCGCGCAATCAAAAGTTTTCCATGATCACACTTCTTTGAGCGGCGCTCAATGATACAGGGTAATCAATTTTGTACTTGACTATCAAATCACCCCGCTGTGATGGTGTTTTGGCTATAGGCATACCCTGGCCCGGGTATTTCGACACATCCGCCGGTTGAACGGGTTGCACTCGGGAGATAGGGAGTGTCCTCCCGTCAATGGTTTGTATGGTTTTATTGAATCCAAGAAGAGACTCTTTGAAACTCAATGGAAGAGAGTATATTAGATCGTTTCCATCCCTTGAGTATCTTTCATTAGGCTTTTCCTGAATAATGAACTGCAGCGTTTGCCTACGTCCGGTTTGTGGGTTGTAATCACCTTCATTTTTGTAGGTGATCTTGGTTCCAGCCTTCCAGCCCGGTTTGAGCTGGATGTCTACCTGTTGTTTCTCTGAAGTGCCTCCGGGTCCCTTGCGGGTTATTTTAAATGACTTCTTCTTTCCGTGAAACAGATCCTCTAGATTGACCGGCAGATTGACTTGCACGGTTTTTTCTTCAGGAGGTGGTGAGGAAGCTCCGGACTGAAATCCACCGGGCATTCCGCTGCCGGAACGGAAGCTAGTTCCACCAGGGAACCCGCCAGATGAGAACCCGCCATGGCCGCCGCCAGGGAAGCCTCCACCACTGCTGAAGCCACCGAAAGAGTCTTCAGCGCCACCGAAAGCACTGCCGAATGGTGAAGCACCACCGCCGCCGCCGCCGCCAAAGAATTGAGAGAAAATATTGAAGGCGTCTTCGTTGGAAAATGCATGTGCTCCTCCAAATCCAGCACCGGGATGCCCACCAGCGCCGCCAGCAGCACCTGCTCCACCAAACGCTGGTCCTCCGTTTCTAGCGGCCTCCAAACCATATGTATCGTAAACTTCTCGTTTTTGAGCGTCGTTCAAAATCTCGAACGCTTCTGAGATTTCCTTGAATTTCTCGGCATCACCCGTGGGCTTATCTGGGTGGTATTTCAGCGCTGCTTTGCGGTATCCTTTTTTCAGTTCAGTTTCGTTTGCTGAAGGTTGGACACCAAGCAAATCGTAAAGTTTAGTATCTTTAACCATGGTTCTTCTATAATTTATGATAAAATTTCACTGCTCTTTGAAAAATCGCGTCCTTTCCTTGGTTCTTAGTTCAGAATCGTATCGATGCTGTAATATCTATCGCGTTCAGAACAAAAGGTTGTTCAAATAATGTATGAGCTTTTCGGGGTGTTTCCGCGAATAACTTGATTTCAATTAGGGTTACAACAGAAGATTGACTGTTTGAGTAAAAGGTATTTCCTTGCCCAATGAAATCTTCTCTGATAGGTATCTTGAATTATGTTAAAACTTTCCCGGTCCACCAATAGCCAAAATGAAAAGTTGCAAGCGAACTTTCGACTCCTTTATATATCTCAACTTTAGCTTCTTGAGTATTTACTGGAATTTTCTAGAAAGCCCGAAAAAGTGTTGATAGCATTTGTGACGAAAGATTGTAAATTTTAAAGGCATTTTTGATCTAAAGATTAGGAAACTTTGAAGGCCCTCTGACAAGACTGCACGATAATTACAAGGGAGGCATCGGAAAGTACTGGTTACTTTGGGTGTGATTTTGTATATCTCGGGGTGTAATAGTGCAGCTTCTTGTGGAAATACTCTAGAAAAGGCCGAGGATTTTCACTTCGATGTCCGTGATCCTCGCATCAGCCGGTTACGATCATACAATCCGGTTCTGGGAAGCTTTGACGGGTGTGTGCTCGAGAACTATCCAGCATGCGGACTCCCAAGTCAATCGACTGGAAATCTCGTCAGACAAGCGCTTTTTAGCCGCAGCAGGCCATCTGAATGTGCGGTTGTATGACATTCGCACCACAAATCCAAACCCAGTGGCTTCGTTCGAAGGCCATCGCGGCAACGTGACCTCGATTGCATTTCAACAAGAAAACAAGTGGATGGTGTCGTCTAGTGAAGACGGCACCATCAAAGTGTGGGACGTGCGTGCCCCTTCCGTACAGCGTAACTATAAGCATAACGCCGCGGTCAACGAGGTCCAAATTCATCCAAACCAAGGAGAGCTCATCTCGTGCGACCAAGATGGCAATATTCGGATTTGGGATTTGGGAGAAAACCAATGTGTCCATCAACTCACTCCTGAAGACGACACGCCCTTGCAGTCGCTTTCGGTCGCGAGCGATGGCTCCATGCTCGTTGCAGGCAACAACAGGGGCGATTGCTACGTTTGGCAAATGCCGAACCAGACTGACAGGGCAACACCTAAGCCTGTGACGAAGTTCCGTTCGCACGCGAAATACATAACTCGGGTTTTACTATCGTCAGACGTAAAGCATCTAGCAACATGCTCTGCTGACCATACAACTAGAGTGTGGTCTATCGACGATAACTTTCAGTTGGAAACCACACTTGACGGGCATCAAAGATGGGTTTGGGATTGTGCGTTTAGCGCGGACTCCGCGTATCTCGTCACAGCGTGCTCCGACCACTACGTGAGGCTGTGGGATTTGTCAACTAGGGAAATTGTGAGACAATATGGTGGACACCACAAGGGTGCCATATGCGTCGCGCTTAATGACGTATGAAGGTGTTATGGAGATATTCATAATACCTTACTGTACATAAATCAGAGTGTATAAAGTTACAACCACTTATAATGGTTTCGTATGCTTTTGAAGATCAAAGGTTTAAAAAAATCAAAACTATGGTACAGTCTTTTGACGTCCCCGGTAATCGTATGAGTGGGAACGCATGGCGTGGACTTCATGTTTGCCGCACAAAATTGATCGATTCAGTACATCTAAGGCCTGGGCCTTGCAAACTCTTAACGAGGTCAAGCATGTGTGTCAAACTAGCATCCTACCCCATCCTTCAGACTCTCGTGAGAGCTCTTCGATATTCAACAAACTCACAGCGTTGATATCATAAAACTGCCAGCCTCATCGCACCAGTAGAGCCACTCATCTATAAAGGTCTTGATGACCCACCAAGAGCCCGCATGCTCAGAGCCCATGATGCTCAATTCACGGATGACACCAGTAGTGAAAACGTTGGCGTTTGCCATTATTACAGAAACTGGCTGATCTCTTATTTTAATAAGAAAGGACAAAATATGGGTTGCTAGATCCATTGCAAAATTTTCACTGATCGAGTGCTCATCAAGATCGAAAAAACTATCGACAGCACTGGAGATAAACGTTGATACCTTCTTCAAGGACGCCTCGTCATTATTGCAGCAGTAAAGCTCCGATCGACAAATGTCACGAACATTGATAAATTTCTTCCAGTCTTGATACATTTCAACTCTTGGAGATGTGGTCTTGTAAATCTTGGTAGCACTTTTTGCTGTCCGGATAACTCTAGTAGTGCGTTTCACCAGCCTCGAGAATTTTTTCGCAATTAACACCTTATTCTTCACCATTGGAACAGGAAGGTCGATGCTAGCGGATGATGTCATATCCGGATAGGAATGGGAAAATTCTATAAGCTTTTCAGACACAAAAGGCGGTAAAGTTACAGATTCCTTGATGAAATTCGCCAGAGCCCTAACAGCAGACCTGTGAGTCGCGATGTCCGCTTGGTTGACCCAATCGTACAACTGATCCGAGATAAAAAGGCTGAACATTGGAGGAGAAATTGTACTGGAGCTGAACGACTCTAACGTATTCCTCAAATCCTCGAATTTTGCATACCTGATGTTTTCCTGAATGGTATTGCAATGAGCCTTGTATATGCACTCTAGTGACGTGGTGATATCGATGTCAGTATTCTGCGGCAAAAAAGTATTAATCGAGGGAATATCCAACGGTATATTGACATCAGCTGTTGTACCATTGCGACAAACTTCGTCAATGATCTTGAGAGAGTCCCAAGACACGGCGTCACTCCAGCCCTCGGTATTACTCCGATTGTTATGTTGAAAAGTGGAGGACGGGGATCTTGAAGGAGACAATGACGTTGCTGGAATCACCGGATAATGAGAATTGTCATCAGCACCCCGATTGCTCACAGCATCACTACATGGTGATTCGCTGATGTTTTCTTCACGGCTGTTGCCCGTCACTTGTGACAAGTTGGAGTCTACTAAAGGTGAAGATGGCGATGCGGACCTCGATGGACTTATGAGACTCAAGCCGCAGTAGTGATACTTGGACTGACCACGCATACCCAAACGCCTTGTAGTAAGACCAGGAAAAATAATTCTGATGAGTTTGCCTAGTGTTGCCTGTGAAAGCGGTTTCAGGTTATTTTGCGCACATGACGCTGCGTATTGCGCAAAGATTCGACCCCTAGGAACAAAGCTATTTTTCTCTCCCACACACGCAGCCATCAACCATGTAAGAGCATAAACTTGTCTTTCGCGTTCACGAGTTTGTTCTGCAGCCTGGATGTCGGACTTATCGTGGGTAGAAGAGTCCATGTTAAGAACTGCAATTTCAGCTTCGCGAACAGTCAAGGCACATTCTGGCAGAGTTCTCGATTTGTTTCTCGCGGCCAACTCTCTCAGCACAGTTTCATTTCCGTTTTTCTTGATACTGGGTTCACTAGTTCTTACCTTCAAATTTTCTGAACGTGCGTCAGCATACTCCATAAAATTGCGCTTCTTGTCTGTTGAATCAAAAGAAGGAGAGTAGTGAGATTGATTCGTTTGGAATATTGGAAACTGTTGCTGGTAGCCGCGGTGAACTTCAAGCGATTTGTCGTTCAGTATAGGTTGAGGGATGGGGCTTGGTAAGTACCCTGGACCCATAGGGGAGTTGTAGCTTGTCCCGTAAGGTGGAATCGTTTGCTGCTTTGCTGCTGCTGCAGTTATCGGCAACCCGTAGCTAGATGCGAACGATCGCTGATATTGTGGGAAACCAGGAGAGACGTAATTTGGTTGCGTCTGCTGGAATGGTTGTTGCTGATCAAGTTGTGACTGCTGCTGCTGCTGTTGCTGATGTTGATACTGTTGCTGATACTGTTGTTGTTGCTGTTGCTGTTGCTGTTGTTGTTGTTGTTGTTGTTGGAAATGCTGTCGCTGGAAAATCGCGTGCTGTTGTATATGCTGCCGTTGCTGATGCTGCGGCTGTAGCTGCTGTTGTTGTTGTTGTGGCTGTAGCTGTTGTTGTTGTTGTTGTTGTTGCTGTTGTTGCGGCTGCTGTTGTTGAGGCTGCTGCTGCTGTTGTTGTTGTTGGAGTCGTTGCTCTTGGAAGTCTCGTTGAGAGTCGGGCCGCTGCTGGTGCATAGTTGGTCGCAATTCCTGTTGATTTTGATGCAAATGCGACACATGTTGCCCATTCCCCAGCAAAGAGGCCGTTTCTGCGGTGTTTGACGCGTGCAAGGAGCCGCTACTGTTGCTCGATACCGTTGAATCGTGGCTTCTAAGTCCTGTGCTGCTCATACCTCCGCTGCCGTCCACAATACCAGGTTTTGACTGCGATGGCTGCAGATGCAAATGCATATGCTTGTCGCCCACTCCTGTTCCTTGCTGGTCGCTCATGTTGGCGTGATGATTTGTGATGATCGCGCTCAAATTGAACCAGGGTCTGGGTCTAGACCGAAACTGAATTCAAGGTCGAGAGCAAGATCGAGATGAGCTAGCCTCGTATGGATCGTATTTCTCGACCGCTGCCTCTTCAAAAGATCAAACCCCTGTATTTCGACTTCGTCGTCGTCTGTAACCAATACAGAACGAAACGCGCGCTTAAAGCAGGATAGAGAAACACTTGCCTCTCTCTTTTTTTGGATTGTACTCCCGCGCCTCCGGTCTTCAGCGTGTCCCAATCAAACTCTGACCCACCAAATCTATTCGTGAAAAAAAGAGCTGAATCGCTTTCTGAACAGTTGTAGCAGCGCTACAATCTTGCTTTTGGCCACGAATTGGAGCAACCTTCAGCTTACAATTCCCACCGACAGATTCGATTCGATGCCCTATTCGATATATTGATGAGATATTCTAGTTTGATTTTATCTCAATTTCAATCTCAATCCTGCGATGCGAACGGATTGATTGAGCGTGGAAAAATTTTGGACGAAAAGAAACGTAACGAAATGGCCATCGAGCGGAGAAACGAGTAGAGGGTTGGATAGAGAGTTGAGTAGAGGGTCGAGTAGATAGTTGAGTAGAACATTGGATGGATTGTTGAGACGAGAAATGACGAGAAAATCAGGTGTAGCATTAAGTAGATGTCATTTGTAACGTATCAATGTTTTAGTTTCTATGGTTGCCCTAGGGGCGGCTATTGTGTTGATGGACTTTTGAAACGGTTTTCAGAGCAGAACAGCCCGCATGTGCCAAAGAGAGGCTGCCGCAGTCATCGTAGCTCGATCATGAAGTTTCAGTGGCTGATATTTGAGTTTATTATTCACATGCTTCTGCAGAGACGAATAATTTTTAAGGCGTTAGTCTGTGATAAGGTGCTGGAAAAACATCGGCATGCCGCCTTTACCACGCAAAAGGTTTGTTTTGGATACCACTGAACAGCATGTTATTTGATATGTGTGGCAGACTATGTTAGGGACTTATACTGTCTGTAAGAAGTGCTGCTTTCAGGTAAAAAGTCGCATCTCGAACAAAAACTTTGGTAAGTTTGAGGTTTTGAGTTAATTTGTTGCATGTATTATCCAGTAGTCCCTCTTTATTGAGAAAGACTTCAAAAAATCAATTTACGAAAAAAACATCACGTGATCTTTGTCTTGATCTTCTCGAAAATAGACGACAGTTTTCTAGTTGAAGTTGAAAAAAAGTTTATTGGCATGCGGCTAGATATTCCCTTCAAAAACTGCAGAAACTCCGAAGATGTCTTCATCTTGCTAATTTTTCTTCACAACTTATGGTCTCCTCATTGCTCGAATCTTCGAAGAATCCCGACGATATTTACTTCCGGATGGTGGTCATCGGCTCTTCCTGATTTAACTAACAGCCCAAAGTTTCCATAGACAGCAGAAAATCACTGTAGAGCCTTCAAGACTCTTTACGGCCCGTAAGAAAAACGAGTCACGTGCTGTCTTTTTACACGTGAGTATCATGCTTTTGATCTGCTTTTATGAACGCACGTGCGTATCGCGTGACTCGTGAAGAATTTCTCCGCCTGTTTAGCTCATCTCGACCTCATCGCTGAAAAATTTTAAGCGATGAGATGAGATGAGCTTGCCTTAAGCACTTTGAGAGATATAAACAGCGATTCTCTCAAAAACGACAACCACTGCAGTCTCGCAAGTTCATTTGCATTCCAGCCGCTACGCACAACTTGTTAGCGTCGAAAATATAACACAAGCTCAACATGGTCGCAGGTCTAGAGTCCAACCCAGAAATTCTTCTTCGCAAGCGTAGAAACGCTGATAGAACCCGTTTGGAGAAACAAGAGCTGGCGCAACAGCGTAAACAACAGCAACAGAAACAGAAACGGGCGCGCAAAAACAAGTTCGAAAGAGCAGAGACACTCGTGGCGACTTCTTTGGCTACGGAGCGCGAAAAGGAGCGCATCAAACGTGTGTCGAAGCTGGAGGCCCAGCGGGCCAAGGGTGAGACGCAGCATCTACCCTCGAGCCGCGATTTCATCCTCAAGGTCCGCGACAGTAGTGACGGTGAACATGAAGACGACGAGATCGACGGCGATGAGGACGCCACCTCGTTGCACTCCGAGAAATGCATATACGACGGCAAGCCCACACTGCTCTTTGTGCTACGTATTCGTGGTCCTACCGCAGCCAAGATCCCACAGAAGGCTCATAAAGTGCTATCGTTGCTAAGACTTTCGGAAATTAACACTGGTGTGTTTGTACGTCTTTCCCCCCAGGTCTACCCGCTACTGAAATTGGTGGCTCCCTACGTGGTCATCGGAGAGCCTTCGCTGGCCTCTGTCCGCTCATTGATCCACAAGAGAAGCCGGGTGCTCCTGACACCATCTGACGGCGGCGAAGCCAGAGAGGTCATTCTTAACGACAATAACGTTGTCGAAGAGGCTCTTGGGTCCGAGGGTATCATCTGTGTCGAAGACATCATTCACGAGATTGCCACTTTGGGCGACGGTTTCGTCAAGTGCAATTTCTTCCTTCTTCCGTTCCGTCTCAGCAGGGAAGTCTCGGGTTTCAGTGCCATCAGCAAACTGCACAAGATCAGACAAAGAGAATGGCAAAAACGTGCATTGAAAATGTCCAATGCATCCACAGCTCCAGTTGTTCAAGTGGACGTCGACAATTTGATTTCCAAGCTCAACTAGGCTAGCCACAGACACGCACACACACAATGGGAAAGAACCCTTTTGTTGTCTCTCTCTTTAACGAAGCACGTGACCAATCAATTCTCTTCCGCGTGATCTCTCGCCATTTTATTTCGCCGGTACCGGCCAAAAATCACATCCAATTTCAATATTTTTTCAACAGGTCTGGTTTTCTGTAGATTTCCAATATTCTACAAGATTCATATATATGTATAGTAACTGATGAATCATTCGCATCTTCAAATCAACAATTGTAGTGATAGTCTTAGCCTTTTGTCTAGTTTTGAATATCTATTAGCGTCTATCGTCTTGTACACATATAAAAGCTCGTTTTCAGCGCAGAAACTAAGTTATGTCCGAAGTTAAGAAAATCGTTGTTCTTCCCGGTGATCATGTCGGTCAAGAGATCACTCAAGAAGCCATTAAAGTGCTTGAAGCGATCTCAGAGGCCCGTCCAAATGTGAAATTTGAATTCCAGCACCATTTGATCGGTGGAGCGGCCATCGATGCCACTGGTGAACCTCTACCTGATGCGTCCCTCGATGCAGCCAGAAAGGCAGACGCCGTTCTTTTGGGTGCTGTTGGCGGACCTAAGTGGGGTACAGGCCAAGTCAGACCAGAACAGGGCCTTTTGAAGATTCGTAAAGAACTTCAACTGTACGCCAATTTGAGACCTTGCAACTTTGCATCAGAATCTCTTTTGGAACTATCGCCCTTGAAAGCTGATTACGCTCGCGGGACTGATTTCGTGGTAGTGAGAGAATTGGTCGGGGGGATCTACTTTGGCGAAAGAAAGGAAGATGAAGGTGACGGTGTCGCTTGGGACAGCGAAAAGTACTCCGTTGCCGAGGTGCAAAGAATCACCAGAATGGCCGCTTTCCTGGCCCTTCAACACAACCCACCTTTGCCAGTCTGGTCTTTGGACAAGGCCAACGTGTTGGCTTCTTCAAGACTGTGGAGAAAGACCGTTGAGAAGACCATCAAGGAAGAATTCCCAACTTTGACCTTGCAACACCAGTTGATCGACTCTGCGGCCATGATTCTGATCAAAAACCCAACCCAACTTAACGGTGTAATCATCACTAACAACATGTTCGGTGATATCATCTCAGATGAAGCGTCTGTTATTCCAGGGTCTTTGGGACTACTCCCATCTGCTTCGCTAGCCTCGCTACCTGACACTAACACTGCCTTCGGTCTTTACGAGCCTTGCCATGGTTCAGCGCCAGACTTGCCAAAGGGTAAGGTCAACCCTATTGCCACTATTTTGTCCGCTGCTATGATGTTGAAACTTTCTTTGAACTTGTTCGAAGAAGGTGTTGCCGTGGAAGAAGCAGTGAAAAAAGTCTTGGATTCTGGCCTAAGAACTGCCGACCTAAGAGGTTCCAGCTCTACTACTGAGGTTGGAGACGCCGTTGCCAAAACCGTCAAGGAGTTGTTGGCATAAAAGTCAGTCTCTGACGTGAAAGCTAAAAAGATGAACGAATGTTATATGTACTAAACTGTATACAGCAATAATAAAGAATTATAAGAACCCCGGTTTTACTGCGCACACAAAACAGGAGCGACAGCTCAATGTCTATCTGTAAAGATGACAAACATTAGTGGCCTGACCACTCAATGGAATTGAGATCGATACCTTCTTTGACCATTTCCCAAAGTGGTGACAGCTCTCTCAAAAATTCAACTCTTTCTGTAATCGCCTTGATCACATATTCGACCTCCTCATCGGTGGTAAATCTGCCAATACCAAATCTGATCGAAGAGTGAGCCAAAGCATCGTCTTTTCCCAGCGCATGAAGGACATACGATGGCTCCAAAGAGGCAGAAGTACAAGCAGAGCCCGAACTCAAAGCGATGTCTCTGAGAGCCATAAGAAGCGACTCGCCTTCAACATATGCAAAGGACACATTAACGCAGCCAGGGTAGCGGTGGTCGGGGGACCCATTCAAAGACGTATGTTCGATTGCTAGCAAACCTTTTGTTAGCTTTTCTGAAAGTCTTTCAATATGCGCAGAATCAGCTTCAAACTCCTGCTTCATGAGTCTGGCAGCCTCTCCGAATCCAGCCACCAAGGAAGGTGCCAAAGTACCCGACCTCAACCCCCTCTCTTGACCACCGCCGGAAATAATGGGCTCCAGTCTGACACGAGGACGTCTTCTCACAAAAATTGCACCCATACCTTTGGGGCCGTAGATCTTATGTGAGGATATTGACATCAAATCGATGTTCATCTTGTTAACGTCTAGCGGGATCTTGCCGTACGCCTGAGCGGCATCCGTATGGAAAAACACCTTCTTCTTCCGGCACAAAGCACCGATTTCTGCTATGGGCTGCATAACACCGATTTCGTTGTTAACAGCCATTACCGACACAAGGCAAGTGTCCGGTCTAATAGCAGCTTCTAGTTGCTGTAAATCGATGAGCCCGTCCTCGTTGACATTCAAAAATGTTACATCGTATCCCTCATTTTTCATGGCTCTGGCGGCCTCCAAAACACACTTATGCTCCGTTCTCGTTGTGATTATGTGCTTTTTCGTTTTGCTGTAAAATCTGGCCACTCCCTTCAAAGCTGTGTTGTTCGATTCTGTCGCTCCAGATGTGAAGATGATTTCCTTCACGTCTGCGTTGATCATGTCTGCTATGTGTTTTCTGGCCGTTTCCACCTCCTTGTTGGTTTCCCATCCGTAACTGTGCGTGTTTGAGTGTGGGTTACCATACAAACCGGTGTAAAATTTCAGCATCGTGTCCAACACTCGTGGATCCGTTGGAGTCGTTGCCTGCATGTCCAGATATATGGGTCTGGTCCCAAATCCGGTGTTTTCTTGGTATGCGTGTTTCAGCGCAGTGGTGCCCGATTCTACAACTTCTGCAGAATCGGTTCTGGCCTCTGCAAGGTCTTTATGAGCTTTCTGCACATCTGTGTGGGTTTCCAGCGGCACATCAAATGCCACTTTCGCGGTGGCATAGCATCTTCTTCTTGCCAGCCCTGGTTTTTGGCCCCTGAGCAACAAAGACCTGGTAAAAGTCCTCAACATTTTCTTTGGTGAGTTGTCCGATGACTATTCTGTCTTTCTTGGCCAAGACTGTTGATAACTTGATATAGAGATATCAAATGTATAAAGTATACCAGATTACAAATTTATTAGGGATTTTGAAATTTAAATTGTGAAAAAAACGGCATGTGACTCAAAGTCATACTTGTTATTGTCCCGTGACAACAATGAAAGTCTCGCTGCCAGAAACGTGAAGCGTTTGGCTTCTTATTGGCTCCTAAGCGTTAAAAGAAACAGCGAGTGTGTCGTGTTGAATTCTATACGAATTTCGATGTATGAAGCTGAGCTAAGACTTCTTGGAGCCCTTTTGTTTTATTGGTTTTCCGCGGGGAGTAAGACAGCGTCAGCGTGCATAACATCGCGATAAGTAGCGACAGAATGCCTATATGCAAGTTGACACACCCTTGGTAGGGAAAAACACGTCAAAGACGCTCTGCAACGAATTGACGTTCACAATTCTTCATGTCATTATTGACCAATCAGTCGTCTTGGCTAAAACTAAAGGTCACGTGACTCATCTAACAACTTCGTCCTCTTCTCATTGCTTACACGGCCTGTATATCGGTCAAGTACACCACCCTGCATCTATATCACCAATCGCCATGCATCAAGCTACACTTTTTTCCCAAAAAAAAATTCAAGAAAATGCTCTTTTTTTTCGCAAATGCTGTCAGGTTGTTTTCAGCGTTGCGGGAAAAACGGCCAAGAATTTGCTCATGCCAGTCGAAATGTATCTATCACACTTCTGATTCAACACCAATTATCAAATTTGGTTCTAACTGCTAGTTACTGCTCACATCTTTCTTCAAGTTTCTCTTCTAGTTTTTATATTACCATGTCACCTCTATTAACGTAACTTAAATTGCTGAAAAAAACCCTGGATCTCGAAACGAATCCAAGCGTCAGTGCTCAATCGCTCGAGCAAGATAGCGCAGACGGGTAATAATGAGCAATGCCGCATTCGTAGCATCTTTACTGGCCGGAGCTGCTGCTGGCACATCTACCGATCTGGTGTTCTTTCCCATTGACACCTTGAAAACGCGACTGCAAGCAGCAGGAGGGTTTTTCGCCAACGGAGGCTATCTCGGTATATATAGAGGCCTTGGAAGTGCAGTGGTGGCAAGTGCACCTAGTGCGTCCCTCTTTTTTGTCACTTACGATGGTATGAAATCTCTGTCTCGACCTACTTTTGACCGGCTCATTCCGTCAAGTAGTCAAACGGCCGAAACTGCGACCCATATGTTTTCATCTTCCGCAGGGGAAATTGCGGCTTGTATGGTGCGAGTTCCTGCTGAGGTGATCAAACAAAGAACACAGACTCATCGGTCTGATTCTTCCTGGCAAACGCTGAAAAAGCTGCTTCGCAATGAAAACGGTGAAGGTGTGAGGCGTAACTTATACCGCGGCTGGTCCACGACGATTATGCGGGAAATTCCCTTCACCTGTATTCAATTTCCCTTATATGAGTTTCTCAAGAAAAAATGGGCCCATGCTGCAATGCGAGACCAGGTCGCTCCGTGGCAAGGTGCCCTTTGTGGTTGTTTGGCAGGTGGGGTTGCTGCCGCTACCACGACGCCGCTAGATGTGCTAAAGACTAGACTAATGCTCAGCAAAAAATCCGTACCAGTTTTGAAACTGGCTCGTAATATCTACAGGCAGGAAGGCTGGAAAGTCTTTTTGAGTGGTATAGGTCCTCGAACTTTATGGATAAGCGCTGGAGGTGCTATTTTCCTGGGTGTATATGAAAGTGCCCATTCTCTACTTTCGCTGTGATAGACCGTTACATTTCCCGCAAAAGCATCGTTGTATATGTTTAAACTATTCTATAAATCGTATCATCGTGCGCTGACTAGCGTGAGCTTCCCTTGTCTCTTTCGTCTCGCGTATTTCATAACAAAATTGTCGATTTTTACACCCGTGGTGTTCAGTTGCTCGATATACGGTATCATTTCATTCAAATCCCAAGTTGATTGCAACTTGAAGAGGTACGCAAATCTTCCTTTAGGGTCGTCAGGGAGCGACTGTTTCGAGAAGTATTGTATGTTGGTGCCCAAAGGACGGTAAAAATATCCTCGTAATGCCGCAAAATCCAGATCGCATTTGAAATATGGAGGGAAGAGAGCTTTCCATTTGATCATGAACTCTTCTTGCGGTATGATAGTGCGAGAAGCAAACTTCCTAAGTGCTTCTATTCCATACCATTGGCTGACCGCTTTTACTTGCAGCGTAAATTTCCCCTGTTCGTCCACTTTGGAGAATTTTCCTATTACTGTGCGCACAACCTCTAAGCTGAAAGGATTGAATTCTTCGCCTTCGCCCATGTCTTTATTGACTGCGGCGAAAACTTTCGACACATCCAATGCCTCAAAATCCAGCGTTTCTGCCATACAACTCATTAACAGAATATGAAGGACCTTCGAGATAAACTCTTGCGAAAGAAGGCAAGCTATTCCTTCCACGGCACAGCCACCTAAAATAGGCCATTTTACCGAAAATTCTTGTTTCGAGCATGGGGAGTTGTTCTCAAGCTCCTCAACGGTCAATTGATGCCCTTCGGACTGCTGCAAAAATTCCTTAAAGCTTTTGACATCTCCTGTGTAAATTGGCAGCATACTTATGTCAATCTCACCCTTGACCAAGCGTGCTTCTAGCTCGCTACTCTGTTTGGTATATGCGAGATGGTTGACTGAGGGCTCTTCAACTCCCGCCGGAAGTTGAATGCTTTTCTCAGCTATATCTTCCGGTACAAATTCTTTCATGATTAGAGCAGTGTTGGAGTGGTTTTTCTGTTTAAGGAGCCACGTCTTGTCAGTTGAGCAGAGAACGACAGAGCCGTCCACATTTGGGGCCTTAAATTTAAGTCTACCATTCGCCTCGAGTGCAGCTAACAACTCGTCATTGAGAACAAGCAGTTTGTAGCCTTCGTCTGTTTGCAGCTTCGAGTATAGTCCTGCCGTGGGCATATGTTACTCACTGGTGCTCTTGATATCGTGCGATCTTTGTTTAAATCATCGCTACATATAGTATTTTATATAATCTAAATTAACGCGTCTGTAGAATAAGATATATAGAATTTAATGTAGCAGACGTCAGGCTTCATCGAAGATAGGATTTGAACCTAATTCAAAGGGCAGCGGGGGCGCTGGAACTGACACATCACTTGGCTGGCATGAGTAGTATTTTGGCTCCTACTGTTGAAATCGAACCCAAGCTTGGCGGCTAAAGTGAACATACGACAATATGAATGTATTCCTATATGTGTGCAAAGACTGCAGTGCTACAAATGTAGCTACAACTGGTCCAGGAAAACTTTGGTGCACCATACTGAGCTCGTACTTTACCAGAAAAGCGAAGAATAGAGCTCTAGCTCATGCGCTTGGGTGGTTATTCAGGGTTTAGACGACACGCTAAGCAACGCAGAAATGGGCCCAAGTAATGGGTGCTAGAATACTTCTCTCCTACCATCATAAATGAGCGTATTACGCAATAGGAGTCTGGTGAATTTCAAATGGCGTTTGCACCGCATATGGAAAGCCGCTTGTATTCGCAGATGCTAAAACCATTTTTTGCACGTCCTTGCTGGGGCCAGCTGGTTTTTCCACCAAAAGTATTGTTTCGTCGAAACTGTGTTTTACTGAAGGAAGATTGGCCTTTTCACTCTTTTAAGCCCTACAGCTCGGGTCTATATCCAAGCGAGCCAATGTTCAAAGTGAACTCATCCAATTTCATAAAACGCATTGTATCTATAGTCACAGTACGGGTGGATTTTTCAGCTGATCTTTTGGTCGTTGAGATGCCTTAAAGTCTAGCCGTTTTCGGTATAAAGCTCTCAACATCTCTACTGCTTCCAAAACAGGGTACCAAGTTGGCGGGTGTCCCGTAAAATCGGGCAGAAACCCGATAAACCTAGCGAGGTGTTAATGATAGTTGAGAACTATTATCAAAATGCTCACTGCATGAGGAATTTGTTCCAGAGATGCTCCCGTAATGGTAAGAAAGGCCATAGAAGAAGAAGGTTGGCTTGTCTCACGTGCACTAGGACGTTTCTTAAACCAAAATGACACTTGCATTATTCGAAGTTTATTAAAGTGCATAAAGATCATTCGAAATTCTAAAGGTAAACAACCGTTCCCGTTCAGCAATTGAACGCCGCTGAGACTGATGGAAAAAGTGTTACGGATTGAAGAACCTCAAATTTCCTCCAATGATTCGATTGAAGAGCACCCCCCGAGGAAGTGTGTAAGGTTAAAGCAGAACCTGTTTGTGGATTTCGTGCCGGAATCCAAGAACTGGGTTAAAGATGTATTTCCCAACGCGGCGATCTACAGAGGCTACGATGAGTTGCTTTGGGGCTATTTCATCATTGCTGTCTATAAGGATGCGAGCTCTGGTAAGTTGAATTCGTTGATCGTGGATAAGTTAGGAACAACACATTACGATGCAGTGAATATCTCACGAAAGTCTCGTTTTTACCCTGCAATTGAGAACCTATCGGCAGCTAACCGTGATTCAAGCGTTAAAAAATGTATCGCTGTTTCCCTGCTCCAAAAATATGCTGATTTGAACCCCAGTATGGTGCCTAAGCTTCAGCCACGAATGCGATACGATTATGATCCGACCTCGGCTGGAGACCTCGCCAACAGCTGTCAACTGATAGGATTTTGTCCACCTGAGAGTATAGGAAAAAGCTTGGATCGTCTAGGTTTTTTAAGCCCTCATTACGCGGGGTCCCTTCTTATCGACGTTGTCTATGAGCAAGAGCAATCCACCATCGAGGCCAACAATGAGCTTGTTTTCCATCTTGGGGATCAACTGGAACAATTATTCGACCCTTTGACAGAATATTCGCCGGAGCAGACAGAAATTATTTACAAGCCTCCTGAAAATGGTGCGCCTGTGAAGAAAGATGACCATATCGCTTCCATGGTATGCAATGAATTGCTGCAGGTTCAGACCAATTTCACTCTCACGTTAGTGGATTTTCTTCAAAAGTTTCTTATACCTCTTCGCATAGAGGTCGCAAATGAGGAGATTCCCGGTCTTTCAATACCAAAATTGAACCGCTTATTTCCTCCGACGATCGATGAGGTTACGCGAGTCAATTGCATCTTTTTGGATGCTCTGAAAGCATCACATGCCTTTGGGTCACAAGAGATGCTTAAGGCATGCAGCGTCACTATACCATACTTTTACAAAGCTTACACAAGACATGATGCGGCCACCAAGGACTTTTCTAAGCAAGTGAAGGAATTTTTGGCCAAATTCAAAGACTACCTACCTAGCTGTGAGTTATATTCGCAAATGAAAATGGATACCGTCGTAAAAAGTCCTCAGGAAACCATATTGAAGATAAAACTGATCATTGATAGACTTTGGTCTACCAAAAATTGGGAATTAGAGGATGCACAACTGGCAGAAGCTCGCTACTCGAAGATTTGCGACATTATAAGCTCTTTTGGAGCTGATGAAAGACCGCTGAATTCATACAGTACGAGGGTTTTCACGCCATCTGGAAAGCTTCTAACTGAACTAGCTAGGGGCTGGCCCACTGAGCTGCAATACAATTGGCTAAAACGAAGAGTTGTGGGCGTTTTCGATGTTATGGACTCGAATGATAATACACAGAGAAGTATTCTGGTCATTTTTAGCGACTACATTGTCATTCTCAATGTTGTCGACACCAGCTCTTATTACGATTCCTATGCAGGTAAGAAACCACTTCTTTCTGACATTCTGATGAACTCGCTTATCAACGAAGCTCCACTCCCACCTAGAGTGCCGGAATTGCGGGTTGCCAACTACTTTTATATTGATGACGTCGTAGCGTCGACTTTCGGAAGTGATATGATTCGAATCGATCATGTGGAGCCGAACAATGTCACTGCAGTGGCCGCCAAGATCGTCTCGTCTTCTCATACAGGTTCAGAGGTTGTCAACTTGATTGCTAAAGCCAAGATTTTAGAGAAGGAAACCGCATTTCATCTCTTCCGCTACACAGACGACGATCTTCAAGTTTTTTCCACGGCACACGAAATCAAAGCATACGCGGCAGAGAAAATACGGTCAAAGTTTTGTCTCTTTTTAAACATGGATCAAAGCGTGCAGGTGCTAAACAAATTTAATCTAGTTGCCGCATTCTTTGCCTCGTTAGGATCAGACGGCACCGTCTCTCTATTAGAATTGACACGTAATGGTGAAAAAAAGCATTTTAACGTAGAGCTGCAAATGTTGGTTGGGGTTTTAGTCTCTGAAATCAAAGTGCTTTACAGGCAGTTCTACTCCACCGCCCAGTCGCCTTTTCTAAGTGAGCTGTTGGAAATCAACAGCCAACTGGTTAAAAGAGTTGGACGACATTTCAGCGAAGATCTTGATATTGCACCATATGTGACTGAGAAGAATTCCTCCACCTCAGCTAATCCACTCACACTATCAAAATCCGCGTCACATCCCACAACGAGTGGTTTAAAGAGTGCAAGTAAATTAGAACCTGACGTCCTTCCTACGAAAGAACTGGAGAAACGCACTAAAAAGAAGCCCGCAGGTGGTGAGACGCTCAAAGGAAAGGACAAATTAACAAGACAAAATACCAAGAAATTGGGGTCGGCATCCAAACAGAAGAGAAGAAGCATCATTGGCAAGATTTCAGATCTGTTTATCAAGAAAAAAGACCGTACCTCCAAAGACATTACTCTCAACAGCTCAAAATCTGCGAGCAATCAAACAACAAAAAAAGTACCCAACGGTGAAAGTAAAGAGGAAAACAGTCCGCGTCCCGATGCACAACGCATGAGCTCCATCGTACATGTTCCGCTGTCAACGAAAAGCGCCAGTGAAAGGTCAACGAAAAGCGCCAGTGAAAGGACAATTGTCTTTTCTAGTGATAGCAGTAACAATAAAGCACACAATTTAAGCAAACCACATCCGGCTGCTGGTAGAGATCCGAACACAGACAGCGAATCCCTTTCATCTACAAATAAGAATTCAGACGATGAAAAGATTTCTCTTCCTAAAAATCAGAGGTTTTACGGACTGAATAAAGATGAGCGCGAGAGCAAACTGTTCAATCACGACCTGTATGGAGATGCCTTCAAAGGGGGCGAAAACGAGAACCAATATATTGCTGCTGAAAGCCCAATAAGGAGGATTTCTATACAAGAGATTTCGTCACTTCCGAATGAACTCGCTGAGAAAGAGCTCGTCCCTTCAATTAAATCCGGCCCAAGCAAAATTAAGGAAGCCACTCAAAGCAGGTCGAAGGCGTACACTGAGGACTGCGAGAATTCAATGACCTCGACAGAAAACTTGGTGGCCGAGACTAGCGGCAATGACGAAGACCTGCGCCGCAAAAACATATTTCCTGAAATTAAGAGGCTGGCTATTGGGAGTGGCCAGTTTGTAAGATCTCCCTCGTTTACGGAGTTTTTCGACAACATGAGACTTGTTCTGGATGACAACGACGAGATTTCTAATTGGAAAAGGTTGCCAAATGAAGCAACGTTGAACACCCAGCACAAGGCTCGCGAGGAAAACGCGGCAACACATGCCTTTAAAAGTCTCCTACCTTTCAACAAACAAGTGGCAGCCGCAGAAGCGCCACTATCGCAAGTTCCCCAGCATAATGACAAAGCACCGCCTACCACAAAGGTCGACGAATCCGGTCATTGCGATGCCTTCAAAATTCAGGCAGACGAAGATCTTGGCGCTCAAAGAGACGTAAGCCAAATTCTAGATGTTATCGACTTTCCGCCTGAACAGCCTTCGATTGGCGTTAAGAGCCCTACAGGCTTCAAGGTTGTAAATCAAACATCTCCCAAACTTGTCAACATTAACTCAAAGCCTACTCCCGCTCTAAATGAAAGATCCACCTCGCAACCGATTGAACAGCAAAAGGAATTTCTGATAAGGGCAACGACACCAAAAGACAGGCATCAGAGCAATTCGTCGCCTATATTCTCAAATGAAGTGGTTGCTGATGAGTTACAACAGCAAAGCCACAGTCAAGCGACAAGTCTTGGCCAAAAGGGTGATCATATAGAGGCAAAAACAACCAATGCCGGGAATACCCCAGCTGGGCATCAACAAACGTCGAAAATAGTTCCACGAGAGCAGCTTCTTGACGATCCCGAATTCAGTTCCTTTCATATGACCTTCAGCGAAAACGACGAAACCTTTGACTCATCAAGATATGATCACCCATCTACAATGAGTCAACGCGTATTTCTCGAACAGCCGCCGGTAGATACGGCACCTATTTTTTATCGCTTACCCGCTATCGAGAGATCCACCGATACTTTCTTCACGTGTGCCGATGGTACGACAGGTAAAAGCGGCTCTACTAGAAATGCCTACAAAAATGTAGAAGGAGAGGATCCTGATGATGCAATGTGGATATCGCCGAGCAAACTGGACATTTTTGATCTTAGTAAACAGCCTGACTCCTTTTTCGCTCAAATTAACCTGGGGAAAAAACAAAGGCCCACGGAGGAAAAGCAAGATTCTCTTTCCGCATACTCGTCACAAGAAAAGGCGCTTTTACCAGATTCCTCTTATGCATATCTACGAGGACTTCTGGTACATGACGGCCGTAGTGAAGATGAGAATGGCGCAGAAGATTTAGAACCAACACGTCTGACATTCTATAAGTAGCATTCATTAACCATTTCATTAGCATATTTAACAATAAAGATGGCACAGTAAATAATCACAGAGCGTTTATTTTCCGAAAGCTACAGCTTTGGGATCCAAGGGCATTCCATCTGCAGCGATGTTATTGTTACTGAATTGACGCCGCAGATATGTGAGTCTTGCTTGATTGAAATCCACTCGGTCTTGATTCATAATGTCTTTGATTTGGTTTTTGGCATCATCGTCGAGACCATTCCTCTGATCGTCTGCATTATGTGCCGCTAAATCGAATTCATTCGACGTGAGACCGGCTTCAATATCTTCAGTAAAACCTTGGCTTATACGTTCGCCTCCGTTAAGGAAGCTTCTGAGGCCTGACCATGTAACACGATTGTCTGAAACAATTAGAGGTGAGTAAAACTGAATTAAGCTCCTAGAGAACTACAACATACTTCTAATCTGCTCACGTCGTATGAACGCCAAGACTATACAGCAAAACAGAGCTGCAATACCTAAGCTTCTGCCACTAAAGACCATCTTCCCATTAAAAACCCACTGTTCACGACGGCCTCGCAATCGAGCTACTACTTCTCCGATTGAAAGTCCACTTGTTAAATTCTGTACGCAGCCTTCAGTTGAGGTCAAACAGAGCAATTGTACGTGAGTGTTGGTTGAACTAGGAGTTGATGATAGATACATAAGTTTGAACAGGATGCTCCGACACCACTTTTTTTACGTCCCATTTCGTCATTACCGGTTATTCACTGCAAGCTAATCACATGATTGAGAATGCGCTTGAGAGTAGCTGTAGTGACAACCGATCTAGAAGAGGTTTCTCTAAGAGCGCATAGGTATCGCATGGCTATGTTGACCGGAACGTATCCAGCGCTTAATGATAGCTCACATACGAAATGGAGAGATCTCTGCCTCCGTAAGAATAATTATCAAGTCTGCTGATGCAAACATCAGCATGTTCTGCATCTTTGTATTCAACCACCGCGACACCGGTTGGTCCGCCAGTAGAGTCCAACCTCAGCTCCGCTCGTTCGACGGGACCGATGATTTCGAAGAGATCATACAAGTCACCTTGAGCAGTAGCGAATGGTAAATTGTCGACATACAATGTTCTCGATCTTTCTCCCTGGCCCACGGCGTTCTCGGTCAGTTCAGAGTTGACGCTGCCACTGAATTGTGTGACGTCCTCTTCCTCGATTTGTGGTACGGGGGATGATTCACTGTCCCATGGTCCGTGACCTTTTTTGAGTTCTAAAATTCTGCCCTCCAGCTCATAACCGGAAAATCTCTCCAAAGCGGCTTGTGCCTCGTCTTGAGTTTCGTAGATAACGGTCCCAAAGCCTCTCGATCTGCCGTTACGGTCCAGTTTAATGTCTGCCCTAGTAGGATTACCGCACTCTTTGAAAAGATCCTTCAAAGACTGCCAGGAAATGGAGAACGGCAGGTTGGCGATGAAAACTTCGTACCCAGGATGAAACCTATCTGCAAGTGACTGCTGTACTTCTCTTCTTTCATCACTCCTTTTGCTTGCCGGCGGAGGATTATCTTCCCTTACAAAAATGTCCCTTCCCAGATATGAAAAGCCATTGAATTTACGGATAGCTTCGCTCACATCGTCTGGATTGGTGAACTCAACCGTACCCATGCCTCTGTGGTGGCCGCGCGAAGTTATGATATCGGAACGAACAACACGGCCAACTTCTCCAAACAATTCTGTGAGATCAGAAGCCTGACAGTCGTAAGTTAAGTTACCCACAAATACGCTGTTTTCGTAGTTTCTGTCAAGCCTGTTGCTTTGCTCTGAAATGTGAGCCTCCGACAACAATGGACCATGCTCTCTAACTTCTCTCCGTCCTCTGTTGCGTGGTGGAAAGTCATCATAGCCGCCACGGCTGCCTCTGAACCCACGACGCCCTCCTCGCGGTCTCCCGCCTCTTCTATTGAAGTCGCCAGCTGTATGGTCGTAAAGCTCGGTATTTCCATTGTTATATCTGCTCGGGCGAGGTGCTTCAGAGCGGTAATCGTGGGTCGATGGTTTACGGAATTCTGGAGATCTGGACCGCGACCTTTGGTCTTGCTACAATCAATTCGATTAGTTTCAAAGTCTCAAAATGATACAAAATAAAGGCTTAATCCACTTTTCTGCTAGCTCGCTAAGTTCAAGCAGGGTATGGATAAGTCGTGGCTGGCCTAATGTCCAAGCCTTCTAGAGGCAGATTGATTATCTTTGATCTCGAAGACCATAAAGTCGGTCTTCCAAGACTCTAGTCATTTAACATACATATTCGTTGCTCATTGTACTTCAGTGACAGATTATGCTGCCAGATTTGCTCGACTTATCTTCTTCAAGTTGCCGATGGTGGGCGTTACTGCGTCGCCAACAGGCTCATAATATTTTTATCTCAATCTCAAAAAGTCATAAACGTGATCAGATCTTGCTCATGGATGCATCCTTACTACGAGACGCCTGAATAATGGCAAAGATTACTTGAATAGTGCTGGTAGATCAAGGGAACTTGCCCAAATGCTTGCACATTCGTGTTCGTTGCAATTTAAACCTTAGTCTGGTGAGTCTGTAGAGAGCAACGTGATGAAAACGCGGATTCATGTGAAGATTTGGAGAGCTTTTTTTAGACTTAGAAGGCAGCCTAAGCTTGTCCACCATCCTTTTTCCCTTCGATCAAAGCAGCATTATCGGTATCTATTCTTTATGTCCATCCTTGCCCAGTCGTTGCTCCATTCGACACTACAATTCTTTTACCTGCGTGCGGGGAAGGGTAGCACAAGTCTTCTCATTACTTCGGTTTCTTTATCAACCTCTTCTTCTCCGTCAAATCTCAATTTGCACGTTCCATCTCGCTTGTGCCCAATGACTACTGCTGGGTAAAAAGTAGTTGTCTCTGGATAACGAGCTAGCACCTTAGTTCCGCTTGGGTAATTGGGAGTTTGGTATTTCGGAGTACTTACAGCAGGAATCAGGATAACATCTTTCCAACTGCATTTGTATATTTGTCCTGGATTACCCAACTCATCAGGTTCTGGATCACGGACTTCAAATTTGGTGCCATCGTTTGAGATCTTAGTGACCTGACATTGAAACCATTCGCCATCTCCACCCCTTTTCGGTTTGTACGCCACTTCGGATTCGAGAACGATGGGTTCACTCGGGTTGAATGGACTAGTCCAAAAAGATCGACCCTCAAATGACTCTGCGTAAACGATGTCCCTCTCATCCATCTTCTCAGACTGCTCTTCCCAATGTTTCAAGATGCCCCCCAGATTCGAAGATATGACGCGAATAAGGCCCAAAGCGCTCTCTACATTTTGCGAATGCGCTGAAAACGCGTCCATTTGTGATCGCAGTTGTTCTAGCGCTAGATTCTGAAAATTGAGCCTTTTCTCATTCACCATGTCATCAAAACTTTGGGCCTCGTGCTTCTTATAGAGCTCTTGAAGTGTTGAGACAACCACATCCCACTGGTCGTCCATACTATTCAGCTTTTAACCGCTGAGAATTGTTATTTTCGCGATATATTCGTGTCAATATTTGATAATTTTTTTTTGAGATTAACTAAAAATTTAATTTAAAGATTGAAATTGAAGTAGATGGAGAGCTTGATCATTCTACCAAAAGACGAAGTTGACGAAGCTGATCAAACAATCCAACAATGGCGCTTTGGAATAGTTCAAGCTTGCTCGGACTTGTCAAAGCACGTCCGAGCTATGTGGTCAACGTCTTGCAACATGTTAGAACCGCAACAAAAAAGGCAGCAGGTTCCAGAACGTCCATGAAAGACTCGGCAGGTCGCCGTTTGGGGCCCAAAAAAAATGAAGGACAAGCGGTTAATCCTGGTGAAATCCTTATGAGACAGCGCGGAACGAAATTTTTCCCTGGAGAGAACGTGGGGATTGGTAAAGATCACACTATTTTCGCACTAGAACCAGGATATGTGCGTTTTTATTTAGATCCGTTCCATCCCAAGCGTAAGTTTGTGGGTGTGGCACTCAATGAGACAGCCAAACTCCCCACTCCGCACTTTGCCCCTCGTGTAAGGCGTTTTGGACGTCAGCTGATAGAGAATCCCGAACTGGCTCAGAAAGAAACCAATTCGCTTTCCAGGAAAAAGTACTTGGCTCGTGATTCTATTGCTGCTGGCGTCGAAGAACGCGAAAGTCGTAGGCAAACAATGTCACTCAGCTTTTCGAAACTCATCGCTGATACACTAGAATTGGGTTTGGGGAACGATGCCATGGGCACTGCTGTCAGCTATCTCATGCGTTTACGTTCATGCCTCAAGAATGGTTTTACTTTGGTTGATGCTCAATTCAACTCTCGCCATTATCTGGAGCAAGAAACTGAATTACAGGCGAAGCGTGAGGGCTGGACTGATGAAATTCTTTCTTCAAAGCTGAGAGAGCTTGGGGAAGTTTCGAGCAGAATTGACCAATCTACCTCTTTCAACAACAGGCTTGAATTGGTAAAGCACGTTTCGCAGTCTGAGCGTGGAGAGCGCAAAGCCGAACTCTTGGAAAAGCTATCAAACATCACCGTCACGACACTAAAGGACAGGAAAGAGGTTGAAAAACTATTTCAGTCTACAGCTGACTTTTTGACAAAGTCTGAAGAGGTTCAACTCAGGAGACGGTTTTTAAAACCCGTTCAGCCAGAAACCGAAGCCACCATTGCTAATGCTGACAAGAAGGCCAAAGTGATAAGGAGATTCAATTACAGCAGAAGAGCCATTGACTCTATACCTAGAACTAAAACAGCATTTTTGAGCAAGCTTTGAAAAAATTGCCGCCCTACACATACACATCTGTAAATAGCAACCGCATACCGGCTCGACATCCAGCATAACACAATTTACAAAGAAACCTAAGTTATTGATTTGTATTTCTTACTTGACTTATTCATGCGTTCTCTTTCTAACCAGGAGGTAGCTGCGAAAGGTCAACGATTTCACTGATTTGATCCTCTAGTTCTTCGTTGCCTTTAGATTCCAAGGGTGTTCTTGGCAAAGCCATCATACCACTTCTGGCGACTTCTAGCACACCAAAGGGCTCCACTAGTTTCAAAAATGCAGAAACACGCGAGGGCTTGGCACTCAATTCGACAATACAGTTTGATTCGCTAATGTCCACGACGCGGCCTCCGAAATTCTTAGCAAGAGTGGTGATGCTTCCGAGGTGCTCATGTTTCATCCTAAGGTTTTCGCTCAATGGCAAATTCGATGGATGGAACTGTTTGTTCCTGATCTGGGATACGGTCTCGTTTAAACCACTTGCACTTTCCGAGCCAGCCTTTTCATGGTGCTGGATGAGATCTTCAAAGTATTCAGCTCCAAGTAAAGAGACACGAGCCATTAAGAGCTCTCTCTTAATAATGTCGGCGTTGGAATAGTCCAAAACTGCATAGACTGGTACGAGGTCTTCGATTTGACGCCTCGCTTGTTCGATGACCCCATCCTGGCCCTGCAAAACGATCGTCATTCTGCTCAGATCTTTGACTTCGGTGTTGCACACCACAAGAGAATCGATATTAAAGCCTCTAGCCGCAAGAGTGCCACTGATTCTGGACAGAACACCAGGTTCATTTTGGACCAAGCAGTTCAAGACATGCTGTTTGCGTGTCGTGCGTGATGGCGTGGGCGTTTCGTAAATTATGGAAGATACCGCTGATTTTGCACTCCAGGAAGGTGTCTCCAAAGTGGGTAAGGGAGGACTGATCTTGTTCTTGTGCAATTGCTTGTAGGCCAAAGCAGACGTCGAAGATGAACTATGGCGAACAAGCAGCTTTTCAGCAGCTTTCGATCTCACAAACGCTCTAATCATCGTAATGGATTCAAAGCGATTGGAATGGTATTGACGTCAGGTGGAATACTGGCATTCAGATAATTTTAAGCTTCAACTATACTAATTCTATCTTAATATTTAAAAAATTTTTAGATTCTGACTCAATTTAAGATTGAATGTGTGAAGGGAAAACGAAGCACATTTACTCACATTTCATTCGTACTATCACACGTCCAATAGATTGCTCATAGCTTGCGTTTATCAAACCGGCCTTACCAGCGAAAGATTCTAAACCTGCTTGAGAGAATTCATAGTAATTTCAGAATGAGGGCTATGCAAGGTGACTGGAAATCCAGTCTGATGTTTAGATACTCTGATTTTCGTTCTTGTGGCTGAATAGCCAGCTCTTGGCTTTCTATCGCCTGTTCTTAGTATGCTTGCATCAACGTATTTGCGCACCTATCATAGCTGCAACTTTTCTTGACACACAGTAGGAAAAGCTAAAGAGAGTAAATATTACATTTAGGTGAATCTTAAGACTTAAACTGCGTTCCACAGCTCAATCTTATCGTTGTGGTCCTGTTCTTAAGAATTCATGCGACATGTTCAATTTCGAGGTATGATTTAATGTTTAGCTCTGAAGAGATGTCATTTAAATTTCGAGAGAATATACTGTCTACTAAATCATGCAATTAGCTAGAGGTGACAAAACAAACAGTGCCGCTGCAATTCTGTGGGATATCGTAACCCAGTGCATGTCCCCAGCGCTGCATATTTGTAGTCCCACCGCAAACAAGATGCCATGCCAAAATTTTGGAGTGGAAGAGCTTTTGTTGCTGAGTTCGCAGTCAAGTTATAATCTTGCACCTTGAACTTTCCTGAAAGCGAATCGAAACTCCATCTTCAGAACTCGATAAGCCACTACTGACTGTGTGACCCGCATTGTTATAGAGGGCGTATATGCCTCGATGCAAGCCGATTTTGACCTCATAGATCCACGAGGCAATAAGAAAGAGAAAAGGGAGTGTGTTACTTCTGGATCTAGGATACCAGACCCATTTACAATCAAAGAGATATAGCGGGACACCGAGTGTTTCGGAAAATGGGTATTTCTCAAAACTCGTCCGATGAGCCTTCACGATCCTGCAAACAGTAGAACCACGGTTGTATCAAAAGTGTGGTTCGTCCGTTCACAGGCTTTATATTCTCCGTTAATAGAACCCGTTAATCCACTCAAAAGATAAGGAAGACGGGGCAGAAATAGGAGGTGTAGCAAGAGTGTGACTATTTGAAGCACAACGCTACTCAAGGGATTATATACACTTATAGCATTCCTTTAGCAGCAATAGGTTGGCTCAATAGCTCAAGACAGTTCGTAGTAGCGGTGGAGAGTCTTCTTGATTGATTTACTCAAGAAACAACGCATGTATGTTTATATACTCAAAATGCTGAATCGTCAAAAGAGAGGGTAACATAATCAATATATGTTTTTAAACTTTATGACAGTCAGGGCATCTAACAGTCAAAGAAACAGAGAAGCTCAGCGTTAGTAGCGTCCTTTGTGCAATTAGATGTCCTACGCTTATGAAACCCCTTCATATACTTGGATACTGAATTATTTTCACTGGGTGGTGTCACCTCTTTGGGGCGGAAGTAAATATGGTTTGAAGTTCTTCAGAGCTGCGGCAAAGTTCGTGTATCTGCTGTCGATCAAACCCTTCGTTCAACTATTTCAAATCTTCTTTTACTCTCCAGCGACCATACTACTTCGAAACTTGACGAATTTAGCGCTGCTACCAACCAATGTCCCGCTCTTTCTATTTTACAACACAACGATAAGTGACATTACTAAAATGAACCTGCATTTGACATACATAACTCTCACCCTTTGCATACAATATCTGATTACAATGATGTTCATCGGAGTTATTTTCGGTATATGGTTTGGCCTGATTTTGGGTGTGCTGCATAGGCTAATCCGTATTCCTGACAAAAAGGTGGACCTTTTCGGAAGCCTGACGCAGCGCGTTCTTCGTCTCGTGACGAGGGAAGAAGAACAGATCAAGGCCACACCGGCTCCATGGAATTATACTCAAGAGTATTCGGCTTCCACCAATGCTAGCCCTGCAACTCGACTCAACCAGTCTCAGCGAAAGGTTTCACGGGCGTCTCGTGGTAGTGCTTCCAACCTAGCATCAAAACTTCCACATGACTTTTTCCAAATGAAAGCACCAAGAACCCCGTTGCGGTCTGGAGATTCTAGGTTTGATTCGTCGCGGCTCTCTCAATTGGACAACGAACTCGATGACGAAACTGCATCTATGTCCTCAAACATTTGGGATACCACTGAAGAGCTCCCAGAGACGCTCAGAACGGAGCCCACGGCTCGTGGTACAACGTTTCGCCGCTTCTCGTATGCATCAGGCCTTGAACAGCCTAATTATACTCACCTCAAGCCGCTGAACCATTGAAATAATAGCTCTCACAAAAAAAAATAAACGCACGCATATGAGCCCCACTTCTAAGGCTTACACCAATTAATATCAGTAATTGAATATCTCGGTACCTAATAGGCTCTTTAATAGCACATAAGGTTGTGAAGGTGGGCTTTCAAATAATGAGACAAAAAAAAGCACTCACGGTGGGGGTCGAACCCACAATCTTCTGATTAGAAGTCAGACGCGTTGCCATTACGCCACGCAAGCATCTTGTGATAATTTCAATATTTAAACAGATCTAACCCCACTTAAAATCATATGTATATCTCGAATATTTCCTCTTGTCTATATTAATCTATTTCTTACACCAGGAAGGTGGGCCCGCATAAGAGCCAGTCCTGCAGATGATCAGCAACCAACTGCTATCCTTAACTGGCCTACGCCTTCTCAGCTGTTCGTGTAAGGTAACTTCGGGAGCTAGGATGCTTTCAAGCAATTCCTCTTGCGCCAAACCGCCACGACCTTTCACAGCAGTGGTCAGAGAGCAGCTATCATGCCTCAATGCCTGTTTCTACTTTAAAAAAGGCGAGATAAAGATTTTGCCGAGTCCAACCTCATTCTATGATACTTTGAAGGATAAAATCTCTACGGCAAAGAATAGGATTTTTTTGGCTTCACTCTATATTGGGACATCACAGGAGGAGCTCATAGCTTGCGTGTCGAGGGCGCTCGATAAGAACGAGAATTTGCGAGTTTACTTTCTTGTCGACGGACTGCGAGGTACGAGAGAAGCTCCTAACGCCTGCTCTGCCTCTCTTCTGTCGAAGTTGGTAAGAAAGCATCAAGAGAGAGTTGACATCCGCTTGTATCGAACGCCCGAACTCACCAAAATTAAAGAAGCGCTCGTACCTAAGCGGTTCAACGAAGGCATCGGATTACAGCATATGAAAATATACGGCATAGATGATGAGGTCATACTATCTGGGGCTAACCTTTCTAGCGACTACTTCACAAATCGGCAAGATAGATATTACTTGTTTAAATCCAAGCGCTTTTCGGATTATTACTTTGATCTTCATAGGCTCATTAGTAGCATGAGCTACCAGGTGCACTATTCTGAGTCAATTCAAAAATTTAAGATGGTATGGCCCAAAAACAACCTAACGGTAGAACCCAACTTCGATAGAGCTCAATTTCTCGGAACCTGTTCCAAAGCATTGCGCAACTTTCTTGCTGGTGCCCCAAATCCCGAGCCTCTGCTTTCAATCTCTGATACAGATGAATACCAAACTGCCGTTTACCCGATATCCCAGTTTACACCGATCTTCAAAAAAGGAATGGATTATTCAACAGAAAAGCCCACTATACTCAAAATTCTTTCCTGCATCACTGATAAATCAGTACATTGGACGTTTACCGCTGGGTATTTTAACATGTTACCAGAGATCAAAAAACTTTTACTTCTTTCTCCCTCTGAAATGGGCAACGTAATAACTGCTTCCCCACAAGCAAACGGATTTTACCAATCTAAGGGTGTTTCAAGGCATTTGCCAGGGGCGTATCTACATCTGTCCTACAAATTTCTCCAAGACGTCAAGGCTAGCGGAAAAGATTCACAGATTTCGCTTAAGGAATGGCAGAAGGGTGTCGTCAATACCCCAAACGGCTGGTCCTACCACGCTAAAGGTATTTGGTTAACCGAAAATGACACATCGGACCTTAGACCAGCAGTGACAGTTATTGGCTCCTCAAATTATACCCGAAGAGCATACTCTGTTGACTTAGAGTCGAATGTAGTAATAGTGACGAAAGACTCTAAGTTAAAGGATGACATGCAGGCAGAAGTTGATCGCCTCACCGCCAATACAAAAGTAATTACAACCCAAAACTTTGAAGATGAGCTTGATCGTCGGGTCGGTTTGGGTGTTCGTGTGGCAACCCAAATAATAGGAAAGCGACTTTGATTTATAACTGCATACTTTAGCATTTCATGTACATAAAATGTTTGCCTTTCAAACAGCTGGATTAAAGTTACGATATTCTTGACTCCGAACGATTGGCGAGGCCATAAGTTCGATTGTGGTATACATGGTGCACCTGGTAAATTACCGACAGTAAAAATATCAAATTCAGCAGAGGTTCAAAGAGTGGCTTTCCATTGAGTGGTGTGTATGGGTGGGTCCTTTTTTGGTTGCAGAACTCGACGACAAGCTGAAATATTGCAGACACAGTGCTCAAAACCACGAACTTGAAGGAAATCCCTTGCGTGCTCCTTTCCATGAAGTTCACTGTTAGTTGGGGCATCAGCCGAAAACTTGAAAGAAAAGTGGCCAGTATCCATGAGTAATTGACGTGGTCCAAGTAGAATATACCAAATCTCCCGCTGTCTTTCCCAGGTAAGTACAGTGTCGCGCATGCATAAGTGAAAACAGAAAAGACTGCGCATGCAGCAATTATGATGACGCAAATGAGCGAAATATGCTGAGCATCGCGACTACTTGATCTATAGTCAAAAAGCTGTTTGAGTACAGCGCTTGCACATATTAGATTGACGACATCAGATAGAAGAATAGTCGTTGATACCGGAATTTTATTTTTGTCTTGCCCGAAGAACACTGGAAAGCGCTGATGGAGCTGCTTGTGCAGCAGCGTTGAAAAAACATAATTGAACCCACAGTAAACGCTCAGAAGATAAGAAGTAAAACTGAGCACGTACAAATCGTATGACAGGCCAGCAATTGATTTATGTAGCCTATTATAACGCCGTTGGTACAGGACCGCACCGCACTTAGCTAGCTAGTTAGTTGGACATAATCAGCAGCATTCGTAAATAACACAAACGTACATTGAGGAGCAACGGAATAACGAGCAGGTCTGACATTCTAAGCTGAATAACTTGACCTTAAGACGCGACTATTTCTGATTCGCAGAACATTGCAAGAAAAATAAATTAATTGTTCATACCTCATTCATTTGAGAAATATAAGCCATTCTTCAATATCTAAAGCTTCAACTCAATAAACGCATCAAGAGCAGCGATGAATGAGGTGGATAGGCGCGAGCAAACTATGGCCATGGTCAATAAATACAAGGCTACTTACCAGATGTACATGGATCGCTTAACTCCCCATGTAAAGTACAGATGGGGTGCGCTAGGAATTGGATTGATTGTATTCTTTCTTCGAGTTGCTTATGGAGAGGGCTGGTACGTGGTTTGTTACGGGCTAGCAATCTACTTGCTGAACCAGTTTTTGAGCTTTTTGACACCGAAATTCGATGTTTCACTACAACAGGATGAAGAAAACAATGAGCTGGAATCCGGAGAGAGAGCAGACGAATTTAGGCCATTCATAAGAAGACTGCCAGAATTCAAGTTTTGGTATAACTCCGCTAGAGCACTAGTTTTGTGCTCGATTCTCACACTTTTCCGTATCTTTGACATTCCAGTCTTCTGGCCTATTCTCGTGATGTACTTTATCCTGTTATTCGCTTTGACCATGAGAAGGCAGATTCAGCACATGGTTAAGTACAAGTACGTTCCACTCGATATCGGGAAGAAGAGATATACCCCCCGAGACTAAGTTTTATACTACCGAAGCAAGATTTTTAAGTCGCAATTGCGTTGGTTGTGCACAAGCATGCCATTACTAGACCTTTACTCTCATTACATAACAGAAATCATCTCACAATGATGAGAGGTGCTACATCCTCTTCTTTATTATGGCCTATTCGATCACGGTTTTCGTTCACGAAGATCCTTCATACCTATTTTTCAGAAACAAAAGAGACAATTATTTCGAGCAAAATCCTGTGCAGACACACTCAAATTTAACCCAAGGCCACCTAGCACTCCAATAAGGCCTGGCATGAAACTCATCAAACAGGTAAAGGGAAACGGCAATAACTCTGAGCAGATAACGCTCTTGCCTCAGGACAAAGAAGATTTGTTCTGTCTGTATAACGTTATTAATACGGACGACGAACTGATCTTCAAGAAGCTCGTGACGGACAAGGTCGACAGTTCTGGAAAGAAGAAAAATACTGAGCTTATAGGACTGCGGTTGAAGGTGGTATCCTCTGAATTTGAACCTCAGCATGAATTTCTTAGATACAAGGGGGTTACCACTGAGGATGACACGGGCAAAGCCAACCTCGAAGTGCCAACTGGTAAGTTCTTCAGCTTCACAATAAATTATAAATATCCTTTTACGTTGATCAAAGACGACTACAATTCCTTTGTAGCCAAGCAGCTAAAGGATGCTTGCACCCCAGAAAGCCGTTCCGACATTGCCGCTGTCTGCCTGCAAGAAGGGATCTCCCACATATGTCTACTAAGTTCTTTCAGCACTATTTTGAAGAACAAAATCGAGTATAGCCTACCGAAGAAAAAAAGGAGCACCGATGTTGCTAAATTCGATGAAAAGGTCGAAAAGTTTTACAAAGGGACATACGAATCCATGAAAAGACATTTTGAGTTTGAGAAACTCAAAGTTATCATATTATGCTCTCCCGGTTTTTATGCCAAAAATCTCTTCGACAAAATTATGCAATACGCACAGGAAGAGCAAAATAAAACTATTTTGAACGCCAAGTCGAGATTTTTGGTAGCCCACTGTTCCACAGGCTATTTGCAAGGGATAAGTGAAGTCTTAAAAAATCCAGCATACGCCTCGAAGCTTCAAGATGCCAGGAATTCCAAAGAAGCGCTAATTATGGATGAGTTCCTGCAGCATCTAAACAATGATGATTTTAAAGCGTGGTATGGCAAAGCAGAGGTCACGAAGGCATCTGAAATGGGCGCAATCGATACACTCCTCATAACAGATGGGTTACTACGCGCAGATGATGTACGGCTTAGGAAGAACAGTGTGGATCTGACACAAGCAGTAGAAAAAGCCGGTGGAGCTGTTTACGTGTTCAGTTCTTTGCATAGTTCGGGTGAGGAGCTAGAGAAGCTTACCGGACTTGCTTGTATTCTAAAATTTCCAATACCGGATCTGGATGAGGACATAGATTCGGACGAAGATTGAAATAGAACAATTCATAGTGAACCTCTGACCTAGAACAGGAACAATAAAAGGTTTTTGAATTGTACATATATATTATTAGCATCCAGCAAGTGATAGACGATAGTAGGTAAGTGCCTTAAGTACAGAACTACATTACGCTTATTACCCAGCCATTAAGTTAACATCGTAGTGAACTGCTGGATATAATTGAATAAAAAATAAAAAAATTAAAGCAAATTAAATAATTCTTTACTTTGTTCACGTGTACCTTATTCTTTTACAAAATCAAATTATTATTGCTAAATTATAACATTTGTAATAATTAAACGAAAACACAAAAAGATATAAAAATAATAAAGTGTGTAGACTTTCCGAAACAGTATATACTGTTAGTGGTAATTACATGATAGCGGTATGGAGGATTTTCAAAAAAGGGAAACACTGAAAATAAATTAAAATAAAGTCATGAGAAAATTGATATAAGGCTCACTCACGACAACTCACCCCCCAGCCGACGAACGATATAGTAACTTTTGAGAGAATACTTTCTTTTTACCTTTTACGATCGACAGACGATCGATGTATGATGTCTTTATTGACTACGGTCTGAAATTATTCTGAAGCACAATGTTCAGCCTTCATCGCACGACGTGAATGTCAAGTTTGTCGAAAAACGTGATTCCTGTATACATACATATACACAACTGAAATTACTGCTTTATTGAATCCCTTCACTTTTTATGCCTGCAGTCTAAAAAAAACCTGTATCTAACGCTGCTGAAGCATAGTAGAAGAAGTTTGGGACATGTGAGCTGCTGACGCACGACTGGATGCATTTTCCTTCAAAGCAATCAATTGCCGTGACCGGAACCCTTCGTAGTGAACAAGAGCAGTTGTTTCGATCAGATCTTGAAGATGTGTCCTGACCAAAAACTCCCTCAAAAAGACGAACTCGCATTGATTAATGTCTTCCACTGCAATGGCTCCCCACCTGGTTTTCCTGCCTCTGACGAGCTCGCCATTTATGGTAATCTCTTTTTCAGAGCCAACTACGGCAAACGGAATGATTGATCTTATGCTTTCATTCAGCTCAATCTCCTCTTCAGTCAGATCATCTGATTGATATGGATAAATTCTAAATCCATAGTGCTCGAACTGCTGCTGTATGATTTCCCTAAATGCTGTTCTCTCATCCATGGTCAAAGCATCAGCCTTGGCAATTACAGGTATGACATTGGCGATCTCAGTAAGCCTCTTGAGTGCGAACACGTCAAGCTGAGTAAGAACCTTTCCATTAGGTTGGATAAAGTACAAAACGGCATGAACTCTGGTGTCCGGGATAAGCTTTTCACGTTGAGCAGTCAGCTCCCTGCGTAGGTATTGGGAGTGCTGCTCCTTAATATACTTTATAATTGGTTCACAGACCTTTTCGTTATTAATCTGATCTCCAAATCCTGGTGTGTCAATTATATTAATGTTCAAGCGGACTCTATCTTCCACCAAAGAATGCGCTGAAACTTTGATCTCTGTAGTTTTCGAGATGGGATCCTTGGATATATCGCGACCAGTCGCGGGATCAACCAAGTGCGATGCAAACAAAGTGTTGATCAATGTGCTTTTCCCCAATCCAGAATGGCCGACTACCATAACGTTGAATTGGAAACCTCTTTTCAACAAACGATGCTCAATTTGACTCGTAATGGTGTCAAAACCTACGTACCCTCTTGGGGTAACATATGAACCGTCAATTGTTGTATTGCTTGACATCTGAAAGATATGGGGGCTACTTGCTGACCTGTTAAAGTTAGCGTGTCAGACAGGGTGAGATAATTCTATGCAATAAACAACAAAGTCGAACTTCGCCAAACACATATATAGAGCCGTCTCTAGCGATCAAAAAATTTTAGAATCGAGAAAGTGTAATAATTTAAAAAGGTTGTTACACTTTGGCGCTAAGAAGAACGTTTCACGTAAAATGAAGATCCGCAGCAACTCAGGAAGCTGGTCATGTCGGGGATTTCGTTAATTAATAAAACTGGTAGCTGCTGGATGCCTCTGTTGCCCAGCTGGTCTGCTGCTCTTCGAATTGCTCTGCCCCCGTTAGTGCTTCCTCGAATGATACGCGAGCTCCTCGAAAGAGGCTCCGGAGAAGCAGAGAAAAGCATCAGTGAACTATTCGGAAACGGAACTTTGCTAGCTGTTCCCAAGAAAAAGGTGTCACATCAGAAGAAAAGACAGAAGTTATACGGACCAGGGCGAAAGCAGTTGGACATGATTCATCATCTAAATCGTTGTCCATCATGTGGTCATTTCAAAAGAGCCAATACCCTCTGTATGCATTGTGTGGGCGAGATTCGTCACATTTGGAAAGCCCACACAGTCAAGGAGACTCCAGAACCACAGCAGGAGGCTGAATTGTCAGACTTAGACCGAAGAATCCTTTATCCTGGAAAGAAGGAGACTGAATACGTCAAAAAACTTAAAGACAAGGAAACTTATCTAGAACGTCGCATGCGGACTCTTCATGTGAAAGATTAGTTTGATAAGGCCAGCGGCAGTTCGAATTATTATGTCCGGTGACTTTTTTTTGCGAAGTATTGGGGCGTCTGTATATATGTTTTGAAAATTGTAGTTATGACTATCACCCGAGCCCTTATGCTGCTCGTTTTAGTGAATGCGTCAAATCAAGGAGCGGTGCTCTGTTCGAATTTCATGCTCCATCGATTTAAAGTTTGTAGTAATAAGTTTTACCGTCAATAAAATGGCACCAAAAAAAAACAGATATTTCAAACAATCAGCGGTAACGTCCTCTCAACATCACCTAACCATTGGTGAAGATTTTACCATGAGTGGATACCGTTTGAATACTCACACTGTCGCCCCTACACATCCGTTAGGAGTCAAGCCATCAGGAAACGCATTACTTGAGGGAAACAAAGCCAAAGATGAGGTTCAGAGGAGAAAGCTACTCGGAAAGTTCGACTATTTGAACGAAGAAGCATTAATTTTCATCATATCACTCCTAAAGACGCCACGAGATCTGCTTAATTTCGGACATGCGTCGAGAATTCTTTACGCCTACACCTATAGTGAAGATCTTTGGAGAAAGCTTTACGTCGACGAGTATATCCTCTTGGAGGAAAATCTCAAAGAACCGAATGCAGAAGTTTATCCATTTGGGTGCAGGAGTTGGAGAGGAACTTGGAGGAAGACTGTCTTAGGGTTAGACAGTGAGGCTTTGATCCATGCGCATGATTTAGTGTTTTCAGACTACTTGTACAGACCGTACCAGTGTTCTCAAATCGATTTCGAACACTTATTTCGAAAAGTCATTAATAATGAGCAAGCACTTCGAGACCAAAACAAACCTCAAAGTTACGGTTTAGGCGTTGAGAGAATTGATGAAGAACATTTTACTTTGAGCGCTTTCGAAAAGCATTATGTGGATAAGCCATTTATTTTACAAAGCAAAAGTGCATCAAATAGATGGCCGAGCTGGACCATGGAGAATCTTCTGAGTCAATTTGCATCGACACATTTCCGGCAGGAGGCTGTGAAGTGGCCATTGTCAGTTTACGCGGATTACTTTAAACGAAATTGCGACGAATCACCACTATACCTTTTTGATTGCAGTAGTGAAGCTATTCGCCAGTTACAGAAAGAGTACGAAGTTCCTAAGGTATTTCAGAATGACCTTTTCAAAGTTTTTCAAAACGGTGATATCCGATGCAGGCCTGACCATCGGTGGCTCATAGCCGGACCTCAAGGAAGTGGCTCAACTTTTCACAAGGATCCCAATTACACAAGCGCTTGGAATGCAGCACTGTCTGGGAAAAAGCTGTGGGTTATGCTGCCTCCTAATGTGAGCCCTCCAGGTGTTTCGACTGACGAGGAAGAAGAGGAAGTGACATCTCCTGTTGGTGTAGCAGAATGGGTTTTATCAGGCTTCTATAATGATGCTGTGAAACTAGCAGAGGATGGAAAGTGCTTTATAACGGTCACATTCCCAGGTGACTGCATATATGTCCCTTCAGGCTGGTGGCACACCGTTATAAACCTGACTGATTCTGTCGCATTAACGGAAAACTTTGTACCGAGTCCAGTGCTACCCAAGGCTCTGCATTTCTTCAGCTCCAAGAGATCTCAGATCTCAGGATTTCATCATAAGGACACTTTGTGCGCGATTGTCAACTTTCTGAGGTCGCATGAAGCGGGGGAGGACGAGGAATCGGCACGTAACTTTCAGAAACTTCAGAAATTTAAAGCAGCATGCGCCGATCTTGAGTTAGATAACAGTGATTGCGGCCTCTCCGATGGAAATGCAGAAATACCAGTTTACGAGTTTTTCGTAGAGCTATTGAGAGCTTCAAAATTTGGAGATAGTTTACCTAGCGCTTTGGAAGAATCTAATGAGTTGAGACTGCAAGCTGCGAAAGAAAAGCAGAAGGATGCAGCTCAGGCTCTGAAGACATCAGAGATTTGGACAAACCTAGCATCAGAATCCGGCACGGCCTTTAGTTTCGGTTTCACCACGGAATAAAGAGAGGATTGAATATATCTCTGAAGAAGGTTTTATTAAAGTTATAGAGTTACACCCGATAAAGGGACGCAGTGCCATGCTTTTTTAGTAGTTTTGAATCCAAATAGCCTTTCAAATTTAGCGAAAGAGTTGCTACATGACAATGCAACAGCCATTTTTCTTCTTGTCTGCGTCTTTTTTTCCTGACGCAGCAGCAGACTGAGTTACTCTTTGAGGGCTGGCCTTTTTCTCTTCGGTCGTGGCTGCCTTGGTGGTAGTCTTTTTGGTGCTCGCCAAAGGGAAATGTTGAACAATTTCGTAAAATGCCTTTCCCTGGGCGACGGCCACTCTCAATTCCAGGTCTGATGGTGTACGAGAGCCATCAGCACCTGCTAGGGTGCCAGCACCCCACGCAGAGCCACCGTGGATTTCTTCCACGTTGGAGAACTCTGCGAACGAGTTCTTGTAACCAACAGGAATGTAAATCATTCCATGGTGGACCAGATACGTCAATGCAGTTTTGATCGTGGTTTCCTGTCCACCTCCATAACTAGCAGTGGAGACGAATATCCCGGCGGGTTTACCTTGCAAGGCTCCCTTGACCCACAATCCACCAGTTCTGTCCCAGAAAGCTGACCATTGAGCTGGGACATTGCCGTATCTGGTAGGGATCCCAAACAAAAAGGCGTCGTATTCTTCTAGGGTTTGAGCAGTGGCGATAGGAATGTCAGGCTTTTCAGGAGCGTGTATTTTTGTCAACACTTCATCTGGCAAAGTTTCTTCAACTCTGAAAAGGTCGGCTTTTCCACCAGCTGCCTCTATCCCTTTGACAAGGGACTTGGCCACAGTATCTATGTGGCCGTACAATGAGTAGGTAATGATAGCAATTTTGACCATGTTAACTGTTTCGATTTTAGTCGTTTCTCTGGAGTGGATGGCTATTCTGAACCAAGTAATGAAAGGTGTGGGGCTTTTATATTTTTTTGGTAATCAGGGACCTTTTCTCAGTATAAATTTATTATGACTTTTTCAGATATTTCGAGCAACGTAAAAATAAGATATTATTTAAATATTAGTACCCTTTTAGTAATTGCTAGAACCCCTTAATAAGGCGCGTAAAGGTTGACTGACCGGGAGTCTTATTCTTGTGCTGTAAAATAATTGTGAGTGCGATGTTAGTAAAGATAGATATGATATTAGTACTTAACGGACTACAATTGTGGAGATAACATTATGAAAGACGCTCAGAGAGTGAGTGACATCAAGTCTTCATTCTTTGGGGGAGTTTTCCGGGGGTTAGGTTTCGAAAAGTCAGTGAATCAAGACATCTCATAGTATAGCATTTCATTTATTATACCCTCTAGTTTTTAGATGCATTGTACAAATAATAGGTGGCGATCATGACTCATGGAAAGGGAAAAATTATTTCTTGGCGTTGATAGCGTTGACAAGTTGAATGTATTTCTCGGTAGAGAACGACTTAGGTCTCTCAATGGGCTGACCAACGGCCCTATCTATGATCAATTGAGCGAGAACACCCAATGCTCTCGACACACCAAACAACACAGTGTAGAAGGAAGCCTCAGTCAATCCGTAATACTGCAACAGAATACCAGAGTGCGAGTCCACATTTGGCCATGGGTTCTTGGTCTTACCGTGCTTGCTCAAGACTTCAGGAGCAACTTCGTAAATGGTGGAGACAAGCTTAAATAGGTCGTAGTCTGGGAAATGTCTTAGAGCGAATTCACGCTGAGCTGTGTAACGAGGATCGGTCTTACGCAAGACGGCGTGACCATATCCAGGAACAACTCTACCCGTGTTCAAGGTATCCCATAGATATTTCTCAATTGTGGCCTTGGAGTAATCTCCCTTGACCTCTTCTCTGAGCTTGAACAGCCATTCCAAAACTTCTTGATTGGCGCGACCATGCAATGGGCCAGCGAGACCGCCCAAACCAGCAGAGAATGACAGGTATGGCGAAGACAAGGCCGAACCCACCAAATGAGTCGTGTGGGCAGAAACGTTACCACCTTCGTGGTCGGCGTGGATGGTTAGGTACAGTCTCATAAGCTCGACAAACTCTTCGTTTTGGAAACCTAGAAGCTGTGCCAGGTTCTTACCAAAATCGGCGTTAGGGTCGACACTTGGTAGCTTGCCGTCCTTGAAGACATTACGGTAAATTTTTGAGGCGATGACTGGCAACTTACCAATCAAGTCCAGAGAGTCCTCAAAGGTGTAGTTCCAGTAGTCCTTCTTGGAAACACCTTGGGCATACGCCTTGGCAAACTTGGATTCGCTCTCCAAAGCAGTCACGGCGATCGAGAATTGGGCCATTGGATGTAGATCCTTGGGCAACGAGTCCAAAAGTTGGGACACGTGTTCTGGAAGCTCTGATCTCGAGGCCAAGTCAGCTGAAAGAGCCTTGACTTGTGATTCAGTTGGGGCTTCACCTGTCAGCAGTAGCCAGAAAAGAGCCTCTGGAAGCGGCTCGGAACCACCATCTCCCTTTGGAAGCTCTTTTTGAATGTCTGGAATGGTACGGTTTCTGAAACGAATACCTTCTTCTGGGTCCAGTACTGAGCCTTCCCACACCAGACCCTTGATACCACGCATACCACCGTACGCTTGCTCCAGTAGTACTTCGCCAATCACCGTTTTGCCGTGTTCCTTGCGAAGTTGTTTGATTTCCTCAGCCTTGGCTGGGAAAATTTCAGCGAAACGCTCTTTCAACGTCTTTTCGCCATTGCTGTAGTAGCGCGCAGCGCTCAAACCAGTAACAGTAGCCGACAAAGGCTTCTGCAGCAACCCGCGTGCTATAGTGTTTCTAGATGATGCCAAAATGGACATGTTTGATTGTGATGAATATAAGGCTAGTTGTTAAGACCAAGATCTGATTAAAGCTTACAACAATTAATCGAGAATCCTACTTCTAAGACTTCACGAACAAAATAAATAAACCACACTTAGTTGATCCCTAACGTACCGCTTTGCTGATTGGTAACTAAGTGCAGAACCTTTTTCACCACTGTCCTGTTTATATAGTTTTCATCCGTGCTCGGCTCCACAAGGTCACAACTTCGCTTACTTAACTGCAACTGCGCAGGAATCCTTGCTGTCACGCTTTTTAGTCGTTTTCCGTTCAGGATCCGATATCGAAATTTGGCGTGACCTTGGACTGCTGTCATTCGTAGAGAGACTTAACGATGGAATATACCGTACAGAGAGGACTCGAATGATAGAGACAGAATGGCTGGTATCATGATGGAACTGAGGCCGTAACTAGCCTGTAGTCTGCACATCAAAGGGGTCAGGAACTAGAGAAAAAAGCGAGACATGTGTTAGAAACACATATAATATCAAACAGGTAGATCACTATTCACGAAAATGTCTTACTGGAAATTTTAAAAAATGAGTGTATATGGGGGCGAGCCGGGACTCGAACCCGGGACCTCCCGCACCCTAAGCGGAAATCATACCTCTAGACCACACGCCCTTGAATTTTGGATGTTAGAGCGAGTGGATGGGAGAATACTTGAAGACTAAGATGGCGCACTAGATTTATTTTTTACGGTTTACAATCTAGGTGCCAGCATTCAAGTCAACTTGAATCTTTATTTTGGTTTTCGTTGCGGTTGGCGCAGAGCCGATCTTTTGAACCCTAGTTTACGCAGTATCGGTTTCAACTGACAACCTGTTTCAGGCTTTCTTGATGATGATTTTAGCTGCTAAAATGTTGATACTCGCTTCTTGATGCTCGAAACAAAAGATTTTTACCTACTCTTCTTTCCCTGTATGCTTTGTTCCGTTGAATTGACCGACACAATCAATTCCATTCGCGAATCTCTGCCGTCGACTCCGTGCGTGGCTCCTGTAAACATACTCAACGCTCGTTGCCTGTTCATTTGGCCCACTGTTTTGTTTCTCTTTTTCCCAAGGATCGCATAACACAGGTTTTTCCCATTCGCGCTCTTGCGCCTACGATGAACGAACTATCAGGATGAAAATATGCTAAGCTATACACGCTTGGCGCGCAGAAAAACAAATAAGCAGAAATTGTCTTGCCCGTTTGAGTAGCACACCTGATGATGATTGGGCCGTCAGGCGAAGGGAAGAAAAAATTGAAAATGAAAACCACAACAAAACAGGCGACTACGAAGACGACGTTTTCGCTTCACTGTTAGCGAAACAATCACGTCATCTAAACCCATAGCTACCTTTTTTTTTTTGGTATTCCGGTTGTTTTTATGTTTCGTTTTTCAATAATTTTCCTACTTTCATCGCTTTGTTCATCAAGCCCAGCACCGACGCGCCATATCAGCTGCGTGCCCTCACAAATTTCGTAAAAATTAATCAGTGGAAAAAAAGAGGAAATTCGAAATATTCAAGAACAGAGGGCGATGGGGCAAGTCAGAACGCATCAAGTGACAGAAACATTTCATTCTCAATAAAAACTGAAAGTTTCAAGTTAAGTGAGAGAGTCTTTTGTGTGAATATCCCAGTATATTAAGCTCATATAGTTGGTGGGTGGCGTTCTTTTGCTTCTAAGTTTCAAGGTAGGCCAAAAAGGTTGAAAGCAAGCCTAATTATACAACGGTAAAAGAAAAAGTCGGATCACAGAGGCAAAATCAGCGAAACTTTCTCTTTTAAAAGGTTTGTTCGATATTTAGTCATCCTGAAAACACTCCGAAACCACAAACAAGCCAGTCGTTCTAGCAGACCCCAGTTGAGTGAACGTTATATTTGGACACTTGTTTTCCTTTATTTAACGGGCTCATAGGAACTAAGAGAGAGAACCTCACTTGATTACCAAGCAAAAACTAGTGGACACCAGCAAAGCACCATAGGTACAGAAAAAGCTTCATTACAACTCCACTCGATTCATTTTGAAATGACTGCGTCCTCAGTAGAAGCAGCGCCGGCCAAAAACCGTAAAAACGCGCTGTCATCGAAAATAGGCAAAATATTCGGCGCTGGGAAAAGCGCTCCCACAACAGGAATCTCGTCGGGCGAAGAATCCTCTGCCAAACACACGCAAATGCCTTCTCCAACCAACTCGTCACTGTCGCTAGAGAGCACTCACAACAAAGCGCTCCATGTTACCGAACCGTCGAGTCCCAACTCTCGGGCTACGTCTATAAGCGGGCGAGTGTCTCAAAATGGCACTCAGGATGAAAATGGGCTTTCCTTTTATAAGTCCAAGTCTGAAACCGTGGAACAGCCCACCGTTAGTTCCCTAAACATAGCCGCTATGGCTTCCGCTGGTTCCGGGCGCTTTGTTGTTTTGAAGAATAACATGCATGAGCACCACTTGAAAAATGCCAAACGACAGGAAAAGCTCAGTAGCATGATCAAGAATATCCTGGGTGCTCAAAAACTGCGAGGCGAGGCGAAGTCGGCCGTCCCTGATATCCTGATGAACAACAAAAACCCACGAAGTGCACCTGATGACCCACCCTCTCTCTTTTCAGGATTTGTACGACAGGCCGCTTCTATCGAACAAGGTGCGGTCTACAGCGGGGCCTCTCAGACTCCAAAAAAATTCTATAAAACGCAACAAGACCATCGCTCGGAAATTAAAGGCCCTGCAACTGACGCAATCCGTGCATTGAAGGAAAACTCTGCTTGCTTTGCTGAGAAATATGGAAGGTGCCAGGAAGTTGTCGGAAAGGGAGCTTTCGGAGTAGTGAGAATATGTCACAAGAAGGTGCCAGATGAGGCTCACGGTGAAAAACTTTACGCTGTTAAGGAATTCAAAAGAAGGCCCACAGAGTCGCCCGAAAAGTACTCTCGGAGGTTGACCTCTGAATTTTGCATCTCTTCCTCTCTGAAGCACACCAACATCATTATGCCTCTTGATTTATTCCAGGATGCTAAAGGAGATTACTGCCAGGTCATGGAATATTGTCACGGTGGAGATTTGTTCACTTTGATTATCGCTGCTGGTAGGCTGGAATACATGGAAGCGGACTGCTTCTTCAAGCAATTAATACGAGGCGTGGTTTATATGCACGACATGGGCGTATGCCATCGCGACCTGAAACCAGAAAACCTCTTGTTGACATCTAATGGTGTCTTGAAGATTACTGACTTTGGGAACAGCGAATGCTTCCGTATGGCGTGGGAAAAAGACATTCATCTAAGTGGTGGTGTATGTGGTTCAAGCCCTTACATCGCACCAGAGGAATATACCCATGACGAATTTGATCCACGCCCAGTAGATATCTGGGCGTGTGGTGTCATATATATGGCAATGAGAAGTGGTCGCCAGCTGTGGAGTACTGCTCAAAAAGAGGATGAATTTTTCACAAAGTATCTCACGGGTAGGAAAGATGAGGCTGGCTACGAGCCAATCGAAAATTTGAAGAGGGCTCGTTGTCGCAACGTTATTTATTCCATTCTCGACCCAGTGCCCAGCAGAAGAATAAGTGGGAGACAGATCCTGAATAGTGAGTGGGGTCGAGAAATCAAGTGTTGCCATGAGGGCCAGCCTCTCAAGGAGTAATGCTCATCATTGCCTCATCATTGCATGCATTCCAGATCGGTTTCTGGACTCTGGTGATATTTTCGTATCTACCTTTATGTACTATACCCCGCACCCATAAATTGCTTTCGAAGCCTGAGTTGAGCTTTCGGACAACCAATCTCTTGAAAAGAACCTCGAGTGGTGCGCACTGGCTTCCAAAAATGAAAAACGAAAAGGTACAAACTTTTTTCCAAGTGGCGCGGGCGCTTCACCTTTCTGCACCTGGAGCGATGGTCGAAATTAAATGTTTCCTACTTCCCCTGACTTCAGCTTTCATCAATATTGCCCGTAATTGATCGAGACTTTTTTCTCGCTTAGCCGCTGCCTTCTTCTATTTACAAATTTGAGCCCAGATTCCTCCTCATTTGCGCTATTCCCGTCCGGCGCCATGATGAATTCTTCATGACCTAAGTAGAACAACTTCATCACATTGCCAAAAGCAGCGACCACGGCTTTTGCGCCGAACTTTTCGAAGGATCCAATTCTGTTCGTTAACAAACCATTGACGCCGGCTGGAATTTTGTAGTATGTCACCTGCCCCTGGGCTGTCATGGTCCAACCTTCCCATATATCGTGGATGTTGTACTCCACCGATTTTGATGGCTTCATACTGCGGCTTTCGAGTCTTCCTCTCAATCTCAACTCACCCGCTTTTGTGTCCTCAGAGGCACTCCTCATCATTGATTTAGACCCCGATGCGGTCGCAAAACTCTTTTCTCTTTTTCTGAGTCCAATTATAACGTTGTTATCGGTAGAATCCCATTTGTCAACATCTGCAAGCCAATACTTCTTCTCGACCACTGACTCGAGACCTAGACATCGAATTTCTCTGGGATCTCTCTCCACACGTAGACAGATGCTTGTCTTAGTTCGGCTCTCAAGTCTAAATGTGCTCAGGACCAATGTTGAGGTGTATCGCTCAGTGTAAGCAATCGACAAAGTTGACACCGATGCGCTACCACAAAACTTACAGTGTGTAGGTTGGTCGTGAAATATGCGTAACGATCCTGGCATGTAGTTCACGAGTTCAAATGTCTTAATTACAGTCCCCGTTTGAGCATCCACCAAATCAGCCTCATTCGTTTTGACGAGCAGAAGCATGCCAACAAACGGTATCAGAAGCGTTGATAATGTATCATTTGTGGACGAGCTTGATTCTGCCATCTTTTGTTCTTGTTCTTGATTAGCATGATTCATCAAAGTAGCAGGTGTCATTAACTTCTGACCTCTGTTGAAAGAGTTTCGCACTAAGACAAGTTTCCTTGGTTTCCATCTATTGTTCACCACAGTCGATATGTAAATGTCACCTTGGGTATCGCAAATGATGAGCCGATCGTTGACTCTTGGCGTTATTAATCTTTTGCAGGAAACGAGCGGAAAAGTAGAATTTGTGACCTTGTTGCACCTAATATTTCCCTCGAAATCAACTGCTTGAACATTGCCATCGGTAGTTACTATGACCAGTTCGATGGATTCACACTCGCCAGTTTTTGGAAGTGATGCTGTGTCTTCATACTTGGAGACGAAGGCAGGAGTGGCAGAGGTTGTCGATTTCGCAGAAGATATCGAGACGGTGCTTCCTCGTCTTTTTAATGCACTAGGATCCACATCCTGCTTTGCCTCATGCTTGAGATTAGAACTGGCCTGCCTTCTCATGAAAGCTGGAATTGTTTTTGCACGAAAGAAGGACTCGAGAATATGCATGTTGGCCAGATCAAGTTTTATTGACCAGATGTAGCTAAAGCTTTTCCTTGACCAGCACGATATCCGACCCGATTTGCCGAATACTGCAGTGAAATTGCCATTGGAACTTGTGACGACCCTTACCACGGGCCACAGCTGCCGGTTCAGAGGAATTTCTGTGGGAAGTGGTGCTGGATTTGATAAAGGGGACCATACCAGAAGTCTGCGGTCAAGTCCGACCGAAACGATGAAGGGGGACTCGGACGTATAAATGCACACAATATCCAGAGTGTGCCCACCGCGGGACAGCTCTTTCGCATGAAAAGAAGGGTTGTTATAGCGGTTCAGGCGCGAAGAACTTTCAGTGATGCAATCGGCTTCTGTCTTCTTGCGATTGCGTTCTTTAAGTTTAGGCCATGCCTGCAACTTGTCAAAAAGCGTTTGAACGACCAGTAGCGCGACCGATGAAACGAGTCCTACTATCACGGTGATCTCAAAAAAGAAATATAGGTCAAACTTGTAAGATGAAACGAGAGGCATCTGAAAAGCGCCGAGCAGACCTTGCCCGTTGCTTTCAAAAGCAGGTAGAGTATTTTTGAGAGCTAGAACTCTGTCATCCGCCGACCATGAAATGTAATATGTTCCAGTTCTATGATGTGCTGATATTAGTTGAATGATGGAGTCACCTTCTAGTAATGATAGCGAGCTGGCCGACTTAAGAGAAGTCAAATTCCGAAGTCGTCCATGCAATAAATGGCCTATCAGAGACGATGATGATCTGACCAAAAAGTACCTTAGATTGGTAAGATATTGGGATAACATGACAACAACGACAGAGTGTGAATATATTGTGCTGTTACCTCTCAGAACGGCGCAAAGATAAGTCTTTAAGCTGGAATCGCTAATTGGAATGCGGTCGTCATCCAGTGATGCATCATCTACTTTAGCACTGGCATTTTCATAAAGCCGTTTGGGTTTTTCCTGACGGTTGTAGTCTGAGCTCAATATTGCTGTAAACGTAATAGCTTGTAGGACCAAGCAGCTGAGAAATGCAAATGTCAAGAAAAAGCTCGTGCGCTTGTTGAAAGGAAATAAAAATATGCTTGACAATAGGGAAAGTATTACGTTTCTGCAGAGTGATAAGCTGGACTGAACGGAAGCATCGATGTAGCTTGAAGCTGATACATTATCAGAGTCAGAATCAGCACCAGCACCTGTCAAAAGTAGATCGTCAGTCACAGCGCTTCCAGCTGTATTTGATAGCCTTTCGAGGAGACCGCTCGATGAAACTATCGATATCGGGAACCACATCAAAGAGAAAGGTATTGTACTCTCCCCAGGGCCGAAAAAGAAAATCGTCAGGGTATTCGAGGCCGCAACACAAAGTACTATTTGTGCGGCAAGAGCCGCGCACACTCCTGACCGGGAGTTCACCATGGACACCCTGTTGTAATGCTTCCAAAACTGCACCGCACAGAACGAAAAAATTACTATTCCCCAGAAGAAATCTTGACCTTTCGCTGATTGTACATCCACTTTCAGTAAGTTTTCAAATTTATCGTTAGCATTATCCGCTGCAGGGCGCAAAAAGTGGTATCCGGTTGAGTTGGAAAGTTTGCTCAGCTTTGCAACATTCTCGTTAAGCAAGTTTCTGAGGATTATTCGATTGTTGATTGGAGTTAGAATGTTCACGACAGCTGTCTGTGCAGATGTGAAGTATCCGTTGACTTTCAAGGCACTTCTTAACGAGTTATGTGGTATCTCATCAATCCTAGAGTTTAAAGTTCTGAGCGGGTACGGATCTCTGCTCAGGAGTTCGAGAGAGTTGTTCCATAACTGAAAAGGCGATTCCACACACTCTACCTTACCCGTATCGAAAACGTCCCCGAGAAGTTTATTTTGCAGTGCGAGGGTCTCCATTAATGCGCCTTTTCTTAGGATGTTGCCTTCATTTCCCCGAGATATCCATACTTGAGCCATCGAGTAGTTCGGCGAGATACCAGTGACATCCGTCGCGAGTTCAATTCTACTCAAATGGTGGTCTGTAAAAGATTTATACTGCGGCACCTTCGTTAGCGTAGGATATGCAACAATGAAGGTCACGACGAAAGGGACCAGTATTGCTAATAGCGGAGTTCGCACCGCCCACAGAGAGAGTTGATACAGCCATTTATGTGTGATCTTCACTTGTGAGACGGCCATGATTTAATGAGTTATGATAGAGATGCGAAGAAGATTCACAAGAAAAACCCAGCAAAGTGCATTTAAAATTGCCCACCGCGCACCTTAGCTAGGTTTCAGGACTGGCTACACGCATATTATGAGTTTGGGCGATGCTGGTTAACTTTTATGGGCATCGATCATCTTTTTCGGCCATGACGATATCCTCGAATCATGTGACCACCAAGAAAGTCTCTGCCTAAGTCGTAATGGAGGGTTGAAAGATGAAATTCGAGACGTGGTTGGAAGAAAGAGTATGCTTCATTTTCCGATCTATTGCTTTGTATTTTTCTCCAGAGTTCCAGGGTACTTTGATGCCCCGTTTACCTGTCATTCGTGCATTAAACTCAAAAAAGAAGAGCAAGCATGGTCACATGATACAACTGTATGTTGAAACTGCTCAGTGGAGTCAACTACCAGGCTGGACATGGGTCTTTACCAAAGTTCACACGACATCTGGTATCTGGCACTAATCCGTACTCTTTCTACCCAGACTCTCAATCTTGACTTTAATCGGACGATTGATACTCATGCACCTTAAAATTCAAAAGCACATGCTAATTTTTAGCGTAGTCGACTTGAGTGTACCAAGATTAACATGATTCACTGATATTGAGATAGATTCTTCGAATCCTTGTTCTAACCTTCTCAAGGTTCGCACAAAGCTCGTAAAAGCGTAGCTGTCTTTGAAGTTCAAGGTCACATCCATATCTCTCTTCCAAACCATTCCAAATCGATCGAACCAAGTGCACATAAAGTCTATTTCACCCACGTCAAGATCATATCAAAGTTACGACTCCTCGCCATCTGCAAAAGAAGCTGTGACACATCTCTTCGAGATAAGCACTTAAAATTATGGGCGGTTAATTTGAAAGGACACCCGCTGGCCTTGACATCCAGGTTCACCAAGAGCACGTGATGTGATTCAAGAAGTAATTGGATTTATGCCTCCCCCTCGTTTATAAATGGGCGTGTGGCGTAGTTGGTAGCGCGCTCCCTTAGCATGGGAGAGGTCATCGGTTCGACTCCGGTCTCGTCCAATTTTTTTTTAATTTTCATGGGCAATACTAATATAAGCGGTAAGCATCCATGATAGCTCGCTGGTGACAGGCACCGTCTTTGTTGTTCATATCTTTAATATATTGATTGGCTACACAAACACTGAGTTCACCCGTGTACTCCTTATTTAAGCTCGAAAACAAACCAAGTGAGGGCAAAGAAGCGGTCTTCACTTAAAGCCTAGGGCACAGATGTTTAGACTGTTCATTTGTTGCAAGAGTTCCGCAATCTTTTCATCGAGTTGACCATTAGCATAATCATCTCTTGATTGCTGGTCGAGGTATTGTTGGATTTGTGCAAGCCGTGTATATCCCTCAGTGCAAAATCGCAGCTGTATTTTGACGAGAGCCTCGAAACTTGGGTCATAGTAGGGCACTCTTAATGACACCAATTGCGGTAATTCGGTCTTGAGCTGCTCATTCAAGTTGTCGAAAATCTCCTTTGCCATTGTAAGTTCCTTTTCTGACCTTGGAAGCTTGGAAGCATCTTTGGCGGGTTTGTCGATTAGTCGACGTACTTTAGCCTTTGCTGCGTCGTAGTCTTGTTTCTTGTGATCTCTTTTTTTAATTGCGTCCGCAATTTCGTTGAAGTATGTTGAAAACTTGGTAATAGGATCCAATACAGTCTCTCTGAAAGGCCCGTCTAGTTGCTTGACCGTCTCTGAATCGAAATCCTGAACGCATTGAAGGTAGTAATTTCCAACGTTATAGCCACCACCGCTCACAGACTTCGAATCATCGTAAAGACTTGAAATTACCTCTGCGATGGTCACCTGTGATGCTGTGACTGCACGAAGAGAGTCCAGGTAGCCCTTGGCTTCCTTTTGCAGCTCCTTTCCGGCTCTCTCAAGGGTCTTGTAACGACGCTCTTCAATATCATATTCTTTATCTACAGTTTTGTCGACATTCTTGATGAGCACACTGTTACCTGCTCGATTTATGGCCTTTTTGAAACCACCCCAACTCATTTCTGTGAGCCCTGGCTTAATCTTCGAACCTTTGAGGTTTAAGTTTTAGATGAAGTTGTCACTTACTTTGGCCCTTTTAAAAAACATATTCGTCGCACTGTTAATTATCTTCAAAAATAGGTTAGTAAAACATTAGTATAGAGTGATATCGATGAATATCCCCCGGCAAATAGCCGCCCTGTAGGTTTCGTAATTCAGATCTTGTTTGGGAAGGTACCGAAAGGTTCTTCTCGAAGGATTTCAAGTCATGGTCCTTGGAAGAGTATCTCGCGTCGCGAGTCATCCTCTCTATGGTTACATGGAGGCGAGCCGCGAATTTTTTTCAAGATGGCAGAGAAGTTCGCTTCCTCCATTCGCTAAAATGGATATGCAAGTTCGAGTCAGGCTCAATTTCAAGATCTTTGCATGCTTGGGTTCCTTTTGCACTTGTGAGTCCAATGAAGACAGCTAACTAAATTTGGGCGCCTCAGACAGCCCATTTTTGTCAACTCATAGAACATATGAACGAAACCTCTCATTTGGGTTGTGCGCGGATTCATTCTCCCTAAAACTGTGTAGAAAACATGTATTTACCTTAGCGGCAACTTGAAATCGTCAAGGTACCAATTTCCTCAAAGTCTGAAGCTGAAAGATTTGCCATGCGTGGGTGCTAAAAGCTGACTGCGAAAGATCGATTGAGACCTTGTTTTCACCACCGTAGAGCGCAAACGAGTGCCCGGAGATTGATCAAAAAATGAAGATGGCTACAGTGTCCATTCGTCTATGTAAACAGCTTCTTCATCATTAGATGAGGGAGCTATGGCATTCCGGCACCTGAATATGGAGAAAGAATCATCAGCAATTTTTGCAGATTGCTTATCGGGTTGTGTCATTTCTAAGATACTGAGCAACGAGATGCGGTAACAGTCGAAGGAGATCTTCTCAAGCTTGTCATCGTATACTAGGACTTGGCACAGCGATCGTATGTCAGTGGTAGAAAGCTCGACATTGGCGACTTTGGCGCTGCTTATGAAATTCAAAATATCGTTAGTGGATGCGAAGTTATTGACGTGTGACGCGTAAAGAACCTCTTTTGCACCTGTGAAGTTATTGAACCCGTTAGGGTAGGTTCTTTCAGCAACAAAACGCCATACAATTGTTAGCAAGCTGTTAATGAACTCAACGTCAAGTTCGCTATCAGTAAACCACGGACCACCAGTGACCTCGATAGAAGGTTGCAAATTGTACAACATATAAATTTTACGAGTTGGAAACTTGACGCTTTTCACGCTTTTTACATAGCGCTGAGATTCGAGAGACTTCAGACATTTCAATACTACATGTGTATGCAGGTTCGTCCTTGCCTTAATGGTTTTTGTCCATATGCCTTCCCGTCCACTTGCCTCGATGTAGGAATATACCAGAGCTTCGTCAGCTGTCATGGCAGCCTTTTTCTGAGCTTCGGCAAAGTCAACAGCTTGAAACTTGAGTTCATTGTTCTGCTTTATCAACTTCAGAAGGTTTTTGTCTAAGAGTTCCTGAACTATGGACATAAGATCTGCAAGAGATGATGTGTTGATTAAATCCTTCAACTCAAGCTGTGTGAACAGGGCACTTGGTCCCTTGGCAGTCATGCTGCCATGCAGATTTCGAGCCCTGTCAGATAAAGTTTGACCCCCTTGTAACGCGCTTTCCATGGTCGATGCTGATTTCCCGCCGAAATGGTGTTTTCGAGATTTCTCATCACAGTATATTAAATCACTAACTTTTATTACAAAATGAATTTTTTCGATTTCTGGCCTCATAAAGAAGAGCAGACATAGAACGTAGTTCGACACGTTCGTGATCGGAAGGTGCACCTTGTGCTGACATCACTTTTTTTCTATTACGATCAACTCAAGCCCCACATAACCTAGAATGAGGAAGAGTATATTGAAAACGACTAGTAGCTTAACGTCAAACAGAAAGTTTTGAACTAGGAAGCCAAATGTGCTCAATATTGTAGCCCCAGGAACCTCGATGTTGAGGCCATACTTTGTTTCTTTCAGGAGTAATGTTTTTACCTCATTTATGATTAGGGACTCGTAGGCGTAATAAAAGATCGACAGGTTTTTCAAGTATCGGAAGGCGATGTTGCTGATGTCTTTGGTATTGATAAAGAGGCCACTAAATAGCAATGACGCCAGCAAAATCAGGACACTTATAACAATAGAGTTATTGAGATCTTCAACAAATATTCCAACGGTGAGAATCTCTAAAGAAATACCAACATTGAACAAAATCAGTATGCCGACAAATTTGACAAATGCCGAATTAATCATGTTCAGTCCCACTGTCGGATATACTACCAGTGCCAAAATCACAGGTGGCAAGACCCTCAATGGTAATACGTCGCTCAGAATTTTGCTAATGTAATATGCCATTGGACTGTAATAATTGTTCGAACGCTCTTTCAGGAAAATAAGTCTCTCTAATGAAAACGATGTCAGCCCCGTGAATGTCAAAAAACCAAAGTAAGTCAAAATGAAGAAAAAGAGTCCCAGTCTGTTTTGAAATCCACTTATGTTGTTCTCAATGTCATAGTAAAGTAAGCCTAAGAAACAGCCCAGCAATAAGGTGACGAGGTAGTTACCCAGCAGCAATTTTGGGTTTCTATAAATATTCTTGAAGGTTCGCGAGGACAGTATCATGAGCTGTTCTCTGAAAGTCGCTGGTTTGGCGCTACTAAGAGCATCAACAGCGGCTTCTGTTGACGAATCCTTTATAGCCTCGATATCTTGCAGGAGCGTTGCAAATTGCTGACTTTCTTTGAACTTAGAATGCAAAAGCTTTGTGTTCAGGACACCTAGCCCTTGCTCATCATCAGGCCTATCCAGCAGAGATCGTAGTTCGTCCCGATGAGCTGCGTAATGTTCCCACTCACCCTGAGTAGCAGTTGCGGAGTCCTTCCTGTTGTCCTGAATGACCGTTAAGTCATGCCCATGATCGCCATGTAAGTTGGATTCGATATCATCTGGCGTTGCCAAGATCCTCGTGTATGTTTTCTTCGCCTCAAATGTAATATCAATCAAAAAGTCAGCAATATTGTAGTCTGATGGGCATTCGTAACCATTATTGCGTAAGAAATCGCTAATATCTGTTGCAACACCGGAATAGACAAGTTCACCTTGACTCAACAACACAAGTTTGTCGAATGAGTTGAAAATGTTTGATCGAGGTTGATGGATCGACAGGACCAAAGTTCTGTTGTAATGGAGCGCCAAACGCACTAAGCACTCAATCACGTTGTTTGCGTTATTGGAGTCCAGGCCTGAAGTGGGTTCGTCAAGAAATAAGATTGAGGGGGACGTGACAAGCTCACAGGCGATCGACACCCGTCTCTTCTCACCGCCGCTAATTCCACGATCGAAGTCGTCCCCTATAATCCGGTCCTTTATATCAAATATGCGTAGCTCTTCGAGAACTTGGTAAACCCTTTTTTGCTTCGCTGCGAAGCTCAGCTTTCTGGGCAAACGTAACAAAGCACTATTCAAAACAGTCTCGTATACTGTCAAAGTGGGCAGTAGATAGTCTTCCTGGTCAACAAAACCAATGATCTTGGACAGTTTCTGTTTCGACAGCTCGCATCCATTCACTTTAACGGACCCTGTAACTTTGCCGGCTTTGTCTTTCATGGCCAAAATATCCAAGAGAGTGGTTTTTCCAGCCCCGGACCCTCCCATCAAAGCCATAATCTCACCAGGCTTGACAGTTCCACTTATGCCGTTGAGTAGCTTTATTTCTTTTTTATCCGTCACGACACTATAGTTTATGTCTTCGAAAGTCAGAGTCGATTTCAAACTTGACTTAAAGAAATCATTGTCCTCGTCAGTGTCATTGTCAAGCTGAATAGGCTGGCTGCTAAAGAACGGGCTTCTTGAAACAAAAAGGATAGCAAAGATCGTGAGTGACAAAAACAAGAACGAGGTTGCAGAAAGCACCAAAATTTGAAACGTGGTAAATTTATCTTTGGAGGGCTGCTCGTACCCAGGAATTTCGCTATAGTGCATGCACTCGCCTGATTCACATTTTAGCGTGATATAAGGATCGCCAAAAATGGTGGTTATTAGATCGTTCATACTAGGCTCACTGAATTTGCACTTTTTCGAGTTCAAGTCGCAGGTGAACTCTCCTGGCCCCTTAATAGTCTCAGTTAAAAAGTCTGAAATGTCAATCGAGCCTCTCTGTCCACACAGCATCTGTCCCGGCACACACTTGCACTGCACAGAATCACATTCATAACTGGAAGAGTTTGTTTTGAGATCATGGTTGAACTTGCAGGACGATAACCCACAGTAGAAACTTTCTACTTCTTGAATCCAGAATTGGAAATTACACTCCCCGGAGAGCTTGTCGCAGGAAAACGTAACCTGAGGTTTTTTGCCGTTCAATATCTGTATGATCTTAGCATTCGTGACATCACAACCCTGATGGAATCTTTTAACAATCATTCCCTTCTTGTAGCATGTGCCCTTGAGCCCTTCTGGCATAAAAGCATCGCAAACAGAGTCGTTTTCGCATATATTACAATTGATTCCACCCCAGCCATCTTCACAATCACAGCTTTCCGTGTCGTTATCTCTTGATGGCCTGTTGTTGTTGCCATCAGACAGTGCACCGCATAACGGCTTTGAACAATCGTCTCCGCCAAAGCCATCTAAACATTCACATCTACCAGTATTCGAATTACAGCGAGAAAACTGTTGGCATTCGAAAACTGGTAGCATACAATTGAAGCAAGGAGGGCACTGACCCCCGTCATCCGGCGTTCTTGCTTGTTCCCATAAATCCATACCGGACTGTGCTGGATATTGCTCACTTAAAGCGAGCACCGTGCTCGACAAGACGGCCGAGAGAGCAACCGCCCTGATTAATAAACTCATGAGTGCCTGAACACTCAAATGAAACATAGCTCAAGCCAACACCACGACGGAGGAAGTTGGCGGGACAGTGGTGCTCTTTTGTCCATGAGAACTTGTGATGGAGCCTGCACTCATATTCAATTTAGCAATCCCCTGACTTTGTAATTCTGGACGAGTAATCACGTGATCCATAAAAGAGTGGGACATATCCGCCATGCAACAGTGATTTTTCATGACATGTTGACCCCGGCTATGCCATCTTTTATACAGACGTATCCAATACCAGCCATCTCAATGTATGAAGATTTAAATGATTCGCAAAAGTAGTGTAAATCTCAGATAAAGGGATAGTGAGCTCCAGAGCCAAATAAATCAACAAATCATCCGTCACAACCTATGAACTCTTGGCGTGAAACGGGTAACGCCGACGATGAATACAATGAGGCATGTCTTCATGTACCTCTATATCGAGTCAAAATCAACTTGAGCGGAATTCTTCATTGGTATGTTTACAGGAATATTTACCATATTTTTGGCACAGTCCGTGACGCTGCATATTCGCATAGTAAAATTGCCCAATTCTGAACTTTAGTGTCATCAATTTCCTGAAAGGTGTCCCCGATCGTATGCCAGTAAGAAGGGAATGGCAGGGGAATCAGGTGCAAAACGGAAACGCCGCGAGCCAGAAATGGAAGGTGATCATCACCGATTACTACACGATTGCTTTCCAAATATCCAAGGTTGCTGCCATCAAAGAGAGTCTCATTATGTGGCAATTCATCTTGATTGAGAGCCTCAATTGATAGCAAAGCCTTGTACTCCTCATTCGACGCTTGAAAGAAGCTTGGTACTTCCAGATTTTCCGCGCTTCCAAGTAAATCGAGTAAGACCAGCAGGCCAATGTCGTCCATGAGTCCACTAGAACTCCAATCAGCAGCAAGGTGCCTAGCACCGTATATCGAATCTTCTGAGGTCCAGTTTTCCAGCGCCTCTTCCCCATCGAAAAAGACTATTTTCACCCCATCGAATGCTTCAGTGAGCGTATGCGAATCCTCCGACCAAAACTCGTCGAAAGATGGATCAAAATAGGTACTCAAGAACTCAGAGACGTAAAGCAAAATAGAGCAGGATGCCGCGCTATCTACTGCTCCAATGAAGCCCTCCGGCGTGATTTTAGAGTCGTAGTGTGCGCCGAGAACTAAATAGCTGCTAGCATTTTGTCCCAAAGTGAACACCAAATTGCAGAAATCAAAACCCTTCTCGGTAAAGCAATCTGGTTCGTATGACCAGTGCGTCCTTAGGTTCTTGAAATGATTTTCGATGAACTTTCGAACATCGCGAGATCCGGAGCTACCAGGAATCCTTGTGACATTGAAAGGAAGTAGAAGATTTTGTGAATCGGAGCTCTGGAGATTCAATCTGGAGTTCAACGTTCTATTGTAGAAGTCCCTACCCACAAGTAGGGCTAATGTGACACGCAATAAATACGAGAATTGTATGAGTTTAATTAACGGCTTCATTATTTTTACAATGTATTAGTAGTACCTGACGTTGTTATTAGTTGTGATACCATTTTTTTGACCAGTAGTAAAGCACGAAGCGAAATTCCAAAATTCGCATCAGAAATGCATGCAACGACCAAAAGTAGCATCATTTCTTTCGGTTCTGCCAACTGGTCCGGGGGATCAGAAGCTCCTGATTTTTTGAGTCAAAAGGCCCTGCTCCCCAAAAGCACAACAGATGTGGACACTAATCCAGTGCTCCGCGATATCTCACTCCCAGCGACTATCGAACTCTCGCAAGCTGACCAGCACATTGAAGGATATAACAAGAGCAATCATCTGCGCAGTGCTGCCGGAAATATAGATCGTGGTTCACCTCCCGCACTACCACTTAAATCAGCCGGTGAACAAACTACAAATGATAATGATTCGAAGGGGCCTTATAAGAGCCTCCCCACCAATTCTGTGCCGAATAATCCGGATCCAATAGATTTAAATCACGAAAGTGGTTCATTTCCGATACGATCACATCCGATGCCACTGCAGAGTAGCGCGCGCACGAAGCGCTCAAGTATCTACCAAGGGAGGCCAAGTGGACCCATACCGATGAGAGGCGTTAGTCGCACCTCTCGCTCAGCTTTTACTGAAGGGGATGACAGGAAGTCAGTGAAAAGCATCTCTTCTTCCCTAACAGCATCATTTTCCAAGAACTTTCTGTCGGGTTTCTATCACAATTATAAAAATGGTTTGAAGCCATCCCAAAATGTTCTTTCGAAGGAATATTGGATGAAAGATGAAAGCGCTAAAGAATGTTTTTCTTGCGCAAGGCCCTTTACTACATTTAGGAGGAAGCACCACTGTCGTATTTGTGGGCAGATATTTTGTGGAACTTGTAGTTTTCTTAGCGACGGCGTAAAGTACCAACATGCCGGGCGGATGCGAGTATGCCGAAACTGCCATACGCATTTTGATACTTTCAACGATTCGAGTGATGAGTCTTCGATGGAGGAAAATGCACAGGGCACACAAGCTAGCCCCAACAACTCACCAGACAAGGGAATTACGAGTTCTGATGTTCTGCTGTTAAAAGACGACGAGGTCCAAAGCATCCTAACTAACGGTGACGGCACAAATCTATTTCGTTCGACCCCTCCACCGCTCCCAAAAATGGCCATACCTGCGACAAGACAGGGAGGCTCTCTAGAGATTTCAGTTCCGAACGTAACGAATTCTCTCAAAACCGAGAATTCCACAAGATATCGACCTAGTATGAAAGATCGTTATACAATTAGAGATGTCGATGTTTTGCAGCCATTCACAAAAGATGAAAGCGGTACCTCGGTAGGGTCTAATCGTCCGTACCAAGCAGTAGGACAAGGAAGTTTTCCTCATATTACCAACTTTAAGCACTCTATTTCTAACTACATCAGCAGTGCAACTGGGGCAGATGAGCAGAAATCGGCTGAGCCCTCGGTAAACTCTGTGATTGAAAATCTCTCAAGAAATGACTTCAAATTTGAATTCAATTATGGAATGAATAACTTTCAGGGTTACTTGGATTCTCCCAGGCCTCACTTATCTCATCTCGCAGAGCGGAAGCTAAGCAAACGTACTGAGTCGTCGCCGACATTGGCGGGGGGGTTTCAGGGTGGTACACGCTTAGACAGTGATTCAAGACATAGTGATGAATCAGAAGACGAGAGATCAATGTCTTTATACGCCGCACTCAACGACTCGCATCAGGACTCATATTTTGTGAGACCCACAAGAAGCAATACAAAGTCACTTCAAAGAGCGCAAGCATCACTTCGAAGAATGAACTCTCGTCGGAAAAGTCGAGGCCGCGGCTACTTGAACTCAACTCTAAATTTGAAACCGTTCGAATTTCTTACTCACAGTAGCCCAAATATCAAATTGGCGGGTGACGAAGATGAAGATGCAGAGGGCAAGTCCGAGGGGGCTATGAATTTAACAGTAAGCGTAGATCGAGTAAAGCCACGTAGTGAGACGAGCTCCTCCTCTAGAGATATGAAACGCATAATTTCCACTGCTTCAGTACTTCGTATGAAAGCGCAGGAGAACAAAACAGAACTCAATGCTGTTTCTCAAATTCACATGGATGCTTTATTGAAACAGGTGTTGAATGATCAAGATGTTGAGAACGTCAATGGATGGATCGAAGTTCTAAAGCCGATTTTGCAGGTGCTACAAAGCATCCGGTTAGACGCGAGAAAAATGAGCGGGCTTGACTTTAAACAGCAATACGTCAAAATTAAGCGCATCGACGGGGGCGAACTTTCTGACTCCAAGTTCATGAATGGTATAATCTACTCCAAAAATCTCCCTCTTAAGACGATGCCCCGAGTGCTTAAGTCCCCTCGAGTATTACTGATTATGTTCCCATTGGAGTACCAAAAAAGTGAAGCCCATTTCATGAGCATCGATTCCGTCATGGCTCAGGAGAGGGAATATCTAAAAAAATTAGTGCTGCGACTAACAACACTCAATCCCGATCTTATTTTAGTCGGCGCAAACGTAAGTGGTTATGCCTTGGAATTACTCAACGACGCTGGAATCGCGGTTCAATTCAACATGAAACCTCAAGTAATTGAGCGGATTTCAAAAGTGACTGATGCCAGCATCGCTATCACTGTGGATAAGCTTGCAACAAATTTGAGATTGGGTAATTGTGGCTCGTTCGAAATAAAAACTTACCGCTATGGTAACGTTGTCAAATCGTACACCTTCTTGGATGATTGCAAGATTTCGGAAGGTGGGACCGTGCTTTTACGTGGTGCTAATTCCATTACACTGAGAAAAATCAAGGACATAACAGAGTTTATGGTATACACCGTATTCTCTTTGAAACTCGAAAGCTCCTTTTTTAGTGACAACCTTTTACAGCTATCAGTTGAATACTACAAAAAACTCGCGGTGGGGCGAGAATCATTATCACAGCGAGGCTATTTTATTGACTTTGTTGACAAGTTTCAACAAAGAATACTATCGGTATCACCCACCGTTGAGTTTCCGCTTCCTTTTTTGCTTGAAAAGGCTCGTGCTCTAGAGCAGGAGCTGGTTGAAAAAGAGAAAGAAGGCAATATTCTCTTATCGGACCCCGAATTTCACACAACTTATGTGAGCAGAACCATCAATCAACTTGGATTGGAACCAGCTCTTACTAGCCAAGACCTAAAGACTCTTGTGAGGTTCATTCATGAAAAAGAGATTGAGGATTTAACGGCACAATTTAGATGGCGGAGTCGACAATGGGAGCTGTCATATGCGCTTTCCAAGAACATGCTTGGTACGGGAACTCATCAAACTATCAATGTGCTTTACTCGATGATTTCCAAGAAAACAGCAACGCCCTGTATTGGACCACAGCTGGTAAGTATCGATTTTTTTTGGGAGACAGACATTTCGATAGGGCAATTTATCGAAAACATTGTTCACATGGCGGGTTTTCCTTGTGCTCACGGCTGTGGGAGCTTACTTTTGGATCACTATAGAAGTTACGTCCATGGTGTAGGAAAGGTTGACGTTTTAGTTGAACAGTTCCAAAGCAGATTGCCCTCTCTCAAAAATATTCTAGTGACCTGGAGTTACTGTAAAAAGTGCAATAGCTCGACCCCAATTCTCCAGATGAGCGAAAAAACACGAAATTATTCGTTTGGTAAATACCTGGAATTGCTATTCTGGAGCAGAAATCAAGGCATAGAAACTGTTGGTAACTGCAGCCATGACTTTGCTAAAGATCACGTCAAATATTTTAGTCTAAATGACTGGATGGTGAGAATGGAGTATTCTGAAATTGAAGTCCACGAGTTGATCACTCCGCGCGCTAAGATTACATGGAAGCCTAACATAGACATTAAACTCAAGGTCGAGCTGTACTACCAAATTTTGGATAAAATCAATAATTTCTACGCAAGCGTCAACGACAGGTTAGAAAGGATTAAGCTAGATAGCATACCGAGCGAGCAAGTTTCAGCGGGAGAGGAAAGGATAATGGAACTAAAGGGAGAATCGCACGAGGAAAAGAATACGCTAACCGAACGGACCGACGCTATTTACAGAAGTTCATCCGGTAACGAGCATCTCAATCTCAACACCGTCATAAGGTCAGTTCATGACAATGCTGCAGAATGGGATTTAAAGTTTATTGATTTTGAGAAAACGTATCTACCATCAGAAAAAGACGTGGCCACAATAACTGCTGTGCAACTTAAGAAGCTCTTTAGAGACTCTGTGAAGAATGAACAAGGACAACCGGCCGGAAAAGATTCAATGGAAGTTGACGAACAGCGCAACCTGTCTCTTCCCCGCGATCAGCGCTTTGCGGGTAAGCAATTACACAACTCCCTAGCTGATCAAATCAAACTGCTCAAAGCCTACAAAACGCCGACAATTGAACAATTGACAGAGGACTCGAAGTCTGTCAACAATGAACAAGCCGTGGCTCTTCGTCCGCCGATGACTCATCACAGGACTACCCCGACATTCAAGAAAAGTGTTGCTCATAGGTCTCTTCCATTATCAAAAGATGATACCTTCGTCGATGGAACTGAGACAATGAATGACCATTTGAGGTCAAATAGTGGGTCCAGAACATCATCCAGCGGAGCATCATCGGCGGCAATACCAGAGTCGCAACCCACAGGTACCGCACAGCTTAGAAGCCGCAGTATCGGGAGCGTTCAAAGTGGCAGCAGTTTATATGCCAAGGACCAAAATGCCGAAAGCAAAGTCGGCCAGCTGGCAAGCTTTTTTGATCAGATTCACTTTGATGCGTTGTCAAGAGAGTTTGAACTGCAAAGAGAGCTTGAACGACTACATCTCAACAAGAACAAGTATAAGGCATTGAGGGTTGAGCCCTCTAAACCTATCGTAGAGATCTACCAGAACGTTAAAGATGCTGTCGACGGACCTTTACACACAGACAGTCGAAATTCCAAGAAAGCTGTGAGCAAAGGATCGAGGCGTGAGTGGAACGGCGCTGGAGCAACCTTAAAACCAAGCAAAGAGCTGGGTAATAAGTTGGAGCATTCAATCCACCAGTGGGGTGAGAAACTATTGCGTGAGGACGAAGAATACAGGGTTAACCACGATAAATCAACGTTTATGGAGTCCACGAGCATAAAAGGTGATTCCGGCGCCGAAAGAAAATCTCCCGCTGCTGAGACAAAAATTCAGGAAATCCCCACCACTTCTCAACCTGAAAGATCATCTTTAATGAAAATGCTCGCGAACTTCTGGGCGGATCGATCAGCAACTTTATGGAAGTCTCTGGACTACCCCACTGTCCCTACCGAACATATTTTCGTTGATAGTCCCGTCATCATTCGCGAAGATGAGCCCTCTTCGTTAATTGCTTTCTGTCTAAGTTCCACTGATTATTTGCAGAAGATGGCCTCACCAAGTCCAACAAAATCGGCTGCTTCAGACTCAGAATTGATCACGTCAGATCGAAATGAAGAAGATGCAGTCTCCATAAACCAGTCTCTCAACTCCCTGGCCGACTATGAGCATCATACTTTGGGCGATCACGAGCAATACAAAAAGAATTCCTCAGAGGTAAATGTCAAAGAAGTTCAGGTGCAAGGAGAGTCCGGCGCGGAACCTGTAACGTCACAAAAAATCCATGATAAAAATGTTGCAAATGAAAAGCTGAACTTAGAACAAATCATGACTAAGAAGACAGCCATGCACTTGCGCTACCAGTTTCAAGATGGAAACTCTATAATGTCCTGTAAGATCTTCTTTGCTGAACAGTTTGATGCATTCCGTAAAACTTGTGGGTGTGAAGAAAACTTCATTCAGAGTCTTTCGAGGTGCGTGAAATGGGACTCTAATGGCGGTAAAAGTGGAAGTGCCTTTTTGAAGACTCTGGATAATAGATTTGTGATCAAAGAGCTCTCACATACTGAACTAGATTCTTTCATTAAATTCGCGCCCAGCTATTTCGAGTATATGGCACAAGCAATGTTCCACGATCTCCCGACCGCTATGGCTAAGGTATTTGGATTCTATCAAATTCAAACTAAAAACTCTGAAAGTGGTAAAAGTTTTCAAATGGACGTTCTCATTATGGAGAACCTATTTTACAACAAAAAGACGTCAAGGATTTTTGACCTAAAGGGCTCTATGAGGAATCGTCATGTAAAGCAGACGGGCAAAGAAAACGAGGTATTACTGGATGAAAATATGGTGGAGTATATCTACGAGTCCCCCATATTTGTAAGGGAGTATGACAAGAAGCTTCTACGTGCTTCACTATGGAATGATACTCTTTTTCTGGCCAAAATGAATGTTATGGACTATTCTCTTGTCGTTGGTGTCGACAACGAAAATCACACTCTTACGGTAGGGATCATTGACTTTATCCGCACATTTACCTGGGACAAGAAGTTGGAGAGCTGGGTTAAAGAACGAGGTTTCGTGGGCGGCAGTACCAAAGAACCAACTGTTGTGACGCCAAGGCAGTATAAGACCAGGTTCAGGGTCGCTATGGAGAGATACATTCTGATGGTTCCGGATCCTTGGTTTCAAGACAGTCACGAGTAGAATAAGTAAATGGAGGTGGTGAGGCAGGGCTCTGCAGGTAAGAGACCCCCTCACTTTACATACATTACGATCAACAGAAATCTTAAGAACTTATTATTTTGTTTTAGGTGTATTGAGTAAAATGAGCTGTTGTTCTCAGCTGTGCTTGGGTAGCGTTTAATTGAGTTTATAATAAGCAAATGTCCAAGCTGAGTTTAAAACATTAAATTAAGTCATCTCCTAGTGAGAACATAACAATGATTAAAGGTACAAAATTTCAAGAAGTATACCGAAGCTGCGCTGACATGTAGCCTCTCTTCACCGTTGTTTCCTACTTCTTGCTTGACGTGGTCGGTAGTTCTCTTATATGCTGCTAAGGTAATGAAAAAACTTTCTGCAAAAAAAGTCGTCACAGACAGGATTCGAACCTGCGCAGGTAAAACCCAATGCCTAACTCGCTTTCGATATGTCGAATAGCAGGGCATCGCCTTAACCACTCGGCCACTGGGACGTAATTTGTTTAAAGGGGATAGCAGTGCGGTATATATAGTTTAGACTAGATTATCAATGAGTAGACATGATTCCTAAAGGTAAAGTTGAAAGGAAGGTGTCACTATTGAAATCCAAGGGACTAACTAGCCTTTGTGTTCTGACACAGAAGCTGTGTTTACATCTATGGTGCCACAAAGAGGGTTTCAGATTGTCATATAAATAGGGGCTAGCTGGAAAGGAGTTGGGTGCAGCTGGATAAGAAAGAGCATCACGGGAAACATTTTGAAAAACTACCTTCTGTGGTTTGGCTCAAGACCCTATTCCTGTTGTAGACCGATCGAAACGCTTTTGGAAAATGTAGTACAACCTTCGCAATCAGATTAATTGTTCCCGAGAATCTTCGAGTTCGTCACAGCAACTTGAGCAATTGATGTTTCTTTTACGCAGCGCCGATGAACTTGATTAATGGTGCACATACATGACTTTGATAGTAAAGCTCTTACCGATAATGTCCTCCAACATGAAGGGCTTCGGAAAACCTCACATGTAATCGCTTTACACACGATTCAGTTGAGATTTATATTTTTTGGAACGATTGGGACTTCACTTGAATCGCATCGATATGGAAATGGTGAAAACTCCCAACTGACCTTCCGATTGACAATCATAATCAGCTTCGGCCGGCTGCCTTTGATCTTCAGAGCAATCACATTCGAATTAGGTGTCAGATCGGCGACATGATAGCTACGATACTATTTCTTTCCCTCACCATTCTATTAATCGCTAAAAGCGCACACTATGAAGTCTTGCGCCCGTTACCAAATTATGATGATCGTTTCTACTTGGAAATGTCGATCTCGAATAGTAAAGCATGGATAGCCGGGGCTGTCTTCGTGTATGCAATGCAAGGACCAACGGCTTGGGTGTTTGGAATAATCGCTTTGCTCTCGTTGTTTCGGCTGGATATACGCCCCACGGGCACAACAATAGCGCTGGACACTTCATGATCGACCACACAAGACAGTTGAACCGCGTTGTTTGGTGTGTGAATACAAATCCGTTCCATTCATAATTAGCTGCGTTCGCTGTTTGTTTTGTATCGAAGAATAAAGACTTCACCCTGAGTTCATTCAATACCATGATAATTTCTTCTCCAAATTCGAACTTCTGTCCTTTATTCTCTTCATCAACTCTCTAGATGCGTGGTGATTGCGGAGCCAGTTGACATCGCTTCGACCAGGGGCGAAAGGCTCTTGTCTGCAACAGCTTCTTTGGCTGAGTTTGTTGGTCCCATTAGAAACTAATGCGCTACAAATCGAGCGGGAATGCGCCCTTCTCTCGCTCACTGCAGTTGATATACGTTGCATCTTTTTATTATTCAGAATCCGTTGGTCCCAGTTTTGCCCAATTCATACAACGTGCTGAGACAATTATAGCGATGTTCTGTTTGTCTTCTCAAAGCAAGTGTGCGATTATGGGACCTCATAATTGCTGGCTTGGTTGGACTGAGGCCAATGCTGTCACTGCGTAATTACAATGCAGGTGAATCACAAATGCTCTTCGCGAGGCTTGTAATAATCATCTTGTTTTCGGTAAAGCATTTGCATCAAGCCCGATGTCCGGTCCAATCAGGCACTCACCAACGACTTCTGCACCGCCTGCGCATGCTATACACAGCTCAGAAGCCTCGAAATGCTTTATACCTTCACTTATCAGTCCTCACTTTATGTGAGGCACTTGGTGCTTCTTGCTGGACTGTATTTCACTTCATCGCACTGCATATTGAAATCGAAACAGGTAGGGAAGTGCTTCATAGCGCGATTTTATTTACATGACTAGGCCCTATGTAGCACCACGTAGATCGTATTCATTCCCAGCCGTCAACCCAACGCTTTTCCCACAAATTACAATCAAAAATAGGTTTTCCTAATTTTCTGTTGACATCGTTGTGAGCATCACACATCCACTTGCCGAGCTCATCTCTGGAGTCAACCTTTGGGGCGTTTTCCCGGATGAACTTTTCGAAGTCTTTAGCGCACCACCAACATGGATAAACATGCGAGAAAATGGTCATAAACTGCTTCATCTCTCCTTTTTGAAAATCACTAGGCTTTTTCGGATAGGATGCTGCTATTGCATGCAGCAGCGTCCAGCTTGATTTCCCTAGGACCTCCACATCAGGCGGATCAATTTTCGCATAGGATTCGGTTTTATCAATTGTTAGCCCAGTGTTCTTGTTGCTGGTAGTGCCAATCTTGCCTGTCGCAAGCTGGAAGTCCAATAAAGTGTTGCAAGATCGGCATCTGCTGCTTTGTTAGTAAATTTCTCGAAACACGACCATACACTGACAACTTTAACTTTTAGTCATACGGTTTCCCGTCCTCGTCATATACAATTTTTCGCCCCGAGAGACCCTCGGTGCTAGAAGTTCGAGAGTTGTCCGCCATGAAGTTCGAGCACAAGTTACCAGTCCCTGGGATTGAAAAGCTATTGACGATCGGTATATCGTTTTAGTTTGGAATCCCACACAATATTACTTAGCGTGGTATACATATACTTATTAAACCTAAAAATCAGAAAAGGATACAATGAACTCGAAAGTTAAAGCAGGCCACAGGACAGAAACTTCGTGGTTTGGTGAAGAAGGGTGTGTAAAGCTTGCTAGAAAAGTACTTGCACTAATCTTGTGCTAGAAGGTCGCTTATTGAGAATTGTTGTCACACGAAGTGCCGGCCACGACCTAGTCCATGAACAGATAATGTCATCTCCTCGTGGAATAAACTTTTTGAACTTCAACCAGACGGGATCATGTATATCAATGGGAACGTCTGAAGGGTTTGAGATCTTCAATTGTGATCCGTTTGGGAAGTTCTATTCGGATGAAAGTGGAGGATATGGAATAGTGGAGATGCTATTCTCGACGTCGCTGCTGGCAGTTGTCGGGGTTGGGGACCAGCCAGCGATGTCCCCGAGAAGGCTACGCATCATCAATACAAAGCGGCACTCAGTAATATGCGAGGTCACATTTCCTTCTACCATCTTGGCGGTCAAAATGAATAAAGCTCGACTTATCGTGCTTCTTCAAGATCAGATATACATTTACGATATCAGCAATATGCGGCTGCTGCACACGATTGAAACAGCCACAAACCTACGAGGGCTAATTACAGTCTCTCCATCACTGGACAGCAACTATCTCGCGTATCCTTCCCCTCCTAAAGTCATCAAGTCTGAAATCAAGGGCCACGCCACGACAAATAACATCAGTCTGACGTCCAATGACTTGGCCACATCATCCAACCACGCTGGCCCTGGTGATGCATTGATTTCCCAGGGAGGATCAGCAGGCCCAGGAGGCCCAGGAGGCCAAGGAGGCCAAGGAGGCCAGGGATCCCATGGAGCTTCAGGAGCTCACGGATCTCATCTCTCACCCCCCGGAGACCCTGTCGCTGCGGGAAACTCCTCATTGGAGGTCTTTGACGGCAATGCGACCTCTTCAGGCAACAACCCGGGTATAACCAAGGCTGCCAATAGCATTCTAAAGAATGGAGATGTAATCCTGTTCAATATGCAGACCCTTCAACCAACGATGGTGATAGAAGCTCATAAGGGAGAAATTGCAGCCCTCACTTTGAGTAGAGATGGAACGCTTCTGGCAACTGCATCTGAAAAGGGCACTATCGTGAGGGTCTTTTCTGTAGAAACAGGATCTAAAGTTTATCAGTTCAGAAGAGGAACGTACCCCACCAAAATTTACTCCATGTGCTTCAGCGACGACAATCAATTCTTGGCAGCCAGCTCGTCAAGCAAAACCGTCCACATTTTCAAGCTCGGTAAAGCAGAGTACGTCACGACAAGCGCTGATGCCCAAAACAATAGTGATTTAGAGGATCAAGAGGCCGAGAATTACTCCATAGACGAGGCAGAGGAAGGAGAACCCGAGGAAACTGCATCTCTAGGACAAAGCTCCTCAGCAAGCTATGATTCTTCGCATCCCGATGCGGCAGCAAAAGAGCCCGTGGTTGATGCGTCTCGGAGGACTGTTGGAAGAATGATTCGAAATTCCTCCCAAAAGCTCTCCAGAAAGGCGGCAAAGACGTTAGGTGCTTATTTTCCAATCAAAGTGACCTCCATATTGGAGCCATCTCGACATTTTGCCAGTTTGAAGCTCCCGATTGAGAGTGGAGCTACAATCAAATCCATCACAACAATCGGCCAGCCTGTCGATATCGACACAGCTGAATACCCCGAGCTATTCGAAAACGGCCTATGGGGGTCTGTGGCCAGCGAGAGTAGTTCAGGGATGATCAAAATGATTCCAATCCGAGTGATTTCGTCGGACGGCTACATGTACAACTACGTTTTAGATCCTGTACGCGGCGGTGACTGCTTGCTACTCAGTCAGTTTTCCTTACTGATGGATTGATGGTGCTGGCGAGCCTCCAGGCGGCCGTAAACATCAACCTACGAACTCGAAAAATTTACATGACGCTCGGCCAAACGAAACGTTTGTGACATCAACGAGTTGGCCTCAGATCTGACACGCTAGTCGCATCTCACAACGTGTGTCTAATCGAGTCTGCTTGTTCTTTGTTGAAGGCCTAGTATAGCAAACATTTTGGAATCTGAATTCTTACCCGGCAAATTTTCGACCGACTACGATTTAGCGCACTGCTGATGCAAGCAATCAATAGCATATTAAAAACTAAAGTATTGAAATAGGAGATTAATTCTGCTGTCTAAACCATCTCAACATCGATTTATCATAGACGCCGCACTGTTCCAGCATACGCCAGTGTGAGACTTTGATTCTCAAGCATTATCCTATAGTGTCCAGTTGGATTTTGCACCATCCCTCGTTTTGCTGTTGAACAAGTTAACCGGTCTCAAACCAGTTGCAGTAGCTCTTAACAAGCAAGTCTGCGATGGGATTCACGAGTGCTAAAAGCAGCAAGGCACCAGCTCTTTTCGAAATACGTGTCAAGTCAGCAGAGCACGATGTTATAGTCGTTAAGGGTGCCCCTCATGAAGCGTCCTCCGTGTTGCTTGCGGGAACCGTCGTTCTTTCGGTCTCTGAGCCAATGCAAATCAAAAAGCTGACTCTGAGACTTTACGGAATGTTGCGGCTGAATCTAACTACCTCATACCGTGGACCAAAAGGCCCCACTGAAAGAAGCTTCAAATACGATAAGAGGTTCTTCGAACACGTTTGGGACAACATCAACATCGAGGATTACTTCCACAATCTATACGACAACTACGGGTCCCAGAGATCCATTGCTAGTAAAAGTGGCTCATTCAGCAACTTGCACAATCTGCACAGCAAAGCTAAATCGACGACCTCTCTGAGATCGTTGACGTCAGGTTCTGGCAGTAACAGCCACCTGCTAGTTAAGGGTAACTATGAGTTTCCATTCAGTGCAGTGCTACCTGGTACTTTGACGGAGAGTGTTGAAGGACTGCCCAATGCGTCGGTGATTTACAAGCTTCAAGCTACCATTGAAAGAAGTAAGTTTGCCACAGATTTGATCAGCAAAAAGCATCTAAGGGTGATCCGTACTCTGACGCCTGATGCTGTTGAACTGAGTGAAACCATGTCTGTTGATAACACATGGCCAAACAAAGTAGATTATTCCATTTCCGTCCCAGGTAAGGCGATCGCGATAGGATCGGCCACCAAGATCCACATTCTTATGGTCCCCCTACTCAAGGGTTTGAAACTGGGGCCCATCAAAATACAACTGGTCGAATACTCATCCTTTTGCGCGCCTTATGGCGCTGGAAATAACCAAGAACGCGTGGTTTCCAAACTCAAGCTTTCAGATCCTCTAAATCACTCGGTCACTGACGCCGATGGGGCAAGTGTGTCCGAGTACCAGGATAAATGGGAGGTCGAGACCGTCTTTGGCATTCCTCCAAGCCTTTCAAAGTGTACACAAGATTGTAGTATCCTGTCGAACATAAAGGTGCGCCACAAGCTTAAGTTTGTGATATCCCTTATTAATCCTGACGGCCATGTTTCAGAGCTTCGCGCTTCTTTGCCAATTCAGCTCTTTATTTCGCCTTTCGTGGCATTGGGCGTCAAATGCACCGATTCCCTTGATAGCAGTGCGAACGTATCAGCAAACAGCACCGATGCAGAAGGCGGTGACGACAATGATGATGATGACATGATCTTCTCGAACACAGTATCAGAACTGAACTTGGAGGCGCTAAATTCAGCGGCTCAAAATACTAATAGCTCCACAAACTTGACTGCTGCAATTTTAGCCCCACCTAACTACGAAAGTCACATATACGACAGGTTGTGGAGTGGAATTTCTGTAGAAAATACACCCACGAATTCGGGCAGACAGTCGCCAGTAGCGCCTTCGGAAGGGTCGTTCCTGAACAGCCCCAACGAGATAAGCGCTCTGCAACATGGACTTCAAAAACTACACGTTGAGCAGGAAAGGCCCAACCAACCCGAAAATGTATCAAGCGACGCCCTCGGCTTACCAACAACCCCGGAACCCAATTCTCAGCTTGAATTGGGATCACGAACGTCTGGACCATCAGATTATTTTTCAGTCCCCACGCCGCGTCATGTGCAGAGCATGATCGCGATGAGCAACAACGGCCTGAGGTCTCCTGCCCCTATGGGGTCGCCCGGCCTTGACCATATTTCTCGCGCAAACTCTTTCGGCCCATTTGGGCCCTCCGCCAAAGGAGATTGGAAGCTCAATGCTTTGAGCAGAGTGCCTTCATATGAGAATGCAATGAGAGGTGAACACATTCCGATTGATTTGCCTCCAGCTTACCCAAAAGAGCACAACGAGAGTCCTTTATTGGATTTGGAGAGGCCTGAATTAGCACATCAGAGATCCGGTGACTTGCAAAGAACAAATAGCGGCACTCGCCTTTCCCACGCAGCTCTGTCTCGAAGTAATAATAGCTCTTCGAGCTCTTTGCCTAGGTTTTCGCTTTCAAGAAGTAATACGGGAGGGTCGAATGTTTCTGTAAATGGAGGTAGCGGAAGCAAAGGGGGAACAGCCTCAAAGCATTTCGGTTTCAATATGACACCACTTGGCGGTAAAAGAGAGAATAGAGGGGACCAACCGCACGCTCAGTTTTCTCTACATGACTCAGAGCCCGCATCGGGGCCTACTTCTTTGAGTCGAAATGGTTCGCTCATGAATCTCAAAGGTCTTATGTCAAGAAAGGACAAGAAGTAATGATATTTAACGGGATAAAGGACTTCAGGATAAAGGCATGTTTATACAAGATAATTTGCGAAGGGTTCCTCTGACTCTTTGGCCATCATGTTGTTGGGTAGGATGACAGGACATGTGGCGTTGAAGACAACACTGTAGGCTCAACACCCTTGAGTTGCAAGAAGCTATGTATATGTTTTTTGGTTTATCGCTTCCCGACTGAATGGCGTGGAAATTGGAATGTGATTGGCTGAATAGACCGCACAAGACTCAGCATTGGGAGATCTCAAGGAGAATCAAGGAAAGGTGAAGATGTATGTGTACGAATCCGAGACTTTTATGTGTCCTGGCACGATAGACGAGGTAATTTGCGAGTTTTAATTGTTTCTATGAAATCTGGGGTGCAAGACTAGCTCGACGGCAGCTTTAAATCTACATAGACTCTCATACCTCGAATCAATTCACGAACAGTGCAAGAACACATACCATTAGAGCCCAAGCGGCCTTTCCCATTGTGTTTTACTTGAAATTCCAACGCTGATCATTCTCTTCGGTAACAAATAACTTCATAAACTACGTACAAGTGAACACAGGTTTTCTAGCCAAGTAGTTTTTACGTGTTTGTTCCTTTAGCGTCGCCCGAGCTTAAAGAGTACTTCTACGACGTCGAAGTCCTGCTATTCAGGCTTCAATACAAGAAACTCACTTTAAACCCGAAGAACGCGGAACCTGCTTGACATTTTTTTTGGATTTTCCTAATTAAATTGCTGTGTGCTGCTTAGTTTAAAAAAACAGAAGTTTGCTTTACCTTCAAGCAAACTATCTTTGACATCCTGAAAACGGGAACTAAGCAGATCGTGAGTCCAGATGCTCAATCGCTTGCGTGGGACTTCTCTGTTACAGGGCTCGGTGCTATCAAGGTATGCGAGTCATTCGGGCGTCAAGACCCTAAGGTGTCAGCGCCTTTTGGCTTCAAATGTCAGATCCCTTCACAACAGTTCAATGCTGAGGCAAGAGATCCAAAAAGATCCCAAAAGGGGGTTTTTCACTGATAGGTTTGGAAAATTTGTTAGGTTCTCGATTTTCACCACTGGTGTTTTAGTTTCATCAGTGGGAATCTCGTTGGTGGCATTTTTTCTCTACGACGCTACCACGTACAAGGACAGCGAGATCCCAGATTTTATAGAAGTACCGAAAACTGCTCTCTCGCCCGAACTAGGAGGCCCCGAAAACTTGCCAATTTTGCGAGACAACTTGGATGCCTACGACTCAGAAACTAAAGAAAAACTATCTTATAGACCTAAGTTGGTAGTGTTGGGCTCTGGATGGGCATCAGTCGGTGTCTTGAAAGCACTAGCACCTGGAGAATATGACGTAACGGTCGTTTCGCCCCAGAACTACTTTCTGTTCACTCCTCTCTTACCTTCAGCTGCGACCGGAACGCTTGAGCTTAAGTCTCTGATGGCCTCGATCAGAAAGCTTGTCAACACTGTGAGCGGTCATTACTTAGAAGCTAAAGCCGAAAAAGTAGAATTCGCTGAAAAACTTGTCAAGGTATCGCAATTCAATGCTCAAACCGGAGAAAAGCGTTACTTTTATGTTCCTTATGATAAACTGGTGATTGCTGTGGGTTCTACCGCTAACACACACGGTGTTGAAGGTTTGGAAAATTGTTCCAGGCTCAAGACAGCAGAGGATGCGATCGCTTTAAGGAGAAAAATCAAGGACAATCTAGAAATCGCTTGTTTGCCCACCACCACTGACGAAGAACGCAAAAACATTCTGAGCTTTGTCGTGTGCGGTGGTGGACCAACGGGTGTGGAGTTTGCCGCTGAGGTTTTCGACCTGATGAACGAGGATTTGCCTAAAATTTACCCAAGAATTTTGAGACAACAGGTATCTGTCCACATTATACAATCTAGGTCGAACATCCTGAACACTTATGACGAAACCATTTCTGAGTATGCGATGCAAAGGTTCAAGAAGGACGATATAGACGTTTTGACCAATTCTAGAGTGCACAAGATTCTACCCGATCGTGTACTTTTCACCCAAAAAAATAAGGAGACTGGGGAGAACGAGCTGAAGGAGCTTCCTTTTGGATTGTGCCTGTGGTCCACTGGAGTCGCCCAAAATCCTTTGGCGAAGCAAGTCGTTCAGGACTTGTCCACGTTTCAAAGAAACAGAAGGGCTATCGAAACCGATTCCCACTTGCGTGTTCTCGGTGCTCCGTCTGGTGAAGTCTATGCTATCGGTGATTGTGCTACGGTCAGAACAGACCTCGCAGAACACGCTGTTGAGTTTGTGAGGCAGTTTATTGTAAATAAACACCTGCATCCTGCCAGAAGCAAAATCATCACCGATGATGACATCAAGCACCTCTCCATCTCCTATGAAGAAATTCAGGACTTGGCCAGAGAACTGGTCAAAAGACATCCTCAAACAAGAGAGTTTCTATACAATGTGGAAGAAATTTTGCCAAAATACGATGTCACCAGCTGTGGTACATTGAACTTCAACCAGATCACAGAGCTTCTGAGCGACGTCGAAAGCAAGGCCACTTCCATGCCAGCCACCGCGCAAAGAGCTCATCAACAGGGTAAATATATCGGGAAGAAGCTCACCAAGGTTTCTAGGAGCTCAGATACCGCTCGTGTGAACGAAGCTCCCCAGTTGATCGCCGACGAATCCGTCTACAAAGCCTTCAAGTATGTGCATCTCGGCTCGCTGGCCTACATTGGTAACTCTGCCGTATTTGACATTCCTGGATACTCTTTCGTTGGTGGACTGATCGCCATGTACCTGTGGAGAGGTATTTACTTTGCTCAAACCGTCTCGCTACGCACAAGAGTTCTTCTTTTCATGGACTGGCTCAAGAGAGGCTTCTTCGGGAGAGACATTTTGACCGTTTGAAGTAAAAACCAGAACAAGGATAAAAACACAAAATAGAGAAAAAAAGAGATGGCATAAGGCCTTCGCACTTCTTAATACATATCAAGATCGATAAACTTCCATTGTCACAAATGTCCAAAACGCTCGCATCTTTGTAGCTGCATACAACGTCACGTGTCTTTGGTTTCTGTCTTGACACCATCGCTACTAACGACTTGTTTACCTTTTCATTTATTAGAATTTGCCGCCTTTGTGCCGGTAATCGTGTCACAAAGACACCAATGTGACGCTTCGATCTTACTCAAACTCTTGAAATAAAGAGCCAAGGACACCAAATTTCTCACGCAGCTGAACAATTCTAGTACAGTGCTATTGGGTTCAGCTCAAATTGCTGAAAGTGACGCTTTCTGCCTGATTTGTTTTCGTGATATCAAGAATTACTGTGGGTGTGGAGAACTGATCCTTCTTGAGCTAGAAGAACTTTTGAGCTTAAGCATGCCCAAGGGAGTCCGGGGAGGCTTCAAGGCCGACACAGGTAATGTTTTAAACACGATTTCCCCGAATGTAAATAGACTCAACGAGAAAAAGGCTCCGGACGCTGGCTTTGGAAATGATCTTAAGAAACAGAAAGCAGTAAATAACGGTTTGAAAACGCCATTGAAAGTTGGGGAAAATCACTATGATTCGAGTGTGTCGTCACAATATTCAGATGGCACAGAATCTGATGCAGTTGTACAGCTTAACGACTCCAAAGATACCTGTATCTCGAGTTTCAAGACCACAGCGCTTTTCATTGGAGACCTCAACCAGAACGTCTCAGAAAAAATGCTGAAGGAAGTATTCGGGGCCTTTCCGTCCCTGCAGTCTGTTAAAATTTGTTTGGACGCAGTAACGAAGAAATCGCTAGGTTACGGGTACTTGAACTTCGCAGAAACCGAAGATGCACAGAAAGCAATTCAAGATTTCAGTTATGTGAACCTTTTTGGTAGAGAAGTGAGAATCATGCCATCTATGAGAAATACATATTTCAGGAAGAATATCGGTACAAATGTATTTTTCGCCAATCTACCCTTGGAGAATCCAAATCTGACGACTCGTGCGTTTTATGAGACTTTCATTTGTTTTGGAAGGGTTCTCTCGTGCAAGTTGGAAAGGCGCAAAAATATCGGATTTGTCTATTTCGAAAATGACGCTGTCGCTAAAAATGTCATTGATGAGTTTAATAATTCGGAGTTTTTCGGCAACAAAATTTCATGCGGGCTCCATTTTGATAAAGACGTCAGAAAGTCCCCGGAATTTGAAAAGAGGAAGGCAAAGTTAGATGGATTGACCAAGGAGTGTCTGGTTGCGGATGATCAAACCGAAATTGAATACGGCGAGAACCTTGGTGGTCCGCATCCAAATTCCGTCCATGTCAAGAATTTGCCCATAGAGGCGGACAACGAAATGCTTCTCGATTTTTTCAGCAAGGCAGGGCCAGTTAAATCGATCTTCACGGCCACTAACAAAATGCACAAAAGAACCTGCTGGGGATTTGTCACCTATAAAAAAGGAAATGACACCCAGAAGGCCTTGAAGGCCTTAGATGGAATGCTTTTTATGGGCAAGAAGCTATCGATTACGAGAGGGATTAGAGCGGATGAGGAAACTAAAACGAATAGGCCCGTTGAAGACGTTTCAAGCAAGGACTCTATCTCGATTCTGCTATCCAACGGGTACAGACAAACTTTGTACCTGAGCAATCTTAGCTCCATCTGCAACGAGGACTTCTTGGCACAGCTATGCTCTGCCGAAAAAATTGGTTACAAGAAGATTGTCATTGATCACTACGACAAGGACACTCTGACATTCGCTGGACAAGTTCTGTGCAGCTCGCGCCCCGATGCCAATAGGCTTTTCACGTCGCTAAATAATAAGTTGGTCGGCGATTGCGTTGTCAAAGTCTCATGGAGACCGGTCTTAACGCAAACACATATTTCCATTGATAGCAGGAAGGCCAAAAAAGGCGACGACCTGACACAGAATTCTTCCGACGGTTTTGATAACTATAGCTGCATTTCAGAAGCAGGTCATCGTAATGATGCTATACCTGGCTACCCTTCACGTTCCACAAAATTATCACAAGAGGCTCACATTTGTGCTAAAAGACAACTTCTTTGTGTGTTGAGGAAGGAAATAAGAACGGCGATGGATTTCATATCATATCCCAGTGCCTCTCGTGATGAAAACTTAAAATGCATAGCTGAATACATTTTTGACGTCTACTGGCGTTCCGATGTTGAAAGTTTAACCAAGTTCATACTATTGATGAACACGAGGCCACAGCACGGCAGGAATTTACAGAAACAGGTTCAAGAGGCAATCAATTTCCTTGGCTTTCAAAGGTAGCTCAATTCTAACCTGTATCTGACCTTCGAGCAAAACTTTTTAGCTTCAAATTTTAGCTGGGCGTTTATTAACATGCGTATTGGTAATTTCTATTTTCGTATTGACATAAAATGCTGAACAAGCGGAGAAGTGATATGATATTCGAAAGACTTGCTGCCTCAATTTTCATATAGCAATCTTCACTAGCGCATTCCAATTAGACCAACTCTACGTAATTAGCAGGAAATATACCCTCTTGGCCATTGTTACGCCCCGTCCACCAATCGTTTTGTGACTCTGACTTCTTCAATATTGAGATCACGTCTCCCTTACGGAAAGGTAAGTCACCAGACTGCTCTCCCTTGAAAGTGAAGAGAGCCACAGCTTTTGGCAGGCCAGATGATGCATCTCTTGCGCTCCTCGAGCCTCCCGAAGGCGATGGAATACCAAAGTCAGGCTTTTCACTCCGAGGTCTCAAGGGTGCACTAGATGATTTGGAATGGTTGAACCTTTGAGATGTGTCGTCTAAGTCTCTATCATAAACATCGTCTTCCCAACGGCTCGAAGACCTTGGGCCCCTAGCCCTCGAATAATAGCCGCTGACGTCGTTTGGATCATCTTCGTCGATATCGTCATCAAAATCGTCACGATAGGACCTTGACGATTGGAAGGAATCACCTCTTCTGCGAGTTGATCTTGTGTTTGGCCGGGTAGAATCCATATCGTTTGAGTCAAAGGACGATGGAATGTCATCGTAAAAAGCATCATCAAGATCGGGGTCTCTAGACCTGTCTCTGTAGTTGAAGGCGCGCGACTCGAGAACCCTGAAAAGAGGATCTGCTGCTGCCGGAGCCCTTACGCGTCCGCTTAAAATCGTCTTTGCCTTACAATTATCCCCGTAAATTTTCCTATTCGCTTCCCTTCTTTCGACAATCACGGAACCTTCCAGAGAGACTCCCGCGAAAATACCCTTGGTCTTGGAGTAAGAAAACACTGCCGCTACACCGCCCAGCGAAGCAGATGCAGCAACTTCCGCATTACGACCCAAAGGACCTGCTGCCATGGACATATTGCCTCCCAGGGTAATTGTTCCGAATTCCGAAAACGACTTGACTGCATCTTCTGTGTTCAAGATAAAGACGAAATCCGTGAGCTCCACTCCGATTAGCCCTCCAGCACCAGCACCTGCTAGGGCAACTGCAGAAGGTGCCGACCATGATCCGTCTCTTAGCCTTGCCACGATGACCCCAGATCCTGCTCTCCCGCTGAAGAGAAATCCTGCTTTCAGCACCGTTATCACAGCAAGACCCTTGGCTCGTCTCAGGACTTCAGGTGGGATCATCGTGTCGGCACCTAGGATTTGGTTAGGCTTGACGAAGCTCGCCAGTACTTTGGCTGCTTTTCTTCAATAAGATAGCATTTATAAGTTAGTGTCTGACTAAATAGCCAAATTAATGACCAGAAAGGAGTGAACTTAACCAAACCACAACTCACTCAAGTGCACAAAATAGAATAATGCTAGTCACAACCCACATACTTGCTCTCCGATTTTAGCGAACGCGGAATTGGATTGTTGATTCCCATGACCTTTCTTGTTGACTTTTGATTGTTGGCTGATATTGAATAAGAGTTCCCCTTTAATTTAAGCGAGTTCTGGTGATCTTTCCTTTATATAAATCTCCTCAATTTAATACCTCTGTCATAAAAATTAAGAAAACTGAACAATCTTTAGTATTTTAGCAAACCAACAAGATGACGGACTATAAGACAGCATAGTTCTCGAGTATAAAATCTATCAATTAGAGGAATAAGATTGTGTAATGGGGTGATTGATGGATACGTTTGCTTTGGAATTTAATATTTTTGTCAATTTTGGCAATATTCGTCGCCGGTCAGTGAGAAATTAGGTCAGTGAAGGCAGTTCAGTATCAAGGATGAGTTTTTTTTTCAAGAAAGGGAACACTGAGAAGACATAGCACTTTATTTGATCAAAAATTAGCTTCTGTGGTTCTTGTTCAGCTTTGGTCTAAAGACCAGGCTCCGCCCCTTGTGCGCGCTTGCATTTCTCCAACTCTACCTCTCAAGATTGATCGCTAAGGCTTTTGATTATTCAAAATATGCTTGCTACCTCATTCTTAGTTTCAAATTACCTTGGAACAACCATCTTTTGATTTCTGTTGATATCAGAGATACAGGTGGAACGGAAAGGTTTCGACTCAAAAGTCCTCATCCCCATGCACAGTGCACATCAGAAGCGTGATCGTGTAATTGACCAAGATGACTATGTAAAGTGATCTCGTTACAAGAATGGCTACGGAAGCGCGTTAGCATACTAGCTATATGATGCTATTGAATTCTGGGGTTCGCTGACCGGACGTTTCATCATTACAAGTATCACAGCGGTATTTACCTCGAAAACTTCGAAATTTTCGACGAGACACAGATCAAGGGCCAATTTGACAGCGCTTTGTAGCACGATGGCGACTCGTGGTTTCGAGACTACCTTGATCAGAACTTTGAATACACGGTCGTCAAGTAATGGCACACATAGCATCCATTGCACGCTGAAGCCGCCGTATGAGATGCTGGTTTTGAAGGATACTAATATAAATCACATTGTCCGAAAAACGCTGGACGTCGATGCATCTGCACACAGTTCAAGTGAAACCTTTCTGCGATGTCGAGCCAAGTTGTTGACCAGATATTCGACACCGGCTTCTACTGGTTCAAAAAGGCCGAAAAGCTGAATAATCGCCTAGTGGAGAAGGTTATTGACCTTGGTACGACTACCCCGGACAGCAAAGTCATTCCCTTTAATGAAGGATCATCGCACTCCAGCATTTTACAGGGACTTTGGGGCCGTCCAATTGGAAAAGTGGCGTCTTTGCTAGGTTTGAGCGCGGCAGCCATATTACTGTGGAAATATGCCGATAACTTTGTTCCCCGGCCAGCAGAACATCTCAAACAGGACGATAAAAAATGTGTGTTAGTTTTTGGCCACATGCGGGATCCCATAACACGCCAAATTGTCATGGACTTGTATCGACGCGGGTTCGTCATCTTCGTCTGCTCAGAACAAGGCGACTCTAACAATGACGACCAGGGCCTGTTCCACGTCACACCGAACGAGCTCCGTAAGGTGATTGACTACCTGCATGAGACCTCCACCTTTTTTTCCTCGATTCTGGTTGTACCTAACTCTGCTTACAATCCGTCAGGGGCCTTTAGCACCCTGTCTTCAAGCGTCGTACAATCGGAACTTGAGCAGAATGTGTTTGTCCATATGAGAGGTTTAGCAAAGTTTTTGCCGCAATTGAATCACTCCCCACAAATTATTCTCTTGACCCCATCAATACCTTTGAACTATCAGATACCACTCCACTCCCCAGAGGTATTTATAGCAGGGTTGATGGACTCGTTCTACAAAGCGCTTACGTTCGAATATCCGAAATCGAGAGTCTACTTATGCCATTTAGGCGTACTCAAAATTGCGGGCAGTACCAGTAACTATAAACATATGCTCGCGAGCGGATCAAACGTTGCGAAATCGTTATTAGGCCCGCTTTACGAGCTTGTAATTTCACAATCAAGCTCATGGTTCGGATTCTGGGAAAGAGTTTGGGGAACGCAGAGATTTTATGGAAAGTGGAGCAGATTAGGTTACTATTTCGGTAACTTGATTCCCCTCTCTTTTCTCAAATACCTTTAGTCATTATCATTGCACTAATCTGAGATATTATTGGCGCAGGTCCTCTGCATGAGTGCACAAGCATTAGTGATACGCCTATCCGAAAATGTTGAGAATTATCGATAGCTCAGCTATTTCGGTTCATGCACTTTCCGCTGATTCGAAGAATTCCTCCACAAGTTGGGCATCTATAAAGCAAAAATTCGACTGTATATAATCTGCGTTTTGTCTTTCGGCCATTGACGCATCATGGCTTGCATCTGCCAGTGAAACGGGGGTACAAAGAGCAGTCTCTGACGGTATATCTGTCACACAGCCATGCGAGGATACGCTCGGTACCAATACCGTAACCGCCATGAGGGCAAGAACCGTACTTTCTTTGGTCAATAAACCAGTAGTATGGGTCAGCGCTAATTCCTTCACGAGCGAAACCTGCCAGTAGTTCGTCAGTGTCTTCAATTCTCATAGAGCCACCAGTAATTTCACCAACGTTTGGCATCAAGACATCGACCGACTCTGTAACACGCTCATCATCGGGACAGCGCTTCATGTAGAATGATTTGATCTCGACTGGGAATTTTATCAAGAAAATTGGGAGGCCGATAGTGTCAGTCATCTTTCTTTCAGCAGCCTCTGCAATGTCATCTCCAAACTTGAATGACTCGCCCTCCTCATTCTTGATATCGTGCTCGTTCAACCAAGTGATAGCATCTTTGTACTCCAACCTCATGAAAGGCATTGTTGGAGCCTTGAACCCGGGGTTCAATTGCTTGACAATTGGCCCAGCAACAGGATCTTCCAAAACGTACCGAATGGTCTTAGTGATGAGTTTTTCGAGATGAACCAACAAGTCATCGAAGTTCAAAAAGCCAAGCTCGGCCTCAATGTGAGTGTATTCCGACAAATGTCTTCTGGTATGAGACTTCTCAGCTCTGAAAGACTCTTGGATGCAGTAAACGTCACCAAGACTGGCCAAACACGTTTCTAGATATAATTGAGAAGACTGGGTCAAGAAAGCTTCTTCGCCATAGTAGCCGAGTTTGAAAAGAGTGGAGCCACCTTCCACTTGAGTTTGAACCATGCAAGGAGGTGTAACTTCAAGAATACTCTCTTCATCGAAGAAACGACGAATGCAACGGAGGAAAGCAGCCCGCACCTTCATAACACCCGACAAAGTTTCACCTCGTAGGGCAAGATGGCGCTGATCCAAGAGTAAAGATGGATCGGCTCCCTCGGCAATTCTGTTGGAAAATGCGTCCTCGCCCGATGGTGCCAAAGAGACAATCTCGTAAAAATCGACGAGAAGTTCCACGCCCCCAGGAGCAACTTTGCCCTCAGGAAGCTTTTTGATTTTACCGTACAGCGTAATAGTTGACTCCAAGGTCAATGTGGAGGTCTGGTGAGCTAGGGCCAAATCACCAGTGAGAACAGCTTGCAGGTAACCACTACCATCTCTCAACACAACAAAAACGTGGTTTTTGCCCGAACGCAATCTGTGGATCCAGCCAGAAACCTTTACTCTTTCATCGATTGCCTCGTGAGACTTTGCAACCTTGTATTTCTTCGCTTCTGGAAGGGAAGTGTCCTGCTGTATGGTGATGTTCAAGCCTTCGAGTTTCTTGGCAGCCTCTTTCTCCTCCTGCTCCTGCTTTCTTTTCTCTTGCTCGATTTGCTTGGCTTGCTTTTTCACAAGACCCTCGCAACCTTTGCGGGCTTTCTTTAGGGCGCTTGCCGAGATTTCCACGAATCCATCGCCGTTTTCGGGGTCCTTCTTGAAAATGAAAAGCTTTGGTTCTTTACCGGTTTCACGGCTCATGAACAGTGCATATGCAGCGCTCTTGAATGGCTGTTGCTCAGAGCCAGTGGCACTCACTTCATCCACACCGACATATTCGTCGATATACAAAGACATTACAGGAAGTATGTGGAAGCTTTTCGCAGGTCGAAATTCAATATTCTTTTCTAAACCTACAGCGGTTATTAGTCAAAAGTATAAAAACCTGAGGAAAATAACTTAAATCGATTGAACTCTGCTCTTAGGCCAAGTAATCAGTAAAGCTTGTAAACTCAATTTTAGTTTTCTAAATTTCCCATTTTCAAAGTATCCATGTTCAAAATCAAATCAGTCACTTTTATGAACATACTGATGATAATATAAAAATTTTCAAATATGATGATTTCAAGATAAATGGCCATCATCTCTTTCTCGATACAGCAGATGAAATAAGACAGACGTTTCAGAAATATAAAGCGACAACATGTCTTTGGAAGATAAGTTCTCGAAATTGTTTGTTAGTGCGCAGCCAGATGCGTTGGCTGTCAAATCGCTGGTGTTCAAGCCAAAAACTGCGAAGTCCGCTACGCCAGTGCCCATCGTTGTAGTCGCTTTACAGAGCACATCGACTGCATCTGCCTTAATTGCCAGCGCCAGCGGTACCAAGGAGCCTCGTTTGGCCCGTGATGAGCTTTTCGCTTCGCACTTTCAGTGTGCGTCAGGTAAGGACTTTCACCTTGGCCACTTGTTGAATGCCACTTCTGAATTCAAGCTGCTCGTTGATAACGTCTTGACTGAAGTTGAGGACTCCCAGATTCTTCAGTTGACTGAAGAGAAGTTCATCGCGAAATCGGAGCTCGTTGGGTTTTTGGAGCAGTTCACACCTCAGGTGGTCGACTTTTCCCAAGAAGCACCAAAAAAAGATGACTCCAAAAAGCCAGCAGGAAAGCCTGTCGCCAGCGGCCAGGGAAAGTCTGCTGCTTTGGAGGATGCAAAACTAATTGGTATCACAGTCGACAAGAAAATGGACTTCTCCGGCTGGTACCAACAGGTTCTCACGAAGGGTGAGATGCTTGACTACTACGACGTTTCGGGCTGCTATATTCTAAGACCACCTTCTTACGCCATTTGGGAGGTGATTCAGAAATGGTTCGACAATAAGATCAAAGCTATTGGTGTCGAAAATGCTTATTTCCCCATGTTCGTGTCCTCGCGCGTTTTAGAGAAGGAGAAAGACCACGTCGAGGGTTTTGCTCCAGAGGTTGCCTGGGTGACAAGAGCAGGCTCTTCGGAGTTGGAAGAGCCTATTGCCATTAGACCTACTTCTGAAACTGTGATGTACCCATACTACGCTAAATGGATTCAGTCCTACAGAGACTTGCCCATAAAGCTTAATCAATGGAACTCTGTTGTCAGATGGGAATTCAAACATCCACAACCCTTTTTGAGAACCAGAGAGTTTTTGTGGCAGGAGGGTCACACAGCACATTTGACTAAAGAAGATGCTGAAGAAGAAGTTTTACAGATTTTGGACTTCTACGCTGGTGTTTATGAGGAACTACTGGCTGTTCCTGTTGTCAAGGGTAGAAAAACGGAGAAAGAAAAGTTTGCGGGAGGTGATTTCACAACCACCTGTGAAGGTTACATTCCCCAGACTGGCCGTGGTATTCAAGGTGCCACTTCTCATCACTTGGGTCAGAACTTCTCGAAAATGTTCAACATCAGTGTGGAAAATCCACTAGGCCCAGAGCATCCAAAAGTTTACGCCTACCAGAACTCCTGGGGTTTGAGTACTCGTGTGATAGGTGTCATGGTCATGATCCACTCAGACAACAAAGGTTTGGTGTTGCCTCCAAGGGTTGCTCAGAAACAATGTGTTGTTTTGCCCGTAGGTATAAATGCTAAGACCTCTGACGAAGAGAGAGCTGCTATCCACCAGAAGGCTAAGGAAATCGAACAGCAGCTACGCTCTGCCAACATTAGAGCCTTTGGTGACTACAACGATAACTACACCCCCGGCTGGAAATTCGCACAATACGAGTTGAAGGGTATTCCTCTACGTTTAGAATTTGGTCCAAAGGATATGACTAACGAACAAATCTCAGTTGTTCGCAGAAACGACAATAGGAAATACACTGTCAAGTTGGATGATTTGACAACTCGCATTCCTCAGATTTTGGAAGAAATGCAGAATGACTTGTACCTCAGAGCCAAGGAACTTTTCGACTCTCACAGAGTGATTGTCGAAGACTGGAAGGATTTTGTTCCTGCTCTGAACAAGAAGAATATCATCTTGGCTCCATGGTGTGGTGTCATGGAGTGTGAGGAAGACATCAAAGACTCCTCTGCCAAGAAGGACGACGGTGAAGAGTTTGAGGCTGACGAAAAGGCCCCAAGTATGGGTGCTAAATCGCTGTGTATTCCATTCAAGCAGCCAGAGTTGAAGACGGGCCAAAAGTGTATCAGATGTGAGAGAAAAGCGCTTCACTACACCATGTTTGGCCGTTCGTACTGAGCCCATTCCTTCGGTGGTTATCTTTATAGAGGGCTAGTATAATAATCATTTGCATACCACTGGAACTCGTGTAAAATATAGCCAAATTATTAACCATATTGTTGCCAGAAAGGTGAAGATTTCAAGTCCTCGATACCAATGGATTCCACTTTCAGAATACCAGAATCGTCTACCAAATAGTGCAGCTGATCTAACTGGAGTAACTTGTCGATGTATATCAGGGCCTGGTCATAACAAACTCCGACGTGTGAAACGCCATGGGCGTCGTCACTCAATACAAACCTTGTTCCTGGTATGTCTTTGGCCAGCATAGCAAACTCTCGGCCAGGGTAGGGATCCTCCAGTTTTTTACGTAAACCAGACGTGTTAATTTCTATCAGACCACCATAGGACGCGACTGCTCTGAGATTTCTTTCTGCGAGCACTTTGATGTCATCCCATTTGTTCGTAAACGAAACGGAAGCGGCAGAAACTGCATTAGGGGAGGACTCGCTAACCACCTGGCCGGTCTCACAATCGACAAAAGTATTCTTGGAGCAGAATAAACGGAATAAGTCAAAGTGTCCTAAAACGAGCGGCTTTAGTTCGCAGATGAGCTTATATTGTTGCTCGAAATAATCGCGAACCAGTGATCTCAAATTGTTGTCCGAATAGGCCAAAGCGCGATTCCATTCGGTTTGATCGAAATCAATGGGAATTCCATTGACGTGATGCAGTGATCCCACGCAGAACTGCAAAACACCTGCATTCTTGTCCATTAGTTCTTTTGCATATGCAATGTGAGCCGTATCACAGCCTTCAACTTCCACTCCGATGATGATTTTAGTAGGTAAGTCTCGAGCTTTAACTTCTGATGCATGCACTAGGAATTTGCCAAATTTGTTTTGCAGGGTTCTCAAGTCGCTCTCTGCAGAATTCGATGCCTCTTCTGGATATAAATACTTGGCATCTATCCGAGGCATATGCTCTGTCAAGCAAAACAACTCCATCTTCATCTCATTAGCCCTAGCTACCACATCCTCCAAGCAATCAACGCCGTGGGCCACGTAATCCAAGGAATGGGAATGATGTGAATACATTATTATCGGGTTGTGTAGAAATATTTTGAGTTTTCTTGATTCTGCGAAAGCCGTCTCTAATTTATACTCTTTGTAGAAGTCTTAGTTATAGTCCTTCTATCCATAACCTTTATTGTTTTTGGGCGTCAAGACTAGTGCCAAATGGTAACAATAGTGTTTACCTCTCAACCCGGATTGTATATTTCTTTATCAGGGCATATGACTTCGTCAAAACGGTAGGGCATCTGCAATTTCTGGAAGAGGGAAAAATGATTAGATAACGAAAGCTGAAAGATCCGGAAAGCTCTCCGATTCTCATATAAAACTCCATTAATTCAACTCTCCAGATTTATGTTTTGAAGCTTCCTGCTCAGAGTTTAGACGTTGCTTTCGAACTGACTCAACTCAGCTCACTCATTGATCCATGTCGAGAATCGTTGTACTTGGGGCGGGAGTATCCGGACTCACGACTGCTTTCTGTCTCTATGAAGAATTTCGTGAAAAGATCAAGGATCTGACGATCGTTGCATCTGAATTTGTGGGCGACTACCACGCTCACGACTTCGCGTCACCATGGGCGGGAGCTAACTGGGCAAGTTTCGCCAAAATTGATGAAATAGATCAGATCGAGAGAGACAAGGCAGCTTATTTGAAATTTTCTGAGTTGTCCACAACGGATCCAGCTTCCGGTGTCAAATCTTATATGCTCAAATCCTGCTTTTTGAAAGAAAAGGGACTCCCATGGTACATTCAGCAGAAATTTGTCAAGAACATAACCATGCTAAGTGCCGAGGAGCTTCGGTTTAGGAATCTTGACCCCGAACTTTATTACGGAGTTCAATTTCAGAGCTTCACGGTTACCCCTACAATTTACTGTGCTTACATGTTGAACAAACTTCGCAAACTAGGCGCTACGATCAAGAGAGTTGCGCGGTTGGATCTAATAACAGACGTTGTGCCCCTTGTTGGATACGTCCCAGATCTCGTTGTCAACGCAACAGGTATCAATGCCGCTAAACTACTGAGACTGGAGGAGCCTGACGAATTGAAAAAAGCCCTGCCTGTCAAAGGCCAGATTCTACAAATTTACGAAGATTTGCCCTTTCAGGTTATGATAGAGGGTTTGCCGAAAGAACTTGGCGTTAAAACCAGCCAGTTTTTAAATATTTTCCCCCGTGCCGAAGGCGGATGTGTTGTGGGCGGCATCATGGCCAAAGGCGACTGGTCGAAAACTGTAGACAAGGATCTAAGTGAGAGTATTTTGAAAGTTTGCAAAAATCACGTCCCTGAATTAAAAGCTACCACAGTGTACAATTCGTATGTGGCCTTGAGACCAGGTCGCGAAGGAGGGGTAAGAATCGAGCTTTCTGAATACAAGCTTGAAGGCCAAAATAGAAGTCTCAAAGTGGTGCACAACTACGGTATTGGAGCTGCTGGCTATCAGTCATCTTACGGAAGCGCTCGTCAAGTTTGCGAGCTCGCATCGAAGGTGCTGGGCTCTCGGAAAAAATCAAGCAAACTATGAACAGCTCTTATAGAGAAAGGCGCAATGAATTTACAGACATGTAATCAATATAAAATTTCAGGCTCGTAAGTACTGTCATTCTTGTGTATTGGCGGATACCCGACTATACACGGGGAATATGAATCTGCTTCTTTCAGGACAGTATGTTTTTCTCTCTTAGAATACGCAAAAAAATTGGACGAGACCGGAGTCGAACCGATGACCTCTCCCATGCTAAGGGAGCGCGCTACCAACTACGCCACACGCCCGAGTTGTCGAAAGCTAAAAGTTTTCCAAAGATGAGAGCCTTTCAACAATCATTTGATTTTTTCAAGATGTTGACTCGAATTTAATGTAATTCCTTTACTCCATCGATCGTTGCACACCACCAAGCTCCTTTGACTACTGCATTTGCTCGATGAAAAAAATGCGGTTATTTTCCACACAACACTGATCAGCAGACGGGTTTCGTCCTCATGATCAAGATGTGATATCCCATCAAACCCGCAAGTTGATTCAGGCCAACTTCATAAATATATATTGCAGAAAAAAATCAAATGGCACGTATTGAGCAAGCTCCTCTCTTGATACTTTGGTTTCTGATGTCAGCATTTTCGCACCTTCCACGCAGCTATATACTCCTATCGCAGTTTGAATGAATGGCGAAGGTTATGATAAGTTGAGTTTCCGGTGATCGAACACGCAATTTGGAAAATTTCGAGTGTAGACAGCATCAATACCATGGCTCGGAATATACGTAAACATAATCGCCATGCTACCAATTCACAGAAGCTAAAACAATCAGTGCTGACTATAGGAAACCAGAAGACGGAGGGAACTGTCAAATGTTCAAAATGCCATATGACGTTTTCCTCTACGTCCGCCAAAGATGCCCTTGTACATGACAAATATCATAGTCTGCATTTGCATGGAAGGAAGTGGTCCTCAAATTGGGGCGATACGATCGAAGAGTATGGTATGCGAACAATAATGGACCAGGAAACTGCTGCAGGAAAGCGGCCTCGGGACTTGACATTCGTCTCCACGCCAAATACTTCGGCTGAACGAATAGTACAGATCTCCAAAAATAGGAAGAGCGAAGTTCAGGCAACTTTAGATGTTCTCCGCATCGTTAACGAGGAATTGCATGCGCCACACAATGAAAATTACTTCTGGAGCCATGTGGCGGAGACTGAGGGGGAAGGCAAGTTTCATCGAAAAGAAGGTAGTGACGGGAAAGCGTTTGTGTATGTTAGCGAAGGCCGTGCTGTGGGAGTAGTTACCGTGGAGTTTTTAAAATTAGAGGAAAATCGTGGAAGGTGGATGGTTTACGACACTGCAAGTATAGTACCGGGAGTAATACCCTCTGTCAAAGTTGGAATTTCCAGGATATGGGTCTGCAAACAACAACGAGGTAGGAATATCGCAACCAAACTGCTAGAGACTGCTAGACTGCATTCGATTCCGGGAATGGTTTTAGCCAAATGGGAGCTAGCTTGGAGTCAACCTAGCGAAAGTGGCGGTAAACTAGCCCAAAGCTACAATAGTGTGAAGCACGAAAGAAGCGGCAAGACTCTCATTCCCTGTTACATATGAACATCTTGATATTATATGCATGCTAAATGATTTCCGCAATCAGGTAAAAGAATGGCGTGAAGGCTTCTATACTTGGTATGTAGTTCGATTCTTGAGTATCGATGGTACTAATTCATCTTTTCGTGGTCCCGGAAACTTTCCGTACCCCTGCCCCGCTGGCAGATCTTCTGCCATTTCCACTAGAAACGGCACGCTTATTTTTCGGCGGCAACTGGCGAAGAACGACATCATCCTCTGGGGAAGTTAGACGACTCCGTCTATTGGCGCTGCCTTGACTGCTATCAACCTGCATAGATTCATCATCGCTATTGTTATCCACCGGCCGTTCCCTCTGAGGCCTACCAGTCTCGACTCTGTTGCTTCCATTTTGGCCCTTTCGCGGCTGGCCAGGTGAGCTTTGCGGTACGGCATTCTTGGCATGCTTTAGTTCCCTTTGCGCAGAGCCGGGTGGTGTAACAGTATGGTCTTCAACGGTATAGTCGCTAGCATTGTATTCCATGTTCTTTTTGTTTGTCTTTCTGACCTTCTTTTGGCGTCGATATTCTTCGGCAGTGACCAAAGGGAAAAGGTCTCCAATAACGTCGCTTGGTTCTAGGCCGAGCTTCATTGTGTATTTCCATTCTCTGAAAGTATGCTGATTTAAATAGAGCCAATGTTGCTGAGGGCCAACGACCATACCGGGCCTGATAAATCGTAAAAGTCCAATGCATTCATTTGCCGTTAGTCCGTGGGTATAGATGAGATGGGCGCCAATCAAACAGCCAGTTCTTCCAAGACCTGCCTTACAGTGCACTGCGATTTTTCCACCCTGTCTTATAATTGTTTCGGCAGCACCCACAAAGTTGTGGACTATCGACATATCTGGGCAGGACCCATCTTCAAAAATGAGATCTACGTGCTCTATGCCGAGATCTTCGAAATGCTTTTTGTTATAAAGGTGCGAATTGAGCCTGACAACCAATTGCACATTGTTTTCTGAAAAAAATTTTAGCACCGAGCGGAAGGAGCTATTCAAATGCGATTTTGAACTAGTTGTCCTATGCTGTAGGTCCTCCTCGGGCGATGCAAAAGCAATGAAATCCGGTGTCAACACGTTGAAGTCACCGTTTTCCACTCTTTCGTACTTTTCATAAGACTCTAGGTCAAATGCGTTTAGATTTATCAGTCCCTTTTCTTTGGCTCTCCAAACGCCAAAGACGACATCTTGTATCGTGATTTCGAAATCAGCGTTTGAATAGCCGGCATCTCGAAAAGGCATGAAAGGTGGATCGACCTGTGCCAGTGGTTGCATCACTTGATGTGGTGTCCATCCTTGAACCAGAAGCATATAGCAGCACAGCATGCACGCTGCATTTGCTCTTTGTCGAGTCGAAGTAGATGAATAGAAGACCACGGCTTTACCCGAATTCTCAGGATCATTCAAGATCTCGTGGAATATCACGGCAAATCGATACAGATGTCCGATATGTAATGGTCCAAAATCTAAATGAAAGCGATTGTAGAACAATATGTCTTCCACCGTGAAAAATACGATTTCTTCTGTATCCTGCGGGGTGTGATCGTAGGATCCGAGGTAAACTCTACCTCGCAGAAACTCGATGGCGTTATCAATATGCATACGCTTGCGCATAGCTCCCCCGTTCTTGAACTCTGTTAGGTTGCGTCTTTGTTCCCAACCGCACACTGATCTCGAATTCAAAAAGATGAATCGGTATAATGATGGGGGCAAACAAATAAATATAAAAAAGCCAAACAAGTCAGGCTCTGTTTACTTTTCTAAAATGAAAACTAATATTTTCTAGAAACAAAAAATCTCCCGGGGGCGATTCGAACGCCCGATATCCAGATTACAGTTTTTAAATTACAGTCTGGCGCCTTAAACCAACTTGGCCACCGAGAGGCTAATAATGAAAGGAAGAAGAACAAAATATCATAATAGGATAGCATAATGTCAGGAAAAGAATTGACGCTTAGTGTGTAACGTAACCCGACAAGAATTATCCTACCTTGGAGAAGAGGCAGGGCTATGGGTCTACGACACACCAGGGGTTTGACACGAAAAGACTTGGAGTAAAAAGCCTTGGTCGAAGCTGTATCGTCGTCGAAAAATTGAACGATTTCAAGAAAGCCTTGAAGTAGTTGAGTTGAGGTTTTTCAATACCCAAAATGATCAAGTAGGTTACCGTAATTTTATTTAATAGTGTTGAATCTATTAGATCCGTCTGATATGGAGCGAAATGCTACCAAACGTGTGCCCTACATCAGATCAATAACCTCGCACCGTAGCATAACATTTGACACCGCCTAAGGAACAATCCAGGTTAGCACCTCAAGCTGATGAGTGAAAGTGGAAACTCCCTCGGAGCTTCTAAGCCCAGTGGGTGACTCACAGGCAACTCAAGAGACGCGGATGTGTTTGTTACAGAGCTATACGGTCAAAGTCAGGAAAATCAGATAACTAACGATGCAATGAAGATTGCAACACTCCTAAAGATTTTTCAGGATAGACTAATGTCAAGTTTATCGGCTGTAGTGTCTGCGAACAACGAAGGAGACGGTGATAAAATGCACTTCCTATGAGTTCATACCAGACTTACAAGGGACATCTAGGTCAGCGTAAAATTTTCGACAGCATTCAAGGGCCTGCAAATTTGGAACAAGCAAATTACTTAGAATGGTACAATAGAAGTTTTCACGGAATGCTAGCCATTGTGAAGGAAACTGGGCACATCGCACCTCAACACGCGGCACATCCTTACGCAAAGGGCCTGAGAAAAGAAACAATATATGGCCGTCAGAAACAGAGGGACATCGGCCTTGATTCAAGTCAAGAAATCGACCTAGATAATGAGAATATGAATGGCATAAGAGGCAATGACGTCAAGGGAAAAGGGTTTTTTAAGAATTCGGAAATTACAGTTTTGGAAGTAAGATGCGGGAGAGCGCGGAAGAACGTGCTGTACCGAACATTGACTGTTTTTCCGGTGCAGAAAACCAGCAGAATCCATTAGAGAGTGTCCGAACAACACGTTGAGTTTTCATCGAAGAACGACTTCCTGGATAACGCCAAAAATTTGGTGATATTTGTCCATCTGCTAAACCATCATCAAATTGAAGTGAACCGAATGAACGAGATGGCAGAGGTAAGCAAAGGGGAAGTAGCGTTCGAAAAACAATAAGAAAATTGGATAGTCAGAAAAAAGTACAATCAAGCTTTGCGGGGAAAAGCCAGGTAACGTATAATACTTGATGCGGACCTACAACCATCTTCTATACAAGCCGAGTTTGTCAAAACACAACGCTTCAAGCCAAATGGTGCACCACTGTTATGAGCAAACCTCATTTGCGGTACATGCTGTAAGGGGAGAATCAAAATGTCAGACAAACGGTATGAAATTTGATATATGTCAGTTAGGACATATTTCAGAAAGTCATTGTGAAGATTAGCCAGCACTGCTCTCTGGGGTTTCCAAAATACGGAGCATCTCGACTTTGTCAAAAAAATTTGGTCTAGAAAGAAAGACTTGGAGGAAAGAAGACAAAGTAAACAATACGTTCAAAAATCATCAGAAAGTGTTGGGACAAATTTCGAGCTCACCGAAAACAGGAGAGCAGGGGGGCAAATCAGTTGAGTAAAAAGCTGACATAAAGCCAAGTGAGATATCACCGCTCAGCAATCACTGCGTTCAACATCGAACGTGGAAGGCTTGCTGCAAGAATTGAGTCAGAAACTTGTTGGAAAAAGGCTTTTTAGAACCTTCAGGAGCACCGTGTAGCTCGATATTGCACTGGTAAGAATAAAGACGAGAACTATTGATTGTCTCGATAGGTGACACTGAACGAAATAACTAGAGAAATGGATGAGCTCCCCAACACATTGAATTGTCACCGGCTATGATCGACAACGCACAGCTCTTTTCCATCATTGGCACTGCACCCAAAAAGCTTTCAATGTTCAAGCCATTAACTGTTCCATTTGAAGAAAAGGCCAATTGCATACTCGCGAAGAAAGCGTCGAAAGAGGGTGATTAAAAATGGTCTGAGCTAAACAGATGGTATGAGTTGCCAAACATCTCTCCAATTTACTAGAAACTGAACCCCAAAACCAATCACATTAGAGATTGAGTTACTAGCAGCGATTGCAGCGCTCGCGCAATTCAAATATGCATTACAAAAAAGAAGCCATGTGTTGAAAAAATGAATATTTCGAAGTACTCACGAACCAAGCAATCGGCTCGCTACTAGGCTACACGGGCGTGGGCAAACCGAGATAGCTTGAATATTTACTGGGAGTTAAAAACGTGGTGGGTATACCATAGCGGGTAAAGGTGCGAGATGATTCGACTATTTAGAATACGTCACGAAAAAGATCCACGGAGTCAAGGAGAAGCTCGAAGAAGCACTGCCTTGGAACTGTTGTCTTGCAGCATCTAGAGACATTGGGGGAAACCAACTAACATGCCAGCCGCTTTTAGCGTCTTCATGGCATATAAGAAGAAATCCCGAACTACCTTCAGAGGTTTAGCGAGAAGTTTGCGTATGCTTGCAGCACCCTATCAAACGTAGAAAGGACAATCACAGACATCACATGATAGTCTAACACATAATTGACACTAGGGTTTTCACATAACACACGCAAAGATTACCAAGAAGCCATACTGGTCAAATTCAGCTTAGACAGTTGGCCGCTATGTGAGAGTTTGTATAAGACACACGTTTTTGAAAGTACTCTCAGCTCAGCATGATGCACTGACAATTTCATTGCGAACTCCAAAGGGACATCGATTTGACTTACCGATCAAAATATTCCGTCACAGGATTATCATCTACCTTAAGTGGATCCGGTACGTTCCTAGTAGTGATGGAATGTTTTTCAAGCGGTGCCACCTGCTCACCTCTCGAAGAGAAAATAAGTGGACCACAGACTTTTGATTTTATCCTTATATTCGTGCTTGCTTACCGAGGGTTTCCAATAACTCTAATTAGCGATACAAACATTGGAGTCACATCAAGTCATAGCTTGAATTCACAAACCGGTGGGAAAACACGCAAGCAGTCGCGTCGAAAAATCGGAAGATGGTTGAGTAGCCCCGCAACGAACAAAAATCAAACATTGTATGAGTTTTATCTCAAAAGGTACTCGTGTATAGCACTTACATAGCACCAATTAAACTAGGCTGTTCATTTAGAATCGGAATATTGCGCCGAGTCAAACCATCGTTTTTGGATATCACCGGGCGAGCTGAGGCCAGAGGATGAAGCATTCTCAAAACGGTTGCACTAATCAAAGTCTCAGGTCTTCTGACCTGGTGGAAGTTCCGAGAAAACACATTCAGAATGGAAATCGAGACAGATGGGAAGCGGGGGGAAGGAGGTGTGTGATAGAAAGTAGGGGACCATGCCCAACTTCGTCGTGACACTAAAATTTAGTTAAGGATCGAATAGGAATGCACTTACAATTTTATGTGAGTCTCTATCGCGTGGTAAAAAAGATAAAAGACAATGCACTTCAGCTGATTATATCATATAAGGCAGGATCTGATC